TCACTTCGTTTGTCTCGCTGATCATGCTGTATTAATCTTGTGTGACCTGTGGCCCTCTTTCATCTTTCCCTTGCTTCTTTGAACTAAGAACCGCTCCTGATCAATGTTCTCTAGGTTTGGAGAAATGTCAAAGACTATGGCGCTGTTGGTGACGGAGTCACAGACGACACAGCGGCCATCAACCGTGCTATTTCCGAGGGAGGTAGATGTGGCCCTGACTGCGGCTCTAGTACTATCTATCCTGCTACAGTTTGGTTCCCCAAAGGCACCTACCTTGTCAGCTCTCCGTTGATTCAATACTATAATACGGAGTTCCTGGGAGACGTGAGTACTACAATCTAGCAGGTCAAACGAAAGCTCCCACTAACTTACTAAAAGCCGATCAATGTGCCAACTATCCTGGCAGCCTCTAGCTTCGTCGGTCTGGGTGTCATCACTTCCGATGTCTATGTCAGTGATGACGAGCAATGGTATGTCAATCAAAACAATTTCCTGCGCAGTGTGAGGAATTTCAAAATCGACATTCGCCAAACGGATACCTCGGCCTATATCTGTGCCATTCACTGGCAGGTTGCTCAGGGAACCTCTCTAGAGAACATCGAGTTCTACATGGTATATAACTCGGATGTTCCCAGCAATACACAGCAGGGAATCTATATGGAGAACGGCTCGGGTGGTTTCCTCGCAGACCTCACATTTGTGGGAGGCAACTTTGGGTAAGCCACATACCAGAATCATCTGGATTTCTTTTCTTGGATGCCTTCTAATGTGATGAATGACAGTGCATACTTTGGCAACCAACAATTTACTTCAAGTCAACTCGTCTTTGTTCAGTGCAACACAGCCCTTCAGGTTCACTGGGATTGGGCATGGACTATGCAGGACTATGTCATTGAGTCGTGTACGAACGGTTTGACTATCGTCGGCGGGGTATGTTTTATTATTCCGAACATGAACTATTGGTCAAACATGAAGCTTACTTGAATTAGGGTGGCGGCGCCCTGGGTACCGGTCAAGGTGTTGGATCTCTCGTTTTGGCTGATGCCATCATTGCAAACACGGCAAATGGTATCATCACCTCTCTCTATGCCGAAAACTCGACCTCCCTGCTTTTGAAAAATGTGGGCTTTTTCAATGTCAAAACGGCCATCACAGATGACGTCAAAAACCAAGTTCTCCTAGCAGGAGGTGATGAGGTTCTCAAGGATGCCTGGGGATTCGGTAGGGTCACCGACGCTGAAGGCACAGGATCTTTTGTGTCCGGTGCAGACATCACTACCGGATCCATGAGCAAGAAGCTGCTTGGAACCCAAGCTTACGTCAAGTCCAATCTCTTTACCCGCCGACGACCTCAATACGAGGACATTAAGGCAAGTGATATTATCAACGTTCGGACTTTCGGCGCAAAGGGTGATGGCAGCACTGATGACACCGTCATTCTCAACTCTGTTCTTTCCTACGCCGCCAACATTTCTTCGGTTGTCTACTTCCCCTTCGGAGTATACATGATTCAGGATACACTGAAGGTTCCTGTCGGCTCCCGCATCATCGGACAAGCTTGGTCTCAAATCATGGCAACAGGAAAGAAGTTCGAGGATGTTGACAATCCGTATGTGGCCGTCCAGGTGGGAGTTGAGGGCGATGTTGGTATTGTTGAGATTCAAGACATGCTTTTCACTGTTTCGGGCCCCACTGCCGGAGCAATTCTCGTGCAGTGGAACGTCGCAGAGTCTGTCCAAGGATCTGCTGCGATGTGGGACTCTCATATTCGCATTGGCGGAGCCATTGGATCCAAGCTACAAAAGGCTCAATGTCCCAAACAGTCAGGCAAAGTCAAGCCTGGTTGTATTGCGGCATCTCTTCTCCTTCATCTCACACCTTTTTCAAACGCCTATCTGGAGAACATCTGGGTTTGGGTCGCTGATCACGATATGGATGTGACCACCCAGGATCAAATTGATGTATATGCAGGACGTGGTATTCTGATTGAGAGTAAGCTCGCGTGGCTGTACGGTACGGCCTCGGAGCATTGCACGCTCTACCAGTATCAACTTTCTGGTGCAAGCAACATCCTTATGGGGATGATTCAAACAGAATCACCATACTACCAACCTGTTCCCCTGGCTCCCAGTCCATTCACACCGGGCTCATTCCCTAATGACCCATTGTTCAAGAATTGTGACTCAACCACTGCTGCATGTGCATTCTCTTGGGCCGTACGTATCATTGATTCAGCTTCCATCTGGGTTTTGGGCAGCGGTCTGTACAGCTGGTACTCAGATTATTCTCAAAAATGTCTCGATACAAACGATTGCCAGCAACGCGGGTTTGAGATTGAGCAAAGTCATGATCTTTGGATTTACAATCTCTGTACCAGGGCAATTGTGGAAATGGTCACCCCCTTCCAAGGTGTTCCGACATACGCCAAGGACAACGTCAACGGGCTTCTTTCTTCGATTCTCGTCTGGATCGGTGGTTTGGATATGACTATTGGCCAGAGGAAATTCGACGGCTTTTCTATCTACAGCTCTGACAGCCTGGAGAAGATCGATCTTCCGGACACTTGCAAAACTTCATTGGCAGCAAATATCAAGTGTGAGACATACCTTGAGAACATGATGTCTCGCAAATGGCATGGCTCGTTGAACAATGATACCCTGACGGACCTTGTCTGTGACACTAGCTGTGGCGAGAGCCTGAGTGAGTGGTTCGGGGCTGTGCAAAATAACTGCGGCGGATATAACATCAGCGGCTCTCCTCCGGAGCTATATGGTGGCCGTATCTGGGCCGGTTACAATGAAACTTGCAGCAAAGATAAAGCCACAGGCAAATACTGCAATGGTATGTTACAGACTTCTCCCCACGGTGCATGTAACTAACTCTTTCTCTGCAAGACGTCATCAGTGATTTTACTTTGGTTCAAAGCACCGCAGATATGCCTGAAAGCGAAGCTTGCTCTTACTGCTACACAACTCGTCTCCAGATGATGCAACAGACGCCTTACTCGATGTACGACGACTACTACCAAGAAGTTCTGGTAGAACTGAACAAACGATGCGGCCTCTCCGGACCTACCGACATCCTTGAAATCCCCTGGGCGACCATCGAGGAGGAAGACGAGTTCTGTGTCTCGGATAATTACTACACAACAGTCAAAGGTGACAACTGCACATCCATCGCAGCGGCAAACAAGGTCTCATCCGCGTCACTTTACACGGGTAACCAAGAGAAAATTGTGGATTGCTTCTCCATCAAAGCAGGCCTCAAGCTTTGTCTTCCTTTAACTTGCGAAGATACATACTCACTCGAGCCAACAAACAATTGTACCGCGATCGAGTACGCCTACTCGCTTTCAACCGGGGATCTCCGCAAATACAACCCGTGGATCTCCTTCGACTGTGACAATCTGCAAATTGCCAGCAAGATTTACGGCAATAATCTTTGTCTGTCGGCGCCCGGTGGTGCGCACTCCAATGCAACAGCCGGTACAGGTTCAACTACTCCCGGCAAATCAAACGGATATAGCGAGGCCTGGGCTGCCCCGCCGACAAACGCGACTATGGCCGAGGGAACAACCCTCAATTGTGGAAGATGGCATGAGGCTGCTGCCAATGAGACCTGTGTTGGAATCTGTGCCCAGGAAAGTATCACACATGCTTTGTTCGTGGCCGTCAACCCGTCACTGGATGATGCTCGATGCTCGCAGACGTTACAGACGGGCAAGACTTACTGTTCTGGTCCGTTGTATTTGTGGAATGATGCGGAAACTTCTTCCAGCAGTAGTGCCAGCGAATCAGCTTCAACGTCAGCTGTTTAGCTGAGACTCAAGTCGAACTCTAGTATATAATTTGTGAGCAAATTCATCCATTTCTTCAGTTCGTGATTATCGGAAGACTAAGCATGTACGACGATATTGTATGTATTGCGGGAGATGAGCAGAGGAAGCAGCCCTGGGAGAGAGAGAGAGAGACAGAGACAGAGAAGCTGTCACTCTGCCACTCTGTCACTCTGCCACTCTGCCACTCTGCCACTCTGCCACTATCTACTGCGCCGGAGTCTGACCAATCAGGCAGCCACACCTGGGCAAGCTCCGACAGTGATGCATAATGCACCACCTTAGAACGCAATGTTGGCAGCAACACGAGGTATGCTCGTGGCCATGTGGCCGCAGACATCAATTGCTATTATAATTCATTCCGCCAACCTTTGAAGTGTCTTTATTTTCCCAGGTTCAAAGTCAAAGCCCTTGGAATTGAAATTGAAATTGCGGGTTCTAGGGGTACATTCCGCCCTGGGGGAGCCCTAAAAGTTGGGGGAAGAGGCCCCGCAAATTAGGCGGCAACTAGGATTAAGGGGTGGGTGCAGAGTCGTGCCTTAACTCTTAGGGTTGACTTGAGTAACCCATTAATCTCACATAATTACTATAATAGTCGAAAATTAGCTCCCAAAATATCTTTAGTTATTTATTTTATAAAAAGTGAATTATATAATTAATCGATTATATTATTCTCAAATCAATATAACTTTATATAAAATCAACGATATGAACAAATTCGATTGCTGGAGGTAATTATGGTGCGATGTAAGAATGCGCAACGCAATTTAGCACGAAATAGCTGTTTTAAAGATCGTAGGAGTGTTTCTCGATGACTTTGGCTGAACTGCCGCAACTGCCGCAACTGCCGAGTTTGAGCTCACACCTGGACACTCATTGAGCTTTTTTAAGCTATGGTCTCCAGGATTGTCCTCATTCAAGCAGTATTCCAACTTCACAATAGCCATACTGTACAGAACAATCGCCGAAGGAATAAACAAAGAACGTGGCATTTTGGCAGTTTAGCAGATAAGCAAAGCCAAGCACACCGCCTGCCGGCAACGTGCGGAGAGATCAGCCAATCAGCTAGTCCCAATTGGGGGGGGTGGTTATCGACGTCATCTCCCTAGGCTCGCCCTACTCTCTTCTTTCCTCAACCTTCGAGAGTTTTGGACTCTCAAACATCATGGCTTGGTCCCTCTCTTTCCCCTATCCTCCTTCAAAGGAGGGATACTGGGCGCCTGTGACTTCCACCTTGAACTGGTGCGAAGAGGTAAGATACCCCACGCCGACAGAGGAATCACGCTAACGCACCTCGCTCGCCCAGGATTACTATGCCACCGAGTACGCTGCCGAGATCGTCAACACCCTCACGAACTTGATGTTCATGTGGCTCGGGGTTTCCGGTATTCTCAGCTGTCGCCGTAACGGACATGACCAGATCTTCACTGTCGCCCTGCTAGGGTATCTGGTAGTCGGAACCGGGAGCTTCTTCTTCCACTCCACCCTCAAATGTCAGTATACCCATTCCCTGGGGAACGAACATACCAGAATCGCGAAGCGTCACAGTACCAAACCTCGGAGCTGTTCCCAGATCATCACTGACCGAAACAGACCCAATGCAACTCGTCGATGAACTGTCCATGATCTACACCACCTGCCTCATGGCATATGCCTTGTTCTCATACGCGCGTTCTACGGTCTTCCGGGTAGCTCTTGCTCTCTCCCTCACCGGCCTTGCTGTCTTCATCACCCTATATTACCACTATCTCCAAGACCCGATCTTCCATCAGAATGCCTACGCGCTCTTGACTACCGTTGTCGTCCTGCGCAGCATGTATATAATGGAAGTGACCCTCCGCCCAAAATGGCGCCACTCGACCGAAGAGGACCGCCTCGAGCGTCAGAAGAAGGGTCTTCCCGTGCCCACGAAGGAGCGCCAACACTACGAGAACGTGCGCGATACCAAGATGCTGAAGACCATGTGGCTCATGGTCATCTACGGACTGAGCATGTTCTTGGGTGGTTTCTTCATTTGGAATTTGGACAACATCTTCTGCTCTGAGATCCGTCGTATGCGCCGCACTGTCGGTTTACCATGGGGCCTACTTTTGGAAGGCCATGGTTGGTGGTACGTTTTGAGCTCGGCGCACACTTTTTGGTCATTACCCGCTAACCGTTTTTCCAGGCACGTCATGACAGGCATTGGCGCTTATTACTACATTGTCTGGGGCATCTGGCTTCGTCACTGTCTCAACAACCGACAAGACGAATATCATTTACGATGGGCACGTCTCTGGCATATTCCCGAGATTATCCGTGTCTCTGCTATTGAGCATGAGGCCCGGTCTAAGAAAACTCTATGAGAGGCTCTTGGCTTCTCTACTCTTTGCGTTCCACTCGTCACTTGGTGTCGCGGTGAAACCTGCAAATGCGATATTTGACATACACGTGAAATAGATACCATGCTCCTTCTTGTCTGTCCTTTGTCACAAGACACGGAGTAGAGCATCTCTTAGCATTCTTCGGCGTTGCTATTGGTATGGCATGCACAACTTGGTTCGGAAACGTCCGTGTTTAACTTCGAGCTTTGGAAATACCATACTCTTCCTATCTGTTTGTCTGGGGGCGTGGAGTCGTGACTATAGATGGGAGTTTTGTCTGTCCTTACTTTGGTTGTTAGTTCAGCGATTCAAGATACAAGCGATACAATAAATTAAAAAAAACATGCAGAACTAGTTCAGTCCTGCCCGGATGTATGTATATGGAATATAGTATATAAAAAGTAATATCGCGTAATATCGCTCTCAATGCAGGGGATAGTCGATATGAGCATCGAACCACGCAAAGCACAGGAAGAAGCAGAGCATGGCACCCTCACAACTTCGAGTCACCCTTCTGGGCCTTAGGCCTGCGCGCCGGCGCCGGGACATTCTTCAACCACTCCGCATCAATAGTCATCTTCTCAATCTTCGACTTCTTACTCCAAGCAGACCGGAAGCTCTCTTCCTCATCCTTCCAGCGCCGAATCTCAGGCGCAAGCCAGCAAACCGCCGCATCAGCACACTCATCAACAGCTTCCTGCGCAAGCAAATGGCCCTTCTCTTCCAAAAACACGTCTCGCACACGTCCCGCCGCAACACCACCACTGCCTCCCTGCCCAACGCCCGTATGGGCGAGCTTGTCGGCGCGCATAGGAGGCGTGCACATGTCAGACTTTCCGGCAAAGATGTACAACACGCTAGGACGCAAGAAGGGAAGCTGTGAGAAGATGCGCGCGGACTCAGGTCTGTAGAATGGGTGGTTGTGCGGGTGCTCTGCGTCCAGGTCTGGGTGCGTGACGCGATTGACGGGCTTACCGCTGCCGGGGGCATGGTGGTAATTAGGTCGGGAGAACGTGAAGACCTCTTGGTGAAGCGGTGTGCGCAGGGTTACAGGGGGTCCGTCGGGTCCAATTTGGGCCTTTGGGTCCAGTGGATGGATAGCTGTTGGGAGATCGCGGAGGCCGTGCTCGACCCAGCGGGAGAGAACTCTTGGGTCCCAGGCTTGGTAGAAGGGGCTTCGCTTGAAGCCTTCTGCGGCTGCTTGGCGGGAGGGCCAGAGGTCTCGTCTGTAGGTTGAGAGCTGGGTGGTCTTGGCGATGCGGCGCATGTTTTGTTCCATGCTCAGACCGTCTAGTTGGGTTGTCTGTCGCTGGATCACGGGGTCTAGTAGGATTAGTGTGTGGATGAGGCGCGGGTGCATTAGACATAGTTGTGCGCTATTTGTTTTGGTTAGGTCTTGCTGGTGCTGGTACATGGGCTTGGATTTGGCTCTTACAGGTGAGCGCCTCCCATGCTGTGCCCGATGCCGACGATCGGCCGGGGCATTTCAGCGCGCTTGACATTGACCAGGTGGAGGAGGTCTCGAGGATGATCGAACCAGCTTGCTGTCATATGGTTAGTATCATGATGGTTCTGGTATATTTTTGCTTCACATACGATCGTTGCCAAGCGAATCTTCATTGATCACGCTGCTTTGGCCCTCCTGAGCCACATCGGACATCCAAATACTGCGAATGCGGAATCCATTCTGTTTCGATCGAGCGTGAATCTCCTCCCAGAGAGGCTCATATAATTCCTGACGCGGTCAGCATACCGAATTGGTTTGTCGGCCGTCGCATCGCGCCTGGACGGGCCGCAGATCTGGACCTCGGCATTTTTGACACGCATACCTTGGGAAAGCCATTCGCATGCGCTGCGAGGATAGTCACGTCGCCGGGTTGCGGATTGGGATTGTCGAGTGGAATATACTGCTTCACTGCCAGATGCAGGGGCTTTTCCTGCTCATTGGCCGTCGCTCCTGGGTACTCCCTGATGTGCTGAGTGGGCACAATGTGCTCGACGATGCGAAACGGAGACATGTTGCGGGATGTTTATACTGAAGAGAAACTTTGCAGGATTGAGTTTCTATTCAGACATAAAGATCCGGGAGTTAAGACAAAAGTCCGGAGAGACCGCGGTTTTTGCGGGGAGCCGAGGCTGAGGCTGATGTTTTGCGGTTTTCGGGGCGGATCTGGCGCGTCCGCTCAACTGCCGACGGCGTAAGTATACCAGTTACATACACATCGTGACTTCAGTTCCAAGATTACATGGGATTATGTTTAATTTTACTGAGACGATTGGGGAAAATGGATGATCCCGAAGAGCTTATGAATTATTCTATATACTACTCTGCACTGAGTGCAAGGCATGCATCGACCGCTAAACCAACACTACCAATAAAATTAGCAATTGACCGCAAATACGCAAGGAGATTACTTACCGTCCTTCCTTTATCTTCACGACATCATCGATCACGTCTCGGTCAAGGTTGGGAAACATGTTCGACAGTGTTTCTACTACGTTCTTGTGTTCAGAACGCTGTATACGCCGTGCCTCGGCATCTTCAGCACTCGCCTGGCGTGCGGCGGCGTCCTGCGCATCGAGTACACGGGTGAGTTTTTTCTTCGCAGAGGTTCCACCCCGGTGGGCGGAGTGGGAGCGTTCGTCTCCGGAGCGCCGGCCGTCTTCGCTGCTGGCGCGTGGAGGCTGATAGACGTTCGGAGAGAGGCGAGGTGCCACACCGGGTTGGGGGGTTGCGACAGGGTGAAGACGGTCTTGGGAAGTGGGTCCGGAGTCTGGCTCGTCGGAGAAAATGCGGCCGATGGTAGAGAGAGGTTTTTGGATAGTGCGTAGTAGCCCTGCGACGGGAGCGGAACTGTCCTCGTCGCTAGACTGGGAGGGTTGGTGGCGACTGGGCCCTGGTTGGGGTTGGGATGGGGGAGGTTGAGATGAGGAGGGTTCCTCGAATGTTTCGATTTCACGGTTTTGTTCGGCTATGGCCGACACAGCGGCCTCGACGTTGCGCTCGAATTCCTCGTCGCTGACGGTCAGACTGGTGCGGTCCAACGACTCGATGAAAGAGATCGCTCCGGACTAAGAGATGTTAGTTTGTCTTTTCGAAATCACGCTACGCTGTGTGAATTGAATGCGACATACCAAAGATGAGATGTAGTACCCTGCCTCTCCGCAAAGTTTGTCCTGGTTCCGGAAACGAAGGATGTATTGAATGTTGGAGACCAGATGGTCCGGGTTCGCATGAAGGACCACGTAGATCAAGAGTGGGATGAATGAGTCTGCTGATGTATCTGCCTTTTTGGTGTTCTTGAGCAAGCCGAAGATGACCTTGCAGCAATTGAGGATACAGATGACTTTATCTCGGGGTGCGCGGTAGCCATTGATCTTTGAGATCTCTAGAACAGAATTAGCGCAGCCATGTGATGAGTCGCGTTGCGTACATACCTTGCTGTGCTAAATTCAAAAACCGACGTCCACCGCCGCTCACGGGTGGAATATCAAGATGTCCCTCATTGATCCAGCTGTATATGCGAATTTTTTGGGCTAAGATGTCATCTCGTTCAATATCTTCTTGGTGTTGACCGCGGCGCCAGGGTCCATGAAGCCGCTCTAGTTCTCTTCGGCGACTCCGACTTGCGCTTCGGGGTATCGTTGGCGGAGCCGGGATCGCCGGTGCGAAAGTTTGGGAGTATAGGCGGTTCATCACGAGCTTCTCCATGCCCTCCTTGGCATTGTCGAATTCGCTATCCGATACATCGCGCCAGATTTCGCACATGGCCATCTTATTTGTTATAAAAGTCAGGAAATCACTGATGATCTTAACTTGTTCGTGAACCATCCATTGCTTTTTCCCAAACTCCATGAGAAATGAGCGCAAGAACTTGGCTACAGGGTCGGCAGTGCGGTGACGCAGTTGTTCTAGGAACCGGTGGAAATCAAATGGCTGCTCCGACTCTGGTTCTGGAAGTGGTGGAACTGTTGACGTGGATGATCGTCGGTTTGATACTGGGGACTCGGGCTTGTGGGGGATGGGTCCAGGTTGATCACCCGCAGATCCAGCGACCGGAGGACTTGCAGACTCGGTAGCAGCAGGGTGGTCCAGACTCGACTTCCGGGGTGGGAAGTACGTCGGACCTCCGCGAAACTGCTCGGCCAGCCCAAGTCGTGGAGACATGATCTCGTTCTGGTCGGTGCTTCGCGCGGGGTCCTGAAACTGCCCCATGATATTTTGGATCTCCGGCTGCGAATCATTATCTTCCCGTTCCCCTTCGACTTGTTGATTTTGTTTGAGCTCCCGATCGCTATCGCTCGGCACTTCTGGAAGCTCTTTCTCGGAGCCAGGGTTCGTGTTTGTATCGATGAGCGGGAGCGTTGGCGCAGGAGTGGGAGTTGTGCTTATGTGAAGGGCGTCTTTCTCTGGGAGCGTAGGAGGCGGGGGGAGTGTTTGCAGTTGACGGTGTCTCTGCTGATGTATTGTCGGAGACTGACAGCCTCTCCATGTGCCCCGCAAGCGGTTGCGGCTCAGCTGGCGTTTGAGCTAGGGCAGTCTTTGTCGGTTCCGCTACTTCGGGGCCCGGAGATGCTGCTGGCACATCCTTCTCTGCTGCAATGTCTGGGTTCATGATGCCTGTCGGACTATCGTCTAGCAAAGAATCCTGGGTTTGTACGGGAAGGTCGGTTGGTCTCGTCTCAGCGTGATCATGGGCGGACGGGCCGTCCGTCGTCTGAGGACCCGGAGAGGTAGGGAGCTCTTTAGACGACATGAGCTATGTGACTTCCACTAGCGACATAAAAAAGATAGATTCAGGGGGTTGTAATGTCATGGACATGCGGCTCTATCTGTTGATGTGCGGATCATCGTTCGGCCGAAGTCTCACAGCTCAATTTCCAGGTCGATGTGGGGAGGTCCTCCCGGCCAATGACAACCCGCCTTGAGGGCGGCGAAATCGGACATTTCCACCCCTCCGCCGTGGGGGGGGTAATTTGACTCATCGGGTCTTCTCTTCTTTTGCATATCTCACATACAACATGGTTGGAGGCACAGCGCTGCAGGAGCGCCTCGAGACATGGGCACAGAGGTTAAATAACCTCACTGTGTCTCCATTGACCCGCGATTATCCCGACACACAAACCACTGATAACAAGAGAGTCATTGAGGCTTTCGAGTCACTTCGACTTCCTAAGGAAACTCAATTGCACCTGCAGAAGGTCTCGGGCTCTTCCTCAGGCTTCACTGTCTTTCTGACTGCCTTTGTGGTTCTGGTAGCTCGCTTGACCGGCGATGAGGACATCGCTGTGGCCACCAGCTCGGAGGAGGATGGCCGTCCATTCGTCATCAGGATTCCTATTGATGCCTCGGAGACATTTGTCCAGCTATATGCCAAGGTTGACAAGGTCCGTACTATACCCGGTCCCTTGCATATACTCGTGTTAGTCGCTCGGTACTAAATCATATATATACAGGCCTTCAAGGAAGGCGCTTCTCAGATCGTGCCATTGGGCAGTCTCCGCTCTTACATCCAGGAAAAGTCCAAGTCCGAACGCACTCCCGTCCTCTTCCGATTTGCGGCATACGATGCCCCCGCTGCCTCGCAAGATTACCCGGCGAACACCTTCGACACCACTGACTTGGTGGTCAACGTTGCACCCGGCAACCTCTCCGATGGCGCTGTCGAACTAGGTGCCTACTACAACCAGCGTTTGTTCTCAAGTGCTCGCATTGCTTTCATTCTGAAGCAGCTTGCGTCCATTGCTAGCAATGCTGCCGCCAACTCGGAAGAAGCTATTGGACGCATTGATCTGATGACGGAGGACCAGCGCGCACTCTTGCCCGACCCTACTTCCAACCTTAACTGGTCCAACTTCCGGGGTGCCATTCACGACATTTTCACTGCCAATGCGGAGAAGCACCCCAGCAAGCTCTGTGTCGTCGAGACCGAGTCCAGCACATCCCCTCACCGCGAGTTTACCTACCGCCAGATCAACGAGGCCTCAAACATTCTCGGCCACCACCTGGTTCAATCTGGCATTCAACGAGGTGAGGTTGTCATGGTCTACGCCTACCGTGGTGTTGACCTCGTAGTGGCTGTGATGGGTATCTTGAAGGCCGGTGCGACCTTCTCTGTTATCGACCCCGCCTACCCACCTGAACGCCAGAACATCTACCTCGATGTTGCCCGTCCTCGCGCTTTGGTGAACATCGCCAAGGCCACCAGAGATTCTGGTGAACTTTCTGACATCGTGCGCACTTTCATCAACGAGAACTTGGAGCTCCGCACCGAAATCCCTGCTCTTGCTTTGCTCGACGATGGAACCCTCACTGGTGGATCTGTCAACGGTAAGGACGTCTTCGCCAACGAGGTTGCGCTCAAGTCCCAGCCCACCGGTGTCGTTGTTGGACCCGACTCTATCCCCACCTTGTCTTTCACTTCCGGTTCAGAGGGCCGCCCCAAGGGTGTTCGTGGCCGCCACTTCTCCCTCGCCTACTACTTCCCTTGGATGTCAGAGACCTTCAAGTTGACCCCAGACGAAAAGTTCACCATGCTGAGCGGTATCGCCCACGATCCCATCCAGAGAGATATCTTCACCCCATTGTTCTTGGGCGCTCAATTGCTGGTGCCCGCCCGCGAGGACATCCAGAACGAGAAGCTAGCCGAGTGGATGCAGAAGTTCGGTGCTACCGTCACTCACCTGACACCTGCTATGGGACAGATCTTGGTTGGTGGAGCTTCTGCTCAGTTCCCTGCCCTCCACCACGCGTTCTTCGTGGGTGATATCCTGATCAAGCGCGACTGCCGCTCCCTTCAGGGTCTTGCCCCGAATGTTGCCGTTGTCAACATGTACGGTACTACTGAAACCCAGCGTGCAGTCAGCTACTTCGAGATCCCTAGCTACTCTAGCCACGAGGGTTACCTCGACACATCTAAGGACGTCATCCCGGCAGGCCGTGGAATGTTGGACGTCCAGATGCTTGTTGTCAACCGCTATGACCCCACTCGCCTCTGTGCAATTGGTGAAGTTGGCGAGATCTATGTCCGTGCCGGTGGTCTGGCGGAAGGCTACCTTGGTTCTCCCGAGCTGAGTGCGAAGAAGTTCTTGACCAACTGGTTTGTCAAGCCTGAGGTCTGGGCTGAGAAAGACCAGGCTGAGGCGAAGGACGAGCCCTGGCGCCAGTTCTACGTCGGTCCTCGAGACCGTCTGTACCGCAGTGGAGATCTTGGCCGATACACCCCATCGGGTGATGTCGAGTGCTCTGGTCGTGCCGACGACCAGGTGAAGATTCGTGGTTTCCGTATCGAGCTGGGTGAGATTGACACCCATCTCTCCCGCCACCCGCTGGTCCGCGAGAACGTAACTCTCGTGCGCAGAGATAAGGATGAGGAGCCTACTTTGGTCAGTTACTTTGTGCCCGACATGGCCAAGTGGGCCTCGTGGCTGGAGAGCAAGGGTCTCACCGACGATGACACTGCCGAGGGTATGGTTGGTCTTCTGCGTCGCTTCCGTCCACTGCGTGACGATGCTCGTGAGCATCTCCGAAGCAAGCTTCCCACCTACGCGGTGCCTACCGTTATCATTCCCCTGAAGCGCATGCCTCTCAACCCCAACGGAAAGATTGATAAGCCTGCGCTTCCTTTCCCCGACACCGCGGAACTGAGTGCAGCTGCACCCCGCCGTTCCTCATCTGCGATGCAAACCCTGTCTGAAACCGAGCAAACTCTCGCTCAGGTTTGGGCCAAGCTTATCCGCAATGTGACCCCGCAAATGATTGGACCGGACGACTCCTTCTTCGACCTTGGCGGACACAGTATCCTGGCTCAGCAAATGTTCTTCGAGCTCCGCCGCAAGTGGCGTGGTATCGACATCAGCATGAACGCCATCTTCCGCAGCCCCACCCTGAAGGGCTTCGCCGGTGAGATTGATCGCCTGCTGGCTCTTGAATCCTTTGCTACAAGCGATGACAAGACTCTCGCTGGAGCTGTGCAAGCCTCTCAACCCGACGATGAATACTCCAAGGACGCTGTTAAGCTTGTCAGCGAGCTGCCTCAGTCGTTCCCCCAGCGCACGGATGCCATGCTTTCCACCGAGCCTATCGTCTTCCTGACTGGAGCCACTGGCTTTTTGGGTGCGCACATTCTTCGGGATCTCCTTACTCGTAAGGCGCCTTCCACCAAGGTTGTTGCTCTGGTCCGCGCCAAGACCGAGGAGCAGGCCCTTGAGCGTATCCGTGGCACCTGCCGTGCCTATGGCTTCTGGGATGAGGCCTGGACTGCCAAGCTGCAAGCGCTCTGTGGTGACCTTGGAAGCCCCCAGTTCGGCCTGACCCAGGCTGTGTGGGACGATCTCACCAACACTGTTGATGCTGTGATTCACAACGGAGCCCTGGTCCACTGGGTCTACCCTTACTCGACCCTTCGTCCCGCTAACGTCATGGGTACCATTGATGCTCTGAAGCTGTGCAGCGGCAAGGCGAAGCAGTTTGCTTTCGTCAGTTCTACCAGTGCTTTGGATAAGGATCACTTCGTCCAAGAGTCCGAGCGCATCATTGCCGCTGGTGGCAATGGTATCAGCGAGGAGGACGATATGGAGGGCAGCAGAGTCGGCCTTGGTACTGGTTATGGCCAGAGCAAGTGGGCTGGTGAATACCTTGTCAAGGAGGCTAGTCGCAGAGGCTTGAAGACCACTATCATCCGTTCCGGATACGTTCTTGGTGATTCTAACACAGGAGTAAGCTTTACTGCACCAACGCCATCCATTCGATATACTAACAGTCCCATCAGGTTACCAACAACGACGATTTCCTCATCCGATTCTGCCTGGGCTGCATTCAGATTAACTGCCGTCCCAACATTAACAACACAGTGAACATGGTTCCCGTTGACCATGTCTCTCGCATTGTCATTGCATGCGCCTTCAACCCTCCCCCTGCTGGCGTTGCCCACGTCACTGGACACCCTCGTCTCCGCTTCAACGAGTTCCTCGGCGCTCTTGAGCTATACGGATACAACGTTCCTCAAGTTGATTACATCCCCTGGTCCAACGCTCTCGAGCAGTATGTCAATGGCGGTGAGCACGACGACAAGAAATCCCAGCACGCTCTGTAAGTTACTTCCCTCTCACTTATGATCTTTTTGGCTACTGACTTTGACCCTCACCAGCTTGCCCTTATACCACTTCGTGACTGCCGACCTGCCCTCCAACACCAAGGCTCCCGAGCTGGACGATGTCAACGCCGCCGCTGCCCTGCGTGCGGATGCTGCCTGGTCCGGAGTCGATGCGTCCGCCGGTGCCGGCGTGACTGAGGAATTAGTCGGTCTCTATGCCTCCTACCTGGTGCAAACCGGGTTCCTGCCTTCCCCGACAATCGCTGGAGCTCGCCCATTGCCCGCTCTTGAGATCAGTGAGGAGCAGAAGAAGACCCTTTTGAGCGTTGGTGGCCGTGGTGGCACAGCATGATTTTTTTCTCTGGACATAAACCACACAAAAGTATAGATAGTTTTTCAGGAGGATTTCTCGGTGTTTAAAGCAAATTGCATTTTATTTCTTACATTAAGATTCCGGCCACAGCGTAGCCCAGAAGTATAGCGGAGCGCCGGTTGGTTAACCCCTTCCGTTCCCTTCGGACTCAACACTTTATTTTCTTTCACCCCATAGCCCCTCGTCCTTTTTCAATTTAGAAGTCTTTCCCTTGGTTTACTTTGTCAGTTCGCTTTGCTGCAATCATGTCTGCTGAAGGTACGTTAGTGTGACTGTTTTTGGCCGTTGCTTGGCAATCTTTCCCCGTCAGTTTTTTTTCCCGCTTCACCTCTCCCCCAGCAAACGCGAATATCAGCATTTAGCACCTGTCAGCTAAGACCAATTGTCTTGTTGGTCTCTTTCACGTCCCCAATTTGATTCGGTCTGCTGTGGGTGCCAAAACTGGTCATTCCGTCCACCCACTCCCCTCTTCCATTCTTTCTCTCCCATCCCCTCCCATGGCCGTCGCAAGACTCACCGCGCGATCCGGGTTCCTCGCGCGGGCAGCAGGGACAGCCCGGACCTCACCGAGCCCCCTACAAGCCCCCGTGTCTCGAGTTTCCCGCGCGATTCGCGCGACCGGACTCACACCACGCCCCGTCTCTTTCTCAACCTCCACCTCCTATTCCTGCGCCTCCAAACCCACCAGCGCCCCAACCACGGACCCCAAGTCCGAACCCCAAACTGACGCCGCGGACCACACAGATCGGTACGCAGCCGGCCTGCGCCTGAACAAAGAATGGGCCGCCCAGACCGCCCGTGATCACCCAGAACTCTTCCCAACCCTCGCAAGCGGCCAAAAGCCCCAGATCCTCTGGATCGGCTGCTCCGACTCCCGCTGTCCGGAAACTACCTTCTTGGGCCTGCACCCGGGCGATGTCTTCGTGCACCGCAATATCGCCAACGTCATGCACCCCGGCGATCTCAGCTCTTCCGCCGTCATCGAGTATGCGGTGCAGTATCTCCGCGTGAACCATGTCGTGGTTTGTGGGCATACCGCGTGCGGTGGTGTCGCTGCCGCGATGGGGAATAAGAATCTTGGAATTTTGGATCCTTGGCTTTTACCTCTGCGACAACTGCGGGAGCGTAACCTTGAATTGCTTTCGTCGATGACTGCCGACGAGGCTGCGATGAAGTTGGCGGAGCTGAATGTTCGTGAGGGGTTGAATGTTGTTAAGCAGAAGGGTGTGGTGCTGAACGCTATTCAGGAGCGTGGTCTCCAGCTTCATGGGTTGATCTATGATGTTGGCTCTGGTGTTCTGAGTGAGTTGGATACTCAGGATTCGGAGGAGGTGATTCGCGCCCGTCTGACGGCGTTCCAGACGGAATGAGTTCGCATGGAGATTGGAATTTTGCCCTCGGAGGGATAGAACATATTTTTTCCTAAATAGCCAAAATTGATGACTTGATGATAGAGAGAGAGATGAGTATAGAGAAAAACAAAAAGAGTAGAAGAAAAAAAGCAGCACGGCAGAGTGAAAGAAGACTTCATACTTAGGGGAGGGCTTTCGGCCGAAGCGATCAGCTAACGCCGAGCTTCGACCTGCGACGATGTGGAGACTTGGCAGCCAACAAGCGTGGAAGAAGGGGAAACGGCTTTCATCTGAAACATTCCAAGGTTCGTCCTTATAAGGATCACTCTTGGGTTAGAGTGACATTTCAACACTGGTTCATGCTGAGATTTGCTTGAATAATATGAGGCTGCAGTAACCTTGGAAGTCATTCTACATTACCGAACTCAACCAAGCTTGCTAGGTTTTTAATACCTAGGTATGCCTCTGTTTTCATGTTCTCGGGGCAGTTGACTTGAATAGCGAGTATGATCTCAAGAATTCTAGGTATGATTTAATTTCTTAAGGTGATCTATAGGACTCTCCCGAAGTCCTCCATGGCCCTAACAGACTGCAAGCCCGCTATTCAAGGCCTGTTTAACAACATCAGAAGATATTAATAGAGACAGGCCTTGTATTTTTGTTTTATGTGTGTTTCTCTATAGCTCTTTATACGGAGTATACCCTTTCCTATTGAGAACCACAAAGCAACCCCGATGTTATTAGGAACAGGCAGTAGTGCTTATTTGCAGTTGTGGCCACTAAACGCGATCCATGGCACAGCCTACACGTGGACCCAATCAGAGGCTGCAAATCAGATTGACTCACAGCCTTTTGAGGCTCTGAGGCTCTAGGCGGGCCCTGATTTACATTTGCATATACTCAATCAGTAGCCCGACTGCGCTGGCAGACATTGATACGTCCAGCTTTGTAGGCAACACCTGCAGTTTGGAGCTGACATGCAGTTCTGCCTTTGCGTCAAACAGCTCTCTCTGGTATAAAGATGGGTGTCGCTCTTAGTTTTACTTCCCTCCTTCTGTATCTCTCTTCTGTTCTGTTCTCTCAGAACATTCAATTTTCTCTCTCTTTCCTGTTAGTATTTGCCTGATAAATATTTTTTATCAAAATGGCGATCGTGATCACTGAGACCGGTAAGTACATCGAGTCGATACAATAAAACATAAATCTAACTTGACAGCCAAACCGGCCGAACCGGCGAAAAAGACGCGGAGGAAGAGAAGGAAGTCAACTATGAGCCCGTGGGCACTGTATGCGACTTCCGTAATCTCTACCAGACCAAACCCGACGAAGATGGAAACCGATCATGGACCAGAGATATCCCATCCGACCTGCCCGAGCCCGCGGAAGATGCAGACTCTGCCCAATACGCCCTTCTCGTCCGCAAGGAAAAGTGCTTCGATGGGCGGAAGAGTCTGTCCGTTCATTCGATTGTCGTGCAAAGTGAACATCTCAAGGGTTTCCTAGGAAAAGTACTAGACAAGTACCCAGGTGTCACGACAACTCTTGATCGTCTAGAATTCACAGCCCCCTTTCGGCCCTTCGTTCATCGATGGGAAGAGATCATCCGTCTGCGCGATGAAGAGGAAGACCCCGTTACCAAGGCCCATGTTGACCTCTTTTATCGCATCATGGATGAGGAACTACGCGACGTGATCGACCACAAAAAGGACCTGGTGGCCAACGGCGTCATCACGTACCCGCTAGCCTGGACAATCATGGAGCCCCACGACGTGGTCATCTCCTCGGTGGGAGGTCTGCTCCGTGGACATCAGTTTAGCACCATGATGCTCACCAAGTGCGGGTGGCAGCTGTACGCCGACCACATTGAGTTCGACGGAAATCGCTTTGGACATACTTCCGAGGAATTTATGATTCCCCCATTCAACGGCACCGTCCCAATCACCTCCCTCGCTATATTCCCTCTAAAGTACCACCCGGAGAAGGAAACTATTCGCGAGGTGTTGTCTGCGCGTGGAAAACGATGGGAAGAACACAAGGGGTACCACTTCAAAGCATACGACGGATCCGCTATCAGCAGAGACTACCATGAAGACGATCTGAATGCAAGAGATACCAGATACCACGTCAAAGGCCGTATCATCATCGACGCCGACGCATACAACATCTTCCATCCAAACGGCACTATCAACGTGGACAGCCATATCGACGAAGATGAATTGACCGATGCCCAGCGCCTGATCGCCTCCCCTATGGTTTACGGCTACTCGCTCAAAGACAAAGAATGGCTCATCTTCCACCTAGAGAGCTCGAATGAGATCGTCTGGGATGACCGTGCCTTCGAATCACTGGTCCTACCGAAAGAGCAGGAAGGATTAAAGGAGGTGATCTTGGGCGTTGCGAAAGCTCACTCCAAGCGATTGGACTCGTTTGACGATGTTGTCCAGGGTAAAGGCCGAGGCATCATTATGCAACTCGCCGGTCCTCCTGGTGTCGGTAAGACTCTTACAGCAGAGAGTGTCGCCGAGGTCATGAAAGTGCCTCTATATGTGATGAGTGCTGGCGACCTCGGGATGGAGGCTAGTAGTGTGGAGCGGAGTCTGAAGCAAATTTTGAAGGCGGTGCCCAGATGGGGTGCTGTTCTCTTACTCGATGAGGCGGATGTCTTTATGGAGGCTCGTGATGCGACCGATCTGGCTCGAAATGAGCTTGTGTCGATTTTCTTGAGAATGCTGGAATACTACGAGGTAAGCAAGATCAAGATGCCCTGTGTTATCTGTTTGCCTATGAATTCTGGGTTGCTTGAGCCCGTGCTCTGGACACTCCAATCAGCCAAGTAAGATGTACTGACTTCTTTCCCAGGGCATCCTCTTCTTGACCACCAACCGCGCCCAGAACATCGATCCGGCCTTTGAATCTCGTATTCATATCTCCCTCAACTACCAGGAGCTCGATACGATTTCGAGACGCCATATCTGGAGACAGTTCCTGAGCCGCTCGAGTGAAGCTTTCACTGATGAACAGATTGATCAGATGGCCGAGGTTCAATTAAATGGTCGCCAGATTAAGAATGTTATCAAGACGGCTGGTCTTCTGGCGTGGTCCAAGGAGGCTGAGCTTGGATATGAGCACCTCAAGACCGTGCTGGCTTTGCGGGATCAGTGAGGGCGAACGCGGAGCATTATCATCATGAACCTAGGTAATACATTTTTTAAAAAATTAATTGAGCCCATTTGGAGGTCTTCTTGTCTCGTTGGATTCTCTTTTGGTAGCTTGATGTAAACGCTTGGAAGTAGTAGGATACATCCAAATCCCTAATTCTCTGTCCACGGTTTAGCCAAGACTTTTTTTTCTCGCTCTTAATTACTCGATGGTGCGAAATGAAGAAAAGAAGTATTGATAGGTAGTAGATAGTTGGAAGGACAGTGAAAGAGATAGCTAAAAAGAAAATTCAACTCACTTGGGGAAACAATAGCATCGAAAAGCCCATTCGCAAATACTACCAAGTGGATAGCAAAAAGGAATCTAAAAAAAGAAAAAGCAAAAACATACAACAGGGTGAGAATGGGGTGAGAGCCCGTGAGAAGCACCCTCTGTCAAGGAAGCAGTCCTGCTTGGATGAAAGTCTGAACAGGAAGTCAGTATGTACTACAAGCAATAAAACTATAGCATGTTTCTACCAACTTGTCAATTTAATTAGGGAAAAGCTGTGTTTAATCTTGCTCCATTGTACTCCGTGGGATTGCTAGAGTCTTGACCCTCGACGTCCCAAGCCCAATCAGCGTTCAAATCAAAAGAAATATGCCTGGCCCCACCATGCATATCAAAATCTACGTGTGTCTCTCCAACTGGCACGACAGCATGCAGCGTGAAACACAGCCCCCAAGAGATACCAATCAGATGGTCGTGACTTGGATCTATGCATGGCTGAAATTGCCTTGGGCGGCTAAAAGAGGCTGAGTTCATCATAAGGCAACGGCGACCATTTGTTTTCAATTTCCCTCCTCTTTCTCGCTGAATTTTATCAAAGTTTCTTTACTATTCATTTGATTGAAAGGTTACCACTAGGAAATCCGCCATGGGCGACCCACTTTCACTTGCCGGAACTGCAGTCGGCATTGTCTCGCTGGGCTTGTCCGTTTGCCAAGGCATTTTCTCATATTGCAGTTGCTTCCGTGACTGTCCAAAAGAAACAAAGAATATGCTGCAGAAGCTTGAAGGCCTAAAGAATGTTCTTGAAGTTCTTGAAGATGTCTTTCGAAGTCATGAGAATCTGCGAACAGAAACTCCCGCTGTGAAGGCTGCTAAGCGCCATATTCTAGCCTGTGAAAATGGCCTGTTGCAATTGAAAGATATCCTGGACAAGTACAAGGCAACACCAATTGATTTGAAGCGAGACTTGATCAACAGGGCGGCATACCCTTTCAAGCGCGATACGATCAGAGCGATTCTGGAGCATCTTGAGAGCCTGCAGTCAAACCTGGACACCTCCATCGCTGTTCTACAGTTGCAAGTTTGACCTTTCTTCCCTATTCACACGTTTGCAATTCTAATAAGTGACCAGATCTGTCTCCTCCGAAAATTCAGAGAAGACAGCACTATTATATGGTACTACACGGCAGATTTTCACTGAATCGACAGGGATGCATAGCCACATCGAAAGCATTGATCAGACCCAGCAAGCCATGAATTTGAGCATTTCAGGGATCGAGCAACAACTTGCGTTTATAGTAAGACTCTCCAACTTCTTGATATTGCACTCGAACTGAATGAAAGAGAGTAGTCTCTCCATTTCAGCCAGCAAAACAGACTACTTTCTGATTCTGCGGAGCCGGACCCATCACGCGATAATCATGAGATTCTCACTCGGTCTACAGTGTCTTTGATAGATACCCAAGGGATGTCTAGTAGTCGACCCCAGAGATCGAAATGCTCTTGCTCGTCATTGCCGAGACCTTCTAGAGCAAGAAAGGGGTTTATCGTATCAATCTGGCACTCACCCCATACGTTCGGATGTCCTCTTTATTTCCACGAGGAGAAATCAATTTTCGAAAGGCGGTTGAAGTTTAACAACCTTCTTTTTGGCACCTCTGTTCATTTTTGTCTCAAGAGCATCAGAAAGGCTGGGGGTATACAATCTTCCCATCTTTGACCTTTTGTCCGATAGTCGATGAGAGAAAATCACCAGCTTTCCGGCTCGTCTATAAAGCAAGACTCGAGGTCTTGAAACAGAAAGGCACTCAACCGGACCTCATTAGGAATCTGATCAATCAACTACGGTCCATATACGCGCAAGGCTCAGCTTCACCCAGAGACATTACTCCTTCGGGAGAAAATATTCTCCATGTCAGTGGAGAAATTGAAAGAGTGGAAGACAGTTCCATAGCGCTGACAAATACAATAGACAGTTCTATTATTCCTGGACTTTCTTCCCGAGGGGACGATGCCAGATTTCCGTGACCTGGTCAAGCATCTTGTCGAATTCGGTGTTCCATTAAATGAAGCACCCTCATGGGGAGGTGCATTAAACACCCTTCTGATTCAAGGGAGCGATCTCTTCAACAGAGCATCGGAGCTCACTCAAGATCAATTGGTGTTCCTGGTCTCCGATCTTGTGGACCGTGGCGCAGATTTGACACAAAGGATTAGTCAGACCACCATCACTCCGTGGTTCAATTTTTGTGAGACCATGGAGGACCAAGTGCTAGAAATGCATTGCTCCAGCAGTTTTCTTTACGCTGTGACAAGGCGAAATATATATGACGGTATGTCCCTATTCTTATGCGAAATCCCGAGGTCTTACTTTTCTGTTCTGCAATTGGTGGATCAGCTGAGAGTGAGAACTAATCAAAGCCGAACATCCAGAATTTCACTCGTCTAATCTAGAGAGGTGCATTATATCAAGATCAGAAGTGGATTTGCAAGAATATATCTCACTGCAAACACCCATCGAGGACCCTGCAGATAAGCAATATCTTGCAGAACTCTGCATTGGGTGGCCACAAGGGCTTCGCATATTTTTGAGATCTGGCTATGATCTGAACAGAAACAAGCTTCTATCCTACGCCATCAGATCCCGCTGTTGTGAATCAGTTCAAGTGCTATTGAACGACAACGATACAGTCATAGGCGTGGATCATGTTCAAATTGCACACGAAATTGCAAACTCTGAGATTTTCAGATCAATGATACATTCTTTGGCCGAAAGAAGAAAAACGCTCCAAGATCTAGCCGAGAGACATTTACCAGATCACTTACAAGCCCGACTGTACTTACCAAAGCAGGGTGTCCTTGACACTAATGCTATACATGTTTACACCAAGCTCCAAGCATCTGGTGTTCATATGGATCCATGCTTGAAGGTCTCTCGATCCTTGGTCTCTGTGTACGACTGTATTTATCATGATGTTGATGCTGCAAAAATTGTTTTTGAAGCAGGTTTCCAGGATTTGGAAGTGGAAGAAGAACGAACAGAGTACCACAAAGGGCTGACTACGCTGATGCGACTTGCCAGATACACTGGATGGCTTACACCCGTTCGAAAAGTACTTGAAACTATGCTTTTCCTTATTTCTAAAGGGGCTGATCCTGATAGAAGACGACGCGGAGATTGCCGTACGGCAATGCACTTCCTTGGAACCGGTGTTTTATTACTTTTGCTTCGGATCACGTTCCAGAAATTTGGGGCGGTGGGGTATCTCTGTCCCCAGTGGGATATGCTTATCCCATCAAAGAAGCTGGAAGCACTAGCCGAAATTTTGGATCAAGAATTGTCTCCGTTGAACCACAGAAGCTGGTCTCTTTTGGAACATTTGTTCGTAAATTGCCACAATGATGCATGTTCGTGTGCATGCTCATCACAGGGGTGTCTTCCAAGCACATGCTTCTTTCGGAAACTGGTTGCAGAGTTGGGCTCTTCGCTCAGTATTCAAGCCATCTATGAAGTAATTCAATTTCTCAGCAAGCGGTGGGAAGCTGGATCAGTCAAAGACTTGAATGATACACTGGCCCCAACCGTCTTCCGTATCTGCATCTTTGAGCACTTGGAACTCACCCACACATGCTGTCAGATGGACGATGAACTCTATAGGTTGGAGGAGGCCAAACGCGCAGAGATACGAGATGACATTCCACGCATTCTTGACGAACAGAGGTTCTTGATTGAACAAGTTGAGAACCAGACTGCTTTCTTTTTGTCAAAGTACCATGAGATGGACCTGGGGCTACCAGAATTTCTACTCGAATACTTGTTCGTCGAGATTAGGAAGGACCCCAAGGCAGGCGATGAGACAAAGATGCGGGAATATGAGCAGGAAGTGGGCGAAATCAGGCGTCTTGGTGTTGTGTTAGATGAATCGTGTACATAGGCAAATACATTGTCTTGCTAAGCGAGCCCAGACCTCGTTCGGCTCTTCCCAAAGTACCAACCTAGTCTTTCAGAAATCTTTTTCCAATGTTCCAAGGTTTGCATCTTATTATAATTCTGATTGTTATGTTTCTGCATCCGCCCTGGTTGCAGTTTCAGCAAGAAATCCCATCCAAAAAAAGAATAACTTATATTAGTGAGGATTGGCCGACGGTCACTGACTCAACTACCAACTCACCAGCGTATAGTTTAAACGAGAACGGTTTTCCTGCCGTGTTGAATTCTCTTTTAGTAGCTTGATCAAAGATTCTACAGGTAAAGCAAAATAGCAGAGTATGATAGTAAGTATAAGCAGTAGTATTAGTGCCAACGTGGAATAAATGGCCAACAAACGCGGGACTCAAATTTCCGATCGGAACAGGAAACCAACGCATCGACTTGACACAACATGCAATTTAGGTGATACGTATACGCAGCCCTGATATCCGAGTACGAGAGGCAACAGCGAAAACCCTCCGCCAAGACTTCCCCCAAGACTTCCCCCGAACACTTCAAGCGCTTGGGAGTTATGCTCACTAATGCAACCCCAAGATGCCTGCACTAACAGCCATTGGGATCTCATCATTCCGTTTTCCGTTCTCCGTTCTCCGTACTTCGCACAGGGCTGCAGACCCCCCTGTCTCGGGCCCACTTAAACCCGACACGCTGAACATGTTTGAGAACGCGGGTACGAGAGGCAATGGACAGCGTAAGGCTGTGTCGATCCGCGGAACCGCCGATCATCGAGGTACGGAGTACGGAGTACGAAGTACGAAGTACAGAGAGTCCCGCCAGAGAAGGACTCCATCTCAGGTCTCCCATGGAGCGAGGCCGGAAGTTTCCAAGAACACATGAGCCCCTGATTCTGTTGGGCGCCACTGTCTTGGCTAGTGCAGCCGCCAGACCCGGCGCACGATCCGACAGAACTAATTGGCAATTATGATCCGCCCTACAGACATGGCACAACTCCGAAATGCTGTGGAGCACACGAGCAGTCGATTTCTGCTGTCCTTTTCTCATCTCCCCCCTTTCACTTTCTTTTCCTCCATCCAGGTACGGAGTACGGGATACGGAGTAGCGCGCCTTGAATGAAGTATCTGATGGTCGGTGTTTGTGGACCATTATGATCGTTCCTCGTTTCCACCAGCCGCAGCGATTGATTTTGTCTGTTTTGGTGCTGTCCGGGGTGTGTTCCAAGCTGCTGCATATATATCAACACCGCTCTTTGCCCCTACCGCTACTGGCACTATATCTTCCCACTTTTTTTATTCAAGAGATCCTGCTGTTCGTCACCGTATGGATTCTTCTTTATACTACGACCGGTCGGTGGTCGGTGGCCGCCGTCATCGGATCGGCATTTATCGCGTTGGTGGCCATCCTTATCGGGATATCGCGACAAAAGTAATATTGACTTTTTCCGCAGATGCACCGATCTTCTAGCAACCTCGTCGCAAGTCAGCTTTTACTCTCAGACCGGAAGTGAGATTCGATGGGACGCAGCCAGATCTGTGGGTGCCAGCCGACAAGGAATGAACTTGATTTTGAGCGGACTGGCACCCATGGTGGCTACGGCGACGGTCATCTCAGTGGCCTCTTGGCTAGCAGCCCAGGGGATCTGGAATGTCATGACTCGCTGGCTGTGCTCACTTGGCCATCTCGGCGACACAAAGATGTATCATCAACTGCCGGGGCCGTCGGATCTGAGAAGTCTAGTGTCTAACAAGTCGAGGTTGTGGACGCTCGTCGCTAGTGCGGTCACTCTTGGACTTTGGTTGGTGAGGCCTGCTGTGCCGTACAATCATATGACCGGAGCCCTACCGTTTACCATGCTGGGCGAGCACTCCCGGGCCCGTCGGATTGCGGTCGAATCTTTCCCGCTGCCCGGATTGATGGCGGAGGAATTTCGGGAGCCCGCGCGCGACCACTATAGAGGGTGGGCACCTACGATGGATGACTTCGGGAATACTGGATATGGTAATGAGAAGCCATCATGGGCGCAGGGTCCTCTGCCTGCGGCCTTTGAGAGATGGATGGTGAGCGCCGAAGCAGGGGGCGCGGCAAACACGATATCGACAAACGGAAGTGTGACTGAGACAACGGAAGTCAATTATGAACTCGACGGTCAGAATAAAACCGCTGAGCCACGGCACTATTTTTATAATCCTGCGCAGGATCCGATGCGAATAACCAATCTTGATTTGGAGCCTCTCGCTCCTTTGCAGGAAGCCTTGAAAGATCATGCCATCCCTATCAACCACATTGTGTTTGTCTTTTTGGAAAGCGGCAGGAAAGACCTGTTCCCTTTGAAAAATACATCGCGGCTTTACAACCAGATCCGCGAAACTTACGAGATCTACGGAGAAGAAGATGAGGCCGATCTACATGACAAGCTCGCCGAGATCACCCCCATAGCAGAAATGCTAACGGGTGAAGACTCAGGCTTCGGTTCGTCCGTCGACTCTACCAACTCAGAAATGGGTGGTATTAGCTTCGACGGGATCCTGTCGGGGAGCAGTCTGTCGGCCAAATCGCGTCTCGTTAACTATTGCGGCCTTGGTCCGTTGCCCGTCGATTTCATGCACGAAAATGATATCATTCCGTATCAACCGTGCTTGATGCACATTTTGGATCTGTTCAACAAGCGCAAAAACTCTTCTCCATCGGAGAATGCTACGAGTGATCCGCTCGAACGCGAGTGGGAAACTATCTATGCGCAGTCTGTCACTGGAGAGTTCCAGGAACAGACTCGGCTCATTGACTTGCTGGGATTCAACCAGTCCCTATACTCTGAGGATATTGATATGGAAAACTCGACATATTATCACGAAGGAATGGAGAAGATCAATTACTTCGGGTAGGTTTTTGAAGGACTATATGTCAAGCTTGCTTGGGGCTGAAGCTAATTTGACTGATGCAGTTATGCCGAGACTGAGGCCCGCCCCTACATCAAAGACATGATTGATGAGACCCTTCGCCAGAACAAGAGATTGTTCCTTTCCCACTTTACCAGTACTACGCATCATCCGTGGGGTACACCGGAAGGGTTCCACCGCGAGGAATACTTCGGCGAGCTTCACAAATCCCAACACGAGCACATGGATGGCTTCCTCAACGCGAACCGCTTCGTCGATACCTGGCTGGGCGACCTGATGAAATTGCTCAGCGACGCCGGTATCGCCGACGAGACCTTGACCGTCTTTGTCGGAGACCAGTACGTATACTCCCTTCCAGTCCCTACGCCCAATCCTAACCACCGAATAGCGACCAAGCCTTCAGCGAAGACTGCCCCGTCACAGGAACTTACCACAACCCACACATCAGCAACCTCCGCGTTCCCCTCCTATTCCACCACCCCCTCCTCCCCCGCATGCATCTCAACGTCAACGGCAGTGCCGTCTCCATCCTCCCCACCATCCTCGACCTCCTCGTCAACACCAACTCCCTCAACCCAGACGACACAGACATCGCCCTCGACCTCATGAACGAGTACGAAGGCCAGTCCCTCATTCGACCCTACCGCACCTCCCACCACGGCCGTGAAGCCTGGAACATGGCCGTCATCAACGCAGGTGGTTCCATGCTAAGCATCGGCTCCGCAGCCGTTCCCTGGCGTCTCAACCTCCCTCTTAATAATGACTTTGAGTACCGCTTCACTCACCTCGATAAAGATCCGTATGAGCTGGATCCTATCTCGGGTTGGACTATGAGTGCCCTCGCTGCGGAGGTCCACTCGCGCCATGGCCCTGAGGCATTCGAGTGGGCGCAGAAGGCTGAAAAAGTTGGTTTGTGGTGGGTGATGGAACGGAAGAAACTTTGGAACTATCGTGATCCCGAGTAAGGGTAGATTCTCTTGCCTGGATTTTCTTTTTCGTCTTGGGTCTTGGGTTTTGTTTTAAGCGGGTGATTTTCATCTGGTTTGTTTTGGGGGCTCTGCATTGCATTCCGGGTGTTTGTGTTTTTCTTTACTCTGTACATTCTTTTTCATTAATTGGATATTTTGTATATACATATCTCAAGTGTCAATGCCTCTTCGCTATAACCATAGCATTGGTATACCTCGTACTCGTAACCCCGGGATGTTGGGCTATGATGTCATTTTGCGACCGTATACAAATGAACATTTCTTACTCTGTACTCCCAGTTTATATAAAACACAAAGATGGCTCTCAATATCACCAGAAGTTTACCAATTATAAGTCTTGTAGTGTATATAGTTATTACTGTATGGAGTAGGGCACAAAGAGGCGACTGCTGACGAGGCACGGGACTATCAGCGGCCTGACGGGACGAAGCACCACTTTTTCCCTTTCGTTTCAAGCCCCCTTCCCTGCATGAGACCCAATGATATTCGCCGTCACCTCTACAATTGGCCCCACGGGGCATGCCTCTGATCCGCAGCGGTCTTGCCTGTCTAGGCCCTTGCGGCCTCATTTTCCTTTCCTCACACACTCCTTTGAAAATGCTGTTCCCCAGCATCGCGCTGTTATGGCTGTGCCAGACAGTGCTGGCACAATATTCCAGCGATGATCTCATGTCCTTCGTTACAGTCCGTTCCACCCATACAACAGGCCCATACCCGCTCCGCGCCAGCGCTAACGCTAACGTGTTCAGCTCCCCGACGTCAGGGCTGTCAAGTTCAACGTTCACAACCACAATCCCGATCGCATTAGCCCCGGCTACTGGTTCATCACTCCTTACCTACACATCGAGCCCGATGCGCCTTCAAGTCTATACGAGCAATACCAAATTGGCCCCCATATCTACGATGGGGAAGGGGTGCGTTTCCTTTTACCCCCGCGACACATCCCAGCTGACCGTGCGGAATAATAGCGCCTGATTTGGAGCGGTGCCCAGGAATTCGATAATCGCAATGCTTTCGATTTCAAAGTCGTTAACGGCCTGTCCTCCGATCCCCAACTCTCGTTCATTTTGAATCATGCCTATGATGGCGCCGAGGACACTGGGTATGGCATGATCTTGACGAATGATTACAAGGTGCAGCGGAAGTTGCCTCTGCGACGTGATTTGGGAATTTTCGATATTCATGAGTTCAAGATTCGTGAGGATGGCAAAACTGCGCTGGTCACGGTCTACCTTTCTCATGAAATTGGCTTGCAAGACTTTGGCCGGCCTGCGGAAACTACTTGGTTGGAAAGTGGTGGCTTCGCTGAACTTGATATCAACACCGCTGAGATCATTCAGTGGTGGGACTCCCACAACCGCATCCCTCTCCCTGAGGGTGTCCATTATACACCAAGTTCGCCGGTGGAGGGATTCCCAGGCTGGGATTATGTGCATATCAACTCGGTTGATAAGAACGCGGCGGGTGATTACTTGATCTCTGCGCGATTCACTAATACCATCTATTTAATTTCCGGCATCGATGGAAACATCATGTGGCGACTGGGTGGAAAGTATACTGATTTCCAGCAAGATTTCGTATTCTCGAAACAGCACGATGCGAAGTTTGTGGAGTCCAATGGCACGCACCATATTATCTCTTTCTTGAACAACGCATCGGATGAGGAGTTCAACGAGGAGAACGTGTCTTCGTCACTCTTCGTCGAGTTAGACACCAGCGTCACACCTTTCACTGCGCGCGCTATTCGCCGCTACAACCGCCCCGACCGAGATCTGTCGAGACTTCGCGGAAACACTCAACTACTCCCCGACGACCATGTCTTCACCTGCTGGAGCAAAGGCGGCTACATCTCCGAACACACTGCGGAAGGAGAGGTCGTGATGGAGGCCAACTTCACCTCCCCGCGCTACTCTTCCTACCGTGCCTACAAATTCGAATTCACCGGACGCCCGAGCACACCACCCGACATGGTCGCCTCCGTCTTCGGCACCGACGAAACGAACATGGTGACGACATTCTGGGTCAGCTGGAACGGAGCCACGGACGTCGCCGAGTGGCATTTCTATGCCCAAGCCTCTGATTTCCACGCCCCCGTCTTCATCGGCAAGGTGCCCCGCGTTGATTTCGAAACCATGTTCATTGGCGCTGGATACTTGGACTGGGTGACCGCCAAAGCAGTAGATGCCAACGGCACCGTTCTCGGCACCTCCGAAGTGCAGCGTAGCAATCACCCGGACTGGAAATCCAGTGGATACAGGGGCTATGGCACCCCTCAGCCCATCAATCCGTCCACCCTATATCAAGGCGCGGACTCTGTCGGCGACTCAATGGCCGACCAAGGTGGTCGCGCCTCGTCCGCGGCCATCGATACCCAAACTCAAAAGACCATCTCGGTCATGAACCATACCTACGAGACTATCCGCAGTATTGGCGCTGCTTTCTCGTTCATCCTTTTGCTTTGTCTCTTCTGCGGTGTTGTTGCCAGCTATCTGGTCATCCGTGGGTGGCGTGTGCGATTGTACCAGCGTCTGGGCATGGAGTCCGGGCTCGCTGAGGAGAGGGCACGTCTCAGTCCGCATGAAGATTAAGATGGTCTTTCTGCAAAGCTCTTCAAGCATATATTCATTATTCATTTGATGGAGTTGTGGATATTTTAATGTCTGGTTGTTGGGTGAAACCAGCCCTTTGTGTACATATAACTTGCTGGTTTCGTCAATTACCTAGCCATCCCTGTCTACAGGCGTGGCTAAACTATTCAGGTTCATAAATTGAGAGAACATATTGCATTAACAATCTTGGCAAACTTGAAACATGGTAGTGGTACACTCGGTGCGAAGTGTCAAGGATTCTAATAAGACTAATTCCAGCACACCCCATGTAGATATTGAGACCTCGGGATAGTAAAGTGCTTACATACAGTCCTACCTAGTTCATCACAAGGCGCTAGAGGATCGGCGCCCTCCGAAGAAAATTAGTGTCTAATTTGTTAGGCTCTGCATCTTCACCCTAACATTGACTACACTTCCTTGTCACCCAGCTCCCTATGCTCGTGCACCGCGTCCTTACACCCCAGATGTATCTCCATTGAAGAACACATTTCCCCGAAAATGCCCATGAGGCCTAGCTGCATCGGGACAAACTTTGGCAGATCAACTGATCGGGTCCATGAGCCTCAGACCAAGCTTTGACGGGCCAGTCACCATCTGAGACATTTCCAGAGCATTCTCACGATAAACGCGACCAGAGGCCCCGCTGTCAAACGCTCGGTGTCGGGGATCAATGCATCAGCCCCTGTGGTCCTCGAATCGCTAGGCTCAGAGCAACTGCACCACTGCGTCACTATGTGAGAATACGAGCCTGGCACAGGCGGTATAGAAGCTGGGAATAAAGTCAATTCATTCCCTTTCCCGCTTTGTCTCCCAACGTGAATTATGTGCGGCTCGGTTGGACGCGGAGATTTTTTTTCGCAACGCAATCTTGCCCCCACACCGGAGCTTATCCCAAGCTTGGTGATAGTACGGAGCGTCACGAGATGAAGACAAGATAGTTTCTCTTGGGAATTCTGTCTAAGGCTCTTGTAGTTCAAGTGTCGGAGTATCAGTTCCGGGGCGTCCGGTGCAATTGGCACTGGGCAGAGTGATGGGCGCAACACACTGATATTGTCTCACAGCACTGTGGGAGCTCAGGATCTTTTACTCCAAAAAAAGCAGAGACATACCCCTCATCTCCCCTCACAATTTGACCCACAGATGGCCTCGAACCAGAATTGAATGGAGCGCAAGGGGTGTCCCAAGGGAATCCTTGACACATCTCGGGAATAAACGTGGCAATATTCCCGAGAAAATTATTCCCGAAGATTCTTTCCCGTTTATAATTAGAAGGTGACTCAACGACGGTTTTTCTTTGTTTTGTTAATCAGTTCAGTGTGCAGAGTGCAGAGTACTGGGAATACAATCACAATTACAATCAAAATGCCAGCAACAAGCTTGTGCCAAGAAGAGGACTGTCCTCCATACAGCCTCATGGATGATTACAGCGAAGGAGCCCACCCATCAATCCTCGAGGCTCTCCTGCGCACAAATTCCACACAGCAAGCCACATACGGAACCGATGAGTTCAGCATTGCTGCTCGCCAATTAATCCGGAATAAGATCGGCTGTGCCGAAGACGATGCAGATATCTTCTTCGTGCCCAGCGGCACATCCGCAAACCTTATCTCAATCGCCAGCTGCCTCCGGCCCTACGAGGCCGTCATCACCCTCGAGTCCGGCCACATCGCCTGCAAAGAAGCCGGTGCCATCGAAGCAACCGGCCACAAGCTGATCTTGGTGCCTCCCGTTGACGGCAAGATGACACCTACGAATCTTCAAAAGGCAATTCAACAAAACCAATTCTTCCCTCATATGGCCAAGCCCCGCCTTCTTTATATCTCTCATGCCTCGGAAACCGGAACCGTATACACGAAACGTGAGCTCACTGCCCTCTCGGCAATTTGCAAGCAATCGAATCTGCTGCTTCTCATGGACGGAGCACGAATCGGCACAGCCCTCGCCTCAAAAAAGAATGATCTCACACTCGGAGATATCTTCGATATGACCGATATTTTCTGGATCGGAGGCACAAAAGCCGGTGCCCTGATGGGAGAGGCGATCGTCGTCAAAAAGGCACTTGCCGATGGCTTTGTCTTCCACCTCAAGCAACACGGCGCTTTACTAGCGAAGGGTCGAATCCTCGGTGTTCAGTTCATGGAGCTCTTCCGATCAGATTTATTCTTCCAGCTGGCAACACATGCCAATGAAATGGCACAGAGTATCTCAATCAATTTCGAGAAACTGGGTTATAGATTGGCTGCAGAGACGGAGACAAATCAGGTTTTTGTTATTCTTCCACAGCAATTGGTTCGGAGACTGCAGGACAGATTCCGGTTTTATGTTTGGGAGCAACTTGATGACGGAAACTCCGTGGTTCGGCTTGTCACGTCTTGGGCTACGGATGAATTGGAGATTAACAAGTTTAATGCTTGGGTGCAGCAGTGGACTATCGCGGCCAATTGATTTGGCACTGCGAATGATATCTCAGGGTATTGAGATCAACATGGTTAATGTTAGAATTATAATATAATAATGACAATTTTCGAGGTATAAGAAATCTATTTTCTGCTCCTGAACATGTCAGTCAGACTCAGACCCTGAGTCCGGAGAGAAGAATCCCGGCAACTGCTGAACCGTAGACAGCCACCATCGAGTTCTTCTGAATATAAACCACAATGGACTTGTCTACTACTATGTGTGGCTCATCAGATGTCAATCGAATTCTTTAAATGATCCTCTACTCACCATGCTAAAATGTTAGTGCTAATTCTTTCAAGAAAAAAAGACATTGTTCGATGAATCACATGACCGGCCCAAAACGGAGTAAGTTTATATGTCCAACTCTCCCGACGTCTCAATTCGCCTAATGCCATCGAGCTATTAGTTCAGATTTCAAAGCCATGCAAAGCATAATTGCGCTTCTACGTTGATCCGAAGAGTCGATTTCAATATGCCCCACACTTTCTGACAGCCATTTCTCCCACTCCAACCCGTCCCACTCCGGGGTAAACTAACGCTCGATGAGGCTATCCATATCGTGCGATGCCTGTCGGTAAGCTTTCATCAAGCACCGCAGATAGATTTACTTGAGTTAATCACATTCACAGGCAAGCAAAGGTCAAGTGTGTTCATGAAGGGCAACCGCCCTGCCAACGGTGCTCAAAAAGTCAGATCAAGAATTGCAGCCTGACAGACCCCCGAGCCTCAAAGCCCAGAGCTCGGAGAAGCACTGCCCCAATCAAGTCTCCCAAAAAGCGAAAGGCGTCATCAGATGTATCGCCGGGGCCAGAAATTGCGAAAGGCCGCGTTTCGGGAAACCCCCTTGAACCTCGATGTACCGAAAACCCCATGCTAGCTTTGTCTCCAGCTGTTGTGGTCAACGCAGTCGAGACATACAGGAAAAAGTTTCCAATCACGAACTTTCTTCACTATCCCACCTTGATCTCTGATATATCGTCTGATGTCCACTCCGTGGACTCGGTCTTTGTCGCCTCGCTTCTGTCTCTATGTGTGCGGTTCATGACCAGTGAAGAGCTTGAAGCGGAGGAAGTCTATGCGGACTATGCACGCAAGCATCTTGCTCATCGTGTGCTTGAGGCTCCATCTCTCTACCTTGCTCAGTCTCTCGTAATGATCTCATTCTATGAATGGGGGACTGGGCGACCTTACCAGGCCTGGATGTACAGCGGTATGCAATAAACCCCTTCTAGTTATCACGGGCCCGCATTGACATTTTCAGGAATGGCAACGTACATGATTCAATCACTGTTGAAAATGTCAGACGATAGCATGGAGCACAATCCACAAGAATTCCATGCTTCGCAAACACAATACGAGCAGTTGGTCCGGACCTACTGGTGTTGCTTTGCGCAAGACTGTGAATTGAGCTCTGGAGCTCGTCAACATTTTGCGCTTTCGTTCTCTCAGATTTCTGTCCCTCTCCCCATCAGCGATCGGGATTTTACTTTTAATCACACACCAGCTCATAGGCTGATGCCTGCAGATATGAACAAGAATTGCCTTTTAGCGAATGGTCTGACTATAGAGCATGGTCTCACAATTGTGACTCGGGGTTTCGACATCTTCATTCGAATTCTGCGATTCGCCAATGAACACCGAAGATCTCTGGTTTCTTTGTCATCGAACGGCTCCGTGACTCCGCCGCTCCTGGTGAACTGGCAGAGACTCAAAGAGGAGTTGGATGAGTGGAGGTCGCTACAGGATATCACTGTTCATTATCCGGCTACCAGTGTTCAGACTCACGTTGCACTCGGGTATGGCGAACTGTTTGCATACATTAACTTGGTTCATTGCATGAGGTATGTTCTTCAAGATCTTGTATTCTGATATGTACTGACGGATTGGTAGCATTCTATTCCTACACCGCGACCGCTTTTTATCCAACCTAAAGCCTCATTCGGATGTCTTTCATGAAATGAACGATGCACAAGGTGAACCGCATACAATCGAGCAACTCTTCAAAGCAGCACAACAGATCGGAACTATTCTTACCGCACTAGACGCCTCCGGCGCGCCAGTCATGTCACCGTACTCCGGCTTCAGTGTCTTTGTCGCCGCACACATCAACATGTACGGAACGATTGTTCCACACAGATACCCAGGAGGTCTCGAGAGGGCCGAAGAAGAAAAAGGCAGAAACCTAGTCTACCTAGAACGACTAAGTAAGCTATGGCCTGTAGGTCGCAGCTGGGTGAGTACTCGAATTCCACATGTCAATACCAACACCACTGACGATCTTCAGTGGCGAACGGTCCAAGACGCAAATCGCTTCTACGAGACAGTGAAGAGCACCCAGACCCACGCAGAGTCCGAGATCCATAGTCCTCGTGGTTTCGCTCTTGCCGGTACCTTGGATGAATATGGCGACATTAGGTCGAGACCCAGCGCGAGAGCTGCGACTGCCGAGTCGCGCGATACGCACAGCTCGCATGCAGGGGCTTCGTCGCCTGGTCTGGAGACTAGCTTTCCTCGGGATGCTGTTGCCGGTCATGAAATTGAGACTGATATGTTCCAGTGGCCGTTCATTGATGGGTCGTGGTCGCTTGGGTTTGACGCGGGGTTGGATGGACTGTGGTCAAATTCTGGGCTGTTTGATCCAAATCCATCACTGCGATGAGCCTTGGAGTATGTCTGAGCATGGGGAAGATCTGGAAATTGGTCCACGGGTGTTATCCACCTGGACAATCACTTGAAATTTTTAATATATATTTTGACACCCTGCAGGGCTTTGAATTATCATCGGCCCCCAATAAATATAGTGATGAATAGCATCATCTCCGACCGGCTACAAGCCATTATCCTAATCGGGATATAGTACTAGTAAGCCCAGGTGTAGCCATCCGCAGCTGTCCGCAGCTGCCAAACGTCAGCACGAGTGGATCGGGCCAAACCTTCGAATCCATCTCACCTCGGGAGCGCCTCAGCGGGCCACCCGACATAGCCGCAACCTTGGAAAATAAGCATAACGAATAATGTTTACTGCATAAATCTTCCCAGCATCTACCAAATTGTAGGTTCCAAGGTTTCAGGCCATTGCCCTCGACACGAGTATTCAGGAGGCTGACTTGGAAGTGCAAGACGTCATAGATATAGGGATCGGCAATCTGCGATCCTTCAGGATCAGGAAGCTTTCCCGGAAAACTAGTCTGCAGCATTCTGCGAACCGCTCGGGGAAGTTCCGATGGAATTCCAGGGCTGGGAATGTCTTGCAGAACCATGTGTTTATGGGAGGTCTTTTTTGTCTGCAAGTAAGCTGCAAGTAAGTATGGAAGTTTTTGCAGATGTTAGATTTGCTCCTTAATTTTTAGTGTAAATTGGACATCGAGTCTGTCCAGCTTATTATAGCACAAAATGCCCAAATCTTCCATCAACCAGCCAAGTGGCCGAGCAGTAACTCAGCCATCTCATCTTCCTTGGTCTAGTGGTGATGATTTCCGCTTGTCATTAACACCGATAAGCGCGGGAGACCGGGGTTCGATTCCCCGAGGGAGAGATTTTTTTTGACCTGCTTTTTGGTTTTTGATGTGGCCTATTTTGAGATCTTTGACAGTGTGTGTGTGGCGTGAGGACCTCGGGAAGATTGCCCCTGGAACGGTGGAACGATGAAACGATTGGCCCAAAGCAAACTGGATATGTCAACCGCGCAGATCTTTTGTACTCTGATTGGTCGGAAGTTTACAGATCTTACATGTCAGATCTAGAGTTGGCCCCCAAGCTAATAAATTGACTGCTTTTTGAGAAGTCGATCAGCTCGTGTGATCTACTATTGTACGAAGTATTCGGTCTAAAGTTTATTTTTACAGGGATTACAATTGACGCAAGGTTTGTATAGAGTATAGAGAGTAGTACGGAGTACGGAGTAGATCGATTCTTTGTTACTGTCTACCCAAATCAAACAAATCAAAAACTATTGACGGCCACAAACTCAACTGGTATGATCCATCAAAGACGGAGGTTAGTCTCCAGCGTGCTAGCAATGCCCTGTAGGTCCCGGATGATGCCATCCTCGTTCAAATGGGCGCCCTGATCGGCTAGATTCAGCATAGTGTGGATCGTTTGCTATAGAAAAAGTTTTCGAAGCGGGCATTTTCTCTGCTACTGTTCTTGGCCCAAAAATTGGGGTTGCGGGCGATGACCGTGCTGCCTGGGTCATTCTTAACCATGTTGTTAGCTAGTCTGACGATCGTGTCCACTTGAGTGAAGGCTCGGTTCATCTCCCGGGCCAGGTCTCCGACGACCCTCCTGCTGAGCGGCTTCGGGGCGGACTCTAGCTCGCTGGCTTGGATTTGGAGGGAGGCTTTGAAGTCGCGGCATTCGCGAAGGAATAGCTCTTGGGGGCAGTATCTGGGCATATTTGCGATTGGTTGCGATTTGGGTTGTTTGCTTAGTTTCGAGTGTAATTGTGTTATCGATGGTAGCTGGTGAATAGATGGTGGGTGATAGATTCGAGGGTACAGCAGGGCCTCGGGGCTTTTATATTCATGTCCAGCATCACAGAAGCCAGAGGGCGATCAGGACGAGAAAGAGATGCAAGAGCCTTGGAAGTCGATGTACACTCTTTGGTTATTTAAAGACCAAAGGACATTGGAGGTGCGGTTGCATCTTTCACTTAGCCGGCCCGGGAGACCAACAAAGGGAGCGCCGCGAGAGATAAAGATATCGTAGCTGCAGACCAGGTTCCTTTGCATGTTGTGATGTAAAAAAAATCAAAGAACAGCCTAGACAAAGACAAGTCAGTTTACAAGGGTGGAAGGCTTACGACCAATGTTTTGACACAGAAGGAAATATTCATTATAGTTATGATAGTGGGTATAGACAATCTACAAATAGACGCGCGACCTCATGTTATGAGGACTCGACGGTCTGTGACACAGCGACAGTCTTCCTGATTCCATCGTGGTTGTAGATGGACTCAGCACTCTCTGCCTCCGGCGCACCGGCGAACGAGATCAAATGGCTCTGATCGCCAAAGCTCGTTGCCTTATCCCACTCCGAAGCGGCCTTCGAAGTAGCACCCGTCTTTCTCTCGCTGAGTGGAACGTTCGAGCCGTTCTGGTAGTACTTTTGCGAGGAGTACTCCTTCTTGTAGTACGCCAGCAAGACGTTGAGAACAGGTAGGCAGGCACAAATCAATCCCATACCACCCTCGGCGTTTCTAGCAGATGTTAGTAACCTTGAAATTATTTTGCAGATCATGTTTTCAATCACATACCCAGACAAAATGACACAGATAAACACGATGCTCTGATCGGGTGAGTTACCCTTGCTCAGCACCAGAACCAATCGGTACAGACTGAATCCCGTAGCAAGACCACCAGCACCCAGCAGACCCATAACACGGAGCTTTCGATTGCGGGACATTTGAAGAGACCAGGTCAATGGCAGGGGGAGAATGAGGATGATGATATCGCTGACGACACTGATCACGGAATCGGCGATGAGGGCAGCGGTCTGGTCGAGACAGGAACCGCCGGGCACTGCGCCGAGCCAGTACATGGGGATGGGGTCGCACATGCGGATCTTCACAATCAGAGCGATGGTGTAGTAGACACACAGACAGCCGAGGAAGATGTAGATGAACCAGACTTTGCCGCGGTAAGGAGCGAAGATCCGGGTCAGGATGGACAAAAGAGCGATTTTGACGAAGAGGGCCATGGGGCAGTAAAGAATGGTCGCGATATAGCAAAACTTTTTGAATTGGACTTGTGTTGCTGGCGAGAGTTCATCGTAGTGGTAGCCTCCGCCATGTTGGCCGACTATCGGGGGTTAGTATGGGGTTGGATGGGGGAGTATAGTACGGAGTACGTACTGACGATACCGATTCCACAGTATCCCATGAACAGGAGCTGTGTCGGGTTAGTATGGCTAGGACGGAGTAGACTGTAACAGATAACCGGTTCCAACATACCCAAGCGATGAGACAGCCATCTGAAGAGGTTAGCAAGTCAAGCAGCAATTTAGGCATGAAGCAACTCACAATCTTCCACTCCTAGGGACTGTTTAAATCGAATCCGGGTATAAAAGCGAAAGCAAACAAATAAAGTAACGATTGGAATACACAGACATTGTGTGACGAGATTGACAGTGTTCAAGACATCGACCGGGTGTTCAATGGACATGGTGGGCTCTGCATGTCAAGCAGATGAGGAATTGGCGGGATTAAAGAGAACACTCGGACGGGTTCATGCGAACCCCATATACCAACATACAAATCGAAAATGAGGATTGACACAGAAGATCCCTAGTGGAGAGAAAAGAGAAAAAAATGCAGAACAGGAAAAGCTATCGAACCGCTACATTAGGTGGCGTGCCCAATGAGAGTAGTGATTGATCGGGGAACGGACGTCAAAGATCCACCGGAATTTGGTTCAACGCCGATGTTCTCTTCCACGGGAATGGAACTCGATTACAGCTGGGAAATCCAATGTGGAGATCCGACGCTATACTCGAGCAAAGAGTGGTTGACATGGCGTAACTAGTATTCCGCACTCCACTTCTTGACGCCCGTCCGCCACCCCGAACAAATCGTAGCCCCTCCTCAGCCTCGTACGTGCGAAGACCCAAATTTTTGTCTTTTTCTTAGTTGCGCCGTCGTTTTATCTGTCATGAGAATGGGTCTCGTAGGTAAACCCTATATTGGGCGGAGTTGACACCTTGACAGATGTGACTTGGTCTTTGGCGTCCAAATGATCGGCCTGGGCCAAAAAGGGGGACAATTGGGGACGAGATTCTTTTTCTTTCACAAGATTCGTGTTATACATAGAAAAAAACAAATATGACTATCCACTACTTGGAGGGCAAGGACTCCAGCCTCTTTCGGCCCCTGACTATTTCCAATGGCCACCTTACCCTGGCACATCGAGTCGTTCATGCACCATTGACCCGAAACCGTGGAGAGCCCCTACATTCTGACACCCCAGAAACCCCGAATCGAATTTGGGTCCCTGGCGATGCGGTGGTGGAATACTATTCGCAACGTGCGACCCAAGGTGGCTTGATCATCTCAGAGGGAATCCCACCTTCTCTGGAGGTAAGCATTTCCATGGCGCAGAAGTTGACTAAGATCCCAGTCGGCAAGCTGTCAAATCTTCTTTTGGCGAGACCAACGGCTGTCTTTTCCTCGCTTAAACCGTGAAACTTTAATCTAATTCGGAAACTAACACATTCCCAGAGCAATGGCATGCCCGGAGTTCCCGGCCTGTTTATCCCCGAACAAGCCCAAGGCTGGAAACGCGTCGTGGACGCCGTCCATGCAAAGGGAGGCATTATCTTCTGTCAACTATGGCATGCTGGCCGTGCGACCATCCCGCAGATGACGGGGTCGCCTGCGGTCTGCCCGTCCGCCAGCGTGTGGGATGCACCCGCGGAATGCTACTCTCATCCACCCGCGGGCTCCACCGAGCCCGTTCCCTACGCCAATCATCCGCCTATCGAAATGACAGTGGATCACATCAAGCAGACTATCGGTGATTATTGCGCCGCGGCCAAGCTGGCAATGCAAATTGGCTTCGATGGTGTTGAGATCCATGCTGGTAACGGCTATTTGCCAGAGCAGTTTCTGAGCTCCAATATCAATAAACGCCAGGATGTTTACGGGGGTACCCCGGAAAAGCGATGTCAGTTTGTCTTTGAGCTCATGGCCGAGGTGGCGGAGACTATTGGCGAGCATAACGTGTCTATTAGACTGTCGCCATTTGGAATGTTTAACCAGGCTCGTGGGGAGCAGCGGGTTGAGACTTGGACTCATCTCTGCGAGGGTCTGAAAAGCAGTCTTCCGTCGCTGTCATATGTCAGCTTCATTGAGCCGGTATGTCTCGTATCCCAGTTGCTGATCTTCGCTAACTGCTACTAGCGCTATGAGCAAATCTTCGGGTACGAAGAGAAAGATAAGTTTCTGGAGAGCTGGGGTCTGCTAGACGTGACTCTGGACCGGTTCCGCAAGATCTTTGGCTCCACCCCATTCTTCTCTGCCGGTGGCTGGGACGATCAGAACTCCTGGGGAGTGATCGAATCCGGTAAATACGATGCTCTTCTCTATGGCCGCTATTTCACCAGTAACCCGGATCTGGTGCGTCGGCTGAAGGAGAAGATCCCAATGGCCCCATATGATCGCACCCGCTTCTATGGGCCCTTTGAGGACAAGACTTTCCATTACACGGACTACCCTACTGTTGAGGAGAGCTAGATAGAAAGATGCATGGTACATGATGCACAGAGTGCGGAGTATGCACCGGTCTATACTCCGTAGATAGATCTCAATAGAAGCAGAACAAGGTTCTTCTCTATCATTCTAGGGGTGTCGTGCATGTAGCTTGTTTCCTTTCCATGTGAGGTGCAAATGTACTCCGTGTTGATCAACTGGATACGGAATGCTCCGTACAGAGTAGATAGATCGAGGTCGAAAGAAATCAAGGTTCTTCGCTATCATTCTAGGGGTACGGAGTATTATGCATAAAATTGTTTGATCAGACTTCAGTATCATATGCATCTGTACAGTGAGGTCAGGCTGCTTCTGACTGAAAATTGCGTTCTCACCTCCTAACTCCTTGCAGATGACGCAAATTCCCCCACCACTCGTACTTTTGACATCTATCACGGAATTCGAGCCCACGCAGATGAATTATCAGATTATATCCGCCCCTTACGAGCCTCGGCCTCGGCCTCGGCACAGTGCCTGTGACCGGCCAAGTCCGAAATCCACCGGGACTCCGCACCGAAACATTTCCGAACTTTCCATGACAAATTTCCCAGTGCCCAGCTGTGACGTGAGGAAGTCAAAAATCCCAGGGCCAACGTGCGAACGTGACAATTTAACAACGTGACACAAACCTTCCAGAACCTTGGAAGGTTACGCTTATTGACAACCTTATTTCCAGCCTCGGTCTGAAATAACCCGAACCCCTCAACGCCCAAAATGCACTTCAAGCGAAAGAAATCATGAAATTGCACAGTAAGAAACCAAAAAATGGCAGAAACAAAGGTTTTCTACCAGGCAAACACAATTTCTAAATATAGCTAACTGCGCATAGGCCAACCTCCAGGCGAACTGGATCTGGGTCCCCGGGTGGATTGATTCGGGCGACACAGCGGGGAAGATCGTCCGCTTCAACCGCTCCGTCAATCTTGCCTCGCGACCGACTCGTTCGCTTTTACACTTCTCTGCTGACACACGGTACAAACTCTATGTCAATGGGAAACACGTCGCTGTAGGGCCCAGCAGGAGCAGTCCGCTGATATGGTATTACGACACGCTGGATATCGCGCCTTACCTGCAAGAGGGACAGAATGAGATTGAGTTCGTCGTCGTTCGCTATTTCGCGGCTTCGCGAAGCGCGATGCCGTTTGAGAGAACTGCTCTGCCGGGTTTGACGGTCGTGGGGCAGATCGAGATCGGTGATGAGATCGTCGATCTTAGCTCGAAGGATGGCTGGACTGCCTATGTTAACGAGAGTATTCGATTTCCGATGGGGTTGGCTGATGATGTGTTTCTCCATGTGAGTCGTTTTTGGATTGCGATCGCGGTGCCGGGCGCGTGCTGATGGTTGTTTTTAGATCAGCGAGCGCGTTACCCCGACCGAGCCCGCGACCGCGATGAAACCGGTCGCGTACAATATGCGGACACTCAATGGTGATATTCCGCCGTGGAACCTGCATCCGCGGGTCATACCGATGCCCGAGTCTACTCCGATCGTGGTGAATACAATCAGAGCATGCGAGAGCAGCGCTGGTGCGAGCGATTGGGCGGCATTTTTGGGTGGGGAGAGCTCTCTAGTACTTCCAGGTAACTCGACACACAAGGTCGATGTACAAGCCGATGTTCACTCGACTGCTTTCCTCCGATGGGCTTTCAAGGCTGCTAGTGGACTTTCTCAGCTGAAGCTCAAGGTGACATACTCCGAGGGCTATGAGCTTGAGCCTCGCTCGTACCCATTCTTCAGATCCAAAGCCGACCGGCTCGATGCGAGCGTCGGCCATATCATCGGTCCGTACGACGAGGCGACGCTGGATATTCCCGATACAGAGAGCGTGGTATACGAACCATTCTGGTTTCGAACGTTCCATCTTCTGCGACTGGAGATCACTATAGGACCTGGGCCGATTGAACTAATGTCCTTTGACGCGACTCAAGTCAACTATCCCATGGCCATCAAGGCCAGCTGGAATCAGCCTGGAGATGCACACAGCAATCAAATGTGGGACGTCTCGATCCGAACTATGCGTAACTGCATGTTCGACGGGTATTCTGACTGTCCATTTTACGAGCAACTTCAGTATGTGATGCCGATCTTCCACGGGAAGTCAAACTGACATTTCATAGATACTCTGGAGACAGCAGGTCTGTCGGACTCTTCCACTACCTCCTCTCAGGCGACGATCGCCTGATGCGACAAGCCATAACGAACTTTGCCGCTTCGGTGACTCCACTGGGTCTAACGCAGTCTCGATTCCCTTCGCACGTCCCGCAAGTCATCGCCGGTTTCTCGCTATACTGGATTCTGCAGGTCTGTGATCACCATTTATACTTTAACGACACAAAGTATGCACGAGGCTTTATCCCTCGCATCGACGGCGTCCTCGACTTCTTCGATGCACATATAGATGAATTGGGGCTCGTCAGTGGAATGCCAGAGATTGTATGGCAGTACGTCGACTGGGTGACAACTTGGGGAGCGACAGACGACCACCCAGATAAGGGTGTACCGACTTCCGGTCGCAAGTCCAACAGACATACATACTTCAGCTTGCTTTATGGGTATGTGTTGCAAAAGAGCGCTCGTCTAGTGCGGCAACTCGGTCGGCCAGGACACGCGACCGAGTACGAAGACCGCTCTGCGTCTGTGCTGCAAGCCGTTCGAACTCACTGCTGGGACGGACAGTTCTTCACAGATTCCACGGCTGATATTGCTGATGAACACGCCTATTCGCAGCATTGTCAGGTATTTGCTGTTCTCGCTGGAGTTTTGGATACTACAGAGAGTGCGCGCATCTTGGCCACTTCACTCACAGACCCCGAATTCTCGAAATGCTCGTATGTGATGCGTTTCTATGCGTTCAGAGCACTTTCATCGGTTGGTAATGGGGTTTATGAATATTTTTGGGAGCGCATGTGGGCCCCTTGGCGTGGAATGCTGGCGAATAATCTGTCGACTTGGGAAGAGGACGATGTCAGACAGCGCTCAGATTGTCATGCTTGGGGGAGTGTGCCGGTTTATGAGTACTGTGCTGAGGTTGCTGGTCTTCAACCCTTGGAACCTGGCTGGTCCAAGGTCTTGTTCAAGCCCCGGTTGAGTCTGGCTGAGACTTTGGAGGTGAGTGTGGCTTTGGGAAGTGATAATGTTGCTTCGGTGTCATGGAAGCCAGATCAGGCGGGCCGAAAACTGGTTGAGCTTAGGCTTCAAAAGTCTGTTGAGTTACTTGTGCAGTATCCAAATGAGGACGGTCTGAAAAGCCCTGGGGTGGTGGATCTCGTCGAGTTCTCTGTGGTGGAATGAGGCGGTGACCCTAGAAAGCTTTCCTTTGACACGAGTTTGTAGAATTCTCTTGCTAACTAACTGTGCTAAGAATTGAACACATGCCCGTATGACTTGACACCCCTTCGGAGAGCCATTGAGCCTATGAAATAACCTTGGAACTAGGAACATCTGCTGTTGGATGAACTGTTTGGGGGAAGACTAAAGGCCAAGAAATAAAGCGGGTGGAGCAAAAGGGAATCCAATCTCATGAAGGTTGAGAATTGGTTTCATCTTATTGTTGGCACGAGCGACAGCATCCCCCTGTTTGAACCTGCGTTTCCGCGTGCGTGGACCGCAGATGCTCCTGCAATTTATCCTTTCGACCAAACGACTTTCCACACCGCAGAACAGAACATTTGAACGCATTCGGATATAAATGTTTCGCTTTGATGTGTCTCCATAACGATGTGTCATTACGGTAGGAGCTCAAGCTTGTGCAGCCTTGCCATCGGCATTGGACAAGGCCGGTGGGGCTTTCCCTTTAAGGGTTGGGTTAGATCCATGGATCAACGGAGCTGTAGGATATATTTGGGGATCTATCCCGCAGCAACTTACCGGCGCTTGCGCTCAGGATATGAGCTATGACGTGTAAAATTATCCTCAGCTAAGATATTTGCACCGATGATATCATTTGGTGCTCCTGGTACTGAGGGCGACAGATGCCACTGATAAGAGTCGCTTGAAGCCGCTACCTCGAAGTCGCTCCAGAGATTATCCACTATTCTCTCCGGTCTACCCGGAGTATTGTTCGTTGGATTCCATCCGGAGAGATGCTCGTTGTGGATTTGAGTGGATGTTTCATTCACATACATGTCGTAATCCTTCATTGTCGATGGAGTTTGCATGAAGGGACCATGAAAGGAAACCGAAGGTGGAAGATCTCGTTCTGCATCATGGTATATGCTGGGTGGTGCAGGTTGAATAGGCAGTGGATTTTGAAGTAGCATAAGATTCCCATGAGGCGAAGACCCGACAACCTCAATCGGAAAAGGCGCAATGCGTTTACCGAGTTGATCACATGACATTTTGAGATCCAGCAAAGGCAATCTTAAATCAAATCACAGACAAAAGGTAGCATTTCGGTAACTCGGAGTTTCGATGTGGCTCAATGAGAAAAACGAACATGCTGAATGTGCAGAAAAGAGAACTATTTTATAGATCAGAAGGGGGGATCTCAAGTAAAGACGAAACGATGCAGCCCAGGGGTGACAGAGTTCTACTAGAATCCTGGTGACCGAATTCCACTATGTATGTAGTAGCCCTGTCCCATGGTCGTTCCTATTGGTTACAGCGTGTGTCGATCGAACTTTTGTTCTCCGGGCTCCAGTTTGCCTGAAAGTGGAGCATCGATTTATTGGTTGCTGGACGCCGAGACAACACTGCCACATGGTTGTCCATACATGTGTGCACAGACCCAGCGGCTCCAAGCCAGCTTGACCGACTTGACATGTCTAATGTCGTAGGCCACTCCTAAATTAGCCAGACCAATATGCAAGTAATATCTCGGACCTGGATCTGCGGGGTCTATTGTTTCCACAGGATTGGTGGTCACGACTCTCGACCTAGAACCTGTTAGTCTCGAGCACGAGCCGACCCTGTCAATGGGATCTAAATCTTGAGCGATGAGGCCATCAAATTGGGATATAGAAATGTGATGGCGAAGCAAAACTCTCGTGGAATCACCACCTGATTCCCATGGATCCATCGTAGGCTTATCTTATGAGCGTTAACTTGCCTAAGGCACTCTCGGGCACTACGCCAGAGCTAGTAGCAAACTATATCAAAAAGAAGCTTGTCATTCCTGGAGGGTAAGCTGGGTTTGCTTCCCCCAGTCATGCCTCCCCCGTCCCCATTTTACTTCATTGGTTAGAGATGTTATGTGTAAACCGTGCTAAGTTCTAATCCAGTGGTTTTCTGAGGCCACTCCAGACGTCGCACTCAATGATGAGGGTCCCATAATTAGACTCAAATGACGCCGAAAGCGCTATCTGCCCAGGCGGTGTTGTGAATAACTTGATGCAGAACCTCAACGAGAACTGAGAGAAGGGAGGGGAGGCGAAGCATCTACAGGCTCAGACGTCTGCTTGAACTTTTGGAAGGTCTCTTCTCTATTAGGTAAATATCTATCAAGCTAGGTGCTGCCTGTATATCACTGTGTTACATTATCACGAATCTCAATAGTAAGAGACACAAGTAGGTGACATTCTCAACTGTCTATTAGCCTCGAAGTATACATAAACTCCCTGTTAATCTACCTAACCTGCAGCGGATCAAAACAACTGAAAATATAAGGTAAAGACAGAAAGACTCAGCGCAAGTATATCTAATATGACGTAAGATAACAGTGCTCAGCATATAAGGCGAACCTGGGAAACAGGAAAATTTGGAAGAAAGAAGACACTCATAACAGTGAAGCGTATATTCTAGGAAAGCGACTAGAATTGATAAACACCCCTGTGTGACATCATGCATGACATGAGCGGCAATGCTTCTCTTTTCGACCCTTCTTGTCTTTGTGGGATTCCAAATGCTCGTTTAATTTGTCCATGCGGCCATAAGCCTTTTTACACTTCGGAGTAGGACATTTGAACGCATTGGGGGAAATATGTTTCTCCTTGATGTGCCGCCACAGCGATAAATCACGATCAAAGAAGCTCGAGTTTGTGCAACCTTGCCATGCGCATTGCACAAGACCGGTGATTCTTTCCCTACAGAGGAGGTCAGATAAGAGAGCTCAGCGCTATGAGTAGACATGTGCATTGCAGGAACTCACTTATCAATGAGGTCTTGGCGTGAGCTATCAGGCGTACATATCCCAGTTGGACTGACCATACGAGTTGTCTCTCTTGATGGGTTCTCGGTTGTGAACGACAACTGTCCCATATTAAAATCACTCAGACCCGGTATCTCGACATCGTCCCAAGCAGTATGCACCGTGTTCTCTGTTCCAACCGTAGCATTGTCTCCATCCGACCCACAAAGAAATTGGTTGCGGCTTCGAGTGACAGCTTCAGGCATGTGTAGATTGTATTCACTCACGGTCCACGGACTTTGCATATAGGGTTCATAGACAGAAGGAGTAGAGAGACTCTGTCCAGGGTAATGGTACGTGCTGAATGGCGTGGTTTGAGCGAACAGCGGGTTGTGGCGAAGTACTTGATTGATATCAGGAAAAGGGTTGATGGTCTCAAACGGAACAGATGCGAGGTGTTCATCGGATAGAGCTCGTGACATGACGAGGCCCGAGAGTAAGTAAACACAAACGAATTGAATGGCGGAAAAAGCGTATCTCCGTCTCTTAATGGCCTGAGAATATGAACTTGCTTAATTGGAAGAATTATGGCGAAATCTCAGGGGAAAGAACGAGTTTATATAGAACAAAAGTTGGGAAGTTAGGAAGGTATTTTGAGCAGTGTGCTTAGATGACCTCACTTTGACCGGGGTCACCGAATTATCTCTGAGTGATGATTGAGTTTCCAAATCAATAATACAGTAATACCGTGTACCCCAAATCAAAAGTACTGTATTTCGCGGGGTTTTCGTTTCGATTTTTGATATTATCGGCCTTCTGCTGGTCTGAATGAGTACCTGTTTAGTATTGTATTCGTCTCTAATCCATAAAAGTTCTAGGTTCATCTTCCGCTCTGAATTCTCACTTGTAAGGTACTGTATCGAGTTCCACTGATCTACTTTGTCTGTGGATCGTCCCTGTTTTTCGTGACCCCATTCGCTCAGGTCCCTTGCTCTGGTATCAGTGGGTGTTCCCCATGTGCATGATTGGCCAAGAGATCCCTCACCAATTTGAAATCTTGCCAAGGCCATACAAATCTCGGGCAGGAACCTGTGAGTCTCCCGAGCCTGAGCCCTTCATCGATTCCGAAATTCGTCAGTGATACTGCTCTAAAGTGATGATGAATTACATTATGGGGCTGTGATCATCAAGGTGTGGTGGCTGGCCGAAACCCATATGCATGAACCTCGCCCGACCCTCATAGGTCATCGTTTTGCTCAATGAGGGCTCGCGTACTTAGGGTATCCTCAGGCACTGTGTCAGATCTCCAGATCTAGAAATTCTATGGACAAGTGAATGTATCTTCCAAGGTTCAGATATCTACATCTGTCTTACCATCACCGTCTATTTTGAACTGTGAATTTGTTGACAATATTCCCCGCCTGATGACTTCATGATTCTTCCGATAGCATTGGTATATTCATAAAGTATTTTAGGGTCGCCCTCTCAACCATGCTGATGATTTTGCTTACAGCACGTCTCCCGGTAGCCGTTTTCCAGCCGACGTGCATGAACCAGAACTTTCACAACAGAAAGCCTAGACACGCCTGGGTGTAGACTAATCATGGCATCAAATGGCGATTGCAGATTTTCAACGAGAGCAACCCTGTCATGAGAGACACTCGGTGGGAATTGTTGGGGATGGGCGGTCAGGTGATGCCAGGCCTGACTGGATAGCTCTCTCCCCCTTAAGTCTCTCTTCTTTCTTTTCTCCGGTCGGTCTTTTTGCTTTGACAGCCAGAATCTACTATTTTGAAACGATTTATGCTTCTCACCCGTACATCAGTCTGTTATAATTCACCCATTCATCGAGACGGCAAAAGGATAGATTCTACCAGTAAGCGTCAGAGCAAAAGTGGCACAAGCTGCGCAGATAAAAACTAATTCCAAGACCCATGTAGTGCTGGGCCACATCAAATGGTCACTTGAGTCGCGAAGCTATTAGCCAAGACTGTTGTAGACCTGAACAGCATTTTCGGCTCCGGGCATAGCTCTGTGTGGGTTGTGTAGTTGTCTAGATCGGAGGCAAATCGCAGCGGGAATAGCTTGTTGATCGCGGATGATCAGCTTCACCCATCAATCTCAATCCAACATTGTTAGGCGATCTCTGGCTACCATGCTTTTTTTGTTGTTTGTGAGAATAAACTCAAATTGGAAGGTCATCAAGGTTGTTGCTTGTTGCTGAAAGTATCCTACGGTTTATCCTCGGCTCCGGGTTCGCAAGCTAGATAGCTCCCTAGCTTTCCATGAATCCTTCAAATTTGACCGGTATGATAGGAGATAAGTGGGTCAAAAACTGTCATTGAACGTTGCTAAATGGAACATGAAATACACAGCGGAAAATCAAGAGTCTCAACAATAGTGGGAAGTATGAAACGACAAACGAACTGTACACTCGCTTTATCTCTAGAAGGGCCCCAAAGACTGGAAGACAAAACTGAAAAATACATGGAGTCATGAATCTCAGACCGAAGAAAAATCCTTGAAAAGAATCCTTCCAAGGTTCTGCGTGGAGATTGGCATGAAACGCATCATTTGCCTTTTCGCTCGTCATTGGCGCTATGGGTTCTCGAATGTTCATCCCGCTTGTCTCGACGACCAAACCTCCTTCCACACCCTGAAGCGGGGCATTTAAATGCATCGCTGAGAATATGCTTTTCTTTGATGTGCCGCCACAATGTTTCCTCGTGGCTGAAGAAGTTCGAGCTTTTGCATCCTTGCCACCCGCACTGAATACGATCAGTAATCCAACCCCCCCCTCTTTCGCCGTTGATAGTCCTCATGGGTTCTTGAATGCTCGTTCAACTTGTTCAGACGGTCAAAGGTCTGTTCACATCCCGGAGTAGGGCATTTGAATACACTGGGGAGAATGTGATCCTCTTTAATGTGCCACCACAACCTTCTATCACGACTGAAAAGGTCTGAGTCTGTGCAGCCCACCCATTTACACTGCGTGAGACCATTCTTACTTTCCCTTCGTAAGTCAGGTTAGAAGAGCAGAACTCCGAGAATGCAGGTGGAAATCCTTATCACGGGGACTCACATCTGTTTGAGTTCATCGCAAGAGCTATGAGAAGTAGACTCTTTAGCCGAACTCTGTTGGTAGGATATCTCGTGTAATGCCGCCGTCACTGGCTGTGAAACAAGTTCACCCAGACAGCTACTCGAGAAAGAATGATTGATGTCTACCAATGGAATGTTTCTTGTGTTCGCTATTTCGTGTCGATGACAAGAAACATTGGCGCAGTCTGAGCTGGTGATGAATTCGTGGTGATTTCCAGCCAGCCCGTTTGGTGTGCTCATCTGGTAGCCATTGGGATCCCACTGGTCCTGCCTGCAAGGGTCATATTGCTGGCTTGGGGGCAGGTCGCTTTGTTCGCGGTAGGTCTGGGTGTAAAGTGGGAAGCTCCCAGTACAGGCCAGCTCTGGGGACAGAAATACACCATCGTGAGGAAAGGGTTCCAAGTTCTCGAATGGATAAGACTCCAGATGCTTGTGACAAAAATCACGTGCCATGACCGGGATGACGTGGATCAACAAAAGTACAGCCAATTAAATTGGCGATGAAGAGCCCCGGAGAGCCCGGAAAGAAGTGTGAATTGAGTGTGAGAGCATTGCGAATATCGAGAACATCAGATAGCTATATATAGGGAACAGTTTCATTTACCAAATGGTCTACAACCCTACAGCCCTGGAGGATGTATGCATATCTCGTTCATGATCAACAAATTGACCCGGATGTGCCAAGAGGGTCTAGACCGCTCTATACTAGACCCAATTCGGTCTGTATGGGGCTGCGCAGAGGCTTCACAGCTGATTTGGGATTAGCGGGGAAATAAGCATGCGACGAAATAAATATATACGCCAGATGCTGGTCTTAGGTCATCTTCCAGCCCGTTTAGCTCAGTGGTAGAGCGCGCCACTCGTAATGGCGAGGTCGTCGGATCAATCCCGACAGTGGGCATATGAAAACATTTCTTTTTTTTTTCTGTTTTAGCAAAGCTGGTTAACACATATCTGTGGTTTGGTTCATTGTGTTGGAGATTGATGTTAGGCTTTTTTTTTAAGTTGGCTGGCCTACACTGATCTTTCTCCAGTGATTCTCAGGTTGTACTTTATACTTGCCCCGGATCAAAATGCTAATCCCTACCTCCCCATGAGGTCTACTCCGTGTCTGATTTGACATGCTCTTTGAATATACTAATAGTAAATAACCTGGCCTGTGGCTAATATTCTTACCCTGTAGTCTGAAGTATAATGTCCATAAAGCCATGAGGTTTAATCCTAATGATTTGATGAACCGACACCTGTGAAGTTTTGGCTTATGCCATGGTGATAATCCCAGGTGGCGAGCGAAAATGTATAATCTTTGCCCGTTTAGCTCAGTGGTAGAGCGCGCCACTTGTAATGGCGAGGTCGGTGGATCAATCCCGCCAGTGGGCCAAATGATTTCATTTTTGCTGTTTGCGCCAACATCGTTTTTTTGAGCTTATGTCCAACTTTGCAAAGGAATAATTATTGTTTATAGACCATGGCTGTTCTTAGTGAATGATTTGTATCCCTCAATATCATTCCCAGGGCGATGGGTCTGCTCAGTTAAAATGCAATTAATCTCCATGGGCAACCTTAAACCATCAACCCCTTGTGTTCATCTCATGTTCATCGTACTGCTCGTTTGAACGCAGCTGGACCTCAGTAACATATCCTTTGAACTTGCGAAGATTCACCTTTTTCTCAAACCTGGAAGACAAATGTTAGACTGCTGCAAAACCCGACCGTGTCAACCATAGTTGCGAGCGACTTACATCTCATCAATCTCAGCAGGTGTGCGACGTGCTACTTCTGGGAGAATAAGCCAAGCGACAATCACCGCAATGGTACCGGTTCCTGCGAAGCTATCAGGCAGAAAATATTGTTAGGTGGTTGAAACATATATTTGGTTGGACTGTTGCCTGTAAGTCACTCACAAGAAACCCGTTTTCACACCCCAAGCCGACACAGGTTCATTGTTGATCATCAGCGGCGTGCAGAAGCTAAACATAATTGCGATCGCATTGGAAGAAGCAAGCGCCCAGCCAGCCGTTTTGGCACGCAAACGTTGTTGGGGGACTTCAGCCGCGTAGGCATATCCGATCGCCGAAGCACCAGTTGTCGACAATGTAGCCAAACAAGCGAAAAAAATCTGTCGCCCGTGTTAGCTAGGTCTCAAGATACCAAAAACAAAAAAGATAGCATACAAGAAGGGAACTTGTTGCTGGCTTCGTATAATCGAAACAGCCGATGATCCCAAGACACAGAACCGAGATCGACGTTACAGCATAGGGGTAGACCGTCAAAGGGCGCCGACCGAGCTTATCGGTGGTCAAAGCAGTCATGATCATAGACAAAAGCTGTACACAGGATAAAATAACAGTGACCATGAAAGGATCCTTGCTACCCGCATACTGGACTAGAAAGGAAGTCAGTTTCAGACAGTCGCAAAAAAGGGCGACCGGGTCGTTTACAGAAATAAGTCGCGTAAGTATTGAATACAGCTAAACCGACCAACTGCTGAGCAATTTTCGGCCAAGCTGCGATGAGGAATCGAATGCGATTGCGGCCCTGGAAAACAGCCCATGTGCCTTCTTCTGCGTTGCGCTCTGCGACGATACGCTCTTCGGTGACGGTGGCGCTCATGATTTCCTGCGAGTAATCAGGATTCTGATCTGAATGAACAAAGACGAATGAGTACTGACAATCTGCTCATCAACGCTGTATCCATCGACCTTTCCATTGAGCCGATTCAAAATCTTGGCCCCCTTCTCGATCTTGCCTTGACTCACCAGCCACCAGGGTGACTCTGGAATCAAAAGGAAGATGACAGCAATCAGACCGACCATAGCCCACTGCAGAGAAGGTATTAGTGGGCTGCAAGGGAACAAATGAAGATCAATCGGAAGAAGAGTGTTGATACCTGTGTGTAGATGGGAACCCGAAAGTCGTACGGGTCGTTTGCACTCAGCTCCTGGAGAGCCACCGAAGCGAATATTTGGCCTAAGACAAACCAACTGTCGCTTGTCAGCATCACAAGAAGATTTCCGACACCAGGGGTATACTCACAAACTGTATGCGTTGATAAAGAATCCTCGGAGCTGTGTGGGCGCAATCTCGGATAGGTATAGAGGCATGGTAGACTGAAGCATACCAACGCCCATCCCAGAGAAGAGCTTGGCGACAAGCCAGTGATCCCATCTGGTGGCAAACGTTTCGATGAAGATGCTGATAACGATGTCGATCCAGATGATGTAGAATGCGATTTTGCGACCGAACTTTTCAGTTGCATATTGGAGGAACTGGATCAAAAATTAGACAAAGACATTCAACATGAGCGTCGTTTGGTTGATTACAATTTGACCGACTGTTTGACCTGCTGATTGGATACCTCCCCAAGCTGAGATGTATTTTCCTGGGATAACAGTTGTGCCAGGGGCACTCATCTGCCGAATGAATCCTTTGTTGGACACGATACCTCCGTTGAGATTGATTTCTGATACTTTCGGTTATTTCTCTATCCTCATTGCAGATTCCGGGAGTGACTTACGATACCCATCGAGCGATGCACTGAAAGCGGCAGCCATCGCAATCAACGACACGGTCTTGAATCGCCTTACGCATTGCAACATGCCAAGGTCATCTTCGCGAGATCGCATGACGGGACCCATGCTTTTCATCGGCGGGTCATCTCTTTGATCGACTGTCGCATTCTCGACAATCTCGGTATTCGCCTTTGGCTCCATGGTGATAGCACTTCGTCTGAAGGTAGGAGCTGATCAAACTAGCCCAGCAAAGGATCCAAAAGAACTATTTTATATGGTGAGCTTATGAAAGGCAAAAACAAGCAAAAATCCGAACCTTAATGCAGACATTCCACAAAGGACAAGGAAGCGAAATGCGGGGATCCGGGGCCCCAGAGCTGAGCTTCGATATTGGATGAAAATCATGACCAGATCAGAATTACAGGGCTGATCCCGGTCTCCGGTTCATTTGCCGACTTCAGGATTCGCTGGCTCATATTGGTGTGATTTGAAGTGGGTGGCTGTCTGGGCTTGAGAGGGAGAATCTTAGTGGATGCCCAGATGGCGCGGCAATTGCTTCGCTGTAAGCTCACCCGAGGGCGAGTAGACACCAAAAGCTAATTTTGAAGTAGTTCTCGCACTTGTACTCCGACTAGCCTGTGACTGGAATGGTACCAAAGACATGTGCCCCGGTCTGCAGGTGACAGGAGAGAGACTGAGCCGGAGAATCCCCCAAACCTGTCCCAAGAGCTAGCTCGGTAAGCCTAAGAGCTCTTTCCTTTCCCTAAGGATCGCATGGATCTATTATTCTCCCGCTATCAACTCCATGAGACTACAGAGATGCCCTGATCGATTTGTCGGGCTAGGGTTATTGGCACCTAGCTTCTTCCATGGACTTCCCCATTACGTTCTGCTGTTAGACTTTTCGCTTAGAATGCTAAATTCATTGGAGTTCATATAATGCTTCATTCGAACAAGACAGAATAAGAGGATTGAGTGGAGCTTCCACATTGTATACTGCCCACCGCGCTAATCCCGAAGAAGATAATCCCCGGCGGCGCTGGCGGGGCTCGCCGCTCATCCGAAAGGTACCAATTCCACTTTATCCACGGGAATACGGGGCTTGTTTCTCCACCATGACCGCCTCACAAAAACACCAGGAGGGCCTCCGAAGCTGCCACAGTGAAGGTCGCCTTTCCAGCGGAAACAGTCGTCGTTTCCACAACCTCCTTACCTTGGATCACACAGGTGCCATTGGCGAAAGTTCGACCTGCAACGGTGGGATCCCCACCTTGGTCAACCCGGGATGTGGCGTAGGGGGCTGTCAGACGCTTGGCAGTGACGCGGGAGCCAGTGAGACCGGAAAGTGAATAGGTCTGCGACGAGCGGGTGCCAGTTACATAGTAGTCGGAGTTGTAGAGAAGGACCTTGACAGGGGCGCCGGACTTGTAAATGGCGTAGGCTGCGTAGGCAGAATCCTGGCTATCCAGGGGCGCGATCTGGTCAGCATTCGCCAGCGCCATAGTTGCGAAATAGGCACCGTAGTATGGTGAGCCCATGTTGTATCGGCCCCACCAGCAATATTGACCTAGAGAGTTAGACAATCCCTAAGAGCCGAACGAGACCAAACTCACAGTTGCCAATGGTGCCTTGGTGGAAGTAAAGGGCATTTGTTCCCAGAATGACAGTCTGCACCACATAGTCCAGAATCCAGAGGGCAGCACCAAAGGTTGGGCTGATGCCACCTCCACCTTGGGTTGCTGCGATGGCCATCAGTACCAGTACAACAGTCGCCAAGAACATGAATTACCTGAGTTAGTCTCCCCGAAGACATGTGGCTTTCCCTTCGCGGCCGCAGCGGAGATCTCAGCGGCATACGGCTTGACCTGAGTCGCAATGTCCTTGTGATTCATGAGTGCCGTCAGGTTATAGCTGCCGGAAGACTGTGGGTAGTTGTGGGAGCAATAGTCCTTGACATAAGCATTGGAATTGCCCTCTTTGGCAGTCAACGAAGCAAGACTCATCGGCGAGGTGCCGAAGTAGACACCCGCAGAAATGATATCAGATGCAGAGAGATTTCCGCACACAGCATCCTGCCATGCGATCTGGGATGCTTCGTCGGCCGCAGCTGTCCAAGATGAGCCTTGGGCGATGGGATCACTGTCGACGAAGACTGTATCGAAATTAGCGCTGTAGAGATAATGCTTATGATTGCTGCGACTGACAGTTGGGTTCATTTCCAAGCTCGATGGAGTACAGGTTGTCCATATTCTTTTGTGCGAGCAGCGCAGCTGCAATCGTATTCGAAATATTGTCCAAGCGACGATTGAGTCCCAGAATTACCTTTCCTGCGTATGTTGCAGCCAAAGAAATGAATGAAGGACCGTAAGTCAAAGTTGTAGGAGCGTCTTTCGTGCTCGCCACTGTGTACGTGACAGCTTCACTAGACGATGCATCATACGTTGCGCGATCCCTGTCGAGGTTAGTGTGAGCCTTGTCGGGAAAAGGAGTGATGCGGTACTGTGTTGTGCCTCCAATTCTGACTGAAGGCCACGTGCCCGTCAGGTCTTTCAGATTCTGCAGACATGTGGTTGTTGATGGAAGATCCTGGATGTACTCCGGAAAGGTGAAGAATTCCAAACTGCATGATGAGCAAAGTCCCTCTAAGGAAGACAACCTCCACTCACGAGACGCCGACTGGGGCGGCGGAGAGCTGACCACTTGAGTTGGAGGGTGGAGACGCAGGCACATTGAAACTCAAGCCCGATGCCGAGACCGAAAAGTACAAGAGCGAGGCAGAGATTGAACGGAAGGCCATGACTTGGAGCTCTCTATACCTAAAGCTGGACACAGAATTTTGGAAGTTTTGAAGAACCAGGTCTTCAGCATTTAAGCATAAATAAACCCCTCAGCACGGGCTCAATCAAGTAAGTGTTCATCCGGGGAACCCCACATTCACTAGACTTTCAATTTGATTCTTGGAAAGCCATGGCACTAGAGGTCAATATTCAAATTACTGAGCTAATTTCTTTTACTTGTTCCAATAGCCCCAATGTAACAATGGAGGGTGTCGATCTTCAACTTGACCCACCAATCATCAGAGGAATGTCGGCTACTGACGGAATCGATTAACCCGAGGTCTGCATCATCCGATATTTTGTTGGAAAATGTGTGCTCACTGGGAACTTCAATCCAAATAATCGACTGTCACGTTTTTTTCATTGCCGGTCAAGTCCTAAGAATTTTTTATCACGTTTCGTGGGCGGGTCAACCACTCGAGCATAGCGTCGGCGCCTAATTTTGGCAGGGGCTCATCGCGCCGTGGCGCTCAGAGTTGGCGCTGCATTGCTTTCTCAGAGTATGCCACATGGATCATTTCACCAACTGGCTCCAAATTTTGTTATAGAATAGAGCCTCTCCGAATAGCCGCCTCGTTCTCCTTGGTTAGTTTCAGGAAATGACTCATGTGATGGTTAACGCTTGCGCGCCAGTCCCCCATACTACTTATTCAACAGCGTCTTTCCATAACAGACCCGTGCCGCTAAATGAAAACCCTCCGCTTTTCTTTCTTTGCAGTTGATATCATTCTTCAGCCTAAGCCAGCAACTATGACACTTGTTCTCGACGACATTCACAAACCGCTCGCCGTATTTGCCAACCAACCCGAATCCCAATGTTACATCAAAAGCATCAGAAATTTGGGTGAGGCATGGCGCAAGCTTTCTGATAAGCCTCTCGCAGAGTGTGATAAAAATACCATCTTTCTGGAAACCACCTTTGGCTTAAATATTAGATTCACCCCTGATGAAGTTGAGATCTCTGTGGCCGGAGTCATAGAGTCCACGGAATCCATTGTTTCTCAGAAGCCGTCAATGTCTACTGAATCAGGCATCGGATTGCAAACATCAATGCAACAGTCAACAAAAGACCCATCGTTTGTCACTGAGTCAGAAGAGGAAAAACAAGAGTCGTCTGTGCCAAACACAGTCACGAAATTGCAAACACCGGACGTTAACAGGGGACCAACTGCAACGACTACAAGGCCGCGGCGCTATCGAATCAGCTATGACTGGGGAATCGGACATCTGTGGCGGGACTACAATGATTTGGAGTCCGAGTATGATGGCGTCACCCACATGGAAGTAGAAGATCTCCTTGGATCAGGCTCATTTCCCCTATCAGTCATGGAGCTATATCTTGCCTGGTCAAACACATATAACGACACGTTCAAAACCAGGTGAGCAGACACTGGGGATTAGGACATATCACTTTTCGCCACCATGCCCGAGCATGTGGCTTGGGAGGTGGCAGGCTATTTTTTGGCTTGGAGAATAGCAATGGCACCTGAAGTTGAGTCTATCGAATTTCCTGCTGGTCCCAAGAAATTGCTCCTTCAGAAAGACAAGGGGTTGGAGACTAAGTTCACTATGGAGTTCTTTGAGATCGTGTGCGATTTTCTCGAGAATGGCCCTGATTGTTGAACCTCCGCGCATTGCTGTAACACCAATCACAAAGAATCCGAAAGTCTTTTAGTAGCTTCCTAGGTAAGATCATGCGCCTTTATCTCACGAGCGTGCAAGTCAGTTACAAGAAGGCTATTCTGCAAACAATCATGTGTAAGGGACAGCATAAATTCATTAGCTTCGCCCTTGGTAGTGTATAGATCAAAGGCAGGCTTCAAAGTGTATTTCCAAAACTTTGAAACAAAAACAAAGACATACAACAGTGAGGATTCGCTGGTGGTCACCCACCCAACTACTAAGACAATTCAGGTTATACAGTCCGTCCCGAAACTGGTGCAACCACTTGAACTCTTCGAATGCTTCTCTAATTTTGATTACTAATTCACGCTAGTACGTATTTGGAGTTTTTCCGTAGAATCCCTGCTTCTGGACTAGAGAATCACTCTAAGAGTAAAGGCGGTTGCACCAGTTTCGGGACGTACTGTACAGTACCTCCACACTCTTACTACTTAATTCCAAAGCAATAATCGGACACGCGCTAGTCCCAATATGGAAAGATTTTGGTCACTCCGCTTCCTAGACCGCTTTCTTGAATAGTTTATGTATTTTACAATACGTATCTGAAACTTTAGATGGTGTAATTTACACGAAACTGCCATACACATGCTATCCCCGTGCCCCTCCTCCCATTTCTCTCGCTCATCAATCACTCGCCGTCTTCAGAGTCAACGTGAACTCAATCCGAACGACATGGCTCCAAGGCCTCAAGGCCTCCTGCTTCAAAGCTTCATCTCATTCGTGATATGATAGAGAGTCAGACCTTCACCACGTCTCAGATGGCCGCTGAGGCTGAATGCAGCAACCTTACGATCATTAATATTCGCAGAAACTTGCGGCAATTTGGAAGCATCTATGCGCCCCAGACTCGCATAGGCCGGAAACGAACTGTGACACCGCTAATGATAGGAGCCCTCTGTGATCACCTATCCGAAAAGCCCTGTCTCTAACTCGATGAAATGGCTGTCTTCCTCTGGGATGAGTTCCGGACCATGGTTACAACCTCCAGCATAAGAAGAGCCCTTGTCGCCAAAGGTTGGTCTAAAAAGTCTGCGCGGCAACGTGGAAGGGAGCAAAATGCCGATCTGCGGGACTATTATCTGCACAACCTATCGGAATTTCAATCGTACCACTTGGTATATGTTGATGATTCTGGATGTGATAAACGGGTTGGGTTCAGACGGACAGGTTGGGCACCACTTGGCAAATCCCCGCTTCAGGTAACACAGTTCCATCGCGACCAGCGATATCAGATACTGCCCGTGTATGCCCAAGATGGGATCGTCCTCTCGCGTGTCTTCCGCGGCTCTACAGACTCCAGCGTATTTGAGGGCTTCATAGCTTAGCTTGTTCAGCATTGCGGAGGATGGCCAGAACCTAAATCCGTCCTTGTAATGGACAATGCATCATTCCACCACTCAGAGCACCATGTACAGATGTGTACCGATGCTTACGTCGCAAATTGCTAAAGCTGTGAATGTATAAAGCACCTAGATGTGATATTCACAATAATCTATAAGCACTGGAGACCATACAAGCTTAATACGGCGCTATTTTTATCCTGTTATTTACAGCTGTACTGGATTACTGCCAAGAACAGGGGTCAGGGGCAGCTTGACCGTAATAGGTATAGCGTGTTTCGAAGGAGGGTTTGAGAAAGAATCTCTGTGTGCAAGTGGTGAAACTGATTCCGATCCATGCTGTACCAATTGTGTCCCATAAGCAGAAGATTCGCCAGTGCTGTGTGATGAACAAGATGACGATACAGAAACCCAGTTCACATGGACAGAGACGGCCGATGAAGCTGAAAATTTACCCCAACTCACCTCCCCTACACCCGAGCGACGTTCCCAGAAGATGCGGAAAACCTCGTATACAGATATTCTTGCCCAATCAAAATAGGTCCTCCGGCCTCGGCTGCTTTGTCATTACTCGCAATGTTCTTCCCGCCATGCTTTAGCCTTCCTTGGTCCACCAAGTGATCTCAATCTATCTCAATAACCTCACGTATCTCAAACTTCCTCCCCTTCTTGTCGTTTCAGGGCCGCAGCGTGCGCAGCGCGCGTCTTCCAGTTTAACGATGTGACGGGTTAGCGGGCGGCCGTTTTGGGAGTTCTCCCGTCTTGGCATCACGTCAGCGTATTCCCACGGCTCGTCTCAACTGGACCTTTTGTTACTCTTTGTTCAACATCACCTACATAAATGCTCTCGCTGTGATGGTCTCAAGCAATATGTATCTAGTGGTAGACTATATATGACAGCTCATATACAATGGCTCAACATTGCGGCAATGGACGCTGCCGCCCTGTACCCAGACAATGCTGAACCCTGTTCCTCCTGCCAAACGGCAACAGCATTTCTCGGTGGACGAGACCGAGATCACCGTGAGATACGTAGAAAACGCCAGGGATGCGCGACCCACATGTGATTACGTTAAGATATGCATTTGCCACGTGCGTTTGACATATTGAACCGAATGAATTTTTTTCGAGTTTCTTGTCCAGCTACATTTGAATGCCCTTGCAGTTCAGAGCAGTTTTATAGATCAGGCTTTCTTTTGCTAAAAATGCTCGCGGTCTTGCTAACATACACAGACGCGTACTACTGCGCCGTAGTAGATGGCGGGTTGGAAAACGTCAGGAATGGCCCGGCCCGACCCACGAAGTGCGCCATGTTACATATAAGGGATGTGCTGCGTGTTGTCGAGGGTTTTAACTCTATGCTTGTAAAGAACTCGCTCTCGATTTAAGAACTGTGGAAACGCGGTCCGAAAGTAGTAATGTTTCTGGTGATCCATCCTCAGCCAGCCAATTTTTGCTTGCCAAACCTAAGTTCGCTAGTCGCATAATCAATGTCCATCGTTATTTCGCTTTCACTTCTCTTTCTTGGAAAAGAAGAAAAATAAGATGAGAACAAAAGTCCAACCAATGCTTCCCGGGCTAAATATCTTGTAAAATTCACACCAATTCTTTCAAGCGTTTATACTCCCCCTCAAAGATGGTTCGGCGTCTCAGAGCACGGTTCAAGTCATTGTTCAGAAGGAACCGCCCACAATCTCAGCAGGACCAATCTCAGCAGGACCAATCTCAGCAGGACCAATCTCAGCAGGACCAATCTCAGCAGGACCAATCTCAGCAGGACCAATCTCAGCAGGACCAATCTCAGCAGGACCAATCCCAACATGGAAAACCGCAGCCGGAGCTTCCTGAAAATCAGGTCACGCAGAACGGGCGCACACCTGGCCTCTCCGATCAGGCCGACATAGTCGACGAGGCACTTCCTAACAACCCAGAGCCACCGGATCATTGGCAGATCGCCTATAACAAACTGAACGAGAGCGAAAAGCGTCATTTGTCAGGTGTGCAATTTGCTGCTCAATCCTCCAGCAGCAAGGATAACGACGTTCCCGGCCCTTTGAGAACAGAGGGGATCTTAAGCCAGGTTGTCCAGACAACAAGAGAGCAATATCAGGAATATCAAAAGGGAGGCTTAGTGATCAAACGGTCGGGTACTGAGGATATTTACATTCGAGAAATTTCTCAGAAAATTCTCAGTTGCACATTGTCTTTTAAGGATGTTATTACCAATATCGTGGCATTCGACCCTACCGGACATGCATCGAGTGCGTGGGCGGTCGTGTCGCTTGGATTGACGGTATGTAATTGTGGCCCAGGATCCCAGATAATAAGCTGACCAGCGCAATCAGATGGCTCAAAACCATAATGAATTACGGGGTGCTTTATTCGAATCTTCGGGATATTTGGCGGATGTTCTTGCTCGATGCGCTTTTATGGAAGAAAGGTTCTACCGTGAGAAACAGTCGAAAGTCTACAACCAGGAAAAGGAACATGCGATCGTTCGAGTCTACGTGGCTGTCTTGCGCTACGCAGCCGAGGTACGCTCCATTCAACAGTCCACCATAGGAAAAGGGATACTGGCAAGTCTCACTGGGATCACCGACAAACCGCTCACCGCGCTTAAATCTGCCATTAAAGAGGAGGAAATGGACCTGAAACTATGGCTCCTACTCGATCAGCACCTCCACTGTAAACAGGAAGCCGAAGACATTCTAGCCCAGTCTGACATGATGCTGTCAGCCATCCACGATCTCGCCGAGGAAGTCGATCTCTCAAGGCTACCCGTCGCTGACGGGGCTTCGCATAACTCGTTTGCTGAACAGCATGAAGATGAATGCCTTCCCGGAACGAGAACGGAGCTACTTCAACGCGTGATGGACTGGGCAGCCTCCCCAGACTGTCCATCCATATTCTGGTTGAGTGGTATGGCTGGAACCGGGAAGTCTACTATATCACGGAGTGTGGCCAAGTCCCTCAAGGCCCAAAACGTGCTTGGGGCCAGCTTCTTCTTCAAGAGGGGTGAAGAGGACCGCATGAATGCTATCAAGCTTATCCCAACAATCACACGACAGCTGGCCGCTAGCATCCCCGGAATGATACCGGGTGTCAGGAAAGCAGTAGAGCGCGATCCTTTCATTGCGACGAGATCACTTAGTGAGCAATTTCACAAACTTCTGCTGCAGCCACTACTTCGCTTGAATCAGCATCAACAGACTCCGATTGCAGTGGTGATTATCGATGCCCTGGATGAGTGCGAATCAGACGAAGACATACAAACGCTTATTAAGCTGTTGCCCAAAATGTCAAAGATTGTGCGATTATTCTTGACAAGCCGGCCCGAATTATCGATTCACTTTAGCTTTGGTTTCCTTGAACAAAGTGACTATCAGCCCGTCGCTCTCCAAAATGTTCCCGAAGAGCAGATCTGGCGTGATATGACCTTATTCCTTGAGAACAAATTCTCAGTCATCCGGAAAGACCGATCTCTTACTCCGGAATGGCCTGGGGAAAATAGGATCCACGATATAGTCGCTATGGCTGTCCCACTGTTTATCTTCGCAGCTACCATATGCCGCTTTGTTGGTGATCTAAAATGGAATCCAGAAAGACGTCTCGAGAAGTTCTTCCAAGACCCCGGGCTGACGTCTGCATCTAAGATGGACAGAACATACCAACCGATTTTAAATCAACTTGTTGCTGGCCAGGATCGAGATGATTCAGAGGAGCTGGTGGAAGAGTTCCAAAGGATCATAGGCGTGATCATCCTATTAGCTACTCCGCTGTCTGTCAGTGCCCTTGCACAGCTTATTGACATGCCCGAGGAAGATATCAGCAACCGACTGGATTCATTCCGTTCCGTTCTCCACATCTCCAGCGATCCCAAACTTCCTATCAGAATTTTGCATTTGTCATTCAGGGACTATCTTGTGAACAATTCCACCAAGCTGAACGAACGGACCTTTAAATTCTGGGTGGACGAGGAAGAGAAAAATGGGCAGATAGCTTCCCAGTGCCTTGACGTCATGCACTGTCGTCTAAAGAAGAATATTTGCAATTTACCAAATGATGGGACCCGGTGGACGGAGCTGGATAGCACTATCATTGACCGAAATCTTCCAGCAGAACTTCAATACTCTTGCCGTTATTGGGTCCATCACTTGGTGCAAAGCCACGTTTCTGCCACAGATAATATTCTGTTATTCCTGGAGGAGCATTTCCTCCACTGGCTGGAATCAATGTGTATTTTGGGGATTATATCAGAGAGCGTGAATATGATAACTTCATTGCAGTCTTTTACTCAGGTATGTCTTTATATTTTCCCATCAAATCCACATGCAGACATTAATGAAAGTTTAGAACAAGGAAAACTTGAGAATGTCAGAGTTTCTCCACGATGCGAGACGATTCATCCTGAAGAACATGCAAATGATGGATACAGCACCACTTCAACTATACTGCTCAGGGCTCATTTTTGTGCCACGTCATACAACTATCAGAAAGACCTTTGACAAACAGATACCTGATTGGATCTGCAGACTGCCAGAGGTAGAATCGGCCTGGAGTGCAGAAATCCAGACGCTAGAAAGCCATTCAAACAATGTTAGTTCCGTGGTATTCTCACCGGACGGAAACCTTCTGGCCTCGGGCTCCAGGGACGGTACAGTCAAGCTTTGGAACTCCACTACGGGGTACCTCCAATCAACTCTGGAAGGCCATTCAAAGCCAGTTCTTTCAACAGCATTTTCACGAGATGGCGCGCTTATTCTTTCTACTTCCGCTGACCATACTCTCAACATTTGGGATGCTACGGGAACCCTCAAACACACATTAAGGGGTCATTCGGGTTCGGTTTTCTCTGGAGTATTCTCGTCAAATTGCAATATTATTGCTTCCTGCTCTGCAGACACCACAGTTAGGGTGTGGAATACAGAAGGATCTCTGCAACATACGCTAAGAGGCCATTCGAAAGATGTCATATCTGTGGCATTCTCGCCAGATGGTAAGCTCATAGCTTCTGGCTCTGAAGATTGTACCGTCAAGCTATGGGATTCAGCTACAGGAAACCTTCGCCGTACACTGGAAGGCCATTTGAATGAGGTCTATCCTGTGTTCTCACCGGTGCTATTCTCACCGGATGGTAAGCTTATTGTCTCTTGCGATAGAGACGGGGCAGTTAGGCTCTGGGATACGACAGGGGCTCTACAACATACCTTAACTTACCATTCGCGTGAAGTCCGTTCTGCCGTGTTCTCGCCGAATGATCATACACTTCTGGCCACCGGTTCTTTTGATGGCACAATCAAGTTGTGGGATACCAGCAAAGGAACGCTGCAAAGTAATTTAGACGCTGACAATGGCTGGGTCCTAAGTCTGGCTTTTTCGCTCGATGGAAAGCAACTGGCAGCCGGATATTTGGATAACATAGTCAAGGTCTGGGACGTTGAAACAAGAGCATTGCATTGCACTCTTAGAGGACATTCGGACAGAGCTATCAAGGTGGTATTCTCACCAGCCGGCAGGCTTCTCGCCTCTGGCTCTTGGGATAATACAATAAAGCTCTGGGACACTACTAGAGCCGATACCCAGCCTGTGCAAGAACGCCATTTGGGTGAAATTGCAATGGCGGCATTTTCACCAAACGGAAAAATAACCGCCTCTTCATCTGATGATGGGTACCTCAAGCTCTGGGATGTCAAGACAGGAAGCCTGCAACATAACCTCCAGATTCCATCTCAATCCCGCCACGAGGGTGATATGGTATTTTCCCCAGATAGCAAGCTCTTGGCCTTCAAGGGATATCATACACTCAAGGTCTGGGACACCAACACGGGAATTCTTCAAATGACCGGTAATATCCGGCCAGATGAAAACGATATGGTGAAATTTCCACTCGATAGCAAGCTTGTGGCGTTCATAAACCGTTTCGGCCACATCGGCAAGCCTCGGGATCTTGACACGCGTGTCACTGGGACTGAATACTACAATAAAATGGCTGATCGCATGAATCTTTCGCCGGATAATAAACTAGTGGCATGTTATTCCGACAAGATTATCAAGTGTTGGGATGTTGCCACAGGAACCCTGCAATATATCCTAAACGATCCTTCGGATTCGGATTCAGTCCCAGTTCTCAAATTCTCGCCAGACAGCAAACTTGCGGCTTTCTACTTTCGGAATTACATGATCAAGTCAAGCTCGTCCAAAGGGATGTGGGATGTGTCCTTCTACACCAACGATAAGGCAGTCAAGCTCTTGGACGCCAGCAATGGGACCCTGCTAGATGCTCTGGAGGGTCATTCGGATTGCCTTACTACTGTGAAGTTCTCAGGAGATGGCAATTCACTGGCATCTGGCTCCCTAGATGGCATAGTGAAGCTCTGGGACCTCCTCGCAAGAACCCTGCAGCACACTTTTGCAGGTCATACGGATGCAATTACAGACGTGGCTCTCTCATCCGACGGCAAGCTCGTCGCTTCCAGTTCCAACGATAAGACAATCAAGCTCTGGGATGCCGATACAGGAGAAATGCAGCATTCGTTCGCTGTTGAAGATGTGGCAAACGACCTGCAATTCTCGACGGATCGCCCGTTTCTGAATACAAGCCAAGGGTCTTTTATGCTTCAGCCTTCGTATAGAATGTTTGCGTCACTTGCGTGTCATGCATATGCCAATGAAGCCCTGGGGCAGCACTGGGTGGCTCTGCATGGTAGAGACATGCTTTGGCTTCCTCATAAGTATCGACCCAAGGATTCGGTCGTTCGAGACAATACTGTTGTTATTGGGAGTAACTCTGGGCGAGTTGTCTTTATGGAATTTGATCGAAACTGTTGATGAGTATATAGTTCCCATTTAGGACTGAAACCGTTTGACAGGAATTTACATATCTCCATTTTGCTGCGTGAACATCCAAATATTTAAGGGTGACCACGGACTGGTTGAATGCTCTGTTGTACTTTCAACAGACTCTCGGGGGCCATTCACATTGGGTTCGGTCGGTGGCCTTCTCGCCCGACGGCCGGCTACTGGCGTCCGGCTCGGATGATAGGATAGTCCGGCTCTGGGACACGGCAACAGGCGCGCTACAACAGACGCTCGAGGGACATTCACATTGGGTTCGGTTGGTAGCTTTCTCGCCCGACGGCCAGCTGCTAGCGTCCGGCTCTGATGACAGGACAATCCGGCTCTGGGACACGACGACCGGGGCTCTACAACAGACCATGAGCATCGACGGAATGGTCACTGACCTCGAGTTCTCTCAAGATGGTTCATCTCTCAGCACCAACCTAGGTTCCCTCGATATTCAGCCTAGGTGTGGCATTTATGTCTCTGATTCACCCAAGACGGGTCTAGAGATACGCATACAGCGGGGAAACTGGATAGCTTTGAACGGGAAACAAGTATTATGGCTTCCTCTAGTTTGTACCGACATAGATTTTCCATCAAATGAAGACTTCCCGTCTGCTGCGGTGACAGGAAGACAGTTACCAGTGTCAATCAAAGGCACTAGGAAGCAAGAATCAACTCAAGAACCACCTATTTCAATCAAAGCCAAGAATTCGAAAAGGCCAAAACAATACCGTATCTTCCCAGACTTCGGTACAGACTTTCTGTGGCGAGAGTTGGATGATATCTGCCGCGATGACTCTGATGATGACTATTGTCTCGAATCTGAAGATTTACTCAAATCACCTTCATTTCCTCCGTCATTGCTGGAACTTTATGATGAATGGGTAAAGACATACAATGTGAACTTCGACAGGCGATTAAACAAGCCTGGTAATTTCCAGGCCTCAGTGTTCGCCACCGTTTCTGAATATGTGGCCTGGAATGTGGCAGGTTATTTACTGGTTTGGTGAATCACAATGGCACCCGAGGTTGACAGAATCGAATTATCCGCTGGTACCAAGAAATGGTTACTTAGGAAAGACAGAGGGAGGGAGGAGAGCACCAAGATCACTAAAGATTTTTTTGAGGAGATGTGCAATATTCTCAAGAAGGGGCTCGTTGAATGATGAGACATCTGTGTCTATAATAGCTCCTTGGCTTTATTTTGGCTCTATCTTCAGTTGAGCCTGTTGTTCACAAGTTTGAAGATGCAACATTGAGAATAATTTAGAACTAGAATATGAGGACATGTGGGATTGATGCTGAAAATGTCCGCTTTTGAGGCCTCAAGCTTAATCCGGTGCCCGAAGCTTTATCAGATAACCGTATGAAAGTTATCTCAACCGACTAAGACCTACTCTTTTTCCGCATACAAAAATGCAAAGTGCTAACTCGACTCACCGTCAGTCTCCCAAGCCCCATGGGATAGACTTGAGAGACGACATCAACGGTTATGGTAGAGATGATAGCAATATCTCATGGTAATTAGACATAAGCTCTTAGCAACTGGGACTTTAGCGCAAGGGTCCCTTAATGTGGACAATTAGACATGCAAGAAATGGGTATGGTATGTTTCCGACGACCCAGCGCACGTGTTCAAAGCGAGCCAGAGAAATTTGTTTGGACCTCATAGACTAAATTGAAAACAATAGCGAGAGAATCTGGTCGAGCCCGCCTATTTCAAGATAAAGACAAGGCTCAATAGCTTCGATTTTCATCAAGATAAACGGGCGGTCTTTGGTAACCAAGCCATCCACTCGCATATAACCTATCTTCCCTGTTGTCGCACCCCCGAACCGAGCCTTGAGCTCACCAAAGATAGAATTGACGACAGACAAGGTCGTCTTCTGAATCTCTTGAATCGATTTGCGACTCAGTTCGCCGCCAAATTGCGGCTGACAGCGGAACTCGCCGCTACGAGGCGATTTCAGAACCACGTGAGAGACACTCGCCGACAAATATGAAGGAATATTCACCCTCTGAGATGGATGGCTCAAACTGCTGCAAAACAATTGAGCTTCCCAGGTGACCATCAACGCATGACTGCAAGTGTGTGATGTCTTCTTCCGAGAGGCTTGAAATGTCAGAGATGAGTGTGGTGTTATTAGAGGATGCAGAAATCGCTGGTTTGAGGACGACGGGCCCAGATGATTGAAACTCAATCAGTCGTTGGTGTAACGTGGATGTAGAATCAAATTGCTTCGCCTCAATAATCTCCGTCTTGGGTATATCGATTCCCGTGTCACGCATCTCCAAGAGATATTTTTTGTCCATGTTCCATTGGACCAGTTCGATAGGATTCACCATGCATGGACAACTAGTACTGTCTTTAATTGACTCAATCCCAGTTCGAGCTCTTATGAGAAAATGTTGAAATTCAATGGGATGTCGAATGTAGTCCTCAGCCCAGAGAAAAGTCACAACATCGTGATTCAAGATGGAGGCAATGATATCCTCATCCAGCCACCGTTTGACGGTGACCATTACCCTATCAACAGCGGGAGTAATGCTGCACAAGTCACAATTCATAATGACTGGGCCGACTTCAGCGAGGTATGAAATCATATGCAACTCCCTGATTCTGATCTATAGACTTATCATTTCAACAGGGGGCAGCGTTTGTTTGGGTTGCGAACATGGATGTTGACTGCGATGGCCTGAATTTCCAGTGTGAGGTACGTGGTCACTTACAGTTCCCAGTTCCCATATTTAGACACTGACCCTTTGGAAAGGGAAACCAAGACGGACAGGCAGTGACCGACTTTGGCGCTCTATCTGCGTATGCAGTGCCATTCATCGTGATCCCCAACAGATTTGGCGTCCAATACAAAGGAGCCCTGCCAGGGAATAACGTCGCTGCTGTCATTTGGTAAGTTCATTTAGCACTGAAATGGGTTGCTTAGTTTGACTGAGATTTAGCAACGGGAAGATGTTCTATGGCATCTACGGTGATACAAATGGAGCTTCTCCACAAGCCATTGGAGAAGCATCCTGGTTGATAGCCCGGACCTGTTTCCCAAATGACAATTTGAACGGGAACCGCGGTCATGCTGAGACGGACGTCACATGTAAGTCAAATTTGATTCCATTCTGAGCTGAAAATGAGAATGAGCTCAGTGGAAAGTCAAAGGATTCTGACAGATAAACTAACCTGAACACTTCAGACATCGTCTTCACTGGGAATGACGCCGTTCTTCCGGGTAGTGCTTTGAACGAGCACTATATCACCGATTTCACCACTTTGCGCTTCATGGGCGACAATTTGGTTCACTCCCTTGCAAAGAGCTTGCAACTGGTCGCGGAAAGTGGCAAATCAGACTTTACCGCGACTACATTTTCCACTGCTGTCGCTACCACCACGGCCACTGGTAGCCCTTGCTCTTGGGAGGGGCATTGTGCTGGTAAGCCAACATTTGCGACTCCCATTTTGTATTGATGACTGATTATTTTTGAAGATGCGCCTTGTTCCATCGACGATGATTGTGTCGATGGCCTTGCTTGTGAGGCTGGTAGATGCACAAGTTCTTGAATTCAAAGAGAGTTCGTGGTTGCAGAACAGGTCGCGTATCCTATAGATGGATAGCGCTTTGGCTGAGAGTCATTTGCTTGGCTCAGGAATTTGGCTGTACAAAATTACATGATAGAACTTCCTTCTCATGCATAGCTAATAATGCGAATGAAAAGTTATAAGAATTTGCTTCTTTTGGACAGGGACTTCCCAGTTCTCATTCAATACTTCTTCCAAATAAATGCCTTCAGCGGTGGTGTCGTGTTGAGTGAGTGAGTGATCTCCACACTGCCGCAACAATCCAAGATGACATGAGAAAGTACCGAGACCTATGAATCAAATCGGAGATTTATTAGAATGGCTTTGGTGGTTCTTTTGTCAAAAGCAACACTCGCGCAATTGGATCCAACCCGATCAAAATCCCTCCGACGTGGTATGACGCGATTCTCCAGCGGACAACGTTATTCGGCCTTCCTCCGTGAGGGGATTCCCCAACGGGAATGACCTTTATCTCCAGTACTGTGATGAGCACTTTTGATACGGTCGGAGCATAATTCGTGCTTTTTGAAGAAGATGACAGCAGACCTGTCTCGAGCGGGGTTCACACTAGACGAAGTAGATAAATAAGCATGGCTTCAATGAAAGAGACTGAACGACCTGGGATAAAATCAATTGATTCACAAAATAAATAAAAACCTTCGTCTGGGAACTTGATTGATCATCCGCCATGGCAGCCGAAAGCTCAACGCCCAAGCGGCGGATTTATCTCAATGGCTTCGACATGTTCACAGTAGGCCATCTCTCCTTCGGGCAGTGGAAGAATCCCGCCGATCGCTCAGCAACTAAGCGACGGGACTTGTCGTATTGGACCAATTTGGCCAAGATTCTGGAAAAGGGAGACTTCAATGCCCTTTTTCTTGCCGACACCTATGGGTTATATGACACGTACAAGGGCACCGCAGAGCCTGCAATTCGCAATGGCGCCCAGTACCCCATGGGAGATCCTGCGATAGTACGTCAGCGGCAGAATTTCCACAGGTTCCAATTGCTAACACATGTCTCAGCCAATCTCCGCCATGGCATCGGTGACCAAGAACCTTGGGTTCGCGATAACTACTTCGACCTCATACGAAGCCCCGTATGTCGTCGCGAAAAGATTCTCCACCTTGGACCACCTGACAGGAGGCCGATTCGGGTGGAACATCGTGACCTCTTGGAAAGAATCAGCCGCCAAGGCAGTGAGTTGAGACATCCATAATTTCAATGCAAAGCTGACATGCATAGGTGGGCTTGCCCCTGGTAGATCACGACAAGCGGTACGAGATAGCCGATGAGTACCTGACATCTCTGTACAAGTAAGTGCAACCGAGGCCCAACTCACCCTGCAAACGACCAACACACAACAGACTGTGGGAGGGCAGCTGGGCCGACGACGCACTGCAAGAAAACGCAGAGACAGGCGTATACGCAGACCCCAGTCGAATCAACTACATCCACCACCACGGCGAGCATTTCCAATTCGATGGACCCCACATCCTCGACCCATCCCCACAACGCACCCCATTCCTCTTCCAGGCCGGCACCTCGCCCGCCGGCGTCGCCTTCGGAGCCAAACACGCAGGAGGAATCTTCGTCTCCGCCCCCTCACCACACATCCTCGCACCGCGAGTCGAAGCAATCCGCGCCGAAGCCGCGAAAAACGGCCGCGACCCGCGCTCCATCAAAGTCTTCGCCATCCTCACGCCCATAGTGGGGCGCACCGACGAAGAAGCCCAAGCCAAGTACCGCGAAGCCCTGTCCTACGCCAGCGAAGAAGCGGGACTAGCGTTTTTCTCCGGCGGCAGCGGGATCGATCTGAGCAAGTTTGATCTGGACACGCCGATCACGGCTTCGGATGTGCATGTGGATGCGCGGGTTCATTCGACGATTAACACGCTTTCGTACCAGAGTCCCGATGTGCCTGCGTGGACGCCAAGGAATATTGGCAAGCATATTTCGATTGGTGGGGCGGGGCCGGTTCCTGTGGGATCCGTGAGTCGAGTTGCTGATTTCTTGGAGGAGTGGGTGCGTGTGGCGGATTTGGATGGGTTCAATATTGGCTATGTTCAGACACCGGGGACGTTTGAGGATGTTGTTGAATTGTTGATTCCGGAGTTGAGGAGGAGGGGCGTGTATGCGCCCGAGAAGGAGAGTGGGACTATGCGTGAGAGGGTGTATGGGGCTGGTCAGAAGCGTTTGCGTGATGACCATTTTGGAAAGCGGTTCGGGTATGAGGTGTATGATGGACAGGTTTAACAGCCACCAGGGGAAATTAGATGAGCCTCTTCTTTTTGTTTGGTCCTTTGGTTTGAGATGAAATGATGAAATGGATGCAATTTGAAGGTTCTAGTTTATTGAAATCAGGACTGCTCTAATTAATTTTCGTACCCACTGCCTACTGTATACTTCGTACTCCGTACTGTGTGTTTATTAGCGTCTTTAGATCGCAATGCCCAATTAAGCCTATTTCACCCTCCAAATTCCCTCGTACTCGAAGATATTCAGGAACATGTAACTAAGCGCCAGTCAGACTGCCAAGAAGAAGCGGAAATAAAAGAATCCATACGGAGTAGAATGAGTAGAGCGAATAAAGCCATGAGGTCAGGGGCCCGCCGAGTGTGATTGGCCCAACTGCAACGGGGCTTGACGCTAATGCTGGAGATCGGGTATTTTGACACACTTTCTCTTCTTTTTTCTTTCATTCTTCACGTTAATTGAGTCACTTTGCTCGCTTCATTTACACTCCTCTTTGACTCGAATTAGACTGCGAATCACTTGTCTCCATACTACTGCTATTTCCCTAAAACTAGCCTCAACACTAACATCTGACAGAACTGCTCTGCAGATCCCAGATTGTCTCTAATTAATTAAACGATCACCGGACCCTCCGATTGGGACGCCACTGAAATCAAATTTGCAGCCCAGAACGCGACACTGTACTCGTCAGATGGCATCAAAGAAATCTCCCATTTCCGGGCAAATGAACGGACTACCGCAACCGCGAGGCGCTCTTGGCGGCGGTTTCACCCCCTCCGTCCCTCTGCCCTGACGCACATCCAGCAACTGCCCACCGTCGCCTCTGTTGGACCTGCAGTGTGACAAGTTTGATTTTACTTGGCTCGTCTAATATCCCCCGCGAGTGGTCCTGGGTCTAGCCCTGACCCCCCCGCTTCCAGGATCCCGCGCAGCCTTATACCTCCGATGCTGGGATCTTGAAACACTGTCATGCAGGGTATGCAATATGTGCATGTCATCGAGATCCATGGTTCCGGAGGACTATAAGTATTGAGCATCGGCTCATGGAGTTTTGCTCTTCCATCACTATCCTTCAGTCTCTCCTTTTACTGACACTTGCTGGACTCAAGTTGTCTATCCATTCCTTTCGACAGTATACATTCATTTTCACACATTCATTTGAAATTACCCATTTTATCAAAATGATGCATTCTACCCAAAATTCTGGCTGGCAGGTCCTGGTGGCCAACAGGAAGGCTTTGGTCTCCTGTCTTCTGGGCCTCTTCTTTATTGCCCTGGTGGCTGATCTCCGTGCTGACGGAGTCGGTCACGGCCAGACCCTTTTCAAGCGCGACACCACCACTGCCGACACGGCTATCTGGCAGCCCGCTTCCGGTGTCAAGTGGCAGATCCAGCTGATCGATGCCGTCGAAGACACCACCGTGGACGCCGACATTTGGGACATCGACCTCTTCGACAACACCGCCGAGACCATCACCACCTTGAAGAACAAGGGCCACAAGGTTATTTGCTACTTCTCCGCCGGCACGTACGAAGACTGGCGGTCGGACGTCAGCAAGTTCGACACTGCGGACTTCGGCAGCAACCTCGACGAATGGCCCGGTGAGCGCTGGCTCAACATCAAGTCGACCAGCGTGCGGTCGATCATGAGCGCTCGCTTGGATCTGGCAAAGGAGAAGGGCTGTGACGGCGTTGATCCGGATAATATCGATGCGTACGGCAATGAGAACGGTCTCGGTCTGACCGAGGCTGACTCGATTGACTTCCTTACCTTTTTGGCTTCCGAGTCTCACTCGAGGGGTATGTCTATTGGACTCAAGAACGGTGGTGACATTATTGGCTCGGTCATTGATAAGATGCAATGGTCTGTCAATGAGCAGTGTGCCGAGTACAATGAGTGTGATGTCTATGCTGCTTTCACCGAGGTCAACAAGCCTGTGTTCCACATTGAATACTCTGATGAGACTATTGAGTCTAGTAGCTCGGACTCGGCCTCGGCGTCTTCTACTACCGATGAAGACAGCGATGCTAGCACCACCACCAGTGCTGCCTCGGCCACTGCCACTTCCGAGACTGAAACTGAAGATGAGGATGATGCCACTGACGGCGCCGTCAAGGCCATTGATTCTACCACGACAACGGCTTCTTCTTCTGCTCAGGTCTCTGCTACAGCTTCTTCTGTCAGCGGTGTCGCTTCCAAGACCAGTACCTCCTCTGCTGCTACGGCCACGAGCTCCGACAGTGCCACTGAGGACTCTACTGACGACGTTGATGATGAAGACGAAGATAACGACGAAGGTGAGGATGAGGATGATGACGACGAGGAAGACGCAGAAGATGCAGAGAATGCAGAGGACGAAGCAGATGACAAAGAGGATGACAAAGAGGATGATGAGGAAACCACCGATGTCAAGCCCCAGCACCGTTACGGCCACGGTCACCACAAGCTCCGCGCCAGAGCAACCCTCTCAGTCTCGCTCAAGAACACTGCCTGCAATGCCGCCAGTGCTGACAAGTTCTCCACTGTGATCAAGAACATGAACCTCGATGCCTGGGTTGAGTACTGCTAGTTGCTGGACTGCTTGCAAGCTCCCCGAGGCATTTATCCTTGTCTACCATTCACTTGCGAGGGAGTATATGTGTCATTTTTGCGCTTCGAGATGGTCATACTGCTGCTATTTATCAGAAGGATAGAAAAGAATGAGAAATACTTATCAGATTTTGTGCTCTGTTCTTCTTGAAACACAACGTCAAGAGGTAAATCCAGTTGATGTAGGATATAGATGGCCCGCAAAAGCGTCCACCTCGCCCATTCCCTTGATTTTCTTCCAACACCTCTACCTCTCTTCACCTTCCGACATCTTCCTCTTCCACCCATTTCCCGCTCAACCTTCGACAGCCATGTCACCCTCTCTTACATTGGGCTTCCAAGCCCTCATTCTGTGTGGACCTGGCGTATCGCTGAACACCTTCACGTCCAAGCCGGACGACTTCCCAAAGTGTCTAATCCAAGTCGCAAATCGGCCAATGGTGTACTATCCCATCGAGTTCTGTCGACGCACTGGCATCACTGGTAAATCTCCCTTTCCCTCTAACCAAGAATAAAGACAAACTGGATATAGATATCACCCTGATCACGCCTCCATCTTCGTTTCCAGCAGTCAATTCTGCCATGAAGCTAGATCCGCACTTGACATCCTTCCACAGCCCGATTCCATCAATCATCGCGCCCAAGGGCCTCGACATGACAATGGGAACAGCCCAGCTGCTCCGCCTTCCAGAGGTTCAAGCGGTGATCAAGACCGACTTCATCCTACTCCCCTGCGACCTCATCTGCGAGGTATCCGGCGAAGCTCTCATCGAGGCATGGATGACCACCCAAGGCGTAGTCAACCAGTCCAAATCCGCCAGGGAGCGACGCAACTCATTCAACACCTTCGACAAGAAACCCCTCGACGTCCGACAGAAAGGCCGACACGGTGCCCTCACCATCTACTATCAAACCGCAACCAAAGACGATACCATCAAAAACGAAGCAACCGACTTCGTAGCCATCGCCCCTCTCACTCACGACGAAGCAGCCGTAATCCCATCCACCGATCCCGAGCAAGCACCAATCCGCTTCAACCTATTCAAACTCCTCCTCTCAACACCCATGGCAACAATAAAAGACAAAATGGAACAAGAAAAGGGCCTCCTCCTCCGCCACTCCCTCCTCCAAACCCACGCGCGAATCCGTCTCCTAACCACATTCCGCGACGCCCACCTCTACATCTTCCCCCGCCGGGTCCGAGATCTCGTCCGAGGCCAACAGCGCCTCCAATCAATCAGCGACGACCTAATCGGCAACTGGGCCAAATCATGCTGGCAAGACGGACTAGGCGAGAACCTAGGTCTAACCCGAATGATCCAATACAGTACCGTGAATCTCGAAGAATCAAGTTTCGACAGCAACATCGAAGCAAAATACATCGATCCTAGAATCGATCTTCAACGTCTCAGTACCACGAAATCAGCCCTTAATACTCTACCCCCGAAATACATCCATGATCCCAAGAGTTTGAAGGCTGAGAAGAATCCACCGCCTGCGACACCTGCGGATCTTCCTCAGCTCCTGGCTTATGTTTACAGGGGTGGTAATCTGATTCGCCGAATTGATAATCCATCTCTTCTCCTAGCGACTTCGTTACATCTCGCTAAATTACCTTCAATTGAAGAAGTGGGTCGTGAAAGCGCTTCGCCATTCGCGCACGCGCGCAAGATTTCATCGCCTGAGCTCGTCGCTGGTCGTAGCATGGTCACGGCACATGATTGTCTTCTCGGGGACCATGTGACTATTGAATCCACGGCTGTTGTGAAAGAGAGTTGTATTGGGTCGAATTGTCAGATTCATCGTGGGGCGCGGATTATTCGGTGTGTGGTTATGGAGGGTGCGGTTGTTGAAGAGCGGGTTCAGTTGAGTGGGTGTGTTATTGGTCGGAGGGCGAGGATTGGTCGGGAGTCTGTTTTGAGGGATTGTGAGGTTCAGGATTGTAATGTGGTTTCTGGGAAGGTTGAGGCGAGGGATCGGAAGTTTATGGTTTTTGAGACTGGGGGTGAGGTTGAGGATGGGGTTGAGACTGAGGGTGAGAGTGAGGAGTGATGGTGGAGTTCTGGAATGGAGTTGGTAGTTGGGATATGATTTTGAGAGATTGAATTTATTCTTAAGTTATTGCGATATTGCATGAACTTACTTTTTTCGCTAGCATTTGAATGTATGAGACCGGCATTAGTTAGAATATTTAGGTTTTGTTATTCTTAATGCCAGGATTACTCCAGCGAATGGTGGGGAGACAAGTCTATGGATCTTTGCGCTAAGGGACTTTTGAGTATCGGATATTTCATGAGATTTCCCTGCATATTCATGTAGTTCTTCAAGGCGTAGTAAGCAAATAGCTTCCAAAGCCCTCAAATGTCCAAGGATCCAGTGGTCTTCAACTATGTTTAGTGGATCTTCGATTCTCCCAAAGTACTCCGTATGGAGTACAACTTTAAGAATTCATGGTAGAGATGGTCCAAGCGGGGCCAGAGCCTCAAGTGGATTCCAACCCCTCCACTCTTCATCTTTTCTTTGATATCTATGGTCATTCTTCAGAATCAAAAACCTTAGATGTACATAGCCACAGTGAGTCATGTACGAGATTGTAAGGTATTTAGTAATTTATGGGAAGCACAGAACGTGAGTGGGTTTCATGATCGCCGCGACTGGGCCCGACCCATGACTGAACATCGTGATCTCCCCGAGATGTCTTAGATTGAACGTACTTTTCTTTACTCAACACCTCAGGCAAAAAGACACATAAGACATATTATCATTCATAGCATACAGCATGTAGTGTAACATCAACCCATTCAGGGACAGGGCCATCATGCCCGTGGGGTAGCCCTGTCCCGGGCGCAGATCATAGACAAAGGAAATATACAAAGAGTACAAAGAGTACATGTGCGAAATATACATTCAGGAAAATCAAAATCCGAAAATTCCCTATTAAAAAAAGTGAGTCACATCCAGGGAGCCAATAAAGGAACCCCGCAAGACAGAAACACAAACCATGCATGAAGTACTGACGACAGTCAGCTTCCGTAATTGGCTAATTCCCCACATGAGGAACCCGCATAATCGCAGCACCAACGGGGCGCGCCAAGACAAAGAGACGAAGTGTCAATTCGCGAGTCATAATCATCGGGGTTCCAATTCTGGAATACAGCCCGGGACTCGAGTCAGGAGATATAGGAAAAGGTTTGAAAACAAAACCAAATTTCCAGGGCGCATTTAGCAGCCCAATCAATCCAAGACTATACGTATGGGCAAGGGAGCTGTGCGGGATCTGCAGTGCTCGACCTTGCGCCGGCAAAGAATGCCGGCAAGTTGAAGCGGTGTTCAAAGGGTGGTGGTGTTCGGAGTTGTAGAATTATTGTTCAGGGTAGGTGGACGTTGCTGAATTCAACGGTGGTACCGGCCGGAGGAGCCATCGACGATGCGACGGGAAGGCTCACTGCGGCGCTCGATGCGCCTGTGCTCATCGATCTCCCAGAGCGATCCACGGCTAGAAGAAGGGCGGCTAGGGGAGCCGCTGGGCGAGCCACCGGGCGAGCGGTAGGTGATGGAAGCCGGCGAGCGCGAGAGACGCGGGGATCGCTCGATGATCTGGTGGCCGTCTGGCGACATGGAGCGAGGGCGAACGTGGCCCGGTCCGCGGGCGATCACCTGGTAGGTGCGGTCGTAGCTGACGGGTGCAGTGGGCTGGACGGGCTGGACTGGCTGGACGACGACGGGGCCCTGGCGGGTGCGCAGACCGTGCTCGATGGCGACGAGGAGGCTGCGGACGGAGAGGGCTTCGTTGGGAACGTTGACGCGGGTGGACTTGCCGCTCTCGAAGTCGACTGAGGAGTAGTACTTGCCGTTGCGGCTGAAGACATAGCTCGTCAGGTCTTTGGCGTAGGCGGTGCCTCTGTTGCAGAGGGATCCTTTGGCCTTGTGGGTTTTGAGGGGATCGAAGCACGAGTTGCAGTGGCTGGCGTGACGTTCGAAGTTGTTGACGACGAGTTTCTCGTCGTCGCGCAGGTTGCGCGCCATGTTGGCGGGATTGACAATGCCAATTGCGCTGGGCATGGTGCCGGTGGTCTCTCGTGTAATGGAGAGGTTGGACGGGTCCACGAGGTACGAGGTGGAGCGACGGGACGACACGGTGACTGACGGTTGAAGAACACAAGTAGATAGATGGTGACCCTATGTGGATTGCAGAGAATTGCAGGTTGGAAAGCAGATTGAAGCTGAGGCTTGAAGACGATTTCCGATGTGGGTGGAGAAAAAAAGAATAGAGGGGGGGCAGGTGGTCGATTATATAGATTTCCAAGTGTCATGCAGGCCATAGATGGGAGCCCTGGAGCCTGGCATGATCTGCAAGTACGGAGAGTACTTAGCGGCTACACCCTGCCCCACTCCCAGTAAGCCCCCGGTGGAAGTACTAGGCCCGTACCGGCCTAGCGCCAGGCGGTGCAACACCGCCGTCCTCGCCGTCTGCCGACGTGATGATTGGTGAGATTCCCCTGAGAGACGGTCAACAGCTTCACTTCTCTGCAAACCATTCCTTTTTGGTCTCCCCGACCCCATCTTGAGTTCTCTGTATTATCCCCATGACATCAATATCTGACCTGGTACGGAGTAATTCTGGTATTGGTATTTACGGTAATTATTATTTTAGTATCACCGTGTGGCTGCTCGTGTTCCTGTCCCGTGCACAGGGCCTCAGGTTCACGTCATTCATAGATCCTAAAATATACAAAAATATACAATAATGATCACTTTCAATGACAACCACTCCTTTCTCCAGGGGCCTGTTTGATCTCTTCATTCCACCCGGCTGCTACTCCCTTTCATAGGCCCCCGCAACCGCTGGATAAAGAGCGTCTACCGAGACAACTTGAGCCGCCAAAGAGTCTGTAGAGTTCAAAGACCCCCAAACCGTTGACTATTGTCCACTCGTTCCAAAATTAAAGCGTGCTTGTTTCGAATAACCACGCTAAGCCTAAGAATAGTGCGAACGGGAGTCTCTTTTCGGACCCCACGTTTTAGTTCTCACCAGCCTCAATTTCCCCTCTCAGCCTCAAGCCACATCCCGTATACCCTCGGAATGGCTCTTATTGTCCGACTCCTTCCCTGATCCAGGCTACCGGCACAGCCTCAGCCACTTCTCGCGCTATCTTGACTTCGTGATTCGTGACACCAGCCACTGATGCCATTCCTCCCTCTTCACTAGCTCCCTTCCCCTGTTCAACCGCCCAACCTGCATCATCGCTACCCAGGGGTTTCCCATCTTGCATGAATTTCCGACATCTCAACTCTCAACACTCTCTCCTTCCGGTCGCCGCTTCTCGCGCCATGAGACTTTCTCTTTCCACATCCTCTCGCCGCCCTCTCTTGCTGCCTCCCAGGCATCAATGCAGTCCGTGTCCTTAACCCAGGCGGTCCGATCCCCAAGCGCGTCAACCAGTCAACCAGATCGTTCTGTTTTTATCGTGTTTCACCACACCCCCCTCTCATTCGCGATCCCATCCTCTGTCCCTGTCGGCAAATTCGAGCCGCGCAATCGCCCCTACACCCTCTCACAGATAGTGTTGACCCCTCCAGATACGCCCTCCGCTCAGACTTCCAAACTACAAAATCTTTTCAACAGCCCGCCGGGCTAGCTCAATCGGTAGAGCGTAAGACTCTTAATCTTAAGGCTGCGGGTTCGACCCCCGCGTTCGGCTCTTCCTAAAACACCAACATGGTCTTTGAGATTATCTTTTTTTTTTTTTTTTTTGCCGCGAACAGAAACTTCCGTCGCATACCCCACCCGAACAAATCGAGTGGCTGAGGAGTCTCGACGGGTCGGAAGTGGGGCCCGGCGCTTAGGGAAGCGAGCGAACGAGAGTTGAATTGATATGCAAGTAATAATTAGAGCTAACGATGACCAGAGAAGCAATTGTGTCAGGCAGGAATCTGCAGCAAATCATCATTCAACGGCCATTGTATAATGTGGCTTGACAGGGTCTGTGCGCAAGGCAGAAAATGGCTTGGCGTGGGCGTGAAGGTTCCGTCTTCAGCTGGCTATGGACTCTTCACTTTTGGGTATAGCGTAGGCTTCAATTGATCTTGCTCTCTAACTGTTTCGTACACTGCGTCAAGTGTTCTGTGATTCGTCCTTGGTGGTCTCACCGCAATGTCCCTCAATGATTCATCTTACCCGGGTTTCGCGACGATATATTCATAGTCAATCGCGTGGATTGTGCAACCTTGGAAGAGAGCATTGGGTATTATTGGGCTTCGTTAAAACATGTTCACGCTAGAATTGAACTTCGTTCCATACCAGAAAATACCGTATGAGGCTGTTTGATCTATATCAAGCACGTAGGGTCCGAATACCACGTTTCGTCGCACAGATCGCGGCGGGTCCCGGGTTCCATCCTCGCACAGCGTGCAGGAGAATGGAAACTCGGCATTCGGGGAGGAACTGCTGGTGGACCGTGCTTGGAGGGGGGAAAGTACAGTAAGACAATGGGATTCTTTGGGGTTCTAGCTTCCCCTATGGGGTCTGCTGCCTTGAAATTTTGGTCGTTGCCAGCCAGTGATCCTGGTGTTTGCCACCCTGCAATCCCTTCATCTCGTTCTGGTGCTCTGAGTGGTAGTGTCTTGAAAGTCGGTGTGGTCAAGTGTGTGTCGGGGTCTCTAAGCAGGGATACCACGTCTGTCTTGCTGGTAAATGCATTTGATCTGGAGTGGTGTCTTGAAGCAAGGTGCTAGGTTAAGCAGGGGAGACTATGACCATTCTAGGTGGCCGATGGCATACTCTTGGGCACCCAAGATACCAACCATGGTCACTTGCTCTAAAGTGCTGGTTTTTCTGTTGGCTTCGTCTCCTACTAACGAATAGACATGAGGAAACTAGTATTTAGGTTCAACCCGCCTCGCCTCCCGAGGATGTTCTTGGTCTCCGACGGATAATTCTTGGGCATCTGATTTGCAGAAATGGCCACTTGCTCTAGAATGCTACTTTTCTGTTGGCTTTTCCTCATGCCAACGGCTTTGTCTCCTGTCAACACCAATATACGTATGGAAACTAGTGTTTAGGTTCAAACCACCTCGCCTCCCGAGGCTATTCTAAGTCTCCGACGGATCACGCTTGGACATCCGATCTTCCAACCATGGTCATCTGCTCTAGAGTGCTGGTTTTCTGTTGTCTTCATTCCCTGCCAACGAACAGACATATGGAAACTAGTGTTTAGGTTCAAGCCGTCTAGCTTCCCGAGGGTTGGTATCGAGCAGTGCTACCAATCGGCGAGATTGTAGCACCATGGAACAAGCATTGTCGCTCTTGGGCCAATACACCACAGTCGCCCTGCATTCTTTGGGCTCTTGTCGACTTGCTCGGACAATTGGCACGTCCAGTTGGAACTTCAACTTTGTGTAACCAAGACTGATCTTCCATAGCGCTGTAGCCGAGAGCTGACATCCCGCACATGCAAGTTTCTAGACATCGTTCCATACTTGCATGACTTCCAATGACAGAAGAGATCGGGGAAGATGGAAATCACACCGGTTCACGGACCTCGGATACATGAACATACTTTCTGGGCGAGGGTGACGATGTGGTGGTCAATCTAGATGAGAACGGTGTATTCTTGAACACTAAATTAATGACATCAAGTGGAGATATATCGGTTCTGTGTGCATTTACTGCGGTGGCTGAGACCGAGTTCTTTGAGAGAGATAGCGAGAGAGTATTTGGTAGTGCAGGTACGAAGACTGGCCTCAGGCCTCAACGAGCCCACCATCGCCGAAGACAACATATCGTGACGGCAAATGGTAGTTGATTGGACTTGTGTTCAGAGTCAGATGCTCATCCAGCAGTACAGGCAGGTAGAGCTCCAATCTGCTATCTGATCCCAAGTCCAACAGGGTCGCGGAAAGGAAACAGCAAGTGGGTATCACTGACGACCAAGAATTCATCTTGCTCAGGCGACCAGGGCTATGATCTCGATTGCCACCAAATGGAAGCTATTATTTTGGGAGCAGGCAGGTCTTTGGAGGCCTCAGCTCGTGCAGCTGCGTGGGCTGCTAGGACTGCCCCTGTAGCAGTGCTATTCGGATGCCACTGGATCGCCGGCGCGAGATGGGCTTTGGTATACGCAAGGTGCCTTTCGACTCTCTAGCCTGGTAGCTGTTAATTCTGCATGATGTTTCTGAATCTTCACCAAGTGTGGTCAGAGGTACACCGCATATGCGGCAAAGGCAATACTCCGCAGCGCACTCACACGACAGTGGCTGGGGACACGGGAGGATCCCCAATCCCTAATCATCTGTTCACAGCTTAGCACAGACTTTCTTGGTCGACGATGATACTAAATAAAGAAAGAAAGTATTAGTAGGTAGTAGATAGTTGGAAGGATGGTGAAAAATATAGCTAGAAAGACAGCGAAGTTATGAATACTCCCCAAGTTGATGATAGCCCCTTCCTTCTGTTGCCAATTGAAATATCACATAGTTATTGATCGTTCCGATCACGACGTCGGAATAGAAGGGATGGTGATAGGAGCTTTGTAGTCCTTAACAAGCTCCCTGTTTCTTCTTTGTGCGCCGTGCCTTTTTCCAGGCAGACCTCGAAGTCATACAAATGATGATAGAGAGATCCTGTCCGACATTCACGTCCTCTGCAGCTTTCTGCGACCTCTCAACGTTTTGGACTCGGACCAGGGAGGGTAATGAGCGTTGCGAGCTTCCGTCAAATTATTCTTTGTGCGGTTCTTCTGTCACTTTCCGGATAACAGACAGTCTTTTGAGGCAAAGGAGAGAGATCAGCTTTATGTTATCCTCTCAACATTGAGTAAGAGACCTCAGAAGTAAGACTTACTTTGAGAATTTCCCCACAGGAAGCCTTGTGGCGGACACGCGTCTGAGGTGTACGCCTATCGGCGAGAAGTTGTGATGCTGCATCTGCCCTTATTTCTGCCTCCACGCAGATGAGACCACTTGAAGCTGATTGAAACAGTGTTAGACCCCAGTGCGGGTGTGACTGTCTCGCGGGGGTCGATAATGGCGATGTCTGAGGGTTTGATGGTGATGGCCGGGTCATGGGGATCGTGATTTGGAACCATGGATTGATTTATTGTCGGGAATAAATGTGTTTGAAGATCTGGACTAGTCGAGAGTCAAGAATTATGCATTGCAAGACTGGTCGTAGGCCAAGATAAGTGAGGATCGCGACATCGAGCAAACTGAGATGCAGACCGGCGAAGGATCTGGATCAGCAGAGGAGCAAATCTCCGAACCATGAGATGAAGCAAGGTGGAGGGATTTGGACTGGCGATTGATCTGTAGAGAGAAATTGATGTCGCGAAGTCTCTGTCATTGGTGTGCGATCGGTCGATTCTGCCAAATGTAGTGTGGACCGTCGATTAGTCCTGCCCGCTGCGGGCGACTGAGGACGAGCAGATCTTCTGGAATAGGTGATCTTACTCGCGGCGATGGAGAGGTACTGGCCTTGAGAATTGGATGCAAGTTGTGAAAGCAGACCCAAAAAAGCGGATATTGCCAAGTGTCGGTACAATAGGTAAGGTGTTGATGTGGAGATACCCAGTGGAGACCTGCGGGATGACTTCGGGAGGCTCTTAGATAAGGATAAGGTGATTGGCTCGGATAAGCCGAAGTGGATCCATGACTAGGCACGAAGTATGCAAACGTTGGAACTTTGGAATCATGTACTTGTGAAGCATTTAAGAGTCTGCGTTCTCCTCATAAACCGGAGAAAATGTTCAAAAGCTCACGGTCAAAACCCAAACTGGGGTATATACTGTTATCATCACAGTATGGGGTAGTGGTCGAGCGTCCTCTGGTTGATTGGGGCTCTCGCAGGTGTGTCCAGGACGCCCTGGACGAGCTTGCGGGCATAGAAAAGGTCACCGGATCGAAACACACACGTGACGCCTTTCACTACGTTTTTGCAATTTTTTTTTTTGGCTTGCTCTATCATGTTTGTATCTGAGGGTTAGGTCATGTGTTCACTCTGCTGAGTTTGGATTACCTTTCTGGTCCAGACCTCTTGAGCTTTCTCTTCTTAGCCCATGTATCTTTTCCCTTGGGAGATTCACCAATATATTGCAAAAGACGTTGAGCAGGCTGTCAGTGCCTTCACGCGTCTTCTTGACGCTATCGAGGGTCGACATCCATCGAAGTCAACAGATACAACACATGACAGTGGCAAAAGCCAGCCGAGCTTTGAAGGCATAGCTCTCCCATACTCGGAATCGGTCATGGATGCATCTTTCATAGAAGCGGACTCATTTATCAAATCTTTCCTTTCCGCTCTTCCTGCCCGCCGCATCAAATTCAGCCATATTGCTCCGGGCATACGGCTTCAAACACCGATCGAATCCACGAACCAACCACTTGCTGACCGCCGGCACAATGTTCTTATCCCAGATCTGTTTGGTACCAACCAGGAACCACCCTCGTTCCATTTCTTGTTATTCCGAGGGGAGAGGGAGAACAAGTCACCCTGGACTCGGCCCTGGTTTCCTGACGGGAACGCAGAGAACATCCCCTCTGGGTTGTACATTGAGCCCACCGATAAAAGCTTCAACTGGGAGTCTGGCAACCGCAGCCGACTCTTGCTACCGTTCAGCATCGGCAGTAATGGATTTGCTCGGAGTAGCAATGGTATTCCATTCAAACTTGCCAGGTGTCCAGGAACTGAGTGGTCTGATCAACTCTACCACGAGGGTTCGTTCAGTGGATATAGTGGCTTTTTACCATGGGACTCCCGCAGTTCGTATCTGCACAAGGTTTTGGAAAGTTGGGCTGAACGAGTGGAAATGGGTGATTGGCAGGTGGACGAAGACGGCGTTGTCGGTAGTATTGACAAGTTCCAGGAAGCTGACTCGGAAGATCATTGGAGACAATATTTTATTCCGTGGTGAGATTGTTGAATGAACGTGGAAATGAGCAGCTGAGAAAGCGCGGTGTGCACCTCTGGGGGTAGGAGGGACATGATGTGTTTCCCAGGTTCCAAACCCAGCATCCACCTCACAGTCCCCCCTCCCCCCAGTGGGGGGTGCATGTCTGGCCTTGGACCACTCGGTTAACTTGCAGTTGGGGGGGGCTGTGAGGTGGAGACATTGCATGCAGGAACGCGTTGTTTGGAGGCTCCGACTGAGAAATTGGGTTCGGATGTGGGTGCTGTGGCCCAATATGGGCGAATAGATGTACATGACATAGGGGACCGAGATCTGTCTTTTGGAAGACATTTGGCGAACAGCCTCTACTTCCCTTGCGGCAAGTGCGGCGGGTGCGGTGGGCACGGCATATGCGGCACTTGCAAAGAATGCGGAACTTCCAGACTTGGGTCTGGTGTTTGTCAAATTTGTATCATCGATCGATACAAGCCCTGAGATGTGTTTGAAAATGATTGTTGGAAACCTTGATTCGCTTCTGGCTCATGTTCTATTGTCAAAGTAAGTAATATTAGCCTCTGGAACCGAAATTTCATAAACACGGGGGATGTCGGAAACTGGGTTGTCGGGGGAAGGGAACTACGGCAGTCCATACGGAGTAGTTGGAAGGAGGTTTCAAAGTTCTTTCCTCCATATCATCCCTTCCTCTGACACACCTCTTCGACATCCTATTTCCCTACCTCTCCTTTCCGCTCTATTTCAAATCCTCAACGATGAAGCTGAAATCAAGCTGAAATGACGCGATCATCAAACAAGATGGCGCGTGACAATAGTCACATTTTCTCAAAGTTCGACGACTCGGAGCACAAGAAGCTCGCAGGGAAGCGACAAATTATCCCGAGCCGAAGAAAGTCCACTGCCATGTCTTCTATCTGGTTTGGTTTGCCGACATGAAGGTCCTGAGGAAAATTGCAGCTGATCCATCAACCCCAACTGATATCCTGAACCGCATCGCGAAGTACAAGGCGCTTGACATCTGGGAATAACTCCAATGTGGATTGTCTCCACTTGACCAACAGTCGTTCCAAACAAGAGGCTGCTCAAAGTATGGCAAATCCGAGTGTGAGACCCTCTTCTAGAGGCTTACGTGCCGCCAGACCAATGCTAGGTCGTGGCCGTGCACATACCCGACATCAACGGGAATCGTTGAAGTCGCCGAGAGGCAAGCGGGAAGGCGATCCTATACACTCCCCGGCAAAGCTTCGACAAATGGATCAAGAGGTATGCTACCAAAGACCTCAGGGCTTTCTCGATGCTAACGCTATCGTGTGTAGTCCGATAATGAGACGTTGAAGAGTGCCAGAAAAGGCTCGGAAGCGCGAATGGAATCAATGCGAATGGACTGGCTACCAGGATAACCATTTGCAAGCTGTCCACATTATCCCAAGCAAGCTCAAGTGTCATACAGACTCTTGCCACACATATCCGGATGTCTGGAGTTGACTTGGGATGCTCTTGGGAGGAGCGAAGAGTGAGAAATAGCATCACTAGGTGCTGGGAGAATCTGGTCAGGTACTCAATATCCAGAGAATCCGGAACTTGACAAAGATGGCTGAGGAAGTGCACAGTCAATGGAATTCTGTGGAAATCGCAATGAAACGAATTCGGATGCGTGAATCTCGGACGAAGTTGGACATCGCAATAACTTGGTCTCCTACTGAGAGGCAACTGGGAAATATCAACCGCAATGAAATGGTGCCGCTTCAAGTCTATCACCTTCGGATTAAACCTTTTTCGCCCAACGAGATATGAACCTGGGAGACAGACTCGTCGCGTTCCGAGCTCGTGATTTATGATCGAATCAGGTGATATCATCACTCTGACAACCAAAGATCCGCAGAGACCACCGTTACTTTCTTTCGAATCGTCGAATCTGTGGTGGATTCTCTCTCGCATTGAGGCCATGCAGGGAGCGGGTGACAATTATGATGACGTTGTTGTGACATGATAATCCCTGTTTTATGAACACTATCTAGCAGAGAGAATGAGAAATCTTACATCAACTTGCTTCCATACGGATTAGCTAAGTTGGGTACGGAGTACAGTTTGATCAAACGCGGGATGCAGCCTGGGTCCGGCTCGGGAAGCGGGTGGGACGTGAGGCGGGCTTTGGTGGGTCCCTGTGGTCTAAGCCCGTGTGCCCGCGACCCTGGGCTCAGCTGCATATGCATGGTCGTAAGAAACGAAGATCTCATAACCCATTGAGTTTAGTGAGAAAGAGAGAGCGATAGCGCAGCGAGCTGATCTATCTCCAGAGGGCTGGGTCTAACCCACAGACCACCACCCAAGAAACCTCGTTCATGGGCAGGTTTCTGCTTTGCATGAGACCCCTGAGCACGATTATTGGCGAGCACACATCCAGAGATGCCGTCAAGTATTCTATAATCACACCGCTCACAGCACAACAGACCACCAGACTTGACTCTGAGATTTGATAGGTATTTCTTCCATATGACCCGTACCCGGGAAGTTCTACGAAGTAATAATGACCAATGTATCAGGCCCTGTGAGTCCGAAGCCTTCAGATCATTGACCTGAGCTCGTCACATTGTTAACTGGGCAGGACTCCAGTTTACCACTGCAATTTTAGACCCTTCTCCAGTTCCTTCAACACAGACCAGCGGCTTCCCAGCCTGTTTTCGCGGCCCTAACAACACCATCTCTGTCCCTGCAGATCATATAGATGATTTCCTTGCTAGTGAACTATCACTGCACAGGCTGGAAATTCTCGAAAAGCATCTATGGCTGGCGGGAGAAAAGCGCACAGCATGGCCTCTTCACTACCACATTCTGATCGGACGAAAGATATTGATTACAGAGCAAATGGATCTCCACCTGCTGTGGGCGAATGACGGAAGATTTTTCATTAAGCCGCTTCCAGGATTCTTACTCCATCCAAATGTTTGGAGTGAGAACTTGGGTTGCTTAGACTCTTGCGAATGTAAACATCCCCGGGCCGATCGGAATTTACATGAAGCCGAAGACTGTGCACACGAAGGTATAGTGAAATGTCCCAGGAGACAGCTCCGCAAATGCGCAATGGGTTTCCTTTACACCTACGCGTGCCTTGTATCCTACGAAAGTGACTTTCGCATCGCGAACGAGAATCATCTTCTCCCCCGACGATTTGACGGATCACCAATCACTTGGGAAGACTGGAATAATTTCGTCCGCGAGATCCTCAACCACCACAACAAAGATAACACTCATCCTCGCTTTCACCGCGCCGAGCTTCGCCTGGCCAGACTCAACAATGTCCATCGCTTCACTCAGTTTCCGCTTTTTGAGCCTTATTTCCGTGATCGGCGAACCTTTGGGAGTTTGTTGAGCGATAATATTGCCTGGCTAGCGCCCGCAACCGTCTTGGTTGCTTTGGTTTTGACGGCAATGCAGGTTGGCCTTGCCACAGATCTGCTCAAGAACAGCAAGAGTTTCATGGCCGCGTCAGAAGGCTTCACCGTCTTCGCCATTTTGCTTCCTCTTGGTGCCTTTGGATTTGTCATTTTGGACTTGCTCCATCATTTAGTGAAGGAATTGCCATGGCTGCTCCGCGGGCAACCAAACCCCCCGTAACAGCCCTCCTGTGGGGGCCCGGTCAGCGGGCGCAGTTTGAATGGTAGTCCAATGCTCAAAATCATGATTACTTTCATTCTAAGATTTTCTCAAAACACACAGCAGCCCCAGTTTAGATCGCACGAAGCGTTGTCTTTTGTCTTGCTCATCCTGCTTCTTGTCTTGAATACCGTGCAAAGACTGTTTATCGTCCAAGTCGATGAATATTTACTTGCAAATGGGTCATGTACTAGGCTGCCTGGGTTCGAAATCCCCGAGGATTGCGAATTAGAACCGCACCCGAGCACGTCTGCCACTGATGATATTACGGAACCAGTCAATGAGTCAATTGTATCAGTCTGTGTTTCTGTCCTTTCCCGACTAAACTGGAAAACCTAATGAATTATTATCTGTGCGGTAGCAAAATTTGTATCTGTCCTCCGATGATGCCTGGGAATTTACGCGATCAGAACAGCGGCTCGAACTCCGGCATATAAAGCGACGAGGAGTTTGAACCGCGCCTTTTAGGCCTCTGCTCAATCTCAGCTGCTCCTCTCTTTCGTAGTAGGTCATATACATGGATATCTGTTGTGCGGGACAACGGTGTTCGTCCGATAGAATCAATCGCATCAACCTCAGCCCCCATATCCAGGAGCTTCTTAACCGCATCCACATGGCCTGCTTCTGCAGCCCAATGTAGAGGTCTCGTGGCAAAAAGAGCCTTTGACTCAATATCGGCTTTTCCCGTCGCTAAGAGCGTCTTGATCACCTCAACATGACCCTTTTCTGCAGCGTAGGACAAAGGGGTTCGTCCGATGGAGTCCTTCGCATCAATCTCGACCTCTCTTGCTGCTAGTAGTCTCTCAACCGCACGCACATGGTCATTCCCTGCAGCCAATGATAATGCTGTCCTTTCAGACTGATCGATTTTCCTCATGAGATCTTTATCGAAAGTCAAAAGAAAGTTCAACATGTCGACCTCTCCGTCTTTGGCTGCACATAGGAACCAAACATCGCGCAACCATAGCGCGTCATTGAAATCGATCTCCAGGTCTTTTTTGACCGCAGGGTAAGTGGAAATTGCGTGCTTGTCCCACATCTCGTACACATATTCCAGGAGCACGTATTCAGAACTTTTCGTTCTTGCTCTTTTGGTCCACTTTTTGAATCGATGGTTCGTCGGGAGTTTCTTCCCATCCCATCCAGGCACGTATTTTAGACCTGGTTGTTTCGACGTTCCCCTCAGACATTCTCCAAGTAAACCGTCTTCTGCAGTCAAATATTTCCAACATGTCTGGAAAACGAGAAGATTGGCCTTGTCTGTAGATGTGAAATACCACTCCCGGTTGGTCCGAGAACCTTTCAACAGAAAGTCCTTGACGGATTGATGACAGAAGCTGACCGTTTCGCTGTCACCTTTATCCTCATGCATTGGGGTAAGAATGGAGCTGCACGCTAACAGAATATCATCGTAATCTTTGACATCCTTCTGGCGTGGCACTGGTTCGCTGCGGGTGTTCTTCACCGGAAGCTCGGAGGTGACATAAGCTATCTTCATCTCCATCTTTGTCAATGGACGCTTGGCAGCAACCATGCAATGCAGAATGAACTGAGCCTCACTTCGTTTCTCAGGGCTGATCTGATTCAGAATGGATTCGTAGATTTCGTCAAGCTGGCGCAGGGGGCTCTTAAGCAACTTCTTCACTTTATGGTTCAGCACTCCAGACCTTTGGATCTCGGCCACCATGAGAGATACCCAGAGGAATGTCCCTTCACTTCCGGCTTTCAAGTCCTGCCTGATCTGGCTTTCGGACGGTCTCAAACCAGGATTGCGCATTGTAAGATCCTGTGTCTTCAATTCGATGAATTCCTCCAGGTCTTTCTTGATCCTTTCGGAATGGAGCTCGATAGTTACACCCAGGGGCCTGAAACCACTCTCGATATCGTGAATCGCTAATCGGGAGGTGACAAGGAGTTTGACTTTTCCGAGTGGTCCTCCAGATGAGGCTGAGAAGAGCTCAGGTATTCTAGCCAATAATTCTTTGCGACTTTCGCTGTCGCATTCGTCGAAAGCGTCAATCAAGATAAACACTTCACCTGCTTGCTTGTCTCGGACCATGCTTTTGAAGATTCGCCACATGGCGGCCAAATCTTGGAAGAGCCCTGTGAAGAGACTGTTCAGACCATGTCTTTCTATGTCTTCCTCGAGATGCCGGAAAAGATTATTGTTTTGCAAGAGGAGCTGCCAGATAAGGCTTCGAAGAATTGCTGCGGGCATTCGCCGGTCTTCTCCTGCCTTATCATCACAGAAGAAGTAGACAAAGGCTCGGTCGGGAGATATTTCCACGCTGTTCTTGATATCCTCGACAATCAAGGTCGACATCATTGTCTTTCCCATACCAGGAGGGCCAGCAATGCGTAGAAACTGTGAGGTGTCGCTGGCCTGCCAATCGCAGAATTCTTTTTCCTGTAAGATCCAATCGCATGTCCGCCCTACCCTTTCTCCCCTTCGAACCTTGATATCCGACAGGATATCCCGGGGATCTGTAACTCTCATTTGCTGGAGGCATGTATACAGATCACCCTTGTGCAAGTCTTGCAACTTGGGAATAGGAACTGGGGTTTGGCGGCGTGAAAGGAGATCCCGAGCTCCCAGGGCCATTTGATCGATTCTACCGAAGACCTGCCGATAGGATGGATCCTTCTCTCCAAAATATTTGTTCATCTTGGAATGATCTGTGTCGAGCTTGGTGTGATCAAGCCCTGTAATGCAGGCACTTTGCTGGGGAACAACCTAGCTCGGGGGTTAGAAGATACTGAGGTCATATGGAATGGGACGCACCAGAACTTCACCCAACTTCTTTAACGCGCCAGGAAGTTTTGAATAATCCGTTTTCGTCGTTTCATAGAAGCAGACAACAGGCACTCCTTGATGATTGATCCAACGGGTGAATTCATGTAAACGATCATCCAATTCGTCTGCTTCCGTCGCCAGGCTAGTCACGATCCTGCGTTCGATGGTCTGGAAAGGAGAGTAAAGAGCTAGAATTATGTTGCTCCACTGTGCGACTTTGCATCCATAATGTGGTGTCCCCAGAAAGATTATTCCAGCGGTTGACGCCCCTATGTCAAGATGAGGCGAGCTTTCTTGGGTGGCGGAGATGATGGCCTGTCAAGGGATTTAGCAATAGACTAGAAGTAAATCAATATTGGAGACGACCCACATGCTCAATCAAAATGCCCCCAAAGCTATGACCGATAAAGATCAATGGCCTATTTCTAGTCTGCTCAGATGGGACACATCAGTTCATGTGTCTATTTCTGACTGTCCCATTGGGATTGGACTTACGTTCTTCCGCGGAATTGCTAGGCTGTCCAACAACAAGCCCGAGAGGCTGGAGAGCTTTTGTTGAGGGGCATTAGACTTATAACCCGACAGGTAATTGAAGGCCATGACTCGACTGGATATCTTGCTAGATGTTAGGCCACCTGGAAGCAAATCCTTTAGCCAGTTGAAATAGTCGACAGGATACCCTTCCTGGCCGGTCTTGTTGTACTGCGGTTGCCATATCCAGGCATAATCTGGATTCGAGGCTAATCCCTGGACGGCGACGATACTTAAAGAAGGTCAGAAAATAAAACCTAGCTTTAGGGTAATAACATACTCAATGTCTGCGTTGTTGTCGTCATGCAAAACATCTATACCGATTTGAGCGGGTGGTGGGTGCCAGCTTGGATTGCGTGGTATGGACGTTGGCCCAGATGTCCCCGGGCTTTTTTGAGATTGTGCACCCAGGCCCACAGTGTTTCTCACTGGAGGGGTACTGTCATTGTTGTTCTCCAATCCAGTAATCCTCTGAGGTGCTAGCTCCTGTGTTTCATCATGCTTGCTCGAGGAGCAGCCCATTTTCAATAGCTTGGATAGGCCGGGGGTTGGAGCGCGATGATTCTGGAGAATACAAGCGAATGCAGCACCCTGTATCCTTCTTGAAAAAAGACCTACACTGGCTCAAGTGACTCTTGCTTTGCAAAGACGGATTCCGGGGCTTCAAGACTTGGGGCTTGAGCGCGTGGGTAGAATATTTGCGCAGGAGGGTGGGGGGCGACACCACCCCAGAAAGCAAACCTACCACCGACAGGGATTTGGTGTTCGTGTCCAATGAGGTAGTGAATCGGTACAATCAGCTCCCAGGAAGAAACATGTGGTCAGAGCTTTCACGTATACGCGTTGGCCGAATATCCACCCCGTCATGGACTTAAGTACTTGTACTCCGTAGAAGCAGGAACGGTACAGAGTGCTCCGCACTCCATGTGATATGCGCCCTTTTCGGCGGAATCAAATTACTTGCCTAGTCAGACTTTGAAAGATCAGCTGTTTTGCCTGCATCTTGGCAACCCAATAATATCACGATGAAGTTCAGCTGAAAGGATCGGCGTATGCATGGGATAGTGTGATTTCTCTATCACCCTTGTCCGACTCCACAATTGTAAGACGCCATACGACGAAGGCAGAGACCAGTACTCTGTATGAACTTCCCTCTTCAGGCTTTGACGGTTTTGTCAATCGAGGCATGGCGTCCCAACGAACAGTTCGAACAGGGTTGAACAATGCGCAGTGGTAGCATGTAGCAGTGTCAGATCGTGGATGAGGTTGAAAGTTGATGGGAGATCCGATCCTCCTTCCGAGCTAGCATTAATGTGTACATATCCTTGTCGGCAGCAAGAGGAATTTGATCCCTGCTCAAGTTTGCAGGAGCATCTTGGCAATGTCGGTGTTATGATGTAGATCACTTCGGTTCCGGGGGATCCTTGAAGCTCGTATGGCGTGGCCAAAGACCTACTGAGCGGGGAATGGCAATGATTGACAAAAAGTGTGAATCAGCCTCATCGACTCGTAGTCGCAATTCTGAGGCTCCGTGTTCTCGTGGATCTGCGGAAACGGGCAAACTGTTGATCTTTGCTGTTTTAAGAAGGACCACAGCACTACCCGCCGGAACCGCCGCGTATCGAACCGACCCACCGGGGGCTCGCACGGACTTCACCTGCATACGGAGTACATCGATGCGGCCGGCCCTCACGATGGTCCAAATCCCGACATCTCAAGTGCGGGAGGACTGGAGTCCATGAATATGCTCACGTGGGAGTGGGAGACCCCAGCGCGGTACGAAGTGGAAAGGCCACTAGCCTACAAACAGGAAACATACAACGGATGAAGGGCATGGAGTCCGAAATGCTGTGGAGACGAGATAGAGAGAGAGAGAGAGAGAGAGATAAGCAAAGATAGTAGCCCTGGAGAAGAAAAGCAGAGCGATCTATCTGCTCGAAGATCTGGAGCTAAGCCACCACTCCAGAACTCCCTCTTTTGTCTTCTCCCCCTGTGCTTTTCTCCCTGTGCTTTTACCCTAGCTCATTATGATCGTTTCCTTCTTCGCTCAAAGTTGGTGATTAATCAAACCAAATGCCACTTGATTTACTCTATTGTGTTCTTATATCATTCTTAAGATACATTGAAACTCTTGAGGGCACTGCTTAAACATCACCTTCGGCCAAGACGGATGCTCTATCAAAACTTCAGTTGCAGAAATTATTCAAGCGATATAGCCCAACAAGGGAGGGTCTGGTAATTTTATATCACATGGCCAAACCCCATGATCTCCAACAGCAATCCTTCCACCGTGTAATAAAACAAAACTGTAGTAACTAAGGTAGAAGGAGAAAGAGAGAGAAAAGAAGAACCATCGAAGCAAGAAGTCTGTCACCGGAGATCATCTGATCTCACACACCCAGTGTCCGGGGTTTAGCTCACATGCAATGGATTTCGGGTTAGATCCAGAGATGACCAAAAACACAGCTCGCACAGGCATGCCATGGAACGAGTGACTCGCAGGTCGAGGGGAAATTCTTCAGAAGAGACCTTCAAGAGTCTAATACCGCCACAGGCGGAATCCCTGCGTCTTCCCGAGCTGACATCATCCCCGCCTCTATATCGGATCCAACACAGAGGACTGGTTTTTTGGAACTTTGGCCTATCTCAACATGAGACATGCCATTCTCAATATACCATGCAAGGTGCGTTCTGGAGGTTCGCAGTAGCAGAAGCCGCAAATTTTGTTTTGACAAGCCACCGAGAAGGAAATTATAATGGAACTCTTCCCGCTCCACAAGCTTGTTGAACATCCAGTCGAATGACACACCTCTGAATGCCTGGGGGCAATGGACTTGTAACGCTAACTTGTCACGAATCGCCTTAGGCCAAGTTTCCTGGTCGGCAAGAGTTTTGAGGGTAGCCCATCTGACGTTGCTGTCCGGATTGTTCATCAAGTCTACCAGCGAACGCAGAATTCCATTGGATAAACTTTTCTGTTGCCCGAGGACCCCAACAACAGCTAGCCTGACCATCTCGTCGGGGTCATTGATTCGAGCAGCTATTTTGTCAAAGGTTGTTTTTAACATCGGCTGGCGAACAACGCTGACTGCTTTGATCGCGGCTTCTCTAACTTCTGCATTTGAATCCCCAATGTATTTGATAACTCTTTCAAGGATTTTTGGCAGATGCAACAAGTATGACTGGCTGCTCAGAGCGCAGATGGCGGCCCTTCTGATGGAAGAATCTTGATTCTCAATACAACTCGCAATCCGGACAAGGACTTCCTTTGGTGAATTGGACTGGTGTTCGAAAGCTTGCAGCACAAAATCGGCAGGGGAGCTCGTCTCTCTCAAATTTCGCCGCTATCTTGAGAGAGGTCTTAATTGGTAAGCGCGACTGACAACTTATGGCGTAGATGGCCGCTGTCTTAACCATAATTTTGTCATCCTCAATCTTCTTGCTGTCATCCTCAATCTTCTTGCTGTCATCCTCAAGCAGCCCCACTATTCTGTCCAGTATTGAAACTGACAGGTCAGCTTGCTTAGCTAGAATTTCAAGAGCTGTGCATCTTAGCCCATAGTCTGGGGACTCTAGATGTGTTCCTAGGGCGTTCAGGACTTTTTTGGATAACCCTGGCCTGTTGCAACAGCAGGCTTTGATTTTGGCCCAAAGGTAGCGGTTAGGCAAAAGATCTATAATGATCCGATCGAGCAAATCTTCTGAAAATTTTGAAAGCCGGCATAAAACTTCAGATGCAGCCATTGTAAATCTCGTAGAGCTTTCGCTGGCTTCAGTCCACAATAATCCAGTGAACGTTTCCAGCGAATGTGACTGCCCACCTAGAGCCTTTATGGAACAAAGTTTGATGTCGTCTTTGCAAAACTTAATCTTTTCCGTGATTGAAGTGATCTGTTCAGGGAGCAAGTCAGATTGCTGGCTCAAAACGTCGCTAGCAATCCTTCTGATATTCTTTTTCTCGCTTTCAAGACTTGCGATAAGGTCAGTCAAGATTTCTTTTGACAATTTCTGGTCCCTTAGAGCGACTCCGCCATAGGCTTGAAAGGTTTTGTAACTCCGCTTTGCTATAATTCTTCTGCAAATTCTTTCTGGTAAGGCGAATGCCCGCATGGTGTCAGCGGCAGAATTTATTATATCTCCATGTGCTTTTTTCTCGAGATACGAGGCCAAAAGATCGAGATGCTCTTCTGATAAGTTCTCCCTTTCTTGTCTGAAAAGCGCAAATATGGACATTGCCACATCATTGGATTCCGTGATTTGAAGAAGTGAAAGCGCAATCTTCATGATTTGTGGTTGGATCTGACGACGTTTTTTCATCGAAAAGAAGACTACCATCATGACCTCCTCATCAGTCCCTTCAAGGAGATCGAGTAGAGAGTTCTCGGGAAATTCAATCTCGGTCGCCAAGGTTATTACTGACTCCCTCAGTGACCTTTGACCCTGTTCTAGAATCACTTCGCATTGGAATGCTAGCCATTTAGACAAATGGCCTTCAATGTCGCTACGAAGTGAAAATTTAGACTGGGTCTCGCTCAAACAATTCATGAAAAGTCGCTGGTGGGCAATACCCAAGAGATCAAGTGGTTTTTGATCCAGGATCCTGAAGAATCTCTCTGGTTCTTTTGGTCCCCTGCCCGAGTCAAGTAGTCCGGCAACAAAGCGCCATACCACATCATAGCGAGCACTGTATTTCTTGTTCCCTAGGAACACAGATGGTTTCATGCATTGTTCCTCCCCGCTTGTTAGGTCGACGAATTTTAGGTCTTCGTTGGCTTTCCATTTGCGCACAAAGTATCGCGCGGCAAAGTACTCTTGAAATGTTAAATGAAGGAAGTGGTAGCTCCTTTGGTCTTCCCTCCGAAAGACTGTAGAGGAGAGATCGGAGCTCCTTAAAAATAATAGCTTGCTTAGCACTTCATGAAAGACCTCAGTCCTGATGTATGGACTTGAGCTTTCGACGCCTTGAATGTGCCCCAAAATGGTTCTGCGATGATTGTAGTCAAAATTAATGACATTGCTATACATTCCAGTAAAGGCAAACTCTTCTAGAAAAGAAGAGGCATCTTCAAGGGTGAGATATCCTTTTGAGGAAGTTGAAGGCATAGAAATTGGAGGCATACCGGAGAATGTCTCCCGATCCTTCTTCAGAAGTTTAGATGCGATAGTGTTGTAGATTGCAGTCATTGTTTGAGGCGGCGCCTTCCGAAAGTCAAATTCATCCCAAGTCCAACAGAGGGCATCGAGAAGAATTGGGATCCGTATAAGACTTTGCATCAATTGGTGCTTCGTAAGGAATGATAGAATGGCCTTGGGCTTGTTCTGAATTCGTTGGTTTCCTTCACAATGACAAGATTGATGTAGCATACATCCATCTTCAACATATGACCAAAAAGACGGTCAATGAGGAGTCTGTTAAGAGACAAATAATACTTTTTTAATTCCTTGTCCATTCTTTGGAATGGAGTCCCCTCGCGAATCAATTCGAGATATTTCTCAACTTTGCCGGCAACTGTCTGATAGTCTTCATCCTCGGGACCCTTGAACTTGTTCATCAGCCCATGTTTTCGATCAAGTCCTATTGGATGCTCTTCTGTCGGAAGCGTTCCAGAAGGTTTATCCACAAGCTAAAGGTCCATTAGCTTTCTTTAATGTCACACGGCTACAAGCCTTTGATATGTAGGATAACTCACTACTTTGCTTCCCGAAAATCCACTTGGTAGACTGGGGATAGCCTTGCGGTAGATATTTGAGAGGCCTTTCTCGTAGAAAGTGAAGACATAGTACTTCTCTTTTTTCTGAAGTCTGCTGAATGAATGGACAGTTTCACTCATGTCGAATGTCGGTCCCGCGATAAGTTCATCCTGTGAGGTGAGTCTTTTACGACCACACCGAGCACTGACTTCAAGAGCACATCGTGCCCAATGGGCTATGTCATCGAATGCTGTACCCCAAAACGGCGTAGCAAGAAATATAACACCGCGTGTGGATGACCTGATAGGATCATTGTCAATTGTGTCGAGCAAGGCTTTCACAAGAATGATGCCGCCGAGGCAAGACGCAATGAAAAGTATAGGTCTATTTTCGTTGTTCGGCGGGTCTCGTCGTTTAATAGCATCGATGAGACGTCGAGCGAGCTCTTGAATTCTCTTTCTGGCCATTTTGGTTGACTCAAACATCTCAGCCGGCCAGTCGCATGTGAATATACGAGCTTTTCCAACTTTACTTGGGAGCATGGCTTTGTCTTTTAGCCAATTCGATGGGGGTTTGCCGTCACTTCTGTACTACCAGGTATCTGGTGACTTCGTGTCCAGGCCATGAATCGCGATGATATCTATATCCGTCTCGGTCTTGGAGACGACAGGGTCTGGGTGAATCTGGACAACGCGAAAACCTGTGGGTGGGTGTTTTGCCTTCGCAGTTTTCTTGGGAGGCTCGGATGTGATTGTGTCCACCGTCTCGATTTCCTGGTCGAATTGGGGAACCTGGACAAGACGAGGACCTGTGGGCGGGTCCTTCGCCTTTGCAATTTCCTTGGAGCTATTGCAGCCCATGATGCATCCGATGAATGTTTGTAAATTTCAAAGTTGAGGCATCAGGGGAAATTTAAAAAACGGAAGAGAAGAGCGGGAGAGGGAGTTCTGCCCAGGTGTTGGAGGGGGGCCATGGGGCTGAAAGTCGCAACACGGCGCCTATGCACATGTACGCACAGGTCTGTCTTAAACGCGCGCGCTATCTAAATATAGACAACAATATCCCCTGCATGCATACAATTCAAGACGTTCTATCCCTAATCTTGTACTGAGAACCTTAAATCTGTAACAAATTAAGGATTCATACAATCCAAGGACAGACATCTGATGTGATGATACTGAACACAGACTACTCCGCAAGCACATCAGACTTGGCGTGCAGGAACGAGTTCGTAACGAGAGGGGTCCAAACGTGATGGCTCTGGAATGTAGACTCACTCTACCAATGGAACCGCCCAGTGCAAAATCGGAAACTTCCCCTTTGTGCAGTCGGCGGTGGCCTTGAAAAAGGAAAGACAATTTCGATCGACGATATCTTGAAATAAATTCTACAAAGAGGGTAAACTGAATTTGAGAATGAAAGAAGGAGGGGCAGATGAAGTACCCGGCAGAACCAGGTCAACAGCACACCTCTCAGGGCAATTACGCGTTTGAGGCATAGCTCTAGAAGGGCTCAATGAGCCCGGATGCCCAGGTGGTGTTGGTTGAACGTATCGCAATGGGTTACAAATTCCTCACGGAAGATGCAAATCACGTTCCACTGGCTCCCTTCCAAGGAGTCTCCAGGGGAGATTTGGCGAGATGACTTCATACCGCTGGAAGATAACTCTTTCGAGGGCCCGGAGTACCAGGGTGAGCAACATCAGGGACCTGAAGGGGAAAAGGTTTCCATGCAGTGACGGGAAAGAAGATCTGCTCTGGTCATATTTTCACGCCCCCCGAACTCGAGTATTATAAAGAGCCGAGTGATTCGGATTAATAAGTGGAATGAACCTTTATGATGAAGGTTGATTTGGTCGGTTGCCTATATATATTTTCTGGTCTCCTTCTCTTCCATGGCTGTCAAATGGAACTAGAGTAAGGCCAAATGCAATAAGTCAATAACCAAAAGATTCCCGAGGTCTACGTCTACAGAGCATATTATGGTGCATAGACTGCTGTCTCTTTGGGTAGGTATTTCATTTGGGGGGTTCCTATATCGAAATATCTACTTCTTCAAGAAGGTCAAAGCCCCGAGTGCCATGGCATCGATACCAGTCTTCAGAGTGGGCTGCAAAACCGGAGCGAAGAAAGGTGAATGATTACCAGGCAACTGATCAAGAGTTCCCTTGTCAACAGCATCGTCCCAAGTCTTCTCATCGACTCCACCCCACATCCACATCACATATGGAGCCCCAACAGCAGTTGCGAGCAGAGAGAAATCCTCACTAGCAGCAGGCGGGTCCATCTCCACAAGGTTCTTTCCAAAGTACGGAGCGAAGGTCTCACGAAGCGTATCAACAGTCTTGCCATCATTGATAGTTGACGGAGTCGAGAAAGTGCGCTTGATGTCGGGCTTCTCCACCGCACCAGCAGCCATACACTCCGCCTCGATGATACGGTGGATAGCGCCACACACCTGCTTCCGCACATCCGCATCAAAAGTCCGCACATTCAGCTGCAGATCCAAATGGGCAGGGATGATATTTGATGATGTTCCTGCGTGGATACTGCCGCAGGTCACGATGGCCAGCTTTCCGGGAGTCACCTCCCGCGACACAATCGACTGCAATTTTGTAACAATCGACGCTCCGATGACGATCGGGTCGATCGTTGTCTGTGGCGCGGAGCCATGCCCTCCGCGACCGTATACTCTGACATCATACGCATCTGCTGCGGTGAGCAGGGGGCCAGCGTGGAGGTTGACAGAACCCGCGCGCATGCGCACAACATGCTGTGCGAGAACAATATCGGGTTTAGGGATTTTGTCATAGAGGCCATCTGTGAGCATAGCTTGGGCTCCATCGAGATGTTCCTCCGCGGGCTGAAAGATACAGATTAACGTTCCGGACCAGTGGTCACGGGCGCTGTGGAGAAGCGTCGACGCTGCCATCAGTGTAGTAACGTGGAAATCGTGACCGCAGGCGTGCATGACTGATTTGGAGCCAGACTCGTCCTTCACTTCTTTTTTACTGGCGTAGGGGAGACCAGTCTTCTCTTTGACGGGGAGAGCGTCCATGTCCGCCCGGACAAGGATGGTCGGGCCATTGCCGTTGCGGAGAATTCCTGCTACGCCATGACCACCAATCTTGGTGATGACTTCAAATCCAAGAGAGTTGAGGTGATCGGATGCTATCTTGGCAGTCTGCTCTTCTTGACCCGATAGCTCTGGGTTGCTGTGGATGTGGCGATAGACATCCTCAAATGGCTGGATGTCTGGGCGGTAACGATCGATGATCTCACCCAACTGGGTTTTTTCTGGAGCCATGGTGAGTGTGTGGTAAGTTGTGCTCCGTGTGATTTGGTTCGTACCTGGAAGTTGCATGTTAAAGTCTGGTGGGGAAGCTGAGGAGTCAGGACAGATTGGAAGGCTCCAATTCCTTACGTCAGGTCCACTTTATATCCAGTCCAGGTACCTGAGGGGAACAGGCGAATAGGTAAGTGCAGACGAGGCTCGGAGGAGAATAAGATCCGGTCTGGGGAGATCTGGTTGCCGAAGATGGGATCCGATGGATAGGCGACAGGCGATGTTCACCCCGCCGTCGGCAATCCCCTCGAATCAAGTTGGCCCCTCTCCCCGCGATTCCGCTGATTCTCGGTCAGTTCCGCCGTCGTCATATTTTCTGCCGAACGATACCCCTTGAACTGGAATACGACCTGAGAATGTCCACCAACCATCTCCAATCCAATTCAATTGAGTTTGTGAAGTAGGCTCTGAGTAATATTTGGTAAACGGGGCCCGGTTGAAGATATGCGTTACTGTAGTACGCGCCCTCTGGAATGATGCTATCTTTGCCGGCGTGGTAGATCCTGGAGAAGAAATGTGGAAGCTATGTTATCGCTGTCAGCGTCATGGTCACTACGTAGTACCATTCTTCCGAGGATGGTGGCCGCCACATCGTAATCGTCATAGCTAGAGTTGACAATACTGCTAACGCTTAAGTCACGGTTATAGAGTCGCACTCTGAGGAAGGTGATCAGTTGAAGGATCGATGTGAGACTTGAATACCGCTGTAGGCAGAGCGGACATGATCCACATCAAGGCTGGGAGAAGCGCGACAGATTCAGTCAGCACGGTGGGCTCGGTGGGCTCGGTAAACGCAGTAGACGCGACCGGCCGAACAATGAATCCTTCCTCGGAGTACCCAGAGATGCTGTGTTTCGCGCTTGAAGGTTTGAAAACTCCGTGTAGGTCCATGTCTCATATCATCCGGTATGCCTTCATGCGTAACCGAGGGAGGGTTTCGAAGAATCGGAGATATGACGAGTCACTAGAGTATAGCGACCGCGAAGAGGGTTGCGTATAACAGAGGCAGAGCATGGTATAAACACGCTATGAAGGTAAAGCATGAAGAAATGGGCGCTCTACTGTATCAGCAATTGGTATATCTCGACGTGTGAAGTGGGAGGATCCATCGGGAGAAGCAGATCTTCAAAGCGTGGTTCTTCAATGGTAGCATTCGGCGAGAAGAGATAGTCATGGTCCACTTTACCAGATCCTGAGATCTCACAATAATAAGGTGTAGTATTGGAGGTTTGGCTGAAGCCCGAGGTATTGCTGCTTTTGGCATCTGTGAGGATCTGGTGAGGCTCTTGAGTTGCGGCTCTGCGGGAAGGGCTGTAGTTGCTCGCTGATCAAGGTATAAGTCTGGGTTTTCAATGATGAAATGAATGGATGAGACCTCGAATGGTTAGGGAACCTACCAGATGGGGAGCAAGGAGGTCCAACATAAACAACATCGTTATACCTGAGTCGCGTGAAGAGGCGGGTCACCATGGAGCAATAGATGAATCTGATTAAATCTAGACCTGTGTCTACTGATCAAGGTCACCAAATTTACAACAAATCCTGTAAAACTTGACTTGGTAAACTATTTTCGAGATTTCATAAGATATTACAGACTACAATCTCCAAGGCAGGGTTTCAGCAGGTAGCTCGTTCAAATTAAACGATAAAAAAACGAGACCCAAAAAGAAGAATAGAAAAAGAAGCCGAAGCTCTCACCTCCCTACTTGCGGAATCGCTTGTTCACTGAGTAATATATGTTAGCAATTTGGTCTGCAGCAATGCTATGAGTTCGATGAAACTTAATGTGCACTTTCGGGGCGCTGCCCACTCGGGGCTCTCTTCTCGTGCCCGCTTGACACGGCCGCCCAAGGGGGCGTCAGCGCCGGGGCGCCACGGGGGTGCCGCTGCCGCTTCTGGTGCAGGCAGGCGAGGACTCGAACTCTGACCTCCCCAAAGCCAGAGCCTCCCGCCCTACCCCCCGCCAGAAGCGGGAGCTTCACCTACACGGGGACCCGCGCCACTGACGGCCCCCTGGGCAGCCTCTGCGGCAGTGCCCGAGGCCGGGGGCGCAGGGGTGGCTGCCACCGCAGCCTAGGGAAAAGCATATTAGAACGGCGCCAATGGCAATACCATGATAGGACGGGGACAGATGAATCCTACCTGGGCAGTGGCGGAGAGGGCAGCCGCGCGAGCTGCGCTGGCCGCGGCATGCTCAAGCCGGAGCTGGGCATCGGCGGCGCGGGCGCCGGAAACAGCGGCTTCCTGCTTGTACTATCAATGGTCTTAGCACTCCATGATCTCATATGGAAGCAGCTCAATCTTCCACTGATGCAAGCAATGGTATGCTGTATGTATGGTATGGTTTTTGATTGAGCCACCCATACGGCAAGCCAAACAAGTGCTCCAGCTTCAAGCATGGCTCCCACAATGTGGGCATGAACGAAAGTTCACATGGTAAGTGTGCAGAGCCACGGCCAGCAAACCAAGGCCCATTTGGGAAACTGGACATATTCAATGAGGGGAACAGACTTACCTTGCGGCGCTTGCGCGCCTTCTCCCAATACCGCTTTTATTGTCGGTAGGAGATCGGGCCAAAGACCCGAACTTTCGGAGGGATTATCAGATGTCGGGCTACCCTGGAAGTCTCCGCGAGGACCTATCGGTATAAAGAGGAGAGATGGGTGAGGAAGAGAGAAGAATCAGGCTGGGAATGATAGTTGAAGTTGTATTCATACGAAGGAATCTTTTGCTGACTCTTGAACTGTCTCTTGAACTGTCTCTTGAACTGTCTTTCTACTTTCTTTTCTCAAGCTACCGACAAGTGCTGTCACAGGCTTATATCTAAACGACTTAAACTCATCTACACACGCACATATTTATATTCCTTTCGGTGGGTTCGTCTCTCCCTCTCATCTTTTCATTGCCAATCCTACAGCCTTTGGCTGTCTGATTTTTTCCACTGATTCCTTTCAACAGACCGACGGCTATTCGCAGCTGTAACCAAACAACGATAGCACCTCATACTCGGTCACTTCCGAGATTACATCGTCATGTCCCCACTACGGCTCATTGGAGCCAACCACATTGCCCTTGCCAAGAGCCTCATTCCCAGATAGGCACCCGGAGATCAATACACGCCTCATCGCACCGAGACTTAAGGCATCTATTTCTCCCTGCCTCCAGTGGCCTGAGCCGATCATGACTGAGAACCCAATTTGTGGTCTCACGATTTCGCATTTCTTCAACAGACTTGGCTGTATCTGATCCATGCCACAGATCCTTCGCCGGGTGACAGCCCCATTCCGCGGAACCTCACGACTTAAAACATCGACACCGCTTTTCTTGCTCTTCCAATGGGTGGTCTCAGATTTCTCCTGCGCTGATCACCATGTCACCATAATCAAAACCTGGAACGACGCTACCATCGTCACATACGGTCCCGCCGCACCAAAGATGGGGTGAGTTGGTACAATGGGTTCAGAGGCACGATGGGGGAGCAACGACCACATGAGGACTTCACACCGCAGTCTGCACAGACTGAACACCCCGTCGAGCCCTGAACAGCTCTTTGCAATCCGACCGTCTCCTCAAATGGCTCCCAAATGACAGATCCCGCCTCTCATCTCGATGATACGCCCGCACAATCGCCAAACTCTGAGCCTCCCCAGGTTACTGCACAAATCGCGAGCAAAATATATGATGATCAGCACAAGGAGGAGTTGGACTACCGGATGTGAAAGATCGGGTGTAAATCTACAATTGATTGCTCTTTACGAAGGCTGCGGAGCAGGACATGCGAGTCAAAGAGCACCACAAACGCACCCCAACCCTCCATCCAAGAAAATATGCCTTTGGCTCAGTCTTTGCAGTCACCAACCTCACAGACAGAATCAAATCGAGCATCTTCGAGCCAGTCATGAGACCGTTATGCAAGGCCGAGGAGAGGCTCTCAAATAAACTGAAATCATCCGACAGGCAAAAGAGAACGTTCAAAACTCTACTGCGATGTCTCATAGAGCAGCCGCGATGATGGAAAAGGCTGTGCCATCAAAGAAAATATCAACAGCTAGCTCGTTCAAAATGCAAGCCAGAAAGAGAAGAAGGACACCATAGACTTTCAAAAAACATGGGGTATACAAGCTGGAAGAAACCTAGAGTAGGTTCAAGATAAACATACAGATCAAGCCTCTTATGTTGACAATACAGCTACAGTATCACCAGACACCAAGCTCATCGGCCTCATATCTACGGACGATCGGATTGGCAAACTCCCGAAAGACTTGAGCACCTGATGGTGTCATTTCTCAAACGATGGATGATGCACACTCTGGCTTCCAATCGACAAAACTACCATTGCGTCCAAGGCAGCTTAGACCGATGTGCTAGACCGAGAACCAGCATTCCACCATTTTGATGATCTCTGATCTCAGCAGATGAGCTTTCTGCCAGCTAACCCTATCCACACACCTGACAAGAAAGTATTAATCTCCAATCAGCCCCAGTATGACCTCCGGTCTGAGTTTGACTGCCACGGATGGTCATTCCACTGGGCACGGCATCACCTCAGACGATTCTGTCTTGGCCTCTTAGCACACGCCGCTCTGTGGGCTAAACCGATAACACCTCAAGTTTGTCAACAGACGCTCTAATTTGCCAGCTAAAAAAGAGCGATGGAGACCGCCCACCGTGATGCAGTCACACAATCCAGCCGACAGTAGAGTCCACGCGCGAGCCTCTTGCCCATCAGCGACCCCGAAGTGATTCTGAGTTTTCTCGGCCTAGAGCACTCGGGCCTAATTATGTTCGACGCAATGGCATGTTTAAATCCGGCCAGCCCCCACCCAGTGGAGTCTATATCGTGTCTCAACGATCCTTTAGATCGAGTGTGAACGAGTTGCCACATTCTAGATAAGGACGTCCTGAGGAGTATATTTGACCATCAGTACTGTCATTGAGTCAATTCCTTCAAAAGGAATACCCCTGATCTCATGATTGTCATTTTATCTACCCTGAACGTCCTGCTTTAGTCGACTTCTCTCTCAGGAAATGAAGATTCTTTGCTAGAACAAGAATATTGAGCCAACGAAAAGCCCCATTTCAACAACAGAACTTTGAGCATCATTATATCGGCGAATTATGCTCTCAGAACAAGATGAAACGTAGTAATCAAAATTAGACGTCGGTTGTCCATCCAGATCGAAATCCGCCGCCCATAGAACAGTGCTGACTCATCACACGTGACCCCGAAACAATCAACTGCGGCCTCGAATTTGTTCCGCAACGACCAACTTGACCACGAACCCCAAGACCGCCCAAGATGGCCAAGAAAGGTACGTTAAAGCACAATACCCATCGTCGGAAATCCCAATGCTGCCTCGCGATTCCGATCCCGCCCCCAATCGATGCCGAGTCCAATGGCAGCGACGCGAATCAAACCCCCGAATCTCGACCGCTAACACCCCAACAGCAAAGTCCCGAACCGTCGCCGTCCGGCTGATCTCCATGGCCATGACTGGCTACTACCGCACACTGATCCGACCCCGTGTGCACCGCCCGCTCAGCATGATGAAATACGATCCCGTCGTCAAGAAGCAGGTGCTTTTCCTTGAGGCGACGAAGGGTGGAAAGAACAAATAAGCGCTTCGCTGAGATCGGTCTCGTATCGAGCGGTTAACATCGGACCGACACTCTCTGTCTGAATGCACTCTACATCTCGATCTACTCGATCTCGATTCCAATTCCTCCTTTCGGATTCCGAAGTCCACCTTTCTCCGCAACCGCCATTCCGATTCCTAGATACCCGAGAGTTTGTGCGGGTGTGAAATATGCGATTAGGGTGCCAGGGATGATCCCTGCTTGTACATTATTTACTGGGAGGATGCAAACGGGAAGTTGTGGATTCATGACCTCTCGGATATTTTGCGGTATACTTCTTGAAGCATTGTGTTTGGCGTTAAAGAATACAGATCTGGGTACCCTGAATAAAAAATACAGTCCATGTCTCACCTCCCGCTTCGTTACGTGATGCATTTTGCCGAGTTCCTCCCCAGGACAAATTACCCTTATAAATTGATATCTCGAGTTCGGAGTTCCCTAGTCACCCCCGATGGTTTGGGGGTCAAGAGGGAAGCAGTAAGTATGCTTGCATTGTGGGCCACAGAGGCAGGTCAATCGATGTGGTTGGAGGAGCCAGTGACCTAGCCAGCGCCTTGGCTGAAGCGCTCGTTGTAGCGGTCGCCTATCCATGGTTAGTTCGGTCTGCCTTGGAGAGATGAGACAGCTTGCCTCGAGTGCGGCGTTTATTCCGGGCTCGCGCTTTAGCAGCTTGGCTGGTTCCTTCGGTTCGACTACTCCCTAAGGCCAACCCCTTGGGACTGAGCCGTCGTTGCGGGTCATCGCCTGTCTTGCGCGATCTCTTTGTGGGTTTGGGTGCGCTGTCCGCATCGTCGGTTGATTTGATTGGGGCTTGCGGAAGATCCCCGGTCAAAGCCTTGGTGTCTGACTGCACACGCGTCTGAGAATCAGGCGAATCTTCTTGGGCAACGGATTGGCGAAGACGACTGTAGGTCCGTTTCTGGCTTCGTTTGATCTCTTTGCTATCCGACTCCACCCCGGAGCTGTGGTCAGTTGCGTCCGACAGTCGTCTAGTTTTCTCATGTTTGCTCTGAGTCATGGCATGTGTTTCTTCAAAGCTGACTGCCTTTCGCTTCACGGCGGTCTGCTCTGGCTTGATAGATTGGTCGGCAAGAGTAGCACCAAGCTTCCCAGGATCAGGCCCAGACTGTTCGGTTTCGTCGACATTCATCAACTCGAGCTGTTTGGTAGTCTTGGTGCGCTTTTCCGAGATTGCCGGTAACTTTGAAGTCTCTTCAGACTCCTCACCTGGAACTGTTGTCCTTGGAGCAAACGATCCCTGGGGATCAGGTGTGCACAGCATGAGCATATCAAGCTCAGCCACGTCATTGAACACAGACAGATCATCATATTCAGGAGCGGCCCTGTCATGCAGGCTCGAGAAGGGAGTGATATGACTTCGATCAACGACTGAATCTCGTGGTGGGTCAACACAATCGCCGACTATCGAAACATGGCGTTCCGTGTGTGGTAATTGTTCGCCTGTTTCCGCATTCTCCTTTGCATGGGAAAGCATTGCGCTTAGTTCAGTCGCAAAATCATTGCCAGTGCCGCATTTCCTCGGCTCGTGAGGGTCAATCCTGTCGTCAACTGTGACCACATTTTCTTTTTTCAGAGCATTGACGCAGAAGGGATCATGCGTGGTACGCTGCGCGAGCAGACGTTGAAGAGAATTCTCAACCTTACGCCAGGTCACCTCGAAAGGCTCATTGGGTGGCACTTCCATGATCTTTGAAACCCCTTCTCTTATCGTCATCTGCCAGCTCTCGGCTTCTTGGGCTCGCTGAAGTAGGGAAAGAATCTCAGAATCTGCCTCCGCTCGGTTCTTCTCTAAGGCCGCTGACCGCGACTCAACAACAGCGACGCTATGCTTCGTGAGTTTAAGCTCCTGATCTTTGAATGCCAATTCGATCTCAGTTCGCAGGAGCTTTTCCGCTGCGTCGAACGCTGCTCGTTCTTTCATGCCTTGGGACTGAGTCACTTGTGCCAGCTGGGTTTGAAGCTCTTCGCTATTCTTCGTCAGCTGGTGAAGTTGCTGTACGAGTGCTTCCTTCTCGGCATTCAAGCTAGCTTCCGAAGATTTCGTCATCTGTGACTTAGCTTCGCTGGCTTTCGCGTCGTCGGCGTACTCGGAGCAAGTCCGCTCTAACTCCTCAATCTGCATGCGGGTGTCCTGGAGCTGCGATCATCAGAAGAATGAAAATGATGCGGTCAGGGAAGTTACCTTCAGATTTGTTTCGAGTCGACTTTTCTCCGCGAGCTTCTTTGACTCGTCCTTGGTCAGATTAGTGGATATCACTCCATGCACAGTAGTCGGGCCATACCAGAGAGCTTTGGTTATTGGCAAGCTGTGATGTGAGTTCATGGGTTTCCCGTTCCAGTCGAGCATTCACCATCTCAAGTTCTCCAATCTTGTGTTCATACATTCCTTTCATCTCATCCTGTGATCGTGTGCCAGCCGTGGAAAGCTCCTCTCGGATCCTTTGCTCATGAATAACAAACTCGCCTCGCAGTGCTGTTTTTTCCATTTCCAGACGGGCAAGTTTGACTTTGTTCTCCTGCCCATTGGAAGTTGTTTCAGTGAGATCATGCTGGATTTGGATGTTCTCTGATACTTTTCGCTCCAACTCCATCTGAAGAGACTCCTTCTCACCCAAGGCTTGCTGGAGCTGAAGTTGTAACTGCGTATTTTCAGCAAACTTTGCAGCAACCTCCTTTTCTAGCACGGGGTTCCCCGCCGGCATTCTGGCTTCAGAAAGCATTTGGCTGAATTTTTGCAGACCTTGAATGAGGTTTGCTTCGGTTGTTTCGACGGCCTTGACAGAATCCCCTAGATTCCCGAGAACTGGTTCAATGATTTGAACATGCCGCTGGAGACTGCTATAGGAGCTCTCGTTGCTAGCAAGCTGCTTCATCAAAGACGAGTAGGGACCCAGGTTGCTTTCGATCGATTGCAGTCCTTCTTGCAAAGCCTGGAAGACATTGTTGCTCGTCTCGTTGGTTCTGTCGAGATCGCTTGTGAATTGTCCTGCTAGATACTCAAAGCTGACATATGCGTTAGTGGAGATAACGGAGGATCAAGGGTTTTCCTATAACTTACCGCGAGCTGGCCTTTTGAACACTGTTGGTGAATTCTTCCGCATTCATCGTTTCGGCAGAACACTGCTTCTTCAAGTCCTCAACTGAAGCGGCGCAACGCTCTACCTCCGGACCCAGTTTCGTTAGGATGGAATCCTGGGCTTCAAAGCAGGCTTTCTTGAACCGATCACACATAGTGTCAATCTTTTCAGCCATCTTGCGTTGTTCTTTTTTGACGACGGTCAAACATCGTGCCTGGCTCTCAGATTCCCTCTGGATGTAGGCCTCAAGTGTCCCGATTCGCCTTTTGTCACCCATCAGCTGGGCCTTGAGAAGATCGCTCCTTTTCTCTGAATGCTCCAGTGCTTCTTTTAAAAGAGCAATTGATCCATTCGAAGAGGCGAGTCTCTCTTTCTGCCCCTCGATCATTGCGGTTTGTTTTGACGTCTGCAATTTGAGATCGCCAAGGGTGGCTTGTATTTCCACCTTTTCATGTCCCAGTGAGGCCGCAGTCTCTTTGAGATCCATCGTCTGCGCTCGAACCTTGTCATATTCACGACCAAGCTCATGGATCACACCTCTGTATGTGGTCATCTTCGCCTTCAACTGTTCTAACAGCGCACGCTGGCCGTTAGACTCGGACGAGGCTTTGACCAACTGGACTTGATTTTTATTGACTCGCTCCTGTAGGGCCTGGTTGGCTTCTTTCAATGCCCGATTCTCTGACTCGATTTTTCTTCTGATACTGGTGGCGTTTTGTTCACTCTCTTCTCGCTGTCTGATCCTCACAATCAATTGCTCAAAGAGATCGTTCTCGCTCAGCTGAGTATTTTTCTTGCCACCGACAACCAGCATCTGTTTCTTGGGTGCCTCTTTTTCATGGTGGCCTTGCCTCTTTGAGGTACGTTGAGTGTTGACGGGCCTTAGGGGCACTCTCGGTGGTAGAAGAATTGTGGCCTCATGGCTACCACGATCGTGTCGACGCTCCAGCGTTGCCGATGCATCCCTAGGCAAGGCAGGGCCAACTTCATTGGTCTTGTAGAAGTCAGCCACGCCCTGCGGCGGCTTTCCAGCGCTCGACGTATTCCCGGAGGCTTCGTTGTGGCCACCGCCTTCTTTCGGCTCATGCAATCGAGAAACAGAGACTCCATCTTCATGTTCCACAGGCGACTGCTCATTGTGCTCAATGCGAATTTGGTCGGGATTCACGCTTGCGGGGCCTTTCGTTGGCGCAGACTGGTGTGCATGCTGGGCATGAAAAGGTTGTCTCGCCGGGACTGGGTTACCAGGTTTCGGATCTTTGACGACGCTACGAGAACTGAGTGGCCTATATGACTCACAGGAATCAGTTTCTTGTGAGCAACCGCACCCTGCTGCATTGGAATTGAATGATACGTACGTGTCAGACCTATTCCAAGGCAGGTCGACAATCACCTGCCTATTCAGTAGCTCATTGGAGGCAGGGGCAGTCTCAATTGGATTTGTGCTGATGGGATGCTGGTTTGAGACGTTCCTGAGAGAAAACGGCTTCCTGCTGGATGCGGGCTTGGCGAACGAGAACTCCGAGACATCTATCAAAGAGCTCGGCGGGCGTTCAAGTAACGGAGTTTTATCGGAGCCATCCATGATTCAAAGTCACTCTCATCTGATGGCAGAAAAAGGTAGAGGAAGAAAGTGTGTATGTCAGTTCGGAGAGGAGGGAGTCATGATCCCGAATAGGAAGGCACCCGCTGCCATGTCTACTTTGGACGTCTTGCGGCAAATACATACTGTATAGATCACTCGTACATCTCTCTAGAGATTGAAATTGAATTTTATTATTGTAAACAGATTCTCCATGTTCGTTTCCATGCCTAACAAGTGCAATCTTCATAAACCGGTATGTCCAGGGGGCCCGCGATCGCCCTCGAGTCGACGTCTATTGTCGGTCTAGTGAATGCACTGTAGGCGAAAGCTTGAAGCTAACTCCCATTTGTTATTACCGACTATTGCCTTAGTGAAATGGCCGAGAACGGCATTGGTAGCTGTAGTTGCGGTCGTGGTGGGTGCCTGTAATATGAGATACTCTGTTCAATACGCGACCAGCTGTTGCTTTGCTTTCCTCCCGAGGTCTCTGTCGTTTTCAAAGGCTCTGAATGAATGCTTTCCAACCTTGAAACCTTCCAAGGTTGTTATTTTCACCTCAAAGGGGTGAGTGCGGTGTTCTCCTACATAAGTCTGTGGGGTGTTTTGTTGCCAGTCCTGCCCCCGTTTATATACCTCCAGGGCTTTCTCAACAACAAGGCTGAATTCCGCCAAAAAACAGACATAAGAAAAGATCACTAAAAGACCAATTATATAACGAAACCTATATGTGAAAACTTCATCGACAAATTCATTAAATATAACGTGGAAGTTTGAAGAGCTGTAGACCGCGAGAAGCATATGATGTTTACACCAAGAGGAAGCGGGAGTCTCCACAGCTCTAGAGCGTGTTTCAAGTAGATTGAAATTAGCTTAAAGTTGTGGAACAATCTGACTGACTCGCTGTGTCTGGACATTTCCGATCTGAGGCTGAAACGAATAAACCCAATATTAAGGCGACAACACAACCTTGGAAACCTTGTGAATGAACAGTTCGTATTCTCTGAAAGTCAAACTTGAACAATCACCATCCAGAACGGCCAGTCTCAGCCCTGGAACCCCAGCACAGCTTCTTTGTTGCCGTTGCAGCCTAATAGCCGTGGACAAGGATCCCGCGTGAGCTCCCCTATAAGCTTACTTGGCTCCTCCGGACAAGGTTTCTAGTGACCCCATCTGGCAGTTTTCTTTGGTCCTTGAACCCTGTGGCTGCGACACTAGCAATCTGACTGTATCCTAATATAGCGACTCTCCGGGAATTATGAACGCTTAGGCCACTGAAGATCAAAGAACCTATAAGAATGGAAGCTCCTTGAATTGTGCTAATTTGCTACGTTGCTACGTGGTTAATTTGCTCCTTCGGACGCTGTGATTTGTTGGCGGCAGAGTACGTGTTCGAGACTCTAACGCACAAGGATCACCCAATGCGGGCTATCGAGCTAGGTGCATGTGATAGGTCCGATCGACCCTCGCGTCGAAGATTCCAAAAAACTTCCAGGGCCGTTCTGTGCGACACCGGCGTTCCCGAAAGAACTTCTACGGCAACGTGGCGGCCACGAGTCGGGGAAAATAGGGTATATCACACGATGAGTTCAGCACAGGTTGCATATCTGCAGGCTGTTTGGTTCGGCTGATCGAACTAGTCGTACATGCTGTAATTCGAGGTGATCACGACTTGATTCGTCAGATCTTTCCGTCTGCACATGAGTGCTGTACAGGGTTCAGGTTGGGTGAAACACCAAGGGGTCCTGGCCTTGGGAGAATTGGAGCATCTCTGCAGGGTGTACTCCGTACTCCGTGCTCCGTAGGGCATGTCTGTGATTAAAGAAGAAAGCTGTGGTACTCCGTACTCCGTACAAAGGTGTCGCTAGTACTTTGTGGCGGATGTCCCTAAAGGTCACCCGGTTTCAAGTTGAATTTTGATCGCCAGGATGTTCGTCTAGGATCAAACTGGACAAGTCACTGGGCGAATGGCGCCAGTCTGTGCATGCTCAAGCGGATACTGTCGCCTCCGCCCAGCAAGCTAAGCGGGCCCCCAGTTCGTACTGGGCAAGACTGGCTCTCCGCTTTAGACAGTTGCACACGATGGGTCCCGGGACCTCTCGACTGTCTAGACTGAGGCACGGACGGAGTCAACGCTCGGCAATATCTTCCACACCGTGACTAGTCTGGAAAAGTAGAGATAGAGTGTAGATCGCACGGCGATAGCCAAAATAAGCATAGGGGAAAACAGCAGTGAAAAGGCGAAAAGGGCGAAAAAGAGGATATATTTTTTTTCTTTCACCCTTTCCCCATTTTGTTGCGCGTCACGCGTGATTGGCCCGCATTTACTGCCGCTTCGGACAGACCGCTCGCCCGCTTCATCCCCTTTCTTTCACATCTGCTTCAACTTCCCATGAGGTTCTGGCTATTGGCTTTGTTACTTTGATCTTGACGTGTCTGGGTCTCGAATTTCTTCCCCTGGTCCCTTTACCCGAAATTGTGCCGTGTGCTAGCTCCCGAACCCCCCCGTCTTTTTCGATATACATATGCAGCCTGGCATCCTGATATCTGAACTCTGCCCTCTTGTCTCCCGATTTTCTTAGGGAGCTTGGACATATTCCGGATTGCTTTCTTCAATCTGGCCGAAACCGTGCATTTGCATCTGGACCTGCATAGAAACGCCCTGCGACTCTGAAACACTCGACCCCCCCGCTCGGCCGCTCTACCTTCGGAATTCGGTCACTTCTCATGGACATTGCGATTTGAGCTCCATCTTCGTTGATATCGATCGCTTTTCGCTTCTCGTTGAACCCTCTCCCATCCCACGTACCCCGAATTCGTGCCGAACACTGTTGGAACAAGTGACATGTTGCTAGCCTAATAGTCAACCTTTTTACATACTTTGGCCATCGCTTCATTCCCTCAATATGGGTAACACTCAGGGAAAGCCGGTGAATTGCAATGATGCAGGTATGTTGCTTCCTCTGCGTTTTCACTGCTCTTAAAATGTGAAATTCGTTGTGCTCGGGCTTTATCTATCCACCCCGCCAATACCTTCGGACGATAAGCTAATTCCGCTGTTCCTCCTAGTTAATCTCAATCATTTCCGGCTTCTACGTGTCGTTGGCAAAGGTGCCTTCGGCAAAGTTCGAATTGTCGAGAGAAAGGACACCGGCCTCACGTTTGCCTTGAAATATATCCGCAAGGAAGAAGGTTCGTGGAAGCTCCAACCCGCCGTTCATCCCACCACAAGCTGACCATCCTTGCAGTGGTTCGTTCGGAAAGTGTGCGAAATATCATTCGTGAACGACGAATGCTCGAGCACCTCAACCACCCATTCCTTTGCAACTTGCGATACAGCTTCCAGGATATGGAGTACATGTGAGTGGCCCTCATTGGCTGTGTATCACCCATTGCTAATTGTGGAATAGCTATATTGTGGTCGATCTCATGAATGGTGGTGATCTGCGCTTCCACATCTCACGAAAATGTTTCACAGAAGATGCAGTGCGCTTTTGGATGGCCGAACTGGGATGTGCTTTAAGATACATCCACTCCCAGGGTATCATTCATCGTGATCTGAAACCCGACAACGTACTTTTGGACTCTGAGGGGCATGTCCATTTGGCTGACTTTGTAAGTTCCACGGGTTGCAATTCACCAAGGCGAGCTGAAAACTAACCTCGGGTCATTAGAACGTGGCATCGGATTTCCGACCAGGGAAACCTTTGACCAGCAAGTCGGGAACCCTAGCCTACTTAGCGCCGGAGGTCTACGAGGGAAGCGGGTACACTTTCGAAGTTGATTGGTGGTCATTAGGTGTGACATTCTACGAGTGCATCTACAACAAGGTATGACTCGTTCCTCCGTCGTGTGTGATATCCCGATCTGACTTTGAGTGAAGCGACCGTTCGAAGGCCGGAGTCAAGACACGTTGAGCGAAAACATCAAGAAAGCCCAACCTAAATACTACGTAACCAATCCCGCAGTCTCGGTTCCCTGCCTGCGAGCCCTTGGATCATTGATGCAGAAGGATCGAAGCCAGCGAATTGGTGCCATTGGTTGGGAAACTTACACCCAGCATATGTTCTTTGCGGAAATCGACTTCGAAGCGCTCGAGCGGAAACAGATTCCGCCCGTGTTCCGCCCGTCCAGCGACAAGACCAATTTCGATGCCACTTATGATCTGGAGGAGCTTCTTCTTGAAGAAGCACCACTCGAAGCCAGAGCCCGCAGACAAAAGCCGCGTGCTGAATTAAGGGAGGATGCGACCGCGAAGGAAATTCGAGAGGACGAGCTGCACCGACTCATCGAGACCATGTTCGAGCCATTCGACTACACCTTGACAGACTACCACGGCAATGCCGCCGAAGCAATTGCCGCTGTAACGTGGGTCTCTTTCTTCCTAACACTAGTTTTATTTGCTAACAGTGTATACCAGGAACCCCGAGGACTGCTTCCCAGTAGCTACAACCACCCCAACAAACACCGCCGAACATGCACGACAGTATTCTCAAGCCGACCCCCAGAAAACCACCTATCCCAGTCAACACGATGGACAATACCGTGCTCCCCCCAGCCAACAAATCACCACAGTCACGGAGAATCTCAACCCACAGGATCCCGCGGCTGGCCCACAGCCCCCATCACCCTCTAATCGCGTCTCGCCATCACCACCGCCCGCCCCGTCTTTCCACCGACCTCTCCCCCAAAATCCCCAAACCCACCGTCCCCGGGGTGCCACTCGACAAATGAGCAAGAGTGGAGGCGTGCAGATGGTCCTCAACGAAGCTGGCAGCTGGAGTGAGCTGGCTCACACATCCACACTTCCCGCAGAGGGCTTGGAGGGCGGCGATGACAAAGGCAAGCAAGCCAACGGTATGCTGTCCTTCTTCAGTCGTAAGAAGGGTCGCGACCGCAGTCCCAAGCCCACCGAACCGGGTGTTCTGGGCAAGGAGGGCGCCAGACAGATTATCAACTGAAGTCCGTTTTCCGGTCCAACCAAATCTCTTCGGCGCCGGCTGGAGAGGCGTAAGGAGTAACGAGACGTGCCAAGTCCGACACTCCGCGGACAATCGCTAGTGCCTCTTCGACTCGACTGATCAGGCACATTGCTTCCGCCTCGTGTCGAGACCCGAGCCAATGCGAGTTCCGACTCCTTCATCCTCCAGCCCGGCTGCCACACCATTCGCCCACTACATTGGGTTCTCTGCATTGTGCGCCATCACCAACTGAATCACAGTTGGATAATGCCCCCTGCAGCACATCGTACGGTCGCTCGAAGCACCGTCCGATCTTTCTTTCTTAGATTCCCAGTGAGCAGCGAGAATTCATTTCCAGCCTATCACCATCACCATCACCACACACTCTCTGTTCATTCCCCCCAGCTGTACAGATGTCCAGGGAGTCATACCCAGGCCCTCTTGATCCCCGTTTGATTCCCATATTCTTTCCAATCTCTGGGTCGGCTCGCATTTCGCCTTCCGTCTTCCATTCGCATTGATGTGTTCTTTCCATCCCTTTTTGTGATTCCCTGGAGTTTGCATACCCACTCGTTGATATGACCTTTTGTTTTCTAGATTGGCTCGGAGCTTGTACATGTGGACTGGGATAGGTGTATTTAATGTCTTTTATTACCTGTGAACTATATCAATTGAATATCTCCCCAATCATTCCAAGCTTAAAGCGTAACGCCTGTTCACTCCGTGTTTAGGTGCAGTAAGTGTACGACGTCTACTGTTCCACCTGGGCACTCTCAGGGCTGTGGATGGCTTCCTCGGTCACGCTCAGGCGTTTCTCCAGAGAGCCTCGGAACCCAAGGTTCAAGGTTGTTGAATAGGTATACGCGAATATGACCGAATGCTGTATGGGCGTCTGTCCCAGCTTATGCGTAGTCTTCTTATACAAAATCCATAGTAGGTCAACAGACAGCAAAAAATAATAGCAATAGCTTTCTACTGTCATTTACCTTTAGATACAACCTTCTTGATCTTTCCAACATTAATCAGCCTTGATTTATGGCACATATCTTGTCTCGATATATACTCATAGTACCAAAGACCCGGCTGTTGGTGGGTTCTACAATTCCCCTCTGTGTCCCCTTTCGGATTGTTTTACAACAGATATCTCCATAGTACGGAGTAAAGTAAAGCAGTCCATGTCTAAGTATATACCACACAGAAATCCCCAATATAAACCACAATTAAAGAGGCGTTCTTCACAATTCCCCTGGAAAGTGGCGCCGATCGGGCCGTGTGGGGAAAAACCAAAACAACGCAGCCTAACCACCTCCTCGCCTGAACGTCGGAGAAACACTTGGCCATGCCATGATTCCATTCTTGGCGGGCTGAGCCCAATTGTCAATCGTCACATTCCAACATCTCCCCCCATTCCAACCCCGCACTCCACGAGCCCACATTCCACCTCCAAAAGGGCCATGCCGAGCCAATCGCGCGACCGAGACCGTCGCGACAGACGAGACCGAGACCGCACACAAGACCACGAACGCGCCCGCCGCCGAGACCGCGACTACGAGCGCGAGCGCGAATATATCCGCGGTCGATACGAAGAAGTCGAAGGCACGTCGAGCCCCAGTAACGAGCGCAGCGCCAAATATCGCTTCCGTGGAGAATCAGGGTACGATTCGCATTCGCAGACGGAGCGTGATGAGTATGATGAAGAGCGCGAGCGGAGGCGGGAACGGAGACGTCGTCGTCGTGAAGAAGATTTAGCTTATGGGTCTCCTGTCTCGGAGAGACGACGGGAACGAGGGAGTTCGAGGGCGAAGGAGTCACCTGCTACGTCACCGAGGAAGAGTGCGCGGGATCGAGATGGGTACCGACGACGAGATGAGACTGGTAGTCCGGTGCGGGAACGACGGAATCGCGATGCTGATGTTGATGCTGAGACTGAGGCGCGGCGACGGAGACGACGGGAGCGTGAGCGGGAACGTGAGCGGCAGCGTGAGAGGGATATTGATGCTGCTGCTGATGTGCCGGCGCGGAAACATCGCAGTACGGAATCATCGAGCAGTGCTTCGCATCTGCTGAGTGTGGATGCTATGGCTCGTCTGGCAGCTGAACATGAAGATAATGATCGACGAGAACGGTCTCGAGATGCCCATGACGAAGAGGAGTCACGCAGGGAGCGGCGTCGACAGCGCAAAATGGCAGCTTTAGACGATGCTGGGAGTCCTGCACTTGGTGCTGATGTCGCAGAGGGTCGATCGCGCCACAAAGCCGGAGCTCGAGTAGTCTCAGGCGCCTACCTGGAGGAAGGCCATAGTTCTGATGCGCGGGTTCGTCGTCGGGGCGGTGGTGGTCCAGCCATGGAAGATCACTGGAAGGAAGAGGACAGCTGGGAGGGCAGCTATGATAGCCGGGGTGGACCGCCAGCATGGATGTTCTGGTCCAATTGGTCTAAGAGAAAGCGTATCATTCTTGGGGGTTTACTGTTGTTGGTGATCGTGCTGGCTATTGCCATCCCAGTTGGGCTTGTTGTATCCAAGAAGAAAGACACAGACTCAGGATCTGGCTCTTCTGGCTCCTCCGATTCAGATGATGCTTTGACTTCCAATTTGGACAGCATCAGTCGCGACAGTATCCCGGTAAGTGGCGAATGAAGCTGTTTAGGGATAGTGACTAACAATCTGGTCTCAGAGTTATGCAAAGGGCACAGTGCTAGACCCATTCACATGGTACGAGACAAACGGCTTCAATGTCACATTCACCAATGCCACCATGGGTGGTCTTTCACTCATGGGACTCAACTCTACCTGGGACGACTCGACGCGGCCAAATGACAACGTCCCTCCCCTCAACAAGGCGTTCCCGTACGGCACCCAACCCATTCGCGGAGTGAACATCGGAGGTTGGCTGTCCATCGAACCCTTCATTACGCCATCCCTGTTTAAGAAATGGTCATCTTCTGATGGAATTATCGACGAGTACACCCTGACCAAAAAGCTTGGCAACTCTGCGAAATCTACCATCGAGAAGCATTACGCCGAATTCATCACCGAATCAGACTTTGCAGAGATCAAAGAAGCCGGACTGGACCACGTTCGCATTCAATATTCCTACTGGGCTATCACAACCTACGACGATGACCCGTACGTCGCTAAGATTGCCTGGCGTTACCTTCTGCGCGCCATCGAATGGTCACGTAAGAATGGACTGCGGGTGAAACTCGACCTCCACGGTCTTCCTGGCAGCCAGAATGGCTGGAACCACAGTGGCCGCCAAGGCAGCATTAATTGGTTGAATGGTTCAGATGGGGAGCTCAACCGCAAACGATCGCTTGAGATTCACGATCAACTCTCGCAGTTCTTCGCGCAAGATAGGTATAAGAATGTGGTCACCATCTACGGTTTGGTCAATGAGCCTCTGATGCTGTCTCTTCCAGCTGAAAAGGTTCTGAATTGGACGCAAGAGGCAGCAGAACTTGTTCGAAAGAACGGCGTCAACGCTACACTTGTCTTGCATGACGGCTTCCTGAATCTAGACAAGTGGGACAACATGTACAAGACTCACCCAGACAACATGTACTTGGATACCCACCAGTACACCACTTTCAACACCGGCGAAATCGTCCTCAACCACACCGCCAAGGTTGAGATCATCTGCAACAACTGGTACACCATGATCCAGGAGATCAACGTCACCTCATCCGGGTAAGTCACATCTCTCCCACCTCCAATCTCACGACTGACCTGAATAGATGGGGCCCTACTATGTGCGGCGAATGGTCTCAAGCAGATACAGATTGCGCCCAGTACGTCAATAATGTCGGCCGCGGTACACGCTGGGAAGGCACCTATGACACCAAAGATTCAACCGCCTACTGCCCAACAGCAGACGACGGAACCTGCAGCTGCGCGAAGACACAAGTCGACCCATCGCAGTATTCCGACACATACAAAAGCTTCCTCCAAACCTACGCCGAGGCCCAGATGTCCGCCTTCGAGACAGCCATGGGCTGGTTCTACTGGACCTGGCGAACCGAGTCAGCAGCACAATGGAGCTACCGCACAGCATGGAAGAACGGCTTTATGCCCAAAAAGGCATATTCGCCATCTTTCAAGTGCGGAGACACAGTCCCAGAATTCTCCGGCATGCCCGAGTACTACTGATCGATAATGAAAAACACCAACGTAACGTTAGACGCATTGTTAAAATACCATTCCATTCGGCCTCCTGCCTGAAGCAGAGTATGTAAGATTCTCATTGAAAACACTTCCTCCAAACACCCGTGGTATGAAAAATCCCATCTAACCCTTCAACCAACCCCCTTCCTCCCACTGCCCAGGCACGAAGACGTATTCCTGTCGTAACCACGGGTGCCTCACTCCACCGAGCAGCCGGTCCAGACGCTGGAAGTCAATCGGCTTCATGATCCAGCCATCGAATCCGGTCCTGAGGTAGCTGTTGCGGTGCTCTTCGCGGAGGGATGCCGAGACTGCGAAGATGGGAATGCGAGGTGCGGGCGTGGTCTCACTTGCCAGTTCCTGCTGCTCGTATTCGCGGATCAGTCTGGTTGCGCTGGCGCCGTCTACGATGGGCATCTGGAATATCATGTCAGTGGGTGTGTCTTGTTTTGGAAAAAGGGTCGACGTACCTGGAGATCCATCAGCACTGCATCGAACGCAGTGGGGTTCTCTTTGAAGACGGTTATGCATTCTTTGCCGTTGGCTGTGAGGTGGATTGTGTGTCCGAATTTCTCAAGGCGCTTGCGGACGATGGTGCTGTTGACGGGATCGTCTTCGGCGACGAGGACGTGGAGACTCCAATTCATCTTCGAGTTTGGCTTTGTTTCTGGTGTAGTTGTAGAGGACTGAGAAGGTTGCGAAGGGTGAGGTCCTTCCAGAGATGTTGCAGATGGTGAGATACGAGAGTCTTGATTGTCTGCTTTGAGCTCAATGGCATTGGCAGAAAGTGAGAGGGTTCTACTTTCGCCTGATTTGAGATTCACATCAACATGGACGCCAGGTTCTCCCAAGCTAAACTCCGGTGTCTCCCCCGCACTCGCAGGGGAAACTGTCACCCTTTCGACTGGCACAAGTTGAGTGCTCATCTTTGTATCTCTCGTTACTTGATTTGATACGCTCTGGAGATGCGACTTGATCCTGTCCACTATCTTCATCGGGTAGAGGGAACTCAAGCCTGATCTTAAAGCAACTTCCCTTTCCTGCTTCGGACTTCAGACTCAGTTGTCCATTCATGTTACGCACGATCCGAGCTACCAGGGCAAGACCAAGCCCGAGAACGCTCTCGGTGGCCAAAGGCTGGCTGCTCGCCTGATCGTAAGCCTTGGGGTTCTTCATATACCCTTTATTGGACACCTGTTCTAATTCACAAAACAAAGCCTCTACCGTCTCCTGCGACATGCCAGAGCCAGTATCGTGAATTGCAACTTCCACGGAGATATGATCTGGATTCAATGATTCCGGCACCACGCAAGATTCAACCGTCACTGCCCCCGAGGACGTGTGCTGCACCGCGTTACTGATCAAGTTGGTGATGACCTGACGTACACGCCGCTGGTCACCGAGGACGGGAGGCAAAGCAGCATGTTGCACTACCTGCAGGGCCACATGTTTTTGCCTTGCCTCCTCCCAGAAGATATCGGTTGCTTCGGTGAGGGTTTCGGAGAGGTTGAACACCTCGTCTTTGATTAATCGCAGTCCGTTCTCGGCGTTCGTGAGATCCAAAAGATCATTGATGATGTATACCAATGACCTAGAGGCTGAATGGGATCGGGAGATATTGTCCCTTGTTTCTTGATCCAGTGACCCGTCAAGCGCAATCTCCAAGTAATTGATGATCGCGTTCAGAGGCGTCCGGAACTCATGTGCAGAGTTGGCAAGGAGCAATCTCATCAGTTGATTGTTCTGCAAGGTGACCTCCTTCTCTTGCCATACATCAGTGAATGTGCGGTATAATTGAGACAAGATGGACGCCTTTCCGATCTCTGCCGTGGACCAAAGTTGTTGCCGCTTTGAATTTTCCGTTTCATTGGCAACATTCGGTGGGCTTTGCTCAGCTTGTGTCTCCGCAGAGTGAGCTCGGAAGAAAATAATAAAATCCTCGCCATCTCCTGACAAAGGAACATAGAAGAGCCCAGCCAGATGGTGGAAGCCGCGCGAGTAATTGAGATCAGGGAAGTCAGAGGTGATATCCGTGGACCAACAAACGGCATCATTATCTTTAGCTTTCATGTACTCGAACAGCGCCAGAACCTCCTGGGAATCAGTTGGTCTTCCCAGAATCTTTGTTTCGCCGAGGATAGACGCGGCGGCATAATCTGCACCAAACAGACTAAGCAAGTCACCCAAAGGGGTCTTGATTGCCTGAGTCTTAGCGGTATCGTCTGAGGCAGTTGGCTCCTTCAACTGAAATGGAAGACTATACGACAGACGCTCGACATTACTCGAGACAGCCTCTGCAATGAACCAGCAGAGATGGAGGTTGACGGGATGGAGTCTGTTATTGCTTTCAAAAGACTGACATGACAGAAGACCCCACAACTTTCCGAACACATTTATCTTGATAGAAAGACAGGCTTTGGCAGGGTTGTCTGGGTGGAGACTCGATGGCGTCTGCTTGACAGACAAATAAGTGTGCTGGAAGTCAAGCGGTGGTCTATCGGAAGCACGGTACAAAAGCTGCGCGGTATCCCGAGGCGCCGAATATGAGAAGCACACTGTGTTCCGTGTGTAGGGCCTCTTTGACGCTTCGGAGAACATCGATGCTGGAAAATGAAGGCCCTCGTGCGATGTCAACCCCGTGGAAGTTGCATCGGCAAGAACAATCCCGTTTCGATCACTATCGAAGTGATACAAAGTCGTTCTTTCAAACTGCACATATTCCTGCAGAACGGAAATGGTCTCTTGGACGAATGTTTCGAGAGTCTGGGCATTTGCAAGTCGCCGAAGAGTTCGCGGAATCTTGTTCAGCAGTTCCGATTCAACGATGCTACTGTCCTCGGCAGCTGAGGTGTTCGAGTTCTCGAAATAAGCCCCGGAAGTCGAGTCCAATTCCTCGCTCTTGTGGAAAGCCAGTCTGTCCAAAGGATTGCCCGAGTTGCGGGTAACACTCTCTGGTTGGATTTCGCAGATAATATACTGCTTGGAGGATTGGCTGGTGTGCATGGTGCACCACGTTTCCTGCATAGCACCATCTGGTGACAGTATAGGAAGCGAGAATATTTCAGGGCCAAGGTCTTCAATGTTGTAATCATCATCCAGGACAGCTTCAGTGTGAGCTATGAGTTTTGCCTGAAGCGATGAAGGTAAGAAGTCACAGAATGATTGGCTGGCAAATAACTGCTCGGGAGAGTATCCAATGATCGACTTGGTGTTGCTGCTGGCTATTTGGACCACAAACTTGTCATCGGATTTCGTGATGACAAGGAGTACTCCAAAAGGTTGAACAGAGACCACCTCCTCATCCTCGCTCGCGTGTTCGATTCCTTTTGTCATCTTCTGCACACCGAGGATCTCACTGCCGTTCTGCAAGGATGCTTGTAGACTCGCGAGGAGAAGCTCGTTTCCTCTGCCGGCGTGGGGGCTCAAGACTTCTGTGGGTGTCTTTGCCTGAAATTCATCATTTGGGCTATTACGCGTCGAGAATGGCGCTCTAGAACCCGTAGTAGCCTTGCTGCCATCCAGGCTACCCTGACTCAATGGATCGAGATTATCTCGTGTCTTTGAGGTGTGAATATCAGATTTGGGCTCTTCTGAGGGACGCTTCGGTTGGGAGCTAGGTTGCTCGATACCAAGGTCTCCAACCACAGTATCTGAAAATGGGGATATAGGTGTCTCAAGCTTTTCGAGGGAAGGCGTAGGCAACGCGGACGACGGCGTCGAGTCGAACGAAACGACAGATCGAACAGGGAAGACTCTTTCCGCAGACTCGTCACCCAGTTGAGGTAGTTGCAATTTGGGTGATCGTAATTCCGTCACGGTTGATATCTCAGTTTTGGTATCAGACATGATGCACATGGTCTTTGGAATTGACAGTGTCCGCGCAAGCGTTTGGCGTCTGTCGAATAGCTTGTCTCCTTTCTTTTCATTCTGATCGTCGTAGACGACTGTCCAGTCGGCATAGTCTTTGACATCGGTTGGGTCAGACATATCAAAGACTGTGTACCTCTCTCAAGGTTCTGATTGGGAATGCTACCTATACAGGGCCATACAGGTCAGCACAATCCTGCGAGATGGAGGAGAGGTAGCTCCCTTACTCGAAGAGATAAGAAAAAGCAGATGGATCTGGGCCCAAATGAACGACTCGAAACTCAATATATATCAGTTGAAACGAAAGCCATTGAGGCAAAATTGTGAGAGCACGAGAGAGCGAGGTGCGAGGAATGAAAGATCTCGACAAAATCGGAAAGAGTCTTTGCTTGAAGGTACCATAGATCCTGTTCCCCAGCTGCTTGTCCTGAGTTGTTGGCCTATCAAAAGTCGAGCCGCTGGTGACAAGCTTTCTCCCTGAGGACTTGCCCTCGGTTCCCTAGTCCGGTTCGCCGGACATTTCCATCGAAAAGTGACTCGCAATCCGTGAACCAGAGGATTTCACCCATGGTTAGCTGTTCGGCATCGTGGAAATGCTCCCGGGGATATTTATAGATGCGAGAGAATTTGGATCGTTCAACAACAACTATCCCAAACAATCTCTAGCAATTTAAGAAAAAAAGAAAGCGCAGGGAGAAAGTAGCAGTCGTGCTTTTCAGTTCACGAAAGATCTTGTCAAAGACCTGTAGTACCATTATCAAAATCCATCAAGGTACAGCAAAGCGACCTTCGGCGACCCCGGACCAAACCATCACACAATGGAATGAGAGTACCTGTCTAGACCTGTCGATAGTCTAGCTTGTATGGAGAATACCCCACAGCGTCAATTGAATGACTTCAACCAATGGGTAGCTGTGACAGGTGCTTTGACACGGATGGCAAATGGCCACACATCGGCAATGCCGGGGTGTTTCCTCATTTGTTTCTGCAATGGTGTCACCTTCGAGAGAAAAATAGCTCATCATCGAAGACACAGGTTTGTCGATTATGGTGAACGACCACACATTCGTAGATGCAGAGCTCTTGGTGAAGGTAAACTGTGCCCAAGATGAGTTAGCACCGGGTATAAAGTATCCAGGTCAAGTATACCAGTCGGACCACAATGCCGGAAGCTCGCCATACTTGGCCATGGAGCGAGATCTGACTCGTGGACATGCATTCCGGGAAGAGGCGCGAAGATGACACGTCCGGGTCGTAACCAAGGTTCTATCAGCCGCTAAGTTGGGTTCAATAAGAAGGCAGGTTCATCGATATGGCAGCAAAATATTCCAATTCTAACACCAAAAGAACATGCAGATCTCGAAAAACCATGAGATTCACTATTTGACAACATTGAACAAAAAACCCCGGAACCCCCACGCCATGCATAAATCAACGTCATCACCACCGACGGCCGTAGATGGAATCTTCATTCCGCGACTTTCTACTCTGGGACTCGCGGCCCCGGACGCGGGCATCAGAGTGTAGAGAATGTAGAGAATCGTGAGAGGCGTGAGGTTCGCCCTCATCCGGGGAACTCAGCAGCCCAGCGGATTGCTTGAAATCAAGTGTGGTCTGATCATCCTTGAAGTTGTGCTCGGCATCACGACCGAAGAGAGCCATCATGTCACGCATGGTGAGCTTTCCAGCACCGGCCTTACCCTCGATTGTGGCGTTGGCCAATTCACGCTTGCGATCCTGTAGCGCGACGATCCGCTCTTCCACAGTGCCCTTGACCACCATCTTGTAGATCTTCACGTCGACGGTTTGGTTGAGGCGGTGGACACGGTCAATAGCCTGCTCTTCCACAAACTACAAGTTGAGTTAGTAAGATGCATGGGGATAAGTGGATTCATTGAGGTACTCACGGGATTCCAAAAAGGCTCTAGAATGACCACGCGGCTAGCAGCAGTCAAATTCAGACCCAATGCACCAGCGCGCAAACTACAGAGCAGAACACGAGTTCCACTGTTGTTGCGTAGTTTCTCAAGACTAGCCTCGCGATGATTGTTTGCCATTCCACCGTCATAGCGCGCGAAGCCAATATTAGCCCGCTTCAGGAACGGTTCGATCTTGTCGAGCATAGAAGTGAAAACCGAGAACACGATGAACTTGAAGTCCGGTGCTTCGCGGTTGAGGATACGCATCAAGTGGCGAATCTTGGTCGATGGCAGTTCTCCGTTTTCTCCTTCATCGTTGTAGATATCGTCGGAGCCAGAGTCGGAGTCGCTATCATCCTCGGAATCACTGAGAACGATGGGTTTGCTCTTTCTCCGAGAAGGCGATTCGATCTCATCGTTCGATTCCTCGTCGGTTTCATCCTCGGAGTTGAGCCACTCACCGCCGCCTTCGGCGTTCTCATCATCCAACCCGCCGGCCTTGCCAAGGTTGGACAATTTGCGCTGATCTTCCGGCACAACCCAGTCACCCTCCTCGTCATCTTCATCATCACTGTCGATGATGATTCGACGATTTTTGCGAGAGCGGGCCATCTGAGCATCCGATTTGCGAGCGGATGGTGATTCCGGAGCATCGCCTTGTTGATCACGGTGCTTCTTGGACTTCTTGGACTTCTTGGATTTCTTCTTCTTCGTCGAATCCGTAACCATGAAGTTGGTGTTCAAATCAGCTTCACACTCAGCGCAACGAGTGCCACCGGCCTTGACTTCTTCCTTCTTAAGATCGGTTTGACAGACATCACATTTCTTGGTGACGACACTCATAGCACCGAAGAGGTCAGCAATGTCATCAAGGTCTTCGGACTTGGACTGGCTTGACTGGCTGTTCGCGGTGCCATTTTGCAGTAGAATATCCTTATCCTTTGCCAGGTCACCCTTGACCAGGTCGGGATGGTTACATGACTGACGAAGACGCAACAGCAGGACCAAGGCGCCGGCATAGTTGACCTTGGAACCACCCATCATCTCCTCGAGGCTGTTGTCTGTTCGCTGTTCGAGGCGTTTGTAGAAGTTCAGCTCGCCGGGCATGAATTCGGCGGCAACCTGGATGACCTCACGCTTAGTGATGTGGAAGCCGTTCGATGACTTCTTGGGCTTTCCATCGGGTCCTTCTTCACCAGGGTTGGGTGCATTGAGTCTGAGTACATCCTTGGTACGGCGTTTCATGAACGCTTTCAAATAGACCTGTAGTCGCTGAATGGCAAGTCCACCTCGACCGTTGTTCAAAGGCCGACTGATCTGATCTCTCCAGGCAGCCAGATCATCGTATGGCTTGACTCGGAGGAACTTGATGAGACTTTGCAACTCATCCAAGTTGTTTTGAAGCGGTGTTCCTGACAGACACCAGCGGTATTGAGCATCCAAAGCGTAGGCGGACTGAGTAGCTTTGGCGTTGCGATTCTTGATAGTGTGGGCCTCGTCAAGAATGATACGGTACCAGTGGAGCGCAAAAATACCAGACTTCTTGGCCTTGTCGGATGCCGATGAATTGAATTCAGAGGTCAAGGTTCCATAGGTTGTGATGACAACATCGTACTTGTCCAATGTGGTCGATGTCTTCGCACGGGTTGTACCGTGATACAGACATACGCGAAGTTTGTGGCTGTCTTCTACCTTGTCTTTGATTTCTGCTTCCCATTGCTTGATGAGCGCAAGGGGAGCAATGACGAGGGTAGAGCTGCTACAATTTGGTGGTAGCTTGGTGGTTTGCCCCTCGGAATCGGGGTTGTTTTCGCTGTGTTCGTTGGCAGATTTGGGGTTTCTGAGTAGCAAAGCAATCGTTTGCACAGTTTTGCCGAGACCCATGTCATCTGCGAGGATTCCACCCTTGGGGAAAATTCCCTTTGAGTTCTTTCGTCCGGTCTCCTTATCGCACATCCACCGCACACCCTCGATTTGATGGGGCAGCAGTGTGACTTTCAGGCCTTCGACCACTCCGTCATCTTCCTCCTCTTCGTCTTCCTCTTCCTCCTCTTCATCGTCATCTTCTTCATCTGCCTTCTGCTCATCATCTTGGTCGGTCGCACTCTTTTCATCTTCACTGGTAGACTTTGCGAGCTTGGACTCGGCGTCCTTAGGATCATTGACCGTAACACCAGATAATTGAGCCGCAAGATCATCAAGGTCATCAGAAGCTGGCTCCTTCTTCTCTTCGACAATGACATCTTTCTTCTTCTTGGAAGACTTCTTGGAGCCGTTCTTCTTCTTGCCCTTAGGTTTCGGCTGCTCTTTGTCTTCCTCGTCTTCAAATGCACCCTCAAGCAAAGCCTTGATGTTTTCGTTTGCCATAGCCGAGTCAACATATCCATTCATGTCCATAGCCCCAAAACTGGAGTGAGACTGCGCGGCTGGCTGTCGGGGAACAGGATCATTTGCATCACGTGTGAGATCGATGAAGCTTTGCAGGTTCTTAGACGAATTGCTCGGTTTGGGCGGAAGAGGCTTGGATTGGAAGATCGGCCTGGGGGCCCGCGGTGTATTCCAAGTCACATTTTCAGGGCGCTTGATGCCCACAGACCCAGGCGGGATAAGTCCACGATTGTTGTTGTATGCAGACGGCGCAACTGGCTTGAAGGGGTCCCATGGCTCGCTGCGCTTCGACGCAGGTGTGGCAGCAGCCGCACCCGAAGGGACTTGTGGACGATAGCCTTGAGGAGCACCAGGTTGTTGATGTTGTCTGGGGGCGCGGGGGGTCTGCGTGAGGGTTGGGTCGATGAGGGGCTCGATGGTGCTCGGCGCGAGCTTGATTAGACTTGGGAATGTTGAAAAGGTGGTTCGATTTCTGCTGTGGGCCGATCGGCGAGGGTTTGCCGAATTCAGGTTCCTGGATATGTGAGGGGCGAGCGTGGGCGTTCGGCTTCCCTCCAGGAGTGAGGGGCTCTGTCGGCGCGTTGCTTTCTTTGGCCATGGTGTTCAACAGGCGGTGTGTTTGAGCACGTAATGTTTATTGGACGAGCGTTTGTCTTTCAGATCGAAGGCCAAGTTGGTTGTGGGTTTTATTGTGCGATGGAATGAGTGAATCTAACTCTTAGCCACGATCAAACGCGAAGAGAGTCTAGTCTGACTGGAATGTGTCAGTCCTCGCATCAGGATTTCGGAGGGGTCAATCGATGTGATATGTCTTCCGGGTGCGAAAGTCATCGAGGAGGGGAATAATGCAGTGTAGGAGTAAGGGGGATATGACTGAGATCTCACCTATTTCATGCCACACTGCTAGATGTTGTTAGTACGGAGTAGTTGTCGATTGTTGATGGTGGGGTGAAGATGAAAGAGTCGGCGTTATCGATAGATCAATTTGTTTGCGATCGCCCCGGCAACGGCTGCTGCCTCAGGCATCACATTGGATTTTAAATGTTGGCAGGTCGAATTGGAAATTAACGCTGTCTAATCATTTTCTCATGACGATATTAAGTTCTAGCTTTGAGTAAAATTACAATTTTTGAAGCTCCTTCTCAATCACCCTCCAAGCCTTGGGCAACAAGGCACCGCCAAGCCAATAGTCATCACCATGATCCTTTCCGAACATCACAAACGCGTTGAAAGCGTCGTACATGTGGTCGAGATATTCGTTGTAATAACTGATCATGGTACCGGGGGGATTCCGTCTGGTCTCTGAGCTCTCTCCCTGTCGCACAACCGCAGGTCCAAAGTTGGCAGTCTTCATCAACTCGATCTTGATGACATTGTTGACAACCATGCAAACCCCGTTCGAGGGTCCAAACAAAAGACGTGGTTCCTTGCCTTCCTCGAGGTCTTTCATGAAAGTATTCATGAGCAAGCGGCTTTGCACCTCCGATCCTTGTTCGGCAGTATGAGCCCGATTCGCCAGCGCAATCTCGCTGACTGGCGCCCGGGCCAGTTTAGACGACAGGAATGTGAATGTTCCAACGCAGATGTTCTGAATGAATACACCGCTTGACTTGGCCAGCAGCGGAAGTCGGAAACGCAGGTTCAAGAAGTTCAAGATTGTGACTGGACGGGAACTCGACTCGGATAGAGCCAAGCATCGTGCTGCCCACGCAGCGATGATATCATTTTCACTGACCCAGGGAGCAGTCTCGACGTCCGTGGCTTGCAAAGCCAGCTCAGCCTTAATGTCGGCTTTCATCTTCATTACAGATTCCTTGGGAAGATAGATGACACGCTTTTCACGGGTTCCACTCCAGAGGTAGTCCCACAGGAAGCGCAGCTGGAACAAGACCAGACTGGCGCCACTCAGACGATGCTTCTCCAGAATGAGCTCCTCATCCTCCTCCCTTCTGATTTCCGGGTGAAGGAGGATATCTTCGCGGGCACCGATCACTTCGGGCACTTCATCTTCCCGTCCAGCCAGTACTGACGACCATCCAGCGAGCAGAGCCTTGCCACCCATGGCATCCATCAACTGGTGAGGCCATGAGAGAGCGAGAATAGTTGCGTCGTGGAAAGTGGTCACATGCACAGAGATCGGAGGAATATCACTCTTTGTCATGTCCATGAACACGGGGAAGTTTGCTCGGCTGTTGAAAGGTTTTGACTCGGGCATAATGCGATGAAGGGATGGGCCTTCGGTTCTGACTGGAAGTTTGCTGGCCACTGGGTGCTCTCCGATGGGAGAATCGATCACATCGTGTGAGAAAGATACATTCTCTCGGGGTCCTGCGGATGATCCTGGGACGAATATTTCCAGTTTGCCATCCGGCTGGTACCTGTCAGTCTTGTTTTTATTGCGCCGCGATTCGGAAATCCTCAACGTACCCCGTATCGAAAACGTCCACCGAGCTTTCTCCAGTCACCAATCTCCAATAGCCTGGAGAGAGACTTCTTCAACATATCGGCATCGAGAAGATCATTGAATCTCATAACCCAATCCACATAGTTCGGATTAAAATCCAACGTGTGCAAAGGGTAGACATCGTCAGGTACGTAGGGGGTTTCATCCACGATGTATGGCAGCTTTTCCTCCATCTTTTCGGAGTCCATCTTGTGTAGCAGTATGGTATTAGGAGGGTGAAGATTTTGAAAGGATTTCAATTCCGAAACTCTTTTTACAATTGCAGCTTCGCCCTAGTACAACAAGAATGGTTAGCCCCGTGGACTCCAATCTTGGTTAATGGTTTGTTTAGCGTAAGCCACGATTAGCTTCCGATCTTCGTGCAGAGAAGTCAAACACCTTGTTAGTTCCAATTAGCGCGAACTAGACTTTCTGCTTGATCCACGCTGGACCTTGCTATCCCTTTCGATGTGATATATCCTATCCAAACGACTATTCTGCTCTCAGTCCCATCTGCCTTCAAACCTGGGGTCCAGCTTTTTTCCAATAGGCATATTAGCATCACTGCCCTTGAAATCCATTGTTTTGTAGTTTCTTCAGCTGTTCTCTTAGACTAAAGCCAATACCCACATCTGCTTACTGCAGGTCTCCACATCGTATTGAGTATCCATCTAGCATCCACCCTTCCCACCCAGATTACCAAGATTTTCGAGATTTTCAAGATTTCCAACATTTGACTTTGCCCAGACAGACTTCAGCTCGCAATCTGCCCCTGTTCAATTAAATTTTCGTCGATCGATCTGTTGGGAGTTCGAGATTGCGATCAAATCCCAGCTAGCGCTTCTATTTTTGTTTTGATTTTCGACTGACGATTAGCATCCGCTTGAGATCAATGCTCAATTTTAAAGCATCACTATTGAATTCTACATTCTATGTACTCTATCTTACATGCAATAGAAGTGAACTGCACGTAAAGCAATGCCGTGCATGGGTCATGGACCAACGTGGCTGCTGCGCAAACACTGCATAAACAACTTCCAAAAGGGGTGATACATGCCCAGGCGTACTTGCACCAGAACAGGCACCGAAGTGGAGATTCCTTGCTGTGCCTTTGCAAAATTGACCGGATATGTCGGAGGCCCCTTGGTGAACAGCTCAATTATTCAAATTGTTGGTGGATTGCCGGCGATTCGGGTGATTCGCCGACGTCCCACCTCAACTCTCTGGCCAATGATGCCGTACAGAATTATGGATTCGATTTCGATCGACAAAACTAATCTTGTTTGTCCCTGACTAGTGATTTGACATCTGGTAAATTTTTATCGCAAACCTTGGAAGTGCCGGTCCCATTCCCGAAAGTCGATTTAGTTTGACAGCAAAGCCCGGTGTGGACAGGCATCTAGATTCTATTCTGTTCCTAGTTTTCTTTCCACATTGAGGGAACGCTGATATCAGTGTTAGAGTTGAAAAGAACATGGCCGGATACTTTGACTTACGAAACCTCAATGACAGCACACTTTCCACCTTGGACAACTGTGGTTGCCTCCTTGATCGCTGGGTCGAGCTCAGCCTGCGTCGCGATCGTCGCGCCCCAAGCTTTTCCAGCGGCAGTCGCAATTCCGGGGTAATCCGGCGAGGGATCGAACGAGATATTAAGGTCTGCGGCGAATCAGTGATCTTGTATTAAAAAGTAGCAATCTTTCAATTGACCCACCTCGTCTGTTGGACTTGGAGGACAGCCCGTCCTTATGCACGAGAAGTGCAGACACCTTTGGTGCATTCCAACCACCGTTGTTGAGCACAATCATAAGGAAGGGAATATCGTAGCGTCTGGCAATCCAATACACGCTCTCCATTTGGGAGAACAGATAGACACCGTCACCAACACTGGCTTTATTAGCAATTAAACAGGCCGACGGGATGAGGACCGGCTCTGTGACTTACATTCCGCATACGAATGCGCCAGGCTTGCCTAGCTTGACTCCTAGTGTTGCACCACCTCCCCAGCCAAGTCCACCAGCACCGCTCGCGATAAGGCTTCCGGGCTAGGCATCGTCAGTACGCGCTTCTGAATATCCATTCAATGGGCAATACAAACCTGGGTCAAGTTCAAATGGTGAATGAGATGTCCGGCGTTTGTCACAGCCTCCAAAACGTAGATGGTATCCTGAGGAAGCATACTTCGCAGTCTCGAGGTCAGGTAGGGCACGCTGACTACACCGTCATTTGTTGGCTTTTCGGAGTCAGACAATGTCTTTCTCCACGATTGATAGTTCTTCGAGCGCTGCTCGAAGAGAGGCACATAGGCAGTCTTGGATAGTTCCTGTTTATCCAAGAAAGTGTTGATCTGCTGCAGTGCGTATCCACAGCCAACCTTAAGCCTCCGGGTTGCCGGGATGGAAAACACTGATAAGTTCAAGTCAGAAAAAAGTCACCAAAAGGAAAAGACGGAGTCTGATCGTACAGGGCATTTGTTGTTTCAGGGGATCGACGTCTAAGTGGAAGATCTTTGTGCCTTCAGGATCAGTCAGCGATAGATTCAACCTCAGTGCTCTCCGATCAATTACCTATTCGAGGGGTACCGGCTGTAGGAATCCAAGGAACATCACAGTCAAGGATAAGGATGACATCGGCTTCGAGAACTTCAGGGTGAGTGTTGACGGTCACACCGCGGTACGCTTCATGATCGCTTCTCAGACAGACATCAGAGCCAACCATCTCAACAACCGTAATGGGCAGCTTATCACAGAGTTCAGCCAGAAGGGCAGGCGCTTTGAGGTTTCGTCCCAGAGAAGTCGTGAGCACAAGGGGGCGCTGTGCTTCAATGAGAGCATTGGCAATCAATTCGACCTCTGCTTCGGTTAGTGGACTGCAGTATAAAACTCGAAAATGGTCATTTCACCTTGCTCTGGCAATGCACTTGGCGAAATCGGGCTGACAACTTCTCCATCACCAATCTCAGGGCCAACACGCTTTATACATCTTGTCAGCCTGATTCGTCACGTTTGGATCTGGGAATGGGAGGTATTACATCCTCGAGGACTTCTCTGGCAGCCATCAGATATGCCGGACCCTTGGGGTCAGAGGTAGCGAATTCCATTGCCCGACGGACCATCTGCTTGATGTTGCGTCCGGTCTTGATTTCACCAGTGTATCTGCAGTATTGTCGCACAATTGCAGATTGATCAGGGACATCTTGCAACCAGTGGATGAACCTTTTCTTATGATTAGCTATGGTTGTTTCGATACAAAGAGCTGCTATACTTACTCTGTCCGTGAACCCAGTAGCTCACCCCGGGAAGTGAAGGGACTCAATCCGGCAAAGCATAGAACTGGAACCCTGCTGACAGAGGCATTGTGTATAGACTGGCCTAAGGCGAGAGTTCCACAGTCGACATGCACGATGACACATTGCTATGGGAAATTAGCTAGAAACAAATCTGATCAGGGTGTTTGTCCATACCGGGAGTCCGGTGGCCTGAGCATATCCCAATGCTGCTGATAGCGCAACTAGCTCGGAGGGGCATGTAATAATGTTGGGGAAGTTTGTTTTGTTCTCTTCACGAAATCACACACATGAGCTTAAGGCTATCGGGCCTGACGTTTGCAAATACTGACCTTGCTTAGCCTTGATCATCGCTTCCAACATAGCTGGATGATCGCTTCCACTAAACGAGAGGTCAGAAATCAGGGCGTCAACCATTGATGGCAAGCAATACTTACAGGTTCACAAAACACTGAGTGATCCCAGCCTCAGCTATCGTTATGGTAAGCATCATTCAAATCTGCAGTCAAAATTGGGAATGTGCATACTCAAGGCCTCGAAGAAGTTCTCCGCAGCAGATGTGAGCGCTCCATCTTTGACAATTTCAGCTTCATCGTCGCTGTCGGTCTTCTTCCGTTTCTGAGGAATTGTGTTCGCCGTCATAGTGCTTCGTTGATCAGGGATAAATCTCAACAATCGGGATGATCGGTGGGGAAAAGGGGCCAAGTCCCAGCTGAAATGTCCAGTACGATGCCGCCTTATGTTGCCAATCACCTGATTCCTTACAATTATTATTTAAGAAAGCAAAGGGCGTTATACATCGAAATTAGGGAATTGGATAGCTTATATACGTGATGCCGGGCCTCGCTTGGACCTTAGCTTAAGTGCAAGCCGACCTCGGGAAATACCCGTAAGACCCCTCTTTACGTTCCGCCCCGAGCGGAATGGATGCGGCCACCCCCGTTTGTATAGCCAAGACAAACGAGTGATCATGAAATTTCTTCATGGCTGTGTGTGCTCGATGGAATAAATTAGTCCTCGGCGAGGCTTTGTTGGCTTTGAGCAACACATAGGACGAGAGGCTACGGGTACACAACGTCAGCCCACAGGATTGAGAGGGGGAGGAAAAAGCAAAAATAGAAAGAGGGTACTGATGGATGTCGATTTGTCATTTCCTCTGTCATGTGTTGACTATAGATGCGCTGCAGGTTAATAATGACATATAATATCCGAGAGAAACCACCCAGTGTATCATAAATAGGCGCAAGGCCGAGCCAAACCTTTAATTCGAGTTGCCGATGACCCATTTAAATCTCCCCGATGACACTCTTGAGTATCTCCGGAACAATAACTCCAGCATCTCCAGTGAAGAACCAGTCTGCTTTGTGGGATCTGCTGGGAACATCATTGGGGTCCATATTGCATACCGCAACCCGGGCGCCCTGCTTGCGAGCCTCATCAACGTATCCAGCAGCTGGATAAACCTTTGAACTAGTGCCGATCACTAAACACAGATCGACTGGGGCCTTCGCGATCCATTTATCGACATCATCGATCGTTTTCTCGGGCAGCGCTTCCCCGAACCACACAACTCCGGGTCTGAGAAGGCCTTTCTTGCACTTCGGGCATCGTGGCAAGTCTTCTTCCTTGATGTGGGGGATGGGATTTCTGGAATCCGAGATATCAACCTCGGTATCGGCTACGAGAGCTTGTTTCATAGCCTTGCTCGCTTCCTCGCCTGTTTTATCGCTGGAGGATGGGTTAAGACCGGACAGCTTCTTTGGAATGTCCAGAGCAGGGACAATAGGGTCTGTGAAGTCATTTGGGCGGACGTAGTCACAGAAGAAGTCCGAGCATTTGACATCAAACAGGGATCCGTGAAGGAGATGCAATTGCTTTGATGGATGATTTGCACGCTGAGAAAGGCCTGTGATGTATGACGTCACCTCATCAGTCTGTATGAGCAGAAAGAAAGCACAAGTGTTTAAACGTACCGTCAACATTCTGGCTCAATGTGACAAACTCTTCGTTTCGTCGTGCCAGTTCCGCTAGGGCGTAATGCGCCCTGTTCGGCTCAGCCTGGAGAGCCATGTGCCGGCGGTAGCTGTAGAACTGCCAAACCAGGCCAGGATTCTCTTCAAAGGCCTCTGGCGTTGCGAGAGAGGTTGCATCGTACGAGCGCCACATCCCACCGGCGCCCCGAAAGGTCGGCAGGCCAGACGATGCAGAGATGCCCGCACCGAGCAAAGCCAGGATGCGCTTACATCCTCCTAAGTACTCCGTGAAAGTCTGAAGATCAGCCGCTGGGACTATCGCCCTTGCTGTTGAGGCCATTGGATGATGATTTCCAGCTGGTGTTACGACAAATGATGGGGAATGGCGGGGAAAGAGATGAAAGAAATGTCACCGTTTAGTTAACTAAGGCATCGATGCCTGATTCGTAGGGCACATAACACCGACAACAATCATTATGTACAGACCGTTTGAAAATTGCATTGAATGGAAAGACTGGGAGGATAAATGACGATCTCCAGGTCTGCTCACCTTCAGCTCCAGCTGTACTCCGTACGGAGTAGTCTTTCCAATTCTAAGAGGGCGCTTACAAACCGCCACTGAAAGCGCCCCTTGCTTGAGGATCTTCCTATTTTGCATATTGTAAAGCGGCAAATGGATAGATTTAATTTGCGGAAGTTGGGCTTCGGGCTCCATGTGACCCCGCCAGTTGTTTGACTCGCACGCCTTTGTTTTGCTTGATCTGCCCTAACCACCCTCTTTAGCAGAGAAAGATGAGTTCCAACGGGACATCAACGCTTCTAGGAACCGCTCCGCTATCCAACATAGATCCCTCCAAAATTCATATCATCAAGGAGATTTCACGCTCCGACGCGTCTACATTATTCGAGGTAGACCTGGATGGACGAAACTATGCATGGAAGGTTTATCACGACAACGGCGACCCCGGGCATGCCGAAAATGGTCGTGACTTGAACCGTTTTCGCTGTGAAGTTAATGCATACGAAAAGCTCCTCAGCTCTGGCGTCTGCGAGACCGGTTTCGTTCCAAAATTCTACGGCCACATCGATCGAATAGATCCTATGATGTTCGATCCTGCTCTCCGACATTTCGCTGATGACAAGTTCAAGCCGAAAGCGATATTACTAGAGTTTCTTCCAAATACCGAAAAGTTGAACTGCGTGAACTACTCGGAGACTCTGTATCCTCAGGCAATTGAGGGTATGAAGGAGATACATAAAGCTGGCGTTTTCCACGAAGATATCTATCCCGGGAATATGCTCATTGTTCGTGGAACACCCGATCGGCTGGTTTGGATTGATTTCGATGTTGCAACGACCTTCACTGAGCTTGGACCTAAGCAACAGGCTCATTGTGATCACGAAATTGACCTTATAAAAGGGTTGGGCGAACTATTGGTAAGAATTCCGTCGCTCCCTACGAAGTATGTGGAAAGGAATTAGCGTGTTGACTCATGAACACAGAGAGATGATCAGGCCGAGGGGCTCCCACCGAATACAAAATTCTATTGAGGGTTTCATGGGCTTGGAAATACTTAGAAAAGTGTTGGCTCCCTTCATTTGTTCTGTGAGGAGAGGAAGTAGGGCGAAGTTGGGAGTAGTGGTCGTTTCATTTGAATCTATTATAATTCATTTCATCCTTATACAAGAAAAGAAAAAAGGCCATTCAGATCTCAGAAAATGATTTCATCTTAATGATTCGCAGGGAGAGCATCTCTATACTTCCAATCCCGGCCCCCACGCTAAGATGCTCCACTGGGCCGAGAGAGATACGCCCGACCATGTGACGTACTTCCTTCTCTGCTGACGATCGTCCTAGCTGCCTAGCTGGTAGTAATCATACTTATTTGGTGCTGCTACCAGCCAGAAAGTGCTGAAGCCCTCTACTCTGCTCCAGATGACAAAGCACTCATCGCTCCTCGTCCGCCAAGTACCCAGAAATGATGCCATCGAGACCACGTCAAAATCTCCAGCGGATGCGACTTAGAATAAGATCAAAAGATCGCAGTCACCAAGAAGACCGCGAGAATATTGAAGATCAATCCCTCAACTGTCGCCCGAGGGCACTCACACCTCCTCTGCCAAATACCAAAGAAAGTCCACAAACATGTTCAACTCGTTCCTGGCGACTATCGCTCTCAAAGCGACGCGAGCAACAGACATTGAACCAGGATCAATCTCCTTTGTTTAGCCACTTACCGGCAGAGATCCGACTATTGATCTGGGAACATTATCTCTGCAGTCAAAGGTTGCATATCATACTCTCAAATCAGCACACATGGAAGCAATCCGATTCAAAGATTGTAGGATTGGCTTGCAGTGAGAGTGACGATTACTGTCCCTGTAGCCACCACTGCTGGGGATCGAGGGCCCGTCGACCGGCAGGTGGGTGTTTGGAGACTATCCAACACGTTGATTCAAGATGGCATGAGGAGCGTGAGTGGGGGTTTGATACTGGGAGGGTGAATTTTGTCTCACTTCTACAGACATGTCGATTAATGTAAGCAGATATTCACCGGGCTATTGGATGAGTATGAGGAAGCTAATTCCATGCAGATACTCCGAGGCCATCGACATGATTTACCAGAACAATACGTTTCTCTTTAATAACACAGCCACCATCGTGGACTTGTCTAACACACTCCTACCGCAGCGCCTGAATTTGATTCGGACGGTGCAGCTCAGCTTTTCGGATCCTGGTGGGCTGACATGGGACTCCTGCTGTGAGGTTTTGGCGACCAGAATGCCAAATCTGAGGAAATTGACTATCCATCTGTATCCTCACGTCACCAAGTCCCTGGATTCTTGGCTCATGCCGCTACATCGAATTACACAGACCTCGACCTTTGAGGTGTTGTTAATCAAGCCGTGGTATCTAGATCCGCAGTGGGAAAAATCACTTGGGCTTATTGATGCCCCGTTTCAATTTGTGCTTGCTGATACAAAGTTGCGCTGTTTAACACATCCTCAAGAGCGTGCGCATGCAGGGTGATAGATCAAATGTACTCAAAGACATAGAAAGCTAATATGATGCATCGATAATTCATCGAGGAAAACCCAATCCATCTTATCGTGAACCAACGTCATTCACTGGGCATTGTTGCTTGGACTGACCCGTGGAGTCATGCCAGGCTTAGAAAGATCCCAACCAGCTTCGAGCATCTTCAAGAATTCCGGAGCAAATGCATCTGCCCCAACCCCGGTGAAATTAAGATCCATCGTCAGGGTACCCCAATCCACGAAATCGATATAAAGTTGGATTCTGTCATCTTGGATGAGCTCGAAGTACGCGGTTCCTAAAATGGCATGGACGTGATGAATGGCACGGCACGTGTAGGGCGAAAAGCTGACGATACCCCCGGAAGCTCGCAGGAATCCTTGGAATCCGATTTCGTTCATCCAAATTCCACACCATTGTCCCTCTCCCAATGTAAAGGTCACGGGAAGTGTTTCGTCTCGGTCGGTATTAGGATCTTCTCCGTACTGGGAATCACTGTCCAGTGGGTGAAGTACGCATTTGCCGTCGTAGATCCTCACAGTGCCGTTTCGCAGTGTTAGGCTGGACTGAGCTGGTGCTTGGGCAAGTTCGACTTGGGGACATGGTGGTGTGGGAAAGTCCGAGTAATCAGTGGATCCGTCAACTTGGTTCTAGAGATTTATGTTAGATGGAAGTTTGTATCTTTGTCGAAGTGGTCTCACCGTTCCCGGGTCCACTGCACGAGCATCAAGGCCAGCCTTGTGTCCAGTCTGGGCCTGGTTTCGGCTGCGCACAATGATCTGACCTTCTGGTAGTCCAGTCTTTGAGTCGCCGGTTGATGTCACTCCGCTTTGTTGTTCCGTACTGGTTCTGTGCTCCTTGAAACGCGTGCTCAAGGTGACTCCATAGTTGGCGTGTGCAACCCTCTGCGCAGTATTGGCCGTTGCGTGTTGAGATTTATTTCTCTTTTGTTCCGGCGGATCAGTAAAGACATCGCCCTTTCTCTTCAGACCGCGGTTCTCTGAGACTGCTGCAACGTTGTTCTGGAACTTGAAGTGGAATGGGGAGCCCAGCTTGTCTCTCAACTTCCTCTGGGCCACACTTGCCACCACAGCCTTGGTTTTTCTTTCAATAAAAGCTCCCGAGGTCTGCAAGTAACGTCGGTTCCATTCCTTCTCCAGGTTGTGCTCGAGTTTCAAAATTCCCTTTGGTACCGTCAGTGTGCCATCTTGGAAGGCTTCGAGAAGGCGCATCTTGGCTGTTGCGTGATTGTTTGAGAGGGGCAGGCCATGGTGCATGAGCTGTGCCTGATACCAATCCAGATCGTGATCGAATGTACCGTTTGGGTCGGAAATGTCACAGAGGCTTTCGTGCGTCGCCCGGCGAATGCGGAGGTCTTTGCTGGGTGTTGTGGCGAAGTAGACACCGTCGAATGAGAACGTGCCATGCCAGACTAGTGCCATGGTGGATGTCTCCGTTTTGTCCAGAGACAGAGGAGAGAGGGAGGGTAGATTAGACATCTTCGAGGGGAAATAGAAGGTGGTCACAGAGCATGGCGCGGCTTCCATGACGAAGTAAACGTGCTTTCCCTTTGATATCTGAGGTTGTTGTGGTGTCAGACTGTTGCTATACTCAGGTACCAAAGTACTTTGTACTCACTTCTCTGCCACGCTTCTCTCTTTCCTGCTCAGTGAAGTGCAAGGTGAAAGCAAAAAAAGGAAGATGTGTGACTGCCTCCCCTCTCCTACTTGGGTTGGTAAATATAGAACTATTCAAGCTTGACACATCTTCACCCAGCAACTAACGGTAGGCGATCACTCGAACTCAGTTCTATCCTTTATTTTCGAGTCCCGACCTGCGCAGGTAGGGTATATTTTACTATATCTCACCAGACCAAGAGTCACTTGAAGCTCATTGCAGCAACGGAATACTCTCACCCGGCAACCAAACAAGGATGCCAAAGACATATTTTTTCAAACTTGATCCACTAATTCAATTGTTACTTATACTTCATGGATGTCCCATGAGGCAACCAAATGCAGACCAAGGTGGATTGTAATAACATTTGAGACGAAAGCACCCTTATGAGCTTCCAAGGTTATCCTGTTTCTTTTATTCTCGAAATTTCAAATATACAGGGAAATTTCTCTCAAGAATAACAATCAAAGTAGGATTTGGGAATATAAAAAGATCGGAGAGTATAGATGTTGTCCAATAGCCAAAGCCAAGGCTCAGATTACGAGGCCGTACGGAGTAAAGCGCGATAAGCTCCCCACTCTTTTCTAAACCCAACCTCAACCTCCCTTCATTTCGACTTAGCACAAACAACGATATGAATCCTGCTTCACCTTCCAGCTCGCCAAGGGGCTCACCAAACCCCGCACCCAACACACTACCCTTTCGCCCACCGCGAAGCACGGATGCACCCGACACGCCTATACCAGACGACCATGGCGCAGATCTACCGATGAACATGTCGGCCTCTGTCATGCTCACCAATCTGCCCCGCGATGCGACACAGGCTCTGGCAGATGTCGAAAGCATCGACTCTGGCAAAGGTGGGGTGTTCTTATCTGCCACCGCTAGATCAGCAGCTGACCATGACAGTCACCGTCCGATTCCAGCCTCTGCCATCAGCGCCAATATTGAAGAGCAAGGTGTTCAAGGTGAGCGCTTCACAGAAATTTGAAACGGTCGTCAAGTTTCTGCGTAAGAAGTTGGATTGCAAAGACACCGACTCGGTCTTCTGTTATGTCAACAGTGTGTTCGCGCCCGGGTTAGATGAAGGTGTCGGTGGACTATGGAGGGTGAGTGGAGCTATCTGGAGCTACTGGTGGCTCAAAATGCGAACATGAGAATAAAGGCCTAATCTTGCTTTACAATGCAGTGCTTCAAGACCGACGATCAATTGATCGTAGCCTACTCAATGACGCCGGCATTCGGCTGAGCATTCGGCTGAGACAATCCACCCGCACGCACGATGCTATATACGATGAATTATGCAACATGATGGAACGCCGATGAGAAACAAAAACAGAAGACTCTCGATGCAATCATGATTTCCGATAAACCTCATCCACGGCCTTCTCAAACTCGGCAAGTTCCTCCTTCGTGATGGGATAAGTGTACTCCTCCGAAGGAAACTCGCGACTTTTGACCTCATCCCGATAAAGCGAGATACCCTTCGCAGCCTCCCCCCATACGTCCGCATATTGTTTGACGAACTTGGGAACAAACCGACCAGGCTGGAAATTGCCCGTCATATCCACCTGCACGAGAACCTGGCCCGAGCAGCCATTTCCAGCCCCGATACCGATAGTCGGGATGCGAAGCTTTTCCGTGATGATCGCCGCTACTTCCGACGGCATAGCTTCAAGAACAAGCATGAATGCGCCCGCCTCCTGCATCGCCAGTGCATCCTGCAGCAGTCGCAAGGCGCTAGCTCGTGTCTTTCCTTGCACTCGGAATCCACCTAGGGCATTCTGTCGCTGCGGTGTCAATCCAACATGACCCACCACCGGGACACCGGCCTGTGTTATGCGTTTGATTGTAGGTCCGAGCTCCTCGCCACCTTCGATCTTGACGCCGTGCACCCGACCTTCCTTCACAAGTCGTAATGAAGATTCAATGGCTTGTTCGGCGGAGACTTCATACGAGCCCATCGGTAGATCCCCAATCTATCATATCAAATGTTAGCCGATGGCACAGTTCCCGGAGCTACCCAACTCACAATGAAAGCGCTTTTCGTGGCCCGCGCTACACTCCGACAATGGAGAATCATCTCGTCCATCACCACCTCGGTCGTATTGTCCAAGCCCAATGCGACCATTCCCAAACTATCGCCCACCAATACGACATCCATTCCCGAAGCATCGGCCACATGTGCACTTGGAAAGTCATGCGCCGTTAACATGGCAATCGGCTCGCCCTTTTTATAAAGATTTTGCAGCGTTTGAATGGTGACTTTCTTGCGCGGCTTGCCGTTCTCGCCAATCGCCGGCCCTGAATAAGAGCTGTGTCGTATTTGCGCGGAGTGGGTCTGTGAAGCTAAGGGCAGTATGCGATGGCAGGAAAGGAGCGGTACACGAGGCGTGCGGGTAGCATTTGCCGTCCGAAATAATGAGGATGCGAATGCTGTTCGTCGCAGCACGGGGCCCGGTGTGGCCATTATGATTGAATGACACTCTTTGATCTGTACAGTATAGAGCTTGATGTGAGATACTTGAAGATCCAAGCTCCAATGATCGCCTCGAGGCGTGGGAAGTCGATCACGCTGGCTTTCGTCACAAATCCACGTATGCGTAGTACGAATTCGTAGAGGTTTGGTCGGAGGGTGTATTTGCAATTCTCAATCCACCTCTTTCATCCATTCATTTGTCCAAAAGTGCTGGTTTGTGGTAGGCGGGATCATCAAAAATTCTTGAAGATTGTCGTTTTACTGCCGTTGATTTATGGTGCCGAGTACCGAGATGGTTTGCGGGGCAAAGTCCTCATTTTTGTCATGCAGAAAGAGTATCTCGGTTGGACCAGACGAGAAGCCCAGTCGTTAAAGTATTATACGAGCAATACAGAAGACAGACCTCAAGCTTCGAGACTAAAGTCCAAGACTGTCCGAGAATGCATCCTACTTTGTTGCTCTCACCGCCTAGATAGTGATTGACCGCCTACCGTTTGCATTTCGCCGAGGTGATTACCGCATTGGGATTATTTACTTTTAAGTTCTTTACGGAGTGCTCTACGTCGATTCAATGGGGAGCAGACAATTCAATTAGCACAATACAAGCTGCATAGAGATCATCGAGGCGAATAAATGCTTATTCAGGGAAATAAGGTCACGAGAAGGGGAAAGTCTCATTGAAGACTCAATTACCTGTGTGGCAACGTCATCGAAAAACAAAACACCACCAGTAAGACACAAGGAAAAGCTGAGATAGGAAAGATGGACCCGTGGGACCAAAAACGGGGAGAACGATGTAATGGGGCTATGCGAAAGAACACAGAAGTTCATGCATTTGTCCATTGTACCTTCGGCAATTCCCAGCCGGCCAAGACATAGTGCGAAAGGCGCGGCGGGATGCATCGATTGTTTGGGAAAACAGCGTCAACGGCTTGTTCGCGAGACCGAGCGGTTCAAATAGTTCTTGAACTGCCGACAGCGAACAGGTTGACGGATCGAAGGTAATGCTGGTGAAAAATCGGATATTGAATACAGTGGGAAGAAGTAAAATGCTGAAACGAGTGGACGACCTGAGAACAGGCCAAATGGAGCAGATCGAGACGTCATGTCGACGGTGCTGATGCAAAGTAAGAAAAAGAAAAAAGAAAACGCCACCATGCATGTGCGTCTATGCCGGAATGTTGATTATGCATGTGAGGTTCAAGTCTGGCATGACGGGCGGTAAGAAAGTTGCAGTGAGGCAAGAAATGCAATTCAAGATGCAGTCTCGACTTGCACCAGAAAGTAAAAAGTATTCGATCACAGATGCTGTCGAGGTCCAAAGTAAATCATGACGTGCCGGATGAAGAGCAGGTCTATTCGTGATATTCGTATTGATTCTTGAGGGGACGCTGGATTTCGGCGAGGAGGGAATCGAGCTCTGCCCAGTTGGTGGAGTTGACGGCAAAGCGGCGATGTTTGCGAGTGAGGGTATGCTATAATGGGTGTTAGTACCGCGTTTGGAAACATTGACGTTGATTCGTTCGGTCTTACCTCTTCGAAGTCATCGAACTTGTCCCTGCAATTTTCGCAATATCCAGGCTTAGGCTCCCTTCGTCTTTCGGGTTTCTTCTGATGGGCATCCTTCTCGTCCCTAGGCCGTTTGAGGCCGGTATGATCATGGTAGCCCTGGGGTTCGTTGTAAGACAGTTTGGATTTCCCAGGGGGGTTGAGGTTGTCCTTCATCGGCACTGTTGTTGATCGTTGTGGCGCGACCATCGACCCAGCAGTGAAGCTACCAGTGCCCTTCTCAAGAACCTTGCGCTTGAGGCCGTGTACCTCTTTACTCAAACCAGCCTTTGCACCAGGTGCTGCAGCAGTAGAAGAGATCATCTGTGACCGGATGGCGGAGGTCATGTTAGACGGCTGAACGCCAGAAGCCGCGGGCTCGTTTCCAGTGTAGAAGGGCCCGGTGCGTGGGAAGTGAGGCGGAACAAAACTTTCTGAGCTCTTTCGCTCATGCACATCATCCAGTGGTGCATCCATTGACTGCTTTTGGCCAGCTGGCTGGATTGGTGGTGAGATACGCTCTTCGTGGTGCGCGACTGGTGTAGCGGCCTCTGTTGTTTGCTCATATCCATTCTCGAGTTGATAATCATGTCCATTTCCATGGTCACGTTCATACTCGGGCTCATAGCCTTGCTCGGGTTCGAAGTCATGCTCCTCGAACACTGGCTCCGGTTCAAAGGCTTGTTCTTCAAAGACAGGCTCGGCTTCGCGTTTTTCCTTATGTCCAGGTTTATCTGCCACAACTTGAGCAACGTCGGGCACATAGGCCAGAGGCTCTTCCTTGGGAGCACGGGTTTCGGCCTTCACAGCAGCAGCCTTTTTTCCCTTGTGCTGTCGTCGCTGGCGATCATATTCTTTTCTGCTTGGGGGTTCATCGACAAAGGGGCATTTCCCGAGTGGTGCGCTGCGGAATTGGGGCCATGCTCCATCTTGTCGTCGGGCAACACGGGCGTATTCCCGGACCAGGACTGGCTTGGTCTTTTCATTCATGTCGTGGATGTAGATAACGGGGCCCTTGAAAGTCAACATCTCCATTGATGCCAATGGGTCACGATCCGACGGTCCGTTAAGAAGTTCCTGGCGAAGCACGCGCGAAAGGTCGTTGTCACCTTTGCCTTGGCCGGCAGTGGTGCCCTTGTTGCGTGAAGCGTTGTCGTACTGACCACCAATATCACTGTCGTTGATGGTTGTGATCATACGCTGCAGCTTCTCGAGAGCCCAGATCTTCATGCCCATTTGCCGAGCGCGCTGGAGGGTGTCTTTGGTCGCTTGTTCACGTCGGGTGTCTGTTTTCAGGGTGTGGAGGTGAAGCTCGCCGTTTCTCTCTAAAAGTGAAGGGTTCACGGTTTGAACATTGCTTTCACCGTTGGTTGAATCAGTGGCGAGGGGTTCAGGGGGAATAGCACGCGAAGTGACAACGTGGGTAACCAGACGTGAGAAGAACTTCTCCTCTCGCTAAGATATCACATTCAGTCAGAGACATTTCTTGCATTGCATGAGCTCGAAGAAATCTCGGCAGAATGAAACATATGAACATATGCTCATAGTGCCGAGAATGGGGCATGGAGGTACTTACAGCTCCCAGAGCGATCACCTGTCGAGAGCACTTTCGCCTCATCTCCTCGGGCATGCTGTCGAAGTAAAAGACAAACGAGGGGAACGCCTTTCGGTAGTGGCGCTGCCATTGGCGAATAGAATCCATATTCTCGACTTTGACAGGCTTAGCTGCTGGTTGGCGTTCCTTCTCTCTCGCAGCTACCAGTTTCTTCTCAAAAGCACTGGGAACGGCATTGTTGGAGCGGCGAGCAAACAGTTTCGAGTCCGTGTTTTGTGTGTTGGTGGTGGCCGACCTGCCGGCCTCATAGTCCATTCCTTCCATCACTTGTTTCTTGGGTGGCGGTTGGCCGTACGGGATTTCCATCTGGGTTGACCGAGAACGCTTCGCTGGCAGGAGACCTGCCCTATGTGGAGAATTTGTTGCATTCGGCACGTTTGCGAGAGGGCGACGAGTAGCCATAGTCATGGAGGTTTGCGGCGAGGGAGGGACGAATACAGTGGCCATTGGAGAACAGGTACTCAATGTCGACGCGTTCGAAGTGGTCGACTTGCAGATAACAACAGTTGGAGAGGGGTACTGAATAGCACGCGACGTGCTACACGTCTTACCGAAGCGAAAAGAGATTAAAAGAACATTGTACGTCAAGGGACAAGGAGAGAACAGAACAAAAAAAGAAATCCAGGCGTTCGAAGTTGGGGAGAGTCGAGGTTGAAAGTTGAGGAGGAAGAAAGAAGAGCAAAGGCAAGTCGTGTGGTGTGGAGCTCAGTTTGTTTTGAGCGGAGGCCTGACAACCAACGGCAGCGCGCGAAGCATGAACATCAACATTGCATTCTTGGACCGCGACCAGGATTCTTTCGTCCTTCTTTTTTTTCCTTTACTCCATTCTCCTCTCATTCCCTCTAATGGCGCTTTCTTGCCTCTTGACTTACAATATAACCTAAATAACTTTGTGATCGATCGACTCCAACCACCGCTACCAGCCTCCGCCCAAACAAACACCCCCAGACCAGCCACCAACAAAGTGATCTAGGCAAGGCGATGTCAAACATGTGGAGCACGGCAGATGCAGATTAAAAGGGGGCTCGTGTTTAATAACTTCGAGCCTAGATGCTATTGTACATAGATATTCGAGGGTATCTGGCTACTAACAATACACATGATATCTAATTTCGCAGGGCCTCAATGTCCTCGACCTAACACAGATTAGCAATACACAACGATGCAGATGTTGGAGAACTTACTTCCTTGACGGCCTCCGGGGTCAAGACGATCGGGTGTTCATCTCCGACACAAACACTATCCTCGATGCGAATTCCAATACCGCGGAAGTGGGCCGGCCAACGCTCATCATCGGGAACGTAAATACCCCTGACATCAGTTAGCGTGTTTCAGGGTGAAGTAAAAGAGGCTGGGGAAACGAACGGTTCAATGGTGATACATTGACCTGCTTTCAAATCATAGCCTCTGGAATATCCAGGGCAGTCGTGGACGTCAAGACCAACATAGTGACCCAAATGATGGGGGAAAAGAGTGTTCAGGGCCTAGTTTTGTCAGCGAGTGTTCTCTACCACACGTGAGGAGTGCACCTACGTCGCCGGAAACATCGAAACCAAGCGACTTGAGCTGATCTCTCAATCCATTTTCGGCGATGCCGTGCAGCTTGTCCAGCGAGAGATTAGAATCCTCGCGGCACAATGAGAGACAACTGCGGTGCACATTGAGAACAGCATTGTACAAGTCCCGTTGGGGATCGGTGAACTTGCCATTGACCGGCCAAGTTCTGGTGATATCGGAAATATAGGTTCCCCACTCCTGGGAGTGTGTTAGCGTTCGGAATTTAAGCGTCTGATTTGAAATGGACCTACACCACCGCCATCCACGAGGACGAGATCACCATCCCTAGAAAAGAATCATTGTAAGCATCGGCCAGGGTAGTGAACTAGAGGAGACATACTTGAGCACATCGTCGTTTCGAGTATAGTGAATAGCCAAGGCGTTCTGGACACGTTAGTATTGAGCCAAATACGAAGGGTTGTATGACAATTACTTGACCACCCGCAACAACCGGGACAAACGCATTAGTGTCGCATCCATGGACCTTAAATTGGTACTCCAAGAATGAGTAGAGGTCCTTCTCACGAGTGAAATCCTGGCGCATGGCTTCTGTGAAAGATCTTCCAGATGCTTGGCCCAAACGGCGCATCTGCACAACCTCATTTTCGCTCTTCGTGACCCTCATCTCATTAAGCAAGTGCTTCAATGGCCTGACTCTGCGGTGATCGACGACCTTTCTGAGCTTCTCCGATGCGACTGTCGGACCGTACAAATACCGGTTCAGAGATGATCGTGAACCGTCGAATGTGGGAATATCCGAGTACACCTCCGTGGCGCCATGGACAATGCTGGGCAAGATTTCTCCGACACGCTCAATGTTTCCTGACTGTTGTCATGGTTAGATTCGACTCAACTTCAGGCTGTATTCATATCAAGCTCTCGTACCTCATCGGCATTAAAAACATCTTTGGCAGCCTGAGTGCCGGATCGTGCGCCATCCCATAGCTCTGCTTTGGCGTCCTTTTCCCGGACATACAGATGAAAGATGTGATTATCGCCCGAGCCGTCGTTCCCGATGATCGCCAATGCGTTTGGTTCGTTGTACCCTATCCAACGCGCAATCGTCAGTTGACCATCCGTTGATGCGATACAACTCATATCTTATCTGAACTCACCGGTCAAGTAAAAGAAGTTCGAGTCTTGTCGGTATTCATTGAAGATGCCCGAAGCACGATACTTGACCTCGGAAGCAGCCAACACCGCAATGGCACCTTTCGGAAGCTTGTTGGCCAGTTTGGAGCGGCGCTGAGCATATTCGAGGGCAGTGATGCCGGGTGTCACTTCATAGCCAGTCAGTTAGCTTGATCGCAATTGAGGATCTACAATCAGACAATGACGCACGCTCGCCTGGACTCAGGATGTGGGGATGTGTTTCATGCAACGGCTGGCCGAATTTGAGTTCCGCGGCGGCCACCGAGGTTGCATAGCTTCGGGGGAGGGGGTTGCGTCTAGGCAATTGACGGAGCGAGTGAGTCAGAGGCCTGTATCGCATATGCAGCGCACACTGGCGAGCGAGGATCCTGCATGTCGCCATGCTGTTCACCAAGGATGAATGATACGAGTTGATAAGAGTTCCAACGGAAGTTGTTATCGCCAAACTTTCCGCTTTCCCGGCGGTGAGAGCCAATCACCGCCGCCGGGTTTGGCATTAGACATCCTTCTCTCCACGCCCTGCGCTGTTCGAGAGTATAGTGTTTGTCTAGCATCTGTGCGCCCTGTCATGGCTCTAGCCTTGGTGGGGAAATCTTGCGTGGATGGACCTTCTAGAATGGGATCTTGAATATCCTACGCCGTACCTCACATCACCGGCCTTGATATGGTTCATTGGATTCTTTATATTTAAAGGCTTCACATTACATTTCTCATGTCTGAACTCAACTTCTCAAATATATACAGATCAGTACAATGGGACGAACCTTGACTTACCCTAAGCGGGTCTCTAACACCGCGAATCGTTATAAGCATCGAGGTATGGCAGAACTATGAAAATATATAGCCCACTCACCTGGGCATGATTACACTTATCTCTCTTGAACCCTTAGATCTGACGATTTGACCTAGCTACTTATGACTTGGGCCCGATTCATAAAATCATCAACGATTCCCAAGTGCTTCATGTGTCATTCAACCCCGGTCCAGAGGACCCCTTCCCCGCTATTCTACCAATGATCGGACAGATGGGATCATTTGATTACCCTTCTGCCAGCATCGACGAGCCTCTCGAATGCTACCTCCACGGCTACGTCAGCTCACGCATCATGAACCTCGCCCGGAACTGCTCCGAAGGCGAAGGTCTCCCAATCTGCGTGGCCAGTAGCAAGATAGACGGTCTGATACTGTCGCTGACGCCCAACTCCCATAGCTACAACTATCGCTCTGCCATCCTTCACGGCTATGCCAATCTCGTCACAGACGAAGAGGAGAAGCTATGGGCTATGAAATTGATCACAAACTCCGTCCTTGAAGACCGCTGGGATCACTCGCGGGTGCCACCAGACCGTGCGGAGATGCAGTCGACCGTCATTCTCAAAGTGAAGATTGTCGATGGAAGTGGCAAGATCCGCGACGGTGGAGTGTCGGATGAACGTAAGGATTATGGTGACGAACAGATCACAAACAGCGTCTGGACCGGCGTTGTTCCCGTCTGGGAGACCTTTGGTACCCCGATTCCCAGTGGGGATGGCAAGGTTGCTGCAGTGCCGGAGTATATCTCTTCATACATTGATAAGAAGAACAGCCAAAACCGGGCCCTTGCGGAAGCTGCTGTCAAAATCCAACTGCCGGCCGAGGAGCAACACTAGATATTGTGTCGGAGCCATCCATGGCTGTCTGATTTGTCAGGCCGTCGCTGCTAGATAGTTGTAGATCCATAGCTTCGCGCGCGCGCTCTCTCTCCTTCTTCTGGTCTCCCACAATGCATACTTTATCGTACTCCACTGTTTCTCCGTCACACACAGATAGTGCATTTCACACCGGTATGCGTAGACCTAGACATCTAGCTCGCAGTGGCACTAGTCAACGGCCGTACAAAATGCATCCAAATAAGCGAAGGCAGAAGTATTAGACTCGTTGACCACGCTTGCGACAGCCATATCATTCATGACGAAGCCATATCGGCAAAACAAGCCAGCGATTCTTGCACTTTGTATCAAATGTAAATCGGCATAAGAGGAATCTCTAATTTCCGCCCTAAACGAATTCCAGAAGAGGTCCTCGAGCTCTTTGCGGCTGTCATAGTAGTGCCAGCCCTCTGAATCCATGAACCCGAGGATATTTTCAAATCCCCACAACGAGAAGCCAAAGGGAAGGATCCTTGCCTCGGCCCAGTCAACAATGCCTGTTAGTTTCCCATTCTCAGGGTTAACAAGCATATTCATCTCGCAAAGATCGCCATGGCTGAGAACAAACGGAAGGGCTCCCGAGAAGATGGAAGGGAGGTCCTTGCGGATGCTAACCAAACTCGACTTGAATCGAGGTGGTAAGAATTCGACAAGGGTACTGAACTTGTGGTCAAGCTCCGCGAGGAGTTCTTGGCGATTGTTCCATGATTGTGCAAAGAACCTGCTCACATCATTAACGTGAATTTGGACATCCAGCACCCGCCATCTCAGGCCTATCTACAGGTGGAGCCCGAGAGATCAGACCCACAACAGTCGACGCCGACATTATAGCTTGGTCCCCACAAATCAAGGTTGAGATTGAATCTTCTACTATACATGAAGTGAAGTCATAAAGGGGAGGGCATAAGTACATTGTACATTGTACACCCCAAAAGGTGAAATGGTCACCTGGCTGGGCTCACCTGACTGTAAACTTTGGAGGACCGAAACTGTAACTAATCAACCTCCTCTTTTGAGCTTCAATACAGCACGCTCATGATGCAAAAAAGCCCAAAAATTCGTTCACATGACAGCGTCCTCGAGCGATTAAGGCGTAACACTCGAATTCGGAAGTCGTTTCCTCGATATGCTATTCATTCGTGAGCGTGTTCGAATCACACCGCTGTCAATCGAATAACCTTTTGCTCCCGTTATTTTCTATGTTTTGGTCAGGTAGTGCTACGCTCAGTCTGGTAGCAGGCTAGCCCCCCTGACTTGATACTTTGGGATAGTTTGAAAGAACCCTGGATATGTTCAAGGCTTCCTTTGGGCAGACCAATAAGAGTTGAATTCAAAATAATGCCTGAATGGAGTGTCGGGTGTTAGACTTGGAACATCCTTCCGGACTTTGATTTAAATCAAACGCACGGAAACAGAAACTTCTTTTTATCTCGCCTTCTTCCAATAGTTCACCCGCGAAAATGTCGTTCTTCTCGTCTCTTGCCGCATGGTCTTCACCAGAAGGCTACGCCCAACAGACCACGACTATCAACCCTACTACGAACCACGATGAAAGCACCACAATTATTGGTGATGGATCAACCCAGGAAAGAGATTTGCAGAAGCGTGGCGATATCAACACCCTCCAGAGACTTCGATATAAGACATACCTGATAGCCCTTACTGATTCAAATACCACCGATAGCTCACTTGATCTCCTTAACACCGAGCAAGAACTCCGAGAGCTGGTCCAGGAAGAAACCGCGATCCGGGAGAGCCTCAACCAGGATCACAACCTCCCCGCTACAGAGAGGCTGCAATTTCTCAATACCCAATATCACGTCTTATCTCAAAAATGGTGGCACTATCGGTCGAATCTGGAGCTAATGGGACAAGAGCGGGGATTCGAGCTATGGAGATCACATCCCCAGTGGTATATGCATCGTGAACTTGTGATGGATTGTATTCGGCGGCAGGGATGTTGCGCTCGTACGTGTGGCTGCTGCTTGCGCAGGGGTGATAATCCATCTCGTAGCCTTGGAGCAGGACATTGTACAGTGGAATGCAGGTGTTGTGCGAAGTCTCGCGGCTTTGAATTCAGTGTGCCCCAGAAAGTGGATTTGAAAAGGCTCAATATGCTCTATTATGGAGAAGGGCGGAGTTACCGTGGGATTTGGATGAGCCGAGTGTCAATTTGGGGACTTTGTGGTAATAGTTGGGCAAACCCTTTTGATATGATCACCTCACTGCCAACCTATGAGCAAAGCCAACTTGAAGAGAGAGAGGCGCTGATTGTACCTATCGCCCCGGGCACTTAAGCTATGAGTTTTGCTTTTTGTCTGATATAGGCGACTACTTGGATGTTGTGTTGGGATGTCAGATGACTCCCTTTGCTTAGATAGCTCTCTCTCTCTCTCTCTCTCTCTCTCTCTCTCTCTCTCTTCCTTCTTTTCCCCGGTCGGTCTTTTTGCTTCACAGCCAGAATCTACTGTTTCGAAGCAATTCATGCTTCTCTTTTGTAGATCAGCCTGTTATCACGTTGTGAAGGAGGGTCAAGAAACGGCCCAGGTGGGTTACAAAGGTGCATAGTTGCTGGTCAGTTCTTGAATGGTCTAAGCCTGATAACTAGATTCCAAGGTTATTTTGTTATCACAGAAAGTGTGGACAGATTCACACTAACTGTCCAAGGCAAGAGCAATATGAGATAGGATAATACATTGTTTAGGGCGAAACGAGGGCAAGAAACAGGAGCTCATATATATGAACCCCTGGCCAACTCATATATTGATAAAGCGAATAGCACTGCAATATATTAGTCCAAGTCTCCGCATGTTTGCCATGCAAAGCTCAGACATTTCATCATAAGTCAAATGTAGAAGAACAGATTGCTGTATGCCAAAGCGATTTTTATTTGCAAGAAAGACGGTAGATGGAACGGAGGGGATTGTAACCATCGAGCTTGATCTATCTAAGATTGAAATGTCTACAAGATGTCCTAAGTTGTTTTGACCCTCTGACCTTTTGGCAGGCACGGGCTGTAGGGAAGGAGCCTGCCTAATACGGAAGGCACAGATTCACCGAAGAAGGTGCCATCCTGCCTAGGTGAGAGGTCACGAGATCACAAATTTACTGTTTCTGCCTCGGTCATGGTCTGTTCTTTTTTTTTTTTTTTTTTTTTTTACTTCGCTTTCACTTTGTTTTCATTTCCACCTCTCGCCCAAGCAATCCCGGCGCAGCACCCTGCTCTCACTTTCCTCAATCGAGACGTCTTCGCCATCGGTAGCATCATCATCAAGTCGGGCCATCTTCATTCGCAAGGGAGTGGCCAGTTCACGGATACCTGCTACTCGTATGCCGACGAAAATGAAATCCAGGCTGTGGCCCTCGCGAAAAAAGCTTTGAAAGATGTTAGAGTGCCCGAGATATACTTTGCTGGCAAGGTAAGTGTGCTCCCGATACTTTGTAAATAATTGACTGGCTGACACGTTTTCAGATTTATGGTCGCCAAGTGTTAATCCAGGAACGGATCCCGGGTGTTGCATTAGCCGTTGCATGGCCTTACCTCTCTCAGCATCAAATGGATTCTTTTCGAGAGCAAGCACGGGAGATACTTCGAGAACTGCACTCTATCAAGCCCTCCGATGGACGTCAGGTTCGTTCCCACGTCGTGCCTGATCCCAATATCCGCGAAACCGGTCGTATACAACCACTAGAGTGCGATATCCTTTTCTCGGAGACCAATGAGGATTCAGACATGAGCTTCATGCACAACGACTTTTCAGAGTCCAACTGTATAGTTGATGATGACAAGATTGTAGGGCTCATTGATTGGGAAATGGCTGGCTTCTTTGGCTGGAAAACGGCAGGCAAAGTCCATCGTATGGCAAGGCCACACGATACTTCTTTCTGGGAGGAGCTGTACGATCACGGTATGCCTGAGCCTTGATGGGCATATCGGGTCTTTTCTAGTCCGCGGTGAATTGAAAGAAGGAGCACTTTGCCGACACGCTGTTTCTGGCCCGAATTTTCTACACCTAGCAGACGAGTTTGGCCTTGCACTTGATAGCATAGAAATCATTGGACAAGAGTCTGCAAGATAAGCCAGTATCACAAAACAAGGGATATGGTAGACAATTATCCTTGAAAAACGAATCGATTTTTGACTTTCGAAAACCCCTTGGAAATCAGCCCTGGCAACCAAAACGTTTCTCCTTTTTCTTAGTTGGACCGCCAGAGAATACATGCGGGATTTCTTTGATATCCAGAATGATATATCCCAAGTGACTTGTGTGGTTAGAAGCAGATATACTGCAGGGCGGAAGTGCGGTAAAAGGTTTCAGTGCACAGCCAGTTCAACATAAGAACGGATGTTAGAAACTCTTTTCCTTTGGTTTCTTTGTTCCACATGGTCATGAGGTCACCTCCGACAACAAGGTTGGAATGCCCTGTCCAAAGATTGAGGGTCCCTGGTATCAAACTTCAAGCCCAGACACTGACGGGATTACTTCTGATCCCACTCAGTTTGTCTATACAATGTAAGCCTGAGACTGAAAGACTTTCAGGTCAAGGACATCCATAAAAAGATGTTGCTCTCGGTTCGGAGTATAGAAGATGCAAGAATAAGCCTCTCGGTCCACTCGTATTAAGTGGGGCCCCGGCAAGCGCTGACTCAACCACTCACCCCCAGGTGCCCCGGCGATAGCTTCCAACCCTTCTCTCTCCACGTTTGTCCGACTTGCAGACATTTACCAAACCTTGCGTTTATACCGACTATTTATCTCTGTGCTGAAGTTCCCTGCACGTCACCCCGGCTCTCAACATTCCTCCAAAACCACTATCTGCCCCGCTCATCACTTCCCCGCTCCGATCTTGATCTGCTTGACCACGCCACTTCCATACCTCCAGCCCTCAACCAACCGACAGAAAGCGAGTGACATACTCTGGACTAGTGACAACCAAGCTACCTAATACTCAACGCCATCAAAATGAGTAGCCCAAAGCGCAGAATCGAGACAGATGTAAGTCATGGCGTGGATGGTCCGATAAGCTGCTAGGGTCCTTACAGTTGCTAATGAATTTGCTTGTTTGATTTAGGTCATGAAGTATGCTTCTCTAGCTCAGATACACGTTGAGTTTATTGACCGCTGACTTTTCTCTTAGGATGTACGACACAAAGCCCCATTCCCAACGAGTTGGCCACCGTTGCCCTCACAGCTCACTTGGCGTGCGCCACCATGTTGAATCGCGAACTACACTGACCATATATCTAGGCTTATGAGTGACTATGAAGTAACTCTGGTAAACGATAACAGTGAGTGATTCTAGATCCTGGGCAATGACTCCATACTGACTATCTACAACCAGTGTATGTCCCCCAACCCCCGAACAATTTTCCCAAATACCAATTTCATGACCAGGCAAGAATTCTATGTCCGCTTCAAGGGCCCCGAAGAAAGTATGTCATGTTCGCAATGGTCTACTATGACATCATACTCATTCTCCTAGCACCGTTTACCGGAGGCCATTGGAAAATCCACGTCGAGCTGCCCGACCAGTACCCATACAAAAGCCCGAGCATCGGATTCGTCAATCGGATCTTCCACCCAAACATCGATGAACTGTAAGTGGCGCCCATCTGCACGGTCCAAATAGTCCGGCCGCTAATGCAGATTGGGCATAGATCGGGCTCCGTCTGTCTCGACGTGATCAATCAAACATGGTCGCCGATGTACGACATGCTCAATATCTTCGAGGTCTTCCTCCCCCAGCTCCTCCGCTACCCCAACCCCGCGGACCCCCTCAACGGCGAAGCAGCAGCTCTCCTAATGAGAGAACCGAAGGCATATGAAGCCAAAGTGAAGGGTATGTATTATCCGGACTCGGGCGTGGTCACACAGATACTAACCCCACTTAGAATATGTTGCCAAATACGCTAGCAAAGAGGCGGTGGACGAGGCTGGTGAGGACACTGAATCTGAAGACGAATTGAGCTCCGCTGGAAGCTATGAGTCTGGCGGTGAGGAACCGGCGGGGACAATGGACGACGTCTAAGTGACAATATTGCAATGCTGGGTTCACGATGGACCTGGCCAGGACATATTGCATCTCTCAACTCTATTCTATATCCCAAGCTCGAACAGGATCAGCGGGCGTTTATCTTTTCTTTTAACACATGGGGTTTGTATTATTTTCATTCATATTTCATTGAATCAAGCTCTTTGTTCTCATGCTCTGTCTTGTGCTTATGTCGTACACTGGAAACTTATCGCGAGGGGTCGTCCCGCCAGGTCATGTAATGAGCCGACCAACGCCCGCGTCTTTTGACAATAGCGAATTCGGATGTTGGGAGGTATTCCAAGTTCTTCCACAAGATTACACCTTCGAACTAAACAGCTCTTGAGTGTACGGTTTGGTTCATGAGCTGACCTTGAATGCTCAGGCTATCCTCGGGATCCCGTGTTCTCTGGATTCAACCATGGCAAACTGACAGTTGATTTCTCTGCCTACTCCATGAGAGCGAAAGAATCGGACATAAATAGTCAACAAAGCGGATTCAAAAAATGACATGAGTAAATTCATACAGATTCGAGATGGAGCGAATGTAGATTCTAATACAAAAGAAAAGTAGTCCGCGCCAATGGGTATTAGCAGACCGAGAGAACAAGAGAAAAATGGCTATATGTGCGAAAAGAAACAGTCGACCTGCGATCATGCAAGAAAAAATCAAAATCCCTCAAAAGAGAGAACACGCAAGAAGACTAAACAACGGGTCTTCCAGGACCCAGGACCTGTGCACTCAATTTGATCCCCCCAAACCTTTTGTCGTGTACCTCATCATCGTCAATACGCAGCGATGAATGCCCCGAAACAGAAACGAAGCTCTTATTTAATATTCAAGACACCGAAGACATCGTGATTGGCGTTGGCATCGGTGTTCATGTTGGAGCGGGAGCGCTTCTTATTCGGGTTGACAACGACTTCGCCCCAGTGTTTCGGAACAGCGCCTTCGGCGCCCGAGGTCGGTCTGCTTGGCGGCGATGTGCGGTGGGTAGATGTGACGGGTGTTGTTCCGTCGGTCTTTTGTGACGGGGCGGGGGATGCAGAGATAGGTGTATGGAGGGTCGCTTGAGGTTGAAGGTGTGGTTGTGGCTGGAGGGACCAGATATCGATGACCGAGCTAGATAGATGAGTTAGCGAACCCATCTACAAGAGCCACAACTGGTAGCATGTCTCCGTCAATCATGTGATCACTTACTCCGACGTGCGTTGACAAATGGATTCCAAAGCCTCTCTTTCCCGCCTCACGTATTCCGGATCCGGCTGACTGGCTTGTTGGGCATGATTGAGCGCTCCGTAGCCATACCCCGCTTGATAAGGGTCTTCTTCTAGTAGACGTGAAGACTCGGGCTTGAGAGTGAGGAGGTTAGAAAATGGTCCTTGACGATCACCCCATGTTCCGCGCATTAAGCCGAGGTAATGCAGCAACATGTCGATAGCAGTCTCGGGACTCACCTCAGGAGACTCATGGCGATTGCCACCGAGGCAGGAGGCACAGACACCCATTTAAAGGGACTGGAGAGAGCGCGGGCGTTCTGGGCTGCACGTTTGCGATATGCGATGGGCACGAGGCATTAACCACCCCCAATCGCGTGGGGGACGAGACGGTGGGGAACGGAGGGGTTGAGGGAATATCTCGAGTCGAAAGGAGTGTGTGGATATGCAAAAGAAGCAGGAGATGAAAGGAAACAAATAGCGCAGAGTTCGTGAGAGAAGTGAGGTCGGAAAGAGAAAAGGACTGGGCTCTCGAAGTTGGGGTCCGTGCCATGTCATCGATAAGAGGCCGTGGCCGCAGATGTCTTGGCGTGGAAGCAGCATTTTCTTGTCTTTTGCCAATGTCCCTGTCCCTTTCACACACCACACAACATGTTTGAAGAATCACAGGTTAAGTGGTATGTGACCAGACATAGCCGATAGGCTTCTCATTCGAATTCTGGCTAATATATCCCACTCAGCGTTCGTCGCGATGAGATGCGCTCCCCGGCGTCATCCCGCTCACCATCACCGGCACCCAACGATTCTGAAGCTCAAGATGCCTACGCCAGATTGGGAAAGCTGCTCAATCTCGATCACCTGGACGATGCCCCCGAAGCCAGCGGTCAAGACAATGACCCTTCCCAGCCCGCAGACGAGGATGACGAACAAGAATTCGAATTCCGGCTGTTCAGTGCCCCCGCCAAGTCCACAGAAACAAGCAAAGAATCACAAACAGACGCCAATGACGATAAGAACGCACCGGGGTCAGATGAAAAGCCCGCGGGCACGACACAGAAGCTACGAATCCGACTCCATTCACCGACTCCCGGCTCTGGCGATGCCTCAGAGGGTAGATTCGTGAATGCGCACCGCAATTGGGACTACTACTTCTCCGACCCCAAGCTTTCTACCACATATAGCGGCAAAATTACACCGGAGGAAGAGACACAGCTTGCTGAAAAGCAACGGCAGTTCGAGGACATGGCCGTGAGTGGGGATCATATGCTTGGATGGGCACAGTCACAACCCTGGGTAAGTCATTTTCGATCTCGCTAACACCGACGATCGATGTACGGGTAACTAACGGATCGTTAGCCTGGATGTCATCTACCATGGCGAGTGATTCACCTCAAGCGCCATCAAACCAAGACACCACGGCCAGCGGGCAGTCTCCCGATCTACGTGGTGGAAGGCGCACCGTTGACGAAGAGCCCTTTGACCCGAAAGAAGCCTGGAAAGAAGAGACGCGTGCAGCTACGCAAGCGGATTGTAGCCGCTCAGGTTGCCAAGGAGAACGACGCGGAGAAGCGTACCCGTAAGAATCGCGAGAGGAAGCTCAAGCGCCGACAAAAGGCGCGGGAGCAGAAGGCTGCGGCGGCTGGTGTCAGCGTGGAAGATATTGCCATGGCCGAGGGGGATGATGCTTCGTCCGGCGGAGAGAATTAGACTGTGTTTACTGGAATTCGATACCCCTCCCGAATACAGACATCTTCATCGTGCCCTACAAGCTAGTCCTACGTTGGCTGTAGTAAGAGCAAGTACATGGTGTGTGGCTCGAAAGCACTTCTACAGACTACCGAATGTGCATCGTGGGTAGCTACACAGGATCAATTATTGGGTTCGGGACGTCTCCCTACTACCTCACCTGCCCGCCGACTCGCACGAGACTAGTTTTCGTTTGTGACCACTGTGACTCGCATCCATGGGCCCAGGGATGCGAAGTCAAAACGTCAGTGACCCAAGTGGGAGGGATAAGCCCAAGCCAGATGGGGTTTGTTGAGAGAGAGAAGAAGAGAAGAAGAGAAAGAGGGAGAAGGGAAAGTGGGAGGTATTTATACCTGAGTTTGGGGGGAGTGGCAGGTGACTTATCCAGGTTTCCCAATTAGGCAATGCAAACATCCGTGGGAGTTTGACAACTTCGCGTCCCCTCTCCTCATGACTTGAACACGTGCGATGTATCTATGACACGTGGCACGCTTGTCTATTTCAACGACATCTCAATTTCGCCTTTGGGAACTTCTAGGGCTACTGTACTTACATGGTTCTTGGACCATATCCAATCCACCTACTGGGCGAGATCTTGAGGTTCAATCATACAAGGTAGATTCTACGTTTGCGTACGGTCTGATCGACCCTTCAAGATGTGTTTCGAACTGAATTTCGCTTCGCCCACGGGGAACTTGGCCCATGAATAGCAATAGCCCTAGAGGTTGGCACAGACGAGGCACTTTAGGATGAAGCACATGCCATCAAGCCATAAGTCGCCAATTTGATAACATACACATCCAACGTACATCTGTAAGATACACTTGGTAAGAAAGACGGAAGCAAAGACTCTACAACTGAAGCACGTAGACCACCACGATATACGGTTGGGAGCGAAGTGAGAATAATCTTTTATGTCATTAAGCGGTCTGATCACGACGAAGATAGAAAAGAACAAGCACGCAACGCATGGCTCTGGCTTTGATGAACACCACGCCGTGGGTATGAGAAGAAACAAAGAGCGGCTCAGAAAAGAAAATGAAAAAAGAAAACCGGATCAGACGCGCATGGTAATGTTCATAAAGATGAACTAGGACATGACAAGACGCATGCCTTACTGAGCAGGAGCATCTAGAATCACCGTCAGTAGAATTCTCTAGTTTGAAGAGTATATGGGACAATCTTACCAGTCTTGGGAGCAGGCTCCACGGGCTTAACAGAGGAAGGCTCCGCTTCAGCCGCCGGGAATTCCGACTGACTGGTGTTGTCGGTCACAGGCTTTCCAGGCTCCAAGATCGTGACAGCAGGGTCGTGAGGCTGAACAGGAGCAGACTCGGTAGTCGGAGCAGTAGTCACAGCAGGAGCCGCGGTAGCGCTAGCAGACTTCTCCGGCTTAGCGGAATCTGGGATGGTCAGAAGGTGGGTTTTTTCGACAGACGCGAGAGCCGATTTCGACCCGTCAAAACGACAGTGGATAGGGGTTAACATACCAGCCTTGGGATCGGTGGCAGGGCCGCCAGCCTCGGGATTGCCAGTCGAACCATGTTCAGACGAACCCTCGGGGTTTTGATTCTTCTTCTTGCGACTGAAGAGGCGTTTAAAGCCCTTCTTGACTTGCTTCAGCGCGTCTGGAGCTTAATGGTGTCAGGACCGTGTCGCTTCAATTTGAATGCCCAAAGGCAATTTAAAAAGCAAAGGGGCAAAGGATATACTCACGAACACCGGGCATCTTGACCATGGGAATTATATGAAACGGTTTTGAAAATGGTGTTGAGGGGGGGCTGTGAGTGCGAGTTCGGGATGTTGCAGAAGAAAGGGAAATCGCGACGAGAGCGCGAAGGCGATCCCAACAGTCTTTGAATCACGTGCGTTCCCTTTTAGAAAGTATACGAGTAGCTTCCTTTGCTGTTTGAATTGCTGTGCAAAATTGGTTTTGCTATTCGAGACTTTCTTTGCTGTCACCAGTCAGGCTGTACAGAGTACGGATTAGTACGGAGTAGGCCCCACATGCTCAGCCACCTCAAGTCTGTGAATCCAGAAATGAGCATGGAGTCGCTGAGCGATGTCAGAGTCGACGTTGTGGCTGAAACTTGTCTGCTCATTTCTCCATAGCGCCGGTATCGGTAAGTTGTACTCCGTACTGTAGCGACATGTCCTGGCGCCAACCCACTCTTGAGTCCTGTTCTGTTCCCCGGCCCTGCTTCTGCAGACCCCTGGATTTAAACATGGCAGCGGACACGGCCGAGGCCCCCACTATGGTGGGTTTAGTGGATATGGCGAGTTTTAGATTAAGCCAATCTAATCACTGAGTGTTCAATATGTCCAAGGCCCTAGGCACAATATTTAGTTACGTGCATACTTATCCTAACTTCTTACCTCTGTCAGGCATCAGAATCGGGACTCAACATGGGATTTCAAGGTCGCTTCCAGGGTGATTTTGTATATATTTCAATTTATGAACATCGCCTTCACAAGTGCCTTCCCCGTTGTATCAAGGTTGTAGATGGTGCGCCAAGTGTTGGGACTTTGGTTCGACAGTAACGAGGAAACATCGAACTGAACCGAATGTTGAATTGTGGTGGATTGCCTCCAAACGACACAGAACATATTGCGATCAAATGAATTTCAGAGCGCTGAATGATAAACCGCGAAGATAGCTCACCCAGAAAGCTACAGTGTCTCACCGGTTTCCATCGGCAATATGACAAGCCGGTGCAATCAACATGATCCACCCCCGCGAGCCAAGCCGGTCTTTACCCCGGCATGGGATGAGCTGTTCTCAGCGGGATGTCCGGCTACCCATGATAGGGCGCGATATTGCACGTGTTGGAACCGGGATACTCTTAATCCAGGGCACGGGCGTGGCAGGGGTGGAGTCAAGGCAGACAACTTCCACAGACATCACTGGCGTGTAGCCAGATGGGAAGAAAGTAAAAAGTACAAAGTAGAGAGTTTTTGCTGCAGATGCAGATGCAGGACCCACTCAACGGTCATACGACCACGCAGTCGGCTCCGAGGGAAAGAAAGCGAACTTCATATCTTGAAAATCCTCTTCGGGTGCCGCAATGGTAAACCCTGCTTCGGGGTCGACGGGTAACCAGTTTGATGTCAGCCGGGTGCTCCCATCGGGCATCTCGAGGGGTGTGAAGCAATCCTCGGAGAGTTGTGGGGCATATTGGGGGCTTTCGAATTGCGGGCTTTGGAACTGATCCATACTCAGATCAAAGTTGTATTGCCCTTGGGTCTCTTCTTCCCATGTCGAAGTTGGATCAGGAGAGCTGCGCGTATCGGAGGTTGGGGATGCTGGGAATTGATATGCTGGAGTCATGAAGAGAGCTCTCTGCGTCGCTAGTTGATCGAGGGTCGGTGTATTCTCGGGGAAATAGCTGTAACAGTATGTCAGTTCCATTTTTTTTTTGGTTCACTTTTGCTTCGTCATTGTCAACATGACCGGTGTGAATATTTACCTTGGCTCTTGATTAATGCCGCAGTCTTGCCTCACAAGGCCAGCCTCATACCACAATGCGGGATAGGGCTGGAAGTTGGACTTGGGCATATTCAGCTGTTCGACCAAGCTTGGATCCAGCTCTTCTACAGGATTGAAATCTCCTGCGATGATGGGCTGATCAAGCTCTTGAGGTAAAATCTCAAAACCCTCGACGGGCCAGGATTCATAAGAGAACTGGAATTCAGTCATTGTGTGTATTCGTATCGCCAATAGCTCAGCTACTGCTCAAGGAGTGAATTGTGATCTTGTTGCGAACGCGAGAAGGTGTAGCGCGATCTGGTGAAGAAACATTTTCCCCGGACTGGGGTAATCCTTCATTTTTAAGACAAAACAAAGTCAAATCGGAGCTGCGGAGAACCTGGGGCAAGATCTCAAGCTCCGAAGCGAGCTCCATGGCTCTAACGGTCAAGTCTGCATGTCGGCAAAAAAGAAATCACTCGTGAAAAGAACAATTAACCGATTTCCCCGGATTTCAGACTCGGGTCTGTGCATTTGACGGATCGCGGGCCAATCGGTGAATTTCAACGAGAGCAGGTGACGGCGGTTAATTTAACGATATTGCCTCTCTGCCCCGGTGAGGCCAGTGAGCTCGGTTAAATATGCTAAATCATAGGGTTTGAGTAAAGTGAAGTCAAATGCCCCGAGGCCAATATGTCTTTGACTCGAAGCCAAAGTAAATTATATATTTACGCGTCATGTTCCAAGATTCCGGAACGCCTCACTATACAGTACTATTCCCCTCAAGTCCAAAATGTACAATCCCCCGCATACACCGACATGATCGGCAGGAACAGGATCTCTGCGGGGTCAAAGAGCCAATCCAGTACCCTTCCGAGTCCAGCGGTACAGGGCTAGCACGGCTTTCCGACGATGCCGAATTTCGCTCGGATTTACCGGGCGGCCGCGTGCCTGCGCAACAGCAGAGCGCATCACCTGCCGGAAGCTGCGCTGGTACTCTGTGTTCAAGGTGACCACGCAGGACTCGGTGGCACGGATCATCGTTTCGCAAGCATTGAGAATGCCCTCGCCTGCTTCTTTCTGCAGTCGTTCCACTATGAGAAGGAGGAGGAAGCTTCCCTGAAGGAGTTGGATGCCGAAAAAGTAAGGCATGAAGCTGATATCTGGATCAAAGCGGAGGATTTGTGAGACAGAATCTGCCGCTTCGAGGGCGTGGGAGATGGTGGATGCGAACGCTGGAGAGGAGGTCCAGAAATCTTTGTCTTCAATGAGAGACACAGGGTCCCACTTTCCGACTAGCAGAATATGCAGGACATGGGTAAGGTAGGAGGAATAGGCGATCACAGTTTGTGTGTGCCAAGAATAGGCCTGAGACAATTGGGGATCGACGGGGTCCGATTTTGAGTAGTTTGATAATGGAGCATCTGGGTCCGGTGCGCTTGATGCAGCGAACGTGGTGAGACTAGCTTTGTAGATCTCTAGTTGACGTAGCACTTCGGCGACTTGAACCTCCCAGGCGTCTTTGCCTAAAAGGCGCACACCGAGAGTGGGGTGGTTTCGTGCTTGATTGAGATCAATCAGTTCACCAGTGATGGTCATGAGGGGGAGGAAGAAGCCGAGGATGGAGTGGTCATGGCAGATGAAGTTGGGGAATACGCGGCGTTTATTTTGGTCGCCCGACCGTAGGCACTGTGGGCCATCTGGTCGAGGACTGTTGGTGTGGATGATCCCTGCTTGCCAGGCGTTCTCGTCCAAAGGAAGCAAGAGATCTTCACTTTCAGCGTCGAGGAGAGCCAAGGGCCGATTATAGCACAGTGCCAGGTGGCGATCCATAATATAGAGCAGCCACCACGTTCTGCGCCGCTCTTCGCGGTGTTCCTCTGTGATGGGTCCATTGTGTAAGTCGTGTGTTTTATCACACACGCAATTCAGGCTCGGTCGCGACGTATTCGAATAGTCAAATCCGAGCCCACCAGGGGAGCCGGGCCATCCGCCTAGCCCGTAGCCAAATGAAGGACTCGACCCATCGGTCAGGCTGTCCACATTCGGAGTAATTTCCATTTCCTGATTTAATTTGAGTTCGCGGGCTAGCGTGAAGGCCGCATGCCACCTATGCAGGAGTCAGTTGTGAAACTTGACAGGGGTAGGAACAAAAAAACCGGGGTACGAACCATCTCATACTTGCAGCCTTTTGCTCGCTGGATGAAATAATTGATGCGACATGAATGTATGTAATCACATCATCTAGAGACCCTGCAGGACCAACGAGCCCTTTGTCGTCTCCAACACCCTCGAACGGATGGTGTGCCGCAGAAGCCGAGAAGTCTTGGGCCGCCGTAGTATTTTCCGCAGGCAGCGGATCCTGGTCTTTGAACGAGACATGGATCAAGGGTCGTAACAAGCGTATGATCAGGGCACAAAGAAATTGGCATATCTTCCGTCGTTGCAACGGAGAAATCGATAAGGAAAAGGCGCGATCATCTACAGCGGCCACCCATAGCATGCTTGCTAGCAGGGCAGGACTCGTCGGCCGTGGACGATCGGCGCTCAGGAAGGAAGATTTCCTCAGAACATAGCAATGAATGTGATGACAAACAGGGTGCATATGAGTAGAGAAAGCACTGGTGAAGTATAGTTCAAGTAGGTCGCAGACCAATCGACGAGGGAGGTTATTTTCCAAAAATGGCATCACCGGTTCCAACACGGGATATTTCAACGGCGACCGTGACGACGGCCTCTGTGACGGATTCCCCGATACAGAGGGTATAGGCACTGGTCTTTGACTCGATCGGTGGCCAGTCAAGTCGACCGAATTCCAAAGATCCATCAACCTCGGCAGCGGCGCATCACTTCCGCCCGTCCCATTCAGCAATTCGTAAGAGTCAGGCGAAAGATGTGCAGCCGCCAGCCATTCCTCCGTGGCATTTGCAGCCGGGCGCAGCGCATCTGCGACCGATCTGCGATCCTCACTCGCGGAAGCGCTGATCTCATGCGACGCAGGAGAGCGCTGGAAAGTGGATGTGGGTGAATTGGCAGGCGAGAGCCGATGCGACTGCGGCGGTTGGTGTTCCGGTTCGACTTCGTCGCGAATGTCGCCATTGTGAGGCTTCGATCTGGCAATTCGGCCTCGTTTGCGGCGCTCGCGAGTAAATTCACAATTTATGTCGCTGCGCAGACATCGCGAGCAGGGGAAGGCTCGGTCGCATCGTACTCGGCGGGTGTGGCAAGAGTCGCAAGCGACTCTGTTGCGGCGCCAGCGTCGTTTGCCGTTGGGTAGTTCGACTGGGTCGACGTCGACAGTCGATGGTTCCCCTTGAGATGTCATTTCACGGCATTGCTGAGAGGAGAGATGAAAGATGAGAACGTTGCGGGGAAAATACGCTAATGTCTCACCCGCTTTCTCCAACTTTTCTTGTGTCTCAGCTCGCTTCTGTCGTTTTTTAGCGACGTCTTACTAGGGTTTAATTCCTTACGCCTTCATAACTTCGTGGCCTTGCGTTGGCGAATGATTCCTATTATGGGTATATTCACATTTAGCAAAATCGACCTTCCTCGTCCGGCTATCAAGACATCTAGTATACATCATTTTTTCAACGCGCTCTTGAATCTCTCCAGCGCCCGATTCCTGCTCTCCGCGTGATCTACGATCGGCTTGGGATATCCATTCTTCTGCGCAATGGCCGCCGCACCCCGCGCATATGGTTCGTGGATAGCTTTGCCCGAAACATCACGGAGCTCTGGCAGCCAGTGCCGAATGTACTCGCCCTCTGGATCGAAACGTTCACTCTGGCGGAGAGGATTGAAGATGCGGAAGTAGGGTTGGGGGTCAACACCAGTACTCGACCCAAATCCCCATCCGCCGTGATTTGATGCGAAATCTCCGTCGATCAGATTTTCCATGAAGTGCCGCTCTCCGCGGCGCCAGTCAAGCATTAGATCTTTGGTCAGGAAGGAGGAGACGACCATGCGGGTGCGATTATGCATCCACGCACAATGCCGAAGTTGGCGCATCGCGGCGTCCACGATCGGGAAGCCGGTTTTTCCATCACACCAGGCTTGGAAGATATCTTGGTCGTACTCCCATTCGATATTTGTGTGCTCGGGCTTGAAACATTTGTTCATGCTGTTGTGGTTAGAAAGGTTTAGGTGTGGTCTAAAGGAATGCTTACCAGATGAATGGCCAGTGTGCCAGAACGTGCTTGTAGAAGTCACGCCAAGCGACCTCGCTGATCCAAGTCATGAAACCAGCATCGTATCGATCGAGATGTCCCTTGTTGAGTCTCTTCGCGGTGGCAACAGCCGTTCGTGCACTGAGTGCACCGGACGCGAAGTAGGGGCTTAGCACGGATGTATGTTCACCAGGCAATGTGCTCCGCTGCTCCTCATATTGCCGCACTTTTTCTTCGAGGAACTTGTCAAGTCGCTGGGTAGCCTCGTGCTCTCCAGCCGGGTACATCTTTTCAAATCGTTTCTTCTCTTCGTCTGACAGGGCGTGAGTCTTGGGTATCGCCGGCACCTTGGACGCGAAAAGATCTTTCAGTTTCTGACGCGCGTTTCCGGGGTTGGATCCCGGCTCCTCTGAGACCTCAAGGTAATCAGGATTCTCTTTCAAAAAGGCCAACCATGACCGGTACCACGGCGTGTACACCGCATACTGCTTTCCTGTTCCGGTCTCAAGTTGGCCTGGAGGTACAACACAGGTATCGTGGGTAGGCGCGAAATTGATTCCCTTTTCTGCACAAGCTCGAACAATTTTGGCTTCCCTCCGGAGCTCGTCAACCTCGTACTCGATATTAGCGTAGAGGTGATTAGCCTGCCATTCCTGGCATAACTCAACGACGCGATCTGGGATCGTGGTGCGCTTCTCCTGCGTCTCCATGTACAGAGGAATATCAAGCTCGCCTAGGTCCTGTTGCAGCCTCTGTAACGTGCGTAGAGTGAAGTCTACCCGCGCAGGGCTGGTCAAATGCGCTGTCCAATCTTGCGGAGACGCGATGTAAAGACCGATTAACGGGATCTGATTCTCCTTGGCGGTCTGGTAAGCCGCAAACAAGGCTCGGTTGTCGTGAAGACGAAGATCGCTTTTGAACCAGTGGACAACGGCGCTCCCCGCCTCGACGGACTGACGCGTGTCAGCAGTTTCTTGACACGCTTTCTTCAGGGTGTCAATTGGACGTTCTAGTTCGCCGTCGGTGTATGCTTGACAGCGCTCGTTGCTCATTTCTGGCGGGTAGAATTCCCGTAAGACAATACCGAAGTCTTCTGCCTGCTTTGAGTTTGGGTGCGGCTGGCGGAGGTCAGGCCGGCCCTTCTTGCTCGCGTGTGAGCCATTGGGTTCGGGCGTAGCTGCCTTTCTCTTTGGAGGCATTGTTGATAGCTGGCAGGGTCTGCTCAATTGGCTCAATTGATATACGTGAAGTGGTGTTGGAAAACGGTAGGCAAGCAGAGTCCGCGGCAAGTTTCGCATGTCCAAAAAAAAGGGGTGACGCGCAAAGAACAAGGAATGCAAACGATGACCAGATGCTCTGATCGAGATCGAGATCGGTTGACGTCACTCGATCGATGCGGGTCTGGCCAATTTGGTTTCAGGTGTCAATATGTTGATGCCTGATAATTGCCTTGTGGTTGCCTGATCACAACACAAGATCTTTGCCGTGATTACTCCGTACTCTGCCCTCTCTGAAGTATCGTGGACCAATTTCGCTGTGAAAGCACTGACTGCAATCATCTTTGAATCAATATCCAACTTGTCCTCAATCTCAATTCCATTGAGTTTCGTTTTGTTGAGAACCCCTTGACGTCCGCAGCAAGGGGGGATCAACGGCAGGCGGCTGCACCACCATGCCGGTGTCGACTTCAATATTGCGGTGAATTCTATTCTCGCACGATGTGACACTAGACCCTGTGTTTCAGGGGACGAAAAAAGCAGTCGAGCTCGAACCGCGCTCCACCCCCAGAGCGAATGATGCGCAGCGATCTCCAATAGCGCGCATCTTCCCCACAAACTTCGGCGATCCAAGGTGCGGGAACCCCGTTTTCGTCTCGCCTCCAATCCGCGTCCGCACAACTCCGACGAGCCATGGATGAAATCCGCGAGCAGCTGTCATGGATTGGCTGCTTAAAAACTGGTCTGAGCTTTCGCCTGAGACCTTTGCCATATCGGTATCAAGCCCAGACCCTGCATTTCCATTCGTGCGCTCGAGCGCATATAGTCTGCATTTAGACTTTGAAGATTTTGTTTTTGGCTTGAACTCCTAAAAGTGAACCATTTTCCTCCATATTCTCCCCACGTTACCCCAGACTCACAAGCCATGTCGCTCCGATGGCCGAATCCGCCAACGACATTGCATCCTCTCTGATTCAAGACTATGGAAACTCAGATACCGTCCGCACTGCAATCTTTGCCGCTTTCTCGGCAGTGGCTTGGTACAATGCCATCGAGCTCATCGTCCTCTGCTTCGTCTCCTTCAAACGCTGGAACGGCACCTATTTTTGGAGTTTACTTGTCGCATCCTCGTCCATCGTCCCCCATGTTCTCAGCTACGTCCTCTTGTTATTTCAGACGGGCGTCACACCATGGTTGTGCATCACACTCATCCTCATCAGCTGGGTGGGGATGGTAACAGGCCAATCGATGGTCCTTTGGTCGCGACTACATCTGGTTCTGCAGAATACAAAAATTCTGTATGGGGTACTGTGGATGATATGTATCGACGCCGTTCTGTTCCATCTCCCTACAGCCGTGGTGCTGTACGGATCAGTCGCGCACCCTGTTGGGCCCTGGGCGCGTGGGTATGCGATCATGGAACGGATCCAACTTGTTGGATTCTGTATTCAGGAGTTGATCATTTCCAGCATCTACGTCTGGGAAACCGTGAAGTTGCTCCGACTACGACCGGAAGGTCGTCCACAGGGGATCTTGAATCAGTTACTTATCATTAATATCGTCATTCTTCTCCTCGACATTGCCATTGTCGTCATCGAATATGTCGGCTACTACGCTGTCCAGGTCATGGTCAAACCAGTGGTCTACAGCATTAAGTTGAAACTCGAGTACGCAATTCTCGGCAAACTGGTTGCTATTGCGCGCGGCAGCTACGACAGTCAAGAACTACCGTCAAGTACTCGTGAAATCAACGAGGTCAGCTCGTTACCATCCGGCGACACTTCCAACTTAGAGTCGAGACGCACCAGTCATCGGCAATATAGTTCCCCTTGGTTCTGGGAGGGGATGGCATCGCCTCATGCTACTTCTACTTCCTCTGGGATGCTGCAAACTCCCTAACATTTCTTTCATTTTGGCGTTTCGGCAGGTTGCCCGGTTACAAATACTGTCAAAATTTCTTATGTGATATACCATAAAAGGCGCCGGGGTGGCGTGTGTTCATTTAATCATCATAAATCTCAACAAGATATTGCACCTCATTCAGCGATAGTAATCAGCCAATCCACCTGTACCTGCTTGCAGCACCAATACACTACCATATATCTTATTCTCGGGCTGCACCATAGCGGTTCCCAGTGCCCCAAGCGCCTGCCGGGTATCTTGTCCAATGTTATCTTCAAGCACGAAATCCACCTCCGATGTGACACTGCGCCGGCCGACAACAACAACATTATTAGCTTTATTGAATGTGTGCTTCAGTTCCTCACGAGTAGAAAGAACGGCCATCTGAATGGAATCAGAAATCGAGTCTTTGACATCTGGCTGTGTGAATACGACGCGATCGGCAAGTTCATGCGGAAGAGAATCGCGCAGAGTCTCAAAGAAGGCAATATCCGACTGCGAGGATGTCGCAGGGGCACTTGAGCTGGAGGCCGGAGTCACGCTTGCAGTGGCTCCCTTTTTGGTCTCGGCGAATGGGATCTGGATGATCGTGGCCGTGACCTGGTCATTCCTCGCAAGCTGCATGACAAAGCGAAGCGCGAAGCGATCATCGTCACCGCCGAAGAATGGAAGTACGACGTGGTGGGTGCGGTTGTTTGAAGGCTGGCGGGACCACAATGATGTTTGGATGCTCATACCACTGGCTGTGCGGGAGATAGGGGGTCGTTTCGTTGACTCGGGTCCGTACTCAATCAAGATACCGACATGACCGGATACCCGTTGTAAGATGTCCGAGACAAAGTTTGTGTAGGTGCCATTGGAGAAGCGATTGGTTCCGGTGATTTCAAGACCGTTTTGACGATCGGCTAGGGTGCCGGTCTCGCTCCATGGAAGGAGGAGAAGGTCTGCCGTATCTTGCTGTGCCATGCCGATGACGGTGTCGGCGTAAGAGTACTCAGGGACAACGGACACGCCAGCCATGAGGGAAAGATCATGCCATTCACCAAAGGCACGGAAGGTATTAACTACTGGGTCCCAAAGTGCGTGCTCGCCTGCAACAGAGACCTTCATGACACTGGAGTCTCTGTCTGTGAGCTCCATCAGACGCACACCATGAACACGAAGAGCGGAGTCGTCTTCTTCCTCTGTGATAGGATCCTCGACAGTCTGGTCGGTTTGCTGTGGCATTTTCGCGGGGTGTACGCGAGATGAGAGCGGCTGGCGCTTCGAGCTCAGGAGAGCCGCCAAGGTGCAGACTCCAGAAAGGCCATCAAGGCGAAGGTATACGAGGAGTTTGCGCACAGGGATGGTCTTCATCTCATCTTTGGCTAGCGCAACGCTGTCGTTGCGGCCATTGTTATCAACGGGATTTCCATCCCAGTCGATCTCCCCTCGTCTCCATCGCTCAACCTTGACTTGGTACCAATTTGGATATAACCAAGTCGTCAGAGGAGTTGTCAGGAATGTAGTTACCAAGGCCATGACGACAAATATTGTGAATGTACGGGTGCTCAGGATCTTTGCTTGTAGACCGATGTTCTGATTGAAGTCAGTTAATATTGTCATCAACGCTGAGAGGAACACTTACTAGCACAATCAATTCGACCAGTCCCTTGCAACTCATGAGGACACCAATGGAGAAACTCTCACGCCACAGCAGACCACATAGACGGGATGCGAAAGCGCCACCAGCGACCTTTGCAATGAACGCAATGGCAATGACACCGACCACGTAGGCCCAGACGATGCCAGAATCCAACAACCCGAGATTTGTACTTAGGCCAGAGAGTGTGAAGTAAAGTGGGAGGAACAGAGCACCGACCAGATCCTCGATCTTCTCCGTCACTTTGATGGCGAATCCACCTTCATGTGGACAAATCAAGCCAATCACGAAGCCTCCGAAAATAGCGTGAACACCAATGACTTGTGTGAAGAAAGCCGAGGCCAACGCAATCAGCAGCGTCAAAGCTACCACGGATTGACTGGGACCTTTCTGCAAACTGCCCGTCTTCTCCAGGAAACGGAGGAATAGCGGGCGGAACGCGAAGGTCAAAAAGAGCATGTACCCAGCGCAGACCAAGAGCACATACAGCGCAGTAATACCACTTCCGGCATTCACAAGGGCGACGCACAGAGCGAGTAAAATCCATCCGACAACGTCGTTGCCAACACCCGCCGAAAGCACAATCACACCCACCCGGGTGGAAAGTAACTTCAACTCAGTCAGGATACGACACAGCACAGGGAAGGCCGTAATGGCCATGGCGATACCAATAAATAGCAAATAGGTTCCGAACTCAATGGGCTTGGTACCCGGGTCCCCATGGAACTCATGGTATAGACCATACGAGATTGCAGATCCCAGACCGAACGGCAGGATCATACCTGCAGCAGAGACGCTCAAGGCGATGCGCCAGTTGCTGATCAAGAAGCGCAGGTCGGTCTCCAGACCTACCAGGAAGAGGAAAAGCACTAGTCCCAGGTTGGCGACTAGATTCAGACTGGGGATACTCGCAGTAGGAAATATAGCATCGGTGAATCCAGGAATGCGACCCATCACCGATGGGCCCAGGACAATTCCACCGATGACTTCCGCAATGACTCGGGGTTGACGGATCTTCGAAAGGGGCCAGTGAATCAAGCGGCACATCACGATGATGATCACAGCCTGTGTTTCATTAGAACTTTTGCCTCCATCGCTATTCACCTAGACTCAATATTACCTGAATAATAAAGAGCACGAGGGGGTTCTTGGGGTCGTAATCTGTTGGGTTTCCACCCTCCAGAATGCCTCCCTGCGGTGGCACCTTGACGGCGCCGGTAGCCGTTGCTGTAGCGGTTGAGGTCGCCATTCTGAGAATACCCAGCTAAGGTAGGTCGAGCTGGGGAGAAGGGAAACCTGGGGATTTAAGAGGATCCAAAGATGAAAGAGAGCGTCAGCTTAACCCCACGGGCCGCGTGAAATGGGGAGCCAATCAGCTTCGAGGGAGCTTGCCGTTCTTCTGGGCATGGCGTGGCTAGACCGATTGGGATTAGTCTAGATTCTGCTCGTTTAGCGGACATTCCTTGATCCTTTCACTTCACTTCCCTTCGTATTTCTGAATTCTTGCTAGGGTTTGCCTTCTCTTGAGGCTAGTTTCACTATTTTCATACAAGACAATATGGCAATAAGATACTTCGGGTGTGTTCCATCAAATCGGCAGGTTATTTTTTAAAGTTCCCACGTGGTTCGACGTTGGCAGCTCGGGCCTTTTTTTGCTTTTTTAGGCATCTGATCGACTCTACATCAGATGCTCTCTTGCTTTCGCCCAGATGTCTACGCCCCTCACTCTGTCGTTGGAATTCGGACATGAAAACTTTCATTTAAATCTCAGTGTACTTACAGCTATAGATGAAACATAGTAATTTTCTATGGTTACACATTCACCCAAACTATCTTGATTTCCACTCTAATAAAAGGTCCCCGGATCTGATGTGTCTGCTACTTTAGAGTCTCATGTGCTCGCAGTACACAATACGAGATTGTTCTTGTCTGTCTTGGCTGCTGAAGACATGTGAGACCCTTCAGTCTTGGAATCGCTGGACCAAGGATATGTTTTACAAAGGCTCAAGGCCATCCTGACAACTATAGAGGGGATTTCCAAGGCTGGCTGTGTGCCGGGGAAGTCTTCTTGTAAGTCTTTCAAAAGCATTACTGAAGAAATCACGGGGGACGTGACTTTCAGATCAGTTGCACACGGATTACTGTGGACAGAGACAACATTATATTCACTTCTGTCCCAGTGCGACAAGTTGACATTGACCTGGGAAATCACTTAATTGCCTTTTCGACAAGAAAATTGACGAATGCAACTGAAAAGAGTGAATATCTTTTCATCTGAAGGGCACTATGAGTTTTCTCTCGGTTTCAGACCTCCATGCCTCAGAAAGCGCCTTGTCAAAATCGCCGAGCAATCCATTGCACAGCAAACAAACGGCACCTCAAGGGCTATAAATTAGGTCCTTCTGATCTTCCATTCCTCCCTTCTTCAACTCTCTCGCCTGAATGTCTTCCGGCTCATCCCAACTACAAATGGAAGCCTTCAACCAGCAGTCCAACATGCTAGGCACTATCTCGACACAACTAACAACATCTCCCGAACGTGGAAACATGATCCATATCGGAGGCCATCATCTCATTGACTCTCTTCTGGACGGGGGTTTCGAGTTCCCAACTCTAGTCCCTCAACGGTAAGCTCATGGTCTACTCTCACTTGGAAGCCTTTCAAACTCCATCCGCCCAATAGCCCAATAGCATCTTGCTAAATCCCTTTTCCATCATCAACCTGACTCACTCTATCTACATGGCGCGCAAAGCTTTGGGTGACATAACATTAACACCTATCACCAGGTTGGAGACTACGATCGCGCCGGCTCAAAGCGACGTGGGAATCGAAATGGTACGTGTGAAATATGACACTCACATACAAAAGAAGCGCAGTTGCTGATATCATCAGGATACCTCACCAGTAATCGAGCATTCGACCGACTCGGCTGAAACCTTCCACAGCCTTAGCTCGGAAGCTGAGGCTGAGAGCTTGGTTCGCGCGAACCAAGAGGAGTCGCCGGCCCCCGTGCCCTCACCTCATCCTCATGGTATCAGATGGATGCCCCGCCTCTCCGAATTTCTCGATGACATCAAATGTCTCCCGATTGGCGAAGCACGCCTCTTGGAGACGGGAAAGACAAAATTCTGCAACCTCCCCGTTATCCGCATCGGGCTCCGATACATCCCTGATGGCGACGATCCAGAACTCCGTACGGTTACGGTCACCCGCCTGCCAGTTCCCACGAGCCTTAGTGAGGTCCTTCGCTCCGTCCGCGGTGGAGACGTGCTCAACGCCACGATGTGCGATACCGTGGCTATCATTGGTTCCCAGACTGCCCTGCTGACTTTCACAACATCCATGGGGGCAGCTGGGTTTGTCCAAACTGCACGGAGCGAAGGGTTCTATGTTGGATTCCACAAGGCCCATGTCGAACTGGTCACGCTACCCACATATCCGATGCGTCGAATTTTGCAAGATCGGATCATCAATCGCGGGCGTACCCGAGCCTTGACCGCCACCAGTGCCAACGGACCCACCAAAGACATCATTTACGGGGTTCTGTCTTCTTCCCTGGTTGCCAACCATATCGAGGGCTTCAAGGATCACCGAAGCCAGAATGAAGTGACCATCCTCTTCTATTCAATCGACATGGCCATGCGAGCGTTCAAACTTCTTTGTGAATGTCCCAGAATCACAAAGATCTGGTTCGGAAGTGATCCCTGTGGCAGGACCTACCAATAGGGTCCTGCCTCTCCGCATGAAGTTTGGCGAAGACTGAGTGAGGAACGGGCAACGGTGGATCAGGAGGATGACAACGACAATGAAGAGGGGGAGGGGCAGGAGAGAAGGTGATGGAGGAACGTCGACAGTACAAGGAATTCCAGACACAAACATCATACATTGAGACAGTATTAGCCATTAATTTCAAGATCCTTCCGGGTGCCGCTTTTGCCGATGTAGCTTATCTCGACTCGTCCCGCGTCAAGATTCATACCTAGTCTTACCCATTTTCAGTACGGAATAGAGTATAATATTTTACCACAGCCGCCTCTGTCGTGGTAGCAACTTCTGTAAGCGTGTTTAACACAGTACCCCATTGAGAACAACTTGAAACACTATGCAAGCTATTGAAATTCAACCTGATATGTTAGATCTTAATCCAACATTTTGTTACTATTTTCGATTGTCTAATCATACTCCAGAGCCTGAGCAGCAGATCATTCCGGGAATTCCCTATCTTCCAGCTATCACTATCCTTGGATCTACATACGGAATACTGTATTGAGACCTCGTGAGATCTATCATCTGTGTACTCCGCACGTCTCAATCATGTGACCGTCTACGGGTTATTTATATGCCCACAAACCGCTACTTTTGCAAACCAGGTTTCTTCTTTCTACCACTCCCCTGGGGCCTCCTCTCTCGCAGAGCTGGGGGAGTAACCACCGTCCGGAATACGGAGTACGGAGTAAACGTGCTACAATCTGACCGAGTCAATCTTTTTACCGACCAAATCCTTTTACCGAGTCAACGTTCTTTCCGAGTCGATTCTTTTACCAAGTTGATTCTATTCAAACTTCAGCCAAAATCATCATCACAGCCTCAGTTCGACGTTTAAAGTCCACTATGCAACGAGAGTGAGACCACTATGCAACGAGAGTGTGACGACTAAACGAGAGTTTCCACTATGCAACGAGAGTGTGTCTACCATGCAACGAGAGTGGCATCAGTATCAGTATCAGTATCAGTTTTGGCCAACGGGGCCTACCAGTTCTATTCATATCAGTTTTGCTGTCATGGATGATACGGGGGAAATTTTGGATAGATGAATATTTGGTGTTTCGACGAAGGGATGGACGTTTTCTCTGGGGGGGATTGTTTAGTGGATCTCGATCGGCACCCGACAGTTGAGGGGTCACCAATCGTCCAGGAAAATATGCATGAATCGGGCACACTCGGCGAATGCTGAACTTTTGTGATATGTCGAATTTCATCAGCGGGGGTGCCAAGACTCCGTATTTTGGGAGTCAAACCGATGCCCACGCTCTTTTTGAGCGTCGCCTACCAAACTTCTTTTCTCTGCCCGACCTTCTGTCGATCAAGAGCCTTCCCGGGGACGCCATGCCTATGAAGTGGGAAGAGCGCGCTGGCGGTCTGACATTGCAGATAGAAAGATGGGGAGAGAACAGGGGGGCATCGCGGGGCACCTACAGAGAGGGCATATTTATAGGGCTTCCTGATACCGTTGAAATGAGATGTGAAAGGGATGCTATTCCTAACTCTGCATGCAAACCCGTACACAACCATAATTATGCCTCCTCGCGGCATTCGACTAAGCAGAGCCCACCTGGCAAGCTCCATAGGGCACGCAGTTCTACCACTACACTATGTAGTTTTGCTACTCCCTACACCTAGTCTTATCCTTGAGCGCTTTTGCTAACATCTTTGACTGTCTTTGTGCTGATACTCGTAATCTGATGATTGCCGATTTCTAACCTGAACGTCCTGTTTTAGTTGGCAACTCCATCCCAGAGAATAAAGACCTAAGGCTAGCTTTGTGTCGGCAAAATTTCATCAGGCTTGTCATTCCACCTCCTCTTTGGTCGGGGCATCATCTTTCTCTACCCGAACACTCGGCTTTGGACCGTCGCTATCCAAGTTCGCAATTTGCGCACCGATCCCTGTGCAAACATAGCTCTCGAACTTCCAGGGTGAGAGTCGAGCCTGGTACATTTCATCAATATCCTCGAGAGATCTTCCCTTAGTCTCAGGCACGACCAGCCACACGAAAACCAAAGATGCAACAGAAAAAGCACCATAAATGAACGTCACACGTCCACCGATTGATGCTTGCAAGTAAGGATTCACGAAATTGATGGGGATAGACGTGAGGAAACTTCCCATTGAAGCGAGGAAGACGGTTCGTTCGCGGAGTTGGCCAGTTCCAACCTCACCGGTGACGATCCAGCATCCCGGACCCCAGGTGAAGCCATAGATACAATACCACAGAATCAGCAGGGCGACACATGCATTCTTCGCCTCCATTGAAAGGTTTGCCACGGTAGAGCTCGACTCGATAGCACCGCCTGTTCCAATCATGGTAGCTGCAAGCCCAAGCGAGCCAAGAAGTAGAGACCATCGACGGCCTAACTGATCGAATGTCACAAATGTGATTATATGACAAGCGAACGAGCAGCCTGTCACGAGAACATTGGTCTGGAGTGGGTCTGGAAAGCCGAGCTGTTGCATGAACGTGACGATGAAGTTTTGTATGAAAGAGACTCCCTGGGCTTGCTGCAGGATTTGAACTCCCATGCATGCTATGGTTCTCGGAAGATTGGTGCCCTTGAAGCAATCGAGTACGGTAGTAGCCTTGTGGAGGTCTCTTTGCTCTTCAATCTGGAATTTGAGAAGCTCGATCTCCTGTGGAATGTTGTCCTGGTTGTTGTTGAGATTTTTCATTACGGATGCTGCCTCGTCATATCTACCACGGTAAATCAGGTATCGAGGGGATTCAGGTAGAAATGGTAGAGTGATCAAGTATCCAATGGGGACAAATAATTGGCAGCAAATAACGATTCTGGGAGTGTGTTAGCCAAATAGGAAGACCAGGCCTAGGAGCCTAATCACAAACAAATATTGCCATTGGTCGTTGCGGGAGCGAGATGCATAGACCACCACAGTGGCTATGAACACTCCGAACGAGGTAAAAAAGGAATAAAGGGCAAGGAAAGCACCTGAGACGCATTAGTAACCATGATCTTGCTGTTGAAGTAAGTGTTACAGACCTCGGACTCGGGTCGGCGCACATTCCGACAAATAAGTCGGAACCACATTCGAGGCCAAACCAATACCCGAGTAAACAATGATTCTTCCAACAACGAGTTGCCAGAAAGAAGTGATTGCACTCGCCTCAAGAATGACACCGACTATCATAAGCAGTGACAAAGCCAAAAACCCAGCCTTGCGACCGAACTTTGAAGTAATAATGGGCGCCATCAGACAGCCCAGAATGATACCCGCCGAACCAGTTCCGGTTCCAACGGATGTTTTCTGTGATGGAAGAGCCCATGCGTCAAGTTTCGCATCGTAGGCACCATACTTGTGCTTGAACTCTGATAGACCCAAGGCACCACCCCACCAACCATTGTCAAAGCCGAAACCAACAGCTCCAAGGGAGGATGTGAGACCAACGGCTGCGAGGCGCCAGTTCAGATCTTGAAACAAAGGGAGGTTTCTCAACTTAGCCAACATACTGCATGCGATATAATATGAGCGGACAGCAGAAAAGTCCAACTCGATATTTCCGTTGGCTTCTTCGTAAAATGAGTGGACTTTATACTCCTTACCCCATGGCACGATCTCCAGGGTTTGTGATTGATTATAGTAGTATACCCCGGCAGAGTTTCGGGGAATCTTTGAAATCCGGGGAATGGGGCAACCATAAGCGGGCGTGGGGGTGCAAACTTCAGCCTTAACTCTACTCGTACTCGTTGTGGAACGTCCGCCGAAAATGGAAATGGGAGCCATGCCTTCCAGTATGGGTGGAAATCTCATATTGTACCTACCAATTCAATTTACCATCCAGAATGAGTGATAGTTATAAGGCAAAGGCAGCACACCTGAGCCCATTTGAGTCTCACTGATAGTGGTACTTCGTCTCCTCTGCTTTCCCATCATGCCATCCCTCTTCGCTATCGTCATTCAGTCCGCCATCCTCAAAGCCGTTGCCAACACCACCGCCCAAGTCCTCAGTCAGCGAGGATCTACCAAGCCTATTCTCGTTGACTGGAATCGAGTTTTGGAATTTGCAGTGTTTGGGATTATAACTGCGCCGTTCATCTCCCTGTGGCAGCAATTCCTCGACGAAAAATTCCCCAGTCAACCCCAGAATGACCCGAAGCCCACAAAACGCAAATCGTCATCGCTGAATTGGCCGAACATTATTCTGAAATTAGCCCTGGATCAAACCATTGGGCTCTTCTTGACGAATGTCACCTTCATTGTGTGCACAACGGGTCCAAGACTCCAAAGCGGCCAATTGATCTTACGCGAAATCAACAACCGGATATGGGGCATCTTGAGAGCTGGATGGAAGATATGGCCTGCGATGGCGTTGATCAACTTTATTTGGGTTCCATGGCAGTGGCGAGTGGTGGTCAATTCGGTGGTCGGATTTGGGTGGAATATTCTTCTCAGCCTTCTGTGAGCTCTGCATGCTATATGTAGAACAGAACATTAGGTACCGCGACCTCAAACTTTCCAAATAGATTGGAAATCTTCATTTAGAGCCCAAATCTCGGAGATGTTTTCTGTATACAACTCGCTGTGGTATCTATCGTGATGCTATTTCAGGGTTCATGATGGCGTGTTGCGCCCATAATGATCGTGACATTCGCATCAGCTGACGCAATTATTAGACCGCATTTAATATACTCTCTTGTTTTTGAAAAGAAAAATATACATTCCATAAACACACCCTAGAAAGAGAAGGCCAGCTTTGATCGGCCGATATCATTTAATCTGTCCTGATGATTTGTGTATCCCGACGTTATTTTCATGAAAGGCTTCTCATGAAGGGTTACAAATATCATCCATCTGTACAATCACGACATTTGCGGCTACAGTTCCTGTTTTTCTCTGGCTACCTTTGAATGCCATCTTGCCATTGGTCCTTCCATCACCCCACGCCAACCCCGCGCTAGTATTGGCTTTTTGTCCTAATGCGGCATCTCGAACCACTGGAGTAAGGAAATCCTAGATGTACTTAATTGGGCTATATAACAACTCTCTCAATTAGTATAATGAACATCCAGAAGCACCTGGGTAAGACATCATGTTTCGGTTCTCGCATCTGTTGGCGTTGATCGCAGTTCTCAATTTCCTGGGTGTCAGGGCAGTTGCACACCCGGACGCAAAATGCCAATTACAAACAACCACAAAACCACGAATCTTTCTTTTGAGTGATATTGACAATGAGCCTGATGATGCACAGTCCTTGGTACGGCTTCTCCTCTATTCCAACGAGTTCCAGATCGAGGGCCTTGTTGCTACAACAAGCTTCTGGCTCAACGACACTACCCGGCCTGACCACATGGAAGATATTGTCCTTGGGTACAAAGAATCACTGCATAATCTAAAGATTCATGCCTCAGGTTGGCCTGAGCCTGATTACCTCCTGTCGCTCATCAAGTCAGGATCAACTCGTTATGGCATGGACGGGGTAGGCGAAGGTCAAGACAGCGAAGGCTCAAACCTACTGATTGACGCTGTCGATTCATCCGAGGAGCCACTCTGGGTTCCCTTATGGGGCGGTGCAAACACTCTGGCCCAGGCACTATGGAAGGTCAACTCCACGAGATCCGACATCGACAAGTTTGTGTCGAAATTGCGTGTCTATTCAATTTCCGATCAAGATAATGCTGGTCCGTGGATCCGTCGTCATTGGCCTAGTTTGTTCTACATTGCTAGTGTCCATGCGTTCAATCGGTACGGCAATGCAGCTTGGGGAGGTATGTCCGGCGACGACTATTACCATTTCCCGAACAATGCGAACAAAGAAGTGATCTCCCCCGCGTGGATCGAAAGGAACATCCAGATTGGTCCTTTGGGCGGCAAATATCCAAGCAGTGAATTCATCATGGAGGGTAAGAGAATCCGTTTCTTTGTATCTGATTCCAGGGCGCTGACAATGCATTGCAGGCGACAGTCCCTCTTTGCTGTATCTGATTCCCAACGGTCTTTCCGATCCGGAACACCCGGAGTGGGGATCCTGGGGAGGTCGATACAGCCCCGTTGTCTGGGGCGAGGGCCATTTTGCGGACAGCATAGATATTCTTGTCGACGACGACGGAAAAACCATGATGGGCTCCCAAGTAACCATCTGGCGATGGAGAACTGCATTCCAGAATGATTTCAAAGCTCGAATGCAATGGACCATTCAATCTGAGTTTAGCCGAGCAACTCACGCGCCCATTGCAGTTGTCAATGGAAGTTCTACCCGAGACGTTCTGGAATACACTGTGTCTCCAGAACAGACCATCATTCTTGACGCATCTGAGTCCTGCAGTACTGATGGCAGTTCTCTCTCATACAGTTGGTGGCAGTACCTGGAGCCCAGCTCAAACCTCAACACACCGAAACGAGATGTGACTGTTCTTGAGTTGAGGGAGGTCCACGCTGCCCGAATTTCTGTTGACATTCCCTCGTCTCAGACGCTTCGCAGAGCCGGTAGAGGGGTGCACCCACATGCGGATAAACATTTGCATCTCATTCTTGAGGTTTCAAATGGTTTGCAGGTATCTTATCGACGGACCATCTTGACCATCAAGGGAGAGGGAGAAAGCACGCAAAAGACCGACTCAACGATGCATGATGAATTGTAAATCCGATGTGCTTGCCACAAATAGACGCCTTAGGCGATGATACCGATGAGAATGTACACGTATCAAGGGCAGAGAGGGTGGAGAGAAAAAAATAAGGAAACTCGCGCTTCAACTCTCCCCGTCTGGCACAATTACCGCTTCCTTCCACTCATTTAGTCATTGCTTGGTTGCGAAGGTGAACAACCACTTTTAATGTACGCATTGGTATGTCTATACAGTCACTACAAGCTGATTTCGAGCACTGAATTCGATGTGCACGCACACGAGCGGCTAGTGAGACATGCTCTTAGGTTTATCAAAAGACCTAATCTACTGTGCTGTTTAAGCATTCTCGGCGTGGGCCTTGAAGCTCCGCCCTTGCAGTATGCCTGTACATGCTTACATCTGACTGGATGAATGGAGGTTCCACATGAACCATAGAGCTCAAGATCCAAAATTTATTGATTTTGTGAAATTTATTCATCTTATACACACTCTATTATGTGCATAAATCTAATAGGGGAAATTGAACTGCTGAGCCTTCGCGCCCAAAATTGGCACAAAGTCCTCGCCCTCACAGATTTTCATGGCCCGCTGATAAGCAGGACGGTCACCAACACGCTTCAGATAAGCGAGAATGTTCTTGTGCTTCTGCTCATCGAAATCGATCGGACAGAAGCCTCTCATGGTAGTCAGCGTGCAGATCGCCATGATGTCCGCGGCAGTGACGTCATTTCCGGCGAGATAGGATCCAGTTTCACCGAGGCGATTTTCAATCATCCCAAGGGCATTCTCCAGCTTTGCAGTGCCCACTTTGACGTGCACCGCCTCGGGGTCGTTGCTCAAGCGCCGGGTCATGAGCACGCGGAATAGAGCGGGCTGAAGGGAGGCATTGGCCCAGTGATACCACTCCAAGAAATCGACGTACTCTTGTCCATCTTTGGGGGTGCGGGACAGACGGCCCTCGCCGTATGCAGCAATAATGTAGTCGATGATGGCGCCCGATTCAGCAAGCACGACCTTCTTTTTGGAGAATGGTGAGCTGTCGTCTTCGATGACTGGGGCGGTTCCGGAGGGGTGTAGGTCTTTGATAGATTGAGGGGCGAAGATGGGATCGCGCTTGTGGAAAACATAGTCGTACTTGATACCAAGCTCTTCAGCGAGCCAGACGATGCGCTCGGATTGGGAGCGGCCTAGGTGGTGGATTGTCAATGGCATTGTGAAGCGGTGAGGGTCTCGGTTGTATAGTGTAAAGGAGAAGTTGAAGAAGGATACTACAAGCACATACAACGTGAATATCAGTCCAAGCAGAAAGTTAATCGTCTCTGAGGGACCGAGGCAGTTGTGCGCCCGCGCATTGCCGCTCTGGAGGATTTTCGGGGATACAAGCATCCATCTCCACTCTCGATCCACCTGCATTCTTCACTTTCGGAGCTCTCGCCGACGCTAGAGCTGGGTGGGCTTAGTTGCTTGTGTGGGCTTGTGGGCAATGCATGTGTGAGCAAGGGAGGTTGCAGTGACACCACAACCTTAATCTTGCAACTTCTACTCCGTATAGACTGAGGACTATCGTCACAACTTCATTCCTACTCGTAGCTTTCTCCGTGCCTGTGACGTGATATAAGCTAAAGTGAACATCTTGTCGCACCATAGCGTACGTGTCTACAATATCTTACGTATTGACTCGGCGCTTTCACTAGGGCCCAAATGATCACCGCGCTTTTGACATCCCAATTAGGCCTAGAATTCATTACATGCCAGCCCCGTCGGTCCACCATGGATGATTCACCTCGCCACCTCCAGGGCTGGGCCCACCACAAGTGACCCTGACAAACATGGGAGGCCTGGACAAGTCTGGTTACTAACATGATGGTCGACATTGCAAAGAATTGTGTGCTGTAGTGACAGCCTGACAGGGGCCTGTTTTGAGCCTCGTACCTTTTTTGTTTGTTTTGTTTGTTGTTGGCTGGGTCCTTCCTTTTCCCTTGTTGCATGTCTTTGATAACCAAAGCTGTTGTCTTTCGCTCGGTGCTAGGGTCTGATTGGAATTCATACTTAGGTATCGGATGCCCAGGTGGAGAAATAGTAACGAGCCATATCGATTGCCTGGGGTCTGCAAGCATTTTTTGAATCAAAGTTGGGCTTAATATATAAATTGATCCAATTCCCACAAGAAGCATTCCCAACTTGCGAGTCAACTCTCCCAAATCATTCAGCCTTAGAATGTTGTTGATTTGAAATTACAATGGCCCAATACATCTTATAATCCCAAGTGTTCAGCGTGAAGTATTCTACAGTTCGCATCCAAGATCCAAGGTGTCTACATTTACGGGCGCTGCGGATATAGCGGGATTAGTCAGGCACCGATTCTCGGAAGTCAAGTGGCGGGGAAACCCCAGATGTTCACGGCCCGAGGTCAAGCGGGAGCTCCTTGTTTTTATTTCTTACTTCGTTCTTCTTCTCTTCTTGACACTCCTAAGGCAATTGCTCCTCCACTTCTGCGCTTTACCCTCAGCCATGTTCCGCTTAGCGCGACGCATCCCACGACGCGTTCCAGTTGCACCCATCTCCTCACGAGCATTGCGGTCTTTCACATGCGGTTATCCTCGGATGACGCCAGTTCAACCCCCGGTGTCCACCACCTTGCCCTCAGACGCCTACCAGCTCCTGTCAACACAAGAAAAAGCCGGTGAAGCTGAAGATGCGCTTTACGACCAACAGATTCGCGATGTTGAATCCTGGTGGAGCTCGCCTCGTTACGACGGTATCAAGCGCCCGTATACGGCCGCCGATGTTGTGAGCAAGCGCGGCTCGCTCCAGCAGACGTACCCCAGCTCTTTGATGGCGCGCAAGCTTTTCAATTTACTCAATGAGCGCGCCGCTGCTGGCCAGCCGGTTCACACAAGTAGGTGGGGTTATGAAGATCTTCAATGGCAGGACTAACCGCATGCGCAGTGGGAGCTATTGATCCCGTACAAATGACGCAACAAGCCCCAAACCAAGAGATTCTCTATGTATCTGGATGGGCTTGCTCTTCACTTTTGACGAGTACTAATGAGGTATCCCCCGATTTTGGCGATTATCCATACAATACCGTTCCCAACCAGGTCCAACGATTGTTCAAGGCCCAGTCCATGCATGACCGGAAGCAGTGGGATACGAGGCGGAAGATGACACCAGATCAGCGAAAGGCGACACCTTACACCGATTATATGCGACCCATTGTCGCGGACGGCGATACCGGGTATGTCTAATGCCGTGATCCAGAAGCACCGGATTGGCTAACATGATGTGAAGACATGGTGGCCTGTCAGCGGTCCTTAAGCTCGCCAAATTGTTTGCAGAGAACGGCGCGGCGGCTGTGCACTTCGAAGATCAATTGCACGGCGGAAAGAAGTGCGGCCATCTTGCAGGCAAGGTGCTCGTTCCCATGGGTGAACACATCAACCGACTAGTCGCTGCCCGATTCCAGTGGGATATGATGGGATGTGAGAACTTGGTCATTGCACGCACAGATTCCGAAAGCGGTCGCCTTATCAGCAGTGCTATCGATGTGCGTGATCACGAATTCATTCTCGGTATCACAGAAGATGTGGAGCCTTTAGCCGAAACTCTCCAGGCCATGGAGCGTGAAGGTGCCTCACCTAGCGAGATCGACGCGTTCGAACTCGATTGGGTCAAGAAACATAAACTTGTTACTCTCGACGAAGGTATGTCTTTTTGTTCCGATGTTGGGGCAGGTATTAACTATTCGAAGCTGTCGATGCCCATCTAGAGTATGAAGGAGCGCCGCAGTCATCCCGCGATGGCTACAAGGCTTACGTCAAGAGCAACCCCGACCTCTCATTCTCCCGTCGCCGAGCTCTTGCAAACGACTACGCAAAGACCCCCCGTCGTCTGGTCATGCGATAGTCCCCGCACTCGCGAAGGATTCTACCACTACCGCGCAGGATTCCCCGCAGCCACCAAGCGCGCTAAAGAATTCGCTCCTTATGCCGATCTCCTTTGGGTTGAGACAGGCGACCCAGACGTGAAGAAGGCCGGTGCTCTTGCCGGTGAAGTCCGGGAGGCATTCCCCGGAAAGAAGCTCGTTTACAACCTCAGTCCTTCGTTCAACTGGATGGGACAAGGATTCGATGAGGCTTCTCTCAAGTCTTTCATTTGGGATATTGCTAAGCAAGGGTATGTGTGGAGTCCACATTGATGCATCATGTGCGCTAATTTTCTCTAGATTCGTTTTGCAGCTTATCTCTCTCGCGGGCCTGCACACCAATGCAACCATTACCACCGAGCTTTCGCGCGCATTCAAGGACGAGGGAATGTTGGCCTACGTCCGTCTGGTCCAATCGCGCGAGAAGGATCTTGGTGTTGATGTTCTCACGCATCAGAAGTGGAGCGGCGCGCCTTATATGGATGGTATCATGGGGGCGATCCAGAGTGGAAGCAGCAGCAGCAAGAGTATGGGCGAAGGCAATACCGAGAAGGGTGAGTTTGGAATTACTTTGACCTTTGAGAATCAACTAACCTCGAGTAATAGGTTTCTAATTTTCAAGCTCAGGGTGTGCAAAACTGCGAGCTTTGAGGTAAGGCTTGCACTTTGCTATACCCGTGTCTTTGTCTTCCAATGTTGTGTTACAAAATATGTTGCATTTAGAAGCCGAAATTCACGTATGATGAATTGCTTGCTACGACTTGAATCACCAAGTAATAGTCTAAACGATGCGAGGAAATAAATTGGTAGTACAAAATTGACGGGGAGAGTCAAAGCCTAAAAAGCAGGGGCAGTTCGCACAATAAAGACCTTATCGTATGAATAAGATTGCGGAAAGCAACGGGTCTGGATAGCTCATTAAACGAAAGCGACAGCGGAGCCAGGATCACCCACAGATGTCAACGCGTCTGAATCCACTTTACTCACAATGCCATCGTGTTTGCACAAGAGCAACTGGCGACTATACCAATCGAGGCTGACCCAATGAACAAAAACAGAGCGTGTACGATGTGTATCAATGATCATTTTTGATTCCAAAGTTTTACGCATACTCCGTACACAGTATAGTATTCCTGTTCTGGGCTATACACGTGACAGGAATACCGATGCCTATACTACCTCGACATAAGCACGCGGTCAGTTGGTGTAAGCCCGATTCGCGACCTAGTTCAAGTTTCGGAGCCTAATAGAGCTTGCAGGAGGCTTTTCGTGTGAGATATCTAGCTATTGTTGACAAGCGATCAAACCGTATAGAGTACCGAATACTGTTAATACTCGACTTGGAGGGGAAATCCGAGGAAGGCCGTTACGTGTGTGAATTACAGACAGGAACCGCGTCAGAACGGAACTTCAACTTCATCTCGTTATCCGCATACTCCGTACAGAGTATCTTCAACCAATTTATCGTGTACAAACGCATTCACCATGGCCTGAACAAGGCGCGACAATCAATCACCGATTCCCGCCCGCCACGGTAATAGCTCGTTCTATCATAAATGTTCATATTGGATTCTCCTGATCGGCATCCGCTTACTCTTTTTGATTGTGAGATCGCGTAGGAAAAAGCCTGAATCATAGGCAGTAAGGATATTTGTTGGCGAGGCACCTACGAATAGCCCCGAGACACCCATGGGTTCTCGTTTAATTTTCCTGTTTTGATCTTCCAATCATAGGGCCATATTCTTTCTCTCGCTGACAGGCACCCTACCAAGTCGCATTCATTTCAGTCAGCAGAATGACCCGAAGATGAATGAGTTCTGAGGTCGTAGGAGAGAAAATCAATGGAAAGATGTGTATCGATGTAATTTGTTGATTGAATGTTTCAAAACCGAAATGGTAAAAACAAGTTTGGTGGGGGATGAGTAATAATACACGTGATCGAATTACAAACCGGAACCGCGTCAGAACGAAACTTCAACTACATCCTTAGAACTCATCCGTCTCCAAACATTACAAGTCCGTTTCAAAGCTCTTACCATGGGCCGTACGGTAGATCAGACTGTGCACTCCTCGTTCGTCGAGTTCAGGTATGTCGAGTCCCCGTGGGAGTCATGCACGTGCTAAAATTCCGAGTAGGAGCAAGAATGAGGACAAGGCAAGCGACTCTCCAATGTTTTTTGACTTCTGATACTAATACATTACCTTTTAAAGTGTCTTTCCGTGCAATGCATTTACTGCCAACAAGTGAGAGCCAAGAACACGTCGCGACAGAAGCAGCATCTCCTCGAATGTCCCGGATTACGCGGACATCCCGACGCGCAGCTTTCGCAACCCGCGCAAGTCCCCAACGGTATCGGCGGTCCGAATGGATACCCCGGAACTCCCAATGGACCTACCGGCGCGCCAGGAGCGACTGGCGCTGGTACAATCGGCACTCCGAACGGTACTCTGATGACCAACGGCGTCAACCCCCACGCGACTCCGTTACAGGCCCCGTTGCAAGCGCTGCAGAACCGCGCTATGGCTACACCTGTTCCTCCCACTGGTCCTCCCTCCGCACCACCCAGCGCTGCGCCGTCGCGTCCAACTCCCAAGCCCAAGTCCAAGAACTCGACCTCGAGTCTGCCGGCGCCCCCGCTGGACGATGTACACGCAGCTTTTGTTGAGTTCAGGTATGCCCCGCGTCTGAGTATTGCGGAACACGAACTAATCTCTGCGTTTGTCCCGTTTGCAGAGCTAAGGAAGAAGACAAGGTAAGCGCAATTACTCCCTTTCCTTTCTTCTTACTTCTCTTACTAACACAATGTCTTCCCAGTGCCTCTCGGTCCAGGTAGGATTATCGTCCACTATTTCTGTGCTAGCTACTAATTTTACCCCAAGTGTATCTATTGTCAATCTGTCCGCGCCAAGAACACCTCGCGACAGCGTCAACACCTTCTTGAGTGCCCGACATACCTCAGCGTGATGAAGGACTCCATTCCCGCCAACAATCTGTTGCACACATTCCCGGAGGGTGATGTGGCGCGCTCATTGCAAATTCCCGCGCCGACGCTGGAGCTGGACTTCCGCATGAGCATTAAGATGAACCCGAAGGTCACCGTCGGAACCGGCATATGGGGTCATCGCGACTGGGTCTCGTTCCTCGGCGGCCAGTGGGCTGGACGATGGGGAAAGGGTATCGTTTTGGTAAGAACAACCTAAATCCCAATCACAGTACATTGAATACGGTTTGAATACGATCTAACTTTCAAATACAGCCCGGTGGTCAAGATACGCAAATCGTGACCAAGGACTCGACCACCAACCTTCAGGCCAGCTACATACTCCAGACCGTTGACGAGCCACCCGCGTTCATCATTGTTCGCTCAGAAGGCTGGTTGACAGGCGCCAAAGACGTCCTGGAGAAGGTCATTGATTCCAACATGGCCGACGGCGTCAACCCCGGCAGCTACAAGTACCGAGTCAACCTTCGAATGGAGACCGGCGACGAGCGTTACACTTTCCTCAACACCTTGATGTGGATTGGCAGCGGGTGCCGCCGAGGACATGAAGGTAATTTCACGACCATCCCCATTCGCGCATCGCAAGCTAACTCATATTCCAGTCATTTTCGACTCGTTCCGCGTGAATTAGGCCGATCCTCGATCATGTTTGTCCGTTCTTCAGCGAGTTCATGCTTCCTCACCTCGACTTCAAATGCCAGGAAAACGGTGTTTCTTTTTACCCTGTTTCTTTTTTTCGGCGCAACGTTTTATGATTCGCTTGCCGGTTTCCTCGGCTCTTTGATTTCGAAACACGGGTTTTCGCCCCGGTGTTCTTACGTGCCTCCGACAATCCAAGCCGACGATGAGCTCTGCGACGTCTTTGCTCTTTTCTTTTTCAACCATTCGTATTTCTCTGGTCTTGCTTTTTTCTTACTTTTTCCTTTCTTGCTGATCTATTTCCTATGACATCTGTTGCAGTCATTACGGTCAGTCTCATAGGGTATTCTTTGTCTTTATCTCTTGTGTCTTGCGATTGATATCAGCTCGGTTATTGCTATGCTTCCAAGTGCCAATTCTATTGATCTACCGTTTTGCTCTTATTCTGAGCTGTTGCTCAGGTCTCGGTTCAATTGTCGAGATTCACCTTTAGTCCTCAGGTCAGGGACAGCTTGGTTGTTGTTCTACTTTAAACAACCGCGTTGATTGCCCCGGGGCGTTTAAGCGCCCAGGTGTTTAGGTGGGGCACATGTAAACGCCCATCAGTAACCGCTTAAAGCCAACAACTTGGAACCCGTGGACATTGGAAAGCCTCGGAGTTCCGGGGCTTTTTCAAGGTTGGAAGTAATGTAAATAAACTTGGAACCTGAAGTATTGGGTTGAGGTTATTTTCAAACGGAACATGACCCGCCGTCAGGTACGGAGTACGGAGTACTATTTCAACCATACAATACATTCATACCAGACACCAAAACCAGATACGAGATATATTTTCACATACCCGTAAGTCATACCGCATTTACGCAGCGACTATAGCTAAATACCTCTATTCAGATACGACAATACCAGAAACTAATTATTGGAAAGGAGAACATTTCCAGTCGCCTGTTCAAACATCTTCAACTTTTGAAGTAGGCACGCCAAAGTGGATCCATGGATATTTTCGCCTATGCCCGTGGGTATGAGGCTCTTCTGCTTTGATCTCACACCACCAGGGCTGACTGGGTCGCTTCGTGCCGTTGCCTGCTGACACGATCCATCTTTTTCCAAGGGCTCGTTCAATCAGAATTAGAAGACCTGGGGACTCTTTGTAGTACGCACTACCAAGTTTCATGAAGTCCACGGTCCACCTGTGTTCAAAGGGCGCCGCCTCCTTAGATAGCAACTGCATGAGTCCACGTTTACTACTTCGCAATTCCAGGCACGACCCTGGTTCGCTACATTCAAGGATATACTGTACATTCATTGATACATTAAAACTTCCACTGCTAAGTCAAATAAACCCATGTGACAACACCAAAATACAACGCAATGCCACAACTTCCAAGACCAAAATTTCAAACAGAGTCTCCATACAGCAATGGGAACTCACCATCCGACATGCCCAGCATACCAGAAAAGCTTTCCGCGCCATTGAACACAAACTCATTGAAGGACTGGTGGTCCCACGAGACCGAGATGGAGTTCCTTGGGTACGAAGCGGCATCCAGCGGTCCCGTCAGCAACTGCATATTCCGTTCGTCGCCGAAGAAACCCTGAGAAAGGCCGAGGAAATTCTGGAATAGTGTACGGAGTTGAACCAGAGGATAGCTGATACCTGTCTGTGTTAGGCAATCGGCGATAGCTTTCATCAGATTGAAGTCCCCGATGTCAGATGTGGCGACGACGTTGCAGAAGAGGACCAAGTATGCGGTGGCGGGATAGAGTAAAATTGTCCTGCTGGGTCTTAGTAATGGAAATGAGTGTAAAGGCGCCGTGGAATACTCACCAGTTCAAAAAGCTGACGGCCGTTTGCTTTTCGGCTGTGTGACACATTGATACCAACGCAGAGAGCTCTTGGCGTGCGGATTGGAGATATCCATCCGTTGAGTGAAGCGGTTGATCGGAATCAGCTTGGAGAAGATAGAGAATGCCAGTCATTACAGATTGGTATGCGAACTTTAGAGCAGACATTTCAGTCTGACGGTCAAGTCCTTTCCACTCTGAAGACAATGTGTCAATCTGACCGGGTTAGCATACAGGCTATCAGATACCTTACGAGAATGTATCAATCTCACCTGGTTCATGCGGTGGTTTATAGACTCCATTTGAAGAAGCATATGTTCCCCAACCACATGTAACGATGAAACGTGCTGAGCCAAAGAGTCTGGAAGATATGACACAACTGTGTCTTGGACCCGAGCCAGATCAACGTAGATCAAAAGAAGCTCAGCGATCTCGGGGAAAGTAGGATATAGATCGGCGAAAGTGGGTGGGAGGTGTACATCGAGAAGACACCGCGAGGTTCGTACTTTGTAAGCGTGATTTCTGTCCAAGGTAAAACACCAAAGGAAGCAGAATAGCTCCTCTTCCGTTGCTACTCCCCTCAATACGACTCCCGGAAGGTCGAGATCGGTACAAGTTTTGCAAGCGGCCTTGGTAAGGTCGCCGCTCAGACCAACGTCACCGGCGCCTTGATGAAGGAATACCTAAGCAGATGTCAGTAGGTCCATTGTGGTGGTGGGGATAGATAGCATACACCACAAAGAATAGCCTGTAATAAACCAAGTGACGGTGCGACGAGTAGTGGAATTTGCTTCAGTGCGACTTGAGCCGCCGCTCGGTACTCCATAGCATTTTCCTGGAGTTCGAGAGCGAGATCTGGATCGTCCTCGAGATTGATCACGGTTGTAAGAAACTTGTATGCAACAGCGTTGACACAGACAGTATAAATGATAGACTCGGGCTGCGATACCCTCTTGCGAAGGAGAGAAAGACCCATATGTTTCAAAGTTCCTGTTGAAACATGTCTGAAGTAATCTGCAACGAATGGCCCGAACCTGTCGGTCTCGATATCTGCACGGCATTTCTAATCAATTTCTATTCTCTAGTCAAAAGTCACGAGCGGGAGCATACCTTTCAACATCCAAGTAAGGAACTCGATAGGTGGAATCCTCGGTGATCCGGCGCCTGGGATTCCACTCTGCGCCTCCTGTGCAAAAGCTGATGGGTCATTTGATAATACGTTCATGACCGAGAGTGCGGTTTCTAGCACATTGCGTCTATCGAAAGTGAGTCCCGGTAACTGGCGCAGTTGGCGCAGAATAGTTGATTGCGCGTCATAAATGGGATCGTATAGAATTCGAGCGTTGGGTGTGAGTGAATCATCCCACGCCAGCTGTGATATAGCACGAGAGGTCGGTAAGAACGGTACGACTTCGTTTGAAGATGTCACCAATTCGTCAAATTCAACATCAGGAAGAATTTGAAGTCGAGAAATGTGAGAAGGGCCAGCGCTTGATGTTTCCTGGCGACGGCTAGCCATGCATCTCCGCTTCGTGGTTCGCTTTCGATCACACGTAATTTCTGCATCCTGGCAGTTGCCGCATGGGTCTTTTCTATCGCAGCGGACCTTTTTTTCTTTCATCAGTACGGCTCACTTGCGAGTCCAGGGGTCGAATTTGATTTTCGCCCAAAGCATACCTTGCGGGAGTGACACAGGTCACACTGCATGTCATTATTAGCGGGAGAGGTTTGCTTTTTCGGAGTGATTCATACCACAGATAATGTGCCCCTGGTGCTTCTAGAAGGGGTGTCACTTGACATCATGAATTCCTATTTTTCTCGAGAAAAGAGGAAGCCATGTATAATACGGGGCACATCGAGAGTGGACCCTTAAAATAAAAATTGGATTTCAAAAATTTCGGAACTTCGGACATTTGCCAAGAAATTTGTGAACCAGGCAGCATTGATCGACTTGGCGGGTTTCATCGTCTTCTTGGCGTCGGTAGCCGAGACTTAATTATAGACCCCAACTATACGGAGTACAGCCCTGTGGACGGGAGGCTCAGCCATCGAGAATGGCTTTTCTATAGAAAAGCGCTGAGGTAGATCCGGACATCGCCGGTAAAAGAAGCTGAAGTCTTGTGGTTCTAACGTCTACGAAACGGTGATGAAACTGACGAACCTTCTTTTCTTACATTTGCCCTCACTTATATTCACCTATAATAGATCCACAGGGCTTAGAAAAATCTAGAAGCCAAAACAACACGATCTATTCCTTCATATTCAACAGCTATTTCTGTGATGTTGCTGGTGGAATACCAGCATCGGAATTGAGCATATCTAAGAAATGCTTTTGGCCGTGAGCTACTGTCTTTAGATATCGGTTTTTCGAAAACAAGCTTTGCGAAATTTAAAATCTTGAAGCTTCCATCATGGAGAGCAATCATAAAGTTCCTGACTATAGCACAGGCTACTCTGTACAGCGAAAGGCGTCAACACATTCCAAGTTCAAATCAAGAGCAAAGCTCCTGCTTCAGGACAACTCTCGTTTACTCCGTCTGAGATATTTAGTCACAAAAAGCCCGTTCAAGATCTCCCTTCGAAGATGCGGGGAGAAGACAAAAGAGATTGGAAGAACGGGTGATATGTCGGGGAAGGTGACATTTCTAGACCATTGCGCTTGTTAGACAAAGAAAATGACTAGTCTTCTGCACCCTAATCTAGTGATACTGACATCAATCGAAACAAAATGCTCCTTAGCAAATGTGTTTGACATGTGCCAAAAGGCGTGTGGAGAGGAGGCACTCTGCATGCTTTGTTTAGTTCAGTCCGAACCATGTCTCCCATGGAGCTTTATTGTTCGTGCGGGGCCGAAGACTCGCACTAGTTCGACCGCAAAGTTAGCTGACGCGCCAGGAAAAAGCTAAACTAAGCCTAGCAGTTCATAGTCTCAGTGGATCCCAGGGTGGTTGGTTTGCCGGTACGCGACCGGCAATCGCCCCACGCGGCGTGTCTCTCAGGGGCACCTCGTTGTGGTAACGGGGAAACCAACTCCGGTCGCAGGTAGCACTTGAGTATATGAGCCTCAGATCTTTGGGATAGTCAAAGCACAAGCATGCAACGTTTTCACGAGAAGCTGTTTCAATTGAATGAGTGTTGTGTGGGACATCCGAGACGCGCCGGACTCAAAATAAGTCACCAGCACTGCCCTCGGCCATGGGTACTTAGCTCGGGCGCAGTCAGGGGGTGTGGCTTCTCCGTTTGGCCAAGCAAAGCGCCCGGCGTGCAGGAACAAGTGCTAAGGGCCGCTGGAGAGTCACATGATTTTGGAACATTTCAAACGGCCAAGTCCCCAAATTTCTGAGAAATTGGCCCAACTGGGCCCTTATTTGTTAGCAAAAATGCCGTGCACGGACTCCACCCATAGTAAAAAGTTCCCCACCAGCACTTTCTGGACAGGTTAACTGTTGCATGCCTTTTTCTCACCCAAACATGGTCGGTGAGTATGTATAGAAGAACTCTTACCTGCAATCCAAGGATTCTGGCTGGAGTTTGATGACTCATGTAGTTACTGAGTCTAAAAACAGAGCCGCATTCATGGTTCCATGGGTCGGGCAATACTTAGTTTTTTTAGTTTTTACCGTCCATACCATACCCATTTTACCAGTACCATCACCGAGTACTGTATTAGATATACATGAAATCAATCATGTAAACAGAAACCTTGGAAGTGCATCGCGCTTGTTTTCCTCAACACTCGTAAATAAAATTATAACCAGGCATGGTAAGGTCGCTACCTCGGACAACCAGCCCCAAGACGCCAACGCCTTCAGAAGTATAAACCCTTCAAATGAGCCACCAACTGGTCACTCACAATCATCCAATGGGCATGCAGCACCACAGCCCTAATCTCTCGGATCCATCGACTTAGGGCTTGGATTATCGTCTAGAAAAACAACATAGGACTCCTGTCTTGACTAAAAAGTAGAGTGCCCCAAAGAAACGGAAGATGGAAAGACCAGATGTACCCCACAAAATACATCTGAAATACCACGCCGTGCGAGTTGTAGATGTGGACTAGATCCGTTAGCCGATGTATCTAAGATAGAAAGAGCCCAGCATACCGTCAAACATAGCCTGGAGATACTGCTGTTGTTGATACACAATGCCAGAAGGCCATTGCTGAATGTCCACAACAAGACCAGATTAGTCCTGAATGCTTTATATGAGTCGTCAAGTGCCACGCCCTCATTATCATCCGGTTCTTTCCATGGTGTCAGTGCTCGCTTCACAGTGGAAGCAAATTGTTCGTCGATGTCAATTTGCGGCTTTTCCAACTCCTCAACGAACGGAGTCTCATCGTCCTTTTTCGTTTGGGCCGATGGAAGCTTTTCCGGTGCGTCTGATCCTTTCGTGCCCCAAGAAACATCATGCCAGTTGCAAAATGCATACACCATGAGCACATTAATGGTCGATGGCATACCAAGGAAATAGGCCCAGGATGAAGTAAACATGTGCCATGGATCAGCATAGAGAATGCTGGCAATGAAGTAGATTCCGTAGGTTGATACCAAAGCCACCAAGACAATTCCGCCGGTGGATCCAATGAATCCGGAGATCAGGGCTGAGAAACCATGATCGAAATCGAAATCAAGATTTTCCGGCGTCAATGCTTGCGCGACGAGATAGAATGAGAGAACCAAGAGATAAGCTTGTACTACTGAGAAATACACAAACGAGAGTGTATACAGGAATTTGGATCTAACCTCGAACGTCAGCGGGAACATAACATAAGAAGCGTAAGACGTACCCTTTTGGTCGGTTTCCGAGCGCAAGGATAAATTGAAGCATGAGGAATGCTAAGTAACCGATCTTCAAAAAATTATTGACGATCGGAGTCGCATCATTGCCAAAAGGCCATCCATGGAATTTGTTTGACCCACTGGGCGTTCCAACAATATCCAAAATGACCGAACTTGTGAGCCAATATGACGCTAATCGAGATGTTAGCTAAGGCCTGTAGTAGAGTAGCATAGTTAGATACGCAGAATAGGACTCACATACCCAATGAAAACCATGTCATGACCAGCTGACAGATATTATAGAGTAGTTGAACATGGAGAGCGACCAATCGAAAGATCCCATGTCCGCTATGATAGATGCGATTGAAATGAATAACCGAGTAGAGAGATGCAGCAAAAGAGCCATTCAGCCAGCGTCGACGCTGACTCAAAAATTCTGCTGGCAGCTCTGGCACATCAGTCTCTCCTTTCGATGGTTTCACATATGTTAACCGCCACTGACTGCCAGCTTTGGCAACCAATTCAAAACAAAGAATGCGATCTTCAGCAAGAAACATATTCTTTTTGAAGATATTCATTCCGTCAATGCCCTTTTTGCCCAATTTGCTAGAAAGCGTATGGTCACCATGGAAATACTGTTCCAACGGTCGGCCCATGATCGCCCGGTAGCGGTAGGCTGAGAACGCGCCCGGAAGTACACTGACATAGCCAAAACTGCTCTCTAATGGTTTATCCAAGATGTTGGAAATTTTGTATTCGAAGTTTTGGGCTGCAACCAATGGGTTCATGAGCTTTTTCCATCGGTGGCCGAGAAGTGCATGGATCTCGCCGCAGGCTCCGCCGAGATTCTTATCGTTGTAAAACGCTTGCCATAAGGCAAGTAAAGACTTGGCACCAGGTTTTGTACCTGCATCGATGAGTATGCAGATCTCAGGGTTGAGTATGCGTCCAAACGCATTAAATAACCATCGATGAGAGTTGATCTTTTTTGTGTTCTTGTTTTTGAGACAAAATATCATTTGTACTGGCGGCAGGTTCATTGGGTTGTCTTTATATGGGCGCACCAGCTCTTGCTTGGGGGTAATCGATAGTTGAGTAGTATATTCAAACTAGGCGTAGTTAGTTAGAGCCCACAGATTCAGAGCTTCACCAGGTGTCCGCCTGAAAATAGAACCAAAACTCACAATGTGCGCCACAGTCTCTCTTCCATCCACATCCTGCTTCATGACTCCGTCTTGAAACACCCCGATAGTTGCCAGAACATCGAGTGTATTCTTATCGCACGGGTCCATCCCATCGAAGACTAGGCAGACGACGATCTTCTGCCAAGCGGGACCTCCTCTGTTCCAAAACTCCGTTTTCTTCAAATTGACGATGTCTCTGACATTTTGCATAACGCCGTGGAGAGTTCTCGCGGTGAGGACCTTATCCTCGTTGTAGTAAGTGATCGCAATGAGGAGCTCGGTATGTCTGTTGTACATCGAAGGACGTAGATTGTAACCATTGCGTAGCGTAAACTCATCAGGATCGCAGGTGGCGGCAGTATCTAGCCCATTATCAGCATATTCATCAGAAGACGTAGTAAGTTTCATTCCCAACTCACATCTCATTTGTGTAAACTCCTCTGAAAGCTCACCCCCAGCATCTCGGTATTCCGGCTGGATAGCATTGCGAATGGGACTCGGTACCGGATAGTTGACGCTCAAGACGGAGCCCTGTACCAACTTGATACGACGCGTCGGATATCGGCGAATGGTACTGCTCTTGTGTTGTGGCGCCGAGTCGTTCGAAGAAGCAATAGCGGAGCCCTGGCAAGGAAAGTTTTGCAATTTGAACTGGCCAGGCATATCTTGTGAATCCATGAAATCGGCTTCGGGGTCATTCGCCTCCGCCGATAAAGTGCTGTAGGATCTTTGAGTGACTCCCCTGGGAGGGACCGGGTCTGCGAAAGGACCAAGAGAGTGTGCAGAGGTGTCGGCTGGGTAAAGAAGGGAGACTGCCTGCTCATGTACGGGCTGTGGACTCTAGTTGATACCGAGACCGTCAGCTCGGCTTGCCGCATGCCGGGAAATCAATCAATTTCCATCTCTCACACACGTACCCGATGAGAAGGATCTCCATTCATGCTGTCGCTTTCCTCGCTTTGTCGTGCATACTCAAATGAGTAGGGTCTGTGAAATGAAGGGTCCATGATGTATCCAACAATCTCTAACGTGGGACCAGTCTCGATAGTACTTGAGCTGAGGATCCAAAATACAATCCCTGGAGCCAAGCCAGTTCGGATCGATAGAAATCACAGTACCACAAGCTGTGCACTTTCATCCAATTTGAGCAGCGCATTCCATGGTAGACTTTTCCAAGCACCAGACATTACCCACAAACTATACGCTACGCAAAACTCTTTCATGAACCACCTTCGTGGTTTTGGCGACTATAGCTCGGCGATTGCCGGCTATTTTAAACCGGCGCCCCACAATTTTGTTTTGTATCAAGAGTCTGACCAATGATAGCGCAGTATCTCTTATTTAGCGTGCGGCTAAAACCATCCTTATTTTCGCTGGCCAATAAGTCCACCGCGAAAAGAAATTGTGCCCAAAGAATGAGCAAGCTAACAGCCTAGAAAGAATTGATTTCCACGTTACATTGTTACCGACTAAAAATATGTGCTGTTTTGCGAAAGTCCATGAGGGGCTGATTTTTAACTGCGCCGAGACCTGGAGCCAGAAGTGAGACAACGTGGTCAAGACTCATATTGTTCACACTGCTCACAAAGTGACGGCTCTAGGAGTTAAATGAGCTAGAAAGCCTGTCCAAGATTGGTATCACTCATTTTCAAGCAATCAACGAGAATCACATTTTTCCCAAATCGTCTCTCATGCTACTCAAGCTGGGCTCAGTCTGGCTCCCACGAGCACCGATGGAAGTGGAAATAAAATTGGACCAAGAAGACTCAGTCTATACGCCTCGAGACACGATTTCAGGCGAAGTGGTCTTACACAGTGATTCGGCGGCCGATTTGTCGACAGTTGTTCTAAAGTTGTCGGGGACAGCAATCTCCAGACTTAGTCACACAAACCGCACCGAAACCCATCAGGTACTGACCAGAATTATTATGTTCTCAGACAAATTGATATCGACTAACCTGTAGTTTTATAGATTTTCAAAAAGTCACAGAGAATCTTTCCTCCCGATGTATTGATGAAAGAGAAAGAATCAAGAGGTTCCAGTGTCACCATCGGAAGTGGGAATTATACACTGCCATTCTCAATCACGGTAAGTATCTACCCGATTTTCCTCCAACAAAGCTGATTTGGCTAATAATTTTGTGACAAATTCAAGCTTCCGCAAGTCACAGAATGCTACAAGACTGACCATTGGTCAAACAAATCCCAAATCACATGTGCGAACATTGCACGCTGGCGGTCGCAAAAAGAGCATTTACTGAGGAAGTCCCCACCATCAACAGGAAACTCTAGCTCCGCTGCAGAGATCAAATACTCACTGACTGTCGTGGTAACTGGGAAAAATACAGTGAAAAAGGTGAGATAACACCTTGATGTGTTCCCGATAGAAGCTTGAAAACTGCACCACAGACTAACATATTTCTAGACGTGCGATCTACAATTCAAATACTTGTCAGATCCATTACCTCAGCAGAGACCATTGAAACAAGATTGTGTTCTCATGGTGAATCCACAAATCGTTTCTGGATCACCATTATCATTCAAGATTGACACCGAGTTGCAGAACGGACCTTGTCTCCTTCTCAATCAGCCAATTCCGCTGAAGATAGATATCACTAAGCATGGGGATGTGTGCTGTGGTATCATACTGAACGAGTTCCAGACCATGCTGGTCGAGAAAACGCAGGTCAAAGCCCAAGGCATAACCGAGTCATCAACCAGCACGTGGATCGTGCAAAGCTCAGCTAACATGGATTATCCGGTTCCACTTGCAAAAAGCCGTGCTGGAAAAGTGGTGACACTGCGTGATTCCATATATTCCCAGCACCCACTACCCTCAGGGCTGACCTCCAGCTTCGAAGTATGCAATATCAAACGAACATACAGATTGATTGTGAGACTGGGCTTTCTCATCGGAGATTATCAGGTAATGAGCCCTTTCTTGGAGGAAAATTTCCATGTCGTCCTTGTAGCTAACCGCTTGAGCTTTCTTTTCAGACTCAGACAATCATCCAGGAATTTGATTTCCCGGTATATGTGATGGGCTCGGCTTCCATGATTCCTCCACTGATTCAACTATGAGGTTAAATGTTGTTTGTATTCACAAATTCACTCTTTCAAGCATTAAAAATACCACAAATGATATGTTCTTAGCGATAAATCTATGGATATCCTGTACAAATGTTAGACTCTCTGTCTGACGTGGTTTGCGATCGTGCCCTTGAAGTGACGGGAAGCCTGTGATATTTGATGAAATGCTACCGCTTGTGGATATCGTAGCCAAAGAAGAACGAAATCGCAAAATTTAACCTAAACCTTTCACATACATAAGCTGAACGACCACTTAGATCCCATCTGGATGGGATGTATGGCACTCCCGAGCTCCTGTACTGACCACGGTCAATACGCAGGTAGAACACCGGGTTCAATACGAGAAAAAGGTCAATTGGGTATGTTTGAAGGACCCACGTTCGTGAGTGGAATACCAACAAGGCCAATTCAGAGAGGACGCTAGCAAAGAGCAGTGGGGCTAGTGGATCATAGCTCGTTCCAAGTGCGATATAACGCGCACCGTCACTTCCACGGAGAAACAGCAATGGGACTTTGAAAATTTCGGATATTAGATGTGTAAAATATGAATCAAACTTTTCACTTGTCAATAGTCCTGTTTCTTCTTCTCTTGGCATCTCCATTGGCAAAATGAGAATGCCGAGAGCGCCGGCTAAAAATAGCCGGGAACAACAGATCGGCGATCCAATCAGCGACCGCTACAGGGCTTGTTTATAAAGATTCATGCATTTCAACTTGTAGAATTTCTCGTTGATGTCAAATAAAAACGCAAACCCGAATATTCACATTCTTTCATTTTACCTGAAAACATATCAAACCATGTCTACCACCACAACCGCGTCCACGGCCACTAGTACCGCCTGTGGAACATCCTTTCAATACGAACTCCCCGTTAAAGATGCAGCATGCGGCGTTCCCAACACCGACAAGTACAACGGATATCTTTCCAAATGCGCGAAGCCTGCAGGAGTAACCGAATACAACAATGACTGTGCTATCTATGCCTTGGCTGTTGACCAGTCAGTCCAAGAGCTCACAGACTGTCTCTACGACGCCGGCGTCGAATGGAAGGACGTGTGGTGCTACGGCTCCACGAATGCCACCGCGACGGCAACATCATACCCGACCTCATCGGAAACCTCGGCGTCAACCACCGACAAGAAGAAGTCGTCGACTTCGACATCCAGCTCGGAGACCAGTACCAGTACATCCGGTGCTAGTGACACATCGCCAAAAGCGCACATTGGCTTGAAAGCTGTCGTGTTTCTTTCCACTGTCTTTGCCTCTTCGATTTTCTTGGGGGCATGATCATATCTCAGTATGCTGTCCGATGCTTTCTGAGACTTTGTTTGCGTTATTTGTTTCTTTTTGTGCATTTAGCACGCGGGTAGTAATATGTAACTGTGACATGTATTATTAGATTTTGAACTGCTTTTACAAGAGCGTCAAGCGTTTGAGCCTACATTTCACAAATCGAGTAAAAGATTAGGAAGCAAATGTTTGCCTTGATACTCCGTACACTGTGCGGAGTACTGGAAATCTCATATGCCGGCTCCCGTCGAGTCCCGGCAACCTGCAGGAAATTCCGTTTGTCATCGGCAGCATTGAGATTGAAGCAAGTGTCTGTCTTATAGTTAAGATAAGATCTATGTCTCGACCACGAAATGAAGAAAGTGCTTTGTTAAACAGTACTGACGCTCAATTCTTGGATAAGTATTACTTTATCGATTGGAGTAGCACGTGTAAGTGAAACTTTTTTTAAAAGGAACCGCCTGTCAAATACGACGTGATAAACTAACGTGCCTAAGAGTGGCCACTGGATGATTGCTCATTGGATTTAGATATCGAATACTAACCGAAAAGGCCTAAAGATATCTGCAATTCATCCTCCTTGCCTGGCTCTCCTTCATTTGAGCAATATTGTGGAGATATGACTTGCAGCTATTCATGTGTATGGTAGTATTCAAGTGGATGGAATCAAAATCTGACTAGGAACTCGGGCGTCTAGCTCAAAACCTCCCTGATCCCTGCTTTTCAAGAACACACCTAAGCAAGATCACTACTACGGAGTACGAGATAGGCTACAGAATTCTCTTTCATATAACAAAAATTGTATTGGCTGGGAGAATTATGAAGTCGGTTGAAGCCCTTCCATATTTTTTTGTTAAGTAAATTTAGATTCAGTTTTGAACCCGTCCACTGTAACATCGTGTCTGCAAAATTATGTATGAATTAATTTTCTAGTGAAAGACAACAACTCGCAGCTGAAGCTGCTTGAAGTAGTCCAAATCAGGAGGAAATGAAAAACCTAACTTAAACTTCAGTGGAGGAGAAATAAAATCATGGTAGACTGCAAGCTTTGGCACAGCCAAAGTTCAAGGAAAAAGCAATTCTAAAGTTGAAACTTGACAATCAGTGCTCCGTATAAACAACAAACAAGCAAGGAGATCCTGTCAGTCTGTTTGCTTAGTGCGAAGGGCCGACAAACCTTGGAAGTGTAGATCGGCCAACAATTTGCGACGATGGGCAATTGTCTCTTTGGAAATTTCCCTCATTCGTTACCACAGCCCTTGGAAATGCCGATTGTGTATCAAATCAGCCTAACATCGACGATTGACTTTGCGTTTCGAACAATTTATTCAAGTCTTTCCTTGCAAATACCATTTTTCACCGAGCAAGCTCACCACAGCAAGAGGATCCACTTTGTAACACCCTCAAAATGCAGTATCTCAAGCCCCAAGACAAGCGGCCTTAGCGCGGGGGATATAAATACCATCGAGCCACGTCCCGTAGCAGACCACAACAGAAAATATCCACCAACCTTCCAAAAAGCCGCACAGCAAACCAAACCACAATATGCGTTTCATTCTTGTTGGGTTCCTCGCCATCATTGGTGTCGCTTTCGCTGCCGAAAAGCCCCTGGTAACAACACTTTGATACATATACGATCGGTCCTCGAGTCTGACAAGTTGACCTTTCTAGATTGCCAATGGACACCCATGCAAGACCGATGGTAGTCTCGGAAACTGCTCCAGTGGATTTTGCCTGGTAAGCTCTACTGTCGGTTTCCCACGCAAGGTTGCATGTGTTGATCAATTCTATAGCAAGAGGTTGGCCAGAGTGAGGGAAAGTGTTCTTGAACACTTGACTGATTTCTCACAACACAACCTTGGAATCAGACTGGGAAAGGGTCTAGGACAATGGAAAAGCCCAATTTGGGTTCAATTACATAACGAATGATCTGGCCCCGGACCTAGAGGGATAATCTCACGGGGAAGACCTTTCGCGATGTTCCGTTCAATGTGAATTCTTTCGCTATATTTTCGATCAAATCTCGGTAATTGAACACTTTCAATAATACCAAATGAAGCTCTATATGCTTTGACAATATCCGTGGATTTGACAGGCCAATAGCCACGCGGTAGGAAAGCAAGCTTCTCTTATAGTCGAAGTTCCTGGGGCTCTAGTATATACCTTAAAGGAGGTATTATTGTGCTAGATTGGCAGCACCGCCTTGCTAGAAAAGCCACGCGCGATGGCGCCGCCGAGTATCTCGCCTCTCGCTTCCGTAGCTTTCTCCCGCTCTGTGGCAAAAGTATTTGATTATAAGGTACTCAGTTTCATGTCGCCATCATAGGTTAATATAGAAACTTTCCACAGCGCTGGTAAGTTGGGCACGCCTGCCATTATGTATGATCTTTGATCGTGGAGGGCGTAGGTGCGGCAGTCGGGAGGTGATATAACACGCCGAAGTAAGCATGAAGAGGTAAGCTGAGCGTCTCTCTTTTCCAAGGTTTCTTCAACGACTGAATCAGGTTAGTTGAATATGACGGAGGGGTTTGATTCATTGAACTGCCCGAAAGCCACTTGTTGAAGAGAAAATGAGCTTCTTCAGGAAACAAATGTAAAGACCTCAGATCACCGCGCGTGGGGATGTTTTGCCGACATTGGCCATAAGGCGGCAAGATCAGAATCCTCGGCATTCTCGGCACTCTCGACCCGCTCGACACTGTCGGTGTTCTCGGTCCAAATGGCTCCGAAGTCTCACCGTGGAATTTGGGATCTCCGGAGTACTCCCCACGGAGTATTTGTCTTCATACCCCCTCCTGGCCAAAGCTCGTCCTCACTCCCGATTGGACTTTCCTTTGGTCTCCGACCGTCACTCGTCACTTTTTATTTCCTGCGACATGGATAGCAAGAGTGACCAGTCCGAATATTTCACATTCCCACGATTGTGGTAAAATGTCGCCCCTCGAAAGGTCCTCTAGCCCCGGAAAGCATGTCAGCTAATGGCAGACATGTCATGAATAAGTGAGAATCCACCGGTCATTCTAGGACTAATGAAGGACGCTCCGTGTGATTGAAACAACCATCACCCCACGTGGAATTTCAGGGGGCTTGGCATGCCTACGCGACCTGCTAGCCTTCGTCACATCTGCACCCCTCAACTAAATTGATGGGTGTGTGCTTATTCTTCTGAAAAGGCGGGCTTGGCATGGGTTTTGCATATATTCCGTCCCCAAAACGGTATAGCCCTACTGCTAAGAAAGCCCGAAACGCCACGCATTGGTGGAACTGTGCCCAAATCCAGCGCGTGGCTGAAAGCTACGCAGGAACGGAGCTTCGATAGCTCTTATATCTCCACCTTTCAGCATGCAGAGTTTCAGTATGCACGCCGGAGATTTCCCGGTGGTATATAACGCCATCGCCTCTCATCCGGAGTCAAGCGGACAGCTCAGTGCATTCACGAAGGGACAAGATGTTTTTCAAGTCATTGGCGGTCGCCTCCCTGGCACTTTTTGCCAAGCAGGCCTATGCGGCCTTTGGTATCACCACCAGTACTGCATCCTACGTGATTGATGCTGGTTCCTCCAACGCTCTGAAGTTCACCGTCAGCCGGACCAATTGTGACATTACCTCCATCAACTTCTATGGCTCTGAGCTTCAATATCAGTCGACGGGTTCTCACATTTCATCCGGCCTTGGAAGCGGTACAACCGTCACTGCCACTCAAAGTGGTGAGTTCTGGTACGAAGCGAACTGTTGATATTTCTCTGACCCATGCAGGTGACTACATCAAGGTGACATGTGCTACGTCCACCTTGACACACTACTATGTTGTCCACAGCGGAGATCCGATCATCCACATGGCGACTTACACCACCGCGGGTGAGTTGATAACCAACAAAGAAATGTTGACCCGCTAATTGGAAATAGAACCTTCCGTTGGCGAGCTTCGGTACATCGCCCGCCTGAACGCGGATCTTCTGCCAAATGAGGAGCCATTTGGTGTGGTCTCGAACATTGGAGGAGGCTCTGTGGTCGAAGGCGAGGATGTGGTACGTCAAATCATATCCAGAAATTTCCATGCACCTCTCTAATGAGATCAAGTTCCTGGTCGATGGACAAACACGCAGCAAGTTCTACTCCAGCGAGCGGTTTATCGATGATAACATCCACTGTAACGAGTCCCATTCCTGATCTTTCGCAACTATACTGAATTCAGCAGGTGTTTCTGGAAGTGCTCACCGGGTTTGCATGATTTTGAACCAATACGAGAGTTCCTCGGGAGGTCCTTTCTTCCGGTACGTCGGCGCTGTGTTGAGAACCTGTGAAGAGGGTCGAACTAATATGTTCAAGTGACATTAACACCAACAATGTTGGATCTTACACCGGTCTATACTGGTACATGGTATGCCGATCACCAATCACCGACTCTAGCAGCTACTGACATCCGATAGAATTCCGGACACGTTCAGACCGAGGATTTCCGCCAGGGTTTGCACGGCCCATACTCTATGTACTTCAGTCGAAGCGGAACCCCCAGCTCGAACATTGACACATCGTTCTTCGCCGATCTCGATATCAAGGGATACGTCGCTACATCTGGTAGAGGATATGTCAAGGGCACTGCTTCCGGCGCTAGCTCATCCTTCAAATGGGTCATTCACTGGTATGTGCATCGATATTATCTTCGGAAGTTCGCGTGTCTGACATGAGAATAGGTACAACTCTGCTGCCCAGTATTGGACTTACGCTTCATCTTCCGGATCTTTCACTTCTCCCGCTATGAAGCCCGGAACATACACCATGGTCTACTACCAGGGTGAATACCCCGTTGCCACTTCTTCCGTCACCGTGACCGCTGGATCAACTACATCCAAAAGCATCTCCGGCTCCGTGAGTACCGGAACTACAATTTTCAAAATCGGCGAATGGGATGGCACGTAAGTACAAGTCGCAAATACCTTCTACATCCCAGTACTGATTGCATTATAGACCTACCGGATTCCGCAATGCTGCAAACCAGCTTCGTATGCATCCCTCGGACAGCCGCATGTCCTCATGGAGCCCAGGAACCTACACCGTCGGCAGTTCCTCTTTGACCGACTTCCCAATGGCCCTGTTCAAGTCGGTCAACTCTCCATTGACAATCAAATTCACAGCAACGTCTTCGCAAACCGGAGCCGCAACCCTCAGGATTGGAACTACTCTCTCCTTTGCGGGAGCCCGGCCTCAAGTCACAGTATGTGAAACTGGTAATTGCATGAAGTGCTAGTTTTGCTAATGGTATTGCAGGTCAACAGCTACGCCGGCTCTACTCCGGCGGCCCCAACAAACCTCAACTCTCGCGGTGTCACCCGTGGCGCTTACCGGGGCTTTGGTGAGGTTTATGATGTTTCACTTCCCGCTGGAACCATTGTTGCAGGATCAAACACTGTAAGTTCTCCTTATATCAGGTGACCAGAACCACGAGTTGATATAAGCCTAGATTACCATCACCGTTGCCTCCGGCAGCTCGGGAGATACCTATCTCAGCCCCAACTTTGTAAGCATCGCTTGGATTTCCTTGACCCAAGCTCTGAATCTAACAATCAACCAGATCTTCGATGCCGTCGAGCTTTTCCAGTAAGACACGCGACCTGTATGTTGTATGTTGGGATACATCAGAAGGGGACTTCACAAGGAGGCGCATATCTTCATTCCAGAGGAACCCGTGTTGTTGGGGGAACATGCGTTCATGAAGAACAATGAACTGACCTCCAGGGTGATGTGCTTCAGTGTGACCATGAATTTTGTGTATGTAGACAACGGTTGGTTTCTAGCTTTCTAAATCTAGGAATCTTAGTCGAGTAAACAATACCACGGCCAACATCGAGTAGAATCAACGAATATGTACAAACGTTCAATATCCCAACTTCAAGCTCTAGTATGAACCAGCCTTCCTCCAACCCAAACAGCCTTGACATTCCGATCATCTCCGCTCCAGACCCACTTTTGGATTTTCTCCTCCCAAGTCTCCGTTCCAAATATATCAACGTTGCCAATGGGACCAGCTTCTACAAGATCGGTCGTCCCATTAGTGAGCTCTTCCAGGGGACTCTTGTCAGCCTTCTTGACCCCACCAAGCTGAACCAACTGCACATCCCACAACATTCCCATCTCAAATCCACCAACATCCTCCGCCATATCCACAACCGCGGCACCTCCACGAGTCGCAAGATAAAGACTCTCCGCAACAGAAAGCTTCTCCCGTCCATCATCAATGCTTGGATGATCGTGTTTCCACTGTGCCGTGTGTCCCAAAAGCCTCGAGGCGAGACACGCCTGCCGTGCCGCTTCAAGAATACTAGGACTATACCCACCACTAACGTCGGTGCCCAATCCAACGGTAATTCCTTCATCGAGAAGAGTTCTCACTGGACAAATCCCAGATCCAAGTGCCGAGTTTGACGCCGGACAATGTGAGACCTTCGCATCACGCGCTCGAACAAGCTTGCGCTCCTCGGCCGATAGATGAACCGCGTGCGCCAGAATCGTTTTACGGGTCAACAGGTTGAACTTATCATATACACCAGCATAGCTGTCCGCTTTGGGGAACAAGTCCTTAACAAGCGCGACCTCGTTCAGATTCTCCGCAATGTGGGTCTGGATGTGCAATGGCGGATCGAATTCCGCAGCCAAATCGCCCAGGCCTTGAAGCGCGGGTGCAGAGCATGTAGGCGCAAACCGGGGAGTCACAATGGGCTTAACGAGTCGGCCGGATGGATCGAGTCCGTGTATGAAGTTGATTGTGTCTCGGGTTGCGGATACGGAGTCATCAGCGGAGAAGTCACAATAGTACTTCGGACAGAACTTCGGCTCGTCCATGCATACTCTGCCTATAAAAGCGCGTTGACCGCGCGCGTGGCAGAGTGCTGCGAGGGCGTTTGTTGCTGGGATGTGAATTGTTGCAAAGTAAGATGCACAAGTTGTCCCGTGGGACAAAGTGCGGGAGATGACTTGGTTATAGATGTGTTGTGCGGGAACGGGGGTGTCTTGAGGTTTGGATTGGATCTGATATCCTTGCTTTGGATCGGGTTGGTCTCGGAACCCGGATTCTACGGGGAAGGTATACGTTTCCAACCAATCTAGCAGAGTCGTGGAGCCGAAGAGCCCGGAATTCGGGTATTGCGGGGCGTGAATGTGGGTGTCTAATCGCTGGTGAGTTTTGGCTGCTTGTAGTTTTGTTAATGCGAGGGACCTACCAATGAACCCTGGGAAGAAAAATTCGTTATTTTCTTCGTTTGCTGTGATCACCCTCACTCCTATCCTGGAAGCCCTGGGGTTACCGCTCGTGGGCTCAGCGGCATCCAAGTCGGCCCATCCGCTGCGGGTCATTAAATCGGCGAAGCTTTGATCATCGCGCGCTTGCCAATCCCAACCTTTGATACGTCCATCGGCTGTTGAAACCCATAATGCACCTTGATCTCGACACAGTTCCGGTTTGGACCCCGTCTCTGGTAGGCGACTCAATTGAATAAATGTGCCGCGATAGACGTTGAAAGCATGATCGCTCGTTGAACCCATGTTCAAGTGATGTGATGAAATATACACTAGTGACCGAAGAGCAATCTTGGAAGCTCCTAGACAAATGAAGGAGCAAAAGCGTCGATGTATGCCGGTTTCCGCGAATGTTGTTAGTCAAGAACAGAACAGCGCTAGAACTTCGACAAGAAGAGATATCGCAGCGATGTCAATCTAGACGGAAGAATGTAATGCAAGTCTATAACGCAGCCTTGATCATGCAAATGACGCGCAGATCGGCTCCACAGTGATCGTAGTTGGTATGCAAATCCCCGAGATCAAGTTCACTGGGAAGGGAGTCGGGTGTGGTATTATATATGGTTCGGTTGGGTCTTGCCGATAATACCCGTGTGTGGCAGCTGATAGGACTTCTCAGGGAGGGTGGCCGTAATATTTCCAATTTGTGAGGGCTCGGGAAAATTGAGGGCTCGAGGTGCTTAGTTCCAAGGGTCCTTCTCCCCAGAGGCTTTGGTCAATCTCGCGGAGTGGTGGGGGAGGGATCGTAGCTTGATAGCTGTCGGCCAACTCCGCTGTATGGCCATTACCGTAAATTACAGCGGGTGAGTTTCCTCCGCACCATCTATGTGGCCCACTCTGGTCCTGTATGGTAATATCAACGATAAGGGTGTATCGGATTGGATCATCGTCATAACTTGATGGGTTTGAATAATTCTATCATGTTAAACTACCTGATTATACCCAAGTATGAGTCGAGACATTACACATACAGCACAGCCCTTGGTTTTCCAGGACCTTTGGAGCGTGTATCATCAATTCAGACATCCAAGGCCTTCTTGCTCTCGCGCCTCTTTTCCCCAACGTCCTGCATACTTCCATTGTACATAAAGTCCAATAATTTCAACCACTTGGACTGGAACAAACATCATGAAAGTGAGACCGACACCAATGCTGTGTCAACCATGGGCATCACGCAGCTGGTGCCGCCAGCGGCAGGCAAAATCAAGAAACTGGGCACGGCAACCTTGTAAAAATATGTTACTCTCAAATTGTCAATCAATATCTTTACAGCCTTGGAATTCTTAGGATTTGCCTTTCGTGATTTTCAAAGTCATTGAAACCCACTCGGGAAAAGAAAAGATATGAAGAGTGGTTTATCAGTTTGGAAGTAACAATCTTGGAAGCGGTCACTGGGTAGTGGGCAGACTGAAGTTGAAGGTTTCTGGTTAAGAAAGTTACATTGCTAGGCAGGTCTCTCTGAAAAGACCTCGGGAGAAGCTTCCAAGGTTGGAGCTTAGGTATCTATATCCATGAACCCATTCATTCAAATCGAGTGTTCCGTGCACCATTCGAAGCCCCACATCTATTTAAGAAGGCATCACAGGAAGATGAGGATCCATGATCTCTCCATCATCGCCAACCTTGTTAGTGCTACATTTGCTAAACCAAGTCTCCGCAGTATTGGTCCAGGAATACTTGACCGCATGCATATCGGCGTGTCCATCTCCATCTAGATCAGGATAGTAAGTGCATGATCCAGCCACAGCACCTTGGTACTTGGCACCAACAGAGTCCCACTCAAACTGGGAACCTCCGACATTCTTCTCGCCCTTGTTTAACCAAACAGCACCATCGCCGTTGAACTTGTTTGTGTGAATCATGTCCGCCTTCCCATCGCCATCCACATCCGCCCAGTGAAGATTCGCACGATCTTTGCCTTCCGCAAATTTGAATTGGTTGATGTGGTCCCAGCTGTTCCCATCGCGGTGCACATAGCCTGAAGAGCGGCCGTCTTTTTCCACACAGAGGTAGTCTGCTTTGCCATTACCAGTAACATCTGCCAATTGAACCGGGCGGTCGAAAAGTCCAAGTCCACGTTTCTCAGCACAGTGAAGATCGGGCGCAGGGTTGGAGACGTATTCCCAGTCGATGCTCTTCGTCTCCTTGATGCGGTTTCGCCACAGCTTGACACGGTTGTCATTGTCGGGGTCGGTCCATACAATATCACAGGCGCCGTCACCATCCCAGTCAATGAGATGAAGATCGCGACGATCTAGCTCCTTCGCGATGCTTTGCTTTGTCGGGTCAAACATGATGTAATTGTTGCCCCAGAAACTAGTGCCATCATCCTTCACTGTTGTCTCACCCCTGTTCTCATAGACGCGCATTTTCCCCTTTGATGACATCCAGACGTAGTCCATCATGCCGTTATCATGACCGAGCATGTTGCAATATGCGTTTCCGTCGGCGCGCAGCTTGGTAGAGCCACTACCCGTGTTTTTCCAAACGCGCATGTTGAATCGGTGGTTACCATCTTCTTTCACGTGCTCCATGAAGACGTAATCTTGTCGTCCAAGCAATCCAAAGTCTTGTGGCTCACCATAGATCCTGGCAAAATGAATCCTGTCACGCAGACCTTTGTCGCCAAAGCCAGTCATGCCTTGGTGGGTAGGACCAGACGTGGCTCCTTTCATGAATCCCTGTCGCCACGCAACATTAAGACCATCGCCCTCCTTGCCCTTTTGACAGCTTCGCGAGTTGGTATAAGTGGTCGTTTTGCCGACATCGTCTAGCCAGAGCCAGTCATCACGTCCATCTCCGTTGATGTCCTCGAACCGCACACCCCTGATGTCTCCCATGTCTTTACCACTGAAACGTTTACCCAGCGGCTGCCAGTACTTGGGGACGTCATCAATCCACCCGTTGCGCCAGCAAGTGATATCGCCATTATCGGCGAGTACGCAATAGTCGGCGCGCCCATCTCCATCAATATCGGCCAATCGGACGCGCTCCTGCGGGTGATTCTCGTGGTCTTTGATTTTGCCGATGGATTTGAAAGTTGGTGGCTTGGAATCAGTCCCGTCTCCTTTGTTCACAGAGGCATAAGCTGTGCCGTCTTTCGCGATACAGACGAAATCGTCCAGTCCGTCACCTGAGAAGTTTGGTTAGGCATCTGAACGGTGCGCCTTTTTTTTGTGTCCGGGTCGTGACTTACCATTGATATCGATAAAGTTCACACCTGCCTGAATGCAGTTGTCATCGACCGAAGTATCCGCGATTTTGACGAATCTGTCGGAATCCTTTCCAGTGTTTCTCCAAGTGCCATACGCAACGGATCCATCGTCCTTTTCGAACCATCCCAAAAGATCGTCTCGATCGCGTCGGAATAATCTTGCAAAGAACCACTGGTTTTGATCCGCTTTGCTGACAACAGAAAGTACTATCCCCTTGGAGGCTGAAGAATGTTGGTAAATCCCATCGTCCTCCCCACTTCCCCGTTGTGTCAGACCTCCCGCAGACACACCATCTCCATACTCCTTCACACACACTCCGCCTTTCTCGTCTTCCGGATCCAATTTGTTTGGTGACTTCAAAAATCCAGCGTCATCGGCCGCTTGAATGGCCTTATACCACACATATGCCATCTTGGCATATCCGTGCTCGTTGGGATGGGTATCGTCAACTGAGTCGCCATGTTGAAAGTCTGCCGGGGATACAATCCATCCATTGCCAGGATCCGGTTTCTCGGGATCCATATCGGCGAGTACGATGGGATATCCTTTGCTTCGCAGCTTCACAGCAAGCTCTCGGAACTGGTTGTTCACGTCCGGGCGAAACTTTGTTGTGTTGACCTCCGTGGAGGGAATGAGGGTCGACAGAATGATAGTAGTCTTGTCCATACCATCCGCCTTAAGCAGACTGTCGATGAGGACTTTCATTCGCTCCGAAGTGTTTGGCATATCGATCGCAAGGCGACAATCGTTGGTGCCAGCATTGATAAGAACGACATTGGGACGATAATGAAGCGAATTCACCGAAGCAGCTTGAACCATCTCAATTGTGTTGCCGGATTTGGCTTCAACATCCTACGGGCAACTGTTATCATGAGTGAACTTCAGCATCTGGGGCTTATAACTTGCATTATCTTCCATTGTACCGTTGTTCCTGCTTCCGACCATGTCTACCTCCCAACCGTCAAATCGCAAGGCATCGCGGAGAGACTTCCGATAGCCGTTCCCGCTTTCGGAGAGGAGGCCCCATGTCAGAGATGCTCCAAGAGGCAGGATTCTTAAGGGAACCTTGTCAGCTCGCTTGAGATTTGCTGTTTGGGCTTTGGTCAATGGATCATAGTAATTGTTCTGATCTCTTGCAACAAGGCCGAAGGCTAAACAAGCCCAAAGCAAAGTGCAAAGCACCGCTGATTTTATAGGAGACATTTTTGTCCCCTGAATATAATTCGGTCTGCAGAAAAAAGTTGAATAGAATATTACATCTTTTATACTAGGAGGTTCCTCTTTTGAGAATTGCATAGCATCGGCAGTAGGGACGACTGAGCCTCCGGCCCCCTACTCTTGGCATGGGTCCATCAATAACTACATTGTGGGTAGGTGACCATTCACAGGAGCCTGGAGCTCGGGTAAGGCATACACGGCCCCCAAAAATTATAAAGCCTTGGTGGCCGTAAGATTATAGCTACCTGCGCAGTTGGAAGTGGTGCATCGTGCCCAGGGTTCGGAGGCCCAGGCACTAGTATTCGCAGGGCTGACTACCGGATTTGGGCGCTATCTATGAATCCTTGCAAGTGTGGGGTCTGTGCCCCGATGTTGAAGGTACCAAGGGGGCGTCTTGGGTAGTCGAAGAGATCCAGGATTAGTTTGAGTTGCTCTTTTGCTGCATCTAGGGTATTAAATCTTTTCACCATCTCATTTGGACCAATCTTGCGAACTGTTAGGATGGAGTTTGGATATAATGCATCTGGAGTATCTTAATAGGGTCTCGTGTTCGGCCCTTCGGGTCACATCTGATGAATGAGACCTGCATTGGTGGGTCCACTGTCACTCTCAGAGCTTCCTTCCCGAAGAGCCCCGTTCTATGTTGGGGCCGTTCTATTACGATACCTCATCTGATCTGACTAGCTCGTCGGTGGTACTACCTGAAAGAGACTATGTACAGTGGGAAACGTTGTAAGCTCGGTTTTAGCTCCGTTGAGACAGCCTGTAACTTGGCGACACCATCCATGGACCTTGGCAGAAATCAGAGATTGTTTATCTGGAAGCGAAGCGACTATAGCTTCATGGATGTTGCCTATCTTTCAAGGTGCACAAGATCTTCGAGTAATTAGTAGAAACTGTTCGATATCTTACTCAAGTTTAACCCGGGACTTCTCGGCAGATGCTAGCCCTACAAAACTTAATTGGAGGCTCCTCCGATGGCGAGTTCGCAACGCCTCCAAGAGCTTTGAAATACCTATATGCCTGCCGTTACTTCCATAAGTTTAAGAACCAAGCAAAGCCAATAGAAATTTTGCTATATGTGAAAATCGGAAGACACAATCTGAAATTTCTCCGATGCGTGCCAAGGCGCCCGCCGAGGATGGGGCTGTTAACCGGGGGCCAGCATCGCTATCGACCACTTGCACAGCCATGAATGCTGGCAGTTTTCTGCGCTAGAGAAACACACCACACTAGACTAAGCGAGAAATTTGTAAGTTGCGGTTACATCACAACGTCGCAATTTCTTGGAAATTGCTTTGCTGAAAGACCTTCGGAACCATTGAACGAAACGACATCGGGAATTGCGGACCCTTTACGAAGTTTGGCTTGGAAGAAGTTGGTAACGAGCCGAAATAAACAGTCAATGAAGTTCTCTTCTGTGAACACACAGCCAAATCCAATCTTGAATACGTTCGGAATTATTATATCGTGGGCGTGGTATAAGACTGTGATGTTCACTGGATTTGGAAAACAAGAAATTTACCGCATTTTTCTTTAGGAATAAATTTCGCCCAACAGTAAGAAGCTAAAAACAAAATGAATGAAAATTTCAAACTGAACATCTAATAAAAAAGTAACAAGCACAATAAAGAAGAAACCTCGTTCCACGGCTCAGCCCTAGGTGAAGAGGAGCCGTGACCCCCCCAATTGGCGCCGCTCCATGCCTAATATCCACCCCCCGCTGTGTTGGGCCATAAATTGATTTGGGGGAGGCAAAAATCGATCTGGTGAATGTGAAAATCCTTCGAATTGATCCTGAGGTGAATACTGATCAGGCTGGGTCAAAAAGTGATTGGGCTGGGCCAAGAATGGATCAGGGTGAACCAGGAATTGATCAGATTGGATGAAAGATTGATCGGGCTGAGTGTAGAATTCTGCATTCTCCTGAATGGTAGGCATACTTTGATTCAGATTGGGGAGCTCAGGACACTGGAGAACTTCCTCAACCACCCCGAACCACGTTTGATCGGCCTTGGTATAGTCGACAGGCGGGGGCAAGTAGTTTGTGGCCTGGATATCCTCAATCATGAACTCCATCTGGAGCTCCTGGAATGCGAACCAAGTTCTAACTCGGCCAATGCGACGAGTTCCACGATTGAAAGCGCCCAAGAGCAAATAAGCAACGTGCTTTCCAAGGGTGGTGCCGAGTAGGCCATCGAACTCCGGAGTTCCATAATCCCATTCGTAACGTTCGGTGATATCACCATGCTGCTCGAGAACTCCGTTTGATTTCGTATAAAGCTGAGTCTTCACAAACTGTAGAGTATCTTCATTCTTAACATCCACCATGTACACAAACTTGAGCGTATCCATCGAGAAGTGTTCTTCATAGAGGACCTGGGAGATTTGAGAAGAGAAGGGCCCTGTCTTGCGTTTGATTTCTTCAATGACGATGACACCAGGGCCGGTCTGCCCCTGCCAACAGTTTGTCTTCCATGCCTCTGGGTCATCGGATTCGAATTCCGGATCGAAGGGGTCGTCCACAGTCGGATCCAGATGTTCCAGCCAGTACTTGTGCCAGCCTCCATTTTTAGGCCCGCCTGTCTCAACACTATCCAAGTACGTGTCAATCTGAACTAGATCCATAGGTTCTGTGTTCAATGCAAGATCAACTCGTTGGAATGCATTCAGTTGGCTCATATCGATATTCGAGTGTTGAATGTGGCAGTTGGGGGCATTTGTGCTTGCTTCAAGCCATTGTTGCAATACTTGGCCGGCATGCTGACGTCTGCCATACTTGAGGCTAGTGACTGGAACTACTTGTAAAACTGTCATTCTGAGGTTTAGCAACCCGATGTTCTGGTGTACAAGTGGTATAGTAAAAGTTTGCTTTTTTGTTGTTGATGCTGATCTCGAGGGTTTGGATGTTATCCTTGGAAATCAATGAATATGAGCAAAGAACTACGACCGCTCTTCTGACCTTTAAATAATTGACAAGAAAGACCAGCGTGTTCACAAAAAGAAAAAGGCAAGATCATGACCTCGGGAGCTTCCTGCTCATTGGCTCAGCCAGACTGGAGGGCAACCTTTGTAATGATCATGAATAGAAACATCAATGAGAGCACATTGTGAATATCATCAGCGTCGACCGTTGATGGAGGGAAACCTTTACGGCAACCTTTCTTTATTGAATGACGACTTATTGGTACCGAATATGTATTTTTGAGCCTCCCTTGAATTTCAAAGGAGGCTGAAACAACCCGAGAGTGGATCCACGTCTAAACCCCAAACAAACCCCGAGAGAGTGACAAAGGAACTTTATGTAGAATCGATCAAGATCGGTATAACGCACAAAGCGACAAAGAGATCATCCATGATCCTCGAATACGGGGTTGTCTTTGTGTTTCATATTTCAAACGACTCTTTGATTGTGACCTTGACTTTTCAGAACTGGTCGCTTATCTTCGGGTTGACCAGCAGTCGAGTAATAATACTGACAATCTGCCAACAGTTAAAGCGATCTATATTTGTTCGACGAAATGCGATGCTTAGAGATTTGTCAAAGAGCCGCGAATAGAGGATATCAAAGAGTTCCATGCAAATGGTACCACACCACACTCACCTCGGCACTAGGCAGAGAGACATCAGGGCTAGAACAAATGACGACATAGGTTATGTGCATACACTTCAAAGTATCTATCTCTAGACTCAAGTTAAACATCTCTTAAAAATACAACTGCGTCGCCTGCCCGGACAATGTCACCAGGTTGAACGAGTACCTTCTCAACCTTGTATTGCTTGTCGCCGTCATCCTTTTTGTCTCCAAGGTACGAGATGGAGACTTCCATCTTCATTGCTTCGAGAATAGCAACAGCTTGAGTGGCAGAGACAACATCACCATCTGTAACAGTAACCTTCCACACGTTGGCATCGAGAGGGGCATATACAGTGAGGATATCGGGGTCTGGATATCGGTGGTTAGGAGTGTAGTGTGCTATTGGTGGGCAAAAAAGCGAACTCACCTTCTCTCAAAAGAGAAATTTGATCCGCAGGGACCTCGTTTTTCTCTTTCTCGGATAGCCACCTATCCATAGACTCTTTTTCCAATGCTAACATTTCAACCTGTGCTGTGGCCTGGCGAGACTTGAAAGCCGCCACTTCATCTTTGGTTTCCTCGAGGAGATGATTGTGAGCTGTCATATCAAACATAACATCTTCGTACTTGAAATTGTAACACCCGGACCGGAACAAAGCCAAGTCGCGTTCCAACTCCTCTTTTTCTACTCGGTAGAAAGTGATCTGGTCGAAGTCGCGGAACAAGCCTGCCTTGTTCGATGAGAAACCTGGCTTTACACCAAGTTGATCAAAGCAAGGGATTGTTTGACCGGTCATCTGGTAGCCTCCTGGGGAATCAACGGGATAGATACTGTGATAAATGTGTTAGGCTGGTCTCTCGACATATTTGAGGTGATGATGGAAGCTTACTTCATGCATGATCCACCCCAACTGACACTTCCTTCTGGGGTGTAGACTCGGCTCGGGTTCTGTTTGGGGCATGTTATGCGATACCGGGGATCAATAGGCAGGCAGATTGTGTCACCACAGAAGAAGCCAACACAAATGGCCATGAACTCGACCGATAGGAAAATATTCAGCAGTTCTTCAAAAGTGATTCCGTTAATCTTCGCCACGAAATCCATGTTACTGGGCAGGTATGGGGCGTATGGTCTTTGTGTTTCGGTATAGCGCTGGATCGCCTCCTGCTGAGCTGGACTTTCGAAACAAATTGGCAGAGAGAACTTTCGACTTGGAACCTTTGAGCTGCGGAGGTCGCCAGTTTCGTTTTGCAACGATATCAGCAGGTCAATCAGGTAGTCACGACGTAGCTTCAATCCGTTGTAGTGAATGAGAAGGGCTATTAAGCGAGGCTGTTAGTTCATTGGAAAAAAAGCGAATTGCACAAGAAGTGACTTACAGTTGCAGCATCCAGTCGTCTTATAGATGTTCCCGTTCAACGCTTCATCTGAGGCTCGCGATTTCTCGAAGGCCTGCTCCAAGGCAGAAACCCGGCAGCGATGATTAAGATTAAATTTTCCATCACCAAACTCCACCAGGAGGAAGTCATCTCCACCCTGTGTATGGCCATCAGAAACCGAATATTAAATACGTAACGAGAATCCCATACCTGTCTGAACGTGATGATATCCTCAGATCCAACCAGCTTGCTTGATGATATGAAAGCTTTTCCCCATGTCCCGGAGATGGTCGATTGCGGTAGTGTAGAATCTGAGAGTGGCACAATAGTATCAGACTTGCATTGGCCGATCGCAAAGGCTGACAGGTCGGTCAAGAATCTCTCCATCTCCGCACGAATGTTCAGAGCATCATCTAAAGAGACTCGGTGGTATTGGATTGTGTCTCCGGACTTTAATTGCCCCATGCGCCATAGGTGACCAGTTACGATCGTAGTGGATGAGATGAAGCCTCCCAAGTCAGGTGCATCGACGGGGAAGATACATGGACTGTGAGATTCAGTTAGCTTTGGGGCACTGCCTGCATCTCAACAAGTACTTTACAGACCTATCTCCGGTCCAGTTCAATGTACCATTAGGATACCCATATTCGATCACGTTGCTTGGGTGTTGGCCACCCTCGCCGCCATCTTCTCGGGCGAATCTTGGCGCCGGCCCGACAAGACGAATGCCACCTCTGGTAGCATTATGGGACACCTTCCTGTAGGAAAGTGATTGTTAATATTGCGGATATGTGTATAGTCAGATTGAGAAGTCAAAACACACCACATTGTGTCATATATCATGTCTATATCTTCGCCTACGATATATCCTTCGTCGTAAGGACCCACCATGGCGTAGATATCCCAATGAGAAGAGTACACAGGACGGAGGTGAGCAGGTAATGACAGCACTTGGCGAGGCTCGGTAGCATCAATCTTCTCAATTGCGAGCATGTCGCCAGGAGCAAGTGCCCTGCCTTGATATCCACCAATACCGAGGAGCGGGGAAGTAGATTTGGAACCGAAGTACGGTGCGCTTGAGAAACGTTAGCTCTCGTCTCAGCGTGAAATGATTTGGAGCTCACATTGCTGGGAATCCTCCGCGGACAGCGAGGTATGCTAAAATGGCGTAAGCAATAATTCGAGAACCACAGGGCATATATTACCTCGACATCCTCCAGATTCACTCAGCTTTCCAATGGATAATGTTTGACCAGGTTCTATGTAGATTCGCGACCACATCGGAGCATCAACACCATCAATCTGCACTCCCATTGGAGCACCGCAGATTGAGACGCATGCAGCAGCCAAGAAGCGTAGCTCCGGTCCTCTCAATGTTATCTCCAGGCCTTCTGTATTGGAAGGGTTTCCGGCCAAAATGTTTGCAACTGCGAGCACACCAGGTCAGAATTCATGTTCAAGTAGTAGAATAACACAACACGAAGGATTACCTTGAAATGCCAGCGGATCCTAAGATATCTGTGTAAGCCAAAAGATCGGTGGGTGACGGTGGACGCGATTCTTACCATTGGTCCCGCCTGGGGAATTCCTCTCCCGGCGGTGGGGCGGCCCGGGTTGTCCTGCACAGTGGTGTAGACACCCGGAGAAATGACATCGATGGCAGAGGGTGAAAATTTGAAATTATTCAGGAAGTTGGTCAACGTATGTCCTGCACGGAATGTGCGAGATTCGAGAATAGCGTGCAGGAAATCCAAATTCGTTGGAGGACCGCAAATAATCGATTTGGAGAGGACATTGCCCAATTTTTGGATTGTAGTTGTGCGATCGGAGGCATGCACCATGACCTTTGCGATCATCGGGTCTGTGTTCTTTGCATCAGCTTCTCTTCTCGCTCAAACTCTTCGTTAATTCGACGTACCATAATATGTAGAGATTCGTGTTCCGGTAGCCACCCATGTATCAATCCTCGTGCCTTCCACTTCGTTCCATTCAACGAGCTGTAGGAGTCCCGGGGAAGGCGAGTAATTGCGAGCAGGATTCTCGGCGTACACACGAGCTTCAATGGCACATCCCGAGGGTTTGAAAGGTTGCAGAGACTGCAAGTAATCTTTCTCCAGACCATGGAGTCCACACAACTCACGATCGGCTTGTTCAAGCATCAGTCTCACGATATCAATACCGTAGCAGAGCTCAGTGATGCCATGCTCCACTTGCAAACGGGTGTTCATCTCAAGGAAAAAGAAATCTCCCGATAGATCATCCACAAGGTATTCAACCGTTCCCGCTGAGCCGTAGCGGATAGATTTGGTCAGGGCAACAGCTGCAGAGGTGAGCCTTTCTCGGAGGCCAGGGTGTTTTTCGACGAACGGACTTGGGCACTCCTCTATCACTTTCTGATGACGGCGTTGAATGGAGCATTCTCGCTCTCCGATGTGGATTGCATCTCCCTGACCATTTCCAAATACTTGTACCTCAATGTGGTGGCTTTCCGGGTAGTAGCGCTCCATAAAGACTCCTGCGTTTTTGAATAAAGTCTCGCCCCTCGAACGAACCTGTATTAGGGATTGTCGAACTTCTTCCACGGATTTGCATATTGTCAAACCCATGCCACCTCCACCACCGGTAGCTTTCAGCATGACCTATCGCATAAATTAATAAATTTGGACAAAGAACCATGGTTTGCGGGGCTAATTACTGGATAGCCCAATTCATCAGCAGCTTTGACTGCATCTTCCTCAGATACAATCAAGCCCTGTGTCCCTGGTACAATTGGCACACCGGCTGCAGTGGCTATTTCGCGGGCTCTATGCTTCAAGCCAAATGTTTCAATGGCTTCAGCCCGTGGACCCACAAAAACCATCCCCGCAATGGCTATGGCTTCGGCAAACTCCACGTTTTCGGACAAGAAGCCATAACCGGGAATAATGGCATCAACTTCACGAGAACGAGCAATTTCTATAATCGCTGCTCTGGTCGGCCATGTCTATGTCAGCACCAGGATAAGAGTCGTGTGACAGCCGGGGTTGACGAACCCGTTTATGTATGCAGTGGAATCGTCCCCTGGTAGCAAAACCGCTTCATCGGCGGCCAAAACATGTTGTGAAGTCGCGTCGGCGGCGGTATAGATAGCGATTGTGCGAATATCGAGTTGTCTGTTGGAGATTCAAAGTCAGCAAGGGGGCAACACAGAGTTAGGCGTGGAGTTATCTCCTACTTCGCTGTTATGATGATACGAACTGCAATTTCGCCTCGATTCGCAATTAGCAAAGTCTTTAATTTCTCCATTGTGTCAGCATTGATTTGTCAATTGGGAAGCATCGGATATTAGTATGCCTCGAAGCCATTCGACCGAGGCTCCGCGATAAGCTTATCGCGGGGTCTCCAAGGGTGAAGCCCGAAAGTTGGGGTCATCGAGCCATTGAGACGCATCCGACTGGCTGGAAATCCCCGCTTATCTCGGCGATACATAAAGGGTCTGGATACCCCCGGCTCGGATGCTGTGTGTTATCTCTTCCTCCATGTCTGCCGCCCAGCGCCACAGACGAGTCTACCAGGTATGTCCCACGTCCCCACGCAACCCCGCGTTTTAGATCTCGTCAGTCTGACGTCGTATTAGGCATGTGAGCCTTGTCGGGAGAAGAAGGTGCGTTGTGAGTTGGGATCGGCAGATCATCCCAGTCAGCCACCGTGTGCCCGATGCTGCAGAGAGAGGAAGGAGTGCTTTTTTGCCGCGTCGAGAATAAGGAAAAATACTTCCACAAAACGGAAGGCGGAATCGCCCCTTGAAAGGAACTTCAGTAGGTCTCAAGGTCCAGAGGATGTGTCAAGAAGGGCAATTGGGACTCAAAATTCTCCCAATTTGGGTAATCAAACTGGGAGTCAAACGTTGCCGGAAGATCGGCATGCTGCATCTGCGCTGCTTGAAGGCCACCCTCGCACTTACCATGACGCCTTGACTCTCCTTTCTGAGGCTTGTGAACACACTGAGGGCCGCGGGCAAAATGAAGCTTCGGCTCCCTCTACAACCCATCCAGGAATCAGTACGGATCCATTCGAATCTGCTGACACAACCAACCCGGACGCCAGAGCCAGCAAGATCGGCACACGGGATGCGTTGAGGGCGTGGTCAAGTGTGCGCTTCGTTCGTGGCGGGCTTTTCACTGCAGAAGAAGCTCTCGACATGGTAGATCATTTCTACAAGTTCCAGTCAGCCTTCTCCCCCGTGGTTCCAGAGTGCTTTCAAGATCACTCACAACATGCGGCACTGATCGAGGAAGAGCCAATATTGACAATCACAATATTGATGATTGGATCACGGTATCGAAAATGGACAGGTCCCGCTGCAGTTGCCCGCTCTTACATTGTGCATGACCGTATTTGGAGATATCTGCAGCGAATGATCTCACGATTGTTTTGGTCGGATGATCTGTTTGTAGGCGAGTTTCCATCTCTGCGCGACCCATCCGGGGGCCCTGGGCATACCCAGCGACAACTACACACCGAAGGGTGGTCGCATGGATTCCGCACTCTGGGAACTTGTGAGGCTTTATTGTTGCTACTGGATTGGCATCCTCGAGCTCTACATTTCCCTCCCCCCGACGAGGATACTTCGTCGATTGTGGTTTCGGAACCGAAGAGGCGGCGTAAAGTGGCTTCCGCCCCTGCATTCCAAGGACCGGGGTCTGGGCACGATTGGCTTGCTCGCTCCGATCGATTATGTTACTCCATGCTCTCCAATGTGCTGATGCTGGCAACTGAGATCGGTATTTTCAACGAAGAACATAATTCTTTTCAAGAACAAAGGATTGAGAGCGATCCCTCAAAGGAAGCTAGCGACCAACAAAGGTTTCATCGCATCCAGTGTCTGATATGGGTTTATGCGACACAACAACCAGGCAGACCAGGTAAGTTTTTCTTACATTATAATGTCAATCGACCCGATCGAGGTATCACGCCTAACCAAACTTGCCCTCGCCAGGGCGAAAGATTCCGATACACTGCACGCCTGTCAAAAATACTATCATCAAACTTGACGACGCCACTGAATGTTGGATGCGCGTGGCAACTATCATGAAGAAGGCAAATGAGCTTTTGTTTGCATCCTCCAAGTACACAGAGGACATTATTCGGAGCGGGCACTACACCCACCTCCTTCGCAGTCTCGAGCCTCTATTGAGTGAATCTCTTGTCTATTTTGACAATGCAAAACGTATGCACTTATCCCGCGCCTATTTCTCAGCGCTAACTCAGCCCTAGTTGCGAAGCAAACGAGATGTATCTTGACAATTGAGTACGAGTACGCCCAGCTATGCATTTTCAGCGTCGCGTTGCAGGCTGTGATCAATCGAAATTCGCGCAATGGCGTCAGTGGCAGACTAGAGAGTTGCCCGGCAGATACTTCAGCGGAAGAAAATAAGTATCTGTCGTTTACTGTTCGGGCAGCCCGGATGATTTTAAAGACCGTACTAGATGACCTTCTCCCCGCCGGAAGTCTGAAATACATACCAGTGCGCTCATACTCGAGAATTCTCGGAGGAACACTGATTTTTTTGAAGGTGAGTACCATTTTCCTCAGTGCCTCCTGTCTATAAATTTCTAACACTCGATTTCCAGTGTTGCGCGGCCGGGACGAGCGGGGTTGATATCTCTCAATCCCTTGATATGGTCTTCCGAGTCGCGGATGGCCTTCGTGACTCTGCAGTCGATGACACACACCTCAGTTCCCGCTGGGGGGACCTTATAGAAGGTATCGCCAATCGTCTCAAATCACGTCTGGCATGTCCACCTATATCTCAGGCGCACGGCGTCAACTCTTCGCCGTCTGCAGCTGAGATGGATACTTCCCACGGTGCCAATGACCAAACCTTTCGACCGCAATACTCTATTGGTTGTTCTATCGGCCAAACCCGAGAAGCTAGGCCTGAAAATGAGCCAATCGATCCCTTTGATCCCGGGCCATCGAGATCTGTTGATGGTAAACGTGATCCTCATCTTGATGCTTGGTCCATGTGGTGGGACGATCAATTCTCTCAGGTGAATCTTAACCACATGTCGTGGTATCCCACACTGGGTCTTCTGGACGGTAGCGATTTATCACTTTCGGGCGAAACCACAGGCGGCGCTTTTTCAAATTCCGGATCTTTCTATTAAGAATCTCACAACCTCGGACATCGTGAATTTAGGATGTATAGATAGGTCGACCATGAAGTACTAACCCATTACCTATCCATGACATAGGAAAATCCTTGGGCTTTCTTCCTTTGTCATTAATACCGATACCTCGATTCTGAGATTTAACCGAGATATGATACCACTTGCATCATGATTGGTCTTTTTCAGTCTGATTGAAAGCTTGAAATTGAAGATTTCCGTATCTGTGAAGTATCTCCAGTAGGCCCCTTTACAACATATAGCATTACACGTGCCAACTTAGCGAGATACAAGCTTTTAGTTTAACGAACAAATGTTCACGGAAGTATAGATTTCAGTACCCCACGGAGTCTAATTCCTTGGGGGCCCCGTCTATCTTGGGTGGGCGTTAAGTGGGTCTCGGGCGTACGGCTTGAGCCCTTGATCCGATGCAATTGGGCTCGGATGCAGCTGGGCTCGGATATTGCAGGAAAGAATTTGGATCCGAACCGAGCTCCACAGCTTGATCCTATCAACCATTGAAGACAAGCAAACGATAAGACACTGCACCATTCCGGTGGCGTTTCCAAGCTCAAACTTCAACCAGCGACTTCCGAGGTTTATCACAAGTTCGTTTGTCAAAGTATTCAATCGCACCTTATCCATTCTGAACGATTAACGCCACATCGATTTAACAATTCTCACCTTGCAAGTCATTCTACATCTATCTTTTTTGCAAAGCGATATTCACCTACAATGGGCCCTATCAAACACAAGGCGTTGATCAACGTCGACTTGGGGGAGGGATATGGAAACTGGTCAATCACTTCCGATGAAGATTTACTGCCATACATTGACCATGCGAACATCGCTTGCGGATTTCACGCCTCGTATGTTCACCCCGGTTTATCTTAGGGATTCCCGATTTGCGACCGTACAATGGTCACCAAAAATTCACATACTATTGCACCGACGTCATGAGTCTTCACTAACAAACCGTTCCTCGTTAGGGACCCTCTCATAATGATGGACACTGTTCGCAGTTGCAAAGAACACGGCGTGAAAATTGGCGCGCACCCCGGTCTACCCGACCTGCAAGGATTTGGACGACGAGAGATGAAACTCTCAACAGAGGAACTGACAGCCATAACAATCTACCAAGTCGGAGCTCTGAAAGGCTTTCTAGACCGGGAGGGTGTCACTCTTCACCACGTCAAACCCCACGGAAGCTTATATGGAATGTGTTGCAGAGACTATGATATTTCGACAGCTGTCTTCAAAGGCATCCCCAAGGGTGTCAAAGTGTTTGGGCTTCCGGGTACTTGCATGGAGCAGGCTGCCAAGGATATGGGACTCGAATTTGTTGCAGAATTCTACGCGGATGTGAAATACAAACCGGATGCCTCCCTGCTGATCGAGCGCAAAAAGAAGTAAGGATGGCCCACCCTCGTTGATTACTAAATCTTTGTGCTCATGTTGCTCACACTTTCTCCAGGGCATGGGATCTCGATGAAGTCCGACAGCGCGTAACCCAGCAGATGGAGACATGTACTGCTTCTGCTATTGACGGATCAACCTGCGAATTGCCCGTCAAGGATCACCCAATCTCCATTTGCTGTCATTCAGATGTTCCGGGCTGTTTGGAGTTGGTCAAGGCGACCAGGGACGCTGTCAACACTTTTAACAAGGTGCACTTTCCCGATCAATGAATACGTCATCCAATGATATTGAAGCTTATATACAATACTCGAAATCTTCTGTTCTGTGGTTCATATCAATCCATTCCATCCTGGCTTAGAGCAGATCAGATATGGCCTATACTTCAAATTAGCTCCTCTCAATTGACTTTGTCTACCGTTTCATGAAATTTCCCCAGCCAGTCACCGCAACCAAGAAGATTTGTAACTATATCGAGTGGTTCAAGCTTCATAGATTTCGTGTTGATATCGACCCCAACTACCCCAACAGGAACTACCCCGAATCTCTACATGATCTCTGATTGGTTCGCCAGCGGGCGCCGGGGAAGCTCGTTGGGGTAAGAATTGGAGTCATGTCGATAGAAAGGAGAATCCGACTGGTTGGCTCCTTATCAGCTGGGGTCTTATCCTTCGACGTATGGAAGGTATCGGCAATGACTCCAACTGAGCAGGAAGGTCCGTTGCCATCGACCAAAGAGACGCGCTCTCCAGGTGATAACCCGACAGCAGTGGAAAACGATCAGCCATGTGTTGCGGGGTATCACTTGGCGTTTTTTGTGTCCACATAGCAAGATACAGTCATGATATTGACAGAAATTGACTCCAACAGCCGCCATCGGGTCTTTGGTATCTCTCGTTATCGTCCCAAGCCGCGCATGATGAGACATTTCCAGGAGTCGGCGGCGAGTGTGAAAACGCCCAAAGCCAGATAAGAAGAGAAGGTTCGCATGGAGCCTTTCTCCCCTTTTCTGTCTGTATCGGATTTATGCCCCTTTGTTTGGGTCAACGAACTTCGAATCAAAAGGCTTGGCAGTATATCTTATATATACCATTCGAAGCCGTGTTCGGACGTGGGAATTGGACTTACTTTCCAAATATTCGGGTTGACTAAAGCCTTCCCTGGTTAGATACTGGACAAGGTTAGTGATATCAGTCGAACAATAGCCACGTCGAACACCTTATACTGACCAGTCTAGTGAACATCCTCGCCGTCCCCAAAATGAACGACCCCCTTCCAATTCCAGGAACAGTCCAGCAAGTAGAGCTTGGTCATTCATCAGCTCTTGCACATGATGGAGCACACAGAGACATTGTATTGATCCCCCGGCCGAGCTCCCATCCGGATGATCCTCTGAATTGGTCTCGCAGCCGCAAAATGCTGAACACCACTTTCCAAATGTCCTGGTGTTTCTTCGCCGCTGCACTCATCAGTGGCCTTTCCTCATCATACCTCCTCATATCCGAGGATACCGGTATCTCAGTGGCAGATCTCAGCACAGGCAACGGCCTCATGTACCTCTTCATGGGCTGGGGAACATTGTTAACGCAGAATCTCGGGCAGGATATTGGTCGTCAGCCGGTTCTACTCGTTGGCATGCTGGGATCGTCCCTTTTGCAGATTTGGTCAGCTTATATCAAGTCGGTTGGTGAATGGTACGCCAACCGCATCTTGCTTGGTATCTTCGTATCTCCCCAAGAAGCCCTGATCGAGCTATGCATCGCGGACATTCAGTTCGCTCATGACCGTGGCTTCCACATGGGTATATATAACTGGACGTTGTGGTGTGGGGCCTTCTTGTCACCCATCGCTGGTGGTTTTGTCGCCGAGTCACTGGGATGGAGATGGATCCAGTACATTTTGGCCATCATATGCCTCTGCTTCACGGTCGCGACTTTCTTCGGGTTTGAAGAGACAATGTTTTTCCGACAAGTCAACATCCATGATCCAATTGTTTGTGCCCCGAAAGACGTCGAAGCAGTGGAGGGCTCCCTGGGAATGGGCGATGAATTGGTGTCCGATGAAAAGAAACGAGATGGTGTGGAGGTAGCTCCTGTCGTTATCGACGAATCCCACCAAGTCACGACATACACCCAGAAGATGAAGGTTTGGGGCTTCCGGCACCCTGAGCAGCCTGTGAACTTTTTCCGGTCAGTTTTGTTATCTTTCAGACTCGCATGCTTCCCCACGACGATCTTCTCTGGTCTTCTTGTTGGAAGTATCCTGGCATGGTACAACGTGCTCGGAGGATCGTTGGCCGAGGTGCTGGGAGGTGCACCATACAACTTCACAGCGGAGCAGATTGGTCTGTCATATTTCGCCAGCGTGATAGGTGTCTCCATTGGATGCTACTTCAGCGGATGGCTGAGTGATATCCTTGCACTCAAGTTGGCCCGTGGGAGAAACGGTATCAAGGAACCGGAAGACCGTCTCTGGATGTTCATCATCGCCCTCATCGCCCACCCAGTCGGATGCATCTTGTACGGAGTTGGCGCAAGTCACCACATCCCATGGATAGGTGTTGTCATCGGAATGGCATTCATCTGCATCACCCTTCCAATGGGCTCTGGTCTTGCCATCACGTACATCATCGATAGTCAGAAGGAGCTTGCGGGAGAATCGATTGTGACTGTTATCTTGATTCGGAATACCATCGGTGAGTTAGACATGTGCTGTATATCCGCTAGAGGGGCCAGTGTACTGACAACTGGCTTTCAGGTTTTGCCTTTGCGTACGCCGTTAACCCCATGATCTCGAACATGGGACTGCAGAATACCTTCATTCTGATAGCGGTGCTGGGAATGGTCTTCTGGAGTGGCTGTTTGCTGTGGATCAAAATTGGAAAGGCAGCGCGCAGGTCAATTGTCAAGCCTTACTGGAAGCTTGTTGAAGTTCACGGTCTTGCAGCTCACTGAGCATGGATTTCTTTGCTTCAGAAAATGGGCTTGCGGATGCACAGTGGTGATGGCAGAGCCCGTCACCGATGTAATTTCTTCGGCTACCGCTCTTCTTATACAACAATATTAATAAAGAGATGGGATTTGATCAAACTTGGTAAAATTCGCTATCTGAGGGGCTCATTAGAGGCCATATTCTTTGACCGATGACGATATCACGGTTCCTCTGTTAAGTAACTTGATCCTAGTCGAAGAGGCCTTGGGAAGACCAATCGAGAGGCCCCTCAAGTTCATCAAACAGGCCCAATGGGTCGGCAGGATTCCAGTCCGTAGTAGGAGTAGCTTCCTCCCGGGCGCGTCGTTCCTGATCCCGCTGGGCATAGCAATCACGAAAGCTCGTGTGCCAAGGAATGCGGGTGGGCCGTTCTTCTCCAGGCTGGTAGTCATGGTTGTAGGACTCCTGGAGCTCATAGCTCGGGTATGGATCGTCGTATCTTCCATAAGGCAGGTACTCTTCTTCGGAATCTTCTTCCTCGTACTGTTGGACCTGGGGCTCTTGGATCTGGTGCTCCTCGGCTTGGATCTGGTGCTCATCGACTTGGATCTGTTGGAACTGGACCTGGTGGTCCACGGCTTGGATCTCTTTAGCGTCGTCTGTCAGAGACTCACCCTGATGAGTGTATTCCTCCTCAGCGTCGTTCTCGTCGGTCTCCCAGCCATCGCACTCATCGACACAGTCTTCTTCAGAATCCTTGTCCGTGGAAGTCTGCTTGGAGCCTTCACCGTCGCTCTTGGCATCTGCTCCGTATGGCTGAGGAACAGATTCGGCAAAGCCCTCGGTCTGGGCCTTCTCTGCTGCCTTCAAGCCTATCAACCAGTCAGCAGGGATTCGTGGTAACAGAGTTGGATTTGGAACATACGCTTTGCCTTGTTGGCCCGGTGTCTGCTTGGGCGGCGATACGAACGCTTGCGCTTAGCCTTCGGCGGCAGAGCGGGATCTCTTCCTCGGGGAGGGAGGGGTGGCTAGTATTTGTATCGTCAGATTCAGATGATAGCGTCCCTTTCTAATATGGACGTGTTTGCTTACCACAGGAAGCCCGAGCTTGCGGAGTTCCTTTCGAAAGCTCTTATTCCTCTTCTTTTTCTTGGGGACATCTCCCGAGCTTTGGGCAGCATCCATCACAGGATTGGCGGTATCCATCACTAGACAACAAGTTGTGTATGACAGAAGGCCGGGAAGAAAGTAAATTGAAAGTGGCAGAGAGAGAGAGAGAAAGAGAGGGAAAGAGAAGAGGATGGAGAGATGGAACGAGGGCCATGGGGAGAGCCGCGCGCAACAGACACAAGATATCGGAGCAGAATAACGGGCATCAGCTTTGACTCCTTCTTCTTTAAATCCCAAGTCTTATGGGTCAATTTGAAAAACAATCTTGAATTATGATCTTCCATTTTCTAAATAACATGAGGTTTTAAAGAGAGCAAGACATCCACAGATGAATCCCACCAGAATCTGGGCAATAATTCTGCAAGGCATCCAAAAGGCTACTCGAATTTAACCTTGCTCAAGTTAAGCTCATTGGGAAAATCTATTCTAGAAGGATGAAGACTTAGATTGGAGACAGTGAAATGCACAATGTCTTCCAAGGTTCATACCGGGGACTCACTCCCGATGAACCTGTTTCTATATCATACTTAGGATATGTCCTGTGCTGCAGATCCTTTTACATATACAAGTATCTGTTCTCTGGGATATTGGTCTCTAGCATATTGCTTAATCCCATCATACTCATCTAAAGGCATGGATGTAAAGAATAGTTCGGAGGGTACAATCAGTGTGGCTACATAAGTCATGAGTGAGACCGATGAACCTTGAAGCCCGCAGGTGTTGGTTGCGTGGTTCAATGACTCTGGAAGCTCCCAAAAGCCATTAAAGGGGCATTGAAGAAAGATGGTGCTAAAGGATAACCCGTGGGGGAGGAAGCACTGGTGAACAGTCAATGTATGTCACAGATAAAGTTCGGGTGATGTACAGAGTGAAAGACGTAAATTCATGTTGAGCTGACAGAGTGACCTAAGGGCTTACATTCTGTTACCATGGGAAATGACATGGCTTGAAGTGGCATCCATATAGATGCGTAGCAATGAGGTGTGATGTGTCACGTGACATATGCAGTATATGTAGGTGAACTTTTGTATGGGATATCAGCAAACCTCCAGTGGTCTAGTTGGATGATCATGAGCCATATCCGCTCTAGTCCCTCGAAAACTGCTGATCAGGGGTTCGGATCCTCAGACCGCAAGTCACTAGGCCGATCTTCGCCATTTCCCCGGTTGGGTTCGTCATACTTCGGTATACTTTTTTGTTGCCCTTCTTGGTATGACTTTTGTCTTTTTTTTAACACCCAATGAGCTAGCAAAATATGGTTTTTTGAATATGGCTACGTTGCGTGTTGCAGTTGTGTCTTTCAAAGTTGCTTGAAGGTATTCGAGAAGAGCATTTCCGCCTGAGAGGTACCTTGCCCACCTGTTCAGTACATGTGCTCTTCCCTTTCATTGCCTTCCTCCTGGGCACTTGAGTCAATTTATTACACATTGCCTCCCACACTCTTCTATTCTCTACTTAGGCCTTGATTGTTTCACCGTTGCAAGAAATGCCTTCAACTACCAAACTACCACTTGATGACGAACTAGACGGCGATCTTGGTTCGACTATGTGCACTCACTAGATCGAAGATATCTATCGTCAGCTGGATCTTCTACCTGTTGGCTAGGTTTGGACCTTGCCTTTCTTGTGAGGCATGCAGACTTAACTTCCCGAAACCAAAATCGCAGCTACGGTCGAAATCACGAAAGAGGGCAAGGTACGATGGACAGCCCCGTCAATACAGGCAATGATATCATCATCTGGCGCGGCATTGTGTGGGCAACAGATTCCGCTTCATTGAAATCGAGGTTTCCATGCGGCCTCGGTATCTTAGACCTCGCACTTTTGTGCTTTCTCTGTCTGGGAATCCAGGAACCAACTTACTTATTCGTTGGACCAGATGTTCAGTGCGCGATTTAGAGGTTGGAACCACTGCTCCCCTACTGACTTCTCCATACAGAGGGTTCCCTCCGTCAAAAGAATCCACGATTCAAGAGGTACAGTGTATACTCGCGTCGATCTTTCATGGCTCACATTTTGGATACCATCACAGGCCACATGTCGCCCCGTCTGCATCGAATGACAAAACGTCGACGACCCCATTTCAGCCTTTGAAAAAATGAATATGATTACACAAACCAAACGCGGTTTGGCATATGCCTGGGCTCTTCGAAACCATCGAGCCTTTTAGCCGTAAGAGGGAGCTGTGCGGCACAATGGCAATGGGTCATTCAACTACGCCACTTTACACGGACGCCGAGCGCCGAGCACGCGCTTTCTGTTAGACCATCATATTCTGGATGCAGAGTGGGATTTGATTTTCGCTACAGTCGGCACGTGTCAAATTGGCCCAGTGAGATTTCCTAAGGTTTCAATAGGCAAACTTTGATCCTCTGGAACGGGAAAGTGGACGACCGCGTACAACGATTAGATGGAGAAGCGACAATGCGGATTGCGGGACTAGTATCTCGGAGTCTAACAAGTTACAAGGTCTACCACAACACACAAGGTCCAAGCTTCCCGTGTGTGGTGAAACGCAGTCACACAAAATCAAGTGGTCTTTGTTCGCAAGGCGTGCATCCCACCGCACACATTTTGGTGCATATCAAGTCCGGGATTCTGGCCAAAGCCATATTTCGTGCTGTTGATGATGGAGCTATACTTTGATCACTGTTCTGGGGAGATGGTTCCCAGGTCCCCCTCAAATCCATGATTGGATCATCTCTTAGCATCTCGACTGCCGCGAATGCCGAGGAGTTTGACCCAGACGGAGATCCGGGCTTTGCACAACGGAAGTCGGTGGGAGACTTCAAGATCCCAGACTTGGTATTTGAATTTGCACAACAATTCACGTTGATGCGTCTTTCGATGATGCTTTAGGCATGAGAAACATGACAGACCGCCTATAGACAGTGCATGACCGTGGACATGAACAATGGACGCAGGAAGAAGTCTGAAAGTCACCTCGGAACAACGCTTATATCCACCGACCATGAGATAAGCTTCTTCCACCATTGGGGTGTCCATTCGAGAGTGTCTCGCATTGGCTTCAGAGTCATAGCATGATGATTCAATTCTTAGGTCTCAACGCGTACATCTTGACGGGAAGGAGCTTGTACTGCTTCGGGAACCCTGTTTGCATCTCAGACTTGACGATGTCCATACCAGCAGCCTGGAAGATTCCTTTGAACTTTGAATCCGTTCTTGTGACGCTACTGTCCACATCATCGTACATGTCTTTACCCGAAGGATCGGTGGATTGGTTTTCTTTCACAACCATGAGGCCAGAGTCCTTCAGGGAGCCACGACAGCGAGCGACAAAATCAACGAGTTGCGAGTCTGTGAGATGACCCACGCACCATTGGGTCCAGATCAGATCGTACTTTTTCTCTGGGTTCCACCCTTCAAGGCCAACGTTATAAATGTCGCCAATAACGCCCCGCCCGCCAAGCTCGCTTTCCTTCAGAGCCGCGGTAAATTTTTCAACGGGCTCCACGATGTCCACCACTTCACAGACTTCACTCAGAAATCCTTCTGTGATTCGGCCAACACCAGCACCACAATCGGCGCCCAGAGCAAGCTTCTGATCCCGAGGAAGGGCTGGGATCAATCGACGAACTTTGGTCAAGAAGCTTTTTGATCCCCGCAGGTCAATTCGTGTGTACCATGAGAAGTCACCAAGCATGGCTAACATTGCGCCTGGGGTAGCGGGCACGCTGTTCCAATAGTTTATGGATGCCGCATGGTCAATTTTGGAGTCGGGGTGACTTGCATCCGCCTCATTTTTTGTATTAGGCTCGTCATCGGACCGAGGTTGAGATAAATGGGACATGTTGTTGGGACCTGAGAGCTCGAGAAATTGTCAAGAATTTCGAGTTCCTGTGAGGCTCGCACAAAAATGATGCTTACCTAATGGATATGCTTGCCCGCGCCGGGCCCGCGTGCGCCGACCCACTTGCGCCCGATCAACACCAGCACTTTCAAAGCTCCAGGGATTTCAAGACGGCTTGCCAACCGTGGAGAGTGGCCTTTCTTAGCCATGATGTCTACTTTGCCATCATGATAATCCTTCGAGGTGGCTCTTATGGGCTATATCTCGTCGGCTAAGAGATTTCACATCGATATGTGACAAAACAGCGAAGGCAGTTTCAGAAAATCGAGATTGACGTCCGTTTTTTTGTTTTTTTGTTTTTTTTTGGACGGGGCTCATCTGAGGTGCATGGGCACATGCTGGTTTGAGCATTTCTTTCGTCTCTTTGGGATAATCCGCCGTAGATAATGCAAAGCCAGAGCCCCTCGATGGTGCATATCAGGCTACACTTACACCAATCAAAATGACATATTACGCGCGGTACAGGCTGGCAGAAATGGGAGGAGATCGTTTCTCGAGGAAAAGTCCCAGGTTGGCATCACACAAGCCTTTGCTAAACTAAAAACCAACTTCGTGTCCATCATGGCGCACAATGAAAATGCTACTGTTGATGACCATGATCGCTTTTTCAAGTGGGCAGTTGCCAATGGCATCCAAGTAAATGGTGTCACCCCCGCAGATTTCCTGGACGCGGTATGGGAATGATTGCAACCCGTACCATTGAGGTGAGATGAGTTTTGATATATACCCAAGGTTCGCTGTTCTTTCGATCTTGGCTAATCTCGGAAGTGACTTGTGGAACCTAAAGGCAGACGAAATAATGCTCACAGTCCCCGTGTCAACAATGCTCAACATTGACAGTATCCCCGAGGGATTCGCTGACCGCTTTCCAAGCACAGCATCTAACCATTCAATTCTTGCTGCATTCTTGACACACGGAGATCCCAAATTGCTTGAGCAATGGGATCTGTGGCGCAAGATATGGCCATCGATGCAGGACTTCGCTGACTCGTTGCCTTCGATGTGGCTTGAGGGATCCAGTCCTTCCAGTGAACTTGAAATTCCATTGCCTCCTTCCATCTCTGGAAAGTGGAATACATCGACTAGGTCTGCGTATGGCGCTAATAGCGAAGACACGTACCAGAACGTGCTGGTGCAACAAACCAACCGTCTTCAAGATGCCTGGAAAAGTGTCTTAAGTGTCTTCCCCGACACCAACTGGGAGCTCTATTCTTACAATTGGTTCATCGTCAACACCAGAAGCTTTTATTATGTTCGCCCTGATGATAATCCGCCTGAGGACTGGAACGACGCAGTTGGTTTAGTGCCCTTTGCGGACTACTTCAACCATGCAGCCAACGCAGTTAGTAGAGATCTTGTCGATGAGACCATAGTGGGTTTGAATATAGGCTAACATTTGGAATCAGCCTTGTGAGGTTGCCTTTGATGGAGATAAATCAACATTTAGAGCCACCGCTCGTCTTGGTAAGAAACTTGGGTTGAAGATGTTTAAAATCAGCTGACAGAACGGTCAATGAAGAAAAGGGTGACGAAGTATTTATGAACTACGGAGAGCACCCTAATGACTACCTTTTGGTAGAATGTGAGTCACGAAACGACTTCCAGTGCCGATGTTGGATGCTAACAATTGTCCAAAGATGGATTTTTCTTGGATAGGAACGACCATGATGCCATTTATTTGGATGATATAATTTTGCCTGACCTGAACTCAGATGATGTGGAAGGGTTACGCTCTCATGGATACAATTAGTAATTATCGACTTTCAGAATACCACACACCTAATTTGCTTACAAAAGGTTTCAGCCACTTTGAGGTGGATGCATCTGGCGCCAGTCCCAGCGTCGAAGTTGCAGCATCTCTGAAATGCATGACACGCTCAGAGTGGGAAGACTACGTGCTTGATCCCTCGTCCTCGAATCTCCTGCCCGAGGCTCGAAGGTTGATCAGCCACTGGATACAGGTATATGTGCAGGAAAGCATTGTTGCAATTGCAAAGATCGAAAATATTCAGAGAGAAAACACCGCCTCAGATCCACCGAACCGCCTCCTTAACAGCCAACACTCAACATTGACAAATCCACAGCGTTCATTACTCCGACGGTGGACTCAAATCAAGGACATGGCTCAAGGCGCTTTACATAACTTGTCATGAGCCTGCTCTGCTATCCTATCTAAATCCTTTGATGCTTGGTGATGAACAACCCATTTACTTGATGTTTGCTTTTCAATGCCTAGGAAGAAATACAATTGTCCCATACTTGGACGTTCCAAGTTACATTCCCAGAAGGAGCTATAGCGAGGTAGCCTAGAGTCTCGGATCAAGGATGCGGATAAATGTAATGTCTCCCACTTGTATGCAGATGTTGTTTGTTTACTGCACTCTGATTGAATCGCGCTGTGGTCTTTGCCGCTTGACAAATTACACAACTCATCAAACCTTTGCTGCCCCAGTACGGAGTAACTGAGAAGCGAGGGGTGGCAGTTTGGCCAAGTTTCTCGATTTCAGCAACAAACGGGAGCGACGTGCTAGTGGAACGGAACCTTGGAAGTTGAGGGCCCTTTTCGGCTCATCGAACGTTCGTTGATCAAATTTTTTGTGGCACCCATCCTCGCTCACCCTGTGGCTGAACTCGTTCGTGGCTGAAAGACCAAGTTCTGCCAATCCTCACCGAGGGGGGTCTGTGCGCCGAATCCGACTTGTAATTCACTTCCCCCTCTCCCTCCTTAGGTAATTTATCATCATCAGAAAACGACCAAGTGCCAAAATTCCTGCTCCCATCGTAATTCCATCCAAAGTTCGTTGCCCTCATCGGCGGAGATCGGTAGAGGCAACTTTGCCGAGAAATTGAGGCTCCTGCAGTGTCGGAACGAGAAGCGGGTGGATCTGGTTCGAGGGACCCTTTTTGCCCAATCGGTTGAGGCGATCAAGTTTCGGTGGGACCCAATTTTCGCCCTCTCAATACCCTGCCAAGACATTTCTACATCCCACTTAGCTGGAACTCATCATCTACATATTCACTAATTCTTGCCGAGAGTAGTGGATTCTAGTTGATGACAGTTCGCCGGAACATTTCCTGTCATTCAAACCATTATCCCATCTCCCGAAACATGGAACCAGCACAGACGCAGCTGGCTAGAGCCTGTCCAGCTTTGGTCCAGCATGCAGGAACATCGAACCCTTCGATTCATTCCGACCGCCTGTCACTCACCTATATGGCTCCATGGAATTCATTCGAAACGGAGGCTTGCCAAATGTTCCAAGAAGCTGGTATTGCCCATGAAGTTTCACTGAACGACGAAACGGAACTTTACACAGTAGGTAATGAGCTTGGCTTAACCGGGAGGTTCGTCCGCAACGTTTGCGACCCTGTGATCAAAGCCCTCGAACCGGTGCAAGGTATGGCGTCAATTCGATTTGCCGATTTTCAAGCAATCTCCACCCCAGAAGACACTGTTCCAGATGTATGTTTGGGGTTGGTTGGGACCAGCCCTCATCCTGATCACGTTCATCTAGTCGGAGAGATGAAGACTCCATGGAGTATTACGGACCGACATCTAGATCTATCTAGAACATCTGCTCGTCTCCCGGCACTGATCGGACAACTTGTTGCTCAAATGCGCACATGTTCCACTCGATTTGGATTTTTATCAACCTATACCTCTACCGTTTTTGTCAAACGAGAAGCCGAATTGTCCTTTCTCCTTTCATCACCTATTTGGTGTGGCGCTACGCAGCCTTCCCTTCGCCAGTTACTTGCTGGCTTCTGTCTAATGGCCGTGTCGGAGCCAAAGTTCGTTGAAAGCCCATCATTTGAGCCAAGGAATCTACGAGGCCCTCCTGCTCGTCGCGAGTCTTCCCGTATGCTTGGAAATCCCGCTAACCCATTCCCGTCGATGCCGAACCAAGAAGAAACTATCACAAAAAATAGTGTGATCGTCAACACTGGCGGATCTACCCCTACGGTCGTGAACTGCCTTCAGAAGTTGTCAGACCCAACTGTCCAAAACAGGGCGACCTGGCTAGCAACTATGGGTGGATCTAGGGTGATACTCAAGTGCTGGAGTCTTGAATGCGATGAGCTGTTTGAGGGGGAAGCGGAATTTTACGAGCGCATGTGGGCCAATCGGCCGGCCGGGCATCGAATCTTCGCCAACTGGATTTTCAGAGGGGAGATTATTTGCTCAAGTCTATTCCCATCAGGCTATGCTCTCATTCTAGAGAAGAGAGACGGGATCCGACTTGATCGGCTATGGCATAATCTATCTGAGATTGAACGAGCTTACGTTCAGTCAGAATGCCTTATTGGTATTCATGCTTTACGAAAAGTGAACATCTGCCTTGATGACCCTGGAAAGCACAATATTCTCTATGACAGAGATCGACGTATGGTGACCATGCTTGACTTTGAAATTGCGCAAGAATTGGAAAGTCACATGTATATCTCGAACTACTTTGAGATGGAAATCATATTTGGCACCGAACTTCTGTTGGGACGTCCATCTGGAGGTTAGACGGATCACTGGGAGGGCTCCGAAGGCCGGGAGGCCCCTTCGGGGGTGGAGGGAACGGCCCCTCAAGTCTTGAGGGTAAGCAGAGAAAATAACGATTTGCTGGAGAGAGTTTTTTTGATGAGGAATGATCACTGTTGACTGAACGATTTGCTGGAGTTGTTTGACGAGGAACGATCACTATGTCCGAATGAGGAACGATTGTTGGGAGTGAGAATATTTGATAGTGAAGAGTACTGGTGAGAGAGTGGTTGTCGAGAAGTGCAGGGGAGAGTGGAGACCCTTTTTTGCGGACGGGTGACGACCTATATTTGCTTCCCCTTCTCGCTTCTTTTGCGCTCTTCTCTTCTTCTTTCTTCTTCCCCCACTCTTCTTTCCTTCTTCTTTTCTCCCCCTTACCATCTTCGTACCATCAAAGTTTCGACGCAGAGGGTTGCAGCAATGGCTCGAAACAAGGCAGCAAAGGTTAAGCCAAGCTCGGCAAGAAAGAAGAAGAAGGCCGCTCGGGCATCCACCTCCGCCCAACGCCCCGAAGGAGAAGAAGCAAGCGAGAGTGAAAACGATAGTGGTGAAGGATTGACGACGACAAAGCGACCCTGGGCCCCGCCCGCTACAACAAAGACCATCGCGGCGAGGAAATTAGATATCGAGCAAGCAATGGCCGGGTCGCGGGTGCGGGCCGCCAAGATGGGCGATGAATATCGAATGACCCGTTCAGTCTGGGATTGCGATGCTCGAGTTTTCGCGCACGAAGATGCAGGCCCGTTGCGGCATGGGATGCCAGTGGGGACTTTTCGTCCTGATGACCAGGGGGTCCCGGAGGGGTCCGACAGACTGATCCATCGAAGGATTGTTCTGCTAAATTTTTCAGCTCATACGGGTAACAAAGTGTGGTCTTTGATGAATCTGAACGTCTACGGCAGAACCCCAACCCCCGGAAATGGACAGACGATTGATGCCAAACAAGCTGTTTTAGCGAATATCAAGAATGTTGACTATTTTCAAGAGTTCGACATTATGGAGTGGAAACCAGCTTCCTCTGGCTACGTCCTGAAAGCGAAGAAACAAGTCGTTTTCAGCGAAATGAACCGCCAATGGAAGATGGGATGGGCCATGAACTGGAATCACTTCTTCGACCTTATCGAGAACCCTCAGAAGTCCCAGGAACGGAGCAGCCGAATAGAGAGATTACTCGACGGGGACTATGATATTCCATTTTTTGATGAAACTTTAATGGATCAGAATCATCTTCAAGAGCAGAAGGAAGAACTCTCCCGGCGGATCGACCACGCCATGTTAACGGGGATTCAGACTCTGGCAAGACTTCGCGAACGAGAGGAGAAAGAAGGACTTACTTCCTAAGTTCTTCACAGCTCAAGTACTACCTTCATGCGTACCATTGCGACGTGGTGAATGCCATCAAGGACCAAACTCGAGCCCAGTACGGATGCAACATCTTTGAACCACTTGAGCTACGGGGACCAGCGGAGGCCTTTCCAGACGCCGCAGGACCGCACCAAAAGGTCGCCCCCGAATTGTTGGCCATTCCATCCCCACCCGAGCCAGATGCTGATGGAGTTACGCGATCTAACGAAGTTTACCTGACTTCGCTTATGAAACCCGAAGTCATTGACTCGGATGATGAGCATATCACCCTAGTACTTCGCAAGGATCGGAGCGGAAATAAACCAGTCTTAGATCCTCGCGAGGGCACCCAAATTTCCCTTTCGGCTGCGGAGAGGGAGCGACAAGACCAAGTACTCCAGGACATGGAACGTTTGACGACAGCGTTCAATGACTTGAGAGCGAAGGTGGTGAGGAATGTTCCGGACACCGAGGTAGCCAAAAAAAGTCGGAGACTTCCTCTCGAAGGAGATCCTCAAAATCTCCCAGATCGAAAATCCCATGATTCCGCCCGACCCAACTTGGTTGCCTCCAGGTCACGAAATAACAGATATAGAATACTCATGGTTAGAAGATCAGGGGGTGACTATTCCGTTTCTTGAGGCGAGAGTTCGTCCAGGAACAGTGACCGGATCAGCAATCACACAGGAGATGGAGAACACTGTGATCAAGAAGAGTAATCTGGTTCATACGACCATAGAGAACTATCATCGGTCACAGGTCAGAAGACTTCAGAGAGCGGCCGCCTTGCAGCAATCGGGCCAGACCATTTCCACCCAAGCTCCGACAACAAGCCCAGCTGTGCAGCAGCCACAGAACGTTAGCCAAACCGGAACCTCAGCTCCTCCCACCCATGACACTCAGCATGTCGAGAGTGTGGATCTCACCGGGACAGTTTCTCTAACTGGAGGGGATTTGGCGAACATTGATCCCACCTTATTGTCACTGGATCCCGAGAGGGTTTCCCTTTCGACGTCGTCTATTGAAGACAGGACAGGTCACCAACGCTCGGTCAGCGCCACGCAACCTCCACCGGGCGATCTCCAAGACCAAGGTCACCGACGGATATCCAGTGCCCCAAATGTCCCACATGTTCCTCCCGGTCCTCCTGCTACACCTCACAAGAGGAATAGGCAGCCCACTGCAGAGTCTGACACCACCCTTGGTCGGACCGGCGACGAAGAAGACGATGAACTTTTAACACCTCCTCCCAGCACGACTAAACCAAAGTCAACCACGAACAAGCCTAACCCCAAAAGGCCTCGTCAAGAAAGGGCAGCCTCAGCTTTCGCAGCAAATTAAATATCGACATTTTGTCGATATCCAGTCTTTACAGCAAAGATCATCATACCAGTTTTAGCAAGGAACATTATCCATACCACTCAAGCTATTCTTATCATCCAGCCTGTTTCTCTTTTTTTCTTTGTTTGCCGTCCGAGATGACGGCGATGATGGGTTGGGATATCTAAAGGAAGAAGGTTTGCCGGTCTTGACCGGCTATGGTCTTTGCGCCAACTCTTTTCCCTTTGAAAATCAACCTCTCCCCCAATAGCTATCCTTTCATCATCCATGAACCAAGTCCCAAATATCGTCCGTCCATCGTAATTCATCCAAACTTCGTTGCCCCAGTAACTGAGAGGCGAGAAAGGGCAGTGTGGCCTGTTTTCTTGAGTCCTGCACCAAACGGGAGTGGAGCGATAGTCGGGTGGAAAGTGAGGACCGTTTTCGGCCAATCGAACGTTCATTGATCGGTTTTTTGGTGGAACCCGCCTTCGCCCTCTCAGTTGGAAGCGACCGTTGTTAGTGTCTGAAGGATTTTATACGTGAAACCGGACGGACCAATCGGAAGCGACGATAACCCTTTTGCCATAGCTTCATCGGCCAGCTCCATCGACTAAGCACCTTTTGGGCCTAGTTTCCTGAAGGAACCAAAACTTGGAAAAATATGTCGGATGTCAACGAGCTCGAAACTTTGCATTTCAGACACACAGTCGTGTCAAGGGCCTAGTATAATTGAGGCAATTGTAAAGTTGTGTCAATTTCACATGATAATCCTTGCACGACGCCATATAAGAAAGTGAGCACACGATAAGGATCTTCCCGGTTTCCCCTCTTCCACAATGTCTCTGGTCCAGCATCTGTCCGCAATCGACGGTGTCGACCGTGAGCCCGAAGCCGATGAAGGCGATGACTACATCTCCATTCGACGAAAGATTAGCTACGATGTACTACAGCCGCCAAACGAGGGAATCCCGGTCGCGGAGTTGCGCCCTGGCTCACTAGCGTTCGATCACTCTCCTAGCAAACGAATAAGTACGAACTATCCCCCAAGAGGCAAATACCATCGTCTAACGACTTTCCAGTTCAGGTCATCGTCACCGTGCTCGCGTGTTGGAGCGCGTCGGGGATCGTCTTTGGCTTCGCGGCGTTGAAGCCGGTTCTCGTCGAAGAAGGCGTCTACCGTGAGCGATGTACCCCCGCTGAAGTAGCGGAGGGGCTGGAACTGTGCTCCCAGCAGGATCTGAGGTATGTCGCACACGGGGGTATTCCGGTTCTATGAGGAACCCGTCCTGGTCCAATGAAAGAAGCAGTACCAGAATCTGACTTTTGATAGATTGAATCTGTTTTTCACAATCGCGTCCATCACTGCCAATGTATCGGCCTTGCCGGTTGGCACTATTCTGGATCGCTGTGGATCGCGTATCTGCTGGTTGATCGGCGCAGTCTTACTCGCTATCGGTGGCGTGATCATGTCCTTTGCGTTCCACATCCCAAGCTTTGATGGTTATATACCGGGAAATTTCTTCCTCGCGCTTGCTGGCACGTTCCTCTTCGTCCCTTCTTTCCAGATTGCCAATGCCTTCCCCAAATATGCGGGAACAATTGTCGCTTTGGTCACGGGTGCTTTCGATGCTTCCGCCGCAGTCTTTCTCATATACAGACTGGTGTACGAGGCCACTGAGCGAAGATTCACACCGGATAAATTCTTCTTGGGATATCTCATCGTCCCCATCGTGATTCTCCTCGCCCTGGTGACCGTAATGCCAAAGCGGGATTATGTATCGACATTGCAGCTCGAGAACCGAATCGAGCGCGCAGAAGACGCAACCTACGACGTCCACGACTCAGACGACGATATCGACAGCCAATCGGAGCTGAACCGGGTGCGCAGGAAGCGTGCAGAGATGCGGAAACGGCGTCTGCGTCAAATCGACGGTGTGCTTGGTGACAAGGATGAGAGACAGTTGCGTGCAGATAAAGAGGAAGATCGTCAGCAGACAAGTTGGGTATGGGGTGTTTTGCATGGATTACCTGCTCATGAGCAGATGGCGACACCTTGGTTTATACTCATTACGCTCATGACTGTTTTGCAGATGATCCGTATGAATTATTTTATTGCGACGATTCGGTCGCAGTACGAGTTCATGCTTGGGTCTACCGTCGAGGCGGATCGTATCGGTGCTTTCTTTGATGTCGCCTTGCCGGTCGGAGGTGTGTTATTCACGCCTGCTATTGGATACCTGCTTGATCGTCTAAGTGTTCCGACAATGCTGGGGTTAATCGTGCTGTTCACGACTGTGATCGGTGTCCTCAACTCGATTCCAGCGGTTTGGGCTGGATACATTACGGTCGTTCTTTTCGTTTTGCTACGCCCGCTATACTACTCGGCAATGTCGTAAGTTCAGCCTCGGCACCTCGAACTATATGCCGGACACTAACTTTTGCAGGGATTATACTACCAAGGTCTTTGGGTTCGCGACGTTTGGTCGAGTCTACGGTGCTATCATTTGCCTATCTGGGATTGCCAATTTCTCGCAGTACGGTCTGGATGCACTAACACATCGCACTTTTGATGGGAACCCCATTCCTATCAATGCCGCCTTGGCAATCGCTGGATTCTTGGTTGGTACGGCACTGGTGACGTTTGTTTTCGTCGCTGTCGGGAGGCTGGAACGGCGTGCTCGGGAACATGAGGAAGAACGGGAGAGACTTCTTTTGGAGGAGGATGAGGAGGAATACGAGGAGGACGGTTATCGATGATCTTAGGCCGAGGTTGTCCAGGGCTATTTTGAGGCAATATCAATTTACTGGTCTTAGCTTAGTTCATGCATCGGGTGTTCTTTTAGCGGTCCCTTCTAGGTAATATTGCAATATGGCCATCTAATGTTTGCATCTGCTCAGTTCTTCCCGGTATATCTAATATCTAAAGTAGTTGCAAGTTACAAGATACGGGGAGATTCGAAAAGTAGACCCTCCAACACGCCCGGATTGGTTCCCTTTTATCGCACTGGAAGAAGTTGGTACTACTCAAAGATTGCGGCCGTCGAACTCAGCAGTTGCACCAGATAAAAAGTCTATAATTCCACAAAAAAATCAAATCAAATCAAATGATACCATCGCGTGTTCACTCCTGGCTACGAACTTTTAATCTCTAGACTCACTCGGAATAAGCTGGTAGACAAGCCCAATTCCCGGTTCTCGTCCAGGGTGTCACATGCTACCAAACAACTGCCGGGCTCATCTCGGCTCGGAATCCAGACAATATAGCCATGTAGACTATTTTCGGCGGTTGATATAGGGCTCAATCTAAGGATCATTCCTAGGGTTCGCATACACCTCCGAGCTTTGACCTGCATGGTGATATCACCATCTCTCCGACGACCAGGGCCAGGTGGTCAAGACCTGCCAAAGTATCCATGCGGAGAATGCCAATCTAACTTTCGGCATATCGGATCAGAGTTTACTTTCCGACGAATCAAATGACTGCGTTTGAATGCTAAACGAATCTTTTGTTCGTATCATACTGGAGCTGACACTTGGCTGATTCTGGAGGATGTCTGGACTCAGGTGATGGGACGTGTCGAAAATGAAGGTGTTAATTGTCGAGCAAAACAGGTGTACAATTGACTGATTGGTGGGTTGCTTGGTTACTTGGTTCCTAACTGCACAGTCATCAACACGAGTTTGTACAGGAAGAAATAGGGGGGGAACTCTATCTACCCATCATGTCAACATCAAGTAAATTCACCGCTGAGAAGTTAGACCCATGAACCCTACATGAAACAAAGCTGGGAAATCCGGGGAAGCCGCCAGGGCTTGGAAACAAAGGTCCGACTCTAACATCCAGCAAAGAATAATAAAAACGAAAAAGAAATACACACACAAAGGCAAGTGAAATGGACAAGTCCCTTCGCCAAGGTGCCAAGTTCACCTTCCCCCGCATCCAACCCTCTCGCCCCCGGATTATCACCAAAACCAGCCGCCACCGACACTCAACAGCGCACATCCCAACCGATGACTCGTAGATTTCCAGCGGAAGTGGGGTTCACCCCTCCTTTGTTTCGGACGATATTGCTACATTGCGCAGAACCCAGTCCATTCCAGTGCTTGTCCCGAGGCACTTGGCCACTTTATGCCGGCTATTGCATTCCAGTACTGAAAGGTGCTGGCGGGATTGCTGGGCGTCGAAAAATGGGTCGAAATTAGCGAGGTGTGTAAGGTATGTGGAGAAACCTTGGGGCCTTGGAAAGATGTCACGATATATAGGTTTCGAGATCCCTGCTTTTGTTTCGATGTAGTAGCACTTGTTACTTTCTTACAATTCGATTCGACTTTATTTGATAAATTTTACGAGACACTACTTGAAATCAAACTTCCTTGTCGATATTTTGACAATATGGCCTCGATGGCTGCCATCGACGAAAAGCCTCCTACGGAGCACCGCATCGAGGATATGGCGGGCAAATCTGCTAGCGAGAATGAAGATGAATTCACAGCTGAGGAGAAAAAGAAGATTATTCGCCGGATTGATTTGCGCTTGGTTACGATGACGGGTTTGGCATATTGTATCTCGCTCATGGATCGTACGAATCTGAGCATGGCTGCCGTTGCAGGGTAAATACATCTCCTGTGTGCGGATATTCGCGGCAATGGCTGACGCGGAGCAGATTGAAAGAGGAATTGAGGCTGGATATTGGGGAGCGTTATGTATGTCGGAATCGACTCGAAGGCCATTGCTCTAGGCCAGTGAACAGGGTGGCTGACAGCAGTATAGTCTATCATCGTTCTGATGTTCTTCGTGCCTTATATCATCTTCCAACCGCCGATGACGATTATAATTCGCAAACTGGGGCCTACGATGTTCTTGGGCGCAATCATCATATGTTGGGCGGCGATTATGATAGTGAGTACTGAGAGTTGGATATCCCGAGCGTTCAAAAGTCGACTGACCCGTACAGGGAATGGGGTTCGTCAAAGATTGGGGCCAGCTAGTCGTCACTCGTGTTCTTCTGGGTACATTGGAAGCAGGCTATTTCCCAGGTTGCGTCTATTTGCTCTCATGCTGGTATACACGATGTATGTTGCGCAGTCTTGGGAACTTGACATTTACCCTAGATACTGACTCTTGGAAGATGACGTTCAAAAGCGATTCTCGATATTCTACCTCATCGGCTGCGTGGCCTCCGCACTCTCGGGAATTCTGGCCTTTGGTTTGATGCAATTGAATGGCAAGCACGGACTCACAGGATGGCGATGGATTTTCATCCTAGAGGGCGTGGTATGTAGACCTCCCCCAGGGGAAGCTCCGAGACTAACAGCCTAGATCACCGGCTTCATTGGAATCCTCTGCTTCGTCTTCCTGGTCGACTTCCCAGACCGTGCGCATAAATCATGGCGCTTCCTGAACGAGCGCGAGTGCGCATGGGTAATCCGTCGCATCAACGAGGATCGTAATGACGGAGACATGGAAGCCTTCTCCATCAAAAAGTTCCTCAAGCCAGCCGCCGATCCGAAAATCTGGGGTTTCGCCATGATCTTCTTGTTCGTTACCTGACCAAAGACTTCGAGATCCAAGCTAACGCTGATTTCCCCAGCTGCCTCACCACAGTCACATACGCGATCGCCTACTTCCTCCCCATCATTCTGCGACTGGGTATGGGCTACGGCGTGGGTGAAGCGCAATGTCTAGTCGCGCCCCCGTATGGCTTCGCCGGCATTGTGATGTACGTGACCGCATGGGTAGCCGACAAATACCGAATGCGAGCGCCGATTCTGATTTTCAACGCGTTGCTCGCGATCATCGGACTTCCCATGATGGGATTCGCGAAAAGCGACGCCGTTCGCTACGTCGGCGTGTTTTTCACCGTGGCGGGCGCTAATGCTAATATTCCTGCCTGTATGGCATACCAGGCGAACAATGTGCGTGGACAATGGACGCGTGCGTTCTCCAGTGCTACGCTGGTTGGCTTTGGTGGGCTGGGTGGAATTGTTAGCAGTTTGGTTTTCCGAGAGCAGGACGCGCCCGGTTATCGGCCCGGAATGTATGCAGCTATCGCGTGAGTTTTCCCTTTCCCGTTTGAGCTGTCTTGGATTTTGGTGATTCGGATTCGGATTCTGATTCTGACGGACTTCATTAGGTGTAACATTTTGATCATTATTTTGGTGTGTTGTCTGAGTGTTTGGTTCAGAATCTGTAACAAGCAGGCGGATCGGGGAAAGCGGGTTATCGAGGGGGATGTCGCTTTCCGATATACTATCTGAGCAATGTAGTCCGATAGCAATGTGACGCCGGGTTTCTTAATGACTCAGAGCCAGATCAGATCGAATGTCGAAGAAATCGCATCGGAGTTCAGCGGAGTAATGTAGAGCCCCATCGAAGTATGGAGCAGATGGAGTCGATGGAGCCATCAGAGGGCAGTTGAGATAGAAGAGAAGGTGTTTTCCGACGGGAAAGTCGGAGCTTCTTCTCCGCAATTTCGTCGACGCTGGGGCCACCGCGGGCGGTGAGGAATGCGATTGGTCAACTGGCGCTATCTTATCGCGCCGAGGGGAGTTTCCCGTGACCTTCTCCGTCCGGCTTCGGGCAGGGCAAGTACTGCTGAGATTAAATATTCATTTCTGTCGGTCTGCTTCCTTTTGTTCTTCTTCATACTCTCTTGCCTTAGACATTGACTGGTTTGTGGGTGTGTTCTGTTCTGTAACACCCTATAGTCACTATGGCGGCATCCCTGTTTGCTCTCCGCGGCGGACGTCAGCTTGCACTCCGCTCGCGTGTGCGACTACCTACTAGTGTCCCCAGAGCTTTGGCATTGCCAGTCAATGCTCGCAGGTCTCTACACACCTCCCAGCCTGCAACACGCCGAGGTGTCTATACTAGCTCCATCTCCGACCATGGCGATCCCCACCCCCAGGACATCTTCCAACCCCTCGATACCTTCCCCCGCCGTCATATCGGTCCCTCTCCGGACGCCGCTTCCGAGATGCTGGCGGTGCTCGACCCGCCAGTGAAATCCCTGGACGACTTCGTGAAGCAGGTCCTCCCCGAGGATATTCTTTCCAAGAAGAATCTCCACGTCACTGAGCCCCATGCCGACATCAGCCTGTACCGCTCCAGCGTACAGGGTGGTCTCGGTGAGACTGACATGCTCAAGCTTTTGGATACCTACCGGAAGAACATTGATATCTCCGGAAAGACTTATATTGGAACTGGATACTACCCCACCATTGTCCCCCCCGTCATCCAGCGCAATGTTCTCGAGAACCCGGCCTGGTACACCAGCTACACACCCTACCAGCCTGAGATCAGCCAAGGTCGTTTGGAGTCTCTGCTGAACTTCCAGACCTTGACTGCTGATTTGACTGGTCTGCCCTTCGCCAATGCCTCCGTTTTGGATGAGGCAACTGCCGCCGCCGAGGCCATGACCATGTCCTTTGCCACCATGCCTGCTTCTAAGCAGAAGAAGGCCGAGAAGTCCTTTGTGGTCTCTCACCTCGTCCACCCCCAGACTCTCGCCGTTATGCAGTCCCGTGCTGAAGGATTCGGGATCAACCTTGTGGTCGGAGACATTCTGGCCGATGACTTCAAGATTGTCAAGGACCAGAAGGATCACTTGATCGGTGTTCTCGCCCAGTATCCCGATACCGAGGGAGGTATCTTCGACTTCCAGGCTCTCAGTGACTCCATCCACGGACAGGGTGGTACTTTCAGTGTGGCCACTGATCTGCTCGCCCTAACCGTTCTCAAGGCCCCCGGCGAGTTCGGTGCCGACATCGCCTTCGGTACCGCTCAGCGTCTGGGTGTTCCCATGGGCTTCGGTGGTCCCCACGCCGCGTTCTTCGCCTGCGCTGACAAGTACAAGCGCAAGGTTCCCGGTCGCGTTGTTGGTGTCTCCAAGGATCGTCTTGGTAACCGCGCTCTGCGTTTGGCTCTGCAGACCCGTGAGCAGCACATTCGTCGCGAGAAGGCCACTAGCAACATTTGCACGGCTCAGGCTTTGCTTGCCAATATGACCGCTATGTACGCTATCTACCACGGTCCCGTTGGTCTCAAGTCCATTGCCCAGCGCATCATGTCCATGACCTCGCTCCTTCGCGAGAAGCTCGTTGGACTCGGATATGATGTTCCTCTCCGCACTAACTCGGCTGATGGCGGTGCTGTCTTCGACACTCTGGCTGTCGAGCTCCCCACTGCTGCTGAGGCTGATGGAATTGTTGCCGAGGCACTTGCTGCCAACGTCTTCCTTCGCCGTCTTGGAGGCAACAAGGTCGGTCTCTCTTTGGATGAGACTGTCGGACGTGACGAGGTGAAGGGCATTCTTGATGTCTTTGCCGCTCACAAGTCCGTCTCCCCAGTTGAAGTTGACGGCACTCTTGGTGTCACCACTGTCCCCGCCAGTCTCGAGCGTACCTCTTCCTACCTGACCCACCCTGTCTTCAACACTTACCACTCCGAGACCGAGATGCTCCGCTACATCCACCACCTCGAGTCCAAGGATCTGTCTTTGGTTCACTCCATGATCCCGCTCGGATCTTGCACCATGAAGTTGAACGCCACCAGCGAGATGCTTCCCGTCTCTTGGCCCGAGTTCTCACAGATCCACCCCTTCATGCCCGCGAAGCAAGCAAAGGGTTACATCCAGATGATTGATGACCTTGAGCAGCAGCTCGCCGATATCACCGGTATGCACTCTGTCACTGTTCAGCCCAACTCCGGTGCCCAGGGAGAGTTTGCTGGTCTTCGTGTCATCAAGAAGTACTTCGAGGGCAAGGGTGACGCCAAGCGCAACCTGTGCCTGATTCCTGTCTCTGCTCACGGTACCAACCCCGCCAGTGCTGCTATGGCTGGCATGCGTGTCGTCACTGTCAAGTGTGATACCAAGACTGGTAACCTTGATCTAGAGGATCTCAAGGCCAAGTGCGAGAAGCACAAGGACGAGCTCGCCGCTTTCATGATTACCTACCCTAGCACATTCGGAGTCTTCGAGCCTGGTGCGAAGCAAGCTTGTGATCTGGTGCACCAGCACGGTGGTCAGGTCTACATGGACGGTGCTAACATGAACGCTCAAATTGGTCTCTGCTCTCCTGGTGAGATTGGAGCCGATGTCTGCCACCTGAACCTGCACAAGACCTTCTGCATTCCCCACGGTGGTGGTGGCCCCGGAGTTGGTCCTATCGGAGTTGCTTCACACCTGACCCCCTACCTTCCCTCCCACCCCACTAGCGAGGCTTTGCAGGCCAAGCGCGGTGACAACTCCTCGCCCCCCATCTCCGCGGCTCCCTGGGGAAGCGCCAGCATTCTCCCTATCACCTTCAACTACATCAACATGATGGGCGACCGCGGATTGACCCACGCCACCAAAATCACCCTCCTCAATGCCAACTACATCCTCTCCCGCCTCAAGCCCCACTACCCCATCCTCTACACCAATGACCACGGCCGCTGCGCACACGAATTCATCCTCGACGTGCGCGCCTTCAAGGAGACCTGCGGCGTCGAAGCCATCGACATCGCCAAGCGTCTCCAGGACTACGGCTTCCACGCCCCAACCATGTCCTGGCCCGTCTCCAACACCCTCATGATCGAGCCCACCGAGTCCGAGAGCAAGGCCGAGCTCGACCGTTTCTGTGACGCCCTCATCTCCATCCGCCAGGAGATCGCACAGGTTGAGTCCGGTGCTCAGCCCCGCGATGGAAACGTCCTCAAGATGTCCCCCCACACCCAGCGGGATCTTCTTACTTCTGAGTGGGACCGCCCCTACACCCGTGAGCAAGCGGCGTACCCCATTCCCTTGCTTTTGGAGAAGAAGTTCTGGCCCACTGTTACCCGTGTCGACGATGCTTTCGGTGACCAAAACCTCTTCTGTACTTGTGGACCAGTTGAGGATTCGGAGTAGGTCTGATGATACCCTTGTTTTGCGTTTGATTTAGGGCTCGCTTGTTGGTGCGGGTTTGTGTATACATTCAACATTTTATGATCATGTCTAGATCTTGCTTTCGGTTCAACCTTTTCGTTTGCTTAGATCGAAAATAATTAGAAAGATATTTATACTTTCATATTTACTTCTGAATATTGACTCATTCGTAAGGCAGATATGTATATGGATGCTCGCCACAGAGCGCAAATTTTGGAAGCACAACATAACCAATGGACACTTGGGCATATCGAGCTGTTCAAATCACTCGACAAGGAATGCTAGCTCTTGGAATCGTTCCGAAGCTGTTTCCAGCGATCTCAACAGATTCCGCGCCACCAAAAAAGCCATATCGGACTTTCTCCCAAGATACTGAAGTGCCTGAATTGTATATTCGCAATTCTGCCGCATCCGATCAATATACAGATTATGACCCACAGGCATATCCAAATTTTCCAATAATATATACCCAGCCTTCGCAAAACAATGAACAAGCACAGCAGTCCACGGCTCAACCAAGAAAGCCACTTCATTCAAAGAATCATGGAAATCCCGAACCATAAACGAGTCTTGACCTTGAATCGAAGCCCGCGCAAGCGCAGCGACTGCTAGAGCGTTATTCGTCCTTAATGTAGCAACCAGATTCGTACATTGTCGAGCTTGGCGCGCAGATTCGCAGCCGAGTTTGCATTTGTCAATACTCTCTAGCACATCTGCCAAAAGCATTGCAGAAAGATGCCAGTGACCATCGAGGATCACGTACCATGATTGGATTCGGGAAGGGAGAAGTTCGTGGTTCGTGACGCAGTCGACCATGAAATTCCGATATGTTGAGTCCCAGTGCTGGTAGACGAGAAGAGTCTTTTGGATGACGTTTTCGATATGTGTGGGGCTTGCGCCTCTGTATACTAGAGTCTGCAGTTGTGTTACCCGGCGGTAGAGGAGGACTTTGACAGGCGTGGCTTCTGAGAGGATAGATGCGGCCTCTTGGTATGAACATGGCCATCGAAGCTGGGCCAGGCTTGCTTCTTGGCGTTTTATTGAGGATAAGAGGAAGTAATCACCCCACACATCTTGAGCGGCATGTTTGTTGTTTTCTGCGCTCCAGTGATTTGTGTCGGTTTGGGTCTCTGTTTCAACTGGCGATGACGACGCCGATGCGATTTGGCTATCCTCGTCTGACACAACCGGAGGACGTTGGTACATTGCGGCACTCAAGGTATCAAACATGACACCCAGCCAAAACATGAAACCCAAGGTCGTGCGGTGCTCCTGGCTAGCCAGGACTGGGTCAAGTTGCGGAGAGTCTGATGAACCTGAGATCTGGAGATTATGTGGAGATGTTGAATCAATTGATCGATTCCAACTACCTTTGGGACTGGACGCCGCGGCCTCGCGCTGCAGTCTCACGAACTTGTGTCTAAACCTGAAAATTTGACGGTTTGCCGTCTCCAAAAACATTGGCGCGGGATCATTCTCCAAGAGCTCACCAAGAGTTGCTTCTTGGCTTTTGTCCAACGGACTCTGGGTCAAAGAGAAAATTATGTTTGCGAACGCGATGCGAAAAGATGGGATATTGCTCGAGTGCTCTAGGGCATGCCGCGCTTCGTTCCAGACTTTCACCCGGATTGACCGTTCGTCATCGTCGATTGCGCTAGGGATGGACGCTCCAACCCCCTTTTGGGCATGTTGGGTCCACTGTGATGCAAAAGACATGATTGCCAAGTGAAGGGCTCGCGCTGCTTTCTTATCCTCCTCTGCACTTAAGGCCCTGCCGCGTATTGAAGATGATACCCGGTCCAATTTACATACTCTGATGCACATTCGGTTTGACCAGCTCGGACCCCAGTCCTCCATTCTTCGGTCGGGGAGAACCTTGGTGATTGAGTCGCTGTATGGGCAGTTGTGTTCTGTAAGCCAACATGATAACGCATTCTCCATGCTGTCATGATATATTCGGATGAGGTTTCGGGACATCGCTGCCCGGGCGGTCTGATTGGCTGTGTTTTCAGAAGCGATGCAGAAGCTCCATTGAGATTCTGGGTTAGATCCTTGCTCTGACTCGCTTTCTGAAGCTGGCCTTTGTCGACTGTGATGTCTTGTTGAGGGGGTCAGTGCCATGAGCGACTGTTGTGCAGGATTGCTTTGCTGGAGAAAGTTATGCATGCTTTCGACGGAACTGGGAGGAGAGTCCAAAGAGCCAACTTGGACGTCGGAGTCCTCGGAATTGGATGGCGGGTATATTGGCTTCGGGCTCATTGGTAACTCAGCTGGAGGACCTAGCTCCCATGGGAAGGATTGAAAGAGATGTTGACTTTGAGTAGGGAAGCTCAATAGCTCACTAGACCAAACTCCCGGTTGTGAGGGGGATTCATAATCCAAGCTTTCGGGCGACGCAAAAGCTCCACCAAAGGTAGCAGCGTTCCATTGTGCAGAGCGCAGCACTTCATCCAAATCATCGTTGTTGGGGCCTACGATGTTGGGATCCGCCGCGTTGGGCTTGGCCCTTTTTCGACTCCCTTTCGACTCCCCGCGCTTTGAGATCCAGTTGAAAGTGCATTGCTTCTTCCACCGTTTGCAATTTGAGCAAGAATTGAAAACGTTTTCTTCTCGGTCTTTCTGGAAGTAAAAGTCAGTATGGACTGGTAGAAATCACGGTCACTGATGAGTGATGACGAACAGGCGCATCGCAACCTCTTTTCCCTTTGCGACATGGGTCACAACTATGAAGCTGACGTCGGCGGGATGCCTCCATGGTAGTAGGCTGCATGGACGTAGTACGAAAATCGACTGAGCTAGGCAGGGACCGGGCAGGGACCTCGACGCCGAGATGTGAGGCAGAAGTACGGAGTACGGACTTGGATAATTCATTTCTGGGGAAACACGTGAACTTTCAAGATTTGCGGAGGTCGAGTGGGGTAAGCCCCAGAGCCTAACACATCCGTTGACCCTCCATTGACAGTCTGACTCGGTCCAGTGGAACTGTATTTGCCCTTTGTCCCTTTCAGGCTTTGGGAGGGTTTGAAAACAAAGAGCGCCACGACATTCTCATATCAACGTGACTGAGATCTTTAACCATGCTGCCCCATCTTGTCAAAACGCCAGATTGTAGCACACTCAACAGTCTTACGCCAAGTGAACCTCGAGATGTGGCGCATAATTGGGATGACGAGCTGGGATTCCGTGAATGGATCGGAGAATCATCTAACCGAAGCCGGACCAATAACCTCGACGAACTTCGTCTTTGGGGCGACGAAGTGGAGTAGGAACAAGAAGCGAGCGGAGAGTGCGGAACTCGGGTTAATCTAGGTGTGCCGATCGTTGCTTAGAATGGGGATCATCGGCCTGCCAGGGGTGATTTCAGACGACGGCAGGATGATCTCCGGTGTGATCAACCAATTGCATCAGTCTGCTAAGCAAGCACTTGGATCTTACGGAGTACTCCGTACTCCGGACACTGAATGGGATGCATGCCCAGGCTTCCACCAGCCTTCCCGAGTCATCCATCGATTCTAAGGTCTCATTTAATATTTTCTAGACCCACTGATACATCACCAGGTTTCGATTCAAGGTTCATTCAAGGTTCCTGTTGACGCCATGACCCGGTGGAATCCCGGGTAATCATCGGATAAGTAACAATCTTGGAAGTACGGAGTATATATAGGGAATACTAATGATAAAGCTTTACGGAGTACTGCATACAGAGTACAGCCCTGGAGAGTACTATGTTCAATTGATGCCCAGCCCTGGAGTGAGGCAGCCAACTTAATTCCAAGATTGTTCTTAAATTCCACAAAAAACTCCAATACTACAATATACCGCGCAGAGCAGATTCCAAGGCTCCACAAGTCTCCAAGTCCAGCGTGGACTGCCTAGAACCTTGGAAAGCCATGAATACCCACAAATCACAAGACATGTCATTTAGAAAGATGCACCCGGACTGTCTTCACCTCCGTGTAGTTCTCAAGGGCATAGGATCCCAGCTCGCGGCCTAAACCCGATTCTTTGAATCCACCAAAGGGCATTTGGTAGTGGAGAGTGTTGTAGTTGTTCACCCAGACAGTCCTGTTTCAAGGGAAGTTAGCGGATGCTTGGCAAATCCTTCAAACTCGTTGACTCACCCAGCTTTGACGGCATTTGAAACGCGAATCGCAGTGTTAATATTTGTGGTGTGCACAGCTGCAGCTAGCCCTAATATTGACCCACCTGTTAGACGACAAAAAGCAAACAATTGCAGGGATCTTGGGCACATACCGTAATTCGTCTTGTTGGCCACTTGGATGGCTTCTTCTTCGCTGCGGACTTTCTGCACGGTGCAAACCGGTCCAAATATTTCTTCTCTGACGATCGTCATGTTCTCATGAACATCCGCAAAGATAGTTGGTTGAATATAATATCCTTCGGTACCATGTCGATCACCTCCGGTGATTACTTTGGCACCAGCACTCTTTCCATCTTGAATGTAACTCATAATACGGTCGTATTGGATCTGGGACACTTGTGGCCCTTGGAAAGTCTCGGAGCTGAAAGGATCTCCGACCTTATTCTGCTCAGCTCGTTCTTTGAAAAGCTTCAGGAATTCATCATGAATATCTTCATGGACAAGAATACGAGATCCTGCGCAGCAACATTGTCCGTGGTTGAAGAAAATGCCCAGGTTGACCCACTCGACTGCCTCTTCCAGGTTTGCATCGGGAAGAATGATGTTCGGTGATTTGCCTCCCAGCTCGAGGGTAACTTTTTTCAAGTTACTGTCAGCAGCTGCCTTCATAATTTGACGCCCGATGAGAGTAGACCCGGTAAATGCGACTTTGTCAATGTCCATGTGAGAGGCTATCGCAGCGCCAGCGGTTCTTCCAAATCCGGAAATGACATTGACCACCCCAGGTGGGAATCCCGCTTCTTTGATGAGCTTTGCAACATAAAGTGCCGAGAGTGGTGTTTGCTCGGCTGTTTTCATAACAATGGTGTTTCCCGTCGCGAGAGCAGGGCCGATTTTCCATGCAAACATCAGAAGCGGAAAGTTCCATGGAATAATTTGGCCACACACACCCACGGGCTCGTGGCGTGTATATGTCAAGCTGTTGGGATCGGTGTCGATAGTTTGACCGTAGATTTTGTCTGCCCATCCGCCATAGTAGCGCAGGCATCCTGCGGAGGCGTTGACATCTCCCTTGGCCATTGTCACTCCTTTGCCATTATCAAGGGCTTCGACGGCGGCCAATGTCTCGATATCACGTTCGAGGAAATCCGCGAGACGGGTGAGGAGGCGACCACGCTCGGATGGTGTGACATCTTTCCACTCTCCATTCAGTGCGTCGCGGGCAACTTTGACCGCAATGTCGACATCCTTTTCTGTGCCTTCGTGAACAGCGACGATGGGCTTCTCGTTGTGTGGGTTGATTGTTTCAAACGTCTTTCCTTCCACGCCCTTGACAAACTCATTGTTGATAAATCTGGGAGGTTTTTATTAGATCGGTTGTGTCTGAGTATTTAGCGAGCTTCCACTTACAAACCCAGAGGCTGCTCATATGTGACCACGGGGGTCTCCACAGTTTGGAAGAGAGACATAATTGAGATATAGAGATGCTGGTATAAGATCTGGTTGTTTCTGAAAAGTCTGGGGAAGGATCATTGGGATTATATAGGCGAGGAAAGGGTCTCACTCAGCGAGAAACGTCGGGGCTGTGAATCGCGGGGAAGCTTTACGATCGATAAGTGCCGGCCCGATGGTTTTCGTTCTCTGTGATGGAATCCTTTCAGATCTAAATTTCTCATTTGGGTCAAGGTTCCTTTCATCCGAGTTGATATGACTGGTGAGCGACTGAACTTTAGCACGGCCTTGGAGCAGTCCTGAAAGAAAGTATGCTGAGAAACGAGATGCGCACATGATCATTTACACGCCAGACGCACTTTGCTTTTGTTTGAAAATAGGGATTTGGATTTGAAAATAAATTGCATCATCGAAATTCCCTCATTTCTTGGCTTTCTAGTAGAAAATGATATATTTGAAACTATCCGATGCTGTTGATGCTGTCGCTTCAGCATTTTATACTGCACCTAGCTCCACTCGAGGACTATATTCGATGCATACCCCCCCCTAGATGTACTAGAATCGTTCATATCGTCACCTGGGAATTCACGGACATCCAAAAGGATAGGGTTTCAAAAATCAGATACATTTAGATGATGGTTTTTGCATGTCGATCATTCCCAGGTGATAGCGGCTTGTTTCGTATTGCGGGCACGATCGAAAAGTGTAAACTTTTTGTACGTAATAACCAGGCCCTCGGGAAACCCAATTTCAACATCAATTGCTATCCCGTGGCAGTTATTCAATGGCACCTCAAGCTTATGAGGCGTAAACATGACTGGTGAGATAATTTGTGCAGAATCGAAAGAAGCTTATATTCGTAATCTCAATATATACAGAACTGCGGGTCCAATAAAACATTCGGGACCTGGGTGCAAGACGCCGAACACACTCACAATAAACCTGAGCCTCGTGGCCCAGGAACTTGATATTTATTCAGGTAGTTCAAGGACATAGCGACCGGCAATTTTGCCTTGTTCTGGTATAAGTTAGCGGTATGATCAAGAGACCCAACATTGAAAGATCGACTAACCCATGAGCTCAAAGATCTTGGGAAGATCTTCCAGAGGAGCCAGTTTGAATGGTGCTTTGATCAAGCCTCGGGCGAAGAAGTCAAGAGCTTCCACACCATCCTGTTGGTTGCCAACGTAGCTGCCCTTGATAGTGATCATTCGGACAACAGTGTTGATCACAGGTGCTTTGAGGAATGCATCGGGAGGAAGTCCGATCGCAACAATTGTGCCACGAGAACGAACGTATTCCGAAGCTTGCTGGAAAGGCTTTTCAGAGACCGCAAGCAGAATAACTGCATGGGCACCAAGACCTTCTGGTGTAGCCGCTTTGACGTCTGCAACTAGGTCCTTGGACTTTGTGAAATCGACGTAAGTCTAGATTGGTATCTTGGTCAGATTCTGTGTGAAAGTTTCCCATGGGCAGGGGGCTGCATGCTCATACCTCTGTGCCGAGCTGTTCACACATCTCTCTCTTCTCATCACCTCCATCGATAGCAATCACTCGAAGACCCATAGCCTTGGCATATTGTTGGGCAAGGGATCCCAGGCCACCACCAGCTCCAACAATGGCAACTGTCTGACCCGGCCGAACGCCAGATTCCTTCAAGCCTTTGTAAACTGTGATTCCGGCGCAGAGAACAGGAGCGGCGGCATCCAGAGGAACTTCCTTGGGGATCTTAGCAGCATGCGTAGCCTTGCCAACTGCGTATTGTTGGAAAGTTCCGTCAACAGTATATCCGGAGAGCTGCGCATCAGCGCACAGGGGAGTGTCGGATTGTCTGCAAAATTCACACTCAGAGCAAGATCCATTGAGCCACTTGATACCAGCATGATCGCCAATCTCAAATGTGCTGACTAGGTCTCCCTTGGCTACAACGACTCCCGCTCCTTCATGGCCGCCGACAAGGGGCATCTTCACTGGAATAGGCCAGTGGCCCATCATCGCGTGGAAGTCGGTGTGGCACACGCCTGAGTAACGAATCTTGACAAGAATCTGATCAGGGGCTGGCTTTGGGACAGGGATCTGCTTGAGCACAAGCGGGCCTCCGATCTTCTCGGCCACCTGCGCCCATTGAGTCTCGGGGATAGACATGTTGTTTGAAATTGAACTTCGAAATGTGTTGTTGATTTGCTGAAGAGATGGATATTGTTTGATAATGATTCCGATTGCATGTGGATGGTCTCTGGGCTTTATAGCCCCCGGCGCTGGAAGGAAGATCCCCGGATAAATATTGACATTGCGGGGGCGCTGTCGCTTCGAGCTGCAATTCCCAGATTTTCTCATTCTCACCGGAAGCATATCGGGCAACCGGAAAGTGTCCGAATTGATAGACTACTCGGAATGCCGGCGCGAATTGATTGGGTGTCAGTGCGCATGATTCAGGGACATGCAGCTTGACTTGAAGCACAGCAAAATTTATGCGGGGAAGGTTTGCGGAGATCGCGCACGGCCCGCTGTGCGGAGCCGCATATGCTGCGCATGTGATTGGCTGCGGCGCCGTTAGGGTCAAATCTCAATTACCCGCTGGTCCGGTTTCAGGTGATCGTTTGATGGCGACCGAAGTCGGGGGCATAAGGCTTGAGGATAGGGGCTACGCCTGGATGGAGGGAAACAGAGAAGTGTGGGGGAGATAAACCGCTCGTCTCCTAGGTTACGGCCCTAAATCTTCAAGCCTTGTTGGTTGGGGTGATCAAGTTGGGTGTAGGCCTGAAGTTGGGCGGAAGTTTTTCAATGTTCATCATAATATGAGAGTCTTTTTTATCTTAACTGTTACCTCTGGCTACTGAAATGCGGCTGCGAGCTTGGGTAATCCTATCAGATTGATATTTCTCAACTAGCAAGTGGTAACACAACACACAGGACAATAATCGTACAACATCGACGAGCCCAAGAACATAGCTATCTAACCTCATCACACAGCTCTATCATACATAATCTCTTGATCTTCATTTCTTTTTAGTTTCATGGCTTGTCATCGACCCCGTTAGGGAAAAATGTACCTGACCATCCACTACTGATCGTGAATCCGAGGTGTAGATTATCTTCCGGAAAGTCCTGTTTTTCTGCTGGGTTTACTCTGACTCTTTCCCCCAAGCACTGGTAAGCCGTACTCTCCTCACTGTTATCAGAATCGCTGGGTGATGTCTCTGCGAATTGCCAGTCTCCGCCACTCTGGCATGACTGGTTAAGCCACTCATTCCCCTTCGCGGCAGGGCTCATGAAAGTGCGGCCTCCAACCTCCGTGATTGGCTTAGCGGTATTGTATAAGCTCGAATCAATGAATGCTTCGAATATCTCTTCGATTGACTGGGAAGACATAGTTTGTCTTTCTCTCTCTGCGAAAGCGAGTCTTTCAGACATTAGAACTCTTCGTTGCATATCGGTATCAGTATCACTTTGCTTGACTTTATAACATACTCATGACTTTTATTGGATTGACAGGGCTGTTGTTCGGAAGAAACTCCGCGGCGTCGACGAGTTCTCGCCCTTTTTGTCGATGTGTCGGAGAGGTATTTGGGGGGCTTGCGATGTCCGTCGGCGCATTCAGACGGCATTCCGCGACTCACGCATTGTCCGCAAGGACGCTCATTTCCTGTCAAAGCTTATCAGTTCACTGGCATCAAAGCTGTTTGACTTGCTATTCATAGTCACAGCAGCTTGAGCATGTCGTCCTTACCACAGGTTTTGTGGGCCCGCTGGCAGTACAAGCAGGATCTTCTTGCCTTTTTGCGGGTTCGCGAGATTTGGAACTCGTTGAAATGCGAGCTATCTGCATCAAACATCTTACTCGTATGGTTATCGACCGTTCACTGGGCGGCAAGAAAGTTCCAAGGTTGTCATGACACAGGACACTCTTCCCGTCAGTCTTATACGAACCTTCAAGGATGTCGCTCTCATCTTCGCTAGCGCCAGGGTCCCCACAAGCCTACTGGACGCAATCAAATCCTGTGGTCATCCACTAGAGGTTCGTCCTTTTCAGACTCCCATTTGACCAGTAACAATTAAGCTTCGAAGCATTTTTCATGAGCGGCTCCGCATGGTTATGAAATCATGTCAGTGGGTGCAATCCGTCATCTTCCCCAGAAAGCGGCTAGATCTTCGTTTACTCCACATGCGGGGTAGATCTCCAAACTTTCTTGGTGCGCTTGAGCTCTAGGCGTGCGGTTCCGCATGGGATTCGGATCCGCATGATCCGAGCATCATAACTCCTTGGCGTGTGAATTCACCCTATTCAAAGCTTAATGGAATGGTTCTTCTCAGCTGCGTGACTTTTGAAGACGAAAATCCGCATCCGAAGCACCGATGTTAGGAAATGAGTGGAAGATGTGACGTTAGATGGGCCAGGAGCTCAAAGTGTGGGGAATTTCGTAGCTAAAAGCCAAGAGCTTACAGCAGGATCCAACGAATTGTCCATTTTTCAGTCAGATCACTTCTTTTTACCTGTGGGTCGTTCCACTTTTCCACCTTCGACAATCATTGAAGTCAACTAGCTTTTCGAAAGTGCGGACACGAAACAAGCAAGGAGTGCAAGTTTTCTTCTGATTGGACGCGGCAGAAAGGAATGTCTCTTCGATCTCTCTCATCTGTATCAAACTAGCAAAGTAGGGAGTAGTCTATTGCTTTAATGCATGTCAGCCGTAAACCCCGGCCCTGGCTTAAATTCCCCACATTCCCCCGGAATGAAGACTCCCAAGGCTTGTCCAACAAAACATTCATCATATATTCCTTCTCTTTTATCTCAGCGTGCAATATTGCATCGAAATTATTGCACCAACATCATGACCGATAGTAGCATCAGTCAAAATGGCGAGACCAAAGTTGCTTTCCAAAACAAGGAGAATACGCTACATGGTCTCACCACAGTTCCAACTTCCGTCACCCTGACCTCTGAACAGTTTGAAAGACTTTACCTGACCCCTATGACGGTCCGACAGTCATCAATCGCAAAGAAAGTGGGGAATCCAACACCTCTGTGAGTGTTTGCAATGTCCTTCCCATCCTAATATCCGCCATCCGTCTAATTCCCTGGCTTGGTTCACAGCGCATTAGGAGGTTTCGTCATTACTACAACCCCTCTCTCATGCTGTTTAATGGCATGGAGAGGGGCGAGTGGAAATGGAATTGCCTTCATGTAAGAGATTCTCTAGCGTGGCAAAATCAGAAAATCGTCTAACATAGGATAAAGAGGACCTATCGTTTTCCTTGGTGGACTTCTATTGCTCATCACAAGCATTCTCGAGTTCATCATTGGAAACACATTCCCCTGTGTCGTGTTTGGTACCATCGGTCAGTACACGATGCAGTATCGTTCCGTCATGCTTCTATCTTACATTCAGTGTACTGATATTCTACCAAGGCGGGTTCTGGTTCGCATTTGCAGCTACTATGATACCTTCTTTCAATGCAGCTGGTCAGTATCTGTCAATCTAGTACTTTCCCCAGCTCAATTTGTCAATCTGCTTACACAAGTCAAGCTCCATATTCTTCATCCGGTACTGATACAGCTGCCGGTCTCGCCAGCGAGAGCTTCATGAATACATACGGTGGGTGCAGTCGACAGAGTTCCAATTAAACAACGGATCTAACGAGTCGAACCAGCCTTCTTATTCATAACCATGGCAGTCCTCATGGTGATATTCATGATTTGCGCAACACGAATCAACGTCGTTTATACGCTGATCTTCCTCTCTCTACTTTTGGTGTTCCTTTTCTTGTCAGCGGCATATTGGCAGCTGGGCCAGGCAAACTCAATCGTTGGGAATCGTTGTGTGAAGGTGAATATGATTTCCCGGGTGTGAAATCGAATTCTAACTTGGCCTTTCTTATTTTCAGGGAGCCGGAGGTTCACTCTTCGTAGCAAGTCTTCTCGGGTTCTACCTACTGATCGTTCAATTGTTTGAGTCTATCGGGTTCCCCTGTTTCTTGCCTGTCGGAGATCTGGCGTCCGTATGGGAGCGTGACCAACACAAGTGAGTTTGCATGCCAATCCAATCCTGATGGTTTTAACAAGAGGCAAAGGAGCGACCGATGTGATCCCGAGGAGATGCTGAATACCCGTGATGATTAAATTATCCAGGTGTTCGTTCCTCATTCTATCCAGGAATAAATCATCATTGGATCAGGGATCAGGGTGAATATTTGTGCTGTTCAAGTAAATTGCTTCATTACTTAGCTCCACTATTCGTCGTTGCGTCGATCGGTCGGGAACACAAGAAAATGTATCTTGTTTTTTTCTTCTTTTTGAATTGTGGCTACTGGATTGTCTAACTGATTGAAAGTAAAAGATAAAAATTTTTAATGAGTTTTATCTCTATCAGATAAAAGGCTTTTAGAATTCAGAACAATAACTGCCAGCCTTCGATATCATCTGCTGTTCCCGAGGTCGCTGCGACTAATCTTGGAAAAGACGTTTCACTTGTAATATGCACGGGTGTACGCGTTGCGTAAGAACAAATTACATAGTAGCAATTTCAGCCAGCGGGTGATTTCTTACTCATTTCAAACTGCCCAGGTGGGATCAGTAACGAGGGATCCATGGATCGTAAACGGGTTCCTGCCCAGGTGTACTTACGGTCGCATAACACCGACAATTTAATCCCCTGGACAGGGACCACTCGAAACGGCAGGCAGCTGGGAATCTTGCGTTTCCTTGCGATCATTTGGTGTGGAAAAGTGGAAATTAATATAAAAATGGCCTGTTCCATGGCCGGTGATCGAAATGACGTCGCGGGGGACATGCACGACGCCAATGACGTAGACCCGTTATATGTCAACCCCGGCCGGTCTCGAGTTATTATTTTTTTCTGTCGCCTCACAAATTAACCATTTCAACACTGGAAATACAGTGGAAGACCTCAGTCTGTCAGTAGTGCATGCGCTCGAAGACCACGGAAACAAAAAAGCACAATAATGGCCAACATATCGATCAGTGCTCCCGGCTTGAGTAGCGGGGGCTTTCTTTATAACAATGGAAACAATAATGCGCGGCTATGCATTACAGCCGAGGGCGAAGAGTTCGACATGGACGTTATCAAGAGTTGGCAAGACGAAGGATTCGATGTGGTCTATCTCCCCTACAACGGCGGCGGAAAGGACTATGGCCGACGACTTCAGTCCGTAAAGGATGGTCTCGGCGTAGGCGAGAACTACGGAGTGATTGGTATGTATGATCCGTTATCGTCCCAAATTCTGCATCTATTGACATTCGCAGCTTTCGGTGACGCCGCCAATTACTGCCTCGACTTCTACATCAACTCCGTGAACGCCAGCCGACTCTGTGCGCTTGTCGCATACTACCCGAGCTTGATCCCAGATACTCGATCGCGATTCCCTATGTCCCTGCAAGTTGTCGTTCATCTGGCAGGCGAAACGGTTGATGTTCTCGTCCAGCCAGTGGCGCTTGGTCTACAAGGGAAGAAGCGCCGCCAATCGCGCCCTCTCAATGCGGGCGTTGGAACCGGCGAGCGACTCGATCTCGCATACCCTGCCTTCACATACGACAATGCTGTGCCCGGGTTTGCAGAGTCCGATGTGGAGGAATATGATCATCTTTCGGCAAACCTGGCATTCACACGAACTTTGAAGGTTTTACGAAAGGGATACTCGCGGGATCCGGATTTGGAGCGCCGAGTAGAGGACCATATTGAAGGTGGGCTCAAATGTAATTCAAAATAACTTCTTTGGGGTTGCTAACTTTGAGCGCGGTAGGCAAGTTCTTTTCATCCAATACCAGAAAAGCAATGGACGGTTATGTCCGAGACAAGACCCCGAGCGTCACCTATACGCCAACGATCAGTGGTGGGATTGGCAAAAAAGCTCTGAACCACTTCTACGAACACTTCTTCATTGGCAAACTACCCCCAACAATGCGCCTCCGTCTTCTCTCTCGAACAACAGGACCGGACCGCGTCGTGGACGAGCTATATGTCAGCTACGAACATACCCAGGAAGTTCCATGGATGTTACCTGGTGTTCCACCGACAAACAAGCGCGTTGAAATCATTCTCGTCAGCATTGTCAATCTGCGCGGCGGACGCATCTACTCGGAGCACGTATACTGGGACCAAGCGAGCGTGCTCGTGCAGGTCGGGCTTCTGGATCCGAAACTTTTGCCCAATGGAGTTCAAGGCGTTGATCGCCTCCCGGTTGTTGGTCGCGAGGCGGCTCGTCGAATTCTCCATGAAGACAACGATCTCGAACAGGAGGACTATCATAACAAGATGATTAAACGCGCTCGCGCTCGCGCGCGCCGGAACCAAATGAGCTCGCGTGCCTCGCAGGCAGGCGAATCCGAGGCTGACTTGAAGAGTGAAGCAGAGCAGTCTTTGCCTGATCGGAGTCGTAATAAGGGGAAGACGGTTCAGAAACCTAGGCCTGTGGAGCAGGAGGATGAGGGCGCTGAGACGGAGACGGAGTCGAGTGTGAAGGCAAAGTCGGAGGCTGGGGATCGATCGGCGTATGTGGAGGATGGGGCTGAGAATGGAAATGGCATCCAATCCTGACTGCAGACAACTTCACTTTGTCGAGATGATCATCAAGAATTTGTTGGTGACGTCGTTTGGGTTGAGGGATGTGGTTCAACGGTACAGCATCCACGCACTTTCAGCTCGGAGTCTACGTTTTTCTTTCTAGGGGACTTTTTATTAATTACGAGTCATGTTCTTCCTGTTGATATCTTCTGTTCAGCGTTGGTGATGGGTATCAGTTTGAGTATTATGATGGATGCGACTTCGTCATGGGAGCAAATGTCCAGGGACTTGAGTTGAAGCCGAAGATTCTCATTTTTCTTATGCTCATCGGAATGAATTGTGCAAAATAAAATTTGTGTCCAAGTAGAAAAGAGCTATCTCCAGAAGAATGTTAGATGTTCTGAAGTAGCCCGAGGTAGTTTCCTGTTTCGGCCTCAACTCTTGCTGCTTTAATGCACCACGTGGATTTGGCCAACGTCGTGCCATCTCCTTCGCTTATTCCGACACCTCAGATGCTACATGATCACTGACTCGGAGTCTAAGTCTCACAGCCATGTCCAGAATGGTACCCTAGCAAGCGAGCACATGCTTGCTACGTTCTCAATGGCACGCCATTCTCAATTCCAGGCTGGGCATGAACCTCAGGTCCATCCCAACTTCAAGTTGAGAAGCAATCATGTTACAGGCCCATTTACTTTCCTCAATCCCACTCTGGCGCACTATGCACCACGCGACCACCCAACCGTCGCCTCTCCAGAATCAGAGCAATCTCCACCGCCAACCGTCCAGCACCTCTGGCGCTCGCGCGATAACAGAAAAGGCCGCCACGCTCTTCGCGTCAGACATGGGCTGCCTTCAGATGAAATCAAAACACCACCACTGACACGCTCTGCACCGGCAATCTTCACCGGAATCCGCCGCATGATCAGCTATGCTCCATACTGGGACGTTTCATATCTAGTCGCCACAAGCTTCACCCTTGGGTCGGCGATTTGGATCATCAATGCGTTCTTCGTATGGCTACCACTTGCAAACCCAAAGACTGAATTCTCGGGCGAATCGCTGGTCGGGGGTGGCGTGACGGCCTTTGTCGGTGCGACGATCTTTGAGATTGGAAGCGTGCTACTTCTCCTCGAGGCTGTGAATGAGAATCAGACGGGTTGCTTTGGGTGGGCGTTTGAGACAGTTCTTTCGAAAACGTCCGAGGACGGGCAACCTCAGCGCGCGCGGACGGAATTGCGGCCTGATATGCAGGACTGTCGACATCATCATGCGAATCGACGGTCCTTTTTGCGGGGAAGATATGGCCGGGGCGCTGATTCGGCCCATACTTCGGAGGATGTCAGTCGTGGTGTCTCTGCGTCGGATGGGAGATCATTTCGCTGGATACCATCGATGAAGGAACTGCGCACGCATTACTTCCATGAGCTGGGTTTTCTGGCTTCATTGATTCAGTTCTTCAGTGCTACCATCTTTTGGATTGCCGGGTTCACGGGTCTTCCTGGAATATACGGCCATCTGAGCCAGGGCCTTGCAGATGGTGTATATTGGGCCCCTCAGATTGTTGGCGGAACGGGCTTCATCTTGAGCGGTCTTTTGTTCACCCTTGAGACTCAGCCAAAGTGGTACATACCTGCTTGGCATGTTCTTGGTTGGCATATTGGCATTTGGAACTTCATTGGCGGCATTGGGTTTACTCTTTGTGGCTCCTTGGGTCCTGCAAGCGCTCATTCCGGTGTGGCGTATCAATCTACACTCGCTACCTTCTGGGGATCTTGGGCGTTCATGATCGGCTCTACCATTCAGTGGTACGAGAGTTTACAAAAACATCCGGTTGAGAAGCAGAATTGATTTCTATCTCGCAACTAATTCCTCGCACATATCCCACCCACAGCTATATTACTGCTGGACGAACTGGGTCGCGTGCTTTTTGTACAGTGTGCTAGAGTCCAAAACTTCACCCGTGGAAGACCTGATGAACTCAACCTGCAAATTCTGCGCATCCAAAAACTTCAGCGTGCTGTAGCTGTAGTCATCGGCATACGCGAACTCGGTGTAAGATGGCTTGGAGCCCACGTCACTCAACCCTTCGATGTTGCCCGCTCCACCAGCGACGATATACATAGGCGCCTTGGGGTCATTCATCCCATTTGGATCGGCAGTGCCATTGACAACGGGGAGGAATCGCTGCGAGTTGTGCACGTGCCCGAAAACACCAAGATCAACACCGTACTGGTAGAACAGGCCTTCGAATGCTTCCTGGCAGGAGTCGCAGCCGCTAGATGAACCAGTCGAGTACCAAGGTCTGTGTCCGGCGACAATGACCCAGGGTGTAACTGTCCGATCAACGGACGCAAGATCGGCTTTCAGGAACTCGATCTGCTGATGAGGCGCGCCAAAAGGTCCGCCATTCAGCTTGGCAGATCCATCGGTTCCATCGGGCGCATTGGGGAAGTCAGTCTCCGTGTTGATCATCACAATGTGTGCCATTCCGTATTCAAATGAGTACCAGAAAGGCGGGTTAGAGAGACTGCGAGCCTTTCGCGCCAGAGCTTGTGCTGTGGTATTGGATGAAGACGAAACAAAAGACTCGGGCATGGTATTCTCAAAGCGGTGCAGGAAATCGGTGAAGTTTTTCTGTCCCTGTGGACAGAGATCGTTCAGATATGGGATCTCGCTGCAGTCTGCTTCGTGGTTACCTGGACTAGCCATGTATAACTTGCGGCCTGCGATTGGAGCGAGCTGGTCATAGAATTGCTCGAGAATAGACTCGTAGGCCTCTTTGCCGCTCAGAATATTCGAGAACTTCAGATACCAGTCGTCGGCGTATGCGAAGTCGCCAGGGTGAATGACTAACTCGTAATCATCCACTGTCTCGGCGAGGCGGCCGATGGTGGTGTGGTTGAGCTCGGGCTCAACAACCGGTATGGTGTCTTTTTTCTTGCTTGAGGTTGTGAAGCCGTCTTTTCCGTAAACACCCAAGTCGATCACGACGTCCATGTTGAATGCCGTGGTATCACCAGGGGTGCGAGGACTGAGGAAGTGATCTGTTGTCGAGTTGGTCGACTCTATCTTGTAGTAGTAGGTTGTCGCTGGTGTTAATCCGGTCAGAATGGCCACATTTGACCAGGTCCGAGAGGTTGCATAGGTAGTGGAAGATGACGAGCAAGCTTTTGTATCCAAAGCATCTGCTGAAAGACCGTACTGCACGCATGGTTGATCCAGCTGCTCGTACGTATTCCAACCCACGGATACGGCTATATTTTAACAAGTCAGCGGTCCCAGCTCGTACGAGAATCTCTACTATCAATCTCACCATTCGGTCCGTAAACTGCAAGTCGCTGTTGGAAAGGAGTGGTCAGGTCTTTGGGAATTGTAGGGTAGTTGACACCCGCAAGAGCACAACCAGCCCAAAGTGGGATAGATTTGAGGATGGAAATGGCAACCATGATGAAAGGTTGGTACCTGAAGGGCAACCTCGGAAGTTCAAGATGGTGTGTCGTTGCTAGCCCTCAAAGCAAGAAATGATCTCGAGACTACTTCATAGCAAGATCTATCGAGCTCTATATGTACTTCCACCTTTCATTTCACCTGGCAGACCTCGGTCTAACCTTGGAATGCATCGGAGACAACATAAGTCCTACCCAGGTGAAGTGAGGACCAATCATAGTAACCAAGCTACCCACGGCTCTTGACGTGCAGATCAATTTCCACATATCATCGCTTAGATCCGCAATTTTTCTTCAGGCACGAGGGTCAGTTAATATAAATTGTATTGGCCTAGGTAGAAAGCATCCAAGTCTCGGAGATGGTTAAGCTTTCGGGCAACGGGTAATGTTTAATATCGGAGATTAACCATTGGCCGACCCGACTTAGTGCCCACGTGTGATTGTGCCGCAGTTCGGTTGGTCTTCGGCGGATCTGATTTCATTACACACTACTTGATTGGTCTGGTTGGGGCTTTTAGATCATTTTCACATCAAAATGGATCTCCAAGGTCTTTCGCAAACCGCTGCTGGCCCCGGGGGAGAGCGAGACAAGCAAATAACCCGAGGTCTTTTGGTTGACTTATGGTTGTATACAATGAGATATCATTTCACAAGATTTCAATTAAGCTGGCCAGCACATAGAAAGTTCTATCTGCTTAAAAGAAGACAACTATCACTGTTGTGTCATCACGAGCTTGTTTTGAGTCTGGTGACTTCAGACTCATCATGCCGCAGAACAAATCAGTGTTAGATCCACCAAATGCATTTCTGACCAGATGTGTTGCTGCATTTTCATTTTCCACGACAAATTTCTCTCTGGGTACGTTCCAGTTGTACGCATATCCAGTTGAGCCAGATGATTTGGGAATTTCTCCCTCGGTGGCTGTACAATCAGAACCTCTCATATCCTCTTTCTTCTGATCCTCTAGCCACGTCTCCATGCAGTATACTGCATCATCGTCAGAGGCCATGTGATTCCAGAATCCATCACTAGCGATGATCAGAAAACTGCCTGGCACCAGATTCAGACTTTGCATGGCCGGCTTTGCGGTGATGTAGGGCGGGGTCAAATAGTCATCTTTGAAGTCTAGGCCAAAGAATTTATTCTGCCAAAGGCTGATTGAATCGCGCGGTCATTTCCATCTGCTGTCTCCAAAGCTTCTCGTCACCTCACAACCAAGAACACAGCCTCCTTTAATAGGGGTCTCTCCCGGGTGTTCAGCATTGATGCGAGAAACCTCATCAGGATTTGAGCCAGTTTGATCTTTGGAAAGCGCGACCGCAGTCCATCCGGCCCCCGGCTTGTTACTCTGGCCCATCACAACCCTGGAATCCCCCGAGCACGCTGCATATAGCATCGAAGAAACAGGATCAAGGAATACAAGACTAGCACAGGAGCCGGAGCTAGTAGGAGCAATTCGACACATGGCTTCTGCATGGGGGATGTCGTCGCTCATTGCATCAATTCCGTCCGACGTGATCTCATCGTCAAGTTCTAGAAAAGCTGATTCGAATGCTGACATGACGCTTTCGACATCTCGAATACTTTCATCTGTGAGTGTGCCGAGGTGACGCGCGACACGTCGGGCGATTATACTGCTTAAGACTTTTGCTGTCGCCCAGCCGCTACAGATCAGGTAGGTCATGGTGTTAGATCGGACATGTCCCCTCAAGGATAATGAGGTCAAAGCTTACGAATGGCCGTCAAAAACTCCCCAATAAAGCCACTTTTCCCCCTCCTTGACTTCGATCTCACCGTGTGAGAACTCATCCTCGACAGGGGAAAGACTTGCGATTCTGCAAACATCGGTTTGGATATCCTTTCCAGAGATTGGATGAACTGATTTCGTCGTCGATTCTTCCGCGCGCAATTTCACAGAGGCCTCTGCAAGGGAAAGGGGTTGATGACTTGCGAATTTGAAGTCGTAGGCGATATGCTTCTTGATTCCTTCTAAGCGTGCGACGTTGTCTCTGTGGGCGTCACTCATGTTGAATCGAGAGCAATGATGTTCGAGCTCGAATAAGTTTCGAAAGCTTTACAGAAAGGGCTGGCCGAGACGAGTAATATTCTAGGGACACGAAAGATCAGAAAATTTATTTCAGTGTGGTTATAGTGGTTTTTCTGAGGCGAGGAAGGTATGGGCCGCGATTTAGAGCCCCTCGTGTCAGAGTCACTTGGGCAGATGGCTGCTTGGCTTTCAATATACCCGAATAACTGCCCTCATGAGCAGTTTCACCAAGCTAGGCAGCCAATGGGATGGGGGTCCGCATATTGCATTGGTCTTTGTTGGGGGCGCAAGATCCCTGCGGCTCACGCGCCGTGATGTGACTGCACCGTGGCATTCACTAGTATGTTTGCTATTGGCCTAACCCCCTACTTACCCCACACATAACCGATTAGTGCAGGAAGGAAGAGCGCCGGCGCTTAGGGTGGTCTATTTGGGAGCTCGATGTTTTTGCTGCCGCTATTGGACATCGTCGGCCAACTGTCGACAAACGGAACATGCAGGACATCCTTTCTGTCTCTGATGGGAAATGGTTCTCAAATACTCCGTACGTCATTGGAGTCTGCTATCGTTGAACCGATCCCAACGAAGGCCTGGTGGACTCTGGAGAAATGTCAAAATCAAGACGCTCGTCCCTGATTTCTTCTCGCCAATTTCATTCTACTGTCTGCACATGAACTGGCACAATCCAAGAATCCATTCAAAGAAGATGACAGAGCCCTCGAAACGGCTGTAGCATTGTGAATAATGCCGCGAGGCAGGTCAGTCCAGCTGATGCGGGTTTGTACCGCCCTGCTAGGCCATCCTCCCTCTGACAATATACCTATACCCTTACTGGCTTCTTAGCCTTGCTTTATTCCCCGATTAGGAATCTCTCTAAGCCTGAGGAAGATGTCTTATGAAACCACTATGATCACCCCAGATTGCTCGTCTGACCCACTCATCGAGGAGGTCATCTAGGGCTGCCAATCAAACTTGCCCATAACCAGCACTTCATTTAACCTCACCACTATCGATTGCAACCTGTCATGTTTCAAAAGACATCCAGCCAATGGTAAGGTGCTCCTTTCCAGCAATCAAGCATTTCTAAGCCTTCTTAGAGGCGAACAGCCGTTCTCTGGAATGTATGACAGAAGCCCACATACCTCACGTTGTCATAGATCGGCGTTCTATCGACACTCTGGGACTGGAATGTACAGCAGGCCAATGAACTGAGAGGCAGGTAATTAAAGAGCACTTGCCAGCCCCTAAGTATGACGTTAATCTTTCAAGTACGCTTTCCATCCAGCATCATAGTCATTCCACTCATTCTTCCCCGCCATCTCATTACTACAACACCAGGTGGAATGATGGGATCAACGCATATATAAGATGCACTAACCTCATGGATCTTCCTCTCTACAATTAAGATCTTATCCATCTCAACATCTCAGCATTTATCTCCAGTGCTCAGATACCCTTTCGCAACCATGCATTCCCTCTCCACATCATTCCTCGCCCTTTCCATGCTCTCAAGCACCGTCTCCTCCCAAGGGACTGCCAGGGTATGGACACACTTCTATCCCAACTGTCCAGGAGACACATTCACCAAGCTTGACACCTACGAAAACTACGAAGAAAATGCTCCCTCTCAAGATATCACAGTCAACAGCTGCAAAAACATCGCAGTCCCCTCCTACGAGCACAGCCTCGTCAGCGCCGTCTCCATCGACGCAGAGCTCCTCACCCACGACCACGACCTCCCCTTCCTAGAAGGCGGCAGCGGCTGCAACATCACCGTCCACGAGGTCCCAGAATGCATCGACGAACCCCTGATCAGCAAAGAAATCCGCAACGGAGTCGAAATCAGCCAATGCGAGAAGCGCGCATTCGCAGCATACAGTCAAATCTGGGTAAATCTCATCTGTGACGAGGATAGCCCTTTACACGAAGACAAGATCCCCACGCCTGGCAAGGCTGCTCAAAAGCAAGCCAATGTTCAACAAGGCGTTCCCACCAACCAGCCCGATGCACCTGTTCGCGCTGAGAAACAAACTTCCGTTGATGATATCAACAATATTCAGACACCGGGGTCGAACTCGGATACTTGGAGAGTGGCTCAGACTACGAATAATCAGCGTGAGCCTGCGCAGGAGAGTCGTGTCAACAATGCTGGTCATTCTGAGAGTGAGCATATTGTGCATGAGATGATGGAGTTGTTGAAGAATAAGACTTCGCAGATTGTTTCGGCTAAGAATAATGGTACGCAGCACTTCAATTTCAGTCATGGAAATGGCACTGCTGCGGGTAACCGCACTATGATGGCTCGTCGACGTCTGTCGGTTTTGCGGAACCGGGTTGCCCGTCTCATCTAGGCGCAATGCTCAGAAGTTTGAAACGTTTTGATTTTGGAGCGCTTTGATGTTTGATTATGTTTTACGAACCTGCGAGAACCTTGGAACTTTTATGTATACTAGATAGAAATCAAACAAAAGCCACTGGCACGTTATCTTTTTTTCATTTATTTTGTCCTGCAAACTTGCCAATTGTTGCTATGATTGGGCTTGTCCCGATGTCATTGGCGAGAGCGTTGCATGCTTTTCAAACAATGATAGATTGATCAATAGATATTACATCAAGCAATGTGGTACCATGCAAGCAGGCCTGGGCGACTATAACCTCAGAATCCAAAGCTGTCCAACAATGAATTAGCATCTGGCTCGTGGAACATCGTCGGCGCCTTTGGCTTTGGCTTCGACTGCTCTGTTGGGACGTCCTTCGGTGTCTCCGACGCTGCGGGCTTTTGTGCCGTATCTGCCAACCTCACCGGCATATCAGCAACGACGAGGCTGCTCCGCCGGCGAAGTAGCTTCCGATAGTCGACATCATCGCCATTCATCTGGATGGATGTGTCCGGCTTCATAGAGTCCTGGGTAGGAAGTCCACCAAGGAATTCCCAGTGGCGTACGAGATCCAGAGCGAGGAAATCACATCCCATACGATCATAGAGTCTGGCATTGCGACAAACGAATTCCCATTCTTCTCTTGGATGCACTTTAGACGCACCCTTGAGAGTTTGGAGGGTCTTTGCGCGCAGCTGGTGATATAAGACCACCAATGCGGGATCGTTCGAAAGATAAGACTTTGATTGAAGCTTGACGCGTCCTGGACTACCCGGTGTGGCAGGGGTTCCCGGCATTAATAGAGTCTCAACCGGTGACTGGAAGTGATTAGTCGGGTTTTTGCAACTTGCGCGAAATAACTTACAATCAGTGCTCGCACTGCCATATCCCGTCTACCCAACATCCAGAAAGCCCAAGAGGCCATCCAGCGGTTTCCCTCAGAAGCTGCTAGGGGAAGGAGTCTCTCTTCGAGAATCTCTCGTAGAACGGGTCCAGTGTCCCCTTCGTAAGCTCGAGTTATAGCAATTGCAAGTTGAATATCACCCATTTGATTGATGAGAACATTCGCAGCGTCGCGAAGATGATCGGCCAGGAGGAAGAAAGATGCGGCGTATTCTGCAAATGATCAGCACGGGCCATTGTCGAAACAAAGCAGGACAAGCAACATACCGAATCGCCGTTTTCCAAGTAAAGCATATGCATTCTTGAGCGCCGATGTCTTCCAGCGCGCTTCGGTAAAGTCATTGGCAAGGAGACGCTGGGTGGCTGCTTGTTCACGATTCCAGTGTGCGATCCGCCAAAGCCCCTGTAAGACGTTCTTTTTCCTCAGGGCAAGATAGTAAAGCGTGCAGTCGGTTGGGTTTCTCTCTTCCGTCTTGGTGTATTCGCACCGGGCAAGTATCTCAAGTTGTGCTTTCTGCTCGGTGGTTAGGTCGGTGTGGAAGTCGTGATGGAAACGCACGTACCACAGATGTTTGATCTGACAACCACATGAAAAGTCCACTCTCCCGAGCTGCTTTCCATGTTAATTTTGCACTGAACTGTCGAGACACAAGGTCTGTCAAAATGTCCTGGCTGCTACTGTGGTAAGCCCAAACGATCTCTCTCCATGAGACAGTGTCTTTGTTAGCCACTCCTTGGATCTTTCGCAGCATATGCTGTCGGAAGAACAAAAGATAGCGAGCCGCATTATCATCCATAGATCGTCGGTGCTTGTCAACCATAGCGACACACTCGATGGTATCTGCTAAGCGGAATTGCTCATGGCTTGAGAGCTGAGGCAGGGCAATCCGCGCTAGGCACTCGTTAAGTGCACTTGCAGCCTTTTCGTCCATCACCGAAGAAATCTCCTCTTCATTAACGTCAAGATAGGAAGAGCGCAGTTCTTTGGCGTTCGATTGTTGCGCAGCCTGCAATTGTCAGAAAAAAAAAAAGAAAGGAAATGGGGTATATTAAATACTGACATCTTCCTTGTAGAAGTATTCAACGGGCATCTCCAGGAAGCCATCGAGCTCATCACCTTCCGTGTAAAACTTCAGCTTTTTGTGCAGGTTTAGCAAAATTGAATGTACCAGGTTGGTCTTTCCAGAAAGAATACACTGTGCCAGATATTGAGGGTGGAAGACAGGCAACGGGCCGTTGAGACGGCTGACGACATCGAAGAGATCGACGGAAGAGAGCCCTCTTGAAGGCATGCGGAGTTCAGACACAAGTCGATCACCAACATCAATGTCTTTGTCATAAACGAACAGCTGGTTTCCAGCTCCGATGACCAAATGCCCATTGTTCAGCCAGCAGGAGTCTCCTATAGGATGGGGGTGAGATCTCGAATCCAAATTTCTCGAACTTGCGTCCATGATGGCCGTGAATCCAGGTAGTCATAGCGAAGTTGCGATAAGAGAACGACCTTGTGGGGGAATCCCACGGCTAAAATGGACTGCTTGTCTGGTGTTGAGGTCCAGTCCAGGTCCCTAATGATATCATGTGCAGCGAAATGTTCCTCAAACTCGAGTTGCGCGTTATTCGTATCCCAAATAGTGAGGTGGGTCTTTGTCTCGTCAATGAGGGCTGCCTTCCGGATAGAGCTACCGGAAGCTAGCGCAGGATTTGTGATTCCTGTATCAACGGTGGATTGTAGTAGCCAGTCAATCTTGACATTCGTCGGATCGACCTTGGCGGTCCATGTCCTGACAACTCCGCTATTGGTGTAAGAGAGCGCGATATCAGTCGAGAATGAATCGAAGAATTTCGAAGTTTGGGCCTTTGGGCCAGCCGGGTCCACGGGGAGTATGTATGCGACCTCTTCATCTAAGCCCATATCAAACGTGCAGAATGCACGCATAATCTGATCTGGATTGGTTTCGGGTGTTGTTTTTCGGTCATCGAGACTAGGCGACCGCACTTCCCACACAATTCCGCGCATATCGGCCCATATTGTTGCGATATAGGCAACGCCTGGATGTGTTTCGGTGCTGGGGATTGACAAGACACAAAGGGGTTTCGTGGGTTTGGTAAACGGCAGAGAAGCCAGCTTCTTAGCATGGTTTGCGCTGAAATCCCACAGTGAGATGCCTTTGTGATGAAGATTGACCAGAAGATCAGTGTCGTCAATCACACACGTCCGATGAATATGCTCATCTGAGAGGAGAACACTCTTGTGCGCAATTGACCCCCCATTTCGGCGCTGCTGCTTCCACACAGTGGCTTTATTTTCATTAGTACGCGACACCAATGTATCGCCAGTTGCGTTGCGAACAATCTTCTTCACAGGAGCAGTGTGACCCGACCAAGAGGCCCTTTGGGTTATTCGCTTCTTGCGAGGCGCGGGATCGAAGAGGACATCCACGTGGGAGTCATACCACTCAATCCGGCCATCGTAGTGATGGACTAGAACAGTCAACTTGTCGTCGGATAATGTACTCTGGAATGCGCTAATTTGTGCATAGTCCTCTTGTGGTGCTCTGTCAAATGCAAATCCGAATTCCAAGCCCTCCACATGCAGAATATTGAAGACACTTAGATTGGTCTTTGCTTTGGAGCCAACGTCCTCCAATGCCCAGGCAGACATGTGTCCCTCGCCATCGGTGACAACGCATATCTCCGGGGCATTGCTCGCAACCTCGATAATATGTTCTAACGCATGATTCGCTCCGTTCCCGGTGCTTCGCTGAATAGCGCGCTCTGTTGCGACACAGAAATCGCGGCCATCAAGAATGAATCCATACCGTCGATGTGAGCCATGATGTTTGTCCGACGCAAGTCTCGGCTGAACCGACTTTCCCATGTCAATCTCCGTCCATAATTGCAACGCAGATAGTGCATGGTGGTCTGTCACAGCCCATACTCGAATCTTATTGTCGGCGCAAAATGTATAGAGAACGTTATCCATAGATTGTTCGGGATGCCGGGGTAGTCGCCAGTGTATGCCGGTCACAACGTCAGGATGTGGCAGATACGAGACCTCGAATCGAACCTCGTCTGCGCCGAACGCAAGTCGTCTCCAGATCTTGGCCAATCGGTCATACCGTCCGACTGTGACAATCAAAGCTGAATCAGGCGAGAACTGGGCAAATTTGACCGGCGCAGCAAGCTTCCTTTTCCATACTAGGCGCGGCTCATCGTTCATGAACCAAAGGGCGAGGCGGGAGTTACCCACTAGGAGCTCATTCGCGGAACCCCACGATAAAGTATAGATCGGTTCGTCGTCATCGGAGGCACGAAACGTGTTCAGGAGGGACCACTAAATCAACCCATGTATCAATATCAATCGTATCTCTCCACGTAAACACTTGGTAGTTCGGGCCACGTAGAGCGGGCTGGGTGCGCACCTTGAGCGTTTCACCCTGGATGCCATACGGCTGGTACACAAACACATCGGGGCCACCACAGACAGCAATCTTTCCAGACGATTCATCAATCACGACAGCTTCAAGTATATCGGTATCGTCGACGTAGATCGTTTGGAGGAGTGTTTGGGGACCGCCGAGGATGACCAGCGCATGACCAGAAATGTATGCCTATTGAGTGCGCGGGGCCAGAGTCAGCGACAACGAGCTTGAATCCAGCAATGGAGCTGTATGGCTAGACAATATAGTTGCTGGGATACTTACAACAACGCGAAGACCATTCCAGAGCGCCGTGCTGAACGACTGGAGCTTAGCTGGGGGTCTGCCTGGCAGTACCGCTCGCATAGAGGCGGTTGATTCGGAGGGACGCTCGTTGCGCTCAGAGCCACGTTACACCATTTCCAGGTCCAGTAAAATTGTATATGAGCGGATCGAGCTGCGAAGGGATGAAAAGGGGAAGGTCGACTGGTTTTGGGGGGTTGTTGGGGTAGACGGAGGGTAGGCGGAGGTCGATTACGCTGCCACTCCACTTAGTATGACCTCCTTCCAAGCCACATCAAGCTTGTCTACAATGACTTTAGGGTATATTGTATCTATATAGGCATTTTGTTAATCAATTGCCAGCTTCAGAATACCAGATTCCGAACATATAGCTCCTTTATTTCGTACTTATACAGCTTCCACTTCCAAAGTTCTAGGCAATACGTGATAAGCATCTAATCAATAGTCCCGAGGTCCGTTGTATATATCTCCTCAGTCTACATCCATGAATATTTCCAAGTTTATATCTTCCAATCCCCGCAGGTTGACTCAATATAAAAGGGTTGTCCAATGTTATTATCAACCCCAGGAGTATTGAAATCCTCCAAGGTTCCCAAGGTCTCCAGTCTACTCTTGCTTCCATACTTGGTAGCTTTTCTTACCTTCCTTGTTTGTTATTAGTTTCTTCGCCAAATTAGACCTTCTTACTTACTCCAAACCTGCCTCCATTACTATTTATTGTAATTTCCATTCTTTATTCAATAGACCTTAAGTGAACAGAGAATTAGTGATTGGAGATTCAGAGACTGTAAATCACGTGACAGACTACTATCTTGCACGAGAATCGTGAGGTCTTCAAACAACATCACCGATAATCGCCGCATTTCAAATGGCTTTTGTACTCTTTTCGAAGACACTGCGACGATTTCTATCGGTATGTTGTAGTCTCAAGGAGTGGATAGTGATTGCGTTGATTTCTCCTTTGTCACGCCTGATCCACTGGCCCACTCATCACGATATTGAAGCGGTATAACTCAAGCCCGTTTCTTTTCATTACAACAGTTTCCTGACCAACTTACATAGGGGCCTCAAAATGATTGTGAAGCAAATGAACCTAGACACGGAAAGGTCGAAACCATTACCAGAGATGCTCAAGGACAATTTATCTCTGGCGGGCTAACTGGGATTGTCGAACTCCTTGCTGATGGTACCGTCCTCAAATCGCCATTTCCTGACGCTGAAATGGAAAACCACATCCTGTACATTGCCAAAGAAGCCAGTATCTATCATCGCCTTGACCTGCATGAAAGGCTAGTACGGATGTTGGATCACTCCAGGGATGGCCTTATTCTTGAGTATATGGAAAACGGTGACATCAAACCGCGGAATTTCGTTTTGGACTCAACGCTCAATATCAAAATCATTGATTTCTCTGGCTCTTCGCTAGACGGGTCTAGACCGGCCTCTGGTGAGGGAACTCGATTCTATCTCCCACGACATTGGAGAGACCCACCTACCGTGGCTACAGATCTGTTTGCGCTCGGGTCGACTCTTTACGAGGTTTTTCAGGGGACCAGTCCCTACGAGGAGATTCCTAGCGATCAAGTGGAAGAAAGATTCAAGAGAAAGGAGTTCCCTGATGTTTCTGCTATTCCATACGGACAGATCATCAACCAGTGTTGGTTGTCCCAAGTCGATTCAGCTGAACATGTGCAGGCTTTCATGCGAGATGTAATTCGTAGCGAGCTCAACGCCGACCATATCCCTCATTTCGATGGTTAAGACATTGCTCCGACACAGACTTTGTCACGTATCAGTTTAGTATAGAGTTCTTGGTAGTTCCAAGGTTACGTAAATTTATTTCATAATTGATCATCTCATTCAGTCATGGCAAAAGTACAAAATCAATATACCCAAAACCCAAAAACCAGAACCCTTTCAGTTCGCTATATGTTGCGCCGGATGATGCATGGAATAAAACACGATCGCACCTATCAACAAATGAGAGGAAAGGTATAAGCACTGATGTACATGAAACCAAAGCAACGGCCAAGTTCCAATATTGGGACATAGAAGGGATCAAGGACGTCGGTTCGCCGACCTACGACCATCAGTCGGAGATTCAGGCGGTTCTTCGTCCACGAACCGAACGCTAGTACCGACCGAGCTTCGCCGGCCCGTGCGTGGCCGCTTGGAAGATGTAGTGAGAGCAGTTGTGGTCCCGGCGCGGAGCAGGCGGCTTGCGAAGGGTGTGCGCATGGGGGTGGCGGGGGTGGTAGAGAGTTGAGCGAGGGCTCGCGCTCGGGCTGCTCGTTTGGATGGAGAGGTAGTGAAGTTCGGGGTCGCCAATGGGCTTGCAGAGATCGGGTCATGAGAGGTGGCTTGAGAGGTTGATGTGATGTCGCTGAGCTTGAAGGGAGTTTCCGCGGGGTCTTGGGACCATGGGTCGAAGAGCGCAGACCCGGCACCATCCACGTTTCCATACGTTGACATCGGTCCTGGTGTCATGGATGGACCGGCGGTGTCACGGGCTTCAAGCTTCATACGGGCACTGTCAACCCAGTCGCGGAACATGTTCCTTGAGTGTTTTCGTAGGTTCCTCTCACGCATGGCTTCGGCCGTTTCGGCATGATTGCTGACCTGGAAAATGCGGAGGCTGAGCTTGCGAAGGGCACCAGATGCTCCGCGCAGAACGTGAAGGCGATGTACATTGTCTGCTTGGTCTTCCATCTCACGGCGGATAACGAAGGTCTCGGACATTTGCATGAGCTGGTCAAATGCAACTTGTCGGAAGTATGAATCGTCAGCATCCTGCACCTCCTGGATCCTCTTGTTCGTCTTCTCATGCCATTGAGCAAAGATATCGGACGTATCAACCAGCAATTTGTCCCGATCAACATCGGCAGCTTGTTGCTCCATATCCACGATGACCTGGGTTTTCGATGCCCAAGCAAACAAAGCCTTCGATGCAAGGTTGATTTTCACCATTCGTCGCACTTTGGCATACGCTTCTTGGCGTCGCCTCTTACCAGAATCGGACTTGGCTTTGCGCCATTGCTTCATCGACTTCTTCATTAAGAAATAGAACCGCGCATCTTGGGCCCAACCCTCCATTTTGATCACTTGCTGATGTCTTTCCCGCCAGATACCAAGTGACTCAGCTGCCAAGCGTGGAGCATAGAACTCCGACGCAATGTACTCTCGCTCACGCTGAAGCTGCACTTGGTCACGCCAAATCGCAAACTTAGATTGAACCAGAGACTCTGCCTGTTTCTCCTCATAAGCTTCCGCGTGGAAGAGTAAACGAGTGTAAGTATCTCGAGTGTTCGTCACAAATCGAGAAAAAACTTCTCGTTTGATGCGCTGCTCTCGGATTCTTCGCATCAATTCATATCGTTCCATTAGGATCCATTTGTACATGGCTTCCATCTTCAGACGCTCGTCAATTCGAGCGCGGAGCGCCAAACAGCGAAGAGTATCGTTCCACGAAATCCATGAATTACGTTGAATGCGATAACGATCCACGTCTTCGGCCTGCTGTATCATGCGGGCCTTGCCAACCCACTGTGAGAGAGCAGAGCGTAAAATTCTAGAGTCGACCATCAGAGAAACCTGAGAAGCAGCCGGAGCCAGCCGGGCCTGTATTCTCCATTCAACAAAGGTTTCTTTGAGATCGTGCTGACGTCGGGATCTCTGAACATCATGCTCAGCCATGGCAATGTCGCGCGAGTGTTGAGACCATGTTTGTAGAACCGAAATAAGAGATGATCGCTTGTTGTGGAGATCTATTTCATGATCACGCTCGCGGATGTTTCGGAAATTTCGAAGCCAGGACAGAAGCGAACGTCTTTTCAGTCTGTAGTCGGAAACTTCAAGAACGCGGCGATCACAGAAACACCACCACCAGTGCCAAAATGATGACTTTTGAACTTTTGAGTTGCGTACGGCAACTGCCTGATTCTCTGCATCCCTCAAGTCTTGAACCTTTTTTCGCCACGCTTGGAATGGCCTCTTCAACGCGAAACGCTGAGCCTTCAGTTCATTGACAGCGGTGATCTCACGCCAGGCTTTGAAGTATTTTACACTTAGAACGTGTTTTCGAGCAGCGGACGTGCGAGCTACCTCTTCCGATGTAAGCTGAGCCCAATGACTGAAAGCTTTGGTCATCAGATATAGCTCACGTGCACGGTTGGCACGCGTCTCAAGATGCTTGAAGAAACGATCTGTGCGAGCCGAATGGCGCTTCTCTTGAATGACTCCCAACCAAGGATCAAAAGCCTGTCTGAGAAGCAGACTGCGGTCATAGCTAGTCGCCAAGTTTTCCCTCGTCTCGCGAGTTTGTCGGGCTTGGAAGGCCTTTTTCAGCCAAAGTGTCAGAATGCGACGGCAGATCGACCGTTGTCTGTACATGTTGAAGGTCGATGCATCCCGAAGGAGATCTGAAAGCTGGGGACGGTAAAGGAACTCAGGGGGCACTTCTTCTTTCTCAAATGAATCATTCTCGGGGCCTTGCGACATGATCGACTCCACTTCTTGGGACTGCGAACTGTCCGAGGATTCAAGAGATGGGGATCGATGGGAACGCGAGGCTTCTGCTGCTCTCTTCGAGCGATCACGGGAAACAGCTGACCTTGCGATAACTCCATTTGTCAATGGAGGGGACTCTTCCGTTTCATGTTTGTTTTCCACACCATCAAATCTGCTCAGAAGCCGGCGGCCCACGTCCAAAAACTGACTGATCAATTGAGTACGATCCGGGGACTTCAGAGGTCCTGTATCTTTCTTATGGGTAGGTGACAATTTATGCTCAGAGAACTTGGGTTTACCAATCTCGAGTCGAGACATTGAGGAGCGAGAGCTGGGACGGTTGATGAAGCTTCTCTGTGTAGCGTCCTCGCCAATATCATATGTAGTGTTGAAGGATGCGCGCCGTCTTGGAGTCGGTGGCACACCATTCGGAATGTGTGAATGTTCATGTTCATGTTGATGGTCGTTGTTGTAATCAACAGACTGGCTGTGCGTAACCTCCACTGTATATTGACCAGAGTTTTGCGTCTCATTGATATTTGTCGATCCCTCGTCACCGAATTCAATCATGATCCCCATTTGCTGGAGCGCGTTCTCGAACTTGTCGTAGAGTGTCTCGCCGTGCACGCCTTTGCTTCCCATCTTGAACAAGAAGCGCAAGCACGCATGGCCCGGGTCCACGTTGACGCCATGTTCCCCAATGGCTTCATCATATGACTCGAAGAGCGCCCGGAATGGGAGTCGATTGACTTCGGGCTTGTGCTCGGCGCCGGAGATAACCTGGAAGAGGAAGCCGACATCTGTAACGCGGTCAGAGTACATTCAACGGCGGAGGGGATCAATGGTGTATTACCTTCATCTGAAAGAGATGAGCCCTCTTCGGTCACAGTTCGACGCTGAGAGGATATCGGAGGCATCGAAAATTCGCGATCTCAAGGCGCGCTTGTCGCATCTGGGTCATAGAGCTGCGGAACCAAATAGATCATCGCGAAAGCGGGATGCGCCAAAAGTACAATACATGCGCCAGTAGAGAGTTGCTTCGATCAGCACGTTCAAAGAAACAGAGTAAAGCATGCACTAACTGCACCGATTCGGGTTGTTTTGGTTGGCGCGACACAAACATGCAGATCACGTGGTGTTACGTAACATTATAGGAATTCTACATCGGCCTCAACTTCCACTTTAGTTGAGAGCGGTATATCATCAATTCTGTCTTTCAAGATGCCTGCCAGGACTCGACCCGTTGAGAAGATTGCTAAGGCCTCGGCCCAATGTTCTGCTGAGGTTGGTAGCCCGGTCGATCCCTTGCCGACCTGCATTACTGACATTCCTTCAGGTAGCGGCATACGGAAAGTGTGTTGTTACTGACTACAACTCAGTACACAAGGATATGTGTGCCAAAGAGTTCATGAGACTAAAGGACTGCTATCTTGTAAGTATTGGGCCAGTGCTGTGCAGTCTACTATGCTAATCACACCTCCACAGGCGGCTTCTAAGAAGGGCTAAGCAGCATTTCCACTGAAGCTGAGATGGGTAACAATACAAAGTCCATTCACTTGTGCAACCTTCCTGGACATAGCGGCGCAATTGGGATTTCTGGAAGACTTTTTATTTGTTTTGGATGGAGTTTGCTCTACTGTATCATATAATATGTATTCACAATGGGTTGAAGATCATAAGTACGTTTTCATTCAAGGGAATTTTAACAGTAGACTGCTATCTACACATGCTCTTTAAGACAAATTTCTAAAGCTTGAGAAGGCGCAGCAAGAAGGTGGCGTTCTGCACTTCCTGCTCTTCTTGGGAGATGGTACCCTCTTCCTCGCCGGTAGGGAGCTTATCGCTGGCGAACTCACTCTGGTCAACGGGACGGCGGAGAACCTTCTCGATCTCAGGGGCCTGAGACTTGAAGGCCTCGGTGATGCCAATGTTGTCAGGATCGGAGATGATGGTGTATTCCATCTTAACGTCATCAGTGGGGACCAGACCGGCCTTCTTGCGAAGACGCTGGATACGGTTGATGATCTCACGACCCAGACCCTGGTGAGCCAGCTCGGGGTACAGGTTGGCATCGAGGATGGTCAGAACATCGGAGTCGGTGTTCGTCTCGAGGGATTTGGAGTTCTCGTCTTCCTTAATGCCACGCTTGACAACGAGATCACCCTCAACAAGCTCGATACCATCAACGAGGATCTTCTTGTTGTGAAGGTATCCCTTCACGTCTTCACTGGTGAGTTGAGGCAGGGCCTTCTTGACCTTCTGGACATCCTTCTTCAGCTTCTTACCCAGCACAGGCCACTCGGCTTCGACAGAGTAGTGGACATTGTACTTGGCCTCGTCAGAAGAAAGCTCGAGGTCAAGCACGTTGAGCTCTGAGCGGATGTAGCTCTCGAGCGACTTGACGTCCTCAAGGTAGACGGGGTCGTTGTGAATCACAACAAGAGTCTTGAGAGGAGTCTTCAGACCGATGGCGCGGCGCTCGCGGCTCAGACGTCCGAGTTCAATGACCTTCTGCATGCGGGACACACGGCGCTCAACAGTGGCATCAAAGAGCTCTTCACGGACCTCGGGGAAGGGAAGGAAGTGGACACAGCGGCTGTCTACACCGCGCAGGGACTCGGGGATATGGGGGAGAAGACGCTGGTAGATGTTGTCGGTGAGGAAGGGAGTGAAGGGGGCAAGGCCTCGGACCAGGGTGTAGAGAACCTCGAAGAGAGTGTTGAGAGCGTGCAAGGTGTCATCAACGCCGTTCTCACCCTTAAGACGCTTGCGGTTGAAGCGAATGTACCAGTTTGTGGTGTTGTCGATGAGCTCGAGAAGTCGAGGCACGACGGTGTACAGTCTGTAAGCAGCCATCTCCTGGTTGACCCACTTGAGCAGGCTCTGGGTGCTGGCCAAGATCCAACGATCGAAAACGTTCTCGTTAGTGCGCTCCGCGGAGGGATCAAAGATGAAGTCAACGTCAGAGGCCTTCTTCAGAAGGGCGACTTGGCCCTCAAAGAACTTGTAGCTGTTCCACAAGGGCAGCAGCACCTTGCCGACAATTTCCTTGACGCCGCTCTCCTTGAATCTCAAGGGCTCGGCACGAACAACAGGAGAGTTGATCATGTATAGACGGAGAGCATCGGAACCGTACGAGTTCATCACCAGAGTTGGGTCAGGGTAGTTTTGCAAACGCTTGGACATCTTGCGGCCGTCCTCAGCAAGAACAATACCGTTGACAACGACGTTCTTGTAAGGAAGCTTGTTACGCAAGTGCATACCAATAACGGAAAGCACGTAGAACCAACCGCGAGTTTGGTCAAGACCTTCAGCAATGAAGTCGGCAGGGAAGCTGTCCTCGAACTGCTCCTTGTTCTCGAAGGGGTAGTGCTGACTGGCGTAGGGCATAGCACCACTCTCGAACCAGCAATCAAACACCTCGGAGACTCGGCGAAGAACACCCTTGCCCTGCTTGCTGGGGATGGTGATGTGGTCGACCTTGTCACGGTGAATGTCGTGGAGCTCACCCTCGTAGCCACTCAACTCGCGAAGCTGCTCGATGCTACCAACGGCGACAACCTCCTTGAAGTCATCACTGACCCAGAGAGGCAAAGGAGTTCCCCAGAAACGGTTGCGAGAAACATTCCAGTCGTGGGCGTTGCGGATCCAGCTGGCGAATCTGCGCTCCTTGACGTTGGATGGAACCCAATGAGACTTCTCAATACCCTCGAGGATATCGGGAATGATGGGCTTAACCTTCACAAACCACGATGGAACAGCGCGGTAAATGAGAGGGGTGTCAGATCGCCAACAGAAAGGATAACTGTGAGTAATCTGGCTGTCAACAAGGACACGACCATTGCCCTTGAGGAGCTTGATGATGCCCTTATCAGCGGCCTTGACGTTCTGGCCCACGAAATCGCGGACCTCGGCAGTGAAACAACCTTGGGCGTCAATGGGGTTGGGAGGAAGACGAGTTTCGTTGATAACGTCGTGTTCCATGGCGACCCGGTAATCGTCCTCACCGAATGCGGGGGCTTGGTGGACGATACCAACACCATCCTCAGCAGTGACATACTCGTCATTCAGCACACGGAAACCAGCCTCCTTGAACTCATCGTAGAAGTAGTCGAAGAGAGGCGCGTACTTCCATCCCAGCATATCGGAACCCTTAATGCGGTCGACAATCTTGAACTTGGCCTTCTTAGGGTCCTTGTAAATAGTCCGGAGGAGAGCTTCCAGCAGGATATAGTTCTTCTTCGTGGCCTCGTCGTAGATCTTGACGTACTCGAAATTGGGGTTGGCACAAAGGCCGATGTGGGATGGGAGGGTCCATGGGGTGGTGGTCCATGCAAGCAGACAGGTCTCGGGGTCATCCAACAGAGGGAAGGTCACCACAATAGCAGGGTCCTGGACGTCCTTGTAGTTCTGTTGCGCCTCAAAGTTGCTGAGCGGGGTGTTAAGGGCAGTGGAGTAGGGCATGACACGGTATCCACGGTAGACAAGGCCCTTGTCGAAGAGCTCCTTGAAAACCCACCAGACTGATTCCATGAACGAGGGGTTCATAGTCTAGAAAGCGATTTGAGTCAGCTAAGGCAAGTTCGTCGACACGCGAGCGTGATATTTACCTTGTAGTCATTGTCGAAATCAATCCAACGACCCAGGCGATCAATAGTTTGGCGCCATTCAGTAGAGTATCGCATAACAATAGCACGGCACTCCTCGTTGTACTTTTCGATACCGATCTCCTGGACCGCCTGCAGACCGGACATGCCGAGCTTCTTGTCAATTTCATATTCAATTGGCACACCGTGAGTGTCCCAACCGAAGCGACGCTCGACGTGATAGCCCTTCATGGACCAGTATCGGGGAATGACATCCTTAATAGTCGAGGCAAGCAGGTGGCCGTAGTGAGGCAATCCTGTAGCAAAGGGTGGGCCGTCGAAGAAAGAGTATCGAGGCTTGTCGTTTGAGAGTTCGACCTGGCGCTTGAAGGCATCGATCTCCCTCCACCGAGAGAGAACGAGCTCTTCCTCCGCAGGGAAATCAATCGACATGGCTAAATTGATATGCAAAAGTGAGAGGTTTGCAAATCGCAAAGGGCACGATAGTGACTCACCCCACCTCGATTTTTTGCCCGTGCGCCTTGCGCCTTTCACCCCTCCGTGGGCTATACCGCCTTCCACAAAGGGACAGACTCTATAGAGCTGTTGTGAACGACCACGCGAAGTGAGTTGGATCGTAGGAAAATGGTTCTACATGGAAAAGATGATTGCAAAAACGCAAGTTAAATTGATTTTGAAACCGCCCCTAACTCCATTTATCCCCAGGACATCAAGCCCTATGATCAGTGTTGCCGGATAGTATGGCAGCAGTATTGAAAGAACCAGAATAATCACAATGAAAAAGAGGATGCAAGATCATGTCTCGATTTAGTAGCGACCATATCCACCTCCACCTCCACCTTGGCCTTGGTAATTTCCGCGGCCTCTTCCTCCACGATAACCGCCGCCGCCTCGGCCTCCGCGATAATCGTTCGAGCCGTAGCCGCCTCCTTGATACCCATTGTTGTATTGACCGCCCTGGTTATACTGATTGTAATGAGCAGGGGGTTGTTGATAACCTTGTTGGGGTGGGTATTGGTTGGCCATTCCACCACGTGGAGGAGGGGGAGGTCCTCTGGAGTAACCTCCGTATCCTTGACCAGGGGGCACCCACCCAGGAGGCACCATGTGAGCTCCGGCGGGACCACCCGGAGGTCCGGGGGCAAAGTTGGGATCAAGATGACCGGCGAATGGGTTCGGGCGATCATTTTGAGGGCGATCACCTTGGTAGCCACCGCGGCCACCGCGGCCTCGGCCTTGGAAAGGAGCACCACCGAAGGATCGGCCTGAGTTCTGAGCACGACCCTTGGTGGCTCTGATGTCACTCGAGTCCAGCATTGGTGTCGGCAGCTTCACGCCGCGCAGCAGCATGGACTTGTGAACATGAGACGACTTGGGGAGTGTGTACAACACCGTGAGAGAACGGTCCTCATCAACTCCGGGCATGCCGTGTGCCTCCAGGGGCGAGACCAACGAGCTGTGGGGAATGTAGGTATCGCTACGCTCGGCAATACCTGCCAGGCCCGCGCTGAGGTCTTGCTTGATCGGGTACTGCGCAGGGCCTGGTTTCTTGGAATAGAAGTTGGAAACAAGATCTTGGTACAGTGGGTTCCGGTCAGATAGAAGCAGGACTTCGGAGCCATGGGTGTTGCGACTTCTCTCCTCCTCGGTCAGAAGAGGATAGACGGTTCCCATAGCCTCGAGAAGGCGGTTTGCGTCGATGAAGGGCAGAAGAATTACACCCTGCCACGCGAACTTCTTACCGTTGAGATCGAGCGGGAAATCCTCTGGATAGAAATCAATGATAGGGGAGTTCGCATCTTCCATCAGAGGATGGAAAACCTTAGGCAGCGCGTGGTTAGATTGGGCGGGAAGCACACCCATCAGCTGCTCAAAGGGTCTGAACGGTTTGCCTTGGTCAAACTCCACCGGCATATCCGCGATATCGACGAAATCGGCAGCAAAGGGCGCGTAGTGGTGGGGGTAGTACCAACTCCAGCTAGGACATCCTTGGAAATAGTATCGAAGAACCCAGCATAGGCCTAGGGCATAGTCACGAGCGACCTGGTGGCGGAACTCGTGGTTCTTGGGATCCACATTGAACTTTTGCTCGTAGTATCTATCAGCGTAACCTGGTTCCCAGAGCATGACAGTGTCCTCGGGCATTTCATCTGTCTTCGGCTTCTCAACGGCGGGAGGAGGCGGAGGGGAGTCTCTGCCCGGGGTTCCCGCCTCGCCGTCCTCTTGATCGGCTGCCTCAGCTTTGCGCTTTCCGAGTGCCGAAGATGTATCTTCAACCGGTGTCTCACTGGGCTCAGGCTCGTTCTGCTTGCCCTTCATGAGCTTGCTCTTCAACACGGCAGCGGCACTCTTGTTCTCCATATTGGCACGATACACGGCACCACGGTTGGTGACCATGTCATGAGTCAGCTCCCTGGTCTCCTTTGCCAAATTACCACGACCGGGAGTGATCAGTTCCATAGGTGGGACTATCTCAGCAGGACCACCAGAGCGACCGCCAGACTTAGCGTCGTATTGCGGTGAACTGCGTCTGCGCTTTTGGGAGCGCTCCGCATTGCGGGCCTCATCCTGTTCCTTGCGTCTCTTCTCATTGGCTTGCTTCCTCTCCTCCGCTTGTCTACGGCGGCGGAAGATAGCGTCTTCTTGTTTGGCCAGTCCTTGCAAGATGATTTGGGCATTTTTCAGCTCGACACTTCCATCTTTAGTAAGGTAGCTACCCATGGCAGGAAGATTGTCACGCCAGATCGCAATCAGTGTGTCGATACCATTCTCACGAATATCCAGGGAGGGCAAGTGAGGAAGGAAATCGTTTCCGACGAAGAAACACATGAACACCCAGTCATCAAGGGCACGTTCCAAGTCGAAGGGGAAGGGCTGCTGGGGAACACGAAGTTCAACCGCAAGATATTCTCTAAGCACAGCGACATGTAGCCAAATGAATGGCTTCAGAGGAGCAGCGTTTTGCTTTTCATCAAATTCTCCATTCTTCTCCTTAGGGCGACCTAGACACTCTTCGGCCTTGTGTCCATTCTGCCCACACAGCCTACATCCCCGACCTCTTGAGTCTTGAGCGAAAACGTCTTCTCGCAAAACTCTAAAGTAGGGCTCGTGTGTGCCAAGACCCAACATGATCAGATCGGCATCCTAAAAGGGTTAGCATGATAGGCCATAAAGCGGAATTGGGACAAAAGGCTTACCAGACCGTAAATGACATGACGAGTGTTAGGGTCATGATCAGGCGATGCGCGCTGCGATCGCACAAAGTTCATAATCTTGTGCTCTCCTTCTCCGGGAACCGTGGCATCCGAGATGATGATTTTCAACTAGAAAGGTCAGCATTTGCTCCAGGACAGGCCAAGAGGTCACAACGTACGTTTTCCCAACCAGGGTCAGTGTTGAGCTTGTAGGCAATCCAGTATCGTAGCGAGGCTGCCAGGATATCCATGAAAGGTGTTCCAGGCGTGATGACGTTACTATCCCATGTTTTCTGGACAACTTCCTCCCGAATGTAATCCTCGCCGGTTTTCGTCTTGTGCTGCTGAGCGAGCATCTTATGGAGTTCCTCCTTCTTTGCGTCGTTCTCTCTGGCTTCTTGCGCGGAGCGGAATCGACGTGCGCGCTGCTGGTTCATCTTGGCTCTGGGGGCAACACCATCTAAACGTGAAATCGAGGTTCATTAGTGAGCTGCGCTTGGATGAGAGCGGTTGAGGAATCCCAAATCATCAGGGGGGGACACATACCAATGGCGATCATGAGAAGCTTCCTTGGGCGCACCATGTTCACGACGCGATCAGTGTACTTGTAGATCTCCAGCATCATCTCCTGCTCATCCGCTGGAGGGGGCTTGCCCTCAGGGTGCGTACAAGGATGGACGATACCGTTCATATCGAGGTAAAGGTTATCCTGCTCCTCGCCATTAGGGTTGGGGCCGGTGATGTCCAACGGGATTTCTTCGCCGTCCACTTGTTGGGCTTGCTCCTCAATAACCGGAGAAATAATCTTCGGATATTTGTTGGAGAGCCATCGGAAAAGCGCAGGGACACCCATATTGGCGATGCGACACTTCTGGAATCAAGGCGTGGGTGAGATCAGTGAGCGTTGTCGCAATCGGTTCACAGGACTCGTGTGGGCGCGGGTGCAGTTTCACGTTCGTGGGTCTCACGCGGTGAGCTGCAAGTGAGTAATATATCCAAATTTCCCCGAACCAAGTAGTAACACAAGATGCAACCGCAGAGATGATCGCGGTGCTAGGTTTGGGAGGTTAACCGTGAGCTTCCCGGTTGACGAAAAGATAAAATGCGGGCGGTCGGGGATTCTGCAATCAAAGCCGAGAGCGGTAGCCCCCTTGGGCAGCGGCGGCAGGACAGCTTGCTGTTGTACTTGGACGAATTGATCAACTTGACCATTCCTCTGGCTTTAATATTTTCTTTAGATGACTATCAATTCCTACGCCCTCGGCCGGCGGTGACCATGATATTGAAACCCCACCACGATGTTCCGAATTATTGAATCACAAGCTCCGCCAAAACAAACGGCGACGGACACAATCGATGTATTGAGCAGTAGGCTACAGAGTGCTACACTGTTGGAGGATCGCCGAGCCGCTATTCAGGGTCTCAGAAGCTTTGCGAAGCTATATCCAGCGTCTGTTGCCTCGGGTGGCCTGCGATCACTGATCAGCAGTCTACAAAATGACGGCGAAGACGTGGACACCATAAAAGTGGTCCTCGAGACCCTTTTGATGCTCTTCACGCCAGATGAAAATAGCGTGGGTACCTGTCTCTGTACAATACAATGGTCCAATTCCTAATAGCCAGCTATAGCCTGAAGCATCGGATGAAATAGCTTTGTGGCTTGCGGACTCATTTACTCAGGTACGAATCGTGATATATTTCCAAAGATTATTCTGTCCACTCACGATTTAAAAGCGACAAGATAATATCACCACCCTTCTCGATTTACTCGAAGCCCGCGAATTCTATTCTCGTCTATATTCTCTACAATTGATTTCACACATCTGCAGCGCACGACCGGAACGAACACAAGAATGCATTTTCACAGCGCCACTCGGCATTTCCAAATTGGTCAATGTCCTGACCGACTCGAGGGAACCGGTGCGGAACGGTATGTCTTGCCAAACACTACAATCGCTTCTGGTTAACTACGGAACGCTGACCGGCAGTGTTTTCTTCCAATTGTTAGAGGCTCTCGTATTACTTATTGCTCTTACACCTACCTCCGAGGAACTGCAGAAACTTGTCGCATTTGAGAACACATTTGAAATTCTTCTTGATCTTATTAACAAGGAAGGAGCATTGAGCCTTGGAACCGAGGTCGTTGAGGACTGCTTGTCCTTGTTGGCCCACCTCCTGAGATTCAATATCTCCAATCAGTCATCTTTCCGAGAGACTGGCTGTGTGAAGAGAGTGACACATCTTCTGCATGAATGCCAGCAAGAGCCAGAGGGGGACGAGCCGCTGCCGGAATGGACTTTAGTGCACCGAGACAAGAACGTCTGGGGCCTGTTGGCCATCATCCAGCTATTTCTGATCCGCGGCAGCGCGAGCACACCTATCAACCAAACTGCGTTTTGGCAAAATGGCGTTACAGAACAGGTTCTGAGCATTGCATTTGGTCAACGATTCAGTGTCAGCGTAACAGCAAAGGTGAGATGCACTTCTAGATCAGTTAGACCTGTCAACATTTCAAAGACTGACAGCTCCAGGCGTTGTCAACTTGTGCTGATCTCATCCGTGGCAATTCGCCTTTACAAGAGAGATTCGGTGACATCGAGGTCTTGTGGGGCTCTCATAGCCGCGGCGATGCGACTGTCAATGGCAACGGCAATGTCAACGAGCCTTTACGAATCAATGTCATTGAGGCTTTCCTGAAACTCAGTCTTGAGCCTGCCCCCAACAACCTTTTGGATGCCCGTCTTGCAGCTTGCGAATGCATGAAAGCGTTCTTCGCTCATCACCCTGGGATTCGCATGCACGTGCTCAGGCGAGCCATTGAAGGGCATACCAGCGGGCAAGATGCCATTCCCAATATCATATCTGTGTTGCTCACTGCGCCGGAATCGCGAGGAAATGCTGACCCATATCAAGTATGGATGGCTTGCGTTTTGATGTTCCACTTGATCTTCGACGATGGCGAGGCGAAGGCGACTGCTATGAAAGTTACCGAAGGCGACGCCGAGAGTGGTGAAGAAGTCGTTACAAGCGTCCAATCAGTTGTTGGCAATCTCATCACTGGGCTGCAGCGCGGCGATGATGAAAGAATCACTGTCGGATATCTGATGCTCCTCTGTGGTTGGTTGTTTGAAGACCCAGATGTCGTCAATGATCTATTGGGAGAAGGTAGTAGCATTCAGACCTTGCTGCAAGAAATTAAGCACCAGCGCGCTCCGAGCAAGCTGGTACCTGGTCTGTGCACTGTGCTGCTGGGAATTATCTACGAGTTCTCTACCAAGGACTCCCCAATCCCTCGCCTTACACTCCACAAACTGCTTATTGAGCAGCTCGGCAGGGAGCAATACATCGACAAGATCACACGACTTCGAGAGTGTCCACTGGTCCGTGACTTCGAGGTCCTACCCCAGAACGCGGGAAGTCAGCTTGAAGGAGGACTGCCGGAAGTCTTCTTCGACCGCGCATTCGTTGAGTTCCTGAAGGACAACTTCAGTCGCCTACTGCGTGCAATTGATAGAGAACCCGGTTTTGAGGTTTCAGTCGTCGCCAATGGCGTGGAGAAGGGAGTCTCGCGTGAACTTGTGGACACTTTACGAGCCGAGATTGAAGACCGTACTCAGACACTCCAAAAGTTGGAGTCTGACCTTGTGGAAATTCAAAGGAAGCTTGATCAGGAGCAATTAGATCACCGGAAGACAAAGGAGTCCGGCACTGTGGAGTTGTCAAAGGCTCAGCAGTCCAGCCAATCCCTCCAACAGAGTCACGCGAAAGAGCTTTCCCAACAACTCGCGAAACTGGAAGATCAGCACAACCGGTCAAGAAGTGAACTGCTGAAGCAACATGGTGAGCAGCTTCGAGCCCTTGAAACTCAACTCAAGCAAGCTCTTGCACAAGCAGAGGGCCAAGACAAACAGGCTAAACAAGCAAGAGAGCACCATGAGCGAGAAGTGGCTGGCTTGCAGCAGAAGATTCGTGGCATGGAGGCGGAACTTACTCGCATTCGTGGGCAGCACACAACTGAGATTTCTGACCTCAACAAGAAGATTCAAGACCTGAAGAGCAGCGTCAACCAGTCAAAATCTGCACACGGCAGTGAGGTTGCGGGGCTCCAAAAACAGATTCAAACTCTTGAGGGTCTGAAAGCAACCAGTGATGGACAGGTTGCTGATCTCAGCAGAAAAATTCAAGAGTCCCAGAGCGCGATCGACCAGTCGAAAAATTCCCACAGCGCAGAGGTTGCTAGTCTTCAAAAGAAAATAGAAGATCTCGAGGCTACCAGGAAGTCTCAAGACGGACAGATTGCAGGTCTTGAGGAGACCATTCAGGATCTTGAGGGCACGAAAACCTCTCACGATGCAAATGTTGCGGCTCTTAAGAAAGAGATCCAAGATATGGAGGCAACCAAGAAATCTCATGATGAACAGGTTGCAGCCCTCGAGCAGAAGGTCCAGGATCTCGAGGCAACTAAGAAGTCTCACGATGAACAGGTTGCCGATCTCAACAAGAAGCTCTCGGAGTTCCAGAACAAGAAGGGGTCCCATGACGGACAAATTGCCGATCTTACAAAGAAGCTCCAGGATCTTGACTCTACGCTGGCCACAGCCCAACAGCAGCACGAGAAGGAAGCCAGCGATTACAAGAGCAAGATCACCACTTTGGAGACCAGCCTCTCCACAAGCAAAGAAGAACGTGAGACCGCAGTCACTGGCCATGAACAAAAGATTGGGACTCTGGAATCCAGCTTGAAATCTGCCCAAGCGGAACACGAAGCCGAAATCGCTACCCTGAAAAAGTCCGTCTCGAACCTCGAGTCAGAGCTCACCAAAGCCCAGAAATCCAGCAAGGATCTTGAGACCGCTTCAAAGGGCTCGGCATCCGAGACTTCTGCGCTGGAAGCACGGGCCAAGGAGGCAGAGGCAAAGGCCAAGGAAGCCGAGTCACAGGCCCGCACTGCGACCGATGCTCTGAAAACCATTCAGCAACAGCTTGAAAAGGCCAATGCGGAAGCCAAGGAAAAGGAGGAAGCTCGGCAGTCAGCACAGTCAGAACTGGAGGACCTGCTTATCGTCTTTGGGGATTTGGAGGCCAAGAGAACCGAAGACAAGGTGTGTTTACTATCGATCTATGGCGGGACATTACTAACATATCCTAGAACCGACTCAAGGAGCTTGGTCAAGAGGTTTCCGAGGCTGAGGATGAGGATGATGAGGACGAGGATGAGGACGATGAATGAAAATGATATGCCTAATCAGTACATAGCAGGCAATTCAGTTTTTCTATTCTCATGTATGAATCTATTTCAATTGATCGGCGCGTGATCTTTGATGCTCTGTTGCTGTTGTGGAGTACCCGTGGACCTCGCTGCTTCCAAGGTTGAGGGACAACCCTGGAGACGAACTAAGGCTCGGATCTTCGATTTAGACCTCGTATCCACCCTCTTACGGAATTTTCCTATAAGAACTGCATCTTTCAGGCAATGATTTGAAGCCAATGCCGGTCGCTCGGAGCTAGCATCGTTTGTTCAAAATTTGGTCGAAACAAGGCCTGACTGTCTGTCAGCTCCATCGCAGAGGTTGGTGGGCGCTACAACTATAGACAAGGATCCCTTGTCAGGTAGATTCAATACATGTGAGAAGATAAGCACTATTGTCTGCTGCTGAGCAAATGGCCAATCGGTTCGGAGTACACCGTCATTTTGCATGTATGCCCAGATGATGAAGCAATCTATGTACTCCATACGGTTACTTGCAGGGGATTTTCAACACTTGTAGCACGAAACCCTGATCACTGGAGCACTCCGTACTCCGTATGGGTCACCCGATCCCGGTGGAGAAAGACCTTGGTGGGAGCCAGAGAGAGAATAATATCCGAAAGCACCACCGCCAGTCCCGGGCCCACGACACGCACACCAGATTAGTAAAAGCTGAAGGGCTGTATGCGAGATCGGCAGGGAGGATGTCCAGACACGGGAGCCCGGACAAACTCGGCAAATACGATCCAGCAATTAGGGTTCTGAGATCAGCCGTAGGAAACCATTTGAGGAGCTGAATAGGAGGAGTGGGGAATTAAATGTGGGTAGTATCTCCGATTGCTTTTGTTGAGGTGCAGTGGGTGAAAAGCAAAAAAAGTAGACTATTGAGGAGGAAGGGCCATGTGAATATGAGGAGTAGCACGAATGAGTAACATCTGAGCTATCCAATGTTGAGGATCAGAGATATCTCCAGGGGAGAGAGGAAGTTGGGAAGGGCAAGTCCACCGCGGGTAACAGATTGCCTAAACCTGCGAGGCGGTGAACAATCTGCCCGCGACACCGGAGTTCGTGTTTTTGTGGGATTCTTTGGAGATTTCCTTTCGTTTCTGTCTTGACAGATCTTGAAGAGACTCAAGAACAAAAAGATTCGGATATTCTTCTCTATAGGTACGTCTATCGATTCCACATGTTCACATACTCTCCTGTCACCTCAGGGGCTTTCAATCGATCTATGCATACTCCGTACCTGCTAGCCTCAGAGTGGGGGCAAGCCTAAAAGTTACTATGAGTCAGGGTGGGACTAACAAATATTCACCCAGAATGAATTGAGTCCTGAATCTTGCCCCTTCACCATCAATCCCATAATGTCCGATCCCACCAAGATCAGTATCTTGGGCCGGGAGAGCATTGTCGCTGATTTCGGTCTTTGGCGCAATTATGTCGCCAAGGACTTGATCAGTGAATTGCCCTCCACCACCTACGTCCTCATCACAGATACCAACCTCGGGTCCATCTACACCTCCACCTTCCAAAAGACCTTCGAGGAGGCCGCCGCCTCCATCTCCCCCCGCCCCCCGACTCCTCGTCCACAATGCCGCACCCGGCGAGAGCTCCAAGTCCCGCCAGACCAAGGCCGACATCGAAGATTGGATGCTGACCCAGAACCCACCATGTGGCAGAGATACTGTGGTGATTGCTCTGGGTGGTGGAGTCATTGGTGACTTGACCGGCTTTGTCGCGGCAACCTACATGCGTGGTGTGCGCTATGTGCAGGTCCCCACCACTTTGTTGGCCATGGTCGACTCTTCCATCGGAGGAAAGACTGCCATTGACACCCCGCATGGCAAGAACCTCATCGGTTCCATCTGGCAGCCGTCGAGAATCTACATTGATCTCGAATTCCTCGAGACCCTGCCCGTCCGGGAGTTCATCAACGGAATGGCCGAGGTCATCAAGACCGCCGCCATCTCCAGCGAGGAGGAGTTCACTGCTCTGGAAACCAATGCGGACGTTATCCTGGCTGCGGCGCGCAGTGTCGTCAAGCCCGGTCAGGGCCGCTTCGATGGAATCCGCGATATCCTGAAGGCCCGAATCCTGGCTTCCGCCCGCCATAAAGCCTTTGTTGTCTCTGCTGATGAGCGCGAGGGTGGTCTTCGCAACCTGCTGAACTGGGGACACTCCATTGGACACGCTATCGAGGCTATTCTTACTCCTCAGATCCTCCACGGCGAGTGTGTCGCGATCGGCATGGTCAAGGAGGCTGAGCTCGCGCGTCACCTCGGCATCCTGAAGGGTGTCGCGGTGGCTCGTGTCGTCAAGTGTCTTTCCGCCTACGGCCTGCCTACCTCTATGAAGGACTCCCGTGTCCGTAAGTTGACCGCTGGCAAGCACTGCTCCGTGGATCAGCTGCTGTTCAACATGGCATTGGACAAGAAGAACGACGGCCCCAAGAAGAAGGTCGTCCTTCTGTCAGCAATTGGCCGCACCCACGAGCCCAAGGCCAGTGTCGTCTCCAACTCCGACATCGCTGTTGTCCTCGCTCCCAGTGTGGAGGTCCACCCCGGAGTCCCCAAGACTCTCAATGTCACTTGCGCACCTCCCGGCTCTAAGAGTATCTCCAACCGTGCTCTTGTGCTTGCTGCGCTCGGTTCCGGAACTTGCCGCATCAAGAACCTCCTGCACTCCGATGATACCGAGGTCATGCTGAACGCCTTAGAGCGCCTTGGCGCCGCTACCTTCTCCTGGGAGGAGGAAGGTGAAGTCCTCGTTGTTAACGGTAAGGGTGGAAAGATCGTCGCGAGCCCCGAACAATTGTACTTGGGTAACGCCGGAACCGCTTCTCGTTTCCTTACTACTGTGGCCACACTTGCTACCCCCAGCAGTGTCGACCATAGCATCTTGACTGGTAACAACCGCATGAAGCAAAGACCCATTGGTGATCTTGTTGACGCTTTGACCGTCAACGGTGCCGGTGTTGAATACGTGGAGAGCAAGGGCAGTCTTCCCCTGAAGATTGCTGCTTCTGGAGGTTTCGCGGGAGGCAAGATCAACCTTGCCGCCAAGGTCTCCTCCCAGTACGTTTCTTCCCTGCTCATGTGTGCTCCTTACGCCAAGGAGCCCGTGACTCTGAAGCTTGTTGGTGGCAAGCCCATCTCTCAACCCTACATTGACATGACCACTGCCATGATGAGATCTTTCGGCATCGATGTGAAGAAGTCTGAGACCGAGGAGCACACCTACCACATCCCCCAGGCTAGCTACGTCAACCCGCCCGAATACGTTGTGGAGAGCGATGCTAGCTCCGCAACCTATCCTCTGGCCATTGCTGCTGTCACTGGCACCACCTGCACCGTCCCCAACATTGGCTCCAAGTCTTTGCAGGGCGATGCGCGCTTCGCGGTCGACGTTCTGCGACCCATGGGCTGCTCTGTCGTCCAGACCGACCACTCTACCACCGTCACCGGTCCTTCTGACGGTGTCCTCCAGCCTTTGTCCAACGTTGACATGGAGCCCATGACTGATGCTTTCCTCACTGCCTCCGTGCTCGCGGCTGTTGCCCGCGGCAAGGATTCCAACCACACTACCCGCATCTACGGTATTGCCAACCAGCGTGTCAAGGAGTGCAACCGTATCAAGGCCATGAAGGACGAGCTTGCCAAGTTCGGAGTGATCTGCCGTGAGCATGACGACGGCCTCGAGATTGACGGCATTGACCGCTCGACTCTGCGCCAGCCCTCCGGTGGTGTCTACTGTTACGATGACCACCGTGTTGCTTTCAGTTTCAGCGTTCTGTCTCTGGTTGCCCCCACATCTACTCTCATTCTTGAGAAGGAATGTGTCGGTAAGACATGGCCAGGCTGGTGGGATTCCCTCAAGCAGATGTTCGGTGTCAGCCTTGATGGTAAGGAGCTGAAGGAAGAGGAGCATGCTTCCTCAACCCATGCTGAACGTAGCAGCGCTTCGGTCTTCATCATTGGCATGCGCGGTGCTGGCAAGACTACCACCGGCAACTGGGTTGCCAAGGCTCTTGACCGTAAGTTTGTGGACCTTGACACCGAGCTCGAGACTAGCGAGGGTATCACTATCCCCGAAATTATCAAGACTCGCGGCTGGGAATCTTTCCGTGACTCCGAGTTGGCTGTCCTCAAGCGCTGCATGAAGGACCGCCCCACCGGCTATGTCTTCGCCTGCGGTGGTGGTGTCGTTGAGATGCCAGAGGCCCGCAAGCTGCTCTCGGACTACCACAAGAACAAGGGCAACGTCCTCCTCATCATGCGCGATATCAAGCTGGTGATGGACTTCCTCAACATTGATAAGACTCGCCCCGCCTATGTCGAGGACATGATGGGCGTGTGGCTACGACGCAAGCCTTGGTTCCAGGAGTGCAGCAACATTCAGTACTTCAGCCCGCACTCTAGCTCATCAGAGCTTGCGCTTGCTTCCGAGGACTTCAACCGCTTTGTGAAGATGGTCACTGGCCACGTGGACAGCCTGAATGCTATTAAGAAGAAGAAGCACAGCTTCTTCGTCTCACTGACCCTGCCCGATCTCCGCCCAGCTCGTGAGATCATTACCGAGGCCTGCGTCGGCTCCGATGCCGTGGAGTTGCGCGTCGACCTGCTCAAGGACCCATCCGTCGAGGGTGATATTCCCTCAGTCGACTACGTCGCCGAGCAAATGTCTCTTCTCCGTCGCAGCACCTCTCTGCCGCTCATTTTCACTATTCGCACTAAGAGTCAAGGTGGTCTCTTCCCTGACACAGCTCATGATGAGGCTCTGGCACTCTACAGATTGGCATTCCGTTCTGGGTGTGAATTCGTGGATCTCGAGATCGCATTCCCAGATCAGCTCCTCCAAACTGTCACTGAGATGAAGGGTCACTCCAAGATCATTGCCTCGCACCATGATCCCAAGGGAACCCTTTCTTGGTCTAACATGTCTTGGATCTCGTCGTACAACCGTGCTCTGGAGTACGGTGACGTGATCAAGCTCGTCGGCGTTGCCAAGACCCTCGATGATAACACTGCTCTGCGCAAGTTCAAGACTTGGGCCGAGGAAGCCCACGAGACCCCCTTGATCGCCATCAACATGGGTGACACTGGCCAGCTCAGCCGTATCCTGAACGGCTTCATGACCCCCGTCTCTCACCCCAGCCTCCCCTTCAAGGCCGCCCCCGGCCAGCTCTCCGCCACCGAGATCCGTCGCGGTCTCTCGCTGATGGGCGAGATCAAGGCCAAGAAGTTCGCCATCTTCGGCTCCCCCGTCTCTGCCTCCCGCTCTCCAGCCCTCCACAACACCCTCTTCGGCACAATGGGTCTCCCCTACGAATACACTCGTATGGAGACCACCAACGCCGAAGACGTTAAGGACTTCATCCGCGCCCCCGACTTCGGTGGTGCATCCGTGACCATCCCCCTTAAGCTTGACATCATGCCTCTTCTCGACGAAGTCGCCCAAGAAGCCGAGATCATCGGCGCCGTCAACACCATCGTCCCCGTTCCCAACGGCGACAAGCCCCGTCTCGTCGGCTACAACACCGACTGGCAAGGCATGGTCCGCTGCATGCGCAATGGTGGAGTCTACGGCTCAAGCGGCAATGAGAGCGCCGTCGTAATCGGCGGCGGCGGTACCGCCCGCGCCGCCATCTTCGCCCTCCACAACATGGGCTTCTCGCCCATCTACGTGATCGGCCGCTCCGCCGCCAAGCTCGAAAGCATGGTCTCCACCTTCCCAACCAACTACAACATCCGCGTTGTCGACAACTCTAGCCAGCTCGAGTCTATTCCCCAGGTTGCTATCGGAACCATCCCCGCTGACCAGCCTATCGACGCCGGCATGCGCGAAACCCTCTGCCACATGTTTGAGCGCGCTCAGGAGATTGATGGTACCCTTGTTGGCAAGCCTTCTGAGGCTAAGCCTCGGGTTCTGCTGGAGATGGCTTACAAGCCTGCTGTTACGGCCTTGATGCAGCTTGCTTCTGATGCGGGATGGAACACTATTCCTGGTTTGGAAGTTCTTGTTGGTCAGGGTGTGCACCAGTTCGTTCACTGGACTGGTATCACCCCCCTTTACCACGAGGCACGGGTAAGATAATCTCTATACCTCTTTTCGTTGATTCATCGCTGACATCTTTCTAGGCTGCTGTTATGGGCACTGAGTCCTCGTGAGGACTTTTCCGGGTCTTTACATTCTCACGCTTGACGCCGTCATTTCCCATGTTTTCACGACGGGGAAGCGGGCTATCAAAAAGTTTAGTTGACTTTTCCGCTTTGTAATTTCCTGTCCTGTGTGATATGATATTTTTTCTATATATACTTTCGGTCAATGATATTATAGTATCTGCCACTTTATCTTTCATTCTCGGGGGCATGCTAGCCTCTTGAGATTCATGACGGAGCCTTGAGGCACATGCCATCTTAGTCTAATTTCGGGAAATTTCAGGTGCACACATAATGAGATGCAGTCATCCCGAGGTCAACATTCGCGGGTCATACTTGGATGGTTTCTCAGCAGTGATGATAAGCAATTATGTCGGTTGCTTTTGCGGCCGAAAATGCAATTTATCAACGAAGTATTAACAAGATATAGGTTTTCACGAAGAATCTTGGAAAACACATTCATTCGGCCTTCACCTCGTCCCGACGAGATATGGTGAGCCACAGATCTCTCCAGTACCCAATACCACCCATGATCTTGAATTTCGCCTCAGGCTTGTCAGCCACAACCTCCGGCTTGTAGTGCCGGAAGAACTAAAAGCTGTCAGTGTACGCTCCTTCTATATGTTCAAATAGAAAGAACTCACCTGCAAAGGACCCTTGAACAACTCCATCATCGCGATATCCTTACCCAAGCACACACGCGATCCATACCCAAACGCGAAGTTATACTTGTTATACAACTTAGCCTTTTCAACATCCAACCATCTCTCAGGCTTGAACTCCTCAGCATCATCACCATAAAGCTTCGGGTCACGATGCACAAGATACGGATTGCAGCTGATCTCCGTACCAGCAGGAGCGAACGTGCCATACAGATCAAGACCAGGCTCCGAGACATAGCGTGGGAAGATATTAGGCGCAGACGGACAAAGACGCATAGTCTCCTTCACGCAACCAACATAGAAAGGCAAGTGCTCGATGACCTCACTGTACTGAGGCATTTCAGAAATGAGACCCTTGCGGGTTGCGTTGTCTATTTCCTCCATCATGCGGTTGTACGCGGAGGGATGGGCCATGAGATAATGGATCAGAGCCTGGAAGGCTGTACCGGTTGTATCGGCGCCTGCGAGGAGAACGAGAAGGACCTCTGCGCGAATGTACTCGAGATCGAGGGGCTTGCCTTCTTCGGTAACGGCTTCGAGGAAGGTCTGGAGGAGATCGGTGCGTTCGATCTTCTTACCGTTTTCGATGTCTTTGGTGCGCTGGTCGATGAGGCGATCACGGAAGCGCATTAGGACTCCGATTCCGGAGTCGTCGGCTGGTGTTGCGACGAGGTATTTCTTCAGGAATGTGGTTTTCACCCATGAGGTGAATGGGTGCAGGCGGGAGAGGAGTCCGAAGGCTGGAAGACCGTCGTGGAATCCTTGGATGAGACCGCCGATATCCTCGCCCTTCTCAATGAAGCCGAAGGGCTCGCCGAACCCGATTTCGCTGATGATGTCGTATGCCATGTAGCTGCTTCGGTATTAGTGGGACACCTTCCTATTATGTTTGTTACTACTTACACAGCCCACCAAGAGAAGTCGAAGGCTTCGCCACTCTTGCAGAACTTGCTGTCGAGCTTGTTGGTCCATTCCTTGATGCGCGCATCGATAAGAGGCTCCATCTTCTTGATGTTTGTGAAGCTGTACTGCAACTGCTGTCAATTTCTGAGGCGTCACTTTTGGTCTAGATCGTTTCATACAGGGCCAGCAACGTGCTTTCTGAACACGGCATGAGTCTTGTGAGACCTCATATTGAACAAAGACTCGGTTTCACCGAAGCTTCCAGTGATATAGTGTCCAGTCTTGTCCACATTTCGGTGGTAGACCTCGGGGAGCTTCTCGTGATCGCTGACCAGCAGCAATGTTGGGGTAATTCGAACGACGGGGCCTGCGAGATACTTGATTAGCATGGTGGGGCTCGTATGCAAGACATGTCTAATGACCGACCATATTCCTTCGCAAGCGCATAGACAGTCGGTACCTCTGTTTCCTGGAGATTGTGCTTTGCGATCCAGAGACGAGTCACCGAAGCCCAGAACGGACCGGGAAACTTGGCGAGCGGATGGAAGAATCGATAATAGACAATCTGCCAGCCGAATTTGAGAGCAACATAAGCAACCAATCCCAAGAACAGATTGGTCACTGTCAAAAGGGACAGGACGTTGCCTGCAAGACCCATGGCGTTCAGTGACACGGATTGGACATAAATGAAACAAATGATGAGGGGAGGAAATGGCCCCTTCCAAATATACGGATTACTTATCCTTAGCTTCGCATGTATGTCTAACAATGGGGATTGTAGTAAGGGAGAACATGGCATTGGCCAGTGGGCTATGCAAGCTAAGCTGTCTACTCCACGACGGCTCTTCGTGCCTTGAATCATGCACGTCTAGACCCATCCGGGCTTAAATGGCAGAAGCTACGGAATAAAAGTTCATCCAAGACCCATTGGACCCCCTCTCTGTCATAATGTACACGTAGTTAGAGCATAATTCAAGGCATCAAAATCAGTGTGGATGTAAGATCGAGACTCCGCTCGCTAATTCGCAATTAGAGCTTCGTGGATGGTTCCTCATTGCGCACACTGGAGCCAAGTAATCATCATTCCCACCGTGTTGGAACTTCCTGATAAGGAAAAGATATTCCAGGGAGAGAGGAACTGGAGAAGACCCATCTGTCAAGGACTCTTGGGGGCCATCCGGCATCCTCCATTTAGGAAAACACGCCGTTGCCATTCATGGATGAGACATTGATCAACACAGAAGATTGCTTAGTATTCGTACCCATACGATGTCAGTGCTGACCTCGGGCTCCATGTGAACCTGAACCCGAAACCGAAGAAAAGGCTCGTTAGCACAGGGCTAGAACTCAGGGAAAATCTCAAAGTACGGAGTACCGATGGACTACTCCATTCTCCGTTCTCCGTTCAGCGGTGGTGGATCGAGAGAGTGTGTGGCGTTCTCCACCAACGAATTTCGAGGATCTCACTGGACCGGGGGGCTGTCGACTAATTGAGAGGCTACAGACGCCAGGGGCGGCCCGGGCGCCCTACCTCGTGCCCAAGTTTGTATACATTTAAGAAGTGTCACCCCCGATCACAAGCGCGAACTCTTGATTTTCGATATAAGGGGTGGAGATACGATAGGTCGAATGGTTCGTCGAGAAGTTGCAGAGAGATTCAATTGTTAGATCGATCCTGTGGTAAGCAGTAAGCCCAGCTAAGGGTACTTGTACATCGGGGCTAATCCGCCATTACGAGTTTTCTCGTGAAACAAGTTAGTCTCCAACTTTTGACGGTGGGGACGTCAAGGAATGTGCTCCACTAGTCTCCCCCGAGAGAGAGAAAAGAAAAAAAAAGCACGAAAAATGTGACACACGAGCCGATGATCGTCACTGACTGCAGTCGAGGTCATTCTACAAGTACGGAGTACACTTTGTACAAATGGAAGCTGGACTCCGTGCAATGCGACGATTAGACCAGAGTGACTGATCTATAGATTTGTGGTTAGTTATCGGCGATAAATAGTAGAACAAACTTTGCCCGTCACGGGTGCTGATCTAAACGGCCGAGCAACTCAATTAATTTAACGGAAAATAGTTTCGAACTGTGCAATGGCTTAAGATTAGTTCAAAGGGGGGGCTGGTCCACGGGTGTTGCGGGAATGGCCCCGGGGGGAAGCTAGATCCGCCTTGGCTCTCTGGCCCTTCAAGCCTACTTCGCAGGACAAATCAACCTTGGAAGTCCAAGCCTACACACTATAAGAACACAATTCTTCCTTGTGAATGGACAGCCTCATTTCTTTGTCTATGCAGGGTTCCAAGGTTTATGCATCTCATATCACAAAGATCAGATTGTTAGCTCATGTTGATGTGTTTAGATCCTTATTTCCATAGATGATTTCATTTCAGGTTCCCCTATCTCACGGACCACGAACCGCTTCAATTAATAACTCTGTTCGAGTCAATTTCTAGTGCAACGTTTTCCTGCAGCAAACAAGTACTTCGGCCAATCTCGCTTAACAAGACACAGTCTACTATGGGTGGGTGAGCAGGTCTCCACACTGGACGGGTCGGAAGGCAAATGGGTCGTGCAGATCAGAAGAGCGAGAGCTCTCTCTGTGTGGATGACAGCTAGCGTCAAATCTGCATTAGGGGGCAGTCGTTGAGCCGGATCATTGCGAAAGGAAGAATTATTTCGGGCCTTGAAACGTCCGTCCGTGCTGATCCTCTTAGCCCCTCTTATTACAATGTCGGAAAGATTTGCAGAGATTTTGCGATGCCAAAACAATCCTTGTTTGGAATAATTAAGCAGTGTTCCGACAGGGATTCTAGTCGCCCCAGCAGACAGGGTAGGACATTTGACTTCGCGCGGCGTCCTGTCACTTGGCCCTGCATGTGAAGTCAAAATGTTGTCTTGTTCTTCTGTTGTACTCCGTAGGACTCCGTAAGTTGTCCAGTGCATTCTGGACCTGGTCCAAACGCTGTAGGATTAAGATCACCATCGGAACCATCGAGATAAAATCGAGATGGAATAAAAATAAATCAGATCGGAGAGATCATTCGGCTACGTTTCCGCCCTGCTATTCATTTCCCCGGCCTATGCACGAGCGGATACGAGCTCATTTTTTTTTATTGATTTGCTCTATCCAATCCCCATTGCTTTTTTTCCTTTAACCTCATATGATATGCCTTATATTGAACGCTATGGGTATCACTTTCAAAGAGTCTGCCAATAGTCCCAAATGATCTACCTTGAGACGTTGAATAATGTAGTCGACTATACCCAGGCATCCCTGTTCAAGCCAATCCGATCCCTGTTCGTAAGTGGATAGCCATTAACCTGTTTAAACGCACACGCCTTTTCCGGGGGTTCCATCCAAGGAACTGGGTCCGTCGGTCTCGCAAAGCAGTGGATATATCCAAAGGATTCTATACTCCTCCCGAGGTCGGCGAACAACAAGGAAACCATGACAAAAGAATTATGAAGACTCCGCGTCTGAGCAGCAAATCACAGTCCGGCAGGGAACTAATCTTCTCGCCTCTGAGATCAGCCGCCATCTTGAAACTTGAGCCCCTCTCTCCAAAGACGGCAGGCGTCTGTTAGTGCTCACGCAGCGATCAGCGACGGCCTCAGAGTGGGTGGTGGAGGTGGAGATGGTCAGTTCTGACAGTCTCGTGTTTCGTGTCTCGGGACTTTCGCAGAAGGTAGTTTGCAAAAGCCTACTCCGTAGTACCTGCATGAAAATCATTGCCTTGTTTTTGCGAATGTGCTTTCAACGGGCGAGTGGATCTCGAGGGTACTAGTTGGACCTTGCACACCACTCGCATATCTGGGCTATAAACTCGGTCTTTTTGTTCGTGCTAGTTCCAGGGGGCGTCGGGCTTTAATCTTTAAATCCAAAGTCGTCTTTTATAAATGAGCTCCGGGGTACGAACTACTTTCTTCGGTGTTTCTGGTGATACTTGCAGTTCGATTCATGATTTCCTTCTCTGTGAGAAAAGAACGTGAAACCACTGTCTGTGCCACTCATTGAATCCTGTTTATTCTCTCCTTCTAATTTTTGACTCACTTTTTTCTTTCCTTCCTTCTCTTTTCTCCTACTTCGCCCCTCTTACCATGGCCGGCAGCAATGGCTCCCAGGGCCCCGTGGTCGTGGGTATTGCCGTGGCGTTTGCTGTCTTGACAGCAATCGTCTTGGCGCTTCGTCTATTTTCTCGCATTTATGTCTTACATAGAATGGGTGCCGATGACTGTATGTGGTCTACAACTTTGTCTTGCCATCAACACCACTGACCAAATTTTAGATCTTATTATTGGAGCTTGTGTAAGAAGAACCATTTCTGCTATCCGAACGACAACTAACAGAAGCAGCTATTGTCATGGGCATTTATCGCTGTCACCATTATTGGTATGTTTGCTCCACCACTCAGCAGCCTTCTCCGTCCTAACATAACCTAGCGGTCCAAAACGGGCTTGGAAAACATGCCGCGGATATTGATCCATCCAAGATGGTTACCTACGCATTTGTAAGGAATGACCACTCACGCATGACACTTAAAGTACTAACATCTATCTAGGTGGTTTGGCTGAGCTCCATGTTTTATCTTGCCACCCTTGGATTCATCAAAACATCGGTGCTATGGTTCTACACCCGACTCGGAGATCGCTACCTCACCCGTCTCTCTTGGATCATGATGGGAGTGATTGTGGCACAAGCTACCTCCTTTGTACTTGTTGCAGCATTCCAATGCCAGACCATTAGCAAGGCTTGGACTGCCACTGGACCCGGAAAATGTGTCGACATCAACCTCTTCTATCTTTGTAACGCCGCACTCAACATCGTCACGGATGTCTTGACATACACCTTGCCAATCAAGGTCATCTTCAACCTCCAAGTCCCTCAAAAACAAAAAGTTGTTCTGGCAGTCATTCTTTGCCTCGGTCTCTTGTATGTATACGTTGGTCATTTGGCTGGTGCGATCGCTAACATTATTCTCACAGTGCATGCGTCTCTTCTATCATCCGAATCACCTATATCCCCTCCATGCTTTATGGAACCGATCCTACATACGACATCAGCGGTGCTATGTACTGGTCGGTCATTGAAACCAACGTCGGTATCTTCGCCGCATCTATCCCGTCATTCAAAGCGATTGCCTCTCGCTTCCTGCCCCGTTTCATTGGCGAATACAGCAGTGGAAAGAAGTCCGCACCCTGGTCCGGAAACACCACCGCCAGGCGGTACGGATCTGGCTTCAACAAAGTCACAGACCCCAACAACATCACCTTGGCAACAATCAACGACAAGGATATTACCATGGGTACCAACATTGGTGCGGCGAGCAACTCCAGCGAGGAGAGAATCATCCCCCACGGGAAAATCTTCACTCAGACGGAGATCGAAACTACCGTCGAGTCAAGTAATGACTACGGAGGTTATAACTCATCTTTCGAGCGGGCTCGTCGATGAATCCAAGTTTGAAATGGGCGGTTTTATAAAAAGGGTATAATATTTGCACATACATGTATTTCGGTTTGATATCTGTACAACACTCTTTTGATGGGAAATATCACTTCTTTATGTCTAATGCATTTCGTAAACAGCGTCGCCGAGCAGAGTCAATGAGCCATTCATGCTTCACCAGCCCGGTACTAACAGTACGCGGGATATAGGCCATCGAAGCCCTGTGTCCCGTTCCCGTTTCTCAAAATGCCACATGATCGTCTGAAAATCTTCAAAGTCATTTCCGTCTCATTTCCACATGCGGAAAGCCGCGACCCCAGCCCCAACGAAAGCAAATAAGAATGCCCATCGAGTGAGGCCCCTGCGGAGGTGATACTGAATCGTGCGCTCAATAGCCTCAGAGTCATTCACACGGGGAAACGGCACATCCACTGGAGGATCCAATCCCAAAGCCTCGCACAGCGGGCCCCAGCCATCCTTGACATCGAAGAAAACCAACCTATCCTCCGGAACAACCTCCTTCAACCACTCAATATGCCTAGCATATGTTTCCCTCCCATGCATACCCATCACCCTCCCATATATGGACTCCCACTGCGCCGCAAGCAGATACCCATACGGGATGAAATGTCTCATGCCTTCGAGCGGTAGCAAGACAGCACGAGCAAACCAAACACCCGTCAGCGTCTGCACGTGATACATGCTCGTCTCCCACGATACCGGATCGCGCGTCGTGCAAATGACCTTGGCGTCCGGGTAGAGTTCCATGAGTTCCGGGACGAACTCGCAGCCTGGAGAATCGGTGATGGCGACGTAGCCGGCCAATCGGCTGTGCAGGAGGGATAGCATTGATGAGTGAGATTCTGCATCTTTCTTAAACCATCTTCGTAGGATCGGCATCCATGACTTTATTTCTGTGGGTGGGCCGCGCGATATTTGCGTCCCGCAGTGGTACACTGGTCCGTTGAGGAGGATTTCTATCGCTTGGCTGAATGATGAGGTTCCTGTGCGTGGTAAACCCGCTCCGATGATCTGGATCGAGGAGCCTGGTTGGGGTTTTGATGCTGTGTGGCCCATGCTGTATGTGTTTGGTGGTTTGGGGTTTGAGGTGTGGTTTTTTCCTTTTTTTCTTTCCCCCCTTCGTTGGAACTTGTTTCAGGTTCACTTGTCGGCCGAGGGGTGTTTCTGGTTTATTATGTGCAGTTGAGTAGCTCTACGGAGTGTTCCATGGCGTTTTCTACTCCGTAGACTAGTCAAGAAATGGGCGGTCGCGTAAAGATAGGAGGTTCGGATGTTTGGGGATTTCCGCCCCCACATCGGACTTCCCCCTCCCAATTTTGTGATCTGCGCTCCCGTCGGTTTGAGAACTCCCTTGGTTGTTGATGATTTACAATTTACAGTCGAAATATGAACTTTGATTTCTTTTTGAGAATACTCAGACTCTTGCTTTTTCTTTTTCGAGACTATTTCCACCACAGGTTGGAATCAAACAGTGGAATTCGCATTGTACCTGGGCAGGATCAACAAAGTTGCCCACTATATCTGGGACAGGAACTACTTCGGGTTAATGTGTGTCTTGGTGTTTGGACAAGCTTCTTTTTCCTATTCCGGCCAGGTGGTCGCCCACAGAGCCCAACCTCTCTTCTATGTGTGCATAACTACTATGTCGCTATCATTTACGGTCTATCACAACATTTTATATTTTCATATTCATATCCCGACTACCACTATAGGTAGGGGCAGACCTAGAGTCCACCCGTGAACCCTTGAAGAAGCTACTATGTGGAAATTCCGACCTCAATGCACCGGGGGCCGCCGAAGTTTATATGATGCACCGATATTTTCTCTGGCGCTACAAGGGACCTTGGGATATAAACTGGAAATTATTTCCAATTTACACGCCTAACCTATAGGTAAAACTCCGGTCGGGTGTCACTCGAGGAAGTTTGGTGCGATATTGGGATGTGGTGTAACCAATATATCTGGTGACAAATCGTGTATATATTTCTGCGCAGCATGTTCACATCTTGGAAGCTACGAGAACATGGGCCATCTATGGATACCCTAGGCGATACAGGGCACTGCTAACGAAATTATAGGAACTTGTGAAACAGCTGGACACCCTGCGAGGTACGGAGCACCTGGGCGCAAGGTGGGAAAGTAGGTATCTTGACTTCAAAATTTCGATGGTCGGCACGTGTCCGAAGGTAGGGGCCAAGGTGCCTCTTCCTGTGAACACAGTGTGTAAGGGCTGTACATATTTGCTCGAGACATTCCAAGGGCTCGCGTGTTTGGCTTCTAGAATAGTGCCATAGGCAGCGAAGTAAAAAATCCCATCCCTTGCGGGCCCCTGTCAGAGCGATGAAGCACATAGCCACAATCGTCTCGTGCAAATACGCATCTCCTTGTAAGTCTTTCCCAAACCGTCCATCACAACATGCGTTCGTCTAGATGACGACGCACAGACGACGCATACTCGTAGTATACACCTACGCGGCAGGTCCAGTAACCGAAGATGAGACATCCATTCCGAGAGTGACTCATAGCCCATCATTCACAAACACAAAGTACAGATAAACCGGCTGTCAGAAATGGCATCAGGTATGCAACGAAAATTCTACCCATGCGAGCAAGGAGCATGGTACTCCGATTCGATAGAGGGCCGACATTCCGTTCCGAAAATAGAAAGCTTCCAGAAATTCCAAAGCCAAGCCACTTGACCTAATTCGGCACTAGCTGCATGTGCAAGCCACGAAACATCTTCTGGAACGTACCAGAAATACCGAATTACCAATACCAAAAGCGTCTAACTGCTGACCTGCTGTACGGTAAACCGGCATTCTGAACCTCGTACGGCATTACCGACATGTGGCTGTGCAGCCCTACCCCAGGGACCAATCATGCACATCGAAAAGTCTACCATCTTGCATTAGCCTGTTACTAAATATGATACCTGCATGGAAATCTTGCACTGTCGTCCGAGTACTCGGTTTAAGGTGCTGACAAGTTTGTTTTGTCGGGATTCTTTGCCGATGAAAAATTTTTCACTTTCGATGATCACTGCAAGGGCCTCCTTTCGTTAACGGTTGGTCGACATGAGCCCGTGTCTGCTGCCGAATTAAGAAGGTGGGAAGAAGTGCTGATATGTACGGAGTATATGATCGCACTCCGTATAATATCTCCGATCGCTAGCTGAAAAACCTTAGATCTACAATGTGGCATGGTTGTGGCTTCAGTGGGCCATCTCTATCTCAACACTCGGATCAGCCGGTGCTGGTTTGCCACTTCCCCGGAGTTTGTAGGGGCCACAATATGGCATTTCCGCAAGACCGTACGACAATGCGGACCTAAATCTATGGAGAGGAATGCGTAGAAGTGTCGTTGAATTTGGGCCAGACTGATCGGTAGACACGGCACACCCCCGGACCCATTTCGGCGTGTCCAGACCGAGAGAGTCGCAGCGATCCGAGAACATTGCCGGTCGAATTCTTGTTCGGACGCACTAGCGGAATTCCTCAAGAGGTGCTTTGTTGGTCACATGGGATCATAAGTTATTGTTTCTGCCTTGATACAATTAGGAATCAGGAATCAACAAAGAGATTCGGGATTTGCCACCCGAGCCCTGCTCGGAGCGGAGGTCCTCGTTCCGCGATCTATCCTGTACTCCGTATACACTTTGGCATTTTAGTGCACGGCCACAAGTGACAGCGCTAGGAAACATTGGAGCGTAAGCCGCAGTACGTGCATTTTTACGTGCTGTTCTTTCGGGTGTTTGCCGGTAATAGATTAAGTGCCCAATCAAATATGCAGGGATTCGAGCTAAAAAATTCTGCAGTCTACATGTTTAGTAGAAAAACACAATTACCAGATAATACTACGAATTCAAAACAGACGGTCTCAAAGAGGAAGGACAGAGGAAAATGATTCCCTTGGGTGCCAAAAATATCAGGCAATCCACACACACACCATGTGACCATGTTATGCGCTCTGCACGGAGTAGCCTGACAAGGAGGCCGAGTTGGGCATATTCCGCCGACCGTATAGAAAGACAAGCGCTTACATGGTAAGACACATCGCTTCCAGGTATTGACTAGATTGACTAGGGTGACTCAAGATATGGTCAGCTGGTCACCATCTCTAGCAGATCCATGGACCCGTGTCCAACTTCAGCTTATCATGCCATTAGCCTTGAATGCAAACAGGGTCAGCTGACTATCGCGGTTGTCTGCGGCCGAGAAGAATGGGGATGTCTTGAGCGGAACCCGCCGATTGGCGGGGTTCACATCGCAAGACTGGACAGTCGCGAGACAGTCGCAAGACAGCTTGACACAGCCACACTGCGAGCCCTGGAGATACTCGGCCGTAGAATCACCAAGAATGTACCAGCTCGTACAGAGGAGAAAGTATTACCCAGCGGAACCAAGCTTCCCCCAGAAATCAAATAAACGTTGGGGACGGCGGCTCCGAGCCAGTGAGCACCAGCCACATGGCGCAGGCCCCGATGTGGCTAGTGTCGATTGAAGAAGCGCCAGGAAAGCAAAACCACCTCGGCTGAAGGAGTACATCTCTCCGAATCAATGATCCACATTTTTGGTACTCCATACATGTACATGTGCATGAGTCTTGCAAATCATGCCCAATCACTTCTTCTAGTGGATTCCGTTTGACTCACCGGGGGATAGTTGGGCCGTGAGCTACTCCGTACACGCGATTGCTAAACCCCGAGAATGTCCCAAAAACCGAACTAAGGTGTGGCTCAGCCTTATTTCGATGGTGGTCGACTCCACCCCCATTCTTTCCTAATTTTGGCCCTGGTCACCCGAGTCCTCTGATCGGAGCTAGTTCTAGACTATGTGTTAGACTATGCAGATTTTTCGCTTTCTTTACGTCTGGTCGTTTCTAAGCGAAAGCAATTATTTCTTGGCGGAATTGCGAGAGGGTAAGAAAAAAAAAAAAAAAAAAAAAACGCAAACCCGAATAAAAATAAAAATTCTATCGTTGAAACCACCTGAAATCAATATGTCCGCCCAATATGCCCAATCACTTCAGTCATTAACGTGGTGTGGGTACTGTGGCTTTTGTTTAATGTAAGCCACAACTTCATCTCAGAGCAAGGGAGCGAGTGGGATAAACGGAAAGAAAGACGATCCCCAGACAAAGTAGATCAGTGGAACTCGATATCGTGCGAGTGGGAATGGAGGTAGGGAATACGAAAGCGATACCGTCGGAGACAGATCAAATACCAATAAAATACCAACCATATCCCGATTCAGCCTAGCGGGGAAGGATCAATCCCAAACGGGAAAAAAAGAAAAGACCAGAAATTCCCCTAATAAACTTAGCAATACGGTAATTCGGCTGGTAATCAATACACATACATTACCGTCGATGGTTCGGTGACCCCGGTTAAAGTGAGGTCATCTAAGCACATTGGGGTCTTTATTAACTCACTCCTCCCGAGTATCTTCTTGACTTCATTACTAAACTTCCAACTCTGACTCTTATAATCATCATATCTGGTAAGAGTCTTCTTCCTCCGGTCGAGTCATTTTCCAGAACCAAGAAACTGACCTGTTTTCTCTTACCCTTGCCCAGATCTCATTATACTTCCAACCCTCTTATAATTCTCGATCAGCCTCCCGACGTTTCCAGACTCTTCGCTACCTTGAAACTTCGAACCAGACTTTGGTTACCAGACTTCCAAAGCACGGCCACAATTGATCAGGAATTCTTTATCGGACTCTCTACCCTCGGGTGCTTATAAAAGCTCGCCTTCGCCCGGTGGCAAACCCTACCCACTTACTCTGACGTCTCCAACTCGTGACATTATGCTTATGTACCCACGTAAGGGTCTCATCACCGATCCATACAACTCAGAGGACATCATCATACAAGACGACCAGTATCCACCCGAGTTCTATACCGAGGCCGCCTTGAACTGCTCCCAAGACCGTCTACAATCACCATTCCAGTGCCACCCAACTGTACAGCTCTCCCCGCCATCTTCCGCGCCTTCCTCCCCTGCGCTCTCCTCGCCGACTTTTTCAATTCCCTACCCGCAAACCTCGGACTCTCAGTCGTTTGGGGCTCCTTCGATGACCCCCCGCCTCCTCATATAACCCGTCATACGACATCCAGGGTTCCGATTCTCCTTCACACTACCTGCCTCACTACCCTCAGCAATATTATACCCCAATGTTGGCGCAACAGCCTCTGCCCAGCAACCAGGCCTGGGACGGCAACATGCAGTTGTTGAGCCCCGCGCGCATCCCATACCCCGGTATCCAGAAGAGATCATCGCCCTCGGCCAATTCGCGCTCCATGCCTTCCGGCTACCACAGTCGGTCCAACAGCTCCAACAAACCATTACCGACCCCGGTGCAGACCCCACTTCAGAACTCCTTCCTCGCGACACCTTTCCAGAACTTCGATCCCACATCGCAGGATGCTCACAACGCTGAGACTGAAACAGCTATGCGACGAGCAATTATGGACCAGCAGAAGCAATCTTCACCACAGCAATTCCAGGGCGATTACTCTCTGGCTCCCTCAGTATCAACACTGAGTCATAATTCCCCGGTGACCCCACAGACGAGTCTCGATGAGCTCGACGACGCCTCAAAGTCGATGAGCAATGGTGAGATTCAAAATCCTGAAATCGACCGGTGGATGACACAATACTTACATTTCGATGCACCAGAATATAACAACGGCATGCCAATGGGAATTCCCAGGTTGGACAGGACGATCTCTGATATCTATCAGGATGAGCTCTACAACCCTGCTATTATGGCCGCGCCTCAAGTGTCCAACAAGCAAATGGGACAGAACCACTTGAACCCACGCAACTTCATTGCCGACCGACTGAGCGCCGCCAACCAGGGCCATATGTCTGCTCGCTCTCAATCACCTGTCAACAGACGGGACCGCTCACCTTTCCGCCCCTCTTCCCCATTCGCAGGCGACATGGGCAACGAGGCTTTGCAGCAACCACAAGCTGCTACCAGCGTGCCCATGTCTAATGCAATGAACATGAACCAGAACATGAACCAAAACACTGGTGATATCAAGACCATGTCTCCTAAGGATGCAGTTTTGGACTTCCAGGATGGGGATGACTCCATGCCTCCTCTGTTCCCTGCGGGCATTCCCTCCACTCAGCCTGATTTCAACTTGGGCGATGCGCTCGGTTTGCGACGCGACAGCGGTTCCATGAGAGCGATGGAAGCATTCCCTCAATACACCGCGCCTACTATGTCTCAGCCTCAATTCGCATTCGCTCAACAACAGAGCCGTCCTCAGAACCACCTGCTACAGCAGCCTTCTGACTTCCCATCGCTTCCTACTATGGAATCGACCGAGACACCACGGAGCCAGATCAGCATGCCTTCTACGGAGAGCATCCCTCGCCCTGGCAACACCACCTCGGATGCCGGCACCTATACTTGCACCTACCACAACTGCGCCTACCGCTTCGACTCCCCCTCTCGATTGCAGCGACACAAGCGCGAGGCGCACCGCCAAACTACACCGGGCGGCCACCTGATTAGCCGCGACACCACACTTCGCAACTCCCAGGCCGGCCCTCACAAATGCGAGCGCATCAACCCGTCAACTGGAAAGGCATGCAATTCTATCTTCTCTCGTCCCTACGATCTTACGCGACATGAACACACCATTCATACCGCCGGGAAGCAGAAAGTGCGCTGCCACATCTGTAACGAGGACAAGACTTTTAGCCGAAACGACGCTCTCACAAGGCGTAAGTATTCACCCCCTTTACACTTGACCCTTAAACACCGTTCATACGCTAACTTTCATTACAGACATGCGAGTCGTGCATCCCGAAATTGATTGGCCAGGCAAGCAGCGTAGAAGGAGGGACTGAGTACGCCTTCTACGTCATGGCCCACCGGATCGGCATGCCGAACGTCATAGGGTGGATCCACTTGGCCCCACCAAAAATCCGGGGCTTCGTCATGATGACGATTATTACCCTAATTCTGTATCACCATTTCGGTTTCGATTCTTATGTGTACGATTTCACGCGATGATGTTCTATTGCATGCGGACTTTGCATTGGCTGGTGTGTTTTGATTTTTTTTGGTTTCTTGGTCGCTTTCGACCCTTGGGAAACGGGTTTTGGTGTTGTACATTGTTGTACATGGTGTTGCATTTTTGATTTCGACAGTACAGTCTATGCCTTTGTACTATAGCACATTTTCCAAAAAAAAATGTATATTAGCTCTTTTTGGATACGAGATGAAAATATGAACTATGACCAACTCATCAACTCATCAACTGGCCCCATGCATTCATCTACTTTAATTTGTAAACATACACAATCTACTGTACGGAGGACTGTACGGTGGGTGCACTTGGTGAGCTTTCCATATCTCCACACTCCACCTCCACAGCTTACGAGTACAATCTCGAAAATGAAACATACGCCCTGAAACATCGACAGGGTCTTTTCAACGGCTTCATATCTCGCCAACCACGATTATCCCATATACCCACCTTGTGTCAGCCACCTGGACTCCTCACGCCGATCGAGTATGTTGTACTGTACACACTGATCGAACAAAACCCAATAAAGTTGCTGTGGGGATATTATACTGCATCAAGAATGTAGAAAGCAATAGCTCACCGAGATCACGAAATCAACTTGGCTTGCATGGGACCCTCCCAATTGGTGGTATTAAAACGCGACCCATTCGCGATTTACAATTTACCAAAAGTCTCCTTAATTATGTACTTGTACAAGTTACCTACAAGTGCATAGACTTCAATCCTGATTGCGTCCCATGAGCATTCTACAACCTGTACATCGCGATGAAATCAGCCATGAACTCAGAGAAAACTAGAAAAATAAGACCTGAGAGTACGAGCATGACCCCATGATTGCGTAGATGGCCCAACAAACCTTGGAACAAACCCGACACTCAAATTCCGGGCTGATAAGCCAATCTTCCCACGACCCCGGTACTGGTACTGGGATTGTGTGGGTGGAAGTTGGGGTTTCTCCAGTCTACGTAAGTTGTATATCATCCGAAGGTTTGACGGGGTTGTGTGTGTAGCTCTCTCCTTAGTGTCGGGGGTAAATCGATGTCCTTCCCCGCGCACTAGTGGGAATTAAAAATTTATTGAACGTTCGACTGTTGTCGTCATTGAGTTCTGGGTTTCCGTTTCTTCGTTCTCTGTAATTAGATGTGATCGAGCACCGAGACGAAATTAGAACAAATTTGTGCGTTATGCGGTGCGAATTGCACGATTCCTTCCGATGGCTGAATACTGTAGAGCGGCCCCTCAAGCCATGTACGTTTGTGTGAAGGATAGTCTTAAATTGATAGGCAAGATAGACAGCTTGGGTGGAGCGGTGGCTTCTTTGTGGGTCATCTTTGTAAATTACCCGTGTAAAGTAAGACGGATTTCGCGGTGTGGAGTAAGGAGGTGAGTGTGGGTTTTTCGGTGGAGGTTGTGGCTTGGGACGAACTGCTGTCATTTGTGAATCTGCCGTAGTGCTTATGATGATCGCGACGATGGAGTTTTGGATTTGTATATCACAAGCGGTGATATGATTTGGATTTAGGTGGCTGGTTATGGTTGGATAGAAGGCTCTGGCTATTATCTCCGTGTGTGGTGAGACTGGTAATTTTCATACGAGTTGTAGAGTAGCATGCGATTCGTGTCGTATGATTCATTCTTTACTAAGGGTGCGGAGATCAACTGTTTTCGAAGTCAATTCGTAATTGTGTACGAATACTCTGTTTTCATATTGGCTCAAGTCCTGGAGCTAGGAAGTGATTGCGTGTTTACAGTACAACTATGTACTCCGTACTCGATCCTGTGGCTGTGTTGTGTTCGAGCTTGTAGCTCAATTGCCTTTGCCTTTGACTACACTTGTATTTGGAGCTATCACTTGCATGTCTTCCAAATAGATATAAAAGTTCAATTATAATACGGAGTAACATTCAATGCTCCACTAAGTCAGCGGCGTGATCGTTCTTTAGTTATCGTTTTCGATTTACTCTTGGTATGTCATATCTTTGCATACATTCGCCTATTTCATAGATGTATCTGATTGATAAAACGCCAATCATGCAGAGCAATCAATTAATGAACAAAAATCACGAAAAACAGACAACTGACGTTTTGTGAAGTCCAAGTGCTGAGTAAGGGTACCCAAAGCCCTGCTGTTGCAGATAGACGGTTCCTCTAGACCAGTGTTGTCGAATTGACCGAGCAAATTGCTGTTGATAACACCAACCCAGAATTTAGTTTGGAACCGATATCTACATTGGAAAGCAGGCGTGTTCGAACATTATACACATCAAGCCCATTGACATTGAACTCGGTAAGTGCAATCTCGCCGGGCTCAATTGGTTTTATGATACCACTTCGAAATTTCTGAAAAATAAGTAGTAGTTTTTACCGAGAAAAGAGAAGACATGTACGATATCGTGATGTAATATGAGATGAAGAGAGGAGGGAGAAGAAGGAGAGGGGGAAAGGGAGAGAGCTCTCGATCTTACGCTATCTACCTGCGGGGAGCCTGACAAACGGGGCACCAACAGGCTCCAACGCTTTCCCTCTGCACTTTTTGATTTTGCAAAACATCATCTGATCACCTCTCGTTGGAAATAGTCTGGAGTGATAGTGAGCAACTTGATACCTCCCTGACTTGGAGGGTTAGGAAGGCTTAACACCTGCGGATGCATCTGATTGGAGAATATTTCCACGCGATCGCCCAAATAGGACAAGTTCTCCGAGCTATAGAAAACGTGGTTAGAGCCGCTTACTCCCAAATATACTAACCCAGAAGTTAAAGATGAGAAAAATTTTCATCTCGAAAGGATTCCAGCTATCAGAATGCAGAAAATCTCGCTAGCTTTACTGTTCCAATTGATCTGGGCAACCTGCGCTCTTGCCGAGAATGCAATTGTAAGAATCGAACTGCACCGCAGTGTTGATCAACGCTGACCAACAGACGATCCCATGGGTTGGGTACTCATACTCTGGAAACTATTTTGCAGGTTACGAGGGAAAGATTGTCGGAACTGTAAGTCTGCCCTACGCCATGCGATGGGTACCAATTCTGACCTCGTAAAGGATGGCGACAAAACAACCTATGTGGTGAACTGCCCACCAAGCGACACCACCTGCATTGCATTTGACTCCGATAATGCTATGACTGTCATCGCTGGATCCAACAGTAAATACCCCATCATTTTGAAGAATGCATATGCTAACAACTCAGCTTATGATCTCATCTACACCGACCCATGGGAATACACTAGCTCAGGCTGCACGTTCGCTGGTGGCCCCACACCGACCACCGCGACATGCTCGTATATCCAAACTATAGATCTGGGCGGTCACTCGACGTCGCGTGAAGATACATACAATGTTCCCGCGAGCACTGTTTACCGCGAGATATACTCGGCCACCTTGGCGGTTGCGGGGTCTACATCTTCGTCCAGTACGGCCACGAAGACTGGCACATCGGCCGTGACGCAGACTTCGACTGGGGATGTTTCCTCTACTACTGATACTACTGTGATTGCCGCGACCGCTTCTGCTGCCGTGGCTGTCTCTACAACTGCTACTGGTAATCTCGCATGCAAATCATCTATGCCGATGATAGTTGTGGGTGGTATCATCGCTGGTGTTGCAATGAATATGTGAATAAGGGAATACCCAAGGACTACCTAGGTACGCGGTGGCAATTGGCTACTTAATTCTCAATTCTCTCGTCATATGCGAGAGAATGAATAGTATATCATTATTTCATTATTTTTTTCGACCTGCGAACACAATGATGGCGGAATATCCTCATCCAATTGCACAGGCAAAACGATTTGACAAGGAAGACGCCAGGCCGTGACCAGTTACCTGTCCGATATGATTCAAGGCACGGCGACAATGAGTAATCTGGACCTGAGTAGCAAATGAACAATTGACGACCGTCCACATTGGCCAGATCAAGGTATTACTACTCGCGAACTTGGCGGTCGGCATGGGGTGGAAGTTATCGGTCGCATCCACAAATCCAATTGTCGCCGTAACGGTATAGCAAATCACATCGAGAAGGTGGTTGAGTCGGCCCTCGAGGGTGTCACAAAACTCCGTTAGGCCACCAGAGAACTTCGGCAAGCTGAATCCCGGGTCGTACTTTTGCATTTCTCTGCAACAAAAGAGAACGTGGAGACAGAAGACTATTTGAGCGGATTTGGTAGTCGCCAAAAAAGTGATGGTCCAGGGGTCAGGCGGCGAGACTGTAGCAAGATCGACGTTATCGGACTGATACTGCTTTTGCCAATGAGGTGGAATGCATGCATTCCAGATGTCGACTTCCCCAAGAAGATGGGAAGCGCGGGAGAGTAGACTTGCTAAAATTATGTGGCGGCTTGTTCCTACGCCTGAGCTTGTGCTTGAGCTCACACAGGAAGTTCTGAACTCCGCGGCAGATTGACAGAACTGAGATATCAGACTGTTGAGGATACTTGCCCGGACGACACAGTCGGGGTTGGGTATGGATTCAATGGATCCAGGAACCCTGGCGCAACCAAATCTGTTTGTTGCGATAGCCTGTATTTGCTGTTCAATCACAACACAAGCTGTAAGTAGACCAGGCGACGGGAAGATTGAAAGTGGGAGCCACTCACTATTTGTACAGTGGCCCAGCTAAGAAGAGACCGGGTGTATTTGCTTGCTGTTTGCTTGCGCCCGCGCAGCTGCAGCAGATATGAGATTCCCGACATATGAGGGTCTGAGAGTCCATCTCCTTCATGGACAAAGTTCTGCGCGAGAGAATGAGTAAACAGTTATGAGCAAGAGCCTTTGGGCGACGCACGAAGAAGATGCCCAGGAGGAGGCATGCGGCAAAGGTTTCGTCTTTCATGGCATCTTCACGAGAACCAAGCATTTTGTTCAAATGACCCAGAGAGAGGCCGTAATGTCTTCGAGCCTTGATGTAGGATTCCTGAGTACCCGAGATATTTGCAAGTGTGATATAAGACACACTCAGAATCGCATGTTTCAAACATGGAGCATTTCCCTTCTCCTCGAAGAAATCTGGCAGAAATGCCAGATGACCTCCACAAGGCGATCGATGAACTTTGAGCACGACTTGATTCATAAAACTGCACAGAGATTGCCACTCTTTGCAAAATGCAAGGGGTCGCGAGATCTGAGGATCTGCCACAGAACGTGGAGCCGACAAGCGATCCTCCCGATCTGATGGACGGATAACCCTCTGGCGACGAGTTCTGTGAGCCTGAAGTGCATTGTTTGTCACAACTGTTTGCTGTGCCGCAGGGGATTTGGCAATGCCATCTTCTGGAGGTTTATATGCACGGAAGCTAAATTTATCCGGATAGCCAGTACACTGAATACCATGCTGAATACATCGACGACATTCAGGTTTGGCTCCGTCACACTGCTCGACACTTAGATAGGTTTCTTCGTCCCAAAGGTGTTGACTCACCTTGACTTTCCGTCTGCGGCAATCGTGGCAGCCAGTGCTTAATCGTCCGGGAAATACCATAGATGGTGACCCAGCGGAGCTCTGCAAGGGGCTCGCTTCAAACTCAACTCGACGCGTCAAGCTTGATTCTTTTCGATACTGCGACGCTCAAGTAGCCAATCATGTCTACGGAGAGACTCCGATCTCGCCAGTAACGAGTATTATGTCATAGACTCGGAGCGGGATAACTAAAGTCCGAGCACCTGGGCATCAACCGCTGGACGCTAGTTAGTTAGGACACTAAGACGCTCGAGACTATGTGAATTCCGTGAAATTTCGAAAAGCGGCAATGAAATATATGAAGAAACAGCTACGAGATATCAGGAGAAGAGGTGAAACCAATTTATTTTGATCTAGTTAACAGATGGAATGAAAGGACATCAGGAGAAGGAGAAGGGAGGGGCTGAGTAGAGGGTGGAGGAACAAAGGGAGCAAGAGAGAGAGAAATGGAACTGCCTACACTGAGGAATGAAACCCCGTAGAGCCTTGCTCCCATGGTCATATTATCTATCCCACCCTGCTCCTCTTGCGCCGCCTTTTGCGCCGCCTCTTCTGTCGGCTCTGCCATCAGTCTCTGTACTCCGCAGCTGGAGCTCCTCTCTCCGTCGTGACTGCAGCTCCACCACCAAGTCCAGACTCAGCCATCGTGAATTTCAAATCGGAGACCCCATAAATCGAGATCGAGACCATACCAAGGACTGCGCAGACACAAGAGAAGACAAGTGCAACGATGCCACGGGTGGTAAAGCCGCCAGGAATAAACCCAGGAGGAGCATTCTGTCCCTTCAAGTCCAGGTAATCCACAGTATTCGCAGCGGCATTACCTTCCCAGGCGATGCCAGCAGCATCACAGACATCCTTCTGGGCCTGAGAAATGCTGAATGTATCCTGAATGGAGAGTGGATCCTCCACAAAAGTCATTGCAAGACCCTGCATCATATGCCAATCAATGTGGCAGTGAAAGAGCCAGACCCCGGGGTTGTTGGCGATGAAGCGGATCACAAAATATCCACCAGGAGGGGCCACGAAGGTATCACGGCGAGCGGGATACGTAGGGAATGCGGTGTGATTATCGGCATCAAAGGTGGCAAACACCGTTCCATCACTATAGTCGTAGAAATTTGCTCCATAACGTGGATAACGATCAACCAGCTGGAAATTGTGCCCGTGCAAATGGAAAGGATGGGTCCCCGTGTCCTGGTTGCTGAGGATGACTTCGACAACCTCATTCTTCTCGAGCACGATAGAATGGGTGTAATCACCATAGATTGTTTCATCGGTGGCCAGGGCTCCTGAGGACTTGACGGTATACAAGGTGGGAACCTTGGGTGCGGTATAACTAATGTTATTCAACAGGGCATATCCCTTGCCATTGTCGAGGTTCTCCATAACAACAGTAACTTCCACTCTTTTAGAGGGGCTTTTGTAAAGCTCGACTCGATCATGCGGAACAAGCTCAGTATCATCAAACGGATAGATGTCAGAAGAGTCGTCTACAGGCATTGCCACGGTGTTGCGCGCTGCTTCAGAGTTATACTCGAGCCAGTTGGTCTGATTGAGCAAGAGATCAGGGGATATAGTGTCGAGTAGAGACGAGTCGGCGACCATGACCATGCCATAGTTCTTCTCGGTCGAATTCTTCATAGTGACCAGAATGGCGTATCGTTGTGCAACAGAGAGATACAACTTGTCCGCTTCAGTCTCATCGACATAGACGCCATCGATTTCCACAATACGCATAGTATGATCCTCAATCCAGAAGTATTGACCCACGAACGTGGAGATATTGATCAATCGAATAAGGTATGTTTTGCCTGCCTGCACGGGATAGCTTTGGCTGATTGAGTTGTTGAACAGAAATGAATCAGGTATAGGCTCGGCCCCAGTAGGATTGTATAGAGACATGAACTCGGGTTTGATATCCTCTGCAAGTGTATGGTACCAGTCGCTCATAGTGATAACCATCTCGTCGTCAAATTCATTGTAGAAGTAGGAATCGGTGTCGTGAACAATGAATGGCGCACGGTAACCACCGGGATAACAGTAGTCCGTGTGGCAATGATACCAGTAGGTGCCATTTTGGTTGACGGTAAAATTGTATGTGAAGCTTGATCCAGGAGCCAATGGACATTGTGTCACCATCGAGGGGCCATCCATGTCATTGGTGCTGTTCTGGTAAATACCATGCCAATGGATAGAGGTGCTCTTGTCGCCGAGGCCATTGTAAACGTTCGCGATGATTTGGTCGCCCTTATTCACCTCTACTGTCGGCAGCGGCCAATGGTTATTGATACCAATGACTTTGCGATCAGCAAGACCGTCGGGATTCGCTGTGACCCAGGTGACATTCCAGTCGAATGTGTGTACCACAGCGTGGCAGGCCCCCAAGAGCAGCTGGAAAGCCCCCAACCGAGCGAGATAATTCCTCATTGCAAGGCAAAAAGATTGGCCGTGGATCTGGGAGATTCTTGGAGTAGGCCGAGCTGGATCTGACCGCGCTTTTACTTCTTTCAGGATTCATAGTAGAAATGCTTTAAGCCGGCAGATTCTTTGTGCCGACATGGTGCGACTGCCATCGGTCGAGTAACCCCTTTGTGGTCAGCCGAAAGCGTCGTTGACCACAAATTTCGCCTAGTGGATATTGATTGAAAGTCGGACATACTTGCCCCAAAAGTGATAAACACTTATCAGATCGGATGACCTCACCCTCGCTGTTCTCGCAAACCCCTCCCATTTTGGAATGTGGGACTAAATGTCGGAATGATCTCGAGCATAGTCCCACTTAGTATGCGACTTAGCCTCTGTCTTGGCATCAAGGCTGCTCAAGCAGGACTTGCTTGTATGGCCGCCAAGGAATTTTATCGAAGAGAGCGGACATGTACGATAAAGTATTGAATAAATAAATGCTGTCCAGTATTTGATTAATAGTATAATGCCTAATATCCAACGAAGAATAAAGTATTAGGTTTGAGTAATATCTAGATAATAAATTTGACGTATTTAATACTCTGTACAGGCGAGTGAGGTTTGATATACCCGAGTAGACATTGTCTTTGTTGATAAAGCACAGAATGGCCGAAAATACTTAACGAGGCCGGGCTGGCGCAATGGTGGCGCGTAAGGCTTCTAAAATTCACGATTTTGGCGCGGCTTGCGCATAGCGCAAGCTCTTGACATGGCTGAGGAGGCACCTTAAGGCTCTGGGTCCGTTTCTAACACCCGACCTCCAAACCAACCCCCTCTTGACCGCTACGCCACCGGACGAGATTTCGGATCCCCGCAAAAATACTGTGTATGTTATACTCGTGGTAAAAATGCCGAAAAAATTGACAGCCCAACGCGAGGCACTCGCAACCTTATGATAGCCCTTCTCTCAGCCCTTCACGCAACCGTCTTTTTGAAGAAACATTTTGCAGGCATCAGTAGAAGTCATACGCGCTACCATTGCGCCAGCCGGGCTTCGACGGAGAGCAGCTGCCAAAGTTTCATCCTTGAACTTTTGAGGAGATAATGATTCAGTAGGAGTAAATGTGCTGTTCTTATTGAATCTTATAGTTAGCTTAAATCTAGGGTTTACGTTTACCTCAGAAGCATACTGATTGTAAGGGATCGGATGCCCCTCGCGCGAGTGGCTTTTTCTATAACCCTTTTTTTTAGCTTCTCTTTCTAGCAGCCCCAGGTTCGGTGTCAGGATCGCTGTGCTTTGGTGTTTGGCTTCACTATCATCCCTTTAAATCTGGGATTCGTACGACCTTTTTTTTTTTTTTTTTGGATGTTGCGGTGTTGATTTAGAGCTACCACTGCAACTATCGAAGTTTTGCTACCGCCTCCACTATACCTGCTTTCACGATGCCGTATTTTCTGTATCGGGTCTTCCGAGGTTAGCATGACTTTCTTCCGTCACCAATCTATTCTCAGGTCCACTGAGGAGTAAACAAAGGGAAAAAGTAAAAGTAAATCTTTATGACTGATATCGTTCCAATAGTATCTCGATGTGATTAACGTAAATAATGGTGTCTGGTAAACATGAATCGTTTTCGATGTTAATAGAAGGAATGAGAATTACAAAGCCAATTCGTATTCCCAACTCACCATTGTTGTCTTTTTGGCTGTGTGTGAGTGTGGTGCTGAGGTTTGTCCAGGTAGTAGATCAAATTCTAGTGCCAAGTTGGCCTTAGGAACTTGGATCGATGATCGGAATTTACCTCTCTACCTGTGGGGAACTCACCACACCGGGCACCCACGGGCTTCGACAGATTTGCGTCGCATTCATGACAAGCCAACTTGGTGCAAGGTACATTGTGGCGTTAGGAATCCAAGGTAGTATCTCGGATAATGGTGTCAAAATTCGGGAAGCTTGACTCGTGTACTCTTGGCACACTCGGGGACTAGATCCTATCTGGGAAACGCCTCATCTAGAGGATGGACGGAAATGAGTCTCCCGCGGTGCTAATGTGGCATGGTCTATGCTTGGTCGAAATTTTCAGCCGAGAGTCACAGACAAGTCGTATGCATGAGCGATTCCAGAGATTGCTCTGAGTTGTTGTTCTTCTGAGTAAGGCCTACTACGAACGAGCTTATAAATCCTATGTATGTACTTTTTTGAACTTCTGCTTTCTCGAATTGTGGCCTAACACTTTGGATCAACCCAGGTAACTCATGACTTTGCTATCACGAAGGACAAAACTTACGGATGGGGCATAATGGGATACTGGGCTGGTGTGATTCTTCTGGGGATGACCTCAAAGGCCTGGACCGTTCTGCAGAGAGGCTCCCAATCGAAAGGTCCTTTGGAAAGCCTGTGCCACGCCTTTCGAACGCATGTTATCTTGCCGGCCACTTTCGCGCCGGTCTCCTCAAAGCACCAGGCACTCTGGTACTCGCACGCCATTCCAAAACGGGTTGACTCTTTCATTGTGTTGGGTTTCTGGGTCGTGACCATTGTCTTGAGTTGCGTGCAATACGATAGCTTTACGGGAAACATCCAGTCAGTTTTCATTCTTATGAATCGTTTGGATCCCCATCGCTCATTCACTATTTTCAAACAGGACCCCAAGTCTTTACCAGCAAAACTGGCAGTATACCTCAGATCGCACTGGTATCCTATCATACGCCTGTCTTCCTTTTTTGTGGCTTTTCAGTGGCCGAAACAACGTCTTCTTGTGGGCAACGAATTTTACTAACCAGTCCTTTATTACTTTCCACCGCCATACTGCGTGGGCATGCACTATTCTTGCCGTGGTACACTCAATCAATTACAGTGTCGTCTTTGCGGTCTATGGTACTTTGGCATCTATTCTCAGCCCTTCGAAACCAAGCTGACATGATTTCTAGATGGCAGATACTGGAGCGTTTGGGTTCAGGAATATTGGTATATGGGCGTTGTGGTAAGTCATTTCCCTTCTCCATTTTCAGTCTCATCTGCTTAATTACTGCTAGGCAACTATCCTTATGTGTTTCATGCTTATGCAATCGATGACTTGGTTCCGTCACCACTCATATGAGTTCTTCTTGGCTATCCATATTATATTTGCAGTTGTTGTACTTGTCGGTCTTTTCATGTGAGCTAACACTGATGTCTGTCGTGCCAAACCCTTATGACTGACTTGATCTAGGCATACTAGCTTCGATGGGCAAGAATTTGTTGGGTATTTGTGGGCGCCTGCGGGACTGTGGATATTTGATCGACTTGTCCGTCTGTTCCGCGTCGTCTACTGCAACATGAACGTTCGTATTGGAAGACAATTCCAGAAAGAGGCATACTCCACAGTCATATATGATCAAACCAGTGACTTGGTCAGAATTGAAATGGTTCTCGGAACGTCGATGGCTCCGAAGCCTGGACAGCATTTCTTCTTATATCAGGGAGGTGTGCTCAAGTTCTAGGAAAATCACCCCTTCTCACTCGGTGCTTGGACGGCTGCCTCTGAAAGCAAGGCTGAAGGTAGCCTTCCGAGTGCAACTCAGAATAAGCTCATCTTCTACGTCCGCCCTTATGATGGCTGGACCCGCCGCCTTCGTGATCAAGCTTCCAAGGCAAACGGCATTTTCCAGCCAAAGCTTCTTCTTGAGGGGCCATATGGCCACACTGAGCCTTTGCACCGCTTTGACACAAACCTGATGATTGTTGGAGGCACCGGTATTGCCGCCGCGATCCCCTACCTTCTGTCCCATTTGGAACGCGTCAAGACAAGCCAGACCAAAACAAACAAGATCCATCTTATTTGGGCCATTCGTGAACGGGCCATGTGGAGCCATGTCTTCACGGATGATTTGAAGCATCTCTTGCAAAGCAGCGACATTACAATAACAGTCTATTGCACCAAGCTTGGTCCATCGATCGAAGATTCGAGCTCGCAAAGTGCACTCTCCGATGTGACCACGACACCGAAGGAGAAATTGTCGGTAATAATCGCCACTCCACCCAATTCGCCCACTCATAGTGGATTGCGTTTCCTACCTGGTCGCCCCAGTGTGCGCCAACTCTTCATGACTGAGGTGGAAGAATGCAAGGCTAGCTCTTCAAGCCTCGGTGTCCTTACTTCTGGACCTGCTCAGATGGCTGACGAGTGTCGATCATCGGTTTACGACGCCATGAAACATGGATTCCACCATATTGATTACTTTGAGGAAGCATTTGGTTGGTGATCTGCCTAGAAAACGAGAGAACCATTCGAGTTAGTTGAAGGATAGATGAGGTATAAGAGCTAAAGAAATCAAGAATACTCAATAGCATGACCTGTGAGAAAAGACACATGGGTCCTTTGCTTTTCATGGGCAAACTCATGGGTAACTTGAAAAAGCAAAAAGGCGCGGTCTGGCAACTTGTGATATTTCATAGCTCGACGTGGTCAACAATATCCCTGTCTCATCGCGGTGGGCATTTGTACAGACCGCTACTCACCACCCTCTCCCCCTAGAGCTGCAAGAATCTGTTGGGTTGGGGAAGCTAATGACGGTAGTTGAGGGTTGTTCTCAGAGTACAATTTCCCACCTGTGGATACTCTGGCTCTCGGACCAGTCATTTCTGATTGCTGGAGTGGCAGATACAAGTCAATGGAGGAGGTCCGGCGAGATGTTGCACGTTGTTTGGAGGATTTCTCAGAGGAAGGGATGGAAAAGGCGGCATTGGAATCCCCAGAAATAGCACAATGCTCCAGACATCCACGTACCGTCTGCTCCCAATTCGACTAGCAATGGCCGAGAGAAGGGGCGACTGCGGTCGATTGAAGGTGGTGGAAGAGATTTGCAAGTTTTGTTCGTATGTGACATATGTTCAATAGAACTGAGTAACAAGATCATATGTGTTAATGAGATATCAGAAGGCCAAAGGCCAAATGGACAAGGAAAGACGTTGAGCACCCCTGACTCCACCGCACACAGAATCCCCTCGCAAGGTACTTCCACAAAGATGGCACAGAAAAAAGAGACCGGTTTCATCAATTTGGGAGGAAACCTATCATTTTCCCATTGGTAATAACCTTCACCGTTTCGCCACCGATCTCGTTCGTCTCTGTCCGCTTGGAGTTTCAGGGCTCTTTTCCTTTTGTGCCGGGTTACTAGCTTCGCGATTCAATTCCTGCTCGACTTGATCCTGTTGCTTGTCTGATTCATCGGAATCTGATTCAGATGTCTCGGGGTCATAAGGCGCTTTGTCACAACCATATATGCCCCAGTTTGGTAGAAGAGCAGACACACACAGGTGTAGATGGGACATTTTCGCGGATTTCTGCATTATGCGATCCTGCAGAGAAAGCTGCGCCGTGATGAGCCTTTGCAATTTAGCTTGGTCTTTCTGCATATCCTTGTGAAGCGCATAAATGAGATCAGACATGTCAACAATCTGGTCGTACGCCAACCCTTCTTGTTCTTCCGAAGGTTCTTTCGGGTCAGAAGTAAGCTGAGGAATTTGAGTGGGCATAAACCGAACCGAGGAGTATAGCTCCATGACGGCTTGAGGAGACGTGCACTTAGATAATTTCTCGTTCCACGAATCGGTCCGCAAAACCTCACTCCATCTTGATGGTGGGGGCTTCGCAGTAGCTCTGAATCCCTCGGGAAGGGTTCCAATGTATTTGTCAATCCACCGGTCAAAGACTTCCAGTGTTTTCCCTTCGGGCTTATACATGTCCCACGGAACACATCTGGTGATTTGTGGAGTCGGACCGGCATGCATATCGCGCGGCTGGGAGTTGGTGTTGCGTGTCGAGCTTGATTGTTGTGCTGTGCTCGATTCACCGGTGGGTGGCGCATCCTTTTTTTGGCCCTCGTTTTGGCCCTCGCTTTGGCTTTCGTTTTGGCTTTGGGTTGGAGCATCGGTCATAAAGGATTCGTGCTCGCGAACGCGGATTCGAGTGCGTAACAATCCATAAGCAACGCCAAACTCTCGCGCTAGCGGCGCAATTGGTGGTTCCTTTCTCTCATAGTACGCTTTTATAGCTTTGGCGAGCTGCTGGGGGTCTGATTTCTTTGGCATGGTGAGTGGTGAGTGTGGGTTGGAAGCGGAGCGCGTATCTAATCGACTTTGGCGGATCGGTGACGCAGGTCACTTGCGACGGTTAGCGCGGTGCGTCTTCATTGAGCCTCGCTATCTCAATTTATCGTTCAGACTCGTGAAAATGGTAATTTTGTCTCGTTCGCAGCTTGGAAGGGTCGCAGTAAACATGGTCGGCATAGATGTCCTGGTGTTGACCCGGCCGGTCTGGACGAAGACATAGCCTACTAGCCCACTCACACAATACCAATTGTTCGACCAGACGACTGCACAATGAGTATTATGAGGATTTTTATCGCGACAGGTAGCTTGAACAGCAGATAATGCAGTCAAAACAATTGGCATTGATAGGCCACCGCCCCGCGGCAGAATACCGTATTTCTCCAACTCCCGTCGCATCCATCTCCTTTAGATCAACAATACCTACACAATGACAAACGAGCCCGCCGCCCAGACGATCCAGGACCCAGATGATGAAGACTACGATTCTGCCGAAGATGAAGATTTCCAAGTAGGCGCGGCGCAAGATGACTCCGAGCTATCCTCCGACGACAACGAGGCCGCAGAACCAGCCAAAAAGAAGCGCAAAATACAAGCGCAAACAACTGCCCCGGAAGACCCAGAGCTAGATTCGGGAGATGAAGCCACAATTCGAAAAGCGAAAGAGAAGAAAGACAAGAAACGCAAAGGAAAGAAGTCCAAGGGCAAACGAGCTCGCGACAGCGATGACGATGACGACATTGATATGGACGATGAGGGGGGAACGGGGGGATTTGTACGGACACGTGCGATGAAGAAGCACATGTGAGCTCGTCCGGCAGTTACAAGCGTGTTGCCAGATGCTAATAGGCCATTACAGACGCGAAGAGGAAGCAGAGCGCAAACCGCTAGCCAAAATCGACGGCGCGACCGTGGACGTTGATGCACTATGGGCGCAAATGAACGCGCCACAATCCCGAAACGACCAACAGACACCGCAACCTCAAGCCGAGACCGCACCGGAACCCGAAACTACACAGACAGAAGCACAGGACCAACGGTCCGCGGAGGCGGGCGATAAACCTGGCGGCGCGCATGAGGATGAAATGATCAAGATCAAGCGCACCTACAAATTTGCTGGAGAGTGGATCACGGAAGAAAAGGTGGTGTCCAAGCACTCCGCAGAGGCTAAGGTGTTCCTTGCCAGCGGGGAGCACGTTGAATACACCAACGAGGAAGCTGCAGCCGCGAGTGCCGCTCTCAATCTCAGTCGACCGCTTCGCAAGATCTCACGATTCGACCCGAATCCGACCGGTACGATTAAGAAAAGTTGGGAGAAGCAGCTTGTTCCCGAGGAGAAGGATGCGCAGGGTCCCAAGATCAACACGGTGGAGAAGTCAAGACTCGATTGGGCTTCGTACGTCGATAAAGCCGGTATCAAGGACGAGCTCCGCACGCACAGCAAGGCTAAGGAGGGCTACATGGGTCGTATGGACTTCTTGGGTCGCATGGAGGACAAGAGAGAAGACGAAAGGCGGGAAGCACGGCTCAAGGGCATGTGAAATCTGCATCTGTGATGTCTAGCAAATTTCTCCTTCCTCGAGTGTATCCTGCTCGTGTGCTGCTACGCACGCTTGCTGTGTGGCCTGGAAGGTGGACAACCGCCCGGGTTTTATGCCAAAGTGACGACACCATCGGTGACTATCTCGGTTGGGGCTCTTCTTCTGATCAACCAGTAGCAAGCACTTTGACCCTCAAACACGGGGCATCGCCAAAAACCACACCTGAGCGAGCCAGGCTACTATATTGTCTGTGACTCGCGAACAACCACGACCAGGGCGACTCATCGGCCATGACGAAAACCCTAAAGCCTGTTAAGCTTTACGGTCCCTCTTCGCAGTGAGCAGGTCAGTCAGCTCGGCTACAGACCTACGACTTAATGTGGTTCTACGAACCGCGTGCTTCATGATACAGAGGGACATAGAATCTGTCGTATCTTCATGTACTATAGCTATCAATAATTGAAAGAGCGCAGATTCAGCGAATCGGCCACACAGCTAAGGCCAAGCAAACGCATTCAAATTGTTCATTTGGGCACGTACTTGATACCTGTCTTGGGGCAGCCGGAAGTTGTAACTAAAGAAAACAATATGTTAGCAGAGCCACCACCGGGAGATAAAATTAACTTACGCGTCTTGACAGCCTTGTAAGAGCCATCAATGGCATTGCCCTGAACATTATAGAAATACCAAACCTGGTTCAGCTTTCCGCTCGAGCAACCCAGGTACACCGATGCGCCATGCAGCGAAGTGAGCGCACTCTGGATTTCGCTCAGAGTATAAGTCTTAGAAGTGCTTGGAGTAATGCCAGCATCGGCAAGAGCCTGTCGTAGAAAAAGAAGAAGTAATCAGCATTTAACCTTCCGCATCCAACATTCAAATCCCATACCTGGTAAGTATCCAAACCCTTGAACAAATCCACAACCTTCTCGAAGAAGTCACCCACTTCTTCCTGAGCCGTGTACCCCTGGTAGCAGTCCGGGTCAATGGTGTTAATGCAAGTACCATGCTTGCCCCACTCATGAGCCCAGAAAGACTCATTGTCTCCGTCAATATCAACCCAGTACTCATCCATGTAGTCTAGCAGATCATCCTTGCCCTGCGCCTGCAAGATATCCGTGATATTGGTGTACGCGCGAGTCGAATCGCAGCTCGACTCGTACGTGCCGTCACAGTTATCGGGCCTGACTATGTCAATGTGGGTTTTCATGCATGCACGGAATCCAACCTACCACAGACCGTGGATGGTCCACGAGGTCGACGGCCCGGTCGATGGGCTGGTATCCCAGAATTGGGTCTGCAGGAGGGCGCCGCCAGGATAGTTGAAGCAGCAGGTAGGGGTAGTCGATGAACTTGCGCAGCTGTAGCCTGAGTTACTGGAGCAGGCCTCCAAGCTGGCGCTGGCGCCTGTGAGAAGGCCCATGGCCGCGAGGGCCAAAACGTGCTGGGATTGGAACATTTTTGGTGGATGTTGGAATTGAGGTGATGGGAACTCGACGGATCATGGGTCTTTATACTTCCCAAGGTTCACTGAAACCTTGCACATGTACCAGGGACCGGGATGTGATTTGTAGAACTCCATTGGGAAGATTGTTTACAGTATGGTGTCGCGTAGTGTTGAGTAGTGCCCTGAAAGTGGAGATAAGCCGAGACGATCTCCGACCGGGGCGCGCCGAGTGTTTCTCTCTTCGTCCAATGATAGATCGAAGATGCACAACGCAGTCGAGGCTAAGCGAAAGGCCGACGGTTTTCGTCTGAAGATTGAGGAGAAATGGGACTGGCGAGGTTGCATCGGCTGTCCTTCGGATCTCCGTAACCCCGCGAGATTAACGATCGTCAGGCCCTGACGAACCAGAGCGCTCAATTCGCATCTGGCAGAACGACGCTTGTTTCATGAGAGCTGCAATGCTGCTTTTACATTTGTGTCAACATGCTGAATAACATACGACACGTCCTTTGATTCCCCACCCCGAACAGCCCGTGGGAAATTGTATGGTCGTGAATGGTTATAACTTGAAGAATAATCTAAGATAATAAAGGCTCCTGCTCCTCGTCGGTCGCGCGTGATTGCTCGAACTTGACGTTCCAGACAGCCACCACAGCAAAGAAGAAAAACACCGCAGCCATCAGGAACGGAAGCCCCATCCATGCCTTGCCGAGGTGCAGGCCCAGCCGAAAGAGGTTGGCGAACAACGGACCCGAAACAAGAAGACCCACGCCCTGGGCGATTCCGATCGCTGAATACAAGGTACCGACATGGTCGGGGAGTACGAGTGAAGTCGCTAGACTGCGCGTCGTTACCATGAACGCCGAGCCGATGGACAAGATGACCAGACCGCCGATCAAGAAGGCAGGGTTGGGGCCGATGAAGACAGCGATAAATCCAATGACAGAGAGTATTCCACTGCCCTTGCTCATGATATGGTCGCTTCGCTTGCCGTGCAAGTTGAGATACTTGGCCGCTAGGAAAGTCACGGCTGGCATGAGGAGCAAGTATGTTACCAGGGCAAATATTCCCCGCAATGATATTAGGAGACTGGACTGTGGCTTGGGTCAGTTGAAAAAGTCGATGCACGGGGCAGTGTACTTACGCGACCGATACTCCAATCGAACTTGGCCGATACGTATTGTAGGAGGAGGTTTGTGCATTGTCGGCTCATGACGGTGACGAAAAGCACGAGGACCATGAGGCAGACGTTGAGATCAGACCAAATGAATCGTGTCGAGTCTCCGAACTCGCGGGCTTGTCGGATTAGCTCTTTGATCAGCGTTCTCTTATCGGATTCTTGAGGCTCGACTGGGCCGTGCTGGTCTGGCTCTGCTTGCTTGGTTCGTTTTGCTATTGCATCCTCGAGGGTCTCTGGGAGAAAGATAGCCGGTATGGATCCCACGAGGATCAAACCGAGTGATAACAAGTAGGGGAACATCGGGCCCTTGGTCATCAGGTACGCGCTTAGTGGGGCTGCTAGAATCTCAGCTACGAAGATGCACGATTGGAGCTGGAATAGCTTCGTAGATCTGGTGTTGTTAGATTTCAAGAAGCAGATCGTTTGGGTTCTGGCGATTACCTTTCATCCTCGGAGAACACGTCGGCGACTATGACCAATGCGATCGCAGTAATTACCACGTCACCGCCGCCAATCACTTTGAAGAGGGCTGACAGCCAGACCATCCGAAGGGGGATGACATTTGACCATAGACCTGATCACGTTAGATGTAACTCGGCATATGCAGAGGGTAGACGTACAAACAAGTCTCACCCAGACCTCCCCAAGCACGATGCCCAGCAGGCCGAGGTACAAGAAGGGCCTCCGTCCATAGCGATCGGAAAGAACGCCATATGGCAGTGAGAGAAGAAGGCCTGCCAAGGTGTGTTAGCAGCCGTCGAATCCCCGATTGGACGACATACCAGGCAGCACATCGAAAGTATCTTTGTATCCAATCACGAGGGCCAATTCACCCTGCACCGCCTCGGATTTGCAGGGATTTCCCTCCACCAAGCTGGGTGTCAGGGCATCGCCCGTGCGATGAAGAGTCTCTTTGTAATTTCGACAGATGATGTCTTCGAAAACTGCCAGCTGTGGCGCGTTGGACATGTAGAATCCAAAGTCGACAGCGAGGAGAAGCACTGCACACACGATGAAAACGACTACTTTCTTTGATTTTCGTGCGCTGGTCGCGTGTGGCAGCAAGGGCTCTGTGGCCTGCTGCGCGTCTGACATCGTGTCCGTTGCGTCTGCGGTTATATATTCCCGTCCATCAAGTGCCAAGTCCGGCATCCGAGTCTCCTGGAAAATTGTCAAAATTCGTGAGAAGTCGAAGGTAGAGAAAGGAGAAAGCAGAAGTTGCTCAGTCCAATTTTAGGCGTTGCTTATCGACGTTGAGAGCCAACTCGATTGGGTCTGGACCTTCGGAGTCCGGGCTGACTTCCCCCTCTTTCACCTTCTTTGTGAGAGAACAATACTAACCACCACCTACCCAGCCTATTGTGCGGGCTCACAACTTAATGGTTTGATAACAGTCATCGCAGCTCAGTTTGAGGCTAAAAGATTAGCCTCAACATCATATCGTCGGAGTTCAACGTGAGTTTCGGAGCTCGGATCGATGTGACCCAATATGCCGATGAGATGATCTCGGCTTATACTGATGCCACTTATCGCGAGCGGAGAATCAGACTGCAACCAATTATCTCTCAAGAAGAAGAATCAGAAGTCGTGTCACTCCAAAGCAACGTGGCATAACCCCAACACACCGCCAAATACGGAGCATCCAGGGACACCTCATGTGAGAGATCTCAAATCTTCAACTCAGCTCCATGCCCGTCTTCATAATTGGTCTGGACCAAACGTGCGAGTCAGTTGCAGCCCCAACCGTGCTCAACGACAAACGCCGAAACTCCACAAGAGGAAAGGTATCCGATATCGACTCCAAGCCATAATGGGAGCGGGAACCAAACCGCCATCCGCTTGACGTGCAGTCTGCAAGTTTCCGATTCTTGGGTAGACGGTGCATATCTAGCGACGCAAGTGCCCGACGCTCCGTCTTGGGATTTGAGCTGCGACCGTCTGATCTGAGAGACGGCTGGTCCGTATCCAAATGTGGAGAACCGCACGCCGGGGGATTTCTTCGGAGGATTAAGTGTCGGATGTTCTTTGCTTTTTCGGTCTGCGGTTTTCCGTTGCACGAGCAGGTATCGGGTGGCGCCCACGCTGTGGGTGAAACGCGTTCGGTGGGATTGCAGGTAATGTCTGATATGCGACGGGTTGCTGTCGCGGTGGTTTGCTCGGCTTTTCGGGATATCTCTGGATGAGATATAGATGCGAGTACACTCAAGTGTCGGTGGCACCACTCTGCGTCAGTTGGTTGACCTTGAGATTATCGCTGCAAGGTCATCACTCAGAATGACTGTTTGTACTGACTGGGTCCACGGGTTTCCTGTCTGCTGACCGCACGTCAAAGCTATGGCCTTCCACGGACAATTTGTGGAAAGCCAGAGATATTGTGGATCGGTCTATGCTGTTATGTATCCGGGGCTGGGGCGGATTCCAACGTTGGGCAACACTTCCAAGTTCCAAGATGTTCATAAATCGGCGAACCTGGTAGCGGTTGCTAGATAGAAGATGGTATGCAAATATGAACCTACAGGGCTCTGCACGACTGGACACACCGAAATTTGTCTGCACAGAGAGCACCCATTACATTCGTCTATCAAAGGTGCTACAGAGGCACCGAAAATCATGACGAAGTCGGGATTTACATGCACATACCTACACTTAGGCAGGTTCTCTCACAAAACAAACAGAAAATGAACTTTGGAAGAGGAGGTGAGACGGCATAATTTCTCCTCCCGCCATTTCCAAACATCTGGGCAATATATACACGGTGTAAGCTATCCTAAGGCTCTCTCCAGGGTTGTTCGTGATACCAAGCCTCGCCGCTGGATGTTCAGCTGCCAAGCCCTGGAGCGTCCTGATTTCTCCTGTACGCGAGTACTCAAGACTAATCAGAAAGCACTAACGCATCATTCCGGCCACGGACCTTGTGTGCCTTGGAGTGGATAGCTCATAGAGCCACCTTCAGCGAAGTGGTACCTACTGCGGGCGGGATGGAAGAAACTAGGTGACTAGTTTACCGCACTTTCGACATATATGTATATCAACTACAAATACGGAATTTCCTGCATACCATATGCATGAGTCAACAGCAGCTTGAAGGCTAATCCAAACAAGCAACCCTGGTGCCTCAGAACGACTTGAATCCACAGGTAGCAATTGAAAAAGCCGAGAAATGTTCAGATGAGCGACTGACATTGGGAAGTAAGTTCCATGTTTGCGCTCGTCGACTCTGCCGTTGCACCACAGATTTGGGGTCGAGCACTCACCGTAGCAACAAGGCATTATGCATGCACCCAAGCAGTTACTACATCCTGAGGTGAGACACAGAGGCCTAAGCCCTGCTGTTGACATTGCTGTGAAGCTGAACCACCTCACTAACCGTCCACCGACTTTACAAGAGCACAATAATCGATCAATGGCCGCAGAAATTTGCGTGATAGGCTCATAGGCTTTGATATCTACATTCTACAAACAAAGCCAAAAGCCCAAGCTTACGACAACACCTAGAAAAGTTAAATGTCAAGCTCAAGGCTAGAAAAAGTTCGATGGCCAGAACCACCTGGAAGCAATAATCATTCCGCGTATGACACAAAAATCCAAAACTGGCGTTGCATGAGTTACTTCCGACGCGCAATGCAATGTCTTTGCTCCGGTGAACGCCAAAGCCAATGCAACATAACGGTCAGAATACTGGGCGCGACCTCGACCTCACCGACGCCGCGACCCTGCCGAGTATATGTAGGAAATGAGACCAACACCAAATAACAGCATGTAGGTCACCTAACTCAGCGATAAAAGCTTCACCTAGGCGCAAGGGCCCAGGAATATATGATATCATTGAGATTCTCATCAATGATCGCCCTCGTCAATCCAATCACGACGAGCCCGTCCTCCACCTCACTGGCTAGACTTGGTTCGTGCGTGCAGGGCTCCACCTGCAAATCACCCATGTCTGACATTCTCCAGGTAACTTAGCCTGCACGGTCGATCAGGTGCCTAATTTGGAGCAGCAATCTCAGGGCTTGGCCGGTGCTACGATGCTGACTACTGGGCCACTAGTATGTTTACCTAAGATGAACGTCTTTTGCTTTATTTTACTTGGCCTGGTGAGTTCGATAGGGCATTGGGACGGTGTGCGTGCGCTGGTATGTGATACAGGCACTATTATTGCAACGCTGCATATCTGGAACACTGTAAGGTTTGATTATGGTCTCGATTCACAATATTCATGTAATTGGAAACTGTGTCTGGACCGCGACGCGAAATATAACGAGAGCGCGAATCATTTTACGAAAAGTTCGTCAGATACTGGAAGAATTCTCCTTCATCGCGACTCAGATCACGATCCTAGGACAGGTATACAGGTTGAAAGGGCCACACGAGGGTCAAGTCTGGGGAACCCCTGAAGGCCGATCAGGCTGAAGAGCAAATAGAATCATTCACGACCCACCAAACACCAGTTCAAAAGGCCCACAAGGCTTTTCTCCCTGGACGTTGAGTATCTGAACTTATTGGCGCCACCGAAATGAGTTCCAGGAAACCGGAAACTGTTGATGCAAGGCTATGCGCTATGCAAGTCAAGTTGGGTTATATAATTAAGCAAAAAGCCAATAAAAAAGCAAAATACCCACGATGAATGGCTTTGTCTTGAACCAAAAGGACTGACCGTTGGGCGAATAAGAACTAATAGTAAAAGAAGAAAATCCAAAAAGGTGAAGCAAGGGATGAAGCCGACCAATGCTTCAGGTACCAGGACCCCGAGAGAGCGCCGAGCGACCAAAGAACCGGGGACCTTTTTTGGCTTCGTGCATAGCACACAAAGTACTTTCTCAAATGCAGACTATTGATCGCTTTTGCAGCCTCTATCCTCCAACGCTTGGATCTCATAGGTCGATCAAATTTATCCCTGCATCGTGAGCCCAGATCCCCAAGCTTCCTCACAAATCATTGCCTGCAGCTTGCCAATTCCACAACGCTCATCCACCCCACAACTGCTCAGGACCCTGTTGTCGGGCCTCGACGTCTAATTGTAGACAAGCCGATCGGGTATCCGAATCTGGAGAGCATCTATTTCCGACCGTGGCGGATGATAGGGCCATGATCCCGACTGTTCGAACTTCTAATTTTCTTACTTAACTCAGACGTCAAATAAATAGCTAATTGGGTACTCCGTAAGGTTTGGAAAAGTAGCGTGACAAATGATCATTCATTCCAGCAAGTAATGCCAAACTCAAGTAAAAAAAGTATCATGAGTCAAGCCAAGCCAAATTACGGGGTACGGGGTTCGGATGTGCGGAGGGAAATGATCGAATTTCCTACGGAGTACGATCCGCACATTCACAATGTCATCGGTGGCTTCGACCATTCAGAGCTGCAGCTGCAGCCCTGGAAAAGTGAGCCGTTCAGCGGCGCTGCAGCCTCGGGGGAGACAGCAGGTGCATACCGAAGAATGTCAGTACAACGTACGGAGTACGCCAGCGTGAACCGGGTGGACCAGCCAACCAGTTGAAATGCGTGCACACAAAAGCAATAGTACCGATGGATTTACTGGCTTGTAATTTATTGGCTAAGCTGCATAGAGGGGCCATTCAAGAAGTAATTCACGGAGGGAAAAAGCAAAATGGTAGGAGCACTGCGATAGCGAAAGGCTTCAGCCGTACATATCTTGGATCGTCCGTTATGATATTCAAAAGATTTTGAGTTTCAGAGCTGAACGATTCTGAGATCGAATACGGAGCTCTTTGGCATTCGATGAGGGGACCGGGGGTTGAGAATGTCACTCAGTTGATAGCTCCATTTGTGAGGCCCGGGTACCTGGTCCCTGAGAGTGGATGGGCGTGCTAATGCAGGCATACATCTGATCCCAAATAAGGTTTTAAAGTCGGTGTTTGCGTTGCACTCTATCTATCATGCCTTCTCTCTGGGGTCTGGGGGTCAGGGTGGTAGCTGGGGAATTAAGCCTAGTCCAGGATTGTCTACGTCCAAGCCTATCTATGGAGTGTTTCAGTTGCCACCTCTGCCACACGAAACAAAGCAATGCGATCGGCGGGAAATCAAACATTACTGAGAGCCCAGTCCGTACAAAGTACTCAGTAATGAGTCATGGGAGTGTCGGATGTCAACGAGCCCCAACCGAAACGGGAAGATTTCTGTGTGGGAGGCGCATAGCACGCAACCTAAAGTGGGTTCGTGGCGAGCTGGACGTACGCAAATCCCATGTAGAGAATAGGGGAGGCATGTTACTAGTAATCCATAACGGCGAAGCCCGAATAAGCCACATCACCATCCACCGCGCCACAGATTGATCAACATGGCACGGCTCTGGCCGTGAGCTGCAACGCAAGAGACTATGGCATGACTGGATGCGACAGAAACCTGATTCGCGAAGCCACTATCGAATTTTCGAGCCAGGCTGATCGCGGGATCTACTAGACGTGCAGTTGATAGATACTTAGGCGGTGTTGCCCAGAATTTGAAGCTTAAGCCATCGATCGTCAATTCTGATCTCAATCGCGGTGGAGTGTGCTCATTTGATGGTCAGTACTAGTCGCATCGAGCACACAGACACAGACAAGCTTGGCTTGGCAGGTTCGTGTGAAGGTCGAGCGACGTACGTACACCGTGATAGCATCCCTTGAGACGCAGGGGTCTCTCTCGAGATCCGGGGGAGGTGCCTTGATTCTGCTCGGCTTCGAGATTCACCCTTGCTGCAGGTTTGGTCTGTGCTCCAAGGAATTGGCCAACGAGAAGCTCAAAAGAAAGCAGGTACCGTACGGAGCATGGAGCATATATCATGGGAAAGGGTCAGATTGCGCTACTGATTGGAGATATTGTTTAATGAGCGGCGAAGTTGACTCAGGGCACGAACCTTGATGCTACGAGATCTGGGGTACCCGAAATTAATGTGGAACTTAACAGGAGATGTAAGCAATGGAACGATCAACGTGTCTCACGGCTTTTGGTTTCCAGGATTTGGACCATCGTATTGAAGTGATAGATCGTATCACTAGCCAACTGTGAAGAAGCGTGTCAAACCGGTTTTCGAGCTCATGGGACACGGTAAGAGATGCAAGTATATCAATAGAGGCGTGGTTAAGGAATGGGGGAAGAAATAATGTAGATGCAAGAAATCCAAGGGTTGAATTATTCAGGTGGGGGAAAGCCAATGAATCTGACATGGGGAGAGATCGGCAATAGTACGGGGTTCGTAGCAAATACCGACGCTCAGGTCCATTTCGATGATTCGAGTTCCCACAGAGTCGGATCGATGCGATGGAAAAGCCTAATGAGAATTTAGAAGTCCACGAATAAGGGGTGAGTCCCTACTCCGTACTGGGTATAACCGGACAAGGTTGAGAGCTGTCAGAAATCAGCCGCTTAGCCTTAGGGCTCAGATCAAACGCTCGTTTATTCCACGCTAGTACAACACGTAGAAACCCTGCTTCATCACATCACCAGAGTCACGCTATGTGCGATGTGATACCCATAACCAATTGGGCCTGAAACCTTGAAAGTTATAATGAACTTTCACAATTGACATTTACCTCTCTTGGGCAGCCCTGGAGACAATTGGTATTGTCAACAAATAACAGATTACTAATCACCGTGATCCTCCACAAACATTCGAGGGCGATCACTATTTGGGCGGGCTTGAAACGTAGACTTGCGAGCATCTGAAGCCAAATGCGAAACTCTAGCTATGGCTCGTCGCCACGCAGCTTAAGCGCAGAAGTTTGTCGCAATGCAACCAGAGCCGACTTCCATCGTTCGGGTCTCGACTGACGCGTGATGGATCAGACGCAGGTGCAGCTTCAGCCTAGGCCGACACTATCCGAACCGTTGGGGCAAGACGGGCTGCTGATTCTCAAGCCCAATGAGTGGGAAAATCAGTTTCTCCCCAAGCCTATCTACAGGCTCGGCCTGCGTGATTCGCCATCTCATTTTCACTCGCATTCCGAGTGATCATGACGAGGTCAGTTCAAGTGCCAAGATGCCCTAATGGCCCTAATGGCCCTAATCCCCGTGAAGAATTGGGGAAGCATAATGGAATTATCGGAAAGCAAGACACAATGAGACAAGGGCGATCGATTATCCTTCGCCACAGAAAAATAACGCGGAGAATTAGGGGAATGCTGGAATCTGAGATTACTACTCTCCGGCCTAAGCTGCAGTGTCAACCGGGTTCGCACAGACCAAATGGTTAACGTCTGACCTGTCGCAAAAGTACTATGCGATCGATCCAAGCCTCCACTGCACGTCCGAGCGAGCTCATATTATTTAAAAATAAATCATAAAATAATAATAAAACAGCCCACATTGTTTCTGAGTAGAAGTTTCACCATTTCCTTATTTTCCCTGATCTTCATAGTAGAATTATAATTTCCAGAATCAAGCGTGTGTAAAACTCACAATCCACTGACAAATAAATCCAAGGTTTCCAGATCTGAGACCAAAAGTGGAGAGGGAGATCAGGGTCTCAGGTTTGATCGACACGGCTACGAAGTCCGGGGACGCGATTTACACTGCATGTCCAAATAGACTCTGCTCACATTTCACGGAACCCAAGAGGTACAGCCTAGACATTCCAATGTAGAGTATGCTTTAGTCTACCTTAGTGGGAGATCGGATAGTGGGCAAGATGCATAAAAGATTAAAGAATTAAATATTCAAAATGATCAGCCACCTACCTAATCATAGTAGACGACGTAGCCAGAGAACCCTAAGAAGTCTAATGCCGAAAAAAGAAATAATGCATTTTTCTCAAACAATTCCAGAAAGAATAATGCTATTTTCTTTTCTTTTTTGTATTTTTCTTTTTTTTTTGCCTCTCTGATAATAAAAAAAAAAAAAAAGGTGAGGGATGGCAATCAATGCGCCGATCCAAGTCACCTTTCCCATCAGCACCACCTTCAGCCCAGAACAGGTACCAGGAACAAGCTTCCCCCGTGGATCATTGCTTTTAATTGCTTTGTACAAACTCTTTAAGACACCCGTCGGCCCTCGATTTCCTAACCACTCCTCCTTACCGAGCCCTGGTCATATAATCTCCCCTCCCCCTGCCGTCTAATCTCAGTCAACTCTGAGACCAGCCCCTTCTACGCCAAATCTAATAACCGCGTTAAAGGGTTTCTGACACCAATATCGCCCAGCCTGTGCTTGGTGTTCCATCCCAGCCTATTCTTCTGTCTCTTTTTGGTAGTCCGGGTCCATATTAACGCGAAACATCGCGTTTTAACCCGCAGCCCTCGAGGACCTCCAGTCGATCCCAGCCCAGATCCAGCCGTTGCGTCCTTTGCCGCGGTAACGGAGGATCTCATAGTCTACATTCCTAGCCTTGCTTGATACCGGGCACGCGACGCGCCGCTAATCAAGTTCATCTGAGCTTAGACCATGGCGTATAGCTGTAAGTTCCACCTCTCGGGATTCTATGCTCGACCAATTTGTTTATTTCTGCTCGTTTGTCCTCCATTCCCTTCACTCTTCACAACATTCTTTCCTTTCCCTAGACCTTGGGACCTAATACACATTCTCTTGTCACTTGTCTCCTGTGCCTGTTCCTTCGCTTTCCTTCAGTCTTCCATCCCTTCACTTGCCTTGACATCATATCGATCTTTCAATCTTTCCTTATTCTTTTCCTTTTTTTTTTTATCTGCCTCGCTGTCGCCTCTCTCTTTCTCTCTCACACACAATCTCGCAACACAATCGCTTCAATCATCTTAAAACACATACTAAAACAAAGTGCCCTGGGCAGGTGATACCAACCCACCTGCATCTCAATCTTTCAAAACCGAGGACCTCGACGACATGAGATCTCACGGACAACAAATCTCTGACCGTTTGACCGTTGAAGTCGATTGCCACTCTCTCGGCCCCAGCGAATGCCCCTCGATGACATCGAGCTTCTCGCCTTTGGACTCGCCTACTCCTACGCCTACCAGCATCTACAGCCAAGGCTCAATGGCTTCCCCCGGATGGCACGAGCCCTCGCAATATCACCACAGCATGCCAATGGAGCGCCGGACTTCCCAGACTCCTTTGCGCAGCGCCTTCAGAATGGCCGACCTCACCTCCAACGAGGGCATGATGAACATGCCTTGTGGCAACATGGACCGGCCAGATCAAATGGCACTTCCTGAGTACCTACCTGGATACGAAGAAAACGTCGACCAGCTTTGGCTTCAACAGGACGTTCCCAAGACCTACCAAGAGTCTCAGTTCCCCTACCAGGCTCAGATGCCTCAGTACAACCAAATGGCTCGCAACTACTACCACCGACCTCAGCAGGCTGGATACCTGCCAGAGTCCGCCTCTAATCCTTGTCTCTCTCGCCCTATCTTCAACCAACCCACTGAGCGGATGCCGAACTCCGCCTCAATGACCAACATGTTCCACTTCATGCCTTCACAGGAGTCCTTGGTACCTCAGACCATCACTCCGTCCCAGGCTTTCCCTGCCGGTCCTATGACGCCGCCACCTTCTTCATACTCCGAGTTCCCCACCAACATCCCTACTTTCAAGACCCACACTCCTTCCACCCCTCACCGCTCTGTTTCCATGGGCACCCCTTCTGGCTCTGATACTCCCGTCAGCCGCATGTCCCACGGCGAGTACCAGGACGAGTTCCCTCTCTCTCCTGTCTACCGCGATGGCTTGATGCAGCGTCATCGCCAGCCTTCTCGCAAACCTTCTAAGAAACAACTCCTTCGATCCACCCTCAGCCTCGAGAACCTGCCGCCGATCATTAAGCAGGTGCAGTTCAAGTGCAAGGAGCCTGGCTGCAAGGGTCGTTTCAAGCGCCAGGAACATCTCAAGAGGCACATGAAGAGCCACTCCAAGGAGAAGCCTCATGTCTGCTGGGTCCCTGGCTGCCACCGTGCATTCTCTCGCAGCGACAACTTGAACGCCCACTACACCAAGACCCACAGCAAGCGTGGCGGTCGTAATCGCTATGTTGCAACCCTTGATGAAACCAGCCAAGACTTCGACCCTGACTTCCGTGGTCAATTGACCCCTGACGGTCGTCCTATCTACGGCAGCAAGCTTGAAGATTCCATGCCCGATTGCGGCGAGCTCAGCGTTGATGGCTGGGATGATTAGTCGAATGACCCACGCCCACGAAACACCAAAAAGCAAACAACAAAATCGAAAAAAAAAAACAAAGAAATCCACTAAAAAAGATTCGTTCCAGACTTTTCCCAAAAGAAAATATGGAACTATAGAAACACATTCACACAAACTTGGCCTTGGATTTGATACCCCGTGTCTGGAGGATCGACTATATGAAATGGCAGACGCATCACAGGCCCATTGGCACTGGCGTTGTACATGTCTCTGAGCATCGGAGATTTTGATTTATTTACGTTTTTTCTATGTTTTTCTTTTCTTTTCTCTTGCATAATTTGTCCGGAGCCAAAGGCTGGGAGGTACTTTCAACGACTATGGGGTTCACCGGCGTTACATTTGCTATGGGAGATCGCTGGAATAATCATTTGGGAGGAATACCCTTCAGGGGTCAGCGGTCGTGTACAATCTGTTACAACGTGTTGTTGTTTTACTTTATTATTATTTTTTTTTCTTTTCTGTCTGTACTACCATTCCTACGGCCTAATATACAAAAATCCAAGATCTGCACCGTCGCGATACACTTCGCGCCTATTGAAATTCAGAATATTCCCGCCAATAAGAGCCTCTTGGTTGTTGACTCGTGTTACACGCGACTTTGACTTCTTTGTCCCACGGTTCGTTCCTGGGCGTGGCAAGAATGTCAAGAATGTTACACATCACACGCTATCCACGCTCTAGATCCTTAGTTCCTGGATCTCTCCAAACCGATCTATCTTCCCCCAGTGGAGCCATCTCCAATCGGGCCTCCTGCAGATAGACCCTCCTTGTGGTTCCTCTTAACAGGCGGATCTCCCACTTTGGGTTTCACATAGGCCATGTCATCACTTCACCGCGGCTCGGCTGGACGGATATCCCTACAAGTATCGTACCCAGCTATCTGACTACGTGTACGTACGTGTCTCTCTAGAAGTATGTGAAACCGAGCACGCACCGCGAGCCTCCGAACGACACGAACCATGCTCCACTTCACCCGCGCCACACTCGACAGCGCAATCGGCCATACCTATCAGACCGGTGGGGTCCATTCTCATTCTCCTATTCAAGGTCCACAATTCTTCAACTTGAATAGTAGATGTCAGTGCAACGCCTAGTGAATTGCTAAGTTTAGTGCTATGGCGCCAGCCTCTGCGCCCCAGGCCCTAGCGGAGAACGAGACTGGAATGCAGAATCAACTTCACTTGCATCAGTCTAAGACTAGACCCCATATGGAGTCAGTACCAAGAGGCCACGCTACCTTTCATGTTCTTACCGCTGTGATGGAATCTCACACGTCATTCCAATCCCACCTACCCCCGATTTCCCCTACGGAGTACGGAGTACATGGGGATTTCCCTAATCCCTCCTCGACCCCCCAGTTCAGTAAAGTGTGATGCTTACTGCATACTCATTAATGATATTCGTGCATGGAACACGCTCATTCGAAGCATACGAAGTACAGAGAACAAGCATGTAACTCTACAGAGTAGCTTCGACGGTTCTCCTACTTTGGGTCTAGTCAGGACCTGGTACGGTCGTTCTATGCGGTGTACTTCGTACTCCGTACTCTGGACAAAGTACAGTAAACGTAGGTACCAACATGCAGCACGAGCCTGAATTCATTTCCCGTGACCCCTGCTTTTAGCCTTGGAAAGGTCTTGACACGATAGTCACTGGCGATCCAATTCACACATCGGGTTTTTCACATTCCGTGGTTATTTTGACCAGTCCCACTTCCCCAGCATTAATGACAAATTCCCGAACCCACCGCTACACCGGCTTTTGCACATCGGTGTGTTCAACGTTGGGCTATGTCTGGAGTAGAAGTCTGACGCCCATGCCGTCGAGCGGCAGCGCGTTACACCGCGCTATGTATATGCCGCGCAGTACTAATCGGGAATAGGAATCGGGCCTCCCGGCGGTATGGTACGTGGAAATGGTACCCAAACTATTTCTACCTTTCTTTTTTTTCCCTGCTTATTTCCCTGCATTTTTGGTTTTTTCTTATTTCTTCAAAAAGCCTCCAGGGTTCTTGTAGCAAATAGCCAGAGATTATACCGACTTCTGCGAGTGCATTAATTGCTACTGTAACATTGGGCTTTCTCGTGATCGATCTTCAACGCGCGTTTAGGTTCCGAGATAGTTCGAGCCTGCATAACGCCCACCAGTAGGCGTTCTAATTCGCCCTCAGCTCTCCAATGCTGCTCATCGAAGAAAATGTCCACTTATTAAAATTTCAACGTCATTAGGTAAATACGAACGAGGTTGAAATCTCTCTCTTACACTACTTCCAGATTAATCCATGGATTGCAGTAGCGATAATGCAGTATTAATGGTGCATATGCTTCGAGGCATTCGATGGAGAACCTTGGAAGGTCTCCCGAACCAGTTGGAATCCTTTCCACGTCCATCGGTGTGCCTATGCAATGTGAATCATTGTACAGTGTACTGTTATGTATACTTCGGTGCAGATACAGGCACAACTTTATCCCAAGGCATCAGAGTTTGAAACGACATGGCCACGAACTTTCAACCACATCAGTCAGCAGAGTGCCTGGCAATCTTGGAAGCTGTACGCGAGCACCTGCAGTGTGTCTTGAGTCTATCTACACCGTATACCAAATGCAAAGCTCACACTGGTCCTCGTCTTGAACTTATCTATTGACTTTGCTACTGTACGGGAGCTACATGCATTGGAATGTGATATTGTACAATCAAGTTCTAGACTGTGGCATGTTCGACTATGAGCCATTTTTTCGATTTATTTTCCCTCGAATATACCCTGTGTCGATCTGATGAATACCTCGATCAAATCATACTCACAAGTTCCAGACTAAATGCTCGGGCGGGTACGGAGTATCACAGACCAAGTCTGATTCTGCTGATCTGCTTTAGCTCCCGGGCGATGTGCGGCGATCATCCCTAGCTCGGGGTTTGGACGATTCGTGGGATCATCTTATTGGCACTGAAAAAACTTCCGTATTGTTTTTCTTTCTTTACATATGCTCTGCATTAATCGGGCCATGTACAACGTAAGTGGGTTCATTGGAACAACGTACAGTTGAAGCGGGATCACGACAGACATAGAAAATGCTCGTCAGATATTTCGGGGTATCATAAAGATTGTCTTAGCTCTTCACACCGTCTTTTGAAGTGACATTGGCATTATTGTCTGTTAAGACCCTTAGTCTGTCCATCATGCAATGATTTCCTTGTTTCAATCGGTCGAAGATTGCCAGGAGCGCCCTAGAGCTTTTACTCGGATTCTAAGAAATTCAGAAGCGCTGTTGCCGCACTTGAGGTCCACCATTTCAATATGAGCTCTCAAACTTCCCTTGAGAAGTTTCTCGCAAGCCAAGAGACCCTACCTTATGGTATAGGCTTCTGAATAGTACAGATGAGACTATTCTACTACCTCACAGCGCTATGCCCTACTCTCGAATACCATTAACAGCATGTTTGCTGACAAAAAGGCTTAACAAAATCAACTCCAACTTACAAACGGGAGTGGAAAAATCCACATTGTGATTGTATACTCGATTGTTGACGCTTTTCCCATTTTGGCATCGCCAGATGTGATCATGTCAGCAGATGCTGACAAATTACTTATGTCATCCCCACCGCGCTATAAAAATTCAGCGCACGCCGAGTTTCAATCTCTCCCATCATAACCTCTCACAAATTCTTTGTCCATCCTCGACCATGCATACACAGCCTTTGCGAAGCAATTGCTCAAGAGATTAATGTCTTCCCTTGACAATGCCCTTCAGCATTGACTAGCATCACATGGACCTCGCAGCACACCTCTGGTCTTTCCTTACTGTGATGATCACCATTTCTTTTTTGGCATGACTTTCTCCATGAGTGTCAAATATTCAAGCTCAACAGTCTGAGTAACGAACGACCAGAGAGATGTCTCACAGAGTCGCTGCTGACCCAAGCGGCTTGCCCGCTTTCACTACTGATACCCCCAGATGTCCCCCCCTAGCTCAATAATACAATACTTACCTCAATCCTCCTTTCCATTCCTTTCCCACTAGATGATAGCACGGATGTCAAATTGCGATCCGGCCCTCTCATGGCCGCGGTCGCGCCGAAGAAGTGCTTATATCGAAATGGAGATACGTCTCCCTAGCCAGTGAGTACTAGATTTTTGTCCTACGGTTCGCCCGAGGTGGCAAACATCCATTGAAGATCTGGAACATCCCTTAGTCGTAAATATGCCTTGTGCAATATGCAACTCGAAGCAATTATCTTTTGAAATTTTGTCTTGAGCGTGCGCATCAAGTTGGATTTGTCCAGAAGTGTGCGTGAAGACTCGGCAAATTTTGCCAGTTGATAGCTCTTGGTGCATCTTTGGCTCGACGTCTCTGTCTAGCCCAGCCCTGCATCTCCCGTAACTTTGGTACCTGCATCACGCCAGGAGTCTGAGGTCACTGTCGCAACGAAGTACTCATAAATTCCTTGCGCTTCTTGGTGATCTTGCTGCAATGTATGTTGCTCCGGTGCCGGTCGCAAGGGTCTCACGACTAGCACGTCCAATGTCCTCTTGCGCCGAGAACGACTATCCATGGATCTAGCCATTGAAGGACCTCGTAGTACATCTCGTTGCTTCGGAGACTCCATAGGACAGAGCCGATCGGACTGACCAAGTGGTGATATCTCGATCTTACAACCTTGGAATAACTAGTGCCTGGTTACCGAGGCCGTTGCCTACGTCCCTAGCTGAAGACCGAACACCCTCGATCTTGGAAGAATCACTCTAGCAAAATAGAGAAGCCAGTTCCTGCATTTCGTTGTAGCAAATTTCGTAGCAAATTCGAAGTATTTCACAATAGAAAGAAGACCCCAGACCCCAACCGCCATTATCCAAAACACCTGTACAGAATGGTATCGAGTCTGATAAATCCCAGGATTCCCACCAAAAGCCATGCCCAAATAGTACAGAAAACAAAGAAAGAAAATGAATCCACGAAGGGGAAAACCAAGGCAAAAATGATAATGACAAACGCCGCATCTCCATGATGCCTGGTCCCTGTACAAATTCCCGGGATTCGGATAGAACGCAAATAGGATAGTGAGATAGGACCAAAAAGAGATAGTCAAAGGAGGAAAGAAGGAGGCAAGAAAAGGCAGGCAGTGGCTGATAATCAACACACTGCCTGGTAGTGTCGAGGTTGAGATAGCGCCAGATTGGGACTAAATTGAGTAGGCGAAGCCCATTCGACCCCGTCAGAAGATTTCGATTGTGAGATGTTAGTTTTACAGCTTGAAAAGGGCAAGCTTAGTTGTTCATGCCACCCATACTGTGCATTGAGCCCTGGGCTTGCATTTGTTGGGCCTGCAAAGCACGCTGTTGTTGCTGCTGCTGGCCATTTTCTCGCTCGCGGCGCATGACCTCGTGAACCCATGCCTTCGCAGTCTTTTCCAGACCGGAACCATACTGCTGCGCAATACTTGGCGGGTACTGGTTTGGTGGACCATACTGAGCCATGTATCGCTGAGACATCTCATGCCGCATACGCAACAGTCTCTGTTGATATAGCTGAGAATATCTCTGGGCGGGATTCATGGTTTGTCCATTTTGACCCATTGGACCACCGCCATTTGCCTGGGCAGCAGCCATGAGCATCTGTTGCTGTTGCGGTGTCATCTGTGGATTTCCTTGGATTTTTTGCTGGCCGGGCATTTGTTGATGTTGTCCTTGGCCACTCTGCTGCTGCTTGACAATCTGCATTTGAGCATATTGAGCGCGCATGAGCTGCGCCTGGTAGGCTTGTTGGTTGTGCTGCGGAACGTTCTGGACAGGTTGGTTGCCTTGTTGCTGCTGCGCTTGAAGGAGCTGCTGTTGCTGCTGGTGTTGATGGCTTTGGATGTTCTGTTGGGCGTGCGCGTTGGCTTGCAGGTGAGCAAGTTGTTGTGGTGTAAACTGGTTTGGCTGCATATGGCCTTGCTGCGCTGCAAGAATCTGTTGCTGCCGAAGTTGTTGCTGCTGCTGTAGAAGCTGCTGCTGCTGTGGGGTGAACTGCATGCCGTTCATTCCGGCGTTGTTGCCCATTCCCTGGTTCATTAATGGTGTCTGTCCCATTGGGTTATTGGGACTGCCGTGCCCCATGCGCTGGGTCGGTGTGACATTGCGCATAATTGGCGTAGCATGCGACATAGCCGGTGTACCTTGAGTCATCTGAGGAGTGCCATGCCGACTCGGGCCTTGTTGACTTCTCGAAGGTGCCATCGGGTGGCTCATAACATTAGGGTGTGCATGCTGGAGCGCAGATGGAGGTCGTGGGGGACTACCAGACCCGGATGCGGTCATAGTCATGGGAACCGCCTGCATAGGCATAGTGTTACCAACCAGTGGTGAGGAAGCTGTGTGCGGGGTCTGGTTACGTACAACAGGCGAGGACTGTTGTCCTTGGCTAATGCCATTGGGCTGAGCCATAGGGTGACGGTTCTGCTGCTGCGCCGCGAGTTGAGCCTGAGCCTGTTGCGCTGCAATTTGCTGCCTCCGCGTTTCGTCTTTTGCGTGTTCTTCGGCCTGTCGCTGTTCCATCGCACGGCGTCGCTCTCTCTCTTGTTCCTGCTGCTGTCGCTTAACCGCATCCTTTTTAAGAGTCGTCTCGTGTTCACGCTTGGCTTTCTCCTCGTGTTGCAAGCGAATGGTCTCAATGGTCTTGAATCGAGAGAACCGAGGCTCGAATGGCACCACACCACCCGTGTCGTCCGCGGCGGCAGCCTTCGCAGCACCACCAGGGCCTGAAGCGGTGGGCTCCAAACGCTCGTCCATGATGAGCATGAATCGCTCCTCTTCCGCGGCCAGGGCTTCGTCTGCGGCGAGTTCGGCCACAGTTCTCTTCCGGCGCTTCGGTGAAGGTGGCGGGTTGCAGTGTAGCGGGTCTTCCAAGTGTTTCATAAGCTGCTGGGCAGCTTGGAAAGTGTCAACTGGGTCTAAGAATAGGGGCGGAGCCATTGCATGAATGATTCTCGATTCGCATTCTAAGCGTTGTTCAGGTTCGACCATCATCTTCTGTCTCTTCACGACATGTCCACGGTCTGCCTGGTTGCCAGGGGCACCAGGGACAGGATTTGTTTGAGCAGGTACTTGTTTGGGTGTGGTGAGCAGTAATGTCAACTCTGCTTGCAAGCTCCGCGCCGTGGGATGGAGCACCGTGGTGAACACTCTAGGCTGGAGAGGTATGTTGTTCTTCTGGGACACAGAGAGGTCCTTATCTTCCGCCTGCTCGCTGGGCGCTGAGGGTTCGGGAGGTTGGCTGGCACTCGATGCCCCCTCAGTCTTCGAGCCTTGTGTTGCGGATGTGAGGTGGTTTTGCTTCGGGTATGGAACATAGGCGGAAGGCGTTACATGCTCGTTGTAATTATGAAGCGAGAACGGGGTATTGGTCTCGTTAGTAGATTTGATAGTTGTCTTTTTCGCTTGCGCGGAGGCGGATTTGTGGTCGACAACCCGAACAATGAGACATGCTAGAAATTGTTAGCCAACGATAATAGCACTGCATGCATGGCAAGGCTCAAGACTACCTTCGTAGAACGGCACACCGCCTCGCAAGAGCTCCTCGATTAGATCATGAGGAACAGTCCCGGCGCGAATGTGCTCGATAATCACCTTCATCTCAGAATTGTAAGGGAAGCTGCCATCTTGTTGCTCGAATCGGAAGTGCGTTGGGTGCAAATGCACAGTAAGAGATGGCGGACATTTCGCGTATTTCTTGAGGATATAAGATGTTGTTTTCACTGTAATGACAAGCGAAGGGTCAGGATCAACTAACGTGCAATGGCATTGCATGCTTGCTGGGACTGCTTACCAAAAGGTTCAGGTGCCTTTTTCCCAACTCGCTGTGCACTGTCAGAAGCAGCCGTTCTCGTGACTGGCCGGCCAGATCTTGAGGACTGATCAATTGTGCGCTGCGCCTGGTTCCTTGTCCGATTAAGGGGGCCTTTTGCGGTGTGGTTGGGCATGTGGCCTGCGCCGTTTGTGATATTGTTACCTGCGCCGGCGGCGGCACTTGTCGGCGGGCGTTTGGCAGCCGATGTGGGCGAAGATGAGAGGTGGTGGCCTTTTACTCCGTTGACCGCGGCCTGGCCGAAAGGCGGGGGCGGCCGCTTCATCTTCTGGGTATGGGGCGTCGGTTTCGAAATTGCGGTCGCCATTGTGTCTGCGCCCGCTGCGCAAGCTGAAGGTCGCCAGTAGACTAAGAATGCGACTTATCGGGATGCCGACTTGTCAATGTTGAATGAAAGCGGTGCTCGGGAACTGGATGGGATGGCCGATGCGCGAGACATGTGGGGATGGAGAGGGCGGCACCGGTCCCCAGCACAGCTGGAATCAATGCGGAAAATTAGCGGAAGTTAGCCAGGCGGCTTGAAAGAATGAGTGAACGGAAGCGCCCGTCCGATAAGGCTACTAGGAAGGGGTGGATCGGGAAAGACGCTGGGCGAGTCTTGCAGAGGAGTTGATGATGCCAAGCCGCCCGCGAGACGTGAGGTGGTCAGCTGACCATTTCCGCTTTAGGAATAGCGTCATCATTACACTCTCAAAACACGATGAACTACCTGTCTCTGTAGATACTGAACAACCCTGTGAGAATGGTGACAGTATGGTTTGTCTGTAATTGTTGATCTGAGGTTGAGTTGTGTACTGATTTACAAGGAAAAGTGAAGCATTTCTGAAAGCTATTTGTCAATTAGGATGGAACAATCTGGAACTTCAATTGAGGCACCATAGTAGAGAATCAAAGTATAAACGACATGGATAAAACAGGGGAATAGGGTCAATCAATCATCAGGGGGTGAGCAAAACAGGTATAGACACAAACAATCAAGTATCAACATCAAAATCATAGCGCCACGTCGGGATCCGGCCTAGAACTTAGTCCAAACCACGCACCCGTCGTCGCCAGTCATCTCCAACCCGGACCACGTCGACTACATCGATACGCTTTCCGATTCCGATGGTGCCTTCTTTTTGCCACCATCTCTCTCCCTTCTCACCAAGTGCCGACTCATCATCGCTGTCAATGAGTCCGCCGCGGCCACCCTCGTCTCCAACAACGACAATGACTTGACGAACCCAGCCAGCGATATGCTGCACAGCTTCACCGTTATCTCCAGTTAAAGACTCCTGGACGTACACAAGCTCTGGGGAAAGGTGGCGCACAAGATGCACGAAGCCACCGACTGTGCTGAATGGCATAATCATGGTGTCCTTTTCAACCAAGGTTTGAGCCTGGGTGTATAGAGTTCGGAAATAGCGAGATGTACCCTCCATTTCGTCATCCTGGCGAGGCTCCACCGAGGTCAATGCCCCAGTGTTCAGGTCCTCGGCCGATGCTGCTTCCTCGGTAGCAATGTTGGAGTACGAAGAAGTGATGGAAGCAGTGGGACGTGATGAGCCACCTTTGACGATAGCGCGCTTCTGGTCCGGTGCATAGATCAACACAAAGATCTTTGATGTTTCCAGATCAACATGTTCAGGGAGATGAGACAAAATGGACTGTAAATGTTAGTTTAGCCATGCAAGTGCTACAGATAAGAGGATACTTACTGCGTGCTCGGAAGTAAACTCATCTGAGTCGGCCGATGAGTCTGATGAGACAATGATAACAACGGTCTTCTTCTTTTTCTCGGATGAATTGGCGCCGCGGCTAGGCAGTCCACCACTCATAGTTGGGGCGACTGCGCCTTGTTGTTGACTTCTCTCGTGAGCTCTTGCTCGGGCCTCCTCGGACCACCTGGAATGATCTTCAAAGTCGCCCTCGCCCTTGTTATCTTCGCGAATGGAAGTAAGAGCACCGCCGACAAAAGCTCCAGCGGCAGTGACACCAGCTACAACTCTCTTGCTAGCGCCGTCGAATATCTGTTGAGGACTAGGCGTGCGACGCAAAGCACCTTGCATGCGGGCCATCATCCCATGGTCATATGAAGGATCTCCAGGCAGGGTTTCAGGGCCTGCGCTTCGGGCATAGTCTCCAGTAGTATACGATGGCGGAGGATATTCACTACCCGGGGCTGAGGGCTGGTAAGGGCGGCCCCCGCCGTCGTGGGGGCGGTCGTCTTCGTCGTCTTCGTCATTTCGTTCACTCCAGATCCAAGCAGCGATGCTGACAGTTGCGACTCCAGCTGTCAAAGCTAGGGGGAGCCAGTACCCCAGGGCGGTTCGTGAGCCGGATGAGCTGAAGCCAGCGCCGGCTCCGCCGCGGCGACGGTCGTTCGGAAAAGACATTGCGATCGGAGTTCGATTAGGGGTAACGCATTAATCGATTAACAAACGCGGTCGCAATGACTCGCAGGTCGCATAACACTCGGCGAATTGGAAAAGGAGAGGGTGGGGAAAGTAGAATGGGGGGAGGGAGGACGATGGCTGTCTCCTCGGATCTTAGAAACATGTGGCTGGGCCAACGATTGCCGCGGTGTTTACTTATGTTTGGCCTGTTTGCATCCCAAATCTGGAGGCGGGTCACTAGGGGCAGCGCCACGTGACCTTGGAGCATCGTGCATTATTATGTAAATTTTGTGATTACGTGAGCATGACTCCGAGCCCGATAAGGTCTTTTTATATCACCCCTCCAGGTGTGACTTGTCGGACTGCCAGCCCAGAATTGTGTCTTTATATCACCCCGAGTGTGATAAATAGGCAGATAAATATGCCCCACTCGGTCCCTGTGCCCCCCACGGGCTTCCAAAGTATCGTACTTTGGTGAGAACATCCGCTTTGAGAAAATCACCAGCAGGACTAACATTCAACAGTGGCCCTGGTGTCTCTCTCAACACGTTTACCTCCAACCCCGAGGAATACCCCAAATGTCTCCTCCCGATCGCCAATCGGCCGATGATCTATTATGTCCTGGATTTCTGTCGACGCATGGGCATCACTGGTGAGAAACACCTGCATTTGCTCCTCGTATCGAATTCTGGACAAAGAACTCATGATACCAGATGTCACCTTGGTCACACCTCCCACCTCTCTCGCTCCCCTCCAAGCAGCTCTCCGTCAAAATCCCCACCTCACCTCCCTCCCCACGCCATCAGTCATCGCACCAAAGGACCTCGAAATGACGACTGGTACCGCAGAGCTCCTCCGTCTGCCGGAGGTGCAAACCTGCATCAAATCCGACTTCCTCCTCCTTCCATGCGATCTCGTCTGCGATCTCCCCGGCGAGTCTCTGCTCGAGGCATGGATGGTCTCCGGCGGCGAGAAGGGCCGTCGCAACGGTCTCAGCATGTACTACCAAACGCAGGGTCGCGAGGAGAGCGTCAAGGGCGAGGGAACCGACTTCGTAGCCGTCGCACCACTCGAACAATCCGAGTCCCCCGTCGTCTCACTTTCCGAGCTCCGCGCCCAGCTCTCCAAGGTCGTCCTCTCCATGCCCATGGACACACTGAAGGAGAAGATGGTGAACGATAAGGGTTTCCTCATGCGTCATTCTCTAGTAGACAAGCACGCGCAAGTCAAGATGCTGACGAGCTACCGTGACGCACACATCTACATCCTCCCACAATGGGTGAAAGACATGGCGCGCTTGAATGAACAATTCCAGTCCGTTAGCGAGGACTTGATTGGATGGTGGGCGAAATCAGAGTGGCAGCGTGGTCTAAGCGATAAGCTTAAGATTAACGAAATCTTCGAGCGCAAGAATCGCAGCCACTCTGTAGACGAGGACGTGAGAAGCCACGACGGCGAATCACTCGGTGGCGAGGGCGCACTGGAAGAGGAAATCAATCTTCCAGGCATGAGTACCACGAAAGCCACCTCGGCACCGAAATCCCAGATCGAAGAATCTGCGGAATCCTCTGAGCTCCCGCCCCTGCTTGCTTACGTGCAGCGGGGCACATCACCATTCGTCCGCAGAGTCGATTCATCCGCTCTGCTCCTTTCGACCTCTCTCCGTCTCGCCAAGTTGGAATCTATTGAAGAGGTCGGTCGGACCGAGGCGTCTGCGTTTGCCCATGCGTCCAAAATCGCCTACCCGCAGGGTGTGGCGCAGCGATGCACGGTGACGAAGACCGATTGCCTCCTCGACAGCAACACGACCGTCGAGGAGAAGTGCGTGATCAAGGAGAGCTGTATTGGCGCCAATGTGCACATTGCCAGCGGTGCGCGGTTGACGCGCTGCCTTGTGATGGATGGGGCGGTCATTGGATCGCGGGCGCAATTGACCGGGTGCATTGTTGGGCGCCGGAGTAAAATTGGCCGTGAGTCTGTTCTGAAGGACTGTGAGATTCAGGATGGAAACGTTGTTCCGGACGATACGGATGCGAAGAATGAAAAGTTCATGGTCTTTGAGGGTCTTGATGATGATATGGATGGTTCTGACGATATGGACATTTGAGATATACTGCGGATTATACGAAGTATACGGAGTACCTAGGTACCACCTGGGCAGATGGCTTTATGAGTTAAGGAGATGAAAATAGAATTTATATATACCCCTGTGCTCTTGTGACAGGGCTCACGATATGGACTGGTACCTGGACGAGCCGGCCGCAGGTGCCAAGAGATATAAACATCAGGCCCTGTTACCCTGCATCTATATTGAAGCCGTGTGGCTTGGGAAGCGAACGTTAGATGCCAAGCAATCTCCACCGGGGCATGGCTCCAAGGTCGTACCCGAACTCGATGCAAGCCGTGCGTCAGCACGGCCAGTGAACTTCCGCCCGTAGATTTAGTGTAGCAAATAAACTTCCGAGGGAAAGAGATGAAACAAAATGACCAAAAGGATCAATAGGCACATTAAACGATAACCTTGGAAGTAGGACCGCTAAATCGTAAGGTGTAGAATAGACTTTCCACGGGTTAGAACTACTTATCTGACAGCAATAGGTAGCATCTTATGATGAGATCCATAAATAAATGGCACCATGTGCGAACTATATAGGTTAGGTAAGGTACGGGGTATGGTAACAATATACCTAGTCCGTTTGCCTTATGAATATTCTGCACTGGAAATCTCTTGGTATTTGCAAGGCTGTGTACTGATTGTACTGATTGTACTGATTGTACTTATTCCGGCGAAATAATCGAAAAAGAAAGCGCCAAGACGTGGCAGAGAAGATCCAATACGGAAGTAGGTGGAGAATATCTTTAGGAGGCGTCAGGTGTCGTTCCGAGATCCGGGCAAAAAGGAGCCATTATAGCCGAAATGGTTCGTCTGGGAGTCACACGAGCATGCTATAGCCTTAGGAATGTCAGTGTGAGGGAAAGTGTATAAGTGGAGGATACCAAGCACTGGTACATTTAATATCGAGCAATGCACGGAGGACGGAGTAAGATGCAAGATGTAAGAGCTAAAGACCAAAAGAGTAGGACGGAAAGATATAAAGCAGTCAACCACGGAACGAGTTCGGATTCCCAAACCTCGGTTTCGGGGGATCCACTGGCTTTCCCCACTGATTGAGGAGCATTATCAACATAGTACAAGTACAAGTACACGGACAGGACACAACTAGCATAATGCCCAGGTGGAATTTATAAAGTACGGAGGCAGATACTCCGTACTGACATCCGTACTTGTCTACGTACTTTAGTGGAGACCCACCGCAGTTGGAGACGTTCGGCTAATAAATACCATATGCAAATGTACAAATATACAAACGTACAAATATACAAATATACAAATATACCATACAGATGCAGAATAAAAGATGCCTTCGGTGTAGACGCCTACGTCTACACCGTTCAGGCAGCTTGTTTATGGACAATACGAGGTCAGATTGCCGGAAATAGCTATGGAGATGTCTAAGAATGGCTGCATTAAGGGGTATGATTGGTGGGCCCCTTTAATGTTCGAGCATCACGACACTTGAAGATGAACAGATTGGACACCGCGATAGGAATATAGATTTAGAATCTGAGAATAAGAAATAGGATAGAAATTGAAATATCCCAGTGTTTAAAACATACAGAAGCGGCGAGCATTACGGTATGATAAACATACCCCCTAATCTACATAGCCCCTCCTATTTTCCTTCTCCACCCCCTTCTCTTCTCTTCCTTCTCGACACGTTTCTGGGGTTTCTTTCGGTTCTTGTACATGCTCTTCTAGAGACATCCCGGAATTCGCTTTCCACTACTTTCGTTTCTGATAACTCGCCTGGTTTCGAGTTCCTCCTTCTTTTTTTGGGCCCTCCTTTTTTGGCCTCTTAATCGCTGTATCACTATAGTTTTTCATGTTCACGGTACGTTCTTAACCCTGGCTGACGCGGTCTCGTGGGGGAAAAGTGAAGGAGACACCCCCTTTCTCCTGTCAAAGAAGAAGGAAGAGAGAAGGAGGGAAAAAAAAAAAAAAAAAAACGTTGGCGCGAGAACACAAACTGACAGGTGACTCCCCGTACAGTATCTCAGTTCGGTTCCTCGGGTCCCCATTTGACCACACTCGTCCTCTTGAAAAATCACGAACCCTCCGTGATTCCCTTTTTCTTTTCCTAGGGAGGGGGAAAACAATATGGCTGCGTTGGTCCAAACAATCCCGCAACAGAGTGGCACGGTACCTGTGCTTCAGACGCGTCCTTCTTCCTCATCAGGCACCTTCTCCCCCAACCACCCGTCTCGCATCCAGACGATGTCGTGGTCTTCCTTTAATGGGAATTCTGGGAATTATCGAGCAGGGCACCCGGTGGTGGCTCCGTACAACTATCAGAATACGACCAACCGCCAATCGTGGACACCACACCTTCGTCCCGAGCATCGCACCTTTTCCGCTCCCGCTTCAGGGCCCGCGAACCCGACACATGGTGCCACCCCCCGATCTTCACACCTTGCAGCTGGTTCTGTATCCAATTCTTCTTCCAACTCCTCCTTCCATTCCCCCGTCTCCAAGGACGATAGCGCCCTCCCATCCCGCCAACCCAGGACCGATCAACCCGTCCGCCCCCTGTCCATCGCCAACCTCCCTTCCCCCTCCGCTGGCAGCGCTGCCTCCCCCAAGCCATCCCCGAATCGGTACCGTCGTGGTAACCAGCGAGCCGAGGCCGCTGCCCCCTCCACCCCGGCGGCTCCGGTCCCGACCGTGGTCATCGATGATATGAGCTCCCCGAGACCGGTTCGGCCGACCATGCACACTCGGGTCTCCAGCGTGGATGATTCATCGCATGGGGAGAAGACACAACCAGAGCGATATCGCCGACGAAGCCTGGGTAACATGGATGCATCGGCATATCCAAATCTTCAACTGGACCTCCCGGTGTCAACCCCTGTCCCTGCCCCTGCCCCTGCCCCTGCTCAGGCAGGGTCTTACGACTTCATCACATTCGATAACCAACGGCCTGGCTCATCTCATTCGCAGCGGAACAGTGTGGGCAGTGTTCACTCGGCACACTCGTCTGCATCCTCGGTAAGAGATACAATCTCAGGCTACCACCACGCTCACTATGTATATTAACCAACTTTCTTCTTTTCTGATCTACAGGCACGAGAAGGCACCCCAGATTCCACAACCAGCAAGACTAAGCCCGAAGAAAAACGTACGAGCAAGCCTTCGCCATTATCGCAGCCCGCATCGACCGAGCCTGAACCCCCGAAACCCACCCCCCAACCGACTCCCCGGAAAGCGACGCCGCCCCCGCTGGACTCACCCGCTGCAAAGCGTCTCAATGATCTGAAAAATGACAGCAAGCGCCCTGGAAAGTCACGCCTGCGACGAGCTTTCTCGTTCGGGAGTGCTTCCGAGCTCTTGAAAACATCCGCACAAACCAATGCTGCCAAGCGAGAAGCATACGCCGTGGAGCAGGCGCGCCGTGAAGCCCTCCGCGAGCAACTGGGGCCCGAGCAAGCTGCCATTGCCGAACAGCAGGAGCTAAGCGGTTTGGGCGAGAGTATTTACTCTGGCCAAGGCCACTTCTTCACTGGATCCAATGACAATCTCTCGGTGTCGTCCACCGCTTCGTCGGCGTCTATGATGCTTCGAAAGATGGGCAAGGGTATGAAGCGGTCAACTCGCTCCTTGGTAGGCATGTTCCGTCCCAAATCAGTGGCTAGTATCAACTCCATGGAAGGAGCAGCCCCTGAGGCCTCGCCGCCCCAGATCACCGTGGTGAACGTGGAGGCCGAGCGAGAGAGCGTTGCGGTCAACCCCGACCCCGCCGATCTCCCCCGTGGAGCCACCGTCTTCCCCAAGGTCGAAGGCAATGCCGCAGAGATCCGACGATCCACCTCCATCCGCGAGCGGGCAGCTTCGGAGAACCTCCAATCGCGTAAGAGCATTGTGGGGGAGACCAGGAACGTGCCGAAATTCTGGCTGGTCTCCGCAAGGGTATCTTGAAAAGTAGGTCTTCTTCTTGGAGTGTTCCAATGTTGACATCAAGCTAACCAATATTTAGAAACTCACTCGGATCTAGGCGTCTCCTCACCTGCGCACGCACTGGCCGGTGGTGATTCACCACACTCCAGTGCTCCCCCGACCCCGGATGAGTCCTCGCGATCTCCCGCGCAGAATGACTCGGTCAAGATTGCCGGCGAAGACTACTTCCTTTCCAATGCGGGACGTTTCAACTCGGACTCCAAGAGCGCCCCCATGACCCCACAAGCTGTCGGCGGTAGAAATATCGTCTTCAGCCCCCGCATCCAGTTCCACGAGACCTGGCCCAGCGGCGAATACGATCGTCGCGGCGAAATCGCCACCTGCAATCGTCTCACTCCCCTGCTCGCCCAGCAGATCCGGGAGGAGATCAATAACTTTAAAATGGTATGTCTCATTCCCCTTCGCTATCTACTACCGATCACTAACAACCTCCCAGGAGATGGAAGTTCACGAAAACTCCAAGATCTATACACACTTCATCTAAGTTTCCGAGCGGACTCTCTATTGCACAAGTGAAGCCATCTTGCAACCTCTTCACTTGAACTGCATTCTCGTCTTTTAGACATGCATCACAGGCGAAAACAAGGCGTTTAAGGATCTTTCAATCGATCCCACGAGATCACCCCCTACAATCGACAAATACCATATGTTTGCTACACGAAAAACAAACAACCAAAAAAAAAAACACACACCCGGGCCAAAACCATCGGCACTCACCAAAAACCTGACGTTTTCCGATCCTCGAATTTCGAAATTCCAAATCAAACCCCGTGTCTGAAATCTAATGAATGTCCTCCATCTACTCGGAGCCACTATCCACTTTTTGATCATTTCTTTTTCGAATTGTTCTTTTTTCTCTCCTTTGCATCGTGCATTTGAATCATTGTCATTGAGTATTGGGAGCGTGGATTACTGGTCTTTTTTTTTTTGTGTTTTCTTTTTTCTCTTTCCTCTTGTCTTCTAGCACATTCATGGTCGTTCTGGGCCCTTTCATATTTGAGAATTTCATTTCGAGCCTTTTGGCTTTGTAACCTCTTTTTTTTTTTTTTTTTGGTGGTGGCTGCGTGGATTAATGGTTGGGGCTTGTTACTTGTAGTTGGTTGCTGAGTTTGTTTCAAGGGTTTCAAGGTTTCTGATGTTAATTGGAGATATTATCTTTTCGTGATCAGTGTGCTGTGTAGGTTTCCAATTTCCAAGATTGCTCAAGTCTACTCCGTACCTAGAACTGCCCAGGTGCCGAGGTGGACGCTCAGGTGTTTGGATATATTTCGGTCCGCCCCGACCTCGGAATCTCGGGAAGACACCCATGTAACCTTGGAACGGCGGAAGTGGATGATTGAAACCTTCCAAGGTTTGTTGGAATTAACATTGAGATATTGCAACAGGTGAAAAGTCGACAATGTGCTTCCAAGGTTGAGCCAACCTCTGAAACCCGATTCCATTCGTCAGCACCCGTGGATCACCTAGGCGGACAAAAGCCTTGCCTTAGTATATCCATTTACAACCTAGTCCATGTTGGGTAGTTCCACACCTGGGCAATATTCCAACGTCCCACCAGCCCCGAACACACATTCTGGCTATTATCAACGTTCATCCAAGTTCAAGACATGTTTATTCATAATCGGCACAAGTGGCCCGAGACATCGGAGCAGGAAGGCTTCAACCTTGGAAGGTGCCGTAGGGAATGAAGGGATCGGTAAACCGAGAACATTGTTGGAGCTGATCTGCATGGTCTCATCAAGGGCTTGTATTTGTTATCAAGCGTCTAGAGGTGTTGCAATCGAGCATATGTTTTGACTCTAACCTCGGAATCAAGTTGCGCACACCTGACCCGAGCAACCCTGGAACATCTGGCTTTAGGGCTTGATATTCCAAAGCTGCTCAGGTGGATTTGAAGCAAACCCCGAAAGCCTAGTACTTTACCTAACACTCCAATCTACTCTAGCTGCTGATTCAACCTTGAAGTAGCCGAGACATTGTGTGTCATCTCTCCACCTTCACTCGGAACCTTTGGAATGCATCTAACTGAGCTAGTGTAGCCCGGTGAATCCAAAGGAGAGAACCCATTATATCTGGCCCTGGCCCTCGCCCTCCAAAGTCTATATATCTCCTCAGAATAAGCCATCAGAAACTTAAACTCCCGAAGAATCCAACCCCCACGCAAGGCCAAGTCCCGAATATGCCCCAAGCAAGCATATATCACCCCCACGCGGGACGATCCCAACATCCAACCCCCGCAAGCACCCCGTCAATTCGGGGTACGTCCGGGGTTTAGCACTTCCCCGTGTTTGTATCCCCGCGGGGTCAGCAAGTTGGCCGTGCAGTCTGCATCGGGCCAACTGCCCGGCGGGGAAGGATGGTGATTCGTCCTATCTGCATTGCCAGACCCTGAGGGTTGCAATGGTGCCACCCCCCCGTGCTGGTCTTATGCATGCCAACCAGAAGGCTCTCGGACCATTCGTTATGGACGCCACATGTCTTGACTCCGACATTGCAAGTCGAGACGACTTGCTGCCAACCGTCTTTCCCACGTTTTGCGTCTTTTTTTTCTTACTTTTTGAGTTCCTTGGGTCCCTTACTTGCTTTGGTATTTTCTTATCAATTCAGTTTATATTTCTAGGCTGAGGAGGACTCGGTGACTTTGCTATTTAGACTCATTTCCCCACCCCGTTTCTGTCGAGTCACACGAAGAAATAACGAAACCTCACCATGTCTCGCAAGAACTCAGACATCGTCACAGATGTCGACAAGCCAGGCATTGACAATGTCGAAGTCATCGCCAATGCCGACAAACCCAATGCACAAAAAGAAGCACCCGCCTCCGTCGCGAACCTCACAGCCGAAGAGCGCTCTAAAGCAGAGAAGGCTCTCGTCCGCAAGATCGATATCCGCCTCCTGCCCACAATCATCGTCATGTACATCCTGAACTACCTCGATCGGAACAACATCGCTTCAGCACGCCTCGCCGGCCTTGAAGAAGACCTGGGTCTCGTCGGCAACCAATTCGCAACCTGCGTTAGCATCCTATTCGTCGGTTATCTGCTCATGCAGATCCCCTCCAACTTGCTGTTGAACAAATTCGGCAAGCCTGCTCTCTACCTTCCGATATCCATGGTTCTTTGGGGTATCATCTCCACCGCAACGGCGGCAGCGGAGAGCTACGCAGGTCTCGTGGTGATTCGATTCTTCCTTGGTTTTGTCGAGGCGGCTTATTTCCCTGGTTGTCTGTATTTCCTCAGTGCGTGGTACACGCGCAAAGAGCTAGGGTTCCGCACTGCGGCGCTGTACTCTGGATCTTTGCTTTCGGGCGCTTTCTCGGGCTTGATCGCTGCTGGCATCACTAGTAACATGGATAATGTCCTCGGAATGCGCGCTTGGAGATGGCTCTTCATTATCGAAGGTGCCATTACCATCGTCATCGCATTCGCAGCAATTTGGATCCTTCCCAATTTCCCTCGTACCACGAGCTGGCTCTCAGAGGAAGAGAAAGAACTCGCGATCTGGAGACTCGAAGAAGATATCGGCGAAGATGACTGGGTCGATAGCGAACAGCAGACATTCCTACACGGTGCCAAGCTCGCCGTCATGGATATCAAGACCTGGGTCTTGATGCTGATGATCCTGTGCATCGTCTCCTCGGCCTCTGTTACAAACTTCTTCCCCACCGTCGTCAAAACTCTCAACTACGGTAACATCGAGACTCTTCTCCTCACAGCACCCCCTTACTGCCTAGCTGTTATTTGTGCTTTCGCAAATGCATGGCACGCAGATCGGACCGGCGAGCGATACTTCCACGTCACGGCACCGCTTTACATCTCCGTCGTGGAATTTATCATCGCCGCCACGACAACAAGTACCGCGCCGCGATACGTTGCTATGATGTTAATGGTTCCGTCGTTCTATGCTGGTTATGTCGTTGCTCTGGGCTGGATTTCGAATACGCTACCCCGTCCTGCGTCTAAGCGTGCTGCTGCTCTTGCGGCTATTAATTGCGTTAGTAATGCTAGTAGCATTTACGCTAGTTACATGTATCCTGACAGCCATGCGCCTCGATTTGGTATGTACATGTTCATCTCTGGATTTTGAGTGACGGTGTCTAACTTGGATTTTTTTAGTTCCTGCTATGTCGGTAAATTGTGCAACGGCATTCGTTGCTATTCTATCGGCGACGGTACTGCGCTTCATGCTTGTGCGTTTGAATAAGCAGCTTGACCGTGGCGAGGATGTTGAGGGCGCTGTTCCTGGTGAGGGAAGTCGACGTGGATTCCGCTTCTTGGTTTAGGGGGTTTTTTGGTGTCTTTTTATACAGATTTCAAAAAGTCTCATTCATGAACGTCATAGCCCTTTTGTCTCGAACTTTCGTGACGGCTATCTGGAGAGCTTACCACCATTGGTTCGCTGGTATGGTCCTAAGATCTATATGAGAATGTTGTGTTAAATCATAGAGGTAGACTTCCCATAAACCAAGAATTTTATTTATACTCAAATGATACTGCATCGAGTGCCAATTTCCTGGAAAGAACACTTCAGGATGCCCCAAGGCTAGGCTAGATATAACCTGCTTTCAAGGTTACACATCTAAGCAAACTGGAGTCTCTCCTCACTCCACCCAGGCCTCAACCCCTTAGTATCCAAAGAAGCAACATCCAACGAACTATCCGCAACATAATTAACCCTCCAATCGACCCCAATCTGCGCCCCCTCCTCACTCTGCGCCCAAACAGCCACAGAAATCGTGTTAACACCCTTATAATCCAAAATGCCCACTGGAACAGGATACACAACCTGATTCCCAATATACGGATGATACCGACCATACTGATACCCATTAACAAACAGCTGCGCACGGTACTTATCCGTGCCACCAGGCGTGGAAAGCACAAATGAAACCGAAACATCAGTACCAGAAGGTATATCGAGATCAACGGTCGTGCGGAAGAACCGCACCGTCGCACCCGTGAAACTAAGCACCGACCCGGTCTCGCTCTCCCATTTCGAGTCATCGTACCCGGGTAGATGCCAGCCGACTCGCTCGCCGAATAGTCCGTCTTCGTTGTAGACGCCGCGCACGGGGTCGAGGTTGCTTTCGCCGCCTGCGGTGCCGGCTAGGCGCCAGTGTGTGAAGCCGGTGTCTGAGCCCAGGAGGTTGGCGTCGAGGATTCCGCGCGGGTTTAGAGCGCCGGTTGTTTGGTCGTGGCCTGTGTCGTCGTGGACGATTAGGAGGACGTTCGGGGATGTTGTGCTTAGTGTTGTGTTGGTGAAGGAGAGGGTTAGGTTTGCTTGGGAGATTGATGCGTCGCCTAGGTAGGAGGTGAGGAATTCGCCGTTTAACCAGGCGCTCCAGCCGCTAGGTGGGATTACTATTAGTTTTATTTGAGGGTTTCATGGGTGGGGAGAGTGTCTTACAAGGCGGATCCTCCTTGCACGTTGATGAAGGCTCCTGTGGCGGTGCCGTTGAAGTATCCGCGCCAGAGGCGGACGCCGTTGTGGAAGCCGTACTCGTCGGCGTAGAGGACTGGTAGGCTGGTTGGAACACGGGGGTTTAGGGTTGTCATGTGGTTTGCATCTGTGGATATCAGCTACTTGGCTCGATGGGCTGGGTTAAATATATCACTTACCAACCCAGGCGGCGCCAGAGTCATCATATGCGGTGAAGCGCTCTGGCAGGCTGTCGTTGGACTTCCATGAAGACAGAGATGGCAATTTGATGGATTTGGGGGCTTTAAGTGATGCCTTCAGACTCCCGTATTCGGTCGAGTGGGTGTCAACCTTCCGGCCATTCCAAGTAATGGTCTTCACAGTCTTTGGGGCGAATACTTCCAAAGAGGTCGCGTTGACCACATCACCGGTGATAGCAAGCTTGTTGCCCGATATTTTGGCACCTCGAACAAGGTAAGGACCCAAAACGAAAACTAAAAGTCACAGTTAGCTCTTCATTCTTAGCTGACTGGCAGTTTGGCTACTTACCACTTTCGGTCTCTGGGACAAATGGGTTCTCTGTGAGAGCAGGAGCCCAGAATTCATATGCGGATGTCCGATCAAGCACGACAACCCGGACACTGTCGTCGATCTCAAGAACCGTCAGGCCCTTGGATTGGGCCAAAGAAGCAGTCAAGCCTCCGTGCTCTTTCACAAATTTGACACTCGAGCAGCCTTGACACTTCTTGACAGAGCCCTTCTTTGCGCCCTTGATGTTGAACTCGGCTGACTCGCCCGTCGGCACCCAGAGTACAAGAGTAGGCTTCTTATCAAAGACCGCATAGGTGAGAACCTCAGCAGTGGAATAGAGAAGAGTCTTTCCGCCGAACGAGAAATCCGTGACAATAATCTTGGACTGGTGACCATTCAAGCGCAAGGACGCGGCACGCTTAGGCACATTCAAAACTCCAACAGAAGTGTTAACTTTCAAATGGAAAGCCTCATTCGTCGAGATGGAAGTATTGGTATGGAATGTCGCATAAAACGCCGCATTGGTCTCCGGGTTTCGGAGCTCGAAGGCCTTCACGGCCTTATTATCGGTATACTGTGTGCCGTTACCAATCAGATCAGTCATTGTGAGATCCGTCGCAGAACGAGTGAACAACGCCAGAAGCTTCGTCTCATGATACTTTGACCAGATCGAGCGGTCCTCGGAAATCGGCGCGGAATAATCGTAGCTAGTGGCTGTAACAGGAGCAGCCATTGCTCCATGGTTTTGTCCGCCAAACATCATGTACAGAGATACAGCTGTCACGCGCTGACCGATATTCCAACGGTAGAATAGGTTGGCGAAATCATCGCCGATATCACCGGGACAGCCTCCTTCGGGTCCTCCCCAGGGATTGTACGAACCGCCTTGGAACTCGGGCATGAAACCTGGCTGGTTCGGCTGTGATTCTTGGAAATAGCTGTAGTAGTCCATTACCTGGAAGGGAACGTAGGCGCCGTTTGTAGAGGTGCATTGACTAAGGTCGCAAGTCCAGCACTGGTATTATTAGTGAATTTCATTCTGCGAATTATTGAAGAAACTCACTGATGGATACGAGTCAACGCCTGCAACGTCAACATTACCTCCCTCGTCAGACCAATCCTTGCCCCAAGAATGAGAGTTCATATTAGGATCATTGGCCGTTAGAGGGATAGTAATACCATTCTCCCTCGCATTGGCCTCGAGCAACTCCATATAATGAATAGCCGTTTCATTAGGCACGCGTAGCGAAGCCTCAGAAAGCCACTGGTTTCCATACTCATTCTCAATTTGATAGCAGATCGAGTTCTGACCATCGGTAACCTGATACTTGGAAGTGATAGTAGTCATCTCCGTGAAGTAAGGCTTCCAGGCCTCCGTGTATCGTGTATCATTATTCCTGAGTGTACCATAGTCACCGGTGGTAAGCCAAAGGGGGAAACCGCCAGCATTGGCCTCGGCATTGACATATGGCCCTGGACGGACGATTATATACAAGCCAAGTTCTTTGGCAAGCTCGAAAATAGGAACGATGTCATGTGCGCCAGTGGTGAAGTCGATAGTGCTGTTATTCGGGGCATGGTAGGCCCAGCTGGAATAGAAGGCGAAAGCCGTGAAGCCGGCTGCTTTGATTTTCTCCAGGATATCGCGCCAGAGACCAGGCACAGGGATTCGCCAGTAGTGGAATTCGCCGCTGAAGATGAAGATTCTTTGATCATTGATTTGGAAGCTGTAGTGATCCCATTGCACAACGGTATTTAGACCATTGTCTTGGAGAGGCCATTGGCTTGTCTCTTCTTTTGCCTGTATCGAGGCTCCGAGACAAGCGAGGAGCAAGAACAGACAATTGATGAGACGCGGCATCTTGGACTTCTTGCCGCGGGATTGTGCTCTGGCATATTGAGGCGATCATGCTCCATTTATGCTGTTCGGCAGGGTCTGCTCTCATCGTGTCTCTCATATTGCGCGAGGGGTACTTCATGCACGATTCAGCCACATTGATATTAGAGTAGAGGCACCGGTGTTTCGCGGAGGTCTAAGCGAGGCACCGTTGTCGGTTTGCCCCTCATGCATGCTGCATTAGTCGAATTCCCGGCGTTTGCTCCAGGTTTTTCCGCCATTCACAGGGAGAGGATTGATGAGCTGCAGAGGTTTCTCCGAAATTGAAGCGGATTGTGGGGAAAGATGGAGTAGAACTCAGAGCCCTGGAGTGAAAACAATTAATTTTCAGATGGAATATACATGAAAACTGGCTAGACAGGTACAAATGTACCAAATAAATAAATACAAAGCTTGGAAAAACAAGAGACGCTATAATAGCATTGCAGTCCAGCAGCTTAGACGATGGCATGATCCGGTCAAAGGCACTGCCCATGACCTATAGACACTTAGAGCCATTATAATATTTAAACCGATCGAATCGGTACTTTTATTTCCCCCCAAACTCCGGATATGCGGTGCGGCAATACACAACGCAATTAAGCGTTGTTATCCAGGACCCCGAAAGGGTTCTCTCCCTTCGTATTGGGAGACGGCGAGCTCTTCTCAGCCTTGGACTTCTTAGCACCCTTCTTAGAAGGAACAGGAGCAAAACCCTGCTCAGACTCCGAGCGGGAAGCCGAAGCCGAAGCCTTCTTGGAAGCCGCAGAGCGCGTACGGATCGGGGAGTCCGGAGCCGAAGCCTCGGCGATCTTCTGCACACGTGCCTTCATCACCTCGTCATCGGTAGTGAACTCGCTGTTCTCGCCCTCGATAGCGGCCTTGCGGATCTCGCGACTGAGACTCTTCAGCGCATCCATGCCGGCCTTCTCGGCGGCTTCCATGTGGGTTGGCTGCTTGACGCCGGGATCTTTGCGGTTGAGGTAGGAGCGCACAAAGAATCGTGCGAAGAGGTAGGTCAGCGGCAGGAGGTAGGAGACGTTGAGCCAGATCGCGAATGCTTGTCCGGTGGTGTCCATGCAGGTAACCATCTCCTGGGAGTAGCCGGACTGTTGAACGGGGGCGGTGCCAAAGGTACCGACGTTCTCGGCGATGCCCTCGGCGCCTGCGGCGCGGAAGGCAAGCTTCTTCAACCAGGGAAGTGCGCCGGTCTCGGCGCTGGCTGCGGCTGAAGCAGCTGCGGAGATGTTGGACAAGGCAGTGCTGCCGGAGGGGTATGGGATGGTATAGTGCACGAAGAGGTAGGCAGCGGCCATGTTGGTTCCGAAAACGAATTGGGTGATTTGCATGGTGGTCAAGCTGCGCTTGATGGGGTTGGGGACACGAATGCGAAGGGCTGTGATGGTGTAATAGGTGTACTAGATTCGCAGAAGAAAGTTAGCAAATGAAAATAAACGAGCGACATGGGGGTTTTTTTTTTCAAGTCTTACCATCATGGCGTGGATAGCCGAGTTCACCAGACAGAAAATCCAGATAGGAGCAGCCATGTAGCGGATACCAGCCCACATACACATCATAGCTCCAGCGTGGTGATAAGTCTGAAGAGTCGAGCTCTTCTTACCCTTAGCCAAGATGATGGCTGTATCCACGACCTCATAGAACTTGGACAGATAGAAAAGCCAACCGAAGTATGCCAGACCCTGGTTCCACAGACGACCAACGTCGGTGGGATCGGGCATACCGTTCGTCAAGTGAAAAGAGGAGTTGGGAATGGACCAGGTGTTGGTGACCGGGCTGTAGGTAGCGGCATTACCGTATCCACGAGGCCCATTGATCTTGCACAAAGAATCCACCACACCCACCAGACCATGAGGATCCTCGCGGTCTGGGAACGAGCTGCTGAAGGCCTGGAACATGCCGGCAAAGGTCCACGCCGAGTACACAGCAAGGAAAACATTGTGAAGGACGACAAACAGCTTGAATAAGCGGGTGTTGCTGAATGCGTAGGGTTTGTATCCGCGGCTCTTATTGATGCGATTGATCAGCACCACGGTGATCGCGTAGACGCTGGCGATGGTGATCGGGACGCGCACGTCCAGGAGCTCGTTGTAGAGCCCATTGGGGATATTGAAGGGCTGCTTCCAGGTAGCGGTGTCGACGTGCGGTGCGGGAATGGTCACTGGGAGCTCGTTGGGAGGGAAGTTGAGGAGCGAGGCAGGTGGTAGACCAATGCGCACAGTGGCCTGACCGAAGTCAGTGGGCACGTCGAAGTCGTACATCTCGTGTGAAGCAAAGAAGATTCTAAAAGGAAAAAAAGAAGAGCTCCACAGATTAAGGGCCATGTTTAAATTCTCAACAAGGCAAGTCTCTACTGCCGATCCTTCTCGATGTGGGGCTCAACGTTTGTTGGGAAACTGGGCTATGCCGAGGTTGACTTCTCGCCACCCTGTGAGCACAGCCTTGAACTATGATGATATAGATCGAGGCCATTCTTCCATTGGGCATATACAAAGAGAGAGGAGAAAGCGCAGGATAGACAGACTCCTGACATCACCACATACGAGTCGCCTCCCCAATGCCAATTCTCAATTCAATTGCCAATGGCGAAAATGAGCCAATTCTTGGCCCAAGTGAGACATTTGAGACAGGCCAAACGACATAGTCTCTTAATAGTCTAGGAGAATAGTAGAATAGGAGAGAAACCGTACGGAGTAGGCAGCTCTCAATTCTCCGGTGACACCGCAGAGCTTGGCAAGCGGTCGGCTCCCCAAGTTGGGCGAACTCCGGGGCCCCGGGGGATGACTCAGCCCTGCGAAAAAAAGAAAAGGCTTCAAATTTATGATCAGCTACTTGTTGGGATTCTTGGATTATCATCCCAACGTCTCATGTTCAGGTGTGATGTGATTGATATTTGGTGTCGGTCGTCCGGAGCATCACATGGGGCCTCGGTCAACTTGGGTAGGGCTGAAAAATCAAGACAAGGCACCAGGGCTACTCCGTACATAGTTCAAGAGATAAGAGAGATCTACATATCGTCATATGACAAATTTGGATTCCGTGTAGAATGAGATATACATGACTTGACCCAGCACACCACGTATCAGCGGGGCTTGGTACCGTGAGGGATCGGGGGAGGCGCGGGAGATGATGCGTCCACCGTGGGCGCGCGAATCTCCGCGCGCTTGGGCGGGGGCGGGGGCGCTTTCTTCCGCTGTGCTTGGCTTTGGAGATCATCGCCCGAGCTCTGCGCAGCGGCACCGGAGCTGGGACGAGCAGGCGGGCGGGGAATGCGCTTATTGGCATCGTTGGAGAACTTGCGATCGTCTACGAATGTGTTGAAGCGCGAGGTGACTCCGCCCCATTTCTCTTTGCCCATGTCGATCTTGTCCGCGTGGCGCTCGCGGAAGTCCTGGACAGAGGAGGAGCCGCGAGCAGGCTCTGCGGGCTCCAAGTTCATACTGGATGTACTTGACTCGGGCCGGGCCGGTGGGGGCGGTGCGGGGGAGCCAGTCAGGCGAGATTTGTAGCCACTGAGCTTGTGCTTTCCAGCATCGATGGAGTCTGCATGGCGTTCACGGAAATCTCCGTACTTTTGCTTGCCAGAGTCGATGGTATCGGCGTGGCGTTCACGGAAGTCGCCATACTTCTGTTTACCAGAATCGATCTTATCAGAATGACGGTCGCGGAAATCTTGAACAGAAGAGGTGCTGCGCGTGGTCTCGTCTGGGGTCGTCGAGGCCCGAGCTGGCGGCGGCGGTGCGGGGGCGCCAGTCAGGCGGGATTTGTAGCCGCTGAGCTTGTTCTTGCCAGCGTCGATGGAGTCTGCATGGCGTTCACGGAAATCGCCTACCTTCTGCTTCCCAGAGTCGATAGTATCAGCGTGGCGTTCACGGAAGTCACCATACTTCTGTTTGCCCGAATCGATCGAGTCCGCATGGCGCTCGCGGAAGTCACCGTACTTTTGTTTACCGGCATCAATTTTATCGCCGTGTCGCTCCCGGAAGTTCTGTATAGAAGATCCGCTGCTCCCTGGCTGTGACTCGGTTGTCGGAGTTCGTGCAGGTGGAGGCGGTGCCGGAGAGCCTGACCCAGTGTTCATCTGCGAGAAGCGGGACTGGAGCTCATTGACAGGCGCATGTGCTGGCGACTGTTGACCTTGCTCTCCGATTCCAAACCCGGGGACCGAAACACCGGCATTGGCCAGGCGAGAGGAAGCATCTTGGTTGATATAGTCGTGGGAAACCACCGGTTCGGCGGAATACACAGGGGGTGGATCGTTGCTGGGAGAGCCATTTCGAGCAGGGAGCCGGGGTGGAGGTTTGGGCGGCTTGGGTTTCGAGAATGAGTTCGTTGAAGCGGGACTTGCTGAATCTGTGCGGCGCGGTGGCGGAGGAAGATGATCTGTGGACAGACCAGTTGTATTCGCGCGATAAGGAACAGGAGGCGGAGCGGGCTTCTGAGGCTCTTCTTCTTCGGCGGCCTCTTGCTGGTAGTGTGTGTTTTGATCGTTGATCTGATCTTGGGACAATGGCGCTCCTAATCCCCGGCGATCGGGGGTAGTCTGATTGGGTACCGCGGCTGCACCATGGTAATTGATGTGCTTGGGGGGAGGTCCAAAAGATGACGGATCTTTCAATGATGACATGGGCTGTGAGACATGTTCGGATTTATCCGCAGAGTCGGCATCCCTGCCCTTCCCCATCCAGCCAGCCTGTCCAGCAAACGTCAGTGTCAATGGTCTAACCCCGAAAGGGATAACTTTACCACTTGGTTGATTCCTTTGAAATCTCCCCGCCAGCTCTCCTTTCCCCCTTCCTTGCCCTTGGGATGCCAACCATCCTTCATAACATTGCGAAAACCACTCATTGTGCTGCAGATTGTGGGGTTGACAGATGCCAAGTGGTTGGGGACATTCGAGTCGGATGATGACATAGATCACGTGGAGATAATTGATAGACCAATCGGGTAATTGATAGACTGTTGGGTCTTTCCCCGCACAAGCATGATATCAGAGTTTAATTATGGTTAAATCAACATTGTACAATGTATGTCGCTCTATGTAAGGTGAAGACAAGATGGTATAAGCTTCCTTCTAGTCGAGGCACTCCTGGAGTGCCCGTCGACTGAGATCATTCTCGATCCACTGTTCAATCAATGCAACACTATCTCCAATGAGGTGGTCGTAATTCGCACCATGGGGAATGAACATAGACTGATGCGCTTCGACTTCGTCCATATTTTCCATCAATATTGGCACCCAATGTGAATTATCGTTGTATTTCCAATGGTGTGAGGGGAGCAGAATAAATTTGCGGAGTTGCTGCTTGGAGGGATCCGAAGCCTCCGAAGGTGTGATGGATGCGCTTTCTGTGATAGACACACTTTCAGAAAGGGACTGTGTATCTCTAGGTCCCCCTAAGCTTGAGTGTATGGTGTCGGCGCTTTCTGACTGTGTGGGTATAGGTCTTGCATCATTGGCTTTTTCGGTTTCCACGGAAGTATGAGAAGTATGGGAAGATATCGGCTTGAGTGATTGGTCTTCAAGAGAGTTTTCCAGAGACAATTTGTCCAGCGATGGGGTGCTGTCAGACTGGACGGAGTCAGCTGATACTCCTAATTCATCTAGTGAAGCTTTCTCCGAGTTTTGCGTTCGACTAGTGACTTCAGGATTCTCAGTTGATTCCTCTGATTCTTTGGTCTCGCCGCCTTCTTCTAAATGTTTCAAATCTTTGGACTTCTGGGACTTCTTTTCCTTGGGCTCTTTCGGGGGTTTCTTCTTCTTCTCTTTCTTCGGGTGACCGGTACTTGCAGTATAATAGTTGACGAATCGTACCCTCTCCGGGCTGGACTCCGCAGCCTCCAGATCCATGAGATGTCGATACCGACGTCGAAGCTCCGAGTAATTATTCACGCATCCTGCAAATTTCAACGGCGATACAACGCGGTCGATGATTGATCTTGTGAGATTGTTCTCGTTTTTGTTGACGAAATGCATGATGCCCTTCAAGAAGCCACGCTCAACCAAACGCACATCATTCATAAATGGAGGGTCAAAGTTAGGATTCGAGGTCGCCGGTTTAAATGGTGTTTCCATTCCCAGTGACTCTTGTGCGCCCGCTAGTTCTTCGGTTGCCGGTGCCTTCTTGGGCATTGAGCCCATGGTGCCAGTTGGGACGACACGAGGATGGATCCCCAGAAATGGAACATCAAATCCCACAACTCCCAGGATCCGGTGCTTCGCGTGTCCATCTCTCTCCAGACGTGCAACATCTGCTGCGAGAATTCCACCAAGGCTGTGTCCTAATAAGATGACGTCGAGATCATCTGCCTCATGTGGTGAGAGCCTATACCAATATCATCAGTCATAATTTCTCAAAAGGGTTGCTCAAATGAGTGAGGCGTCCACTGTGAGATCACGTACCATGTGCTGAATTGGTTTACTGCTGTTTGAATTTCACCCTGCGACTTGTATCGAGGATACATGCGCGTGTAAACCACATGAGATTCGGCCAGTGAAGCTGTAAGCAGATCATGGACATGTGCTGGTAGATCATGGAAGCTGGCCTCCGAGCCCATAAAGCCATGGATGTATATCAACAGTAGCCTGCGTCGCGGATCCTGCTCTTGGGGCACGTCATGGCGGGACAGCGACAGACTGGACTGAGAGTGGTCGGCGCAATCCCGAATGTTTCCCTCCATTGCCTAAGAAAGAGCCGTGAAGGAAGATGAAATGGAACAAGGTATCAACAAACTTCCGTTCCTGGGAAATGCGAATGCGGGGAGCGAAGTGGACGTCACTGGACGCTTACCTAATCACCCACTCGGGCCGATGATTGGACAGCTCCAGACCTTCGCTGAGGAGCAGACCCCTGGGCGACCAGACCATGGTCTCTTCAACGATACATTTCATTTCGGGCTTCATGTACGGAGGTAGAGGAGCAGTAGTGAGTAACAGTCAAGCATTCACCATGATGTCATTTTATTGCCATGAAGCACTCATTATGAAACCGATCATGAAATCGTCCATTCCCAATCATCAAGGGAATTTCAACTTTCTAACACCATTCCCTTCGTGATGGCCCGTGTAGGTGTTTCTGTTTAAGGGGTTCTACCAGAGCCAATACGTCTTCTATGTGGAGTGTGTATCGAAACCACAAGAAATTCGGGAATACCCTGTTCGTACAGCGAAGCCTCGGAACTTAACAAGCGACGTTGGAAAAGACTCTGGAAGCCCGACCCGGAAAATTGTTTGATATCAGCACAGGAGGTCGAAAATGTCTTCATAGACAGGTTTCCTCGGCTATGGTCATGCCTATATCGAGCTAGTAAGCTCCTAACACATGAAAACTCGTTCAATCCTCTCCGGTCTTCTAATTAGCTCAGTTATTCAGGATTAAGATACTCTCAGGGGCCTTTCTTTGCTGTCAATGACCCAACAAAAGCAAGAGTGACCGGGGAGAAAAAGACCGACTGCCATTCCCAGATGTTTACCCAATTCTATGCGTCAGATATTGTGAAACAACCGAACAGATTGAAAGGCAAAACAAAGGGGTTTATGATCCATGCCCACTGTTGGCTCATGCTCGATCGAGCTGGAGGAGGCCTATGGACCAGCCATACCAATCTCTATAAACTTGTCCGAATTTGTCGAGGCTATTGGCGTGGCAGCGATTGGTGGGGAATATCCGAGATGAGTCGGGGATACCCACTCCCACTGGATGTCACTCTAGTGAATTTCACTCAGAGTCCACTCATCGTGCCCGCAATCCAAAAAGCCATAGCACTCGCCAAGACCGCTTACTCTCACCCAACCTCTGGTCTCAACATTCTTCCACAAGAGCTTGGGGTCTTCATCTCCGAATTCCTCTGCCCCATCACCGATTATACGACGAATGATGTTCAAAATTTGAAGAACATGCTCTTGGAGTTTGGGTGGGAGCTACCTCAGTCGTTTTGGCGAGTGCGGTTAGACGAACATTTGTTGTTTGAGTCAAAGGAATATAGCGCGGACCCGTCAGTGGATTGGAAAGTGCGACTTGAATTGATGAGTCTGGTTGCAGATCGAAGCCGGCTCGATTTCAAGGATCTAGCCAACCGTAAGCGGGTCCTTGGGATTGTGCGTGCTCTTCGGGATGCCTATGCCAAGTTATAACGAGTATAGTGTTGGGTGAATTGGTGAGCTGGTGGTCTGGTTGACAGGTCTGGTTATTGCTCTAGCTTTCTCTATTGGGATGTCAGATATGCTGTTGTTCTGAAATTAGAAACGACAAGCTTCAGTGCCGCGCTCATGTGCGGCCGAAAAGACGATAGTGGTTGCTTATAAACAGGAGTAGTTATGTAACTATTAGCATGATCTCATGTTCCAATTAGTCGGAAGAGAGCTATCATAGACTTCGTGACATCTTTTTAGCTGTCCTTTTGGCTATCCCTCTAGCTGTCTTTCTAACTCTCCTTCTAACTATCCTTCTAACTAATTGTAGAGTAATAATAGTAGTCAAACAAAGGAGGTCTTAGCTAAGACGGAATTAGAGAATTAGGGATTGAGGATTACTTTATCCTTTGATTTACGGAGTGATAGACGTGAGAATAGATTGGTGACAGAAGAAAGCCACCATGAAGCATTCATAATTAGTCCACAAAAGTCTTGGCTAAGCTGTGGAAGACGAAATACAGATTGTAGACAGATTGTAGACTAGTCAGTTTGCGTTCGACCGAATCGCGTAGATCTCATTGGACCAGAGCAGCCGCTGCAACTCAGCTCAACAATATGCGCTTCACATATGGATCTGTCTTGTTGGAAAATGGCACCTGACTTCCAGACTCGGGACGGGCGCCAAATATCCACCTGGGCAAATCTCCATGATTACCACGTTGGTTATATCACACTACATTATGTGCATCATCCCTCTTACTATTTGTCGCCCCTAAAGTCCTAAACCTGAGCCGAAACCGATTAAATTACAATATCCGACGACGAAAAGTGATGACACCGTTCCTACAAACTCCAATCCAAAATCACACGGTCATCTCTGCGCAAATGTATGGGCAGCGCAGCCTGTGTTCAACCCCAACACTTCATGCCAAACCAACGTTGGTGAAGAATATAACTAGGCCCTATTGGCCGCAAAACATTCTGGCGCTATTGCAGTGCTATGTATCGCACTCTCACTTATAACTGCAATTGAACTAATTCCTGTCCCAAGGCCAAGGAAAGTATTATCCTGCTCTCCCGCCTAATGGTTTGATTGGCTATAAGCGACCAGCTGCGTAGGTGTTGCTGAAGAAAAGGCACAAACTCATACATTTGCTGTCTGATCAGTCCACTTCTGCCCTAGATCCATGGGTTTCTTGTCAATCTGTTGGTTGTCTCACTCGATTTCTTGTGAGTCAGAGGGGTCTGTGATAGCGGTTTGATCAAGTGCGTGTCCCTTTTGGTGTTTGTTAGCGCTAATCTTCAGAGCTAAATATGAATATAATGATGAATTTCAGTCGTCAGTATGTGTGGGATAGGGCGGTTATCTTGGATTGAGCACAGTCGAATGCCAGTAGGTAACCTCAACCGAGCCTACGTCTAAAGTTATCTATATAAGTCTACAATCTTCCCATTATCGACAGCAAAGGAGCACAGTACTACATCCCACACTACAAGGTTCACAGCCGTGGACGTTGACCATATCTGAAACTTTGAAATATCTATACATCATTGCTACCTATCCGAACGATTCTGTGAACCTTGGAAAAGGTAGGTCATGATTACGACGTCGCTAAACTGAGATTCTAATCAGTTTCAGTAGATGTGCGACTGGGACAAAACATTCTTTCAAGGCTGTGGCTGCCTTTCCGGTTGCGTCAGGACTGGATCTGGGTCGTGTACTCGCGGCAACTGTCAGCCTGACGATCCCAAACAAAAGGCTACTATCGTATGGCGACCTGGTAAATGCATTAAATGCACCCAGCACCAGAATCTTGCTTCTTATAGCTCGAAAGAAATTTTCAATCAGCTGTCGCTGTGAGATATCAAAGGACAATAGTCACTGCTGATGATGGATGGTACCTATTGAAGCACACATGGAATGACTTCGGGAGGGACGTATGTACAGATTGATGGGAGTGGTGTCTTTGAAGCTGTATATATCTTACGTGAAGTTTACATCCATTGATGGCCCGGGGCCATTGTAACCTTGGAACAACGTTGGAATGACAGAATCTGTTGATCTTTCCTATAAGAAATACTACCCAAACTCCACCTGAGCATGTATAACAAAACTTTGCAAAAGACAGCAAAAAAGACAGCAAAGCTACCATGGTTCACCATAAAAGTCTTTGTACAAAGCCAACCTTGGAAGAGAAGGTGATGTCTACTATAGGGAGAGGGAAGTCAGGTTGAGAATATCAAGTGGGACATAAGTAAATTCTATAGGCTGCATCAATGGTCATCGCGAATGTGGTCTAAAATAAGTCGGACTTCGTTGTGGTGTTGGAACCAACCGGCTTCGCGGCCGCGCTCTGGGTCGGGGTACTTCGTGTTTAGAAGCCAGCCCGCAAGCTTGTGGCCGCCGGTAAAGATATACATGCCCTTCCATGCGAGCAAGCAGCGGACGTTGTTCTGCATGACCACTACAGTCGGCCCCTTGGGCACTCGGGTGCAACGTGGGTCTCCGGCTGATGTGAAATCCCAAACGAAGATTTCCTTGCGCTGCTTGACTGTGAGCGTTAGAAGGGTGAATACGAGCCCCGCGTCCGTCAGCCATGCGCGTGAAGGGTCCCAGAAAACTGTGCCTTCACTGCATTTGTTGTCGGTGATGATGCCTGGATCGCTCGGAGCATCCCGTAGTTGCCAGTTCCTCATCGAGTTCAGGTCGACATGACCATTTCCTGTAACCGCCTCCGAGGGCTCGTTCGTAGCGGGGTTCCGCGTAGGCATGGTGTTTCTCCAGACCTCAGGATGCCACATTTGCCCCCTTTCAATCAGCTTGGTTCTGTTCCAAGGCCGAGGACCATTTTGATCACATAATGGTACTTGTGAACTCTCATATATTTCCCGACCGCAACAATCCCGTAAACGGGGCTACGAGCCGAAGGCTGGCGTCTACCGTGAGTCCACGACAAGTAACGAGAAAGCTGATCTGCTCCCTCCTCCCACACAGAGGAGCCTGTCTCGTACCCGGCTCTCGCATTTTGCTATTAGGAACTTGTCTGCGGTAGATGAGTTTCCTTGATAGTGAAATGTATGGAGGCCTGAAAAATAGCCTTTTCTGCTAGATTGTGCTGTATGCCAGTCGTGTGGTCCTTCTGGAATAGGCGATTGGAATTTCATAATAGCATTTCATGCCTCACAGAGGGTTGCTTCTGGGCCTTTGTCTCAAATTCGAGCGTTTTCATGCGCTGTGGCATTGACAGCTGGTAGAGGCGATGAAAAAAAGGATCAACATGAGTTCATTGCGACGTGTGACATGCGTGAAGGAGAAGAACGAACTCCTGGAGCCACAGCTAAGGGAGATAGGCGAACCCAAGGAAAGGAAAGCATGTAACCATGACTCTGTGAATCTCCCTGAGCCCCCCGGTGAGTGGATCTCTGAGGAAGAAAGTGACGATGAGTTGCTATAATGCGACAGCTTTTCGAAATCAACCGAGCTGTACTTGGAGGAGTTAATGCTGTGGCTGAGGCAATATGTTGGAACTGCTGTGAGCTTGGGTAGCCGGTAATTTTGTATGTAGCCTGTATTCGGTTGCAAACTTGAGCGACTGGAAGCTAGCATCTTCGGTCAAAGATATGGTATCATTATGGCACTTGATGTCTGCCTCCTTGACCATGGTGTTTTGGTAGGTGGACTCGATCGGGGCAGTGATTTCACCCTTGAGAATGCTGATTTGTGCTGCATTTTGGACTTCCAAAGCACCACATATTTATGGGTCTTATGTGAGCCAGCTTGCTTCCTCGCGCAGCTTCGGAAGAATAGAAAGAAGAAAAATCTCTGACGACTGGGTGCTGGGTTCGTCGGCGAAGAGGTCTGTGTTTGCGGAATTCGCTGTTGTGACCGAATGATGCAAATGTGGCTGGATCAGCGGGTGACCGGTGGTCAATTCATGAAGTCGGGTGAAGCGAGGATGCTCAATCGCATGATGCAGCAAGAGGCGGGGTTGTCGTTGACCTCCGGGGGATCTTGGATGGGGCTCTGCCGGAGCGCAAGTCGATCACGACGCAAGTGATCGCGGGAGAGATATAAGGGTCAAGTCGGTGATGAGTAAGATGGTGCCCATGCAAAGGGCTGCATGTCCTGTGAGAGGCGAGGAAGAACGATCAATGGAAAGACAACTTAGGGAGCCACGGCCTTGAGGCATGGGCGACCCAAAGGGAACCATGGAAGGAACCATGTAACATGTTGTTATTTCAGGACCTCAAAGGTATTCCCGTCTTCCTCCATGTCTTTTTTCTATCCTTTTTCCTCTTTCCTACCCTTCTTTCAATATTTGCTCGCTCATTCTCTAATATAATTTCCAACATAGCCCAAGCAGTTTCCGACCTTTAGTGTTGAAGCCAGAAGCTCTCAGCTTTACATTGTAATTCTCCCGAGGTCTTTCTACTATACCCAGATGGCTCCCGTTCTAATGCTCTCGCCTCTGTGTTTTACAGCAGATCAACAAACTTGTTGAAAGCCGGCCCTGGAGATGGGTGATCTACTATCCAGAAGGATTCATCAAGATATATACGTATCGCCTATGGGGTCTTAGATAGTCATTTTCAAGGTTCTGGTCATGGGCCCCAGTTCTACTAGGCACCTTCCAACCCTGGAAACCTCGAAGAAGGAATAAACAGTGACATTTCCATGCCCAACCTCCAAGATTGTAGCAACCCCTAGACCAACAGAGCAACGCTGTTCATGCCTTCCAAGGTTTGCCTACCTGAGCCAAGACCCCTATTGCCGACCTTACAACTTTGTAAAGTTGCACCTGGGCAGCAGACTTTTCAAATGGCCCAGGCCCCAGAGCCGCCAACCTCATGAATATACAGACACCTTTCGGGGTCTCTGGGATTTGGAAGAACGCCCCCATCCTACGGAGTACTACAAGCCAAGGACGAGATACCCAATCCGAGCGCATAGCCGACACTACTGGAGCCCGGGAGTAAACGCCGGAAGTTAATCAGTTCAAAAATAGCGTCCCGGCGCTATGAGGGACTCGTCTGTGCGGACCGCCAGACCCATATCCCCCCTACGGCGCTTTGAGCACACCCTGCACCCAGCACAATCCAATTGCGGACTCAAGATGCGTGAAACTTCAATAGTGCAACTCCTTCCTATGGTCGAGATCCAAGTGGAACTTGGTTTGTCGAAATCGCTTAGCAGCGAGATTGAGTTCGGACTTGGCGCGGGACCAAGGTTAAGATTCAATAGTTCGAGCGTGTCAAGTTTCCTTCGAATATAAAGTTGTTGAGTGTGTGCGAGCGTTCGTACATGTACGAAGTACGGATACTGAGTGCATTGATCGTTTGTAGATCAAATAGATTGATGTAATCTGCAAGTTTGTTTCGAACATTGGGGCGCAATGGGCAGATCCGTTTGGGAACATGAGGGATATTGTTGAGGCACATGCTTAGCTTCTCGCTAGCTCGGCACAATGGGCCCCTGTCTAGTGCGTCTGCATGGAAACAACGGTTTTCTCGAATGTCTTACTCCGTACGGAGCACTTGACTCCCAATTGCAAATCAAACAACGCCTCTAGTGGCACTGTAGCACCACTCATGCACTTTCCTCGTGGCGACCGGCGCACCTACGAGATCAAGTTAGATTGAGGCAAAACACCCACTGTTCCCGGGCAACAGGCCATAAATTTCAGACCTCGGGATGAACTTGAGAACCGTGCCTTTGTGCATACGTATAATGCAGTTTTATAAGTATTGGACCTCCAGTACAGAGTACTTTAGAATCCACTTCCAAGGTTTCGAGCCTGACCGATCTGTATTCACCTGGGCAGTAACCATGACATCTTTACTGTCTTTTTTGGTGTCCTGTTTGGTGTCCCGTTTACTATCTTCTGCAATATGTTTCCAAATACCATATAGATCAAAAGTTGAGTCTGAAGTCGAAATATGGAGTACCTGAGGTCAAATACTTCTGAAACTCCACTGCACATACGCATGCAAGTCAATTCCCAGTCTCGTTTCAAAGCCACGTAGAAGTAAAACCCAAGCCACCGCAATATGCAAGTGTTTACTTGATACTTCGAGTGTGCCCCAATGGTACCTGACTTAGCCCTCCCCCTGTGTTAAGGTTCTAGCCGTGAATAAAACCAGATCTCAGACCTCGTATTCGGGCACGCATTCCGTAGAAACTGCCGGCCTCACTTCCGAAACCGAGAAGATGGAGTGGGCAACGCACGAGCATTATTGCGATCGAAGTGCCCCCCTTCCCCCAAAGGTTGGAATCAGAGTCGGAAAGGATCGGCTCTTCGGCCGAAGAGAGATTTACGGCGGCTGCGAGAAGAGGGTAAATTTGCAATTGTTGTGGCTATGTGGCTACCACCCTCCCCATCGGGCAATGATAAGCCTGCAATGATGGTTACGGTCGAAGGGACGAGCTTGATCCACTTGGACTTCTACATTGTGAATACAAGCACTTTAGCACGGAGTATACAAGCACTACAATGTACAATTTAGAGTAAAATTTATGCAATGCGATCCTACTCTTAGAGAACCAAAAACCAGCAAGATCGACAATCTGCCCTATGCGTCGCAAAATTGAGAAAGAACAAAAACACATGGTGCCAGAAGAAATTGATTAACTTCTAGAAACGCGGTACCGCCGAACCTCAAACTCTGATTTAGTGCCTTGCGTGGACAATTTCTGATTCCCAATATACCTTCATATCGAAAGAGACCCAAAAAAAGGGGTAAAGAGAAGTAACTCAACCGCAATATGAACAGCGATATGAATGGCTTTTTTTACTGATATCACTATCACGCCGGGAATGCCGACCTCCATGATATGACCGACGGAAATTGATAATGGCGGCCCACTTAGCGACGTCAACTTCTCCACGCAGATCACAAAAGTCAGTCCCCCCCCAATTGCACCCCAATTCCATACCCAAACTGCCCATGGTTCAACACGGTACACCTCGGCAGCGCATCCGTGGCTCACCAGTAATTGACGGCTTCGCCAGTCCCACGGTTGAAATGGTGATCCTGGTGGAGTGGAAATGATGATCCGGGATTTGATGGGCACTCTGAGTGCAATTTCTCGGTAAATTAACGCTTCGGTCTGGTTTGTGGACAGCACACCGCAGGATTGGAATAATTAATGTTTGCGGCGTAATTCGTACGGGCTCCCCGATCGTGTGTAAATGACTCAGGGAAAATTAAGGGACCAATAGCGTATTAGGGCTCGGATAACCATATGGGCAATGGCCTGCATATGCAGCTCTTAGCCCTCGACGGAGCAAATTGGCTTGCGTGAAACCAGAACCAGACACTACAAGATTTACCCCAAGACATCCAAGAACTCAAGCCAGGTCCTTGCTCACTGGCCAATCAGCGTTTAGCTCGGGGCTCCTCCGACAGTGGTAGGATCGGCGAATTTTCTTTTCTTTTTTCTCACTTGACGCAAGGGCCGGGAGATCGGCGGGTCGCGCTCTAACCGGGTCTGGATAGTGGGTGGTCTGCCTTTGCCGAGAGGTGAACTCAACTTTAGGGTTTGAGGCAGTTAGAATGCGTAGTAGATGTGAGAATGAATTGTAGACTATTGAATAGGCTCATAATTAAATGATCGTGCATATTTGAGTACATTGTACAGGGTTTCAGATAAAAGAAAAGAACAAAAAATATCTAAATCTAAAGAACTCCGGTCCTCTATACAGATCGAATATATGAACAGGTTTCAAAAACAAGGACGGGGTATCAAGTCCGTCGGGACTTCGTGTAATCATAAAAATAGGGAAAAAAGAGGCACTCTTGCGGATTGCAGATGTGCGTATAGCGTATAGCGTATAGCCTAGACATCCTCACGTGGACGGACATGTGAGGAATTCGACTGATTGGATGGGAAATCCTCGGTTCGCTGATCATGCTGCACGGTGACGGTGATATCCTGACGGATACGAAGAGCGCGTGCAGAGCCATCATCGCTACTGACATCGCGCTCATCGCTAGGCAAACTGACGTCAGAGACAGTTGCCTTCTGTGGCGTGACGGTGGCGGATCGCTGGAAGTCCTGCATGGTGAAGTCGCCGGAGCGCAGGTGGCTTGGGGGACCGTAGGGCGGGAGATTGGAGCCGCCTTTGCTGGTCCAGGGACCGGACTTGTAGCGATCGGTGCCGCGCTTGGAGCCGCCGGTCCAGGATTTGAGGGCAGGGAAAACGTCGCGGAGTAGAGACCAGATGAGGGGGAGGTTGGTGACGAGGATGGCGACGGTGGCTTCGCGGAAGTACCAGTTCATGTAGACGTAGGAAATCAGAGAGGGAACGAGACAGTAGACCTTGTTGAGGACGGCGGCGACGATGACGAAGATGCCCATGCCAAAGAGCAGAAGCAAGATCAGCTTTTGCTTGAGCGGGACGCGGACCTGCACGAGGAGTGGGATGGCGATGAGGAGCATGAAAATGTCGGCAGAGATGGAGATGCAGCCCTGAACAATTTCGTAGTACTGGTAGGACGAGCATTGGTAGTTTGGTGTAGGGACGGCCCAGTAGTTTGTCAATGGGCGACAGATAAGGAAGAGTGATAGTTCAGTGGCGACGAAACCGAGAGCGACATAGATGGCGATATAATTAATCCAGCGTCGTTGCTTGAGACCCTCGCTGATGATATAGTTAGTACATGGCCAGGCGCAATGTAACTTTCGAGGTCGACATACGTGATACGAGCATAGATCACCAGCATGCATGCTTTCAGAGCCCAAACACAGAGAATGAAGGAGTGCTCCGACACAAAGACCCATTTGCTTCCACTGACTCGCTCGGTATAGGTTTGGTCGGTCATGTTCTTGATGTCTTCGGGTGTCATGAGATTGGACCCTCCGCCAGAAGCGACTTGATTTAAAGCGACACATAGTAGGGTATACCAAACCACTGCGAACAACATAAGGTAGTCATCGACTTGGAGATTACGGATACCCAGACGTCGAATACGAGCAGTGCTGCCGGAATCATATCGTTAGCGGCGGGCCTTTCCATGCACCGTTGACATAGATGTACTCACAATCGCAAAACGGCGCCCAGCACGCCGACGGCGTACAGAGCCCATGTTTCACGGGCAAACTTGACGGCGAAGTCGCCTCCTAGACCAGACATTGCAGCCCTCTTGAACCTGAATGAATGGATGGTTAACAAGGGGGAGGGGTTCCAAGGGCGAAGGAAATGAGAGTTGTGAGGCGCACTCACATTTTATAAGATTAGCCGGGATATGAGGTAGACTAAGTAGATGGACTCCGATAGGTCCTGCATCGGCGATCACGGACAAGGATAAGAAACGCCCAAAAATCGTGATTAGGTGGACTGGAGAGGATGCAGAACAATGTGGAGGATAAAGGCTTATCACGCAGAGGGGACAGGATCTTCGGTGACAGAGCACAACCGCAGAACAACCTCTGGCTGGTGGAGAGCAAGACCCAAGGGTCGGTCTGTGTATCCTTGGATCGGGATTGTTTGGGAAATTGATCTGATTGCTGGGCTCTGATTTGTACCTGACAGTAATTCTGCCGGTGTTCGGTCCACTTCCTGCACCTTGTTGCACTTTTGGCTTCTGGGTCAATGAACGCCTTCCAACTTCGGCCAGCTCTTGGACGTTCAGCTGTGTGTAGGTTTCGCTGCGTCTCCAATTTAGTACCGGTTGCCGGCGCTGAGAGTTTACCGGTGACTTGGCGTGGGACCTACGAACTCACTCAGTTTAGCTACCTACTGGACTGGGTAAGAACGCCATGCACGGTAGCCCTGCAGGAATCATCCTCCTAGCCGCTTAGGCGGACAACCCAATCAATACGGAGCCACGCGAGCTGTAAGCGAAGATAGGCGTTATTCTTTCTATGTCAGGATCACTGAATCAGGACTCTCGGCCCACAGTGGGGAGAGTAAGCAGTGTTTATGAGTTAATATAAATTGTATTAAAAGGAGGACAATTTAAATGGAATTGTCCAGTGGTGCTCTGCACCGATCCGGCTAGGCATGATGGTGCACAAACTTTGCCCGTGGTTTTTCCAGAGCGGGCTCACGGCCTATCAAAGATGGGGGCCATCTTTAACTGAGTTCGGCACTAACGACAAGCGCAACGAGTGGAGTTGGTTGGAATAGAACGCTGGTTGGCCCAAGCCCGAACTTCTGAGGGATTTTGGAAAGTGGAACTGGGGGATCCTTACTCCGTAGGGAGGGGCCCCCTCGGCTTTTTATGGAGCAGGAAGGCGAGATCTGAGGGGAACACGTATACCTCGCCTTTCCGTTGTGCTTGCATGAACCGGTGTCTGATCCCCCCCAAATTTCAGTTCAATTCCATGGTGGCAATATTAAAGAAAATGGACAATGTCTTGTATGTGCTAAATATACTACCGTATACTGAAAACGGAAGCATCGGAAAGATTGCGTCATGATGAATACAAAGTTTTCGCTAAAGTTATGGTTACTCCGAACCAAAGGCAAATTCAAAGTTTGTTAGTTTCCTCCTGCGCTGGCTTAATTCATTTCGAGTTCATTACTTAATACTGCTTAAAGGATCTTGACCGAGGCTGCTACCGTAGTTTCAGTCTAGATGCAAGATCTCAGGTTAATTGTATCCACAGTCAGCTGGGGACTATATTTCCGGACGCCTTCTTCGATAGGGCCAGATCTAAAGAGAGTCTCGATTGTTTCTAATTGATGAAGTCTCGAAAATTCTCTTCATGATCCTTGCATCCTTCAGCAGCCTCTCCGAGTATAGCAGTGTCTCCGAATACGTGGCGTGGCTAATATCCAAGACCGCCCCCAACATCCACAGTGCTGTACGGAGTAGTATACGGAGTACACCCCGGTCGCTTTAGTCTACCAGATATAGATTGTTGTGTCCACCTTTGCTACCAACACGAAATGAAGCCCTGGAACATTATTGCTACATTGTACAAATTTGGTGTCGCATGATGTGACCCTATGCTTCTCGCCAGCCAAAGAGCGCGACTAGGCGAAGCCCACCCCCTTAGTTTGCTAGTCTACCAAGTAAGGTTTTTTATTTGGTAGGTGTCTCAGTCTATTTTATTCGCAAAAACTAGATAGGAGAGGTCCCCATCGTGACATATGGAAACAAGAATGTCGCTGAGGTAGTTCCGAGGGTTACGAGTAGGGGCAGAGTTATGCATGCACATTTTTAAAGGTGGACATCGATTTAAAGTAAGATACGGAGTACATATGCACTGAGATCGCGGACGGGGCTTACGGGACTCTGGGGTTAACGGATATCTGGGAATGTCGAGCGATTACCCCAGATAACAGATAGACCCAGAAGGTTGTCAATCTCCCGAGGCCGTAAAAGGTAGGAAGACGAGATGAGGTTGATGGTCGAGATAACAAGGGGAGAGAATTGGGTGTGGGCAAAATCCTGTCTGCTGAAGCTCCCCTTCTGGGTTAAGCGCAAATGCAAGCAAGTCCGGCCTCAAGTAGAGTTTCCGTTTGTTGGACACAATGGGTTACTCGCCTCCGACTTCGCCCAATTGTAAGTCTGGGGCGGTCCCACTTGGTCCAAAGTGGCCACAAAATGCATCCCGGAAGTCGAAGTGATTGGTTGTAGATGAAGAGCCGACTCCGACCTTCTTCGGGCCCGTGATAAGCATAAGTAATATAGGCTTGCCGTGCTCCCTTTCTTCTTCCCGTCGACATTCCCATTCCATTCATTTGATCGCCCGGGAACAAGGAGACTTGGAACTCCAGACGTCCCTTCTTTATAACCATCGTCAACTCGCCTTGAACCGTTGGAATCAGGGGTTATTTGGGATATCGGTGGAATTTCAGGGATCGAGACATCAGAGACGAGATATCAACTCTCAATCATGGCGAACGAAATACCCGAAAAGACGACGGGCTACTATGCCCCCGAGAAGGAGGTCCAGCCCTCGCCCGTGCACACCAACGATGGCCCCGTAGATGGGGAGTTGGTGAACGCCTCAGGACATCGTCAGGAACTCGAGCGAAACTTCAGTCTTCTCAGTATTTGTGCCGTGGCTGTGACGACCGGAAACACCTGGATTGCTCAAGGTGGAAGTGTCGTGACCGCCCTCTCAAACGGTGGACTGGCAGGAACTATTTACGAATTGTATGCCCCGCCCCTGTCCGTGTGCTGATCATCGGAAGACATCTAACCCCTCTCCAGTATTGTTGTGTCTGTTTGCTACTGGCTGGTGGCTGCGTCCATCGCAGAGCTGGCTTCCGGTATGCCCTCTGCCAGTGGTGTCTACCACTGGGCGACCATCACCGCCGGACCCAAGTACGGTCGCGTGTGTGGTTTCTACGCCGGATGGTGGAACTGTCTGGCTTGGATTCTCGGTGCTGCATCGATGTCTTTGATCTTGGGTCAGCAGACTGTAGCGATGTATGCTGTCATGCACCCAGGCTTCGTCCCTTCGAACTGGAACATCTTCATCAGCTTCCTCCTCTGCACCTGGACATGCTGCGCCATCGTTCTTTTCATGAACCGTTACTTGCCTTATATCGGTAATCTCGGCATGTTCTTCATTCTCGCTGGCGTGTTCATCACCATCGTTGTGTGTGCTGTGATGCCTTACGTCAACGGAACTGGCTATGCGTCCAACGAAACCATTTGGGCCCACTTTGACAACCAGACTGGCTACAGCTCAAACGGCTTCGTTTTCGTCGCTGGTATGCTGAACGGTGCTTACAGTGTTGGAACTCCTGATTGCTCATCTCACTTGGCCGAGGAAATCCCCAAGTCAGTTCCCTTCCCACGACTCCCTTCTATCTTATACTAACTGAACTTTCAGGCCGAGTCGTAACATCCCCAAGGCTGTCCTTGCCCAGATGGGTGTTGGTTTCGTCACTGGTATCTGCTACATGATTGCTATCTTCTACGCTATCAACGACGTGGACGCCCTGGCAAACAGCCCTCTCTTCCCCCTGGCTGAGATCTACCAACAAGCCACCAACTCCCGTGGTGGTGCTCTGGGTCTCTTGATCGTTGCTTTCTTGCCCACTTTGATCACTGCTTCCGGTTGCTACATCACCGCCGGTCGCACCCTGTGGACTATCTCCCGTGACAACGCCACCCCCTTCTCCGGCTGGATCGGCAAGATCTCCCCTCGATTCCACAACCCTTTCAACGCCACTCTGGTTTGCGGAGGTTGCATCACCATTCTGGCATGCATCTACCTTGGCTCGACCACCGCCTTCAGCGCCTTTGTGGGATGCTTCGTTCAGCTGTCCAGTCTGTCCTACTTCATGGCTATTTTCCCCCACGTTCTGACTCGCCGTTCGTCATTCGTTCCCGGCTGGTTCTTCATGAACAACAAGGTTGGCTACGTCGTGAACTCTCTCGCTTGTATTTATATCATCGCCTTCGCCATCATCTTCTGTTTCCCCTATGCCCTGCCCACCGATGCCGGGTCCATGAACTACGCCAGTCTGATGACCGGTGGTTTGTCCATTTTCGTGACCATCTGGTGGTTCATCCACCAGGGTTCATACGAGGGCCCCAAGCACGTCCCTCTGACCGACAAGGCCTTGGCCGAAGATGCGCAGTAAATGTGCTGTTGAAATGAGATGAAAACTTGCGTTTGACATGGCATTTGATTGACTATGATCTGTTCACGACCATCCAATACCTATTTTTTTTTCAGGCGACCTTGACGTTCTATACACCCTTTGTACATTTCTAATTATGTTCGTGTTTTGACGACCCTTTACATAGTTGCTTAAAAGCATATATTTCCTTCATTTGAATTATACCTCTTTCGCTTGCCCAGGTGGTTCCATATACCGGTGAACGTTGCCAAGATTTGTAGATCCTATACCTCAACTGAAGAAGTAGGTAATTTCTTATCAATCTCTGATTCTAGACCAGATCTGCAGCCCTTCGAATGAAGCTTACTCCGTCAGTAGAATCCATGTTAATTGATACAGGGTCACGTGAACTCGCGTCCCGCGCCGAGTCGCGTCCCTGGCCTCACCCAATCTTACCAAGAAGGGAAATAGACCCATACAGCCATGGTCTTCAAGCCCTTCAAACCCCCTCTGATGAGGAACAGTGTGTCGAATCCAATCGAAATCACTGATGAACCTAGCCGTCCTGCCAAAAAGCCTCGTCTCGACGATGAGCCCACTACCGTTGCACAATCGACTCCGCCGGCCAGCCGAAAGCCACTTCTACAAGTCAATAATCGAGGAGCAGAAAGCATAAAGCAGGAATCGCTCAGTGGACAGTCCAAGAATGAACCATCAGATGAAAAATACTTCAATGTCCTCTGGTAAGTCTTGGTCGTCTCAACAAGTGCCTTTCCTTTGCATCTCATCCTAATGCGCACTGAGACTAATGTACACAGGCGCAAACCGACCGCCAAAAAACACAAAACATGGGATGGAGATGGAATAATATCCGTACGACGAGGAAATGTATACCTGCGAGACACAACGGGCAAAGAGATGGGGCGAAGGGTGCACGAGACTCCCATCGAGCCCGGAGTATCCTTCTCGATATCCGGCAAAGAAGTCGAGGTAGAATCTGAGATTTCTCGCGAAGAGTACTACTCCAATAGGAAATTCCTCGAAAGCCCGAAACCGGCACCGACGGAGCCTGCTCCTGCGAAGAAAGAGCTGCCTGCGCGCAAGAAAGGCGAAGCGTCCAAGCCAACAGCAGCTGAGCGCACAGCATCGCTTAAACGCTCAATTGCCTTGGTCACAAATCCAAATGCCAATCCCGGAAATGCACCGGGGACATTCGCGGCTTACAAAAAGCCTTTGTTGGACAATACTGTTATTCCCAAAGCCCCCGGGAAAGTCGTGCCGCGACATGACCCGAAGGCAGCTGGTGCGTTGGTCATGCCGCGGCCGAAGTCTGTTCCGAAGGGAAGACAGGTTGTTGATGTCGTTGTCGACCCGTTCTTAAGCAAGAATCTGCGGCCTCACCAACGTGAGGGTGTTCAATTCTTGTATGAGTGTGTCATGGGTATGCGCGACTTTAACGGCGAAGGCGCTATTCTTGCAGATGATATGGGACTGGGCAAGACTTTGCAAACTATCACACTGCTTTGGACGCTGTTGAAGCAGAACCCGGTCTTCGAAGACCCCCCTGTCATCAAGAAAGCATTGATTGTCTGCCCTGTTACTCTGATCAATAACTGGAGGAAGGAGTTCCGCAAGTGGCTGGGGAACGAGCGAATCGGTGTCTTCGTATTCGACGATAAGCGCAAGCGTTTGTCGGATTTCACCAGGGGCAAAGCTTACAGTATCATGATTGTTGGATATGAAAAGCTGAGGACCGTCCAAGAAGGCTTGGCTAATAGTTCTGGCGTTGATATCATCATCGCAGATGAAGGCCACAGACTCAAGACGCTGCAGAACAAGAGTGGTCAGGCGATTCAGTCACTTAGTGCTATAAAGAGAGTCATCCTTTCAGGAACACCCATTCAGAATGATCTGAAGGAGTTCTTCGCTGCTGTGGATCTTGTCAACCCCGGGATTCTGGGCAACTTCAAGTCTTTCATCAAGGAGTTCGAGACCCCAATCGTGCGGAGCAGACAGCCCGAAGCAACAAGCAAGGATATTGAAAAGGGAGAGTCTCGGGGCGAGGAGCTTCGTGAACTGACCTCGAAATTCATGCTTCGTCGCACAGCGGATATTTTGGCCAAATACTTGCCCCCCAAGACAGAATACGTGCTCTTCTGCAAACCGACCCGCCCCCAAGCAAACATATACAAGGCTGTCCTTGCCTCTCCCGTGTTTCAATATGCAATGGGTAACACCGAAAGTGCCCTGCAGCTCATCACAATCCTCAAAAAACTCAGCAACAGCCCTTCCCTCCTATCCGCTAAGAACAATGACGGCTCCCCCAATGCAACCATCACCTCTCTTCTCGAATCAATACCTCAACCCCTGCACCGTCATCTTTCCGCTTCATCAAGTGCCAAAGTCCGCGTCCTCGATCAGCTTCTCGACACAATGCACAACAAGACAGACGAAAAAATAGTCCTCGTCTCAAACTACACATCAACACTTACCCTTCTCGCAACACTCCTCTCATCTCTAGGCCTTCCATATCTTCGTTTGGACGGCAGCACGCCGGCCCAAAAACGCCAAGGCCTGGTAGATGACTTCAATCGCCTCCCCGCATCACAATGCTTTGCCTTCCTTCTTTCCGCAAAAGCAGGCGGAACAGGCCTCAACCTCATTGGCGCGAGCAGGCTAATTCTCTTCGATGTCGACTGGAACCCAGCCACAGATATCCAGGCCATGGCGCGAATCCATCGAGATGGCCAGAAACGCCCTTGTCGCATCTACCGCGTACTGCTGAAGGGTAGTCTTGAAGAAAGGATCTGGCAAAGACAGGTTACCAAGCTCGGACTTGCCGACAGTGTTATGCAGCAGAGCAACGGCGGAGCACAATTCAGTGCGTCTGAGCTAAAGGACTTGTTCCGTCTTGACGAAGAGCGCGCTTGTCAGACACACGAGCTGCTGGCCTGCCAGTGCGGCGGAAGAGGTATTGCTGATACGTCTGCTCCTGTCTCTGGCGCCGCGACGCCAGCAGATGCTGGTTCTGATGATGATTTGTCGGATCCCCCTTCGGAGGATGAGTGGGATTCCGATGAATCTGTGCCTAGCTTCCAGTCTATGCTACGGGCCTCTGAAGTTGATATGGAGAAACAGGAACGTGAGATTCGGGACGGTACGTTCCGTGCTAAATCAAAGGGGAAAAAAGGTAGCCATGACAAGTCCAAGAGTCAGAAGGAGAAGATGCATCAGTCTCTGGCTCAGTATGCGCATATCGATCCTACTCTCTTGAATCCTGATGCTGAGGATGAGGAGCTTGACGCTGCTATCGATGATGATGTGCTTCTCTCTATGCTCAAGGATGAGTGCAACTTGGTGGGCTATGTGTTTAAGAAGACGAATAATGCGGAGATGGGAGGTTAGGTCCGGGTTAACTTCCAAGCTTGATGATCATCATGTCGCATCTTTGAATTGTACAATATGACAAATAAGGATGAATAGACAGCATAATACTTGTGACTCCTTTCGAGGCCTGAAACCAAACCCGGGATTGATTCCACCGTATACCATAGAAACCCGAGGCTCTGCAGCATGTAATCCAATACTAATAAATAAGTTGACTATTGACCAGGATATCTTCTGAAGTCTATACAAAGGAAAAGCCCTCAAAGGGCGGTATTTAAGGAGAAGTCAAAAGTGCAGAAAAGAACGTAAAAGATAGAAGAAAAAAAACAACCACCCTCCCCCGATGCACCGCAACCCATATAAAGCATTCCACATATGCAACCCAAAACCCCCAAACCAAAATCCATCAACCTCGCTCAATACCGCAACTTCCCAACCAGACCAAAAGTATAAGCCGTCTCAGCCTCACTCTTCATTTGAATCATATAAATCCTTCCAGAGCCAGTAGCAACACCACCCTTCTGCGCAACACCAGCCTCCTCATCCTCTTCCCGAATAGAAACAGCAATGCCCGTCCGGGCAATGCGCTCAAACGCATCTTCACCAAGACAAACATCCAACATAGTCTCTCCGCGCGTCTTACCACGAATAACAATCCTCTTCTCAGCCTCGATAGCACGACGAGGCGACGCAGCACCCGAAGCAGGCGGCGAAGGATCATCAGGCTGAATACTCGAGTCACTACGACTAGTTGTAGGACGAGATGGATTCTTAGGCGGCGCAGGCATGATAGTCAAGCGAGCAGCGCCGAGATCGCGCCACTTCGAAGCTGATTCGCGGGCATAGAGACGGATTTTGGCATTTGAGAGACCGATTCCGTCGGCGCCCTTGATGGCGGCTGCGATACGGCCTATGCCGGTATTTGAGTCTGGGGAGTTGGATTCGGAGTAGACGGAACCTTCGCGGCGGGATTCGATTGTTGAGCGGGAGATGTTGAACATTTTGCTTGAGGCGCCGAAGCGCTTTAGGGCGGAGAAGGCGCTGCTCATTGTTCCCACGCTGCTTTCCGAGCCTTCGGCTAGGGAGCGTGGGGAGCTGGAGGCGCGGTAGCTCTTGCGGCGGCGGGGCCAGCCGAATAGACCGCCTGATTTTGTGGCGGGCTCGAAGGCTGGGGTGTTGTCGTTGTAGGGGCCGCGGGCGTTTTGGAGAGCTATGTAGGTTGGGTTGTTGATTCGGGATTGATTGATTAGGCCGTAGAGGGCGTCGCAGTCATCCGGATTACGGGAGCGGAACATGATGTTGTTGCTTGAAGTAATCTTGGATCGTTCGGTTGGCGGGGAGCGGACGCTGATGTCGATAGCTGTTCCGCGGCGGATGGGAACCAGGGGGGTGAGCTCGAGAGAAATGAGTGGTCTCGACGATTGCGAGTCTGAGTTGAGATCTGGTTCGGTCCCCAGGGCGAAAGCCTCTATCAAGCCAGGGCTGACAACGATGCTGCACTCGTCAGGAAGCAATGTTTCCCAGTTTCCCTTGTTGGACCAGGCAAACACAGACGCAATTGCCTTGGAGGTTTTGGAGGGCTGTAGGGGCACAGTACGGTAGCCACTTTGGGACGCGGAGTTAGAAGGTGAGAGAGAGCTAGCTTCAGTGGCCGCATCGGGGATTCTGGGCTTAGGGGTCTCATGGTAGTCATCGTCGTCCTCAGACACGGAAGAATAATCGTCTTCGGAGTCGGATGAGTCGCCGGATCGTGAGTACTCAGATGAGGAGTATGAGTAATGGCGCACTGTAGAGGCATCTGAGTCTGTTTCGGAGTAGTCAGACGCTGTGGATGGCTCATATTCATGCTTGAGAGGAGAAGAGCCTCGTCTCTTGAGTCCGCCACTGCTGGAGGTAAGGATTGGGGCGCTGGAGCGCTTGTCGGGGGCAGGGCTAGACGATCGATGTGGTGGGGGAGGAGGAGGGCTATCGTCATCTCTTGGACGTCTGCGAGACTTCTTCCTTCTGGTCCTGGTTGGTGTCTCAGGGACATCCTCATGCTTTGGCAAGGACTCAAGTGGAGGATAATCTTCCTCTTCTTCATGACCAATGTCGGTTGGAGTGGACAAATGGGTTTGGCTGCTCGGAGTCCGAATCTTGGGAATTAATGGAAGGGTCGCGGAAGGCACAGACGAGACCCGGGGAGATTCTGGCTCAGGCTCTTTGACGGGGGTCTTTTGAGGCTGAGGGATACGCGAGCGTGATTTCTCTCGAGGCGCCGCTTTGCTTGGAGATTGATCAGAGTCACCACCATAGAATCTGCCACCCGTTGGAGTGCTAGGTTGTGGAGATGCAACGGCATCACCCTCAATGGATTTTTCAGCTGGTTTCTCAGGCGCTTTCTCAGACACAGCACTTTGGGGAGATGCAGGTTCGGCCGAATCCCCATATCTTGAAAACCGCTTGGCCTTGGACCGCTTGAGTCCTGTGGGGGTCTTGTCCGGGCTAGATGGGGTGTTCCTTGAGTCGGTCGAAGGAAGGAGAGGCAAGTCCGGTCGAATAGACTTCCCTGATAGCTCAGAACCACCGGTGGTGTACTCAGTATCCCGAGTCGAAACCGAGTATGTTGAACTGACTGTACTCGGTTCAGAGTAGTGCTCCTTTTGGGTCAGCGAGCGCCGCTTGCCAGCCCTTTCGCCGATAGGAATATCAACATCACTAGGGTTGGGCCTCGGCGGGGAACTGCTCGTTGGCTTGCGAGCCCTGTTCTGCTTGGCGCGGCTGATGAAGCTTTGGCTTCGGCATATGGAGGGTGGGAGGGGATCCGACCCGAGGAGGGAAATCCACTCGGTGCCGACTTCTTCTTCGTCGATACGAAGAGAGATCAGTTCTTGCCAGTATTTGGTGGGATCATCGGGCGCACTGCGCAGCATGATAATGATCTCATGCTTGGATTCTCCCCGGCGAGCTGAAACACATCGAAGGTCCATCGGAGGGAACAGAAGCCATCGATCCGCATGGTCTATCTCACAAATCAGAAGATCGCCTCCGGGGCCCTTGCTGGAAGTATTGTCTCGGTACAGCAGTTCGGCACGGCAATCCACAAGTTGACCACTGGAGTGATACAAAGACAGGTTGAAGAAATCACGGGCACGCACTCGGCGAGTCTGGTCGATGCCGATGCCGTGAAGAACACCCAGGGTCATTGGGTCTCTCGTGCGCGAAGGGTCAATACTAGCAGCAGAATCATCTTCCAGTCTAGCCCTTTCATCCCGAACCCGTTTTCTAGCGTCCGCCACGAGAGTTTGGTATGCGACAGCTGTGTCTTCGGCCTTCGTAGACGGCTCGAGAACATTGATCCCCTTGAAGGTCTTTGCCAAATACTTGAGCCGAACCAGCGGCCGCTTCAACAAATAAGCAACATCGACCTTCCCACCATCTGCGTCGATAATGTCACCATTCTCATCTCGCTCCAAGCCTTCGTCCAGGCTCTTCGTGTCGGCATTGCTGTCATCGCCTTCTTCACGCGGAGCAAGGTTAACAATCACATCCTTGAAACCCAGACGCCATGCTTTGAGGTACTCGCGGTAGACTCTCTGGGCACCTTGCGCCCAAGTCAGGAGAGCATCTGCGTTATCCTGCGGGATACGTTTGTGGAGGTTCTTCAGCCGCTCGATCGCCACTCCCATGTTGACAATCGGCTTCGAAAAGTTCACGTCATCTTCGGGATCTAAAGACGGTCGGAACAAGCCTGCTGCTATCGCCGAGTCAGAACGAGAGAGTACGCAAGTCAGAAGAACTGGAATCACACCCCCAACCAGGGTCTTCAGCTCGCGCATATATTTGGTCTCGTCGCCCGAAAGCTCGTGGAGCAAGTCTTCAACGGTCGCGTTCACAAGACGGCTCTTGTTGGTCCGTATGCTCCGGTTTGAGCGGGTACTACCCCTGCGGGAAACCGACACTGACAACACAGACATGAGATCATTATGGGTAGTCAATCGTCTTTTCAACTGTGAAGAAACCACGGGAAGGGAATCGGGATCAAACTGATCTTCCTTCTCTGCCTCCTCGGCTTCCTCATCCTCCTCAGCCAGCGATGGCTTGCGTTTCTCGGCCGGGGTAGACCTTTGAATCGGCAGAGTGAGGTCTGAGAGCGTAGTACTCATGCTCTCTGCCGACGCGATCGTTGATAATCGATGATAGCCGGTGGTTGGAACAGCCTTCTTGCGCCCGAGTGGTACAGGTGCATTGTTGCCTGAAACCTCAGAGCCGCCGTCGGAGAAAGGTTGTAACTCGGATTCGGAGGGTGCGAGGCTATCTTCATACGGCTTCTCTGGGGCAGGAGGCTCATCTTTGCTCTTGACAGATGACTTGGGGCGGTCGATGCTGGTGCCTTTTGGCTCTGTCACCTCTCGGTCTACCGATTTGGACGGCTTGTCGGTTGAAGAGATTGACTCTTTCCCTTTCGAGTGACGGCTCACCGCACTTTTCGGACGAGACTCGGAGCTGCTCTTTGGACGCTCGCTGCCGATGGATGGTTCAGACTGCGTACCCGGAGTCTCTCCGTCCGCGAGTTTCTGCGATCGCCTTGCTCGACCAGACTTCAGATCGAGAGGAGCTGGCATATCACACTTATTTCCATCGTCCATGAAGGGGTCATGTGTATCCGAGAGCCATGCCTCGATCTTGGCCCCACGGCCGGTGGTGGGCGTAGGCGTTGGCTTTGGGGGCTCTGGTTCCGGTTTTGCAAATATCTTCTTTGACTCGTCGATCATATGAGCGAAGATACCACCCTTTGGTGGCTTCGGTGCCCCGCGTGCTCGTCGCTTCGATAGCTCAGAGAAGTCCGCCTCGCTCGTCGCCCACGCATCCTCCGGCGGCGGCGATCGTGTCTTGAGTCGTTCCGATATCACCGACGGTTCCACCGTCTTCCCGTTATCCGTATCGTAGTCGCTTTCAGTGATCGTGTCGATGTTCTTTCGTGCCCCGGATCTGGGCTCTCGGATGGGAGATCTAGGCCCCGTCCCCCGCTTGACCGAGAGCCGTGGTAGATCGCGACCTTTGTCGAAATCATCTTCGCTGTCGTCATGTCTCCTCCGCGATCTCGGTTGCCCCTCATTTGTGGTGTATTCCGAGATGCGCTTCGGGGCGGGCAAGTTGCGCGAGGATTGGGTCGAGGCTCGGTTCCGCGTTCGCTTCCAGTGTTCGTCGCTAACGACTCGTTTTCGCGGGGTACTGTGACTGCGCTTTCGAACAGTGGGTTTGTCTTTGGGCTGCTCCAGTTTCTCAGCCTTGACCTTGGCCGGCTTAGGTTTGGGTTTGGGTTCATTTTCGTCATCGGCGTAAGGGTCATCAACAGTCACCACACCGCCACCTTGTTGTTGCCATTTGCGCACTCGGGAGCGAACAGTGTTTGTGTCGTGCGCCCCCAGAGGTTCGCCGATGTCCAGGGGCTGCGCTTTCGTTCCTCCTTTGGAGGCGCGTGGCGTCGCCGGAGATGGCATCGGTATCTCGAGTAAACCGTCAGGGGGGTATTTCAAAGACCACAGGGATACTCACCACCTGTCCCGCACCTAACAAGATTCGGGCATTGATGATCGCATGGGAAATTTGAGCTTCAATCATAAACAATGTGCAGAGTTTCGATAAGCCCGCACTAACCGGTTGCCGGGAAACCAGCCGATCGTTAGGCGCTCACTGGACGCATCTGCTTTGGCCTTTCGGGCTGTTCTGAATGTTCAAAGTTGTCTCAAATTAGAGATGATGTTTAAGCGGGAAAAGAATTAGGACTGTTTATTAACGATTGCGCGTCAGCTGGTGCAGAGCGTCATAGGGTACGGGAGCTGCATATTACTTGTTATCGCTTAAGCTACTTACCAACTTAGTTCAAGCTTGTATTTAAGATGCAACATGCTAGTTCTGTTATACTATTCGATCGTTTCTATATGTCTTATACAGCCCAACTCTGGAATATTTCCCCCGCCGTTGGAGTGTTGGCTGTTGACTGTTGACTGTTGACTGTTGACTGTTGACTCGTTGGACACTAAATGAGGGACTTCTAGCCCGATACTCCACTGTCCCCGTCGATGACGAAGGTGGTCCTAGTTAGTCTTCTTCGGCCCCAGCTCTAGGCGTTTAAATGCAGCCGAAATAGTGCTGATGCTCTGATACAGGTAATCTACTGCAGAATCAGCAGGCTGACAACGGTCAGACACAAAACGGGGGCACATACACGCCGGAACCACAATCCAGATGAAATTCATCAGAAAATAGTACAGCCAGAAGTAATACGGCTCCGGACGGGAATAGGGGCGTCCGTGGACATACTCGTCAAACAGACTGGTCGCATAGTACAGCGTGTCGCCGTAAAGATGGCTCATGCACACAATCACCTGGATCGGGTGGCGCAGGGAATCCCTGGTTGCGGTCAAGTATGCAACAACGAAGCAGAGGGGCCCCCACAGTAACTAAAAAGAAGGAGAAATCAGCGGTGAATCCAAGACTCCAGCCTCCAGCCTCCAAGTACGGAGTATCAAGTATCAAGTTTCTGAGACAGAGACTGTGCCAACTTGTGTGGGACTCGGAACTCACCACGGTCATCGTCTCCATACACAACACCAACGTGTCCGAGGTCATATATCGGGAGTCGGACAGCGCGTACTCTTTCCATAGTTGCCCAAAGAGGTCTTGGGCCGACGCCATGTGGTCATGGTGGATCATGAAATAGCCCTCGAAGAAACAGTGCAGACTGCCGGCTGGGTCTGGTCAGCGCGTTCGTGAATGCGAATGGAATACATCGTACAGAGCACAAACCACAAGATGGCAATCCGATCTGCCAGTTGCAGTCTTGGTCGTACATAGCTTGCCAACGCGAAAGTCACACCGAGAAGAACGGTGCAGGCTCCACCAGCTGAGAGGAGGAGTTCCAAGACTGGAGTCTCGTTGGGCTGATAGCCTACCACGTTGGCGTCCAGGGGGTAGTAAGGGTGGTTGGGCATGTTTCAAGCTTCCGGGCCTCGAAGAAGCTCGGGTTTCCGACAGAACCGTGAGGGATTGGAGTATCAAAAAGGGTACAAGGTGTGTTTTGTTTGAAGTGGATGTGAGTTCAGCCAATGACAAGCTTGAATGTCTTAGCTTTGAGGTTTCGCAGCATAACTACATGATTTCTTGCAAGCATGTTCTCAAATGATACATCTACACAGTTGCACGGAGTACTCCGTAGATGTCTATACATGTAGCTATGCTGATATACACAAATGGAAGAGTGCTGGAGGGTGCTGTCTTGATCTAGCCTGTCCCGTTTGTGACCTACCATAGCAGAGTCTCTGGAGCAACCTGAAGACAAGCTCAACCTCCCACATAATTCATTAATCTCTGCTAAAGACATTGACAAGGTAGAATGAAGCTTGGATGATGAAGGATGGAAGATGAAATATGGCCCCAGGCGGTGACTCCGTATAGCCAAGGTCCCCCCTCCAACCGTGATCGCCCGATGGCCAGGCCTTCGACACTCCTGAACAATGGCATCCGAATCACCACGGCCTCTGGGAATTGAGGTCCCTCGATCCTCAATGGAATCGCCTCCGGGAATCGTTGCCTTGTTCCTCATCAGCTTCGACATCCGGACCGGGTAGCTATCAGTCCCCCTGCTAGTATAGCTCCATCGCTGACATGCGACAGATACGTGGTTTCATGGAAGCGCACAGCACCAGGAGGTGAGCAATCGACCAACCAGCCGAGGCTGTCTCGAGTTAGCGATACTAATGTGAAACCAAAATAGTTGACGTGGAAGGCGTCGTGGAATACAAATCGCTGCCTTCTGGTCTTCACAATGTGACCGAGGATCTGGTGTATGTGCAAGCTTCCCTAGATGTCCTTGTTCAATTCACTGATGCGCATGTCTCTCCTCTAGATACTTTGTCCATGAACAGTATGCTGGCATCAGCGCGTTCCTCAATCACCCCGCCGCGGAAGCCGAGCGCAATGCGAAGATGTTCGCGATCGGGGTTCTCGTCCCCCTCAGCACTGGTCGACTGGGGAAGAGCTGGCGCCACGCTCCGAGATTGAAAGAGTTGACGCAGTACGTACTTTCAAAGCCTTGCGATGAACACCTGACTCACAAGTGGCCGATAGGAAATACGCCGAGAACATGTCCGACATGGATCCTCTAGCGACATACTGGGATGCCTATCGAATAGGAGGAACCGAGTCCTCAGCGCCCGATTCACCCATTGTGTCGCCTGCGAACCTTCGATCCCGACCAGGCGAGCGACCAGACACCGCAAATCGCACCCGTGCCTTCAGCGACGCACTCGTTCTGGACACCTTCAGGCCGGCCCTGACACCGTCCCACCCCGCATCGTCCCTACCGGACTTCCTAGACACCTTCGGACCCCTGGTCTTCCCCTTGTACAGGGCAGCTTTGCTGCGCAAGCGCATCCTCTTCATGGGCGAGGCACCCGTCCACACACCTTGCAACTACGGTACGTCCCCCAACACCTCATCCCCATCCCCACACCCAAATCACCCCCTAACAAACCTCAGTATACGACCTCTCCCTCCTAGCCTCACTACCAAATTCCCTCCTCGACCTCCTCCCCACCGACCGCACCCCACCTCTACGCCCGCGCCCCCTCTTCAACGTCGGCATCCACGACATCCCCTACCTCTCAACCTTCGACCCCGCACGCAGCATCAGCTCCCAAGACCCAGAGACAGACCCCAGCTGGATCGCCTGCTCCACAGACACAGTTCTAACAATGAAACCCACGCTCTTCGACACCCTCATCACCCTCCCAGCCCCACACACCAAACAAGCCGAAGAGCGAATCTTCCCAAAGCTCTCTCTGACAAACCACTCAAACCCCCAACACCCCTTCACACTCAAAGCGACGCAACGCGACGCAAGACGCTTCGCAATGCTCCGCCGCAGCCTCCACCACCTCACATCCTCAGACACAGACTCAACATACTCATCCAGCCCAGTCGTGGAACCAGTTTCCTGGACGCGGCTCGCATACACGTCATTCATGTGGTGGGCGTCCGCAGGCGAGAACCGCGACGGACTCACCGAGGAAGAAGAAGAGGCGCAATTAGAGCAGGACTCGCGGCTGCTGGCCAGTGTCGAGAACCTTTCTCCGGCAAACGATCAGCCGCCTGAGGTTGCGTTAGTAGCTTATTTCCGACGGATGACGGCGATGATCTTTGGGACTTTGGCTGGTGTCATTGCGCGGAATGATGATTGTGAGGGTGGGTATGAGGAGTATGTTGATGAGGATGAGAGTGAGTCGAGGTCGAGATCGATGTCGATTGGGGATGAGGCGCCTTTGTTGAGACAGCGGTCTGGTGCGAGTTCGCAGCGGGGATCGTTGAGGGAAGCTGGGTGTGAGGTTGTTACGATTTCGGTGGCGGATATGACGGAGATGGGGCTTGATGTTTGGAGTGCGACTGATCGGGTGTTTGTGGAGGAGTTGGTGGGGCTTTGGTGGGGGAGAGAGGCGAGAGTTGATTGTGCGAGGATTAGATGCTGTGGTATTTCGGTGCTGTAAAGCTTCAAGGCTATAGTTTAGCCATATACAACATTGCATGTGAATACAATTATCTTGTTACTCTAACCGAATCTCTTGGAGAAGGCTTGACCTGGGTCTGCTGCTTAGCTAGCTCTTGTTCATGGTATTAAGCATCGTGAAAATATTTGAGGTGAAAGATATAGACGGAGAAAGGAAAAGACATAGGAAATGTTGAGGGAGTGACAGGACATAAACCGAAATGGTGCCCGGATGGGAAGTGGAAGAAGGCATATGGGATAATAATCCATCTATAGAATCATGATATCGAAGGCAAAAACGAAGAAAACAGTTCGCTTTCCAGCGCCGAGCAAATGAAGAATGGGCAAATTGATGCAGCGCCGGGGGGTATTAGATGAAACAACAAGCACCGACAGACCATGCAAGTGAAAGACATAACGCATCGAGAATACACTCCTGATCAATCACCGACGGAACATGCGAACAGGCGCACTCATATCACGGCGTTCGCTGTGCTCACGTTCACTCCTTGAATCGGGTCGGAGATTGGGGTTTGGCACACGACGAGGACCTCCTGCCGGATTCGTGTTCGAGCCAGCGGCGCGAGCAGCGTGACCAGCTTCGTTGGCACTGACTGAGCGCTGCTTGCTGTGGGTGCGACCTCGGCGGGCTCGAATCTGAGCAAGAGCTTGCTCGCGATCAATCGGGGTGTCTGGGACGCCAGGATGAGAAGTGCGTTGAGTCTGCGTCTCATTTCGCAGGGGGACTCTCTTTGTGTTTCTAATGGAGGATTGTCCGCGTGGGTCTCTCTTTGGAGCGTGTAGCGGCTGGCGGTATCCTTGGGCGTCTCGTTGAACACGGCTGGGTGGTCGGGCTTCCTGTGACAACCGTGCCCGCGCAGAAGAGTTATCGTTATGGCTTTCGGTTGGAGTAGCACGACCCCTCACCATCGGAGCTGGAGCTGGTGCTGGCGCACGCACACGGAGCGCAGCGGCGGGAGCAGGAGCGGGAGCAGGAGCCTGCTGAGGAGCTGGTTCTCCAGAAGGAGTGAATGACTCAACATCTGGCTCTGGCGAGGCCGAGACTTCCATATGGCTGTGATGGAATTCTGGCTGAGGCTCAGGAAGGTCCGGCGTGTCGAACTGGTCTAATCGCAAAGGTCGGACATTGTCTCGTAAAGGAGATGGGAAAGTCATAAAAGTACCAGTCTCCGGGGAGAAAGTCACCAAGGGTTCGGCTGGCATTTCTATCTTTGGTGTGTTCGTAGATTCTTGCTTCTTCGAGGACGAAGCGGAATGGTGGATAGGAACAGGCGGTGGCGCCAAAGGAGTTTGACTGGCCTCTGCTTCTTCTTGGTTGGGTTCAGGGGAAGTTCCTCGAGCTTCGGCAACATTGTGAACTGGAGATTGGTGAACCGGAGACTGGTGCACAGGAGGTTGAGGCGCAGGAGACTGATGCACAGGGGACTGGTGCATAGGGGATCGGTGGATGGGTGGCTGGTGCACATGAGTTTCGTGCACAGGGGATTGATGCACGGGTGACTCGTGGACAGGAGACTGCTGCACAGTCGGCTCGAAAGTTGGAGCTTGATGCACAGGGGATCGGTGAATGGGAGACCGATGAACGGGAGGCGGGGGCGGACTGGCCTCAGGAGTGCTCGCTGACTCTGGACTGGGTTGCTGCACAGCGATTTGCTGAATGCTAGCCTGGTGAGCCCGAGCCTTTTCTTCGGCTTCGATCTGGGGCTTTTGGAAAGTATTGTAGTACTCCGCATCATAGATGTATCGACGTCCTTGGCTCTCAGCAATTCTGCAAGAGCAACGTTCAAACTGACACTCGATGTTCATATAATGAACCATGTCCTCTGCGGCTTCTCTGCGGCGGCGTTCAAAAACGAGCTCTTCCTTCAAATCCTCCAAAAGATCTGCATCTTCCTCAACAGGGCCGGCTCCCGAAGCAGGCTGCTCGTTCTCGGCAGCCGGTCCAATTTCCGACAGGCGTGGGCGCTTGGGAGGTGTCGCTTCCACGTGTTCATCGCGTTCGGGGACAGGTGAACGGGCGGAACCCGCGGCAGCTCGTTTAGGTCTCCGCGGGGTGTTCAAAAATGCGAGGTCCCCTTCAGCCAATGATAATCTTCCAAAGTCCTCCTTGCGAATCTCATGGGCGCGCACTTCCAAAGTGCTCGAGTGGTTTTCCGTTTCCAAAGCGCGGAATTTCTCTTTCAAAAGTTCGAGCTCTTCGGTGAGGCCGGCAAGGGCATAGGCGCGTTCGAATGCTTCCTGTTTAGCCCTGTCTTTTGATTCGCGTTCAGCGGCCACCTCTTCTCTAAGAGCCTTGGCTTCAGACTTAGAATTTTTCAGTTCTTCCTGAAGCTTTACCATCGTCGATCCAGCTCGGAAAGCCTCTTTGCGAGCCTTCCGAATTTCCTTTTCAAAGATCGAGCGTTCTTGGCCTTGTCGTTCCTTCGCTCCGTGCAGTTCCTCAAGCAACGATTCAAGGCGTTCGCTGATTCGTCGTTCGCGATCTTGTGCCTCAGCCAACTCTTCTTGTGCGATAGCTAGGGCGGATTCCGCCTCTTCACGGCCCATGTTGGCTCTTATCACGGCGGCATTATTGTTGGATGTGCTGGCGGGGCTGCCACCCCGGGAGAGTCCGTTGAGGAACGCCACCTTGGCTTGCACTTCCGAGACACCGCGGTGGTTTTTGTGATGAAGGGTGAGAAGGTCGGCAGGGAGTGAGGGCGAGGCGGGGATGGTTTGTTGGTTCATGCGTTCCGGAGAGACCGGATGCAGCGCTTTTGAGGGACTCGGGGGAGACGCGTGGGAGACTCCATCGCTGCGGCTGACGGGGTTTAGATCCAGGCGATGAAGATCACAGGGTTGTTAAATAACATCACAGGAATGATGGAAAGGAGATCTCATGAGCGAAAATCACCGTTGTGGAGTCGGCAAGTGACGCACCCACACAAACATGTTTATTGCCTTCTTTGGCAAAATCATGTGACCGTTGCCCGGGTGACTTGATGCGCCTTCCCTATTGTGGCTAGTCGCTCACGTGCTGATAAGCCCTCTATCAGGACTAGCGCGTGATCTCGAGAGCGTCTGTGCGTCGACTCGCAGTGTCGATATCAAAATTCATTGAGGGGCGATACAAGAACTGACTGTCAGTTGCATAATAATGCATGAAATTGTCACTCTTCAGCTGGGCCAACGGGCCAATTATCTAGCAACCCACTTCTGGAATCTTCAGGTAGAATTCCCCCCAGTTGCGTCGCTCAACTCGTCTGATATATAATTAGGAATCATACTTTACATATGAAGAGGGAACCGAGGGACCTCCTATCGACCACGATGTCCATTTCCGTGCAGGATATGGAGCAGATGGCTCTGAGACTTACACACCGCGAACCTTGATCTACGACCTCAAGGGCGGGTTTGGTACCTTGCGCAAGAACAACGCACTCTACGAACTTGGCGACGACACGGCCGGCCAAGGATTATGGTATGCGGCTCAAATTAATTCCGATCAAGACCATGCACGCTGATATGGGACAGGGATGGGAGAGAAGTTATTCAGAAACAGGCCCCAATCACGCCGAGCGAATACCAGACCAGCTTGGATCTGGGCACACCAACTCCTCGTCTGACCTCGGAATCTGTTCGCTACTGGTCAGACTATAACCGAGTGTTCTATCACCCGAAGTCCATTGTCCAACTCAATGAGTATGAGCTAAATTCGCAAACTATGCCCTTTGAGGATTGGAATGTGGGAGAAGAGCTGTTCAAGGATCTCGACAAGGAGCATGATTTGCTGGATCGTGATGTGAGACCTATCCTCGAAGAATGCGATCATTTGCGAGCACTGCAACTTTTTGCTGGGTCAGACGACGCCTGGGGCGGATTCACAGCACAGTATATGGAACGATTGAGAGATGAATTTGGCAAAAAGAGTATTTGGGTCTGGGCGATTGAAGATGGCACCAGAACACAAAGGGTAAGTGGCACGGTGGCATTTGCAATGTCCAACTCGCAGATTGGCTAAGTTTCGAACTCTACAGCATCACCAATTCAAGAGAGATACGAACAAAGCGAAGTCACTCTGCTCGATCTCACAACAGGCATCGCTTTACGTCCCAATTATTGATCTTCCCAATAAGCTTCCCGGTTACCTTGACGTTGATCGCCAATCAGAATGGCAGAAGACAGCCTTGATAGCATCGGCGATTGAAACTGTCACACTGCCTTCTCGATTGAAGCCGTTCCAATATTTCGAGGCGGCGTTGGCAGGGGAGGATGGTACACATACCATCTTCGAGTTGCAATCGTCCATCAATAAAATCAATGACGGTCATACAAAGGCACTGTCCAATGAGGACGAGCAAGCTAAAGCCGAAACTGAATTTGACATTGATTTCACCTATGACGGCGAAGACAAGGGCCATATCTTCAATCAAGTTCAAGTCTCCCGTGGAGGTGAACCGGAAAGGGCTTCCGAGTCCGCGCAGGACCAAGACATTGGACACCTGCGGAAACTCAGACTCTACAATTCAGAGTCTATGCTTCAACGGTAGGTTTTCCCTCTTTTTTACACCTTGCGCTATTCCTTCTGTTTCAGCCAGATGCTAACATTCTATCCTACCCACATAGTTTCCACACCCCATTCCGCCTCCCTGTTCTTGACAGTTTCCCGCACAGCATGTTCCCTCCCCAGGAAGACGGCCTTCGGGTATTTACCGCATTGACCGCCTCGACACGAACATCTCAACGAATCAAGGCCCTTTCGGGTACTGCCGCTCGCATGATTTCGGTTGAGGACCGCGAGACGATCGTCAACGGACTAGGCGAGATTCGAGAATTCTACGAGACTGGGTGGAGTAGTGGCTCGGACGAGGATGATGACTAGAGTGACTCTGTACTTCCAAGGTTGGACCATGACCAATGTTGATATCATCGCAATCAAAGTCCTCCGGTCTCGGGCGTGATTCCCCAGAGAGGAGTTGGTGGCTTGAGGCCCACTCTCTTAGTCCACTCCACATTTCTTCCGCCGTTATCTTGGAGATGACCGATGCCCAGAGATGGAAGACATTGGCACCGGACCAGCCCCCGAGCTTCCACTCGTAATCTTAACTGCTAGGGACTTCCTGGAGAAGTCATGCTTTCTTCCACCCATGTGGCTGTAGAGTTTAAGACATCTAAAAATGTCCCCCAACATGAAATGTCAAAAATCAGAAGGCAGTACGGAGCACACCCCCGCATTTCCAGCGTTTCTAACTCTGTAGTATAGGGTATGGTGTAGCATTGTCTATGGTTGTGCTCAGAGGCTGGGAAATCAGCCCAAAGGCAATGAGGCTTCAGTGTGACTCCCGGGCAATACTGCAAGTACTTGCATTTGTCCCATGTCGGAAGCAGGGTTATTCGTACTTCGTACTCCGTATACTTTGCTTCCTTCTACCCCGCCAATACAACTCTTTCTCTGGATTTTTTTTTGTTATTTATTTTCTATCAGCGTCATCAGTCCAATTGAGAATTACCTTGATTTTTTTTGGAGTAAAATAGTCAACATTCTCGGGATCTTCTCTTACACGATAAATCAGGGTAGTCTCACGAGTTCCGAGACATTTTGTACGAACTATGGTCGAAGCATTGAAAAGGGAAAGTCGAATTGCGATCGAGTCAGTCAAATCAAAAGAGACATCCAAAAATAAAAATAAACAAGGGAACAAGTGTGAGCCAAGAGAGGGAGCCAACAAAGAAAAAAACGCCAAGTCAGAAAACAAGACTGTTGACTCAGGGACTCTGCCGCAGCGGGGGAACTTCCCTGCAACAACACGCCTAGTGCAACTAAAAAAGTCCCTCAAGGCCGGGGCAAATTTCACTCGACGTGCGCCCACGGGCATGCAACGTCACCTGCATTAAACACTTGGCCATGCTCTTTCACGACCCACCAGAATTGAATTCTAGCCGATCGATCAACAGTTGCGATCGCTCGGCCCACTCAGGGTCCAGAACAACACACGGGTATTCGGGTCCTTGACTTTGCTACGACGAAAGACGGAGTCTATTATTACTTCCCTCCAACTTTCCTGTCAAAAAGTTAACCGGTACCTGGTGTGCCTTGGTACATCCCCGGGTCCAATTTCCACGATGTCTCCTATTCGTGAGGTTTCCCCACAATATATCCGGACACATGGGGCCGAGCTTGCAACTCCCAAAGCGACCAGTCCCATGACGTGTGAAAACGTGGAATTGGGCCCGGAGACGAAGTATCGTGTGTGTGTTGTCCAAAAACCGGAAAAAAGGTTGAGTGAAAAAAGAATCAGCTACCAAAGCCTAACCGAACATGGGTATCGTGAAGGACAATCCTAGAGCTATCTCCCGCATCGCATGCCAAGACACGACCTGCATCGTTGGAGTCAATTGGCCGCTTGACTGCTTCTCAGCCTTTTGGGGCCATATCTTGACTGCCCCCGGTCCAAGCCAGCCAACCACAGCACAATTCTGAGACCTCGCCCACTTATCATTGGCTACACTTCAGTACCTGTCGTCTAGTCAACCGGGCCCGTGTACACTAGCTTTGTCTCTGCATGCGGGACCTGGTATACCCTACATCATGACCAGCCTCTTCGAAATGAGCGGGTCAACTACCTGATGCTGATCGTTCATGTCGGGTCTGGTTGGCTTTCTGAAGACGAGCGCCACTTTTCCGTTGACTTTAGTCTGCTTTTAGTGCCTGATGTACTACCGACCTGAGCGGAGCTTTCAGGACCCAGCACCGGACGGGTATTGAGCCTGCTAGCTTGAGGAGAGGCATATATTAATTCCCACTATTCCCCCCATCTTTTCAGCCTTGCTCTCGGAACGATTCGCCTGGTCTACATTGCCCGTTTAGGAACTCTCTCGCTACGGTTCCGTTCGTCTTTCGTTTCAAGTACTTCGACTTCTTGCAACAAGACTTGACTCTATCAATCGTTCGTCAAGATGCGAGGCTCTTCAATCGTTCTGCTGTACGCAGCCACCTTGGCCTCGGGTATGGTCATGAACCCCAGACACGCTGCTGAGGCTCATCTTGCCGTCCGCGGCGGCGGTGGCGGCGATGAGAATGGTGGTGGTGACTGGTGGGACCATGGTGACCATGGTGATCATGGAGACCGCGGTGATCATGACGGTGATCATGGCCACGGTACTCCCCCATCGGAGACTACTCCTTGCGAGACTGAGACTCCTCCGCCTGTCGAGACTCCCCCTCCCGTGGAGACCTCTACTCCGTGTGAGACTGATACTCCCACTCCTCCTCCGGTTGTGACTCCTACTACCACTCCGTGTGAAACCGACACTCCCACTCCTCCTCCCGTGGAGACATCTACTCCATGTGAAACTGATACTCCCACTCCTCCCCCGGTGGTGACGCCTACCACTACTCCTTGCGAGACTGATACGCCCACCCCGCCTCCAGTTGAGACATCTACTCCCTGTGAGACTGATACGCCCACTCCTCCTCCAGTTGAGACATCTACTCCCTGTGAGACTGATACGCCCACTCCTCCTCCGGTCTCATCTACCCCATGCGAGACGGATACTCCTACTCCTCCCCCTGCTACATCTACTCCAGTTTCCCCTACCACCCCATGTGAAACTGACACTCCCACTCCTCCCCCTGCTACCTCTACCCCGGTGTCTCCCACTACGCCTTGCGAGACTGATACCCCTACTCCTCCCCCTGCTAGCAGCACCCCGTGTGAGACTGACACTCCTACACCTCCTCCTGCTACTTCTACACCAGTTTCGCCCACTACCCCTTGTGAAACTGATACCCCCACTCCTCCCCCCGCTACATCTACTCCAGTGTCCCCAACAACACCCTGTGAGACCGATACTCCTACTCCTCCTCCTGCTTCCTCTACTCCGGTGTCTCCTACTACTCCTTGTGAGACCGACACTCCCACTCCCCCTCCTGCTAGCACAACTCCCTGCGAGACGGATACCCCTACTCCTCCTCCCGCCAGCACCACTCCTTGCGAGACAGACACTCCTACCGTGCCCCCTCCAGCTAGCACCACTCCGTGTGAGACTGAGACCCCAACAGTCCCTCCCCCGGCCTCCACTACTCCCTGTGAGACCGAGACTGTGCCTCCCCCTCCAGTTGTCGTGACCACTACCTGGACCACCACCACCTGCCCTGTGACCTGGAGCACTGTCTCAAGCGGAACAACAACCTACACCCACCCAGTGACCCAGACCAACACGATCACTGTGACATCTGTCTCTACCTGCACTGAGGGTTGCACTCAGCCTACAGTTCCTGTTGTTGTGCCTCCGCCCGCACACACAACCTCTGTCATCGTGCCTCCTCCAGTGCAGACCACTTCTGTCGAGGTTCCTCCTCCCGCCCACACAACCTCTGTCGTTGTGCCTCCTCCAGTGCAGACCACTTCCGTCGAGGTCCCTCCCCCAGCAAAGACTACCTCTGTCGCGGTTCCTCCCCCCTGCTACTGAGCCCACTGCTCCAGCCGCATCTACCTCCCCGGTCTCCCCCGTGCAGCCCACTACCGCGGCCACATCGGCATCGTCCACAACCGCTCCTCCCGCTTCTTCCTCGCCCGCTTTCAACAGTGCACCTGCTCAGTTCCAGAAGAGTATTGCGGCCTTCATCCCAGGTCTTGCTCTTCTGTTCACTCTGCTGTAATCCTTCCAGGGTTATAATTCGCCAGATGCATCTTTTCGCTTTGGTTAACCTTGGAATCGCACTTTGTTGGAAAAATGAAGAAACAAAAAAACTTCAAAAAAATTGTATTCACCTCCGTTCTCCGAGCCTGTCGGGATTATGATCTTTTGTTATGCCGGCACTCTGAGATGGTTATTAATGGGTTTTCTTGACGATTGACGCTCCTTATCCATGATATTGGAACCCTAATTCTAGTTACATATATTATTTCTTGAATTGATACTTATTCTGATATCCCCGGTTGCTATTTCTCTGTTCACGGCTTAGCCAAGACTTCCTTTACTGGACCAATCATGATGACTCGACAACTAGTTGGAACCTTGGAAGGATCTCGGGACAGCCAAAAAGACAGTTAAAGAGACAATTAAAAAGAGGTCCCGAAGTTGATGATAGCTCTCTTCTTACCAATCGAAATATATGATTGAGCCAATACATAACTACTCCTGTTTATAAGCAACTACCATCGTCGTTTTGGCCGCGCATGAGCGCGGCACTGAGGTCTGTCTGAGTATTCCACAGCTTGCGATCAAGGCCCTTCTATTAACTAGTCGAATTTCGAAGGAACGACTAAAGGGCCTTCGTGCTAAAGGCGATATGGTTTTCACAGAACCGGTAACTTGGTGGTAGAGAATTTTGGAGTTGCGTTCTAGATAGAGAATCTCTCTCAAGTCCACGGGTGTCTAAAGGGGTCTCTTATATCTCGAGTATGAATGTAATCCAAGTAGATCCATGGATGCGGGCAGATCCAGGGTCCAGTTTTAGGGCTATGACATAATGCATGGCCGATAAGAAGTTTGGCGTGTTTGCATGATGACCCGTGTCCTCATCCGAAGAGAGCTCTTCAAGACTCAAGTAACCGCCAAGTGGCCACAGTATCCCTTTGCTTCCAAATGGCCTAATTTTTGAGTCATATTCTGCACTCATTTTTGTTCTTTATCATCACCCCCTCAAACCAACCCCCGACGCCGATTTTGAGCTTTCGCGTAGCTCAATCCGACTGCATCTGGCGCGAAGCCAGCCTTCTATCTGCACTTCGACCGAGTATTCGATAGTGCACTTTGCATAAGATTTACCCATCTGGTCCTTTATATACGTTTCAAAGAGTGTGTTCGCCTCGTCGATATCGGAAATACCACCGCAAATTGGCTGACTCCCGCAGCCGGAGCAAAAACATAGATCATGGCGTTCTCAAATCGCCGACAATTATCCAGCTCGCCAATGCTGTCCCTAATTGTGCTTCCCTTCCTTATCTTCCTCTTCAGCTTTGCTGGACCAGTCTCCGCCGCCGGATCGGCCGTCCTGGGAGTCGATGTCGGCACAGAATATCTCAAGGCCGCGCTAGTAAAACCCGGTATTCCACTCGAGATCGTCCTCACCAAGGACTCGAAGCGCAAGGAGTCCGCTGCGATTGCATTCAAGCCTACACGCGAGAGCGATGCGCCTTTCCCCGAACGATTCTACGGCGGTAATGCGCTTGCCCTCACCGCTCGCTACCCGGACGACGTTTACATCAACTTGAAGACACTTTTGGGTGTACAGTTCAATGACGGCGCTGATGAGACTGTTAAGAGCTATTGGAACCGATTCCCCGCTTTGAGATTGGAGACTGCCCCCGATGGCCGAGGATCCGTTGCTCTCCGCAGCAACCGGTTGGGAGAGGCGCAAAAGAAGGAGGCTTTCTTGGTCGAAGAAATTCTGGCCATGCAGCTGAAGCAGATCAAGGCCAATGCTGATGTGTTGGCTGGTAAGGGCTCTGACATCCGCGATGTCGTCATTACCTACCCAGCTTTCTACACCGCGGAGGAAAAGCGCAGTCTTGAGTTGGCTGCTGAGCTGGCAGGTCTGAAGATTCAGGCTCTTGTCAGTGATGCGCTGGCTGTTGGCCTGAACTACGCCACTAGCCGTACCTTCCCTAGCGTCTCCGATGGCGAGAACCCCGAATACCACATTGTGTACGACATGGGCGCTGGATCGACCACCGCTAGTGTTTTGCGATTCCAGAGCCGCAAGGTTAAGGATGTTGGCAAGCTGAACAAGACTGTTCAGGAGGTTCACGTCGTTGGATCTGGTTGGGACAAGTCTCTGGGAGGTGACTCCTTGAACGATGTCATTGTGAACGATATGGTCATCAAGTTGGCTGAAGAGAAGAAACTCAAGGACAAGGTCACCCCTGCGGAGATCAAGGCACATGGAAAGACCATGGCGCGACTCTGGAAGGATGCCGAGAAGCTCCGACAGGTCCTGAGTGCCAACACTGAAACTTCGACCAGCTTCGAAGGACTCTACGATGAGAATGTCAACTTCAAGTACAAGCTTAGCCGTGCCAACTTCGAGAAGATGGCGATTGACTACGTCACCCGCATTGGAACGCCCGTTGAGCAAGCTCTTGCAGCTGCCGGTCTTCAGTTGAATGATGTTGAATCTGTTATCCTCCACGGTGGAGCCATCCGTACTCCATTTGTCCAAAAGCAACTCGAGAACTTTGTTGGATCTTCCAAGAAGCTTCGCACCAATGTCAACGCCGACGAGTCGGCTGTTTTCGGTGCTGCTTTCAAGGGAGCTGCCCTCAGCCCTAGCTTCCGTGTCAAGGATATTCGCGCTGCGGATGCTGCTTCTTACCCGGTCTCCTTGAAATGGAACTCGGATGGTAAGCAGAGAAACCAGAAGCTCTTCACCGCCACTTCTCAGGTCGGACCCGAGAAGCAAGTCACTGTGAAGAACCTTGAAGATTTCGAATTCAGCTTCGCTCAACTCATTGGTGAGGCCGTAGAGCAGCCCATTCTCAGCGTCCAGACCCAGAACTTGACTGCGTCTGTCGCTAAGCTGAAGGAGTCTTTCGGCTGTACCAATGCTAACATCACTACCAAATTCGCAATCCGCCTCAGTCCCGTGGATGGTCTGCCCGAGGTTGTGTCTGGCACTGTTAGCTGTGAGGTTGAGTCTGAGAAGAAGGGAATTGTCGAGGACGTCAAGGGCTTCTTCGGCCTCGGCAAGAAGGAGGAACAGGAGGCCCTCGGCGAAGACGGCGAGCCTCGTGAATCGATCACCCTCGAGCCCGAGACCGAGTCATCTACTACCACTTTCGCTAGCTCCAAGACTACCAGCACCTCTACCAAGGACGTCAAGCCAACTCCCTCCATCAAATTGGAGGTTATTCCCATTAGCCTGAAGTCGGTGGCTCTTGGAACCCCGGCTCCATCGTCTGAAGAGCTCCTCCGTATCAACAACCGTCTTTTCGCTTTCGATACCTCAGACCGCGAGCGCATCCTGCGCGAAGAGTCTCTCAACGAGTTGGAATCTTTCATCTACCGCAGCCGTGATCTCACCGACAATGAGGAGTTCGCCAAAGCAGTCAAGCCGGATCAGCTGACTGCTCTCACCGAGCGAGTTTCCAAGGCTAGCGACTGGCTTTACGAGGAGAGCGACAACGCCAAGACAGCCGATTTCCAGTCGCAGCTCAAGAGCCTCAAGGAGATCGTCAACCCCGCACTGAAGCGCATGAAGGAGAGCTCGTCTCGACCCGCTCGTGTCAAGTTGCTCCAGGACATGCTGAAGAACGCAGAGTCCATGAAGGACTTGATTAAGAACCAGATCGAAAACGACGAGCAACTTTATTCCTCCGCCCTCTCTGCCTCCGCCACATCCACCGAGTCCGAGGTCCCAACCGAGACCACGACTCCCGAAGAAGGCCTCGATGATCTCGAAGAGGATGCCTACTCCAGCTCCTCTACGACCTCAACCAAGAGCGCCGCAGCCCCCAAGCCTACCGGCCCCAAGTACTCTCTCTTCACGCCCTCCGACCTGACCGCCATCACCCAGGCATTCGAGTCCACCGGCCCCTGGCTGGAGACCCAGCTCAGCCTCCAAGAGAAGCTGACCGAGTCCGATGACCCCGCTCTGACCGTTGTGGAAGTCGACTCTCGACTCCGCGAATTCGAGCGCATCCTCAACCGCATGTATGAGCGGATGACTGCTGCTGCTGGACAGAAGAAGAGCAGCAGTGGCAAGAAGAGCTCGAAGGACAAGAAGTCCGACGAGAAGAAAAAGACTAAGGAGCAGAAGAAGGAGGAGAAGGAAGACCTTCCTAAAGACGAGTTGTAATATATTGTTTGCATCTGTTTGTCATTTCCGTACAGAGCATTTCCTAACGCAGTTCATGTATCATGCACACTACATTACTACATCTTGGAAGATAGACAAAGAACTGCCATGGAGTTTTGGGCCCAGCGTTAGCCATTTATGATTTCTTCTTTTCCAATAGAGGGCTATGAGCCCTGTGTAGGTCGTGGAAAATCGGTCTTGGAAACATCCGAATGAAAACCATTTCTAAACACATGGATTACCTAGGTACCACCTTGATACCTGAACAGCTTGACATTTGCAAGTGACCTCGAGAAATTGTACGATTGATGCCTGCATTTGAGCTACTTGTTTTGGCCATATCCCGATAGATAGTTCTCTATAGATACATGCATGTCTCCGTTTACAGTGGTGTTTCATAAGTATTTGAGGGCGAGCACAAAGAGCCCCACTTTTTACCACGACCGCCTGTCTGACCGCTTATCTAAATAATGAGCCGCGCGGCATTTCGGGAGGTTTATGGCTGGCAGTAATAAAATCATGGGACTTTTGCCAAGTGCCTACGGTCAAATACTTATAGAACGCCACAGGTAGTAACTGAAGCACTGGGGTTGAGTGGTACAATACCTCCTTTCCCGTGTCTTGATCCCTTGTCGTCACAGGTACGGAGGAGGCTGGGGCTTGATTCTCCATCGGTGCACCCCTTTTTTCCTTTCTTTTACTTCTTTCTTCCTGCAGGCCCCTTCCCTCGTTACACAAACGGAAGACATACTCCGTACAAGTTTAGTCAAGCTTCTTCATTGGGTGAGGCTCAAGTATTACTCCCGAATACTACTCTGCCACTTCCGATCCAATTATGACATCTAGATAGTAGCAGAGCTTATATGGTGGATGAAGGCAACTATTGTGACGAAAAGGCAAGATTCGGCAGATGAATCAGATATGCAGACGCCACCGGCTCTCGGACCGGCCCTGAACTTAAACCTAACGCGGCAATCTCGGTGGGTCTGATTCTTACTTTCATGCCCACGCCATCCCGTGAAATCATCTGAAGTCCCTGACCTGCAGTCGGAAATATGCACATGGCCCTTTTAGTAAAAGTTTCGACGTATGCCGATGGACTGCGGATTGATACTGTGCCATTGTGCATATGTATACGAGAATGCGGGGGCTTGCGTGTCGCAAGGCTTCCAAGGTTCGCAGCACTCGCAGCCCTGGCACCTATTCAGCCGTGCGCATTTCTGGTAGTTATCTCAAGCAGTGTACTCTTGAAGAGTTTGAGATAAGTTTCATGCGGTTCATGAGATCAAGCCCTGATTTGGCTCAACCGGCTGTGTGACAATTTACTACGTAGAATTGATAGCGTTTGATATGCCTACCGGCATTCCTTGGAGCTTGGAGAGGGCGCCTTGAGACTCGATGCTCACAGTCTGTGCCGTGTGGTGCCAACACACTGCCGATCTTGACATTAATCTCGATGGTGGTGACTTGAAAAGTGGTCATAGATCCGCAAATACAGACTCCGTGTCTCTGCCCCACATCGTTGACCAGTAAAACAAAGCCTGTCAGCGATTCTCACGCCGGTTTAGTAGACTTGGTAGTTATGAACAGATAGAAATCTGCCCTGACTGGATTTAGCTACCTGACCACCGTGTTCATGCCAAGGGTCCAAATATTTGCTGTAGCAAATGAAAGATATCAGCCGTCCGTCATCCCGCAGCTTCGTTTATGACAGCTGCAGCCTTTGAGTTATTTGACTGCATCATGTGGAGCAATAGGAGGCGAGGTTGGCATCTGAAGCAAACAAAGACATGACACATACGATTTAGGTGTGACAAGTTCTTCTGCAAAGGGTAGTATTCGGGGATTGGGAAACCATCATTGGATGCACACTCCAGGGCTCCTGCACAGCTGCAAAAACCAGTGTCTATCATGCGAGTCGTAATCCAGAGCTACCTATGTGGACAGCTTTTCCAAAGTTCCGAGCCGTCCCAGGTCAAACGCTTGTTAGAATAAAGTGTGTGCTCTTTTGGGTGCTTCTACATGGCGTCTTATCATTGTTGGGCAACCTTGGAAGTTGGTTTTGGAATATAAATACCCCAAGTTTACCCGCTCACTCTATCATTACCATCACACCAATCTTAGGCCTGAAAAGAGGAACTACGAAGTTCAAATTAATCCCATCGGATCTTTTATCCTTCCAAGTTTATCTTCCAAGGTTACCCCATCACCATGTCGGAGCAAAAGACACCCCAAGAAACGGCCCAAGAAAACGAAGTTCTGAAGAATCCTCACGAAATCCAAGTCGAAAAGAATGTACTTTCCGGAGAAGCAGGCTTCAATGTTTCAACTGAAGACCGTCCGTTGCAAACGCCCACTGCCGAAAGACCTCACGTCCTTATCCTGGGTGGTGGTGTGAGCGGACTGTTGACCGCATGGATGCTTCTTGACAAAGGGTACCGGGTGACGATCCTTGCCAAAGAATAGGCGCGCACCTGGGACTTCAGCGAGTCCCGAATCACTTCTCAAATTGCAGGTGCTTTGTGGGAGATGCCTCCCGGGGGGGTGTGGCTTGACTGAAATCGAGGAAGACAAACCGGGCTGGGCCACTGTGGCCCAATACCAAGAATGGGCCATGCAGAGCTACAATTTCTACATGAAGTATGCGGAGATTGACAACCAACACGAAAAGGGTGGTCACTCGTTCGGCCTTTCTGTTGCCACTCTCCACCAATTTTTTTATGAGAACATTATCTCGATCACCGATGCGAGCACAAGAACATCGAAAGAGCACAACGCAAAGTTCCAAGAAGTCGACAAGAGATTCAAGCCCAATATCCAAACCTATGAAGGCGCAAAGGAAATCGAGAACACCTTCAATACGTCACTTATCAACCTCGCGTATGGCGGGGAAACGTTCCAAAGTGGCTATTCACACAAGGCTCCCATTTTAAACACTGACAAGTCTTTGGCCTACCTCATGGTACTTGTACAGCGAAAGGGAGCAACACTCGAGACCCGAAAGATCAAGGATCTCAGAGAATCTGGTCCACAGCTGTTGAAAGACTACAAGGCCGATGTCATTGTCAATGCTACCGGCCTTGGTGCGAAAAAGCTCTTCAACGATGAGGATGTTTATCCCGTCCGTGGAGCCATTCGTCGCGTTGACAACGTCCGCCATGGTCAGTTCCGTCACTTGAATGATGCCTATCTAGTACCCGCACAGATTGGACCTGATGGCTTGCCTTCCAAGACTGTGTTCATTGTGCCTCGGAGCGACGACATTCTCTATGTGGGCTCCATAATCCAGCCACACAATGGGGAGATGAATCTTACTCCTGATTCGCCCGAGGTGCAGCAGATGTGGAATCGAGCAGGAGACTTTATGCCGAGTCTGCGACATGCGGCCTTCCGGAATCACTTCACCTTCGCCCAGGGTTTGCGCCCCTTTACCAAGAAGAACGTCAAAGTTAGAGCAGATGAAGACTTCGGATTCCCTCTCGTCCATAACTATGGACATGGCGGGTCTGGGTGGACATTGGGGGTTGGAACCGCTCACACCGCTGTTTGTATCGTTGAGGAGATTCTCAATGATAAAGTTGACTTCACTGAAGCTGTCAACAATTCGTCGAAACTGACAGAGCCTGTGAAATCCTTGCTTTGCCGAAACATCAAAGAAAACAAAAGCTGGAAAACAGGCGAAACCGAGGGAGAAAGCGAAATCTTGAAAAACCTCGATATCTCTCGAGTGATTGAGGAGTTGAAGAAAGAGATTGTCTTCGGGGATCGGCTCTTGGAGGTTGCAGAAAGTTTGAAGAAAAATCCGAGTAAAACATTGAGCGATGCATCAGCCAAGGTTACCAACGCCAAGCTTTATGGTGTTGAGGGCGCGGATGCTTCTCGGGACTAAGATAAGGAAGTTCAAGTCAAAGAAGAAAGCGGGCCAAGCGGTAGGCTGGTGCTCAGAGACGGAAGCAATAATAGGAATATGAACCTTGGCGTAGCCAGTGTCCCACAGAGAGTAGAAACGACCGCTCCAGGGAGCAATGACGCCGGACACAGACAGCAGAATGAGAGCAAGAGCCAATGAATGAATCTACCCATCTCTGCAATTCTAGATAGTTATTGATTCACCAGACCTGGAAATCAGGTTAAGTCAGTCACCCAAACTCACCCTTCTCGACCACTTGGGCAGCGCACCAATCAGCTAAAGTGCTTCCAGCAACTTCCAGTAAAGAACATATTGTCGATCTCAAAAGTGAAATCTCGTAAACCAAATCAATGAAAAGAGTCATAAGCTTTTCGATGTTGTAGTTGGGTAAATGTAAGCTGCGCAACAACCAGTTCCAAGGTTACAAATCATGTGTGCAAGACGAGATCGAGAACATGATGCCATGGAAAAATTGCCAGGTTGCCTTTTCGAAACCAAGTCCCCACCGATGTAGTGGACGTTATAGAGAGTTCGTGAGATCCGAGTCATCACTCCCGGTGTGTCGAAAACGTTCTGCTCTCAGATCTTCGACCAGCGCAGAAGAACCGCAGCAGCGATGACTGGCAACACACTAACCAACTCTCCCAATCCAGCAAACTTCGGTGGAATGCGTGCATTGACAAAAGCACCTGCCGCGAGAAGGACGGCAAAGGTGTTATACACGAAGCTCCAAAGGAAGTTGAACTTGATACGGTTGACAGCCTGACGACTGGCGTTCATCATGGTAAGGATTCCAGTCAGAGCGGGTCGCATGAGAACAACGTCCGCGGCAGACTGGGCGACATCCGTGCCTTCGTTCATGTGGACGCCGATAGTAGCTTGCGCGAGAGCAACAGCATCGTTTGTGCCGTCGCCGCAGAAAACCACGACTGGTTTCTTGCGATCGTTTTCTGTTCCGAGAAGTGTTTGGATATAGTCTTTCTTGTCGCTTGGCGAGCTCCGCGAGCGCAGATTGCTGCTTGGGATCCTGAGAGCAGATCCCAAAGATTGAACTGCTCCGTCGTCGTCACCGGAAACGATATGTACAGTGACGCCAGTCTTTTGCAAGGTCTGAACTGTCTCCACAGCGTCAGATCTAAGCTCATCTTCAAGGCCATAGACTGCGTGTAGCACATCATCAACGGTGAAGCAGAAGACAGTGTAGCCTTGAGCAAGCATAGGCTGGACGAATTCATTTTGTGACAAATTGAGCCATCGGGAGTTTCCAGCGCGAAGTTTCTGGCCGTTGACCATAACTTCTAGACCTTTACCAGTCAGGCTCTTGGGGTCAGCAACAACCAAGGAAACAACTCCGTTATCTTTGAGATGTGTAGCAACAGAAACCGAGACCGGATGGCGACTGTTCTCGATGAGACCTAGGAGAAGCGAAAGAGTCTCCACATTGACACAATCCTTTGCGACGACTGACAGCTTTCCCCGCGTCAAGGTGCCGGTCTTGTCAAAGACCACGTGCGATGTCTTATGAGCTACTTCAATGGCATCTGCTGATTTGAAGACAATGCCCTTCTCCGCCGCAACTCCGCTGACAATTACAATGACCATAGGGACAGCCAGACCGATAGCGCAGGGACAAGAGACAATGAGAACAGTGATGGCGTAAGTGATGGCTTGGATCGTAGCCTCGGAGCCATTATATCCCCGGAGAGTCATGCCTACCGCCACCCAGCCAACAAAGGTGATGATCGTCAATGCCACGACAACCGGGACAAAGTAGGATGCTACCCTGTCCGCAAGGTCCTGCAGCTTGGGCTTCGAGAGTTTGGCCTCATCAACCATCGCAGCTATGGCATTGAGAGTATTGTCACCAGGCAAACGATTCAGTCGGACTGTCATCACCCCATTGCCGTTGATGGAACCAGCGATCACCACAGACCTGGGATATTTTTCGACCGGCCTGGATTCTCCGGTGATCATAGATTCGTCAACTTCAGACGATCCTGTGATAACCGTACCGTCGGTCGGAATCCTAGTGTCAGGGAGAACCTTGAAGGTATCACCGTATTGAAGCAGTCGTGCATCTATGTCACGTTCCACATTCCCATCTTTGTCAACTAAGGTAGCGGTTGGCGATTGTAGTGCCCGAATTGAAATAGACTCAACGGCTTTCTGGCGAGCAAGAGCAGCAACCCATCTACCAACCATAATCAAGGTCACCAGGAGAGTGCTTGTTTCAAAGAATTGACCAGTTGAGAGCGGCTTCTTAGCGACCAGATACCCAAAGGAGACCACCGAGAATATGTAAGCAACACTGGTGCTCAGGACAATCAGAAGATCCATCTCAATGACCCTCGAGAATACAAGGGCTTTCAGAGCCTTTGGGTAAAAAGGTCCCGCGATCACGACTTGAACAATGGTAGCCAATGTGAGAGAGGCAGAAGAATAAGCCACTTCCCTCTCTGGTAGCGGAGCCCAAGCCAGGACCAAAACAGGAATCGTCAAGACAGCAGAGAGAAGCGTCATATATCCAACGTTACGAACATGCTTGCTGCCAGCCTCCAACGAGGGGTCTCCACGTGGAGGCGCAAGTTGAATTGGCGTATCCCAATATTTCTCGATGAGGTCCCGAGCACCCAGGATCTTCGGGTCAAATGCAACTCGCACGGTCTGCTTATCCAAAATGCCAATGTCAAAGACACCATCTGGCCACGCCTGGCCAACTAGCTTTGCAGCATCATCGGGGACAATCAGATCAAGACTAGATCCTTTGTTCTGAACTCTTTCGCACTTGAATTCAGTCGTTCGCTCCAGATGCTTTACCACCTCCTCAACAGAGCCAAGGCGGAGGTCAATATTGAATTCGGCCAGCGAGAGCACCAGACTGGTTTTTAGATCTTTGACGGCGGGTACTGTAGCTAGAGTTCGGTTGAGCTTTGTTTCACATCCGGTGCAAGTCATGCCCGAAATACTGAGAACAACATGCTCATTACCAGTAGCCTGGTTTTCAAGGTCAGAAATGGCCTGAAGGGGAGCTTCCTTGATCTCCAGTCCAGGATCCTGTCGAGGTGACGAGCAGCAAGCATCTGCACAAGAGTCTTGCGCGCTGACCGGCTGGCTCTCTTCGGTGCAGCAAGAGTCGCTTGCGCTAGGCTCTGGACCCTGTGTGGTATCCACCTTCGGCGACTTGCAGCAAGAGCTAGAGCAGGTGGGCTTAGAGGGCGCTTTGTCGACAACTACTTTTGCTGGACCGCGACAAGACTCAGCGGCTCCACCGGTGCAACCTGCCGAAGATGAAGGAGTTTTCGCCCGGCACGAGCCCGGGACAATGTAACTAGGGCCATTGTCTATGATGCCATCATCCTTGGCGCAGCAAGATTTCGAGCAGCTGGACGGAGCAGCGGGCTCTTGATCATGGAGAGTCTTCGAGCAGCAAGGGTCTTGGCTTTCAGCGCAGCCCACAGGCTCCTCGACGTTATTTCCATCCGAGCAAAGAAGCTGCCCACAGCCGACTTTGCCAGATGGGGCCGTGTTGTTCTTGCGATCAGAGCAGCAAGATTTCGAGCACTTGCTTTCAATATCTGTCTTCGTTGGAGACTTTCCCTTGCAACAGGAAGAAGTAGCGCGGGGGCTCGCACGCTTCTTGGAGGACCGGGTGCTTTCACTAGAGTCTCTTTTCTGGCGAAGATGATTCTTCGCGGCCTGAGATCTCGCAAGGGAGCCGGTGCTGCTGCCAGAATCCATCGACTTCCGAAGGAGAGACTGGGCAGATGACTTCTTAGAACACTGCTTTCCGCTGGGAGAGTGGCGCTCGCGAATCTCGCAGCAGGTCTCTTGACCAAGAGCGATCAGAGAGCGACAAATACACCCCAGGGCTTGAAGAGTTGCACCATAGCGGTCAAGGGCGGAAAGACTATGCTGGGCGCATGCCTTGTGCTCAGTCGATCCATCGCATGCTAGTACACATTAGCAATATTCAAAGATAAGTCGCACAAAGCGGAGGCTCACCATTCGACTTCCGGCCTGCGTTGGAAGAAGATGCCGCTGAATTGATAGAACACTCGCGCATAGCCAGACGGTCAATGCAAGAAGCGTCACAGCATGGACCAACCTTGTCACGGCAGCAATCAGGTGCGTCAGCCTGATCCTTGGGGGCCGTGTCTTTGCGGCTACCAGCGGAGCAACAGTCATCCAAGTTCACGGCTTGAACTCCAGCATGGCTCTGAGCCTCGTCTGGCAAAGATCCGTCTCCATGGCAGCAAGAATCCACATCACTGTTTATCTCAATCGAAGGTGCGGTTGGCGTACCCACAGATTCGGGGGCTGCAGCCGGTGGACTACAGCAAGTCCCACACATTGTTGAAGTTCTATTGTACTTTGAGCTTGAGTAGTGGAAGTTTGTGGAATGGTGAGAGCTGAGTTCCTGGAGAGTTCGTGGAGAGTTCACTGGCGGCGCGTGACACGTGAATGCCAAGGGCCAATCATCTACACTTGGAGACTTCTCCCCTTCCTCTCTTTACTCACAGCATCATGTCGGCATGGATGTGGAGGAAGATGCCATCGGCATAGGACTCATTTATCCTGTTCGGTGCATTTGTTTCTTTCTTGTTATCTACCCCGGCGCCGTTTGTTGGATGACCATGACCCACATCTCTCTACAAGACAACCCAATCGGCTCTTTCCCCCTGCCCGTGGCCCATCGGTGGGCGAAAATCGGCCCCAACCCCCGCCCATTTCCGGGTGAGGCCGGGGGGTTGGTGCGGAGGTCCCTCCCTCCAGCCACAGGGAACACAAGCCCGCTGTGCAGCAGTCACAATTCAAGCTTCATGCTTCGGGCGGCTTGTGAATAGAGTCTCAGGTAAGACCCAATTTGAGGGCTTGTGGACGAAGGCAGCTTCACTTGCTACGTTGAGTTTGCCTTGAATTTGAATCTTGGACGCCCCCTCTAGTAAACATGATCTCGCAGATCCTCTTCCCCCCAATCTGCCGCAATTTGTCCTATCAAAACGTCGATTGCATCCGAGCTCCGTAGTCGTCGCTCATCCCAGAAAACGTATCCCCAATGCTGGGGCCCATTTTCACCCATGGTTTCTGTCAACCAATGTCCGGTGATGTTGCTGTAGGTCTCTTTCCACATAAATGTCCATGCAAACGGAGGATATTCACCATATGGCTCTTGAAATTGATCGCCCCGGAAGGGCAGTGGGACGCGTTGCTGCTCTTTCAAGTCTTGGTCAGAAGGTGCTTCGCCACGTCGCGCGATCTGCGCCCCGCTGCCTAAGACACCTTCCCCAAGGAACCATGAGTGGAGGGTGAGCTTGGACTGCATGATTGAGACCAGTTCAGAATGATCTTGGACCCGGAAAGCGACCTTGTATAATAGCTCGAGTCCCTGTGAAATTGTTCCTATCAGGAATGAATCCCCTGTATTCGTGGTTATGACTGTTAGCTCATGATCATTCCGGAGGTCGATATATGGTTCAGCGCACCAAATGATATAAGATCAAACGCGCCGTCGGGAGTGGGCGGTCTTTGCCCGTCAAACTTGGGATTCTCTTGGTTCACGTCCCAGCTGATTTGGTCGAAAGTTTGTTGAAAGTGTGCCTCGGAAAAGCGAAAAATACAAACAATCTCTTCGACCTCCCAAGGTTCAAAGCAACCTGCAAGTGCCTTAAGGATATCGATAGAGCTGAAAGCAGACCTTGGTGACCAGACCTTTCCATGAGGTCCAATTCCAAAAAGGTTGCACCACATCTGAAAGCGATAAAGAGCTCGGGTAATCCTTATCTCTTCACTATCACTAAGAGAATCCAAAGGGTATGTGAGCAATGACTCTGGTTGTTTGGAGAGGTTTTCCAGAGCCCAGATCGTGTATCGGCTGACCATAGGAACGACAACCGAGTAATGGAAAGCGGCAATGCAGGCAAGGTCATCCAAAGTGAGCTTTCCATCGAGAATCGAGTTTTTTGGTAGTTTTCGGCGCTCTTGGTACGACTTGAGCACCTCGTAAACAACATCCCGAGTTCGCGCATCCGCAAAGCTGACAGAGCCAGATCGGTAAACGAGACCGGCTTCGATGGTCGCGCCACACAAAGCTTTGTCAAGACATTTCGATAAGAACCAATTACGGTCCAACAGATATTGTCGATGGTAGATAGGAGAGGCGTGGATGAGGTTCTTTAATCCCTCAAACTCCAGCATGGCGAGAAGATACCGCCGGATTTCGGGAGGGAGTAATTCTAAAGGAGCCATAGAATCCATTTCAAACTAAGTGTGTGTCTTAAATGGCCTTTTAAGTCGTAGTTGCAAAGAAAAGAAAACCAAAATGTGGTCGAAAGCAAGTTGGGCGGGAAGAGGTGCCTAGCTGAGCACTAAGAACACCCCGCCGATCTAATTTCGGACAAAGATCAATTCGGAGAGCTCAAGAGTCAAACTTTCATCGTACGCATTTATGCACTTACTCATAAGTCTTCAACATTTCGGTCTCAAAATAGTTGTCTCTGCATATTTGTGGTCAGAAACAGGATTTGAAGCTGCCTTGCCCGGGTGGACGTAGCCTGCTATCGAGGTTTACAATAGAGAAGCGTAACGCAGTTTATTGCAGGGAAAGGATAATGCAACAAAGAGTATTCAGCCAGAATCAATCCAGATCTAAGATTTACTTCAGTTTGTCTCGAAATTGATTCATTGCAAATGAAGCCAAAATTCACCGAATCTGAGTAGTTTTTCAGACGATGAATCCTACTCAGAACCTTCTCGCAACTCCTGCTCATCCAAACGTGAAAATATGACCCCACCCGACTGAGGAATCTCGTCCATGTCCCAGATAATTTGATGAACCCGATTTCTCGAGCTCACTTCGAATGAAAACTTGAAGTATGACGCATCGACAAATGGGTATCTTCCTCTTCGTTTCCCCTCGTCGTGACCCAGGGCCCATTCAAAGACATTGTCCCGCAAATGACGAAGTCTGTAGCGCTGTGAAGGTAGAGATTGAAACGAAAAAACAAGAGAGTCGCTATCATCGGGGTCAAAAGAAATTTCCAGGACAAATTTGTGAGTCTGGTTCGCATATTTGCCCACATATGCATCGAGCGACAGCGGCCTTGTTTCGGGCGCACGTTCCTTTGCCAAACTGGCCTGCATGTCTTCAAAAAGTTTGAGTTTCCGATACTTTCCCTCTCTGGACAGTTTGACATAATCTGTCCGGGGTTGAGAGTCAAATAGTGCTTCGATGAGAACGCGACCAACCCACTCGGCGACGTCACTCATAGCAGTGGCGTTGGCGAGAACGACGACTGCCGAATGCGTCTCTGGGAACAAGGCGAGGAAAGACAGATAGCCCAATGTCGCGCCTTGGTGATATATAATCTGTCGAGACTGGCCCCCACCTCCCAGCACGGGTAGATTTGGGGTTCCCCATAGATCCAGATTGTCACCGAGTATTCCCACCACGCCTGGGAGATGCGCTCGCACCCAGCCAAAGCCATAAGATTGTCCCGGAAGCACCTTATTGTCGATAGGAATTTGAGGTTGCAGGATTTCAGGAACCTGTTTCAAAATTGAGTTTTTGGGTGTTTCAATCTCTTGGTCCTGACCTGCATCCAAAATCGCTTTCGACCACCTCAGAAGGTCGTTCACGGTAGAGTAGGCGCCGCCCGATGCTTCGAAAACTGTTTCAGCAAACGGCTGTCTGCTGTGCAGCTCATGGGTATCACTATTCTCCATGGATGCATATGCCTTGGAGATATTGGCATCTTCAAAGGATGGTCGAAGAGTGGTACGATCCATACCAATAGGGCGGAACACTTCTTCTTGCAAATATTGATGAAGCGGCAATTTTGTCACCTCCTCGATGACAAGTCCAGCGATAGAGTATCCCCAGACAAACCATATCCAGGTCTCTCCAATCTTAGCCACACGAGGAACGTTGTGAACTATGTCCAGCAAAGAGTCTTTTGGTAATAACATCTCGCCACCACCATGAAATACAAGATTTATTGCAGCTCCATGCGAAAGTCCAGAACGATGAGCGAGAAAATCCGCGATTGTTACCTCCTCGGCAAATTGACTGTCTTGGTGGGAAAAGCTAGGCAAAAGCTGCCGCACAGGGGTTTTCCATTCAAATTTGCCATCTTCCACTAACTTGCCAATGCCGGCGGAAATCTTGGCTTTGGTTAGCGAGCTGACTCCATATTGTGTGTCTGACTTCGTAGGGATGGCGTTGGGAACACCTTGAAATCCCAAGGTGTCGGTGTGCACAAAGCTGCCCTGGTGTAGGACTCCAACTGAAATTCCAGGAACACCTTCAGTAGAACATATTTCCTCGATGGAAGACTTTGCTTGATGAATCCGGTCATTTATCGAAGCGTTGGATGAATCAGACCTAAATATCACCATGTCAGTTTGCGTTATCAGTGGAAGGGGCGTTAGGAAATGCATGAATACCTACATGCTGGGCTGTTGAAATGGAACTTGGAGAAGAAAAACCAAACTCTGACTTGTAACGGGCTATTTAAAACTTTTCTGGTCGTAAGGTCACTCGTCCTGGTAACGGTCGCATCCATAGATTTTGTGAGCAGCGTGAACTAGCAAGGGCGGCAAGGGCGGGGCAACCAACAGCGCTTAGCCTGAGATTCCAATTCATCGCGGAGACAAAACCTTGAAAGTGGCTCTAAGCAGCCAAAGCATCATCGCCTCATCAAACCCTGCCTATCACATGTGTACACGCAAGCCTATACCAGGATCAGTTCGTAAAAGCGACGTTGTTGGTGACAGCACATCTCCAAAGCCACATCAACTCCTACTTGGACGCCTTGGCATCTGTGACCCTAGGATATTTGATCACTGGGTGACATGTCTGGAGTGGACTGGTTAGCCGGGAAAAATGGGTGTGATGCCTAGGTGTGGTAGAGCCCCTTGCTAACTCTCATTATGTACACCTGCCAGATGGGGCTCTGCATGTTCTACATAGTAAACTTCCAACTGATTGACTCTTCTCTGATATCCTCCACCTGAAAGTGCCAAAGGTCTTTGTGCCCACGTAAGGATTTCCAGTCGAAGATACGTTCCCTGAAAAGCTAGCCGCAGCATGTCAATACCTCACATGAGGTACTGCACTTGACTTGGCATAAATTCGACCAATCGCTTGAGTTATCAACACCGGACGAGATCGCCGACGGAGAGTTTGACCCAAGCTCCGGCTGCACGGTAGCTGAATGAACGCCATAGCTATGAAAGCACTCATTCATGGTGTTAGCTATCTGCACAAACTCGGGAATCGTTTTCTTAGAAATAGTGACGTGAACTGATGCCAACGCCTTCTCCTGGTTGAGGCGCCAGACGTGGAGTTCGTGGATGGACAAAACACCAGGGATCTGGGATTGAGAGCTGGCATTAGCTCAGTACTGAAGGGGACAAGCGAGAACATACTGTTTCGAGATCGTGTTTAATGTCTTCGAGATTGATACCCTTCGGGACACTTTCAAGTAGTATTTTACCCGAGTTTCTCACTGCATAGTGAACGGGTCAGCATGTAGTATGAATTTAGATTCCTAGGGGTTACAAACCCAGGGGGAGTGAAGTTGTGAGGATAACAAGAGCGATAGCCATGCTGACAGCAGGGTCTGCGTAGTAGCGCGCGGGGGACGTAGTGAGCCAGATTATTAGGGCCGAGATGATGACACCGACATTGTTTGCAGCATCACCTATGACATGAATCAAGACACCCAGCATGCCAAGATCATACCCAGTCTTCGATGGTGGCTGATCATTGTGACGATGATTATCGTGTAAGACAAAAGTCTGTTTCCAAAGGGGTAAACATCCAGTACACTGGGGCAGAATCTTAACTAACCTGCTCTGTGCCACTTTCTGCGTTGCCAGATCGCTGTGTAAAATTCGAAGCACCGGCGTCGTTGCCGTGGGAATGATCGTGCGAGTGACCGTGGTCTTGGGAATCGCGTATTTTAGTGGACTGGAAAGTAAATATGATCCTTGAGGTCATACCATGCAGGAACGAGGCGCTGATAATATTGAGAGCCAGGCCGACGCAACCAATGATGAGCACAAGTTTTGGCTGTTCCACAACTGCGACTTTATTAGCAAGATCACATGTTGTCGACGGATACACCACACACCCTGAACAGAGACAAATCGCTCTATAGATTGCAGGAAAATACTGACGCCCAATGCGAGAAGGAAAACGCCGTTGAAGAAGGCACCGAGAAGTCGAGAGCGCTGCCAGCCAAAGGAAAGGTCATGCGGAGAGTCTTTGTTTGCCGAGATCTGCTTTTCGTGAGAGGCAAGCCTCAAAGACTTTGGAACATATTTCTTACCTTCAGAGCAGCAAACGCAACGATAAAACCAATCAAGTCGTTCAGCTGGAAAGGATTAGCGAATGAAAAATTTGAACAAGACAAAGATGACTGTACATAGTGGAATGCATCTGCTACAAGAGCTAGAGATCTTGTATAGAATCCAACTAGGTAGATAATTGTCAACACGTGTATGTTAATGGAAGGGTTCTGTGATCATACCGGAGATCTCTGCGATGAAGAAGCAAAAAGAGATGGAGATCACCAGCTGGAGCCGCTGGGATTGAGTCAAATGTAAGCCCATATTTGGAAGAAATAGCAGTGTTGATGGGGAAGAGAGGAAGTAAAAGGGGGCAGGTAGGCAGGTTGGGAAAAGGACAAAAAGGAAAAGACCAGGGGGTGAGTCAATTCAGCTATTGGGTTAGCGAAAATCGGTCCGCGGGAGTATTGTGAGTGGAGTGGTCAGACGAGCTTCTTGAAACTCTGGCAAGTTATTGGTGCAATCTCCTCCCGTATGGTTGTCATTAAGCATCTTCAATTCCGTTGGCGTTGCTATCTTGTCGAAGTCATGCCCTGCAGGCAATTTGAGTTCCGTGATTCCAGTCTGATCATACTATAATGCATTCTTTCTCAAAGTAAATTCCCAGGGCTCGGAAGTGGGTTGTTCGATCAGTGTGCGCTGGCTGGCTTAAACTCGTATTGGCCACCGAAGGTGCCAGAATCCTAGCAAAACCAAATCCTTCATCCACGTTGTTGAAATCCTTGAAATCCATCATAATCCAAGGGTTGTTTTCTCTTGAAATGCTGTTCTTGTACTCTCAAGGTCAGAAATCTACAAGCTAGTCAATGGTATTCACTCACTAAACTCGGAAGTCTGGCTCGCCAAAAAATATGGTAAACTTGCCCCCGAGTCTTGGCTCTCAAGGCTGACGGCTATTTGAAAGATAGCGATAAGACACTTCAGTCATGATCAGAGTTGGGGCACTTCACCGGCCTATCTGCTACACCTTTAGATTAGAAGATATTGATGTTTGAAGGTAGACATGCGCAAAAACATTTTTATACACCATCGTTAGGTGGAAGTATACTTAGATTCCTGCGGAGTTCTGCTTGGCTCAATCCCTGAGAATTTTGTGGGTGTGGAGATAAATCACTCCGACGTTCCGAAGTGAAGACACGGCGAAAGGGCCTGACACCAACCGTCAGTCTTGTACTCTACCACACCCCGTGTGCACAGTGAAACTAAATGACAATTGCAAAGACGCTCGAGGACCCTAATGACATTTTCCAGGAACTGTAAAGGGCCGATTTGGGTGTTCTAAAGGATATAAACCTGGGAACACTTATATTTGGGGACACGATAGGATCGAAATGACAGGCAGAGGTCAAAATAAAGTTAATTAAGCATCAAGAGAACGCCTAAGAGTCAGACGCTTTCCACGTTTATTGGTCAAAGGGGAATTCGTCCACAAGGTCCTCACCCCCAAGGTCCTCACCCGCAATGCCCGCAAGGTCCTCATTCTCCTCAACAACGTTGGCACCAACACCCGTGGACCAAGCCCAGAATTGCCGTACCGCTGTCGACCTATGTATTGATGACTGCTACCATCGCTTCAACAATACTCACCCACACTCATCTGGTCGCTTCCAAGCAACTCTAACTGAGCTACACTGGGCGCTGTGCAACTGCTTACTAATCTCGATCGGATTATCTATCACCCGACAGAGAGCGCTTCTCCACTGTCTCCCCATGAGCGTGGGAGAGTTTGAATTGAACACCCAGTCCAGCTTGATTGTCTGAATTACTAGAACTGACCCCAGTCGAACTGATAGCACTTGTACCAACCCGCGCGGTCAGCTTCGGCTATATCGACAAACAAGTCCCCGAGGTCATGCAAAGATGCAACTTGAGCTACTTTGTTGACATGAGCTATCAAGGCTCAAACCTTTGTCTGTTTTCCCTAACCCACTGCTCAAGACTGAGCGCAGCATTTCCTGTGTACTTCAGGACATTACCCAACGCTTCCGGGTATTCGGCTGCACGAAGGGACTTTCCTGCGTCGTGCACCGCGTCATGGACCATCCAAGCGGCAACTGGCGGAGGAATTCCAATATCACACATCTGCTTCAACGCGTCTTCCTCTCCAATTCTGACAACTTGAATAGATTTTCCCAGAACACTGCCAATCACCCCCATCGCGTCTTTCAGAGCCAGTCTCTCCCGTCCAACGATCCCTACAACATGCTCTGGGCCACCATGTGCGAGGATTTTGCCGGAGACGCGTCCCACATCATCCGGGGAAATAAAATCAAACTCGGCATCAGGATTGGGTAGCTCGACTTTTCCTTCGATGATACCCTGTTTAGATGCCAGCGAATTGCTCGAGAAATAAGCCGGGCGGATCGCAACAAAATTCTCCTGCCCAAACACCTCCTCGAGCTCAATCTCCACTTGCGCGTGACGGAAGGCGATGAAGTCGGAAGATGGCGTGGAGCGAATATCACCCACGACAGTGAAGCTGCTCAGGAAGACGACATTCTCGATACCGCCGTCTCGAAGGGCCCGTAGACTGTCTCGCATTTTGCCGTCCCCGACAACGTATATAAAAGCCACCGTGGCACCGGATTTGCGCACGGCAGCTTCGACGGTTTCAGGCTTGGTGAGGTCCGCTGCGATCTTGTTGAACGTGTAGCTACTCAACTTTGGGATTGGCTTGGTGGTGTCTCGGACGGCGAGAGTGACGTTGGCGCCTTCTTGGTGAGCTTGCAGCGCTGCCGCAGAGCCAACATCGCCTGTTGCACCAAAGATGATGACATTTCGGTTGATGGCCATTTTAGGTTGATGCAGGGGTAGGAGTGAGTGATTGAGGCGTAAATATTTTCCTGATTTTCGCCGGTGATTTCGTCTGTTGCTTTTCCGAACTCCTTCTATGGGATTGTGCCAAGAAGTGAACTTGGGCGTGGAGATGATCTCTCCATCGAGGCAATGTGAGACTCGTTGCCCTGGTGATGACCAGATATGCAGATCAAATACGCGCGTCTGACTGGTGAAAAGCCGATTTTTCACATACTACGGAGTACCGGTTGAGCAGCTGGCTATTGGCCCCACACCGAAACTCCGAGATACCCGACTCGTTGTAGCCAGGATGATTGAGCTCATCGAGTAGAGGAATGACGAAATCTACCTGTGCATGTGTTAGTCGCACAGCGGCCAAAAGCAGTGGATGAGAGCTCGGAATCTACGAGGAATTCAAAATATACACCGGTGAGTGGATGTAGCAAAGAAAGCTCTGAATCATAGAAAACAGTCTCAGTTCATATCTCTCAATGCAACTTCAATTTGATATTCCTCGCCATTTCCAGCACCATAACCATTTCAATGTTTCCAACAGTTTAGAATTCGAGCGAAATTCGCGGATAGCCCAATCACAAGGAGGCTTCCAACCCAATGTATGTTCAATCATCATACTCATCGTCCTCTCCCAGTCCAGCGCCGAGACCTGCACCAGCGCCGGCTCCCGTCGCCCCACCAAAGCCTCCCCCAAAACCGCCGCCAATCCCATCGCCAATGGAGCCGCCACCGCCGCCCCCACCGCCCAGAGCGGAGGCTATGCCATCACCGAGGCCCGCACCGAGACCAACACCTTTGTCACCACCGCCATTATTGCCTGTGATAAAAAATTAGCAGGAGAAATAATCTGGTTGTTGCTCGCGTGACGAACAGAAAAGGTCTGCTAGCTCACCGGTCGGGGCGGCAACGGCGACAAGAGCCATGCTGAAAAGAGCAAAAATAATGTTGCTCTTCATCTTGTGCTTTAGATCAAACTACATCGTTTTGTCAGTCAGTGTTGTCCTTCATCATAGCCTTCAAACAACAAGGCAATGTTACCGAAAGTCTTTAGTCAGGGGCAGGAGTTGCTGTGGTTTTTCAGTGCTCTGAGGATTAGTGACGATGATACTGGGCGACCAGCCTTGTTTTATATCTCGGATTTGACCTTCACAGAACCCACCAACTGACATGATATCTTCCAATGTTGACACGTCCGGCCCGCTCAGACCGCTGGTGACTGAAATCAGAATGAACTGTCTGTTTCATCATCGAAACCCTTGGAAGTGGTCGCTACCGTGAATCGCCTGGGTCCGAATTTTCGGACGGTCTAGTCCTGATGCATCGGAACATTACTGTCTGTGGGCATCAAATGTCTCAAGTCTTCAAACATCACCATGCGTTGTGGCTGGCCGTACATGGTGACCAGACACATGTAAAGGCCCTTTATGGTTGCCTTTTTCAAGGTCCCATGCTGCCTACCTACTCTGCAAAGCTCTCAGTGTTCTGATCCATGGGCTACATCCATGGGTGCCTTTCTAGTACCTATATTCTACTCACTCAGGCTATCCGTTGGTGCTAGCTCTACTTGAATCTTGGAACCACATATGGTTGAGCTTCTGAGATTTGTAGAGTGCAAGGATCGCCGCTTTCAAACTGGTCCGCCCCTTGCATAAGTTCTCCGATCTGAGGTAAGCGCATGCTGTGCGATCATCGGAGGCGTGGCTTTCCCCAGGGCTGTCTTAAAATCCCTAGGGTTAATGAAATGTGAGAGATTCAAATGGGTCTTTAAGGCTCTGATAGGGAGAAGCCGCGATGGTAACAATTTGAAAATACATCAAGGTGGACCCTTCTTATGCGCACTTATATCCTAGCTCAGACGGTAATCTGAATACTCAAATAATCCTGGAAACTTCGTATTGACAAGCCTTAGTGCCGCGCTCACGCGTGGCCCAATAGACAGTCAAAAAGAGGATAATACTTGCTTGCAAAAACCCTTGGAATTGGTCACAGAAGAGAGCTATCATCACCTCCAGGATCTTCTTTCAATTATCTTTTCAACTATCTTTTCAACTATCCTTCTAATTATCCATCTAACTATTCTTCTCACTATCTTTCTAACTAATCGTCGAGTCTACAATCTGTACTTTGTCAAACACGGCTTGTAGATTACGGAGATCCAGGCACGATATATTGGCATGTTTGCATTGTATGGTCATTAATGGGCTCCCGTGCGGGGGAGACTGGGCCCACAACCCTTTGATTCCCAGGTGGGCCTGGGAGTACTCACTGCTCTTTGGTTGACGCATACTCTGTACACGAACTCATCCTGCATACATCCCCCGATTCAAATCAACAGATGAGTCCCCTGCGGGTATGACTGAAGAGCCTCTTTCAGCGGCCCCCTGGCCTGTGATTGTATTTCCCAACAACGGCTTTGATATTATCGAAGAACCCTCCGTCGAAGAGGAGGAAAGTGAAGGATTTTCCAGTGGTGATTAACATCCCATGGTGATCGGTGATGTCCTAAATTCTCGGTATCAAGTCGTTGGTAAGCTTGGGTTCGGGGTTTCGTCGACGGTTTGGCTCGCTCGGGACATGAGGTGAGTCTGCCTTTGATGTCACTCACTATCCTTTATGCTCATAGATCAGGGATCGTCGTTACGTTGCTTTAAAAGTCTACACTGGCGATGAAGATAACAAGAACGAGTTCGAAATCTACAAACAACTCTCCAAAAACTCGCAACATCCCGGGCGCGAACATGTGAGGGAGGCCCTGGATTCGTTCACACTATCCCGACCGGGTGGAGACCACCATTGCCTTGTTCAAAAGCCTCTTTGGGAGAGTTTGCATGATCTCCACTACGTCATGCCGCATGCTCGCTTGGAGGTCGACATCTTAAAATCTGCAATAAAGCAAATGCTACTCGCATTGGATTACATACATACCGAGTGTAAGCTCGTTCACACAGGTACGCCTTATTTGAAAGTTAAAGATAAAAGATTTCCACTGATTATTTTGGAGATATCAAACCGGATAATATCATGCAGGAGCTTAACGACACCTCTGTTCTCGAAAAGTTCGTTCAGGACGAAGTGAAGAAACCATCACCTCGTAAGATCACCGGTGATAGGATCATCTATCTTTCTCGTCTTTTAGACCCCCCGAAACAGTTTGGCCGAGCCTTACTCTGTGATTTCGGATCGGCTGTTCAGGGAGAAGAGGAAAGAAATCACAATGCCCAGCCTGAAATTTACAGATCGCCGGAGGTCATGCTGATGGCGAATTGGAGTTACCCTGCTGATATTTGGAACCTGGGTGTTATGGTGAGTCGTCAATGGGGCCCTATATTTAGCGCTTTTTTGCTCATCCCTTTGAAAACAGATCTGGTTTCTTCTTCAAGGTCAACTTCTCTTCACCGGTCTGCATCCTACTCTGGACAAATATATTACCCGCGCACATCTTGCGGAAATAGTCGGACTATTAGGGCCGCCACCCCATGACCTCATTCAAAAAGGAGTTAGAGGCTCTGAGTTTTTCGATGAAGACGGTGAGCATGTCTTATCCCACGCTGTCTTGAGGGCGAAGACAAAAACAAATTCTTGGCGTTTATTAGGGGCATGATTACATGGCGACAAGAAGATCGGAAGACTGCCGCAGCTCTGCTTCAAGATCCGTGGCTGAATAGTTAAATCGGTTCAGGCTGAATGAGCTTACAATATCCATGGATATTCTGTGTGCGACTTGTTGAACCACCACGTTTCTTCCTTCTCTTACTCTCATTGCATGACCCCTGGCCATCATAATGTGTTCTAACTTCAAGGTGAATACATACGACCACGGGGTGTGGAGAACAGGGCTTCCCGTCCACTCAGCCATACTTAAAAAAACTAGAGTTTATACTATAGAGCAAAAATAGTTATAATTATAAATAAATCACTATAAATCTCCTTAATATTATAACAGTAATCCTTAAATTTCTACTTAAAAATTTCTAAAACTTTAAATATTATTTTCTTTCAAAAAACTTTCTTTCTTTTAAAGCTAGTTGATTAATTTCTTTAAATAATTAAAAAATATATTATATTTAAAAAAAGATTATATAATCTATAGTAAATAATCAATCTAATACTAATCGGTTAAATGCAGGAATTCTACAGGCTACTTCAACTATGGTTACTAACCCGGGCACGGCACAATAATTGCGCCGCGGCTTGCTCCATAAAACTGCTTACGAGGTACATATGGCACATAGAACTCACAAATACGAGGCATAATTGACGATTTGGAAACCTACCGATGGATCTTCAAATGCGGCAGCGCTTAGGTGATCTTTTTGCTGAAATCATTCGGGATTGGATATATCCACATTACCAAAACGCAGACGATGATGTAGGGTAACAGTTTAATTGTTTAATTCGCAGGCACAGTCACTCTTGATAGTTCGTCAACCAATCATGCCAATTGGTTCCCTCAGTGCTAGTCTGTATGGGTATCTTACGGTCTGGCAAATACTTCAATTTTGAAGCCCCCAACTCTATACGTCGTGGCGGTAATTCTGAAGACCCAAAGTCGACCAATGTTATTGGTAATTGACCGGCGCGCAGTCAAGCTCTCTTGTGATTGTGGTACTATGTCTTTCTGACTCGATTTTGATTCATCTCACTTTGTATAATGCAGCGCTATACTAAGCTTAAAAAGAAACTACTAACTTGCCCCCGGCTACAGCGCCTGTTCGTAGTTTGTTCAATCCATCTAAAATACCCACAAACCCTTCCTTTTGCTTGACAGTAGGAATCGGTTTCAAGACATGTGTGATTGTTGGAAGGACCTTGTAAAAGCGTACAAGAGCATCGCGGTCGGCCGGTCTGGTCTCAAACTTTGGGCCAATTGGGGGTAACCACTGGAAAGGGTGCCCAAAAACCGTATACGCCATCACCATCTCGTACGCCACGCCCGGTACGCTTGACTTGCCGTTAGGCAATAGCGTTACCACCGTACCGCCAGTGTTTTTCAGTACTTCTGCACATACGGAAGTAGATTTTCCTTCGGAGAAACAATCGACGGCCTTCGAGATCTTCGGATACGCCTTGACGACATCTGCTGCAACGGTTGCCGACCTGTAGTCAAATACTGCGGTGGCGCCGTACGCCTTGACAAGGTCGAATGAACGCGGCGAGGCCGTCGTAACAACTCTATACCCAGCTGCCTTTGCAATCTGTATGTGAAACAGCCCAGCGCTGGTAGCTCCAGCATAGATGAAGATCGCCTCATTCCTGACAGCCGCCTCATCACCTTGGACGAAGGCGAGGCCATGACGGACATTGAGGGCCAACATGGCAGTCACGGCTGAGACGCCGTACGTGGTGGCGTCCGTGTCGCTTATTTCATCAGGAATCTTCCAAGCCAAATCCGAGTCGACTTTCAAGTACTCGGCGAAAGCCCCCTTGTCGGGAAAAAGGCCACCGTGCACGGCGCCCGCTACGCGATCGCCGGGTGTCCATCCCGACCTGACAGCGCTGCCGACCTGTTGGACCACGCCAGCATAGTCGCAGCCTATGATGGTGTGAGGAGGAGAAATGGCGTCTAGGTGCTTGAAATCCGTCGGATTCAACGCGACCGCCTTGACTTTGACCAAAATCTCGTCGGGCGAGATTGTAGGAATGGGAACATCGTCCTTGACCTGTCCCCCTTGGCCACCGACTGATTTGCCACAGACGAGGTTGACAAATCTGGTGACAATGCTGCGATTAGAAACAAGAGCCTTCATGATGTGCCGATGCGCAGCGAACGAATGAAAGGCTACGGTGAAGAGTAGCAGGCTCCTGTACTAATAGAAAGGGTCAACTATCAACGCGTCATGCTTCCGGTTGCGAGAGGGGCAAATGACGGAAAACTTGAAGAATGCCGCCTGTAATCTACGGTGGGAATGGAGCAACTATCTTGCCGACTTGTAAAGTTAGTTCGAGTCGCTACGGAACGGTTACATAACTTACCCGAATATGACGGACGCAGAGGACCTCGGGAGATTCGCGGTGGGCGGAGTTGAGACAAAATCGGCTGGGTCACTGTAGCTTGGTAATTTGTTTAATAATCAGCCCGTCTTGTTCCCATATCCTAGATTATACCTTTGGAGGTCCTCGTGCTTGATACTAGTGTAAAATATATAAGCAGGCGGTGCTGTGCGGTTAATGTCCTTCATAATTGGCCTCGTTTCACCTCAATATGTCGGACTCAAAGCAAAGATCAATCCTGATCACCGGGTGCGCTAAGATCGTCTACTCCCTCCATACTCCCTGACCTAACCACCCACTCACTAGATGTTCCCAAGGGGGTGCCGGTAACGCCCTAGCCCTACAATTTGCCTCTAAGGGCTTCCGCGTCTTTGCGACTGCCAGGTCGCTGAAGACTTTGGCCAACCTACAAGAAAAGCATATCGAGACTCTCACTCTCGATGTAACGGACGCGAGAAGTATCGAGACTCTAGCGACAGAAATCGCTCGTCGTACAGGAGGTTCCTTGGATGTACTTTTCAACAATGCGGGCACTCGTAGGTTATCTCCAGATTAATCGACTGCGGGTTTTCGCACAGGGATTAACGCTGCTCGCACCCTACCTAGTTTATGAAGCACCCGCCGTCGAGGCAGATCCCGCCCGTGTGCGTGCACTCTTCAACACGAACGTTTTTGGCCTCATGGAAGTGACTACTGCGTTCACCCCTCTCCTGCTCGCCGGAGTGACTGCAGAATTTTCGCCGATAATAGTCAATGTCGCCTCTGTCCTAGCGCGCCTCCCGTATCCATTCGCTTCCGCTTACAACGCTAGCAAAGCGGCTGTAGCATCCTACTCTGACACTCTTCGACTCGAGTTCCAGCCGCTTGGCCTGAAAGTCAAAACCTTGTACATGGGAGAGGTATCGACTCCATTGATGTCGGCGGACAATATCAATTTTGGGCCGGAGAGTATTTACCGCGTGGTGGAGGATTCTGTAAAGGCACGAACAACTACTCACCTTGCGAAGACAATGGGGCCGGCTCAGTTCGCGCGGGAAGTTGTAGACGAAGTTATCGGTGGAAAGAGTGCCTCGATTTGGAAAGGTACTAATGCCTTTACGGTTTGGTTTTTGAATGCCGTGGGACCGAGGAATGTATTCGATAGTACCTTGTTGAAGGGGGCTGGACTAGACAAGGAAGAGGCCAGGTCGAGTATTTTCAAGCTTGGCCAAGCAAAGACCAAGAAGAACGCGTGAGCAAGCGGTTAAAGTAGCCAGACATAACTAGCTAGGCTCACAAGCCTTACTGTTGTTGACATATCCGGCATCCATATAGTAATAGAAATGCTTGATGTCTCCCTTTCCACGGTAATGTGACCTTCTGGGTAAATACTTCGTATCATCCATGTAAAGTAGATTTCGAAAACGGCTTCCCCTCAAAACACCCGCGATTTGTTTCTCGGCCCGTACCCGAAACAACACTAGTTCAAATTTGGATTTAGTCCCAACCATGCTTGGCTTACAAGACAAACTATAAGACGCGCGCGTCGCGCGCATCGGCCCTGAAACGATGAAAAACAAGAGACAGGAAAGCAGATGTAAGAGAAGAGTTCAGTTGATTCACGCTACTAAAGTTTAACAACATCGGCTCGGGATGATTACTCATCATTTTAACTTGATCACCAAGTCGGTTTATTAATCAAGCCGAATCCCTTTCAGACTCAACAGGTGGTGAATGGTGAATAGCACTCCCCAACAATGTTGGCTCCACAGCTTATACATAATTGGGTTCTCAATCATGGCTTTAATTAACTCATATACTTCACAATCATTCAATTCCCTTCTAGCGCACTTCTTACACCTAACTCTCAAATTTTGATCTTGCTCCAGTACAATTCAAGTACGGCAAAAAGAAACCTGCTTCGCAGAAATTGACATTTAGGCAATGCCTACCTCTAAGTATCCTAAGACACAGGGTTCTACGGATCATTCTACGGAAGTCTCTTACGAGGGAAATTGCCATTGTCAGGCTGTGTGTTTCTCTGTAAAACTACCGTCTTCACTGTCACAATTGACAGTCGTCTCGTGCAATTGTATGTACACAATTCCCCCTAAAAGATTATATTAGCTGCTCTGTGGACTGGTAATATCTTGCGATTGGTTGCCTAGACTTAAAAATGTTATAGGTAGCTATTGTCACATTTCAGGCAGTTTGCTTGCGTTCGTGGATGATCTGGAAATTCACGAAGGGACAGAATCTCTTAAGGTTTGGTTGACCTACACAATTGCTAAGATCAATGACTAATATGAAATAGGAATATCGGTTCGGCTCGCATACCATACAGATATTCTTTTGCGGAATCTGTGGTGCCAATGTTTATAACAAGTCGGTGAATCCACAGTTCAGATATGGTCAATGTGCTATTAATGTAAGTCGATATTTCCTCGTTGATAACCACTATCCTCTGTATAATAACGCCCGTTCAACGCTATGGAAGAGAGCGTATATAGACTAACAGATAAATCGGGATACCACTTTAGATGCGCCTACTACACGATATTGACTTGGAAAGCATAGAAATCAGCAAGGGTGATGGAAAGAATATCCGTCTACCACCTCTAGAAGAGAATCCAATCTAGGGTTGGGAAGGGGGTTGGGAAGGGGGGATGGGAGTTACGCTGCGAAAATCAAGAGAGAATTCATTTCTGTCAATCATAATTATGCGAGGCAGAGGCGTAAATTGGCTTTAATTATAGTGACGCTGCGGTTGGATAATTGTAGATAGACGCATCTGGCGGTCAAACAACAAGGCCGATGAGATAACGTTTCGGAATGAAGTGACAAACACGAGAGGCATTCAAACTGAGGAGGCAATGTACTATGAGGGAATGACAATGGTGATAAAGCGTTGAACTGTCTGGACCCGATGCCGTCCATGGGTTCATTCCTGCGGCTCTACTCGACTACGAGCGCTCCAATACTGGAATTGATCGCACCGACAGCGTCAAATATGGAACCTTCACCGTGGTTAAGGACATGCATACCCGCAAGTCAATGATGGCAACTCGAGTGCAAAAAGGTGGTCTCGGCAGTGGATTTTTAGCACTCAGTGGCGGCATAGGTACAATCGAAGAGTTGATGGAAACGGCAACATGGCAACAACTTGGGATTCATGACCGTGCTGTGTGTATATTGAACGTTGAAGGATTCTGGGACGGGCTTGTGGCTTGGATGGAGGAATCTGTGGTCAAGTCAGGGTTCCTTGCTGCGGACCACTGGAGCTCCATTGGGGTGGAGGAGACTGCCGAGGGCGCCATTCGATGGCTGGGCGAATGGCAATCCGCTAGAACTATCAATTTGGAATGGGGGGTCAAGTCCAGCCATGTTGATATTTGAACACCGGTCTTCTGGCTGCCATTTTGGCCACATGACTTGTAATTAAGCAAGGAGGCGCGACCATGCGACTGGTGGTCGGGCTGAAATGTGACCCACGAACCTGTACTTCGTACGAGGGCTAGAAGTGGCGTGGACGAATTCAGTTGAAGTGAATCCGATTCCATACTCCGTATGCAGGAAAGAAGTTGTGGTATCTTCGTGCTTGTGAATAGTTGGTGTTTTTCTTCTCGGCAGTGTTCGATGGTGACCTGTCGGAGTCTGTCGCTGCCTGCTTTGCCAGGCTCCAGTTAAGCGCTTGAGTAGATAGGTGGTCATTTAGCGAGCCGTGGAGAGCTTTTCTCTCACACACCTTCTTCCCGTTCCCCTCTTCCTCACCCAGAGCACATTGGATTATGGTACATCCATTTGCTCTTCATATTCCCCTGTTGGCGTAAAGAGCATTCTGAATTTGTGACCACCAGCAAAGCCTCACTGTTGTATACATCTGTTTTTGCTTTTTGATTTTCTCATTTGCTCCCAAGGCTACAACCTCCAATGAATATGAGCTGTGAGCTGTAGGAGTGACAGCGATGATGTCCAAGCTCAACTTCAGCCCTTGAAGGATTCTATATCTAATACCACCACCCAATTTTGTGAAGCCCAGCCACACATCTTTAAGCAAGAGATAACTAAATTAATCCTGGAGCCTCAATTTACTCCGTCAAAGAGCTGTTTGTACACCTGGGCAGTTGAACCCCCAAGCCAGAACTTATCAGTATGACTCTATCAATGGCAAATGATATGTGCAAAGCAAAAGAAAGTCATAGAATATACTGATCAAAGCATTACAGTCAATCATTCCAACTCTTATTTGTGGTTTTTCTGAAGTAGCTGTAGCCAGTAGTTAGAGCTGGTCAAGACATAGTGTAAAGGGTTGTCCGAATAGGGACTAGATCGCCCCACTGCCACGCTAAGCCCAATATGGGAGGGAAAAGTTCGGGATGCTCATTCCTTCTTCTCCTCCCAACCCCACCATCACAGCCATTTTACAAGATGGAGAAGCCAGACATTGTGGAATCTCCGCGCAAGCGCCAAAAGACCGACGATGCTGGTTCCATTGGGATCTCATTCGGCGGTGATGGCGCAGACGACGTTCCGCCCGCCGCAATCGCCGATGCTCAGACCCAAAAGGAAATCGAGGTTGGAATTACGGAGTTTGTGAGCAATGGCACCGAGGGATTTGCGGGTATTTTGAAGAAGAGGTAACTTGTGAAGGCTTGCCAACCAGGATCATGGCTAATTGCTGCATGCAGATACACTGATTTCGCGGTCAACGAGATCACAACCACCGGCGAAGTCGTCCACCTCCGAAACACCAAGGCACCGCACACCTCCAAGCCCGAGCCCCCTGCCCCAGGTCCCAAGGCGCCCGCATCGGATGTCAACACGGCCGAGAAGACCGAAGGCGCTCCCGCTGAGGCGGAGGCGGAGGCTGAATTCAAGGTGTCGGAAGAAGACCATGCTCTGCTCATCGAATACTTTGGCGCCAAAAACGCCACCGATATTATTGCGCTTCATGCGAAGGCCATGTCTAAGCCCAAGTCGCGCCCTAGCGAATTTGGCCAAGTCAGTGCCCAGGTGTCTGACCGTGACCTGCGCACCAAGATCCACCAAGCCATTCGCCGCATCTTCAAGTCACAGCTCGAATCCACTACCGACTCGGAAGGCAACATGGGAATCATCGCCGCGGCGAATCGATTCAAGCGCGAGGTTGGATCAGGCCGTGGAAACGGTCGGTCCAACAACAATCGCACCAACTGGGAAGAGCTCGGTGGCCCGTACCTGCATTTCACGCTCTACAAGGAAAACAAGGACACTATGGAAGTTGTGTCATTCATCGCGCGCTCTCTGAAGATGAACGCGAAGGCTTTCCAGTTCGCTGGAACCAAGGACAGACGCGGTGTGACCGCCCAGCGCGTCTGCGCTACCCGTCTGCTCGCAGAGCGCCTTGCGCGTTTGAACCCTACCCTTCGCAACGCCGTGGTTGGTGATTTCGAATACCGCAAGCAAGCACTTGACCTGGGTGACCTGAATGGCAATGAGTTCGTCATCACTCTGCGCGAGCTGGGTATTCCTGGTGTGGATCTCAATGATCCCAAGGCCGCGGTTGCAAAGGCTTCCGAAATTGTCGGCACTTCTCTGAAGAACCTTCGTCAACGTGGTTACTTCAACTACTATGGTCTCCAACGTTTCGGAACTTTCTCGACTCGCACTGACACAGTCGGCGTCAAGATGCTGCAGGAGGATTTCAAGGGTGCCTGTGATGCCATCTTGCACTATGCACCCGAAGCCCTGCAAGCTGCGATGGAGGGTGATGCCAATGACACAAACATCAGCAGCGACGACAGGGCGCGCGCCTTGGCTATCAACATGTTCGAGACTGGAGGTCCCAAGATCGTCAATGACGCCTTACAGAAGCTGCCCCGCAAGTTCTCTGCTGAGCAAAATCTGATCCGCCACCTCGGCCGATCCCGAAATGATTATCTGGGTGCGCTGCAAACCATTCCCCGCAACCTGCGCCTCATGTATGTGCATGCGCACCAGTCCCTCATCTGGAACTTTGCTGCTAGCGAGCGCTGGCGTTTGTATGGCGATAAGGTGGTGGAAGGTGACCTTGTGATTGTGCAAGAGCACCGCGACAAGGAAGATGCGGCTGCTGCCGAAGCTGCGGATGAAACTGTCGATGCCGATGGAGAGATTATCATTGTTCCCCAGGGCGAGGACAGTGCCGTTGCAGCCGAGGACATGTTTACCCGCGCTCGTGCTCTCACTGCCGAAGAGGCTGCTAGTGGCAAGTACACTCTGTTCGATATCGTGCTCCCCCAACCCGGATATGATATCATTTATCCCGAAAACAAGGTCAAGGACTTCTACAGCCGATTCATGGCCAGCGAGAAGGGTGGCTTCTTGGACCCAACTAAGATGCGCCGCTCCTGGAAGGATATCAGTCTCAGCGGAAGCTACCGCAAGGTCTTCAGCCGCATGCTGGATGATGACTACTCTTTTGACGTGAAGCTGTACACCAAGGACGATGAGCAATTTGTCCCGACCGATCTGGAAACCACGAAGCAAAACTCAGGAGAGACTCAGCCCGCCCCTACTCAGACTGAGGGCGATAAGATGGCCGTCGTTCTGAAGTTCCAGCTTGGCTCTAGCCAGTACGCCACCATGGCCCTTCGTGAACTGACCAAGGGCAAGGCCGTGGCCCACAAGGCTGACTTTGGTGGTGGTCGTTAGGCACTGCTGTTTCAAACAACCTATGCGATGTAAAATGCATATCAATAAGCGGAAAATAGGCTCTGGCCCGAATGAGCTCTATCTGTACCTAAGTCAACAAAGTTGGAAATCCAAGCAGTTGGCACAACAATTACGCATATTTTCTGAAATCAAAAACCAAACGAAGATGTATTTTCACCCATTCATTCAAAGCACAAATGTCATGATATAGTTCTGGATCGGGAATCAGGTGTCGATCAGCCATCCCGAGTTGGTTACGAGGGATCTGCCTTACCCCTGCATGCGTTCGAGAAGAGGGGTAGATGAGCCATCTGAATCCGCCTAGTGCGGCTCTGGCTGCATTCACATTCTGGGCGACTACAGCCCATGTGAGTCATCACATTCATTCAACTCCTATATCACACCCGCGGGCCGACCGATGTGTAGTCTCGCAGAGTGAACAGTGCTAGAGAAATGACCCGATTCGAGCTATTCGTGGCTACTGGGGCCACCCAGGCTTTACTGCTGCCCGCTGTTCTTATTGCCTCATTTATCAATGAGGCCTCCCCGTATGTGGGCGACCTTGCCTCTGAATTTCCAGCATGAGCCTATTGGCCAAAAAGAAGCTGACCGTCCTTTTTTCTCCTAGGAGCAAAATCATTGATGTCACTTTCGTAGATGATTCTGTGCTTGGAGATGACGAGAAGTCTATCATCTGCCTCCAATCAGATGGTAAGTCTATCACTGGCACCGCGCCCATCATCCAGCACCTTTATGCCAATTTCCCCTTCCTCGTTGGAAAGGATTCTCAGGCCGAGAGAGTATGGATCTCTCAACTGGAATCCTTTGAGGCCCTCGACTTTAAGGTCCTTGATCCCACCCTCCAACGTCTTGATGCGCACCTGCTTCTCCGATCTTTTGTCACAGGCTACTCGCTCTCCACCCCCGACATCGCTATATGGGGTGCGATCCGCGGAAACAGAGTGGTTGCTGCTGCAATAAAAAAGGGTAGCTTGGTCAATCTCACGCGATGGTATAAATTTGTCCAAGAGTTGTGTCCGTGGGCGACGGTCGCTGTCGATTTGCTGAATGCGGCAGCACGCGAAAAGAAAATTGCGAAAGCCAAGGAGGGTGCAAGTTACGAAATCGCCCTGAACGTAAGTCTGTCTGGAAGAGGACTATTCAACAACGATGGCTAATTCATGCCTGTCTTTAAGAACACCGAGAATGGTGTGGTGACAAAAAAACTTCACTAACCAACGACTGTCGTCTGATAGACGAGAAATACAATGGCACCCTTCTCCTTCGGTATGCACGAAGCACTTGAGGACCTTGATGTCATGAATACTAATTGAATTCCGAGATTCGATGACACCAATCCGTCGAACGAGAAGCAAGAGTTCCAAGATGCCATCGTGGAAGACCTCGCCTTGATGGGTGCGTCTCACATGATATTTATTCTCCGAAGAGGCTAACAGTGTCAAGGTATCCGACCCGACAAAGTTAGCTATACTAGCGATTATTTCGACCAACTCTATGAATACTGCCTTCAACTTATTCAATCTGGAAAGCCTACGCAGATGACACAGACAAGGACACCATGAAACATCAAAGACGGCACGGAATTCCAAGCCAGCGTCGTGAACTTTCACCCGCAAACTCATTGGCTCACTTTGCAGAGATGAAGAAGGGCACCCCCGAGGGTCTGCGCTGGTGCATCCGTGCTAAGATATCATTCAATGACAAGAACAAAGCCATGCGTGACCCTGTGATATACCGGTGTAATCCTGCTATTCACCACCGTACCGGTGATGCCTGGGTTGTTTATCCAACCTATGACTTTGCATGTCCGATTGTTGACTCAATGGAGGGAGTCACTCACGCTCTGCGGACCATCGAATACAGAGATCGCAACCCGCAATACCAGTGGATGCTCGATGCATTAAGCCTACGAACTGTTCAGGTTTGGGACTTTGCTCGTATGAACTTCATTCGCACCCTGCTTTCTAAAAGGAAGCTGAGCAAACTTGTGGAAAGTGGTGTTGTTTGGGGATGGGATGGTAAGTGTTCTGATTTCTCGGAATCCCTTTGTGACCACTAACACCCATTATAGATCCTCGATTCCCGACTATTCGTGGCATTCGCCGTCGAGGAATGACGATCCCTGCACTCCGAGAGTTCATTCTTAAACAAGGTCCCTCTAAAAACGTGACTCTGTTTGATTGGGCTTTGATTTGGGCTACCAACAAGAAGTATATCGATCCTGTTGCCCCTCGTTATACTGCTATTGAAACAGGAGATGTTATCAAGGCGACCGTAAACGGTGGCCCCGCTGTTCCGTATATGGAAAAGCGCCCAAAGCATGCGAAAAATATCGCAGTCGGTGAAAAGGATGTTTTTCTCTCCTCTTCTGTCATTCTCGAACAGGTTGATGGTATCTCATTCAAAAAGGACGAGGAGATCACACTTATGAACTGGGGTAATGTGATCGTTGGCGATATTTCCACCGACCCTTCTACAGGCAAAGTTACGCACCTGCACCTGGAATTGCATTTAGCCGGTGACGTGAAAAAGACTGAGAAGAAAGTGACTTGGTTATCTACCGAGGGCCAGACTTTAGTTCCTGTCGAGTTGGTTGATTTTTGACTACCTGCTGAACAAAGATTCACTCGCGGAGGATATACTTGAGGATGTTCTCAACTTCAACACGGAGTTCCGCGTGGATGCCCTGGCCGACAGTAATGTCTCCAACGTTCAAGTTGGCGATATTATACAATTTGATCGCAAGGGTTTCTACCGCGTGGATCGGGCCCCTGCCGTCGGTGTCCCTGGCGTCTTCTTCAGTGTTCCTACCGGAAAACAGAAATTATCCGAAGATTATAGTGGACCACGGTTTCTATGTTCGAAATTGAAAAAGAAACTTAAGAGCACACTGCATTCCACTATACGGTCATAAGAGTCAAACTAGAGATATGTTTCCTTAGAATTGACAATCCAACTAAGCATCAAGCAAGACCTTGGAGTAGGCTTCTTATAGGGGCTTTTCACTCTTCAGCCTCATCAACCTCAACACCATCCACAATCTCAAATGAATCAGCAGATCCCAGCCCAGTGGTAGAAGTCCACACGACAAATTGCGCGTCGTGCGAGGATTGACCTTGCTGCACCGTTCCCGGCACAAGACCGAGCCGGGTCTTAAGATCGCGGAAAGTAAACTTATGTTCTTTGAATCCAACCCCAGCAACGAGCGCATTATCACCCGACAAAGCAATGGGCACCCGGATTCCATCCTGCAGAACCTCAATCTTGACATGATCAGAATCAACAAGCGGCATCTTCGGGAACTTCACCTCATCATGCTTCCGCTGAATCGTAAAGATGAATCTCGACCGCCTGGTAGAATCAACAACCACATTGCCACCCGCCAGATACCAGTACTGATCGAAACCGTGTCTTTTCACAAAGAAACTGCTCCCGGAGAGTGTGTCGCTACCATTTGCACCAGCTCCCTGGGGGGTGAACGTGCGGAATCGCCCATCGGCATACGCTCCAACCCAATAGACTCGGATCTTTCCGAAGACATCAGTGAATTCGGGGTTCACCGACTTCATCTTTGGGTTTCCTGACAGGGCTCGGGCGGCAAGGTGGAAATTCTCGCCGCTGGCACCATCGTATGTCCAGAATTGGGCACCTGGGCGGTCCACCGAGGTGATATCGACCTTGGCTCCCGGTGTGCCGTTGTTATCGGATTGCGTGACAGACTTCACTCGTTGAAGGGCCCGATAATAGGTATCTGCGGTGTTTTGGTCGGGAGTGACCATGACCCAGTTGAAGTATTCGCCATAGCCTCCGTCCAACGGGCTCTCGTAGGTAACATAGGTGTAGTAGACCATCTTGGGAAAATTGATGCTTCAGTCGGGAAGATTTGAACTGTTTAGTTTTTGATTGTGAGGATCTGTGAGAAGATAGATATCAACGACCAAGTGACAAGGTATTTATATCATTTGCTGTACTGGTATTGCCATGTATTCAATGTCTTGTGTCATAGATTCAGCTCCTCGGCTTCCAAATATGTCATGTTGCATTGGCCTGTGGATAATCTCAGCTCCCACAGTCATACTGTACAAGAGCGATCTACACATCTTGATACTATTCAGACTGACTGCGATGCATCACTCAGCCGTACACGCAGAGCACATCCAACCCTATCCAATCATGTACGTACATATGGGTCTACATGACGTTTACGGAGTAAGTATGTGTGACATTGGGACTCGCCGGACAGATGCCAGCACATATCCTTGTACGGAGTATCGGCAATGCACATCAATCACATAAAAAGTACAAAAAGAGGAGGGGAGGAATGAATATGTGGTTCGAGCTTTTCGCTTCTCTACCGTTGATATGAAAAATCAACTGTCCGATGTCTAAGTGATGGTACTATTGAAACAGTAAGGTAAAGCAACGTGTAAAGCAATCGTGTGCTTAGAGTGCACCAAAGCAAGAAAAGTTGTTTCCCCTTAGAAGTTAATGATCTTGTGTACTTGCGAGTCTGGGATTGCAGCCATTACGCATACCTACAGCAAGATCGCGGGGAGTCTGATGGGCGCTGCAGATCCGGTTCATGCATACTTGATGCTCCAATAAAAAGTCCGAACTAGGTAAAATAGCTGCAAGTTTGGCCCCATTTAGGGGGTGGATCTTTCAGCCCGCCTCTATTCAAAGAAATACCTCACAAGTCTCGCCGATCAAACAGTTTGCCTGGTGCGTTCGGTTACAACCCCACCTGCACTCGGGGACGCGATCGCACACTGCCGACCTCGAGTGTGCCTCAGTTCCTGAACACAATTACGTTACAATTAGTAAATGGATCGGCATCGAATGCGTGAGCTGTGGTTGAGTCACCGTCGAAGAAAGTATGTGTTTTTGCGAGAAGAAGAAGCAAAAAGGTCAAGTCGTACTTTTGTTGTTTGTTATTGAAGGACACGCCACCCTCCCCCCAGACTGCACGGCCTATGAATTTACTTACGAGAATGCTATTTGGTTTAATGTGACAACAAGATTCACCTTCGAATAAGAACACTGAGCTTGAAGAAATAGATGAGAGGCTCACGGCCGATAGTAAACTTCTGTTGCTCTGCAAGGAGAGAAGGCGATCTTGGGAGCCAGCAGTTTGGTCCTTTAGTCACTGTGTAACAGTTTAGTTTCAGTCTTGCAAGCGAACCTTCAGCCAGCCACTTCCACAGAATTTAGAATGAACTCAAGATGCAACTTGTCGAACGGAATATCCATAATAGGTTTCGTAAGCTAACTCAAGAGCATTTGCGACTAGAAAAAACCTCAAAGATCCCTGCCCATATAAACTCCATATTATCTCGTATCATACTTATACCAAATCATGGAAACCGTCTTTGCTCCGGCGAGCTCGGCGAAATCGGCGAAACCTCATTGAACGACAAATCAGAAACTTCATCGAAATTCCTCCTCCTTGACCCTCTCCTCTCCCTGTCTGAAACATCGGAAACATCATCATCATCAACACGAGCAGGCCCAACCCCAACCTCATCATCCTCAAAGTCTTCAAAAGGCATGCGTGCCAACTGCCTCGACCCCCTAACCTCCTCGCCAACGCTATGCCGATTCACAGGAACCGCAATCGCGGTCCCGAGCTCCGCGTGCGAGCCACGGCCATCCTGCGAATGTTGCATTGATAGTTCGCCTGCGCTCGGACTTCTTGGAAGAGTCGGCGATACGAGTGGCATTGGTACGGCCATGGGTGGAAGAGATCTTGTTTCTTGAGGCTTGGGGATCATTAGTTCTTGCGTTGAGACGGCGGTTGTCTGACTGGTTGCTACGTGGTACGGTGGAGGTAGAGAGGTGCGTTCCCTGCGGCGGCGACGAAGGAGGAAGAAGATTAGGGCTAGGATGAGGGCGAGCCCGACTATTGAGACTGGGACTGCGATTGCGATTTGGGTTGTTTTTGATGGTCCGCCTGAGTATGCGCTTGGATCGCTTGTTGGTGTTTGGGTCGGATATTGGGTGGTTGTGGAGGTCGAGATTAGGGTTGATGTTGTTGACGTTGACGCTGACGTTGACGTCGATGTTGATGCCGCCACGATTGAGGATGATGTCGAGCTTGGAATTGAGGTTGTGGTCATTGTACTCAAAGGCGGCTCTGTGAAAGCAGTTGCAAAATTCGATTCACTCGTCGTCGTATCCCAGCTGTTTTCTGTTCCTGTGGGGTTCGCGCCTTCAGAGTCTCCCGATACACTTGCAGTTTCCATACTCGGTGGCGGCTCGCTCGTTGCACCGCTCACGGAAAGCCCAGGATCTTGTCCGTCCAAAATCGCTCCAGGGATGATTCTTCTGACATTTGTATCCGGAGTCTTGGTCAAAGTCACCACTGGGTCGACCGAGTCCGAAGTATCACTGGATTCCGAGGCGATCGTCTCAGACCTCCAATAGTCGTTCTCGGCGTCCACGCCGATGAAAGGCAACATCCTCATATTTTGGTACGGGGAGTCGAACAAGAGTCGAGGGATGATTTTTCCCGGGGGCTATTGGTCTTATGTGATATCCTCAAAGAGAAGATGAACAAAGACACACCGCCACGATAGGACAAAAGTCTCAAACAGCCGTCCTGTTTGGCACCATTAGTTCGTGTTTATTTGTCTAAACCGCAGAGATTACCAAAAAGTGTAGACTCGACAGAGATGACTGGCTTGACAAAAAAAAGTGCAGACAGCAATGCTAGTATACTCCGTACTACACAGCCCAACGGCCCTAGAAGGTGGGGTTGCAGCACTGCCCACAAAGCGCTTGCTACAAAGCGCTTCAAACACAGCGCTAACCCTTCTATCCTTTCATCTTATCCCCTTTCAAGCCATCTTCACGTTTAACACATCATACAAAGAAAATATAATTCTAACAGATATTTCTTCTCACAGCGAAGAAAACCTGTAAAAATGCAAATGGCACTGAGGCTCAGAGTGTGCTATTTTTGGGTAAGGCCGCGCTAAATTGGGGCCACGCAGGATCAGCCCAATTCCTAACTCCTTTGCGCTTAGCTCTCATAATCCTTTAAGGCTGTCAGATTCACCTCGTACAGCATTTATTGATTGGCTCACATTTAACCACGGTCATGCCCAATGGCTGATTGCTAGCTTCACTGGAAGAAATATAACTGGTCTACCTATTCCTTATATCTTCAAGGTTGCAACTCCGGAAGTCGGTATTTATCTTGACCGTGCGAATACGCGTGATGACCGGAAACTAGAAAGACAGACAGTGATGACCTTTGTCATTCTAAACATATTTGTGGACTTCTGCTTACTCTTTATTCTCGTGATCATGCCGGTACGCAGGGGAGAACCTGACAACAGGCCGAGCCCCATGTGTCTGGCTTGACCGGTTATTCGCTACATTACACACTGCTTAATTATCACCCTAGATACCGCCTGGACACTCTGTAGCTCAGCATTCTCACTTACAAACTACATACTATGACTAGATAATGAGTCCCTTGTGTATCCTTCTAGGATTTGTCATATAGCTGATGTTCCAAGGTTTAGTTAGGTACACGGGTTCCCAGAGACTTCGGAGAAACATATTCATGTATAATATCATTGTAAAGAGAGAAGTAAAACAGCTTTTTTGCCCATTTTCATAGAATCCACCAGGGCAGCATGATCCAAGTTTCCAGAAGTGCGCCCCAGATGTCGGGGCCTGCATTTCAAATGATCTTTGTGGGAATAACAGAAGGCCTGTATCCAATTCTAACAAGATTTCACCCCAGCAGCGACAATATCTCATGCCATTACTCTAGCCCTTATCTTCAACGACCATTCACGAGTTCCAGTTAATAGAAGGCGATCCGTGAACATTAATTAAACAAGATAAATGGTAAGCCAGGGGGATTTCTGTCTACATACATGTCTGTAAATGAACCTTGGAGAGCTTTTCATCCTGTGAGATCGTTGTGGTTCTCCCTCCCCGGGCCCTAATTTCAATAAAACTTGTACGAAGTGAATTCTTCTACCTTAATCAAGGTATAGTCGCCCATGAGGGCTACATTGACAACCACCATAGGATAAAAGACTATTCGTGCATTGTTTGGTGCTCGCTAATCAATACCATAGCCTCAATGCGGGATACTACAAGAGCCAGTATGTATATTGAGATTAACAAAACGCTTAGCTCTTGTCCAGGTGGATAGTGATTCAGGCGCTTGGGGTGACGCCTATTCCCATACCTTCCCAGACAGCGAAGGCACTGTATCGCTCAATGGCATCTCCGTCTAGATAAGGATCGCAGAATGACCTCGGAGGTAGTATACAGAATGTCTTTCCTAGACCCGCTCGCACCATCGCAAACGGGACCCGCGTAGACCCGCTTCTGCAGCACGGTTCTGAATATGGTCCTTTCCAAATTGGGACGCTCGCGACACGATGTACTTCTCGTTCGACGATGTAATCATAGGTGGCATCCACGCAAGAAACCGCAGGCGGGTCCAATCCTACCCTTTCTTCTCATCCCCCTTTCCTACCATTCCAAACGCATCTCAAGATGAACCGGCTTCCTGTCGAGTTACTCCTCCAGATCGGAAAGCATATCGAGGCCGATACTCGCCCGAAGAAGACTTTGTTCGCATTGATTCGCACCTGTCGTCGTTTTCATGACCTCTTCTTCCCCATCCTCTACCACACGATTATCTTGTTCCCAGTCAACCTGGCCCTTGTCCGATTGATTATGCGCCTGTGGCAGCACCCAGAGCTTGCCCTCCTAGTTCGTCGAGTTCAATTGGCCCGCGATGAGCTGTCCGACACCGAGCCTCTCGAGATCACCGAGATCACCGAGCCTCAGAATATGACCGAGCCTCTGGATATTCCCATGCCCACTGATGTTGCGGCTTTCTTCCACGAGGCACTAGATACCATAATGACACCCGATGAAAAGCAAACCCCCAATGGCCAGTGGCTTCGAGGTGTGACAGGTATTTCTGCCGAAACATGGACGTGGTTGCTCCTCATCTGCGCCCACAATATCGAAACAGTCCAGCTTGATTACAAAATGGCTTGGGCGTTCTCATGGATCATCGCCAGGGCCGTCTCAAACCTCGTCCCAATCGATCAACGTCCTGCTTTTCGGCGTTTGAAGAACATTGAGCCGGTGTCTTCCTGGGAGTCCCCATGGATGAAGTCTGGTTTTCTTGATTTCGTCTTCCACTTGCCAGCTGTGGAGACCATCATCGGCAATGGCATATACGAGCAATCAATTCCCGACAACCTCCCGCTGCCGAACGTTCCATCCAATGTTCGAGTCATTCATATTGGTCATGTCGCCTGGTGTGGGGGTCTCCTTGATTGGCTCGCCAAGTGCGACAAACTTGAACATCTGTACCTGGGTTTTGACGTGGCCCCGAATTCAAGAGGATCCGGTTACGAAGTATCTGCGTTTGAGGCGGCTTCGTTGCGCCACCACCTTCTTCCCTCGGCCGCAACCCTCAAATCCATCGGCGTGTTCTTTTCTGCGGCGTACCGAGAGTTCGTGCTCGATGCTAATCTCATAGACGATGAGAATAGCGTGATGAACCTCCCATTCGGATCCCTAAAGCAGTTCCCCGTCTTAGAAACGGTCACTATGCGTCACTGCCATTTGCTAGGCCGGATGGATCCTGTGTTTGGTTCGAATCAGAAACGCTTTGCGGAGATTCTCCCTGAATCTCTCGAAGCGCTATTCATCACAGACCTATGGATTGGCTGTGAGAATGGGCTGTTTCGCGCACTCCTTGTCTTTGTGCGCTCGGGGGTCTGCCCCAATTTGAGAACGCTTAAGGTCGGCCTGGATACCGAGCGAAAGGGAGGCACAGAGGCGGCCGTGGACAGCCTCGCCCTCAAGTGTCAATCCCAGGGGATCGAATTTGATGTTTGGGCTTGACCCCGACGGCCCCTTTGCCCGCGCCACTGGGCAGGTTGCTGATTGGTGGACATTATGTGGTGGGGGATATTCTGAATTTCGCTGCACCTTGAGTGCTATGCCTGAGTGATTTTAGCGAATGAATGACCTGACCAAAGTCTCACTTTTTCCTCACTTGTCAACGTAGGATGATATCGCCGAGAGTTCACTTGGCGTATTTGACTTACAGCTCAGTTTCAATGCGCCAAGTGAAGTCTCGGCGTTATCAGTTACGGAGTACGAGCCTCAGTGCCGCGCTCACGCGTGGCCAAAAATACGATGATAGTTGCTTGTAAACAGCAGCAGTCATGTGTTGGCTTAATCTCCTATTCCGATTGGTAAAGGAAGAGAGCCATCATCAATTTCGGGGCCTCTTTTTTACCGTCTTTTGAACTATCTTTCTGGCTGTCCTTCCAAGGTTCCAACTAATTGTCGAGTCATCATGATTGGCGGAGAAGAGGAATCTTTGGCTAAGCCGTGAACAGAGAATTAGGGATTGGGGACTCGTTCTACAATCATCAGTACTGACAATATGGAGTACACAGAGAGAGACTTCAAACCATGCCCATATTTTCAATTCCATTATTAAATGCACATTAGATCTAGTAGACATTCCTCATAACCCATATCAATCCCAAAAGCGCAAACTCGCAAAAGTACAGAAACAAACAGGCTAATTAACACCGAACGACACCAGTTTATGCAAGGGGGCACTCGACAATGTAGCTGCCGTAGCTCTTATCGCCAGACAAACAAGTCCCGACGTTGACATCGTGACGGTTCAAGTGACAAGTCACATCATTGTAGACAGCGACTGGAAAACGGTCAGTTTATGGAACCCAAGCGCAAGCGACGGGGATAACTCACGGGTACAGTTGTCGGCATATTTGTATTCAAAGCTGACGGATCGGATGGTATCGGTGCCGAAGGTCTGGCACTTGTTGACGCTGTCGCCGTATACGCCGAGCTCACCGAGGTTCTGGGCAGAGCAGCTGGGTTCGCCGTAAAGACGCAGTTGGACGAAGCGGGTGTTTGCGGGGTCGGCGCGGCGGGCGGGCATGGCGGAGGCGCCGAGGGTGAGAGCGAGGGAGATGATGGAGGTGAATAGCATTTTGAGGTTGTTTTGAAAGTGGAAGTTGGATTTATTTGGAGGTGAAATTGGCGTATGGTTTTTTTTCTGTGTGTGAGGGGTTTGGTCGGGATTGGGATTTTGGAGCTCGTTTGTGTTTGTTGCTGTGAAGTATTCTAGGAGCGACCGGCTTCTTAAATAGTTAAGAGCCGTGGGTGTTGTGAGTACGGAGTACTCCATAGACGTAAGATGATCAATGAAAAAGAGAACGGTGTGAGGTCACATGTAACCTTACAGCCCAGCGTGGCGAAGCTTGAGCAGCTTGATGCACTGTAGATCGGACGTCTGACAGCAAGTCCGATTACATGTCTCATGTCCTTACGCACTTTGTCTCACTCTTGCGCGTGTCACTTCACGGCTTCAGTGAGAGCGTTGAGGTTGTGATATTGTACAATTATATTCTATTGGTAGTAAAACCTTGATGGCAATAACGAGAGCTGAAGTCCAGGGCTGCTGGTCTAGTGCATAAATAAACAAATCAACCAATGTTATAAGCAATTTTGCTTGTTTACGCCAGAAATAAAAACATCCAGAGCAATTCCACATCGAACCACAACGGTTGCATCGGGCAACCCGTCTCTGCCGATCGAAGAACCAAAATTTGCGAAGGGCAAGTTTTAAATAGAAACACGTCACGCCTGATCGTCTGGAATCGTCGATTTCTTGGCTGCTTATTCCCCCGCATTCTGTTGCCAAGCGTCGATCTATAAACTCCCGACTATATATAGTAGCTCCAATACTGTTCGTCAAAGTGATGTCTGTATAGGATGAAGGTCTACGGGGTGTCTATGGATGAATAGAATCAAAGAGAAGTATTCAAGACAATATGCCAGCCAACAAAGTCTCAAGGCCGCCCAAGCCGTCCGTAGGGTTACATGGAAACAGTGCAAGTTGTGGGCAGTAAGGGATATCACCTACGCAGATGTCCATGTGGACATTCTGGGGTGCCTTAAATGCAAGACAAGCCCAAATTTGGCGACTCCTAAGGCCTGGAACTTGAAACCATGAAGAACAGAATACTCATCTAAGAATGTGGTCAGAGTAGGAAACATCCATGGATGATTCCGAGACCAACACGATCTTACGCGTCTACGGGTCCGACCGTGTCAGATACATTCAATTACCTAGGTATCAATTCCAATAAGTGAACAAATTTAGTAACATTATGAGAAAAATACTAGATACAAGCCACTCCGAGTTATATCCATTGACGCAACCATGTCGAGAGTGGATGCAAAGGCCCAAAGGCCCGCATAGACGTATCCACCTGGAAATTTCCAAGTGCGTATGCAAATGGAATGAAATTAACAACAAAATCAGGCTAAGCCCAACGCCATGTCAACATTAGAATGAAAGCTGAAGTAACAAAGGTAGAAAAATTGGATCAAAATCGTGTATCGTCGCATCATGGCAGAATAGTAAACAACTCCATCTATTCGCCTTTTTTTTATGTAGCCTGGATGAATCTACTCATCGTAAAGGTCGGGTGATTCGACACCCTCCATCTCAGCATCGAGATCATCGTCGTCCATCATGTCATCGTCACTATCGCTGCTGTCACCAATCTCGTGGTTAGGAAGGACATCAATGCGACCGTCCTTCATGATAACACGAGCAATTTCACCATCCTTGATACTGCCTCGGAGGATGAGAACAGCGAGACGATTGAGGACTTCGCGTTCGATGAGTCGGCCAAGTGGACGAGCACCGTAGGCAGGAGAGTAGCCAGCTGCACCGAGGTAGTCTTTGACTTCTTCGCTGCACCTGATAGTGACCTTGCGCTCGTTGTGATCGAGACGCTTCTGCACCTCGTGCAGGCGGAGGTCGACGATCTTGCGAATCTCGCGTCTGGTGAGACGGTTGAAAATGACAGTGCTGGAGATACGGTTTAGGAATTCGGGAAGGAAGTAGTCGCGCAGGGCTCCCATGACCATCTCGCGGGTGGAGGGGTCGATGCGACCGTCCTTTGTTGTTGGGCGAGCGAGGAACTCGGCGCCAAGATTGGAGGTCATGACGACGATGCAGTTCTTCGCATCCACAATGCGGCCTTGGCCATCGGTGATGCGACCGTCGTCCATGAGTTGCAGGAGGACAGTGAGGACTTCCTTGGCGGCCTTTTCGACCTCGTCGAACAAGAGGATGGAGAACGGACGGCGACGGAGACTTTCGGTGAGTTGGCCACCGGCGTCGTGGCCGACGTAGCCAGGGGGTGCACCGATCATGCGACTGAGGGAGTGTCGCTCTTGGTACTCGGACATGTCGAAACGGATCATTGCCTTGGGGTCGTCGAAGAGGAACTCGGCAAGAGCCTTGGTCAACAGTGTCTTACCGGTACCGGATGGACCGCAGAACAAGAAACTGGGAGGCGAGTTGGGGTTGCTGAGACCGGAGCGCTGAAGACGAATAGCGTTGGAAACCGAGACGACGGCTTCCTTCTGGCCGACAACGAGCTTGCCAAGAGACTTCTCCATGTGGAGCAGCTTGTCCTTCTCGGTGGTCTTGAGTCTGGTGACGGGGATACCGGTCCAACGACCAACAATCTCATTGATCTGATCGGGACCAACGGCATCGGCAAGAAGCGTCTCTCCCTCGTCGGTCGCATTGGCGCGGCGCTCAGCATCAGCGCGGGCACGATCTTGTTCGAGTCGCTTGATCAGATTCTTGGTTTCTGGGATGGCGTAGTACTCAAGATCGGCAGCGGTCTGAGTGTCACCAGAACGCTCAGCCTCGTCGCGCTTGACTTGCAGAGAGTCAAGCTTGATCTTGGCATCCTGAACTTCGCGGCTACGCTGCTTCTCGCTTTCGTACTTCTCGCGCATCGGGCGAAGTTCTTCTCCGACATTAGCGGCTTCTTGCTTAGCAATCTCAAGACGAGCCTTGGAGGCTTCGTCTTTCTCGCGCTCAAGGGCGTGAATTTCAATTTGGAGCTGTCGAGCCTTTCGCTCAAGTGTGTCGAGAGCCTCTGGCTCGGACTCTCGAGTAACTCTGACGGCAGCTGCGGCTTCGTCAATGAGATCAACGGCAGAATCAGGGAGTCGTCGACCTGTGAGGTATCGCGAAGCAAGCGTCGCGGCAGTAACAATGGCGCCATCTAGGATGTTGACACCGTGGTGAACTTCGTACTTCTCCTTGAGACCACGAAGAATGGAGATGGTCTCTGGGACAGAGGGTTCCTTGACAAGGACTTGCTGGAAACGTCGCTCAAATGCTTGGTCTTTTTCGATATACTTGCGGTATTCGCTGAGTGTTGTGGCACCAATACAGTGCAGCTGACCACGGGCAAGCATGGGCTTGAGAAGGTTGGCGGCATCCATGCCACCCTCACCGCTGGATCCAGCACCCATGAGCAGGTGGATCTCGTCAACAAAGAGAACGATGGTATCCTTGGAGTCTTCGATCTCTTTGAGAACACCCTTCATGCGCTCTTCAAACTCACCGCGGTACTTGCTGCCCGCGACAAGGGAGCCCACATCCAAAGAAAGAAGACGGCATTGCGCCAAGTTGGCAGGGATATCGGCGTTGACAATGCGGCGGGCGAGACCCTCAACGATAGTGGTCTTACCTACACCGGGCTCACCGATAAGTACAGGGTTGTTCTTTGTGCGACGACTAAGAATGCGAATAACCCTGCGAATTTCCTCCTCTCGGCCAATGACTGGATCGATTTTTCCTTCACGGGCGAGAGAAGTCATGTCGATGGTAAATTTCTTGAGGTTTTCATTTTCGCTTTCCGCGTCAGCGGTCTTTGAGTCGACACGCCTTGTACCGCGGATTTGCTGGACAGCATTATCGATCAACTTGAGGTTGGGAATGTTGGCGTCGCCCAATGCGCGCTGGACCTGGGGGTCTTGGCAGACGGATTGAATGAGGTGGTCAACGGCAACAAAGCTGTCCTTTTGGGTTTTGGAGAGATCGCTGGCTGATCGGATGACCTTGGCAAGCTGTGGAGACACACTCGGGTTCTCTGGTGGAGGGTCCTGGCTGGGAAGACGGACCAGGAGCTTCATAAGCGCGCGGTCAAGGAGTTGAGAGTCGCCGTGCGCGCGTTCGACAACTTGTCGGAAGAGCGGTGCAGTTGCCGCATCGTGAGAGGCATGGGCACCGGATGGGGTTTGTTGATCCTCGGATTCATCTGGTAAAGGGTTGAGGAGAGCAACTGCGAGATGTAGAGGCAAGATCTGAGTGTGTGCGTATTGCTCACACAAGACACCCGAGTCGAGCAGGGTCTTGTTGGCCCGATCGGTGAACTGGGCGCCGTTCATTATGAACGAGGTGGCGGGGTGATCTCACTAGAAGTGGTGACGGTTGGTAAACAAATAGAGTGTTAGTTAGAGTGTATAAGTTGAGTGAGGGTTTATCGTGGGAGTTGCGAAGATCAAGTAGGAGATAAGTGGGTTGGTGAGATCATGGACAATGCCAACTTGAAACGTGATGATGCAAGTTCATATAGTCCCAGCGCGTGGCCAGACCGAAACTGCCCCAAGGTCCATGCCGTCACCACATGCTTCCACCGCCTTCCAGAAGCTACCTGATTGTGCCCGATCATCAGATCATGTGACCTGTCATAAACAGACCACGCGAGGTCACATGATATCAAGAGTATCACTGACACATCAGTCATGTGACGTCATGTGACCCTGTATCATGTGACATATGTTGAACAACAACCCTACTCTACCCGAGCTGAGTCATCCTCTCGGATTAAATCGCGCAAATTTCCTTGAAACTCCAGTCCTCCCACGTTGGAGACATGATTCGACACTAATGCGTCCATTGGCGGGTTCTACTTTTCTTCTCTACTCTGGCTTGCGTATTCGGTACATCAGAACAGGTGTGCCTTGCAGTGGAGCATCCGCCCCGGGCCCACATGCGCATAAATCAAGGCTCGAGAACGGGACCGCATGATGGCATAGTATGGGAATTATTACAATGTTCTCAGCCCTGGTCACCCACGCCTGTCAAAATACTACATTGTTTACGTGGGATATAGGCCTTGCCACGATAGCCGAACCAAAAATGACCCCCCCGTCAGTCAATGACGTCAGCCGGGAGATAGCTGCAGCAATAAGAAGTCGAGGAAACGCGATCTCGCAAACCTTGCGCAGGATCAGACCCCTGTCAATTTAAACCGAGGGTCAAGATCAAGCCCTCACCGGGCCGCGAAGAGGAGAATAGTCTCACCTCGCAGTCTCTAGTCAGAAGCTCAGACACCAGAATATGGAGAGTGGACACTCCTTCCGAGTCGGCGCATCCAGAACTGGTGATCAGCTCCATCCGGATGTCCACAACCTTATTCGTTATTGGCCTTCGCGCAAGTTGCGTTCTCTAGGCGCGTTTTCTGTTTCGTCTCTCAGAATGGAGTATAATGGGGCGAGAGAAAAAAAATAGAAGCGGCAAGGTTCCTGCGGGGCGTGAGAGGGGCATGGAGGGGCAACCAGCTTTATGTCTCTCCTGATTTGCCTCTATCCAAGGCTCCCATAAGCTAGGTTTTTTTGGTGCGCAGTCGAGACCTTGAGGGTGTTCCCTATATGCGCCACCTGCATGGACTATGGTCGGAGCCGGACTGACCCGACTAACTGTATCTGGTGTTGGTTTGAGGCGTTGGGGGGAATGGCATAGAACGTGCGAGGGGAAGCTCATCGGAGGGGAAGATCTCCACGAGAATCCGGATTCAGCAGCAGTCATCCATGGTAGTTGGAACGGGCAACTGTGGTAACTCTCCGCCTTCCCGCGAAAAGAGAAAAAAGAGGAGCCAGAAAAAAAAAGAAAAGTGTCGGTCTTTAGCCGTAGTCTTCAATATAAAAGGTTTTAGCCTCCCCCACAACCTGTACTTCATTATTCTCACGCCATAGTGCTTTGATCTGAGCTCATCCAGAAGCCTTCACATTCGTCGGCTTAGAGACTGTCAACAGAACTTGACCCGCTAGAAATCTCTGTCACGCCACAAGAGGCTGCTTGAATTCACCTCGACGTTAATTGATCAGAATAGTGATCCACCGCAAGTTTATCTACAATTACCTTCGATCAGCAGACTGCAGTTGTTTGTTTGATCTTTAAAAAAATTCTTCTATCATAATGACGAAGCCGATCTTTGTGGCTACGCACCCGCGAGCATGCTCGACGGCCTTTGAGCGGGTGAGAACGGCATCAATCGGACCCCATTTGACGTGCATTTTCTGACAAGAACCAGGTCTTCATGACTCAACGTGACACGATTCAATGTGTTCACGAGCCATTCGGCGACGCATTCTACTACGGCCCGGAGCGCCTCTCCAGCCGATTCTCAGGGGATGAACAAGCTCGTCTCGACAGTGGATTCGCCAACTCTACATATAGTACCGTGATGGATAGACTTGAGCGGGAAGCTACACAGGTCCGACCTCTCTCTCTGCGGAATTTCTCGCGTTCTTGATATTCCCACTGTAAAATGCTCTCCATGTTCTCCCTGGTGGATTGAACATGGAGGAAGATCCCCTACCTTTTTTTCATCTCTACGTGACCCCCAACTTCCCCCTTCCCCATCACACAGATGAGCCTAGTGTGGCCATCTGCTACCCTGGATCGTAAATTTCAAAATTCGCTCTTCCCTCTGATTCCCGGGTCATGGATATCCGCACGCCGGAATGGAATCGCTCTTACACGAGGGGATGCTTACCTTATCACAGGGAAAGAGAATTTTCATCAAAGACATCGACCACTACCTGCTTCCACCAAGTGGTAAGCCCGCCAGTCCGGCTCCTTCGCTCCTGCGCGTGAAGCGCGGCGTCGGGACCAACGGCGAACACGCCAACGGTGTCAACGGTCACACCAACGGCCACACCAACGGCGTGAACGGAGCCGCAAACGGTGTAAACGGTCACTCCAACGGTGTGAACGGTGATGAAGCCAACGGCCATACCAATGGCCACACCAACGGTGTCCACAAGGAACCGTACCCGTATGATACTACCCCCGAGCCGGGCAACCCAACCGTGATGCCCCGCGAGATCCAAGAGCAATTCCACTGGGCCTTCTTGATCCGTGACCCGCACTACAGCGTGCCGTCGTACCTGCGTTGCACGATCCCACCTCTGGACGACGTGACCGGGTTCCGCAACTACGACCCCACGGAGGCCGGGTACGACGAGCTGCGTCGACACTTCGATTTCCTGCGTGAGACCGGCCTTGTCGGACCGCGTGTGGCGACTCGTCCGGAGCTGTCAGGGTCCAATGAGAAGACCGACTCTGGTGTTGAGATCTGCGTCATTGATGCGGATGATATGCTTGATGAGCCGGCGAAGACTATGGAGGCTTTCTGTAAGAGTGTTGATTTGCCGTATAATCCTGAGATGTTGCTCTGGGATACCGAGGAGGATCACGCTGTTGCTAGGAATGCGTTTGAGAAGTGGCGTGGGTTCCACAATGATGCTATTGAGTCGAAGGCTTTGGAGCAACGCGTTCATGTAAGCCTTTTTTTGTTCTGTCTGGAGATGCTTGAGTGAGAAACTAACCTGTTCAGAAACGCGCGGTCAAGACTGAGGAGCAGTTTGATGCCGAGTGGAAGAAGAAGTATGGTGAGGAGCATGCCGCTCTCATTCGCAAGACTGTTGACGACAACATGGCCGATTACTTGTATCTCAAGTCATTCGCTGTGAAGGTTTGAAGTCCAGGGAGATGAAAGGAGAGAAAGGAGAATGGGAAGTACGGGGAAGAGGATGAGAGCCTCTCCGTGACCGCTCCGATGAGAACAATTTAGTTTCGATGGCGCCATCTCCACTTGATCCAACGAAACGCGGATCTTTGTGGGGATTGGTTGATGACCCATGACGATCCTGCATTACCGCATTTGTGTTTTGTCACTTTGCTATTTGTTGTTTGCTGTCTGTATGAGATTGAATACCAATTTTTCCACGTACGCTTTTTTGCGATCTTGAATCATCACGTTACATGCAAATACTTTGTACACTTGGACATAGCAGACCCAAGTGAGACATGTTGGTATACTGTAGGTGTAAATCCTCCTTGTTGGGCTCATCATTGGTGGAACTGTGCCTTCTGGATACCTTGACGGCCTGGAAGAATTGTGAGCAAACCCCAGCACCCTAAGCGTACTCACCGATGATGACCCAAGAAGCACAATTCCTCTTTTATACCCGTCTCATCAAAAAGAGATCCTTTTACCCATTGACTTGTACATCGACTCCCGACTATTTTCCTGGGTCAAGAAAGAACATATCATCTACGAATGTAGACTCGTGTAGTGAAACAGCTATGAATATATACCAGAACGTGAAGCATCTTACCTGGGACTTATACTTTGCAAAGGCATACATCCTCCCAAGGTTATTATAATATCACATTCTCTTTTACTACGAGAGATTTTCCAATATCTGAAGACCGATCAGGTCTATCATCAGAAGGGCTTGTCACCAACTCCCATGTATACAGCCCCATCACCCGCATCCGGGATTTTGTGCGAGGGACGATACATTGACAAAGCAAACTGTGTGCTGCATCTCTTCTCGTCGATCCTTTCATCGAGTAACCCAGTAAAGAAACAGCCTTGGAATGGAACAGATCGGTTCGGAAATTTAAATCATACATACCCGTACATGTGGAGTGCCAAGAGTAGCTTCGTCCGAAAGAACTTCTCAATCGCCATCAAATTTCCGATTGGGCAGAGATTTCCGCGGGCTCAAGTGCTGTCACTTGTGTTACAAACTTCCGACGTTATCTTGAAGCTGTGAAAGAGTTGTGGCTTGAGTTTCCGAGGTTAGCAGCGTCAATCTTCAGTGTTTGTGGAGTCACAAGGTCTTTTGATAATTATAGCCAGATGTCATAACAATCAGCTACTTCTTGGGCGGGAGTAACGTTGTTCCAAGGTACTTTTCTCGACGTCGGTATCTGTGCCACAAGAGATATCGTGTGAAACGAACGACGAAACCTTGGAAGTTTGGGCCTTTTATCGGTGGTACATGGCCCCTCTCGCCGGTTATGAAATCATGCATGAATCTCACTAAAAGGGCTTTGATAGTAGATTCATTTAGAGCTTTCAAACAAAGTGTCTGTCTAGTATTTTCTTGAAAATCTGAACTACCCAGATCTGGAGGTAGTCATGAGAGATATTTACAATTTTTCACGCAGAATGCATCTTCGACGCTTGGAAAACATGCTTAAAGATGTCTCCTCCCCAATTTGCTATTAGGCACAAACAAAGGCATCGAATCCTCCCAGATAGAATCAGTAAGCACCTGCTTATTCGACCCATCGGCATCCATCACAATAACCTGCCCATACGGCTGGAATGTTTGATCGTAGAGCGCACATTCATACTGGAATCCATACATACCAGAAGAGTAAGCGATTCGACCATCCCACGTCCAAACAGCATGAGCATCATTGGCACCACTGCTCGTAAGAACCTTCAAATCCGACCCATCAGGCCGCATGGTACAAACATCATAATTGTAATCGCTGACCTTGCGCGTAAACACAATTCTCTCCCCATCAGGCGAAAAAGAAGGCAAATTATCCCACTCATTCGTGAGAACAGAGATCTTCCGCGTTTCGAGATCAAGAACTCTGAGACCAAGCTGGGCCCTGTCACCAAGAGTGGAGTTCGTTCCCCACACGCGGTAAACGATCTTCTTGCCGTCGTGCGAGTAGCTGGGGAATCCGGAGTTGATCACGCTGCTGTTGCTTTCGAGGGTCGATTGACTTTCAGTCAAGACTTCGGAGTAGGAACCGTTGGCGGTGGCCCGAACTAACCAGCCGCCGCCTGTGGCTCGGTTCTGGAACCAGGAGCCAACGCCGAATATCACCCAGTTTCCGTCGGGGGACCAGCCGGGGTTGAAGGCTCCGGCTAGGCCCTGGGAGACGGTGGAGGTGTCCAGAAATTCAGCCTTCAAGTCGTCGTAGACGAGGTGCTCGTTTGTGCCGTTCGCGGTGAAGGAGACAATGGATGAGTTTCCGAGTTGTTTCTCAGTCATGGCAATCTTGTTCGTGTTCGAGAGTTGGGGGAAAACGTCGGTGAACCGGTATTCCCAGTCCTTGTCCCAGCTGTATAGCTTCTTGTCCATAGGACGAACCACGTCGAAGCTCGTTTTCTCATAGACAACTTGCTTACCATCCGGTGACCAGGCTGGAGAGCGGACGGTTGAGCTGGATGTGTTGACGAATCCACCAGCCGATGTGTGAAGTCCCTCTTTGCCAGATCCCTTAGCAAACCAGGCAATAGTGCTATCGGATATGTATTGAGGGAAGATCTTGACTCCGGATCCTGCCACTTCCACTCTGCGACCGGCCCCAGAAGCAAAGTCAACCGATACCAAAGTAGAGTTGGCAGAGTCAATTGATTCAGGGCGATGGGAATTCCAAGTATTCTCGCGAGTCATCTCATAGTAGAGAATACGCTTTCCGTTGGGCGACCACTTGGGCGAGCCAAGACAATAGCCAGACTTCGAAGCGACACGACGGAAATCAGACCCGTTGGGCCGAATAGCATAGATAGAAAGCTCCTGAGTATGCTCCCAGCCCGAAACACCCATGAAGACCGGGTCTCCGTGTCCATACCAGCCCGAGTTCCGATCCGACGAAAAGACAAGCCATTGGCCATCGGGAGACCACGAGGGGCGGAAATAACCGTTCGGCAACGAGGCGTTCGCAGCAGTCGAAGCGGTATCTGTGAGGTTCCATTTTCTACCGCTCTCTAGATCCATGACCCAGATATTGGCCTTGTAGCCATTGGCGGTAGACACATAGGCGACTTGTTTTCCATTTGGTGACACGACTGCTCCATCTTCAATCGAAGAGGTTGTTTCCAGCTCCTCAAGGTCCGAGCCGTTCGTTCGCACGCGGTATATATCCGAGTTTCCGTCACCGTTTCGTTCGCCGGTAAAAGTAATCCATTCACCGTCGGGGGAGAATGTCGCATGGTATTCGTAGATGGGATCTGAGAGAAGAGGACGTTCGTTCGTGCCGTCGACATTGGCGACGTATAGCTCCGATGTGCCAGGTGCGATTCGGTTCATGTAGAAGACACCCTTCTTTCCAGATGAGACTGCTTCTCGGGGGGCTTGCGAGTGTGTAGGTGGGGCTCTCTTTTCCAATGCCATTTTCTCTGCATATGGACACAGAGCCCATGCTGGTGAAACAGCAAGCCCCAAAAGGGCAATTGATGCAGAGAAGTGCATTTTTGATGGTAAGAAGACCAGAAGTGAGCCACCAGGATCTAAATCCCTTCCTCGGTGATAAAGATATACTTATACGGACATATGGGCTGCAATAAATTCCTGGATGTCAGATCATTTCCGTCCAGGGTTGTAGTGCGGTCCTTACCTCCGACGCCAAATCCACCTTTGCGTAATAAAATCGCCGTCATTAGCGGAGTCCGCACAGATGCAGTACCACGCCAATCCCTTCATCTTATCTGATGGGCTAGGCTAGCGAGTGGGACCGCCACTGGGGGCATGTTCTGCAACTAGATCCGCCCATTAAGCGAAGCCGTTGACTTTGCAGGATATTAATCACCCATTTGATTGGCTTTGTCGGTTTGCTTAAATTGCCAGGCACAAGGCAATTAGGAAACGATCACCGTTTTGAGACTTGCCGGAGGAAATCTCTCCCGCTTGACTTTGGTTGTGTTGGCGTGAAATGATACCCTTGTACGGAGTAGGTTAGCTGCGCGATCAACGCCGACCAAGCAGTTCACGTGGCTCCTCAGCAAATTCGGTATGCAACGATATTGTACCCCTTCCATCGATAGGCTGATCTTGGGCTGTTGGTTTCCGACCAACCCATGTGCTTGTGTATGATGCCGATTGGGACCGAGGATAATTTGGTCCAATGTGCCGGTGTAACTCAGTCCATCTCGTCAAATCAAGACACCGGTCATCGCTAACGCAACCGAATGCTTGGCGTTAGCCGTGCTTCGTAGTGCAAGGAACAGTTTGCGATGTTGACGATTCTCGGAGTCCGAGATGCTCGGTCGGGGATGCCGAATGTAGTGGGTGACGCGCCGATCAGGGGTGGAGCGGCCTTACGCTCGGTCTTGGCATTCCATCGTGGGTTTTGCCAAGTCTTGATCCATGGATGTTCTGGTTGTCGAGTACGGCGTAGATGGTGTTCTGGTGCATTGAAGAAATCGACACATTGATCAAGTGTGTCCTGAATACGAGCAAAATTGAGGTAACGAAGTGGCTGCCGCACAGGTGGTTCGGACTGAAAGCCAGATCTGGTTCCCAGGTATATATTGCAAGTCTAAAGCATTGAACCTTGGAAGTTGGAACCTAAACACTTGCATTGAGCTAAAAGATAAAGTGAATATTGATAGCACAAGTACATCAAACATGATATTCACATCGATTCTCAAAGATGCTTTCAAATGGGTCTGCCCCCGGCACCTCCCCCTGCTGCATCTTTGAAATCAATGACCTACTCCTCATCCTCCGGATCCTCCGGATCCTCCAACTCCCCCAACTTCTCCTGGTTCTCCTGAATATCCTCGTCCTCATCATCCACCTCCTCCTTGACATTCACTCCACGCATAGAGTTGCCACTAACACGGCCCCCAGTGCGATTAGCCGCACTCTGATTGAGCTCCGGGAAATGGCGAGCAAGGTAGTGAGGAACCATCTTCGGATCAAGCGAATGAATGTGCAGAGTATGCAACTTAAATTTTCCAGTCTCAGAATCAACCTCGTCGAGCAGATATCTATACTCGTCAAGAAGATAGCCATCACGGCGCTTGAAGTATCGCTGGAACAGAGACCGGACACTGGGACCATACGTAATGAGAAGACGAAGGTCTTCCATGCTGAGGACCTTCTCCTTCGGGTCAAAAAGGTTCCCTTTTTTCAGATGTTGAAGGTGAACTGGCAGCTCAATCTGGTTCTTGAGGCGTGAATACTTCCGGGTGTTGCCGCGAGGAATATTGTTGAGATCTTCGGCGTACTTGCGAATAGCGTGGTTTGCAAGTCTGGGGTCGTTGAGCATGGTGATCCACTTGGATCCGATTTTCAAGTTCTTGTCTTCGATTGGCGCCAATGTGGTTGATGCTCCGCTAGTGGATGGGGCTTCGGCTTCGAGGGAGCTGGCTGGAAGCTCGGGATCGCGAGAAGGCGTGAGACCCAATGCGGGATCAATGGAAGGGAGAATCATATCTGGGGGTCTGAACTCCCCACTGAACGCAGCGTGGCGTTGAAAGCTGGCGCTTGCCTCTGCCTTCTGCTGGGCATATCGCATCTCTCGGTAGATCTGGGAATCAACGTAAGGCTGGTCATCCAGAGGGGGGTAACCTGGTGCCTGGTTCCACGGGTTTGGTCTTTCCATTGTGAAGCGGCTATCAATATCGGCGAAAGAATGCGGGATTCCCAAGATAGATGCCAGGTGCGAAATCAATTCTGGGGAGGCAAATGCAATGTTCTGCGGCGTGTAGTCACCATATCCATGGTCAGTGAGCTTTGTCAGATCGTCCAAGGATGTCAACGAGTCGAGAACTCTATCGCGCACCGTTCTGTTGAGACGGTGGATGGATGGAAGCACAACTCTAGCTTCGTCCTCATCCGGCTGGGCAGTGATTTCCCTGCGTTTCATAGGAGACTCTTCTGTCTCAGCCACGCGTCCGATGTGGAACAGACGTTCAGCAATGGTCATGGTATCAAGCTCGGGTGGCAGGTCTGGGACGGAACTGGAAGCAAAGCCAGCATCGTAGGAGCTCGGAAGACCGAAAGCCGTCTCAGGGGACCGCTTGCCGACGCGCAGTCCAGGCAATGGATCGTCAGAAGTGAATGGGTCTGACTGAAGTCGAAGCGCGGCCATTTGTGTTTCCTCCCTCAGAACTGCGACTTCCTGCTTCAACTCCCAGTTCTGACTGCGCAAGGCCCAAACCTCTTTGCGGAGGTCGGCATCACTGAGGTTTTTGGTCTCGGTAGTCTCAACGGATCGATAGAAGACATCCTTCTTCATGTAGTCGGCCTCTTCATCTACGATAGGCTCCGGCAGTGTAGGGCTCAGAAGGTTGATACGAGTTGTCTGTGAAGGTATCGTCTGAACGGGCTGCTCCATGGACATCTTCAGCACCATCTCCCATTCAGGAAAGAGGATGTTCAGTCGCTCCTCGGAGATGGGAAGCTCGCCGAGTTCATTGGGGCGGAGATAGATCCATGCATACTCCGCCTTGGTCTCGTAGGAATTGATGCCAGTGGTGATGAAGAGCTCAGTGTAGTCTCGCATGACGCTTCGATCACCCTCCTGGGCAATAGAATAGATTTCCTCCAAGTTGAGGAGGGTAGTTGGCTTGGTGGGATCAGACGGCAAGGGAATTCCGTCCTTGGTGACTTCACCAGTGGCAATGATCTTCCTGGCACGTTTCTCATGGGGAGCTCGGAATGCACCAGAGAGTCTTTTTTCGGTCGTGGGTTGCTTAGATGGGGTCCAATCAGACTCAATCTCCGAGTAGCATGGAGTTTCAGGTGTGACCCATTGAGGAGGGGAAGACATTGAGATACGTCCTCTGATCACGTTGCGAGAAGGAGTTCTCAGCACTGGACCTGAAGAATCCATCCTGTTGACGTGTTTTGTCAGATTGAGACGTGACGGGATGGCGTGTGTTGATACTGAGGACTGATACACGATGTTAGGGTGTGTGTGAGAACTTCGTGGTTCGAAATTATACAACTTACTCGCAGACTAGGAATAGAAAGCAAAGATGGATAAACAAATAAGACTGAGTGCTGGGTTGGGTACGCGGTTGAGACTGGAGTCGAGCGTGGGAGAAAAAGAAGAAGAGAGAGAGTTGCGATGCAAAATTCAGCAAATGTAAACAACACGTTCAGAGAACAGTCTACACAAACACGTCTCAGTGGCAGGTGACCTGCCCTCATGATCTAACGTGACGATGTAATACGTCTAGGGCTTCCAACTATGGTAGCCCTGTTTGACCATCGCGATACGCCGTCCATGAAACTTTCTCATACTTGCATCCATCGCCATGCCGTTGCCCCCTGTAACTAAAGTGCCATGCAATCTTCATACTGCATCTCTCGACTTAGACTTCAAGCAAACAACACAAAGTATATTGCCTAAACTGTTAGGGCTTGATGTAATAACCATGGTCCGCCGTGAGGAATTGACAACCATCTGTGTCTCTCACATTCATTTCCCGTCATTTTCCGTAGCTAAGCCTTGAAAAAAGAAGACCTCAGTAGATTACGTGCAAGAAAGCGGATCTACAAAACTGTAGAGCCTACATACAGTGTACAAGTAGCGAGGGCTACTCCAAGACGGCTTTCCAATACTCACGTGTTATAACCCGTGATAATTCAGTTGAAGTGACAAGCATTAGTGCCGCGCTTATGGCCAAAAAGACAATAATAGGTGCTTGAAAACAGGAGTACTTGGGTAGTTATTGGCTTAATCTCATATTTCGATTGGTAACGGAAGAGAGCTATCATCAACTTTAGGATCTCTTTTGAACTGTCTTTTGGACTGTCTTTTGAGATGTCTTTTTTAATGTCTTTTTTGCTGAAACCGACGGTGATGCACAGTTCTGTTAATCTCCCAGCACCTGCCTTGTTTACCTCCTTCCTATATATTCCCTTCCCATCTGTTCTTCCTTTCTCTTTCTCTCTTCCACCCTACAACCTCTGAGCTTGAACCATCTGCGAGCTCTCTCAGCCTTTGTTACTGCCAGTAGCATTCTGCCTGCGAAGTATTGCACACTGCCCCGACCTCGTCCGATCCGTTCCTCTTCGAGGTTCGGCCTTCTTCATTTCGCTCTCAGTTCGCTCTCAGTTCGCTCTCAGATCCGTTCCTCTTTGAGGTTCGCTCTTCTTCTCTTCGCCCTCGTCCGACCCGTTCCTCTTCGAGGTTCGGTTTATTTGGTATAGTTCTCTGAAGCCTGGTCTCGTGGACTTGAATTACTAACAAATGATTCAGAAATGGCCTCGCGCGCCCACGTCCCAGATTTGTTTCGCCGCCCATCGGGGGGAGACTGGCCTAAGGACCTGCACGATCAATTAAAAAGACCCCAAGAATGCAGTATCAGTGTTGGAAACAGCCATGATTACATCACTGCGAGGCTGAGAATCCGTCCAGATTCACGGTCCCCATGGCTCGACGTCCAAATTGGCCCCATGCACATCGCCATCCCTGCCACGCGCGCAGGTATGAGATTGGTTCTAAAGGGCTCCTCGAATCAGCAGGATACCTTTATCGAAAGACACGAGAAGTCCCTACCCACAAGACGACAGGGTCATCAAACCTGCTTCTTTGAGGTGGACCCATCAATTGGCCCTATATGCACTGGTCCGTCATGGCTGTTGGACGACGCAAATCGGTATACTTCGCAAAATCCGGGCTATTGATTGGTCTCATAAGAGCGTCAGTATCTGGATATCGTTCCCAGATAAACGCTTTGGGGAATTTCGACAAATCCAGCGCCACATGAATGAGTTGGTGAAGCTTGTTCGACAGACACTTCCCACGGAGGGAGAGACACCTCGGACTTGGTATGCCCAGCACAATCCTTTGCCGGATACAGAAAAGGCACCACGGCGCCCGAAGATGCTCTGGCTTTTCGATCATCAGGAAGCCCCGCAATACCATATCTGGGAAACAGCCGTGGACTTTTTTCTAGATGATATGGATCGCCGTTCGCGACTGCTGGAGGCCGCAATTGTGGAAAAGCACTTCATATGGTCCACCTACAATAACGTCTTTTGCAAGGGCAAGAAGCACGATGTTCTCTTCGAGCAATCTGGGCCAAACGAGGCGTACTGGAAACTCCATATCTGGATGAACGCCGAACCCAAGCCAGCGCCCCCTGACGGCAGTCGCGCGAGCTATGAATTCGATTTGGCCGATCTGGGTAATCCAAAATATCCCGGAGTATACAAGGGCGATGGAATCTGCATCCTCTCATCCCACGCAGATTTTGCCATCCTTACTCGTGCGCCCTTCGAAGCCGAGTTGGACGGGCAGACTCGAAAGCTGATGGCCACCCTGAAGCTCAATCTGAAGTCTACCCAACTACAGATCGACGCCCTCGACATGGCCTCAAGGGTGGTAGCCTTCGGTGACGATCCCAAGCACCAGGACGCAAAGGGCTACTCACTCCAACGGACTATTTTGGCACACGGAACCGAGTTGGCAACAGACGACCGTTTGGCCTTCTGGTTAAATGCCCAGAAGATTTCGACCGTGCCCGATGAAGAGAAACAAAGAAGGGTCGACTATATCTGGAAAAAGTTCCCATTGGATGAGTCGCAAACCACGGCTGTGCAGAGGTCAGTGTTCGATGTCTTTGCTGGGATTCACTTGGTCAAAGGCCCACCTGGCAACGGCAAGACCCGAACCACCGTGGTCATCCTCTTGATGCTAGTCAGCCTGAATCTTCCGGTTCTTATCTGTGCGGGATCAAATCAAGCCGTCGATACCCTCTTAATCGCCTATCAAGACGCCCTTCACGGAGATGAAAGGCTTCGGCAATGGTGTGGGAGCTACTGCCGATTCCGGACCCCGTACTATCAGATGGCATCTCTACGCCGGGCAAGCCAACGCCGGCCATTCCAGACGAGAACTATTCAGCCATCCTTGTCTGAAAAGTCCCTCCAAGCTTGCCAGATCGAATCGTGGTCCAGGAAGCCAGAGATCACTGCAAACAGCATCGGCAAGCTCACGAATTTCTGAATGCCCTGGACAAAGACCGGGCACAGGGGATGACCAACCAGGAGGCCCTCCATCTTCAGGACACCTACAAGCATTTACTCTGTATGGTTCTGAAAAGAATGACGGTTGTCGCCGTCAGACTAAACGCGTCGGGAAACCCTCATCTACAAGGCGTTTTCCATCCATACGCCATGCTGTGTGACGAGGCCGGCCAATGCTTGGGGAGCAATACTATGATCGCGTTGACAGGCTATCTCTCCTTGCGATCGATCACCTTAATCGGCGATCCTGATCAGCCTAACGCCCGGAGCGAATTAGAAATGCCCTTCTATACGGTCTGAATAGCTTAAATTAGCGCGAGTCCTAATTAGGCCTCAAAACCCATATTCTACTGGTGGTCACAACTACCATTTACCAGCTGGCCGATATACCCCCGGTACTCCCTTTTGAAATCAAAATCAAAAACATGGTGTCAATTTTGTTTGTTGGTACAAAAAAACTATCAATGAACATGTGGAAAAAAAAAAAACTTTTGAAAATATTCAATATCGGGGACCATGTCGACTGTCATGCCAGGGTAGCATCAATAAGAAGTGCCGAGCTTTCACTGGGTCGTTGTTGGAAAAGCGAAGTTGGATTCCGTCGCTTGTCTCGGGCTCCATGTTTCCACTTCTCGAAGGGTTTTTTCATTCAATACCCGTGGAATTACCTTTTCGTCTCTAGCTCGGGCGCCTTCCCTTTTGCCTAGGGTGCCTTCCCTACTGTCCAGGGGGCTTCCTCTGGCCTCCGGGCTTCCCCTGGCCTCCGGGCTTCCCCTGGCCTCCGGGCTTCCCCTGGCCTCCGGGCTTCCCCTGGCCTCCGGGCTTTCCCTGGCCTCCGGGCTTCCCCTGGCCTCCGGGCTTCCCCTGGCCTCCGGGCTTCCCCTGGCCTCCGGGCTTCCCCTGGCCTCCGGGCTTTCCCTGGCCTCCGGGCTTTCCCTGGCCTCCGGGCTTCCCCTGGCCTCCGGGCTTTCCCTGGCCTCCGGGAGGTTGCTTGCCCTGCTGCCCAGGGGGGCAAAGGTAGCGGACTGATCAGTTGAGAACTCTTTCTGCAAGTTGCAAACTGGAGGGCCGTCTATATTGGTATCGCATCAGTCTCACTCTCGGTTTTTCTTTCGCTAAATTCACATACTGAAGTTACAACCAATTTCAAGTCTCCCTCGGGATATAAAACAATCCTTCTTAGGAAGATAGTACCAATCAAGTCTGAAGAGGATAAAGTCAGCTTGAACAAAACAGAACCTGTCCGAAATTACTCAACTCACTTTCCATTGATATTTTCCCCTTTCTCCCACTTACAACCAATGTCAGCTACATCGCTCAAAGGAAGTTTTGTTAAGCCACATCTAACAGATGGACAAGAAAAGCAGTTGGCGTCCGGGCTGTCCTGCACAGTCTGGGTGAAAGTGCAGCGTGTTAAAGCGGTAACGACTGCCGCGTTGGTAATGAAGACGAAGAAACGCATAGTTCTCTTGATTGTAGTGAAAAATGGTCTCCTTAGGTCATAGACAGATCACTGTGGTTGATTCAATTCCATATGTAAGATCTGCCCAGGTGGTGATCGTAAATGAGAGGAAATCGCAGATATTTATCCCCTTTAGTCCCGCAGAATTTCGGTAGTCTAGCCATCAAAAATCGAAGAAACTATAAAGCCAAGAACCAAAATCTAGACTTAATTCACGAAGTACTATGATCACCTGTAACCCCGCAATTATTTAGTTACGGGAAATAATATGGCGCATGGTTATCAATGAGTCTAGAACGCCTTATTTGAACATCCAGATTGAGCCCAGGCTGCTGTATATCTCTCTAGGGCTTGACTAGCCCTAGGATTTTCTGAGTGTTCCAGTTTTTTCTTACTTTGTCTAGACTGTGTTCAATTGGAAAACTATCTCGCATTATCCATGGTCGTCAGCTGAATGTGAGTACGTGACAATGGTATCCCACCACATGATCGGCCAACCTTGGGGCTCAACTTGGGGATCTGGAACCAACTATATCTATGGGAGCCACTGTGGATCATTCCCAGTAACGACGAGAGTAAATCTGCAGCCAGACAAGCTTTCTCCATCTCATTGATCTTCCTGTCCACCCCCTCAGCTGACGTTAGGATAGTAGGGCAGTCGATCATCCTGTATGTCATGAAAATTAATTCAAATTTCAGACATGGAGCTGGCTCGATTCCGGACAATAATTGCTTGTCAAACCACAGCAGATTCGTCAAATCATGAATCTCTCCCGCAAGCTCTGGAGGCTACGTCGGAATAGAACATTTTCAGTTTGGTCTATTAATGGTGAACACGACTATCCCAGATATATAAAACATCATGTATGCAACTAATTACAGAGAGGTTGATTGCACGATTGAACCATAACCTTCTAATTAAAAACAGTCTGTAAGTGGCTATGCGCAAAATTTCATTTCCATGGCACTCCCTTGGCATTTCATGCGGGGTTAGCGCAAATATGTGGTTGGACGATAAAAGATGGTAATCAAGTCTCAGATGATGAGAATGTATACTTTAACAGCTGAGTGAGATCATGGATGTTGAAGCAGACTTCGGACGAACCGGAGACCAAGCCCGGGTGCGAGGCCCTAGAGCCTTTTGTTACGTCATAAGAGACATGCTTTAGTTATACAGTCCCGCCCATCCCTTAAACTGCACTTCAAACCATAGAGACTCCTTCGTATGATCACTTTTCGTGGAAGCAAATATAACCTAGGAGGTGGGAGCGTGGCGTTCATGAGGTAGAGCAGTTCTATACTACCCTAGCCAGAAGTTTCCAAGGATCCGGACGTACTTTCTTTCCAATAACCACCCATATCGTATTATCCGTCGCAAATAAATCTTCTACGAGCGAAGTCCACGAGCTCCGCGTGATTAATAACCTTTAAATGGCCTGGCTACTGCTCCGATATGACTATCTAACCATTATATTATAGGCTGAAGAGAACGACGACTAGAAGAAGTGTAAGAAGTGTCAGTTACAACCTATGGGCTAATTGTGACTAAGCACTTACCGACACCTGGGCAGTCGGTCCCTCTGTCAGTGAGCTAAAGCCATTTCACAAATTTTTGTCAAAATCAATTTTAGCCCCCTATTTCTAGACCAAAACAATGCCGTTTCCGCCAGAACAAGAAGAAAACCAGCTTATAACTGCTCTCCATGCTTATAAATCGCAAGAATTTAAAAGTATTAACGCGGCAGCTGCCTATTTTGGTGTTTCAAAGTGGAAGCTTTAAAGTCGGAAAAATAGATGATCAACTTTAAAAGGCTATATAATATATAATAAAGTATTGTAATGGGGGAACCGCGCCACATCTCGCCTGCGCCACTTGCGCCCTGGGGGTATTTCTAGCACCATTTTCCTAGCATAGCAATCCAAGCATCCTACACCTCTCTGGCAAAACAGCATCTACTTCCTAATCGGGCCGTGTTATAGGGCTTTGCATGCCTCCCTGTTCCCGCCGAGCACTGAGCACCGCCGTCGTCTTGTCTGCGATGTCAGACCGCCAGCGCGCTCTTCCCATTACAGTATTCTAGGTTTTAACATGAATTCAAGCATTGGGTCTGTTAGCTGTCTTTTTAGCTGTCCTTCCAACTCATTGTAGAGTAATCATGATTAGTTGAATAACCGAAGTCTTGGCTAAGCCGTGGAAGATGAAACACATATGGTAGATCAAAAGAAGACCTTAGTGGATTGCGTGTAAGAAAGCGGATATACAAAACTGTAGCTTCCATATACAGTGCATAAGTAGTGAAGGCTACACCTCTAAGACGGCCTTCTAATACTCACGTGTGATAACTCGTGAAAATTGAGTTAAAGTGATAAGCATCAGTGCCGCGCTCACGCTTGGCCAAAAAAACGATAATAGTTATTCATAAACAGGAGTAATTAACTATATATTGACTTGATCTCATATTTCTATTAATAACGGAAGAGAGCTATCATCAACTTCAGGATCTCTTTTGAACTGTCCTTTTTAATGTCTTTTTTGCTGAGACCGACGGCGATGTACAGTTAAGTTAGTCTCCCAGCATCTGCCATCCTTCCTATTTATTCCCTTCCCTCAACATCCTCATCCGTAACAACAGACCCAGTTTGATCTTCAAACTCACCATTTGACTTTATGACTGTAATTGCCTCTTCATCTTTCTTTAGCCAAGTCTTTCTTCTCCTTGACGATCTCAATCCTTATCTGCCGCCCGTTCTCTTTGGAGCTCGGTTCTTTTCCCTGGTTGCCGCCCGCTCTTACTTGGGTGGTAGAAGTCAAAAGGTAAGTAAATCCCCGATGTGGCTAGTGCTATGTTAGAAGGGTATTTGAATCCCTCAGTGATAAGATCCTAACTTCACCATAGGCATATCTTTCGACATCAAATTACAATGGCAGACTCGACACAGCAACAGCCCCTTGTCAAAGGGGGACATAAGCAATCCCCAAGTGACCTGCCTGCAACATTCACCTCTTCGACGATGCCTATTGTCCACGAGAACACCATCATCCTCGCCGCAACGCACCCTTCTATCAGAAGTGCCCACCCAGCGCAAGACGGGTGGTTTATCTCCGACTTCTACGCCTTCAACTATCTCCTCAAAGGTCAAGGTCAGAAGCAGACGTGGCTGACAGCCGCTGATCCGAGAAGGCTTATCCAGGAATATGGGCCATATTTACATGGCAATCCTTGCGAGGAGCGCAAAACTTGCCTTGATAATGACATGCTGGATCAAGATGAACTGACCCCTGTGACTGTCGTTCGGTCGAATCAAATGATTGACCGTTTCCTTTCGGAGGCAAGGCTTGCCTCCGAGTTAGCTAAACGAACCGAAGCCCCACTCCTGCTGCTTGTATTTTGTCACGGACACTCAAATTATCACCCCTGTTTGAACGATGACAACCAATCAAAGGGACTGAGTATCCTCGCCCTGAAAGCTGTCCTTGATCCCGGTGCCCGCATTACCCTGGTTACCACCGCTTGTTACTCAGGAGGATGGGCTACGACTCCAGATTTAAACATTACTAGCATGGCGGCAGCTAGTGAACGCCATCTTGATCCGCAAGAAGACTATCGACGCGCACTTTCTAATGCGTGGGGTCCTTCACTGAGTGTCGGTCGGACGTGTGGGTCAATTTTTGCGAGCACCCTGTTCCAGACTCTTTCGAGTGCTACGAGTCCTCTGTTAGATGCTCGAGAATCTAGCAATGCTAGTGACCCGCTGAGTTTACAACCCGAGGAGCCGAATGATCAGCAAACCTTAACCTATAACTCATTCTGCCAATCTGTCCTGGATACATGCCAAAATAGCGTGACGCGGCTAGGCGACATGCAGTATTTCACATTCAGTGCCCGGGATGATAAATGGGATTTCTCATGGACGGGCCGAACCGGCATCCCGCTAGCCCACTTTGAGCGTCGGTGGCAACAAATGAAGTCCTATCCGTACACTGGGACGGAAGAGATGCGCCGATTTGGTAGCCAAAGTCCCGGAAATGCCACATTCGAGGTCAGCGACTCAAACAAAGTCGGCGGAGTCCGCGAGGCCACGGACGGCGAGATCATCGAGAACATGACCGCTCTCATTGCGCAGCACAAAATCAAAGAGATGGCGATGATGTTCCATGCCACTTGTCCAGGGGATTGGTCTTGGGGCCGAGAGGTGGCTTGGGGAGGTACTCTTTTCCGACTCTACCGGTTTGGCGAATTCCTCGCGGACGAGGCTGAGATCTACTCCACGATTCGTTTCAGGTGGGAGATGGCACTCCTCGCAGATCATTTTGTTGCGACGTATGAGCTTCCGATGCCCAGAAATGAGATGTGTATCCTGTGGGATTGGTACTCCTGGATGCATGAATTTCGGGCGAAGAACTCAATGTCAGAGTCCGAGTTCGACCAACGATGGCAGGAGGTAAAAAAGCCATTCAAACACTGTTTCCAATTCCCCCCTTACCCGGTCAGGGCCAGCTTTTCATGCGCCCTTTCGAGTATTTGGTGGCAGCGTTCCTGGAGTCCAATAGGCCCGAGCATGAGATCAGTGTTCTCTCCAATTCCATCCGAGAGTTCCTACAAAATGCCGAGGCCTTCCACCGGCAGCGCATTTTTGGCAGCCCAGAGGTCCGACGTACAGGGCGTGAATGGTTGAGGTCGGTTGGTCGCCGGGCCCGCAAATCGCTTTCTCCCCAGAAAAGGGAGAGATCCAGCACCACAGAATCTGCCTCATGCTGAAGACAGAATATTTGCTTTTCTTTTGTACTATTGTGTTTGCTTTTTGGAGAAGATTTTTATATAGCCAATTTCATTCCTTTGCTTGATTCTGGTATACTATGATAATCTGATGAGGATCTGATCAAAATCTGATCAAAATCTGATGATAATCTGAAGATCTGATGAGGATCTGACAAGCTGCACGCTGGAGGATAGATCCATTTGTATGAGATAGAAGTTTCCAACTATAAGAACTAACCGCGGAGTAGAAGATCTATGCGCAAGCGGTAACAGAAGGCTCAAACACTACCTACACCATATTCCTGTGCGCACATAGATGATACCAGCGCTGCATGACTTCCAAGGTTGTGAGATAGAAGGCACTCCCGAGGTCCTATCATCACCTGGGATATAGATGGAATCTGGGTCTAGACCTGACTCTCGTTTCCCTAGCGTACCTGCCACTGGTTCATAGCTCCAAGGTTTACTTTCCACAGGCTAAAAGTCAAGGGGTTCGTAAAAGAAGACTTGAATGATGAGATATCAACTGGTCTTGAATTGTAGGTTGCTGCAGACTTCGGAAGGATTATACCTAGGGCTAGATTCCAAACCTTGAAGTTATCACTTGATGGATAAAGTGAACTTAAAAGTGCTCCCCCATTTTAGCATTCAAACCGCTAAGCTTCACTTGTACATAAAGTTCTCGGGTGGCTTCCGAGGCACGAGTTGAGGAGCCCTTGGAGAAAAGCAGTGAAGAGGGTATTTTGATCAAAACCTCACACCACAAGCAGTAGCCCAAGTGTGCCTCATGAACAAGCGTCCCAGGCCTTCAAAACAGCTGTCAAAGAAGATGTATGATTCATGATAGCCAAGCATATAAAACAAGCCCTCTCTAGCGCCGTACAACCTGCATTCAAATCACTTGCACTTGGCTGCAAGGAAGCCGAAAGCCGGTCTGGAGGAACCAGACCCCAAACAAAGAAAATGAGAAAACACCTTCAATCTGTCACAAGTACACAGTGTATAGAAACCCATTCCAACTCTCTTCATACCGCACTGTATCCACCGCGCGAACCTGCGCCTTGCAAAGTGTTGACCACACGGCGAAGCCAGTCCTGGAAGATATAAGGGACATCACGGATTGTGTCACCGTGGGGAAGAAGATCCCAGCCACGAGCGCCGTACCGGTTATAGTTGAGCCATGAGCCGAAAATGAGGTAAGCGGCCGTGCAAAGGAAAGCACTGTCACAGTTAGCATTGACCCAAATCAAGAAATCACAGTCAAAGTATTTGACTCACATAATGATCAACCAGGTAAAGAAGCCCCAGCTATTACTCGTAGACGGCTTGTCAGTGTCGCCCTCGAAGTTATCACAAGCATATTTTGTGCGCCAATCCAGACGCAGAACGTAGGTATCATCATCAGCCAGAGCAAAGCTCTTAAACTGCAAACTGCTGGAATTCGTCTTGGGCGCAGTCTCCTCTCTGCGCCTTCGCTCCTTGGGCTCGGCCTCGGCCAGAGTATGCAGTCCCTCGAGTCCGGATCGCTCGTTATCGCACTGGAACTCAATAACAGCAGCTGCCTTCTTGGCCTTCTGGTCATTTCCATCGCCCTTGTATGAACCGCCCGCAAGCTTAACACGGAGCCCTTCGGTCTCGGCGTCGATCTCCTTCAATCGCTTCACCTCGGGATCCTTGGAGCCTTCGCCGAGAGGCTCCAGCCCCACGATGGGGAACCCGAATGTAAGGTCGCCGTTACCGTCTACCGGAGATCGGTTCACGAAGCCGCAGACTAAATGAAAGATGTCAGTTATCGCGTGTACCGGGCGAGTTTCCTGCGGTCGCGAGGGCCGAAACGTACTGTTTTTGCTAGTTCCGCATGTCGCATCCCCCATATGAGCACTATCCCCTAGGATATTGCAGATGTTGAGTCGGTAGGTTGTGTTCGTCACGAAGTCGTCCGTGCTCACGGAGTGGGTGATCTCGTGAGCGCCTCCGAGGGGACTGAGGTCATATTTGTAATTGTCGATTTTGATGTGTTTGCAGTCGAAGCCTAGTGCGGAAGCCAGACTCGAGAAGACGGCGAGGGATACGGCGGTTTGTAATCGCATGGTGAATCGGTGTGGAGGGACGAGAGGAATAGACGGCCGAAAGCTGGGGATGAGGCTTTCGCGGGAGCTCGAGAGCTCAGGTGGAGATGGCCAGGTAGTCACGGGAACGGTCAAATGTGACCTGTGCACGGCTTTTGATGCTGGATGGTTGGAGTGGGAAGTCTCCAGAATTCTCAAAATCACGAGTCGCCGGTGTGGTGAAAGTTGGATGACGCGGGAGATGTTTCGTTTTCTCCGGAGGCGGGCTTGGGGCAACGCCGACTACTTGCACCGCCCTGGTTATGCGGACTTCTCACTCCGTACTAGTGATCCTTGCTCTAATTCGGGGAAATGTGATTTACACAGATGCCTACAGAGTTATGTACTTCGGATAAAAACAAAAGCTGCGATGATGTCACCGTAGTGCCCGATGGCCCAATATCATTCTTTGCAAGCTACTACTAGCAGTGGTCATAGAGGACATAAACTGCCTGGAGTCTCACATTGTGAACAGCTCTGAATAAGCCCCAATCCAGATACTATAGCTATACTTGCTCCTTGACAGCCACTGAGCTCTTGGTAGTTCCCGACATAGATGGCCTTAGTAATACTAAGCAGTCCAGCTCTAGCGAGCAGACCTGACCAGTTCTGGAGCTCCAGCCTTTTAAGCACAAAGTAGAAAAATACATCAAGCCCCAATATCCATGGATATATAGTGTAAACTGCAGCACTTGAGCTCAAATAACCAATACTGCCCAGATGAAGGTCGAAGTAAAGACAACGCTCATCGCCAAACTCGCACGGACCACCCCACTCAAACCCGATATCAAAGCACCCCCACCCCTAACAACCCATCAACATAACACACTCCTTCACAATGGTCCAACCGCGCATGGTATGTTCAAGTCCCCGTATAAAAACACCTAGTCTAACAGCCCGCAGCTCGAAAAGGCCGACGAGACCTCGGCCAACGACGAGAACGAGGTCCGTCGCGAAGACCAAGAAAAAATTAACCGTTTCAGCCGCCTGCACCAGCGCGAAACCGTACTAGAAGAGCAGCTGAAGGGCAAGCAGGTAATTCAAGCACCCAAATTCCAGAGTTGGATGTTGTTCCTGAGCTGTCCCCACTAATCCACTTACAGAAAGACAAGGAAGACCTCGAGGAGGTGTCTTTAGAGCTTGAGCTTGCGGATGAAGATGAGCTTGTTCCGTAAGTGGCAAACATCACATTCTCATGATTGGATTGCCCAGGACATTGGCCTTAATCATGACATTACGTGACGTATTGATGTACTGATGTATATGCAGGTATAAAATCGGAGACTCCTTTTTCCAGCTCCCTCTTTCAGACGCGCAGGGAATGCTCTCTACATCAACAGAGAAGATTGATGGCGAGGTTTCCAAGCTCGAGGAGTCGATTAGTGAATTGCGTGAGGAGATGCAGGAGTTGAAGGTTGCGCTATATGCGCGATTCGGCCGCAGTATTAATCTGGAGACTTAAAAAAGTGCCAAATCGGGTTCTCTTGTCGAATGTTACTTTTCATGAGTATGAATTTTTCAATGCCATGCTAAAAGGCTGGTGGTCTATGTTTAGATTAGATTTCAATGAAATGGATGAGAGATGAGACTCCAAGGATCTGAGGATCTGAGGTTGTAGAGAAACATGGCTACTGCAATTCCATACCAAAGTTCACACCTGGGCACATGTCCGTAAATTGAATTATAATTGAGTGAAAACAGCTCGTCAATGTCATTGAAACAAAACAGAATATCCAGAGGTATCTAAGAAGGCCAGAAGAAGAAGAGAAAGACGAGAAAGTAATAATCCAGCAAAGCGGATAGACGAGAAGATATAGCTTCACGAGGCTCGTGGCATATATTTAGGGGGTAGGGATTTGCGAAAGTGCCATGAATGCCGGGTCTGCGATGCGGGCTGATCTTGCTCGGGGGAATCGTGAAACCCGAGTGATGCGACAGAGACAAAAAATCAAACAGAACTCGTGCCGGAACCGCGTTTCGGTTCGTTGACATAATTGGCACAGGGGGTATATACGGCTCTCCTATATTCGGGAGATGTATCCGATGGATCGCATTCACCTGAACTTGGCGCGGCAGCGGCCCATGATCTCGTTCTGGCACACTAGTTCGGCGCTGAACTCGCTGCCGTCTAGTGTGAGGTAGATATCGAAGTAGACGCGGTAGAAGATTCCTTGAGGTGTGTCCATGCGCTCGAAATCGGTTTCCAGGTTCTTGCGGGAAAGATCGGAGGTCAGAGTGACAACTTCCTTGATGCCTGGGGAGATGGTTAGTATGTGATTAGACGAATCTGCTGATTTTAACTTACGAGGATCCTTGGTGTATTCCGGGCAGACGTCCTCATCGCAGGCGTATAGCACGTCCTCGTACATGAGTGTTGCACCAGGCGCAACTTGACGGAAAAAGCTGACCTTGACTGGCTCGCCGATTCTCACACGCTCTCCCTTTTGGACGAAGATCTGGCGTGTGTATTTGCATCGATCACGGCCGTCAAGACTGGGAACTCGGTATTGCTCGGGGTGATATCCTTCCTTGAAAGGTTGGAGAGTGGCCATCAGGTAGTGACGACGGGCAACACGGTGCGTGATGACCCGTTCAGTGATACCTGCAGTGACTGCACCCTTGACGATCGCGGCGACGGAGTCCATAGGCCGGATCACCTTAGTTTGATACTGTGGTGGCACGTGAAGCTTAATTTGCTGGAATAGGTACTCTGAAGCACCGAATCCACCGACGACAAGAACATTCTACGTATAGCTGTTAGTCAAGAAGCTCAAATTAGCGGATTCGCGGGTTGGGCTGTATACCTGAAGTGCGCGGTTCTGCGCCTGTATAGCGATGATCTGGTTGCGAACCAATTCCAGAATACGATTCACAACCGGCTCAAAGCACTGCAGAATCTCCTCGTTCATGAACGTCATGTAGCCCTCCTCAATACCAGCGTCAGGGAAATCAGCCTCGATACCCACGTCCACAGCCCATTTTTGTCCGTTGTTACGGAAGTCCGCCTTGATGCGGTTCTCAAAGTCCATGATACACTTCGCGTATACCTTGCCCGCAGTACGCGAGCCATCCGGCAGCTTCATCTTGCGAATCTTCGCGCGCAAAATGTTACTGAAATTGCGGTTCAATGCGGTCGAACCACAGGAGTCACCGGATCCAGCAGTGCACTCCATCACACTAAACGGCGATTCTTCTTCGACCTCGTAGGCGATCAAATCCACCGTACCACCACCACAATCCACAATCAAGATCGCATCACCGACCTTGAGATTGAGCAGTCCGCTCTTGGCGCAGAACAGCGCCGCGGCTTCGGGCTCGGAGACCAGCGTGAGACGGTTGTCGTTTTCGTCGCGCAAGAATCCGGCCTGGATGGCAGCTGTGCGCGTCGCAGCCTTGCCGGCATCGTTCCAGATAGCCGGGACTGTCAGGTAGTAGCGGATGTTGCGCTCTTCGCGGGTGAACACCTCTCCGAGAGTCTTGAGGAGCTGGGCGCGCATGGCCTGTCGTAGCTTGAAGAGGTAATCTGCCGCGACGTCGATTTCAGACTTACCGGGTGGCAGAGGGGGCAGGTTGATGGGGTCGATATAAGTGTTTCCAGAGAGCATCAGCTGAAGCTTGAACCATTCCACCTTCTGTACTAATGGCTTTGGGTATCCGGTCGGAGCGAGCGCGTCGGCGATGTCAGGGCCCCAGCCCACCACCTTCTGATATTGATCGTAGTATAGGACCGTAGGGATCTGGTAAAGAGGCGGGCCATGTTAGATCGGCGACTCCAAACACGTCGACACGCGGGGTTCGGCAACACGCTTACCTTTTGTTTGGTGTGGGTTCCGGCGCCTGGCCATTCCGTGATGATGTCCTCTCTGGCCTCGTTGTTTGTCGCGAACGCGTATGCGACGCCGGAGAAAGTGGTACCGAAGTCAATACCCACGATCAGCTGGGCCTTGCTGCGACCTGCGCCCTCGACTTCGACGGCCGGGTTGCGGCCTGGGTAGGTGGTGTTCGACATTGATGTTGGAATACTCGGGGCCATCTGTTGCTGCTGCTGCATGCCATAGCCTGGCGGGCCATTCACAGGGACACCGGGCTGGTTGTATGGAAGGTTGGTTGCGATAGGCGGGGGCTGACCACCGTGTACCATTGGGCTCGTCGGGCGATAACTTGGCGGGCGACCGGACAGCGGTTGGTTCTGATTGTTCATTGGTAGACTTGCGGTCGAGGAACTGCGCCCGGAGGGAGGCGGGGAACTGGCTGTTGTACTTGGAGGAGCGACAATGACGGGGTTGGGAGGATTTGGAGGTGATTTGTGCTTCTTGCCAAAGCCGAATGCTTTTAAACGGGAACTCATGAGGTCCATGTGGAGGGGATTAAAGAAGAGAAGGGATGAAAGAGGGGGAAAGTGAGGCTGAGGGTGTAATTGTGGAGATCAAAGAGACTTGAAAGAAAAAGGGAAAAGGCTGTTCGCGAAGGGGAGAAGGGAGGATTCCAAGTATAGAGAGAAAGAGAGAGAGAGATTGGCCTGGAATTGTTTTCGAGTCCAATCGAGTCCACTTGAACATGAACATAGATCTTTGTAGAATTTGTTTACTTTAATTCTTTACATTTTTACAACTTTACATCTTTACGAGGATGTTTACAGTCTCACCGTTTCTTTCGCTCAGGTCTCCTGCGGGGTACATTTCTCTTTGTATCTTTTGGAGATGCTCAGAATACTAAGTACTATACTCCATACTGCTATGCTATATAATTAATTCCCTAGAACATCCATGGATATCGAACCCTTTTTATTCTCTCTTTGTACAGCGTAACACGTTTTGGCCCCCAAACACGAAAATGGGATAGGCAGACACAGCCTTGTTGATGCTCTAAAGCCTCTCCCGCTTTCTGGCCCCCTTCCCGACCTCTTCAAGCCCGTTAGACGTCAGACCCTGTCAACTTTTCGCGCCACCCAGTGTGAGGGCTGGTAAAGGTTTTGCAACATGCTATTAGGGTCCTGAATATAGCCACACGCCCGCCGATCACCGCGCTTCTCCAAGCGGAAGCCCATGTGCTCCACGAGGCTCAGCACCTCTTCCTCACTCAGCTCCACATTTCCAGGCTCCCCGATACCAGGCTCGTGTCCTTGTCCTGCATCGCCCGGTTTGCGGGAGTGGCCGTCATCAAAGTGCCACAGAAGTGGACCGACATTGATCCAGAGCCCATTGGGCTTGAGGCTGTGTCGGATCGCCTCGATGTAGCGAATCAGGTTCGGTGCCGTGTCGATGAAGAATACCGTCGTCACCGCGTCGAAGGTTTCCTGGTGATCGGGCTGCGCGTAGAGCACCGTGAAGTCGGCCGCGGACATCGACATGGTGCCGAGTCGTCGGCCGGCGGCGACTGCTTCTTGCATCGCGAGTCCTGGGTGCACATCTGGGATCTGGACCGGTTGAAGCTGCTGGGTGCGGGATTGAAGATTGGAGAAATGCAGCGCGAAGGGATGGAGTGTATGCTTTGATGGGCCGTCCGTGTGGTTGAGAACCCAGTTGCTGGCCAGCAGCTGGTGGTATGAGATCTCGTTTCCTTCGGCGTCGTAGCCAGCCATGCAGATCTCGAAGACTAGTCGGCCAAGACCAGCGCCAGGGACCAGAACGCGGATCTCCTCTCCGTTGTCGCGGCGGGTCTGGAACTCGTCGTGGAGATCCTTCAGGACGGGGTCGTAGCAAACTTCTCTTTCTGCTCGCCCTTCTAGACTCCAATCACGGTAGAACTGACGGATCGTGGAATGTGCCTTGTTCACGTCTGATGATGTGGCGATGTCATGCCAATTTTTAGTAGGGTCATCTTTGTCTGGAATGGCAGGGAGATCGAACGATTGCAACCCGAGTTCAACAATTGCATCAGCGATCTCAGCGTTGGTGTCGATGGCATCATCCACCCTGTTGAAGTTGTCCAGAATGGAGAATGGTGGCTCCGACAGCATCTGCCAGTGTGCCGATGGCAGGGCGTAGAAAGCCTGCCGCCGGCGATGAGTTGTATTCATGTGGGCATTTCGCCGATACTGCCTTGTCGGAATTAGTTGAGCGCTTTACAACAGATGATTCCGTATGCCATTCCAAGCTTGCGTCCAATTGGACAAATAGCAATCCCAGGCCATTATACATGAATGGAAGCCATATAGCCACCTACCTGAATGAGTCCACAGCGGCAAATAGCACTCTCTTCTCCTCGGGATCAGCAAAGGGATCAAAATCACCCTCCCATTCCTCCCCGTGGGGGTGTTGATGTTGATGTTCAGATGTCATAAGGGCAAAGGTTCCGTGACTGTGCCGACCCTCAAGATGAGATGACCAAGAATCATATACGCTCGACGCCTGAAACTTGACTCAAAAGAGGAACAACCCCAAGGAAAGTGACATACAACGTCGTGCGTATATTGGAGGGGGAGTCGAAAATAAGTGGGCAAAATATTCCTGAGGCATCCACACCGATTGGTGGGGGCTTGCGATGTTCAACGTTCCCCTTTGGATACCACCTCCGTCGAACCTCAGCCACCTATTTACGTTGTTTCTGCTTCTCGAAAAGAAATCTAGTCATGGCCACTGAAAATGCAATTCCTCAGCCGGAGCTGACTGCCCCAACTGTGAAGCCTACAGAGGTATCATTCACCTTGCCAAAAGCCTTCCATACAACAGCACATGTCCACCTTAACTTCTTGGGTCATTGCGCTATGGTCTTCCTGGCTACATCCAGTCCGGCGGATTCCGGAGGCTCCATTAAGCCAATGGGAAGCTTTGTTTATGCGATGCCCGATGTAAGTACACAAATCCGCCACCGTACCTCTTGCCCATCCATCTTCGGCTTGTTTTATCCCACATCTCCGTGTGCACGGGAGATCAAACCTCAGACTTCCATATGATTGCTCTAGGACGCGTGGCTACTTCAAGTGAGGGTATCATAAGTTGCAATGTTTATTGACGACACCGCCTTGGGTATGATCGCAATGACTGCGCTCGCATGTGGATCTCACCTGTCTCCGGATTCGGGAGGTTAACAGAGCAAGAATTTAGCAGAGATGGAACTTTCACATTCATGCTAGAGACACCGCTAACGTGTTTGCAGCGTACATCTTCAAAAGCAACAATAGCAACAACACTCTACACATCAGCACCCAGCATCGAGTACACAACTCGCATAGCAAAGATCTTGGCCAGACGGTTCTCTATTCCTGTCTATGTTGGATGCAGTATCGATCCTCACGCGTTGGGCTTGGAGGTGGCGGAAGAGATGGAGGGTCTTACCAAGACTATCAACGTTATTATGGAAAAATGGGAAGAGCACAAGAAACAGACTTCCGTTCAATAGCTGGATCGAATTGCGAAGAATCGGGCGATTTTGCGTTTGTGGATATAATACCCAATGATACATTTCGTGTCTCGAATTCCGAGGACACTCAGGTCTCAATCGACTGATGTTCATGCTGCGAATATCCAGATCCGCGTCATGCGAAAGGCTTCCATTTGTTTCTTCCCCCTTTCCGGCTGCTCTGGGCCGATACGCAACTATCCAAGCCTCGTGATACTCGGTCTCGGTGCCCATTTTTTTAAACCTAGTCCGGACATAGACGACGAAGCAATACAGTGGATTAGCTTTCGGGCCTCAGAGGTCACCGCACACGAGTGTCGGCCTTCCCAGTTTCATCATGGAAATGCTCAGATATTAAAGAGCTCTTGATCTTGATGACCAGCTCGGCGAGCTTTGCCCCGTATGAAGAAGGTCAAATCCAATATTAAAACTGTGTTATTCTGTTGTGTGTAGTGCAATCGCTATCGCTTCGTAAACAAGCCGGACCATCAAAAGGATAGCCCGGTCCTCCCGCTTCAAATTCAAATGGCCAGTCCGGTAATCATCCGACGATTCTGAACCGCATCGTTCAAGCGATTGTGGAACTTCTGGACATTTTCAAAGCGAGTAAACCCACAAGACTCGCTTTCCAAATGATTAAACAAAGCAGCCAGCGAGACAAACTCCTTAGTGCACCGTCCACGCTTGTTGAGGCAGTGATAGATCTTCGACTGATGGACAGGGGAATTCAAATGCTTGTTCAGTGAGTCCCTAGTGCCGAACCCCTTTGAGCAAAAGTAACAAATCCAATGTCTGCCGTTGAACGCCGCATCGGTAGCAGAGTAAGTAGAGTTACGCTCATCATGCCAGCCAATCTGCTTCTTGGTGATGATACCCGTGGGATCAAGCTGTGAGATGGCACGGTGGATAGATTCGCGTGTGGCATGGCGGGCATTGGGACACGCTCCGGTCTCCAGGTGGTGAGAGGCTCCGCTTGCGGTGACGAAGGTCGCGGTGCAGAAGGGGCACTTAACTTGTTTGCCGCGGTGGGTTTTGGAGTTCATATGCTATAGAGGATTAGTGACTGGAGCTGGTTAATATATTCGTGTACGTGTAGCGTACGGCCCGGAAGTTATTCTCGTTCATGAATTGGCGGTTGCATGGCTGGCAGAAGTTTTTTCGGTGACCACTGGCTTGCATGTGCTGCATCGCTGCCTGGGAGGTGAAGAACATCTTGGTACAAGTGTCGCATCCGTGCTTGGGCTTGTGGTGATTTGTAGCATTCATATGCTGCTGGCAGGCATTTTGGGAGCGGAATCGTCGATCGCAGGTTTCGCACTCGACTCGCACCCAGTGGTTGTATTCATCCATGTGCTCGTCGCAATCTTCTTCTTCATAGAATGTGTCGGTACAGTAATCGCATTCGAACATCGTGAAGGATGAAGCTCAAGCATGAAGCTGGAGGATGAAGCTGGAGTGAAAGTGGAGTGAAAGTGGGAAGAGCTCAAGATACTCATTTGTGATGGTGGGCTGAGCTGGACTTTCTGATCTCTCAATTACGCCTACCTGGTGCGTCTACACTTGTATGCTTGCCTTTTGTGATTTGTTTGCACTCTGTTTGCACGCTGTTTGCATTACGTCGATCGCACTCAAACAACTGAGCCCGATCCAAGGATCACCTCGGGAGCAAGCAGAAGACAAGACTAAAGGATTCACAAGGATTCACAAGGATTCACACTGCCCACGGAACCATATTACGTGGGAACAAGGTGTTCCGACGGAGCTGCCATTGAGTTTCCACTTAAGCTTCGGCTGTGAAACATTTCACGTGTTGTTGCATACATTACCTCATATTCCACAAGCTGTCTATATAAGGGGTATATAGCAGGGTTGCATCAGAGCTCACAGGTCCCACAATGCTCGAAGCGAAGTCAACACATACGAGGGGTTAAGAGACTTGAAGACAGATAGATCAAACCACTCGGCAATCCAACCGAATCGATCTGAGACATTCCCGTGGACTAGCAGGCGGAAGACGCCGGGAGTCTCATGTTTAAAAATCGTGACAGTTGGTCTGGCAAGCAAATCGGAAGAGCTCGGCGAGTGGAATTCGGTTTGAGATCGTTGTCCCGCTGTGGGGCCTGTTCGGGTGTCTCGAGTTCATCTATCACATACGCGTATATCCATGGATCTCGGTAGGGTTTGAGTATGAATGAACAGGTGCGATGTGGTCTGTGTGGGTGTATACAAGTGTATATGTACACTTACGCACCTTCGGCCATAGGGCTTCCCAAGACTACCCAGATACGTACGTGAAGGAAGTAAGTAGAACAAGCCAAGGTAAGGCGTGGTGGGGGGTTCGGAGACGGCCGAACTGCGTCCAAATCAATTTAGAGATGGGTGGAACTGTTTGCCGAGTTCAATTTCCGTTCATATTATGTATCGAGGTGCACATTCCTGCACGTGGACACGTACGAGTCAACACGGCTCAGCAGTGCAGATTGTAGCCCAGAAGGGCAATCTCACAGTACTTCGACTATCTAGTGGGGACCCTACGAGTACACCGCCAAATTGGGGTCAACGAAGTACTCCGATCTTCGTACTCCGTACTCTGTACGTTGGAGGTATCACAGACATACCACAGCCGTTGAGGCTTTCTTTTTCTGAGGGGGGGACCATGCTTGACACGTGTACGGAGTAGGCATGAACCCCTGCATACAAAGTAGGAGAGGACCGGGCCGGGGCTCTGTGTACAAGGCACACATGTCTGAGAATAAGCCTGCAGAAAAAAAGGCCAGGTAGACAACAGACTGGCACTTCGAGACGAGGATCCAGGCTCCATCTGTAACCGAGAGCGGGGAAGCCCGATACCGTCGACATGAAGAGATCGCCCGTTTCGCCTCAGCCGACCGGAGGGGTTCCGGGCAGTGCTGGAGGGGCCACTCACGGGCTGAGGCCGTCTGTGCGAGACCCAATGGCTGCATCTCCTGCATGGCATTGAAAACTGGATCAGTTGAATCCACGACGAGGAGTGGTCGAGAGAGGCGGATGTCTTCTCCGATGGCCACCAGGCCTGATTGGGAGGGAGCCCCGGGGGCTCGGGACGTCAGGTATGTCAAAGACGGCACGGTCCCTAGTCCCTAGTTGCGAACTGCCCCTTTCACCTTAGTATAAGACAAGGTAGTGTACTCCGTAGTCCCCCTGGACTGTATGGACAAGATAGGGTTCGAACGTTTTCGGGGGAAGTTCGGACGGGCCAAGAAGACCCAAAGAGGATTGGCTCTGGGGCCCGGGCCAGCCATCCGGCCTATTCCATGTGGTCCGGTGCATGACTTCCGAAGTCGATCATCAGGGCTTGTGCAGAAGATGATCGATTGGGCTCAAGGGGAAGTAAATTATTACCGTAGAATGTGTCTGTCAGGTACGGAGTAGATCCTATAGATCCTATAGTATTCAGATTCCAGCCTTTACTGAATTGTCCGAAAGGGAGAGGAAGTATACTCCGTACAGATAGCCACATACTCAACCACATACGCTAATCAGCTACCTTTCACCGAATTGAGCCTAATAGGACAAAGTTCGGTGGGCTGGGAATTTCTACATCTGGTATGCATCGACAGTGCCACTGCCGATCTCGGGAGTCGTGAAGTGGTCGTTTGGCGTAAAATAGGGAGAAGATAGAAGCGAATGTAATAGCCATACTCTATATAATAGCATAAGAGGACTCTAAGAGTATAAGACTCCAATACAAAATATACTATCGGCTCGGCTAGATCTGTCACTTTCGGCTGAAGATTCCCTTTAATTTCACTTTTATTCTCCGCGATCTGAGGTTTGGAAAATACGGGAACCGGATGGGGCCCTGTTGGTGATCGTAATACTTCTCGTCGATCGGGTTCACTTTTTTCTTTCCCTTTTCGCTTCTCCTCTTTTTTTCCTTTTGACGCATTCTCCGATCTCCCCTTTTCTCTTCACATTCCACCTCGGCAGTTGCAATTCGATTTGCCCCCCCATATTCCTGAATTCCTTATTCCCCGACAATGGACTTGCAATTCTCACCCGAATAACACACGACCCCAGACAAAAGCTGGCCCGTATCTTTGACTCCTCACAATGCAGCCTCACTATCGGGGGAACAACCCGGGCTACGAGCTGCCACCCGTGCAGTCCGTGACGTCGGGCGCATTCCCGGCCCCCCGCGGCCTTACTTTCCGCTCCACCGACGAGACCCAACAGCGGCATGCAGATGGCTCATCTGCTTCAACCCATGCCCCAACAGCTGGCCGCCCCCGCGACCTCGCCATATCAGCGTTTCTACGATTCTGCCTCCGGCTCCCCCGCGGATAGTGGTGTCCTGCCCGATGCGCCGCCCGTGGGCTCTGCCCCGGCCGGTCTTTACCAAACCAGTCCCGTCGGTCATGGCCAACCGACCCCCGCGCAATTACAACAGAAGCGCGCATATCGCCAGCGTAGGAAGGACCCCAGCTGCGATGCCTGTCGCGAGCGCAAGGTCAAGTGCGACGCCTCCGAGTCCTCCAGCTGCACCGAGTGTAATAACCGCAGGGTCCGCTGTCAGTTCACAAAGGAGACCAATCGTCGCATGTCCTCCATTAAGCAGGTCCAAGATTTGGAAAAGCAGTTGCTCAACACAAAACAACAATTACAGCACCTGCAGACGGGGATGATGCGACCGGATCGCATGGTGGATGATGAGGTGGTTGCGCAGCCCATGGTCAAATTGCCGGAAATCGAGTATCGTCCAGTGCGTCGGTCCAAGACGCCCATTGCGCAGGATTTCTCCGAAGTGCGCTCGAACCTTCGCCACTACGGCCGTGGCATCATGAAAGTACCGACCCCTTACCGCGCGCAGGGCGCAGAGTCGTTGGTGACGGGCAATGCGCCGGAGCTGCCGCCGAAGCGCTTGGCGGACCACCTCGTGGCACAGTACTTTAACTGCGTGCACTCGGGCCTTCCGGTGCTGCACTGGCCCACGTTCACTGCCGAGTATGAGAAGGTTTACCGGTCGGGAACCCTGCTGGGAGTCTCGAACGAGTGGGCCGCGGTTTTGTTTGGAGTGTTTGCTTGCGGCAATATCCACACGACGGAGCCGAATCGCGAGGAGGAAGGCAAGAAATACGTTCGTATATCGTGCGGGATCATCGACGTCTGGCATGACAACTTTAATCTTGACCGCGCCCGGGCGGCGCTGCTGGCCAGCATCTTTCTCTACGAGGTCAATTCCAAGTCCGCCAGCTGGGTGTGGATCGCGTCGGCCGTGCGCGTAGCTCAAGAGATTGGGCTGCATCTCGACTCTGGGCCCTGGCCCGCGATTGAGGGCGAGATGCGCAAGCGCGTGTGGTGGGGGTTATACGCTTGGGACAGATTACTCGCCCTAGAGATGGGGAAACCCGTACTGATCAACGACCAAGACTGCGATGTCGACCTCCCATGTCCGGTCGACGAACAGTACATCACCGAAGGGGGCCAGATTCCTGACGGCCAGCAAACCACACCACTCCTCGCGACCATCCACGTCGTCCGCTCGATCGGCCAGCTCACCCGCACCCTCCGCTCACCCACGATCAGCCCCGCGACTCTCGAGACTTTTGAACTCCACTTCAACACCTGCCTCGCCACATTCCCATCTCAATTTCACCCCAAAACCGACCAGGATCTCGACCCCCGCTCCCTCGCCCCGGTCATCTATCTCCAAAACGCCCGCCTCCTCCTCCACCGCCACAACATCTCCCCCTTCTGCCCAGACATCATCCGCGCCTCCGCAATGGACTACTGCGTCTCCACAGCCCTCGATACAGCCAACATCCTAGCCCGCTGCATGCGCAACTACCCCACCCACCCAAACCCCTCCAACGATCCCCGCGCCCACTTCGCCTCAAGCGCAAACTCCCTCCTCTGCACCCACATCTGGCGCTGCAGTCTCCTTCTCCTCTTCCGCGCCGAGTACGCCGGCGCTCTAGCCTGCGTCCAAGCCCTCGTCTCAATCGGCGACGTCCGAACCGTCAACGCCGCCTGCGGCCGCTACCTAGCCTTCTTCCTCCGCCGACTCCTAGCCCGCATCCGAGCCGAAGGCCAAATTCCCGACCTCGACCGCGACGAGGAAATGATGGCCTACGTCTCGGGTGATATGCAAGGCACCACTGACGGAAGTTGGGTATGGCATGGCTCTGAGACTGGATCGCAGCTTGAAGGTATGGGCGCGCGCTCAACGCCTAATGCCGCAGGCCGGCCTGAGACGGAGTCGGATATTGATTGGGAAGGATGGGATTGGATCGAGAAAACGGTTCAGGATCTCTTCACTGAACAACATCGTCAGGATTATCGTGATTCTCTCGGTGTGCCGAAGGTGGATGGTTCTTTGGCGCCGGAATCGGCCTCTGATACAGATAGGCGGTCGAGTTCCGCTCACTCACGCATGACGATTGCTAGCATTATTTAAAGCGGGTTCCTCATTTTGGTTTTTTTTTTTTTTGGCTTCTTTGGCTTTTGATTGGCTTTTTGATTTCTTTGTGTTTTTTGTTTTCTCTGGCTTCGGGGTTCAGCATCAGTACCCGGGTGTCTGGTCAATGAGCGATCTTGTTCTTTCCTTTTCTTTTCTTTTACCTTTGTCTTCTGTGTGGCGGTTTCATTTCGCTGCATCTCGCTTCTCAGTGTTTGATAATTCATCTGGCTCCAGGCTTGAGACCTGGTGAGGAGTTTTGCGAATACTGGTCCATTGTTGCGGCTTCGAGCTGCTTGTCCATATACCTATTCCTGTCAGATATTGCATCACCGATACCCCTGCCCACGCTTGTTTATAGCCTTAGCATTCTTTTGTATATATTCGCTGGCATCAGGATCGGATTTTGTGAATTTCGCTCTGCAATTGGCCCAGAGTAGGGTGTATTCGAATTGTAAAATGTATCGAGTGGTGGTCGAGGGCTCCACCCCCAGGCTGGGCATTAGTTCCATGCCTGGTTCCGAAATTTGCTGGTTTGGATACCTAGGTATGAGCATTGGAACCTTGGAAACAACAGGCTGGACACCAATTTCAAGGTTGTCTATCCTGGATTGTGGCACAAGCTTCGAAACTCATCCTGGTTAGTAGGTCTTCCCTTTACTCAAACCCACGTGAAGAAATGCAACTTGGAAGACTCGACAGTAAACATTAGCTTGTATTCATAGTTGACCATAACATGCTACCAGCAGATCTAGATCTCTCAAACACCACAGCAAACATCAGCAACACAGTCTTGATTCTCTCTCATCCCACCTGGACATCCCCAAGACCTCACCACCACCCATCTCTCCAACCCCATATTCCGTTTTCACCTTTCTTCGCCGACAAGCTTAGATCAAAGTCTGCTCAACGGGGAAAAGAGTACCGTTCTGAATAGAACCAGCGTGGTGACGGGCAACAAGACCGTAGCCGAACTGGTACTTGTCAAGGAAAGGCAGAAGCTCATCGAGACCAGGGGTCTTGCGCCAGTCGCGCATCAGGTCACAGACGATACCGAAGAGACCCATCAGAGTGACGCCGGCCTTCTCCATGCGACGGTTGGCATCCTCTGCGAGACGGGCATCGAAAGTACCACTGGCATCGGTGTTGGCGAAGACTTCGTAGCCAGCGTCGACAAGAGAGAGAGCGAGGAAAGAGGTGCCTGTCTAATCAGCGAAATCCAGACGAAAGGAACAGAGAATGTATGGATTGTCAACTTACAAACTTCAGTGACAATACCGGCGATAATCAACTGCTTCTTGCCAGTGGCCTTGACAGCAGCGCGGAAGTCGGCGTTGTCCCAGGCGTTGACTTCACCCTGGCGACGAACGAACGTGGCGTTGGGGTGCAGGTCAGTGATCTCCTTCAGCATCAGACCGTTAGGACCCTGGTCCGAAGAGCTGGTCAACACAGTGGGGAGGTTGAAGACGTTTCCAAGCGCAGCGTGGCCAATGATGTTGTTACGGAAGTCGTTTGTGTTGTAATCACGAACGACCTGCGCAAGACCGACCTGGTGGTCAATGACAAGAAGGGCCTGGAGAAAGTCAGATCATAAGACGACTCAAGAAATCACGCTGCACAACTTACAGCATTGTCCTTGTCGAGTCTGTTCCACGCCTGAGCGGGAATGGAAGCTGCGAGAAGCAGCGCGGCCTTGATACCAGCGGAGAAAAACATGATGACAGGAGCGGACTTGGGATAGAACCTTGGAAGCTGTGAGGAAAAGCTGGATGAGTCTGGATCTGAATGTTGTAAACAGCCGGGAAAGCAGGATGCTTTTATACCTCGAGCCTTGATGAGTTTCCCGTTTCGGAAGGGTAAAGGATGTCAAGACCGGATGCAATAATCATGACAAAAGACCATGGGACTCTTACCACACCTCGCTTATTACGTTGAGTTGAGGCATGGAACTGGGATTGTACAGCCAGACTGTGCTGTCAGTGCTTGGGATAGTCCATGGGAGGTTAGCGCGATGTCTTGGCATGCAGCATGAAATCCCAGGGGAACGGTGGTATGGCTGACTTAGATTGGATTACCAGATCATTACCAACGCACTATCTACATTCGGAGTATCCATATTCCATTTCGATCAGGGTCTCTAGTGTAGAGTGCAGGGGGGTCGATCTGGTTGGGTGGGCTTAGATTGATAGCTGGTATAGATCGGTGTTCAAATTTTAAACTTTGGAAGGCCGGTATAGGGTGCTGTTGAATGTATTCGTTCATTTTCTGAATCAGGTTTAGATTGACTGCGCCTAGTAAGGGTTTTGGGATACTTGGGGGAATGCTCGTCTTGGAAAGGTACGCAATTGCCTAAATGGGTGATTTCCGGGAGCATTGGGGTCGATAGCTTTGTTCTTCTTTGGTACTAGCATGGCTTCACGATCTTGTCTTGGGAGATGGGCTGTGTGATTTCACCTTCGTTCCACCGTTCCACCGGGATTTCAACCATGTGTGCAGGTTCTCAGACGCAGGTCGATAAGCGGCAATTATCCACGACTGGGTCTGGGGACATCTACAATCCCGAGCAATTGTTTACAGAAAGCCACTGTTATGCGAGATATAAGTGGAATTGCTCCAATCTTGGCGTTGCGTGCATGAACTGGTAGATGGTTGAAATCAGGCCCATACACATACAAATTGAGAACGCTGACTCGATTTGGAGAGATGCTGACAGACATAAGGAGCTGAGCTGGGTACTGAAAAGTCTACAGTAGAGGAAGGTTATCTAAAGCATTCTCGCAATCTACGCCGTTGGGGTAGGTACTTGGCCTCGAACTTTGATCGCGGACTACAGACTACCGGGGGTGGGTGTGCATTTCCGGTGGACAAGAGCTTGGGTGGAGGTGTGACAAGCCACAACGTTCAAAATTCCACTTGGTTGTTTTGGCTAGAATGTACGGAGTACGGAGTAGAGTATCGAGATAACGTGGGGCGCAAGATTGGGGAATAACACGGGAACCAGATAATGTTCTGTTCATTGAATCCTGCGCTGTTCAATTCTGGACCGGGTTAATTACCCGCCGCGAGATGGTACGGAGTAGCAGGGATTTAGTTATACGGAAGCATGTAGGCCATCATATCTGACATCAGCCGTAGTTAGAGCCCTGAAAAGTCCGGAAAACGTGGTTAGAATTGGATTTTTTAGCGTTCCTGGATCTACACGGCAAAGTTTCTGGATGTCGGGCATTGAAAGACTTGACAATTAAGCTAGTGATTTACTCCGCGGTGGTTATGCACTTTATAAGGTAGAAATCTTAGAGGATTTCCAAAATCCCCTCGGAATCCCAAAGACCGGGGGAATTTAATTGACCCTTGGTGGTTTTCTTTTCTCGGCTCGTAGACCCCCAGCAACTCCAGTCAATTCGAGTCTGCTCTGCAGGACTTTAGTTAGCGTGATTTAGCGTCTTACAAATAGACTATAATCTGCTTGTCAGCATACCCGAACCTTGAGCTAAGCTCACCTGGAAGGTGGGCCTGTCCGAGCCCGCTTTTCCCATGAATCATGTTGCCCGGCGCAAGCCCCCGAGCCTTGATTGATGGACCCATCGCCAAACGGACTGCCAAGGTATGAACAAGTACCAAACCTCCTGGTAATTTACCAATTTCTGGCTATCTTGTTCTTCCTCCTTTCCTCTCTTCCTCGCTCTGTCTCTGCCAAGTCCACACCGTAAATGTGTCGTGTCTTCGACACCAACGGATTTCCGATCTAAATCTCAGCCTTAATGCCGGGTTGACTTGGAATGCACGTCGCATGTGATATGTTAGGCGAGTGGTGCTCTCGGACTATTCGGGAATGTGGGGTTTGTCTTTTGCTATCTGAGACAAAACGTTGTTCTTCCCGTGCTGTTGAGCCTCGACAAATTCGGGATCATTTTGAACGTCTTCGGTCCAAGACATGATGACATTTCGGATCCGACCTTGACACTAACTTTGTTATTCCTTTTTCCTGCCCTTTCCCCGACTCTGCTATTTGACTCCCCCGTTTGCGCTGCAAAATCCTCCGATTCAGAAAGAGGCTCTACAATATCCTGAGATCTTAATCTGTTTTTTGTTTTTGTTTTTTTTTGGTTTTTTGTTTTTTGGTCATAATTCCAGGTTGTGACAACGACGAGACAGGTTGGCTTTCTGATATCGCCTGACTTGGAGATGGGTTGCTCCTCATTCCAGCCTGTCCCGCAAAGACTTGATTTACCAGTTGCCCCTGGAAACTTGAGTCGCATGCTTTGAGGGTTTGAAATGGTCGGACCAGTCATTCGAGAAGTGAGCATGGTTGCAGACACGCTCTGGCATTGTGCAGAGTAAATGTGGACATGTCCATCCACACTACGGAGTACGCCAAGCAGATCTTCTATATCCAAGTGAAAAACCAGACAAAAGCCTGGTTCACCTTCTTTCCAAGGTACATTACACTTCGAGTGACCTTGCTTCACCTCGCTGTAGGTAAGTCTTGTGTGGTACGGCAACAATCCTACCGGACGGTCCGTCCCGTCCCTACCATGTTTATTTCAAGCTTTTTGGTACGTCGGAAACTACCTTTTCGCACTCTTTCCCCCCTTTTCTTTCTTCGCTGTGCCAATGAAAAAGACTTGCGGGAGGAAGATGAATATCATACATATGATGGATTGACATGGCTCGATATCTACCATCGCAGAATACACGGCTGCTAGACGTAGGTTGGTGATTGCTCAGGTGATGACCTATTCTATCCTCACCTGAGCAATTCCGAGGTTTGGGTTATTTCATGGCTCTCTTCTAGGTTGGGTAGTGATAGTAAATATACCTCAACCGCTTCCAATGGCCTCCCTCTCGTAAGCACATAGTCTTGTTACGCCCAAGATCCAGGGGTCTCATCGTTAAGATTTCCAGAAGTGTAGCTCCCGACGTCGACCCTAATGCTCAACCTGGCTGGTGCCATTCCGACGTTCAGTGTGGTTATACCGAGATCAGATCGGTATTGATGATCCATGGATCTCAAGTGCTCACGCCTATGGCTTGTGTGTTCGGATTAATACATCCATCTCCAGGCTGGGCATTCAACCTTCGCTCCGACAATGCCGTGGTTTACACCTTTTCCGACGTCGGGAGATTACAGAGGACCTCGGGACTGAACCCGGCTTAGAGGCGGTAGTGGTCATACAATTTGTCTTTCGAAGTTGACACCAATTTGATACCTACTCAGCTATCTCACTTCCAAGGTTACAATGGCAATCCAGGGATTATCTCTTGCCTACTTTCACACTGTAAAAGCCATCGTTTGACAATTCTGTGTAGTTGCATGTCTCTTTATGATTTATTTAATTCCCAGGTTGGTCAAAATTGTCAGAGAAAACGTGAATATAAAGATTGTTTTGAAAGTTCCAAGGTTGGATGGCTGAGAATGCGTAGCGTTCAAATGTAGCGGGCGGATATATTTTGGACGATTCCGTGCCTGGACACCCCGCGTTCAGGAGTCAACGGTAACCAAAATCAATGCTTCTACCATCAGTCTTTGGAAAATTGATATTTTAACCAAACAAGATCACGAAAAGGGCCCAGTTCCAAGGCAGGTGTGGTGGCTTGAAACAAATACAGGGATAGATGCGGATGTACAGGGGTGTCTAGGTGAAGACAAACTACTAAGTTCCTCAAAGTATCATCTCGGGTACATTCTATAAAAATTAGTGAACCTGGCGAGGCAGAGAGAAGGCAAGTATGAATAGCTAGGCGACCCATGACTCAGGCAATTTGGCATGCCACAGCTTCCAGGCTGATCGACAACCGTTGTACTGGCTTTGCACGACCTGATCGTCGGGCTAGTCCTGCAGGTTTGCCTAGAACAGCAACAAGCGCCTTGGGCGTCCTTGTAGCTCTGCACCTCACTTTTCCTTGCTTGACTTTTTCTTTTCGCCTCCACATTTATCGCCTGACTCCCGAGGTCCAGACTAACCTTGGAAACCATGTCCAACCATCAATACGAATCGGTCTCCGCCACCCCCCACCCATCAACAGACATTTCTTCACGATGGAAAGTCGCTGCAGTCTTATTTCCCGCGGCTCAGCTAGTGGGGTCAGTTCCCCCAAAGTCAAATGGACACAGGCCACCAGAACTGACCATGATACCTCAGTTACATGATGCTGGCCATCGTGATCGGAGATACTTCACATGAGCTGCGTTTTGACCGCAAGGCAACTATCATCTCTGCTATACTCATCATTGCATCATCCCTTCTCGCGCTGGTTTGGATCGCGTGTGCAAAATGGCAGCAGCGAGATCTCCTCCTCCATCTCTTCATGTGAGTTGCGCCAGGGCCCTTGGGGAGGTTTGGCAATTGACCCAGCCGCAGTACGTACCTCGTCGTAAATCTCCTCGCCCTCATCGATATCCTCCTCCATATCAACGGAAACAATGCGCCAATGCGCGGTCTGCAGATAACCGGGCTCTGTCTCCCCATCGCCGTGTCCGTGACATGCGCTCTGGCAGCCATAATAAGATATTGGGAGGCTCGGCAGTCAAGTAGTAAAGCGTTGAGTGAAGAGGAGATGCAGCGAAGACAGTTGAAGCGCCTACTGAAGACGCGAAGTAGTGTTCCATCCCCTGAACTCATCCGGAATACCTACCGGTTTGACCTGCCCGAGACACAGAATGGTTGGAGTCCCCTGGTCCACTGAGTCCATTGGGAAATGAATACCAATGCAGTTGAAATAACCCAACAAAAGAAGTGCATAAATGCATAAAAAGTTCACGTGTAGTGGCAGGGCAGTTCCCGCTGGCAGCTCCGAATCCGCGCCAAACGGACCTCGGCTGTTTCCGACCGTCTTCAAAACTTCCAACTCGGCCTTTTTCCATTCTCCAAATCCTCCCACATCCTCTCTTCAAACATGCCCAAACGCGTCACAATTTTCGACCCGCCCGCGCAAAACCATTCCAAGGCGCTGATCGAGAATGTCCTCGATCTGACCCCGGTGGTCGACCTCGGTCCAGTACGGTCCCCCTCCCACGTCATCTACCAAATCTAACAAGTTCACTAGGACGTCTTCACCAACACGCGACCATTATGGCACCCCCCAGGGGCCCGAGGCATCTACGGCGGAGCTGCGATCGCGCAGTCTCTGTCCGCCGCCATGCGAACCGTCCCCGCCGACTACGCCGTCCACAGCATGCACTGCTACTTCGTGCTGGCCGGTGACTCCGAGATTCCAATCCTATATCACGTCGAGCGCGTCCGCGATGGGCGAAGCTTCATAACTCGGACCGTGCAAGCGCGACAGCGCGGCCGACCGATCTTCACAACCACGCTGAGCTTCAGCCGTGTCGGCAGCGGTGGTCAAAAGACTATCCACCACCAGGCTGCTAAGCCGCAGGTGACCTTACCGGAAGCTCAGCCGGGAACCCTTCGGGCGCTCAGTAACGCGGGCGGTGGTCCTTTCGAGTCGCTGAAGGCGGGAATTGTGAACCGTAGGTTGCTGGCAGCGGGTTGAGATAGTGATATTGGACTAATGTCGGTTTTGAAAATAGGCACGTCCGATAAGCCGGAGGAGAAGAAGGTCCGTCGCTATATTCGTGCCCGCGGCCATATTTCCGAGGAGGGTGGCTACCAAGCTCACCTATCGGCGCTGGCATATGTCACCGACAGTTTCTTTATTGGATCGGTTTCAATCGTGCATGACATCCCTCGGTTCTCCTCCCCTGCTGAGCTGGAGAAGCTACTGAATGCCCTGAAGAACCCGTCCGACCTTGACGACGAGGACGTCACGCGGGCTCTGACGGAGCTCAAGGAAGAGGAAGCGGCTGATCTCCGCCGCCGCATTGAAGGTGCGCTGGACAAGGCCGATGGAAATAAGGAGGATCACAAGGAGGTCGGTATGATGGTCAGTCTTGACCATTCCATCTACTTCCACAATCCGCTGGCATTCCGGGCGGATGAGTGGATGTTGACGGAGATGGAGAGTCCTTGGGCTGGCGAGGGCCGAGGCCTGGCGATCCAGAAGATCTGGTCGAAAGATGGTGTTCTAATTGCTACCTGCACGCAAGAGGTATGGCTCTTCCCTTCCGCGCGCTTGCCGCAACCCATGCTAACATGATTGAATAGGGCGTTGTACGCTTAAAGCAGGATCAGCCACCAGCACCGAAGCTCTAGAGAGACTTCATCGTCTGCAGGCTTCTTTCTTTGTACACCCGCTCCACCATTCGCTTCTTTCACATACTTCTCACTATAGACTTGGGCCTAGCTCTTTATATCCCTGCGATTTCTGATTTTGAATAAATCTTGTTTCATACTCAGACGCTAGCAATCCATTAATTTCCTTAAAAGATCAATCTGTTTTCATAGCCATAGGCTTCTTCATAATATCCACTCATCCGTTTCAAATCCAACACAGAAACCCCATAATGAATCACAACAACTCAGCACTCAGCACTCAGCACACGGAACTCAAAATCGCAATGTAACAACAAATGTTTAGAAAGAAAAAAGTAAACAAGAAATCAACTTTTGCGTTGAATCACAGAAAAAGCCGCCCAACCCAGTTTTAGTCTTCCAGAGACAAAGTGCGAAAGTAAACAGCCAGTATAGTATAGTACAAGAAACGCATTCAAACCTCAAGTTTCTCATCGTTTTCATTGATCTCACCCCCTCGCTCCCGGTAATATTCCAAAACCTTCGCCCCCCATACATCTCGGCCCTTATACTCGCTCACGTACTCGGGCCACGTCTTCATCTCCTTAGCCAAGTTCGCCAACTCAGCCATTGGCAGCTCATCGAGCGGCGTCAGATAAGTCTTGACACCGAAGACCAGGGCTCCTGTGCGCGGCAGGCGTCGGAACGTCTGCCTTTCGCGACGGATTAGGATCTGCGATGGCGATGGGTCGCTTAGTTCTTTTTCGCACAGGGCGTGCGGTCGGTAGAGGATGTCTGTGAGATTTTCTTCGGGACTTTTGACTTCGACGAAGTAGTTTGAGCGCTCCATTGGGGAATTTGGCGTTAGGCGAGCCAGGAATCTGAAATTGTTAGTATCTTCCGGCATTGTTTAGCGTTTAAGGCTTGCTCACTTGCTAACGGAGTTTGCGACCTGTTGGTGCCAGAGAGGAACTGGGCCATGGAGTTGCGAAATCGTCCATCCAATTCTTTGATTCACCGTCCATCCCGTGGGGAATACGGTGGCACTCGCTGCTCTGGTTCATGTTAGGATTTTGAAATATTCGTCTGTCCGTGTGGATCTTACAGGTAGTATTCCCCTTCCTCATTCATCATCAAAATACTGAGATCCTCCATTGTCAACCGAACAGCGGCTTCCAGTGCCTCGGTCAAGCCCTCATTAGCGTCGCGGCCACTAACAGTGAATTTGTCGCCGGTCATGCTATTTTCGATGATTTTTCGGTTTTCATGAGTCGACATGGTGAATGCGGCGGGGAATCTCTCGCACAGGAAGTCCGAGACTTCTTCTAATGCTTCCTGACATGATGCGAGGGACTCGGGTAGGCATTGGATGACTTTGCCTCGCTTTTCATCTAGCAATTGAGTGCGGACTCGGTGCTCGTCCATGTAGTTTTTGTCGAGGGTAAGCCAATTGTGGACGTCGAGCTTGCGGATATCCATCATGACGCGGTATCGATCTCTACCCTTGATAGGCTGTGCTGGGTATGGAGCCAGGCGCTTGACGTCGGATTGATTGGAGACATCTTTTGATTTCGACCCTGTGATTCTTCTATAGACACGGTGCAATGACTCCTTGTAATGTCTGACGACGCAAAGACAGACGACGATTGTGAGGGCGACGAGTGAGAAGGTTGTCATACTTTGCCGGGCTGGTTTGTCTTAAGTAGGAAGATGTTGAAGCTTGGGATTTCTTTTTGGTCGAGGTCGTCTGATCAAGATTTTTGAGTTTCAAATGAATGAAAAAGAAAAGAAAGGCTGAGCATGATGGAGGTCTGACCCGGCACCGAGCATATAAATAAGAATGGACCTGAAGACGGGCTATGAAGTCACCTAGCTCGGGACCAGGCAGCAAACCAGATGATCAGACGATAAGTCAGGTCAGCTCACGAGAAAAAGAATTAAAGAATTAAAGAATTAAAATGGATTGCATTCCACATTCCTTATTGAGTGCCTGGGTGGTACGCTCTAATTACGCCTGATACGCCCAGGGATTCCCCGCAAAAAGCAAGCCAAAGTTCGCCGGGGAGTACACATGATCCTACAAGTAGACCGGTAATTTTCATTTTTTTTCATCTTTTCACCGGGGTTTCAAGGTTCTACAATGTACGAAACTAGATTGTATGCGAGACAAAATCCAAAGGCTGTGCAAAATTAAAACTAAAAAGGAAAAAGAAAAATAACTAAAACAGTAATTCGAGAAAAGAAAAGGGAGAAAAAAAAGAAAAGAACAGAGTGTAGTGTGGAGGTGATGACAATCATGACAATGAAACCTTCGGCTTCTCACTGGTCAAGCAGCTCCCCTTACCAGTCGGACATGAGCGCTAGGTCAGGACCCATAAAAAACATTTAGTTACGCTATGACGGCTAACCAGCCCCACGATCTAGGCACAATTTCTTTAGCTTCGCATCTTCAAGCTCCCGTGGAGAAAACCAGGGCCGAAAGGGCGGTACTCGCCCGATATAAGGCGCCGGACTCGTTCGGATAGGGCAATGTCTAGGAGTTGATTCGAGCCGCGTAAGGCGCCTGCCCAAGTACCTAAAAGCCGAACCGAATGTTTGATTTAGGATGAGTCAAGTAGGGGCAATTTATTGGATTTATTTTTATACATTTTTTTTTCTTCCAGCTATTAGCCTCAGAGCTACGAGTACGTATTGCATTTGACTGGATCGGAGTGCGAAGCCAAGATGTATTATGTACCATGCACTCCGTACAGTAAGTACGGAAGTACATCAAGGCTGGAACAGGAGTACGGAGTAACATGGGCACGATATAGCGTCTCGTGTGGGGGCATCTAACGGGTCCAAAAAGCTCAGTTCAGCCCCGATTGTAAACCTTTGGAGAAGATCCCGGGTTTAATACAAGGTTATTAACCTTCGGTTTCCGGGATGTGTGTACAATTACGTAGAAGGTCGACACGTCTACGAGATCAGACATCAAGATGATAACCTCGGAACCTGTTAATCTAAATTGAATTGAACTGAACTGTAAATGTAAATTGTTTTACAATACTCCGTACTCCATAGGAAAGCTCCTAAAAGCCAAAAGCCGATCACCAGATTTCCAAATATCAAAATATCAACCCTTTTTAGAGGCTCCACCGGGGCCGCTGCAACCGCACCCCCTTTCGCGTAAAGCGCGTTTGCCGCTGTTATTCACTGCCGTCCTACAAAGAACTTTCTCTTCTCTCTGGACTTGGTGTACGGGGCCGGCGAAAATTGAAATTTTCATCGGTCTTCTGTACTCCCTGGTACTTTTTTTCGCCTCCCTGTCATGAATATGCATCACACAGACCACCCACCAGGATCAAACCGAAATCGATCTACATAGCATAAAACGTACGAGGATTCGCCACCCCTATTCAGCCGTTTGTTTGCCTGTTGCAATCATAACCCGACCTGCGGCAAATGAGTGGGTTGGTTCCTGATTGACTGGTTTCTCCTCCGCCTACCGTCCAATCATCGTCAGCGGGTTACGATTCTCGTGAAGTCTGGGCCTGTATCGGAAGAGGTGACGTCGAACCCTGGACCTGAATCACATTGACCACGCACCAATGCACGTCCATAACGTGCAGTTTTGAGAATCCCTCCGTCAGGTCCGAAAACTCTATCAACTTTTGGTTATTTGTCTTTGGCCCTGCGCACAGACGTCTCAATCAGCTGCCTATACGCAATCGCTTTGAAGAGCTGCGATTGATCGACGTGAGTTTGGATCTCTGCGAACCTCTCGCTCATAGGGGTATTGTATACCGAGCGCCCTGTACAAGCACGGAGTACGGAGTACCCTATATGGGGTGTGTGTGGATAATTATATCCCAGGCCTAGACTTTGGCTTGATTCTTTGCATTAGTTGCGCTCCGACCGCAAAGTGACAGGTCGAAAGCCAATCACAGGCTAGGAATGACGCCGGGGAAGATTGTCCAGCCCTGGGGATCGCCGACCCCAAAGCCCTGCCCTGTGGCGTGGTGGTCACATGGTCTCTGTCAGAATTGGCTGTGCTGACTTGACGCGTCGGCTCTCAATTCGGGCATGGCTTGGTCGTTAGGTTCGTGAAAGTCTTACCTGCCAACTCACTAAGCCGGAAAATGTTTGCACACTGTTTCTTCCTATACATTATAGCACTGAATCCTGCCAGCGAAGTTTTCAAGTTATGGACCCTGTCAGATTAAATAAGTGAAACTGTTATAGCTCGAATGTTTGCCCCAGAATAGCCTCCCCCAGATTCCACAGCTTCGTGGCGTTCTCAGTTCCACTTGCATGACGCGCTGGATCCTTTAACTGACCGTCGCTTAAATATGAGCCTGAGAGTTCTAAATTCAACAAGCCCATGTTAGACCAGTGCGCAGTGAAAGGATGCATCGGAAGACCCACCTGTAAGACTAGGATCCAAAGCTGCAATTAACGTAGTGGAACAGCCTTGTTGGAGACTTTTCCTGTCCGTGACTTCATAATCAACAACTGCAAAGGTTAGCTCCGTTGAGACCAGGGTCAAGGACAGGTGTCAACCCACTATTTTGCGACTTAACTCGGGCGTCCGAGATTGACTCTGAATCTACATGTCGCTGCAAGTTCGACGCAATGCCTAGTAATCTCGTTGGCAAATGAACCTCATGCATGGCTTGGTACATACTCCCTGGATGGACTGAAAATGCAGCAATATCCGTGCTAGGGAGTTTGCTAGCGATGTGAACAGCCATCAAAATCAACGCAGTCTTCGATTGGCCATATGCTTTCCAGGTATCATAAACAGATCCACCCTGTCAGCCAAATTAGCAGACCCCACATAAGAGACCCTGGGATCCATACCTTGAAATCAACATCATCAAACCTGATACCCTCAAAGCGATGCGCGGAGCTGCTGACATTCACAATGCGTGCCCCGGGCCCCGCAGCACGAAGCCTGGGAAGCAATAGACCAGTGAAGAGGAAAGGACCGATGAAGTTCGTTCCAAATTGTATTTCCAAATTATCCGGCGTTGTGCCATACGGACAGGCCATTAGTGCAGCATTATTGATGAGCACATCGAGATGATTGACTTGTCTGTTGACTTCCGCCGCAGCTGACCGCACCGAAGCCTGACTGCTCAAGTCGAGCGCGATGAAAATTGCATTGACCTCGGGGTTCAAATGAGATATTTTCTCGATGACGGGCTGAATCTTGGCCCGGTCTCGCCCGGCAAGTATGATTGTTGATGGCGATTGCGATGCAAGACAAAGTGCCGTTTCTGCGCCGATTCCACCGTCGCTGGGGCCTGTGATTAAGACTGAATCCGAGATACCCGCGTTAGGCGGTCTGTTGTGCAGAGAAATTAGAGATTAGTCTTACATGTTCGTCCCTTGATCCTCTCGGCATATCCGGCTACCACTTCGTTTCCGGTCGACGACCATGACCATTTGGGGGACATTGCAATAACCTTTGAATACTTAGAAATTGGTTCCGAGTCACAGATCAGAAAGGGAAGACTTTGAGAAAAAAATATATCGCTTGTTCCGGGGATCTAATATATGGTCGACAAAGCTGACATTGCGGGCTAGCGGGCTTAAAGGTCTAAGCCCCGTTTCTCGAGTGGCCGCAATCTCCTAAATCCGTGGATGAGAACTCAAGTAGGTTGATTTACTTTTGGATCAATAACAGCATGGAATCTGGAGGTAATGGCACAATTGCAGCTATATGATAATATTGTTGATGTTCATATCAATTCATGTTGTGAACATAGCGTAGGTGGGAGCTCGGATTTTCCAGAGTTTCCAAGTTTGAGCAATTGAAATCTAATAGTTTTCGAAAAGACTTTCTCTAGACCTGCTTTTTCCCTCCATTATTCTGAGAGAGTTGGTTGTGTTTGAGTCCAGCTGTCAGCTTGCTGGTGTAAGCAGAGAAGATAGAGAAAGCCGGCTCGGTCACCACACAGACTGAACCCATTGCTGTCAATATCTGGGTCTAGCTAGAAATCATGAGCGAAAGAAGTAATATCAATTCAAGCTTTTCGAGATGAAGAAATTGAGCTCCAATTTCGAGAGCCCCGCAATGTCATCGAAGGGCGCACTGACTAATGGTGTCCACCCCCGGGGTACCGCGGCCGTCCACAGCCATGCCATCACCTTCTCGGTGTTGAATTCTCTCCTGATCCAACACTTGACGCCGAATAAACAATCGTTTCGGGTCACTTCGCTCTTCATCGTCAAGATTGCGACACGAGATGCCTCACACGGAATTGCAGTCACCCCCAGGGCCCAGTTCCGACCCAGATGACTCAATTACACTATCAATGCTGCATTCCCAGCTTCATGAGTCTCTAACGGTATCGCCGATGCACAAGTCACCGGATGAGCAGCACTATCTCGAGGATCTCAACGAATCGCGATCTGTTGATCTTTCCCGTGCCAGCGCAGTCATTCTGATCACCACGCTTAGTGGAATCACCTTTGTTGGCAGTATGAGTGGTGGACTCTTGACTGTTGGTCTCCCAACCATCGCAAAGGATTTGGACTTAGCCAACAACTTGTTGCTCTGGTGAGTAGAGCCCTTATAAGATGAGCCAAAAGAGCTGGAATAGTCTGACTGCATTCCTTCTTGCTACAGGCCTGCTTCTGTATACTCGTAAGTCTGACCCCCACATGAGATTCGATCCGTGAGTAACATGATGTAGTCTTGCAAATGGTTGTTGTCTACTTCTCGCAGGCTCAATGGCTGACTTTCTGGGCAACCGAGTGATCAATTTGACCGGGTGCTTTCTACTTGGCACATTCATTCTGGCATGCGGTGTATCGCAGACCGGCATTCAAATCATCTTGTTCCGCACTTTCCAAGGCATTGCGACATCGATGTGCCTTCCAACGGCATTCAGTATTCTGACCGACGCTATGCCAACAGGTAAGAGAAGAAATATTGGATTCGCCTGTCTTGGACTAGGACAGCCGCTTGGATTCTCGATGGGGCTCGTGCTAGGTGGTCTTTTTCAAGGCTCATCTCTGGGGTGGAGATTCGGATATTACCTGTGCGCAGGAATTTCCATGGTTCTCACGATCGTGAACTTCTTCAAATTGCCCAAGGATGCCCAGCGCGAGCCATTTTCATGGCGGAGGCTGCGCTCAGAAATTGATTGGATCGGAATCGTTCTGTCAAGTTCTTGCTTGGGGATCATCTCTTACGTATTTGCGTACGTTATTTGCTCGTGTGAGTGCAAGCTTTCAGAGATAGTAGCTAATATCCTTACAGGACAATCACCGACAGCCCGTCAAATATCCGCCGGGCAGAGAATATCGTCCTGCTGTGCGCCGCTGCAATCATGATTCCTGCATTTATGGGATGGATGAACTGGCGTGAGAAGAAGGGGAAGTCTGCTTTGATTCCAACCAGCTTGTGGAGGAATACCGCATTCACATCGGTCTGCGTGATGGTGCTGCTTTCCTGGGCTGTACTCAATGGAATGGAAACAATACTCAGTCTGTTGTGAGTCACCCCGGATGGATAATTTGCCAGTGCTATGCTGACCACTCTCACAGCTTCCAAGAAGTCCAAGATCTGTCTGCTTTCCAGGCCGCTCTTCGATTTTTGCCCAACGTGATCATTGGTATTTTACTCAATGTTGGCACCGGGTTGCTAGTCCACCGTCTTCATGCAGATCATTTGGTGCTCGTCAGCACATTCCTGAGCGCTGGCTCACCGCTTCTGATGGCAGTCATAGATCCAAGTTGGTCATGGTGGTACTGTGCATTCTGGGCTGTGCTTCTAGGTCCCCTTTCAGCTGATGGTAATGAATATTGCTCTTTCTTGTGGCTCTTTCTTGTGGAAAAAGTATCCCTTCTTTTTTCAAATGCTGACTTTCTGGACAGTGATCTTTACAATTGCAAATCTCATTATCACCGATGCCTTCACGCCCAAAACGCAAGGCCTGGCGGGTGCAGTGTTCAACGTCGTCGCACAATTTGGAACATCTATTGGGCTTACCATTTTTGCCATCATTTCCGCCGGCGTCACTCAAGGGTCTGTCTATTCAGACAAAGCCTCACCGGAGGCATTGATGATCGGGTATCGCGCCGTTTTCTGGACTTGTTTTGCGCTAATGCTGGCAGCCTGCGGAGTCGGTGCATTGGGATTGCGCAAGATAGGAAAGGTTGGATTGAAGAGAGACTAAGTTGATTTTGCCCAGGTGTGAACAATCGAAAATGCCGAGGTAGACAAAATGTAGAGAATCAAAAAAGTTTTTTTGGAATATTAACGCTGGATATGCTCATTTGATGCTAATTAGATTTGAAAATGTGCCCATCTGGACTTGGAACGGTGTCGACTCTGCTGGTTCGCTTGGAAAATCAGAATTTTTGAAACGCTAAAAAGACAAACATTGCGCCAATCTAGCCTTGATGCGTTTGATCATTAGTAATATGAGTGATTCTGTTTCAAGGGTAGGCAATATGGAAGAGGCGATCCCCATATAAACTGACGGGCCTTCAACAAATGATCGATGCTTTATCTGTGCGAGCGGTATCGATCCTTGTCATAGAGACTCCGGTATTATGCGTCGCAACAGGCTCTAGGGTATCATCACCACTAGCAAGGCGCTCCTCCCGCTCCCATTCCAAGCGCTCAGCCTCCTTGATGCGCTTCAGTTCCTGGCAGAACTTGCTGTTGTTTCTAATGCGGTCACCCCAGCGAATGAAACCGAATGGAATGATAGAAACGATGAGGCTGAGGAACGCGATCAGACTGCAGGCCCAAGGCACACCGAGTTTGTTGAACATTGGCTTGGCAGCGAGTGGAAGCACCGCACCGAAGATACTTCGTGTACAGCTGGCGGCGGACTGTGCACTGGCGGAGAGTGTTTCATAGGCGTCGGTCAGGTAATTGAGCATGGCCATGAAAATCAACAAGTATCCCATGCCGAAGGGGATGCCGGAAAGGAACGGCACGACCCAGTGGATGTTCGGTGAGGCGGTCCAACCGACCCAGAATAGAGAAATGACGTATAAGGGTCCACCGATGCAGGCTAGTGGAAGCCTTCGGTACTCTTCAATGTAGGCCCAACTGGCGTTGCGGGCCTTGGCTCGGGCTAGGAAGCCGTCGTACCACAAAAAGACGAAGCAGGCGAGAACAGCACCGACACCGACTATTGAAAAGGGTTAGAATGCAGCATTGGGGAGCGCGGGGTTTATAGTGAAGACGTACTCGGCAAGAACATAAGACCAGATATACCGGGGCTCATTTTGTAAATGCCTGTATGTACATGTTAGCATTGGATCTCCTAAACCAACTGAGTCACGATTTTGGTCGCGGAACGAACCTTGGAAGATGATAGGATATGCCTCGAAGTAGAGATAGAAGATTGCGTATGCCAGGGCAAGATACAACGAACTCAAGGAAACAATGGATTCATGAAAAAGCATGCGGAAAGGTCGCGAAATCGTAATGATCATCATTTCCTTGATGTTGCGGCTCTGTATCTCCAACGGGGAGGCGATAGTAGAGTTCCCGGTGTCCTTGCGGAGCTTTTGAGCGCGGCGTTTCAGAATAACAGGCGCATAAGTTTCCGGCATGAGGAGAACCAGTGGTAAGCTAGCACCGGCCAGAATGAGGCCGATCCAGAAGCACCATCGCCAGCTGACAACAGCTACAAAACCGGAGACCCAGGGTCCGATTATAGGTCCGAAGGTCGTACACTGAAATAGTTAGTATTGTTACTGGAACAGAGCCGCCACAAGCGTGCGCTGGATCTACTTACGGCCATGTAGTATGCCATCAATCGACCTCGTAGTGTAGGGTCATCATGCACATCAGCAAAAAGTCCACCCACGGTGGCAATGGGCGCCGAGGCAACCATTCCATTCAGCAGTCGGAAGACAAGTAATGAGGCGAATGAATCTGCGACGGCACACGCCAGCGTGAATATCATGAAGAGCACATACGCAATGAGTAAAGGCGGCTTTCGGCCAAAATACTCGGAGCTGGGGCCCCAGAGCAAAGGCCCCAAAACGTAGCCGATGAGGAAGATGGAGATTGGAAGGACGAGGAGTGTTTCGTTTGTGATATTGAACTCCTTAGAAATCTCTGGGATGGCATTGCTGCAGATCGATGAGCCAATTGTGCTGTTCATGACTTGCATGATGCCGGCGGCGAGGACTAAAAATTTCCTTCTCTGATATAGAAATCAGCAATCCACTTGGACCAACGACAATGTCCTAAAAGATACCACGTACCGTTTTCCAATTCACTGGGTTATCTGGGTCATTTGTGCCGAAGGATACGATCGTCTTTGAAGCCACGCGTCGGAATCTGCCGTATGAAGGGTTTGCATATCGTTCTTGGATAGGCTCGTGGCCAAACCCAGAGTCTTGATCTTCCGAATCACGGGAACTTTGCTGTGAATCTCGGGATGATCTGGGAGCTGCCTCCTCTGCAAAAGGATCAATATTAGCATTCTAGTCAACGATAGATTGTAGAGAGCTATGAGTAACCAACCTGATGTGGACATGACCTTCTGGATCTTCTCCTCGTTGGGTGAATGGTCCGACATATTGTAGAGGTTGAGTCAACAGCTTGCACAGCTTCAAACGATGATTGCGGCGGGACATTGGAGGTATAAAGGTACGCATTGAAAAGGTTAATCCCCACAAGGGTCCACGTTTTGAGTCAGACAAATAGAGGCCGACTGAAAAAGTGGATTCGGTTCCACATCCGACAGTCTCTTTCCAGTGCACGCCCTAAATGTGACAAATTGGGTCAGTGTGTGACGCCAATCTGGTCAATCCGGCGAGAAAAGTCTAGCGTTCCCTGTCAAAAGAGGCATTTGGTGGTGTTGATCAATCATTGATTCTACCTGACTCGGTTAAGACGGCTATTTCCCCAACTTTTGGGTGGAAACCAGGACCCAAGATCCTGTCGGATTTTCAATGTGGCAACTCAAAATGTGACTGTTTGAAAAAATCACATGGAATCTCGCATAGAATGCCGATGATCACGGCCATGTGAGATGCCAGTATACGTCGTTTGCAAAGTACGCGTCTTCAACATGAAGGGCGTCTGGCACTATGAAAATTCTCATCTGAGTCACTAAACCGCATGCATCCAACAGCTTCAAGCTCCAATTCTTCATCCTTGAGCTCTTCAGCTCAAAATGAGGGGCAGATTCCCTGTCGATCAATCGATTGGTCTTGCATTAATGCCTGGGCAAAACCACTGGTCGCTCCATCAGTCAGACCCAATGATGCAAGCGCTGTTTGGCTGGCAGGATTTCCATGCTATGCGCGGGGACTAGCTCACCAGATTGAGCCATGGCCGCTTCTTGGTATGAGGAAGCTCCTTGTTGCGGGGACGCCAAAGCCGGGTATTCGATGGGAACGGGGGCATTCCGCGGGGGTCATTTGCTGCGCAGGGGTCCTCAAGAACGACTCCACACCTCATCAACCATCAACTGATAACAGTCTCCGTACTGACGACCATCACCAGGCACCTGCACACAAGGTTTGCGCAAAGTCTGTTCGTATCCCGCCATGCAAGCATTGGGTAAGTGATTCCGGCGTTGGGCTTGGATCGGCCAAAATCAAATTCTCCGGTCGCGGTGCCGGATCGGGACCGGTTGCGAGATCCACACCGGCAGTACCTGACCGCCTTTGCATCATCCCAAATTCTGCCTTCTCAAAGCTTCACCGCTTCACCGTGGTTCACTCACCGCCTTTGGCCCAATCTTGCATCTGCCAGACCACTCACCTTGAACTTACCAATCTCGTCTAGACTTACCGTTTGTTTTTTGATATCCTGAGGTCGCGATTCAATGTTTGAAATTTGCGCACCTCGCATTTGAATGATACAATATGGTTTTAATATTTGCACGATGTCACTGGGAACATTTTGCCGTGTAATCAAGACGAGTCTGGCAGAGTGGATTCAATGTGGACGCATAATTCCATTGATTGATGATAACAAAGCTGATCTACGCAAAAGAGGCGCAAAGCCTGCGAAACAGGTTCTCACTTTCCCCAGCCGATACAGCCACCTACAATCGTGCATTAGGCGGCCGCAAAAATGAGGGGTTTTTTATATAGGAGAGCCCCTCTGCTCGCATGGCTGCACCAACTGTAGATAGAAATCGAGCGCTTCCTTTGCCGTGCTAAATTGCCCTCTCCAGCATCCTAGGATGATGTCTCCACAGTAAAGGCTCGTAACATCTGGGAACTGCTGCTTTTTGTATCGTGATTCAATCTCGAAATCCACCACCTGGTGTTGTCGTCGAATTTGTGCCTTGATACAATCGGGATCATCAGAATCTCGCTGATTTAATTCGGCATATAGAGCTTTGCCAGTGACCAGTTCATATAGTGTAGATCCTAAAGCAAAAATATCAGAAGTCTCTGTGTTTGGAAGCTCGTAATCACGAGGAAGGCAATGTGATGCTTTCTCATAACCCAGCGCTGGGTACCCAACACATTCGGAAGAGTTGAAATCGCCCAAGCGTAGATCGAAGTTATCGTCAACAAAGAGCTGCCGCAAGGCTAAGTCCGAGTGGATGACACCAAATGAGTGGCAAACAACAACAGCTTCCATAATCTGCTGGAACCACTTTGACTGAAGCTCAGGTGTGATTTGGTTCTTTTCGCGGTAGTTCACATGGTCACCGTGCTGATAATACTTGATATCGACATAATTGACGCTATTGTTGCCTCTTGATGTGCATTCGGCAATTCGTGGATGAATGCCAATAGTGTCATAAATCATGGCTTCGCGAATGATTGGTTGCATTTGTTCTTCGCTTTCACCCCGTGGTACTTTTCTGATAGTTTTTCCTTCTAGAAGGTACACTTCTGCAAATATACCAATGATCAAGGGCTGCTGATCATTGGTACGTTGGACAACGGATTGTTCGGCAATGAATTCATCCGCAGCACATGAGCAGATGTCCTCGAAAAAAAGTCAGAGTCAGCAGCAATTGCGGGCCTTTTTCCAACTTACGGACACATGTTGGTGCTCGTCGTCTTGCTTAGTTTCTTTGTTTCCGACTGAAGATAATAAGGAGAAGATGAGCCCAACTGGCCAGATCACGAAGGCTGAGATATTCGAATTGAACTGCAAGATTCGTGACTATATCGACCATTGCAGTGGGTTACGCATACTTGGAAGCGGTGACAAGGAAGCAAATCCAAAGAAAGGCTGAAATTCAATCCCTTGGTGAGAGAACCTTACACGTGACTCGTCAGACTCATCACACAGGGGTTGCTGACGAGTGATAGGTTTCCTTAATGTGCCCTTCCTCTCGAATTTGTCCTCTTTATCTTCCTTCATCTCTATCTTGCTTCATTGCTTTGTCATGAGGAACTTACGGTGGCAGCTTTTTCTCCTGGCCCTTCGGCTACAAAGTCTAAACTAAATTGACAGGAAAGCCCCGAGCAATCAGGCAGCTTTCCCAGCCTGCAGGTTACTATGGGCGACGCCGCACGCCCAAGCGAAGATGACTTTGGCCGCGTCCTTCACGAAAGTCTCAAAATATGGTCATCCTATCTCGATGCCAAAAGCGAGGACCGTCTACTACCACGGCATGCCATTGACCTGAGACCTCTCGTCAGTCGAACCCCACCTTTCCTCGGTGGCGGGCTTGCTGGCCTGGGCAAGACCGCCTCGTTTGATTGTGAGGAGAAACAATCATCCCAGTCCCAAGGGAGCCTTTTCGTTAATGGCAGATCAACTTGGAGGACTTCCAAGGGAGACTGTGACTTACAGCCAAGGATCATGCCCAAGCAACTTCTACTAGGAGTTGGCATTCCGACATATGTGACGCTGTCGGAAGACAGCCCTTTCTCAGACTGGCCCGGGACTCAGGGTCTCCCGGGGTCCGACAAAGGAAACTATCTGTCGGTCCTTTACTTTGCATGGGCATACATCCTATCTGCTCGATGGGTTGAATTGCTTGATACCTCTGCTGATCATTCATGTCATATGGCCTACACTCCAGAAGGGGCGAATGGTTCGTTGCCGCATTCAGATAAGCAATCCAGTATTGACATTGACATCGGCAACAATGTTTGTGAACAAGAAGCTTTCTAGTGGCAGAGCATCCTGTGCTCTGACGGATGGGATGCATCCGTTACATACGATGACCGCATCTATCTATCGCCATGGTCGGTGTCGATAAGCCACGCGAAGTTTAACCTGACCACACGCGCCACTTTGGATACCGAGTCGAGTCCACCGGGTTCGGTCGCCGCTCTCAAATATCTCTCTCGCTTCTGCGTACACCATCGTCTATACGCACAGTGCTCAGTTGCGCTTGCCGGTGTACTTTTTATTCCACTTACGAGGCAAAAAAAGTTTCTCTCCCGCTTCCGAAACGCGTTCCTCCACTTCAGAGAGAGGAGAGTGCCAGTGATGATCTTCTTTCGATCCCAGATCTTCTCAACCAACACGGCGAATTGCTCCCGAAGTACATGACTCTAAATTCCAATGCGTGGGGTGTGCGTTCACTTTTCTGCAGCACATTCTTCAATCCAGATATCGAGTGTAATCTCGTCAGTGCCTGGTTGAATCCGGCTTTCGCTGTTCTTGAATTGATCCGCGAGAGCGAAATCTCAGTGGCCACGCTGTTGGCAAATTGACAGCCTAGGCTTGGCATACTGTGGCTTGGTGCAACTCTTGCAGGCTTGGCAACCCCTTTCTTGCGTGATATACGAACAGGAATGACGGCTCTAGATCTTGCGGCTTCTGCCTGGTCTGGAACAGCATCCACGTTCCTGACTTCAGAAATGGGAACCAATCACGGCGACAAAAGGATACGCCGCGATGATGAATGTCGCCTACTTTTCATCACAGCCTGTGAAGGCCATGATCGACTTCCAGTCTGGCCTTGGAAACCCTTCGGGTATACACAACTTTCTGATACAGAGCTTCCAGTTCAAAAACACGCTCACTGTGAAGCTCACTGTTTAGAATACGAGTTTTGGGAGTGGAATTTAACAAGTAACAGTTCAGTCAAAGATCCTGGAGCCGAGAGCTACATGCTTCCCGTCCAAGGCTCCTCTTGATACGCAAATGAGACATGCGTTGATGCAAATCATTATAATTATGATCTCTTTTCGCAGTCGCTTTCTGAAGGAGCCACTCGTGGGATATTCGAATGGTTAAGATCGACAGGATATCCGAGTAGCGAAAGACCAATTTATCAACATTCTTGGTTGGATTTGGAAGATACCGACGAAGAAGAGCACGATGATGCAGAATCAGACTTGGAAGCACATCAGAGCTCGAAGAAAACGCACGTTGAATGGTGACTCGAAAACGTTGGATAGCTCGTGACCACTGTAATCATTGAGGTCAATGAGATCATAAAAGGCGTCTGGACTGCCAGCTGGGTAATCGGGGCATTTGGCACAGATCGCACATAGTGCCATAGTCCCGACGTCCCACTACCGGCCTTTACGGATGTCTTTGGCTGCCAGGGGCGATTCTAGGGTTCCGATGCAATTGGTTCGCCTTTGGCATTGAGCATATACCCCCATATATTCCGCCTGATTTATCCGAAGTATTGGGGATAAGACAAGACGCCTCATTATTGAAGTTCCTCACGACGGGTTGCCCACATTTTCCATACTTCCACTTCGAGTGATGTTTCAAGTGTCTTGTCCTGTACAGCTACACATGTCTATTGATTCTAGCACAAAGCTTTATACCTAAAGAATTGGAATTGATATTTTATTCACACCTCACTATCATTTGGCGTTAAGTGGTTCTATCAAGACATGTGGTGGCTAAAGTTGAAATGAGTGGTCTGGCTAGCTGACACAGGAATGGCTGGCAATAATTTCCACCAGCATTTTAAGAATAATTTGCGTCCTTTTGATAAAAGTCTCCGAGTAAGCAGGCGATAAGTGTTTCATGGATTCCTCAACCACCTTCCCCATGCGGTTGCGACGTGTTGATGATGACACTCATTCCTCCGATTCCATTTTCTCCCTGAGTGACTGTGCCAGGACACGAATTTGCTGCTCAAACCGGTCGCTCGAGGATATGAACGACATTTGTGATTTCAATTGATTCCATGTGTTCATGTTCCAGTAGGTACGGCACCCGTCGCTACTGACATTGTTCTTGCATTGGCGAAACACGAACTTTCGAATCTTATCAGTTTCGAGCCAGTGAGCTGCAGCGATGAGATCCCCCGTAATGCGTCTCGGTCCGCCCATTTTGTGTACCTCAAGATTCGGGTACGAAACGTGGTTGGGTAGTAGATAGGGCAGGGCACATGCAGAACTGCAGTCGAGCAACTCGAGCGCAGTGAGGCGAGATATGAAGCTTTGCAGGTTCCTCCAGCGGAGTTGTTTTTCGCTGCCGAATACCTCCACGTCGGAAAACGGGTACGCGATATCTAAAATGCAAAACACACGAGGTCAGTAGATAGACAACAAATCTCATCGAATATGCAGGACGCACCCTCAGCTTCTCTAAAGAAATCCCAGATGCGCCAGGCAAACGACTTGGTGCCAAATGCCCAGAGTGTAACCTTTCCCTCGAATGTCAGCTCGTCGGTGCCACACTTGTCGCTGCCACATTCGTCGCTGCCACAATCCTCGGTGAGGTCATGTTTGTATGTGACATCTGGAGCGTCGTGGCGAGGCATGGCCTTGAGGGCCTGAAAGAACTCAATCAATGAGTCCTGAACAATATGGCCGGGAGGATATGCAGAGCAAATATGGGCAACAATTCTGATCACCATGTCCACAAGTCCGCAGGTATTAGGTCCATCGTCGAACGCATTTTCCCCAGGATTTAATGTGAAGGGAGGATCGCGCTGTCGAAACTTGTCGTATTTGGTAGTTGAGTCGCGAACCACCCATTCATCAACAGCCTCCGCAGCTTGAAAAGGAGTGATTTGTTGGGTTATCAACTTCTTGATAATGTTTTTGCACGCAAGTTCCTTCGCATTGTCATCCTCTTCAAACAGGTCGGGTTCGAAAACGGGAACGTCGTTGAAAGACATGGTGGCAGGTTGTCTAGGTGGGAGTTCTGACGGAGACAGAGTTGAGAGTGACAAAACAGGAGAGAGGGAGAAAGAAAAAAGCAAGGAAATGCTGCAGCCTGCCTCTCAAGGTAGTGGTATCTGAAGGAAAGTGCTTTCAGTATTTGTGTCGAGCGGCAACTCGAGTGTTGCTTTGTGTAACTGCCTACAGCAGCTTCACTGACCATAATGCGTTGGGAGGTCAGATGACCCCCAGACTAGATGGTCCCTCCCTCTCTCTCTCTCTCTCTCTCTCACACACACACACATTCACTTTTTTCTTTCCTCTGGTCGGTCCTTTTGTTTTTCCAGTTTGAAACTACCATGTATCCACCTGTCTTGCTTCTTCAAGTAGATACATGTTGGTTATATTCAACTTTCTCTACATTCAGAATTCAGACATTCCACCGGCTTGTTTATGAATCTATGATTCTTATACAAATGACATGATAAATGCATTAGTATAAGGGTTTAGTAAAGAGTAAATATAAACGGCTTCAAGTCTTGAAGGCCTACTCTTTGGGAGGGCCTTCTGCTATGTTGCTATGGTGGCATATCGTTATGAATTTCCACTTTCATTTCGGCAATCTGTTTACTATTCCCTTGAAGATTCTATATACAGTTTCTCCGCCTGTGAAAAAAACGGAAGAATCGATATGACGTCAGGGGCATTGGCTGCTGCCGTAGGCTGCTACAGCTTTTGATGTTGGTAATTCCGACAGAGACCTCGGGAAGCTATGACTGAAATTATCCAATGCAGCTGGTAGCCCAGATTCATGGATCATCTAAGAATGTTTTCTGAGATGAGTCGGCTTCGGATGAGGCTATTCCAGTGTTTCAGCCTTGGGCGGAAGTGAGTCAATCGAGACTCGGCTGCCATGTCACTCAAACGGTGCACGACGCCCCTGAATCTCTTTTTGCACAGTCGTACATATGCGGCCTCCCTTGCTGTTGATTGCCCAAGCGTTCGAAAATGTATTATCGGCTCTAGAACTTCACATAGCTCTCCAACCTCAGAAAAGTCGAACCGAACTTTCGTTCAAGGCTCTAGTTATATCGAATGATTCCAGTACACCAATACTCATCATAAAGCGCTCTGTGTTCCATGAAATTTGACGGAAGTTAATTCTTCTTCTCACTGCGTCAGTTATTGAACAAGAAATCACAGAAATTAACTATCGGGTGAAGCTTTAGGGAGCTGTCTTTCGGGGAGTCGGCACGTAGTTCATTGTACAACTTATACGGTTGCGATATGTCGGTTGAAACACAGACTGTGTAGCTTGGTTGGTAAACCTTGGGGGCACTCATCCTTTGCCGATAAAATCATGATTTTGTGGGTGTTGGAGCGGGCAAAGTTCGTTAAGTTGTTGATTTATTGGACTTATGTTTAGCCGCTAAACCAGCCACCTCTGCACAGCATACTCCGTACTGTAGTCGAAAATAGTTGCGGATTTTTCCCTGAGAAGAAACCAACCTTTCGCACTCGATCTGTACTAATCTTTATGTTATGCCGAATGGAACGTTAAGCAAAGTCGTGCCCAGGTGTCACATTATAAGCAAAGCAAAGGAAGCAAAAGGTGGCACAATGACAGGACGCAGTCAGCTGCAAGGCACAATGGACCCCAGTAAACATGGCTCTGCTTTTGCACAGTTCATTTCATGAATTGAGCATATAAAGTCTGTATTCTCGGTCATTTTCAATAGGAGTCGGCGACAACCTGCAGACATAGCCCCGTGGCTTTTGATCAAAATGAAGTTCATTGGAGTACTTCTTGTGCTTGCTGGACTCAACACGTCTGTTCTCGCGGAGTTGAACGCGACGATCCCCGCGGCATCTAACGCATCTACTTTCGGAGGTTCTGTCTTAGAACCTGCTGCGAATCAGCTGGATGAGCTTGCTAGAGTAAGTTTTGAGCCAAGATTTCGTCGAAAATGGGATGGCCAAGAAAGTAACCGAAGATTCAACCTAGATTGTTACCTGTACTCCTCGCTTCAAACAGCCTGGAGGCCGCATGAAGCAATACCAGGTGGATGTTGGCTATGCCCAAGCCCAAGCCAAGAAGGGCGGCTTCAGAGAAGGCAGGACCGGATATCCCCACCGGTACAAGAACCACGAGCGTCTCGTCTTCGGTACCTACAATTGTGACAAGGCTCGTGCTCATCTGATGGAATATCCAATTTATTGGAATGGTAATGGAAATGAATGGCAGAAGGATGGGGATAGGCAGAAGCAGCCCGGTCGTTATACTCCAATCCGTGTTGTTTATGCTAACCAAAATGGCGCACTTATCTACTGTGGTGTTATGACGCATGAGTTTTGGTTCAAGAATAGACATGGTGCAGGCAGTTTCAAGCTATGTGTGTGAGGGGAAGGACCTCGGGATGGGAGCTCACTGGAATGCCTAATTATCTGAGCGCCATACACATCCATGGATATACATGGATGTAGATCCTCAGACGCGCCCACACCAAGTAGCCGTTCTTCCAACTATCATCTCCCCGACTAGGTAACACGTTCATAATGACAAACTCATATTTACTTGGCGCTCAAATTGTGCACATTTTCCAGACTAGGATGGTTTGGCACTGCCATTTGCAAATGTCGGAGGCAAAAGCGGTTCCAAAAATGTCACCTCGCTTGCAGGAATAGACATACTCGGTAGGACAGCAAAGCGAAATCCGACAATGAACTTCAATGGGATTTTGAAAAAAAAAAAAAAAAAAGACCCCGAGAGGTTCCATTCCAAGGTTCTGCGTGCAGGTAGTCGTCGACCCCATAAATATTCACTGTAAGGATGAGTTGCTCTTCATTTCGCCTGCGTGCACAACGAGAAACCAAACGAGCAAAATCCGAACTCCATATAGCAAGCCTAAAGGCTAGTGTGGTGGGAGAGCTGCGTACCTTCCCTCATTCGTCCGTACACCATATGCAGAATAACTTGTGCTGGGCGTTATATAGGTGCGGGCTTCAAACACAGTTAGTCTCGCAAGATAGCTGTTGCGAGAGCTTTGAGAAGAGTATCCAGAATGGTATCCACATCCTCCGCCCCTATACTCATTCTAACAATATGGCTCGGAATACCCGCCTCTGCATAAAGTCGTCGGTTCTCGTCCGTTGCCAATTGGGCAAATGGAGTTGAAAGTGTAAATACGGTCCCAAAGCTGGCTCCTTTGAAGATACCCACTCGATCGTAGAATCGGAGAGCGGTTTCGTTTTCTCGGAAAATGATGCTCATCAAATTACTGTAGCCTCCACCTGGGCGGCGGATACTCTCGTAGTTTTTGCGTGCAGTCATAGTTGGAAAGTTGACTCGCTCTATGGCAGGGTGAGCAGCCAACTTGGCAGCGACGATTTCGGCATTTTTGTTTGTAGCTTTAACCCGAGGAATTAGCTTCTAGAATTCTCGTAAAGAACAGCAAGATCCCCAGGGAATAAGGTGTTCTCGTAGGATGTGGTCAATTGCCGGTGCAAACTTTCGTAATGAGACGATTGGGGGTTGACAACAGCACTTTGGACCGCGGGTTAATTGACTAGTCGTTGAAGGAAACAGAGATCCAACACACCTGCCCGCCAGTACATTGGCGTATCCACTGTAAATCTTGGTCAAACTAGACATAAGCACATCCCCATATGGCAAAAGGTCGACATTCACGAATGTGCCCACTGTGCCGTCGATCAAAACCAAGAAGTGATACTCATTTGCTAGGCGGCGGATTCGGGGCATATCGGGCGTGACAAGCAGTGGATTGGAAGGTACATCGACCCATAAGGCGTTGATCTCTGTTCCTGCTCTGAGGGAGGCTTCGAGTTGATCAAGCTCATTGTCGCCGCTCCTTTTGTAGGTTGTGATATCCGGCCAGCGGTGCTCGAGTACTTTCATAGTTTCCGTGTATAACCAACTAAGTTCATGTCAAATTAGCACCAAAGATACCGATCGTTGAGACTCACCCAAAGGCAAAAACTCCTGTGTTGATCTCCAGGTCCCCCACAACTCGTGCAACCGCATTGACCGCAGCCATTCCACCTGGATATAAAAAGACATCGCTGGGTGACGGAGGCACTTGCTCAAGATCCTCCGATTGAACAAGGGTCGCAATTTCTTCTTTTATGCAATCCCGTTCGACTACCCCGGAGGTGTGTAACGATGGAACATGCTCCCCCTTCACGGTTAGTGTCTTAGGGCTAGCAGTGCAGAATGCAGGGTTAATTGATATGGACTGGAGGTAATCCAATCCAGTGAGGCAGAATGCGGCATGGCGAGGGGAGATCCCGTCTCCAGTATGAATCCAGCAGAGAAAAGCCGCACTAAAATATTCAGACGGAAAAATTATAGCGTGAATATCCAACCAAGAATTTTCACCTGGAAGGCTATCGGGTCGGGAGAATTGTACAGGAATAACTGTGTTTTCGGTACCACCTGCTTCTTGGATTGCCCTTGCACACCGAGAGGCGCCAGGTAGCGATGGAAAAGCCAGACACGATATTCCATCGACGCCATCTAGGCTGAGGCGTTGCAAGATCCTCTCATTGAGCTCTTGGACATCCTTGATGCGGTGGAAGCTGTCGATCATCAGAAATATCACTGGGGCCACGAAAGGCGATCGTTATACTAACCGAGGATATTGTGTTTTAAGCTGTGGAGGAAGCCATTTTTCACCTGCGGCCAGCGCGTTCATCGATTTCATGGTTGGCAAAGAACAGAGAATTGACTAGAAATACTTCAGCCGTGACCTTTCTAGACGAAAAGTGGTTGACTAACCCGATGACTTTTAGGGGGAATGGCTTCACCAAGAGGCACAAACTGCGGCAGAGATGTATGAATCATGATTTACGAGCGAGATAAATACAGCAAGCGTGTGAAAAGCAAGTTGAGAAATAAATGGAGTAACTTAGCGAGGAATGTTTCGGGGGGAAATGGAAGGACTTGGAGGATTAGGACTGCGCTTATGTACGGAGTATAATTTTGAGCTTTAAACCTTGGAAGAACTTTGAAAGTCAGGGTAGTATCTGGGTTCTATATGCACGTGTAAGCAGCAGTGAGGTCATACATGATCTGTCTGATGCAGAGGCTGCAGACCCTTCCACCTAATGCAGGTTGTGTAACCAGCCCCAAGCCTGCGGCTGACCAAGGCGAGGTGAACACCTGCGCATAGCGGAAGATTGAAGGAAAACTTTACACGACCAAAGATGATGGACCTTGCTCAAGTAGAACTGTCGGTAGTTCCAAAAGGTACGTTGTCTTCCGCATTAGTGTACCTTTACAGAATTGATCCCCTGCTAAAAATCTGCTCCTTACTGGCGAAATAAATTTCGGCTGCGGAATTTCAGCAGGGAGGTCTTGTGTCCAGATCCGGCTGATTGGCTGTTCAGTTTGGGCGATCTGCATCTTATAGCCTGCTTTGCAACTCAAGACGTGGCGTCGCTGACATTGAAATTTCTCCCCCGACCTCGGAGAGTATGGCCATTGCCTAATTAAACTGTATTCCTAGTATACCTCGATGATAGTCTGCTGTGGATTGTGCGATGGTGAACCCAAATCGATTTTGGGGTCTCATCAAGTGGAAAGAGAAACATTCTGGCTCCAGGTCGATTTCACCCACCAGCGATAAATATCACAGATATCATACTCCGTACCCAACGCCACATCCGCGCGGTCTCATGCAGCTCAGTTTAATGTCATGCGATCCAGTAGACTTCGTGGGAGATGGACATGTAATGTAGAATCATGAGTGGATGAGGAATTCGAGCTCTCGTCACTTCTTTGCGCGCCTGCGAGATTTCGAACAATGGCTATTCAGCGACGACATGACAGTCACAGTGTATATATTTCGGCAACAGTTAGAAGCACGAAGTGAATTTCGTCTCTTGGTGGCTAAAGTTCACCAATTCTGATGACACTGTTAGACTTCTTGACACTGAAACTTGGGCTGGCGCCGAGGACGCACTGCATCTCGGAGTTGCAAATGAAGCTTCTCGGCCAAGGGATGTCTCCACGTATTGTCTCCACTATGACGTATTGTGGGTCCGAGATGTTTTGGCGATCACATCGGCCGTTTCGATGCTTAAATGTCCATAATGAAGATCGCAAGATCACTGGGATGGAGTATGACCTTTTTGAACTCCAATCCGGTAGATTCGTCGATTGATGAACAGGTCCTAGTATGCTGGAATAAAAGAAACCAGTGTGACTGAGAAGGGTGAGATAATTCCGAAGCCCGGGCGCCCACGAAAGAGTTTCGGGCTGGGCGGCAAATCCTTACAAATCCCTCCGGATACTTGACAACTTCATCCTTCCAACAACCTCCGCTCTCAGATCAATCACGATGGGTGTCCCTACAGCTCCCAAAGATGCAACCCAACTGAGCCCTGTCAGTCTGTACTCGCGATTCGCCTTCGCGGGTGCAGTTTGCTGTGCTGTCACCCACGGGGCGGCGACTCCTCTCGATGTGTAAGTGGCGCGAAGATAACCTACCTCCAAGCGCAATCACTAATGGTCATCCACTACAGTGTCAAGACTCGCATACAGCTCGACCCCGTTACCTACAATCGTGGCATGCTCGGTGGCTTCCGCCAGGTCATCCAGAATGAGGGCGCCAGTGCGCTGTTGACAGGCTTCGGTCCCACCGCCGCCGGCTACTTCCTCCAGGGCGCTTTCAAGTTCGGAGGATACGAATTCTTCAAGCAGCAATCTATCAACGCTGTTGGCTACGAGAAGGCGAAGAACAATCGTACCGCGGTCTACCTCGCCTCCGCCGGTGCTGCCGAATTCTTCGCGGATATTGCGCTCTGCCCTCTGGAGGCCACTCGTATTCGTTTGGTCTCTCAGCCCACCTTCGCTAACGGTTTGCTCCCTGCAATGGGTCGCATTATGAAGGAGGAGGGCATTGGCGCGTTCTACTCCGGATTCGGACCTATCCTTTTCAAGCAGTATGACTCCCCACAATGCGTCTGAGATTGTCACTGATTCAATTCTCTACAGGGTCCCCTACACTATGGCCAAGTTCGTTGTCTTCGAGAAGGTCTCCGAGACTATCCTCGCTAGGGTCAACAAGGACACTCTCTCCGATGGTGCCAAGACGGGCATCAACCTTGGCTCCGGTCTGATTGCCGGTCTTGCTGCCGCTATCATTTCCCAGCCTGCTGATACAATGTTGTCTAAAATCAATAAGACCCAGGGCGCGCCAGGTGAAGGTACGGTCAGCCGCCTCATCAAAATCGGAAAGGAGCTCGGCATTCGCGGCTCTTACGGTGGTATCGGAGCCCGTCTTTTCATGGTCGGTTCTATTACTGCCGGACAATTTGCTATCTACGGTGATATCAAGCGTGTTCTTGGGGCCACTGGAGGTGTTGAAATCTCCAAATAATGGGTCGTATTCTGATCGTGATCCCTGTGATCTATGGCTCGATTTCCATGAAAATTGTGTCCCTCTTGAAACTGTGATGTATAACACTGCTTCCAGAATGCTTCCCCTAAAAAAAGTACCTTATAATGTATTTAAGAATGAAGATGCCTTTTAACGAGAAGACATTCATCAAAGTAACCTTGGGAAGGTTCAACCGCTTTCCCCGGATCCTGGTTCCGGGATCCAACATCAGCCCTAGTCCCAGTTAAACATCAGCACGTTCTTGACAATCTGTATATAATTGCCGTCTCCCTCTTGTAATTCTCCGGCGTTATCCAAAGAATATGCAGCAGGGCGATGCAAACTTAAGCCAAAGTGGTTGCAAATAAATTGAAATCGAACTGCCTCCTTGCCCTGAAGCGATCCTATGACTCCGAAAGATCCAAATCACGGCGATAACAGGAAATATTGGAAAGGGACAGAAAAAAGAAAAGTGAAGGGAGGGCCAGTGGGAGGGCTTCTCGGCGGCCGATGGGCCCGCTCGACCATAGCCCAATCTGCCCTAGTATACTCCGTAGTCAGTCTCCCGGCGTCTTATATAGACGACATTGCTCTAAAACGCCATTAATTGTGGCTAGTAGGCGCTTTCAAGGATCATCAATTCATTACGCCCAAGATAACATATAATGCAAGCATTATTTCCACACCCTGGACGGATTCGGACACCATCTTCTTCGTGGTGACTTTCAAGGTTACTGGTGGCTGGTTGAAAGTTAGTTGCTAGTGATCAAAAACGCTTGTTGTTTCTATTACAGCTTGCTTTGTTCATTGAATAACTCTTCTTCCTTTTTCGTCAATGGTTCTTTTGTTAAATGACATTTCGTTCTGAAACCTTTGAACGTTGTCTTCTCTGTTCAACGTTCAACTCAGATTATACTATACTTTGAAGCCACCGGCCATAGGATAGAGCCACATGTGTCAGAGGTATTTCATCGATCAAAATTACCAAAGCAAACAGGAAAAACATTAAATAGCTCTGGAATAAACCTCAACTTGTAAAATAGCCTGTTACCCATGTGTTTTGAAATCACACGGTCCTCTCAATTACCATTGGACTTCGTCCCAACCATGAAAAACACTAGCCTCTGTTTAGAGAGAAGCTTGGAACCGACTCTCCAATTAAGGGTATCCCGTTGGGCTATTCAGCAAGATCTGTCGCGATCCATGCCTAGCCTGATTCAGCATGCCGAAAGTATCGCGCACATCGCGGACATCTTCAAGTGGATTGCACATGGCAAACCAAGCCCAGATACCCAAAGGTCCACCTTGATAGCGTTGTGGCAGGATAGGTGCATTGGGATCGACAGTAGCATAGTCATGGGTGTCAACGGGTGTGTGGCGTGAAAGTCGGTATGGTCCAATACCATATGCGTAGTGGAACAAACAAGCAATCGGGACCAGTTGGAGACATATAATCAGCGTCTCAATCCCCATGTGGACATCTGACCATGTCAACTTTGAAGTAGTCTCCAGCACAGACGTGGAGCGAAGAATTGTGAATATAATCTATTGGCTGTTAGTCTGTATTACGCAATGGATGGCTGTTTATAACAAACATTTTCGAGGAATACAAGTCCGACGATAAGTTTAAGAGCGATCAGCTTTGTGAGCGGCTTGTGCTGTGAAATGTGGGTCTTGAGTGTAGCGTAGAACATAAGAATTGAAAATGTGGCAACGGAGACAGACAGTATGCGAATCACGTTAAGCTGGCGATAAACTGTTAGGAATGCGCCCCTTAAGAAACTCCATAAGTAGATCACTCACCCAGACATGTCCAAAGTACGCCTTGCTACTCTCAAGGCAGTAGATATCCGCTGCCTCGGTGATAGAGGTAGCCACTGCGTCAATGAAAGCCACGATGGGATATTGCAAAACAGCGATCCATTTTTTCTGGGGTACCGGGTCAGAGTGTGTTCACCATGAGCAGCAAACGGTAGAGCGACAAACCTTGAACCACGTAAGACCGTCGACTGGCTTTGAGGTCTTTGAATTGGGCTGAAGCTTCGCAAAGAAGATAGCTCGCTCTTCCTGTCCGGGACTAAGAAAGTCACAGAGCAGGAAGAAGAATGCGCACAACGCGATAGCCTGAAATACGTCCACCCAAGCCATCAGGTACACATAGGAGTTCGGGAAGGCTATAGCGAGGAATGACAAGACTGCGTATATAGGCAGAAGAACACATATTCTCATAATCCTGTGGTGCCAATGGTTAGCATAAGATATATTGCTGGTGTGGTGGCATTTGTCGCTGACTTTATTTGTCTGGCAGGGTTGCTGAAGTGCGTAGCATGCATCGTCATCAGAACGAAGATGGCGAGACAGACGAACGCAGCACAAGATCCAGAGAGAATTTTATTGAAAGTATGAAAAGTCATATCCCCAGCAAATGGTTCTGATGCTTCTATATTCCGAATTCTGATCAGCAGGCTCTCGGCCACAGCAGGAGGATGATGACATACCTGCGGAAAGGTCCTGAGGCATTGGGCAAGTATGGTTGGAGCTGGAGCTGGAGCCTCCATCGTCGTGACTGAAAAGTTTCATGGTGTATATAAACAATCCCCAGAAGGCTTGAATGGATGGGGAAATGGCTCGAAGAAACTCTCAGAAGGTAGGAAAAAGATGTGTTGAGTTGTTGATGAATCCTCAATCCATCGATGGGAGAGGAGCCCCAATTTATAACCATGTATCTAGTGGAGAGCTGATCTGTGCCTCGCAGGCAGATTTCAGCTCCTGATGGGAATGGAGTATGAACGGCATAACTTCATACCAAATAAGCCTCCTCAAGAAGCAGCCTAGTCTGTATCTGGATTAGCGTCGGCCACTCCTATCTGAGTAGGTGATGTGATTGGTCCGAAAATGGGGCCACGCTAGGCAGTTTGTGGTAATTCTGGCGATTTGGGGGCTGTAAGCTGACAACAACGTCGGTTTTCACGTCAATCCTAAGCCCGTGGCGCTCTGGACCGTTTGGGCACTTTGATTCTTATTCCACATCGCTGATCGACAGAGAGTAAGAGTCTGGAAAATGGCCCCAGGACCCGCCAAGGGCTGCAACAGCTGCAAAAAGCTCAAAGTGAAGGTTGTGTCAGCAGGACTCAGGAGTCAGCGCACATGCTAATCGGTGAAAAGTGTGACCGCTTAAGCCCTGTCTGCTCGAGATGCGAGCGAGGGCGTCGTGATTGCGTTTACCCCGACATGTTCGATTCGGCACATAGAGACCAACGCGTCGTCGCAAAGGCCTCCGCTGAAACCAAGTGGAGACAGCGAGTCGGTAACCCGTCAGCCACGCAGACACAGCCCGACCGGGATGGCAAGCCAAACTTCGACCCCCTTCTCGGTGCCCCACATGTAGGGCTGCGCGATAATTTGCATGACTTGGCGTACCAACGTTTCGTGTATGACTTTTTGACGCCCTCCGGGTTCCATTCCCCTGCCAAAGGAACTTTCTCAAGACTCGACACTTTATATTCTCGAGCACCACCAGATTCATGTTTGTTCTGTGCGGTCACTGCAGTCTCATACGCAAATTTCTATGGCAGACTTAAGTCCGAAGAAGCGAGACTTGCCAGTGGTGTTTACTATGGGAAAACACTGCAAAAGCTTACAGCGCTAATGGATACGAATCCAACAGGCTTCACTGGCGATGGGATTCTGGTCGTCATGCTAGTCCTGGGCTTGTACGAGGTTAATTGAATCCCCAGGCCTTTATTGTATCCAGGACTGATATGTATACAGACATTGGCCTCGACGCGACGCGACGGAACTTGGATCACCCATATGCGTGGCACTCAGTCGATTATTGCGAGCAGAGATAAAAGTTCAAATGAGGGTAACGGCATAGTGGCATCACTCTGCTTGCACTTGGTAAGTTTCACACAACTTCGCGGATCATTCCGATCTGTGGCAGATGGTTGTCAGATAATGTGAAATCAAACCTTTGAGCCAATTCGAAGACTGACGCTTTGCCAGCTCGTTTATTATATCAGCGAAAGGGTATCGCCTCCGTTGTATTTTCACCAATGGATCGCCCAAGTTCCACCATCCTTCGGCAACAAAGCAACGCTATCAAAATATATGGCCGAGGTAGCCACGCGCTGCGCGAAACTGAAGGAGATTGACAAGATGAGTGGATTTCTGCCACAAGATTCAGGCCTTCTGGACGCTGCCCTGTCTCTCGATGCCCAACTCCAGACGTGGGCGTCGCACATGCCTGAAAGTCGGTCATCGACAATGCTACCAGTCAATCCGACGGAGTATCCACCTTGGGCATCAGAATTATTCTCATTGCCGGGTGCGCCAAAGATGACGGAAGCATTTTCAGACCCTCTGGCTGCTAGCGACTGGAACATGTATCGGGCTACCCGCATACAGCTGAATCTTTCTTTGTTGGCCTCACTGGATGCGTTCCCACAATGCGCCGACGTATTCTACGCGACGCGGCTTAAATCCCGAGTGCTGGACAACATCTACACACTTTCAAGTGAAATAACAAGCTCTGTCCCACACTTGCTTTTGAGCACGCGTGAGCCGACTTCATCCTACCCTCAATCAACGGAAGCGATACATGGGCTACGGGGATGGACCGTTATGTGGCCCGTTTCCATAGCATTTTCGTGCTATAGGAATGGCTCAATCCCAGACCTCGATTCACAAAAGGAATGGCTCGGTACTGTGCTGCGATTTCTACGGGACAGTATGGGGATAGGTAAAGCACAGGCATTTTTGGAGGCTTACGGTTGATTTCATTATATTACAAACAACTATCTTCAAAGAACATATCGAAAGTGAGGATTCTGGTGACAAGTCAGTGAGATGATCATATGTTATGTTCAGTTGGGTGGGAAACCAACCTCGAAATCTGTCAAATCTGCCATGGTGCTTTCATTGGCAGCACCTTGAACTTGGCCGTCAGCTACTGCCGCTGCGTCCCTTTGTTTGTTTCTGCGAGCCAGCACGAAACGCAACAACACAGCAAGGGCTGCTTGGGCAGATGAGCATGCAAGGATCAGCTTGACACCAGTCTGGTAAATGGGTGCTTCTTTAGCGAGAAATGCGTGCGGGCCAATGATGTTGCCAGCACAGTATGCCAGAAACACCAAGGCGACACTGGTGGTTCGCTTAGTGTATCCACCGAGGTTCGTTGCTGGCATTTGCAAAGCCAAAACCAATGAACAGACATAAGCCCCAATGATATAGTATCCAAACAATACTCCAACCTTGTAAGTAGCATGGTCCAGCTTCCACAGAAGGCTAGCACCCAGGATTGTGGGCAACAAGTAAACAAACATGACGACAGTGCGGAAATTCTTCACTCGTGACGCCAGGTATGTGCCTCCAAGGACATAGAAGATCTGGAAGCCACCAAAGGGAATTCCCAAAGCAACTGCAGTTGCAGAGTCGGTGGTCAATCCCTTGATGATGAGTTTGCCAAAGCTAGCGATTCCACCATTGACGACCTCATTCAAGAGTGTGAAGAAGAATAGAATCCAGACCTGGGGATCTATTAAGGCTTCGCGAATCTGGTACCACTTGATTTGGTGGTTGATGATACCAGTTTGGCCAACCCGAAGACGGCCAATCAAAAGGGCTTTCTCGTCCAGGGTGAAACGCTTCGATGACACGACGTCATCAGGAAGGAAGAGAAGCATAACGACTCCCCATACCAGAGTGATTCCTCCCAAAATGAGGTAAATCGCCCTCCAGACGGCGATGGTGTGGATTTGTCCAATTCCGTATGTCAAAATACCGCCAACCATCGCTCCGAGTCCGTTGCAGCTGTAAAAGACACCGGCGCGAAAAGGCTGTTGGGCACGTGTGTACCACATTCCAATCATCAACATGAAGCATGGGGTGATGGGGGCTTCGAAAACACCCAGCAAGAAGCGACAGATGGCCATTCCTGTGAAGGAGGTGCACGCGGCAGTGATCATGAGCATCGCACCCCAGGCAATGATGTTTCCAGAAACAACCTTCGCGAGCTTCGTCTTCTGGGCGAGGATGTTCCATGGGTACTCGGCGACAAGGTATGCGAAGTAGAAAATGCTGGCGAGCCAGCTGTATTGGTCGCTGGACATGTTCGTGGAGGAGAGGAGATCGAAGACCGCGGAGTAGGCGAGCGCTGACTTGTCGATGTACTGGAGCATGTATGTTCCTGCGAGTAAGGGTAATAAGATCAGGTCAACTTTGCGGACGAGAGATTTGTTGCGTGGCTCATCGTCCAGCAAGGCTTGCAGTGCCTCCTGGTTGAATCCATGCTGGTGGAGAAAGACCTCTCCTTCGTCAAGATCCGTTACGGTGCCAATTTGCACATCTTTCTCGTCCACGGTATCTTCAATCGGTTCTTTCTTGTCAATATCCATGTTGATAGTTCATCAATCAGGAGGTGATGCGTAGAGCCAATGCAGAAATAGCTGCATATAGGGAGCCGGATCCCCTTCAAGGCTTTTAAGCCGGCCATTTTCCCGTTATCTTTAGGGTTTGGCCACAGCATCATCAAATGCGGAGTATTCGGTCTGTGTCCGACGACTATCGCGGAGATAGCAGCGACTGATACGAAGCCAAGAGAGCCAAAGTATAGCCGCTAGTCTGGAAGAGGTATAGCGGGAGATAAACACGCGCTCCACCAAGATAGTCCCCCGCACGGCATAACTTCGGCTCTACTTCTGAGGCCCGGATAGATAACGGAGGTGACGGGTGCTATATCTCGCTCCCGATCCCCAATCTTCCAAGACTCTTTCGATTTCCGTTCATTGGTTTGCCATTGACTCGTGATACACAATGACTGTTGTTGATAAGCCCCCTTCCGTCACGCTGGCACAAGGCCAAGTCGTGGGGACCAAGCTCAAAGACACTTTTCCTCAAACCATTGATGCCTTCTTGGGAGTGCCATACGCTCTTCCCCCTACAGGGGATCGACGCTTCAGGCCAGCTGTCAAGGTATCCAACTCTTCAGAAATCATTGACGCGTCGAAGTTTGGTCCTGCAGCTCCTGGGAAGGCACTCCTTTCTGGAGGACCAAAGCTTGTGCAGAGCGAGGACTGCTTGACAGCGAATATCTTCAGACCGGCTGGTGGCGATGAGACAGAAAAGCTTCCTGTTGCGGTATATATTCACGGTGGTGCGTTCAATCGCGGGTCAGCGGCTATGCATAGCACGGCCTCCATGGTCGCATGGTCTGAAAAGCCCTTCGTTGCTGTCAGCTTCGGCTATCGCATCGGGGCTCTTGGATTCCTGCCATCGAGTCTGTCGCAAAAGGAGGGGTTGTTGAATCTAGGATTGCGTGATCAGGTGGTTTTATTGCAGTGGGTCCAAGACAACATCGCCAAATTTGGAGGTGATCCTGCAAATGTCACTTTGTTTGGTCTCTCTGCTGGAGCACACTCGGTAAGAATCAATTGAAACCCGACTCCTTTGACATTTAAAACTGATCAGGTTTCAGATTGGTCACCATCTTCTCAATTATGACGAGCATCAGTCACCCCTGTTCCACCGGGTGATCATTGAGTCAGGAGCACCAACATCCCGCGCCGTTCGCCCATACAATGCAAAGGTCCACGAGGAACAATTTGCAGACTTCTTGGAGGAAGTTGGTTGTCCAAAGGATCTACCAGAAGCCGACATATTCCCATACCTGCGTTCTCTTCCAACTCTTGCTGTAACAAATGCTCAAACTGCGGTCTTCGACAAGTACAACCCCTCACTTCGGTGGGCGTTCCAGCCTGTTATTGATGGCGGCATCATTTCTCGCAAACCCCTTGAGGCATGGGAATCAAAGGCTTGGAATAAGGTTCCTATCATGACTGGATTTAACGGCAATGAAGGAACCTTCTACGTGGACAAGAAGATGTCAGACGCGTCTCAATTCCGGCAATTTTGGCACAATCTCCTTCCTGAGCTCTCATCCGCGGATCTTGATACGATAGAGAAGCTGTACCCAGACCCCGCTCTCATTCCAACATCACCCTATGTTGAAACCCGGACAGGCGAGGATCTCGGACCCCAATATAAACGCATTGAGGCCGCCTACGGGCACTATTCATACGTGGCCCCGGTCCGCCAGACAGCGCATTTTGCATCATCCCAAGGAGCTAAAGTGTATCTTTATCACTGGGCGCTGCCGAGAACAGTTGTCGGTCGGGCGAACCACGGTGACAATATGTACTATGAGACTTATAACGATGGCATTACTGGGATTTCAGAATCCCAAAAAGAGCTTTCGGGCACTCTTCATGCCTATCTCACTAGCTTTATCACAACTGGCGATCCCAATGGCATATCAGGAAGATATGGACAGAGACCAGAATGGCAGCCTTATCACCCAAGTGCGAAGAAGGTTATGATCTTTGGTGACGGGAACGAGGAACTCATTGGAGGTGACGTTGCTCCTCCTGCAAAGTGTGTGGATGATGATTGGGCGAAGGAAGAGACGGAATTTTGGTGGTCGAAGGTTCCTATCTCACAGCTCGCTTGATGAACATAGAAGACATGTCTTATTTAGATTTCTACAAGATTACAATTTCACGATCGAACTGTAATGCCTACCAATAAATTCCAAGGTTACCTTAAGGAGTGAATCACCTATTGGACAATTGGACAAACTGCCAGCTGCGGGGGATGCTTGGACATTCAAGTGAGACTCGGTTATATTCGGCATATTACTTCACATTCTCTGCTTCATCGTCATGGAAGATTGTGGTGCCCCAATTCGGCCGATTGAAGCGCTTCGCCCCAAGCGTTTCAGTCAACTGATCGATTTGCGCGACTTCCTCGACGGTCATCACAAAGCTTTGATCCAAGTTCCCCTCGATTCGTGCAACATTCACACTCTTCGGAATGACACTCCATCCCTTCTTCACACCCCAGCTCAGTAAAACATTGCCAGAGCTGCAACCCCTCCTCTTCGCGATCTCGTTCACAACAGGATCTGAGTGCAATGTGCTTCCACTCCCACCAAGAGGTCCAAATGCCGTCTGGTGTACGCCGCGCTTTGTGCAAAGTGCGTTCAATCTCTTCTGGGGAAGCAAAGGTTGGATCTCGGTCTGGTTGACAGCGGGGACAATCTTGCAGGTCTGTAATAATTTCTCTAGGTTGACCGTCGAGAAGTTTGCCACGCCAATTGCGCGCACCTTTCCTGTGTCCAAGAGTTTCTCCATTTCCCGCCAGGTATCTTTGAAGTTCCAGTCCGGGTCATGTGCCGTGCGATCCTCTTTGCCGTACGTCTCTGGGGATGCAGTGGGAAGCGTGACTGGCCAATGCATCAAGTAGAGGTCGACATAGTCCAGTCGGAGATCGTCGAGGGATTTTTGCAAGGCCGAGGTAATACGACGGTGATCTGAGGACCAACTTCATTTGCAGTGTCAGTAATAATGAAGCTCAAGATCAAGCGTGGGCTTGCGACTAGCTCACAGCTTTGTAGTCACGAAGTAATCCTCTCGGGGGACATCAATTGTCTTGAAGACTTCGCCGATTTCGGCTTCATTGCCATCTGCAAATGTCAGTTAGCTTGGCGATCCGTGATTTATACCGTGCTCGTTTGCTGAAACTGACATAGTGGTGCACAGTCCTGTCAATATTCATGTTAGTCTGTGATTTAGTCTCAATAGGGAGAATTCCGTACAAAGTGTCTATAGCCGGTTTTAAACGCAGCTTTGACAGCGGCGGCTGCCTCTCCTGGACCGGCTTTCCATGTTCCAAAGCCAATTGCTGGGATCTTTGCCCCTGTGTTCAGTGTAAAGGTTTGGTTCTGCAGCTCCGTCATATTGAATGAGGTACTTAAATTCACAATCTCTCGTTATTATGAGATCTGCTATCTTTATGAAGCTCCCGCGGGGTACCTAGGTATTGCTCAGTCATTCTAGAGCTCCATGCTAGGTGTCGGGTACCGGAGGGAAAGCCGCTCATGCAGAGCTCGCCCCTCATCCGAAGCGACGGACTTTTGCCGTGGTTATATGCCGCCAAGAAATGCTACGCTCAATATTGAACGCAAATCGCCGATGGCCTGTCATTTGCATATAAGCTCACTAGACTATCATTACCCCGCGTTTCGGAACTAGGCAGTTTCAACATGCTCCACACGCTGTGTCTTTCCATCATCTTCCAATGCTTGGGTCTTCCCGGCCAAAAGGTCCTCGCGGACATCTCTCCTAATCTTCTCTTCCTCGGTGGGGTAGGCGTGTTTCCACATAGTCCACAGTGGCCGCTCGAACAGGTCATCCATACTTTCCATCGAGCGGCCCTTCATCTCTGGCAAGCAAAAGTAGATAAAGATGACACCCAGATATGTCAGCATGGAGTAGAGTAGGAATGTGCCCCAGCCCATTTCCGTGATCATATTTGGCGTAGCCCGTGTGATACCGTAGTCAACAATCCAATTGACAAAGAAGCATATAGCCATACAGAAGGACCGCTATAAGAAGTCAGTGATTGATTCAAGGCCGCTTTAATTGGTGATAGACTCACAATTCTTGTGGGAAATACTTCAGCTGCCACCACGTAGCAGGCCACGGAGTGCCCGAACGACCATCCAAATGCGTAGACATAGATGAAGATGATGCCAACTATTCCTCCCGCAGGCGTGCCACTTCCAACGCTGTCTGTGCTTGTTCCTGCGAAGCGCAGGTAAAGGGCCAAATACAGCATGGAAGTTGCTTGTAGTGTGGCTCCGACTAGTAGGGGCAGCCGGCGGCCAATGCGATCGACGAGGTACCCAACATACAAAATAGACACAACTGTCTTCACAACACCGTAGACGCCTGTGGTAAGAAGACTTGTAGAGCCTCCCTTGACACCGATCATTTCAAAGATCTCGGGCGCATAATACTGTCCAAGAGTTAGCAAGATTCTGGGTGCATAGGGTCATCTCGAAGTATGCACTCACGTTCAAAGAGTCAGTGCCTGTAAATTTGTGAAACAGGAACAGCATGACCGATAGGAAGAAACGCTGGAAATTGCTTCGTGAAGAGACCACGTCCTTGAGGACAACCCAGTAACTGTGGCCAGCGAAACATTCTTGTTCGTGGCGCACCTGGGCCAAAATCTCACGATACTCAGTTTGAACGTACTCGTGATCAGCAGGCAGTTTTCTCAACTTGCAAATATTTCTGAGTCCCTCTTCATTCTTGCCATGGTTAATTAAGTATCGAGGTGTCTCCGGGACAAATGGAATCATCAAGCAGAGCAAAGCGCCCGGGATGATTTGAATACCCATTGCTGTCCTCCATTGCATGTCGTCATTTTCGACGCCTGGGAACGACCACTTCGCAACGCCGTAGTTTACCCAAAATGCCAACATCAATGATGTCACGATCATGAGATTGTAAGTGGCTGTCATCGATCCTCGTACCGATTTCGGTGAGTTTTCCGCCAGGAACTGGGGTGTAAGCATGGATGATGCACCCACTCCCATACCAGCGATAAATCGACCAGCCAGAAGCACATCATAGTCGGCAACCATTTGCATTGCGGCACCAATGACAAACACGAGACCCCATCCAAAGACTGACCACTTTCGGCCAATGTAGTCTGATGTGGGAGCGGCGAGTAGTGCGCCGGCTGAGCCGCCCGCCGCCAGCATGGAGGCTATGGTGCCCTGAAAATTGTCAGCCATGCCCAGGTGGTTTCGAGAATGGTCCCAGGGATGACATTTACCTTTCTGTTATCTTGCTCCGCTTGAGAGACATCATTCAGTCCGAAAGCATTTTTGAAAGAGGGCAGTGTGAGAATGCCTCCAATATTTCCAGTATCGAATCCATAAAATGATCCACCCCAAGCCACTGCAACAAGAAGATAAAGAAGCCGAAGGTTGAAAATCTCCCTTGGATCGGTTTTTGCTTCACTGCTGATCCAGATACTTGTTCCTCCAGCCATCTTGATTGCTGAGGTGGAACTCAGATGAATGATCAGAAGAAGGGCAGTTGTGCCAACTCAACAATTGGTGATTAGATATGTCCAGAATTTCAGTGGCTCAGAGGTTGTGAGGGTCAATATATAGCCAACATCAAAGTGTAATTCGACCCTAGCTTGGTGCTTGCATATCCCATGTCAAGCAAAGACATATGCATGCCTAGACCGGTACTTGCAAAACCCCATGGGGAAGTGGAGAGTGGTGGAGCGTGTGCGACGATCTGCCCTCCGGGTTGCCCTCCGCATATTTGTTGGGGACTCGGCGAGAAAACCGCACCATGACACCACTTGGCTTTCTCGAGCTCGAGGCGGGCAAACAGATAAGATAAGAGTCATGATTTTCAAGCTGCAGATTTATCTCTCTGAGCTTTCAACATTCATTCCCTGATCGCAGCAATCATGGCCACGACTACCGCAACTATTCATGAAGCTCCCGCATTCGATCCTTCTCTTCGCCATTCTACAAGCAGATCTTACAGCTCCAAAGAAGCTTTCATTCCAGCTCTCACTACACAATGTCACGCCTCCAACCTTCTTCTGCTACCAAATGGCGACCTCCTCTGCGCGTGGTTCGGTGGAAGCATTGAAGGCAGACCTGATATCTGCATCTACATGTCACGTCTCCCAGTGGGGCAGAATGTCTGGACGAGCGCGGTGAAGATGACGCATGATCATACCCGCAGCGAACAAAATCCCCTGCTCTTTTGCAATCCCTCGAATGGGGAAGTTCGACTTCTCTATACCTCCCAAAATGCCGGAAACCAAGACTCAGCAATCGTGAAGCAGATAACCTCCGCTGATGGTGGGAAAAATTGGTCGGACCCAACTGTGCTTTTCAACGATGCAGGCACCTTCATCCGCCAGCCTATGATCGTTCTTCAAGATGGCGCATGGGTCATACCTATCTTCAAATGCCGTGCTGAACCCGGGACTCGGTGGTTAGGAAGTGATGATATTTCCTGTATCCGCGTATCCAAAGACGAGGGCAAGACATGGAGCGAGAGGGAAATACCAAACAGTTACGGTTGTGTTCACATGAACATCCAACGGCTCAAAGACGGAACGTATCTCGGCTTGTATCGAAGCAGATGGGCGGACCGCGTCTACTTGTCAACCTCGCCGGATGGGCTAGACTGGACCGAGCCTAGACCGACTGTGCTGCCAAATCCCAATGCGGGTATTTGTTTTGATGTTCTGCCTTCCGGACGCGTTGTCCTGGTGTATAACCATTCATCGAAAGAAGATGCTCTTGGTCGACGAGACGGTCTGTACGATGATATCAGCGATGGGACTGATACAAGAGCCAACCAGGCCACGAAGCATGGCAAAGAAGCTTTCTGGGGCGCTCCTAGAGCTCCCTTGTGTGTTGCCTGGAGCGACGATAATGGATCGACTTGGAGTCGGAAGACCTTGGAGGAGGGAGATGGCTATTGCCTAACAAATGACAGCGAAAAGAAGCGCAACAGGGAGCTTTCTTATCCTAGTATCCTGGTAGAGGAAAACGGGGTCATTCACATTGCTTTCACGTTTTGGCGGCAAAGGATCAAGTATGTGCAACTGAGACAAGACTTTTCTGAATAGACAGCTTAGCTTCAAGCGGACCTGAAGTTTTGACCCAATAAAGTTTCAACATGCCTAGACATCTTTGCGTTTACGATGGCAGTGGCAGAACCTTGGAATGTCATATGGCTCCACAGCAGGCAACGCTGGAAGGGACGGATAACCAATAGAAATATCGTCAATCCGTCCAAAGCTTCGCCCTGCTGAGTCCAAGTTACTAGCATCCAATCAGATATCTGTCGACCTTGAATGGGCGGAGGTGACAAGGATGAGTGAGGCGTTCCTGTAGGCGGTGTTGATCGATGAATTTTGCTTACTGTTGGCCCCCCTTGGTCCAGCTATCAGCGTACGCAGTGCTCTGTACTCCGTAGTAACCAACCAGAAGCAGATCATTACCCGAAAGGTTCATAACTGGTGCCTTGCAGCCACGTCAGTGGCAGGAATACGACAGGACTAAAGCTGACATTGGCAACAAATTTACCCCGCCGTTTGTGGCGGTGCTCAGCTGAACATCCAATCATCCAACACCATCCTGGCGTGCGTCTTGCAAGTGATCTATCTATTGAGATTGCGACCATGGTGTTTGCATGAAAGCTCAGCCTTGGTGAGTCCCCGCAAAGCCGCTGCTACCCAAGCGGCCCGAGGCAGTGCTGGGTTTGCGCAAGAAAAACAGTTCCAGCTGGCAGGCCTCTCACAATTTTGCGATTGATACACCTTTTCGTGTGGAAAGAACTCCCACGAAGAACAAAAAATGGAAGCGGTCGGATTGGCCGTTGGAGTTATAGGACTGGCGGGGCTTTTCAGCTCTTGTCTGGATGTCCTGGAGAGGTTCGACTCTTGGAAAGACTTTAACAACGACTCGCGCGCCTTAGCACTTCGATTCGAGGCCGACAAGCTTCGTTTTGAAAATTGGGGCCAGACAGTGGGGATTGGCCAAAACGACTCGTCAGATTACCATCACGAGAGTCTCAATGATCCACGAACTTTGGAAACAGTCGAAGGACTTTTGTCAGTCATACGTGAAATCGGCAGTGACTCGGAAATCAGGTTCCCTTCCGGGGTTTCAGGGCCTCATGCCCGGCCTGCCAAAGGTGGCCTGTCCTCCAAAGCCACTGTGCATCGACCTGAATCAAGGCGAAGGAGACTTGGTTGGGCAATGCGAGATAAGGCAAAGCGCATAGCCCAGGTCGAACAGTTCGCGCAGCTAGTGGACCGACTGTACATATTGGTGCCACTGACTGGGAGCGGGAATTGCGGAAACACCCTTGGTAGCACACATGGTAAGCAGAATTTCATTATGGTGTCAATCAATATCTTCCCAGATTCCTGATAGCACACATAGGTAACAAAGATATTTGGATTACCGAGGTTGAGCGGATTTTCAATAAATTTGAGGGGGAGATTGAAGGTTGGTTCCAAAGCCGTTCCATATCTTGGCCTTGAATCTGATAAGCGAAGTGCAAACAAGACGGGACGTGGAAAAATGGTTGATGGGCCGACACCCTCCGAACGAACTCTTTAGTGATTTTACCGACAAAAGATTGGACGGCACCTGCGAATGGATTTTAACAGAAGATTCATTCATCAACTGGTCCTCATCCAGAATTTCAGCTGTCAATGCAGCAAGGCTTCTGTGGATCAATGGGCCCGCAGGAGTTGGAAAGTCTACCCTCTGTGCCAGACTCATCAAGCACCTCTCCGACAAAACCGAGGAGCCTATCGCTCATTTCTTCTTTTCCTCTGATTTTGAGACCCGAGCAGATCCCTTTGTGGCGATACGGTCATGGATCTCTCAAATGGCAACTCACCCAACTGCGTTTAGGCTAATTCACGAAAAAAGGACAAAACAGCACAGCCAAATGGCAACTCGTGCGGATATCATCGAGCTTCTCCGAGAAATCTGTCAATCTGTCCATGGATGCTTTTTTGTTCTGGATGGTTTGGACGAATGTACTTGGAGAGGAGGAGAAGAGGACTCTGTTACTGTGTTTTTGGAGACAATAACGAGAACGATCAAACACACATCTACCCGAATCCTGGTCGTTAGTCGCAATGAACCTGAGATCAGACATGGTCTCACTAACCCCATTGATGGGATCATCATGTTTCAACATGATATTTCTCTTCAAGATGTCAGCTCGGACATAGGGTTGTACTCAATGAGTATCGTGGAAAAGCGACTTCCTCGCAAGACCCAAGCGATGAAGTCAGGTATTTCGCAGAAAATGGCGAATGGATGCAACGGACAATTTCTCTGGCTTAAGATGCAGGAAGACTCACTTCGCAGTTGGAAAAACCAAAAGCAGCTGGAAGATGCAATCGAGAAGACACCAGCCGGGCTGGAACATCTCTATGAACGGAATTGGATGAAGATGGCAAGATTCCCCGAAAGAGAACGAGCTCGAGCCTTTGCCTTGTTGCGTTGGACGGCATTTGCTTTTCGACCACTGTCTGTCCGAGAGCTCACAGAAGCCTTGCTTATTGATGAAAGCAGAAATGAACTGCTACTGGATGAGATGCCAGATACCATCGATGATGATTATATCGATAGTGAGATGGCCAACCTCTGTGGATCTCTCCTTGAAATTCGATCCTCTCAATCCGAAGCGCACTTTGGATTAAGGACGGTGCATCTTGCGCATTTCTCAGTCAAAGAGTACCTACTACGCAATATGCCTCTCGATTTGACCATTCCAACCTTCCAACCCTCCACCGAGTCAATTGAAAGTGTCTTTTTCTCCAGGATGTGCCTGCGCTATGCGACTATCCCAGAGGTCTGGTCGAACACTTCTCCTCTGTGCGATGATCAGATCTTTGGTTCATTTCTGGATTATGCAGCTGGCCATTGGTACGAATACTCTGCGATGGACAATTTGAATGACAGCCAAGCGGTCAGTCAGATGAATTCATTTTTTGATTCAAGCAATCCAACATGGCATTCTTGGACACACTGGATGAGGGGAAATGATAAAACCCTGAAGGCAATGACATTACATGGCAGGGGCAAGTCAGAAAGTCCATTGTTCTATGCGGTGCTGGTTCGCTTGCCAGAAACGGTACGGCACCTGATAAAGGAAAAAGGGTTCACACCCAACGAGCAGCTTTGCTTGGGCTGGACGGCTCTCACATTCGCTTGTTACCGAGGTGATTTGAAGACAACGCAGGTTCTTCTTGACGCAGGGGCCAATGTCACGACTGCCGATGATGATGGGTGGACGCCGCTCCACTTTGCTTCGGCAGCCGGATATGCCGACTTGGCCAAATTGCTGCTTACAGCAGGTGGCGGTGCCACTACGTTAGCCAAGCAAGGATGCACACCACTGGAACTAGCATCCTACAACAGCCATCATGAGATAGTTCAGCTACTACTGAGGTGGAACGCAGATCAAAACCCGGCACCCCAACATAAATGGACACATTTGCAAACGGTCACAGACAACAGTCATCCCGAGACTGCCCCAGTCACTCCTGAAATCCCCGAGCCTATATCAAAATGCATATGTCCATGTGTCATTTTGCCAGGGGTGGTATATACTTCTCATCTCCATGCCCTACTGTCACCGTACGAACGCGTGGAAATGACTCTCAAGTCAACCCCCCGACCCACGGATCAAGCGTTCCTATCCGCACTCGAGTGCAGGTATTTGTTAAGATTTTCAAACTCCCCGCATCAACTTCCAATTCAAACACGAAGAAGCAGAGAAATCGCTCACCCAAATTCGAACCCCAACCAGAAGCCGACGTCGAGGTTGATACCGACTTGGACCAAAAGTCCTCTTCTTCGATATCTTCATCACGTTTTGAGCTCGCCTCAGCCATTTTAAAGGCTGAGGATGTTCAGGATTGGTCTTTCGAGATTGATTTTGAATCAATTTTGCTTAAGCTATCCCAGTGGACGACCAATGGCACGAATGACCATTTGCTGTCGAAACTGGCCCTCCATAATCCTGGTCACATACTCGACCTGATCTCGATTTACATCATGACTAGATTTAAACTACTTTGGGTGCTGAACTGTGACTCTCAAAGTGGATTTGACCAGTTTGTTAAGAACCTTTTGTTTCAACAGTTCATTGCTTGTAGCGAGTATTAGCTATACCATTTCATTTCTCGGATATTCTCTAAATTGTTTCTACCATTCGCACCGATATTCCTTTCCTACAGAACACTTTATCAATCACGTAGCTAGGTATACCTATACGGCTTCTGGTAGACTTTGCTCCAGCTTCTCTAAATGCTGCATGACCATTATGACCCAGCTGGATTTCTCTTCTCCACATGGAACGTATGGCTTTCGAGGCCAGAAGGCCTTTGCATCTGTGATTCCAGCACCTGGTCCTGCAAAATGAGCTGCACCAAACTTGGTAGGTGCTATGCCCTCTTTGCACGCCTTCTCGGCTTGAGCAACCAGCCCCTGTAACTTTCTAGCCTCTTGGCCTTTCCCTTCTTTCCACAACTTGTAGAGTTGTGCAACGCATTTGGGGAATACATTGGCAATTCCTGTAACGCATCCACCCCCACCACCAGCGAGACAAGGAACCAGCCAGTCAGACGACCCCGCATAGACCGCGAATTGATCATGGCTATATTCCTCGGTGAGCCGGGTTACCTTTCCAGCATTCCCGCATGTCAACTTGACTCCAACGATGTTAGGATGTTGGGCAAGCTCTGACATTGTATCTGAATTCATATCGATGCCATTGCACATAGCGGGGAACTGTTTGAGCGGTCAGAAATTGTTTGAGAATGAAAACCTCTCGCGTAGGAACTTACGCTGTATATCACAATAGGTAGACTGGTGGAGTCCGCGACATCGCGATAAAATCCCAGAATGACGTCTTTCGTAACGGCCTTTGCCCAGTAACTTGGTGGTAACAGCAGGCCGAAGCTTGCCCCTGCGGCCAATGCATCCTCTGCTAACCTGATTGATTCGATCGTAGATTGTCCGCTGATTCCGGCGACGATGGGGAATTTCGGGCGACCGAGATCCACCGCTGCTTGCCTAGCAACCCTGACAAGCTCTTTGCGTTCCTCGGAAGACAACAAAACGGCTTCAGCAGTAGTTCCCGCGAGAACGAGACCATCAACACCCCCACGGATTAAATATGAGAAAAATTTGTATGACGCATCGTAGTCGACTTCTTGGCGGGCCGTTGGCTTGTAAAGGGAAATCACAGGACAGTAGATGCCGGGGGAATGGGCGATGATTTTGATGCGATTTTAGACGTCATTGTATCGGGTAATTCGTGAGGCTCTAAGAAGAAACAAAATCAGTGTTAATAATAAGCTATTGTTCTCACCCTTATATTATATTTTAGCCAAAATATTGCGACCAGGAATCCCTTCTGCGGCCACCGGAGGAAGCCCGAGATTCGCGACGTACCCGCGCCGGAGTATTTTCCACAGGTGAGGGGGTCCAAGATGGTTCCAATGAAGCCCGTCGAAGTGGAGAAGAGCAAGGCAATGGTCTGATCTGCATTTACCGACCATATGGACACAAAGACACCTCTGGGCGAATGAGGTGGATGTTATTTTGGAAGACTAAGGTAGAGCTTTCCCCGCTTCTCCATTAAAAGCCCTCGGGATGGTCACCGGCGTCAACTTCACCGTACGAGCACCTTTAGCCCTCTCAATCTTGCTGGTATCGACATGGTGAAACGAAAACGGAATTGGACCGGTGAGGAGTCGGAAACCTTGCCGTCTTCACATCATGGACCGGACACCAAGGAGCTGGCGGTGCTTGATGTTTTGCCGGGGATTACCCGGAAGATCACAGCTTGCGGAGCCTGCAGGAAACAGAAGGTGATTGAAGCACGAACGATGTGGTTGGATCAAAGCTGATGGGGTCAGATCAAATGTGACATGAGTAATGGACCTCCATGCACTCGGTGTCGTCGTCGCGATTTGTCTTGTGTTTTGAATAAGAGCCTCCAGTCATTGGTCGAAGAAGTCAAGTAAGATTTCGCAATATCCGCTTGATCGAACCTCTCTCACAGATTACAGGAACACAGAGGTGTTACAAAGCGATATATCAGGCCTACACGAAACCCTGGAGACTATTTGCCAACACCTCAATTTACCGCGACCAAAACCCCTGTTGTCTAGCGGCGAAGCGATAGAGGCCGATGGCAAATCCGGCGAAAATGACGACTTAGAGCGAGATAATGAAGATCTGGATGGATGTGAGATCTCCCCACCGGATACCCCATCTGCGGTTCAGGCCCCCATCGATACATATCTGGATATTGCCAAACTGGGAAGCCCAGGATCATCAGAGAATACTCCACCGAGTACGACAAAACACCGACAGCACTCCACACCGCAAGACCTTGTTAGCAAAGGGGTGATAAGCTCAGCGGTGGCAGAGACTTTGGTTGAGAGATATCTCGCTCGGCTAGATCCATATCTCTATGGGATATGCAGTGGATACCGAGATGTTCAACAATTACGGGCAACATCGCCTGTGCTATTTGCTGCAATATGCACAGTCTCTGCACTGCAAGACCCTCAAGGGCAACGCATATATGAAGCCTGCAATCGTGAATTCCGCCGCCTCGTGTCGCGGTCGCTTTTTGAGAAGCACGACCTAGAACACGTTCGAGCGCTCTGCATTAGCTCTTTCTGGCTTTCGGATGCGTCAAGGATCTTATCGAGTGATGCTATCCGACGAGCGGCAGATATGCGTCTACATCGTAGCTTCGAGCATCTGTCAGTCCCGATGGATCCCCGGCTGATACCAGGGGGTCATGGTGGTCCCCAATCCATCCACGACACGACGATATTGCAAGACCGTGTCAGGCTTTGGTATCTCACATTCATATCTGACCAACACCTGTCTATTCTGCATAACCGTGACCCGCTCTTGCGCAGTGACAAGGAAATTGCCTTGAGTTGGGAAACTTTCCTTGCTCGGGAGGACACAACAGACTGCGATGTTCGCATTATATCGCAAGTCGCCCTGCTTGTTATCATGAGCCAAGTTCGTGATCTGCTAGGATCTGATCAAGGGTCTCGTGTCCCACAATCTTTGTCAAATCAGATTATTCACTATTCTCGCCAGTTGGATCGTTGGTTCGCCAAGTTCTCGGCTCTATTTAAACCAGATCCCTACATTGGGGATTTCCCCAAACGTGGTCTTCAATTGCACTACCATTTCGGAAAGCTTTATCTTGGTCATCAAGTGTTCAAAGGATTGAATGGCGAACTGATACCACCTCACTTCTTGACTGCAGCCGGCATGGCCCACGAAGCCGCCGTAGCGATTTTCGAGATGATCCTACATGAAGATTTACAATCAAGTCTGATTGGTATGCCGCATTATTTCCACATAATGATTGCGTTTGCAGGTCACTTTTTGCTAGAAGTGACGCAGAATTATCATACCCAGTTGTCTATCGACCAAACCCAGAATTTCGAGTTGATCCAGAAGGTGCTGGAATTGTTCCAGGATATACCGGCAGTTCAACAGCACCCTATATGCAGGATGACACCCGGATTAAGTCGGAAGTTGCGAGAGAGTGTAGGTGTTCTGCAAGGAAGCAATGGACATATGCTTCAGTCGTTAGGGGCACCAACCGGTGCAATGGATTATACCGCAAACTCCCTTCAGATGCCACCACCATCAGGCCCATTCTCGTTCTCTGAAGATTCGCTTGTTACGTCTGGGGATGACTTCTTGCTTGCAGATTTTGGAGAGTTCAATTTTGCTGGAATGTTGTCGAACGGAATGAGTTGATGTAATTTAGATCAAAATGAAGAGAGATCAAACCATGTGTTAGACTTTGTAAACAGCACCATCTCCAGAACTATCATAAGAGAAACTCGAAAGTCTTTACGAAAACTCATGCCGTATGAAGTAACAAGTATGCAGTGAAATGGGCCCATCTTGTCCCGAAACGCCTAGCCCGGAGAGCTCGCCGAGGGGGCGGCATCGCTCGGCGGGGCGACTTTAGGCCCATATTTCTAAGGTTATAAAACACCTTTTCATGAGGACTTCAAGCACAAACACCAATATGGAAACATCCAAAGACAGAGCCTCCTTACCGAAGATGGAATACCAACGACTGGGCAACAGCGGCCTCAAAATCTCTCGAATCATCCTCGGCTGCATGACATACGGCAATCCCAGCTGGGAAGGCTCGCCCTGGGTTCTAGACGAAGAGAAATCCCTACCTCTTATCAAAAAGGCCTATGACGTAGGAATCAACACATTCGACACGGCAAACACATACTCAAACGGTTTCTCGGAAACGATTCTCGGAAACGCATTAGCCAGATACTCGATTCCCCGAAGCCGAGTGGTGATCATGACAAAACTATACTACCCTGTTTTGGAAGACGATCCAGACGCACGACCAAGCCCGGCAATTAACGATGGATCACTCGTTAACCAAATGGGACTTAGTCGGAAGCACATATTCGACGCTGTCGAGGGATCTCTGCGCCGCTTGAACACTGATCATATCGATGTACTTCAAATCCATCGACTGGATCATGATACATCGCCTGAAGAGATCATGCGCGCTCTTCATGATCTGGTTCAGATGGGTAAGGTGCGGTATTTGGGTGCTTCGAGTATGCATTGCTGGGAGTTTGCTCGATTGCAGTATATTGCGAAGATGAATGGGTGGACGCCGTTTGTCAGTATGCAGGGACTGTATAATCTACTTTACCGCGAGGAAGAGAGGGAGATGAATCCGTTCTGTGCGGCTGAGGGTGTGGGGTTGATTCCGTGGAGTCCATTGGCGAGAGGGTTGCTGGCGAGGCCTTGGAAGGAGAAGTCTTCTCGGGCGGAACAGGACCAGAAGACTAAGAAGTGGTTTGTGGGGGATCAGAATGAGGAGATTGTGTTGAGGATTGAAGAGATGGCGAAGGCGAAAGGTTGTGAGATGGGTGCTATTGCGATGGCGTGGTTGTTTAGCAAAGGCGCGTGTCCTATCGTTGGATTGAACAGTGAGGCCAGGATCGAGCAGGCGCTAGAGGCCTTTGGTGTGAATTTGTCGAAGGAGGAGGTGGAGAAGCTGGAAGAGCCATATAGACCACTGGCTGTGCAGGCGATCTAGATTTTTGACGCTCGTATGAGGATACCATGTGTGATAACTGTTTCTGTTATACAAAGAGAGATGGAATTGTCATAGAATGTCGAATAAGTGTAGCCCGCGTAGCGCGAGACACGTCCTTGCATTCAGCTATGTCAACTATCTGCGAGAAGCTCGATGGCTACCTACAGAATGACCGGGAGACCATCTGTTGGACCGGGACTGGGATACTACAGAAATGAGGTATGCAACATAAAAAAGCACCCCTGGTGCGTGCGCCGTACGTGAAGTGGTGCAGATGGTGTGTCAAGGAGAAAGTGAAAGGGAAAAGCGTCTAATCTAACTGTCGCAAAAGCAGCAACACGAAAGACAAGGAGAAGAACGAACCAACCTGTAGCTCTGAGAGCGGGAACGTTCACTGTAGAAAGAGGCAGGTCGCAGCCTCGGCGACGAGTTAGATGTTCGATGTCTGTTTGAGGTGCAACTGCAATATTAAAGTGAAATTCCGCAGTTTTCGAGCGTATTGGACGCAGTGATGCTGTCGATTGATGTTGGGGACCAGCCCCGGCGGAATGAAGGGAGCGAAGGGAAAGGAAGGGAAGGCTTTAGGCGGGAGTGGCGGATGTCACCTGGCGTTTGGAAGCTCCTTCGGTGGAACCCTGAGAATTGAAGTTGGTATTAGTAATTCTTACTTGTCGAGATCCTGGGGTTCCTTTGCAGGGTGATCGATAACGGGTTCAGGGTTGGTGTATTGCCGGATTAGGCCGTCCGCAACCTCTTCGATGAACTTACGTCCAACTCGGCAATGCTGCGCTTTTGACCGGCGGTCTCTGATTTCTTTGTCGTCTTTTTCTTGGGTCGGGATGGTCGGGTCTCGCCGGGTTGGAAGACATCCTCTGGTAGATCGAAGCTATGGGGGATTAGCACGAGACTGCAGGCATGCTGTGGCGGAATGTGAACCATACTTTCGAACATGGACGACCGTCAATTCCATCACATCTTCTTGGTATCCTGGCCATGCTGTACATTGTGACTTGAAGAGCTGCGAGTCGCTCGAGATATCAAGAGATCTCGATTGGCCTTGAAAGGGGTCAGAAGGTTCGGGGGAAAGTTGTTAGGAAATTTACCAGGTTCCAACGGCATCAACTCTAAGCCGATGTAGTAAGTTGTTGTGTAGACGGTATGGCCGTCGTTCTCGGGTTGGGTCTGCGCTGGCTCTGGGATCTCAGCATTCTCGAGAGTGTTCTGGACTGCGGCTTGATGAGCAGCATTGTTGGTCTCGTCGGTCGTCTCGGTCGTTGTGCCCTTGGCGACATGCTGAGTAGATCCGTTCCTGACTGCATCCATCTGCTCGGCTGTCTTGACAAGGTGTACTCTCTCGAAGCCCTTCGGGAAAGGATGGGCGATCCCGATTATTTGCTTGCGGTCCAATGCACCGACGAGATGGCGCAACTTGGATTCAACAAGGCCAGACCATACACCCTCAGCCTCCTTGGTCTTGCTGGAAGCAGTGATGGTGAGGTAGTATTTGTAGTCGTTGGTGAAGAACGTGTGGCGCACAAATAGATCTTCCCAAGATCGCTGCTTCATGAAAATCTTGTCGACCATATCACCTCCTCGGTTGAGCTCCCTAAGGATGACCTTCTTCGTGGAGAGACTGATATTGTGAGTCGCACACATCGAAGGGTAGGCGGGGGTGATGATAGGCATCAGATGAAATCTATCGCCGTGGTAGATCTGGATATTACATTAGCTTGACAAGTTAAAGAGTTCCGAATGACTGCTCACCTTTGGATTCCACACTTTCATCTGAAGTGGGCCATCCTCAATCTGCTTCAGTAAGACAGGCTGAGGCCAATTCCACTTGTTCATGATCCTGAAAAACTTTCCCACGATGACAGAGCCGGTCGCCTGCGGGTACAGCTGGCACACACGAGCCACCAGCATCGCCCAAGCTACACCACCTGGGAAACCTACAATATTCGAGTAGATTGCCCGCCCTGAAGATCCATTGTCAGTCAGGATGGTGGAAGTGTACATGAAGACCACTTACTCTGCGCCCAAAGTTTGATCGCTCGTAGTGCCAGACGAAATGTCTTTTGCTGGGGTACAAGCTCCAAGATTTGATCAGTCACACGAGTTCCATTCAGGGAGCGTACCTCCCGCTCATCCAAGCCTCTCAGGTAATCGTTGTTCTTCAGGTCCAAGTTCATTGGGATGGAGGGGATGACGAGGCGAGCGAAGATCAGATCGATACTAATGCCGAGGAGCTCAAGCTTGATAATTGGGACGAACGCATCGGGTACTGGTGTCATTTTTTCTATCGCTCCTTCGGGGGCCATTCTTTCCAGTATCACGGGGAATTCGGCGAAAAAGTCATCGATCATGACATGCTTAGGTGCAACGACTAGGGTATCGATATCGGATCCTGCCAAAAAAAATCATGATGAGAACTTGAGCTTGCATCAATCCAGCGTGGCAGACTTACCAGGTCCATAAACTCCAAGTCTGTAAGATCCATACGTGAAGATCTTACCCCCAGAGGCTTCAACGGCCGCGGCTGAAAGACCTTTGGTGCGACTGACGACTTGGATGAATTCAACTGTGACGCGCTGCAGCAGTTGCAATACCTTTTGTCTTTGCGGTCATGAGCTTGTGTCTCGGGGAAGTTTGGATCAATGCTAACGCACCTTCGGTCTGTTTCGGTTGGCTGCTCGAAGTTGTTCTGGGCTTTGAGTTCCGCGATGAGATCATCGTTCGCTGCGATTTCGTCCTTGGTAGGTAGAACCACCGAGATTGGGGGTGTCACACCCCACTGGCGAGCGGGCGGTGTAGCCATTGTGAGAAAGAATCGCAGGTATGAAACGGTGACCCCGTTTCGTGGGTCGTCAAAAGATATGAGCTAGATAACGAAGGAAGTTGGTGAAGATGCTCCGAATCAAGCTTTGAAATGAGACCTGGCGCTTGGTGAATAGATTAAGAAAAGAGAAAAAGAGATGAAAAAGAAGAGAGTTGGCACGACCGGAACACCCGAGCAACAGGGACAAAGGATTAAGGAAAGGAATTAGAGAAGGAGTCGCGGCGCAAGGTTCGTCGGCGCCTCCATGAGCCGATCTAAGAGCTTACTCAGGCTATCACATGATCGGCATGCTGGGATGGGTGCCTGAAGTTTGCCTTAAATTTCTGACATGCGGCTCATTGAAAAGGACCTTGGAAAGATACTTGGATTACTATGACAGCTCCCCTACTAATTCAAGTACCCCGTACCCTCCTCTTTGTTCACCCATGTCCATGTATATACTCCTAGCCATCGACCGCCAAGCACCACTATGCTACTCAGATCCTTCCATGGATTTCATCATGATTATGATGGTCAAACGTATTTTCAAGAAGAGAACGTTCCATCGAGCACTGGTCAAACATGAACCATCAAAGCCTGATGCTCCGTGTACCATACTTGCTCCTGGCATGACCTTGAAGCTCACTCAAGTGTACTTTGGAGCTTGTCAGCTAAACTCATCACCTCATCGCCCTGGTTGATTTCAAAGAAACGAGTGAGCTTGTCATCAAGCCACTTAACATCCTCCTTGCTATCACCGGGGCCACCTGCCCAATCTGTGCGCAGTTAGATTTGTGGATCAAACAGTCAACGGAGAAACCACTCACGTCCCCATATCGAGGGAAATATATCCAGTGTCCCAACGCCAGGCTTCATGCATGAAACCTCATATTCCGAGTCCTCCGGCCTAAGCTGAGATTAGCAACGCCTTTTGTCCAGTTCACCGTAGTTCAACCAGGGCCTATGCACTCACGGAAAGTATAGATCAGTCTTTGCCGGAAGAACGAGCGTTTTGGCCTTAATGGACGCCATTGCTTTCTCAAAGTCTCCGTTGTACGACTCTTGCTGAGAGACATCTCCATTCTGCCAAGTTTGCAGCAGAACCAGAAGATTCTCGGGATCTTGCGACCATTAGTCAACCCCCTCGACGAGCTTCATTGTAAGACTTCCGAGACATACCTTTGGAGCAAGCCCATTTCTCCCAGAAATTGACCATAAAGTCTTCCAGTCCCTTGAACCCTAGCACGGTTTCATACAGCTTGTGTCGATAGAACGCCTGACTGAAGCCCCTATTTGTTCCGGGTCCGTTAGCAAGCCAGCTGATAAGGGTTCTCGAGGCTCCCTACCATCCCGCATAAACACGACCCAACGCCTTCAAGCCAACATCTTTCTCTTCTTCCGTCCAGGAATGAGACTCCGCAGTCTCCCTGTTCAATCCAATTTTCCCAGACCCCGCAGATCGACTTTTCTTCACTGCAATAAGCGAACTCTTGACGCCTTCAAGGAAGACTTGGTTATGCAGCGATGTCTTGGCTGAAGTACAGAAAGGCACTGCGATATCCATAAAGTCGGGGTATTGTGTTGCCCATTGATAGGTCTGGGCTCCGCCCATGGACCAACCTACGACAGCGCGCAGGTGGGTGATTCCCATGTGCTTTGTGACAAGCTCGTGCTGCGCTCTGACGTTATCGTAGAACGAGACTGTGGGAAATGGGCCGGGGGTACGTTGATTCGAAGGAGAGGAAGACTGCCCATTTCCGAACAATGCAGGAACTATAATATAGAACTTTTTCGGGTTCAGGAGCTTGTCTTCTCCTATGAGCCAGAAATTGTCTGATAACGCTGCAGTGGACTGGATGTTAGACATGCCATCATACTTCGATAAGTAATCCCAGGAACGGGACTATTCTCACCTCCTGAGAACCAAGTTGGATAGACAATTGCAGGAGATTTGGGGTCGCCAAAAGTCTGGTAAGCGATGTGAGCATTTTTGATTTGCTCACCACTCTGTAGCTGCCAATCCCCAAGATTGAATGTTTTATACTCGTCAGTCATGATGACGGTATATGGTTGTGTTGCTAATTACACCAAAGTACACCTTTCAAGCGGACCCGGCCGGTGGAGGTTATATAGTGTCAGGGTTGGAGACAACCCCGCTTTGCCCGCACGAGACGCGCTTTCAGTCGGAGCTGACATCTCTGATAGCCGAAAGGAGTGTTGGCAATGTAACGATTCGGCTCCAGTATTGAATCTATATCCAACGCCCACCTGTCTGACTGTCTAACAACATGGAAAATACAAGGGAATATCTATATACCACCACGCTATGGTGCATCCATTCCAACGGAGAAACAAAACACTACTCAAACTGTGGTCTCTGAAGCTCCAGGACATCCGTCGTGCGACCATACGAGATTCCACCCAGACGACTGATAGGCTTGAGAACCTTAAGATCAATCACAGATCTATCCTCATCGATAGCATCATCTCGCACCCAGAAGCGAACACCCTCGATGATGCAAAGCACACCAGTCTTCTTCCCAGGAGTCTGACGGCTCTCAAACTCCTTGGTCTCCACCAACTTACCCTCAATCGAGAGAACTGACTCCTTCACACGAGCCGGCTTCACAATCGAAGTAGGCGCCTGGTGCAGACCAGAAGTCTCCCACTCCGAAACGCCATACGGCGCATTGATAGAGGTGGCATTAGCCGCTTCGACAAAGTGCTCTGAGATGATATTGATGACGCACTCCTTCGTCTCACTGAGGTTTCGCAGCGTGTCCTTGGCATTTTCCAGGGATCCGGCGATGCCAACGGTGAACAGGGGCGGGTCGTGGTTGATCACCTGTGCGTAGCTGAATGGGGCGAGGTTGTCGGTCTTGCCGTCTGCGGATTTGGTGCTGATGAGGGCAATGGGTCGTGGGACCATGCCTGAGATGAGAAGCTTATAGTTTGAGGTCGCGGGTCGGCCTTCTTCGTGTGGGTCGATCTCGACGTGGTTTTTCTTCAGGCTTTCGCCTCCGTCGTTGCCGCCTTCGCCGTGCTTCCAGGTGGGGTTGGGTGGTTTGGTGACGGTGACTTTGGCGTCGTGATCGAATTCTGGACGAGTGGCCTGCACTGTCTCGAAGTCGGGGCGGGGTTTGTACATGGTGGTGGTTTTGGTGAAGGTGCGATGGATGGAGATGGGATTGGAGTGAATTCGAGTGAGTGCTTGACGACTATTGTGGGGATTGGGAATCAGCTATGTTCACCGATGTTCTCTGCCCCGCGGTGCTGCGACTGCAACGGTGGACTGGTGCTCAACCGTGATGATTGGGGGATCGCGGGGTACTCACAAAGGAAGATTGCGTGGCAGTTGGTGGAATGTGGAAAATGAAATCCCTACTAGCGAAGACATGGAGTACAATGGTCTTTCTTTCGAAGGGAATTTGCTATCGCGTCTCCAAATCTAATACTGCCACGCGCGATGGATCAGTATAGCCACGGCGATAGTGCGACGGGCAGCTGGTGCGTGGCCATACGACCACACGGGCATCCGACACTCGGGCCGAGCAGATGATGTCATCGGATGTGCTTCTACACAGTTGCTCGAAGGGCTCACTGCCGTCGTCTATCCGCAACTCTTTTCTAGATATTTTTATTTTGTGTTCGTAGTAATAGTCTAGCTCTGATTCAGGTCACTTGAAGCTTAGGAGTTCATCATTTTTAAAGTCAATCAGGCCGTTGATAGACTATTTTGTTCAAACAGAGGTGAGTTTCATACCTATTTAATGCATCCAAACACAGTGAGAGTAAAAACAATCATAGCATTTCAAAGCCTTGCTCGGGTGGGCAACTGGGTCCCTTCAGACCAGTTGCGCTAGACGTGGGGGGTCCAACCCACGCCCCATAAAAGGACCCATTTTGCCCCGGAGTTTGAATCGGAGTTGATGCGATACAATTATGACAGAATAAGAGATTTATTATACATGACTTTATCCACCGCGATCTAATAGGTCGAGTGCGAATATCAGCTGATGAGTCGAATCGAGGTCCCATGATCGAGAAACACGTACTGTATCGAGCATAGCGGTCAGTGTACGTGTTACATTACGAGAATTACATCGTGAGATTGGGAAATTTGTAGTGGCGTTCGCTTCCTTTCACCTGGTCTCCCTACACTTCCTCTGCGTCGCCTAATGAAGATCTCGCGCGATTCCATTTCACCCTCCCACAACCTCCCCCACCGCCGCATATATCCGACCCATCCACCTTAGACCCTTCTACGTCAACACTCCCTCCATCGCTCAGGAGTGTGCAGGTGTCCAATGGGTCGTGACCACGGATAATCATCCGCTTGTCATGAGCGACCCGTCGCCCAAGAAGAAGAACGGCGGCAACCCTTCTGTTCCAAGACAAATCCGCTTTGTCGCAACCGATGGTCAACCGCAGACCAAGCGCCGGCGCGTCAATGCCGCGTATGTCGACGGAGATATCCCTTGCTCGCCCGAATTTGAAGCTGACATACACGTGGGTCCTGTAGATGTTTGACATGCCGCCGGCGCAAGATCAGATGCTCGGGAGAACAGCCAGGTAAGTTGCGCCGCCACACTTCCTCAAACGCGGGAACCTCGGTTGATAAATGAGGATAGTGTGCAAAACGTGCTCGGACTACAAGCATGTCTGCTTGGGATACACCGAATCGATCGCTCATTTACGGACACAGTCTGACTCGACGTCGCAAGCGCCGCGTGTTTCCGCCCCCAATGGTTCGAGCCACAATGTCGCCCGCGCCGTCGAAAGTAGCTCCCCTGATCCAGTGCCGCCGAATATGCCAGCGCCCGCCGTTGACGGGCCTTCCGAGCTACTGGAGACCGGCTTGAAGGATATACCTCCGTTTCTAGATGTGTCGTCGCGCAACAAAGAGTTGGAGATGCGAGCCGAAGACAGCCCGGAGAGCAGTCGTGCCTCTGTGAGCTCAGGTAGTCGCACGCATGTGCCTTACTTCCGATACTTTGGTCCCACTGCCATTGTTCCAGGCTTCAAGCAAATGGTCGTGCAAGTCCGCGGTTCTCGCAAGAGTAACCCGTCCATGTCTTCCGACTCTCCGTCACCCCTCCGAAGCCCCAGACCCGCGGAAAGACCCTCTGAGAACATCAGCAGAGCCCCGGCACCGTCTGAGAGTCGCGAAAGTCGCGATGCGAACATCCCCTTCTATGACCAGGACGACACGGCTCCCGTTTCAAACCTCGTTTTGCATCTTTGTGATTTATTCTTCACGCACCTGGGATGTAACTTCCCATTCCTCCAGCGCGATAGATTCTTCCAAGATCTCAAAGACAAGAGGGTCGACACCATGTTAGTAGATGCGGTGTGCTCATTAGCCGCAAGGTTCTCAGCACATCCACTGCTTGGGCCTCCGCAGGCTCAGCCCATCGCACGCCCGCATCTACCAGATGACAACCGCAAATGGGATCGCGGCTTACCATTTGGACATCGTGCGATGAGCGCGCTCGTGGACTCACTGCCATGTCCGACTCTCTCCGCTGTCCAGGCCTGCTTACTACTTGCCTATGAACAGTTCGGATCGAATCACGACAGTGGACTTTGGATGTACCTCGGAATCTCCATTCGCATGGCGCAAGACTTGGGATTACAGAAGTTTCAAGGTCTCAAGCATAACTATGGCCAGAGCGGGGTGACTCCGAGCGATGTGATGACTGGTCACGCTGGAAAGCTTAGAGAAGATCAGTATGATGATCTCGATGTGCATCATACTCCGAAGGTGAAACCAAGGCCTCTTACTGGAGAGCGCGCTCGAGAGCGTGAGCGCGTAGACTCATTTTGGAGCATATTCTTTTTGGATAGAGTCATTTCTTCGGGGACGGGTCGGCCAGTGACACTCCGCGACGAAGATATTGAGCTTTGTTTCCCTCTCCAGTCGGAATCACAGCTTCCGAATGGCTGGCCAGCTCCTTTCCCGCCGCTTATTCGGATCATCCATCTCTACGGCAGAGTGACGGATTTGATAAACGGTATCCAATACGTCAAACGGGTCACACCAGATACTTTGAAGATGCTAGCTGGGATGGAGAGCGACTTGACTGGTATCTATCAACGCTTGTCTCCCAGACTTCATTTCAATGCAGCGAATTTCCAGGCTTATGTGAAAGCCAAGGAAGGGACTAACTTCATATTGTTGCATTTCTGGTTTCACACCCTCATCGTGCTTCTACACCAGCCTACGTTGCTGAACTCTTTTGGTGGATCCATTCAGCACCTTTATCCCAACAGCCGGGAGCTTTCGATGTCTTCTGCAAAAACCATTGCAGACATTCTATCTTTCTCCGAGCTCGTTGATGGGAAAAGCTTCATCGGAAACCCGTTCACAAGTCAACCGATGTACATTGCAGCTTGCGCCTTCCTCATGGAAAGCGCATACTACACCACACCCTCATCTGCCAATGGCGCACCATCGCCCCAGCCACTGTTGGCGAACCAGTCTAGTGGCTTCGTGCTACCTAATTTGGATCCATCCAATGGAACAGAGCGCAAGTCTACAGCGAAGCACATTCTACTCGCTTCTGCTGCGAAGGAGAACTATCAACGCTGCTACAAAGCATTGCAAGCCCTCAATACGTACTGGCAAGGAACTGGCTACATCCTGACAGTGCTAGACCAGAAGGCGAAAGGCATCGTTGACCCTCTTCTCTACACCATTGAAGACATGGAGAATACAGATGGGATCGCTCCGGGGCTACCTCTGGGTCCTGGCCCTTGGCGCAAAGGCAAAGTACCAGCAGATGGATCAGATCCCGAAAAACCATACAGTGTTGCCGACATGACATCTAACAGGAAATGGTCGCCAAACATCGATCCAAGCCAAGCCATCGGATGGTCTCTCACAGGTGCTACGAACTCAGCACAGCCTAACCTAAGCTTGCTGTACCAAATGCCCACCACTGAGCCAGATCCTACCCCCGACCGTCCAACCTACTCGTCCCAGTACAGTCACAGCTACCCAATCCTACCAAATGCCGGGCAAGGCAATTCATCGTTCCCTCCCCTCAACCCCAGTCACAACGAAAGCGCCGCATCACTTGCGGCAGCGAATGCAAAATACCCCACGATACCCACGCCTATGCATACAGATTCCTACTACATGGGTCTGAATTCACCTTACCCAGATTCAACACCACAATCCACACGCCCCGTCCAACCCGCACCGCCCACTTTCTCGGGTCTATCACCAGCCCAACTTGACCCTCAGCCATCTGTATTCGACTACTCGGTTCCACCAACCCCCGACCCAAGTGGGAACCCAATCGGCACTGGTGATCTGCATGCAGATAGCAACGGGATGATGATCGGTAGCCATGACGTCGATATGAATACCCTCAACCACCAAGAATCATTCCCCTTTGCTAATGGCGAGATTCTGCCTTGGTTGGAGTATCTCCCGCAGGATGTTCTTAGCTTCTTTGGTGAAAATCAGGGGTATCCACTTATGAATCCTGATGATGTTTCACGGCCATCATGATGTTGCGTGCTGGCTTTGTTGTATATATACCCGCCACGTACCTGCATATATCGGAGTTCGGGCTGGCTTTTTCCCCTTGCAAAATGATGTGGACTCGTGGCGGATGAGGCGCTCTGATTCTTTTGGTGCCAGATAGCTTGTTATGTCTACAATGTCTAAACACAAGTATAACTTGAACGGAAAAAGCCATGATTCAAAATTAGACCCAATCAATCCCCCATCTTGATTTAAGAACGGTTTTAGAATGATTGCACTAGGTAACCACCTAGGTGATACTTCTCATGCCCTGCAAGCATCACAGGATCTCTCTCTCTCTCTCTCTCTCTGTATATGCTTGTTTGCTTGCTTGCTTGCTTCCTATCGTCATCCATCATTCCTTCTTGCTTGCTGGCTACCAAGCGCCATCTGATCTGCTTTGCTTGCTTTGCTTCTTTTGCTATTTATGCTTGTTGCTCCATAGCTTCTTGCTTCTTCTTCTTTCCTTCTCCATCTTCGGTTTCTTCGTTGTCTATGGAACAACCCTTATTCCATCTCCATCACAATACTATCGATACCTTCTAAGGTTACGTGGACCTTTCTACCCCTCTGCACTACCTCCGGTGCTTTCAGAACTGATGAATAACCGTTTATCTTACCACTACTGCCACGAACTGAGTCGTACCCGTGGGCTCCAATACCCATCAATCAACTTCGAGCAACCGAACTTGACTTCTCCTCAGTAGAAAAGTCTCCTACTTTCCACGATGGCTGCACAGCACAGAACGCCAAATCACCCGCACGACGAACGCACTGCACGCGGCCCGGACCAGCCACAATACGCCCCATCTCTCTGTCAATGATATGGAAATGATGTGCCATTTTGCGAGAAACAGACTGCAGCCCATGTTTGAGAATGTGATGGAATTGGGCTCGAGCGTAGGGAGAAGGCAGAGAGTTGTGGATTTCATTACTTGGGATAATGTGAGGAGTTACTGGAAGCAGACTGGTGGTGAGTAGCCATTTATCTCGCAGACCTAGGCTGAACCATGCTGCAAGATTCAAATTCAATTCAATTCATGTTTCTAATGTTTGGTCTATATAATGGATTCAATGCCCTTGTTTCAAATGGCTTGCTATGTCACCGATTTCTATGCAAAGGTCCGAATCGAAGAAACCTCAATGATAAACAGAGAATTCACTCCGTGCCATTTTACTACCGCGCTCCATCAGAGCAAGCACTGCTAGGCAAAAATTGCCCCAAAGCAGACTCGCATCTTTCCCTCTCCCCTGACTCAGAGAGCTCCCTCAACTGAGCCCAATCCTCTATGTTGTTTTGGGGTCTTTGCTCGATATCCCGATGCATGATTGCGCTTCCAATATCCCGAGAGAACTGTAGAAAGACTTTGCGTAGTGTTGGGATTGAGCCGAAGATGATGACGAACCACATCTCAGTGAAGACCCAGATGTTTAGGTTAGCCATGGCGTAAGTGTTGTCTTCGATGTTTGTAACGTTTTTGATAGAGATTCCTTTCACGATTGCGGCGCTGCCGGCTCTGTAAAGAGGTCTTGTGGTCAGTATTGTTGATGGGCATTGGAATGAATTGTCTCGGTTGGACTTGGTGCTTTGTTCGTATAGGATCGCATATCTGGTGGAGAAGATGGAAAGATGAAAGTGGTGAGAGGGGCCAGTTTGAGGGAGACAGCAGATAGAAAGGAAGGAAATGGAAGAATCTTCGATGCACTCACACCACTCCACCTCCCAATATAAGACAAATCCCAATTTTCGTTGCTCGTTTCATATGCTGAATCTCGCGGATAATGAATATGGGGTAGGCAGCTAAGAAGAAGTCGGAGAAAGCGCCAATACCTTGAAATAGTGAGCGTTTATTAGCCTATCTTACCTTGTGTGTATGTATTGTAGTCTAACAGAACAACAATTGAAACCATACTTACCACCCGCAACATACCCATCTACTGCTGAGGCAGCAATCCCTTTGCATGTGCCTGGGATACTTGGATCCCACAATTTCTCAACCGGGCTGCACTGTTTGAAGATCCCTCCAACAGAGAGTCCATACATAGCTGCTTGAACAATCCCAATCAGCCAAAGTAGGTACCGACTCCAATGGCGCATTCCATCCTGCAGCAAAAGAAGGAAAGCCGCCACCGCAGTGCGTGCGAAGATCAAGTCAATGATTGACACAACCTGAGCGATCCAGCTCCACAGATTTAGTTTGACGAGGTTCTCGTGTGAGATCAGATTCTGATGATTGCCGAGACCATAGCGGACGCTGACCGTGAGACTGACTTGGGAACCTAAGGCCACGGCCTGGGGAGTTGTTTTTGTTAGTTCTTAGTCCCATAGGTATCATTTGAAAAGACCTGAGGTCAAAAACGTGAGATGTATGCTAAAATTCCATGGCAAGCAAACATAATCTCGGATAGATATTCACGGTGAGACCCACGTAGGCAATTATCTCCCATACAAAATCCCATCGTAAACTATAGATGCCAGAAAATGCGATGGGAACGCTCGCTCGGCGGGGGATTATGGAGGCATTCTTTGCACGTAGGATGATCAATACAGTGGCCAGGCCTGTTTCCGACCAAGTAATTCCAAGAACCATGGGTCCTCTTCCTCCGTATGTTGCTGTCAGTTCCCTAGACATGATAGAGAGGACACACAAACCCCAGAATTCTACCACCAGGTGTTCAGGTCTGTCACAAGCCTTCAAACATCCAAGTTAAGTGATGGGTCATCATGGAAAGCAGACATTTCCAAGGTTTCTACCCCCAAAAAAAGGGTTCGGCCTCTTCACGCTTTGAAATATGAAGATTCTATCCTATCACATCCTAGCATCACACAGCCAGCCAAGCTGACTTTTTACTTCAGTCCTCTAGTAATCCCTGCAACATCATCGACGGCGCCAGGCCTCAATATGACTGGCCGGGAGCTTGTGTGACTCTATACGCTTGCTTAGAAAATATTGCAGCACTCATTGTCTTCAATCAAGCCAAGTGGACCCTGTGAGATTTTTGTGCTCTTGATGATCATCTGACGATATACTGGGATAGTATGTTCACAGTCTCGGAGGTAAGCAAATGCCTTGTTAAAGCTTGGGGCTTCTTTGGCTAAAATGAGTATGTGATCAGCCTTGAAGGAATTGGATCGAGGCTCTTGTTCTCATGAGATCAACGAGGGGCGCTCATCCATGGGACTCAGGGTGGAAAAAATACATCAAAAAAAGCTCCGGCTTTAAAGAGTCCAAAATCTTGGTGATACAGTGACATATCTGCAACCAGGGGAGCTCTTTTGAAGCTTCCAAAGATTTGGTGCGAATGTGGAGAAAGGTCCATGGGTGTGGGTAAGATGCATAAGCCAGTCGCAATGAATGGAGATGATCGATTTTTAATAGACTGGGAGCCGTTTTGGACTGCATAACCGCTGTTCTTTGACTGCTCAACGGGCGCAGATCACTTTCATCAAGCCGCGCAGGGTCAAACCTTGAATATCATGTACAGCACATCGACAAGGATGCGCTGACAAGACGGGGCCTAGATTGAAGCATGATTTGTTCCTAGTCAATTCGTAAGACAACAAAATGAACAAGAACCAGCTTGTACTCCGCAGTGAGGATAGTATACCGAATCTTCCCAAACGGGTAAGGCTCGATGATCGACGCCTGACAGTCCGTTGCCCTGAACAACGGGCGGTGAGCGCTCCGTGTCAACACCGTTTACTTGTCTCAAAGAGATTGGATTGCAGTCTCACCGAGTCCTTTAGGCCTCGTTATTTTTTCGAAGCCTGTGAAACTGTTAGCTTCCTCGTATGGCGCGCCTATATGACGACGGTCAACAAGACGCCGCTGTCGATTCCACAGAGATCCTGAGCCCCCAGCCTCAAAGCAAAAGCTTCCTCGTCTCCTCCCTCGAGCCCACCGACCAGTTATACCAGGGAGACAATACTCAAATGTCCACTCAGGACTATGAATATAATTCGTCCTCCTCCTCGGCACGCCACTCAACAAGCGACGTATTCGGCCGTGAAATGGACGAGGAACTAGACCAGTTGAAATCTAGAGCGTCTAGCCGATCCTCATTATCCTCAGTCCCAGCCTCCGTCCTCATCCACCCTGTCGAAAGAATGAAACAAATGCCGGACATGGACGTCCACGAGAAGATCGCCGGATACAGAGTCGAAGAATCCGAAGCCAACTTCGGCGACTTCAGCCAAGCTCCCACAGCAATGCGCACGATTCGACAGCGTGAAGCCGTCTTCCGCAAGCCGAGCTCTGTTCGCGCACTACAAATGCACACGGAGGATGAAGCAGACGAAGACGATTACCTGACTCCCCCGCGGCGACGCGCTGGTATTCGCTCCCCGGGCTCGTCGCCGATGAAACGCTCGCCCTACTACTCGCCGAAGACGCAGAAACAGCCCACGCCCAAGAAAGAAGCACCGCTTGTGCTGCTGCACTGCACACTCCTCCCACCGTCGATCCCGGTCCCCGGGGCCGCGGAACCTAGAAACCAGGACATTCTCGAAGATGAGCTACCGCCGGAATACTGGAAGCGGTGGCGGCGGTTGCAGGATCGGGTTGGGTCGGGCGTGCTTCGTGATCGGGGTGTGTTGATCTCTCATCCGGAGGATCTGTATGATATGCTTGAGGAGCGACTTCTCGAGAGTCTGGAGCTTCAGCGACCACGTCTCCAGAATGGGCATTTCGTTGGACGGGAAGATACCGATGTTTCCGGCGACGATTTCTCCGATATTGACGAGAGCGAGACGGACGGAGAGCAAGGGGACGAGTGTCCTGATTGTGGAGGCCATGTGCGACACGGCGACAGCAATCGGAAATGGGAAATTCGGGTATTCGCTGCGAACGGGCTGATGCGCGCTGGGGCGTGGGCGGCTGCGTGGCAGGATATGGAGAAGGTCGATGTCGAGGTTGGACTTTGGCTTCCGTCTGATGTGCGCCGGGGATTGGAAAGGAGACTTGCAGAGGAGCAGATGGCTCTTGTGGAACGAGACCAGACAATATCACCGCGTATGCAATCACCCCAGATGCGAATGTTGCCTATAACATCGCTCGTCGATAGTGAGAATCAGGTTCTGCCGGAGATCCTGCAGTCGCCTAGACAGAGCCATGCTCGTATGGTCAGTGATGTTGGCTCGTTCCGGTCCAGCGTGATGCCGTCGCGTCAGAGTATATCCGGCCCTCCTCCTGAGCGGGATCACCACTTCGAGCGTGCACCGCAGAAGGCTGAGACTGAGGTCGCCCTTTCGACCCTTTGCGCGAACTATATTCGGGTTTTGGCTGCCGATAGGCGCAACCTGGCACTGGTTATTCTGAGCATGCTTGTTGCGTTCCTTGCTGTCGGGTATGGTCACCACCAGCCGCTTGATTCCGAAGTCCAAATTTTGCAGGCTAGCTCGTTTGGCACGAGTTTGCCATCGGTTGTGCCCAGCGTGAGCGTGGCTGTGGCTTCTGCGTCCCTCTCAGAGCCGATGATCGAGACCGCTGTTTCGGAGGTAAATGTGGACCCACGGCCCACGGGACAGGAAGGGGCGGAGAGTTCTGACCCGGTCCATGAGATTGGTGATGTTGAGGTCCCCACTGCTGAGTCTGCGCAAGCAACAGAGACTTTTGTGCAGCCCGAGACCTTGGAAACCCTGCATCCTGAGCCTGCCAGCGTTGACGAAGAGTCTTCAGAGTCGATTCCCGTTGACCACCCCGCAGAATCTCGTGACCAAAATGAGCTCTCCCCGGTTGGTGACCTTGAAACGCCCGACTTGGCCGGTGAGGCTGAGCAAATCGAGGAGACTGAAGAGGCAGATGATGTTTTTCCTTCCGAGCCTGTCGATGTGTCTGGGTCTCAGAGCGTGGAACCAGATGAGCTGTCATCTTCCCAGTCTTTGACTGAGTCTTCTGATCTGTCTGCAGAGCCCACGGATGTCCCTTCGATTCTTGAAAGTGGCGAGACCGACGCTGAGGTTGAATATCCCGAAGTCACGGCAGCGGAAGATCTCCAAGAAGAGGACGAGGAGACGGAGTGATGAAGCATATTGAACCCCATTTTACGACAATGACTGGAATGATATAAGGCGACATGTTGTTATGTTTGCGACGGTTTCGGCGTCTTTGTACTTAGCGACTCAGTAAATGTTGAATGCCAAGCCTTTCTAGAATTGATGTCTCCACTTTCCCCCCAGGTCCTCCCGCTCTCGCTTAATGATCGGCCCCAGATAAGATGGAGGTATCTGACCGTGCATGGGGAAGCTTGACCAGACGGTGGGAGCACATGCAGGACACTCAGTGACATGCACACGGTGAACGACACACTCACGGATGAGTACAAAGCAGTTGGATCTAACACATACGTGGCCATACAATATCTACATCGACGCACACAGAGCAAAGAGTAGAGATCAACCAGGCTCGATTATGATTATCGATTAAGGGTAAGTTTGATGAACGAATTCGATTTTGTGATTTGAACAGGTTTGAGCAGCAGAGCCTCAGTGACCTGGAATTGGCAGCCCATATGTCACAACCGTGGAATGGTGATGATCACCTCCAGACCTTTTATGACTTGTCCATAACTTTCGTGAGATTCGAAGGAAACTTAGTAACCGCCCTGCTGGCCGCCGTAGCCACCACCGTAGCCGCCCTGGCCGCCCTGCTGGTAGCCGCCGCCGTAGCCGCCCTGACCACCGCCGTAGCCACCACCGTAGCCACCGCCACCCTGACGGTAACCGCCGCCGCCGCCGAAGCCGCCGCGACCACCACCACCTTGAGCACGCTCAGTAGCCTTGTCGACGCGGATAACGCGACCGTCGAACCTGGAAGAGGGGTTAGCGGGGAACTGGACCGCAAGCGACGACTCCACACCCCGACCACGAGCCGGCACGCCGTGCGCCACGCAAGCGCGACCGATTGGATCGAGGTGAAGATGGAATTTACAATGAAGACACTTACTCCTGGTTGTTCATAGCCTCGAGGGCAGCAGTAGCCTCCTCGTCGGTGCCGTAGCGGACGAAACCGAAACCGCGGCTGCGGCCGGTGTCACGGTCCTTGACAACAGTCTGCAGAGAGAAAAAGAATCATTAGCGATCGATTGCCAACCGAATTTGATGAACGACGTGGGGACTCACAGCATCCTCGACAACGCCGAATTCCTCGAAGCGCTGGCGCAGACTCTGGTCGTCCGTGTTCCAGGACAGACCGCTATGAAATTGTCAGCTGACGCGCATGATGATCGCATGAATTTACAAACCCAATGAAAAGCTTCGACATTTTGATGGAAAAAGGTCGAAAAAGGGGTGGGAAAGATGAGGGATGTAGGTGTGAAGAGGGGCATAGCCGAGCCTGATCTTAAATACGGCACAGCACTCTCTGCCTCCGGAACAACTTGCAGCCGCTTGACCCCTCGTTTTTCAGGCGCACGTTTTTTTTTTTTTTTTTTGAAAAATTGAAGAATCTGGATTTTATTGTTTCATAATTGATGGACTAATTCATTTGGTGTTTCAATGTCATTGACGTCTATATCAATGGCGACTGGTGCTCAGAGCTTCCCCGTTTTAGGTAATAGCCTATGTGGAGCCCCTCCGAGGATCGGGCCTGCACCTCTTCACCACTACGGTATATCAGTTATAGTATGCAACACGTTCCAGAGTGGTGCAACATCCTGAGCCAACGTCAAGATATAATTTGCTGAATAACATCATTCGTTGATTCGATATCTTAAGACCAACCGGATTGCATGTCACTGGCATCATCCGCCCCTCCGATCTGCGTCACCCCACCTGTCTTCTTCACGTATATAAAAGGTCTCAATCTCACTCGTCCACTTTCTCTCTCATTCTCTCCTGCAATTCATCAAACTAAACTTCTCTACCATCTGGACCATCTCATCCAACTCTTCCCAGAAGACATCTCCCAAAATCCACATTACCAAAATGCCTGTCATTGAAATTACCAGGTATCAGATTCTCCACTCCCCATCCATATGAGAGAATCCCACTAACAATCCCCAGCAAACCCGAGTTCTTGGACAAGATCCTCGGCGCAGAGACTCCCGTCATCCTTGACTGCTATGCAGAATGGTGCGGTCCCTGCAAGGCCATCGCCCCAAAAATTGAAGAGTGGAGTAACGTTTACACCGACGTGACATTCTACAAGGTCGATGTGGACAAGGTTGCCGACGTCGCCCAGGAGCTCGGAGTGCGGGCCATGCCAACCTTCATGCTCTTCAAGGACGGCCAAAAAATCACTGAGGTCGTCGGTACCAGCTTGCCGGCCATTGAACAGGGTATCAAATCTCTTCTCGAGTGAGCGGAAAATAGAGGAATTTACGGGCGTCGCTTTGGGGTGCTGTCTCGGCCGAAGTGGTCACTGCGCTGCAGTCATGATTACGAATTTAATGCTATGAACTTCTTGCTTTGCAACATGTTATACTTAGAGGTTCCAAGACTGTAAGGGGGGTTATGGTTAGAGTGAAGCTTGTTCCATATCGTTAGGCTCGTGGAAAGTAATCTACACTTCAAATATTTTGAAGAATGGTGATATGGAGCTTGATCTTCAAACACGCTGAGTGTATTCGATGCAGTTAAGTGGCAATCTCCCGCCTCCTAGCAGCTCGCTCATCTTCACAGTACTAAAAACAAGCCTCAGTGCCGCGCTCACGCGCGGCCAAAAAGACGACGATAGTTACTTGTAAATAGGTGTAGTTATGTATTAGCTCACTCTTATATTTCGATTGGTAAAGAAACAGAACTGTCAACTTTGGGATCTTTTTTTTAACTGTCATTCTAACTATCTTTCTAACTACTCCATGCTCTGTCTTTTGAACTATCTTTTAAACTGTCTTTTTAGCTGTCCATTCAAAGTTCCAACTAATTGTACATACAGTTAACATTCGATTGGTCGAACCTTCGATTCAAGCCAAGCCGTGAAACATGATTGGTCGAGGGAGCTAAGCCGTGAACAGAGAATTATACTTAGGGGATACGACATGCGGGGCTCACAATCAAATCAAAACACACACAAAAGCACGAGGGGCTAGCCTATGTACTTCAGCCCCGATTCCGCACCATGAATCCACATTTATACCTTCCGCGACCATCCTGATCCCGATCCTCAGAATCCAGAATTATTTAAATAACTGGGTGGAATGGTCGGCCAAGCATCGACTCCATCCAACATCGCCAAAACCATACCGCCGCTCTGGTGGACCTGGATATGACAATGCATCAAGAATGCACCCGGGTTAACAACATGATACCGCAGGGCCAGCCACGTGGGGCCTGTTATCGGCACCGGCGTATTTGATGTATCCCGATACTGCGGCGTCAGCAGATTGAAGTTGCCGGGAACCGCCTGTACAGCCTCCGCAACAGTATTCCAGCTGAAGGTTCCATTGCCCTGGCCAATGATGAAGTGTTTGTTCGAGTGCTTGTGGATAGGGTGTGCGGGCTGCAGAATCGTGTCAACTTGGATGATCAGGTCAACCCAGGTATTGTTTCTGGTTCGAATGATCAAATCGCTGGGAATAGAGGTCTGGTTGAAGAGTAGCGGCTGTGACTCTTCTAGCTCGAGGCCGTAGCTTGTGTTGCCGAGTCGCCAGCGGTAGGCATTACCTACTTGACTAACGTGAAGCAGGAAGGTTTGGTCGACGTTGTTTGATGGTACGAGGACAGGGAATGGAACAACGGAGGACTCGTTCAGGAAAATCGTGTTTGTCGTCGCGTTGAGGTTGTTGATGGTTATCCAAGGGTTGGAGGGTCGATTGAGCTGGGGACTGCCCTGGTACCGCATGATGGCAGTTGTGTTGAGAATTTGCTGTACGCTGGCGCTGACGGTGCGCACTGTATAATCTCCTCTGGGCTGATTGAGCGGGACGAGGACCGAGTATCGGTTTGAGTTGGGGATGGTGAGCGCGTTGACTTGTACTGGTCGAATATATCGTCCATCGATGGCATATACCCACATGACATGCTCATCGATCGAGAATGTCGTTTGCAGTACGCCAGATGTACTGGTCAAATCCCAACTCACAAACTGGTCTCCTGAACTCACATTCAAGATCTCTTGAGGACCGCGAGATGGGACACAGCCTTCAAACATGGTTGGTAGGACGGCGTTGTAATTGTGGGGAAAGTTGAACGTTGCATCAAGGACATTGGCAGGCCAACATCTAGGATCATCAATATTAGCACACCTTCGACGACAGTCAGATATGTCGATAACTCACGCCATGTCGGTAAGGTTCTGATTTGGCCCCAGCACACCTCGCTGAGCAGGAGTCGTCAAAGCATTGATTTGGTCGCGAGGCAAACACGTCACAGAGCCTTTTCCGTTGATGAGCAGGGCATTCGCACACCATGAGTCAACTCCAGATGCCACCTCGGTATTCCATATCTGCTCTGACGTGAGGGAGCGCCAATCCGAGAGCAGCACAGGGCGAGTCGCCCTCTCGGCAGCAAGCATGGCGTTTAATTGCCCACTGCTGTTAGAGATCAGACTAAAAGGTCTTTGTACTGAAGACCTTGGGGTAATGTATATAGGTCCGAAGAGCCCATCCTCAAGAGATCCGCGGTGATGCGCGTGGTACCAGTATGCGCCATAATCATTCGCCGTCCATCGGTAAAGAAATGAGCTGTTTGGAACGATGGATCTCTGAGAGACACCAGGAACACCGTCGGACCACGGAGTTCCTAACTGTTCAATTCCTGTACGCTATGAGCTGCTGTCTGCAAAAGTATTACCTTCAAAGGACGATGCCCAAGGCCTCCTCCGCATTTTGAAATGGGGATAAAACAAGGGCTTAAATGTGCTTACCATGGAAGTGCACAGTCGTGTTGAACGGACATCTATTATCAACCAAAAATCGAACATTATCACCCTGATTTAGTTTCAACGGCGGGCCAGGAAATTGCCCATTCACCAAGATCACTGGCCTAGTGACACTAGCAACTGTTCGATTAGACCATGTCAAGGTAATAGGGAAGAAGACAGTAGCTGCTGACACCCATTGAGTGAGGAATACTATCCAAACAGAGAAACTTCCTCGAAGAAATCGCATTTTCGTATACTGGAACCTATATGCGCCTGTGGTGTCAATCAAGCTATTAACGAGCACATCACAACGCGGACCTCAAAGTCTTTTATACGAGCCCAGGAGGTCAACAGCTCCCCCAGTGAGCATATGCGTCTCGGTTTCGTCTGGGAGTCTTCTATGCAGCCTGTCACTGAGGATACAATGATCTCATAGGAGCGACTGACATGCAAGTTCGTAAACCTGCAAAGCACGGGGCCGCTCGTCTCAAAGCATCATCATGGATCACTTCGGTCATCCGAAAGAGGGTAAGCGACGGGTATGTTCATCCGAATATCAATAAATGAGTCAAGAGTTAAGGATTTGTCTCGCAAACCAACCAATCAACAGACCTAGCCGCGTATTGCGTGCAGATCGACGGCTTCCATTTTCAACAAGCATGTTTATTGGTGCCTGGAAAGCGCATCCGCTGACAGAAAGCCTGAATGTCAAATATTACTTGGTGCTTCGGGGAGACGAATGCCGAACAATAATTTGGTGGCGTTGAAATGGTAAGGAAGCTTGCGAGGTTCAAAGGGCCGGGCGCGGTAAGAGCATTGTGACCAAACAGGTACCCTTTGAACCTCGGCGCGTGGCTCAGGTGGCACACCCGGCAGACAGGAGGGACGAAGTTGAAGGTTCCATTGCCGTGGGAGCGCCTGGCTGAGACTTGCGGCCCTCTGCAGGTCAGACAAAGGTGGAGCATACTTTGAGCTTAGAGGAAAGGGTTGGCTATGATTGCTGGAGGTGAGTCAGCCAGTCTGAAATCGGAATGATCGAAGCAAATTCGGCGGTGATGTCAATTTCGGGCTTAGTATGAACGCCGCGTGCTAAATAGGGGGGGTGAAGCGCACAACATCCAGGATGAATCGGAACATGAGGTGAGGGGTGTACAAGGGATCTGGAAGAAGGTGGGTTCTAAATGCGACCACCCAGGAGAAAGAGGAGTGTAGACCTCATTGGACTAAGACCTCGATTACGGTCGTATGAGATCAATTGACATGTATTATCGTAGCCAGCATGATTAGCACTCAAATTATATGCTAGATTAACATGATTGGATGAATTCGTGAATGTAACTTTTGCTCTGCCATGCGTGACCCTTGATGTAAACAATAGCTACCAGCATCAGAAGTTGCCTGTGTTGTTCAAGAGGCCAGGCATGTCACTCTGGGCGGGATTTGATGCAGGGGGGTGGCCCTCTTCGGAATTGAAGATAAACACTGGATCTGAGGCAGAAACTTCGCTTGCAGCAGGCTGAGCCACTGGCTGATGGAGTAAGCTCGGGTTTGACCAATGTTGCGCTTGAACCTCCTTTTGGCTCTCGCCATCGATTTGTAGCCCCTCGATGTCATCTGGGTTTATCTTGTCATAGCCATCGTTCAATCGCTGGAGGAACTCGGGGTCAAAGCCCATTTGAACAAGAGGGTCAGCTGGCCTCTCTCCGACAGAAACAGTCGTTGGAAGGCTGCTAGCCCAATCTGTGGAGAAAGATGGATCCGCACCAGCTGAGATTATCCCTGCACTACCAGCATAGCTCCCGGAAAGACTCCCCGGTCGGCTGGGTCCTGCTGATGAGAAGCCTGTTCCAGGGAAAGCGGGGCTTCGGAAACCAGGGCTCGAAACCGCAGGGCTATGAAGGGGTGCACCGTGGGTAACTGTCCTAGCGAGAATATTGATGTCTCGGGGTGCAGCCCTCAAACCACCAGTGACAGCAAATGGTGGCTGCATTCCCAGATCTGAAAATTGAATCTCGTCGTTGTTGACTGCTGTCTCCAACCCACAATCGCGCTTCAAGACACCCAGCCAGACAACATTGTCGGCGCAGGTTTGGTTCCACGAATCGTCAGATCCATAGATGACACGGCGAGCCTCTGTCTGTATCATGTGATCGGATGGAACAATGCCTTGGGCCTTTTGTTCGTATATGTATGTGGTGAGTTCGCGAGTAAGTCGGCGGTAGCAATTGATGTCAGTGGGGACAGGAAGGCCGAGCGACGAGCTATCTTCTCCGCCTCCTTTGGCTTGCTCAGTGGCCCAAGGATCAGGAGATCGCCATTCATAGTCGATCATGTATGGCGGAATGGCATTCTCGACACGAGCTTGAATCACAGGATCAAAGCCCCAATCCCCTTGCCATTGAGCCATGCTGGCACCATTCTTGAAGTGGCCAGCCAGGTGATCCACCCGATCTTTCCAGGTCTGGAAGGTGGAGGCACAGAAGCCACATCGAGATCTGATGTCTGTGATACTGCTCTGCCATTTCTCCATGCAAGGTTGGAACTTGGTGTTGTGCATCAAGCGAAGGTGTTGATTGAGATGATCCTTCCGGTAGAATGTCCTCTCTTGCAGTGTCTTCTCCTGGCAACTGATGAAGTTATGTGTTTCTAGATGTTCACCGTCGGGGTTAGCTGCCGAGCAGAAGACACAATGAGGTATGCCATTCTCTTCAATTATACCGCCCTGGGGGACAGGTCCATTTATCTAAGATGAGATGCATGGACTTTTCGTGTCGTTGCCAATCATACTTAGCAGGAAAGGAGTCAGTGCAGAATGTACATTGGAAAGGACGAACTGCCTTGGCCTTGGAGTGAGCCAATGTGTTGACAGGAACAGAGGGCTTGCGGCGCCGACGACGTTCTTTACGTTCCATTGATCCAAAGGACAGGGAGGATCGATGAGAGAAAGCAGAAGCAAAAGAGAGGTCAGAAATGGATGACCGACTGGTATCCAAACTACTCGCCGAGGCGGTACGCAGTTTATGTTCTGAGCTAGCATGGCTTGACTCATTGGTACTGGACCCAGGGCGACGGGGCCTCACGTGACCCGATCGGGCCCGGCGTGGGCGCGAGGGATCGAATGGTGGATTGGCCAAGGCACGGTTAATATCGCTGATCGTCGCGGGTTCGTTCTCAGGAGGAGAGTACTTCCAACGTTCGAGAGGGGTCATGAGGGATACGTCGACGGATTGCTTCTGGGGGATGTCCACGGCTCCCGGGACGGGAGGGACTGGAGAACTGGTGCCAGAAGATGAACGAACTTTGCCGCGGCGCCTGGCGTTGGCAAGCCAGTTTGAGATTTGTGTTCGACTCAAGCCGGTATATTGTTTCAATTCATCCCTTTCCTGCTCTGTGGGATAAGGATTTTCGTTGTGGTCTCGCAGCCAGCCCTTCAGCACACTGATCGCTTTGCGTGAAAATCGAGCGCTGCTACTGCGGGAGCGAGAATCGGACTCATCGGGGTATGCGTTGTATGAGACCGACTTGAGGGCTTTTCTTCCCGTTAAGCTTCCTGTTGGAACATATGCGTTCTCGGACACACTGTGTAAGGTTTGAAGAAATTTTCCAGTTGTTTTGGCATGGGTGAAACTGCACTCGCGATAGAGAGAGATGCAACAGGTGCAACCATAATTCAAAGCGCCGCGCTTTGCGAGGAAACAGTCCAGTCCTGCACGACGACAAAAGTCGCACGGTTCTTGGGCTCGGAACATGGGGTAGCCTCCCTCGGGGTCAACGGGCTGCTCGGCCTGCATCGGTTGCTCCGGTACCGGATCATTGAGGAACTCCAAAGGTTGATCATGGGCGATTGCGTCAAAGTTTGCCGCGTGCTCATCTGCCTCTTCGAGCTCAATATCGACCGAAGCGACATCGTCCTCTTGCTGAATGGAGCCATGGGCGGATGAAGCCCCCTCGAAGTCGAAGTACTCCATGGTTTGTTTTCACACGGTGTAATGCAGAGGGAGTGCAGAGTCTCCGGCACGAGTCTGATAAACGAACACGGTGGAAGGAGGAGGAGAGTCGGTCAGGTGAAAGTTGGCCGAAAGCGCACCCTTGGTCCGGGGTAAGTCGAGTGGAGCCTCCGCTTTGAACCATCAACCACGCTTGTCATTAGTTTGCCATGTCGGCCACTCGGCATGGACCGTTCCAATGCAGCTTATGTGTGGCTGTTCGCGCCGATAAGCATTAATCACCGATGGTAGTCACAGGGAATGGACCGATCAACGCAGTGCAACCACGGCATGTCCGTGAAAATCTGATTTGGCATCAAAAGACCGAAGCACGGAGTATTCGGAGAGGAGCACCAAGTCCGAGTGGGTGATCCAAAATCAAAAACTGGATCGCATCTGCGCGCCCTTCCAATGACAACGCCAAGCCTATTCGGGACTAGTGCGGTCAAAACAAGTGTTGCCAAGACTTTCTGTTTTCCAAAGAGGAAGGAATGATTCATCCGGCTTCCCGTGAGTTTACTTCTACTTCCTCCAGATACTTCTATGGTCGATCTACAATATCGGTTTCTGAATTCCGGATTCTTTATCCAATTCTTCAATATTTACTTCACCCTTTGACCAGAGACTTTCGATCCTAACAACATTGACACACAGCAGGGCACCATCATCCATCCTCCATCTCTCTACATTCCGAAAGACACACACATTTGCCTCCGATGGGAGGATTTGTATCATTTTATGTGACATCACACGACCAAACGACGTCTTTATGCTATCATCAGGGTGCCTCTGCCGTAAGGGGTCAGTTGGGCCAAACGAAATTCCAAACACAGTCACGATTGAAAGGAGTTGCTAGAACACAAGAGCTTCCTTAATCACGGCCACATATAGGTGTATCAACTTGATACTTGTCTGTTAGCCTTGGCAAACGGCTTTCACCTTCGGAGTGATTATATCTCACTTGCTACTTGAACGTACGCTTCTCTCCACATTTGCAGGGAACTTCACGAAGTCACGACTGGAAGTCGAGGTGGAAATGGAGCCTCCCACATCAGATATCCCCGATATGGTAGATCAACCGATTGCCCAGGTGCCCTTTCTACCGCCATGAACACATCCATGTGGTGTCCAAGTATCCTCAATGGTGGACTAACAAGAAACCCTACACGCCCTTGAGAATCATTGATTACGTCCTTGGAGGATTTCATTATTGAAGAGCTTCATATCCGAAAGAAAGCGACATACCGCACATGATACGACGTGTTTGATCAAACTTATACAAGGTGTATTCGGAGATACATAATTGGGAATCAGCACGCTCTAGGTTGGCAGCTCAGCCTGTTTCTAGGTTCAGTAATCATATTCCCAAACACCATGGTGAAAATCAGGAGGAAAAGAGACGTCGCCGGCGTCATAAAGGATGCCCGGGTGGGAACCTTGCAAAAGAAGTACACTCTTAACATGATAACATCGAAGAACAGCAACCTCGTCGTCGATTTTCTCATATTTCCGAGGCTCTGTAGGGCTCCTTTCGGCTGTGGTTTGTTGACAAGAAACCAAAGCTATACCTAGATTGTTGACTTCTTGGTTCCATTTAAGAGTATGTGTTTGATGCATGGTATGTCTGTTTGTCCCTAGAGATATAGATGAAACCCGTGGACGAATTTATTGATACTTAAGTAATCTATGGATTGTGAGATCAACTAACAATATATGGCCAGATTGCATGAATTAATTTATCTTACCACAATTTCGCATAATCATAAACAGTCAGCCCAGGGGGTCATGTCGTAGTGGTAATGTTGGCCTTGATATGCTCAGCACAAACATCGTGTCAAAAGTCTTGCAAAACCCCTGGGCTTCATTTCAAGAATATGTGGACAAATTTCTGTCTAGTTCTAACATAGGCCTTCCCTGGTTCTTCCAAGGTTACCAAGGACGATTCCTTACTTCGAAGGTTGTTAAAAATTACTCTCTTCACTTCTCACCCAAAATCTTTTCGTTTGCTTTCGTTGCCAAACTTTTCGAAAGACCTTGTCCGGACCCAAGTTTCTTCGCCTGGACGTTTTCAAGTCACCAAACAACCCGTTACTGGCCATCCTTGACTCCCACATCTTCCATCTTTCGAAAATCACCACCCTACCATCTACCAAAATCACTTCTTTCCTCAATCACCACAATGTCTAGCCCCGCTAAGGCAACGGACGGTAAAATCGCGGATCTCTCCCCGTCTGAGCTTCGGCTCATGGTCTTTAGCAACCTGTGCTACGGGGAGGTCAAGGTACATTGTTTGCTTTACGCTTGATTTGACTCTTAGACATTTACTGACTCATTATCACAACCAGCCTGACACGGAAAAACTGGCCAAATTGACTGGAATCAAGCGCAGATCCGCTGCCTCCATGTGGTTGCCCGCGAAGCGCAAGCTCGAAGCCTTCGTCAACAGGAATGAGACCACCGACGATAAGGATGCTGCCAACCAATCTTCTCCCGCAGCTTCTCCAGCCAAGCCTCGTACCATAAAGCGACGCAAGACTGTTTCCAAGAGAGTCGTTGAGGAGTCGGATACCGAAGAGGAGCAGCTCAAGAAAGAGAACGACGATGACTCCGATTTCATCCCGACCAAGAATGAGAAGATCATCAAAGAAGAGTCCGATGAGTAACTTGTTTACACTTTGACCACATCTGCATATGGTTCAGAATCATGTTCTCTTGTTCCAGGGGGGGTGATTGAAGCTGTCATGAGAAGAGATGATATTTGATACTACATGTCCTATGAGGGGTGCCCGACCGGATTTATTTGACAGCTCTTGCTCTACTCTCCTTGATGCTTGGCACCTTTGTTCATGAAAATACAAAAGACAAAAACATACATAGTGCGTCAAACAAAATGAACACATGGTGCCGTTGAAACTATTCGGCTCTAAACGCTCTTTCTTCTCTACACCGTGGAAGTACCCTCTGTTCAAACACAACCCCAATTCTATCTCATGAGAAACAGCTGGTTCAGACTGAAAAAGCAAAAAGACTGACAGGGTAAAAGAAAGAAGAGAATCTAACCTGGGCGATCATCTGACGTCCCAACATCCTCGCCCCTGAGATGATGATATTGACAAATTGACTTACTCAGAATAACGCGTGTGTAGCACTGATGTTGACGGCTTCTGGTATCTGGGTTTGTCGTAAAATGGCGATTCGAGTTCTGGAATTGGACGTTGTTTCGACACTCCCAAGTGGCGATGACGGTATTGATGCCCCTCACATATAGCGATCCATCGTGAGGCCCGGGTGCGGCTTGTTGGTGGGGCTTCGCCGCGGGATGAGGTTGTGGGTCGGTGCAGCTCCGGGGCTGATTGTGGGTCCCTGAAGCCAAGCACGCCTGGCAGTCACCCCGGGAAACGTTATTCCGCGTGAATGTGCTCAGAATGCAAAAGCAGTTGGGCTCAGAATCAGATGCTACTCTAAGAAGCAACAAACGCGGAAAGGCAGTAAATTCGAAGTGTCAACGCGAAAAGACTGAGCGACGAAGAGAAATCAAAAGAGAGAGAGAGAGAGAGAGAGAGAGGAGGTACCTAGCCTGGGCAGTCATCTGGCCTACAAGCTTTTTCATACATCTCATCCCCTTGGGTGGAGGGTGTATATACCAATACATACAAGTAGAAAGTAACTAGAAGTTGGATTGTGATAAACAATATGGTGTGGCGGACATCATTCGGATCAAGCTCGGGCACGGACCATTGCAATTGGTGTTGACAAAGATTGACCCACGAAGGTTGCGCAAGTCCAGGGCTTGAATGGGCGGATGAAAGAGCCGTTCCAATTTTTGATGTGCGAATCAAAGACGAGAATTTTGGCGGAAAAACCGTTCCGCCCCGTACGGCAATCCTGGTTCGCGGGAGGTATGATATCATACACCCTGCGCAATCTACCCTGAGAGTATAAGGGATTCCAGAACCTTGAACTTTTTCTTTCATTCATTCACCTCACGTCTATCTAACCTCAAGTCGCACATCATGGTTTCGTTTGTAGGAACAAATGTTATGGGAGCATCATTCGAAATCACCGATCGGTATTCGGATTTAGAACCCAGGGGCTGTGGCAGCTCTGGAATGATCTGGTATGTTTGTCGTAGTAACTGATTCGCAGTAGCACACTGACAAAGTAATAGCTCAGCACGAGACTCAATTTCAAACTCCACGGTCGCTATTAAGAAAATCATTTCACCATTTGACACTCCAGCCTTGGCTAAACGCACGTATCGCGAAGTCCATTTGCTAAGTCACCTACGGCATGACAACGTAGGTCTTCAGATTAAAGATGGACTCTCGCCAATAAATATACTAACTCAATTCCAACAGCTAATCAATATGACCGATATCTTTATCTCTCCGTCAGAAGATCTGTACGAGAATTCCCCCAATACCCGAGTATTGAGATTGAGTGATATACTAACCTTATCAATCCAGATACATTGTGACAGAGTGCATTATGACAGATCTTCATCACCTATTGAGCGCGACTTCCAAATCGCTAGAAGGTCAATTTACACAGTTCTTTACCTACCAAATGCTGGTAAGTAAAACTCCGAATGACTCAACAAGCGGTGTCTAACAAGAGTAGCGAGGAATGAAATACATCCATTCAGCTGGAATTATTCATCGTGATCTCAAGCCCAGCAACATCCTGATCAATGACAACTGCGATCTCAAGATTTGCGACTTTGGCTTGGCGCGAGAACAAGATGCCCAGATGACAGGCTACGTTTCCACGCGGTACTACCGTGCTCCCGAGATCATGTTGACATGGCAAAAATACACATATGCCGTCGATATGTGGAGTGTCGGATGCATTTTAGCAGAAATGATTATCGGGAAGCCTTTGTTCCCCGGGAAGGACCATGTCCATCAGTTCAAGCTTATTACCGAGATTTTGGGAAAGCCTTCCGAAGAGGTGATGAAGAGAATTTTCAGCGAGAGTGTATGTCTGAGAATCACAACTCTACTTTGAAGCGATGAGCACTTGTGGGCTAACTATGGCTTATAGACATTGAAATTTGTGAACTCGCTACCAGACACAGAACCCCGTGGGCTTGCGTCGGTTGTTGGGGACGCCGACCCCCAAGGTACGCTCCAAATCTAATCCCGATTGGCTCACAATATTTGTTCATGCATACTAATTTTGATAGCAATGGACCTTCTTGGGAAAATGCTGCAAATCGATCCTTACAAGCGAATCACCACAGAGGAGGCCTTGAAGCACCCATATGTCTTGACTTATCAAGATTCTGATGACGAGCCAGTTTGCAAAAAGCAACTTGATTGGTCGCTGCTGGATTCAGAGCTTTCAGCAACCGAGTGGAAGAATTCGATGTGAGTCTCTCATTTCAAGTTTTTCCGGAACTTCTCTAATCGTTTAAGGTATTCCGAAATTTTGGATTATCACAGCGGATCTTGTGACTGGCAATATGACCACGTTCCCCCTACAGGGAAGGTTCAGAACATGTTGGCCGAGGAAATGGGTGGAACCTATTAGGAGTGCTACCAGGCACCACCTGGACACTTATATAGACTTGCATTGACGGGCCATCTAATAGCATGAGCGAGACATTGAATAGCCCGCCAAGAACTTGAGTTTTGTACCAACAAATTGATTTATTTCGTTTTTTTTTTTTTTTTTAAAGTTCAGAGCAAGAGCTAAGTCAACAATTTTGTGGAATGTTTCGAAGGCTGAAGACCACTCTGCTGTTTGACAGCCTCGGAAGAGTGCACCATGTACAGCATCGGCAGTACATAACGCGGGGTCAACAGGCCAAGTCCGGTGTGGGGAGCTCACCCAAAATAAACCCCGATGTGGGACTCTAAGTTCAGATACCGACGGCAATTGATCCTGTCCTTCGCACTTTGATCTCCGAGATCTTCATAAATTGATTTTCAGCTTTGGGGTTTCGCGTTCTCACAAAACAGTCTGTCAGACATCTTCATCATCATGTCAGAACTTCCCTCCATTCGCTGGGGCATATTGAGTACGAGACACTCTACCTGATGTTGCCCAGGTGTGAGACTTTGCTGACTGCTCCAGAATAGCCACGGGAAAAATCGCTTCCTGGTATGTGGCCGACCTTGCTCTGTCTCGCCCAGATGCGAAGGTTCGCCATATTGTAAAAGCCATAGGAACCTCGGATGTCAGCCGTGGTAGATCTTTTGCTCAACAGTACTGCCCGAAAGAGAGGCCAGAGATATATGGTTCCTACGAAGAGGTCTATAACGATCCCGATGTTGACATCGTTTATATCGGAACGCCACATGCCTTCCATAAGAAGAATTGCCTAGACGCGATCGCGGCAGGAAAGCATGTGCTATGCGAAAAGCCATTCACACTCAATGCTCGCGAGTCTAAAGAGGTCTTCGACGCAGCGAAAGAGAAGGGAGTCTTCATTGCTGAAGCCATGTGGTTGCGCCATCGCCCGCTGACCATCGAGCTCCAACGTCTTCTCCATCAAGAAAAAGTGATCGGCGAGATCTTCCGTGCAACATCGGATTTCGGGTGCGAGCTCGACATTCCAAACTTGCCGCTAGACAAATACTACCGTCAAAACTCGATGGGCGCAGGCTCCTTACTGGACCTGGGCATTTATGCATTGACGTGGATTGTACTCAGCTTGGATCCTGAGCTCACAGCAGACCGAGCAAAGCCGAAGATCATAGCTGCTCAAACTCACTGGGAGGACATTGAGCTGACCTCAACTGCTATACTTCAATATCCGTCGACTGGTAGACAGGGCGTGGCCACTTCCACGACCATGGCGACCGGAAACCCCGATCTGCTCGCCCGTATCCACGGCACTGCTGGCTCTATCGAGGTTCATGGCTCTTGCCCCTCCGCTCCGGAAGCATTCACTGTTTATCCGAAGTTCGAGATAGGTGCCGGGGATGCGGTTGCTCGCGGCAAAGGAAAGATGTACGACTTCTCAGCTCCGGGGCGCGGCTTCCAGTATCAAGCAGACAATATCGCGTTGGATGTCCTCAACGGTCGACTAGAAAGTTCCATCGTCCCCCACTTTGAAACAATCCGAATGATGGAAATAATGGATGAGATCCGCCGGCAAGGTGGGACGCGATATCCAACTGATTAGTTGAGGCTGTGTTGTTCAAGCGTGTAGGTGTGACGTTGTGGCGGAAGAAGGGGTTTTGAAGTGAAGATGTTGAAGGGTCAGGCGGGATAGAAGAAAACAAGGAGCACAATGGCGATCACCGTCTGGAAAACTGCAGAACTGCAGTTGAAGGTCCAACCCGGAGACAAGCCTGGTAACTTCCAAACGCTGACGACAAATGTGATTCAATACGTAATTTCTGCTGTTTTGAACTCAATATCTTCCACCTCTCAGTATTCAATGATATGATTTCAAGGTTACAGCGAGAGGTTCTATACTCCGTATATCAAAAGGGGCAGATTTGTGATTAGTAAATTGGCCAGGTGGTAGTGTGGTCTCGGATCATTCTCGCTTGGCAGCAGCCTCGCATCAAGATCGTCACTGTCAATGACACCCAGCCTGAGTTTTCTGTTTGTGTTGTGTTGTGCTGTCTTTGGTTTGGTTTATTTGTTTGTTTGTTTGTCATTTTTTCTAGTGTAGGCTCGCTCAGCAGGTTGGGCCAAAGACAATATCGACATGTCTCGCACAGGCAACCATCTTCACGACAATGAAACAAAAAGAGAGGCCAAGGTCCGCTTGACAAGTGATCTCATTGGAATTGAAAGGCGAGGAGGCTTTGAAATGCGCATTTGCCACGTGATTCCTGCCACACAATGCAATGCAGCAGATTCATCCAAAGTCCAATCGTTTTACCCGTCTCTTTGCAAACGCGACCCGAGATAGATACGCGCATCTTGCAGTCCCCCAATTAATTTTCTTCGCCCTGTTTCACCATTTCTTCAGCAGCAAAAAGATATGGGGCAAACCAGGATTGAACTGGTGACCTTGCGAAGATCAGGAAGTGGATCGTGGTGAAAACTTCAATCGCACGCTCTCCCAACTGAGCTATTGCCCCACTAATATGATGTCATCGCCCTTTCAACAAATATAGATCTGCTAGGAGTGTACGGAGTAGTTAAGGATTCAAGTACTACCGGGCCCAACCCATAATCAAGGAAAGGTTGCGTGGCGGATCATCTCATGGGGACCTTCAGGGCTGGTGGTAAAAAACTGCATCACTTCCAATGACACGGTATATAGCTGCAGACTTCAAAATTCGAGCAAAATCTGGGAAACAGGCCCGGTTGTGTTACTGCAAGGGTTAGATAATTTCGCTGCATCCAGGGATATCTAGAATAACACCCGTGGACCGTTCATTGCGATAAGTGGTCGAACTGGGATACCTTGTAGGTAAGTGCAGCTGTATTTCCGAATCTACTTAGACGTCTGGGCATAATAGAGTAGCGTCTATCCATTATACTTGTACAGAAGGACCTGGGCGGTAGGTAGTCTATGGTTTTTTTCGTTCTGTACTGCAACATCACGCCAATGACCGATCTGCGACTGCCGATGCCTTTGTTCCAAGGCCATACACCAAACTTTCAAGGTTTGAGAAATTCCGAATGAAGAAGCATGTGTACGTGATGGTTGATATATGGATTCCAGATTCGTTTTTAAACCTTCTTCTCACTAACCTTGGAAGTCTTTGATGCTCTACATGGATTTCCTTGTTGGTTTTCAACATTGTCTGATTCTGGCTGAACATGCAAGGCATACATATTATGCTTGATATATGCTTATAGCATGAGGTATCAATAAACCTAGAAATGTTTTTGAGCCCTCCCGAGGTCAAACAAATCTCTTCGCCAATTGGATCCCTCCGGGTCCACGGGTGGAATAATTATTACAAGATACGGAGTAGACCAATACGGATCTGCATAGCCGTCCACGAGTGTTTTTGCCCACATTTCCCGTGCTATATCCGGGATTCTGCCAAGATGCATAAGTTATATTGATGTGAGCTAGAATATAATCCCGTGCTCTTTGAAACAAAAGCTAGGATGCATTCAGTAGCTATCCAATCCTACAGAGTTTCCACTCCCGAATTCAACACATGAAATGCATCCGCGAATCGATGTGTCCATGCACACTATACCCCTTTGATCCCGGACAGACTAACAAGGAAATGATTGAACTAAGAAGAGGACCTATGTACTCATAGACACGAACAACACTGGCGGGTATGGGGGTTTTGTGGTTGGTGGGTCTTATAGCTGCGTACGGAGTACAGTTTCAAGCTTGCAGGCACAGCCACGATGCCAATACTCGGAAATCTTGGCTTTTCGGATTTCCACTATAACTCCGCCTTGGCATTGGCTATTCAACGCCATGAAGCGACTGTGACCCAAGACGGAGGTTCAGACGTTAGAAAATGTCTTATTTTCTCCCCACCCGGAGATTTTCCGGCGGAATGGGATGCATCCAGGTCGACATGGAATCTGGTCCCTGCATATCTGTTGTGAGTTGTGGGGTCATGCACATCTTCCATCCAGTTAGATGCCGTCGAAGTTCTTCAGGTATATTAAGGATTGAAGAAGTTGTACATTTGACCGAGTCATGAGTCCTTGTCGTACGATCTTAAAGGTATAAAAGGGTCCTCTGTTCGCTGTCTCTGCTCAATACCAACTCAATCATCCATCAATCGAACAAAATGCACTGGAGCACCATCGTCCTCGGCTTCATTGGCATTGCCAGTGCCCAGACACTCAACATTCCCTCGCGTGTGGGAAGCATCGTCTCATTGCCTTCTCCCAGTGTGATCAAGGGAAGCATTGACTTGGGCAACCGGGAGTACGATCGCGGTCGTGCCTGTGACAGCGATGACGACACTGGTATGTTTCCTTCCAAGTCCATCACGAAATGATTCTCACCAAACAGGCGATGACAATGCCGTGTTCATCTTGGAGGATGGAGCGTCCCTGAGCAACGTGATCATTGGAAAGGATCAACTCGAAGGCATCCACTGCAAGGGAGCCTGCACCTTGACCAACGTCTGGTTCCGTGATGTCTGCGAAGTAAGTCATGCCCCAAGCAATTTTAACTTGACTTTCAGTACTGATAAGTTGCCTGTAGGATGCCATTTCCATCCTCGGAACTGGAAATGCTCTCATCAAGGGTGGAGGTGCTCAGGAGGCCAAGGATAAGGTGGTCCAGCACAACGGCAAGGGAACTGTCACCATTGATGGATTCACTGTCGTGAATGCAGGCAAGCTGTACCGCTCTTGCGGAAACTGCACCAACAACAAGAGCAAGAGCCCCCGCAAGGTTGTTGTCAAGAACGTCAAGGCCAAGGGCGTCGAGACTTTGGTTGGAATCAACTCCAACTATGGCGATACCTCCAGCATTAGCGGAACCTGTGGATCTAGTGTTAAGCACGCGTGCCAGGAGTTTGAGGGAGTTGAGAAGTCTGCCGGCAAGGAGAGCCCCAAGCTCACTTCAACTGCTTCCTGCAAGGGACAGTCGTCGATTTCTTCTTGCTAAGCTCGAGTGAATCTCGTGGGTGGGAATGATGTCGGTGCATTTCGCTCGTGTGAATCTTCCAGTCATGACGTCCTCGTGGTCTCCTGGGATTTAGCTGGAACTGTTGGTGTAGCTAGCTTGCTCTCTCTGTTTTTCTCTTACACCAAATACCAATGTTTCGCTCTTTTCAATCAAATATTCTCACTGCACTGGTTGTATTTCTTTTAATTCTTCTTTTTCACTGTACACTTCCAGTTGATCCCTTTGAGTGGCCCAAGAATCAAGCAATTTGTATTTCAAAAAGAAATCAATGATTCAAAAGCATGACAAGTTCACCCCGTCAATTCGGTAAGCCCGTTTCCCTACCCTTATTGATTTCTGAACACTCGCGGTGCTAAACACAAGCTATTCGGGTATTTACTGCCTAGCATGTCACAAATAAGCACCTGTATGTATGTAGCATAGCTTTCATGAGCGCATAGCAGTCGTTTGAACCCAATCGCGCTGCAAGGTCCCCAATTAGGGTTTCACGTGGCCTAGATTGGGAACGGTAACCGGAGCTGAACCCTTGGAGAAATGCGCCACTTGAAAGAACAAGCTTGAAAAGGGGCGCTGGGAAACGTATCCTATGCTTTTTGGTTCGCCACGTGGATACGACCCCTGATTTTGGATAACAAAAACGGTTAAAGCTACTCACAGACAGACGAATGTGGTTAGAAGAGCCAGAAGGGGTGCTATCCTCCGTGTCCTATGGGCTGGAGCTCCGAGCCGAGCGCGATGGTGCGGAGAAAACAAAGCGACTCCAAGCTCGACGAAGATTGGTCACTGGAGGCGCCTAGTCTCACTTTTCTCTGCATCAACTGCCGAAGTTCTGGAACGATAGGTAATGAAAGAAGACAGACGGTGGACAGAGTGGGCACTGATCATTTAGTAAATGCAGGCTCATGTGCGTCAGAATGAAAGAAAAATTTTCCGAAATGGGCCACAGACCATCACCGAAGCAGTGGGCGGAGGAGGGCAGAAGCTGGTCTGTCAGGAGCTGCCATCTCTGCAACACTGCCATAATGCAGGAGTTTAGCAAACAGCCTCGCAAAAGATGAGCACGTGGGTAAGTAAGCTTGCTTAGGCCCACGAGTAAAATTTGTGGGGGAAAAAAAGATAAGTGGCGATACCCGGATTCGAACCGGGGCCAACACAGTTCGAAGTCGTGCTTGAAACACGGCTTACCACAATGTGGTATCCTACCCCTAGACCATATCACCAATTGATGAAATACTTCGAAACAATTGGAATTATAGCAGTTGTAGCGTCATCGCGGCGCGAATTCCGCAAGCTACTTCATACATGTTCGCACGAAAAGTATTAAAACATTAATTTCCGTGGTTTTGATTGTGCATGAATATCTCATAACCATCAGCTTGGCCGATATTAAAGACACAAGCCCCTTGTTTTGAGCCACTCGTCGGCCCCATTGTTTCTTTCCCCAATATCCAAGGCCACCAAGATTCGACTGACACAGTTATATCCTGCAATAGTGGTTGTGAGCTCGAGAACCTGCTGCGGGTTAAAGAGCACCTTCAGGCCCTCAAACACTTCATCGGGAACTTTGACGGTCTTCGTCATGGCATCCGTATATCTTAAGGCGATGATATCCTCAGGGCTCAAGATGGAAGAGATTGATTCGTCGGCGAAATCAATTTCGGGATTCTTGATGATATCCAGAACATCCTCCTTTGTTCCGATCTTCCGTAGTAGCGGTGCATGTTGCTCCCATTCAAACAATGCACCGTTCACCACGGCGACACGGCAAATCGCGAGCTCACGAACTTTAGCAGACAAAGTTGTTTGGGCTCTGATTGCTCCAAAGAACGAGTTCCATCCCTCTGCAATAGGATAGGAATGCAATAGAGCTAGGTCGAGGGGGAGGAGCGGGTTTGGCCCTCGTCGGGCTTGGATGTCGGCGAGAATCCGGGCCTCATCAGGCGTGCTGGTTTGTGGGGGTCTTGGACGTATGGAAGACGCATCTTGTCTTTAGTATGGTCGGCAGGCTTGGAGTAATTCGACAGAATGGGTAGGGTATTGCTGGCCAAAGTAGAATATCTGAAGATGTAGTAGCGTGTTAGATATACGGGACAAACATATGTTCGATGTCGTAGCCAAGCACGTACATATCTGGGATTCTTCCAATGGCTGGGATGAGATATTCTCAGTGGAGTGGCGTTTGCAGGGCTGAAGGAGTCAACTTATCAGAACTTTGGAGAATTAATAGTGCACCATGAGAGAAACCAGAATGCGCTTGCCATCGGAACTTGCGCACTCACCATGCACATCAATTAGATAATCTTTTTCGGTGGTGATCTTTTTATTCCCAGCCAAATGCTAAATCTATGTGTCATACGGAGTATGCTGCCATTTGTTGATCAAAACAGGGTATTACTCCCTGATCTGTAACAAAAAAAAAATCGGTAAAAGCTCGGGGCCAAAGGGTGTGATGTTACAACGTGTGCTCAGGTGAATCTCACCGAGATTAAACTTAGGTTAAATCGCTATACCTTTAGATTTTGCTAGCCTGTCGATCACACAAAGCTTTCCACAATTACTCCGTAGGGACTCCGTAGAAGTCAGCGCTAAGCAGATAGATCGGGCATAGATCGGGCAAGGTTTCAAGGTTGGTATAGATCGACATACTCATGCAGATATAACACACGACAACCCTGAAAGATACGAAGCTGCGATAGTCTTTGGTCTTCGGGTTGCTCCGTATGGCAGTGGAAGTTTGAGCGGTGGGTTACACGAAGCCCTTGCTGCATTCTATCAACACCACCTGGCTGGCAAATGCGGGATGTGCATATTTTGTTGAGATTACCAATAGCTTGACGCCACATTTGCTCATTGAATACATACAAGGCCAGGTCCTTTGTTGCTAAGTGCAATTTAGGGGGATCTCCAAGTACATCTAGAGAGTTCATATAGGTTTGCTCCGCATTGGAATAGAATTGTACATCGATAGAGTTGAACAAGCCATTTCGCATATACACATTTGGAATATGTTGTGGAGGGCAAAAGCCATCTACGTATTTTGGGGGGGGCGGTCTGGAGGGCCCAGATGCGCCAGCAAGTTAAAAATGACCAATCTGACTGGTAAATTCAAGGTGATCGCTCATCCTTGAGGTTATTTGAGAGGACGTTAAATGCGTGTTTCGATCCATAATTACAGTGGAGCCATCTTTTATTCACACACACCGCCCTTTTGGCTTATGCCACTGCCACTTCCCACTTTTTGGTGAGAAAACGGCGAACTCCGTAAGCTCGGGAATACCCAGGATTTGCTATGGAACGGTGGCTGCTGAGCATACGGGATACCTTGGTGGGATATAGGTAGTGCAGCGTGTGTCTGTGCCCAGTTGAGTGGGGCCCCATAGACCAAGAATCTTGAAGTCTTCGATATGGTTGTGACAGGCGCAAGATTCCCAAAAACAGGCGGTCTATGTATACCACGCCAAAGGGCTTTCATTTGGCGTTTGGTCGTCTATGAGCGGGTGCTAGATGGAATACTCGAAAACTCTGGGTATCGAAATCCTCTGCTCGTTGCGAATTGGACTGAAAAGAGATGAACGCATATGAGATCAGCAGATAGATCATATTGGCTGAGAGAGGTTTCAAAGATCGAGTGCGTGGTTGACTGTTGGTATGGTGGTGCTTGGGTTCATGGAAAGATTTCTCCGCCCGTGCCCCTTCTTTCTTCATCTCCCATCTCCCTTCATTTCCCTGCAATCTCTCGACATCGTCTCCTACACAGCTCACCTCTTTATATTGACTCATGTTACCACCATTTTTACATTGGCACCAAAAGGCATAAAACGTGATTGAGCAACTGGATGGAAAGAATCAACCCTTGATCAACGAGGGCCATACCCAAACTCGACATGATTTTGGAGCATGATCTAATGTTACCCAAAGTCGACCATGGCGCCTGTCCATTCTCCAGAGTCATAATCAGTGGCAGAGAAGGTGTGTCAGGCGTCAAAATCAGATAGCACAACGTGGTGGGGTAATTCTCCAGATTCGGCAGACATAAGGGACCGGTATATTCTCCGCCAAACCCAAAGGACGACATAAGCCCTCCGCCACACAGCGCTGAAAGTCGCAAACCCAAGTCCAAGCCTCCTCGGGCACAAAGCAATCGCGAGGCTCGGAGACACCGATGGTAAACGCTGGCAGAACACCCACGTCGAGAGCGAGGGGCAGACAATCACGATCCGTGAATACTTAGTCATGTCTCACACTGACCATAGCGTCCCGCTGAAAAATTGAAACACAAGGAGAAGAGAAAGCGGGAAACTTGACTGCAAAATGACAAGCACGATTGGGCGTGATAAAGTGTGTGCGGCAGAACAGCTTTGGCGCGATGAATACAACGTGTCTCCTTGATTTAATCAGTGAAGATAGGAGGCGCATCACCAGCGACCGATCGGAACAACCTATCGGAAGAGGGGACGATACAGCAATGGAAGATGAAAACAATTGATGGATGATGTTTGTTTTCTTGTCGCACTATATGACCCGTGTCTCCCGAGTTCGGCAAGCCGCGGGAGGATCACCAATCCAACATCGGGCCGAAAACTTCAGAACTTTCTGACGACGGGCGGATTCCGCGCCCAATTGTCAGGATTGATAATCCTCGTCGGTGGAGTTCCCAGGGCCATGCCTTGCTCTGTTTTCATTGGCTGGAAAATACATTCGTCCCATCCTTTCTAGTGTCTCACTTGGAATATCGCTATGAAAGGAGCGATGAGCAAATCCTGGGACATATTATGAATGATTTACTCAGCATTTGAATATATTAAAGTTCCTGACTAGGTTCACAGTCAATTTCCAGGGAATTTCGCGATGATCCAATATAAAAGGGGGATTTGCTCTCTCGTCCTGAAGCGTTATCATCAGCAATTCATTGTTTGGCTGCCCTGGCTCGAAAATGCTGACTCCTAGTCTTTCTCTTCTGGCTCTTGCGCTGGGTGCTGCCGCTACCAGCAGCCATCATGGCTCGGCTTCTCAATATGACTTTGTCATTGTGGGTGGAGGTACCAGCGGATTGGTTGTCGCCAACAGACTCTCAGAGTTGAAAAACGTCACAGTCGCTGTCATTGAGGCTGGAGATTCCGTTTTCAACAATGCCAACGTCACCAATGTCCAGGGATACAGTCTCGCCTTTGGAACCGAAATCGATTGGGCTTATGAGACCGCCAACCAGACATATGCTGGTGGATCAAAGCAGACTATCCGTGCTGGAAAGGCTATCGGTGGTACAAGCACCATCAACGGTAAGCCATGATTGTCACAACGCGTTTGAGAATCATCATATTAATTATCTAAGGAATGTCCTACACCCGAGCCGAAGATGCGCAGATCGACAACTGGGAACGTGTTGGCAATAAGGGTTGGGGATGGAACGACCTTTTGCCCTACTACAAGAAATCCGAAGACTTCCAGATTCCCACCAAGGACCAAGCATCTCTGGGTGCTAGCTACACCGCTGCAGTGCACGGTCGCTCTGGGCCCCTCAAGGTCGGCTGGCCCAAGTCAATCACCAATGGCACTGTCTTCGTTGTTTTGAATGAAACAATGAGCCACCTCGGAGTGGAGTACAATCCTGATGTGAACAGTGGCCACATGATTGGCTTTACTGATCACCCGGATACTCTCGATAGAGAAAGAAACATCCGCGAAGACGCCGCTCGCGCGTATTATTGGCCATATGAGACTCGGTTTAACTTGAAGATTATTTCCAACACCCAAGCAAACAAGATCATCTGGGCGAACAACACACACGGTGAAGCTGTCGCTGTCGGAGTTGAAGTTTCCAATGCCTATGGAACACAAAACATTTATGCTAAGAAGGAGGTGATCCTGTCAGCTGGCTCGCTTCGATCCCCACAACTCCTTGAGCTATCTGGTGTTGGAAATCCCGACATCCTCAGCCGCTACAACATCTCCACCAGGGTCGCTCTCCCAGCTGTTGGTGAGAACCTGCAGGATCAGACTAACAACGCTCTGACCTGGGAGTCTACCGAGACTTTGTCTGGCCTTGCAACTTTCTCCGCTCTGGTGTCAGTAGACCAGCTTTACGGCAAGAACGTGTCGGCTATCAGGTCACAAATTGATACCGATATTGTTCGTTACGCTAAGACTCTGTCAAAGAAGTCCAACGGTGCCGTGAAAGAAGACCATCTTTTGAATGTCCTGGAGATTCAACGTGATCTCATTTTCGAGTCTCTCGTTCCTTACGCGGAGATTGTGTTTGCGCCTAGTGGACAGGCCTTCGCATGTGAATACTGGCCCCTTCAGCCCTTCTCGAGGGGAAGTGTCCATATTCAGTCCGCGAACGTCTCTCAAACACCAAACATTGACCCGAACTACTTTATGTTTGGACAAGATGTCGATGCCCAAGTTGATGTTGCCCAGTATATTCGCAAGCTCTTTGGAACTGCACCCTTGACAGGAATTGTGGGAGATGAACTTTCTCCTACCTCCGAAATTCTTCCTAAGAATGCCTCCAGCGCTACTTGGGAGAACTGGGTCAAGGAAAGTTGTAAGTCACTGAATGAAACTACCAACCTTGGAAACAACGAGACATTAACACTTCATAGACCGACCCAACTACCACCCCGTTGGTACCAACGGCATGCTCCCAAGGGAGAAGGGCGGAGTCGTCAGCTCCGATCTCCGGGTCTATGGTACCAAGAATGTCCGTGTGGTCGATGCCTCGATTGTGCCGTTCCAGATCTCTGGTCACTTGACCAGCACTCTGTACGCCATTGCCGAGAAAGCCTCGGACTTGATCAAGGAGAGTCATCGCCAGTAGGTGCGATGTCAGGAGCTGGAGAAAATGTATCAAATTATCAAATTATCAAAAGAGAAAGAGAATCCAGGGCGCCGCTCTTTTGGAAAAAGCGGTGTTCAAAACCATTCCGTAGATAGTGTTCATGTACAATATAAAGATTATTTTCAAGGATATCAAGCAACATGGCTTAAACGGAAGTCGTCAAAAGAAGAATCAAATTCCGTCGGAGTCTGTGGCTGCCCGCCTTGTCAACCTCCCCGCAGCTGAGGTAAATGTTCGTAGACACAAAGAGTTTCTCTCTCTCTCCCCCTCTCTGTCCCTGCCTTTCCCTTCTTTCTCTCTCTCCCCTCTCTCTCTCCGCCTTCTATATCCTTCCTCTCATTGTCTCTCCCAATGCATACCTCGTTGTACCTTACCGCTTCTGCATCAAGTCATTGGCGGTGGTCATTCTGATCCGAGTAAAGGAAGAAGATGAAGACAGTAAAGATAGAGATGCACTACATGAGGGCTCTGTCTAACCGAAGACTCGCAAAATGCCTAAAGGACAGAATACCCTTGAAAGATCATATTGTAAGTTGAATGATTTGCAATAATTCCTCTATACTCGATTGGACGCTAAAGACTATTTCACAATACTAGTATTAGGAACGCAAGGGCTTTCTCCCATGGACAGCGACTCTGCTTGCAGTTAGTAAAATCAATCAAGGTGCAAGGGAACGGGAGGCACTGTACGTTTGAACATAAGCGTGAAGCTTCTTATCCCGCAGCTCCTGCTTGACCACGGCATTATGAATCTTAGCGGCATCCGCACCCCATCCCAGCACCTGGGTGTACAAGCGGAGTGAGTAAGAGTCGATGGCTTGTTGCAGCTGGACTGCCTGGTATTTTCCGAGTGCCTTCAGGTGGGGATCACGCGGCCAGGGAGAGAAAGGAAGCGCATAGACTGACAAGCTGACATCCTCGAAGCCTGCGTCGATCAGCCAGTCTTTTAGTTTGTGGTAGATGTTCAGTTCGCGGCCGATTTGATCACCGGCGAAGTTGATGGCCTTTTGCCATTCCATGAGAGCGGAGTTTGGTTTGAGGGAACCGTCGTCACTCCAGGCCCACACGGCACTCTCATGCGTTTCGAAGTAGCCGCCTGGTTTGACAGAGTCAAATATGCGGCTGATGAACCTGGGCCAATCGGATACACATCTGCTCGAGATGTTAGAGGGCTTTTTTTAGGGGGTGGAGGCCAGTGGCAGTGACATACCCTGCCAAGCATCGTGCGTGGACGAAGTCAAAGTGATTGTTTTCGTACTGCCATTCGTTTTCAAAGTCCTCGACGATGAACTCGATGTTCGGGGCTACCCAGCTGGGTTGAATAGGGCTGATGTCATTTCCAATAACGTGGGCGTTGGGGAATTTTCTATATTCTTGGGTCAACCTTGCTGCAGATGTGTGAGGAAGAACTTTGCGTACTCGGCAATATCCATAGCCCAAATGCCGGTCCCGGTTCCCAGGTCAAGGATATTTTGTGGTGAGGATGTGATAGGGGCGTTGTAGAGCTCTCCTCCCAGTAGCATCAGCCATCTACAACGCTTTTGTCAGAACATATCAACCAGGATGGATGAATTCACGAACATGTGGTGTGTCTGGAAAGAAAGTTCAGTATGTTAACATACTCAAAATCAGGAAGAATGCGGCCTTACAATATCCATTCGATCCTGCTCTTCCTCGTCGTTGGGCATCCTGATTTGGTCAGTGTTTCGTGTTGCAAGCCTCATTAGAGAAGGGAGAAAGCATTACATGTAACCACCCTAACCAAAGTCAGTTAACCATGGGGTCCTGGGGTCAAAAGCAAGTGCTGCGTGAGACTACTTACAGACCGGGTACTGCAATAACGTCGACCATTTTCATACTCAAACTCGAGCACGCTCTCCGACAGAGAGGTCAGGTCATCGTTTTCGAATTCACTGTTGGTGTCCTAGGAGGAATTAATTTCCGGATGGATGTCCAGGGGCGCCAAATCTACCCACGTCGGTAAAATCATCGATCACAATTGGACCGGGCGCGTTGACAGGGGTCTCAGCGTTCGTTAGGGGGTACAGATGGGGCTGATTCGGCTGGGGCTGCGGGAGCCGCAAGCGCGTCGTGGGGAGTAGAACTCATTGTGCTGGAATAGAAATAAAATCACGAAAATTTTCTGGAGGAACATGCGGGATAAATAAGACTATTTCCCTCGTGAGACCGACTCGCTTGTCAGCTCTCAACACGGGTCTTTAGGAGGGGTTCGGGCTTGTATCCAAACTGTCGGGTTTGAAGGAGACTGGGATTTTTTCGATCTATCGAGTGTCGTGTATGGCGGTTGTTGTTGCTTTTGCCACTAGTGCTAATGGGGGCCAATTGAGATTACACGGAAAATTAATACTTCTGGCTTTGACTACACTCTTTCTAACAATTACTGTGCTATTGTACTTCGTACTTCGTGGCCCCGTCCACTTGCCCCAGCATACTCTTTTAGTGCGCGTGCAGAAGTACCCCCTAGCCGGCGATCGCACTAAGCAAAAGTACGCCGGCCCGAGGTTAGTCCGGTGTTTTTGATATGTTTGATATGTTTGGTCTGTTTGACTAAATCATCCCACCTCGACGACTCCACTCTGTTTGTCATGCCACACATTGCCCACAGGGTCCACGTGTAGTCTCTGCTCTCACCCCTTTCGTTGGCTTCATACTGTCACTCTAGACAGAAATATTGAGACTGATTTTAGTAAAGCCATGACAATTTCGAAGCCCGCACCCCAAGCACCTCCCTGCTGTGCAGGCGCAGTGAGACTGCGCCTTCGCATTGCATTGGCAAGATGTGTTATTATGGTACGATGTACTCCGTGGGCGCCGCCCAGATTCCAGATTCGCTGGACATAATTAAAATGAGTATCTGGGCGTTGAAATAGCTGCTGATCAGGATTTTGCAATTGAGTGCATACTCGTAAGAAAATCCTTGCTTTCCATTGGCTGAAAGATGTCATGTATCATGGCTGTGGCTATTACATCATCGAGCCAAGAGAACAAGACAGTGCAGCAGGATTTTGATACAATAGAGTACGTGGGTTCAAAGCGAGAACTGGACGAACTGTAAATTGTTTCCGGATTCCCCACGTACATAAACGTCACATTGACGAGATTGATATACAAAAGCTCAGCTGCCATCCTATCCAATTCAAATATTCTACTCATTATCTTTCGGCCTCTCGGACACCAAAACTTTCACCTCATTACCACCCATAGGAACGATCGAATCCCAAGTCTCAAATATGCAGCAAGAAGTGGAAAAGCCCTCCAGAGGCCCTCAGTCTCAATTCCAACAGGGTGAGCTCACACAGCCTCATAATTTTTAGTTCTGAAATTTATCCAAAATCACAGGCCACCAAGTCCCTATCGAGCATCACAAAAAGCCCGGTTTACAAGCTGAGATGGAAGGCCCAAACCCCACGTCCAGCAAGCTTCCAACCGAAGATAGCGGCTATCAAACTTACAAAGCTGCGGGGAAGCTTTCAGGGAAGAAAGCTATCATCACTGGCGGTGATTCAGGAATCGGCCGCGCCATTGCCATTCTCTTCGCCATGGAAGGCGCCTCTAGTTTGATTACGTATCTACCGGAAGAGGAAACAGATGCGCAGGAGACTCGGAAACGAGTGGAAGAAATCGGGCAAAGCTGTCATTGTTTTGCTACCGACCTTCGAGACAAGAAGAATTGCCAGGCGGTGGTTGACAAGGCTCTGGAGAGCCTGGGTGGCATTGATATCTTGGTTAACAATGCTGGAACACAAACAATGATTCCAGATATCAAGGACTTGGAAGAGTATGCATATTTGTCTCGTTTCATCGAGTCCTCGGAATTTACTAACTTTCACAGGTCTCAATGGGAGAGTACATTTGACACCAACATTCACCCTATCTTCTACCTTTCAAAATACACGATGCCTCACCTGAAGAGCGGTTCAACCATCATCAATTGTGCATCTGTCAACCACTACATTGGTCGCCCTGACTTGCTCGACTACACATCAACAAAGGGGGCTATTGTCGCTTTCACTCGGGGTTTATCTAACCAGCAAGTCAAGAATGGTATCCGGGTCAATTGCGTGTGTCCTGGACCAGGTAAGTCGATTCGCCCATACACAGTCTCCGATCTAATTTTTGGGTAGTCTGGACTCCTCTCATTCCGGCAACAATGACCACCGAAGCCCAGGAGCAATTCAGTGGCACACCGATGGGTCGACCAGGCCAACCCAGCGAAGTTGCGACCTGTTTCGTCTTCCTTGCAAGCCAGGATAGTAGCTTCATTTCCGGTCAATCTTTGCATCCCAACGGAGGTGTGGTTGTCAACGGATGAGAGACAGGGGCAATTGCGAATGTAGTGATTTACACGCCCCAGAGGCGCCCTCTTCCTCTTATTAATACTCCCAAAAAGAATGATAAACGAAGCCGCAATGCGTTCCCTATTGGAACATAAAGACATCCTAGCTCTGCGCCGTCCATAATCACCCAACACCCATATCAATATTAGCCATAATACGAGAAGTATGTTTCCTTGATCTTCCCATTCTGGAAGTCCCTTTCCAAAAACTCTGCAAACTCTTCGATATGATCCCTCTCAAATGTGAACCATCCACGCTGCCTCTCAGTGATGACTCCAGGCGTGTACGTTTGTGCCCGATCAAAGTCAATCCAAAGAGGTCTTCCGGTACCATCTTGCACCATCATATTTCGCGGGAAATGATCTCCGTGCAGGACCCAGGCCTCATGGATTTCGGCGAGGAAACTTTTGAGTTTTTCCACTTTTTCGCGTGAAAAATTAGACAAATCGATCATGCGGATATCAGGTATATATTCAATCAGTGTCGCATTTGGCTTCTCTTTCCCATCGGCGAAGCATTTTAGATGTTGTTGCCAACATGGATTCGCAAGGGGTTCAATGTCTCGAATAACCCCGTAGAAGTCAGGGATGGAGCCTCTTTCGCAGACACCACGTGCTTTGAGTCGACATTATGCACGGCTTTCGCAGCTAAATAAGCTGTATTGCTTTTCCTCGTTGGGCATGTCCTCCTGTGCTAGGTCTGATTCGTGATACTAGAATGGTCAGGAGAGCCCTGGAGATATATACCATGATTAATTCCCAGGTGGCGGATGAAATAACAACTTTTAATACACTGTCTTTTCCTTGCCAGCACACCCGAAATATGCGGCTATTTTTGGATTTCCGAAGAAGTTCAACAAATGACATCTCAGACAGGCTAAGCTGTGGCGTATCCCAATCAAGGGATTGCATCTTGAGTACTCTTTATAAATGCGTCTTTACAGAAAGGCCTTCAGTATTTGCATGGAGGAAAAAATTGCTACTTGAAAGCAGCTTTTACTCGCAAAGAGACCAGGTTGTTCGAGGGAGCGCGATTGTGATGCGGATCAGAGAAAGCCACCTTACCCTGCACATGCGCCACGTGATCATCCCCCGACAAAGAACTTGTATCGATTTGACAGCATGACGAGAATGGTCTTTTAAAATTGGCATTTCCTATTATATGGGAGTCTTCTATCCATGTGACTTGAATTGCCTCGTATTGCGCAATGCTAGTTGTAGAAGTGCTGTGTCAAGTTGATCTTCCCTGCTTCACAGTCATCAGCCATGGCGTTCGCAAACCATCTATGAGACCCCCCGAAGGAACCTGACCGACAGAGAGAGGAGCCACGTGATTTGAGAATTTCTTCCGTTCTAGCATCTCACCTGGGGAACTATCAGGATATATGACAATATCGAGAACTTGAACTGTGAGCAGTAGGGCAGGGAAGATAATATTTGAAGAAACAGAGAGAGCCTCCAGATTGTAGTCATCTTTGCTTGTTTATCTCGAGCTAACATAGGCAATGAAGCCGCAATGAAGCCCTGGCCATCCCGTCTTGTCTCTGCAATCGTTTCAAGGGCTTGTTGTGAGGGTTGAATATCTCTTTCAGTTGGTGTTGATGGTGGCCCGATGTTATACTGGAAGCGCAAGGAAGGCAAAGATAATCATAGTTAGTGTAAGCTGCCTAGGCTACGGATAAGGGGCACGATCACGCGCCGCCGGGGCGGTAACATCTCACGGCTCTCGAAAAATGCGGCCGTCCTCGGACGCAGTGACAAATAGGTAAAGACAGTGAATTGTGAAAATGTGATAAAAATAGCACGGAATGCTCGCACGGGCGAGGCATGGGACATATTGTAGGGACAGTCATGGCAGGGTAACAGGCACGTATGGTAGGGACAGGACGGAGTAGGCATAGGCGAGCTCTAGAAGAGAGTCCTAAAGAAGTCGTTCGCGAGCGAACGATAAAGGTTGGCCTCGAGCGAAGTGTCCATCTGCTTTAGCCAGTGGCGGACGTGCTCTATGTTGGTCCGCAAGTGTAAGGCATCGAGAACCGCGTCGCGGCGTTGATTGTCGGTTACCACTTGGTTAACGATGTGTTGGACCCACGAAGAAGGCTCCTCGTCGGAGCGCAGCATAGCCTTGAACTGGGTCTGGTCATGTGAGGAAATTTCGCGGCGTTTGGGTGTTGATGGTGGCCCGAGGAACAAATCTTCGAACGGTAGGACAAGAGGATGGTCTGAGACCCTTGTTTGACCTGACACCCGAGTCACCTGGACAGTTTGGAGGCGATGAAGTCTTCCATTTTGATTCTGAATTCTCCACTTCTCGATACGGATTGCTGGGGTGTGTATGCCCACTCTGATGGTAAGACAAATTCTGGCATCCCCGTCGTCAGGATTCAACCAGAATCGAACATCGGAGTTCAATTTCGCATCAGAGTCCAACGCATCAGAGTCTGACTGCGCAATCTTTAGGACAACCGATTGTCTCTTTGGATGACGAGGTGGTATTTCTCCGGGGCCCCAGTGTCCACGTTTGCGTGTGCATTGCGTATACTCAGAACTGCCTGACTGACTCCCATTGGATGAATCGCTGATAGAGAGTGTGCATATCGGTGAAGACCATGTTTTGCATGAATCCTGCGAAATCAGGGATTGACATGATGGATATCAGAAATACAGACATCTCCAAAGTTGGGCCGACCGTCTCGTCACATTCTTCCCACTTAATTTTGGCTTGTTTGAAACGCTCAACGTACCCAGCAGGATTGGTTCCCTTGTAGCGGATCTCAGTCCACTTCTTCATCCGGAAGACAGTACAATGATATGAAGGCTTGCCGTACTGAGCTTCTAGCAGCAGATAGCACTCACGGGGATCCTCAATCCTGTAAATGCTATTCTTTGGGAGGCCTCCGATGCATTTACGGAGGAACAGACGTGATCTGCCGATAGCCATGTTCCATCTCTCCGTGTTCTTTTGGTACAAATTCTTTCGTCGGTTGTTTTCGACCTCCAATTCCACCAGCTTGTCGTTGAAATCCTTGCCCGTAATTATGAGCATCTTTCCGAAATTTTGCATTTCATCCGGCTGACTCATAGCCATTTTGTCCTTTTTGGCGGCATTAATGACCGCTTCCCGGGAGGCGGGCAAAAGTTGCGGCTCTTTCGGAGGCTCGGCCTGACCAGAGAAGATTCGCCCGTAAATCGAAGCAACAGACCAAAGGGTACAGAAGAAATCTACTTTCCACTGTCTCCAATTTTGCTCGCCTTTGAGCTTGGTAATTTCCCCAAAGCGATTCACATCTGAATATGAGCCAATGTAAAGTTTCTTTTTGTACAGCAGCTGACAGAGGCTGCTTGACTGCGGGTTGGGGAGCCAGAGATCATCGATTGACATCTCAGTGTTTTCCTCATTGCTGGAACTGGTGTCACTTTCTTGTCCTGAGCACTGACGGGACTGTGACGGCTGGCGGCTTGAATATCTGGGGCGATATTGCTGTTGCGGTTCGAGTCCGCGCTCATCAACAATTTCGGGCAAATTAGGGCTCAGTTGCAGGTCATGGGTACAGGTATGAGAGTGTTCGCCGCCCATCGTGCGTTGAGTTTGACCCAAGCTCTGCACTTGCGGGGATTCAAACGTTTTGGCTTCGGCCATCGGGCGACTTCGGGATTTGGTTCGTTGTGGCCTTGTTTCGGGGGAATCTTTAGGCTGAGATGCGAGGTGAAGATTCGAGAAGTCTTCAATCTGCTTTGCTAAGTCCATCCTTGTTGGGAATTCCTGACCTCTGGAGCTAGGTATCCAGGCGCAGGCGGCGGAAGGTCACGAATGGAGCGTCCAGGTCTTTTCACAAAAGAAGTCGTGCAGGCGCAACAGCTGGTGTCGGATGAGGAATACAGACTAGAGCAAATCAATATGCGCAAGGGATGGTCTGTATGATAAGCGAATAGAGAAGAAGGGGTAGCAGAGAGTGAGAGTATGCGAGAGTCGAGAGTTGAGAGTTGAGATGGGGAGAGGGAGAGGGAGAACGGGGAAAGAGAGAGGCAGAGAGCGAGAGCTAGTCAGGGCAGGATGCCAACGGTGAGGCCTGCCATTCGGATCAGAATTTGAATGTTTGCCATGACATTTCACACGAATTGCATTGCCCGTCATTATTTTCAAATGACTGGGCGAAAGCCGATAGAGATTCCAGGCAAGCACTCATTATTGAGAGAGGGCAAAACAAGCGGTGACAGTAACATGGTGAGGCCACAACAGATAGCAATTGTGCTGTTGAGTGATAAAAGATATTTGATGTCTCAGGCTCACAGATGAATTCACCGAGTCTATCTGATGATGTAGTTCTAGGTTTTTGTCACTGAGATCATCTTTCTGCCCGTATTGTGCTTTGCGGGCTTTTTGCTCCAGATAGTATGAGCAATTGGAGATACGTGCTGGCTTTGTTGGTCGGTAGTGATTGCTTAGGTCAGTTTGATCAGCATCCGTGCCCTAAATCTAGACAATCAAGGAAGATCATGCAGGGTGAGCAGCCGATGTAAGCACAGTATCCATTTAGCCTGTAGGAAAATCTCAAATAGTCCCTCATTTGTCTCTGGTCCAAAGATTGCCCCAGTACACCAATATTATTATGAGCTCCTGGCTCTAGAACACTGGAGTCAACGAACATGAATTCGAACTCGAGGGGAAAAAAAGGTCTGATAATGACGATTGAAAGATGAGTGAAATGTGCAGTCAACCATTTTCCGATTTAGGAAATTGCTTCCTCGGTTCGTATCTGCAAGTTTCGCGTATGGCTTTTCCGGTAACTCGGGAACTTGAGAATAAAGACTGTTGAACATGCGAATCTCGTGGCGTTTATTCCTCACCGTCTCAATCAAACCATGCCAGTGTGTATTCCCTCTTTTCCGGCACACTTTCCGCGCCCGAGTGGCGCTTTGAGGCGCACACGCATGGGCGTTTGAGTTGCCTGAGATTTTGGAGTGTTGTTATCTCGAGGCGCATGTTGCATGACGTCTAGGATTTTGCATGTCTCAGCAATGAGCGACTTTATTCGAACTCCCCGAAGGCCCCAATGGCGGGAAAAGCAAACAATATTTGAATCAAGACTTCCCGCTTGAATTGTGGCTTTTCCATTCGTACAGAAAAACCTTGAAGCACCTGGCCAGAGGCGTCGAAATTGCCTTTTGCAATTTTTCCAACAAGAAAAGCAAAAAAATATCACCAAAGACAATGTCGGAAATAAAATCTGACGAAAGATGGACCTCACCATTCTCGTGGTTCGACCACTTTTGCTTGATGGCCAAACGAGACGATCCTAAAACTCACCCTGGATGGCAAAAGAACGCGATAGTTGTGATTATCACTCTTTCGGCTTTCACTGCACCCTTCGCCTCATGCATTCTCTTCCCATCTTTCACAATCCTCGTGGAACATTTCCATACGACTCAAACCAAAGTCGCTCTCACCACGACTGTATTTCTTCTGGGTTTGGCTGTTGCACCGTTGTGGTGGAGCACCTTGAGTCAGGAGTATGGTCGCCGGCCGGTACTTGTATTCAGCTTTCTCATCTCGACAGCCGCCGTGATCGTCTGCGCTGCTACCAATTCCCTCCCTCTGATCACCGTCTTCCGTCTCATCGAAGCGGTGGGCTGTTCATCTGCACAAAGTGTCGGAGCGGGTGTCATCAGTGATATTTACAGCCCGACTGAGCGCGGATCGGCGCTGGGATGGTTCTACCTTGGTACTCTGATCGGACCTTTGGTTGCTCCTATCATCGGAGGTGCCCTCCAAGTATGGCTTGGCTGGAGAGCAAACCTTTACTTCATGGCGATCTTCACACTCACAACGTCAATTCTCACGATGATGTGTCTGCCTGAGACGTTGGTCAAACCTTCTACTCCGAAAAGCGAAAGTCCGGCATGGTACCGAACTATCCAGCGGGATATCGTCGCCCCGCTCCCGAAGTTGAAATTCCTCTTGGTGCCATCGATCGCGTTGACAATTGCCTATATCAGCATTTGTTTTGCTAGTCTGTACTGTTTCAACACCACCCTTCCATATGCGTACTCGGCAGCACCTTACAATTTCTCCGCGATCGAGATTGGGCTTTGCTATATCAGCAATTGCCTCGGTTATGCAATTGGGAGCGTTGTGGGTGGCAAGTTGAGTGATGCTAAGTTGCGTCAGTATCAAGCAACCCACAACGGAGAAATAAGACCGATCGAAAGAATCAAGACCGTGTGGTATGGGGTTGGATTCGTGCCAGCTGGTCTCCTTATTTACGGATGGCTGGTCGAGAACAAGGTGTTTTGGATCGCTCCTCTGGTCGGCGCGTTCTTATTCGGACTAGGACTCATGCTCGTTACCTCGACAGTTATGCCTTTCCTTGTCGATATCAAGCCGGGGATGGGTGCTTCGGTTGTGGCAGATTTAAATTTTGTTCGCAATATTCTGGCCGCCATAGGCACTGTTCTGTCACCAATTGCTGCAACAAATATTGGCTTTGGGTGGTGGATGACAGCGCTGGCACTATTATGCTCTTGCTCGGTGGCCTTCTTGGGGATCGTCGTTTGGAGAGATGCGGTTGAGAGGAAAACGTCCAAGTTGGAAGGTACTGTTTAGTGTATTATCATTGATTACATGTGGCTGTGAATCCACTCGTCTTCTGCTAGCGCCTTGGCCGAGCTGCGCTTCTCAGGCTCCCATTGAAGCATTTTGCGCATTAAATTCAGGAATAATTCTCTCTCTGCCTTTCGTTCAAGGGTAGTTTCCCTCTTTTCAAGCGGTACTAAATCTGTCAGTAGATCCGGATTCAAGAATTTGCCTGAAGTGGCCTAGTTAGTGGACTTGAATGCAGAAATTCACCAGGCACTGTGAAAATAAGGAACTTGCCTTCACGCGAGAAGAATTTGTCTTTTCATCTCCCCTCGGGCAATCAGGCTGGGAGGCGGGGGGCCGAGGATATTGATCATCTCGGCAAGGTGGGCCCGACTCCGGTATCTTTCAAATTCGGGGTATTGGCCTGTGAATAAGGACCCGCCTTCGTATATATCCCAAATCAGTGGCGCGGCGATCAGCTAGAATCGATTCATGATCGAGCTGTTGGTTTTACCATGCATCCCACATTCCATATATCGGCGCTGAAAGTCCATGGAGCACCCAATATCACCTCAGGTGCTCGGTAGATCTGAGGTTGAATGAACACCGATTGGTACCGATTACCATATATGGCCGAGCCAAGATCGCAAAGGATTGGAGAGCTGACTTGTTTGGGTACTTTGAGTAATTCCTGAGACATGTAGATCGTTCTATCCTCTGTGTCTACCTGTTTTCTCGGGACAGGCTTGTGAAGTTCATTTGCTTCGAAGTCAGTGAAGACTGAATCATCTTTGATTCCGAACATGATGTTATCAGCTTTGATATCTATAGGAAAGTAAGCAAGAAAATCAAAGAAGCAAGGTTTGGTATTCACGAACCAGTGTGCGCAATGTGGCACTCCGTATGGAGATAATCCATTGCTAGAAACAGGCGGTGGAGAACGACTGCGATGACTGGTGAGGGTAGTCTCTCGACCGGATTGCGACGCAAAAAAGCCAAAACAATCTCCCATAACGGGGTATGCACAAGGCATCGATGCTTGTCCTGTGGTCCGACGATATCAAATATGTCAAGTAGTTTTCTTATCACGTCACGTCCGGGGTGAGCCATTGAAGATCGCTCCACATGATTATACATCTCAAGCTCGTTGTCCACATGCTGGCCCATAGACGAAGCCTGGGCGAAAATTTTGAGTATGACATAACGCCGATCACTGTGTTATTGGTACATGAGTCTTTGATATATCAAGTCCTACAACGTGGGAAATCTCACTTCATGTCTCTTGCAAGCCAAACAGTTGAAGTAGATCCAAATCCCAATTTACCGATGACTTGATACCGGTCCTTGATGACTTCTCCGATCCGAGTTGGATATTAGTGGGAGGCGACATAGTCTGGGAGGGTCTCCTCCTCAATCTTATGCCACTCGGGTATCCGGACGAAGTTGGGGTTTGAGAAATGGAGAGGTTTCCATCTCCGCCTTAGCCGGGGGAGAGATCGCAGAAGTGACGATAACATAAATTAAGGGAAGCAAGAGGGTATCTGCAAGTTAATAACTTGACCCAATCCTGAAGAGCTTTTGGGGTGGAGTCAATGTTGAGGCCGCTGAAAGGGGCGCGCGGACGCGACGCACAACAACAAGGGGCAGCTGCAAGTCCCCGGGGCCGTATCAAACAACACTTTGGAGATTTCCAAGGTAAATCCACACCGACCGTGCGTTAATCTGCCTCCCGTCCAATCATTGACCTTTCCGTTACTTGCCCGCCAATCATGTTCTCGCCGTCTTCGGGTATTCTGCCGCTTTCCAATGTTCCGAGGTTCCACCCGTCTATGGAACGGCAGGTAGATCCATCCTTCAATTCATATTTTACAAAAACCTGGAATTATTATCTACTTCTAACAACTTCCTTCATTTTATAACTACTCAACGAATGCGGGCTTCAATAGTCTCCGCTTCGATTGAATCCAAACACCCGCGATATGGCAGCCGACAAGTCCCATGTTGCCAAGTATACCCCCGTGGAGACTTGTGCAAAATGGGATCAATGATTTTGGTCAAATTGTTAGACATATACAACTTATCAGAGGAACGACGATCAAGAAAACTCCTTGTGGCGTAAATAAGGTTTAGAAAAAGAGCTGGGTAACTGATTCAAACTCCAACGGTTCCAAGGTTGTGCGCGGCCACTTCGAGCCTGTTTCTAGCACAATCCTACCTAATTGGGAAACGGCCGCAAGTTATGGTTATCATTCCGACTACTCGTATTTTTGTAATCTCGCCGACGACTGTGATGTTTAAGTCTTCTAACCAACTCTATTCATTTCCGAGATTGTTCTCAAACTTCTCGTTAGTTTCTGCCCGCTTGACTACCCATTTTGACCCTTGTCTCTCTGCCCCAGACGACAAAATACCTCGATATCTGCACCACTTCTGTCGTCACAATGCTTGATCCCTCGTCTCTCAGACTCCTTTATTATGGCATTATTGCAATGAATCTCGTGGCTCTATATCAACGATATCAGGTATGAACCCACCATCAAATCTGAAAACCTAGCTAATTCCCCTCAAGCTTTGGTTAGTATTGAGGCAGGCTCGTCAGCTACAAATGGAGGTCAAACGCAAGGCGAATGAAATGAAAGAGCAGACCTCGGAATGCTCTAGTTGAGGAACATGTACGTAAAGAAAATCAGGGGCTGGATCTTATCAGCACGGTTGTCCCTAAACGTGAGATCTTTGGCTTGCGCCTCTCTTCAGACTATCCATCTCTGAGTCTGGAACACAGAAAATGGACTTTTAGGTATCATCATTGGAAATTGAGGGTTATGTGCTACACACTACAAGCGAACATGATCAGACCAAAGGACTTCGAGGGCCCTGCATCTTAATCCTCAGACATTCAAATGGCTTTATCCCTTGTCATTTCATCGTTCACACAAGTGCCTAAACAGACATGGTCCGCGCTAAGTGTTGAGATTCACACTCTCCTAAACACCTGTCCAGTAGTGTGACTTTGGAACATTGAGCTTGACTGAAAGCGGCTTTTCCGCAGAAGAAAAGCTCGCATGAACAGTGTACTGTCCTTCCTGTAGTTTCCATTGACCTTCTTGTGAGTCAAAGAAACTAAATGCGTACTTGTCAAGGACCAAATCCACCTGTCGTCGCTCTCCTGATTCTAAGTGGATCTTTTTGAAGGATTTCAACTCCTTCGGGGGGCGAGGGTGATGCGCCCCAGCCGAAGCTGCACTGTAAGAGACGTAAATTTGAACAACAGTCTTCCCAGCTCTGGGGCCTGTGTTGCCCGCCTCGTAAACAAGTCTAACCTTAGTCTGGTTAGGCTCGCCAAATTCAGCACTTGCAAGGTTGAAACTGAAGAGCTCAAAGGTCGTGTATGAGAGGCCGTATCCAAAGGGAAATTGGGGACTAGGTGTGTCTGGTTCATCGTAAAAGCGATAGCCTACTTTGAGTTTCTCTTCGTAAAGAAGGACGTCGTTGTCATCGCAAGGGAAATTGTTGAAAGCCGGGTTATCTTCATTCTTGCGGGGCCATGACATGGGGAGTTTCCCACAAGGATTCACGACACCAGTCAGGATTTTGGCAACAGAGTTCCCGCATTCTTGGCCAGCGAACCAGGATTGCAGGAACACTGGAACTTGATCAATGAAAGGACTGACCGTTACCGGAGAGCCTGAGAAGTTGACAACGATGGTCTTGGGGTTCTGAGCCGCCACAGCAGAAATCAGCGAATATTGGTCTTTTGTCAAGTCCATAGTCTCCCGATCGTATCCCTCTGACTCAATCTCGTTTGTGTTTCCGACAAAAACAATGGCTACGTCGACTTCAGAGGCAACGATGGAAGCGTTGTGGACAGCCTTCGGGACGTCGATGTATTCCATGAAGCGAAGCGAAGATCCCTGGAAAACTGTTCCCTCAACTCGACTCAGTACTTCTGCATCCGCTGCCCACGAATGAATCTCAACTTTGACGGGGCAGTTTTTGGACAAGGGCAGAGTAAACTTCCGCTCAATTTTAGCCTTGTAGAAGTAAAACGACTCGGGCATAAGAGGAGACTCTTGCTCTCGGTGGAAAACCTCCTCGCCATTCACAAAAACCTTTGTCACCCCGGTAGTAATGACTGAGAAAGTGTGATTTCCTTCACTACGCGGACTCAGTGCAAACGACATGCGAGTGCAGTATTGGCGATCGAGGAACTCTGGCCATGCTTCCTTGATCATGTACTCGGCAACAGCGATTCTTTGCTCATTGACTTTGTTGTGGCCCACAACCGAGCTATTGAACCACTCCAGTAAGATTGGGAGGGTGTTCAGGTCTGTCTGGTGGGAGGAGGTGTCAAGGATTGCGGAAATGACACCGGGCTCAACATGGGGTACTGTCGCATGTACTGGAACGCCTGGGCTATACCGGCATTGAAGATTGGATTTCTCGAGAGCTTCGAGAGGAGACACGATATGCTGAGCGAGGACCTTAGCACTTCCGCCGCCGCCGATGCTGGGATTTGTTGCATGATGGCCGATCACGGCCACGCGTGTATTTGGCTTAAGTGGGAGTAGCTCATGCTCATTTTTAAGGAGGACGGCTCCTTCAGCGGCAAGATTAGCAATGAACTCCATGCGATTATCGTCGAGAACTGATTTTTCCGGCTTTTCTTCCGGGTTATCGAAACGGCCTGTCTTCTTGGCCAAGGCCAATATTCTCTTGACGCTCAAATTGACGGCTTCGATGTTCACAGTAGAGTTCTCTACCTCCTTGAGGAGCTTTGAGCCTCTCCACCTTGTGGGACCCGGCATCTCTAGGTCGAGGCCGGAGTTGACAGCCTTGGCGGTCGAGTATACTCCAAGCCAGTCAGAGACGACGACGCCAGAAAAGCCCCATTCCTTTCTGAGGATATCTTCGATCAGTCGGTTGCTGTCGGCACAGTACTCTCCATTGACTTTGTTGTATCTAGACATAATCCTTTGTCAGTCTCTCTCCCTTGGCCTTCCGAGAGGAACAGACTTACGATGTCATCAAGCACCATGGGTCTGAATGGCGCAATGCGAGTTGGAAAGGGAGCATGTATATCTCCCGCAGTGTCTGCTCATCAATCTCGGACGTCATTTTGGTGCGGCGCTTCTCTGAGTCATTTGCAACAAAGTGCTTAGGGGTCGCGGCGATCCCCTGCGATTGGCATCCTTTATAAATGTGAGTGTCGCATCCAGAGACGGTGTTTGATACTGAAACCTTACCATTGACAAAAGCAGCGGCAAGAGTTCCTATGACATACGGGTCTTCGGAATAAGTCTCATAGTTTCGTCCCCCTATGTACAACCCGATAAGCAACACTGTAGGGCGGACTTTGTTGAAAAATGGGAATATCACCTAGGGGGACCGGATAATATTCATAGTTGGAGCCAGAAGAACGTTTGCTGATTTGGTGATTGTCTCCTTGGCTATTTCCACGCCGAGCTGATGGACTCTCTCGACATCGAATGTGGCCCCAACGCAGGTTGAGCATGGGAAGCAGGCCGCAGTGATACCACTCACGTAGCTTTCGCCTCGAGCCCCGTTGGGCCCATCTGACATCTGACATTGGTTAATATCGGGACGAGACAAGGTGAGCAGAAGATGTTGATGCAAAGATACCTTGATGTGAGGAATAAATACATCGTCTTTCTTGATTGTGGGAGTCCGCCACCAATCCACTGCTGACAGAAGCTGAACCTTGTCCTCCAGTGAGAGGCGGTCCAGCAAAGTGGTCTCGTCAATCATGACTGAAGGAATAACTTGGCTGTACTCGGACGGGAAGGTGTTAAAGCAAAGGCGCACTCTGTGGCGATGGATGGTGGTCTGTGTTGGAGGCTAAATATGGTTTCACTCCTGGAATTCGGAAATTATCCCGGCAAATGAGGCTCGCAGGTTGGAAAAAATAACCCCGCACAGCTGTTCGAAGTACGCTCGGCTTCGTAGTCTGCCTTCGGGAAATACCCGATTCTCGGGTGCCAAGCTCGAATGTCTCGGAGCCGGTCAAGTTGGACGGTCCCAAGCGAGTCCAAATCTAATACTGCTTGGCATCAACAATGATGTCGCACATTCCAACTATGCCGTATTTTGAAAAGCTCGTTATCCTTGGATATAGCCGCAACAGGACGCAAGATTTCCATCGCAGACTGCTTTTCTTCAAAGAGGTCAAACAGCCCCGGCTGAAGATTTCGGTATGCAGTGGCGTGGGGGACTGGGGACTCCGGGGCCCCAACGTCTTGATCTAACCCCACATGATACCTAGTGGGTTAGTCGGCTTTTCTCCACGGGGAATCAGAGGTGGGGTCGATACAAAAGCTCGGCTTCCGGGGTGATTCGCTGGTCTCTGCTCCAGAAATCATAAAAGGCAGGAAATTTCCAGCAACCCGGAAAGAAACGAGTGATTCTATACACCCCGACTTTTTTCCCGGGCTCACTCGCCATCTCTCAAAGTCTCTTTTGATCCAGCAGCCCTCGACGAAGGGGCAAATATACTTCAATGTCCAGACCAAGTACTGACAAAGAGCTGCCCAGCAGCTCCTTTTTGGAGAGGGCCACTCCAAACTTGGACGCCGAGACTTTGGATATTGGCCAGCGCATTCAAAGGCTTGCCGACGAATGTCCACCCTTTTATCAAAGCCGAAATCTGCTTATTCTCTATCTCCTCATGATTCCGGGATGCATGATTCCTGCCATCACCCTAGGCTTTGACGGTGCCATGATGAACGGTCTTCAGGCAGTGCCTAGTTGGGACACTTGTGAGTTCCCTCTTCCGTTTCTTATTTTCCTTTCTGTGGTGGCTGCCGAAACTGACTCCCTGTCCGGCTCAGACTTTAACAAGCCTCGAGGAAGTCTCCTTGGTATCATGTCTGCCATTCTGCCTCTTGGTTGCGTGCTTACCACTCCTTTCATTCCCATGGTTGGCGATCGCTGGGGTCGAAGAGCCGGTATATTTGTTGGTTCTGTCATAATGGCGGTCGGTGGAATTATTCAGGGAACTTCCGTTCACAGTAAGCTGACGCTGACCTGTACTTCAATTTGCTTTCCGATGGTCCCTTTATAACACCCGCTTCTCGCAGTCGCCATGTTTATGATATCTCGCTTCATCATTGGGATCGGCATCGTCTTTGCCAACACCTTTGCCCCGATGCTCATCGGTGAATTGGCCCACCCCAAAGAACGTCAGGTCGTCACCTCGTTGTACCAAACCTCTTGGTATATCGGTGCCATTTTCGCCGCATGGACCACCTTTGGCACCTTCAGCATCCCTAATAACTGGTCTTGGAGAATCCCCTCCCTCCTGCAAGCTGCTCCTGCTTTCTGTCAGATAATAGGTGTTTTCTTCCTGCCCGAGTCTCCTCGATGGCTGGTAGCTAAGGGTCGTGTTGAGGAAGCCAAAGCTGTTCTTGTCAAGTACCATGCCAATGATGATACCAGTAGTGAGTTTGTTAGTCTCGAGTTCGAACAGATGCGTGAAGTCATCGAGGCAGAGGTCAATAACGAAACCGGATGGATGGCTTTCTTGGCCACCCCTGGCAACCGTAAGAGGCTGCTCATTATCATCTCTCTTGGTGTGTTTTCGCAGTGGTCAGGCAATGGACTAGTTTCGTAAGTGTATTTACACTATCAAAGCCATGCAATTGCCTTGCTAACCAGATATAGGTATTACCTCGTTCGTGTCCTGGAGACTGTGGGCATCACTGAGACCCGGCCAAAGAACATCATCAATGGTTGCCTGATGATCTTCAACTGGATCACGTCCGTTCTTTCCGCCTTCCTCACTGCCCGGATCAAGCGCCGCACTCAGTTCCTTGTTTCTGGCTTCGGCATGCTGGCCGTTTTCGCTGTCCAAACTCTCTGCGCCGCCCTGTTTAATGACTACGGTAACGCAGCCGCCGGGCACGTCGTCATTGCCATGCTTTTCCTGTTCTATTTGTTCTTCAACTTGGCCTTCAACGCTTTGCTATACTCGTATCCCGTTGAAGTCCTTCCATATCCCATCCGTGCGAAGGGTTTCTCTCTTCTCATGTTCTTTGGCAAGGCCAGCAACTTCATCAATATCCTGGTCAACCCAATTGGATTGCAGGCAATTGGCTGGAAGCTATATTTGGTTTATGTGGCTTGGCTCTGCGTTGAGGTTGCCGTTATTTGGAAGTTCTTTGTTGAGACGAAAGGCCCCTCGCTGGAAGCCATTGCAGTTCTCTTTGACGGCGAGCCTGAGAAAGTTTTGAATGAGAAGAAAGAGCATGCTGAGAAGAAGGACGATAAGAAGGCATAGAATACCGCTTCCTTGGTGGGGTACCAAGGTCTGATCTGAGACAGAATGATAAACTGAGGCACGCTTAGGTACTCATTGATGATAAATCCTGTTGAGCGAGCCGTTTCTAAATTTTGTCAATGGTTGTTTGTTATAGTGCATTAATGGCTGGCCACTTCCAGTTCCAAGTTGACTCTGATTTTGTATGAAAGTGCCAAGGCCGTCCGGGTCCGCATCGTTTGCCGCGTTGCAGTTGCCGAATGCGCCGATTGTGCCGACTGTGCTGATCGTGCCGAACTTATTGAGGTGTTCGATCGTGAACTTGGATTTTGTCTCTCTGGTTGATATTTTTGAGAATTATACCGTGGGGAAAAATGTATCGGAATAATTTCCTGGACCACTCCTTGACCCTTCGGATCACTGTTGGTCCCGAAAGGCTATCAGATGTCGGCGGGTGACCTTCCTACCGCCCCGAGAGTACTTTGCTGCAATGACGGCCAGCTGGCTCGGCGTTGCCAGAAATACTGAAGTGGTAGGCACTTGCTTCGCCATGTATTCTATTCAAATCAACGAAGTTCAGAGGTGATGTTTCATTTGGGCGACACCTTGGAAATTGACGTGACAAGGACTTCACCTGTCGCTCAATGCCGGCTCGACTCACCTTTAACGGCGATGGCTAGTCCGCCCCACTGTGGAACATGGGTGCGGTAACTTCCATTAAAGTTAACAATAGACGAGTAGACACGGAAATTCAACTCCTTATCCTGGTAGAATCAATTGTGGGAACACCTTTCGTCAAAATAATAACAAGTGCTTGAACTGTTGTCGGTGGAACACTTAAGCATGGCGGATTCCATTCGAATCCAGATCTTGCGCAGCTATGTGTTTTGCGAATTCTTAACGTTCAAATAACAATATTCAAAGGGCTCACCAGGTGCTCGTGTCTTGCTCGTCATACCGCAGTTCACTCTGTTAGGGGCTCCTGAAAGATCGTGTGGGTCAGCTCGTCCGCCCCGTGCTCGGCTATTCTCAACTTTAAGGGACTTTAGATTACCGTAGAACCTGTTCAGACAGCGAAAATGGCTGGGAGGGTATGTTTAGCCGGATAGACTAGAAGGATATAAGATGCAATGTTTTCCAATTCCAGATCTCTCCTTTCTCATATTCACTGCAAGTACGCAATCATCATTCCAGGTATGGCGTTCAAAACCACTGCATCTGGCAATCCAGAGCTCGCCGTCGTTCTCGCCGAGTCATCAGCAGGCGCTGTAAGTTTCATCCGCTTCCAGATTTCAAAGCTCACAACGCTAACGACAGATAGCCACGAAAGGGCAGTGAGCTCGGTCCTGACGCTATCCTTCAGTCGGGTCTTCTTGGGCATCTCCAAAGTCATTTTGGCAAAGTTCACGTTTGTAAACTCTCAAGCAGATCTGGAGCGTCCGAAGAAGACCTTGATTATGCCAAAATGAAAAGACCACGAACCGTGAGCAAGACAACACAGAGTATCCATGACCTGGTCTATAGTCATATCCAACAGGGTCGACTTGTCCTGACATTGGGTGGCGATCACTCTAATGCCATTGGAACGCTGACCGGGACAACCGGTGCCCTCCATTTGAACCACGGTCAACGTCCGGCGGTGATTTGTGTTGATGCACATGTTTCTATCAACACTCCTGATGTGAGTCCCAGTGGGAATATCCATGGAATGCCGCTGGCTTTTGCAACGGGTCTTGCGAGGTGCCAGGAGAAAGGTATCTTTGATTGGATCCGACAGGACCACCTCATCGACATGAAGAAGCTGGTGTGTATTGGAACTCGCGATATTGATGATGAAGAGAAAACCTTGATTGAAGAAAATGAGATCAAGGTTTTTGGTATGGATGATATTCAGAGGTATGTATTTTCATCTGACTTGATGGTCGCCTGCTAATATCTTCAGACACGGGATCGACTCGATCATCACCATGGCCCTGGAGTATATTGGTGATCAGAGGTCTATCCACCTTTCTTGCGATATTGATGCTCTCGATCCTGAGTGGGCGATGAGCGCTGGACATCTCGTCCCTGGAGGATTATCTCTGCAGCAGGGGGTTTCGGTTGCTCGTCGCATTCACGAAACTGGTAATCTTGTTGCGATGGACTTGGTTGAAGTCAACCCTACCATCAATGTCGATGGAGTTGATCAGACCATCCGCTCAGCCTGTGCTCTGATCACGGGTGCTTTGGGGTTAGGTGCCTAGACTGGTCCCATGGCACTCCGATCGCGCTCCTGTAAATACTTGGATCACGGCCAAACCCTAGCCAAACAGACTGTTTCCTGTGACAAAGACACAAGGCTTCCGAAAGTGATAAAAAATTGATGATAGTGTAGAGGTAGAGGTGGGGGAAGACGAAGAGAGAGAAGAGAAGAGAAGCTCTTTCTTAGTACCCAAGTGTCCAGGGTTCAGACACAAGCTCCTTCCACCTTCTCAACGAACTGCCTGTCACCGGCCACTTTTTTCACATCTGCCAAAAAAAAAGTCTTTTCATCGACGGAAAGAATACTGTAGACATATACGATAGCGTAAATTGGTAGAAAGAAAGACGAGAAGAAGCGAAGAGGGAGAGAGAAGCTCTCATTGTCTAGACCTATCTACGCCTGGGAGGACCCTGTAAAACCAAATAAACATCGCCAAACAATTTTCTTCGGAATTTAAATTTTCACGCTTGTGGTCGAAAACTCTCTTGGTGGAACAATACTTCATCTGTCTGGGTATGTTTAGCTGGACGGGCGAAAAGGATATACGATGTCATCAATTCCAGTTCCAGGCCTTCCCGAGCTCATATTAGCTGTAAACACGCAATAAGCTCTCTATCTCTGACCAATCGCCGGTATTACCGCAGTATTTTGACTGGCACTGGCCGAAGCTTGCGGGAATCGAAACCCGGCATGAGTGCATACCCCACGATTTCTCCAGATCCCCGCATTTTCATGTATTCGAGATGATTTTACGGGGTAAAATTGGTCTTTCGCCTATGAAGGGAACTATATTTCAATCAATATAAATATCCACATCTTGAACGAGTGCCACGAATCGATATCAGATTTTCCGGTAGTAGGTGCACTACTAAGGCACTACTGAATCACAATGTCTCTCCATCAAGTGCAGGGCAAGTGGCTTCAGTACAGAATTACTGCAGCATGCGGTGCCGGCTTCCTTCTTTTTGGTTACGATCAAGGCGTATTTGGGGGACTTCTAGAAAATGAGCCCTTTCTGACCACCTTTGGAAATCCGTCTGTGACTATCCAAGGCCAGATTGTTGCGACCTATGATATCGGCTGTATCATAGGCACTCTGCTGTCTATGTTTGCGTGAGATAAGCTTGGTCGCAGACGGTCAATTCTAATCGGTTGCTGTATCCTGATTGTTGGTGGTATCCTACAAACAGCCTCATATTCTCTCGCGCAAATGATAGTCGGTCGTGTTGTTGCTGGCGTGGGGAATGGCATGAATACTATCGCGATTCCTATCTGGCAGTCAGAGACCGCCCGCGCTGAGGATCGGGGTAAGTTGATTGTTGCTCAGCTGGTGACAAATACTTTCGGCATTGTTATCACGAACGTGAGTTTTGTTTCCCGACGCTTGACAAGGATACTAAATTGGGGTAGTGGATGAATTACGGCTTCACTTTTATCCCACACTCCCCAGTGAGCTGGCGATTCCCTCTTGGCTTCCAATGTGCTTTTGCAATCGTTACTATACTATTTGTTCTCATCGCCCCAGAGTCGCCACGTTGGCTCGTCATGAAGCACCGCTCCAATGAAGCCCGCGAAATCCTCGCCCGACTCCTCGCAAAATCCATCGATGACTCGGATGTTGTGGACCAAATACAAACTTTGAAGATTGCTGTGAACCATGAGCACGAAACCCAACAAGCAAAGCCTTTACAAGAGATTTTCAAGAGAAAAAGCAAGCAGCAGACATTGCGCAGAATTCTTTTGGGCGCTGGAACTGCTTTCTTCCAACAGGTCGGTGGAACAAATGTCATTGCATACTATCTGCCCGTGGTTTTGACACGGTCAGTTGGTTTGGATAACAGAATGGCTTTGATTCTGTCAGCCGTCGACTCGATGTCACTCATGTTCTGGGGCTTTATTGCAGCCTTTCTTATCGACCGAATCGGCCGAAAGAGACTACTGCTTTTCGGAGCCGCAGGCAGCAGTCTCTGCTTTGCGCTTGTTGCTGTTGGATTACGGTACGGTGGGCCTAGTAACAAGGGTATGTCCATCCTTGCGGTTGTGTTTATCTTCGTCTACTATATCTTCTACGGCGTGTCGCTCCTATCAATCCCTTACATCTATCCTGCGGAAATCAACTCCCAAAAATGCGAAATATCGGAACTTCGTTCGCCACCACTACAAATTGGTTGTTCGTCTATGTTGTCGTTGTTGCTACTCCCACTGCAATCGAGAACATCCAGTGGAGGTATTACATGCTTTTTGCGATTTTCAACTTCTGTTTCTTGCCAATTATCTGGCATTTCTACGTTGAGACCGCGAACCTCTCACTTGAGCAGATTGATCGGCTCTTTGAAATCAAGTATGAGTCGGGAAATGCGATTAGCTGGACGGAGGCAACCATGATTGCCCGGACTGAGGTTATCTCTGATTTAGCGCGCACTGAGAAGGAAGACAAAAGCGACTCTCAGCATTATGAGAATTCGGCTTGATTCCAAGACTTGCGATAAAACTTAGAAATGTATAAGGATGACTATTAGTATCTTTTTTTTTTTTTTTTCACTGAATGTTCCTAGATGGGTTTTGTTGTGATGATGCACTTAGCACGACTAAAATTGATAAAGGAGAAGGAGACCATACTATAAGTTAGAAGTCAGTATCTTGTTAGAACGGTCCATAGTATTCCTGACGAATCCTTTCCATCTCCAGCTCTTCGGGCATTGGCTCTAGGAATTTATCAATCTCATTGACCCAGAACGAGTTCTGTGGGTTGACTTGATATGCAGTAGTGTATTCCCAATATGATGGATACCATCCAGCAGTTTCCCAATCAACAATTCCAACTATGTCATCTCTACGTGCAAGAATGTTGAGACTGCTAAGGTCGCCATGAGTAAATACCAATGGCCATGATTTGCTTTGGAGTTTGATCTCCTGAATTTCAGGTCGAAGGTTTGGATCAAATTCCCTGCCTTCGCGCAAATGCCGATGGAAGTCTTGGGTATTATCAAAAGGACCAAAACGTATCACGGAACCCGGAAGACGACAGTCATAAAGCGATCCGCCATCAACAGAAGCAATTTTGTTATCTTCCGGGGGCTGAAGATCACGTAGTTGACGAACATTCTCTGTCAATTGTAAAAGCAGTCTTGCTTTCGACTCCTCACTCCGATACACCCAGCCATGACCAATCATATCTCCCTTGATTCTCTCCATCACGATATACGTCATCCCAGAATGAGTAAATGCACATTTGACTTTCGGCACTGGGATAGATGTATGTTGCGCAATGAACTGCATTGCTGATGCTTCAGACAGATGAACGAGGCTCCCATATTTGACACATGTTCGGTCAGTCAACATAAGAACGCTCCCTTTTCGAGGTAGAATCCCCTCGAGGATTTTGATTGCTAAAAGCGTCGACCACCGATATATAGCGGTACTGTGAACTGGTTGGAATAGGCTCAAAGAAGCTGCGGATAGTGACAAAGGCCTTTTTTTGCTCGACCGCATTGTGTTTGTATTCGACCCAAGGTAGACAATGAAAGGGAAAGTTCCGAGGACTTTGTGTCCTTTTTTTTTTTTTTTTTTTTTTTTTGGCAGAAGTGGGTTTGTATTCGAGGTAAGCAACGCTAGGGGAAAAACGGACAGTATTGGAGCAGAAAGTCTTCGATGCAGAGTGACAGTAGGTTACGCGCGGCACACGAATCCCGGTTCCGAAGGGTACGGTGTATTGGAGGAGAAAGAAGAAGGGTGTCAAAATTATAGTTTGATAATATTGGTGATGTCAATGAAGATGCATGAGCATTGAGGGAAAAGTAGAGAGCTACCTGTGAAGCTACCCCTTTCTTCAGACTGATTCGAGGCGGGTGGACTTACGCTCAGACCCCAGGGCGGGGACACGCTGACTAAGCGCGATTATCGCGTCGATGTGAAAAAATAAATGACAAGAGTGGGATTTGAACCCACGCCTACAAACGTAGATCAGGAAACTGGAAACAGTTATTGAGTTAAGGTGGACCTTAACCTGACGCCTTAGACCAACTCGGCCATCTTGCCAATCAGATGACTAATCACATTTCGTTAGTTGTATAAGACTCGCACTCATCCAACGACTACTTTCTCATCGCGAATTTTGGCGCCGACTTCGAGTAGCAATACAGAGTCTGTATACCAAGTATCAATAAATTGTAGGGGTCAAAAGCAATGGCAGGGATTCATGGCGCCATCGAAGACAAGGGACGCAGTATCATATAATCCATGGATGCCATGTATTGTGGGACACAAGGGAGAGGGAGGGGGAGGGGGAGGGGGGGAAAGAGCGCGCGAGAAGCTCTAACTATCACTCGCACTAAGTCTGTGTGATAGATCAACTCTGTCAGAATGATGTAGGAGTCAGTACCTTGAAAGATACCGCGTCAAATAGGATTGACTCCTTCCATACTCTCTTGGCCATTGCGTATTTTGAAATTTGTACTCATGCAGTGCATATAGCGGCGTATCTTTCAATTCGGGATACAAAGAAAAATAGATTTCTATCATATTCCTTTACGATGATTAGTGTAACACGGACGTAGCGTACGGAGTAAGGTCCCACTCATCATATGTACGGAGTACTCCGTATGCCTAGCAAACTAAGGCGCCCCCAACGAAGTCTAATTGATCCAAGTATTTAAATTACTGATCCTCTGGATAAATGAACAGGTGTACCCTTTTTCGTTTGCCTTGTGAATATAAAAAGCCCTGGCGAGACCCTACTAATGAGTTAATCTTCTAATATAAGGTGTCTCATACTCCCATGGATCACTCCCAATAAATAACAGCACCCGTTGCCCCCTTTGCTTAGAACCACGGCCCCGGGGGTGGATGATTGATGATTCTACGAGTAATACAAGTTTTCGCCAAATAGATGCGCCAAGGTTTAATTTTCTTATCGTAAACCCTTCGGACCACATAAAATCAATCTAAACGATCTTATCTATATCTGAAGATCTACAGCTTATACAACTGAAGAACGGCTTGGCATTAATAACACACCTTGTAAAAATGCTTGGCAAACCACTCCACCACACGTCTCCATCCTAAACTCTCCAAGGCCCGTTAAATCACAATGCTGGACTTTATCAAACGCGCCCTGCGCAGTCCGGCGCCAAAATTGTACGGCCTTGACCATGCCATTCTCAATGTCGAATTCCCGCCACAGACCATGTGGATGAACATGGGGTACTGGGAGGCAAGTCAACCACACCCAATCAAAAATAAATAAAACTAACAATACACACAGCATACCAACAACTTCCCAGAGGCATGCGAAGCACTGTTGGAGCAGGTATTGACAGCAGCTCTCTCAAAAGAAACAAAATCCATCAAAATTCTAGATGTCGGCTGTGGCTGCGGTGATCAATCATTATATCTTCTGGAAACGCTAGGCAGCCAAAATGCCAAGAATGAAGAGCCCTCACATCTTCAAAGTCAAGACCCAAATCAAAATTTCCGCCACCGCTCGACAAATAAATCTCTCCCCATTTTAACGTCTTATCTGGGCATAACACTAGAACCCGCCCAAGCCGGCCTCGCAAAAAGCCGAATCAATCAATCGAACCCCTCAATCCCAGCAAAGATTTTCTGTGGGAATGCATCAATCCCCTCGAACTGGCCCGCAGAGCTATCTTCCCTGGTCAACACGAGCAATGATTCAAAAGACGAATCAACTTGGCTCCTGGCTCTGGACACATTATATCACTTCCGACCTTCGCGCGTTCCTCTCTTGGCCCATGCGGTTACTTTACAAGCCTCGTTCATGGCTTTTGATCTTTTGATTGGGGAGAGTGTGACTTGGTGGGAAAAGCTATTACTGCGGATCGTGTGTCTGGGGACAAATGCGCCGTTTGGGAATTTCATCACTGAGAAAGAGTACGTAGATATGCTTGTTGCGGCTGGGTATGAGAGGGATAAGATTGAGGTGAGGGATGTGAGTAAATTTGTTTTTGCGGGACTGGCGGGTTTTTTGGGTGTGAGGAAGGAGTACGGAATGCCTATGGGGAAGTTTGGGATGGCGAGACGGGTTTTCGACTGGTGGGCTGTTAGGGGGGTTGTTAGAGGAGCTGTGGTTGTTGCTAGGGTGTAGGTTGGAATCGTGTGACTTGAGATGGTTTTGAGGCTTGTTGCTAGGAGGATCACTCTGTGTGCCCACGTGTTATGGAGGAGACAGTGGTCAGAATAAGATATCAGCGAAATATCCATATGCCAGTGGCCAAGAGCGGTCACAATAAACATAGGGCACTGAATGGGAGGCATGGATATAGATAACCTTTGGTTTTTAGTAAAATAAAGCTGTACATATTTCCTTCCCGTCCTAAGTCTAGCACATACGACCATAGGGTGTGGAGAACAGGGCTTCCCGTCCGCTCAGCCGTACTTAAGCCACACGCTAGTGAGTTAGTAGTTGGGTGGGTGATCACCAGCGAATCCTCACTATTGTATGTTTTTATTTTTTCAACTTTGTTCTTTGTCTTCTTCCCTTTCTTCTCCCCTCTGTTTAAAAAACCATCGTCAAAAAATGCAAGGGGTTGGGCCTATCTGTGCTCTACTTTATGGTCTAGTGAGAACGGGCTGATCTACAGAGAAACACGAATCGCTTCAAAACTGTAGATTCAGACTCTCGAGGCAAGAAGGCCGACCGGGGAAAAGAAAGGAGAGAGAGAGCTATCTAGCCAAAGGGGGTCATCTGAAGTCCCAACAGTACCCTGTTTGGATAGTTGTGGGATGTATACCTTTTTGTCGGCCGCAGTGGGTGCCAGGTTTGTCAGGCTCCTCGCAACGATCAAATGTCACAAAATCTCAAGCACTTAATAAATTTGCCAAAACCAATCACTCTATATTGAGGCGTAATCGGAGCCCCAAGAAAGACTCTAAATACGAATCCTAGCATATCCATACCGACACCCATCATGAAGTCTCGAGTCCGTGTTCCCATCCGCAGCATCGTATAGCCCATTATCAATGCCCTCGATGTCCAAAGGGATCTCACATCTTTTGAACCCGATCAGCGGACGACGTACTCGAACTGATTTTCCCATCTCATCTGATCTTATCCGCTCGGTGTAGATTGATGGGTGTATGGCGATGAGTAGTCCGCATGTTATGGCGAACCCGGCCCAGAGACATATTTGGCCGACTTTTGGGAGGTAGTCGGTTATCCAGGCGAAAGTGAATGATCCAACAAATATGTATGAGTAGAAGAATGGTTTGTAGCATGGGATTGAGTAGTATATGTTATATGGTTTTCGGGGGCGCTCGTCGTCCTGGGAGCTGTTTGAGAGTAGGCGAGTGTTGCTTGACATTGTGAAAATCTGGGCAGATGGATGCAAGAATGCCAATATACCGATAAGAGAGAGGAAAGAGAAAGAGAGAGGAGTTGGAGGTTGATTCAAAGAACGAGGTGGGGCAGTGATCAACATAAGGGGGCCAGTCCACTGCAAAATCTTCAGCCCCAAGGATCATATTCTCCACCCACCTGTTACAATATGATTCCATGCTAAATAAAATCGCGCACTTTGGGCTTCTCCTGTCCCCACGGGTCCTGAGTTCAGCCCCAACATATATACATATACACTGTTGTTACTACTCTTGATTATCCAAGACATGGTCGGGGCCCCGGGGTCGGTGATATCATATCATATGCAATGCAACGCTTTTCAAGTGGTCCAGACGAGACAAGCCATGAGCTAGGCTATATTGTGAATTTGTTCCTGTCTGGGCCATTATCTCATTGGTGTTTCAGACAAGGCTCATTCAATCCCGTGGGCTTCCTCGAGTCCGCTGGCCCTCAGTACAGCGTACATGGAAAGTCTATGGGCAACCATTAGCACAAATCTTGGCCCCCATCACAAATCAGGCTCCAGGAAGACTTCTCGACTGAGGAGCATACAATGCATAGATAATGAAGACGGGGGCCAAAGTAAACTTATAAAAGGTCCCTCTCGAATGCGTCTGTTCACTCAAAGAGAAATCATATCCTCTCTATCTTTACCTCAGCAGCCATGGTCCACATCTTCCGAGCCTGGATTGCTCTCACGAGCCTGAGTCTCGTCGTGGCCGACACCAAATGGACCCCAGACGATTTTGACTGGGACGGTTTCACTTGCAACGACACTGTCGCAAGTGGCCTTTGGATGAACAGACATGAGGCTCCATCGACCACAGATCTCGCGCTGCTCCCAGATCATCATCCCACCAAAGTCGACTCTGTCGGAGTCGCACAGGTTGCTGTCGTGGCTGCACTTGGGTGGGCCTGGAGAGCAGCTAGTGTTGCCGCTGTCGGTATCGGCTTGAAGAATACCATACATTCCTGCAAGCAGACTGCTGACGGTGATGCTGGCTGGGGTCCCTGTCTTGAAGGCCTCTTCACTACCGTAGTTGGCTTCGGTGGTGCTGCTTCTGCTGAGAAGAAACTTCTTCATAGGGGTGGTCGGTTGCTCATGCCTAATCGGTTCCTTGCGGATGGTACTGTGGACTTGGTGAGCTTTTCTCGTCTAATATGAGTATGAATATCAAAAACTAAATTGGTTAACAACAGGAAATGAACGTCCTCACCAGACGTGAGATCGACGCCCAGAACAACCACGACGATTTCGTTTTCCATCACATTCGGAGCCTTTCCTCTCGTGATCCTGAATTTCTCGGATACGCAAAGGATGACCATCGTCTCGCGAAGAAGGACTTTGGTCACCACCCTCTTGTGCCGATGTTTCGATTCGATCACTTCAAGCATGGCAGCATGGAAATGACTACCCGTGACACTATGAACGGTACCTTCATCACTGCTGCCTATACGGGCCATCCCACTCATCTGCTGGGCCGTCGTCAGATTGAGGATCTCAAGACCCTTATGAAGCGTGATGAAGTTTATGACAAGGAGGTGCTGGATAGCGGGGTTATTGAGGCCCGATTCGACGCTGATGCGTCTCAAGCTGACTCTGCCTCCATCACCGCTGATGCTGGAACCCTTTTCAACACCTTCGAGCCCGAAGTTAGCTGCTTCATGGGCGGTAATGTGAAGGATAACAGTGTCCTAGATGTCCAGATGTATGACACGACCAACAAGGGCACATTTGGCTTTGGTATGTTTTCAACCTTGGAATCTTGTCCATTTCTCCCGAGGTCTTGAGTTTTGCTGACGTATTTAGGCACGATTGGAGTGTACAACAACAACGATGATGCGCATTCCGTTGAAGACATGGAGCCCACGGGAATGCCATTGAGCCAATGCAAGTAAGCATGCGTTGAGAACAGGATTTTTGATATGTCGAATAGATGGAGATCTCTGTGCATACTCGTTCAGAACCTTGGAATAGTAAGGGAAATGCATTTCTGATGCGGACATCTTAAGAAGTAATTCTTAACAGCTGTCCGATATGGTGTAAGTCGAGGTAACAGTGAAAATGCCACGGATTCATGTGGTTTTGAGCATCGAAAACTTGGTCTTAAATACCTATTCAACCACACGCGGGTGAGCTGATATTCAGGCGCGTGACCATGAGCGAATCCTCACATGTTTTTGTGTTTGTTTTTCGTCGGGTTTACGGACAATCCAGGCACCTTCAGGCATCAAATCCCGAAAAAAATCAGCCTGTAGAATCAGGTATCAAGATGTCAGGCATTATGTAATCGCCAAGACTGCCCATAGTTATTGGGAGCTGAGGGGGTGACTCTGGGACAATGAATTCATTTTCAAGTGATGAGAGACAAATGCGACAAGAAAAGACAAAAACATACAACAGTGAGGATTCGCTGGTGGTCACCCACCCAACTACTAACTCACCGGCGTGTGGCTTAAGTACGGCTGAGCGGACGGGAAGCCCTGTTCTCCACACCCTGTGGTCGTATGTGCTTGAAGTTTTACTCAAAAGTAATTTATACGGCCATATTTTCTATAAGATCAAAATAGATCTATATCCACCACCAGTACTCCGTACATCCTAAGCAGTGCTGTGGATTTCTAAGATTCGCCTAATTTGAAGAAAAGGAAGCACCGCTTTAAGCTTGGAAGATCATGCGACCGGGTCGAAAGAATTGGGCACGCCATACGCAGTAAACAGGCTGATACGTATCCATCAAGGACCTAGGTAACTTGCTTATCCTGACGATTTCACGGCCGCATTGTGTTCGCGTGGTCATGAGACTATCAGAGCTACCCGTGGGGCTCCTTTACTCCATGAGCTCACATTTGGTAAAACATATGGATTTCAATTCGCTTGTTAGGGCTAGAGAAATATCATACTGAAGATAAACCGATTTTCATCACAGGATAGAAGCGGGCAGCCCTCGCAATCAAGTAAAATCAGCGTATACCGCCTTTTCAAACGTGCTTGTCAACTCCTCGAACCTGGGGTCAGCCTGTGAGATAACCTGCGTAAAAGTAGTCGCGCCCACGCCCTTGGTTCGGTCAATCCACCAGAACATATTCGGCCGTCCAGCCCATTGAATGGTGCCAGCAGAGCGCTTTCCAGGGATAGCATCCCTATACAACGGGCCACCTAGCGCGATCTCAATGCGTCCTGCATCCATATCAACTGTGGAGCGAAGGGATGCGCGAAGCGGACCATTCAGCATATCCTGCAGATCACTCGAGCCGTCAGTTTGCGATTTGAAGATCTCGTCGATACTGGTCTTGGATAAAATTGAACCTCCGTCGGCGAGGATCATGCTAACGAGCTTCGACCAGTCGTGGGGAGTCGACCATAGGCCGTGGCCGCCGCAATCGTGACTCGCTGGAATGTGTGAGAGCCAGTCGCCGCGTTCCAGGCCGAGGTCGTCGGTGCGCTCGTACAGGGCTACGAGCCTGTCCATCATGCCGGGATGGTTCTCAGGATGGAAGCTTGTTGAGGTCATACCAAGTGGATCCCAGAGATTCACTCGCATGAATTCTTCAAGGGTGGTGTTATTTATCCTTGCGATGGCCTCGCCTGCCCAGTCAGTACCGGAACCGTACATCCATCCTTCACCGGGCTCGAAGAGAAGAGGGAATGTTTTCATGACTTCCTGTGTGGGAAGATCGCGTTAGTTGTAGCTCCAAAAATTTGATGTATATAGAAGGAGGGAATGACTTACAAAGTCACAGTCGAATACACTATTTGTCTTGCCATTCTGCCTCGCCCATCTCGCCAACGGAGGAGTCGAGTGGTAGCCACATCCACTCTGGTGGCTCATTAGCAGTCGCAGCGTGATTGTCTTTGTTCGGGGTTTTGTCAGGCTTCGACCCTCGGAATCAACACCATCGAGAACGGGGAGAGCGCATAGATCCGGTAAGATCGGCGCTACGTCATCATCAAGGGAGATCTGCCCCCGCTCGACAGAAATCATGATAGCGACAGTCGTCATGAGCTTTGAGAGAGAAGCCATCCCATAGACTGAGTCAAAGTCGACTTTGATGTCGGACTCTTGGGACAAAGTGCCTTCAGATAGTGAGTAGAGTTGGTCACCTGTGGGAAAGTTAGCATACGTATCCAACAAGCCTACCTAGCCGGGGTCATCCTGTGTTGAATACGCACCTTGGCCGTTTACAACAGAACACACATAAGAGTGCATGACGGGCTTTGGATCGACGATCGCTCTTCTGACTGCCTGGGAAAACTTGTCCATCTCAGATGAGGTTGCAATATCAACCACGCCATTGGAGCTAGTCATACGGCCACTCTCGGTATGCCCATTGGTTGCATGGGATCCATTAGTTGCATGAGATCCATTAGTTGTAAGAGCTCGGTTGGATTTGGCCTCGGATGTACCATTCACCACTAACTGAGGCTCTTCTGCTTCCGCTGCGGTCTTTGGTTTCATGAGGGTGTCAAAGATAGTCCCAGAAAGACTCTTTGGCGTGCAAGAAGGAGCCAACAGTTGAAGGAACGACATTCCAACACCAAACTTCTGACTCAACCAGTGGATCAGCTCACTACCGGACATACTATCGATGCCAAAGTGTGAGAAGGGGCGACTGATGTCGATTTCCTCCACTGGCATAAACATCAGCTTAGCAAGGCGCTTCGAGACCGCCTCAGCTAGTACAATGACAGCCTTGTCACGATCTTCCGGGATGTTCGAGATAAGAAGGTCGTCTCCGCTGGCATCAGCTACAATGCCGCCGATGTTGCTAGCCGATTTGCGCGACTCTAAGGTCGTGACCAGGAGCGCCGAGCGGCGATCCTGTTCAATGCGTGTGACCTGCACCATGCTGAGGTCATGCTTGGAGTACTCGACACCAGTGACGATGTGGCCCTGTGTGAGGATGTCGAAATGCTTTGAAACGGGCTGAGGGTATGTGAATCGTTCGAAATGTCTGATAAACTCTGACTCCTCGGCTTCAATCAGACCAGAGCGCATCAAATGTTCGGCGTACTCGGGCTTTCGGTTCAGCGTGCCAACGCCCTTGATTGGTCCCAATGAAACTGTAGTCACTGGAAGACCCATGCTGATTCGCCGGCGTGCCAGGTTGTCCAGCACAGCGTTGGATGCGGCATAATTGGACTGCGAAATGTGACCCACGTATGTCACTGTAGAGCTGGTCATGAAGAAGAAGTCGAGATCTGCGTTGACGTTGATGGTGGCATTGTGGAGGTTGAGAGCACCGTGAACTTTGGGACGGACGGCAGTATTGAATTGCTCAAGGGTCATAGACTCAAAGAACGCGTCCTAGAAATTTATCAGGTTAGTGACTCTCGGATGTCGTATCTTTGAAAATGAAAGTGCCAGCTCACCTGTAGCACCATCGCTGCGTGCACGACTCCCTTGAGAGGTCCCATTGAAAGCGCCTGCGTCACAGCTCGCTCAACATCATCCATCTTTGATACATCGCCCTGGATCGTCACCACATTCACGCCGCTTTCACGGGCCCTTTTGCAAAACGAAGCAATTTCTGGGTTACTCTCGCTTGATCTTCCCAAAAAGACAAGGTTTTTGGCGCCTCGTTCGATCATGGAGTCAGCCATGCTGTGACCAAGCCCACCATGGCATCCCACCATCAGGTAAGAGTTATTGCCGTTGATACCGTGAGGCCGGAGAGCGCCCTTCAACATTACCTTGTTAGAGGTTGGACTGTAAGTGAGTACCACCTTGCCGATGTGTTGCCCTTGTCCAAAGTACCGAAGAGCCTTTTCCATCTCGGTTATGTGGAAAGTGCTGTCTAGCCTGATAGGTTGAAGCTTACCCTTTCGGAAGAGCTTCATAGTGTCGGCCAGAAGCCTGTCCATAGATATCAGTAAGTTCTCCACATGTGACTCAGTGATAGGATTTCATTCCTCCTTACCTTTCTGCAAGCTTCGGCTTCTGCTCCAGGACAAAGTTGAGATCAAAGGAGAAGAGACTGATGCTCTGGCCAAAGGCATGCAGTCCCATATTTCCCTTGTCCAGGACGTTGCCACGCCCAACATCAACTAATCTTCCACAAGGTGCCAGGCAGCTCAAGGTTGAGTGGAATCCAGGACCAGATATCGTCGACAGAATGACATCGACACCGCGTCCTTCCGTTTGTTTGAGCAGATCGTCCTTGAACTGCAACGTTCGGGACCAGAAGATGTGATCTGCGGGAATACCGCACTCAGAGATCAGATAATCCTTCTTTCGTTGGGTTCCGACTGTGGCATAGATTTCGGCTCCCACAAATTTGGCGTACTGAATGGCTGCCAAGCCTAATCCACCGGTAGCCGCCTGAATAAATACCGTTTCGCCGGTCTCTAGGCGTGCCAGGTAGTCCAGCGCGTACCGTGCAGTTCCATGGGCAATACCGACAGTAGCCATCTCGATGAGATCGGCATCCTGGTCAAGTCGGATACATTTCTGTGCGGGGCTGCGAAGGAACGTGTCATAGTATCCACGTTCTAGGCAGATGACCTTGTCTCCAGGGCGAATGTGGGTGACATTGTCTCCGACACAAGAAACGATGCCCGTACTCTCATTGCTCGACTTGACACTTTCAAAATTGCCCATAGCAATGACATAATCCTATGATAATTGATTTTGTAAGTTTTTGCTTTGTAAAAAATGCAGCAAACCTACCTTCATGTTCAGTCCAACCGCCTTCACCTCGATCTCAACCTCATCCGCTTCAAGATCAATGTCGCAGCTCGGCGTTTCTCGGAAATAAACTGTGTCCAAAAGACCAGGAGTTTCGAGCGCAAGTTGGACATTACCAGAAGTGGGGAAGTCCTGCTCAGCTCTGCCCGCTCCAGTGTCGAGTGTGAACTCCTCATTCAGCTCCATGTCGGGGACTACACGACTGATATGGAGGATGTTGTCTTTGAGCAGGAAGTCCGTTTCACATTTTGCTCTTGACGAAGCTGTTCCGATTTCAATGCATACTTCAGTGATGAAGTTCGCGATATTCGGTGCGTTTGCGTCATCGATATCGAGAGTAGCAAATTTGAGATTGTTAGTGGAGAATTCATTCATCAGCACGGTATTGATGCCATGTGCCATTGCGAGGGCCGGCCTCTTGCCTGCCATCAAATCGCCTCCTGTCACCCATAAGATGCTTGATGCCGATGAGACGAGCTGCTGCAGGCCGGCAAACTGCTCCGGTCGCATGTCCATGAGTACGGGGTCTGAGATCTCTTCGAGCACGATATACATATTTTTGCTGCCAGCAACCAGATCCACAGATGAGATTGATGGCAGATCGCAATGTATGATACCGTTTTGAGCGAGATTTCCTTGCTTGGTGATCTGGTCATCGACAGCTCGTGCTAGCTCGTATTGGGCTGTGGAATGCACCTGTAGAGACGTCAATAAAGAAAACTACTGGTATGCGGGAATCCGCTGAGAGACACATGGAAAAGATGAGTGGGAAAAAAACTTACAATGAAAACTTGATCGATGCTTGTCGCGAGAAGACTTTTCGACGAGTCGTCCAGTAAACTAGCCACCATGACACTTTCCAAAGCCAAGGGCTCGGGGAAGTCGGTTAAAACCATGTCCAAGCCAGTGAATCCAGAGCTCTTGAGCTGTTGCTCCCAAGATTGGAGGGACCGGAAAGGTCCCAGCGGCCGATCAGCATCGACATCATCGAGACACTCCCAGAAGCTAGGCAATGTGCCAAAGGCAAATTGAACGGGAGTCAGACTACCTGTTTGCGTGATCTCCAGCATGACAAGCTTGCCACCTGGTCTGAGCAGGCGGCTGCAGTTCCGCAGCAGTTGGTCGGTATTTCCAGGGGCATGCATCACATTGGACGCTAGAATGAGGTCGTACTGGCCAAGTTCAAAGCCTTGCGCAACGACATCAACCGACAAATCAAAGGTCTTGTAGATCATAGTCGGGTAGGCACTGAAGAGGTCCTCGGCCTTTTCGAAGAAAGCCGGTGAGATGTCAGTGAAGGTATAGTCATGATAACGCTTGGCGTGGTGGCCAGGCATGTCCCGATCGTAGGCATTGAGTACGTCAAGAGCAATGCTGGTACAGCTACCTGTGCCTGCCCCGACCTCCAACACTCGCATGGAAGGATTTTTATGTGCGAGGATGTCTACCACCGATGCCAGATTCTTGCGTGCTGCATCATGGATGGAGCCGTCGGCATATACGCGAGCCAGGATCTCAGCCTTGACCGCGAGATCAATTCCTGCCACCGTGCCGTTGAGAATCTCACGCATGTTCTTGTAGACAATGGCGTTGAACTCCAACTGGGGGAAGTCTTCCGGCAATTCAGACAGAAGCTCCTCAACCCGCCTCTGTCGCTGCTCGGGATTGAGGCTTGTGGCATTTGGCTCACACAGTATCATGCGACCGGCTGTTGCTTCAGTCTTCACGTGGCGCATCCAATTGTAGAACCCATGAACCCATTTCAGCGACGGGTCCGTTGGGAGTTCATCCTGATCCATAACCTCGAGAGCCCCACAAACATAGAGAACAGTTACTGTCTCCAGCCGCGTTCGAATGTTGTAGACCTCGTCCAAGTAAGCCCTTCCGGACAGCGATTTGAAATCGCTATGATACAGGCGATGAGCCCCATCTGTATCCAAAAAGGCAACGTCTGGCTTCCACTGCATGCGGTAATATGGCTCTCGTCCACCTTCTTTGTTCATCTTTTCTTGACTGCCTTGGTTTTCAAACTGTCGCCATTTCACATTCTTTGCTGCGATGATCTCGAAGCCGCTTTCTGTGGTGAGCGTTGAGTGAGACCCGCCGCTTCGGGCACCTTCGGTCCAAGCAACACTATCGATGAAGCCTGTTTGATTCTTTGCCCACGATGAAGGGCTGATTGTCATCTCTTCAATGAAGACAGGAATTTGAGTGGCGGCCTCACGGTCTGCGCGACTGGTGTACACCGACGCGACTCGGCCCTGAAGTACAGCGTCAATCGTCAGAGGGTGAATGGCGTACCGAGACTCATATGGGGTGGTCCTTTCGGCAGTTTTGAGAATTGGTGCTCGGGCGCGGGCGCGGGACGCATGAGGAAGAACCTCAATCTCATCAATCACGCGAAACAGAGGTCCGAAATCAAAACCACGGTACTTCAGTCGCTCATACCAGGCATCTTTGCCAAAGCTCTGCTCGAAGACTGGCTCGTCAGTCTCGTTGTTGAAAACAGACTTTTTGGTCTTCTCTCCCCGAGCCATTTCGAAAGAAACAATGCCTTGTGCATGTTCGGTCCACTTGTCCTCTGCAACAGAGCAGATCCGGAACTCAAACCGGTTGGATGCTGCGGATGCATCGGTAGGCCGTAGGTTGGTCATTAAATCGGCAGTCCCACTGGAGGGAAGCACCAGCGCTGACTTGATCGTGACAGTTTGAAGATGGAACTTGGCATCCTCAAAGTCAAATACTGGGCTACCGAGCGCTGTATCTTCGGCAAACTGGGCCGCCGCTTCCACGGCCATGGCGAGATAGGCCGCACCGGGCACAATAATAGCACTTCCAATGACATGATCTTTGATCCATGGGACATCATCCAAGCGAAGATAATTTCTCCAAACCGGCTCCATTCGGTTTCCTCCAGGAAGTCGACTGCCAATCAGATCATGACGAGGATGAGAGGCAAACTTGTAGTCCTGAGTAGAGCGCGTAACGATCAATGGCTGTGGAGTTTCATGATTCCACGAGTACTTGGGCAGATCAATGATGACATTGGACGGGCGATAGACAGTGTGCCCGTTCACATGGAGCAGGTTGATGGTACAGCCCTTCAGGAACAGACTTTTCGCAAGTCGCATCATGTCATCCTCGGCGTCGTGTCCACGCTCGAGCGTCTGCTCATAACTCACTTTGGGCGCGGTTCCCAGACTTGCATTCCAGATCTCTGTGACTTCGGGTGATGAGATGATCTGTTTAATAGGGCCCTTGAGTCCGCTGTGGGGCTAGAATAAAATATAATATGTTAGTTAGAAGTCAGATCGGAACGGAAAGGTTTTCATACCCCAATTTCAATAACACAATCGACGTGACGTTTGTCTGGGCCGAACGTCAGACCAAGGAATTTGGTCATGGCGCCATGGAAAAGAACGGGACTTTCCAGGTTCTTCTGCCAGTAGCTCCCATTAACATCCCCTGGTTGAAGATGCGCCAGTGTCACCGATGATATCATCACGGGCATAGGCGTCGTTTGGTCGCCATTTGAAAGTGCCACGATTCCGCTTCTAGACCGCGCGGTAGCCTCGACGATGGCTTCACTGTATCCGGATCCGACTTCCTTCATGCTCGGAGAGTGATAGGCCTTTCCACCAGTCGGTAATTTCTTGCACAATATTTCGCGTTGCTTACATATCTTGTGCAAAAGATCCATAGGCTCAGACTTGCCGCTAAGCGTGACGCTGTTTGGAGAGTTGATGCATGCAACAACAGCATCTGTTGAGGAAACACCGCTTTCAAATAGAAGTTTCTCGGCGTCCTCCGCACCCAAAGCCACTGCCATCATGGCGCCTGGTGCCTGGGTGAGCGTGGCATGTACGCCTCTCAGATAAGCAGATATTATGGCATCTTCGGCAGTGATCAGTTTCGCCGCATAAGCAGCTGCGAGTTCACCCGATGAATGTCCAATAGTGGCTTCGGGTGTCACTCCCCACTCATGTAGCAGATCCACAATTGCAATTTGCACAGCGGTGCAAACAGGCTGTGAGAAAGAAACTTCTCCGATCTTGCTTGTTTCTTCTGGCTCGAAGAGGATTTCTATAAAACGCAGGGTTTAGTACTCATTGAATCAAATGTGTGGACTGAGAGCATGAGGAGGACAGACTGACCTTCAATGGTCCATGTTGGGCTCTGCTTCAAGTTCGACAAAGCCAGGTTCAATTTCTTGAACGTTCGTCGCACTGAGGGGTAACAACTTAACAGCTGACGACCCATCCCCGCCCATTGAACACCTTGCCCGGTGAAAGCAAAAGCCACGACAGGGGTCCTGCTATTCGCACGACCAACCATTTGTTCACCAAAGGTCACCATATCCTTGCCGCAAACCTCGGCTTGGATGATAGCACGGTGAGGGAAGTGCGTACGACGAGCAATCATTGTATACAATAGTTCATGGAAGTCGTGGGTCTGACGATCTAGCACTGCCATCAAGCTCTCCACGTTCTTCTGCATAGAGTATTCGTCATGCCCTGTGATAGGTAATAAGAATTTCTTCTGTGTGATAGTGTCGTAGGGATTGATGGACGGCGTCTCGTGGTAGGGGTTGGCCATGCCGATGCTCTTGAAATAATCATCTACGCCGTCAATGACGACGTGCCCGTTGGCTCCACCATATCCCGACGAATTAACAGATGTGCGTCTTGCTTTCCTCTCCGGCCAGGGAGTGTTCTTCGTAACAACCGCTAGGGCACCTCCTTTTAGGTCCACTATCGCGAGATTGTATAAGCGTCAGCCATGTTTCCAGTACCTTAAGACTAGCTCGGTTTTAGCAATGGTATGTACTCACACGCAGGGTTAAGTTTCTTGACACCTATTGTCCCTGGTATCACTCCGTTCTCCATTGCCAGTACCACCTTCATGATGCTGGTTATGGCAGAACATGCCTCACCATGGCCGACTTGTGGTTTGGTAGACCCGATATATAAAGGGTCATGCCACTCACGGTGGCTGCCAAACACGTTTCCGACCGCGACTGTCTCGATCGGATCACCTGCAGGAGTTCCAGTACCATGGAACTCTACATAGCCAACTGAGGCGTAGTCTAGAGGACCCGAGTGTTCGTATGCCTTCCGGATAGACATTTCCTGGGCCATAGCGCTGGGGAAAGTAATGCCGTTGTTTTTTCCATTGCTATATGGCAAGTGTAGTTAGACTTCATGCGAATCTAGTAAGGAAGAAACATTGCGTGTGTAGAAATATAGATTAATAACTTACGCAGTCAGAGACGATCCTCGAATAACTCCACGAATAGGGTCTCCGTCTCTAATGGCATCCGAAACTCGCTTCAGGTATAGGACGTTGATGGCTTCTCCTCGAGAGTAACCATCTGCAGATTCATCAAATGCGTGACACTGCGCTGTTGGAGAAAGAGCTCCAATCTGCCCGATGGCAAAATGATACTCAAGTGTGAGAATCAAGTTGACACCACCGACAAATGCGGCAGGGATTTCGCCGTTGCGTAGTGCTTGTACTGCGAAATGGAGTGCATACAGTGTTGAGGAGCAGGCCGTGTCCATAGTCACGCTGGGAAAGAGAATTAGTTGGTGAGGCTCGAAATCACTTGAATCTTGATAATAAAACGGCACCCAAGGTAGTGCGTATACCAGGGGAAGTCCGTTATCACTTACCTCGGCCCGTGAAGATTGTACATGTAGCTGACACGATTGCTCACGGTCGTCCGACCCATTCCCAGAACGGCCATGCCCTCAATCCTTTCGGGTTCTTTGAACGCGAGAGTCTCATAGTCGCTCGCAAAATTGCCAACGTAGACTCCAGTCATGGTGTCAGAGACATCTTCGAGAGTGACGCCACCAGATTCTAGACATTCAAAGCAGCATTCAAGCAACTGACGTTGTTGGGGATCGAGGGATAGGACATCCGCAGCATTCATGCCGAAGAATCCCCCGTCAAAATCCTCAAGATCGTTTGAGATACAGTAGCCCTCTGTGTATCGTATGTTTCCCGGTCGTCCCTTCTGGGGGTTATAGAAGGCATCGGCATTGAAGCGGCTCGCCGGAAAGGGGCCTCGTGCAAGCTTCTGGCTCATCAAAAGGTCCCAAAATGATTTGGGGTCTTGAACGTCTCCAGGCAGCCGACATGCTGGTTGAGATGTTAGCAAGTGACGGAGAAGCAGAAGGGTATGGGAATTCAAGTAGTGTCATAGAGGAGGAGAGAAGGCAGCGGGAGAGAGGGAAGCTCTCTCATGTACATCCCGGAGCCGCGGGGAGCCTGACAAACCAGGCAAAATCCCGGAGAAGAATAAATGATGAACTTACCCATTCCAACGATAGCAATACCCTCATCTTGCTGTTGGTCCATCTTCTTATGTGTAAGAACACCACCAGATACCAAGTGCAGGATTGAGCGCAGATGAATAGAATTGAACTTTCGGATGTGTCAAATGAAAAGGCAAGAGGTTGAAACTTGGAAAGAACGAACTATGTGAGATTGACTCTCCCTTTTAAATCATTTCTCTTCTTATATTACATACAATGCACTTTTGGGGGCGGCTACTGAGCGACCACGATTTGTTAGCTATTCCCATGAAGGAGGATGACTGTATTGACTAACTAACTCGATAATATCCAATTTTGTCCCGGCACCGGCCTGGACCTTGGGAGCACTGGCGCACCCTGACCATAGTACGCCACTTATTACACCTCCAGCGCTAGCAATAGGGAACTGAGAGATATCTCGGGGTTTGTCTCTGCCTTAGCACATTGCATGATAACGATAGGAGCTGATACTACCCTACGTGAGTCTATTTTACGCACGAGGCTGCCCCAGCGATTGGCTCTGGAGGTGAGGCTCGACACTTCTTGGTACCTCAGACGGGCTTCCGCCGGAATGCAGGCACTGCAGGCACACTTGATAATTGGCCATTTGATTCGGAGGGACAAGGCTGCATAGCCCTGGCATTTAACACGTCAGGAAAGTCTGCTGATGTTTATCGCCCATAGTCCGGTGGTTTTTCCGTGCCCAGGAGCGTAATCATATATCCTGGCCAAGAAGATAACCAGTGAGTCGTAAGACTTGGCTCTTGTGATTCTTCTCAACCTCTTTCTGAAAATGATTCTCTCTGAAAATAATACTCAATGCCTTTAAATCTTTCTTTTTCTTCTTTTGCGCCTTTTTCTCCTTTCTCAGCATCCCATTTCATTGCCCGATAACTATACCTCGGAAAGAACGAATTGTTTGCAGAGTTCGAGTAAGACGTCGTGAGGGGGTTATCGTATCAAGTAGTACTAAGCACTAAGTAGCATTGCATCCGGTCACATCCGAATCAGTTCAAATCCCTTTTAGTCTATTCTATTTGAGTATCTACTCTCTATTTTCACAGCTGTTTGCCCCGTCCACATTATCTGGGCGTTCTAGATGGAACTCCACAGTGGTCGCTAATGGGGTAAGCGTGCCGCTTTCTGGCTGCGTGGCAGCAAACAATGGCATTTATACGAGACAGCCACTCAGCGGTTGCTGACGGGCCGCCTACTAGTTGCATATGCACGACAGATCCTTCAACAGCCAACCTCTAGGACAGAAGAAACTTGGGTACCATGATACACTGCCATACAGTTAAATACACGTAAGACGACTCTTTCGTTTCACGATACCGACAATGCTAACTTCACACGTGTACTATCGACAGGCATTTATTGGGCATAAATTTATTGTTGATATTGTACTCGAATGAAACCGAATGCTGAATGGCGAACACTCCGCTTGACCTTTCAAGCGACGAGTACCGAGGTGATCAACGAAGGTAGGAATTTGGATTGAAGAATGCTTTAATTAATTTGACTGCGGGGTTGTAGGAAACCCTGGTAGTCCGTACCGCGAGGTCCAGGACAAAGTACGTACACATTTTCAAGTAGTGTTTTCGAGCAATGTTGAACTATAGCCGAACTATTTAGCAGGACCTATCGACTGTTCATATGTGCCATTTTTCTTCTAATTCAACCCTGCCCAACTTCTCCACGCTCAGGGCAATGAGAGAGTATCATGGCTTTTCCTGGTGGTAACCTGTTGTCCCTTGATCTAGATCCTAAAACATTCATTGTTGGATTCAGCCTGGTCGCAATTACCATCCTGATTGTTTCCAACCTCATTTTCAAGCACGGGTCAAAGAACAAAAGAAGTCCGGGCTTTCTCGAGTCTTTTTGCTTTTCTTCTACGCATGCTTTGTCAAGCCGCATAGCGGAAAGGATAATGGCACGCAGCAGGATGCCCTTGAAAGCTTCTATAAGAAGCAAGCTGGGATCTATGATAAGACCAGAGAAATTCTTCTGCAAGGCAGGGAGGACATGCTTGCACTTTCGGCATCAGAGCTACTTGCCAGGGAGAAAATGCGAAAGAATAACACTATTGGGAAACCAATATGGGTGGACGTGAGTGACAATGACTGGACAGAGTTTTGATGACTCCAAATCATTTCTAACACTTAGTATAGGTTGGTGGCGGAACAGGATGGAACATCGAGGCGATGAGCGCTTTTCTCGATGTTCCTCGGTTCTTCTCAAGCGTTTATCTGGTCGACCTCTCTCCATCTCTCTGCGAAATTGCCCAGCAACGATTTCAGCGCCTCGGCTGGGACAACGTTAAAGTTGTGTGTGAGGATGCGAGGAAGTTCACTATTGAAAACTATGAAGGTGGGATTTCCAACCGGGGCATCTCAACCTACTACCCAGTCTCGAACCATGTTCCTCGCAGACAAAACGCACATGGGATTGCAGATCTCATAACGATGTCTTACAGCTTGTCAATGATCGTAAGTGTCCTTAGCTCACACTCCGCAAAGAACACTCCTAATTCGCTGATTGATATAGCCTGATTACTTTTCTGTCGTTGACTCACTCAATTCACTTCTTTCTCCTGACGGTGTCATGGGAGTGATTGATTTCTACGTTCAGTCCAAGACAGAATTTTCTTTCAGGAACTATACTGGTGGTATCATCGGACGCCACGTTGGCTGGTTCATGAGAGCGTTTTGGCGTGCATGGTTCGATCTCGACCGCGTCAATCTCGAGGCCAGCCGCCGGGACTATCTTGAGTACAGATTTGGTACTATCAAAAGTGTCAGCGCGCGCAATAATTATTTGGGTCGCATTCCGTACTACGTTTGGGTTGGATGCCGCAAAGACTCCGTGTCTTCGAAATTTCTCCCCTACGAGGTTGTGGAAAAGATCGATGCGCTTGCTACGGAGTCACACTATTCTGATCCGGCTGATCTAAACGATTCCTCTGCTCGCACTGGAAAATTCTATGCGCAGAGTAAACAGTCCGGAGCCTCAATCACTGCTATCCAGAACCTTTCAAACAACCTACCTCTGCCGGCATTTTTCTACCAAAACCACCACTGGCGCATCTACTATGACGAGTCTCTTCGGAAGCACACTCAGTTCAAGGATGATTATATCTACACCTTCACCTGGGAGGACTCCCAAGCGGATGACCAACTGCTCAAGCTCACCTCCGATGACGTCGTGCTAGCCATCACTAGCGCTGGAGACAATATTCTCTCATACGCACTGCGGAGCCCGGCCAAGATCCACGCTGTCGACCTAAACCCGTCGCAGAACCATCTCCTGGAGCTGAAAATGGCCTCCTATACTGCTTTGTCATATGAAGATTTTTGGATGCTCTTCGGTGAAGGCAAGCACCCCAATTTTCGGAATCTGCTGCTCACAAACCTATCGCCACACCTGTCAAGTCGAGCATTCCAATTCTGGCTCGATCGCTGTCACATCTTCTCCACTTCCAGCAGATATGGTCTGTATGATACTGGGGGCTCTCGCCATGGCATACGAGCTTTCCGTTGGATTTCGTATCTCTTTGGCTTCCATGGTGCGGTTCAAAAATTCCTCAAAGCCAAGGCACTCGACGAACAGCGCCATATTTGGCAACAAAGGATCAGGCCAGCTCTGCTTTCTAATCTGGTCTGTAGGCTAATTGTGAGCCAGGAGAGATTTCTATGGTCAGCTCTCGGTGTCCCTAAACATCAGCTCACCATGATTGAAAATGACTATGTCGAGAGTCTACCCAGTGGTGGGCCCACCAAGGCTGACTGCAAAACTCGTTCGCGCGCCATCTGGCGCTACATGGTGAGCACCCTCGATCCAGTGGTCGAGAATACCCAGATCAGCTTGAACAATCCGTATTATCATATATGCATGGCCGGCACCTTCTCCCGCCAGTGCCATCCGGAGTATCTCTCACGTGAGGCACATGCCAATCTCTCACAGCCGGATGCGCTAGATGGCATACAAATTCACACGGATGAGATCGACGAAGTTCTAAGCCATATGGACTCCAACCGACTCACCGTTGCTGTGCTTATGGACAGTATGGACTGGTTTGACTCAAACGGTGTGGCCGCCGCAGCCCAGATTACCAAACTGAACCGTACACTGAAGATGGGTGGCCGTGTATTACTGCGCTCTTCGGCACTGCGTCCCTGGTATGTCGATATTTTCGAAGCCCATGGATTTTCTTGCAAGTGCACGGGCTCTCGGACAGATGGGGCATGTATTGATCGAGTCAATATGTATGCATCATGCTGGCTCTGCACTAAGATGGAGAATCTACCCTTGTCGACGCCCGAGCCCGAGATGACATGCATGGATGTCTCTGATAACAACTGTTTGTCTCCATAGATATCTGAATGCAATACTCAGGAGAGAGAAAAGTAACCAAGAAGCTCATATCATGTGTGAAGAGAGAAGAGCAGAAGGGAGAAGGGAGAAGGGAGAGAGCGACCAAAGTGGGGAAGGTGGAGAAAGTGGGGCAAACACTGTACACCTTCATATTTGCAACACTCCAACACTCCACGGCTTTCAACAATACTCCGTACTCTGGAGTATCATGACTTGTAAAGAGAAAATAAGTTTCCAACAGGTAAAATGCAGCAGTCTGCGGAGAGCGTAGCAAGTTATTTGGAAATTACCATATTGGGTGTCATTTCATGCAGTGAAAGCAAAGCCCGAACATCCGGAACAGAAGCAGACTGGAAATCCACACAAAGTTGATGACAGGCGCCTTTGGCAGGTGCCATTTTAAACCTGACGTGCATGGCGTCCTGCATGGCGCCCTCTAAGCCACCCTGACCTTACTCTTTCGATGAAATGATACAAGTCCATACAAGTACGTAATGCTGACCCGTATTGAACTTCTTTGTTTGATACGTCCCGTAACGACAAGGTTCCCCCCCGTTGGACCTGTGTCGCTTCTTTCCCACACTCACCTGACTCCCTGACTTTGAAACATCTCTCATGGCGACCGCGGTCTTGACAAGGGCGGAAAGCCCTGCAGTACAAGAGTCGATTCCAATGGAGGCTCTTTCAGCGTCGACACAGGGGAAGTCCGAGGAACAAGACAAACAATCAACACATGTAGACGACTCAGGAGATGAACATCAGCACAGCGAAGCGCCAGCAGCACATACGGAGGGTATCGCTCCCTCCAAGAAAAAGCCCTGGCAGTTCTGGGCTGTGTTCCCAGCGCTGTGCATGACCACTTTTCTCTCGGCTCTCGACACGTCCATTTTATCAACTGCCCTTCCGACTATCGCGCTTGACATCAACGCTGGTGAATCGTACGTGTGGATCACCAACTCTTACATTCTGTCGTCGACCGTGGTTCTCCCTTTATTCGGCCAGACGGCAAATATATTCGGCCGTCGATGGCTCCTGATCCTTTCGGTTCTCATCTTTGCTTTGGGAAGCGGTCTTGCCGGGGGAGCAAAAAATACAGTTCAGATCATTGCCGGACGAACCATTCAAGGTATCGGCGGTGGTGGTATTAACACGCTTGTTGATACCGTCATCTGTGATCTCGTTCCTCTTCGCCAGCGAGGGAAATATGTAGCTCTCATGGCAGCTGTATGGGCAGTAGGGACGGTGATTGGTCCCGTATTAGGTGGTGCCTTCGCTGAGCATACGTCGTGGCGCTGGATTTTCTATATCAACCTCCCTCTGTGTGCCGTGTCACTGGTATTACTTGTGTTGTTCCTTCGAGTTTCATATCCACGGTCAGGCGGTACCATATGGCAACAGCTGCGCCGTGTCGACTACGTTGGAAATGCCATTTTCACAGCAACAGTTGTCGCAGTCTTGCTGGCACTCAGTTGGGCAGGAGTTGATTATCCTTGGTCCTCATGGCGGGTCCTTGTACCCTTTGTTCTAGGGCTAGCGGGTTTATTCCTCTTCTACGCTCATCAACAATCGCGGTTCTGTCCGGAGCCATCCCTTCCGACCAAGTTATTCTCCAGTGGAACGGCTGTTTGTGCACTATGGATTGCATTTATTCAGTCAGTATTGCTCTATTGGGTTGGATATTTCCTGCCCATCTATTTCCAGGCAATCCGCAGCTCGACTGCTACCGAGTCCGGACTTTTTGTCCTCCCTATCACAGCGGCTATCGCGCCCCTCGGTATCATTACTGGTGTCTTAATTGCTTCCACTGGGAAATATCGTCCTTACCACTTCCTAGGCTACATATGCCTCACCACTGCCACCGGACTATTCTCGATACTAGACGATAACTCGCCCACTCGCGATTGGGCCGGCTTCCAGATTCTTTTCGGCGCGGGCTCGGGGATGATCTTTTCCAGCACACTGCCTCCTATCCAGGCATCCCTCCCCGAATCCGATATGGCCACTGCGACCGCCACGTGGGCGTTTATGCGCAGCTTTGGTTGTATCTGGGGTATCGCGATTCCGACCACTGTCTTTAATACGCGGATTCAGGGGCTGCTTTACCGCATCAGTGATGTTTCTTTGCGTGAAAAGCTTGCTAATGGGGGCGCTTATGCAATGGCTAGTCGTGGGCTTCTACGCACTTTGAAAGACACTCCCCAGTTAATGGCGGAAGTACTGAGTGTTTATCAAGATAGCTTGCGATGGGTGTGGTGGATTGCTATTCCATTTGGTGGTATCGGATTTCTTCTTTGCATACCCATCAGGCAATTGGTGCTAAGTGAGGATTTGAACACTGAGTTTGGATTGCAGGTAGGAGAACGAAGGGAATCAAGTTGAGAACGTTAAATAGTATATAGAGATTTTAGGGGTAATAGGAGGCCTTGCAAGGGTGCTATAGGGGGTGCGGGTTCGCCCCAGCCCCGGTGTATTGCATCGATTAAAATAAGCCTGGAGTCTTGAGATTCACGTGGTAATACATGTCGCGGATTCTGTCACATTTCCCAATCCCCAGTCCCTAGTTCTGTGTTCACTGCTTAGCCAAGGCTTCCCTTACTTGACCAATCATGATGACTCGACAATTAGTTGAAAGGGCAGTTGAAAAGACAATTGAAAGGGCAGTTCAAAAGACAGTTCAAAAGACAAAACGAGGTCCCGAAGTTGATGATAGCTCTCTTCTTTTACCAATTTAAATCTGTGGTTAAGCCAACACATAACAACTTGGGATCTGGCAAAGAAAATCCTACCTATCGAAGATAGATGGAGTATGACCATTGGGGACAAGTGGGCTCAGTCGGTCTTCCTTGACACACTGTCTTGAGTCTACTCCGTAGTCGTTCAATCATCGTAGCTCGCAATGAATATGATTGATTAGTCGGTCTAACTACCGATCTACGGAGCTAGAGTCTATGAGGTCAAACCCGCCCAATTAGGTCAGGGGGCTCTAGCAATTAAGCCCCACTTATCATCGTATCCATGGATCCATCCATGGATCTATTCCGTAAAAGGTTAGTGAGTTATTTAACTTTGTTAGAGCTCGGAATGTATAGTAATCAATCCGAGCGGATGAGTTATGCCTGATCATTCCACAAAGACGGTTCGGTTGAACTGTTAGGAAAACCTTCAGGCACGAGATGTTCACTAATCACCCCATCCGTCGAAAATTTGTCCCATGCTCTTCTTTCAACCCATTAATAAGGGATGAATGAGACACGGGGCTTCTCTGGGCTCCGGGCCTTTCGGATTATTCATCAGAAGCTAAGTCGGGTTAACTATGGCCATATATCTCCTTACTTTGTTGTTCTTATTTCTTGTGCGTGATGTTGCTACTCTCCCACCAGCAACTCCAGTCGTCTGATCTCCGGCATTCTTTTCCATCGAAGTTATTTTGCTGTCAAGGTCTGGCAAATTGGCGAATCCGAAGAACTACAACATGGAGGTCAATCACGACCCTGAGAAAGCGATGTACCAGACGAAATCGCTCGGAAAGCCCTCCGGACGACCTCCCTCCCCAATGGCGGACCCTATCGTCAACTCCAGCGCGGAGCAGTCAGACGACGAATCCAGCCAAAAGCCCGACCCCCGGGACATCTCACAATGGTCCATCTTTCCAGATATACTCCAAATACGGAAACGTAACGAGTCTATCGGTGGGAAATCGAAGAAGCTGGGTGTGACCTGGCAGAATCTCACAGTAAAGGGCATCAGCAGTGATGCGCTTTACAACGAAAATGTTCTCTCTCAATTCAATCCCTTCGGTAAGGGCAGCAAGAACCCACCCCTGAAGACTATTATCGACAACTCTTCTGGATGTGTCAAACCCGGTGAGATGTTGCTTGTTCTTGGAAATCCAGGGGCCGGATGCACAACACTTCTTAGCGTTCTATCAAACCACAGAAATGGCTTCGCAGAAATTACTGGCGACGTCTCGTTCGGTTCGATGACCAGTCAAGAAGCCAAACAATATCGTGGTCAGATTATCATGAACTCAGAAGAAGAGATCTTCTTTCCAGCTCTTTCAGTTGGTGACACCATCGACTTCGCCACACGTTTGAAGGTGCCCTTCCACCTGCCACCAGACACCAAGAACGAGGAGGAGTACGCCCAAATATACAAAGAATTCCTCTTGAAGTCTCTCGGTATCACACACACAAAGGATACCAAGGTCGGAGATGAGTTCATTCGTGGCGTTTCGGGTGGCGAGCGCAAGCGAGTGTCCATTCTCGAATGCCTTGCGACTAGAGGCAGCGTCTTCTCCTGGGATAACTCCACTCGTGGTCTCGACGCGAGCACTGCGCTAGATTGGACGAAAGCCATGCGCGCCATGACAGATATTCTTGGTCTCACTACAATCGCCAGTCTGTACCAAGCAGGTAATGGTATCTACGAGCAGTTCGACAAGATTCTGGTTCTCGATAACGGCAAGCAGATCTTTTACGGATCTCGAGACGAAGCTGTGCCATACATGGAGGATCTTGGCTTCCTATGCGACCCTGCAGCCAACAAGTCAGATTTCCTCACGAGCGTGTCGGCGCCTGCTGTACGCACAATTGCCCCAAACTTTGAGGACCGATTTCCTCGATCAACAGAGGAGCTGCTCGATGCTTATAACAACTCGCCCATCAAACCAAGGATGATGGCCGAGCTCGACTACCCCAATAGTCCCGAAGCTCAGCAGAATACGGCATACTTCAAGGAACAGGAGGCTCAAGACAAGCACAAGAACCTTCCGAAGAAAGCTGCGGAGTCCGCAGGATATTTCCATCAGGTGCAGACGGCTACCGTACGCCAATTCCAGATCCTCTGGGGCGACAAGAAAACTCTGTTCATCAAGCAAGCCTCAACTATCGTTCAGGCGCTGATCGGTGGCTCACTATTCTACAATGCTCCGGACAACGCGGCGGGCTTGTTCATCAAGGGAGGCTCACTCTTCTTCTCTCTACTATATCCTACCTTCATCGCTCTCGCCGAGGTTACGGATTCGTTCGTCGGCCGACCCGTCTTAGCCAAACACCGTGACTTTGCTCTCCACCATCCATCTGCCTTTGTCTTCGCCCAGGTCATTACCGATATCCCGATCATGCTCTTCCAAATCTCGCACTTTGGAATTGTGCTGTACTTCATGACTGGATTCCAGTACACTGCCCAGGCTTTCTTCATCTTCTGGCTCATTAACTTGATCTCGGCTCTGGCTATGACACAGCTCTTCAGGTTCATCGGTGCCGCTTTCCCGAATTTCGACGCAGCAACTAAAGCTTCTGGATTCACCATCGTCGCTGCCTTCACATATGCAGGATACATGATTCCCAAGCCTGACATGCACCCTTGGTTCGTTTGGTTCTTCTGGATCGACCCCATGGCCTACGCGTTCGAAGCATTGCTCGCGAACGAGTTCCACGACCAGGTGATTCCTTGTGTGGGCCCATTCCTGGTTCCAAATGGCGAAGGATACAGCCCCGAAACAGGAGGCGGACAAGCATGTACCGGCGTCCGCGGTGCGCCTCCCGGAGCAACCAGCGTTACTGGTGACCAGTACCTGGCTTCCATGTCCTTCAGCCATAGCAACCTTTGGCGCAACTTTGGCATTCTCTGCGCCTGGTACGTTTTCTTCGTGGCAATGACCGTCTTCTTCACTTCCAGGTGGAAGCAGATGGGCGAAGGTGGTCGCGGCCTCCTCATTCCCCGTGAGAAGCAGAAGAAGGTACCTAAGGCCGGGGTTGCAGATGAGGAATCCCAGGCTATCGAGGAGCCATCCGAGAAGTCCGGCTCCGATTCCGAGAAGTCTGACGCAACCATCGACAACCAGCTCGTCCACAATACATCGGTATTCACCTGGAAGAATCTGACTTACACCGTCAAGACGCCGCATGGGGATCGTCTTCTTCTCGACAACGTTCAAGGATTTGTCAAGCCCGGTACGCTCGGTGCTCTTATGGGATCTTCGGGTGTAAGTGCACTAGCAATGCGATTGACAGATGGATATACGCTAAGATTTTCACTCAGGCCGGAAAGACTACACTACTCGACGTACTCGCTCAACGCAAGACTGATGGTGCCATTCATGGCTCCGTTCTAGTCGATGGTCGCCCGCTCCCTGTGTCCTTCCAACGATCCGCGGGCTACGTCGAACAGATGGACGTCCACGAGTCATTGTCCACGGTACGCGAGGCTTTGGAATTCTCTGCTCTTCTCCGTCAGAATCGTGAAATTCCCCGCGAGGAGAAGCTCCGCTATGTGGACACGATCGTCAATCTCTTACAGTTGGAAGACCTCGAGCACACCCTAATCGGTCGCCCTGGTGCCGGTCTTTCTGTCGAACAGCGCAAGCGTAAGTCTGGATTCATCGAACAGAGTTGAGATAGACACTAACACTTTTCAGGTCTCACTATTGGTGTTGAGCTTGTAGCTAAGCCCAGTATTTTAATCTTCCTCGACGAACCTACTTCTGGTCTCGATGGCCAAGCTGCAAACAACACGGTACGCTTCTTGCGCAAACTCGCTGAAGTCGGACAAGCTGTCCTCGTCACTATTCACCAGCCATCGGCCGACCTCTTTGCCCAATTCGACACCCTCCTCCTACTAGCGAAGGGGGTAAGACTGTATACTTTGGCGATATCGGCCATCATGCAAGGACCGTCAAGAAATACTTCGCTGATCATGGCGCACCGTGCCCCCGAGAGGCCAACCCTGCTGAGCATATGATTGAAGTCGTATCAGGAAGTCTTTCTAAGGGCAAGGACTGGAGCCAAGTTTGGCTCAACTCGCCAGAACACGAAAATATCACTCAAGAGCTAAATACTCTTGTCGCTGATGCTGCCGCCAAACTACCTGGAACTGTCGATGATGGCTATCAATTCGCAGCGCCTATTTGGGAGCAGGTAAAGCTTGTCACGCACCGCATGAACATCTCCTTATTCCGCAACACCGAGTACATCAACAACAAGCTCATCTTGCATATACTTCTGTCTCTTTACAACGGCTTTTCGTTCTGGTCGATTGGTAACAGCGTCAGCGATCTCCAGCAACGCCTCTTCACGGTCTTCAGTTTCCTGTTTGTCGCTCCCGGTCTCATCTCCCAGCTTCAGCCTATCTTCATCGATCGTCGCAACGTGTATGAGACGCGCGAGAAGAAGAGTAAGACCTACCACTGGGTGCCATTTGTCACTGGCTTGATCATTTCTGAGCTGCCCTACCTGGTCGTCTGCGGTGTGTTGTACTTTGTGTGTTGGTACTGGACCGCTGGATTGCCAAATGATACCAAGTGGGCAGGCAGCACATTCTTCGTCGCAGTAAGTTCCCTCTTCTTTGGTTGACTCCTTGCTCCAAACTAAAAAAACTGTCTAGATGTTTTACGAGATGTTGTACACCGGTATTGGACAATCGATCGCCGCGTACGCTCCCAATGCAACCTTTGCATCTCTTGTCAACCCGCTTGTCATCACCACTCTCGTATCATTCTGCGGTGTCTTCGTTCCTTACTCCCAGATCACGGCGTTCTGGAGATACTGGTAAGCCTCATATGACTATCAACACCCTCGAGATCAATGCTAACATCACATTTTAGGATCTACTACCTCGATCCCTTCAACTACCTCTTCGGCGCCTTCCTCACTTTCATCAACTTCTCTGTCAATGTCACTTGCGAACGCAGTGAGCTTGCGGTCTTCAATCCTCCTGCGAACAAGACGTGTGGTGACTATCTCTCCACCTATCAGCAAGGCATGGGACTTGGCACAAACCTTCTGAACCCAAACGCTACGGAGAACTGCGAGGTGTGCCGATACACTACTGGACAAGACTATTTGAAGACACTCAACTTGAACGAAGAGTACTACGGCTGGAGAAATGCGGGGCTGGTTGTAATGTGGGCCGGGGTGTTCTACGCCCTGGTGTTCTTGATGATGAAGTTGCGAACCAAGGCGACGAAGACGGCGTCTGCGTAGACGCATGGTTTCTTTTGAAGAGTGGAAGATTGCCAATATTCCTCCTCGAAGAAGAGCAAAGACGGAGAGCAAAGTTGCGCGCGTACATGTTGGCTTCAGGTGTGGTATTTAAGCTGCACAAAGATTTTAAGTCCTGTATGATTTAATTGCGCACTGGCGCCAAACCTAGACTTTCATAATAATTTTATTGGGTAATTAGGACTATATTGCATTCTCAAAACTTCCTAGCGGTGGTGGATGGTGATCTGTTGGGGCGCGAGCTGCCTGGGTTTGCCTCCTGTCCCTCCGGCACATCGGCAGAGCGGAACATACTTGGTGATCCAGTCGGAGAGGTTCTTGTTTGATCATTTCTCATGCTAATCCAGTCATGATCCGCGCGCTTCGCTGCTCTCTCCTCTTGCTCGGCATAGTTTGCTTCATCATCTGCCCTAATATCTTCAGGAGGTGTTCCCGACCGTTTCCGCTTTTAGACGTCCTTAGAAAGAGGTAAATAATAATTTCACTGCCAAACGTCCTTAGATAACTGACTGCCTGGTTTACTTAAGTTTCAGGTATTCAATCAACAAGAGACTAGACAATATCTCTGAGCAGCAGCTTGATGATCGAGGCAATCCCCGCAGAGGCTTCGCCGTGGCCGATGTTAGACTTGATAGAGCCTAGACGAAGACGCTGATCGGCTCGACGACGAGGGGCCAGAGGTGCGAAGACTTCTCGTATTGAGGTGCACTCCTCCAAATCGCCTGCCTGGGTGCCCGTTCCGTGCAGCTCAACATACTCGACGTGCCGTGGATCGACGGCGGCATGCTGCATGACGTTGCGATAGTTGTCAATCTGCGCCCCAGCATGAGGGTGCGTAATGGAGATGGCGTTGGCCGAGTGATTTGTCGCCGCAGAAAGAATGACACCGAGGATGTTATCGTTATCAGCCTCTGCATCCTCGAGTCGCTTGAGAACAACACAGCCGATGCCATCGCCGCGACAATACCCGTCTGCGTCCCGGTCCCAGACCTTGCACTGGCCCGTCCGTGATAGAAAATGGCTGCTACACAACCCTGCAAAGTTGTCAGGGTCTGTGATGACATTCAGACCGCCGGCCAGCGCCATATCAACTTCACCGGCCCATATCGCATTGCAAGCGGTGTGCACCGCCGCGGAACTACTGGAGCACGCCGTATCGATGTTGAGACTTGGCCCGCAGAACTTGAAGAAGTAGTTGATGCGCCCATTGGCAAAGCCGCGCTCGCCTGCTGGGACCGCGTACGTGCCTACATTCTGCGAGTTGTTCAGCTCGCGGTAGTCATCAGCTGCCTGGCCATAGTATGTTCCGACACGCTGCCTGTTACTGCTGGGTGTGCGGTCGGGAGCATATCCAGACATCTCGAGGGCCTCGTAAGCAGTGACCAAGGCCAACCGATGCATGGGGTCTGTCTGCTCGGCCTCGCGCGGCGACATATGGAAAAAGGCGGCGTCCATATATCCCGGTCGGTCGATGAAGTTGCCGTAAGGTGTCTGGGTGGAGTTCATTAGTTGGGCCGTTGGGTCGTAGTGTGCATCGATGTCGAAGCGGTCTGCTGGTACCCGGCAATGTACGTCTCGCCCTTCCTCCATCAGCTGCCAGAACTCATCTAGTGAGTTGGCGCCGCCTGGCATGCGACACGCCATGCCGACAATGGCGATCTTCGAGTCTGCCCGGGTCCGTGGACGTCGCTTCCCATATTCCTGGGAAATCCAATCAAACAACACTTCTTGCTCAACAGACAGACTCGGTATCGCGGCGTGGATGGCAGCTGCCAGGCCATTTGAGAAGGGCGAAATATGTAAGATCTGGAATACGCAGTGTTGCGCCGCAGCCTGTGTGAGCTGTTGTACCGCGCCGGCATTGACCTGGTCCGTGTGAATGGCGCCAGTCAGAAACTCGACGGCGATTTCTACCATGAGCTGGCCAATGCGAGTGGCCATGAAACATTCGCCAGTCAGCGGTGATACGACGCTGATGGGCGTCGGCTCTGTGCCCACAGCGACGTCATGCAGTAGATCTTCAATGGCAGAAGGGTCGTAGATGTGGCTGGCATGATACAAGCCATTGAACACGGGCAAGGGCATATGTCGAGAAGAGGACAAGACTGGGGACTCGCGAAACGCACGCCTCAGTTGTGAGGGAGGAGCACTTATGCAAGTCGTCATGCCTAAAGTAGCGCCTATATATAGCTTACAGAACTCGGGCCTTTCCTTCAAGGCGAAAGCAATACAGCTCTTGAATTAGTCCATGTGCTTTTTAGGGGAATTGGTATCTGGCGAGCTTACTGTCTCTGCATTATATCGGTCAATCTCGTGCTGGATCTCCTCAACGGTCATATCGGAAATGGCGAAGGACCAACTGTCTCGTGCGAGCGCGTTACCCTCGGGCTCGAACTGACTCGAGACCTGGTTCACATACAGTCCGAGTCGAAATGCCACTCGAATGGCCCGCAGCGTTAACTCGACCAGTTCAGGCAGACTGGATGCAGCAGATACGGCGGCTGCTGCCAAAAGGCCGACGCCCACACCCAGCAGTGTCGTTGAGCTGGGAGCCGGTCGGTAAGTAATACCATTAGATTCATAAAACCTTGACGATATAGTGTCAGTATTAAGCTTCATGTTACAGGTCACACCTGTCTTCAATGAAGTGTAAGAGTGCAACATACCCGACAACAGACGCCACCTGCACTGTCACCGACAATGCCTGCCGGAATGCAGTTGCTAGTGGGCCCTGCAGTGATGCTGGATGCTCTGCGAGAGCTAGCAGATTGTCGAAATACGGCGCCGAAGATTGCAATGAGCTGGGCTTATGGGTGAGCTCGTCTCTGAGAGTCACAACGCATTGCTCCAGCAACGCAGCTAGATTCTTGAATCGGCTGTCTTTGCTATGTTGCTGGAAGCTACGCAGAACTGTACATGTTTCATCGGGTGGTATATCAACGCGGAAATAGAGGACACGGTGGGTTGGTCCCTCTTCCTTTGGACTCGGATTGGACATATTTGTGAAGAGGACCAATAAATGACACACTCGGACTGACGCTTGAGTGGAATAGGATGAAGGCGATGAGGTTGATAAATACTTTTCATAATCATTTGAATAATTTTCACTAGACCATATCCCTCACACCTTGTTCGCTCGGTCTGAAGACTGCTCGTATAAGCGGGTGACAAGTCCAAGGGATCTGCGCTGCAACTGCATCGATGAAGCATTGTAACCTTGCAAAGTTCAGGAAGCAAGAGAAACCAAAGACGGGAAAAAGCAAAGAAAAACAAAAGGCTTCGAAAGGGAAGAAAAGAAACCGAAGAAAAAGTTGAAGAAAAACGTATATCTAGAGTGAACCCCACGGCTAAGCGTTAGACCTTATTCAACCAAGCCCCAACTTGAAAGACAACGCCATGTTGCTTGCCATTCATACCCTGTTTATGTCAATTATCAGGGGCATCCAGCTCATGATGTGCCCCGTAGAGTCCCCCGCGCCTGGCCAATGTTCTCCAGAGCAAGTTACTACGCGACAAGAATGGTACACTGTCATTCCGGCCATAAGTCAGATTAGCCTGCTTACCATGCTATCGAACATTTAGGAGCGAATTGACGGCGAATGAGCGCTTGGACTACATCGATGCAGTAAAATGCATGAATAAATTGCCACCGAAGCTGGCAACATCGCTGTATCCAGGCGTACACAACCGCAGGGAAGACTTTGTTGCGTATGTTTCTTGTCATTGCTGATTGGCGGCTCTAACAAGCCTCATGCAGTACGCACATCAACTATACCACCCACATCCACGCTAGTGGAATTTTCCTGGGCTGGCATCGGCACTTCATCTGGCTGTGGGAGCAGGCTCTTCGGAATAAATGCCAATACACCGGATCACTCCCGTCAGTCGCGCCACACACAAAAGGTTTATCTAAACTTTCTTCCGTCTGCTGACGCTTGCATAGATATTGGAATTGGGCACTTTGGGCATCCGATATGACTACCAGCCCACTGTTCGACGGCAGCAACACCTCACTTGGCAGCGACGGCGAACCTGACCCGACGCAAATCGTACCGGGCGTGGCAGGATTGGGACTTCCCCAAGGTAATGGGGGTGGATGCGTGCACTCGGGGCCTTTTACGGATCTGGAGATTCATTTGGGGCCCTTCCACTTTCCCAAAAACCACCAGCTGCCGGAGAATGCCTTTGCGGACAATCCGAGATGCTTGACGCGCAACATCAACAACCACGTCTCCCGCCTGTATATGAATCAGACTGTGGTCGATCGGCTGCTGGCGTCCCGTGATATTGTTGACTTCCAACACACCATCGACCACGGGCCGATTGAGAGTCCAAGTCAAAAACGAGGCCCTCACCCGTCAACTCACATTTCGCTCGGCATGGATTTGGAGGACCTCTTTGCGTCACCCCAAGATCCATCATTTATGCTCCACCACGGGATGGTCGATCGAATGTGGACGATGTGGCAGGCAGCTGACGAGCGGGATCGCCGGTGGGCGCTGAATGGAACCGGTCTCTTGAACAACCCACCAACAGCCCCGTTAATCACCTTGGACTCCTGGGTTGAGTTTGGAGCTCTTGATGAGCCCAAGCAGCTGCGAAAGCTAATGGACCCGCTGGCTGCACCTCATTGCTACCGCTATTCGTGATAGCCCGGAGCAGGAATGTCGAGCCCTGTATCGTCATTAGCGTTGCAGCCACCTGCAAGTGTACCCTGGTGTCGATCAAGGTGGTGCGCGAAAAGTCTCGATTGATGCAGATCGCATGCAAGTGAGAATAGATTCTTTCCTCAGAAGACCTTCATTAGTGTAGATCATACCGTCCACGTCCACGTCCACGGCGATCCTAAATCCTGGAGAATACGGAGTAAATCCATAGGCTTTGATTGGGCGATCGTATGCATTTTGGGTGTGAAAATACAATATCGTGCCAACCGAATGAACGCACTCGGATTAGTTCACTTCACATACCTCTACACCCTACTCTGAAGCTTCATGCGGCTTATCGACTAGGACTATGTCCCCCGAGTCCACCCGCACGCAATGTTGGTCCATAGTTCCAAGTTGCTTCGCCTCTGTTAGATCATTCTTGACACCGCGATTCACAGGACCGAAGAAGTTCAAGATAGAATGCCGAGTTCGCGATCTGTCATTTTTCGCGGAAATATTCGGCGATTGGGTACGAGACAAGTCATTCGTATCCAAACACGGATAACTACTCGGTAGGCCAGGGCGAATTGAAAATCTTCATAATTGATGAGAATTTGGGATTTTGTTGGATTGAGGCGAATTGGCAGGCATTAATAACACGTAATTCATAGTTTTTGCCATGTCTTACTATTTTATGCGGTTATGGGAAGCAAAAATAATAAGTGAGTTGGAATTTGAAGAGTTCGTGTTATTTAAGAAATCGCGTGGCTGACCCATTGGAAGTGTGGTAAGCTTTTAGGGTCAGAATGCACTAAAAAGTGAATTTCTTCATAGCCATCCGATATGGTGTAGTGGCTAACATCGTCGTCTCTCACACGACAGCCGGGGGTTCGATTCCCCCTATCGGAGATTTCTTTTTTGTTTTCGATTACTGCTTCCTCCAACCACTCTTTATTTCACGGCTCATCCGTCCCTTCCTGATTTTTTTCTACGATAAGATGACTCCATATGCAAATTGCAGACATATTCTATTATCCGCCTGGGGTCATACCGATGACTCATGAGGCACCCTAGCCCCTTGGCCCCTGGGGTATTCTGAGTCATTGCACCCACAGGCCCCGGCCCCCGGGGCAGGTGTGGGTCCATTGAGATCAAACGAGCCTCCAATGTTGTCATGTTTTCTTTGTCTCAACTGCTCCTAGAAACAAACGAGTTGATGACTGCACAGGTGTCAAAGTGACTGGGCTGGGATTGACTCATCCCAATCAAAGCTTAATGGTGATCATGCAAGTTCATGTATGCACAGTGTACAGTTTTAACAGATCTATAAACACGTTCAGTTCCATTTGGAGATAGGGCATGAGACCAGCAAATTATTTTCACAACTCCCAAAGTCATGGCGCCAGAGTCTCTTGAGGAAGCACCTATAGTCCCCGGCATCTCGGGGAAGGTGACACCAAGTTCACTAGAGTCTATCACGCATTCACCAAGAGCTCAAATCCAAACAGTACAACACTCCACCTTGGTCGAACAGTTCGCCATGCCGGACCGCGAAGATTCCGAGAAAGCTCCCCACTCTCAAGTGGACGATTCCAACGATGCAGTATCCGATCCACCCCGATCCTACAACCGGAAAGTCCGCACTCCGTCGCCAGAATTGAATCCCAAGGCCGGCGAAAACAGACTACGCCCCGCGGGAGGTAGGTGCAGTCCTTAGCTTACAGTGAGCAAGTTTTGACAACGCTAGATATCATCAATCGCCTCATCTGGGATCCCAAATTCGAGCGCAATGAATATGTGATTGGCTTTGTGGACCGCTTCGAGGGACAACTGGAGGTTGGCATGGACAGCTGGAAAAAGGAGACCACCGATGAGGAGTTCATTCCACAGCATCGCGTCCTTTACATTCGGCATATCAGTGGGGACATTGTTTGGGACCGGAGGAGACGTATCGACAAGATTTTCCTCAGTGGAAACTCCGCGTTTCCTGAGTTGGCCTTTCTTGCCTGAGCAAGCAATATGACTTCGGGGGGCCAAATTCTTCACACATTTGATATTGAAACAACTATTACTGGACACATGCAACAACTGTTCTGAAAAGGAGAAAGATAATGCCAGCTAGTGGAAACAAGTGACTTCTCCGCTGGCCTCGTCTGGTAGATGTGATTGAAGCGTACTTTCCTTCTCTGTTTCTTTCTTCTTACCAATATTCTTCATCCTCCTCCTCGCCAAAATCTTTCACTCGACACACACACACGATGAAATTGAACGAGAAACAGTCTTTGCCACGCTTATCAACGACCAACATCCCTCTCTTTGAAAAACCGCGAAATGTACCGACCCCCAAACCAGTCATCCCGGACAGAATCTCGTCCCTCTTTGAGGAGCAGGTTTACGACGAAAACGTCGACCCAAACATACAGTCAGATCCCAAGCCCAAACTCCTCCTACGCAAATCAGTGGAGGGTCCCGCAATGGCGAAAGTGAAGAAGCTATACTACGACGATGCGTTTGCAACGCGTGGAGCACACAACTCCCCCAAAGATCGCATCACTTTTGAGTCGGTTGTGGTCGTCGAGCTTAAGACAAATATGCAGGTTCGTACCCCACCCATTGACCTGGCCTCGCCATTCCTCAGACTAACACGCACTTCTAGTTTGACGTTTGTATGTCCACGGCACTTGCGGAATTCTCCCACGCCCTCACGGAGGTCTATCAGCGACCAGAGACATCGATGCTGGTGACCATTGACCAGAACGCGAATATACTCTTTGGAACCACCGCCGATCCTGCCTACCTGTTGAAAGTGTCCGCGTTGTCTAGTCTCATCGCACCTCTCACCAATCTTCGCAACACCAGCCTCATCCAGTCAATCATCCAGGACCTATTTGGCATTCCACCCTGCAATGGAGTGATCATATTTACTCCATTGAGTGAAGACAACCTCGCAACAAACGGATCGACTGCCAGGGAGGAAATTGATCGTCTGGAACGGAGCGGCCACAGCCCCTCGATCTTCAAGTCGATCTCACGATCTATGAGTCGTCGTTTGAAATCAAGCAGTGAGAACAGTGGCCCTCTTACACTAGGCTCCGGCATGAGTCCTGGTGTCGCAAGCATGAACTCCGGCTCTCCTGCCCCCAGTCCGCAAGTCGAATCTCACATGTCGCATGCATCGGAAGCAATTTCACCGAAAGAGTCAGAAAAGACGATTTTATTACAGGACACACCGACGCTGGGGGAATTGCCCGAGCGGACACCATCCAAGAGTGTAAGTCGATCGGTGACAAAGAGAGAAAGTATCCGGAGCTTTGTCAATCGTCGATTGAAAGATTTTGGTGAAGTGACCCCGTTTGGGAGTCCCAGATCACCTACCAAGGGGGAAAGGATTGATTTTTGTTGTTCCAAGCCCGCAATCGGAGTCTAATATGTGTTCATGATGTGCTTTAAGCAGTGAGAAGTATCATTATCCTTCATCTTAACCACGGTTGGTCATGGTGTCTTTAGTAACTCTAAACTTCTTTTGATGTCTTTTGTTACGTGTCTTTGTTCATACCATTTCTGACCTTCATTAGTTGCCTAGAGCTGGCGATACTAAGCACTACATGCATTCAAAGCCCCAAGATATCAAGTCAGGGGCAAGTAAGTGTGAAAGACGTTGGTAGAATTTCTCGCTGGCGGGATTGCCTTGTGTAGCCTATTCCTGCTGCGGGTATTATGACTGAGTAGTTCGCCATTATTCTAACACCCCTCTGTCTCACTAATCAATATTGAAGTAAGAGACTTCTGGTAATTTTAGGGTTTATCCATGAACCCTTAGAAAACCCAGGGGAAGCATACTCTGGCTGCAGTTCAGCAACTTGGTTTTTTGGATCCATAATTTAAACCTAGTAGGAGGGCTATATATTGAAATTATCCATACGATTGTATCAAATCTACGTGTAGCTCTTCGGTCTAAAAGGGAGCGAATCAATCCAAAGCTAATAGATACAACCGGACTATGGATTGGAAAGAGAGGTAATACACGAGGCTGTTTACCTTAACAACCTTGAAAGCTCTTGGGGGAGAGGGCGAGGGAAGAGGTCCCAAGATCTCTAGGGCAGGGGAAAGAGTTCCTCAAAATCTCTATCTATAAATACCTTCGATCACACTCTTCCCTCTTCTTATCTTCTTTCTCCTCTCCACATCTCAACTCTTCACGCTCATCGTCAATTAAACTTGATGATGCTTGATCATATCTTACAACTTGTTCTTATCCGGACATATGAACATACATCCTGCTCTAATCCTACTTTCCACTTCCCCAACTATGGCTGTACCATGGTACGAAGACATCTTGAATATTCATGTCCATGAATCTCCTGGAAGTCTTTTTGACTCTCCAGACGGCTCAGCGCTGATCCGTATGTCAACTTTCTCTGTCATGCAATGGTTTCTATCTCTATCTACTAACTACACTGCTTCAGATGCGTGCAACTGCATGGGAGTATGGGGCTCGGGTATCGCAAACGACTTCCGACAGAGAGCAAGTGGATCCGATACCACCCACTCCGTGAGATTAACAAAGCTAACTATAAATCAATCATATAGTACCCCGCAGCTCATGAGCACTACATTGATTATTGCCGGGCCTATCTTCTGGCTCCCAAAAGCCACCAAATTAGTGGGCCTGCCCAGCAAGACGCCAGCAACCTCAGAACAGTTCGCTTTCCATTGGGAACAGCTCTTGTGATCCCACCCCAGGAATTGGACATTATTCTTCATGGCAGCCATCATTGGATTGTCTGTCTTTTTGCCTCATACGGGTATGGCCGTGCCCGTGATCCAAGAGATTCTATTGAGTGTAGCGTTCATGCTGCTCTCCAAGACCTCTCTCGTCAACTGAATGAGCTGGAAATAAATGCCACCTTCAACACAGATTGGCCCCAGCTTTTATGCTCCAACCGGTTCTGCTCAGGCTACTTTCGTGTTCCGTGGGGTAGAATCCGTCCATTGATTGAGAGTTCCGGATTGCATATCAACGTTTGCACAAATGATGCGCCCGCTCCTCCTCCCGACCCACGGCTAGCATGGTAGCAGGCATTCAGTATTACATCTTCTGCAGAATGAATCCTGTGGAGCTCAACTGGGGAGGCTCTCTCACGGACGCCTCGAGATGGCATGAGAGATCGGAAGAAGGGGCTACGGAATTCCTGCATACCTACCTGTCTTGTCCTTCGAACAGCTTATCCGAATTATGGAAAACACCTCATTGAAGTCCTCATCTGTACTTCCTCCAGTATAAAAAACCACTAAGTTTGTATCGTATAATAGATAACTATTGACTTTCAACACAAAGACAAGCCATTGTAAGCGTTCGTGGTCTCGTGGTCTCGTGGCTTCGTGGCTTCGTGGCTTCGTGAACTCATGGTTTGGCGGGCGTAAGGCTTCCTACACCTGTGGGCTCATGGCTTCGTGGCTTCGTGGTTTCGTCGGCTCCTCGCTGATTGACACAGTGATAGCATTGGCATAGATCAGGGCTCCACCAATCACCTGACAGCGCGTGTTAGCGCAGATCGCGCCCGCGTTGGGGTCCAATCCATCCGATAACTTAATACTCCGATTCCGTACAATCTTGTTACTTTGCATGTCACTCAATACCTACCACAATGGCCGGTGAACCCAAGCCTGCTCCAAAGCGCTCGCGCCTCCCTTTCAAGCCGCCAAGTCGTACCACCAGCGCGGGGCCGTCTTCAGCATCAAAGCCCAAAGCCAAGACCAAGCAACCGGCAGCAAAGGCCGCAACGTCACAACCCGCACATGCTAGCACGGAAACCACGAAACCACCGACCCCTACTACTGCCCACAAGCCTGCAAAGGCCACAAAGGCCACAAAACCCCGAGATTCCACGAACCCCAAACAGACCGCGAAACGACGGCGTGTGGAATCACCAGCTCCCGATGACGCGCAATCAGGCTCGGAGTCTGGCTCAGATGTGTCAGGACGCAGTCGCTCTCGATCGATTTCCCAGGAGCCTGACTACATCCTTGCTGAGATCACTACGACCAGTCCAGTGGAGGACGTCAACTCCAGCGATCCAAAAATTCCTCCCAAGCTGTTGACACGGCTGTTACACGAGCATTTCCAAAACGACAAGACCAAAATCGCGAAGGACGCAAACAACGTTGTGGCAAAGTACATTGACGTCTTTGTGAGAGAAGCCATCGCCCGGGCTGCCTTTGAGAGAGCAGAGACCAACGGTAGTGCCGGCGGCAGGAGTGTTGGAGATGGATTCCTCGAGGTAGGCCACTCTCCGCTACCAACACTGGCGCTTTAGAGCTATACTGACTAGTGATACAGGTTGAAGATCTTGAAAAGATGGCACCACAGCTTACTATGGACTTCTAGCGACTGAGTCCTCGTTCTTCTGGAGACGCGGCGTTTCGGAATCATGTATTCAGAGCATTATTGATTAAGATACCACAGCAAAAAAGCAAGCAACATTTTTCATCACAAACAAGCTGCTTGGAAAAGCGCCACATCCCTTGGGTTCATGTACTCGGGTGGCTTTCCAACGGTGTGATCCTCTACAAAAGGTGGAACACCCCCAAACCCATTAACATTGTGAAACAGGGCAATGTCCCTATTAACCCTTTTCGACAACCACGCGTTGGCCCAATATGCGGTGTTCTTCTTGCTGAGGTGCACAACCACCACCGGGAGTCGGTTCTGCTCCGGTAAATGGCCGAGCTGCGCATCATAGGCTGTGTGGCCAATGTCGAAGACGAAGAAGACCCTCGTTTGCCATTTCTGTGCCGCTATCAGTCTCGTTGTCGGGTGGGTTTCTTGTGGGACGTATAGGCGTGTCGATTTGAGGAGACGAATGGCTTTTGGTAGCAGAGATTCCGGGTTGCTTTGAGCTTTAGGCATCCGGGAGCTGCGGTGTGAAACGATCACTAGAACTCGCAGAGGACCTCCTTGAGACATAGTGGGCTGTTGGTGTGAGATACTGCTACCCATGGTCCACGGATATTGCTCACCAGTCTATGAAATGAAGCTTTGATGGTCGAATCTGCTCTTCTGTCACTGGTGCTTCTCGTGTGGAATTTCTCACGTTCTACAAAGGGCTCTCACGACCTCAAGAGGATTTTATATCTTTATCTTTCTTACGCTTGAGACACATGAGGCAAAGTTCGGTGTCTGACCTGGCCCTGATGGCAACCTTCCAATGGCCCGACGCTCTGGTCGTTGGCACCATAATGCCCATCAGGGATAGCCATTTTGCATAGTCCAGGTCCGAATGCACGCTGACAACCATAGAGTCGGGCTCCAGCTGATGCCACGCTGCGTGCCTGGTGACTGGGATGGGTCGGGTTACACTCATGTGTAGTCCCAGAACGAATCTCGTAGACCGTCAAATTAATCTATCGGAGAGAAACACGTAGATAGTATTAAAAGATAGCATAAGACAATGTTCCAAGCCTAACCAACAAGGGCGCACTTAAGAATGTGTAGATCAGAAGGCGGTGGGTCGCGGATTTTCCCCCCCGTGTTTTGCTTCTTCAACGCGTCAAGTCCCACCGAGCGACGATTCATTTTCGCAATGAACGATGCGACAACCTCCTTGCTCACTGAGCACTTCAGCTATACCCCATTAGTGAGTTCTCGCGATCTCCGCTCGTGTATATTGCCACCCCTTGCCGCCAGTTGTGTACTGACAGCTGCCAGTCTCTCATAGATGACATTATCAACTCGATAAACAACCTGATCTACCAAGCCATATCGAGCTTGGAATCTGGACTGCTCAATACGCCGCCCGAGCGCCTTGGTTTTTCGCACGCCAACAATGGTATCACCATCCCGGAGACCGACGATGATGGCAACGTTTTATATCCTGAGGCGAAGCTAGAGATTGAGAACGGACTGCACCAGCTGGAGACGCTACTGGAGACCAATGTCGATAAGGCCTTTGATAAATTCGAAATTTATGTCCTGCGAAACATTCTCACGGTGTCGGAGGATCTGCTTCCATACGTGCGCCTGAAGCACTACGAGGTATGTGTGCTTCGCTTCTAAAAGCGCCGGCGTGTCTTGGGGTTTGATGGGCGAGTTGTCAAGGCTTAGAAGCTGACATATCATTCTAGGGCCTCTCCTTCGGCTCTTCGGCAGATACACCAACACCCGAGACCATCCATGCGCAGCGCAAAAAGCTTTTCGAAACGAAGAAACTGAACCGCTCACTGAAAGAGGAAAGCGCCCGGAACGAGGCAGTCATATCCCAGCTCAAATCAATACTCTCCACAGTTCAAACAGCCAAGGCTGAAGATGCGCCTGCGACACCGAGCAAAGCGCTGGATCTGTCGTTCCTGACCTCCAGTCCAGCTGCGCGCCAGCTTCGCGTCGGCGTGGATGCCGGACCGAATGCCAAACCCACACCTCTGACCACGCACACTACCTTTATTCTTTCACAACTGCCCGCGCTGCAGGCCACACTTGAGCAGCTTCGACCGAAGTTGGCCGCTCTGCCCGACTCGATGATCCCAATGGAAGCGAAGTCAAAGCGTGACGAGAGGAAGGAGTACATTGAGGGCCGAATTCGGTTACACCTCGAGCGAGCTGGTCAGCTTGCCACTGGGGAGGACGGAAATCCTGTTGTTGCAGGTCGCAGGATCGACATCAGAGAGGCGCATGCTCTTGAAAGTGTGGCCAATCTACTTACGCAAAAGGAGAATGTGTAAGATGGGTGTATACATCAAAAAAGCTGGCTCTACGACTTTTATTATTGGATATGTGCAGGTCTATTTTAAGACCAAGAGACACTCCAGGTCTCCTGGGTCTTTCGGAAAGGCACCACATCGATCTTGTCTGACTGCAGAATCTCGGAGATCTTCTCGCCCTTGCGTTCGATGGTGATGAATTCTTTCTTCTCCTCTGGGAGACCGTAGAAGGCGCGTCCGAACTTGCTCATGAAACCCTCAACAAGTTCCGGCGTGATGTCCTCATCCTTGAGAACACCGTTGTCGACAGCCTGCTCGAAAGCATCAACCACGACCTGGGTGGTGTACGGTTGGGTGAAGACACCAGCAGCAATCTTCTCACCGCCACGCTTGGAGGCTGCGGGGTGGGGTGCACTGTCGGAACCGAAGAAGAACTTGGGGTTACCCGAAGCGGCAGCACGGAGCAAGGCGTCACGGTCAGCCGGGGTCTTCGCGACAGGCTTGCAGAAGCAGAATGGGTCACCCGCCCACGAGTCAATGATGATGGAAAGGTGGTGGGCCGTGATTGTACCAGAGACAGTGGGGCCACACTTCTTGACGGCCTCCACGGCCGCGGCAGTAGTGCAGTGCTCCAAGATGATGCGCAGCTTGGGGAACTTCTCGTGCAGCTCGAAGAGCTTGGGCAGGAATCGCTCCTCGGCAGACAGCACGGTCACGTCGCCACCGGAGGGGCTCTCTCCATGCAGGTTGAGGATCATTTCCTGGCGCTCCATCTCCGCGAAGACGGGGTAGAACTGTGTGTAATCGACCACACCGGAGGAAGAGTTGGTTGTCACGCCGGCGGGGTAGCTCTTGACGCCGGTGATGCCGCGCTGCTTGGCCTCAATGATTGTCTCGGGGGTCACGGTCTCGTGGAGGTACAAAGACATCAGGAAGTTGACATTCGGCTCGAGTGCTTGCAGGCGCTGCTTGTAATCAAGCGCACGGTCGACGGTCGTGATAGGAGGCACCAGGTTAGGCTATCAACTGCATTAGATACTCATAATGATATGATCTTTTTCTCCCCGCAACTCACCATAACAAATACAGTGTTGACACCACCCTGTCGGATGGTGGGAGTCACCAGCTCCATCATGGGGCCATCACGGAGGTGGACTATATTGGGTCAGCGCTGTCAATTCGTAAGCTCTCCCCGAGATCAGTACCATGGAAGTCGGCCGAAGCGGGGAGCTTGACACCCTGCAGCTTGGACAAAGGCATTGTGTGTATAAGTCGAGATCAATTTGTAGATCGAAAGCCGACTCTGTTCGCATATCAAAACTTTGCCCCGCCATTTCTGCCGGAGGCGGTGGCAACCCCAGTCCGCTTTGGTGGATCTTTGCCGTTCGTAGATGTACTTTCCGAAAGGCTTGAGCCTCTTCTGCGCTGCAGGATCCGAAATGTCAGTCAAGTCAACTTTGGCAGATGCATCGGTTTTTTTATCCAACGTGAGAACAGGACTCCATCGGCAGCTCTCTGCGTTTGCATTTAATGGCACACGAAACGTAAAAACCCCTACGGAGTACTTCAAGACGCGACCGGCAGGGGCTTTGTTTAGCTGAGCTTTCGAAGCATACTCCGTGCAAGGACTAGACCCTCCGTTACATGCAAGTGCTGGGATTGACATGACCAGGATTCTCCTAGATCAGGGTCGCCGCTAATTTCCAACCTGCGACAAGCCTCGGCGCTTCGGCACTGCCTATCACAAGCCAACATCTCCAGTCTGGTGAATTAGACTTCAAAGAACAAGATGAGATCTCAATCACGGCCACTGACTGGTTGAAACTCCTCTCAAAGCCCTATAATTGGCACAGCAGGGCGCTTGGCCGGTGCTTATTCGCCGATGTCTCTGCCAAGTCTGCACACTGGCGCCCGCCAAGACATCTTCTCTTCGGGGATGCACAGGTCGGAAGTCAAACTTGCATTTGGAATTCTGCACCGACATTTTTGAGGGTTTGATTTAGCACCTGGGGCGAATCAGCATGGTTGATCCCCCGTCAAAGCGTTCTATATGGCTTTATGCAACATTCTGGGCTGAATATTGTCTTCGGGATACGCGCCCATTTGACAGTCGCCGTTGTGATAGCAAAGCGCTCACCCAACAGGTCTTCGAATAAAACCCTAGCCAAGTCCTTCACAGACTTACATTTCCCACCTGTTCGCTATTGCTTGTTCTGTACTCCGTACGAAAGGGTCTCAATATCATACCTCCCTGTCTTTTTCCATCCCTGAGGGTTCCTTTGTTCTTTGATATCTATTTCTAGTAGGGTCCTTGCTGGCGGACTTATTAACTGACACACTCGCCATTTCCTGCCCTTTCTGTCTTTCAATATTGCCCAACAAGGTCTCTTCTTCTATTATGACTTCCATCTCGTCAATTGCGGGCTCGGGCCGTGCTTATTCGTCCGACATGGAAGAATCGACGTTTCTGAAACGCAATCGCGTCATTCATGTCTTGAGACTTGCTCTTTCATTTGTGATCTTGGCCATCGCTGTCGCCGTCGTTGCATGCGAGGCTCCGCCACTGCGACGCTATAAGAGCACTTCGCAGTGGGCACCTGCCGGTCTCGCCCTATGGCCCTTGAACTTCGACCTCCGCCCAACAGTCGCAGCAATCACATGTGGATGCATCGTCGCCGTTTTGAATATGGTGTACATTGTTACTGCCCTCATGCCATCGGTAGTCATGCCCTTCCCCGTCATTCTGGTTGCATGGCTAACATAGATCCAGCCCTACTCTCGCATCAAACCACTGAACATCTACGCCTCGGCCTCGGCCCTCGCGGGCTTTGTCACTTCCCTTGTCTCCCTTTTATTCATCATCTATCGTCCCGCCTCAAGCCACCCTGCTGGATTCAGCAAGAACGAGACACTCCAGAGCTGGACCTGCAAATGGAAAGCAGGTGCTGACGGAACCACGATCCCCCATGGCTTTGATCGTGATTGTATGAATACTCGAGCCGGGTTTGTCCTGATTTGTGTTTTGATTGGAATGGAGACGTTCATAGGTGTTCTTGCTGCTATTGGAACGTGGTTCCAGCGCGATGTCGCGCGTCGACGGGAGCAGCAGTTCCAGTTGGAAAAACATGAAATTGCTTCCAAGCATGCGGATCGACAGTGAGATTCGCTTACTATACAGACCGGTGTTGAGCATCGGCTATAGTCCCCAATCCTAATTCTCTATTCACGGCCTAGCCAAGACTCTCTTTATTCGACCAATCGTAATTACTCAATGATCAGTTGGAAGGACATTACAAAAGACCTCAAAAAAGACACCGGCGAACTAGGGTTAGAGACTGCACCCGTGGGGCGGGGGTCTCGTGCCGCTTAAGCTTTCTTTGTTCCTGACTAGCCGGACAACCTTATTGCAAACAATGTCTTTGATTGGGCAACCTATACAACTCCTTAGTCTGGTTCCCATTGTGTTTCCATTCATTTGATAGGCTTACCATTGTCCTTAAACGGGCTGGCGGTACTGTATAGACAAGAATAGGTGCGGCGAATACGCAATAATAACCCTCCCCGTCGTAGTACTATACATGCCACACTCATCTCAACACTTTCTCTCTCTCGTACTCCATCTACCATTCGCGCAACCCTCTTCTCGGAAATTCTTGCGCTGCCTCAAACCCACAAACCAAAACCCACCTGACCTCAAACTTCTCTTTTCATCCACCAACATGCCCACCCAGGCGTGGATCCATGTGTACTCCGCCACTCCCGATGACTACGCAGAAGCGCGCCACGCAGCCCTCTACTTTCACTTCCCCGACAACACCGGCGACCTCATGCACATCGTCGGCCAACCGGGCATCTTCAAGTTCGAGGTCCTCGACTACTACGTGCCCGGCCAAAGCAAAAACCTGGTCAGCCGCATCCCCGTGGGGATGATCAACGACTCCTTTACACCGGCTGACATCAGACGCATTTGCGCCTGGACGCTCCTCAATAACTCTCCCGACGAGATGTTCTGGGATTGTCATCAGTGGGTTTACGACGTCCTTACCCGGCTGGTGAAGAATGGCGCGGTTTCCGCCAAACAGATGAATCTGGCTATCGACCGGATGATTTACTCTTGCCTTGAGGCGGAAGATGAGGGGATGGGCTTGCTGCGCAAGAAGGGAGGCCCTGAGACATGGAAGAGAGCTTATGTTCTGTGAGAAGTTTGTGGTCAATGAAAGGACAGTTTCGCCATCATTGTTTTGACTTTCGTAGCTTGCAGTAGAACCTGGGAATCTAGTTTCCATCCCATTTGTTCTTTGCTGCTCATACTTGACTGTAACTTGGCTTCATCACATCGTTCGCACTCCGAATTACCACCACCCCGTCTATAACCTCGTTCTCGGGAAGTAGTTTCTGTCTTTGGTTTGAATCGGTTTCATTTGAGATGTTCCTATCCATTAATAGCTTGAGACTTCAAAGAAAAATTCCCAGCCCCAGTCCAGTCAGCACAAGCCAGCTTCCAGCAACATTCACAAGAGCAGCATTATCCGATGAAGTCGCTTTTTCGTGTCCCTTCAGCGACTTTGTTGGTCCAGCAGTAGTAGTCGATGAACTACCTCCAGAAGTGATGCTGGCTTCTGTATCGGTCGGTTGGGCTGCGTTTGACCCTGGTAGGGTCCATGTTGGCGCCACGGTAGTTTCCCCCTGGTCGAATGCGTTTGCTGTCGCGCAGTTTCCTACACTCAACGATCTTGCAGATACGCCTGCTTCGTCATCCTCCGAGCAATTCACGTAGCAGCTGTTTGAAAGCTAATCAGTACTGATGATTCAAACTCGACTGTGTCGTTTGGTGTAGAGAGGTTTGTCTACTCACTTGGCGATGTTGGCAGCGCCAGAGCATTTGCAATCCCAGTCATCTGTTCGGCATTTTGCAAGCCCCTTGTGCATGACAGCGACACATGAGTCTACAAGTCTGTTATGAGTCAGTGGATGACTTTTATCAAGCTTGGCAACGACGATCATACTTTTGAGAAGCGCATTTGGAGTCGCCTGTGGGAGTGGTCGCTGGCGCATCCTGGGCGATGGCGAGGGTAGCCCAGGCTGTAAGTAAAAAGGTAGTGAATAGACGCATAGTAACTCCGTATCAGATCTAAATCGATCCAAACCGAGGAATGGGTAATGATTGCCGTAGTGGATGACAAGTATGTGCCTGGATAATTGTTCACAAGTCAAGTAATATGGTTCCAGATTGAAATTGGGGCTCCCGCGACTTATGAGCCCCGACAACTGTTTGGTTCATGTTCCATTGAATGTCACCTTGGTTGCAAGGTACAATAAACCCACATCTGATTCTTTTCCAAGGGTGTCTACTGCCGAGACCTCGGGAGTGGGGCTGAATCCTGACAGCTCCCCACATGGAGGAAACTAATGCACGAGGACCCGCCAGGGAACATTACCGGAGCATGAAAAAGCAAGTCATTGAGCATTTGGAAACTGACTGATTATCATGGAATTGTGATAGTGAACAAACAATCTGGTTTCGCTCGGATTCTTTCGTCGTTGGCTGCGAAAATTGCACTTCGCAAATGCTCGAATTGGCGAACCCCGTCGCCCATGGCCAGAACCGGATTTCCCCTGACCCAGATTATTTGCGATTCCCAGGAACAGATAGTGAGGCGACGGTTCGACATCATGACTTGAATCTAAGGTCGCATTCCAGAGATCGGCGTTACATTCTTCGGTCGGTAAGGCCGCCTCCGAGGGCCAATGAGAATCGACCGACATCCGCATTAGGGTCTCAAGTCTTTGAATCGTTCGAGACCAAGAGATGCTCTATTGAAAGCCATTCGTGTTGCCGGATGGGTATCAGTGCGCCTGGATATGACCAGCGAGCTCTTCGGTGGCTTTTTGTGGCCTCGTTTCCGGTCCTTGGTTTTGTCTTGTCGCGAAGCACACTGATTGTAGTGGCGAGAACTATCCGGATCGTCCATCCAGAGCTTGTCATCTTAGTAGAACTTGGTGCGACGCTCTGACCATGCCACTCACTGCGCCAGCGATAGTTGGCCACTTGTTTGATCGACCATTCGGCATCTCCTGTGGGCACCAGGAGATATCTGCCCTTTTGGTTTGATCTGTTCGCAGACAGTTTTCGTATTTGTGGGGTATGGTAATGGGTCGACCATTCTTCTGGCCCAGGCGGAGAGGCGGTGCGTGGTGGTCTTGTTCGGGTGTATCGAGAATTGAGGGGCAGAATGGTATGTGTCCGCTGGTGTAGATGTCGCTCTCTGTGCTTTTTTGTGCGGTGGCCTCGGGGATGACGAGGTGTGAATGGATCTCATTCAATATGGTGCCTGTGAGGGAGGCATGCTTCTAGCAACAACTAGCCAAGAAGGTACCATTCGACAGAGAAAGTAATTGTGAGGAAGGAAGAAGCAACAAAGTGCTAGATAGTAGGGGGGTTAAGCGATGAAGAAATATCAAGAAAGCATGTGGAGGCAAGCAGGCATCCCATTCGGGCAACCTAGGGAGCACTGCTCCGTATGGAGTGCAGAGCATGTCTATGCAGACGAGAACAAGTATTGCAGTGCCAAGGCGAGTTGAACCTCCGGTTTGGGGGGTTCAACTCTGCCTTCGGATAGCGCGCTGAACATCCATTTCCAATAAACAGACCGTGTTCTCTGGAGTTTATTTGATTGTTCACTTTAGCTTAGCCTGTTTTTCTAGCATCAGCAAGTTCTTACTCCCTTTTACTGCATATAATCTGGTCATTTTGGTACTTGGGGTAAAGTTGTTGAATGCCAAGAAAAGTTGAACCCCCGTTTCGAGGGGTTCAACTTCCACCTGGTAGCAACTTCCTACTTGTCCGTCGCAGGTAGCCTGTGTCGTTCAATGACTTGGTCAAATGGATATTCAATAGTCTCATTGTAAATTTGGGAACAGCTAGAGACACCGTAGACTGCAATTTAGATAACGTGGCTCCTGACTGCAAAATAATTGTTGTTCCATAGTAATGCAAGAGGGATATATATTGAGAACCCTACCAATTTTCTACCACAACCCAACACGATTTTCGAAATGTTCATAATCAACAAGTTCAATACGAGAATCCGAAGGTAGAGTCATTCAATTGCACCATCACTACAAGTTCAGATTTGACATCCATGGAAATGGGCTGGATTTATTGGCCATCACCAGTCGGTGACTTCACGGCTAATGCAAAACTAACAGGACAAACCCCGCGGTCGGCTCAAAACTTACGTGGTACAACGAAGGAAGAAAACTACATGGCAACATTACTGGGGCCGTGGGACTAGCAAAGACCGTGTCGTGTTATAAGAATACAGTAACCAGTGATGCGGCAAGTCAATATCGAGTTTGATACTGCAAGGTACAAGATACGACGCGTCAAGTCCCACCATGTGAGCATTTAGAACATGACAATACGGAAAAACAATATGTAGAACACGCGTTGCATCAGACGCGACCGAAGACCACAACAGACACAAGCCCCAAGCTACAAAGGAACAGCACAAGATGAATTATTTGTATCAAGTTTTGATTGTATTCGTATCGGATCGCACTTGAGTGCTTGATCCCACCATGTCCATGGTGCCAGCCGTAATGAAGAAAGGCCGCTATGATACAGAAAAGCTCAGAAGCGAACACTAGCAGACCCGTAGTGGACGCGCAATAGTGGTAATCGAGTGTTATGAAAAGCAAACCCAGAGACCCATGACGATTGTAGTAAAATAAATCAGAGAACACCCCAACGTCCCGTCATACCGTAAACCAGCCGGAAAAGAAAAAGCACAAATTGTTTAGCCACCGAAACCGTAGAGGGTACCTGCAAGAGAGATGGTTAGACGCGATTGGAAACAGGAAGACGCGTTGAAACTTACGGCCCTGGCGCTTGAGAGCGTAGACAACGTCAAGGGAAGTGACAGTCTTGCGCTTGGCGTGCTCAGTGTAGGTGACAGCGTCACGGATGACACCCTCGAGGAAGGTCTTGAGGACACCGCGGGTCTCCTCGTAGATCATAGCGGAGATACGCTTGACACCACCACGACGTGCGAGACGACGGATAGCGGGCTTGGTGATACCCTGGATGTTGTCGCGCAAAATCTTGCGGTGACGCTTGGCGCCACCCTTTCCGAGTCCCTTGCCACCCTTTCCACCTGAGAGACGCGTTAGAACGCGTTCAGAAGAAGCGAGATGAGGTGATCAACTTACGGCCAGACATCTTGAATGTGGATTAGAAAAAAAAGGGTTTGAAGATAGAGTAGTGTGGAGTAACCAAGTGGTTGTCGATGGAGTTGTTGAGAAAAGAAGGATTAGAGAGGATTGGGAAGTGGGATATTTGTATGAGGGAGGGAATGCACGACGACTGGGAAATCAGGCGCTAAGAATGGAGCCGACCAATGAGAGGGCAGGATCACGGACTGGTCTGATCTGCCGGGAGACCCCAGAGTCGGAACGCCAACTTTGCCGCAGCGTGTTTCTGATCCTCCTTCGGTTCGCCACCAAAAATGTAAATCCAATAAAAAAACTAAGGTAGAATACTCATCAAAACATGCTGAATACCTTCCATTGCTCTGATCATAGTTCCAGCCTCCTTTGGTGGTAAGATCAAGAATTCAAGGGTTGAGCATTCTATAGTCCGTGATCCTGCACTCTCATTGGCCCGTGACTCGCTTAGTGGCAGAACCAAATGCTCTGATCCAGTGCAGCCAATCAGAAAGCAGTGCAAATCAGGCTCTGGTGTACGCAGGCTCCTGCGCACTGATTCTGATCTGGAAGGCACGTCCCCTGATTCGTTCACTCGTCACTCCCAGATCAATCCCCCCCTCTTCCCTACAAATACTCTTCCCCCGCCCACTTCTCTTTTCCCTTCCTCATCCACTCCAACAACCTTCATCACCAACCAACTTTTTATCAAGTCTATCATCAAAGATGGCTCGTACCAAGCAGACTGCCCGTTAGTATTTCCCCTCCAATGACTTCATTCCATCGCATTTCATCAGTTCGCCTCACTGTCGCTGTCGCTTCTGAAGCATCATGTGACCGCGGTGGCGGACGTGTTGAAACGCGTTGACGCGTCTTTCCCCAAACATCGATTGCTAACAACTTCAATAGGTAAGTCCACTGGTGGCAAGGCTCCCCGCAAGCAGCTCGCTTCCAAGGCTGCCCGCAAGGCCGCCCCCTCCACCGGAGGTGTCAAGAAGCCTCACCGCTACAAGCCCGGTAAGTTCCCACTGAAGACAAATCCACTTGCACCCACTTGGAACATCCTTTTAACAGTCCACTGCAGGTACCGTCGCTCTCCGTGAGATCCGTCGCTACCAGAAGTCCACTGAGCTTCTGATCCGCAAGCTCCCCTTCCAGCGTCTGGTTCGTGAGATCGCCCAGGACTTCAAGTCCGATCTCCGCTTCCAGTCCTCCGCCATCGGTGCTCTCCAGGAGTCCGTTGAGGCTTACCTCGTCTCCCTCTTCGAGGACACCAACCTGTGCGCCATCCACGCCAAGCGTGTCACCATCCAGTCCAAGGACATCCAGCTTGCCCGTCGTCTCCGTGGCGAGCGCTCGTAATTTGTTTCTTTTCACGAGCTGGTTTTCAGATAGGCGATCATGGGGTTTCTTTTTTATCTTTTTATCATGACAATCGGCGATACATGATGGGTTTGCTTTCAAATATCAATGGGTTTCGGAACCGGGTTGCTTTGCAATTTTGCTTTTTATCAATGTTACTGCCTTCCACCGCAGTCGGTTGGATCAGCCATGGGCATGTACATTATGGGGCTCCCTCTTAACATGATGCCTTAGCGCGCATCATCTCATGGCAAGACGCTTAAATGCAGTCTTTTATGATTCAAATTCTTTTCTCTTCCAGTAAAATGTAAATGTAAGCACGAGACGCGCCCGACGCGAGTTCGAGCCTCGCATCCTTAGGACCACGACAGTTGCGCAGTGTCCCTTCGCTCATTTCGACTTGACTTGAGATCCCAACGGTGCATGACTGTCCCATCCTGACGATCCTCTTCGATGAACGCTACTCCAATCGCGAGTTCCAGGTCCAAGATCAATGGACTTCAAAGCCCAGCCGCATCACCGTCCCCACCCACCTCGAAATTCGCCGGAAGGTTTCCCCGATGACACAGAACTCACTTCGCACACCCGGTCCAACACCTGAGCACTAGGACACATCAGCCGTGTGACACACTACGCAATCCAATGACTCTCTACCCGCCCCATCCAAGAACCCGACAACATGATGGCTGAGACACTACCGAAACGGTCGCAACCTCGTATGATCTCATTCTGACCGTACTACAGGGGGTGTTTCTACATACAAAGCAAGCCCCAGGGAGTTGGCCGAGATTTCATTCATGTGGCGAAATCAATGAAGTGCCCCTCGTATTGTATGACTCAAGCGGGAGGGATCAAGATCACATCATCGTAATCGCCGACCGACTGGAGATTCTGTACGTGTAGTAATGAATGAGATGTGTAGTCAACCGCAATTAGAGAGCTTTTTGTGATTAGATCGTTCAATTTCAATAAATTCGTAAATTTCTGAACCCTTCTCTCAAAATCTCCTGTCATTTGGACTTGTGGCATCGAGAGCAGAAGCCCTTGGTTAAGAGTACAAGTGTACAAGGTCGGAGTGGTGTCGACCACATTCTTCAGGTGTCAATGTCGGATATTTTTTGTCTGAGGTGGGTCTGAAGATACTTCAGTGACCATTTTGTTTCTCTGATCTTCTTTTCCTAAGAAACTTTTAGGAGTCAAAATTGAGAATTCAGCTACCTCACTGACTGAAGATACACCGTACAAGATTTTAGCTGTCTAAACCCGCCGGAACATTAAGATCAAGGTCACATCCTCCGGCAGCAGAAGTACCTTCATGACAAAGTGGAGTCTGTAACGGGTTTATACGCCTCAGGCCAAAATAGAGCGTGGAGCACGGAGGGTGGAAAATTCTAGATTTGGAAGTGGCGTGGAACACCCTCTGTATCCTCCATGTGGCTTTATTTTTTCCAAATCTCTCTCTGCAAGCCACCCGGCTCCATCATGTCCGTGTGGTACGAACCTCGGCAATTGATTCCTAGTCTATACGGAGTATGGCTAGACCTTTTATGTCTTGCTTGATCTCTCGGGTTCTTCCGAGTATCTAATCTTGGAATGCGCTAGCACATTTGTGTACTCAATCTTCGATTCAGATGTTATGCATCATTTTTGCTTCTGGCTTGGTGATTTTGGATCAGCGTCTGGGAATAACAAAGTACTTGGGATAAGAGAATCACCTGAGCATCAGTGGGGTATCATTCGTAACATTTCATAATTATGCTATCACTTTTATGCCATGCTACAGTAGTTCTGTGAGCCTTGGGAGTTCACCGAAAGTACAATTACGCGTATGACATTCCTTCTCACCCATTGTTGACACAATCATAAGGTAAGCTGCGTCCAAGGCCCCCCATGGCCCCCAAAAGTAATCAAGGTTTGGGGCATTTTCCCCCACTGCGCATTGGAGTTGTGTTTGCTGATCCCCTGAAAGCGTGCTACAGTTGGTCTATTGCAAGTTGTGAGAGATGCAAGGGCTCTGACGGTTCCCAGCAATATTCAAGGCCTTCGTTTCAGATTGAGTCTTCCTCAACTTGTGATTTGGCCAGCTGCAGGCCTCTCAAGCAATTTCCATCTACAGTGTACCCCGTAGGATGTGACACAGTGAAGCGCCATGGAGGGCAAGAGGGGAAAGACCGACGATCATCTACACCGGTCATCGGAAAGTCCCCGGGCGTGGGTTGTAGGATCTGCGTCAGAAAGTGATAGAAGCTGCTTACTCGTACCCAATCCAGCAAGTTCATCTGATGGTTGATAATCACCCCAGGCTTGCGCACTATGCTATGTAATCAGTCGGCCATGAGAGCATAACTCTGATAGCATAAATGTCGGAGATTGTATTCTTACAGCCTTGTGGGATCATTAGATCCGGGTTCGAGTTTAATAGGCTCTGGCCCCTGTGGCCCCAATGAAGCTTCGGGAGGAACCGATACAGATGCCCACCCGGATGGTCCAAACCCGGCTGACTTATGCACGGCCCCCACGACATTACGGAGTATGTGCAACATTCTCCGTAGTCAGACTTGGGCAGCTCCAATGTTAATGCCTGGTCCATAGTTGCAGTTTAGCCACAACTGCTGAGTTAAAGAGGTCCTTCCGGTGCAAAGAGATAAATTCCCGGAGCAAGAATATTTGAAACAGGTGAACTTTTGAGTTCAACATTATTCAGCGGGGTATCTCCGGGGTTGTTCTGAAACCGAAAACAGACGGAAGGTGCGTGAGTCAAAATCTTCCGACCAATCAGGCCGATGCCGCATAGCCGAGTGTCAGCTTGGCATAACTTTCATAAGTCACGTGGCACACGTGGCAGCAAACGGGTACAACGCTGATGCATCTGTATACCACAGGCATACTCTGCGTGAACAGTCAAAAGCGACTCGGTGCTAAGATATCACAAACGAGACAAAAATCCCCGAAGTTATTGAAAATGGAGAGCTACAAGTCATAACAATAATGGGTCTATAAGATAACCTCGAAACCGGGACCCAGAGTTTTGCGACGGAGATAGCCTAAGATCCACTTATGTCCACTTTTTTATTCCCACTGTGTTTGCATAATGGGCCTTTTTCATAAAAGCTATGCAATTGAGAAAATTTCTCGAATGCGCCACAAGACCATGAATCCATTTCCAAGGTTCCTTTATAATAAAAGGGGTCCCTGCAGCTCTGCACCATCTACTCCGTACTTACCCCCCCCAACTACCACAGCTCACCTGAGCATTCCTTTGCTCCAAAGCATACATTTGCTTTCCCCTCAAAACCTCCCCGCAAGCGGAGCTTCTGGGTCTTGCGCTTTCCATAACAGTCCCCGGCCTCCGTCCCCATTGACTCCACCGACGAGCTTTCTTCCAATATACAAACTGCCCATTATGGCAGACACAAAACCTCAGGTCTCGGAGAAGATCGAATTCTCCGCCCCCACAAAGATTCCATACTGGCGCTTGGTCTTTGATCAGGGTGTCGTCACACAACAAATCCTAGACCACCCATACCCCGGTTCAGGAACGGATGATGATCCGTTCGCTGTAACATGGATCCCCGATGACCCCCGCAACCCGATGAATTTCAGTGAGGTGAAGAAGTGGACCTTCACCATGGTTGTGGCGATTGCGACTTTGGCGGTTTCTCTGGTTTCATCGGCCTACACTGGTGGTATTCAGGAAATCATGGCGGATTTCAATATCGGACAGGAACTGGCTACGCTGGGTGTTTCGCTCTTCGTTTTGGGTTTCGCTGTAAGCTTTCGTCTCTATATTGGGCATTGCGCAATGGGTCTGCAAATACTAACATTGGTCTATAGATTGGTCCTTTGCTTTGGGCTCCATTGAGTGAGCTCTTTGGCCGTCAAATTCTGTTCATCACCACCTACGCCGCTCTCACAGCTTTCAACGCCGGTGTCGCGGGCTCCAAGAACGCATGGACCCTGATCATTCTTCGATTCTTCGCTGGTTCTTTCGGATCCTCGCCATTGACCAACGCCGGTGGAGTTATCGCCGATATGTTCCCCGCTAAACAGCGCGGTGTCGCTATGAGCTTGTTCGCCGCTGCACCCTTCCTCGGTCCTGTTATCGGTCCTATCGCCGGTGGCTTTATTGGTATGAGCGATGGTGGCTGGCAGTGGGTTATGGGTTTCCTGGCGGCGTTTTCTGGCGCAGTCTGGATTATTGGCTCGCTGGTTATCCCCGAAACCTACGCGCCTGTGCTTCTCCGTCGCCGCGCAGAGAAGCTCTCCAAGCTGACGGGTAAGATTTACCGCAGCAAAATCGAGATTGACCAGGGCAAGGTATCCCTCAAGAACTCATTCAAGATTTCGCTCTCCCGTCCTTGGGTTCTCTTGTTCCGTGAGCCTATTGTGTTTTTGTTGTCTCTTTACATGGCTATCGTCTACGGTACCTTGTACATGATGTTTGCCGCCTTCCCTATCGTCTACCAAGAGCACCGTGGCTGGAGTCAGGGTATCAGTGGCCTGGCCTTCCTCGGAATTATGGTTGGCATGCTTATGGCTGTCGCATACTCCCTCTGGGATAACAAACGCTACGTCAAGACCTCTGAAGAGCACAACGGTTTCGCTCCGCCAGAAGCTCGTCTCCCACCGTGTCTCATCGCATCCGTTGCTATCCCCATTGGCCTTTTCTGGTTCGCCTGGACCAACTACACCTCCATCCACTTCATGGTCAGCATCGCAGCCGGTGTTCCCTTCGGTTTCGGAATGGTCCTTGTTTTCCTGAGTATCATGAACTACCTCATCGACGCCTACACCATCTTCGCCGCCTCCGTTTTGGCCGCCAACTCCGTTATCCGATCCCTCTTCGGTGCCGCCTTCCCTCTATTCACCACATACATGTACCAAAATCTCGGTATCCACTGGGCATCCAGCATTCCCGCCTTCCTAGCTCTCGCCTGCGTGCCATTCCCCTTCCTATTCTACAAATACGGTCCTGCCATCCGCACACGCTGCAAGTTTGCCGCCCAGTCCGATGCCTTCATGCGCAAAATCCAGGAACAAGCCACAACGGAACCCGTCGAAGACGAAAAAGTCAGCTACGATCGCACCGAGGCCCCAGGCGCCGAAGGCTCACTTTCCAGTGATTCCGATGATGAGGCCAACGCCGCTGCCGTTCCTTCGCAGCGGATCCGCAGCCGCGCCCAGTCTGTTGCGTCGACTCGCACAGCTGGCTCGATGCATCGCACTGTCACCTACGAGGGAAACCCCTATGATATTGACCGTGTCAATACTCGTGAATCTTTTAAGCAATAAGCTGCTGTGCAGCTTGTTTGCGTCCCCTTTTTTTACTCTCGAGGAATCGCCGTTATACATGGCGTTGCTCTAATCTTAGTTTATATTGACCTCTCACACTACACCCCCCCACACACAAAAAAAAAGCCTTGCATGTGCATACTTTGATTTGATACCCGAGCTTATCTCACTTTGTGCCATGTGTCGATATCCTTGGACACTGGCCTGGTGGGGTTTGGTTTCCCGACTGATGTTTTATATGATGCATTTGCTGTATGTAGCTGGAGTTTGGGTCTGCTTTTGTTTTAGAATTATTTTCAACTATTTAGTACATTTTCCATCTGAAACATTATCCGTAGCCAATGTTCCATGGTAGTTCCAAGGTTGGAAGTTTGAAAACTTACGCATTTATAGTCATTTTATTTGTTGTGTCATGCCACAGTACTGAACATAATACATTTATATATCCCACCTCAGAATCACATTTACCAAGCTTTGGAAGGTCACCAAGCGACTTGAACATGGAATACACATATAAACCTTAGAACACTGGGGCGTTGCCAATTACCAACCCAATACCCAAATTCGAAAGACACCAAAGCACTACCTAGTACTACTGGAACATGCATACCCAACGTTCATACTCCTAAATGGCGGACCAGGAAACTTTACTTCCAGGTGGGCCCACACGTGATCCGAGAGAAAAAAATGATTTTTTTCTCTCCTAACTGTGGATTGTATGTGACCTTGTCACCATTCAGTCCTTTAATAATTTTGTTCTTAACCCGTGCGCATCGATTCTCTCCCATATTTTCCGTGTGGTATTTCAATCCAAAGTGCTTCCGCAACAGCAGCAGTAGAGAATTGTGGAGTGACAGGTATGGAGATGGCGGGCAAGTACAAGATGCGTCAAATGGGGGCAAAATCTTGCCAAAAGCTCGTATAGATCAATTGGCAGATCGTCGCTCTTATATTGGTCTCCCGAAAGGGAACTCGTATGGCGAAGGTTGAGGGTTCGACCCCCCCCTATGAGCATTTTTTTTTGTTTTTCTTTCTTGTAGAGTATCAACTACATTGAGGATGAGTAGTACAATCTGATCATGATCTTAGCTATAGTCCTCGCGTACTCCGAATAGCAGGAGACAAAAGAGCAGCCCTCTCATACTGTATCTTGTTCCCAGCCGTTCGTAGTAGTTCACAGTAGTTCACCCCTTGGGGCATGCGACTCCGGGGATCGGTGCCACACCGAATCAAGCGCCAATCGGGTCCAGCGTCCGGCACTGTTTTCACCCGACTTTCGGCTGACTCTTATCGCGCAATAGCGATTAAAAATCACATCTCGATTTCAATTTCTCCCTTTCATTCCTTACTTTCTGTGAATATTCACGTGGGCTTTGGATACGCGTTTCATTCAGACTGGGCCCATGTCCAGGGCCCCGATCCAGGCCCGCCGCCCGATAAACCCCAGATCGCTACACCGACGCCCGCAACACCGACATACCTCCGACTCCGCCAAAAATGGACACAAGAACCCCGCGGAGAATAGCAAGCTCGAGAATGCCCAGTCACAATCTCATGCGTCAACACCTCCACAATCGGTGCCGGCGGGCGGCGCAGTCGTGCGATCGCGTGGACTTCGCAATGTCATAATGGCTGGACCGGTTGGGAAGTTTGGGCGATGGTATGCGCGCGCACAAGACCGCAAGCCGTATGCGACTCAGCTTTGGAGCTCGGTCATTATCTACCTGTGTGGTGATCTGAGTGCGCAGCTGATGTTTCCCGCCGAGGTATCGGCATCTGGAAAGGAGGGAGCGGAGGTGGAGGCGAATGAGGAAGAACAAGAGACTGTCACGGCTGGATATGATCCTTACCGAACTTTGCGACATCTTTGTGTTGGAATTGGATCTAGTATTCCATCTTATAAATGGTGAGTTGGGAGATTCAGGCTCGGGGTTGAATACAAATATACTAATGTGCATGTACAGGTTTGCATTCCTCAGCAACAACTTCAACTATTCCAGCAAAATCCTCTCGATCCTGACCAAGGTCGTTGTTCAACAGACTTTCTTCACTCCTGTCTTCAATACATACTTCTTCAGCGTGCACTCGCTTCTCGCTGGCGCTACACTTGATGAGACGTGGGAGCGATTGAAGAAGGCTCTCCCAGTCAGTATTCAAAATAGCGTGAAGCTATGGCCTGCTGTCACGGCATTCAGCTTCATGTATGTCCCAGCGCAGTTCCGGAACGTGTTCTCGGGTTGCATTGCTGTTGGCTGGCAGACATACCTCAGCTGGCTGAATCAGAAGGCAGCCAAGGAGGTCTTGATTGCAGAGCAACTTGCAGAAGCCGAAGAGAGGAACAGAAACACGCTCCCTGCTGTCTCTGGTGGGAGATTGATTACCGCCACAGCTGCTTAGACACAAAACAAAAAGGCGGCTGTTATGGATTTGTATAGATGTATAGACTTTGGGCGACATTTTGGCGTTTGACATCTTTTTTTGCCCCCTTTGGGAGCGGTGCATATGATACCAAGAGCAAGTGAGATCTAGATCTAGACTTTCATTTGCGTGATTAACTAGAATTGAAAATATTGCAATATTGAACGATACAAAGTGATATTCCGAGAGTATTCGGCCGACCAGTCAGAGTATCCGAATTCAGAATGACAACCCGCGCCCTCTCCCCAATGACGCACCCCGTTGATCTAGAACCTTAGAACCTCAAGACATGATCTCAGATCGCAGGCATGTCCTGCCTACGAGAATCGGATGACTCCAGTGACTACGGGTCGGATTTTACACCTGACGAAGAGCAGCTGTTGAACGACTTGCTCAATAAAGCTACAGGACCTGCGACCGGCCAGGCCGCCACCACCTCGCCCTGGACACCATCCTTGTCTTCGACCCCAGTCTCCGTCGAGCGGCTCACCACGCCAAAATTGCCGGAAATTTCAGAGCTCGACTTTATAAAGCCTGCAGTCCGAACGGTCTTTGTCGCAGATATCGAGGATGGGGTTGACGAGCCGAGTGCCCGGCTGCCTAAGGTACTGGGCCGTGAAAAGCCTCGTGCACCGTGGCGGTCGCGTCCAGCTCAGAGCTCTAGATGGAGTCCGACCGCTATGGGGAGATGGAGTCCGCACGCTGGCAACAGCAGCAGGCCCATATCGTCTGGTAAGCTTGTCTCGTTCTCCCCCGCGACGTCACTTCTCGTCGCGTTGCCATCGCATCCATATTCGGAGTTTTTGGTTAAGCTAACATCTTACTTCGAAGCGTTTAGTCGAGCACCCTGAATCAACTGAAGGCAGGACAGTAGAACGCGAGCGCCAAAATATCCGAGCGCTAGAATGGTCCCAGCAAGATCCCGAAGTTTTCGCGCAAGACACTCGAACACCCCTCGAACGGTTCCGCCAGGCGCCGAACAAAGCTTTCTCCGTGACCGATTTAGTTTCGCCTGCTTGGTGTGAGCTACAATATTGGTACACGTTAACCAAACATGGGCGGAAAAAGAGGACGGCTGCCATGAAGAAGGGAAGCTCCATGCACAAGACACTCGAGGATGAAATATATACCACTGTGCCCGTGGAGATCAAAACAAAGGAGGACGCATGGGGTCTGAGGATCTGGAACGTCATCCAGGGACTGCGCATGCTGCGCGAATATGGTGTCACGCGTGAAATGGAGGTCTGGGGAATGGTGGACGGGCAGATTGTCAATGGCATCATTGATCAATTATCCTATGAATGCCCTGACTCCGAGCTCGAGTCCACCGCAGAGAGCTACTATGCGAATGCCGTGGAGTCCCGAGCTGCTCTACCGGAGTACCAGATGTCTTTATCAGATTACCTGCTTTCCAATTCCGGGGGTGGAATGAGCCTTTCAGAATGGGGCCAGGGCCACAGTGAACCTGAACAGACAGCCCCCGTTGAAACAAAAGTTCCCGAGGCTGTTTATAATCTACCGCGGATCTACGTGACAGACGTGAAGACGAAAGCCAGCCGTTCAGTCCCTACTGTCAAAAGCTCCGGATTCCGACCCACTCATCTCCAATTGCATCTTTACTACCACATGCTCAACCGCCTTGTCACGAGCGACGATGTTACAATCGACGTGCTGGCTGCTCGGTATAACTTCGATGCCCAAAAATCATTCACCGATGACTTCGTCTCAGAAGTCGGTGGATTGAACGACCAATTCTTCGATGCCCTTTCCTCCCAAGAGTCCGAAACAACCGAAGCCCAAAATGACGATAGTCAAGACTCGACGGGCCTTCTCCTCTCACACAACAACCTCACACAACTTTGGAGTCTAATGATACACCAGCTTCGTCTCACCTTCCTTCCGCCCGCGGACGCAGAAGGCATCTCCTCATCCATCCCCTCTCAAACTCAACCAGAGATCCTCCAAGGATATCAGACTCTTATCTCCCCAGTGCTTACAGCCCGATACCTCTCGTCGGCTGCTAACGAAGCCCTGGAACGACAGCACCTGGGAAGCAGGTCTTTCCTTTTCGATCCACCGACCATGACTTCCTACCTGTCTGAGCAGATGTCATGGTGGCGTGGTGAGAGAGACCCCCGCGGTGTGGATGTCATGGACGCTTGGAAATGCCGTATTTGTGAGTTCCGTGATGAGTGCTCCTGGCGCCAGGAGCAAGAGATGGCTTATGCAAGACGGGGCCGGGGGCGTGCTGGCTCTCTGGCTGAGATATAGCCTTAGATTGAGGGTGGTTTCTGGTCCTGGTTTTGTTGTTTTTGGGTATGCATATACTTTCAGCGAAGCAAGAAGATGGAGTTGGTTATATGAACGCATGATACGTCTTGATTCTGGACTGTTGTGCTGATTGTATCATAGTTAATATTGGGTTGTACTTCTAGAAATATACGAGGTTCGTTTTACTCTTGCACTTAAAGTAGTCACATGTATTCAGAAATGTTGTGACCCTTAGGTTTGGTTGAATGTAGAAAGCTATGCATCCAACATCAGCGAATGTTACAGGTAAGCAAAATGAATCAAATATTCGTAAGACATCATATCATGACACGAGAAGCGAAACCGTCGCAGGCCCGTTTCAAAAAGGATAACTCCTAATTTCATCCTCCTTGTCAACCTCCAGACCCCCCTCAATCTGCTCCCGATGCTTCGAATCCAAATACTCCAACAAAACCTCCTGATACTTCTCCTTCCCCTTATATCTACTAACATCATCCCCCCAACTCCGAATAGCACTAGCCAACCTCCCAGGAACAAACGGCTCCTTCACAACCTCAGTAATAGGCTCGAAATAAGTACGAATGGTAAAAACCACCGCACCAGACTTCGGCAATCTCCTAAGCGACTGCCTCTCCGAACGAAAGAAATGATTCTCAATAGCACGATTCTTCTCCGCCGTTCCCCAAGAGACCTCATCCGCATCCTCAGGCCCAATACTATGTGACCAAGCCAGGTTATCGTCAACCTGGATGAAGTAATTGTTTCGTAGAACGGGGTCTTCGGGACGAAGCCGACGGAAGAAATTCATCATTCCTTTCTCGAGCTTGCTCTTGTATTGTGGGACGTCGCCTGAGGTGTGGATTTCAGAAAGTCGCATGCCGAATTTGTCCGTTAGGCGCCAGAAGCCGGCGAGGAGGACTGCGCCGCCTAGGAGGTAGTATTCGCCGTCTGGTCGTTCGATCATTATGGCCAGGTCGTCTTGGACGAGGCGTGCGGCTGTTGCCATTGGGTCTTCTGGGAGGGGGCGCTGGGTTATGTTGAAGGTTTCGTTGGTCACTTTGTTGGATATGCCTGTTGGGGTCTTTTCGAACATGGTTGGGTATCTTTCTGGGAGGTATTCGCATCTGATGGCGGTGTTAGAGTGGGCTAGTATCAAGGCTATGGCTGTTCGGAACTTACAGTTCGTTGAGAAGCTCGATTGCACCGTCCATCGCTTCTGGTGCAGTGTGGCAGCACTTGCTGCCGCGCTCTTCGATGCGTTGGGCTTTGTCGGCATGGTATTTTAGGTAGTGGTTGTCTAGTTCTGTGGGCATAGACGTGGTCAGTAGTCATATAGAATAATTAATTCAGATCGGGAATGATCATACCAATCCATTCGTTCCAGTTCATGCTCCTGAGTCCTAAAGTGACGAAGTATTTTCTGGAGTCAATGGTCAGAGAATGAATTACCCAAGTAGGATGGTGAATTGTACGACTTACGGTCCATATCTGAAAGGTCTATAGGGAAGGGGCTTAGTTGAATGTACATTCCAGTCTGTATAGGGTGTTGCCGTGGGTCTCTTGAAATCAGACGGTGTCCATTCTATACCGAAGAATAAAGAGTCAGTCTGATTGCGCAAAATTGCTGGATCCATATACTCACCACCGGGTGGTCTAACAACCTTCCCTCTCACACCGAGAGCAGGCTTCTCCAAGTCAGGACTGGGAGCTCTGACAGTCGCGCCAGACGACCATCTTCTTGATACGAAGACACCGAGACAAGCACATAGATTGAGAACCAGAAATATCCCAATGAGATCCTTCGGGATACTCAGTAGTATGCTTCGCAGAGATTCGAAAGCCAACATAATGTTGATATAATCAAGAAACTGTAGTAGGACAACAGTGAACCTTTCTCCACTTGGGAAGCATTTCTCTGCGACTAGAAAGCCGAGAAAACAACAGCCTACTTATCTAGTACAATTAGTTAGTGGACACCAAGTAGATCCAGATCGCCCTTATCAAGTGCAGACTTGAACTTCTTAGAAGGGTCTCTCTTGCGAGCTGCCGTTCCTGTTAATACGATGCGAGAAACCGCGTTATCTCTGCCTACCGGCTAGTATGCTGCGGCTTGGACGGCGTTGACTTCATTTCGCGGGGAAAGAGGACAAGTACTTCTCCGCATCTCTTTTGAGCCGTTGGATCCGACACTGCATATTCTGGGATCAATTCAAGCTGGGCAGTTGGACAGGTGACTTTGCCTTGAAACCATATCAATGGTCTATCTGCAGATCACGGCTTATCATTCGCTGGAGTTGGGGATATTTTGACCGCATTGGGAACAGTGACGCTACTGCTATCAGCTGCGGTAATTGGATTGTTCAGAGGTTCGAATGTTAATACATTGATATTTGAATAAGTTAAATGTCCAGACTTCGTTCTGGGTCTATACAATGTTTTTGGCACTAGTTCGCTGAAGAAGGCAGTAATCGCCCCATTTGCGTTGGAAGCGATCAGGAATAATCGGGAGATTGGGAATCCAAATCAAGCGACCCAACAGCCCAGTTTGAGACGAGTCAAGGAAGCTTGCGCATGATAATGTTTCCCAGTTATCCTTGTCCAGGGCATAATGAGGTTCGAGCTCGGTCGCATCATGGCCAGGGAAGTGAGAGTCAACCAGGAAGGAACATTGAGAGATATCGACCTATTGTCAAGTTAGATTGATAGCGACTGTCGAAAGTTGTTCAAAGTACTCACGTATTTACTGGGATCCTCAATGTTGAGGTCGTTCATGCCTGACGGAATCTGCGATGCTCCTCCCAGCCGCTCGAGGTAGCTTGGCGCATCTGGGAACTCGCCCGGGAGCAATCCGCGGAACTCACTTTGAATGAACTTGGCACGCAAGTCGTGGGGGAGGAAGTATGACGAGGGGAATCGATACCACTCCTTACCGAAACAAACAGTATCTTCTCTTTGTGTGACAGCAATGTCCTGCAGAGGCTCATAGATCTTCAGTGGAGCATTGTATGCTGTGACCATACCCAGGGTGCGCAACATTCCTGCGTTAAGCGCAATGAGGACCACCGACAATGCTGCAGTAATCTTGAACTTGGTTGGAATACGGCCGACCAGTTCCTTTCGGTCAGTGGAGCCGAGGTAGGTCAAGATGATGTGGAATGAAAGGGCCGCGCTCAGTGCCAGGAACGGGTACGCTGGGTACATGAATCGCTCTTCCTTGTGAGGCTGGAGCGTGAAGATCCCTAACCACATGTAGAACGGGGCAACCAAGGACAAGGATCGCAACGAAGTTTGTAACGAGGTAGTGTGAGATCGGAATGCGATTTGGAAAACCAAGAAGGGCGCCGATAGCATAGCGAGCGCAAACCAGACATTGAAGTTGAGAAGGAGGTTTCGAATGTAGAAAGTCCATGGCTCTGTTCCGAAGATGTCTGGTCCTTTACCCTCTCCACCCAAAATATTATAAGCAACAATGTTCCAGGGCACCAGAGCAAACCTTTTGAAGAAAGCATAGTCGACTGCAACCTCAACGGCCTATATAGATGTTAGATTGGGTCTTCGTATTAGAACAGATTTTACATACCAGAATGCCGAGACAACCAATGAGCCCATCGGCAATCGTCCAAAAGAGATTGACCATGGACCCAGAGGTAAGAGTAAGAATAACTTCTTCGGCCAAAAGAGGGACAATGAGGGCGCCTGCGAACGGCCACCCGACAATGGTGCCCAGACCAAACCACATGATGCCATGTGCCGCTCTTTGGGCGTTCTTCCAGTCCAGGAAAGCTGCCAAGCCAAGAATTGACATATACATGGTGAAAGTGGATGGCAAAAAGGCGGTTGAAGCATGGAACATGCCCGGGCTAAATATGACAACCATCAAAAACAATAGACCGATGCGAGGGCTGAGAGTGCGGCAAATTGCAGAGTATAGTCGAGTCTGACAAGCAGAGCAGACAAAGGCGAGGAAAACTCGGATTGTGTAGAATTCAGCGGTCTTGCTGTGGACGAACATTGATCCCAGTTTTCCTACAATAGCATGCAGCGAGACGTAGAGCCAGCTACGGATGGAGTAAACCGGCGAATATTCCCATGTTTGGAGGCCATATCCATGCTGTAAGTAGTGCGCAGGTTCCCAGAAATTGAAAACCTCATCGCAATCCTGGATTGGAGCGTAGAATGCGGCCAGACAGTTGGCAGCTAGGAAGATGTAGAGGGCGATATTGAGGGGGATGTAGAACGGAGGTGGTGGGGGTCTATATCGACCACGTCAGCTTGAGATTTGGACATGAGAGGAAATGAAGCGCACTGTTTCTTTGTCTTAGGGGTATGACCTTCCCCCGAGGCATTATTTTTCCCTGCCATGTTGCAACTTGGCGAGTTGAGTTGGAAGCTCGGAGCATCGGAGCTACGATAAGTGATAAGATCACCACACCGCTTTATAGATACGGGCAGAATAAAAAAAGTTTCCTGCCGAATCTCTGCTTCTGTCGTTCGAGATTTATTTTTCTTCGTTCGGATCATTTTTCTTGTAACTCCATAGCTCAAAATGAGTGACCACCAGAACCCCTCAAATGAGGCCACAGGTGCCAGCGAAGGCCTCGTCACCAAACCGCAAACCCTCATCGATACACCACCTGTCGCAGGAACCCCAGACAACGCTAGCGATTTCTACAACACCCCTCTCACCGGAGGGACACCCGTACCCACCACAAGCGCTCAGGCAGCGGAAGCGTCTCGTGCAACAGATGATGCCGCGCGCCCACTTCAACCTTCGATTCCTGGGCTGAACCTCGTCGACCATCCCACAGAACAAGACACCAGCATGGAAACCGAGGCCACCATTAAACAGGGTGGAGAGGGTCCAGCCGCCAACCAAGAGGGAAACCAAAACCCTCCCCAGCCCCAAGCCTCCGATATGGAAATCAAGGAGGAGACAGAGACGACAGAAGTCAAGCCCGAGCCAAAGGCTCTGGTCGACGACGTGATGGAAATTGTCGATACACACGACGCCAACATGATCGATGCTGGTGTGAAGAACGAGAATGAAGACGAGCACCCAGAGTGGGAAGTCGACTCTTCTCCGTATGAATCCTCTTCGGACAGCTCCGATTCCTCGGATTCGGACTCGGATGACAGTGACGATGAAGATTACCCTATCCTGAGCGCAGAGGAGCAAGCCAAAATTCTCATGCATGCGGAGGGTGGCTCGGATGATGAGGGGGATGGCAAGGGAAAATCAGGCGCACAACTTCGCACAACCAATGAGATTGAACAAGAAGTCTTGCCGCTTCCTGATGTCAAAGTCACACCCGAGATGAAGATCGTGTTCTTGGGCAAAATCCATGCCGCTATCGACAACAACGTCCTCATTGAGGCCAACACATCTGGAGAATACCAGGTCCTTGAATCAGGCTCTTTGCTTTGCTTTGCAGATCGAACCGTCGTTGGTGTGGTTGCTGAGACATTGGGCCGAGTGGAAAATCCTCTGTACACCATGACCTACAAAACTGCCGCTGAAGTAGAGGAGAAGGGTCTCGTCAAGGGCATCGATATTTTCTATGTTGAGGCACACTCTACGTTCGTCTTCACACAGCCACTCAAGGGCATGAAGGGAAGCGATGCATCCAATTTCCACGACGAGGAAGTCGCGGCAGAGGAAATGGAATTCTCCGACGACGAGGAAGAAGCTGAATACAAGCGTAAGCTGAAGCAAAAGCGCCAAGAGAGAAAGGAGGCTAGGGATGGCCCCAAGGGAAAAAGGCTGCCCCAGGCCCGTCTAAGTTGAACCAGAGTGAGCTCAACTACGATGATGCTGGAGCTGAAGGTTACACTCCTCTCGAACGCCCTACAAATCTCCACGAGATGATGGGCGCCCGCGAGGCGCCGGTCGAAGGCAACGAACGTGGTGGCCACCGCGGTAGAGGCCGCGGCCGTGGTGATCGTGGTCGTGGTGGACGAGGCCGTGGTGGAGCTGGCCGAGGTGGAAGAGACTGGGATCATGAGCGTCGTCCTCACCAGAGCCATGAGCCCCAATCCCAACCCCAGCACCAGCCTCTTCAACAGCAGCCTGCTCCTTATGGACAGCCAGCGTACGGCATGCCTCAGCCTTTCGCTGCCTATGCTCAATACGCCCAACAACAAGCCCAGAACCCCCAGTTTGCTCAGCAGCAACCACAGTTTGGCCAGGGTGGACCGCAACCACAGTACCCCTTCCAATTCCCCTTCCAGCAGCCTCAGATGCAGCCTGGTGTTTTCCAAGGTGCTCCTCAGGGCGCGCCTCACATCAACCCACTCTTCCTTGCTGCTCTGCAACAGCAGCAGCAATACCAGCAGCAGCCTCAACAGTACCAACAATATCAGCCTCAGTACCAGCAAACTCAGCAGCAGCAGCAGCAGCAGCAGCAGCAGCAGCAGCAGCAGCAGCAGCAGCAAGCTCCTCAGGGCCAGGCCCCACCCATGGGCTTTGACCAGGTTAAAGCACAGTTGGATTTGCTGCGAAGCCTGAGCCAAGGAAACCAAGGCCCCCCTCCCTCATGAGCACAGTGATTTTTTTCCACATTTCTGATATCTTGAAATCAGACTATTTGCATATGGAGCGGAGTTTACATGGATGGGCTGGATTTTTTGCTTTTGTCAAAATGTTTTCTGATAGGTTCACATAGTTTCAAACCACTTTGGTTCATAGTGTGCCCCCTTAGGCGACAATGTCAATAGAAAAGTAACTTTGAAACACAAGTTTAAGAATGACAAAGGCTATGGAGAAAGATAAATCGCTATCAGCAGTAATAGATACAAAAGAGTCATTGAGAAGACAGAAGTCAGAATTCAGCTGGCTTTGCACTCTTCGCCAAAGTCCAAAAGTTCTCCATCTTGGCCTTGGACAGAGCCTCTTTGGCTGCCGAGTCAGTTTCACAGACACGGGCACCGAACCATCTTCTGAATGCTCGGCCTTTGGCTTGACCTTCCCAGATGAGAGTGCACGTGTTCTGACTGAAGTCGCGCGGTTCTCCCTTTTCGTCTTGTGTGGACAGCCACGTAACCTTGGCCTCGGGGCTATCAGCAGAAACTCGATCGGATCCAGGGTTTTCAGTCCAATCAATGCGGTTCACCATCAGCTTCCGGTAATTGTTGATAGAGTGCTTGCCGCCTTCAACGACCACGAGATTGAGCTTTGGATGCATGACGCAGATACCTGTCAACTTATTCTGCTCTGCGTTCTTGCCGATCTTGAAACGGTTCCGGCCGCTTGCCAAGCTGTCAATGCGATACACAGATTGGAATATGCCCAAAGAAGCATCTTTCTCTTGCTGAGCTTCTAACTTCTCACGCCTTTCCTCCTTGGTCAGCTTGCGCTCTTCGTTTGCCCGCTCGTGCGTCTCCTTGCGATCTGCAATCTCTTTGGTGACACGTGCTTCTACAGCCGTGGGATCCTTCACGGCTTCATTTCCAAGAACACGCATAAGATTACGCTTCTTCACCTTGGGGGCAGGTGCCTCGACAAGACCCAGCCTGATCTTGGCCTGCTCTTCCTTGAGATCTGCTGCACGTCGCTGGCGGCGAATCTTGGCCTGCTCCTTTGGAGTCAGATACATGGCTTTCTGGGCAGGCACATGCTTCTCCTGTGGAGGTTCTAGTTGAATGGGGTGTTGGATGTAGGCGGTGATTGGGGAGTCGGGGATGTCGATTTTGATATTTTGTTGGTTATCGATGGCAGAATAGTCACTGCCATTGATAAGAGCTTCATCCCACCATTCTATAGCCGGTGGAGCAGGGACAAGGAATGATTTCTCAACATCCATCTCTTCATCAAGACCGGCCTGTCGTGCTTTCTCGGCGATTCTCTTCTTCATAGCCTCCAACTGGTCCTGTCTGCGCTTAGCCGCACCCTGCTGAATATATTTTCCATGTGGGTTGAATTCAAGATGGCGAGACTGCCGTGGCTTTGCGACAGTAGCTTTAGGATTGAGATTTGGGTCAAAATACGGGTTGTTCTTGATCTCCTCCACAGACGGGCCAGACAGATCAAGCTGGGGTCCACCCGCACGTTTGGGCTTGGGCTGCTTTCCCTTCCCGCTGCGGAAGTCGGACGTGGTATCAGCAAGAAGTGCAGGATGAAGGCCGACATCTAGACCACCACGAGCTCGGCTCATGCCCTCGTCGTCGCGGGTGGGGGGTTGGTGGGATGGTGCCGGCGCAGCAGGTCGGGATTGAGATGGGGCGCTAGCTCGCTGAGTAGCTGCTGCTACTCGAGCCTTCATCTGTTCAAGTTTTGACATGGCGGGGGAGGGCGCTGGCGGAGCAGGGCTCGCGGGTTCGGTCGCGGGTGGTGTTGGTGTTGCTGTCGCGCCACCACGGGCAGCTTGCAGGCGAGCGCGCACAGCATCTGCCTTGGCCTTAGCTTCGGCAATCATTTTGTTGATATCTGTTTGGCCCGGGGCAGAGCCTCCTTGGCCTGGTGCTGGGGACCCATTGTTGGAACGGGTCCGTTTTTGGGAGAGGTCTTGATCATCTGGATGAGGGCGCTTCAGCGCATTTCCCGACGCGTCAGCCATGATGTGCAAGACACCTCACTCTCTCAGAATTTCAGCAGCTGAAAGTTCCAAGAGGTTGCACTGGTGACAAGAAAGTCCGATGTAAAGTGACGGCGATCGCAGAAACCTAAGGGTAAGGCGGTAAGGAATAGCAGAAAAAGTTGCTCCTCCGGAAAAAAAGTTCGCTCCAGAACTAAAGCACTTGGAGATTGATCCGAGCACTTTGATTTCGTGCGCCTGCGTTTTCTGTTGCTCAAGGAGCTACAGGCTACAATGGCATCATTCGCGCGCCCGGTCGCCTCGACCATCAATGGGGTCGACTTTAATGTCTACTCCGAAGAGGAGATTAAAGCTCTCTCGGTGAAACGCATTCACAATACTCCGACATTGGATTCTTTCAACAACCCAGTCCCTGGCGGTTTGCAAGACCCTGCTATGGGTGCATGGGGTGACCATGTGTATGTGCTCCTCGAAATGTCCATTATATCCTGCAACCTCTAATGCGAGAGATTTTCTCACAGATGCACTACCTGTCGCCAGAACTCTTTCACCTGTACTGGACACCCCGGTCACATTGAGCTTCCAGTACCATTCTATAACGTCACTTTCTTCGACCACATTTTCCGTCTCCTCCGCGCGCAATGTGTGTACTGTCTTCGCCTCCAAATGGGCCGCAACCAAGTCAACATGTACATCTGCAAGCTGCGCCTTTTGCAATATGGGTTGACCGACGAAGTCGCTATTGTCGACACCATGGGGTCGGTTAAAGGCGGAAAGTCCAAGGCAGCAAAGGGCAAGGAGCAAGATTCGGATGATGACGACGAACTCGACGACGAGGATTTCATGCAAAAGCGGACCGACTATGTCACTCGGCGCATTCAAGAAGCTAAAAAGTCGGGCAAATTGGAAGGATTGATGACCGGTGGACAAAATCCCATTGCCGCCGAGGCCAGACGAGAGTTGATCAAGACTTTCTTGAAGGACATCAATTCTTACAAGAAATGTGTCAACTGCAGCGGGTACGTTTCTACATGAAACATCTTCAATTTGCGCTTCATCGCTAACTAAACCGCAGTATGTCGCCCTCTTACAAGAAGGACCGCTATAACAAGATTTTCCGCAAGCAATTGCTCGAGAAGTCGAAGCTGGCAATGACACAAGGAGGATTCCAGGCGAAGAACACCATGGTTCTTCTGGAAGAAGAACGTAAATACCAGTCGAAGAAGCACAGCACAGAAGCTTTACATGGCGCCGAGGAAGAGATCCGTCTCGGAGCGGCTGTCATGCAGCAAGCAGAGGCAACCTCCGGCCAGGAGTTCATGTCTTCTTCCGAAGTCTATGCAGCACTGCACTTCTTGTTCCAAAAGGACAGCGAGGTTCTCCAGCTTGTCTATAACTCTCGGCCTGTGCCCAAGGGACAAATCGTTGTGACCGAGGACATGTTCTTCATCAAGAGTTTGATGGTGCCACCAAACAAATACCGCCCTGCAGTGCAGCAAGGTGCTGGGTCAGTCATGGAGGCACAACAGAACACTTCATTCAACGCGATTTTGAAGGGTTGCGACACCATCAACCAAATTAGCAAAGAAATTCAAAACGAGGAGGAAAAGACAATGTCTCGGGCCCGCAATTACAGTGATCTTCTCCAGGCAATGGTGTTGCTTCAAGATCAGATTAACGGTTTGATCGACCGCGATCGTACTTCGGTCACGGGCTCTGCCGCTGCTGCCCAGCCTAACGGTATCAAGCAGATTCTTGAGAAGAAGGAGGGTCTCTTCCGAAAGAACATGATGGGAAAGCGTGTCAACTTTGCTGCCCGTAGTGTTATTTCACCCGATCCCAACATCGAGCCCAACGAGATCGGTGTTCCCCTTGTCTTCGCTATGAAATTGACATTCCCTGAGCCTGTGACAAATCACAACTTCTGGGAGTTGAAGGAAGCCGTTATCAACGGCCCCGACAAGTACCCTGGTGCTTCCTCCATTGAGAATGAGAACGGCCAAGTTGTCAACCTCAAGTTCAAGAACCTCGAGGAGCGGACGGCGCTCGCTAATCAATTGCTTGCCCCGTCAAACTGGCGCCAGAAGGGCTCACGAAACAAGAAGGTTTACCGTCACCTCACCACCGGTGATTACGTCTTGATGAACCGTCAGCCCACCCTGCACAAACCCTCCATCATGGGTCACAAAGCCCGTGTCCTTCCCAACGAACGCGTCATTCGCATGCACTACGCCAACTGTAACACCTACAACGCTGATTTCGACGGTGATGAAATGAACATGCATTTCCCCCAGAACGAACTCGCCCAGGCAGAAGCTAGAATGCTTGCGGATGCCGATCACCAATACCTCGTTGCCACATCAGGCAAACCCCTGAGAGGTCTGATTCAAGATCACATTTCCATGGGAACGTGGGTCACTTGTCGTGACAGTTTCTATGATGAAGAAGATTACCACCAGTTGCTGTACAGTTGTTTGAGACCCGAGCACTCGCACATTGTCAGTGACCGGATTCAACTAGTTGAACCCGCTATGCGGAAGCCAAAGTGCCTGTGGACCGGAAAGCAGATTATCACAACAATCCTCAAGAACATTCAGCCCGCGGAGCGCGCAGGTCTGACCCTGAAGAGCAAGTCTTCCACCCCGGGTAACCGATGGGGCGAGGGCAACGAGGAGGGAGAGGTCATCTTCCAAGATGGAGAATATCTTTGCGGTATTCTTGATAAGAAGCAGCTTGGTCCCAGCGCTGGAGGTCTCATTGATGCCATCCACGAGGTTTACGGTTACAGCACCGCCGGAAAGCTGATCGGTGTTCTTGGCAGACTTCTTACCCGCGTATTGAATCTGCGTGCCTTCAGTTGTGGTATTGACGATCTGCGGTTGACCAAGGAGGGTGACCGCATTCGTAAGGAGAAGCTGGCCACTGCGCCTCAAATGGGTCGCGAGGTCGCTCTGAAGTACGTGACTCTGGACAAGGCTCCTGGTGACCAGACCGACGAGTTGAACCGCCGATTGGAGGAGGTTCTTCGTGACGACGACAAGCAGAGTGGCTTGGATAGCGTTTCCAACTCCCGTTCTGCTAAGCTTTCTTCTGAAATCACCAGTGCTTGCTTGCCACACGGTCTTGCAAAGCCTTTCCCCTGGAACCAGATGCAGTCTATGACGATATCTGGAGCCAAGGGATCTGGTGTCAACGCCAATCTGATTTCTTGTAACTTGGGTCAGCAGGTTTTGGAAGGTCGTCGTGTACCGCTCATGATCAGTGGAAAGACTCTTCCTTCCTTCAAGGCCTTCGAAACCCACCCCATGGCTGGTGGTTTCGTCTCTGGTCGTTTCTTGACTGGTATCAAGCCCCAAGAGTACTACTTCCACGCCATGGCTGGTCGTGAGGGTCTTATCGATACTGCCGTCAAGACATCGCGCTCTGGTTACCTGCAGCGTTGTTTGATCAAGGGTATGGAAGGTCTCAAGGCTGAGTACGATTCATCCGTTCGCGAATCATCCGACGGATCTATTGTCCAGTTCTTGTACGGAGAGGACGGTCTTGACATCACCAAACAAGTCCACCTCAACGACTTCGACTTCCTTGCCGAGAACCACGTCTCCATTTCCAAGCAGGTTCAAGCCGACGATTTCCACAAGTTGGCCAAGGAAGATGTTTCCAATTGGCACAAGGACGCAATGAAGGCTGTTCGCAAGACCGGAAAGGTTGATGCCATGGATCCTGTGTTGTCGCGCTTCCCCCTGGAGGAAACCTGGGTAGTACGTCTGAAGCGTTTGCCAACGAACTCAAGAAGGTAAGAAGCCACTACGCCTCATGGAAACATTCGCCATGCTAACCCTTTTCTAGTACACGGACAGCAACAAGAACCAGCTCATCAAGGATAAGAAGAAGAACATCGAGGGCAAGTTCACCAAGAAGACCTTCGAGGCCTTGATGAACATGAAGTATATGAAGTCTATCATCGACCCTGGTGAAGCGGTCGGAATTATGGCTGGTCAGTCTGTTGGAGAGCCGTCTACACAGATGACACTTAACACATTCCATTTGGCTGGTCACTCAGCGAAGAACGTCACACTGGGTATTCCCCGTCTTCGTGAAATTGTCATGACCGCAAGTGCCAACATCATGACCCCTACGATGACTTTGCTTCTGAACGAAGAGATCTCCAACGAGGACTCAGAGAAGTTTGCTAAGGCTATCAGTAAGCTTACTATCGCTGAGCTTGTTGACAAGGTCCAAGTCAAGGAGCGTATTGGCTCTGGCGTTGGCCACTCGAAGGCTAAGATTTACGACATTGAAATTACTTTCTTCTCCGCTGAAGAGTACACCAAGGAGTACGCCATTGAGACCAAGGATGTCTTGGTTGCTCTGCAGTCCAAGCTTGTTCCTCGCTTGGTGAAGCTCACCAAGGCCGAGCTCAAGAAGCGTAATGACGAGAAGAAGGGTGTCAAGGGTACCACTTCTCAGCCCGAAATCGGTGTCTCCGTTGGTAAAATCGCAGAGGCACCCAGAGGCGCCGACTCAGAGGCGCAGCCTGCCGACGATGACGACGAGGACGACGTGGACGACGCCAAGCGGGCCGCCGGAGCTCAAAACCGCGGCAACCAGGTTTCCTACGAGGCACCTGACGACGCCGAGCAGGACATCATCAACCGCCAAGACACTCCTGACGACGACGATGATAACGAAGAACAATCCAGCAAGCCTTCAAAGACCACTCGTGATGTGCAAATGAAGGACGGATCCGATTCAGAGGATGACTCTGACGACGAAGTTGCCCAAGACAGCAAGTCGCGCGAGCAAGACGTCATGGGCCAGTTCGAGGAAATCACCAAGTTCAAGTTCGATCCTAAGAAGGGTCTCACCTGTCACATTCAACTACAGTACGACGTCGAGACTCCTAAGCTTCTGCTCCTTCCTCTGGTCGAGAAGGTCCTCCATCTTTCCGTTATCCAGTCCATCCCCGGCATGGGCAACTGTGTCTTTGTCGAAGCCGACGAGGCGAAGGGTGATCCCGCCAACATCCTCACGGATGGTGTCAACTTGCTTGCCATGCGTGATTACCAGGACATCATCAAGCCCCACTCGATGTACACAAACTCCATCCACGACATGCTCAACCTCTACGGTGTTGAAGCCGCTCGTGCTACTATTGTTCGTGAAATGGATGCCGTTTTCGGTGGTCACAGTATCTCCGTTGACAACCGTCACTTGAACTTGATTGGTGATGTGATGACCCAATCCGGTGGCTTCAAGGCGTTCAGTCGTAACGGCCTGGTCAAGGAAGCATCCTCTGCTTTCGCGCGTGCCAGTTTCGAGACGACTGTCGGCGCCCTGAAGGACGTTGTTCTTGAGCGTGGCGTTGACAACCTCAAGAGTCCCAGTAGCAGAATCGTCGTTGGTCGTATCGGTACTGTCGGTACCGGTTCCTTCGATATTCTCGCTCCTGTAGCATAGTCACCCTCTGACTGGATGGAGTTCTGAAATGTGTATTTGATCTTGTATTTCCTCATGTGTATATTGTGCTTTTGCAAAGCTTTTGATTTCAGTTACGTCAGTTGCTTTTCTGTCACACTTGATCTTTGATGTGTCGATGATCTGGAGTTTGTCTTTGTGCAGCGGAACTAAAAAGTCTCTCTCCCTGTTCATATTTGCATTGTATCTAGTCTCTAAATAGATATTTTCAAAGTATTTTCTCTGGATTCTTCTAAGTCACCAGCCTTCTTCGGGGCCATATCTCTAGTCATCTCTGGGCACTGTTTCTGGGTAACAGGACCCAACCCATGGACGAAACTAGGAAACTAGAAGCAAACGTACAACTTAATGAGCACCAATTTATTCAAAGGCTAAGAGTAATACATACGAAGTCGACATTGCTAGAAGAGGAAAGTATTTGTTTTGTATAGCTTATTTTTCAATCATCTGAGGCAAAGCGCACTGTATTATGTGCTGTCCGTAGAAACACCATCCATGCTGAATGGCACCATGCCCAGATCCAAACGCCTAGTCCATGCCAGTAAATGCATTATGTACCAGAAAATGACAAGATTATTTTATTGCGCGTCGAGCATCATGAGATCCTCATCAATGTCATCATCGAAATCATCGTCGACAATGCGAGATGCAGATGGGATCACGCCGTCCATGTTCCCATTCACTTCCTCTCTCATCATCCGCTCCTCCTCTGTTTTTCGCTTTGCCTCATGGCGTTCGATATCAGCCAAACTCCACGTGGAAATGCCTTCTTGATCCTTCGACTTGAAGGGCTGAGCCATTGTACGCAAGAAGTTCTTGGCGTTCGATACGGCCATATCTGTGCTCAAGTTGGTTTCGCTGTCCAGCATGGCCTGGTTGATCCACTTTGGAAGCTGGGGGCGCTTTCGCTCGAATCGGCGATCTGCCAACACCATGACTCCATAGTCGTCCTTGCCACGCAGGACACGTCCCAAGCACTGAGCGGCGTGTCGAATAGCATCGAAAGACAAGAAGTCATTCTCTCGGATGCGGTAGTTTTCACGCAAGAACTCGAGTCGAGCTTTCAGGATGCGAGACTCGGTGTACTGGAATGGAACACCGATACACAACACCGCACGACCGTAGTGGTGGTCGAAATCAATACCTTCGGAAACCTTTCCTCGGGCGACACAGAACAAGATTGCGCCACGCCCGTTGCAACACGCGGTCCGATAAGTTTCCAAGGCTAGTGAAGATTCTTGCGCATCGGGTGTTTCAACAAGGATCAACTTATAGTTCCAGATCTGATCCAATATGCCCATTCCTTGCCACATACTGATGATGGATTCCATGTAGAGATAGGAGGGGAAGAAGACGACGACTCCATCAGGGGTGATACGCGCAAACTCGGTAACCAAAGAGCCATAGTTTCTCACAACACCAGGATCATTTCGAATTCCGAAAGAAGAGGAGACTTGAGCTTGATCAGAGCCTCGAGTGACAATCATAGGCAAGAATGATCGTCGAGCTAGTGTCATGCTGTAGGACTCCTGCAGTACGGCATTGAATCCCAGCATCTTCGGATACATTTCCAAAGGTGATAAAGTTCCCGATGTAATGATCACAGAACTGAAACGGTCGAATACTGGTTTAATGGCAATGGCGGCATCCAAACACGTGAAGTGAAGTATGGGGTTTGGTACAGTAGCCGCCTCGGATTCAAACGGCTCTAGGATGAGCACAAATCCTTTATCGTAAGTTGCGACAAGCGTTGCAAAGGTGGCTACCTCTTGGAGAGGCTGATAGTCCTCGATATTGACAAGCTCCAGCGTTCGAACGAGTGACGTTAGACGCTCAGCGCAGAACCTCAAGGGCTTTCGTTCAATGTAGGTAAGGTCTCTCAGGTGTGTTAGGAAAGAAGGGGGTGTTTCGGATATGGTATGGGTCACTTTCATGCGAGTCTTGAGATACTCAATGAATCTCTTCAAGAAGGAAACAAAGTGTTCTGCGCGACGAATATTGCCGGGAACTGCTTCCTTGAGTAAGTCGTCGGGCAACACCGGATTGGAGATAAATTGATCCTCTTCGCGAGCTTTCTCTGCCTCTTGTAATCCTTCCACCAGTTTTGTGTATTCGTTCTTCAGCTTCTCCTCATCTGAGCTTTTCATTTCTTCGATCTTGCGTTCTAGATTTGATGCGCCTCGGGTCGCTTTTCGCAAAGAGTCCTCACTCAGATCTATACTGAGGGATTCGATACAGACGTTGTCAATGTTGTGAGCCTCGTCAAAAACCACGATGCAATCTTTTGAAAGCTCTCGTGATACACGTTCTGCGATTTTCGGATCCAGAAGATAATGGTATGAATAGATAATGATGTTGCACCAAGGCATCTAGGAAGTTGCGTCAGAATTGGACTATCACATGGGGTAGAGCATCAGGAGCTTACCATGCGCCGAGCAGAGAAGTATGGGCATTGCTTGTGCTCTTCTCCGTATCGCGATAGTCCATCAAGCGTGAAGACGCCGGGGGGAACGAGGTTATGCGGTTCGAGTAGGTCGAGATTCTAGTGTCCGTTAGTTGGTCCCAAAGTGCGCTGTGGGCGAGCAAAGCATACTTCATGATATACGCAGAGATCGACATCTTCGCCTCGTTCCTTTTTCTCCTTGACGAAGCCCGCTGTCAAGCTTCTGCACCTAGCATCGACCACCGTACCACTCTTTTCTCTCTTCACGGAAGGGTGAAGACAGAGGTTCTTTCGACTGGTGAGACCGAGTGCGCGGAATTCCTCCTCATGACCCAACTCCTTTGCGCGGTGTTCCATCAGCGCCTTCAGCTCTGCTAGCGCTTTCTCAATCTCCGACATTGTTCGGGAGCAGTAAATGAGCTTTCGGTGCTCTGGGTAGTGCTGTTGGTAGGCGACGATCAACGACAGGAGCGAAACGGTCTTTCCGGTCCCTGAGGGCATTTCCAGCACACAGTGACCCCCTGCATCGAGGGTCTTTTTGAGATCGCACATGTAGGCATATTGTTCGGGATAGATGCGAGGGTACGGGAACAGCACTGGAAGATCACTGCGACAGACACAACAGGTTAGCTCGGTGGCACACTAGGGGACATATCAAGTCATACTCAATGAAGAACTTCATCTTGGCTGGACTCCGATGCAAAACGCAAAAGGGCGAGGGACAGAAAGATATCCCGAGCTCTCGTCTTTCTCGCTGTCACGCTTTCCCTGATTGGGACAGGATGACACAAGCTCACGTGACCTCCAGTACCCTTCAAAGTCATGTTGAGACATACACATCCGAAGCAATTGAACAAGATGAGGAGAGAATTTGAAAGACTGAAGTGAGTCAGACTCTTGAAATTATTCCAAGCTATGTCCATCTAGCTCCAGGCAACCAGAAAGTCTTACTAATGACTCATTCCATCCACATTTTCTCTGTCAAGCTTATTGCAGTGTGGCTTAGGAGGTATGTGTAGATATGAACCAAGGGTTATGATATAGTTATTTGATCTGTGACCCTGGATAATGTCGCTATTCTCCATTACCTCGAGATTATGGCATGTAATAAATTTGCTTGCATAGTGTACCTTGAGCATTATAAGATGTTTTCATAACAAGCAAGTGGGATGATACAACGTTCCAACGCCATCAAAAGATCATGGAAGATCAAAGAACAGTTGCTATGTCTCTTATGATTAAAGATGAAACCATATAAAGGTAGAAGCTGGGAATGACAACATTTGAATCTACTCTATACACATCAGCATGTGGAGTTTAAGGACCGTGCACACTAAAAGTAGCCTCAGCACAAATACAGTACGGACAGCACGTGATAAAAAAGACCCATCGGAACCTTGGGACTTATCGCAGCTTATCGCTATCGATAAAGGCTATGTCACGTGGAGGACAGGCTATCGAGCGACAACATTTGTTACCTATCTCGAGTCCCCCACTACCTCGTTATACCGCTGACCTCATACCCCACATGAGCAAAAAGTTCAAATCCCAGGCCTCCAGCAGTCGCGCTGCGGGTAGCGCTTTTGGCTCATTCGGCGGTTTCTCCGGTAGCCTCCAGAGCCAGGGTAAAGAGCCCTCCACGCTCACATACATTACCGCACCGCCAGACTTGTCACGTATCACAGACCAGCAACTCGTCATCGCATTCAAGAATCTGCTGAAGAAGGATGATACTACACGTACAAAGGCTTTGGAGGAGCTCAGAGACCATATTTCGACAGTGCAAGCGAACAAGGGAACCTTGGACGACGGGTTCTTAGACGCATGGGTATACGCAACTGGTCTTTTCATACATCAACATTTACTAACAGACAATCTTCCAAATTTAGATCGGATTATACCCCCGACTATCAATTGACCTCTCTCGTCGAGCACGTCAGCTTGCCCATTCCATCCAGGGTACAATTGCTAGTCTTGCGGGCAAGCGAATTGTGCCCAATTTACCAAAGGTCATCGGCGCATGGATTGCAGGAATTTATGATAATGATAAGATTGTCCACCGGGCCGCTCTCGAATCGTTCACGAAGGTCTTCTCGACAGACCAAAAGAGAAGTAACGTGTGGAAGATCTACCAGAGCCCGATTTTGGACTTTGTAGATGACGTCATTCTTCACCAATCGCCCTTGACGCTCAGTGATGAGAGGACTGTCAAACGGGATGATGCGGAGGGAAAATATGCTCGCGTGGTTGGAGCTGCGATTATGCTATTCAATCGGATATTAGGTGCGTTATCGACCATTTCCCTCGAAAGGTCTTATTCTAACCATTGAACGTTGGTAGGCAACTCTGCCGACGAGGAGTTAGAGAAGGACTCTTCGCAGATTGAAACACTATTAGAAAGCAAGTTTCTCTGGGCTCTTTGCCATCATGATGATCCATATGTCCGCCGCTCCATCTATGTTTTGCTTCGGACTGCTGTTTCCCGAGAGCCTGGTTGGGTTGACTGGCCGACACTCAGTTCAGCCGTGATTGGGAAGTCTTTGTCTCTCCAGCAGACTGGATCGGCAACAGAACTATCCGAAGCTCTTCTTGTATTGTCTATTTCCAGGCCCCAAGTGTGGACAGATGACTACAGTGGAAAGTCCTCCGCTTCAAAGAGGCTGCGCCAGTACATCCAGAAAGGATCTCAAGGAGGGGCAAGCACTTACTGGTCAAACCTGGACCAATTATTCCGAACAGTGCCTCATGAAGTTCTAGCAGGTGCTGATAAAGCCACTGCTGACCAAGGAGTCACTTCCACCAGTGCAATCGCTTTGACTGAAGCTTTCCAAGAAGGCTTGAACTCAAGAGAAGAGCCACGTCAAAACCTCGTTGTTGGATGGAAGTGCTATATTCAAATCGCAACGTGGCTCGCGACCTTGGTTCCCCTGGAGCAGAAAGCCGAATTCATTGACCAAAGAATCTCCCCCTTGGTGGTGAATCACGTGCGACACGATCCCAAGTCATCACAATGGGTACTGCCAGCCCAGTCAGCCGAGGATAGCTGTACACACTACCTCTGCACACTGGGTTCTACTGGATATGATCAAGAGTTGCAGGCATTGTGTACTGCTCTATCTGAGGGTTTGCTCGAAGCTGCCAAGCTGTCTTCTCCAGAGCAATCTAAGGACTTCCGTGAATCTCAAGATTCAGTATGTGCCCAGGCAAAACGGCTCTTCGATCTGCAGTCTTCTGTTCTCTCACGAATCGCGGATTCCAAAGAACCAAGAGTGACGGAAATCATTGAGAACTCAATCTCCTCTCTCCTCGAAAGCTGCATTGAGGTCTTGAAAACCCGCAACGGAAAGCCATATGGAGCTGCCGCCGTGGTAGAGGAATGTGTTGGCAGCCTGTCATTTGTCGCCCAGAAGTCTCAAAACCTGCAAAACTTTCTCCAGAATGACGCCCCAGAGCTTTTACTATCCCCTTCTGCCGATCGGCTAATTTCAACCATTATGAAGTGTCGGGAATGGGATGGCTTCTCGTCAAGCTTTGAGAACATTGTGGAAAAAGCACTCGCTCTTGAGCCGGAACAGTCGAATGTACACGTTCTGCAGAGTTTGCTCTCCTCTCTCAATTTCAATGAGTTTGAGCACAAGGAGAGACTCAATGCGCTTGTCGTGACAGCTTTAGACAAGGCTTGTCATGGAAGTCACTCGCATTGGCCTATTATCACCGCCGTCCTGCAGAATAAGTCATCACACACTGACCTGATGGATCAGATCTTTTTATCCTTGATTGATGAACTGTCGACCAATGATAAAGTCTTCAATGCGCTACACGGACTTTCACACATTGGAAAGACTGCGCCTGATGCAGTCCGAGAATTCCAAAGTGGACCAAATGGCTCGAAATTAGCAGGCAAGCTGATATTCCTCATGGAGTCTCACGAAGAGGAGGTTGCAAGTCTGGCGGAAGCGCTTTCGAAGTCATTGAAAGAAGCCGTTGTTGGTGAGACTACTACGAAATCGAGCATCGAAATACTCCAACATGGATTCAATCATGTGGACGATGAATCGCTGTCGTGAGTATTCAAGTCTACCCATCGCCTTGGAGTTACGCTAATATTTGACCAGGACCGAATCTCTCCTTGCCATTGCGGGTGAAGTGCTACCGAGCATCATGGCCGGCGACGCGGCTAGTGTCGCCAAGGATGTCCTGCCATCGCATTGGTCATGGGAACAAGCTTTAACGCCATTCACTCAACTTCCACCTCGTCCATCAATTGCTATTACATCCCCCCTTGGAGGTGCTGTTCACCTGATTCAACGAGAGTTATCTGAATCTTTCAAGGCTCTGTGGCCCACCATCCCGCGTGACTCGGATCATCGATCCTCAGCGTTCCGCCTGGCGACTTTCACAATCAGCATTCTATCTACCTCTCAGATTGTGAAATACTTGGAGCAGGAGGCACTTGAGACTCTGTTCCGTTTCTTACCTGTGGCCATTCAGCTCATAGATGATGATCTAAGCATCGAAGGCAGCAACGGCATTTCAGGTCTTGAGCTGGCTGATCAACGGGAGGAATACATGCAGATTGTACTTGATGGTCGAAGCGTGATCAGCTCATGGGTTCGTGATAATGAACCACTTGATTTTGCCCCGGAGAAGACAATCTCATCATCTTTCACCGCATTCTGGGAAGCCAGGCTCGAAGAAGTTAAGGGAACTTCTCCCGTCGATTACCGTACGGGTGAAGCCTTTGTCAAGATTATGAGTGTTGCAGATTCAACGCAGAAGTCAAAGTCTGCGGATGATATCGCGCAAATTTGCAGAGATGCACGTTCAGCGAATGTCTTCCGTTCGGCATCCTGGTTCGCAGTCTTGCGAAGCTCAATTCTTTCCAACCCAGTCGGCAACAGGATCTGCAATGAACTGGTGGCCGACTCTACTGGGCTCAAGCCAGAGACTGCCTCTCAAGGTGGTAAGCAGTAATCTATATTGCTTCAAAACTTTGATACTAACTGTGAATAGGATTACAAAAGCTTGCACTGCTGAACATCTTGTTATCCGGCGAAGAAGATGTGGTCTCTACGATCCCAACGCAGCGATTGGTGTTCCTGACCAAGAATTTGATCGAGTGCCTCCAATCCGAATCTGTACCTTTTGGCCTGAAATCCGAAATTGTCAAGTGCCTTTCATTCATTCTTCCAGCTCTCAGTGAAATCTACGGATCGCACTGGGAAGAATGCATGGATATTCTAAGCTCCGTGTTCCGAAACACCAACGGTGGCGAAGATGCTCTACCACTACTGGTTTCCTCTTTCAAGCTGTTCTCTCGATTGAAGTCTATCTCCGAGGGCGATGGCAATGATGATGCTCAAGATGCTTGGGCGGCTCGCAAGGGCGGGCTTTTCACTGCCCTGGCATCCACAATTGACACCTTTGGTAAGCCATCTCCCCACTCACCAAGGCGATCTATATCTAATCACAAGCAGACTCGGAAACAGCCTTCCACCAGCCTCGCGACATAGCTGTTGATAACCTGAGGCGCCTCATCAGCAATATCCCAGCTGATCAGCTCGAGGACGTCAGCGAAACCTTCCATCTTCTTACAGCCCACAGCCGCGCAGTTCAACGCACCGCGTACACCATCCTCCATCATTACATTCCTCATGCCCAAGAGAAGATTTCCTTTGAACTTGCTCTATCGAAGACTGCTGCCACTTTACCCGATGAGCTTGTGTCCCTGCTGCTCGAGCCTCCCTCGATGGAAATGGTGCGCTCTGCATACGGGGATGATAAGATGTGGACCAACATGCGGTCATACCTCCTCAGCTGGAAGGTTGTTTATGATCATTTCACCAATGCCGTAAGTTATCTCGGTCCACACAACGGTGAGATCCGTCTGTGCTAACTCTCAATCAGTCGCTTCCTCTTCAAGAATACTACGCCTCTAGCATTAAGGAAAACAACATTTTGATCCCGCTGTTGGAATTCACGTTCGACTTCCTGCAGAGGTCATACGGAAAACTGACCGACGCATCCAAATTTGACATCCGATCATTTGAACCAGATCAGTCCGAGAGCGCCGACAAGGAAACTCAATGGCTTCTGATTCATTTGTACTATTTGTGCCTGAGATATTCAGCCAACATGACCAAGAACTGGTGGATCGATACCAAGAAACGCATCAAGGGTCCCGTGGAGACTTGGTCAGAGAAATATGTAAGTCAATTCCCACGACGATTTTCAACATGTGGCCAAGAAACTAATCAAATCTAGATCTCTCCACTCGTTGTGCAAGATGCCCTCCAAGGTGTGATCGAATGGGCATCTACCCTGGATCCCAACGAAGAAAGAGCACTTGAGGTAAAGGTTTCTCAAAAGACGGGTGAAATCATCGCCAGCATTCCCGTAGACGAGGAATCTCCCCGGTCGCCATCTCAATCACTCTCCCGCCAGCATACCCCCTCCAATCTGCCCTAGTCGTCGGTCGCAGCCGTGTGCTCGTGGATGAGAAGAAATGGAAGAGCTGGCTGTTGATAATCCAGGGTGTGATCATGTTTGCCAATGGCAATTTGGTTGATGGGCTGTTGGCCTTCCGACGGAACGTTCAAGGTGCTCTGAAGGGTCAAAGCGAGTGTGCTATTTGCTACTCTGTCATCTCAACCGACATGCAGACGCCGAACAAGCGTTGCGCCACCTGCAAGAACACATTCCACTCGGTTTGTCTGTTCCGGTGGTTCAAGAGCAGCAACCAAAGCACTTGCCCGCTTTGCCGAAACAACTTTGTGTATGTTTAGTTGTACATAGAAATGTGACGATGCAAATGGCCTGCGTGCCAAAACTGCCATGGAATGGTTTTTTGGAGCCACATGTCGGTGTATTTCAAAGCGATGGCTCTTCATTATCCCAGTAGTGGTACTCGTAGCTAGAGGTGCGACACCTGGGCAGGCACTCGGGGCCGAAGCAATCATGAAACGTTGAAGTACCCAGCACGTTTCGGCCCATACCCAATGGAGAAATGAGCTGACCCCTTTCGATATCCGTGTCTTTAAGTCTCTGGGCAAGGTGTCTCCGGGAATTCTTTTTCAAGTCATTGAGGCTAAAGAGGCCACTGTCTCTGTAAGCCATGAACTTTCTAGGCTGCTTTTAACTTGTTTAGACTAGCCTCCGCTGCATCTTCCCCGAAGAGCTAACGGCATTTGCTTTAACAATGCGGGGAAGTTGTTTCTTCTGCAGGTCTACTACCATTTTCATTCTGGATCCACATGTTGTTTCAGCAAGGCTGAATCCTTCAAGCCTATACGCCGAGTGATTCAGCCTAAGTGCGCCACTCTACTTCTGCACGGCTAAAATTGGCAGATCTGAGCCAAATACATGGGTGAAACTTGACACTTGGATCATTGGACATATTAGGCAAAATCTCCTTCGGTCCAAAGGACGTACCTGAGTTGCCTTGGAAGATTTACCTCGACTACAACATCGGGGCACGTTCCAAATTTGTATAAATGAGCTCACATCCTCCTAGGTGGCAACATAGCACCTTCTACACTTTCAGCCATCTATACATCATCATGGTTCGCAGCATCTTCGCATTCTCTCTCATTGCAAGCGCCCTCGCCGTGCCAATTGAGGCCGAGGTTGAGAAACGCGCCACCTGCCCGGGCGTCCATATCTTCGGTGCACGCGAGACCACTGCATCTGCCGGCTACGGCTCATCCAGCACAGTTGTCAACGGACCTCTCAGCTCATATTCAGGCTCTACCGCCGAAGCCATTAGCTACCCTGCATGTGGTGGGCAAGCGTCATGCGGAAGCGTTAGCTACTCGAGCTCAGTTGCTCAAGGCATCGCAGCGGTTGCCTCGGCAGTCAACGCTTATAACACGCAATGTCCATCTACAAAGCTTGTCCTTGTAGGATACTCACAGGTCAGTCTCAGCTTAAAAACGATCTCAGGACATGATCTGATCATATACATAACAGGGAGCGGAGATCATGGATGCAGCGCTGTGTGGTGGCGGTGTGCCCAACCAGGGCTACACCAATACAGCAGTGCAACTGTCGACCTCTGCTGTGAATATGGTCAAGGCGGCTATCTTCATGGGCGATCCGCTTTTCAAGGCGGGTTTGTCGTATGATATTGGAACTTGCGCTGCTGGAGGCGTATGTGACCCTTACTGACCCACTGAGCCCGAGACTGACGAGATATAGTTCGATGCACGCCCTGCTGGCTTCTCCTGTCCATCTGCTAGTAAGATTCAATCATACTGCGATGCCTCGGATCCATACTGCTGCAATGGTAGTAATGCTGCGACTCACAACGGCTATGGAGCCGAGTATGGGTCTCAGGCTATCACCTTTGCGAAGAATAAATTGGCCTAGATTTAGGTGTATAGCGAGAAAAGTGAGAAATTCGAGAAGTATGCAGAGTATCATAGTAGAACCAAATGGACTGAAGTCAAACATAAACAGAATGTCCCGCGGGAGTGCGGCGCTGAGGACCCCACCACGGAAGCCCAAGCTCCCAACCTCTAAGTTACATCATGGCCACGATCCCCAACCTGAACTCTCTGCGTCGAGGCCGAGGTCGAGGATTCGGACGCGATGTATCGCGACCAGGAAAAGACCAAGTCGTACAAGGCACCGACAACGACGCGAGCGTGTCCCGCCTGAGCGCCGTCCAGCTGGGATACCTCGATGATCCCTACGCGACAGCACTCACACCCCCCAGGGTCAGCGACCCGACGACTCCCAATCATTAACAGAGGTAAATCGATCACAACGATGACAATACCAAAGCAAAGGGCCATAGCTAATCCCGCAACAGGAACCTACGTGCGCACCACCACCATCGACCAACTCGTAACCCGCTTCCTCGGCCCCTGGGCACCAGATAACAAGCGGAAACAAATCATCTCGCTCGGTGCCGGATCAGATACACGCGTCTTCCGATTATTATCTTCGCGCCAAAGCCCTGATTTCGTTTACCACGAGCTCGATTTCGCCGTTAACACGACAGCGAAGATCCGCGCCATTCGATCTGCGCCGGAGCTGCAGCGCGTGCTTGGGATTGACTCGTCGGTTCCGGAGAAAGATAGTCCGGTTAAGGTGTCCGAGGCCGGAGACGCGCTTCAGTCACCTTCATACCATATTCACCCAGTGGATCTGCGGACACTTTCCTCGCACGATGATCCCGCAAAAGCGTTGCCGGGCGTTGAGACGGATTTGCCGACCCTTTTGATATCCGAATGCTGTCTTGTCTATCTGTCGCCTGTTGAGGCTCAGAAGGTGGTTTCTTTCTTTACAGAGGGATTATTTGGTGGGAGGGCAACGGGGCCTGGGGGCGATGTGCAGGTGGGACAGACTGCCGTGCCTCTTGGGTTGATTCTCTACGAGCCCATTCGTCCAAATGATGCCTTTGGAGAGGTGATGGTTTCCAATCTTGCGGCGCGGGGAATTCAACTTCAAACTCTACATAAGTATGCCTCGCTTGAGGCACAGCGGGCCCGGTTCCGAGATCAGGGTTTCGGAGACGGCCAGGCTGCAGGGGACGTTGAGTTCCTTTGGAAGAAATGGGTTAGCGAGGAGGAGAAAGACCGAGTTGCAGGGCTGGAAATGCTGGATGAGATGGAGGAGTGGGAGCTGCTGGCGCGGCATTATTGCATAGCATGGGGATGGAGGGATGGGGATGATATCTCGGCTTTCGCGGGATGGAGAACCCTCGAGGCTCAGCAGGGCGGGTAACCACCCAGTTATAGATTTTTGATGATTCTTGCTCTGTGATGACCCCCTCATAAGCCACAACAAGTCTTCAGGCGACGAATCGCTCAAGCAGAATATGCAGGATGCCTGATGCTTGTTTACGATTGTCCTCTGGCCTGACTGATGGAGACCAGTCCGCTTCCCATCACATGGATCTTGTCTGCTTGTACATACCTGACTTTGACATCAAGACCAGACTACCACAATCTCCTAGCCAGGTCATGGGCCAAACATAGAGACTAAGCCAGAGCAATGATCGCCAACGCGATTCCAAATCAAATAACAATTATACATCTGATCCTGCCCTTTACCCCAAAGCCCCAAGCGTAACTCAACACTGCGAATACCGGAGCAGGTGACCTCTACGGAGTAACTGAACCTACTCCGTACAATCTCAAATCTCACAACAAAGGCCAACCATGAGCCATATGACCTGTCACTCATTGATAGTCGTATGGCGCCCCACAGAAGCAACCCACTGATAGGCTCAGTGAGTATTCGCCATGTGAGGAATATCGTCAGCCCTTGCAGCAACTTAAAAAGAACGTCCCCACTGATAGCTGTGCGGCATGCATCTTTCTGAGCTTTGTCCCCTCACGGCATACTGACATAGAATCGATGCAAGGACTGTCGAGCATCAGCGGCGCTCTGTTGGCGCTACTTGAGAGGCATCACAGAGCTGCACCTGCAAGCTGTGGACGGTTCGTTCCTGCTTGGTGTCATTTTGATAACACTGACGGGGTATATCCACTCATTGGAAGCTTGATATAGAAGACCTGCGAGTTTGCAATTTAGTGCCCAGGTCTACAGTAGCGTTCTCGGGTCTTATAACGTGGATGTTAGTTATGTAGAACAGCTTGTATCATCCTGTGAGTAGGGGGTTCATTTTACTCCGTACGTACTCCTGACCTCGGGAATCAAGCTTACATCGCGCTGACCCCCGGATTTGCATACGTAGATCGGCGACATGCTTATAGTTTGTTTATTTAAAAATGCACATGCAGGCATCAATCGAAATGGTACGGAGTTACTAGAGTATGTACTTATAGACGCACAACTAATTTCTTAAATTCGTCTGATCAGATTGTTGATAGACCGCATGAGACTAAGGATGGAACCCAAACATACTAACTTTGAGATAATCTGATAATCTGAAGTGAGGCTACATTGGACGTCATCATGAGACATTATATGTCCAAGTTGAGACATGGAGATTAAAAGATCCACTCGTAATAAATGAGGGGCCTTATCTGGCTTAAGCGTACACATTGCAAGGTGGCCATTGCGCAGGCTTCTTTGCTTTGAAGGCTCGCAAGGTTAGCCTTGAAATGACAAACCGAAGGTCAACCAAGATGTGTATCCTATATTCCAGCATACTCCATGCATTTCTCATCCCTACTTGAAGATTGTGACCTGAATAAGGAGTACTCCATTTGCAAAGATTGAACGTGGGAATAAACGAGCCACGCATTGACCATGTCTCAGACTTGATTCAACGTCCATGGCCGTTCTACAAATATGGGAAGGGCATCTCAGATGCATTCGCTCGATAAGCCTTTCCAATGGAATATCACTATACTCCATATCAGTCTCCCTTCAGCTGCGTATGGGGACATCTTGAGTCTCGGTCGGGAGGTTCTACGCCCAAAAATTCGCCAATTTTCAATAACACAACTACGGGGTACGGAGTCCTGCCGCATCTCATACACCGTATTCCGCGTGTCATTGTTGATCCAGAACTGCCAAGGTTAATATCACACCTCACATGTAGATAGTGATGAAAGTTAGGAGATTCCTAAGCCAAGCTTTCTCCAAGACCCGAGCCAGCCGGCAATTAAGGGCTTCAAATGCGAGTTTGTTTACCACATGCCCTATCACGGTGACAACGAGAAACTTGAAAATGCTCCTTTGCGTACCATTGGTCAAGATCATCAGGGATCAACGGGGCCCAGACTGGTATCGGGCCGGTTTGATTAGGATTGACTGTCAGACCGCGGGTTTTGGGTGTTGATGCTGATGTGCTTCCGCTGTGGAGTCCCCTTTTTTTCCCGCATGGTGGATTTAATGCGCTAGCAGGGTTATGAGTACCAACAGCGGCAGGTAGGAAAATGTACGGAGTACGGAGTACGGAGTAGAGTGTTATACATAATTTCGCATATCAATCTGTTCGGTAAAATGTGTATATGGAGTATGCAAGTGGCGAAAAGGGGGGGATTAACATCTCCGAGGGAAGTTCATGGCCGTTGAAAGAGTTCGATAAACAACTCCACACCACATCTCCAAGCTTATTGGCCTCACTCCACTTGCCAAGGAAGAACCATCGGGGTATGCAAGTGTACAATTGGCTGCAAGCACAAAGCTGCCCCTGACGCTAAATGGCTAGTGGCTAGTGGCTGTCCACTAGTGGGGTTTGCTTCAGGGGCTCACGCAGAACAGACCTGATGGAGCAATTATGGATAATTGCGAACCCCAGAGCCACTCAGGGTCCGCCCGTGCGACTCAAGGCCTCCTCTTGCAGGATTTCCTGAGTACATCATCCCAGATCTAAGCCGCTTTCAGGTTAGAGCACTCGTGCTCCAAGAAAGCGCCCCCCCAGGTCCCTTTTCTTGCTTCTTCTCATAGCCTTTCCCTTCTCTCGTCTTGAACTTCATTCTCTGTGAGCATTGTGTCTGTCCTTGGCCCGTCGGCCGTCATCTTTTTTTAGTCACTCGTTTGACTTAGCCATTCGCTTTCAACTACACTCTTTGACTACACAAGTCTCCCCCTGACACGATGAAGTTCGAAATTACACCTTCCCGCGCTGCTGCGCTTGTCGCTCTCATTGCAAGCGTCGAGGCTGCGAAGCATGGCCATGGCCACGCTCGTCACCATGAAACCCGTGAGGTCGCCCTGGAGAAGAAGGGCGGACAGTGCCAGTTCCCCACCGACGCTGGTCTGGTTGCTGTGACTCCCAACGAGGAGAACGCCGGTTGGGCTATGAGCCCAAACCAGCCCTGCAAGCCTGGAAACTACTGCCCATACGCTTGCCCTTCGGGTGAGGTTTCCATGCAGTGGGATCCCAAGGCCACTTCCTACTCGTACCCTATGTCCATGAACGGTGGTCTATACTGTGACGAGAGCGGAAAGATCCACAAGCCTTTCCCTGACCGCGACTACTGTGAGTCGGCCGTCGGTGTGGTGAAAGCCCACAACAAGGCTGGCAAGCCTGTCTCTTTCTGCCAGACTGTACTGCCCGGAAACGAGGCCATGATCATCCCCACCTTGGTCGAAGAGCTGTCCGACTTGGCCGTGCCCGGTACTAACTACTGGTGCTCCACCGCTGCTCAGTACTACATCAACGCTCCCGGTGTGTCTGCCGAAGAGGGTTGCGTCTGGGGTACCAACGCCAACCCCTTCGGTAACTGGGCTGCTTACACTGCTGGTGCCAACACTGATGACGTTGGTGACACTTACCTGAAGATTGGCTGGAACCCCATCTACCTGGAGCTCACTTGCCCCTTCCGCAACACCAAGCCCGACTATGGTATCGAGATTGAGTGCGAGGGTGACGGCTGCAAGGGTCTTCCCTGCAAGATCGACCCTGCTGTCAACGACGTCAACGAGATGATCGGTGATCCCTTCACCGGTGCTGGCGGTGCCACTGGCTGTGTCGTGACTGTTCCCAAGGGCGAGACCGCCCGTATCGTCGTCTTCGAGAAGGACGGCAGCGGTGGCTCCTCATCTGAGACCATTTCTGTTCCTGCCAGCTCTGCCACCAGCTCCAGCTCCAGCTCCAGCTCCAGCACTAGCACCTCGACTCCTACTCCTACCCCGACCAGCACCAGCACCAGCACCACCGAGACCCCCACCAGCACTCCTACCCCCACTTCCACCTCTACCCCTACCCCGTCGTCGACTTCAACCTCGACTGCCACCCCCACCTCCAGCTCGACCTCTACCATCACCTCCAGCTCGACTAAGACTCCCATTTCGAGCGCCACTCCCTCCAGCAGCACCCGTCTGCCCAAGTCAAGTCCCTCTCTGAGCTACACCTACCAGCCCCACGTCCTGACTGGTTCCGCCGATATCTCTGAGGCCTCCTCGACCACCGGTGCCGCCGCCGCAGCCTCGTCCTCCGGCACTGGCGGCGCCACCAGCGCCACCGTCTCCATGATGACTCTCGCGCTCGGTGCCGTTGCCGCCTTTGCCATGAACCTCTAGATCAGCACCACCGATCTGGTTATATTCACTGTACATGTTTGCAAGCCCACACAAGGCTGTGTACAGATGACACCTTGGGGCATCCTTTGAAAACAATGAGTGTACCGTGGTCATCGACCTAATCTTGCGGACACTCTTGTTTCTTTTCACTCACATTTTTGTTTTAATTTCACTTCTACATAATCCCCCCTTTTATGATTCTTCACATCCCACGGATGCCCTTTCTTGACGACGCTCAACGTTGGCCTTTACCCATTTCTCCGCTTCATGACTTATATATCCCTTGGCTACTCAGCTTTGTTTTATTTCTCTCTTTTTTTTATATATCTTCTTCTTGGATATCCTCATTTCTTGCTTCTGGTATGCATCGGGGGGTTGTTGTTTGATTACATATTGACGTTTGGTTGTGTGCTCAGCATGCCGGACTTGACCGCTTGGGTCCTTTGGATGGACATAGGAAAAATAGTGTTCGCTTTTTCATTGATCCTTCGGGATGTATTCACTGCAAGACTTCTCAGCATTCTAAGATCCTAGTAAGAAATACAGGGCTCTCTTCCGCTGGATATATCTTTGTATTCTTCGAGTCATGAAGCAGCCATTCATTCATTACAATTTTTCAAAGTCCCCGAGAATTGTTAAACGAACCCGAACACGACAGACGAACACGACGAGTCTGAACAAAAGTGCACCACTCGATTCGTGACACGGCCCCGGGGTCCTTGGGCCTATGATTAGAGCCCCATAGGCTAGTCCTGCTCAAGTGGAGAAACTTGGAATATTCTGTCAAGTTGCCCAGGTGGCAGCCTTGGAGGTCATGGAGAATGGATTACTGCAGTTCTATAACCTTAGAACACATTATAAGAACATGTCATGGCATGAGTAGCACCATTAGAAAAACTGAATCATATTGAATTCACGAAAACACCAACTCCTTTCCTGATTGTGACATTGTATCCATAGTCCCTCGCCATGCTTTGATATAAAACCTGTATGCAAACGAGCCCTGTTTCCTGCTCAATGATCATACATTCAATTGCTCAACAGGAATAATCATATCCGGCCTCCGAGCCTCCACAGCCAGCCTATTCAGGTTTCGCTGTCTGCTCTCACGCATGTATTTTCTTTGTTCGAATGGGATATCCCTGGCTCGGTCTGAGTCGTCAAGGCCGTGGTACATTATGTATATGCTGAATCCGATGAGGGTTCCGACGATACAGCCAAGAATAATGAGGAAGACGTAGAGGGGGTATTTGTCTGGGTTGGACATGCTAGTTCGCTTTATAAGACTCGTGGCTGTATCAATTGCAGGCGTTGTGATTTCGGCTATGCGAGGAATGGAAGGCATTTTGTATGTATCGGGAGGGCTGGAAGAAAGTAAGTCAGCCATTGATCGGTCAGAAGGAAGATAGACCAAGGAGACCCGTACAGGTGCCACAATCAGGAGGGTATTGTCAATCTCTGGTTGATAGTTGTATACTATATCGATTCGAAGTAGACAGCGGACGCAGGATGTTGGTTTCACGGTTGGAATGATAGCAAAACACTGAGGGAAAACGAGAAGCAAGACCTACCAGATTTATACGAAAAGCCAGAGACTATCCGCTAAAATTTACCTTACATTTAGAAATAAGCACGAATGCTGAAACGCAAAGCGATTGCTAAAATGAACCATACAGTTGTGAGATTGTTCCCAAATAGGAATAGCGGCACCTGAATCCCGCGCCAATGATGTCAGAAACCGAGCAGACCAATCAGCGCTCTTCACGAGCAGGTGGGTCGACCAGTCAAGACCCAATTGTTCTAAATATACGGATTTTAGGACTGTCGACACTACGCTAGTTCTGCTCTCTTCGGCCCCCATCTCTCAAAATTGACTTGGTATGGCGGCTTGTGCCTCTGCTGTACCTTGGTGGGATTGCCATAGGCTGGGCTTGATTGGCTCGAGGGCTTGGGCCCGCGTGGGTAGCTGCAATTTGAAGACTGCTCGCGAGTTTGATTTGAATTCTTCGATTGTCTCAGATAGTTCGGTGCTTCCGTATGCTGAAATTTCTGAGCTTGGCAAGTTGAACTGATAAGCCCCACCACGCAGGTACAGCGGCGATAGTGTGAGCGTTCTAGCTCTGTGTCTGAAGGTGTCACATTTGTGTCCGCGATTGCGAAGTCACACCTAAAATTCTCATTTGCTTGGCTTCACCCATTGATACAGTCTTTTCTCAAGATCCCGGGGGCAACTTGATGTTCAACTAACTACCAGATTCATTGACTTAGACGTCGATTGGACGAAGAATTGTTGTGGTAGTATATCTACCGAGAGCTCCCATAAATGAAAGAGCCTTACGATTGGACATGAAACAGGTCAATTAGACCCTGATATAAGAGATGCTTTAACAATAAAGTTCTTGAGCTTAGAGGGGTTGAAGAAGCCTTGCCGGTTTTCCGTGTAGCACACGTTGTGAGTAAGCTGCAGTCGAGGATATGCAATGAATATTGACATCATCTCGCTCATAATAGCAACTTTCTGATAATTGCTTAATCCATTCTACTCAAATACCCCCAAACACAGATGTGATGGTGAAAATGCGTATACATCGTCTCCGCCAATAACCGGCCTCGGAGCCGGCCCAGGCTCAGTCAGCAGCCCACCAAGTCCAGTGTGGATCCGACCAATCGTCAATCCCAGGACTCTCAATGTCACGAATGGAGACATGAATCCATGCTGGACATGTCGCAACCGGCGCGTCCAATGCGACCTGTCAGGAAGTCCATGCGCCAAATGCACCAAGGCCGGAGTGGAATGCTTTGACAAAAGACCACTCAGGTGGGTCAAAGGCGTGGCGATTCGTGGAAGGATGCAAGGGTATTCATATGAGGGCAACCAAAATGATTCCCCAAAGGCTTCCAAGAACGCGAAGCGGCCTCGATCAAAGCAGGATGTTCCAGCTTCTGCGTTGGTGAAATCCTTCGATGGAACCCGACGGCTGCCGACTGCATTGCCAGATCCATCCATGTTGAACCTGGACCAGGTTTCCAAATATTATATAGACTATTGTAAGGTCATTCATTCCCGAAACGAAAGTTTACTGATTCCAATCAGATAACGAACGCATATGCAAATTGTTCATTGTATACGACAGCGACAGGAATCCATTTCGCAGCCTGATCTCGTTCGGACTACAAGACCCGGTCTTGCAGAAGGCTATTCTTGCTCTTGCTGCACGACATCATGCAAACACGGGGCAATCATTCAGTCAGATTGAGGCGCCGACTTCGCCTGGTCTCGTCAATGCCGATCGCGATGCACTATCGTTTAAGCACCAAGCGATGGAAGCTTTGTCTCGCACCATTGGTGCTGGAGACACTCAGAAGAATGACACCACTGTGGCTAGCATATTCTTGCTTATCTTCTTAGACTTGCTTGAGTCTGGAGGTGATGGGTGGAACTTTCACCTGAAGGGTGCTAAAAGCTTGATTACATCGTATCGCCCAATGCTCGAGTCCCAAGCAGGAGTCAATGATGGCCCCGGTCAGACATTGCAGGAGATATGGGGATTCATATCCAATCAGATTCACTCGTGAGTTACCAAATATCTTCCTGTTGATTGAAAGTCGTGCGATTAACGTTCACCAGTATTGAAACCTTGGGAGCAACCTTTTTACGACCAAAAACACTCACAGACTTTACCTCCGTCAACAATGAGAATGTGCAACCCCAAGAAGCAATTGAGAAGTCTTTCCTCGGGTGCCCGGAATACCTGCTGACGGCGATCCAATTCTTCTCCAACGAAAGAGACACCATTGCGGAATCCGACTTGTCCGAAGAAGCCACTCGTGAAACCCACATACAAGACACGACTGCAATGCTGGAGCTTGTCCAAACTTTCGACAGCTATGCATGGGCTCTGAGTGTTCAACACCCAAGACAGCCATCGGTAGATGAGATAAGCAACCTTTGTACATTATCACAGGCGTTCAAAACTGGCACCTTGTTATATGGCGGACGTGTCTTGGACGCCCTGAAAGGGACTTACACAGTGCAAGACGAGCTGGTATCTGAGCTTCTGGGGTTGCTCAATGTCTTGAAAGATGATGATGCCCTATTCAAGTGTGTGCTGTGGGCGATATTTGTTGCTGGGTTGGAGTGTCAATCCCAACCCCAGCGAGACTTTTTGGTTGAATGCTTGGAGGTATTCTGGAAGGACACGAGCTGTTTGAATGTCGTCAATGCGGCAAAGATCTTGCGAAACTATTGGGAGAAATTAGGCTCGGAGAATCCATCCAAGTGGATATTTGACATTGGCTGCTTGGGTCGCGACTGGCTTCTGTTATAAGGCTCATCAACAAATCGAACACCGACATGAATCATGATCATTAATTCTGACATCAAACCACGAGGAATCGGAAGGCCTGCAACAAATCATCCTTCAAATCCTCCCAGTTCTCGAGCCCGACACTGACTCTCAACAACTTCCGATCGACCCTTGAATCCGACAAAGCTCGCCACTCGATCAAAGACTCAACTCCACCCAGACTGGTAGCATGTTGGAAGAAGTTGAGCTTAGTCGGCAAAAGCTTCGCGAATTCCTCCTTATGCAAGACGATGGAAAAGACAGGCCCAAATCCATTAGGCATTTGCTTCTCCAACCAAGGCTCATCCTGCAGACTAGCATGGTAGATCTTCTGCACGACAGCCTGGACAACAGCCTCCTCACCACCCGCTGCAGGTGAAGAGATCTTCGTAGCCCGATCAAGCCACGAAATCAACCTCGCCGAATTCTGGCTTGCTCGCTGAACCCGCACCTCCAATGTGCGCAGACTCCGAATACCAAGCCAACTTTCCATATTACCCATCACACTTCCAAGAGCCAATCTGTCTTCAAAAAGCTGCTTGGTCCAATCCGCTCGTTTCGTAGCAAGCACACCGCAGAGAAGATCACTATGTCCGCCGAAGTACTTCGACCCAGAATGCATGACTATATCTGCGCCCCAAAGGAATGGATCTTGCAAGCCGGGCGGAGCAAAGGTACTATCAACCACCAGGAAGGCCCCTCGAGAGTGCGCTTTGCGCGCATATTCCTCAATGCTGAAAGCTGTCCCGAGGGGGTTGATCGGTGTTTCGAGGAGAATGACGTCACCATCACTCAGGCTCTCCGCGGGGCAGTCAAGGGGTAGCTTTTGCAGACCTGACAAACGGGATACCACTGCGATGACTTCATGGCTACCGTGGTATCCATCACCGACGGAGATCCGGCGCGGGTTTAACAATGTAATGGCTGCGTGAAGAGCGGCGAGACCGGTGGAGTAGCTCACTGCATTGCCACCGAGCAGAGAAGAAAGCACTGCCTCGAAGCGGGTTGCGTTTGGTGCAAACTCGCGCGAGTAGACATAGTTCTTGCCGTTGAATTCATCCTGGTGGTGGTCAGTTAACAAGGATGGGTAAGAGTGAGGGGTCTTTTGACTTACCACGGGGTCTTCGGAGGGTACAAGCTGGTCTGGGTCATTGGGGTATCGGAAGATAGTAGAGAGATGGATTGGAGGTGCAACATCAGACACTTGGTTCAAGATATCGTCTGCATGCAATGCTTTGGTTGACGGGTGGCTGTTGTTGGAGGGCGACATTGTACTAGATTGAGGGGTTTGAAAGAGGAGAGTCAAACTTCTGAAAGAATTCCAGTACCGATTCTTATATTCGTGTTGACATGGAAATTTCAGCTGGGTGCAGTAGATGTAGTTCCCACTCCCATCAAGTTCCTAAACGGGTTTTAGATTGATATCCACTGAGCTTAATTGTGAGGCTTCCATTGGCCAATTTCCGCGTATGCCTTCCTAATTAGGAACTTGAGAGGAGTGGAGACATGAAAATCTCACGAATTAAAATCAACTTGACTCATATCAATCACCAGGATTGGGCGCCTTTTAAAACACGATCTCGTCGCCGAAGTACTTAATGCTCGCGGGGCAGATACAAATATATTGAGTCATTCTTCTTTTTGTTTTCCTCCTTCAATTCGTGCACATTTCAAAAATGTATCTCCGAGCAGTCCACGCCGAAGGCTCAATCAAAGCCCTCTTTGAATTCATCAAGCAAAGTCCTCTGGGAATCTTAACGACGGCCATATCATCCGAATCTCACCCCTTCATTCAGTCCAGCCACATTCCCTGGGTTCTAGATGAAATCAGCGACGACCCAGATGCCCCAGTGAAGGGCAAGCTTCGAGGGCACATGGCCCGCCAGAACCCACAGGCCAAGGCCATCATGGAAAACGCCGGACAATCTCCGTCGCAATTGACGCAAGATGTGATGATTCTCTTCACCGGATCAGCCCATCACTATGTGACTCCCAAGTTCTACACCGAAACAAAGCCCAACACTGCAAAGGTTGTGCCGACCTGGAACTACTCCGCCGTGCAGGTCTACGGCAAAGCAACGGTCTACTTCGACTCAGCGTCTCCTGAGACGTCGAGCTACCTGTCACAGCAGATTCATGATCTTTCACAGCTATGCGAGACTTCTCAGATGGGCTACACGGGCCAGGAAGGAAAGCCTGAACCCTGGACAGTGTCGGAGGCACCAGAGAGATATATTGATATCATGAAAAAGAACATCATCGGCATTGAGATTGCCATTGAAAGCATTGGTGGCAAGTTCAAGATGAGCCAGGAAAGCAGCCAGGGTGATCGTGAGGGTGTGATCAATGGGTTCTCTAGCCTTGGCTCTGACGTGGGAGACCAAATGGCAAACTTGGTGAAAGAGCGATGTGCAATGAAGGATGCTAGCAAGGCACAATGAAGACAAGTTTCAGAATCAACTCGGACTCGAATCTAAACTGCCAGATTTAGACTCTTTGTGTCTTGTATGCGCCAAGACTTTCCATTGTCTTTGTATCGTGCACAACCAACCAGATACAAATCTTAGAACCGATAGACACTAGAAGCAACAAAGAATAGAAAGACATAAGTATCAGACGTGAGATTTGGACTCAGCTTGGTGTTCTCAAGTTTGGAGTATTTCCTAAACCCTGGGCAGGACCACCATACTCAAACTCGCAAGTCGTCATGGCCAAGTTGGAGGACCTCACGATTGGTTAGTACCCAAGCAGCGACAGTGGCTCTATCTACTATAATATGTACTGACGGGGAACCGTGACTCAGAAGAAGCTCGTGAGCTGATAAAAAAGCAAGACGTGGACATCCAACGGCTGATATATGAAAACCATCACACTTCGGGCGATGTTACCCGCTGCAACTTGCGAAGCAGATCTTATGTCTACAGAAGGGAACAATACCACCTAGGCCTCCAAAAGCGACTCAAAGAAAACCTTCAGTTGCTGAATCAGTCCATCGAACTGGTCAAGGCAACACGCACCGAAATCGAAAGCCCTGTCATCAACATGGAATCCATCCGTGTCAAAATGGACAAAGTGATGGCATTGAGTATTGAGCAACAGAAGATTTGTGAGGAGGAATTGAAAGTAGAGGCAGGGCTTGACAAGGTCGAGGAAGTGACCCGCGTGCACCGGTGGAGGCCAATCAATGTTGAGATGACGTTGTGATATGGAGATCGAGAATTCTCCAAAAAAGTACTCTCCTGAACGATGAAACCTTGGAAGTCAACTCAACTGAGCCTTGACTGTTACGTGCGATATTCTGCAAGTTGTAAGATAACTACTCAGCTGGGCTGTTGAGCTACTGATCTTGCTTTCGGGGTCATCTCTTACAATTGCCAGAGACTACAAATCGAAGAAATCTCTTTCATTGTCAATACATGTTATGAGCCTAAATAAGTTGACTTACAAGTCACTTAACAACACAGTCTTATATATTAATTGGTGAATTATCTTGTGTTGAACTAGAACAACTAGCTTAGCATTTAAAGCCTTTTACTGAATAACGAGTCCAGTTAGCTAACCCCCTCTGCAGAAATACCATACAATGCCGAGTTCGCTTATGCAGTTAAAGGGAGTCTGTGCATATGTGCCCAATCCACATAGAGAATTAACTGCTACCTAAATAATACGAAATTACTTCAATTCTGCTTCATTGACAGTATTCATCGCTGTCTCCTTAGTTATCTTCCATATCTTTCACCCTTCACAACATGGCTGCCGAAAACCGGTTTCTTGTCCCAGATGAGAGCATTCTCTCTGATATCTTCCCAGGTATGGTTGACCTCAAGCCAAGCAGCTGCAATATAATCTCGAACACGTTTGATACCTGCACCTTCAGCGTCCAGGTAGAGGTTGTTCTACTGCCAGTTATTGTCCGACTCGAGACTGAAAAATCGGAGATATCAAAAAGTCGTCTCGCCACTGTCGCAGCTCTTACTAGTCTAGGGCACCTTCAACTAGGTGATATTGTTCCGTCAATTCAGCAGATTGGTACAGCGACTGCCATAGATGCGAAGAAGATCAACTACCTCGTGACCGAGTATCTTACAGGGACCATTCTGCTTGAAGATATTTGGAACACACTTGATGAAACCAACCAGCTGGAGCTGGTAGACTCAGTCGTTTGTGCTGTGGATAAACTTCAGAAGCTTGGAGACATCAAGAATGTCTATGAACATCTTGGGACAACCCCGTATATATCAAATGACAAGAAGACTCCTCTTGCTATCGGTGGTCCAGGAATTGGATATTTTCCAGATATCAAGAATTTCCTAGAGGGAATACTCCAAAGAAACCAGAGACAGCCATGCTGCAAGTTATTGGGGAGAGATGGTGGACTTTCGATTGAGTCCGAATACGATGATATCGGCCAGATCGATCTATCTCACTCGGATCTTGATGAACTCCAGCATTGTGTTGTCTTTTGCCACAATGACCTCGAACCTCGCAACATTCTGGTCAGAAAATCATCCTCTGGGAAATATGAGGTGGCTGGTGTGATTGACTGGGAAATGGCGGGCTTTTTCCCATTCGCTTACGAATACGGTGTCAAGGATACCTCTCTTGGTTGCGAAAACCTGTACTTCAGTTGGTATACCATGTTCAAAGGAAAGACATCCTCTTTATTACCGCAGACAGAGTGTCACACTAAGTTTATCAAAGCTGTGAGAATTATCGAGAAATCGAAGAAGAAAGCCATGTCACGAAATGTTGGTGTTCGAGTGCAGGAAAAGTGGATACAAAGGGAAAAGGTCGAGGAATCTTCAGACATCCGTGAAGGTTGGATCCGCAAAGCAGGGGAGAAAAGTCAAGTGTTTACTAGAGAGGATATGCAAAAACTTGAGAATGAGGTCCTAAAGGAACTGGGATATATCTAGGTGGCATAGCTTAGACCTAATTCCTGGTGAAATGCACTCTCAATATATTCCAAGGCTTCTAAGTCCTGATTCGTCTGTTCTATATGTAGCCGTCGCCTGGTATACATATTGATTGACTAGCTAGGTATCGACCACATCCTTCCAAAATCCAAGCATTCTGGCTACATGTACATTCTAAGATTACCTATATATAGTCTACAGAGAGACAGCTCCACAGCAGAAAATTGGGGCTTTTAAGAATAGTATTAAGATACTCTGTGTTATAAGAGCTATATTTGAATCATCAAAGTATTGTCTTTTGAAAAGGGTGTCAACATCTAGAGGAAATGTTCTATTAGTTGGAACAAGATCAGGTAAATATTTCCTAGTCATGGATATCGACGTACATCATAGGTTATTATCACCATCTACAGAGTTGAAAGTAGTTACACCTAAAGAGTCTTTACAAAGGGATGGAATTATCAAGAACTCCTTTTTGTTGAATCTCAATCTAGAGATACCAAGTTATGTCAATTGTGTTGAACAAGCGCCCAGGAGAGAGCCGGTTAGAGGCATACAAGTAGCTGAGAGCGCAAACTGTTCTCATTTTAACCAACCTCAACCAATGTGCAAAGATCGTATCCAAGACTTTCCATCTTTCACTCGTAACTCGCTCAACAGCACGTTGCCATGGCCCATACTCTCCAAATTGCAACCACCGTCTTCAACCCATCAGCCACCTTCGCCGACATGGAGAAACACAACGAAGGTAAAATCTCTCATATGCATACCTACCAGAGCTACCAAATGCTGATTGAGTATAGAGGGTCCTTTGAACGCCGAAGGAGACACGGTCTCCAATGGGGACAACGCCGAGGCAACGAGTGACTTTGCCACTCTGTTGAAGGAGATCGAGGCTCGTTGCAATACACAGACAAGAGAGATCAAAAAGTGGCTTGCCTATACCGAGCGTTTCAAGAGGTTCATCATCGAGACATTGGAGCAGATGGAGACGACTATCACTCTCCAAACACCGCGTTCACCGCGTTCGCCTTCTTCGCCCCATTCGGCACTTTCGATCACACCCACTTAAAGGCCCAACTTGCATATGTGTGGAGAATGATATGTGAAACCTGTATGTGGTATGTGGTTGGGTTTTCCATAGTTCCTAAAGAGGTCAAGATCGAAGTTGTCAAATCAAAAGGATCGACATGTTATCAATTGCCTAATCGCTCCCCCGCCTTCCAAGCTTCCCCCAACTCACACCTCGCAACCTCCAAAATGCCTCCTTCTGCGCAAACGGTAAGTCGCCTGTAAACTGCTTTGAACAATTTACAGAAGCCTAAAGCGACATTCAAAAACTCGCTGCCTGGACCTTCCAAGCCTACCCCGCACCGTCTATATAACGGCGATGCGCGGCCTTGGAGTAACCTGGGCACATACAGACAATGACTAACTCAATCGATTCCCAGACCAGATTGGTTTCCACCTTGCGCCTCCTCATTCCCCGACTACGCCTCCTTCAAAAGAAAGACACAGCCTCGTCTGTCGTTCAACGCCGCGAGCTCTCCCAACTCCTCAGCGAAGGGCGCGATGCCTCAGCGCGCATCCGAGTCGAAAATGTCATCGCGACAGATATTGCAGTGGAAGTGATGGAGATGGTCGAACTATACTGTGAACTGCTACTCGCACGCGCCAACGTGCTCGATCAACTGGCCTTCGGCGAGCAAGGTACCCGCGCCCGCCTTCGCGCAAAGGAACAACTGAAGAAACGCACGCAAGCACAAGCAGCCGCCGCAGGAACGGCTCCGGCAGCATCAACAGCCAGCGAAAGCACCGGGTCGCGATTCGGGTTCTCATGGCTGGGCATCGGGGCACAGAAGAAAGAAGCCGAGCGTGTTGGCGCGGCCATTGCCACGGAAGAAGGAGATGCCATTACAGAAGAAGATAACCCCTACTTGGATACTGCGCTTGACGAGGCTGCTGTTGTGGTGTTCTACGCGTGGACACGGTTCCCGCATGAGGTGCGCGAATTCACTATGCTGCGCACTATGCTGGATGAGCGATATGGAAAGGAGTTCCGGATGCTCGCGACGGAGAACAAGGTCGATGGAGTGAGCGTTCCCGATCGGCTTTTGAAGGGGTTGCGCGTGCGTCCGCCTGGACAAGAGCTTGTGGAGCTCTACTTGAGAGAAATCGCAAAGGCATACGGTGTTGAATGGCATGGACTCGAGGAGGATGTGCAAGAGCTTGGAAGTGCCCCTGAATATGTGGATGACGTCCCGGGTGATGAGCCTGAGTTACCTCAGACACCCGGCAAGCAGGGGGAGCCGAGTTTTTCGGAGGCACGACGGGCGTCGGAAACTAGCGAGTTGAACAAGGCGAAGCCTCCGCGGGGACTTGCTTCTGGTCGCAGCCCTGTTAGCGTTGCGCCGCCTGCTCCTAGGACCGATAACCCCAACCCTCGAGTCAAGGTTCCTGGTACGGACACGGACGATGTTTCAAATAACGATGCGACAGGGGCAGCGGCTGCAAAGAAGAGTGGCAACGGCATCCCCGAACTGGATGAGTTGACACGACGATTTGCAGACTTGAAAAGGAAGCCCTGAACGGTGGCCCCGGAATCTCAACTTCCAGTACGGAGTACGGAGTAGACTTTGACGCTTGAAATTTTGAATTAGCCACATCTGAACGATCTCGCCTAAGGAATTGCTAGTATTTTTGAGTGGCGTGGGATAGTTTATCTTCCGAGTTTACTGAAGCATGATCTATCACATTTGAATACGACCCAGTCGACCTTTGGCGAATAGCCACTCGTACCTAACACATTGCAAATTTCAAACAGACCTATAGCATGTGATCGATCATTTGTACTATGCGACTGTAAAGGTCTCTATATCAAAACGAGCGTGAAGTAGTATTACCTACCGAGGATAGAGTACGGAGTACGGCGTAATGATCTCAGTGAAATTGAAAAGGTCATGGTGAAGCAAGGCAAACTTTAAGGAATAAGCTAACATGTACGTGCAGACAGACATGCAGAACTAGTAAGACTAGCGTCCAGGAACAGGGAGTAAATCATTCAGATTTGAATACAATCAATGACACTTTACAATGTAACTCGGTCAAAAAGCAAAAAAAGAAGCGCCGAAAATGTGTCAAAAAACCGTTGCGCACGGGGCACACCCGACCCCAGCCAAAACCCAATCGCGTCGATTAATACGAGCCTCGATCCCGTCCACCTTTTTTTTCCCCTTCTCTCGCAATCTGCCTACGGGCATATACACAAAATGCCTGTCTATATGCTCCACGGATTCCGCTGGCCACGCGCCGGCTTCACCGGAATCCGCGTCTACATCGTGCTACACAACCTCGAAGAAGCAGCCGCCGAATACATCCAGCAACCCCTCACGACAGAACTGCTCTCCGAATCCTTCCACAAAACACAAGCCGATCTCGTTCCGCGCCTCCCAGAGCTCTCCTTCATCGAACAATACGATCCAGCCGATGAGACCAGCGGCACCGTCAGTCAGGACCATGCCTACGTCGGCGCACGGGTAATGGAGATCCCGGATGATGGCACCGGCGCTGGCGGCGGTCAGAACATTGAAGATGTCGTCGAGCAGGGCTCTGGGCTAACGGATGATGAGACGAAGGCGCTGGAAGAGCTGCGGGACCGGCTCGCGCCCGGAGAGAAGATCGGATGGTATCTGGTATATAACGGAGATCCGGATCGGTGGTACCCTGACTCAGACTCAGAGTTTGAAGAGGGCTATGAGAGTGAAGAGGACCGGGTTCAAAGTACGGCTCAGAGCACGGTGCAGAGCCAGCGCCAAAGTCGGCAGCAGAGTCAGCGACAGAGTCAGGTTCAGGGTAAGGAGGAGAGTTTCATGGACCCGCCAAGTCCTCAGAGTTATACGGTATGTTTTTCTTAAGGGTGAAAATCTTATAGTGCATGACTGTGTGCATGTTGTGCATGTTGTGCATCGCTGATCGCTTATAGTCTCGGTTGACGAGTTTCTTCAATCGTTTAAGTTCCGGATGAGGGATAATGGTGTTGGAAACTGGTGGATTGAAATATGGGTGCTCTTCCTGTGCAGTGATGAATGTCACTAGCTCCCTCTACTGCACAGTGAATCGAGCTTTTAACGATTTTCTACGCTTTATGTCCGTTGATACTCTTGATACTCTTGATGTGTGCATATATTGTTATACTAGCTCCGTGGCTCTTGAAAGTTTTGAAGTTTTGAACTTAACACCTGAAAGGAAATCAGAATATAAATCTCGAGGACTCTAGTAACATATCTTACGAGCGACCTATCCATTTGTCCTGCTGAGTGCATCGAGTATTGATAGAAGATTGCCTGGGCGGTGAGACCGGGCAATATGGGGCTGAGGGGAGCTTCGATAACGGCAGCCGCGGAGAACAATCAAAGCTTATTGCAGCACTCCCCCGAGTGGTTTCATCAATGCTGACCAGGTGATATTCCTGGCTTTCCATCACAATGGTCCTTTCATTTATTCTGGTTCAGAATCGCCAGTGGGTTGCTCTCCGCCTGGGCTACATCCAACGCTAATGACGGTATAGGGGGAAAACGCGCCTGGCGAAGTGGTACTCCCCATACAGTGTGAGTCTCGCTGAAACTCATCCTTGAGTATGCATGATTGGAATGCGCTAACCTCCATCATAGGATGAGGAAAAAGTGAAGCTCAAAGGCGAAGTCCGTCCCACAATCCCACCCACACCTACATTCGCTCCGAAGCCATCTAACCGACGACCAGGTCCATCGTCTTGTTGCCCCTCGCGATCAAAAATACCAGTCCAACTTTGTTGAATTCCGCCGCAGCACCAAGGTCGTGTACCGACGGTACGCCGGTTTATTCTTCTGCGTCTGCGTCGATGCAAATGACAATGAGCTCGCATACCTCGAAGCCATCCACTTCTTCGTCGAGGTGTTGGACCAATTCTTCGGCAACGTTTGCGAGCTAGATTTGGTCTTCAATTTCTACAAGGTGCGTGCGACTGCCGTTTACCCCACAAACGGCACGTGGGCGAGACAGAATATGGAACATGGAATATGGAACATGGAATGCGAAACTGATACCGCTTCACACAGGTCTACGCCATCCTGGACGAAGTCTTTCTCGCAGGCGAGATTCAAGAGACAAGCAAGCAGGTTGTTCTCACGCGATTGGAGCACCTGGACAAGCTAGAATAAAAGTGGCCGATCAGCGTACACCTTATCGATTACGAGCCTGTATCAAATCAACAGTCATTTGCATGGAGTTCAGGGGTATTGGGCGGACAATATTATCTGTTCATAACGGAAATTGGAGATATCATACAAGTACAAGAACCTTTCATGCCATCACTTTGGGGCCAATGTCGAAATCACGGACCAATCTGCTTGCGAATGCCAAGCTTTTCGTATTCTCCTTCCACTGCAGACCCTCAGGGTCCGGGACATAGCTTTGTGCAAGCTATGCTCAGAACTGCCGATATCACTGCCGCTGGGTTCTTGATGTCGTTGATTGAGGCATGTGCCCACCCACGTCTAGGATTAAGCTCTTACTAGCACGCAATGCTATCGCAATGTTAAATCACATCAGCCTTGCGGGGCCCTGGGCTTTCCTAATCGGTCATGGCTGGGTGAGGTGATCGCAAGTGTCGATGGCGAACGTCATTTTATAGGTCTTGGCACTGAACACTTAAGAAGCCCCGTCGCTGCTGGCCCTGGACAGGGCCTACTTCGTTTAATCTCTCTTTGATCCATTTATATTTATTTTTGCTACATCTTGTACGAGTACTAGATCTTGAGATCTATGCACGGACGATTTGAAGCCTTGAGCCCCAGACCTGGGGGCACCATACAGACTACGGAGTACTTTACCACAATGTAAAGCATACTCCGTACATGGACTTCTATGGATTTGGATAGACTGAAAGTCCACAAGTTGCACAAAACATCCTTGCTCACTTCTAGGAAACATGTTACCATAGCCACCACTGATCAACCAAGGACACCCCCGAAAGGAAAATCTCTCAACACGGGACGATTAACTCTAGTGTGGTGATGTTCACCAGGGCCTTGAGATTACTACCGACTTGATGCACCCCCGTACCAAGCCGCAATTTCCACAACAATTTCTCCGAAAGCCTCCCAACGACCTCGCAATACATTGGCTAATATACTCCATACGTGAATACGGCATCGAGTCCGCGTCGCGTGCAGCGGAAAACCACACCCGTGATAGGCAGGACGATCCAGGAGAAAAAGACCCATCCCAGCGTGGTCGAAAGGAATGACCTCATCCAAGTTGATTGACATGTTGGAGTGGATGAGTGGACTTGGCAGGTGGGACTCAACAGTCTCGACCACGAGCCAAAGGCAATCAACCTGCCGGAGCGGGGCGCCAATTTCTCGTATCGCTTTCCTGATCCCGACTCCCCTGAACGAAACCGATCTCCTTGGAACAGTGTGGACCGGTGTCTCGGCAGATGCAAAACTCAACGTCAACGGCATACTGTGACATGATCCCTCTACATTGACTACAGTGTACACGTAGCAGGTGGACTGGGTGAAAAGATCAGAGCCATTTATGCACTGTCCAAGACTCATTTCTCAGTGATGTTCTAACCGCCACAATCCCAGTTTCAAAAAGATCTCCACCGAAAAGTCCACGCGTTGTCAATCAAGCCCCGACCAATCACCAAGGATACATGCACGGATCGTCTATGCTCAACCGGCAAAAATGTGGCTGATCAACGGGAAATAAACCTACGGGCAGCATACGTGGATCTCGGTCTTGGCAGGGCGGTTGTGTTTTTTTTCTTGATACACCGTACTCGTATGGTATTGGGGAGAATTCGGTACCGACACTCGGTGCACTCGGTACAATACGCTGTTTACCACTTTATACACAACTCCACAAACTTTCACCCCTGACAATCCCTGACATCCTGGTGCGTCAGCCTGTGACGTCTTGCCTTCTGCGCCTCACGAATTTCGGTCTGGACAACGTACACTACCCTCTACTGATACTGCGTTACAATGGTATACTCGTGTACAACTCGTGGCCTTGTCTATTTTCGAATCTGTGTCCCAATTCGGATCTAATGGGACGTGGAATTGGAAGTCAACATGAGTGGGAACATTGCCACTCGCGGGGGACACATACTCTTGGACCATGAAGAGTGGTTCGAAGCCTTTCATTGGTGCTAACACTCTGACAGAACAGTCCACTTTACTTATCGCTCTATCGATCTCCCTTGGGGATCAGTCTAGCTCTTTGGTCTTTTTTATTTTATTACATTTTATTTTGGGACATTAAATTCTTTTGGTTCACCCTTTCTGTCTCCAGATCAACTTCTTAAAAGCCCCCCTTCCTTCTAGACTTTTTCCATCAGTCTGTCCCTTCTTTATTCATCTCTGCCGCTCCCCTCGCCACACTTCTTCTTTCAAGCGGCCTTAACTATCATATATAATTTCCAATTGAGCTTCACCAACGTTCACCATGTCTCTTATGCTCTCCGATAACCTGGCTCCTCAGCCCATGACTGATGTCTTCACCCAAGACACAAACATCGACCGTCGCAAGTGCCACCGCACGGTGCCCATGAAAGTGCTCGCCCTGGGTGTTGGTCGTACCGGAACTGCTTGTGAGTACATCCCGCATTGGACTTTCCACACCGGGTCCGCGAGGAAATTGAAACTGTGTAAACTAACCAACACTCCCATTAGCTCTGCGCAAGGCCTTTGAACGTCTTGGCTATGGCAAGTGCTACCACATGATGTGCGCAAGTGTTGAGAACCCGCCGGACTGTCTCATGTGGCACGATGCCCTGAACGCAAAGTACGACGGAATCGGCGAGTTCGGCCGCAAGGAATGGGACCAGCTTCTGGGTGACTGCCAGGCCGTCTGTGACTGGCCTGCTTGTGCTTTCGCAAAGGAATTGATCGAAGCCTACCCCAACGCTAAGGTCATTCTGACCACCCGTGACGTCGACCCGTGGCACGCGTATGTTTAAATCCGACCCTACAAGACCCCCAAATCAAAACTAACAATCATATCCAGTTCCGTTATGAAGACCGTTTTCTGGCGTGTCTCAGACCCAGAGCACAAGTTTGTTTCCAACTTCAGCTGGGCTGCTGGCATGTACTACCCCATGTTGAACAAGTTCTTTGAGACCTTCTTCCGTGGCGATTTCCAGGGCAAGGGCAAGCAGGTTTACGAGGATCATGTCGCTGAAGTCCGCAGCATGGTTCCCCCTGAGCGTCTGCTTGAATACAACATCAACGATGGTTGGGCCCCACTCTGCGAATTCCTCGACGAGGAAGTTCCCGATACCCCCTTCCCCCGCGGAAACGACATGGCCGACTTCTACAAGCGCTGCAGCACCCGCAACCGCCACCAAATGATGAACGCTGCTCTCCAGGCCGTCACTATTGGAGGTTCACTTCTTGCTGCTGGATTCGCTGCTACCGTCGCGTTCAAGCGTTTCTCCCGCTAAACAAAAGTCCATCCTTGCATATATATCCTTGGCTTACTTTATTCCCCCTGCTTTGAACATTCTTGTTGGATACTGGTGCACGCAGGCGTGCCTAGTACTTTTTGCTATTTGATTGCTGCGTGTTACTCCTGCAACACCCTGCATTTTTCATACCCATCTCTAATATCTCTTGTTCTGACAACTAGTCATGAGGTCAAAGACCACCAGGGAACACTTGGTAATACCGTTGTACATACTATCATACATTATCGCATATTTTATCATTTCAAACTCTTACTTGCAGCTACTTGTACATTCAAGTCATGCGGGACATACACCAGCATTGACCTTTAAATCGAGGGGCAAACCTGTTTGTACAGTCCCTTGTGCATTATCGAAACGCAAGGGGCGCATAGCCTGGAGGGTGTAAAGGCTTACCGCCGAACTGCTAAAGATGGATCTGCCAAGCACATGGATATTGACAAACCTTGGAAGGCCGCCAATCATGATCATGCCTCCAAGGTTTCCAATATTTATGTAATTTGGTCGCATGTCTATTTCTACATTACATTCGAAAGGTCCATTACTACACATTGTACTCCGTACAGTACATAGCAATCGGATTCAGTGCACGTAACAATTGGCGAAAAACAAACACACCTTCTAAATCCAACCATCAACTATCTGGAACACTAGGAACGGTTCTCCACCAGACCCGTACTCGTACAAAACAAAGCGAACTCAGACCAGACAAATGTCATTGGGGCGTGGAAATTGCTTGGCCGGGCTAAGGTCTTGGCAAGGAGAGGCGTATCCATACGTTACGTATGGGCGAGTCTTACGAGTATTGTACTTGGGTTACCGTATGAATTACCTTTTATCTCAATCGTCGAGATTCATGGCTCGGCTGTTAGAGACTGATCCTTTTGTTTCAATGTCAGCGGGGATTTTCTCGTTCATACTTCCAAGGTTTTGGAAAACGCCTCCAAAAGGCTTAAAGGGACTACGTAACCATGCATGGCGGATGTTGTATTCGATGTGCGCTATCAGATTTTGCAATGTGCTAGGTACTTCCCGAGGTCAAGACCTGAGCGGACCTTCTTTATCTCGACGGCTCAGCACGTGGTTGTTGGAGAGTCAGGCTTGGTGTTTGGATGGATCATTGCATTACGTTTAAGTGCAATGTATGTACATGTATCTCAGCACCACGACCATGTCGGCTCGTGCATGTTCGCTAGAAAGGGTATGGGATCTTCATAGGTTGGAAGGTTCATTGTATAACTGTATAGTTACCACTGTTTTGCATAGTCCAGAAGATCCGACTCGAGGGGTGGAGTGCATGAGATTGTACAGCGGAAGATTGACCAAGAACTACTACGTACTCCGTATCCAACGAGACGTTCGAGGTTTCTATACGGACCAGTCAAACATGTGGGGAGTATACTTGCAATCGAACAAAGCAGAGACTACAAAAATAGACTCTTGTTTGGCCAGCTTTAAGTCCAGATGCAGCAGCAAAGGAAGCTTGCGTATGCTCAGACAGAGCACTGTGCGCCCAGTCGCGTTCATGACCACCCTGAATTTAGCCAAATAACTGGCATACGCAACAATGCTTACATTGTGTCAGCTACTAGCACGGAGCTCTCAAACTTGGGTGTCAGATCAGTCCCATGGTTATGAAATTAGATAGTTTCTGACAGATCGAGATCGGGTGAGATATTATGGAGGAGTTCATCCACAACCACGTGTATTGTCAATACCCCGAAGACCGGGAAGAAAAGAACAAACCGATGATTCCTATACAGAGAGCGGGCTTGGACTGTAAGATAGTTTACGTTCATAGCGGAGCGCCACATTTTGGCTTCGCGGCCATGACGTGGCCTGAGAGTCACTAGCTTAGTAGTTTTCTTTAGTGAATGTACTGCCACACATTGCATTGAGCGAATCAAGAAACAATGAAAAACGGGAGAATCAAGGTTTTGCACAGCAATAGACGATCAGAATATTCAGGGGTAATTTCCAAAGATGACAATTCTGGAGCATCTTGGGGGTGACGATCACGGCTGAGCAGTGGGATTAACACAACAGAATTTTATGTTCAAATCCCCCGCAAGTTAAGCAATTTAGCAGGACTCGGCATCTTGGCGCTCGACTGGCGTTGGTCGTTGTGCTCTTGACTAAGCACTTTTTATGGCTTTAAAGCGTAATCAGCCAATGATCGAATAAAATTAGTATCTACACGACCCACTTGTGCAGAAGTGCAGTGACAGGTGGAGTGAGACTCGTACTCTGCTTGGTCACCTTGGCTCTGGCTTATCGTCTGCGTTTTTCTACACTCTAGACATCTCCTACATGTTTCGTTATATTCCTACGTTCTTGAGTCGCTTTCCCCAGATCTCGTATTGGGGATGTGAAGAATCTCAGGACTCATGGTGACTTCGTTTTTCTCCTCGTTGAGGAGCACTCAGCTGTTGCTGATTGGAATTGTTGGGCTATACATCATCAACACCGTGACAGCAGAAGAGACCTCTTTCTTCAAATCAGTGAGTTCCAGAAATCTTCCCTGCGGCGATAAACGCCCTCTCTAACCAATCAACCACTAGAGACCCGATATTTACCCACCAGTCTTCAAAGTCGAAAAGTCCGATCCCAATAAGCTAAGCCCAGGCTACATCTTCATCACGCCATATGAGCTTCAAAACCCCGGACCTTACATTTTCGACAGCACAGGGGTAAGTCGCAAATTCAGCGGGGCTCAGACTTGCCGATCACTGACGGGTCACGCGATCAACAGGAGTTAGTATGGAGCGGCTGGGGTATCTCAGGCCCGGGGAATGCCCATGGCCTCCACGTGTGCCAGTATAACGGCGCCGATCATCTATGCTTCTTTCAAGGAAATCAGCAAAAGGGATACTGTCGCGGGCATGGCATCATCATGGACAAAAACTATCGAGTGGTGCGATCCATACAGCCAGGCGGAGGGATGGCATCTAGCGACATGCATGAGTTCCGTCCGATCAATGGCGGAAAAACCGCCTTGATGACTATCTATCAACAACGACAATTCGATATGACGCCATGGAACGTTAAGACTGGAGTTGGATGGCTTATGGAGAGTGTCTTCCAGGAAGTCGATGTGGAGACCAACAAAGTTCTTTTTGAATGGAGGTCCCTTGATCATGTTGACCCGTCCGACAGTTATACTTGGCCGTCTCATACTGATACTTCTGGCACCGGCTTGAATGTGCATGAACCTTGGGACTATTTCCACATCAACTCCATCGACAAGAATGCAGACGGTGACTATTTGATTTCGTCACGTCATACCTGTGCCATATACAAGATCTCTGGCAAAGATGGTTCCGTTATTTGGCGACTTCACGGCGCTCAGCCCAGCTTCCGCAATATCAACTTCAGCTTCTCCCAGCAACACGACGCGAGATTCCTATTCGAGAACGCTACACACACTCTCATCTCGCTTTACAACAATGGCTACAATGGTTTCAACAAAACACACACCTACTCATCTGGCATGATCATTTCAATCGACCACGTGGAAATGACGGCCCTTCAGCTTCGCAACTATGCCCCAATCTCGACTGACTTGGTGAGCTCCAGTCAAGGAAACTTGCAGATGTTACAAAACCACAATGTCTTCATCGGATGGGGCAACAATCCATTTGTGTCAGAACACGACGAGGCAGGCAATCTTCTGTTCTGGGGCGCCTTTGCCAAGGATACAGTGATGAACTACCGCGCCATGAAATTTGAATGGGACGGGATGCCAACAGACTCTCCTGCTCTTTGGTCATATTCACGGACAGCCGATCCCTTCTCACCAACAAGCTTCTATGTAAGCTGGAACGGCGCGACCCGCGTGAAGCAATGGAAATTCTACGGCGCGATGAACATGACTGGGCCCTGGACCTTGCTGGACAAGGTCAACAAGACGGGATTCGAGACTGAGTATACAAATGCCAGCTTCTATCTATGGTCCAAGGTCGAGGGTCTGGATCATGAAGGCAATGTACTCGGCAAGTCTGAGACCAAGTACACGTTTGTGCCGTCAGCGGAGCTCCGCGAGTTCTGCGCCGATTCAACCTGCCTTGACGCACCGGGATACGGCTTCCCGGGTGAAGAGGCAGCTCGACCGTTCATTCCGCCTATTGGAGTGAACACTGTGCCCTGGATTGATCCGGATAACCCGGGATCAAATATTTGGATCAACCCCTCTGGATATCCACACTCCTCGGGGACTCTCAAGTACTCGAGCGGGTGGGACTTTGGCCGTAAGTACACACCAGAATTTGCACACGTATCATCTCAAATGGAACAAACGAAACTAATTACTTATAGGTCTACTTGCTTGGGGTTGTGTTCTTGTTGTGACGATTCCTGCTTTCGCTGGAATCTACCTCTTCTACCGATATTACATGCGAAATTCTCATTCCAGAGCACAGGACCAGGAGTCTTCCGAGCCGTTGAATGGCATGACTGAGCGGAAACGTTCTGAAACCACTACTAGTCTGCCCTGGTGGAACTGGCGCAGGTGGAACGGAGAGCGCGAACCCCCCCCACCACGTCTCTCTCGGCGGGCGGAGTTCACAGGACCATGACCACCTGCGGCGGCGGAACGAATAATCGTTCATTCTCTCATTTCTTTCACTTTCCTTTTGCCATTTTGCGTTGATACCATCGAGCTTGTCTAGCGCTGTACATAACATTACATACCATAGAACACATTTTGATCATGAAACTTGCAGCTCAATACAAAGGAACAAATCAAACCGAAACAAACGTTGATAAGCATCAGACCTGATACAACCCAGTTTCTTACTAGGGCTTCTAGATCTGATAAAAACAAGTCCGGGAAAACCGAAGTCCGCGCGGCGCCACGTATGTAGATACGACCGTAATCGTTTCCATCTGGATACGTATACCCGAAAAATACCTAAAGCCGACCGGGACATCCGCGCCTCACATATCCTACGCAGCAGCATACGTATGCCCGGAGGGGCGGACCTTTTCAAGCTGTTGTACCGCTCGCTCGTACCGACTACCTGATCAAGTCAAGGCCAATTTTACTCCGTACCAGGAAGCTTGTTGAGTTTGACACCGGGTGTTTATCAACTTAATACCAGCGATCTCCCATGACGATCAAGGTCAGAAAGGGAAGGACATTTTTCCAATTCTCCGGTCTCAGGTTGTGAAGATGATCCTTGGGTTTGCCTTATAGGGTCAGTCTGATACATAATCTATAGCGCCGGAGTACATGTGTGACAGTGGAAGCAAGCTAATGTATGATGATGTATTAAAGTGGCTTGCACATTTTGCGACGCTATGGGGCTGAAACGCTTGGGCGTTCGGCGCTAGCTGTCTCAAGGAACTTTGGAAGTAATTGGTCTTCGTATGGAGTATCGGTAACTTACGTATGTTTGTCACAGACGTGTATCATAATCAAAGTTCGATGTATTCAAGCTTAAATCGTTTCCGCGGTTCTAATTTCCACATGGAACATTATGTAAGAGTGTCCGTGCATTTTAGATTTGCAGCTCAGGGGGACAAACGAAAGATTCATCTGTTCAGGGCATGGATCGGTGTAATTGTCGGGAATAAAGTGAAGCGTTTCTAATTTAATTCCACGGTTCATCACTTCCATGCCAAGACATCAATCGTCAAAACGCACGGGTGTATTGGCGAGTCATCGCTCAGGGCAGGGCTAAAGTGGGCTCGGCAGGGAGATGTGGGCCTGGTCGTCGCAAGCCGGCTGTCGTTGTCGATCCGTTTGGGTATCGAGGTAAGTGCTGTATTGATCTATCGTATGCGATGCTGGTCAATGACAGGAACAGAATGAGCATCCTCAAGGGAGTATGACTCGCATTGTCTAGGCAATATGATACAGCTCTTTTACGTTACTATTTGGTGAATGCGAATGATATAGTAATCGACAACGGCATGTACCCCCCTGTGGGCCTATCAATAAAGTACGGAGAAATGAGCGTCATCGATGGAATTTCCCCTGTGAAGCCAAGGCTGGGAAAAGATTAATGTCAAAAAAATACATAGCCAAGAAGATCACTCCTCTCTCAAACACTCTTCTCTTTTTTATCCCTCTCATGGCATTTGGGCCAATAATAATTACCGCGCAACGACGAAAAATACACGAAACCAAAGGGGCACGATTCCCACTTTTGTTCATTACGGCTCCTCCTCCGGATTACATACACATTCCTCTCCATGCCTAGGTCCGGGAACCATAAAACGAATAATGCCCGCCACGCGCGTACGACGTCTTGGTCCAGTGGCTACCATCTAACACAAGGCGCAGCGCAATCCTCCGAGAATCCAGGCCGTCGCCGACGCGAGTCCAACACCTCCCTCGCCAGTGTTGAAGAAGGCTCCTCTCCCTCGAACTCCCTCGACGAGCCCGATCATACCATGCTTAGGAACACCTCAATGGACTTGAGCCACAAAAGCCATGTGCACAGTCGCACCGTCAGCCAGAGCCAGGCGCAAATGCATGCCCTGCAAGAGCAAGAGCTGCCTGCTGCGCCAGCACCTCGCCCAGCGGCAGTGACTTGGATGTCGCTGCCGCACAAGGGCCAATTGGCGCTGCTGGGCCTGTGTCGTGTCTTCGACTTCCTGCAGATCGCTTCGCTGCAGGCTTATATGTTCTACCAGCTCAAGTCATTCGATCCGAACCTATCCGACTCAGACGTTGCGACGCAAGCCGGTATCCTGCAGGGCGCATTCACTGCTGCCCAGTTTGCGACAGCTATTCCGTGGGGTCGGGTTGCGGATGCTGAGTGGGGTGGTCGCAAGTTCGTCCTGCTTGTCGGTCTTTGTGGTACTGCTTTGTCATGCTTGGGTGTTGCGTACTCGACGTCATTTGCGCAGGCTGTGTTTTGGCGCTCGTTTGGCGGTGCGATCAACGGAACAGTCGGTATTATTCGGACTATGATTGCGGAGAACGTCAAGGAAAAGAAGTACCATTCGCGCGCTTTCTTGATTCTGCCTATTGGCTTCAATGTGGCCTCTTTGTTTGGTCCTGGTAAGTCGATCCATGCTGATTAACGTCGATGCGACAGTGCTGATCAATTTCACAGTCATGGGTGGTATGTTGGCTGATCCCGTTAAGAGCTACCCTCGCCTCTTCGGTCCGAATTCCTCATTTGGCGGCGAGAATGGAGTGCAGTGGCTCGAGACATACCCTTATGCGCTGCCTATGTTTGCAAACTTTTGCTTCCTTTCTCTCACTGCCGTCTTGGTTGCGTACGGATTGGAAGAGACTCTCGCATCATGCAAAGGAAAGCCTGGCTTGGGTACTTACGCTATTAAGCTGTTCTCGCGCAGCGTCAAGAGTGTGGTGCCGTCTTCCTCGCCTTTGTACACTAGACTTCCCTTCCGCGATTACGAAGAAGACGGACCCTTGCTCGGCAGACCTTTGGACCGCGCGGAAAGCTACGAACTCGAAGAGAAGGCGCACAAGCCTGTGCGCCTCCAACGAGTCTTGCCTTTCCGCAGAATTTGGACTAAGAATGTCCTGTGCACACTTGGAGCGCAGGCATTCTTCGATTTCCAAATGGGAGCCTTCAACAACCTCTGGCTGCTCTTCCTTTCTACTCCACGATACGATGCCAATGACCCAGCAAGCCCAGCCCAAAGCCTGCCCTTCGCTTTCACCGGTGGACTTGGCATGTTGCCCCAAAGCGTCGGCTTTGCAACTGCTATCCTCGGTGTGATCGGCATGTTCCTTCAATTCACAATCTACCCATCCATCAACGGTCGCCTTGGTACAGCCAAGAGCTATCAATACTTCCTCTCTCTTTTCCCAGTTGCATACTTCATTGCTCCCTACATCTCGCTCGCTCCATCTACTATCCCTCCACCAGGACAGGCGAACGGCCCATGGGTCTGGTTCTGGATCATCATCGTGCTGTTCTTCCAAGTGACCGCACGAACCTTCACCCTCCCAACCTCCATCATCCTACTGAACAACTGCTCGCCCCATCCATCGGTCCTCGGAACAATCCACGGCATCGGCCAATCCGTCTCATCTGCCTTCCGCACCATCGGCCCTATCTTCTCAGGCGCGTGGTATGGATACGGACTTGACATCGGCATGGTCGGCTTTGCCTGGTGGATGATCGCCCTGGTATCCGTGTTTGGATGCCTTGCGGCTATCTTCGTTTACGAAGGCTCTGGGCATGAGATCCTCCTTCCCGGCGAGGAAGACGAGGTCGAACTTGCCCATTAGCGATGTGATACGACATGAGCTTGTCTGTTCAGTTGAACTGTACATTGCTTCAACATTTTGCATATTATTCGGTGTCTGGCGGTTGTTTTCTCGAGTTATATTTGAATTTTCTGGCATTGCCGGTGCAGGCCACCGAGTCTCTGAATCATCTTATACGTTCACTGTACCGGTGGACTGTGTTTCCTTATGCATATTGACTTTTATTGCCGGCCTTATTGGCCCCATCTGCATATGCTTATTTCCTTACTGTGTCTTGGATACCATTTGTTTTGCATCTCTCGCTATACACTGCATTTTCATTTTGTCTTAGAATAGAAAATCCAGACTTCTGATCTGGTGACCTTCACGAGGGTCAGATTGAATGAAAATCATTATACCCTGTTAATTTCTCGCTAGCACAGATGAAGTCTTTTTTCAACTGTCCATGACGACTATGCTTGTTCCACTGCATTCATCTCCCTTTGCAGAGGGCCCAAGTACCCAGCATAAATTCTTGTGTAGTCATTGGGTACAGTTTATTGGAGCATGTGTATCATGAAAATTGTCTATTCAGAAACTAACTATATGTGCATTTTAATCTTGAAATCATAAAACCTCAACAGGCTTACAAGCTCGCGCCATAGGCCTTGGCGTAGCTGGCATCAAAGGTCTCCTTGTTCACAGCATACTCCCGAATGTAATCTCTCTCGAGATCATGTGTTCTCCGGCCAAGAAGGACAAGGCTGTGCAAAGGCGCTCCCATCTCAACGGTAGTCAGCTCCTGCAGTGTTCCAGAGACAAGCTTCTGGTTCGCAGCGCCAACACGAGCAGCACCCACAGCCAAGCTGTCAGGTCCGTAGACGCCCTCCTTGCGCTCTTCCTCAGTCTCCAGCATTTGCTGCGCACACTGGGCAACAGTCATGTAGCGTGGAGGCTCGTAGATGCGGCGTCCACGCGCCATGTTCTCAATTGACTGTTCCTTCACCTTGATATCGAGCAGCACAAGTGTGTGCAATCCGGTCTGCACGTTTTCGCGCACCCGGTCGTAGTAGGAGGATGGCTTCCAGTTGTCCATGAAGAAGACCATGCTCACGGTTTGACCGAAGTTGTACAGCTGCAGACCGGTGCAGCCGATACCAGACATGATGGAAGCGTTGGGGACGACATTTGTTTGGATTCCGAGTTCGCGGGCACGGAGGACAAGGTCGGTGTGGGTGGTTGCGCTGGTTGTGTTAGTGTAAGAATTGATGAGGTGGGGTTGGAGTGTCGTACCCGAATGGGTCGCCAACGACAAGGAAGACAATATCGGTCTTGTCTGCGCCGGCAAGGATATCGTCACTGCCGGTCTCAACGAGTTCGCGATCCGCTTCAATAACAGGGCGGCCATAGAACTCTTCCTACTAGTGATATGTTGAATCAGTCATCTGCGACATGTAACAAGAGTATCAGGAAGTCAAGGAGAACAGATAAGAGCCCTTGAACAGATAGGTCAGTAAACTTACAAGTTTGGCCTTGTCGACCAGAAGAATAGCTGTGTATGCCTCCAGATAGACTCTCTCGGCCCGCTTCACGATCTCCAGTCCGCGGACGGTGATATCCGTCTCATCGGCCAGGCCGAGACCAACAAGGTGCAACATTTTCGCTGTGGGTTCTGTGAAATGTTTAACAAGGAGACCTGCAATTTCAAAGGCCAATGCACCAATTGAGAATCTCTAAAACGCAAAACGATCGACGGAAAAAAGAGCATCTGCCCCGCAACGCCGCATGACCGCCCGCCTCAATGACGGCAGAATGAGACCGCCCGGGATCCATCCCCAGATTGCGAAACCTCACCCTAAGCAGCTCTCACTTCACCATTATCGTCAATCAATTGCGACTTGGCTCTTGCCAGCTCTACCCCGACTCAGAATAGTGAAACTGGCTACACCGGCAACCGGCAACGCGTACGCTATCCATAATGAGCTCCGATCGGAATCCAAAGTACCGGCAGGAGATCCAGCAGGTGAGCTCTCCCCAGGGGAATCTTACTTCTTATACTCGGTGTCGTGGTCTTTCTGGCTCTTGAAAATCTCATGGTTGCTGTGGACAACTTGGACCCGTTAAAAGTGATGCGCATCCGTTGGCGGTCGAAACATCGCCTTTGCGCCTGGAATGATATAATTGCAATATTGGATATGCCGGCTCTCTATACACCGAAATCATGGATGGGATGAATTGCTCTGTTGATCAGTAAACAAACCCAACATGATCATCTGAAGCAATGGAGAAAAGGCAACCCCGTGAAACAACAGCACGTTCTTTACAAGGACCTGTCGCATGCAATCATTTCTATGTTTCCTCATTGCTAAGGCTCATATTATCGAAGATAACGTCTATGCTGAGATCGTGCCACTTCAAAATGTCATTCCTGCATCTTCCTTCATGGAATTTCCACAGAAGAACCTCTACTGAAAACCAAACGAGAGCCAGCGAGACCACGAGATTACCATTCAGCTTGAGTATGGGATAAAACAAGAGTACGGATGGCTAACAATGCTGCGAAGATGATGTTCGTCTCTGGAGAGACTGCCGAGCCGTCCCCTGAAACCACTACCTTGATTGAAGAGATCACTCGACAACAAGTGATTGAGATTGTGAGTGCCAACTATTCAAATAATTTGCGTATGTCTCACTGACAATAAACCAGCTCACTCGAAGCACATCTCTAGCAACTCGCCGAGGTGTTCGATCCATCTCAACCGACGATCTAATCTTCTTGATCCGCCATGACAAGGCAAAAGTTTCCCGTCTCCGAACATTCCTATCCTGGAAAGACGTCCGCAAAAACGTCAAAGATTCCGACGACAAAGGTGGTGGTGACGCCGCAGATTTCGCAGCCGACGATGCGGCGGGTGCCGTCGCAGGCCCAGCAGACGTCGCCGCCAAACCAAAGAACAAGAAAGCAAAGGTTGGACTTGCTTGGGACGTGAACAGTTTCTATTCGATCCAAATCCCGGAGCGCGAGGACGAAGAAGACGAAGAAGAGGAAGAGCAGAACTATGCAACCTTGCAGCGTCTCGCAGCGGCTGACGAGCGTACCCGACATATGACGAAGGAAGAATATGTCTTTTGGTCCGAATGCCGACAGGCGTCATTTACATACCGAAAGAGCAAACGGTTCCGCGAGTGGGCGGGTTTTGGCATCGTCACCGAGTCCAAGCCCAATGATGATATCGTGGATATTCTTGGATTCCTCACCTTTGAAATCGTCCAGACTCTGACTGAAGAAGCTCTAAAGGTCAAGGAGCGCGAAGACAATGAGAAGAATCGCCGTGGAGGCGCTGAGGCTGGGGAGAACTTGAAGAAGCGCAAGCGGGAAACTGGTCTTTTTGACCCGCCTGAGGAGGGCCGCACACCGATTGAGCCGCGACATGTCAGAGAGGCATACCGCAAGTTGCAGGCGACGCCCCAAAAGGCGGTTGCAATGCTGTTGCACGAGGGCCGTATCCCAGCACGTCTCCCCCTGGTTTTGGTAAGTAATGATTGAGGTCTTATCCTTGGGTGGTGCTAATACAGACTCCTAGATTTGATGTTGCTTGATTTTTCCTTTTTACCAGCAGGAGTTTTGGACGATACCCAGTTTTACTTTTGGTTGTTTTGCGGTCACGTTTCCAGTGAGCTTTCAGTAACCTAATTAGTTTTGTCTCTACTTGTGTACAAACGTGAGGGCCAGTACTTGCACAGTAATAGTATAGTTCGGCGATAGACAATGGCAAATGACCTATATATGACTTTCTTTGTACAGGATCCACGGGTCGATGAAATCTCAACAATCGCTGAAGTTTACTCAAGTATCATTAACTAGTAGCTAAGTATCAAGTAGATCTCATTCATTCATACAACATAAATGGAGCATCTGATTTTTCAGAATCCAACCAATGCGAACTGGTTTATTCCTGGTGCGTCCGGCGCCCTATCATCAAGTCAGCATGGTACTACATCAGCAAAGAAAACTCAAGAACACATACACTCAGCTAGTTCCTCCTTGGTCAGTTCCCGAATGCCATTGATCGAAGGCACATTGCCTTGCACGGCACCCTTGACGGTGTCAACGGCGCGGCCGAGCAGACCCTTGGTGGCAACGACGTGAGTCGCAAGCTTAGCTTCGAGCTTGATCACGCCAATTCGGGGGTCTGAAGGACCGCCATCATGGACACCATCGCCCATGTCTCCAATCCACGCCTTGAGTGTGGGGGAGTAGTACTTCTCCACAGTAGCACGATCGCCGATGACGGATGCAGTACCCGAGATGGAAGCCCAGGCGCCACTGACGGGGTCGAGGAAGGACATGTTGGTCTCTTGTGGGTGCACGGTGAGATCCATAGTCTTGCCAGAGAAGAGGTTGGTGTGGAAGATCAAGTCAATGCCGCCGTGTTCCTAAATAGCATTAGTTTGCAGCTCTGATATAGATGTAGTTGTTGGAAGCTAGAGCCATACCTGTGCGGCGAGGGCCATGCAACGCGAGGCCAGGTAATCACCCTCTGATTGCTTGGTGGTCAACATGCCAAACTTCACTTGAGAAATGAAGCTGGCTAATTCCTCGATCTTCTGGGGCAGAGGAGGGTCCTCGAAGTTCTGTGCCTTATAAGGGTCCACAGGGTGGTTACCCGTGGTGGTGTTGACTGTGGCATCTGAGGTAGACATGTTGATATTTTGAAGAGATGTTGTTAACGAAGACAATTGAGTACGGAGCAGGGGCTATATAGCTCTATGAGCATATGCAGCTTTCTTGGAAGTTCGTCAATGTGACGTCAGTGATTAGATTCCTGATCAGGGCTCATGAGCACATCGTCCCCTGTGTTTTTTCTTTGCACGCCCAATCAAATTGAGAGTTCAATTTGTAATGTCTCCTGATGTTCGAAATCGATCGCGATCAATTGCATCGGGCGCCAGGCTCAATTACATCACGGTCCTGTAAACCGCCCGATGGTTAAACCACACCAAGCTGCAAATTGATGCCATATCGGTCAATTCTTGCACTGCAAACTCGAATCTCTCGCCATAATAGCATTCTGGCTTTATTCCATGACTCGGGATGAAGGTATGTATATCCATTGGATTTCGTGCTTCGTGGGTACCTGATCGGTCCCTGTCAAACGACCGCCAAGTCAAAAATATTATGCTAGGAAATCCTTGAGATATCCCCAAACGATGCAATGAGATGACCTAGTCAAGAACGGATGAGTCTGCGCTTGAAACCTTGATCTGTCACCAAAGGACCAATTTTAGTCGATTTAGCTAAAACCCTTGACCGCAGAGGCAGTGTTGCCCTACCTTTGGGCTGATAGCCACAGCAATTCTAACAAGACAGCTATTATTCCAACGACAAGTGCTATAAAACGTTTAGCATATACTTCTTCATTTAGGACCCGAAGCAAGTGAAAGTGGTGTGAAGGGCAAGGGCTCGTTGGATATACCTTCTTGTCCCCAACTGCGCACTCGTCTAGCGACCCTTCTCTTTCCTTGTGCTTTGATCCTGAACCATGTTGGAATCATATCCGTCCGACAAGTTCTCCCATGAACTACGATGCATCCACCTTGAACGGGTTTGCATTCAAGATGCCAGCGGCGGCGCTCCATGATGCCCCGAACCCGGCCGTTGCAAAAGGATTCATCAGTACGGAACGAGCACTTCTCCATAGGACATTCGAGCTTCCTTTCAAATCGCTCGACTAACCAGTCGACTTTGAGATGGACGCCCGTGTAGACCATGGAGTAGAAATGGCGGTTGCTATGCTTCAGAGCAAGGGCATCTGGGTAGGATAAGTAGGTACTTATTTGAAGGTGGAGTTCTGATGGCAGATTCATGAGATTAGGGCCAAGTAAGAATGGCTGAGATGATAACTCCATGGCTCCAAGGTGCTGCGTTCTGAATGAAGTAAACACGGCGCCTCTTATACAGTCGGAACTCGGTGCCTAGCTCTGCGGTCATAGGCACTGAACCTGCTGGCTATGGCTGATTACAGACCTGCTTACTGGTCAATGCAGGCAAAATAGCTGCCTATACTCCGTACGATTTCTCACTAGTCAGGCGTCCCGTATAGCCGCCGCTTACGATTAACCGCCAATCGTCAGGCATCATTCATTGCACCCGTCAGTAATCCCCAAACAAGATAAGAATTCAGAGTTAGGAGTGAAGTATCAGTAAAGCACACATCTCTTGAATCATCGCGAATCAGATGAAACTGAAGCTGAGAAGTGACAACTTCTCCCCGACTTGCTCGATTACCGAATGCGGTTTAGCGTGATATCGGAGCTCCTTGCGCTCCATTCTTTTCGACCTCATCAAATCGGCCACTTGCAACTCCAATTCCAGCGCTGCTTGAACCATCGGCCTGATCGCTAGCGTCGGAGCAGGGTATTAGTGCCAAAAATACCATCCATCTGAACTTGACAGGATCCAGGGCCCCTCCAACAGCGTACAACCCCAATTTCATCATCTCCAGCATACCAGCGTCCCCTCCATCCTGATCTATCCGATAAGGAGCACCGACAAAATGGCATCGCCAGAGCAGACACAAGGCTCAGCACCTGCCACCCAAGCTCTCACACCACCCGCCGAATCCTCCACAAACGGCGTCGCGCCCGCCTCCCAGGCCCAGCCCAATGTTCCAGCCGCAGCCCCCCAAACCTCCACAGCCGCACAACCCCCACAAGTCCCAGGGACATCAGCTCAGGATAGCGGGAAATCGCGACGACCACGCGATGTCCGACTGGTTCACATGCTCCTCGCCTCGCTCGGGGTAACCTCATACCAAGACCGGGTGCCTCTTCAACTCCTCGACTTCGCATACCGATACACGGCGAATGTGCTACAAGATGCAGTGCATCTTGCAACGGAAGGCTACGCTGCTGCGACAGACGGTGCGGCGGGCACAAAGGGCACTGCGGAAGTCAACAGCGTGTCTCTGCCGGCATTGCGTTTGAGCATTGCTTCTCGTCTACACTTCCAGTTCCAGACTGGGCTGCCGAAGGAATTCCTGATGGATGTTGCGTCGGAGCGGAACCGGATTGCTTTGCCTGGTGTTTCGCGAGGCGGCTTCGATCCTGCCGCTGGTGCTCCTAACGGGGCGGTTGCTGCGAATCAGAGTATCTCAATGGGTGGAATGCGCTTGCCCCCTGAGAGATTCTGTCTTACAGGCTTGGGCTGGGATATGAAGGATGAGTGGGATAGCGAGGGCGAGGAGGATGTGCCTGATGCGCCACAGACCACCGGGAATGGGGTTGGAGGTGACGGGGCTGGAGACAGAGAGGATGGCGGCGATGAAGACGAAGATGATGGCAAGATGGAGGATATCTTTGGCGAGGATACTACTATGGGCGAGGCTGGTGATGGTGATGAAGACCGGAAGATGACTGATGTTTAAGCGCGTCGGTTCAGCCTGGGGTTTCTTCATTTGCTTTGACGTCGAATCGGGGGTGTTTCTGGCGCATGGTGTTATTCTTCCTCTGATCTACTTCATACCACGGAATGGGGAACTGCTTTTTACTGCATGGAGAAGGTCTATTGCACGTCTTGTTCTCTAATATTAGTATGGATAGGAAGATAAAGATGGAAATAAAAAGACGTCTTCCTGTTCAATTGAATCAAGATATGCAATTGGTTGTATATTGTACACAATTCAAGGCCAACCCATCGCTTCTGGGTGGTCATGCAATGTAATTAAAATGCCCAGCAAACGCCTGCTTCATCTGCCTTAGTGCGCCAAGAGAGGAAAAGTTATAGATCGGTTGCCCGTCGGGGGAAGCGGGCACCCAGGGATACTCTGGAAGATTCACTTGGACACCCATCGCCCACCGAGGAGGAAATGGAACGACGATAACGTGCTGTCAAGGTCGCCAATGCGTTCCACAGCGAGGCCTCAGCATCGGCGTGGGGCCCAATCAACAGACCAGCACACTGGTCTATGATATAGCAATAGACCCCGAACCTTGAGCACCAATTCCAAGATGTAGAGACGAAAGTCTTCGCACTCCATCCCCGACGAAACACAAGCAACAATACTCAAGACGCCAAAACCCATATAAACAAAAGCATAATCACACAAGAGGTGGAGATAGCTGCAAAGAGAGAGACAATAGAAGACGAATCTAAATCATTTTTTGGCCTCTCGTCTCCGGATCTCATCTTCGCGCATCAGCTTTTGAACCTCCGCACGCCGCCTCTCAACACCAGCGAGCTCCTCATCGCGCGCGCGACGCCGTTCTTCAATCCCCGCGAACCACTCTTCACGTGCGCGATCCTCTTCTTCAGGTTTTGCGTGTGCGATCATGCACGAATTCATTGCAAGTCGCTGCTGGCGACAGACCCATGTTGCAGTAATGGTGCGGTTAACGGCGCATTCGGCAAATGCTAAATCATGTGGAGTTAGCTGGTTGAGCATGGGAAGGTGTGGAGCGGAGCGGAACATTGCCACGATGGTGCAATCGGCAGTTCTTAAGATCCCCTTAACAGGAGCTTGGGAGCCCAATGCTAGAAAACCCGAGCGGGAAACCTGTAGAGGTATAATCGAAACAAAAAAGCAATTATGTACCTTTAATCTCTGGGGCGCAATAGCCTCGTACACGCTTGTGGAACAATAATTTCACTTCTTGTTCTTGGGGGGCTGAGAGGGGAAGAGGGTTGCGGAGGTTATTGCTCCTTGGTGGATTCGTTGGAGGCGCATCGGGAGATGTGGATGGTGTAGCCATTGAGACTTTGTAGGTCGATCTCGAGGACCGAAGTTCGGGTTTGAGGAGTGTATGGGATGATCAATGGGTCGGATGGTTCGCTCGGAGGACTCGGCCCGGTGGTTTCGGGTAATTTTTCGACGGCCAGATTCAGCAGAGAATAAGAACTCGATTCTCAAAGCAGACGTCAATGCTTCGTTACTGAATGGCGTGCAGCGAAGATCGAGACCAAGTGGGTGATGTTGATGCGGAGCGCGAGTGAGCCGAGAGCTCGGGCGGAGAGGGAAAATCCAGCAGAAAAAAAAGTTTCTCCAACGAGATCTTCCTATCTTTGATTATCGCATTCCTACATTTTCTTGATCACATTTGTGTCTAGAAAATAGCCCATAATGTCGTCTATGCGCAATGCCGTCCAACGGCGCAACCACAAGGAGCGTGGCCAGGTCCAGGGTCGTGAGAAATGGGGTCTTCTCGAGAAGCACAAGGTGAGTTTATCGTGTCGTTGCTTTGACAAATTTCAGCAGCTATACTCTTGTATCATCCCTCCAACGACCATGCTAATTTCGACAGGACTACTCGCTGCGTGCCAAAGATTACAATGCCAAGAAGGCCAAGTTGAAGCGCCTCGAAGAGAAGGCCAAAGATCGCAATCCCGATGAATTCGCATTCGGTATGATGGGTGACAAAAACCGGACTCAAGGCAAACATGGACGCGGTGCAGGCACTGCTAGAGCTTCAGCTGCGGACCTGAGTCACGATGCACTCAAGCTTCTCAAGACACAAGATAAAGGATATCTCCGAACCGTCGGGGAGCGGTTGCGACGCGAGATCGAGCGTCTCGAGCGTGATGTGGAGTTGCAGAACGGCCTGAAGAAATCTCTCGGAGAGAAGGGCGGAGCAGCAAAGGACCAGAGCGATGATGAGGATGGTTCCGACGACGACTTCGACGACTTCGATTTCGGTGCCCCGGTGCAGCCTAAGCCGAACAGAACCGTCTTCGCCGACGACCGAAAAGACCAACTGGCAATGAAGAAGCAACGGTTACAAAAAGACGACGCTAGCGATGACGAAGACCAAGAAACACCCAAAGCCCGCAAGACTCCGAAGCAACTGGAAGCTGAGCGCAAGGCTCTAGTGGAAGCTCGACGGGCTCGCAAGACCCGCAAACGCGCCGTCGAAGCTCGTGCAAACAAATTGGCGGCCCTGCGCAAGCAGCATAAGGAGGTCCAGGCTGCGGAGAAAGAGCTTGATTGGCAGCGGGCCAAGATGGGCAATTCCGTCGGAGGCACAAACAAGGATGGAATCAAGTGGAAGATCCGTGAGCGCAAGCGTTAAGCACCTTGTCTTTTCTTTGGAGTTATGAGTGATGAGTCGCTATCATCTTTTTGTACATATTGATACCAACCATAGAGCAGTTCGGGCGCATACAGTCGCATTATGGCATACTAAAAGTCATTCTTGTTTGTGCTCGCATCTCCATATATTATTTGGTATATTGCAAGTTGATCTACTCTCGAGGTACGGTCTATTCCCGAGGTCTTCTTGTGGACATAAAAGGTTGAGTCTTTACGAAGCTTCTCTATCTGATGGACTGCGACTAATTTTGACATGAACATGAGATGTGGTATTTCGCGGGAATAGTCATAAAACAAAGGTCAGATTGAATCACAAGGCCGATTTAGTTCTTCTCCGTGGGTTGCCTTTGTGTTTGTACCTGCTTTCGGGCAGCGCCTACTCGCGAGCAGACCTTGAGCTTGGAGAAGAAGAACAGGACCTGCAGAGAGGATATCACTGCATGAGCAGTGAGCGACAATCTAGCCCAATGCATAAAGAGAAGGTATGCAACGATGATCGGCTCGAGGTAGGTTGAGAGAAGCGAAAGTGCATAGGTAAGGTCATAGAATCGGAAATGCAGCTTGGTCTGATTCACACATCCGCGTCGAAGAATGAGCGTCAAGTGGGATGCGACCCCCAATGTTCCGTCAAAGAAGACTATGAAGCTGTTGTTAGCTCATGAAGAGATCAGGTGAATTGACTGAATCTTACCCCAGAATCCAAACATGTCGGCGAGGGTTCTCGAGTGGAAGATGGTCGATAGGCCATTCTCAGGAAGGTTGAATGCCAAAGAAAGGAAACCTTGAATCATGACGATGGTTCCCACATGGTGGAACACGATCAACAGCTTCAGATCCTGAGCCCGAAGAAGCTCAAATGTCTTGAACGCGCAGACCAAGTACATTGCAATCGCGGCCACATCTCCCAGCGTCGCATGGGTGCGCGATGGATCCACGAAGTACGTATCAGACCAATGGCGGCCGCCGAAAACCACCTCAAACACTCCCTTCGATACAGTCGCGAGCGAGATCATTCGTACGATCCAATCGAGATGCGTGATGGAGAACATTCGCTGAAACCGAGCTTCCATGTTCGTATAATGTTTTCCGTATAGAGCGGGAAGCACGAATGCTTGGAGAACGAATCGATCCATAACGAAGAAGGTGATGAGCAAGCTTGCAATGGCCGGGGCCATGTAGTTGCCCAGCCGTGTTATCAACATGCAGTCGCCATAATAATGTGGGTGGGCGAAGAAGACATCTTCCGACAAGAAAGCTTTGCAGCCAGAGCTGATCAATCGTTCGGGCTGCATATTCAACGCAAATTTAATACGCGTGGGGATTCTCCATTCGTTTTCTCCTGGAATGCTACTTTATATCATGCTACAAGGCACCGCTACTACAAGCACCAAGTGCTCGGTCCCTACTCAGCCCTGGAAAGACCCACTCCCCGGGAAAGTTTTGCGACAATCGAAGACTGGAATGTAACGGGGTAGGTTCCTGAAACTGATACATGGGAACGCCCCAAGAATTGAAAATCTGTTGATCAGGGTGCATTGCGCTTCTCGGTCGAAACACAGGGCTAGCGTGCAGCAAAGCCTAAACAGAAGCGGGACTGGGCCCTTACCAATGCGTCATGAAGTACCTAGTTTCCCAACAATATCTGGGGATCAGAGCCACAGATCCCATATGGGACCGAGGAAAGTTAGGTTGGCCGGCACTTCAAGGAAGTGTCTATACCAAATGAGTCGATGATGTACATGCAGTAGACTGCTAGGGACACTTAGAGCTATTAAACGAGCGCCCTGTAATTAAAAAAGGGCCCTCTGATTTCTAGGGAGCACAAATTCCGGATACCTTAATTTGAGGCGATTCCAAATTAAAGGGCAACTTCATATGAGGGCTTGACAACGGCTCCACACATATGATACGGGAGCTAACAAATTGCCCAAAAATTGGGAATTGATTAGTCCAATAAGCTCAATCAATCAATCTGCCCTAAAGATCCTGAGGGATGAACGGCGTCGATTTAATCTCTTTGGAGAAAGGGCCGAGTGTCCACCTCTCCGCGGATCAACGTCCAGACCCACTGTATGCATATCCTTACCTATTACAGCGATCTGAGACGAACTCGAGACCGTGAAAGTCAATGATCGCTTTGCGTTTTTTGTTTTACCCGTTTGACCGTTTTGACATGTCGTGAAAAGACCTTGCTACCTCGGTGCTGGGACTGTGGGTCACGGAGACCATCGGGGCCTCCCAAAACCAAGCTATCGAATTTCAATAGATTGTATTCCTAGCTCATGAAAGATCCACTACCCCAAAAAGCGTAGGAATGATTATTGGGCTCGGTCTCTCACTGCGTCATGCTTGTGTTTCTATCTCCATCCCATATATGCAAAGTCTTGCCGGGAGACTCCAGTGAAACCGCCAGCAACGCTGGGAAAGGGAATAGACTCCGCTAAGCTGACAATGAAGTTGACAGAAGCCCGGCGCTTCACTCTCACCATTGTCGCTCTGGCAAGCGTGTCTCTCACTGTCTCTCTTAGCTCTACCTCTATGAGCAATGCGGTCCCGGTGATCACGAGTCAATTTCACGGCACAGATGTCCAGGCATTCTGGTCTGGGACGGCAAATCTACTTTGCTCTGCGGTTTTCCAACCCGCTTTTGCGGTCTTCTCTTACATCTTTGGACGCAAGCCTCTGGTAAGGCATTCAAACCCACAAGGCCGCATTTCTACTAACACCGAACAAGTTTATCATTGCCTCACTTCTTTTCTTAGCAGGCTCGGCCCTTGCCACAGGCTGCCAAAGTTTTGATGTCCTTCTTGCCGCAAGATCAATCCAAGGCTTTGGGGGTGGTGGGCTGCTCACGCTATCCGAAATCCTGATCGCAGACCTCACCCCGCTGAGAGAGCGCGGAAAATGGATTGGTATCCTGAGCATGATGTGGGCTATAGGATGTGTTAGTGGACCTGTTGTTGGCGGTGCACTGGCCCACCGCAGTAAGTCCATATCTCAAAGAAGTTTCAAAATGCAGCTAATACCTGAGAAGACGTTTGGAGATGGATCTTTGCGTTGAACCTCCCGCTGGCCAGCATCTCACTAGCATTGATATGCATATCTCTAAAGCCTCGCTACTACTCCACCACTTTCTATGAAGAAAGCACCGCGCAGAAGCTGGCCCGTGTCGACTGGATAGGCTTCGGTCTCTTCATCCCGTCAATGTCTAGTTTCCTGATACCCCTCACCTGGGGCGGCGAGCTCTTTGATTGGGAAAGCTGGCATACTTTGGTGCCACTACTCGTTGGCGTCGGAGGCCTGGTGGCATTCGTGATCTACGAAATGTTCCTTGCAAAAGAACCGTTCTTGCTTAAGAGTATATTTCGCGACTGGAACGCAAAGCTGGTTTACGTCCAGACCTTCATGCATGGACTGATTGTGAGTTTGTCTTTTTTTATTTTTTAAATGTACTGCAAGTGGCCTTGGGATTTCTAACGCTTAAATTATCGAACAGGTCTGGTGTCTTTTATATTACCTCCCACTGTACTACCAAGCCGTGCAGTCATACAGTGCTCTTATGTCTGGTGTTGCTCTTCTACCTGAAACATTCAGTATCACCCTTGCTGCCGGCTTAGTGGGGTTCGTGATAGCGAGCACTGGCCGCTATCGCGAGGTTCTGACAGGAGGCTGGGTCGTTGCGACAGCAAGCCTAGGCACACTGTACCTACTCAATGTCCAGACCGCGATCTATGAGTGGGTCCTCATCAACTTCTTCGTTGGAATGGGAACAGGGTCTCTGTTCACAAGTCTGAATCTAACAGTCCAGTCGAATATTGCTCCACACGAGGTTTCGCACGCCCTTGGCTTTTTCGCTTTCTTCCGAGCCTTGGGCCAGGCTATTGGGGTGGCTGTCGGAGGTGCATTCTTTGACAATATTTTCCGATCAAAGTTGAAGAAAAATGCCGAAGTCGCGGCCTACACGAACCAATTGAGTAAGGGGGCGGCGGCGATGATTGAGGTCTTGAAAACTATTCCCGACTCGGACCCCCGGAAACCATCATTGGTCCAAACATATGCGGATTCATTGAGGCTACTGTGGCCAGTGATGTGTGGATGTGCTGGATTTGCGCTCCTGGTGAGCCTGTTCATCAAACATCACAATCTGGCGCGAGGTGAGTTCTAACTCAAGCTACTATGACAAGGTACAATGCTAATCATTATCTGATAGGAGATGAAGATGTCGAGTCTCTGAGTGATACTGTCTCTATGAATTCCAGAGCAGAGTTTGGAGGAGGCCATTACCGGGTCAGAAAGCATTGAGTTACGTGAACTATGAATTTTGTTTAGATATTACCACAAAAGAAGAACGAAAGGTTGTAGGCCATAAAAGACAGACCCTCCACAGTGACAAATATGCCAATACGTTACTATACGAAAAGCCTAGAAAATGGCTAGTAGACTTTAAAACAAATCCCAAGTGGGCCATTTGGGCAACGCCGTGAGAGCGAATCCATTGAACGTTCGCACCGAGCGCAGACTTCAATTTTTCCAGCTCGACTAGTTGTAACGGTTAAGTGGAGTGGAAACGCTCTCAAAAGCCAAATTCGAGGCAAAAAAGGGCTGAACTAAAAGCCCCCCCACTATTGCTGAACGAGTCTTCACGTGGGTAAGGTTATTTCGCCGAGCCTCCAGGTCCCAAATTTGAAGCCGGCATGGAAACACAGGTCAAACCCGCAAAATTTGAGAGGTAAACTTATTAGCAGCCCATTTGTGCCGGAATGATTGCCCGTCCCAGTTAGGATCCGCACTTATTTGCCTCTTTCTAGGCTATTCACTGAATTTGACCAGTATTTGTTTCATCCAGCAGTGGTGGATCTCCATACAGGAATCCAGGTACTGTTTCATTCGGACCCTGCAACGTATGATGATCGACTCCGCAGTTTGCCATATACGGACGGGGCAAGAGAATTGAGCAGAATTGGATCTGGTCTGTGTGTCTAGTTTTAGGGATCGATCAATACTATACGAGTAAACACGGCCGATTTCCTAAAAGAGGGTTTGAACTGTGTCGCACCAATCTAGAAATCACCGTCATACCACGCCGAGGATCAAAGTTCAGACCACTTATTGACAAAACGATTTGTTAGTACGAGTCAAATGTTTGCAGTCCTAAATTTTGACTGGTTATTCTTTCAGTCCTCTTACCCACATGCTTAATGGCCTCCCGTAGATAAGATCCTTATAGTCCGCCCTCAATACCTGGAGTCTTTTGGTCTGAGCATTTCACTGTCTTTTCTTACATTCCATCTTGGTATTGATCGGTCTGGCACTATCTACCAATTAGTCACCATGTCTACACGGCAAATGTCTCCTCAGCACCAGGAGAAGGGTGAACTTCCTCCCAACAATAACCCGGCGCAACAGAAGAGAACGCCTTGGTATCAACAACTTGATTGGCTCATGGTCACCATGGTCCTCCTTGTTCCTGCACTTGCTGGATTGAGCACCATTTGGGTGCCTTTCCAAAGGAAGACCCAAATCATGGCATTCTTTTATAGTCTCACAAAGGGATTCAGCATCACCGGAGGTAAGCATTCACCACCCAGAACCGTGAACTTGAACATACAGATGCATGATACCTATATTACTTCGGCAAGATGTTGACTTAAAAAACAGGCTATCACCGTCTCTGGTCTCACAAATCTTACAAAGCCAGCACATCGTTACAAATTTTCTTGATGCTCTTCGGCGCTGGCGCCGGACAAGGGTCAATCAAGCTTTGGTGCCGAGAGCACCGTGCCCATCACCGCTACGTGGATACCGACCAAGATCCATACAGCGTCCAGAAAGGACTCTTCTACTCCCACGTCGGCTGGATCATTTTCAAGGATGACCCCGATAAGATCGGACGCGTGAACGTTGAAGATCTAAAGCGGGATCCAATCATTGCCTTCCAAGCCGACTACTACTGGCAGCTCTTCCTGCTCATGGCCTACATGGGCCCTACATTCATTGCAGGACTTGGATGGGGTGATTGGCTCGGTGGGTACATCTATGGAGGCCTACTCGGCACAGCACTCGTCCAGCAAAGCACATTCTGCATCAACTCGCTTGCCCACTGGATGGGAGACCAACCCTATGGGACATTCAAGTCGGCTCGAAACTGCTTCATCGTTGCGATCTTGACGCTTGGAGAGGGATACCACAACTTCCACCACGAGTTCCCCTCGGACTGGCGCAACGGTGTGCACTGGTATGAGTTCGATCCTACAAAATGGAACATTTGGCTGTGGACCCAGCTTGGTCTCGTTACCGACTTGCGATTCTTCTCTATGAATGAGATCAACAAAAGCATGCTCCAGGCATCGCAAAAAGAGCTCGATAAGAAGGTTCAGACTGTTCAATGGGGTGTACCTATAGCAGACTTGCCTGTCATGCTCTTGGAGGATTATTATACACAGGCTCAATCTCGAAACTTGATCTTGATTGAGAGGATTGTATATGATATAACTGAGTTCCATAAGATCCACCCTGGTGGCGTGGGACTGATCAAATCGGGCATTGGGAAGGATGCAACGAGGGTGTTTAACGATATGTACAAGCACTCAAACGTGGCGATGAACCTTCTTGCTGGCATGAGGATCGCGGTGGTTGATGAGGATATGTAGCTTGGCGATTGATCAAAGCTTGAGTGATACCATTGAGATGTTTTACGAAGGAATACTACCATACCCCTGTTTTTGTTAGCATATATACTTTGAGATGATCATTCTGATCGGTCTGATTAGATTTGTTCCCCAACAAGCTCGGTAGAGTTACGGCGCAAGATGAATGCCCAGGTGCCGGTTACGATGTGACTTGTTTCCGAATCCCCTGTTTCCTAAATTACCCCAACAAGACCAGTATTGATCTGGAGATAAACTCCCGTCAATGAGCGCAGCCTTCGAAGTATTGATTGTCTTGGATTTGCGGGGAATGGGCTTCTCCACAAGGTGCCTCCTACATCACTTCCACAACCACCAGGGCTGCCAAGCCCAGACCTATCAGAAGTTCGCAGCCGAAATCCGTTCGCTAACCCGCTGTCTCTTCATGCGACAGTGATGGGTTCCAAGCGCCGTAATTCATTCCGACGGAGTAGAATGAAGCGCGTTCAATTGCCGAAAGCGGAGTGCATATGCGCGGTGTGCATAGTCCAACCTCGGAATACTGGCCGGAATACTGGCCGATGGACCAACTGCAGGTTTGAAGAGGATCTATCGTGTGATTTTTGGGCAAATCAATCTAATATTCATCGTGAACCCGATTAATCTGAGGGCATTGCGATATAGGAGTAAACAATGCGTGGCGGAATAAGGCCGGTCAGGTGACAGCAAGATATACGAGTCAAAGAGACACGATTGGCAATGAACATCGCCTTGAGTCACACCAAGTCTCCTCGGAGATGCATTTCCCTTTGAGAAAACAACACGCCCAGGTAATCCGCGGTTGCTGATAGGCGGCAGCAGATTAGCTTAATAATGCCCCTCCACGAAGAGTATGACTAATGCCTATCTTTTATCACCTAAATATTCCCATTTGCCACCCCTCACTTCACTCCTTTCTCATACTTCCCTTAATTCAGTTATGGCGCCCTCATTCATGACCATTGACACCAACGACACGGACATGGACTTCTCACCGTCCAAGCCCGTGCAATCCAAGCGCACCCTCCTCCTCGCTCCCCCCTCCATAGCCACCCAAGAGGACAAACTCCGCGGTCTCTTCACAACTTTCGACCGCTCAATCACAGACCTCCAAATGCTCGACCGTCTCTCCGCCGGCTTTGTTTCTCTCCCCGCATCCACCTACGACCTCGTCCTCATCCTCACCGACTCAGACGGCGCAAGGCGCTCCGAGGCCCTCAAGCTTCTCACCAGGGATGTCTACACAACTCTCGTCCCCTCAATGAAGGCAGGCGCCAAGCTTCAAACTCAGGATTCCGCTCTCACTGCCTCCGAGTCTATGGAGGCTATTTTGGCCGGACTCGTGCAGTCCGATACCGGCTTCGAGAAGCCAAACTTCGAGCCCACTGCGGCTGTCCCTCTTAAATTCGGCCTGAAGAAGAAGAATAAGCCTGCTCAGGCCCCTGTTACAGCCATTCCTACCGGATTCGCTGCACCGGGAATTACTAGTGCAACGAATCACGACCGCGAGGATGAGGACGAGCTCATTAATGAAGATACACTCCTTAACGAGGAGGATTTAACGAGACCCATAATGCCTCGTATGTATTATCTCTACCGAACATCGCAAGTGAACTTTGACTAACATCACACAGCCCCAGAGTGCCAACCCAAGACCGGACGCCGTCGACGCGCCTGCAAGGACTGTACATGTGGTCTCGCTGACCGATTGGAAGCGGAAGACAAGGAGCGCCGGGCGAACGCCGATAAAGAATTGAACGTCATGAAGCTGGACACGGGCGATCTAGCCGAGTTGGACTTCACCGTCGAGGGTAAGACAGGTTCCTGCGGAAGCTGTGCTCTCGGCGATGCTTTCCGCTGTGACGGATGTCCTTACATGGGTCTTCCTGCGTTCAAGCCTGGTCAGGAAGTCCAGATTTTGAACGATGTCGCGCAATTCTGAACATAATGTCTTACGTCTACTTTTTGGGTTCCGGTTTCGGGGGTGTCTTCCAAGGTTGCATTGGGTTGGGTTTTGCTCTATATTCTGGTGTTACAAAAAATAATGCTAGGGGTTAAGCATTAATGTCATTGATTGTGATTTTGCTTGTTTTTTTTTTTTTTTTTTTCATGTTTATCTGATCTGTGATTTATGATGTGCTCGAGTGCAATTTTTCTTAGTGGATACCAACGTCATTGGGCGTCGGATCTGATAATGATCGCTGCCCTACGTCCCGCAGTTCAACTGCCGGATGCGTTCAGGTTCTCAATATTCTAGAAACTTGGTTTATACCTGTCCACGGATAAAGTAGATCATTTTGTCATTATAGTTACAATCTATCATGGGAAACGAATCCCGTGGAGCCTTCAATGGCAAATGATCTCAATTCGAATTTGCTTTTGGCTATCTGTTCATGGCACATCATCATGATAAATCAACGAAAAACGGAGAAAATGCAAAGTAAATCATGCCGACAAAGCATAATCTATGACTTGTTCTGGTTCATGTGGGCAACACGGATGCTCACGGCACGCTTGTGCGCATCCAGACCCTCCACGGCAGCAAGGGTCTCAACAGTCTTAGCCAGACCGAGCAGACCCTCAGCAGTAAGGTTGGAGCTGGTGATGTGCTTGAGGAAAGAGCCGAGGTTGACACCGGAGTATTGCTTGGCGTATCCGTATGTAGCTGGAGAATATGTTAGCGACAGGAATGGATGCAAGTGGGAGATGAGAAAGAAACTTACGAAGTGAGTGGTTGACTCCAGCAGAGTAATCTCCGACACTCTCGGGAGTCCAGGGACCAATGAACACACTGCCAGCGTTCTGGACATCTTCGACAACAGACTCGGGGTTCTGAACTTGCAGGATCAAGTGCTCAGGTGCGTATTCGTTGCTGAGGACCATGGCTTCATTGATGTCGCGAACGACGAAGGTAACGGAGTGGGCCAATGAGCCGCGGACAATGTCAGTACGGGGCAAGGCCTTGGCCTGAGCATCGACTTCGTCTTCGATGGCGAGAAGCTCCTTCTCACTCAGGTCGACGGCAATGAGGATGACCTGGGAGTCAACGCCGTGCTCGGCCTGACTAAGGAGGTCGGATGCGACAAAGGCCGGGTTCGCGGTCTTATCGGCGATGACGAGAACTTCACTGGGACCAGCGGGCATGTCGATGCTCACACCTGCGGAAGTGTCGTTGGACACGAACATCTTGGCGGCGGTCACGAATTGGTTACCAGGACCCAGGATCTTGTCGACCTTGCTGATGGACTCGGTACCGTAGGCCATCGCGGCCACAGCCTGGGCACCACCAGCCAGAACGATGCTTTCGGCGCCGACCTTGTGGGCGACGTAGACGATCTCCGGGGAGATGCTGCCGTCTGAGCGGGGAGGAGAGGCCAGGACGATCTTCTTGCAGCCTGCCACCATGGCGGGGACACCCAACATCATAGCAGTGGAAGGCAGCACAGCAGTACCGCCGGGAATGTACAGACCGACACGCTCAATGGGGCGCGAGAAACGAGAGCATTCAACACCGGGCATGGTCTCCACTCGGAGAGTGGCGTTGCTGCCATTCTGCGCGGAGTGGAAACGATCAATGTTGCCAATGCTCACGTCAATTGCCTCCTGAACTTCAGGGGTCAACTTCATGAGCTCAGCAGGGAAGGGTGCTTTGATGACAGGAGAAGTGAGTGAAGTGGCCTTCTCGAACTTTTGTGTGTACTTGAGGACAGCGGCGTCGCCTCCGTCACGGACGTCTTGAATGATAGGCTTCACCATAGCAACGACGGCATCGTTGGACTTTTGAGAAGGACGCTTGAGGTAGTCTGAGACAACCTTAGGGTTGGTAGAAGCAGTGGTGACACGCTTCATTTCGATTCGAGATGTGCGGTCATCCACTGGCGCGGGGGCAGGAGCAGGGGCAGGGGCAGCCTTTGACTCAGTCTTGGTCAGACCAAGCTTCTCAGCCCATGGGCCCTTAGCATCACCCTTTCTGCGCTTGACCTTCAAGCTCTTGAGATCAAGGTTGCGCTCAATATCCTCGAGACTGACACCAGAAGCAGTGCACTTGGTCAGAGCGAAGTAGAACAGATCAGCAGCTTCAGCAGCAATCTCCTCCTTGGTCTGAGCTGTGCACAGTTCCTCGGCCTCCTCCATAATCTTGGCATCAACGAGCTTGGGCTCATTGAACAGACGAGCGGTGTATGATCCCGCGGGGGCATCGGCCTTCCGAGCATCCAGAGTCTTTTGAAGACGAGAAAGACCCGCGGAGGGACCAAAACAAGTCTCGGTGCCGAGGTGGCAGAAACCTAACAAACCAGAAATCCCTCATTAGTATGCTGAGGCCAATGATCAATGACCGAAATTTTGGTGCTTACCACGTCCAATCTGCTTGACGGTGAAGACCAAGCAGTCGCAATCACAGTCGTACCCAATGCGGATCAGCTCCTGCACATCGCCGCTAGACTGGCCCTTGTACCAAAGGCCGCGCTTTCGGCTCATGTAAACACCAGTGCCGGTGCGGACGGCCTCGACGATACTCTCCTCGTTGCTCCAGACACAACCAAGAGAAATACCCCGTTCATCGGTAACTGAGGTCAAGCACAGGCCGGTTGCCTGATCAGGCACTGCCCGCGATGCGATAAGCTTGGCAGCAGAGATCTTGCCGGCAACATCCCGCTCAGCGGTCAATGCCTGTGATGAGATGATGGCAATAGCACCCTGCTTTGTGACCTGGGAAATAGCATCTTCTGAAACCGTCTGGCCGATACGTGTGAAAAGTCGGGGAGAGTCAGAACTTATGTTCAACTTCTTGGCAGCGGCGGGGACGGCAGCAGGCTCGGTGCAAACGCTAGCGTCGTTACGCTCGGTGTTGGTGCCAATCCATTGCTGGAGGGTATCGAGTTGGGAGTCTGATTGAGCAATGACGAGAAGGCGGGATGAAGGCACGGTTTGCTCCTCAGATAAGGTGGTCAATTGATCCAAAGTAATCAAAATTTTGGCCGCACCGGCATTGAGAATGTCGACGAGGTCACCGGAAGAGGAGATCTCGGTCGCGTCGACATACACATCAAGCGAGCGCAGGTTCTTGCGGAGGAAGTCCTCTCCTTCAGCCAGGGCAGAGAACTTGACCAGGACGCGGCCGAAGTAAGCAATCTGCTTCAGCGAGAGTCCGGAATCGGAGGTGGGGGAGGAGGGGTCATAATTGATGAGGAATGGTGTCGCCATGATGAACACGGAGCAAAGTGTATGAAGGGAAAGAGATGCAAATCCCTTGATTTGTCTGAACCCTTCCAGAAAGAATGTGTAGGAAAATCACAGTTATGACTCTTGTGCAGCCATAGTCCTACTGAGCCTGGCATGACTCACCGCCGACTTCACCGCCCTAATTACCGCCAATGCTGGCCTCGCTATCTCGGCCTTATCTTCGACTTATTACTCCATTCTATGTCTACTCCTTTCTTCTTCCACTACTATATTCTCCTTTGACTTAATTTATCAAGGCGCCATACCACAACCTCTTTGGAACCGTTGTTGTTTGTATTCCTGTATGATTTGGATCGGCAGAATCAAAAATGCACAAAGCCCCGCAATTTAGCCCCGCTGATTCATCTCAACCGTGAGTCGCTGGCTCCAGAGCTGGACTATACTAGGATTTCTCGACTCGGTACTTTGAAAGGCGATCTTTCGATGATACTTATGATACATCATTTGCACTGGAGATTCTCATTCATTCATTGGGCTACAAGTATGTCAGGATCCCAGCTCATATGCGCCAACCCATCACCATACATGGATTACTGCAAGGAGAATCCTTTTCAAACCTCATAGACGATCTTATAGGCCGATACCCCACCATCCCGGAATTCTTGAAATCCTTGGGCAACAGAGTCCAAGCCATAGAATACCTTGGCTTTGTTGGGCTTGACGCGTCCCTGCGCCAGCCAAGAGGGTAGGTTTTGGAACAGCTCGCTAGCCAGGTCATGGTCTTCCTGTGAAGCCTGTCTACAGTCAGCATCGGACTTGGATCCTGTTGGGTATATAGGGTGACTTACTGGCCAGTGGAATTCGCCGTACCGGTGGTCTTTGAGGAAAGCAGTCCAAACCAGCACATCGGTAACATGAGTGTTCGCTGTGACCTGCTCGGTGTTGGCCTTCCCTGGTCTCACCGTACATAGATTTCCTTGACGGTTGCCAAAGACCCGAGAGGGAGTTGAAGAGGAAGTCTTGTTTCCAATTGTGTCAAAGACATACTGAAGGTCCGGTGCGGCCTTGCTGATGCTTTCAATCACATCAGGATCATTGTAGTCGAAGACATGCGTAGCACCGTAGGAACGGACAAGATCTGCATTCCGTGGGCTGCAAGTTGTGATGACGTTGAGACCACAGATTGACGCGAGCTGGATGGTATACAGGCCGACACTTGCTGAGCATGGTCAATACATCTAACACAACATGATCATGGCGTATAGACTACTCACAACTCCCACCCCAGACCAACAGACTGGTGCCGGCCCGAGAACGATCAATGTTCAAGCAGCCTTGAGAGAACAAGGCGAGCCACGCTGTCGTTGCAGCGAGGGGCACGGTGCTCGCTTCCGCCGGCGAGATGCCTGCAGGCACCTTGAAAGAAATGTGCTGGTCCGCAACACTATGCTGGCTATACCCTCCCAGTCCCGGGATTTCTCCTAGGGTCCTGATTAGTAGCTGGTAGGGATGCTTTCAATTCTCCGATAGCTTACCACCCCAGATCAGACCTGCCACGATGTCACCGTTGGCATATTGAGTGACTCCATCACCGAGCTCGGTGACCTCTCCGACGAAGTCACATCCCAGCACGGCTCCGTCTCCAAAGGCATTGATATCGAAAGATTGAACTGCGTCGCGTGAGTTTTGTCGGTGTGTACTGGAACATCGAGCATACCATCTGTCGGATTCTGTGCAACATGCGACACCTTGACTTGCACTTGGCCTGGTTTGGGGGATGGTAGCCGGAGTTGTTCTTTGACCAAGTTCGGTTGTCCACCCGTCACGCGGACGATGAGCGTTTCGCTGGTTGCCATAATGCTGAGACTTCCAAGGTTGTTTTCAAACCCTTGGGAAAATGGAATATTTCACCTTGATATAGTCAGTCATTATGCGGCATAGAGCTGACAAATGACGTCGGGCAACTGGAAGCGCCCAAGTGAAAATGTCTCCGCCCTCGGCAACTGGAAGCGCCGCTGTGGATTTGAAGAATACAAAGCCTGGAAATGTGGCCGAACTACTTGAAAACTGACAAATGTGAATCATTAAGAGAGTGAAATTATTCAGCAAATGCAGGGACCCGGTGCGAACAATTTAGGAACGGAATCCGAGGGCTACTGCCACAAGGGTAGTACTCCGTGGCTACGGAGTACCCCGTCTATACTTCACCCAAACAATATAGACAAGATGGATGCGGTGTAGGGATTCCTATTTCAACCAGTGCCTTCAAACTCCGATACGTAAATTTCATGCGCAGCTAGCTCTTGGATCCAACGTAGTCTTCGCCCAAATCCTCCAAATTGTTGCACGTACCTCGTCGGCTCCGTGTATCACAATACCACCAGCCTATTCAGACCAATTTCCGAAGTTCGCGGAGTATATGAAGTAGTATTGTCCAGAGGAACAAAGATCAGTTTGTCCAGTCTGGTGATAAGGCCGTGGTTTGAGGGGTAGGTAGCATGTCAAAGCACGAAGCGTGATGCTTTGGAGCTAAGTCTGGACTAGTGACATCTCGGCAGGGGTCATAGATCTGAAGAGGAAGCACAACGTCAGGCTCTCATGTCACGCTCGCTGCTCGTCTGTCAAATTTCTTGGAGTCAAAGGCTAGATTTAAACTCTATCCGGAGAAATAGAGTGCAAAATGAGGTTATTGTGTTGTATGGAAGGTGATCTCGAACAAGTTAGCCGACGGATGGCCCAGGGGCATCGTTCCGCGTGCCAATGACGCCCTTGCAGATCCCCCAGGCGCCCCCTGAATCTTAAGCAATTAGTCCGATAGATCGATGCAAGCAATGAAGTCTAATGGTATTGAAGTCAAATGCACAATTTATCAGAAAAAAACAAAAAAACAAACGGGTCGCGTGCCGACCACCTTCCCCCTTTCGCCTGATGTCTCCTTCTTGCTTGTAACCTCAACTTTTCACATTCCACGCTCCCTTCATATTTAAAAATCGCATTGGCCTGCTGCATTGCAGTTAAGGCGGTCCTTCGTTCGCGATATTCCTAAAACCACTTGGTTTGAAATCTTCAATCGTTACAACTTTGTTTATCCATACGACTACATCATGCGCGTCTCTCTTTCTCTACCCGTGGCTGCACTAGGCCTAGTGGGCTCAGTCGCTGCCTATCCGCACGAGTCGAAGCCAGTATATCGTCGGGACGCGGATAACCAGGCCAAAGCCGACGCTGTGAAGGAAGCTTTCCAGCATGCGTGGGATGGCTACTCGAAATACGCTTTCCCTCATGATGAGCTGCATCCAGTGAGCAATAGCTATGGTGACTCTAGGTTAGCACGTTACACAGCCGTAATGTTTATCATGCTTACAACATCACAGGAATGGATGGGGTGCCTCTGCGGTTGATGCGCTTTCAACTGCCATTATCATGGGCAACAAGGATGCCGTCCAAAAGATCCTGGATCATATTGACACGATTGATTTCACGAAGACCAACAACGAGGTCAGCCTGTTTGAAACCACTATTCGGTATTTGGCTGGCATGCTGTCCGGCTACGACTTGCTCAAGGGACCTGCTGAGAAACTTGGCGTCAAGTCGAGTCAAGTCGACAACCTACTCAAACAGTCCAAAAATCTTGCCGATGTTTTGAAGTTTGCTTTTGACACGCCATCTGGCGTTCCTTACAACAACCTCAATATTTCCTCCAAAGGCAATGATGGCGCAACAACCAACGGCCTGGCAGTGACTGGAACTCTGGCATTGGAGTGGACACGTTTGTCCGATTTGACCGGCGATGAGGAATATGCAAAGCTCAGTCAGAAGGCGGAATCTTATCTTCTGAACCCACAGCCATCAAGTGCCGAGCCGTTCCCCGGATTGGTGGGGAGCAACCTCAATATATCCAACGGACACTTCACCGATGGAACGGTGTCCTGGAATGGCGGTGACGACTCTTTCTACGAGTACCTCATTAAGATGTACGTGTACGACCCCAAGCGCTTTGAGTCATACAAGGACCGATGGGTCCTTGCAGCCGAGTCATCCATCAAGCACCTGGCGTCGCACCCCGTAGTGCGCCCAGAATTGACTTTCCTGGCTTCGTATTACAATGGTGAATACGACCTGAACTCTCAGCACTTGACTTGCTTCGACGGCGGCAGCTTCCTTCTTGGTGGAACTGTGCTTGATCGTCAAGACTTCATTGACTTTGGCTTGAAGCTCGTGCAAGGCTGCGAAGCAACTTATAACCAGACTCTCACTGGTATTGGGCCTGATGCTTGGGGCTGGGACCCCAAGAGAGTGCCGGTCGACCAGAAACAGTTCTATGAGAAGGCCGGATTCTACATCAATAGCGGCTCATACGACCTGCGACCCGAAGTTTTGGAGAGCTTTTACTATGCTTACCGCGTCACAGGAAACGAAATGGTGAGTTTACTTTTTCACCCATCGCAGAAGACATACTAACCGACATCAGTACCGTGACTGGGTCTGGAACGGGTTCAAGGCTATTAACGCAACCTGCCGTACTGGCTCTGGCTTCGATGCCATGACCGATGTGAACAAAGCCGGTGGTGGCTCCCATTACGACAACCAAGAAAGCTTCCTCTTCGCTGAAGTTATGAAATACGCCTACCTTGTACATGCAGAAGGTAACATATCTGTTCCAACATATTTCCAAGACATCCATGCTAATGAGGTCCTACAGATGCCCCATGGCAGGTCCAAAAGGGTGGTAAAAACGCCTTTGTGTTCAATACCGAAGCTCACCCCATCAAGGTGTCTCATACCTAGCTGTTGCTTTAGTTTATTTTTATAGCAAATATCATCTGCATCATTGATTGCATAAATTGTTTCCCGGTAATTGTATCTTTTTGACAAGCGTATCTCTGAGAATTGTCAATGTCGTGTTTCCCAGAACGCAATATTCCATTCCAGAACCTCCTCGAGCTGGCCAGAATGTCGGCACGTTGAAACCTTGGAACATTGCACAGCAGACTTCATTATCCCATGATAATCTTGTATCACTCCAATGGTATAAACTCACCGTCTGATGATCGCAGGTCTGTTCACGGGATTCGCCGGACCCTGTTTTCGGCACGCCATTTGGCCCTAGGGAGCATTGTAAGCCCTAAATCTCAAAAGAGAAATGAAAAGAGATAACTTACTATTACTCCGTACTCCCCGCTTGTCAACGTCGAGATTCTGACCTATCAGCAGCGTGTGTCTCCCGAAACAGCAAGCCATGGGTTATGACTTCGGCAGATGCTCGGCTACATATTGCGCCATCCGCAGAACTGTGGCACAATAGCTCGCTACGATGTCCAAAATAATCAATTACAAATTTCCAGTCTAAAGAATACTCTTTTTCATCGCGAATGGTGTTATTATAGAGCGCATCACGAAAACGCTAATTCATTCCAAGGTTAGAGCTCAATTTGACATCGGCAATATAAAGACGCAAAGATGTAGATAGACCCAGAACCCCATTTTTAATTCATACTATATTTCAAAATGGGAGTTCTCAAACAGACCATCCTAGCAGCTCTAGCAACATCATCTATCAGTCAAGGAACATACCGATCTCGTCCAGACCTTGCACCACCCCAGCTCAACATCACCGTCCCTTCCCAAAACGGCAATAGCTCCGAGTATGTCTTCATTGCTCCATACTCAAGTAGCGGTGGTCTTTCACGGCCTGGTCCGTACATCTACCGCAAAGACGGTGACCTAGTATGGGCTGGCACAGGATACTATGCTGGATTCGTCGGCAATTTCCATCCCACGACGTACAAGGGAAAGCCTGTTCTACAGGGCTTCCAGGGAAGCATGGATGGCTCTCACGGAGAGGGGTTCGGACAGCATTTATTGCTTGATCAGAGTTATGAGCATGTTGTCTCTTCCAAAGCGGCGAATCATCGGATTTCATCGATCCATGAGTTTAACGTGATTGATGGAAAGACGGCTTTGATTGAGATCTTTGATATCGTTCCCACGAACTTGTCGGCTTGGGGTGGTAATTATTCTCAGCAGTGGCTGGGGAATGGGATTTTCCAAGGTTTGTTGATATGTCGGATTTCGTACTTGGGATATGCTAATCATATTCTAGAAACTGATATCGCCACGGGCAACCTCGTCTTTGAATGGAACGGCCTTGATCATGTTGATCCCTCTGGTAAATGAACATTGAAAGCACCTGGGAAAAAAAAAATCTAATATATTCAACAGAAAGTCTTGTATCGCTCGGCTCATCGAAATCTAACAGTGGACTGTCTTTTGCACAAGCATGGGACTGGCTGCACATCAACAGTGTCGACAAGAATGAGGAAGGCGACTACCTACTTTCTTCTCGGCACACTAGCACAATTTTCAAGATCAACGGCACAGACGGTTCAATCATCTGGCGACTAGGCGGCAAAAAGCCAAGCTTCAAACAAAGTGGGAATTGGACATTTGGTTTCCAGCACCATGCTCGCTGGCATCCGGAACTGAGCCAGCCGGGAACTGAAGTGATCTCATTCTTTGACAATTCCGGCAACGGAGAAATCACATTCAACAATGTCTCCCGGGCCTTAATTGTGCAACTCAACCACACAGACCATACTGCGACTACTCTCCGCACAGCGACAGCTCCCTATGACCTTCAGGCAGAGTCTCAGGGCAATGCACAGTTGCTATCTCATGGCAGAATCTTTGTGAACTGGGGCTCAGCCGGTGCTATTACAGAATTCAATGCTGATAATGAGGTGATCTATCACGCTTTCATCGAATCTTCCGTGAGCTATCGCGGCTTTTTGGGAAACTGGACGGGTATACCAACTGAGACCCCGGCGCTGGTTGCTTTGAAGTCTTCTAGCAATTTGGTTGAGCTCCACGTATCCTGGAACGGTGATACTGAGACCAAGGCTTGGAGGTTCTTGTATGTGAACGGAGGAAAGAAGACGCGAGTCGGGCAAGTTGACCGTCACTCATTTGAAACCGTTTTCACTTGGAAGCCAAACGTTGCTTTGGCTAGCTCTGCTCGTTTTGTCGCCCAGGCTATTAATGAGCGCGGTGAGACTATCGCTCAAACGCGGTTGACTACTACCACTGCCAATATTGACTTGGTGGTGTGAACCCATGCAGTTAAATTTATTTCTGGCTAAAGTAGATATCTTTCTCTTGCTTTAAACAGATTGTCAATACTTAGGCCTGGACAAACACTCACGTATCGAAGTAATGAAAATTATCATTAGACATTAGACATTAGACATTAAATATTAAGTACTAGTTACAGCGCGTTTCATGAGCGAGAATCAAACGTCAACTTCGTTCAGTCCCTCCAACGTCTTTCTTCCAGCAGGGAGAACCTCGAAAATCTTGATCTCATGACCAATCATGATTAAACATCAACTTCATGTTTTGCTTCTGTCTTTCCAGCTTTGCGCTGTGCATGGCAAACACCGGAAGCCCGCACGAGAAGAACCAAATTGAAAGTACTAGAGCAGAGAAATCTGGTCAGTAACGAGGATGAATGTGCGAATTTTATACTCACATTGCAAGAAGTACCACAGAACAGCCTAAGCACTCAATCCCATACAGCCTATCAACATCAAATCTTCCATAGCTTCCATAGCCACCCAGGTGGTAAAAGGTAAGCTCATATAGATGGAAACAGACAGTGATAAGTTGTGCACAAAATGCAATGAAATCGAAGGCGATTATTACTCCGGGATGCACCGCACAATTGCAGAGTACGACGATCAGAAAGATGGTGGACCATATCAGCCCATAGGCAGACTGCAATCAAACAAAAGTCAGTAAATGTCAAGTGACACCCAAAGGGCTTCTGATGTATTATAATGCCGACTTACCGTGCCCAGATTCATGCCTGCCCAAGTCTGCCCTAGCCCATCCGTAGCCACGATTCCCTTGTAATGCTGTTCCATGGCCCATGCGAAGCAGGGCACCGCTATGATATTGCACAGAATGGTTCCGAAGCGCAACGAAAGGAGTGAAAGCCATTTTCTACTCCTTCTGGGCACAGCCTCGAGGCACCAGGATGTACTGGTTTGATCGTTCCAGGCGGCGGGCATTGTTATGGGTGATAGTAGGCCAAGGGTAGGATATGACGCCGAATTCGAACGGATACGCAGACGATTTTGTACCCGGAGAGAGAGCCCTAGCTATTCTCGTATTCCTTCATCTGATGCTTATCATTTCCTGTTCCAATGACACAGCCTTCATTCCGTGGCAATGCCAAGGGCATCGCATACCCCACACATCCCGAGGGAGCCAGTAGACCCACGAACGGGAGGATCAAACTTTAGGCAGAGCCGAATTTATTGGTGGCCCCCAAATTGATATTCTTCCTTTTCCTCATCTGGTATTGTGGTGCGCTTTCCCACGAGAGCGTCTGTCTTGGCGTTGATCGTCTTGGCACGCGGAAAGGTTGATCTGGGCGGAATCCTTTGTTTCTATAATTATATATAAGCTGGACTTGACGATCTGCCATATGTGAATTCTAATGACTTGCAAGGTTGGCTAAAGTGTAGGACCGACCTCGGGATAATTTAAGCGATTTAGTTCCACAAAAGAATCCTTGAGTTGGAACTAAGACCATGATGGACAGCAATATCCATGTTCCCTTCGATGCGGCAGTCGGAGATAATTACCTATCCACCTGGGCAAAGAATATCACGTCGGCTGATCTTTCCAGTACGCTGGACCTTTCATGGACTCATCCTTTTGTTGGCGATGACAATGCCCGATTGAACCAACCTTGGAACAATACTCTCGACCTTTGGAGTTCAGAGATGGAGACTTGGGCCAAACGCTCAAAAGGAAGCTTAGGCAAAACAAAAGAAAAACTTGAATCTACTATTCTTGGACGGAAAAAGGAAAGAACGTAGCGTCAGCATTTTGTTTCTGCCTTTTAGCCATTCAAAATTGACACTGGAACATCCATGGATCTTGCTGAAGCTAACACATCATGGTGAACCATATATGAGTACGGCCTTTAGTGATATCTAGTTTTTGATGGAATTTGCTTCACTACTGCATGGTCAAGCCTTTGATGAACCTAGAGCTGTAGTCAACAACCATGTTTTCAAATTATATATGAGATAAATCGCATTACCATCATAATTCTTCCAAGGTTCAGTGTTTGGACTCGACGTGACAAAGAAATCTCGAGATTTCTCCCTTCCGGCCCACGACCATTCTTTGTGGACTCGAGCAAAGAAACATGACAATGCTCAGTGTTCTCAATATTCATTGATAGTTCCCGAGGTCTTTGTTATTCTATTTTTCGTGTCTTGGTCATGTTTCAAGCTATTTACAAAATGATCCCAGCTTCTATTCCTGTCTCCGATGCTCTCTTTGTGTAGAACACAGAGCCTTCTTTCTCTCAATCTCAATATATTCCAGGTCATATAATAGGATCGTATGTGCCTTGAATGCATCATGATCTATACGAAGAATTTTGCAAGGCATCCACCAAAGTACACAATTTGTCTTTGCTTTACCATCACTGGTCAAACACGATGATCCGACAGTTGCTTTTTGGAAGCAAGTCTGAAGACGAGCAAAATACACAAAAAGACGGAACTTCCGCCCATATATATGAGAAAGAGTTGAAAGAAGAAGAATTGAAGGAAGAGGAGGCGGATGAACGTTGGGATGAAAAAGACGAAGAGTTGAGCGAAGACTACTCAGAGCGAGAGGAGGGCGATGAAATCCGTGATAACGAGCCACGGAATAGCCCCGAGGGACCTCAGCCTTTGGGGGCTTGGGGCTGTATAGGCCGCTGTATAAGACGGTGTCGCTGTCGACGAGACCCTTCAAGAAACGACGATGGCGGGGACGGCGATGGCGACGACGGCGACGACCGCAATGCAAAGTCCGTGAAGCTCGTGACGCTTGTAAGCAGCAGAAACAACAACAACAACAACAACAACAACAATTCCACCACCCAGCAGCCTGCTGCGCCTACTGGTCGCGTTCCTGTCCCCGCGCTCGTCCCCGCGCCTGTTCCTGCTCCCGCTCCCGAGCCTGTTCCCGCCCCTGCTCCCGCCCCTGCTCCCGCCCCTGCTCCCGCTCCCGCTCCTGTCCCCGCTCCTGTCTCCGCTCATCGTCCTCTTGCTCCGCCTGCGCGTCCCGCTCCTCGTCCTCCTACCGCGCCTACCGGAAATGAACCTAGAAGTCAAGGTTCTAGTGGCATCAAGCGCCCATCGAGTGATCCAGAGGGCCCTGAGGGCAAAAGGCAACAGACAAAGCCACCTGGTGATGATCCAGAGGATTAGACTCAGCCATGGCCGGAGTCTACCGCGGACCCAGTTCCAAAAGTTGAAGAGCCTGTAGTCACCCGGCCCACTCCATCAGAACAGGAGGAAATGATGGAACTCCGCAGAAGAGGAAGGGAGCTTCAAGAGTGGATAGCAGATCCCAATGCACCAGGTTGTAATGTCGAATTCGAACATGTGGATATGAAAAGGTTGATGAGTATGTTTGCCGAAATTTGTGGTGATGAAGATCCGAGACAAGGATTCGGCTCAATTGTCGTGGGCGCACCAAGCCACATAAGGACGAACATGGCATCATTGGGTCTCCCGATGGAGCGAGATTACCGCGATGTGCATATGACAAAATTGTGTCAAAATGCCGACGGCATAATGGGAAGAAATCATTATACCCTCGTTATGAGGCATGGCATGCTTGCTTCGCTTGATATCAGGAGGTTCAATGGGCCTTATTGGCCACAGGTCTGCCAAGCTGTATGGCGGCTGGATCCAGCCAACAGAATGGAGGACCTGAAGTATTTTTATGTGGTCGATATTATAAATAAACAGACTGAGCAGTTTTTGGGTAAGTACATGGACGAGGCACGAGGTTATGTTGTTCCAGATGATCAACTCCGACCTCATATCTTGGATTATGGTACTAAAGAGTACCAGGAGGTTTTGGGCACGCAGATTGGGAGGGGGGTGGCTCGTTTCATCCTCAGTGCGTTCCCAAGGGGTACACGTCGCATTGGGCGAATTGCGGTGTTCTTACATGATGGTAAGCATATCCAGCTGCGCTTCGATTTTGAGCCATCGAATACCGGGGGTGCGTGAAGGATCCGGAATGATGGTCCACGCCCGGGCGCTGGGAAATTTTGGAATGCCTGATGCGGCTTGCAGAGGAAGAGGGAGAAGAAAACAAGAAGAAGAAGGAAGAAATAGGATGTTTATATATATCGTTTTGTTTAATGTCATTTCGCGCTGTCTCGTCAAACCGTCAAATTTCACAATCGTAGCCAGAATTCAAAACCTCACAGGGGAACAGTGAATGGCACAGGGTATGCAAGCCTGAGACCATAGCGAAGTCATGTCGTCTTCCGACAAAAGCAAGAAGACTTAATAGGAATATCAGCTATGGACAGCGCCGTTTTCAACTGTGACGCAAATCTCCATGTCTCAAGCTTCTTGCCAAGTTTGACCAAGCATTCGTTATATCCATGCGAAGCCCAGACGTTATTATAATGTCTCAAAGCCCGAGGCAGAGTCGAGTCAATGCCAAGATCAGCCGCATAAACATCCAGAGCCTCCTCGACGCGATCTTGCTCGAGTAACAGAGCTCCAAGCGCATGCCTTGCCGGCTGCATCCAGCCCCAAGGCTCATCATAAGGCAACGTATCGTCTCGCCGAGCAGCTTCACGGAGATGAGTAAACGCAGCATCGTATTCGCCGCGACGATAGGCGATTTCACCATCGAGCATTGCGGACCCGACGTTGAGAATGTCGGTACATTTATTGTTGAAGATGGTTCGCGAGGCGGGAATCCGCTTCACGGATTCATGGAACAAGGCTCGTTCTGACTCTGCCTCCGGGACCCGTTCCGTGGCTGCGAATGCCACGCCTTTCGCGTAGTGCATCATTGCCGTCGTGACGCAGTATAAGGCCGGATCGGAGGGTAGTTCTAGGGCGATGATTTCCTCCCATCGGCCGAACCGGATGAACCCGTGCATCTGCATGGCAATGAACCCTTCCAACCAGTCTGCCATAGGCGGTGACTCGACACGTAACAGTTCCTCGGTTATTCCCTCCGCAAGCTTAGCGCCCGTTTCGAGTGTGACCTTTGACTTACCGCTGAGCATAGCAGCATACATTTTGAAATGATAGTCGTGTGCACGATAGAGATTATAGAAATGATCAGTCGGGTGATTTGCAAGGAACTTCTCGTCGGCACGTATGGCTGCATTGTTCGCCGAGATGGCGCGTCGATAGTCACCGTTCAATATATCAATATGACTAGGCATGTGTTGGAGATGACCGGCATCGGGTACAAGATCCCGTAGACGATTTGCGGTCGGGAGGGCCATTTCCGGCGTCGGAGACATCTCCATGAGATGAATGTAGAGATGCAAGATTCCTGGATGATCATCCGCTCCCTCGAGTTGCAACACCCTCGTCATCTCCTCATTCACTAGGAGGTGTTTTGCCATCCGCGTGGGGTCCCCGGTTTTCAAATCCCACAGCTTCCACGGCGTGACATTCATCATCGCGTCACAGTAGAGTGCCGCGATATCGAGATCCTTGGGGTACTTGGAACGAAGGCTCATCATATCCAATACGTAGTCTTTATTCCAAATATCAAAAATTCCAGGCTCTGCCTGTGGATGCCGGGTTGAAAGCGCGTTGATCAGCGCGACCTCCAACTCCGTTATTTCAGACAGGTATTTCTTAGCTTCCGATATAGCGCTATACGCACGCTGCGTGGTTGCCCTTAGCTCCTCTCCGTGCATCGACTCCCAGGGCTTGTTGTAGTTTGGGCCCAGGGCGAAGGCAATACCCCAGTAGCCCATGGCACAGGCCGGGTCGAGGGCGACGACCTTCTCGAAACATCGGACGGATTCTTCATGGTTGAATGCATAGGCCCAGATCAGACCGCGGGTAAACCAGGGCTGAACGTCTTGGTTCGAGGTGGTCACTTCGCGGTGGTAGTCGCCCAGGTCGTAGTCGTATTCCATTTTGTTGGGTTGTGAAGGAGGGGTTGTTGCCTACCCCTGCTTTTTGGCGTAAAATCATGACAACGATCAATAAGACTAGCTGAAGCGATTCCGCTAGGCCTTTTGGGAATTAGCGCCATCTCTTTGAGGTGCAAAATATTGCATTGAGTCTATTGCCAGTAACTAAACATTCAACTTTAGCCAGGAGATTCAGGCAGCCAACCAGGCACTAAGGCGCCAAGGCGCCAAGGCATCAAGGCATCAAGGCATGGACATTGGACAATTAAATCATATGAAAGTGACTTCAGCTCAGCGTACTCCGTACACAGTCTATATTTGACCAGATGATCATAAATCCACTTTGGAAATGTCTGGAGAACAGAGTCCAGCTGATTTGTCCCCTTAACACTACCGTTGCACATCCCCCCCACATGAGCAGATTTGCGCTCCACTAATTTGCTCACTCGTGCTCGATCGCTCTCACCTTGGTGGTCTACCTTGGTGGCTTATAAGTGACCTGCTCGTCCTTCTTTCTTTTGAATATACTCAGATCTTATTGTTATTATAAAAACCACGTCTTTCCCGAGGTCCTCCCTTTGAACATACCCGTCAACTCCTTCTGCTTCACCTGCTCATAGATATCATGTGTGGAGACTCCAACCGTCAGAGCTCTGGGGGCACTATTGCCGTCGTCTTCCCCCAGAACCAAGCTACAAGTGCAGAGACATCACTTTCCTCATCGCCGGCATCGGTATCTTCATTTTCTTCAACTTCGTCAACTTCATCAATGTCATCGTACTCTCTGTTCTTCCGGGATGCAGAAAGGGCCAATCGAACAAAGGTTGTTCTCCAGACAAGCGATACAGACACATACCACGCTCTCCGAGACTTCGGCCAAGTGGATGTGCGCATAGAGTATGTTCGAATTCATTGTCAATAGCGGGAATCAACAGCTGACCGTTTCAGAAAATATGGAGATATTTCCAACACATCCCAATCTCTCTCTCCGCTCTACGAGTTCAAACTGCATATGGAACGAGATATGGGCTCCACTCGCTCACAGATGGAGTTCGAGATACCAGAGAAGCTGGATCTAGGTGTCTCGGAGACCGGTGTGATCGGCCGGCAGGTAACAGTGAGGGAAGGCGGCTCGATCTTGGGGATTGGAGTGGTGGGCTACAACTAAATACTTTCCTACTACTCTCCCTAGCGTTCTATATCATGACACCAATACACATAATGACATTATTTCTCAAAATTCATGCTTTCGAATTGTGGCTTCTGAAGCTGCTGACTTGCTAAGATGTGAATGATCGAGACTGAATTACAGCTTGAGAGGGTTCTCAACACCGGCAGTGTATCGCTTCTCAGCCTCTGCCCAGTTGATAATCTTCCAGATTCCTTCAACGTAACCAGCCTTGTTATTCAGATACTACAACGATGTCAGATTAAACCAAACTGGGTTTCTGCGTTCGAGGGTTCAACTCACCTGGAGGTAGTACGCATGCTCCCACATATCAACACCGAAGATAGGAACATCAGGGCTGTTAACAGGATCCTGATCCTTAGTAGTCTGGATCTCGAGCCGACCCTTGGCTCCACCCTTGCTAACCAGCCATCCCCATCCGGAGCCCTGGAGACCGAGGAGCTCGGCACCGAACGCCTTGACGAAGGCCTCATGAGATCCCCAGCGTGAGACGATGGCTTCGCGGAGGACGGGGGCACCGGCAATATCGTTGCCTGGCGTTCCCGGGGGAGTGAGGTTCTTCCAGAACAGAGAGTGGTTGATGTGGCCACCGCCGTTGAAACGGAGCTTCTGTTGGAGAGTGATTAGGGCTGGGACGTCGTTTGAGTTGGTTGCTGTGGCTTGGGCAGTCAGGGCGGCGTTCAGGTTGTTGATGTAGGTTTGATGGTGCTTTTGATGGTGGAGCTCCATGATCTGCTTGGAGATGATGGGTTCCAAGGCCTGGCCATTCTGTGAGCTAGGGCCCCGTTTGAGAAGAGCTGTATACTTACATCGTAGGCGTAGGGAAGAGGAGGGAGAGTGTGTTGGGCCATGATGTGTGTATTCTTGGAGGATGTCTGGAAGAGAGTGAAGAGAAAGAAGGAAGAGGAGAGAAGTGAAGAGTCGGAAGAGAAGCAACTGCCCCTCTTGAATGACGTGACTTGACCACCAAGGTTGCTCAACTCCACTGCGGTGGTTTGAGCACATTTGCGGTTGATCCGTTTGTTTGCTTAGCAATCGACGTGGAATTAAATTCCTCTTCTTCCTTTCACAGCACATCTGCTGGTATGTTTCAATATCAACTGCATATTCAAACAGCCCTCAAAATGGCCGATATCTGGTTGAAGTTTCCTCGGCGACGACTGAAAAGCGCCTCGTGGAAATCTTGTTGTCCCGACTTTCCTGCACCAATATTGGCCTCTTGAGAGAAGCTAGACCTTTTCTTCCTGTCTGCATGAGAATTGATGGATGCTGCTCAATTGATTAGCATGGAATTGTCAACGTCTCAAGTCTGCTCTCTCGCGAGTGAAGCCGGGTACCTTGGTGGGCGGGTACGGCGAGCAGGGACCACACACTCTTGCCGACACCTCCGATCAACTCTCACACTGCAACGGTACTTGCGATGAGCCTCAACTCACGAGAGAAGCAGAAGAGGTGCGATTGTCCAATATGAATCCTCAAGTGGGTAGAAACGAGATGTCTCGCTGCTTGGCTAGGCGAGTGATGCAGGTCCAACCTTGGACCGTATGCATTCGGTATTTTATATGCATATCACCACCAATGCTGAAATTAGCAATATATCCAAAGACATTGGACTCGATGAATGGCCAATTGATTTGATTATCAGAATTGTGAACAACATTGGGAATATTATACAGATGACTAATTCCCCAACTTTGCGGGGTTCCGATGAGCCTCGGTCGTTTCGGCGTTGTATACAAATACAGACTGCAAGCCGATAACTCTCCCTGAACTTCCTCCCCAGTTTTCTTTCCTCGACTTTCACCAATTCCAACAAAATGACTGCCAACGAGCAAGTTAAGCTAAGCAACTTCGGCGACATCTTCTCCCTCGAGGGCAAGGTCGCTGTCGTGACAGGTGGATCCCGCGGTCTTGGCTTGCACGCAGCTTCTGGGTACATCCCTTGATTTGACCCAACGCAGCTTCAAAATATCACTAACATCCCCAGTCTCCTCCAAGCCGGCTGTTCCAAGGTGTACATCACATCCCGCAAGAAGTCAGCCTGCGACGAAGCAGTCGCTGCCCTCAATGCGCTCCCCAACAAACGGCCGGGCGCACAGGCCATCTCCGTCCCAGCCGACAGCTCGGACATGAAAGAGCTGGACAGGCTGGTTGCCGAGGTGTCTAAGACGACTGATCGCGTTGACATTCTCTTTGCGAATGCGGGCGCAACATGGGGTGAGAAATTCGATACTCATCCCGAGAAGATGTTCTCCAAGGTTATGGATCTGAATGTCAAGAGCGTGTTCTACACGATTCAGAAGTAAGTGTTATCTATTCCTACCATATTGCTTCATATATGCTAATTGAGCAGATTCACTCCTCTTCTGACGGCCAAGGCTACTATCACCGAACCGTCTCGCGTGATCATCACCGCTTCCGTTGCTGGTATTGGTATTGGTGCCATTGGCGACAATGCGACGCCCTCTTACTCTGCTTCTAAAGCTGCTGCTATTCACATAGCCAAGAACTTGGCTGTTGAACTTGGCCCGCGCCATGTTTTGACTAATGCTATTGCTCCGGGATTCTATCCATCTAAGATGGCTAGTGGGCTGATCGAGGCGCAAGGCGGCATGAAGGAGATGGAGGCGTACTCACCCAATGGACGGCTTGGTAAGCCTGAAGATATTGCTGGACTGGTGGTATTCCTGGGATCTCGAGCGTCGAGCCATTTGAATGGTGCTGTTATTACCACGGATGGTGGATCTGTGCTGAAGGGTAGATTGTGATCCTGGCCGGTTTATTCTGGTACAACAAACCGAATTTTCGACACCTTTGTTACAAAATCCACAAAGTCAAAGAAATTTAATCATCATTTTCTTCATAAATCTAGATGTCGACTATGCATTAGGTCGGCGCTCTTGTTTGTTGCACTTGTTGTCCTAGATGATGTCACCTAAACGGATGAGCTTAGAAATTTCAAAACCAAGTGAATAAACCAAGTGCCCGCCGCGCTGACAGCTTTCTTTCGCAGTAGCTCAGTATATGCTGATCTTTCCAAGGTTTTGTCATGTTTTGATATCAAATCGTAACGGGCCGAGTTTGCCGAGGTTGTCTCCGCACTCCGCATTCAAAAGCCACCAACCATCCCCACCTCGGCTTCTCACACCATGGCCTCCCAACGTTATATCCCAGTAGCTCAGCGCAAGCAGAGTGAGCTCAATGCTGCTATTCCACAAGAATGGCGACTGCCATCAGACCTCATTCCAGCAGGAATGTTGTCAATCGCGAAATCCGTCTCAGATCCCAAGTACGAGCGCGTCAGTGTGATGGACGTTCCCCGCAAATGCGGTCTCCTCACTTCCCAGGAATTGGAATTCACCGAAAAGTTCAACGTGCGAGCATTAGTTGCAGAGATGACAGAGGGTCGAGCGAAGGCTGAAGACGTAGTACGGGCATTTTGCAAGGTACGTTTCGTTTCCCATGGTCGCATATTTCAGTCGCTAATAATATATTCTTCTACAGAGAGCAGCCATTGCTCAACAGCTCACCCGCTGCTTGACCGAGCCATTGTTCGATCGCGCCCTGCAACGAGCCCGTGATCTGGACGACTATCTACAACGGACAGGCAAGCCAGTCGGCCCTCTCCACGGTCTCCCAGTATCAGTAAAAGACACATTCAACATCCAAGGCGTGGATTCTAGCATTGGACTGTCTGCACTCGCATTCCAGCCAGCTGGGGAAAACGCCCCGCTGGTCGACCTGCTCCAATCCCTCGGGGCGGTGATCATCGCCAAGACAAACATTCCTCAAACACTTGGTACATTGGATAGCGCGAACCATCTCTTCGGTCGCACCCTCAACCCACTTAACCGCCAATGGACAGCCGGTGGAAGTACAGGCGGCGAAGGTGCCTTGCTAGCCATGCGCGGCTCCATGGTTGGCTTTGGTACCGACATTGGAGGTAGTATTCGTGTCCCGGCAATGTGCCAGGGCCTGTATAACTTCAAGCCTAGCACTGGTCGTGTGCCATTTGGTGGCCAGCAAAATGGCCAGATCGAGGGCAAGGGACGTATTGGACTCCAAGCTGTTGCGGGTCCTTTGGCGCGCTCGGTTGCGGACATCGATGCCGTTATGGCGGAGATCGTGCCTCGCGCGGAGTTATTTGGTGAAGATGGTATTCCGGGTTTGTGGTCTGCTCCGCCCACTTCTCGTAACTTTACTGTCGGGGTTCTGAAAACTGATGGTTTGGTGACGCCCTTACCGCCGATTTTGCGTATTTTGGATGAGGTTGCTGAAACTCTCCGTCGCACACCTGGTGTCGAGGTTGTTGAAATTCCTCTTCCGTCGGTTTTGCCTAAATGTCAAGGCCTTGCGGGTCGGCTAATGGGCGTCGATGATGGAAGTCATATGCTCGATCTCATCGAGGGAATGGATGAGGATCTAATTCCTTGGCTACAAGGGCGTTTGAAACGCGGTAAGGCCTTGGACGTGACCCAGCTAGCTAGGCTGCAGGCTCAGCGTGCAGAGGTTGAAAAGGAGATGATGAAGATGTGGACATTGTCTTCCTCTTCCCCTACTCGACGCGTCGATGCTATTATTTGCCCCATAGCCCCGCATCCGGTTCCTGAAATTGACCGTTATAATGCTGTTGGGTGGACTTCGACATTTGTGTTACTGGACTACCCCGCTGGTGTGGTTCCCGTTCGACCGCTTCAGGAGTCTGATCTTGAGTCAGGTCGTGCTATGGAAGAGCCTGTACAGGGCAGTTGGGACAAGGCCAACCGCAAACTATGTAAGTTTTCAATTCCTGATTTATTGGATTGCTTATTGACTTCGCCTTAGGGGATGAAACGACGGTGAATCGTCGCGTATATCTCGGATCACCTCTCAGTGTCCAGGTCGTTACTCTCAAGCAGCACGATTACGAGCTCTTCCGGGCCATGGAGCTTGTTGATCGCGCTGTGCAGGGCGGGCCCTCACTTACTGCCAAGCTGTGAGCTCTTGCATACGATGTAGATGGTGGGTGCTGGGTACCATACATTTATGAACATTCAAATGTATCCATGTCTCTCCAGGGCTCTATACCCATTCGCACATGACAGGCTCAGTATTCATAAGTTTCCTTAAAACAAGACTCATTGATCCCAGAAGAATGAGTAACTACATGGAATCTAGGAACTCATGGACACCTGCTGTCCTGGTGGACAGAATCTTCCAATCTATGGATAAGTAGATTGTGCAGAACAGGTGAAGCAGTTAGCCATGGCGTGATCTCAAGTTCCAGAATTAAAATCAACGTCCTTCGCGTACGTATCGTATAACCAAGCGCACCAGTGTTTTGACCAGAGACGATTAACTGTAGTATTGTGTCACCAACGTTGAAATTGTTACCAATCATAGGACTCGCGCTTTCGATTCCCGCTGCCTGGAAGCTGCCACCTTCATATTTTCACAACGAGCGGAATCTGTGTTTGTAAGCGGGCTTGGCGGAGTGGTTAACGCGGCAGACTTAAGCTCCATTTGCATATCTTCTGCTCACGAAAGTGGCGTGGGTTCGAACCCCACAGCCCGCACTTTTTTTGCATCCTCGATATTCCATTGTTACTTACTGTAAACGGAAAGGGGCCAAAGTTAATACCGATCCAGGGGAGAACCAACGAGGTTTAGTCGGATGTTAAGATTCAGTCGGAGAACGGCAACGGAGCATTTGATCCATGGATCTCTACTTTTAGTGGTAGACCATTTCAGACCGATAACCTTGGAAAAGTACTGGCAAAAGTCCACTGGAACCTTGAAGGATTCCAGATCTTACCAGGTTGGAAGTTAGATCAAACCACAAAACAAGACATGGAGACCGATGTGGTATGGACCGAATGCCGTTGGTCTCAACCTTGAAAGGAACGAAGTAGACCTAATTGGACCGGCTCGGCTGGATCCGTTTTGAGGCTTACTTCTAGTCCGCGGCTTGTGAGTGGCTGTTGCATTTTAGTTCAAGATTGTAAATAAACCTGGCCAATCAGAGATCGAGAAAACTTGAAAGTCCGAGTGTCAGTCAGTCCAGGCCCACGGGAGGGCCGACGAAATAAACTTGAGTTTGCAGTGGCACGTGAATTCGCGATTTGCTGGGTTATGGCGCCATCTGCGCGAGCTCGCAGCTAAGCACATCACTTATAGTGCAGAGTATAAGATGGACAAAATTCCCTCCAGTCAGACCATCTTGCCTTTTTGTCTTGCATCCCGTTCAATCCCTCCGATAATCAATCATGTCGGAAGTTAAAGAAGGGTACGCCTTGGGCGCCGAGGTGGATGAATCGGACTCCTTCGATACCATCACAGCATTGGTAGCGGAAGGTACGCGCGTGTGCTTCAACTGCTCTTCACACTTCTGACACGATCTGCAGACCACCAACATGACATCAAGCTCCGTACTATGTCTTGGCATAAGACTGCTTGTCTGCTTGCAGGCGAGCAGGTCTGCCTCGCGATCATGGCTCAGTCCTGGTCTCTCTCGTGAGTCGCCTCCCGCATGGCATTTGATGGCGCTGAACGATTAGTGTTTTGGGATGGGTCCCCGGTATCATCACAATGGTCCTCTGCTGCATTCTCTTCTGGTTCACCTCGATCACAATGCACAAGTACATCATGAAGTATCCTCAGATCAAAGACATTTGTGAGTCCTCATACCTTCCATCTGACGTACACGCTGACGACGGCAGGTGATTTTGGATACTATGTCTTCGGAAAAAGCAAGGCCGCCTATGTGTTTTCAGCCTTCATGCTCCTCGCAAACAACATCATGCTTATCGGCTTCCACACATTGACAGGTGCCAAGGTTCTGAATACGCTCTCCGATCATTCCCTGTGCACGGCTGTGTTCTCGGTGATTGTGACTATCATGGGAATCGTCATGTCCATGCCTCGGACTCTACACCATGTCAGCTTCATGTCCATGTTTTCATGTAAGTTGCAAATCCTTCCAACTCTTTACATTCCCACTGACCTTCGCAGCTGCGTGTATGGGAATCTCAATCCTGCTCTTCCTCGTCTTTGCCGGAATTGAAAAAGCGCCTCTGTACGGATATAATGGAAACTACCCTACCGATGGGCTCGTGAAGACCAATGCCTTCCCTCTCCCGGGCACCACTTGGGTTGCGTGCATGAACGCCGTGCTCAACATCACCTTCCTCTGGGTCCCCCAGATCCTGTTCCCGACATTCATCGCCGAGATGGAGAAGCCACAGGATTTTCCCAAGGCGCTGGCAGTGCTTACCGTGATCTCGGCGATTCTATTCATCGTACCACCTGCCATCGGTTACCGCTACCTAGGGCAGTACGCCACCGCGCCCGCATTTGGTAGTCTTGGAGTTGTGTCGTACAAGAAGGCTTCTTTCGGCTTTGTGATTGTTCCAACATTGATTATCGGAGTCATTTACGCGAACGTCACTGCAAAGTTCATTTACACTCGGGTCCTCGGTACTTCGCGACACACGCACAGTCACACAGTGATAGGATGGGGTGTTTGGGCTATCATCATGGTGGGTATCTATCTGGTGGCATTCGTTTTCGCTGAGGTCATCCCCAGTATGGGTGATTTCCTTTCTCTTCTGAGTGCGACATTTGACTCCTTCTTTGGATTCATCTATTTTGCCATTGCTTACTGGCAACTCAACCGTGGATCGCTGTTCAAAGGTCTGGGAAGATCTATCAACACTGTGTTCAACATCTTCATCTTCATTGTTGGGCTCTTTGTGCTTGGTCCCGGGCTCTATGCTGCTGTCAAGGCTATCATAGCTGATTATTCGGGATCTATCACCCCGGCCTTTACATGTGCTAATCTCGCTATTTGATGGAAATGAGGCTTCATGTTCTCTGCAAAAAAATAATTCTTAATGTTCTCCTACGACCTACTTCGGAGCCCCGTTGAAGAAGAACGATCGTTAGTATCTGGGCGCTAACTTCATGATTCATGTCCCTTTTATCTACCATAGCTCAGAAATGTGTCACTCACGACTTTACATTCCTCAATTCATAATTCTGTGTTCACGGCTTAACCAAGACTTTCTCTTTCCAAGGTCATCTCCTCCATACCCCAAGATGTACACAGCAACGACTAAGCCAACTCAACCTCAATCAGACTCTCTGCAACTCCAGGATAAGCATAAATCCCCACAATCCTCAACCCAGCTCTTTCTATGATATAATTCCAGTGGCTTTTCGTCCTCTCCTTGACACCAAAGAACGCTAGCATCATCATATCCATACTCGTCGCAGCCAGAACTGGCCTCTCCTCATCAGCCACAATCTCATTGATCAAAACTTTCGAGTATCCTTCTTTGAGCGCAGGGATGAGATTTTTCAAAATCTCTACACTTTCATCATCACTCCAGTTATGCAAAACTGAGTGCAAATAATAAGCTCTTGCACCGACAACAGGCTGGGGCATGAAAAAGTCATGAGCTTGAGCTTCGAACTTTTGATGGGCGGAAATGTCAGCAATAACGCCTGGCTGGTCTTGAAGAATCACCCTGCCTCCATAAACCTTCAAAAATGCTTCAAGATCATGACCACGCCCACCACCCACATCAACAAGCAGCACCCCATCCTGGAACCCAGAAAGCAAATTTTCAGCAACGGGATAGAAGCCCTCTTCAAACCAATACCTCTTACCAGCCCGATAGGCGGCCATAAAAGAATTGAAGTAGTCCATATATGGCGGTGTAGCAGCAAACCATTGAAAGGCAGATAACTCGGTACCGTGTGCAATCTGGAAGAGTCCCTTCTTTTCACCATCGCTCTCTCTTTTTGTATTGAATATTTGCGAAATTTGATTGATTGGGGCGCGTGCAACATTGCAGCAGAACAAGATACTCCGCTCATATTTCTCCTCGGCCAGCGCGTCGCTTAGAGTCGTACTATGAAACAACCCTTCATAGAAAGTAAGGACGTTCATCGCGACCAGGTGACGTGCGAGTCTCTGTATCATGTCGAGCTCCACACCTAGCATTGAGAGGTCTGAGCCATTCTGTGCATCTTTGAGATGCTGAAAAAGCTTCATATCAGCTGCTAGGCGCAGGATTGCTGATTGGGCTGGCTGATACTCGAATTAGACCTTGACAAGAAATCTGAGTTATCAAGAAGAGGGTGACCTACCTCTGCCCAGAGAGTTCGTTGGATGAACTCACTTGGAATCTCCAGAGCTGCTGTAAGAGCGCGACTTTGCGCGATCAGCGCTTCCCTAGAGCCTGGTTCGTTGTTTTTGAGGGATTTGCCTGTTGATTTTATTTGACTGAGCAAGGTTGAGACTTCCATTTGGTAGAGACTTAAAGGGCCAGTGTGAGCTGGTTAATTTGAAGGGAAAGATGGAAATTGTGGATTGGTCTGGCTCTTATACTGCCAGATGAGGCTTACACAAAAGCTAATTTTTGCATGTAAGGTTACTCACGCGTTACTGCAACATCACATAGGGCATAAGAGTAGGTTGATCATGGATTTGATTGGTGGTTTTAAGGCTTTCTACTGTACATCGGAAGGCTCTTTGTGGGACCTTGCTCGAAATGACTTCACTCTGAGTGGCTCTGGCAGTTGCACATCAATTCTTGGACTTTATTCTAACCTATTCAAGCTGTGTGATTAACACTCACAGCCCAAAAGAAAGTGACAGAGTTCTACAAAGAAAAAGACATGTCACCACGTCGTTTCTGGGGTTACGAGTGCAGTGGGAATTTGATGGAAGATTGATTGCCCAGGTACTGAGTATGGAGTCCAGTGTTGAAGATCCAAGATCGGTAATCTGGAAGTTTAAATGACAATAGAGGCGCGGGAAAAAAGTCCTCAGGGGTGCAGTTTACTTAGCTTAGTATACAAACTATCTCAGATGTAACTAAAACTTTATCTTCATGGCTATACTATTCTAATTTCCGAATGAGAAAACAAAGAAACAACTACAATAAAGTCACACACCGGTCATTTAGTAGCATGGTGGGTGACCACATGCGAATTCCGACTATTAGATGTTTTTGACCTTTTTGGGTACAGAGGCTTGGGGTGACATTTTGACTATATAAGAGGGCACGTAACGGAAGCCTTTCTTCCTGTTTTCCGATTTTTTGAACAAGCCCTATTGTTGTGCTCATGCGCGGCCAGAGAGACGAGAATAATTGCTAATGAGATAAAGCTGTGTATTGGTATAATCTCATATTTAGATTGGTAACGGAAGAGAGATTTGAGCTCAGTTATTTAGACTTCAGACACAACTTTTGATGCTGCCCGAAAGATGTTCGGAATCATACTAGAGAATGTAGTTAGAAAGAAAGCGAAAGAGACAGCAAAGATTCCATAGTTACTGCAAAGAGATTGGTAAGGCTCGAAAGTGGCCCCGGTGGATTCTAAAGTACTAAAGATCCAGTACTTTAGAAATTGCAATTTAATTTTGTCAAGCGCCAGTAAGGTCAAACCCCATTGGTCAGGTACGAGTCAGCCTACTTGTGCTTAAAATTATCCAGATTTGCAAAATATGTGGCGGAAAGCCTCATCAAATGCCACCAGTCGCATGCTGCGAGAGGAAGAAGTAGAGATTCCTTGATTCATTCGTTGATTAAAGCCAAATCTTGGGCAACGTGCGGAGGTCAAGGCAGTTGGAGCCCGTAATTGTGATTGATGCGCCTGGGGGTATATAGTTCCTTATACCAAATGTCTCTAAGGCTCCTGGCACACTGTTGCTTGAAGGCCGGTTTACTCCCTTCCCTCTCCCAAGTCTTCTTGTGCCAGACTGCATCGTCTGTAACCCTCTTCACAGTCCTTGAGAACATTGCCAGATCTTTATTGTCATCAAGCTCAGCTTTTGAAAGCTTCTGGCGGGCTTCGTGGTCGTTCTTGGATTGTTTCATGTACGCCGCCCTCTGGTCGTCGTATTGGGTGTTGATATGGGATAGCTTGACGGGGTCCCAGTCCCAACGCACGCTCCATTTTCTCCCGTTTTATGTGCCACGTATGCCTGTTGCAAAAGTATCATCCCAGCCACCCACGCCATATGTTGAGAGGCCTGTTATTTCGGAATCAAGGAGGATGTTTCCGTTTTCTTTGACTTTAAGGGCTTTGGCGATGTCACAGATTGCTTGGAACAGAGTCGCGTCGTAATAGAGGGCTTCTCCCATCTTGATATAGAGCTTAAGATATTTTTGATCAGTATACTGTATTGATTGCTGGGTAGCTCTTGAATAGTGAGTGTTGGGTAAGTCCGAGAACAACCCTGGAAAACATACGGGTATATTGGATGCAGGGTGAGTCGGTCGCTCTAGCAGCCTCTGTTGGACGTGATTCCTAGTACCGTATCACAGGAGTCCACAGGTGGGAAGAAATTTCTCAAATATATGCCAGTTGGCAATGAATGTTCGGTTTGAATGGGGATGTCAGGACGCTGATGTTCTAACCCTTGGAGGCCTTTCCGATACATGATCTTTATATCAGTGATAGCGAAGGATTTGATTACCAAGGCTGCCTGCGGGGTAGTGATACGACAATTTATTTGCTTTTTGTTATATTCCAAGGTTCGGATGGTAGCCCCCTGTCAGACAGACCTATCATCGATCTCACGCGGCTCTGCCACGTCACATCAATACGAGACTACAGTGATAGTATCAAACACCAAGAAAAGCGGCGCTGGAGGGTGTTCGGATCTTGGAAATGCCGCTCGCCAACGTTTGACAACTTCCGCCTGACGCCCTCTCGATCATTATATTGAATCTCTACCAGAACTCAGCCTCATTATCTACAAATGTTCGCTCATGCACCTCCTGTAGAATTCCTGCATTGATCAACATGGGCACAGCTTGGTTCTCGATCCACTCAGTACATTTGACCAAAGGCCGACGTCGCTCCCCGGCCCCGTAGAAAATCAAAGGCTCCCAGGTCTTCACGGGCTCTGTCTTCATTGTCTTGCAATTGAATGCCTTCTGTTTTGGAGGTACAGGAAGTGACTTGAGAATATCGTTCCAGCTTTTTGGGTAATTGAGAGCTTGGGTGTGGCCGATGAGCTCCTTTGAGAACAGGTTTTCGTCGCTCTGTGGATCGTCAATTATAGTTGGCTCGTATCGCATGCCTGTGACAATATCCCCGGTGACGTGGTGCTTGATTCCAGTGCGTGGCCCTCGCTCGTTGGTCTCGACAAACAGGATGGTATGGTATCGAGGGGACGGCATGTCTGGATCTTGAATAGATAATTTGAACTTCACTTTGTAGACCGGGTATCTCTGAGAAGTCGCCATTCTGGAGAGAATGATTTATGAGAAGCATCCACCACGATGAAGTTCAAGTCCACTTTCAATTTGTATGCCCCTTATCTTCTCTTGGCAAACAGGGGGCATCACGAGACACACCTAGCTTTCGATTCGCCCAAGTCGGTAACATTGTTGCGCTTTCAGTACAAAAGCAGTCGAGAAATCAGTTCTGATAGGTTCAGGTTCTTGTTTTTGATTGCTCTTTTTGTATTTCGTTTCCTGCCATGTCGAAATTCTCCACCCCGTTCAGGCAAGTTTGTTATTTTGGGACCATGATAGTGACCCGGGATCGCAAGATAAGGAAAGCAAAATCATTCGAACTCCAAGATCGTCAGAAATCATAGGTTTACCCCACCGAAGGGGTAAGGCAAGGTGATCTGCTAAGGTATCAGATCGGTAACCTCGGCGAAATCGGTCAACGCGGCGGCTGGTCAGGTAGAGCAATCTTGTAAGATGCCAAATTCCGAAATTCAGCGAGATCGGTTAGCATGGGGTCGGCCTGACACAGGGTCTGTAGTCTGCGATCCAGATCTCAGTGGAGGAAGTAATTTGGATACTTATTATGCCGAGTCGTCAGAGTTGGTAATGAAATTGATGAGATAATGACATCAGGTGGGACTTGAAGATGATGAGGCTCTGCGGGAAGTGCCGGTAGGGTCACGAAAAAAGTCTTCAGAAATAGGAAATGGTGCTCCGGTGTCACCGCCAGTTAGAGCCATCATCCGGCGCAAAGGGCCTCTTTATCTATCAGAGAGGAGCAGAAGGGAGACCAATAATACAGTATTGAAGCCTATGAAAGTGTATGTCTGAGGAGGCAGAAAGAACAAGAAAAGAGAAAACTGGGAGCTTAAGACTGAAAGAGCGGGACGGTCTCAGAGAGGAACGAGTATTTTGCCTTCCACCCTGATGGAACTCTCCAACAGCTTCGACATTGAAGGGGTTTCCGGGGATCGATAATTCATTCTCTTCCAAAAGTTATTTCACCCGAAGATTATAGATCGCCTACAGTAAGATACCTGAAAAGACCGAGGCAGACGCAAATCATGTAAAACTAGATTGATATTCCTCGACGACCTTATGGCTCATAACTCTCCCGCTTTCTGCTACCGCTGCACACACCTCCGCAGAGAGACGGACTCAAGGAGAGCACAACTAGAGGAATCCAGTCATTCTCTCATATGAACACACCCCTCCCTGGCCAAAAAGAATAAGAGCGCGTTTCGTGGCTCAAATGGCAAAACCCGTCTTAGAGGGTGTTTCCAATTGCGTTATAAGCATCCTTTGGTTGATAATTGCTATCAAACAGCAAAGGCGATTCATCGGAACGCCAAGAGTCCTGTGAGGGAAAAAATAGTCAGCTTCTGGTCATTTTTCTGTTTAATCAATAGGGTCCTTACTGGGTCAGCAACTCCCCAAACTGTGATACCCACGCATTTCTCTTGTTCGAGGCACGCATTGACGACCTGAAATGCCTCATTGTCAGCACAGTAGGGGTAGGGTGGGCCTTCAGGCGTACATTGACATAGTCCTCGGAGCTTGCACCGGCAATATCAAGCTCAGTAATTGCAACCTCAGAGGTTCCAGCACCAACTAGTGCATTAAGAGCTGTATATCGATGTTAGCTCACTCAGCTGATCAGCTCACAGATCTACTTATCCCGAGATGGCAGCCCCGCCACCGGCGCTCAAGTGAGTTTGGGATCCTGCATTACACGTCAGAAAATTCCAGGTCTGAACAGTTTTGAAGGGACTTGCCGATTCCATCGATTGGAACACCTGCTGCAATCCAATCCTTCACCTTGCTGACCATGCCGTTTGTCTTGGCAGAGGAGCCATTATCCAGACTTCAAATGATCAGCTTCTGATTTGTTTGGCCAAAAAGATTATCTCACTTGTAGTCATTGATGTAAAGCTTCGCATCGGGGTCTGCAGCACGGGCGGCTTCGAAAGCGATGCGTACAAAATCTTCTCCAATTACTCTGGAAAACACACTGTCACGGAGGGATCCGTCTTCATTCAGGATTTCGTTCACAACATCCTGGACATGTATGATTAGTGAATTCTAACATTGTTCACAACAAACACTTACCCAAGCATAAATCTTTCCCTTGTACCGACCCGCAACTGTAGCAATATGGTTCTTCATGACATTGATAAGGGTGTCCTTGTCTGAAATGGACGAGACCCAATCTGGTAGTTGGGAATGCCATACTTCAAATTTGGTTAGCTTTTCCTCTGCCCTCAAGCCCTTCAATTTGTTGGTATGGTGGTCCGATTACATACCAAGAGTATGACCACGAATGAGCTTTCCATTGGACTGGGCAAAGTCGACCTTGGATTTGTCAGTATACTGGCTAATGCAAAGATGCAAAATTCTGTCTTCGTCTTACCAAAAAGTCAGCACCATTGAACGAGAAACCACCCTGTGAAGCTGTACATCTGGTCAGCTCCTGTTACAACAAAATAGGTGTTGAAGGTATCATACGTTCGGTAGCGTCCCATTTCATGCTGTTCTCGGCAGTCAATTGACCGAAGTTGGCCTTGATAATGGCTGGATTTTGGGAGTTCTTGGTCAAAGTGCCTTGATCTCCAATGTTTCCAAGATATTTCTTGCCATGGCTTTTGAACTTGTCATCAATACTGACAGAGGCCTGTCTGGATTGAATCGTTCCCGCAAAAGCCTGACCTAGAGAAAGCAAGGCGATGGTAACATCTTGGATTCTGACCATTTTGATGCAATGTCTTCTCCGTTCAGTCAAAGGATTGAAAGAGAATGTGATTCGAAAAGATGGTATTTGGTGAAGTGCAAGCTGTTAAATGACTCAATGACAGCAGAAGAGTTCATTTTATATACATGACCTACCTATCGCCAAGAACTTTTGGATTAGTGAAACTTCAATTTCACCGGGATGGCTACTTCGGTTGATCTTTTTTGATTGATGTCAAGTTTACCCACGGTAGTAGCGTATGTCGATGCTGCTCGACGTCTTTCACCCTTGTTTTAGGCTGAATCTAGGGTGTGATTGAGGGACCGCGCACGGGAGATGTGGGGCCGCTGTGGGGTACTTACGGGGGTGTATAGCGCCCAAGGGTCGGAAAATGTTTGGGATACAGACCGAGTTTTCTGTCGCTTTCTACCAAATGAGTACTCCTAATTCCTAACTTTTCAATCTGTTGTTTCCTTCTCTAGTTTCTAAACAACGAAAGATTCAAAAAGAGACATAAAAAAAGATACGAAAAATCATATAAAAAAGGACTGGACTAGAAGAGTTTTAAAGTCATGAGATAATAATTTCTTTGATAGACCTTGGGATTATAGCAGGTATAATAGGAACCAGTCCAAATAGATACCACCAGGCATCTTCAGATACTACCTATTTTAAGCAGTTTCCGACCTTTGGGCGCTATAAACTCCCGTAGGAACTTCGGTTTTTCCCGCGTTGGGAGCTAGCGTCCGAGGTTGTGGCGCATCTAGATGCGCCATTCAGAGGCCATGCATTAGACACTGCTCAGGAACTACATGGCTTCTGAAAGGTGGCCAAGATCACAGAGCCCTACTTGAAACCTTGGATTATTTCCCCTGTATCATATTATGTAACAATCCTCAGATCGTATCATCGATGGATAATTCTCCGAATACTACTCCGTGGATAAGTGGCTGCTAACGGCACTTCGCTCATGAATGAACTACCGAGGTCCCAGACCCATAACATGAGAAAATAGTTGAATGATCTAGATCGCCTTCAGGGTCCTGCATTATTCCCCCCCACCTTTAACCGCTCCATCTAGCTGAAACTAAGGAGATTTCATCAAAATTTCTTGGCGATTTCTCTAAGCTGTACCGGGTATTCAAATGATCTACACGAATCTTCCAAAGATTGACACGGAGTCTAGACCGATGGTTCACACAAGAGAGCAAATCTCCGACGGGGTGGAGGATGTTTTTCATTACCAAGAAATCACTAATACATGCTGTTCCATAATTTATCAATATCTCCACAATCAATCTTGGTTCTGATCCGACTCGTCGATTGCATTTGTCCAAAAAAAAGCAGGTCTCTCTTAGGACAGGACGAAAAGGGTATAAATAAGTCGCCTGATCCATACCCATCTGGACTTCGCCAACATCTTCGATTTTCCATTTTTATCAAGAACATCACAACGTCTCGGCCTTATCATGCAATATTCCCTGCCGGTTCGAGGCATGTGGCCATCAATCATACTCGCGTTTTGCTCGCTATCCGCTGTCAAGGCAGACTGCGATCTTCCGTCGACCTACAGCTGGACATCCACAGACGCCCTGGCAGAGCCCAAGTCTGGCTGGGCTTCCCTCAAAGACTTCACCAATGTTGTCTACAACGACCAGCATCTCGTATATGCATCATTTGCTGATGCATCCGGGAACTATGGCTCTATGAACTTTGGCCTGTTCTCTGACTGGTCCCAGATGACTTCTGCAAGTCAAAATAAGATGATGAACTCTGCTGTTGCACCTACGCTTTTCTACTTTAAGCCGAAAGACACTTGGATTTTGGCCTACCAGTGGGGATCAACTTCGTTCTCTTACCGAACCTCATCAAATCCCTCTGATGTAAATGGATGGTCGTCAGAAAAAGAGCTATTCTCCGGCAAAATTTCGGACTCCGACACTGGTGTTATCGATCAAACCCTAATTGGAGATGATTCCAATATGTATCTTTTCTTTGCTGGGGACAATGGCAAGATTTACCGGGCCAGCACACCTATCGACAATTTCCCGGGCTCCTTTGGCTCAACTTCGGAGATTATCTTGAGCGATACCTCAAACAAGCTATTCGAGGCTGTGCAGGTATACACAATTCAAGGTCAGAAGAAGTATCTCATGATCGTTGAGGCGATTGGGTCTAATGGACGGTACTTCCGCTCTTTCACGGCTGATAGCTTGGATGGATCTTGGACTGTACAAGCAGGGGATGAGAGCCAACCGTTTGCCGGTAAAGCTAACAGTGGGGCGACTTGGACAAATGATATCAGTCATGGTGATCTTGTTCGAAGCAATCCTGACCAAACAATGACTGTCGACCCCTGCAACATGCAGCTCCTGTATCAAGGACGAGACCCGAATGGCAGCAATGACTACAATGCACTCCCTTATCGACCTGGAGTTCTGACATTGAAGTTATAAGTGGTCTCTGGTTTCTTGTACGGAGATATGTGAATATGGAGACAAGTTGTGGCTGCGCAGAGAATCAGTTAAGTGGCCTGAGATATTTCTTTGATCAATGTGACCTTGGAATTTTTATGCATTTGGGACCAAATTGTGAGAGGCAGCCCTTCTATGTTTTATAGTGTAGTCCTATTTCCTGTTGCCTAATTCATATTTAGCTCACTGTCCGATTGCTTCTCCAGGCATCTTTAGAAGTAGCTTTCCCGCATATGAGCTTTTCAAAGTCGAAAACAAAAGAAAAAAAAGGTTTGATCGGAGTATTGGTCAGTCCAATATACCGGTGTAGCTCTCGTTTCACCTATGCTGTCAGTGATGAGAAGGCCATGCAATGTTTCAACTTGTGACTGCCAAGAATGTGATGAAACAATTTGTTCTCGGCGTTAAGCTGATTGCAACCCAATTGCACTAGTTAGCTGGGTAACCCCAAAGTGGGATATATTGAAACCTTGACATTGAATTTGCGAAATCATTTGAGACAAGTGCTGTATGTTCAGCAAGTTCAGCTCAACCTTTGAAAGATTGTTGGGGGTCAGATGACTGCCCCAAGCTAGATAGCTCTTTCTCTCTTTCTCCCTCTCTCTCTTTTCTTTCGTCTTTCTTCTTTTTGATCCCCAGTCTGTCTTTGCGTTTTGATGGTCAGAATCTACTTTTTTCAAGTGATTTGCGCTTCTCCAATGTAGATAAGCCTGTTATCACTCTCATAGGACATGCATTATCGCACTCTACTGTTTCTGCCATCACTTCATTCTCATGGAGCTTCATCAAATGTATCTTAGAAAACTAATTCGATATTGAGAACAGGCTGATCTACGGAGGAGAAGCACGAATCGCTTCAAAACAGTAGATTCTGGCTGTGAAGCAAAAAGACCGACCGGGGAAAAGAAGGAAGAGAGAGAGAGAGCTATCTAAGCAAAGGGAGTCATCTGACCTCCCAACAGATATCAATATTGCTTCATGTGTGTATCGATCAATGTCACGCTTCCAGCCTTCCAAGGTTGTTTCTCGCAGCAGGATTAAGACCGAGTTAAGCTCTTCCATATTCTCTTCCAAAAGCTCCTAGGTGGCTGCACAGGAGCATTAATAGTCGTATTTGATACGCCGAAGGTTGTTGCTGAGAGCCCAAGCCCGCTATACGCTAGCTTGGGTATATACCGATTGCCATCGCGTTCTAAAGAAGCATAGGCTCTGTCGAACTCCTTTTGGCTGAGGTTGGATAGAGCAATGTAGAGCTCGGTATCTTGATTTTGACGTTGGCCGTAAATATTTGCTGCCTCTGCACAAAGTGAACTCCCGTCCGCCAGTACTCGAGTTGCTGTTTGCAAAAGTAGTGCCAACTTAGAACTGTCATGCTCTGTACTGTCGGTAAGCTTCATGAGAGACCTAAGCTCAGCTTGATGACTGAGAAAGCGATCTTTGAATTTCCGAGTTTCATACTCATTTTCCATGACATGAGAAAGTCGGTCTGGGCTTGGTTGGCATGAGTTGTGCCGTGGAGGAAGCTCATGGTATTCGGGGGCTTTCTTCGATACTTCGCTCTCGAGGTGGATTTCCGACATTTTAGAGAACGGTTGAAAGGTTTTTATGCTAAGACGTGAAGATATTGGGGGAGATGGGACTTTTTAAAGTGGTGTCCACCACCTTACCTTGGGTGTTAAACTACCGAGAACTCATCCATGGGTGGGGTAGAGTTTGTTCCCAACAAGGTAGATCTTGCTCATCAAATTTGCTGTGATAACCTTGACAAAGAGCATGTCTAATCCGATTCCGAGGCCGATCTTGGTAGTTTCCGAAAATTACTACTGATCGTCACGTCCGATTCCCTCTATGGCTCCATAGCTCTCAGCTACTAGGCAGCTCTGGAGCCACTGGAGTGCCTATCGCCCTGGACCGATAACAGTGCTGACTATTCCGTGGTTATCTGCACATGCCCACGGTCTCGTGAACTCCAATAATCATGACGTGATATCATGATGACCTTCTCAAGTTGTCGATCGAATTGACATCACGCCCGATTTCCAAGGTTGTCAAGGGATAGATTTCCAATTTGTACACCCTTAATATTTCGGTTGGATGAGTAACGGAGTACATGCAGTCTTGAAATAGACTAAGTGTGCAGGCCTCCCTCACTCTCTTCTCTAGTCCCTCTTACTTCATTCACTCCATTTACTTCTGCTCTTCTCACTTCCAAGCCCTGCATCTCTCCTTCACCCCTGCAAGTCCTTTACAACTTGGCAAGTCATATTGACATTGCTCTATAAGTTATACCTGACCACTAAGGCTAACAGCTTGCGCCTTCTAGGACCAGATTTACTCGAAAGCTCACCCTCAATCATATCTAATACAAGCACACCGGCTAACGGCCTCATCAACAGTGTCATAAATGGCATGATAGGTGATACACTCCTACTTTCTACATATTGAGAATTCAGTGTAATAACTTGAAGCGAAGAAGGGCCTGGCAAAGACCCGTTTCCAATCCCCACAGTGAACGAGGATCCTGCCCAAGGATTCCCTGCCGTCGAGGCGATCCGAGGAGAGAGAGGTCTCCTGGAATGTGTTCTTTTTGTAGAACACTGCGAGGAAATCGTTCAATTCCTGTTGGGTGGTCAGGTGGCCCGGCTTACAGGGCATAGATAAATCGCTCTCCTCTCTCTCTCTCTCTCTTCCTTCTTTTCCCCGTCCTTTCTTTGTCTAGCAGAAACAACCTACTGTCACGCATACTCTTTATCGTAGATTGATTGCTGCTATAAATTCCGCATGTGAAAGAGGACATACACTTTGACAGTCGGCACCATTTACATTGACGAACATATCTTCCACCAGTGTCTTTATGTCATAATCATATCCCCAATCCCCAATTCTCTGTTCATGGCTTAGCCAAGACTTCCATTTCTCGACCGATCATGATGACTTGACAATTAGTTGGAACCTTGGATGGACAGTTAAAAAGACAGTTCAAATGACAGTTCAAATGACAGTTCAAAAGACAGTTCAAAAGACAGTTCAAAAGACAGTTAAAAAAGGTCTCGAAGTTGATGATAGTACTCTTTCTTTACCAATCAAAAAATGAGACTAAGCTAATACATAACTACGCCTGTTTGTAAGCAACCATCGTCGTCTTTTTGGCCGCGCGTGAGCGCGGCACTGAGGTTTGTCCATTTATTTTCGAGATCACTCAATATTTTGTCATGTTTACATGTCGTCTTGGTCCTGGGTTTGTACCAAGGTATTTCTGTTCAACGAGGGCAATATGCTGTAACAAATTTTCGCCGTGCGTAACAACGTGGGAAAATGGAAGTCCCCAACTGCGTGAGCTTAATTAGCCCAATGATCCTGCGGCTGAAGTGAATGTTCCTATTTTTAGCTTTCCCGTGTTTGGAAAATCCAGGAACACGAGTTTACGAGCGATCAACAACTTCTTTAAGAAACTTTTGGCCCCCTCAAAGTTGTTTTCACACAGTCATCGCGGGTCACTGTCACATGCAAGGTTTCTACTCGACTTCGCGGTTCAGGTTCCACAAAGTAGTATTTGATCTACAGCTCAATACGAGCATCGCGTTGCATTCCGTTGAGATAAATACGAGCCTCCACGCCAAGACGGCTCGAAGGCACTAACGAGCATCAACAATGTATACTTATTGCATGATATGAGAAAAGGTCGTCTATAAAAGACCCCAAGTGCATCGGAATTGGGACAAATCTACAAATCAGTTCAAAGCAATCCTGGAAAGCAACGCTACAAACATCAGTCGCGCAACATGCATCTCGTTTCTCTCATTGCTTTCTCCCTGACGGCAGCTGTGACAACAGTCAGCGCCTATCCCATCACCGGTGATGATGTCAATTGCCGCTCCGGCCCAGGAACGAGCTATGCGTCCGTGAAGACCTACAAGAGAGGTCAGGACGTCAAAATTTCCTGCCAAACTCCCGGCACAGAGGTCTTCGGCAACAGCATCTGGGACAAGACATCCGACAACTGCTATGTGTCCGACTACTACGTGAAGACTGGAAGCTCCGGATATGTGACCACCAAATGCGGCAGCAGTGGCGGCGGAGGCGGTACAGGGAAGGACATCATTGCAGCTGCCGAAAAAGAAAAGGGTCTTCCTTATGTCTGGGGCGGCGGTGGATGCACCGGTCCTTCCGGTGGCGGTTTTGACTGCTCTGGTCTGACGCAGTATGCTATCTGCCAAGCTTTGAAGAAGACTATTCCTCGTGTCGCGCAAGACCAGTATGACAGTAGTATGGGCAAGCGACACCCGCGCTCCGAGGCTAAGCCTGGTGATCTTTTGTTCTGGGGTACTGGGGGTGATTGCAAGAACAAGGTCGTTCACGTGGGTATCTTTATCAAAGACGGGCTCATGATCAATGCTGCGAGAACGGGAACGCCGGTCAGGGAGCAGGATATTTGGACTTCGTATGGTGGTGAAGAAATTTGCCCCTACGTTATGAGGTATGTTCCTTCCAATGGGTTGGTAATAGGTATACTGACTGAGATAGGTTCACCTAAGTTGCGGCTTGGATCGGGTGGAGCAGAGGATCTTCAGATCGCTGCGTTGGGGTCATGAATATTGTTGTTGACAAAGTTCCTGTGGTTTTGTATAGTGGAAAGGTTGTGTCTGAAATAGGAAGGTGATCATGATTGTAACCTCGATTAGTTTTACATTAGCTCTCTGCCAATTGAAGATGTGCATGCTTGAAAATGGGAATATCTCTGAAGAGCTGAGTATGTGATCTTATGAATGAGTAGGTATTGTCTATGTAAATTTTAGTGATATGTTTCGTAAGGTGTATACAATCAAAAGCGGGAAACATCCCTGCCAAACAACTTGTTTAGGGTCCAACGGAATGCAACCCTGAACTTGTTGCGCCAGCTGATACTCATTGTGATGTAGGCTGCCTTCCAAACGAGCGAAGCAGTTCGACCCTTGATACCATCGGGCAAATACTTGCGAGTGGTTCCATCGTCCTCATGGGGGATCTGCATCAAGGCGCGCTCGTTGCCGATATAAGCCATTGTGCCCATGTTACGGAAGGAGAAAGAGGGAGTCTGATCCAAATCACTCTTGTTCAGGTGAGAAGCTAGCCACTTGGCTTCTTGGAAGGTGGCCTGTGCTGTCGCGGGAGGTGCGCCGGTCTCTGGCATAGCATTGTCACCAAGAGCGAAAACATCTCGAAGGACTGCCGTCTGACCGGCTTCATTCTGTAGCTGGACACGAAGATGGCCGTCTACCAGCAGTGGGCCTTTCCTGGGGCCCTTTTTGAACTGCCAGGATTCTTGCTCGGCATTGGCGGAAACGGCTGAGCCGTCAATAGATTGTACCGAGTCTGCTGGGAAATCGACAGCGTCGAGTGACTTGGTGATAAATGTGGGCATGGCATTGCCTGTTACCCAAACGCACATTCCAACACCCACTTGGCCTTCTTCTTCGGTCTCGAGTGTCAGGCAGCGTTTGGGGTCCATTTCGTGAGTCGACGTAGCTCCAGGCGGACCCCATCGCAAGCTCTTAACGTGATGGGACGTCTTGATGTCAATCCCTTCCCTCTTCATGGTTTCCATTGCGTAACGAGAAAGTGATTCATCGAACATGGACAGAACCTTGGGCGCAACGTCGTACAGGGTGATCTTGGGGATTGCATCGAGGGCTGGGTATAGAGCCATCATGTCATCATATATGAAATCGCGCAATGACGCCGCAAGCTCAATGCCAGTAGGACCCGCCCCGACAATGGCAAAGTTCAGCAAATGTTTCTGCATCTCCTTCGAGGTAGTTGGCAGGACGGCAAGCTCAAAGCATTCCCGTACGCGCCTCTTCACCCGTTTGGCATCGCCAATATCCTTGAAGAACATGGCATTCTCTCGCACTCCGGGTGTTCCAAAGGTTCGACTGACAGCGCCCACCGCGATAACCAGCTTGTCATAAGGAATCTCGAATATCTCTCCTTGCTCCCATAACCGCTGGTCTCGCATTGGTCTCTTGTTTGTGGTTTCCGGGCCTTCTTCGGTCTCTCTGTCTTCTGTTCGAGGTGACTCGGTAACTCCACTCTTCACGACAGTCGCTTCACACAGAATTGTTTTCTTTTTGAGATCGACGGCCCGCGCGGCTGCCTGGATGAAGTCGACCTTGGCGCGCGGATCACGCACGGGTTCGACAATGTTCGAGAAATCGAGGGATCCGCTGGCCGCATCGGTGAGGAGGGGGGTAAAGACGAAGTATGAGCGAGGCGAGATGATGAGAGGTGCAAAGGTCTTTGGGGAGAGCCTGCGCGAGAGCGTATATCCACCCCAGCCCGATCCGAGAATGACGACTCGCTCCTTTTGCTCACCAGACGAGGGGATTGCGTCAGACTTTTCAGCTCTTGTTGCAAGCCATCTCTGTGTGCTGTGTAGAGTGATTGGGGATGTATGTGCTGAGAGGAAAGAACGGGCAGCCGGAGGGGTCCGCAAAGCCTGGCGCTGCAGAGAAAGCATTGCGCTCAAGGGACGAGGTCTCAGGGCAGTATTAACGTCTATATTAGTAAATTGAAAGAGACTTGCTCGTATATCACATTTTATTTCGAAGTCCCATATTATTCGGCGTCGGCCTCGGAAGACTGATTATACCGCTGACACATTCATGACCTCATTGTCGGTTGAATGAGGATAGGGGAGGCCCGGATCGGGAGTCCCAACAATCTAGATCCACTCATCCGTACGGTTTCGGGAAGCCAGCTCCCGTGAACATGTCAAGATCTCTAAGCTGTGGTTTTAAGCTCGTGGAGACATCCGGAACCCTTCGGACCGATCGGTGAGAGCAAGCTGCACGTGTCGTCGGAAGACATCGGAGGAGCCCACATGCTGTTCACATGGCATTGAAGAGATTGAGAATGTTCACACAGACATTCAAGAGCTCAACGATAACAAAATATGCAGGAAACGCAAGGGAAGAGGTTCATTAAATTGGTTTGATTTGTGAGATCATGTGACGCATGGCCTGATGCTTGGCAGAGTCACATGCGAACGGATAACTAGTCGAGATGTGCTCCGCAGCAACAAGTCCACGATGCTGCATTCCAAGTAATACAAAATCAAAACCTTTGACTCCGTAAGTAGCTCTGGAGCTGGGTTGAAGACTTGAAATTGCCAAAATCCCAGCGTCGAGTCCAAACAGGTATACCATTACCAAATGAGCGAAGCTTGGCTATGATAGATCGACTGTTAGTGGTGCAGATCATCTGGAATCCCGTTCAACAGCGCATTCAGCGCTAGAAACTACTCCAAAGATCTTCAAGTGAGACATCTCACTCATGCAAAATACTCCACCCCAGGGTGTTGATAATACCAAGTCTTAGTCCAGGTATGGACTCTATACTTTGAGCGGTGAAAATGGCAGAATATCAGTGTGGCGTATTGTGGCGCAGTGTGGCGTGCGTGAGTCACCTCGGAGTTAGGAGAAGACTGCCAGATTGAGGAGTTGATCGTACACTTGCGTATGCTTTTGACTCTTATGGGAGTGAAGTTTGCCTCCAGATTTGATACTCTCGCGTATTTGGCCATACAAAAGTGCAGCATTTGATTATCACCGAGAGATCGCGACATGCGGGACCGAGTCTCGGTCCCGAGCTGGCGAATGAGCGCATAGGGCTAGGCAGGACTGTAGTACGTATACTTCCAGAAACACGGAGAACTTGGCTGCCTGGTTGTACAAGCAGGTGTATATAAACAGTGTATTCCTGATGGGAATGATGTAGATTCAGATCAAGTGCCTTCATAGCATTCGCTTCTCTTCAGTATCTTTCAACTTCTCTTCAAATTATCCGGGTCTTCATCGGATTTCAATCAATTATTCAAAGGTTGTGTATTGAAGATATCTTAACCCAAGATGCCTTCCATCTATCAACTCAATCAACCACCGAACTCTTTCTGGGACTTCGTCAACGGCAACCTCGAAGATCATCCTTTCTTTTCTCCTCGCGGCCACCACGGCCATGGATGCCACGCACGCGGGGGACCCCATCACGAGAACCCTCCTCAGTATACAGCTTCAGGTGAGAATGCTGAGGCTGGCGAGAAAGGAGAGAACACAGCATCCGAGTTCGAGTCCGACTCTCCAGACAACCACCGTCCCTGCAACCACTGCGGAAAAGGCAAGGGCAAGGGCCGTCACGCCAGCCACCGAGGACCGGGTCAGTTCCGCGGCAAAGATAAAAGAGGAAAACATGGACACGGTCCCCACGGCCACCCCGACATGAAAGGACCGCGGCCTGATGGGGTCCAAGACCCCAGCACACGTGCAGCTGATGATGTTGCCGACCCATTAGTCGCTGTTGACAATAGCGAAACATCCTCATCCGAATCTGACTGCGCCGATAGCCACCGCCACGGTCATTTCAAGAACAAGGGCCGCGGCCGTGGCCGCCATGGACCAGGTCCATTCCGCGGCAAAGGTGGAAAGGGCAAACACGGCCACGGTCCTCCAGGACCCTACGACTTCCACCCCCACCCTCATAGCCACCATAACCCTGGTGCCTTTGGATTTGGACCAGGTCGCCATGGAATGCACGGAATGGGACACCATGGACATGGTCCTCACCCCGGCCCTTACGGCTTCCCAGGTCATCATGGCCACCACGGTGGTCCTTTCGGCTTTGAGCACCGTGGTCCGCGGGGGCCAGGCGGTCCTAGACATCGAGGTCCTCACGGTGGCCCGTTCGACTTCCTGCGCCAGATTGGTGCCGGTCTTGGATTCCCAATGGATAAAACGGCCGATGGCGTTGACTTCACACCCTCTGTTGATGTTTTCGACACTCCTGCCAAATACATCGTTCATGTATCACTACCTGGTGCCAAGAGGAGTGACCTGAGCATCGACTATGACGCTGAAGAGTCTGTTCTGCGCCTGGCGGGTGTTGTCTACCGCCCTGGTGTCAATGAAGACTTGCACCAAGCTCTTGTTATGGAAGAGCGTGGTCGGGAGGTTGGTGTTTTTGAACGCGAAGTCCGATTTGGCACTCGTGCCGCGCCGGCTTTTGTCGTTGTTGATGGCATTTCGGCTAAGCTGGAGGATGGTATCTTGAATGTCACTTTGCCGAAAATCATTCGGGATACTGGAGTCCAAAACAAGAAGAACGTCTGGGTTGACGATGGTGAGAAAGAGAAGGACGCTACCGCGGAAAGGACCCTAACCCCAGTCGACTCCGAGGAAAGCGAGAACGACGGCGAGGCCAAAGAGTATGTCAAGGTCCCTGTGAAGTAGCACAGCCGAGTTGGAATTATGGGTGTTTCGGAGTTTTTATATTGTTGCCTGTTTGATAGTTAATATCTCCGGTTTTTAAATAAAAATTGCCATCTGATTGGGTGGGATTCGCACCAGATTGTTTCAAGATTTCTCTAATGGTATTTTAGCTTGTAGACAATGCTGTAGCCTCAACTGTCGGTCCCCCATCACGGCCCAAAGACCCATCTTTTTGGCCATACCAACCAATCTTTGAACGCTGGATGGATCTTGTCTTCAATATCTTGAAGCAGCTCTCTTGAAGCACCATTGATGAACCAGGAATGCTCAACAAGGTGCAGCAGCATGCACCAGTAGGCAAGGAGAACTAGAGCAGGTGGTCGGTATGCTTCTAGATCACCACGGAACCGCTTGGACAGTGAGTAAGCCCACATAAGAACCATGCCAATCTCAACGTGTGGTCCCGCTAAGTCAATTTGACGTGTAGAGTTTTCGAAATACTTTAGAGCATTCTTGTAATCCGCCCGGTGGTCAGGAACCGGTGGTCCGTCAGCTGTATCAGAACTCTCTTGGGATTCGGGGAATGGATATTCATCAACAAATTTATGCAGAAGAGATAGGTGCTCGTGTGCACCAGGAGGAAGCAGAGATTGCTGCATTGCCGCCGGGCTAGAAGACATCAGTCGATCAAGCTGGTAATCACTGTACACCAAGCACTCACCTTGGAATGAGCATTTCACTCTCGAGATAGACACTATTCACAAGCGGGGCAAGCTGAGTCTTTCGGAGGCTGTGCAACCATGGCTCCATGATACTCTGCATTCCTTTGACGACAGAAAATAGTTCTGCCATGTTCAATATGGGAGCAGGCCAGCGCTCGCCTATCCGTACCGGCGAAGCACAAACATACACCATGATCATGGATGAAAAGCAAAAGACGGGCTGCCAATTGCTGGGGTCGATTGGAGAGGCAATCAACTCGCGAAACTGCTTCAACCCAGCTGCCTGGTGGTACGCCGTCGCTTTGATATATTTTTCTCTCTGGGCTGGGTAAAGGTGAGCGCGATGCAAGGCCGATAAAGCCAAAATTCCATGCATCAAGTATTTATTCGAATAACCTTCAATCGGCAGGACAACGCGCCAAACATGTCGTGCGTCTTCCCGAACTGTCAGGGTCGTGCATGTCACGGTGCAGTAGTGATGCATCAATTCAAGATCGGATGCCCAGTCATCTGTATCAACATTTGGCATTTCATTTGGCGAGTCAGCTAGAAAATGCAGTAAATCCGATCTACTTTCGGGCGCAGCGACCGCAGATCCGGGGGTCGCCGGGTAGGACTGCAATGGCAAGGGCGAAGGCCCAAAGGAAGATTCGGGCTGTGTAGCGGGTGTCATAATAGGAGTCGATGCATCTCGCTCTACAAACGTGCATTGTATCGCGTGCTTGGAGCAGTTTGTGCATGGATACCGCTCATCGCACTGCGGACGTTAGAAGAAGATCCAAACGGTGTTTTTATTCCTACCTTTAGCCGTCTCCTTTTGCATTCCGGGCAACCATTTCGCGATTTTCGATGTGTTCTGCGGGGACCCATCGTGAAGCACGAGTGTTGGATGAAGGTAGGTTCGAAAACGGATACGGGTGCGCGAACACGGGGACGAACACGAAGGCGAATACGGACACGGCTACGGCTACGAATACCCGCAACTAAGCCACCCCACAGTGAAAGCCAAGAGATATTTAAAGCGACATAATCAGAACGATCGAATCAATTCATTGGAAATAGAACGTCGCCTAGAATATAGTGGACCCTGAACCGGTTGCTGATTTACTTTCGAAACGCGTTTTAGCGAACTGTTCATATAAGGATCAAATTCTACCCCAGCATGTCGAACAGTAATTCTCTAACAACATGGCCGATGAGCGTAATATCTACGGGTATAATCCCTCTCTGCCCGCTGCAGTCATCTTTATTATCCTATTTGGCGCTTCGACTGCATACCATGGCTATCAGCTCACCAAGGCCCGATGCTGGTACTTTATTCCATTCGTGATTGGAGGAGTCCGTAAGTCCAGTATTCTCTTTAGATCAACTGTCAATTCAAGTCTAACTTCGATCAGTCCAGATCTTGGGATATATTTGCCGCGCCGCCTCGCATGACAACTACTACGGAGTCACCCTTTACGCATTACAAACCACATTCATCCTGATTGCTCCTCCACTATACGCCGCATCAGTATACATGATCTTGGGAAGAACAATCACATATCTCCATGCTGAGAACCTGAGCTTGGTACGGGTGGGATGGATGACCAAATTCTTCGTCGCGGGAGATGTGATCTCATTCCTCATGCAATGTACCGGTATGATGGCCCTCGCATCAACGCAGTCATGCAAACTCGTTGCCTCAAAAACATCGACTAACACGTTTCAGGTGGTGGCCTTATGTCCACTGGTTCCAACCATGACCTCGGCTCAAACGTGACGATCGGTGGACTGATTGTCCAGCTATTGTTCTTCGGATTCTTCGTCGTCGTCACCAGCGTCTTCCATTTCCGCATCTCACGCAACCCAACTTCGAAATCGCGAGCCGATCGCGACTTGACCAGGGGACAGGGGTTCAAGCAGCGCAACTGGTTCACCATTATTATCGGGCTTTATCTTGTCAGTTTCTTGATCCTTGTTCGATCGATATTCCGCTTGGTTGAGTACATCGAGGGTTATGGTGGGTATATCATGACCCACGAGGTTTTCATGTACATCTTTGATGCCGTGTTGATGTGGGCTGCAATGGTTGTCGAGAATGTTTACCACCCTGCGGAGATTTTGGGAAATGGGAAAAGCAATAATGGAGCATACGAGGAGACCATGCAGTTATAATCATCAATGGTGGTGCCCAAGGTCATTTTATAAACCCGCCAAAATTCCAACTCAGCGTTCAAGACAAGACAAATACATCAGATACCCATCTACGCAGGTCTGTAGCGGCCAGTGTCAATTTCAGTATTTCCGATACAACAGCTTTCTATTTGGTTTTCAGCCTACGGAGTATACCCTTAGGTCTCCTCTCAGTATCTCTTCGAGTGTCTCTCGAAATGCCTTTTCCATGTTCTTATATACACCTGTTTCCAAGACCCATTAGGGGCCTACCTATTCATCTATGTCTTCTCTTCTGGGCTACTGTGTATACCTTCTTCCGCCTGGGCACCTGGGCTGGTCCTCAGTCTGGGGTGGTACTCTGAAACCCCTGGACTGAAACCAAACCTGGCCGCTACAGACCTGCGTACCCATCCACGGATTGCTGCCAATGTTCCAGTGTCGTCCATCAAAGAGCTGAGAACTGACGAAGGTCCAAGCATTCATAAATTCATTCATCATATCATCGAGATCTGTAGTCCTGACTAGATCGTAAATCATAACTCTTCCGCGCAGACCCCAGTCCAGCGGGATACAACTCAGGTCCCCTAGACATCACCGATCCCCGCGTTGAAACAGGTAGCAAATTACCGCGATATTCCACATCCACGCTGCGACGCATGCGCGAAATACTAATTATCTTCTCCATCTCCAACGCTTGAAGTGGCGGCTCTCGCGTCGGTGGGGCTTTATTCTTCGACAGCCAACGTCGACTGCTCACGCGGAAAAAGCCACCAATATCATCAACCGTTAAAGCAACCCAGACAAGAGGAATGGAAATTGCAAACCCAATTCCAAACGTGTATTTTGCCACGTATCCAAGATTCAAATTGTCAAACTCTTTCATGTTGATTGTGAAAATGGAGCTGATGAATGAGAGGGGTAAGAAGACGATAGTGACAATGGTGAAAACCATGATCGTCTTGCTTTGGCGCGTTGTTCCAGCGGCCTGGTCGCGGGCGAAACGGGCCTCGAAGGCGTTTGCGTGTTTTTTGTTTCAGATCTAACAGATCTGTGATGGAGTGGTAGATTCGTTCGGCTTGTTTGTCCATTCGATCGATATCTTTCAGATGCATATCGATCACGCGCTGCTGGTCCTTGAACCGCTTTTTGACATCGAACTGTGAACGGTGTTGGCCTTGGTATGTCTCACAGATCACATCTTGAAAGTCGATAAGCACGTATTTCTGGTGCTCCAGAACTGTGCGGATCATGTTCAGTTCATCGCGAATATCTTTTGTTTCCGCGAGGAGATCGGTTTCCTGTCCGATGTCCAGTAGTCGGTCGACGAATAGCGGTTGGCCGTGTTCATCGCAGTAGTCGCTGCTCAGTCCGTCTTCGTCTGTGCCATCCACAGACCTTGTACGGGACGAGCTGAATGATCCGTCGAGTTTGCGATGGCTTTTCAGCCAGTCTGATGCCTGAACGGAGGCGTGGTTGAACTGGTTGAACAAAAGTGTCTCTTTATCGGTGGCTATACCGATAGATGACTCGAACATGTCCAAAAATTGGTACTCTTCGTCGCCCAACCGATGGCGGTCGAATACCCCAGAGCATCGGTTGGTAATGATCATCGCCAGATCATATACAGATCTGACCGGATCTCTGGTTTTAGAATTGATGTCCTCGATTATCCCATCTAGAACATTGAGTGGATCATTCTTCGGTTGGTCCCATCTCTGAGGAAACGCCGTCACAATGAGATTGGTACCTAACACCCACATCCACAATTGATCTACCATGAATATTTTGGGATCGGATCCCATGCCAGGACTCTTGGTTTGGTATCGAAACACCACCTGGTCCTGATCACGGCTTTGGGTATCAATGTTTGGGTAGAAGAACTGGTCTAATGTTCGGCGGACATGAAGCGAGGTTGTTGAGGATGATAGATGTGCATCCAGTAGCATCTCATCTCTGGTACGCATCCGCTTCATACTTGTGCATGGGAATGACAGTGTCTCCGCTCGTGAGATTGCATCTTGCATTTTCTGCCTTCGCTCTGTGGTCTCAAAGTGTAGGTATGGCATGAACACGCAGACGTTGCATGCAGAGACCAGTGGATGGGGATCTTTACACATCGAGGAGGAGAGGGGAGAAGACCGTGCCTTTTCGCTCGGGCCCCAGGGTGACTTGCCCTTCGTTTCAGACTTGGGGGTTCCTGGTGCACTGCCTGACTTTCCGCGCTTCTGATTGCTCTTCTTCTTCCCGGGGGGACCGTCTTCGTGTGGATTTGAATCAACCCGTTCAAGCTTGCCACCTGGGCCTTTTTGCTTACGGTCGTTGTCCTTGGGTTTTGCGTGCCCGTGATCAGACACTGGGTCTTCAGATGTGTCTTCTTCACGGCGTCGGAACGGTGTTCGCGGTGTGTTTTGACACAGTGGTCGCATGAAGTGCGAGTGGGTTCTCTGGCCCCGATGCTGATAGTTGAAGGACTTCTCCAACCCCTTGAACCCGTCAACGTCGTGAGCTCCCTCCTCAATGAAAGACTTAGTGAGCAAAGCTTCCACCCAAGCCATGTTGTTAGCAGGCAGATGGATCCATCTGAACTCAGTCGCCCGACTATCAGCCGGTACCGTAGTAACAGCCTGCTTCCTCGGATTCTCCTTATCCCTGCCATATAACAGATCGAAAACAGACATGCGCTTAACCCGATTCTCGTTGTGAAAATTTCCAAAGTCCACCACTGTCGCATCAAACGCCGCGCAAGCCCCCTTCACATCCTCAGAAAGGCTCTCAACATTATTAAAAGGCGCAAGCAACAGCACAACATCCTTCCTCTTGAACTGCGCCGCGCGCAAAAAAGGCGTACTTCCAAAATTATCCCTCACCCTCCTCTTCAAATCAGCCCTCTCAAGCAAACACTCCACCACATCCCGATGACCCCCTGAGCAGCAAGATGCAAAGGAGTAACCCCATTCAAAAGCTGCGCATTAATCCCCGCCCCCTCCATCAACAAAATCCTCACAATAGCCTCACACCCCTTATCACAAGCATTATGCAACGGCGTCCAACCACCATCACTAGTAGCATTAATATTCGCCCGATGCGCCAGCAACAGAATAACAATATCATCCCGATCATGCGCAGTCGCAACATGCAACGCAGTCTTCCCCCTAGACTCAGTCGCATCAATATCCGCCTTCGCAACAAACATCTCAGCCAACTTCCAATTCCCAGTCGCACAAGCCCAATGCAGCGGCGTCCGACCAAGCTCGTCCCGCGCATCGACCATACATTTCCCCGCAAGCAAAAACCTCACCACATCCTCCCCCCACCCCCACCGACAAGCCTTATCAGCAGCAAGATTATGAAGTGCGTTTCGCGCGCGGTGGTCACAGGCGTTGACGTCCGCGCCTCGCAAAATCAACAATTGTAAAATATCGACATGGTTCTTCCAAGCAGCTGTCATGAGCGCCGTGCGACCTTCTTTGTCTGCGGTGTTGGGGCTTGCGCCTGCGTCAAGGAGCACTTTCACGATTTGGTAGTGATCTCGCTCGACGGCGCGGAGGAGTGGTGAGGCTCGGTTCGAGGCTACGTCTGTCTTGGCGCCTTGGGAAAGTAGGTATTCTGTAGTGTCGAGGCAGGCGCGTTCTGCGCTGCGCATTAGGCCTATCCGTAGGAAGTTGTCTGTGAGTTGGTTGTAGTCGTGGGCGAGGTGGAGGATTTTTTGGAGGGAGGGGACATCGTTTGACTCTGCTGCGCGGAGAAGGCGCGGTTCGAGTCGTTCTTTGTCGCTTGTTATGCTTGAGGGTGGCATTTTGGGGGGTTTTCGGGGGTTTTTAGAGCTTTGGTTATTCCATCTTCAGGGGTTTGGTTGGGTCTTTGGTTTGAGATTGGCATTGGCATGGGCATGGATTATGCTAAGACTTGAATTGAATCAAGCTCAATTGACAGACGCATGGAGCCTTGTCCCGGTCTGGAAGAGATCTGCGTGAAAGATCTTTTTTGGAGGGAGGAGACAAGGCTGTGTTCCTCGTATTGCCTCCGCGCTTGCATGACTTTGCGGGATATCGCGAAATTTGATTGGAGAACGGGTTCGACAGGTTGGAAACTCTGGAGAAGGAGATTTGTGAAAGTTGGTAACTATAGGCGGGACCCATGGAACCAAAGTTGTATACTTCTTTGCTCCATATTGCAAAACATTGGGGATCAGCGACTTCAGCGGAACATTGAAGGATGTTCGTATACGAAGTACTCATGTCCAAATACCAATGTGGTAGAGAATGCGCTACTCTTATTTAATTATCCACACAATGAAATTTGGAACTCAAACTGCCCAGTGTACAGATATTAAATCTATATTTCTAACGGTCTCCAATATCACAAATTACGGAAAGGGGAATCCGAAGCGAAAATGGGGAAAGAAAAATGACAGTGTGAAAAGAAGAAAAAAACCCTCCTCCGGAGATGCTGATGCTGGATATGTTGGTGATTATAATATGCTCTCCATGAATGCCCCCAATTAGAATATCGCTTTTAGTTTCGCTTCCCTGTGCTCCGGCCGACAATGCGCCTATCAACAGAGTGTGTGGAGTAAACTGAAACCAAAATAGAGAGAATCAGTTCTTCTTCTTGTCCTTCTTCGGCACCTCGCGCAAGATATCATCGAAACTCATGTTGGGATTGAAGCGACTGATCGGGCGCGTGGGAGGCTCGATGGGTGCGATGCCCGCTGGGAGGGGCAGGGCTTCCAGTCCTGGGTAGAATGAGTGGCGGTGTTGCTCAGAGCGCTGGGCGGCGCCTGGGGAGCGGGTGCGAGGGATGGCTGGGGGAGGGGGGTTGAGACCGGCGGAGGCCATGTTGGATTGGGGTTCGGAGGATGATCCGACGGAGGAGTGTTGAGCCTGGTAGGGGGAGGAGATGGAGGACTCCTCGTCGTCGTAGGCGGCATCTTCGATCATCGGGGGGTCGAGGAGGGCGCCTGCATCGGCCCACTGCTCGGCGACTTGCCAACAGTGACTGCGACGGTAGACACCTTCTACTCCGTTGATGACTACATCTGATGGGAGACTGACGACACCAGCACCGCCTGCGACTCCGAACCAGCTGCGGGCGGTCTTGGTGTCGTTGTGAATCCAGGGGGCACCTCCACGAGGAGCGATACAGAGGAAGTACTCAACACCCTCGTTGTAGTGGACCTCAGGAACGTCAACCACCAACATGGGAAGGGATTGGATGACTGCGTAAAGGAAGATCCATTGACCACAGCGCAGATCAAGGATGTCGTTGACGCTCTTGCCGTGGGCGGATCGACGCTCGAATTGCATGAAGCTTTCAATGAAGGGAGTGGGTCGCATTGCCTCGCGGGTATAGGAATCCATCAGGACGGCATTGATGTCCGAGCTCTTGAGCTTCTTGCCGCTCTGCTTGGCCTCCTTCTTGGCATCCAAGGGCTTCCTGTGCAAGGGCTGCAGGGAGGGAAGCTGTGGAATGTCGAATGGAATGGGCGGGAGCACGGGCGGAGTGCTGCGGTCGTATTCGCTGAGAACGTGGCGCAGAGCGCGGACAGTAATTTCCTTGGGATTATCGGAAGGTGTGGAGCTACCTGCCCCAGAGACATCGATCGTGCGCGTGGTCAAAGACGTCCGATCCACCATCAGATCGTAGAGATCGGTGAAGTCATGGTACAGATCGAGCAGGAGGAGACGGTTGAGACCATTCTCCTCGAATTCGTTCTTCTTGGAACGTGCCTTGGGAGGCCATGAGCCGTACTTCTGTCTGTAGTACTGAATGGTGAAACGGCGGAATTCATGGAAGCCGGTCTTCCAGTTCTTGAATCGGACGACCTTGCTCTCGGCGGAAGTTGTTGAGTTGGCGAAACCGGAGAACACCGAAGGGAAATCGAAGTCTTCCAACTTGCCGTAGAGGCCGCGGAGACGGGTGTCGAGATCGATGAATGCACGTTCCATTCGTTTTTGGGTGATTGGGTGAATGAAAGTATACTTGGGGCTTCGGAGCTGTTTCAGCTCGTCCAGCTTTCCAACACCGTGGACGAAACCTTCCATATATAGCGGGTAGTATCGGAGACGCTCACCGAGGACAATCGCCTCTATAGTCTTCTCTCTGCTTCGGCGCACATCGGCCAAGCGAAGTTCCTCGCAGTAGTTACTGAAACTAGAAGTTGCGGTCTCACCAAAGTTGGACTGATCCAGGTTAGAGAACTCGAATCGTGCCAGAAGAACCGCAACGTCCATGAAGATGGAGAAGAGAGTCGCCGATTTCGGCGACGCAATGAGAGATTGACCCAACAGGAAAGCAAACAAGTTGCGGAACAGGAGCAAGGTCTCCGTGTCTTCTTGCGTCAGGCGGGCCTGTGGGTTGGAGATGTCACAGTTGAGCGGGATTGGCAGGTATAGGTGGAGTTCCTGCTGTTCCTCCGGGCTATCGTCGAACGCCATTCTCTGACTTCCAGAACTGTCATTGTCGTTGTCATTTTCGGACCGGTCCTGCGGTGTCAATGGTGGTGACATAGGATTCGAAAGCGAGAGTGTTCGGGTTGGCTGCTCGAGCCCGTTCGTTTTTTCATCGGTGCCGCGGGCGAGGAACGTGAGGGAAGGCGATTCTGCGAAGATGGTAGAGTCGACCTTGAAGGATGGGGCGCGGCCGGTGTTCTGCGGGAAGAGGTACACGAAAGTGTCACCTTCCTCGTTCCAAAGTTCGGGGATCTGATAGGTTGAATTTTCTTGTCAGCTTCACATTGGCCGGGAAATGTCCTCCACTCGGCGGTACGTACCTGGTCTCCCCTGGACAATGGCGTCAGGTCGTAGACGACCTTCTGGTCCAATCCTGCAATCCACGCCGCCGGCAACATTGGGGTTGGGCGCTTGTCCGTTGAACTTGCGCGCGACCGCCCCGTCATTCCCGACATACCCGGCATCCAACTCCTACGCTTCGACGGTGTGCTCGGACGAGAGTCTGGGTTGGAACCTGGAATTGCGAGACCGGCAGAGCTGGAGGGTCTGCTCATTTCACGACCACGACTTTGTGGGCGGGCGACGGGTGAACTAGGAGCGCTGCTGGCCAGGTCTTGGTTTACAGACATTAGTGAAGGTGGCGGGGGCAGGCTCTCCATATCCAGTGGGCTGGGCATTGTTCGAGGTTCTGAGGAGAATACGGCATTTGGTGTGGAGACGTGGCGAGTTGGCCTCGAGCTGCTTCTCCGACGTTTCTCGGTTTCTGGGAAACTGGGAGATATAGGGGAGGATTGTGACTCTCGATCCTTCGACCCTAGAGAGAATAGGGACGAAATGCGCTTCGCCGACTTAACGGGAGCCGACAACATCTTGGACAGTGTGTTGAGTAGAGTTTGGGAAGGGCCCGGAGGATGAGGGAAGGTCAACGCATAGAGGAATGAGATTGTACTTGGCGGCAGAGGGGGTTAGGGGGGAAGATCGGGGAATGGATCGGCGGGTTCAAGAATGGCAACTGAGAATGGATGAGGCTGATGTGTAAGGGGAGAAAGTCAGACAGAAAGATTTCGATTATTTTAGGGGAACGGTGGAAAAGGAGTACCCTCTTTTTTTATTTAATGTAATATATCGGAGGTCATATAAACTAAAGACGAGTATAAGTTACAGGTCAGTAAAAAAAAAAAAAAAAAAGACAGTTCGGAGGAGTATTGCCAATAATAGACTGCAAGTTGTGGTTCCCTGGCTGTGCATGTCTTGGATGTGGGCCCAATAAATTACAATGGCATCATTTATATTTGTGCTTTATGCTCTGATCTGATACTCTCTTTGTGGAATATGGCTCTGTAGTATAGAATTGAGTACTGTGTTCCTGATCTAAGTCTACTCTGTGCCGTGTTGACCTCCAACGTTACAGTCTTGCCGTGTGGTATGTGAACTATACATCGCAAATTGGTAAACACCAGGGAACCCCCGGGGCCGAACAGCTCAGTGCCTTGTCCTGGGCATATACTGCGGAGGAAATTTCAATCAATCAGAGGCCATGTAACCGTCACGATGCGGCTGTGTCCATCCAGGGTATCCTCGTTTCTTATTTGTAAAGGAGATATGCATGTATATATAAATAAAATGCCTTATGATCATCTGGTTTTGCCAGTGCTGAATATATTTTCTATTATATATATCTGCTAACAGACCTAAAACCACAGGTATAATTTTACCACTGAGCAAAGATAGCCCTAAAATTGCGTATACTGCAGGTCTGCAAGCTCGTAATCTCACCAGCCATGGATGTATATATAAATGGTTCCTGTGCCTGTTCCGGCATACAAGCCGTACCCTGGAACCGCTCCCGCTCCCCCCGATCTCGGATCTATCGCCACTGAAGCTCCAAAGTCTTTCTTGTCCAATACTGAGTACTCTGATTGGCATGACCAATCCAGATCAATCACAGATGACACTATCCGTGTCCCCCGAACAACCCATCGACCTGTCCAGCGGTTGGCCTAACCCCGCGCTGCTCCCCGCCAACCTACTCCGCACCTCTGCCACCGAGGCCCTCACCAACCCCTCCATCAAAGACACAGCCCTACACTACGGGGCCGACGAAGGCTATGAGCCTCTACGCACCCACATCGCCGCGTGGCTGAGCACCTTCTATCAGCCTTGCGCACCGATCACCACCTCCCGTATCTGCATCACCGGCGGGGCAAGTCAGAACCTCGCCTGCGTCCTCCAAGTCTTCACCGACCCAGTCTACACCCGCAATGTATGGATGGTGGCACCGACGTATTTCCTGGCCGCGCGCATAATGGACGACGCCGGCTTCGCCGGTCGTCTACGAGGAATCCCGGAAGATGACGAAGGCATCAATCTAGACTTCCTCGAAGAGGGACTGCGGGCTGCGGAGGAAACCGCCCAGAAAGAGGGCAATACCCAACCGGTAGGACAAGACACGCGCGTGGACGTCACAGTAGCAGTTCAAGGTGCCATTAATTGCATTGCCGACTGACACTGCCTGCAGAAGCTGAAACCCGTCAGGCCCTGGCGCAAGATCTACAAGCATGTTATCTATGCTGTGCCTACGTTCGCCAATCCTTCTGGTAAGATCATGTCACTGCGGAGGAGAGAGGCGCTTGTTCGGATTGCTCGGCGGTACGATGCGCTCGTCGTCACGGACGATGTCTATGATTTTCTACAGTGGTCGCCGACGCCGGATGGACCGTTTGCCGATCGCGCATGCGTCCCGCGGATCATCGATGTCGATCGGTATCTCGATGGTGGCCCGGTCGATGAATGGGGACACGCAATAAGTAATGGTAGCTTCAGCAAACTCATCGGGCCTGGTGTTCGAACTGGCTGGGCCGAGGCTTCGGATAAGGTTGCCTATGGGTTATCACAGACGTGAGTTTCTCACGAATAATCCACGCGTCCAACTAACTCCCTCGCAGTGGCTCGTCTCGATCAGGTGGCGCCCCTTCACATCTCTGTGCTGCTATCATAGACCAGCTCTTCCCAACAGGTATGGTCGATCACCTCCGGAATAACCTGGTGCCCAGTTACGCTCGCCAGTACTATGCCCTCACCTCCGCGATCCACGAATACCTCGTCCCACTAGGCGTTACTGTACCTCAGCCTGGAGCTCTGGCTGGTGGCTACTTTGTGTGGATCAAACTGCCGGAAGGGCTACGCGCCACGCAGGTGGCTCAGCAGGCACAAGAGGCGAAACTCCGAGTATCGCCTGGCGATGTCTTCCAGGTCCCGAATGATCCGAGCGATGCGCCAGTTGTGTTTTCAGACCACTTGCGCCTCTGCTTTGCGTGGGAAGAGTCGCGGCACTTGACGGAGGGAGTGCGTAGACTAGCGCGCGTTTTGGAGCGTAACGGTACTGTTCGTACCAAATAGATCCACGCCACCAGCCACCGGTCCGTACCGATTCCACTCGGGACGCGCGGCTGCATCTAATCTAAGACAATATATATGGAAGCCTTGCCAGCTCGGAATTTGTTGGAGTTGAGCGTTTGTAGACAGGCTTGAAGTACGGAGTACAGAGCGCGGAGTACGGAGTACCCAGTACCTGATTTTGTTTGTGCGATGCACGGAGAAAAATGTACCGGATACCCGAGCGGAAACTGCTTGGCCCACCTGGGCAGGGGCAAAATGCCCAAGGTATGCCTTTGGGGGCCAGACCGCCTTGCCGTGGAAGGCAGTCTTCTCCCACCTAATGTAGGCACCGGGGCATCCAGGCATCCAGGCTGACCACTCCAGGGCTCATCCATGGACATTCACTAGGAAGACAACATCGCGGATCCTGCGAATCTAAAGCTTGGCAGCGATACCCGAGACAGACAACAGAAAACTCCCGGGCAAGACAATCCCGAGCGGGTCCCTTCAGGGGCCGCCAAAAGCTTGGCCGTGCATCACACGTTCAAGCCCTTTGTCACCCCTCGAGCCGATAAGAGCTCCAAGGATGAGCCGTGGCCTGGATTCCAGACATGTCCATGCTCCCCTCTTTGCCATCTTGTCCTCCGTCATTAGGAATCTTCAAGCCCGAGCCCGCGCGGAATGTTTATCCATAGCAACCCCTAACTACCAACAAGCTGGCTCAGCCGGAGAGCGACCGACGCGTGTCATAGCACGGGCTACAGCCATGACAACAACCGGAAGCATAACAACAGCCACAGACGCAGGCCATGGCTTTCGAAGATCGAGCTGAAGCGCCGTGCAGACCTACGGAGGCCAAGCATGTCCTGTGTCAAGTGCGCAGGGTCTTCCAAGGCCCCACCTGGATCAAGGCATGAGATGGGTACTCGTACGCGCTGGACAATGTCTCCCTGGAAAAAGAAACCCCTCCAGAACGACACGTCCATCAAAATATCGAATGGAATGCACTCTGCATACCCTGTTTGGCCACTAGTCATATAGTACATAGAAGACTCCATCGCGCCCCAGTTCTCATTTCGGATCTGTGGTGTTCTCCTTTTCACTTTCTCTCCTTATTTTTGGGAACTATCCTGAACCTTACTATACTCCCATAGTAAGATTACAGTCATTCATTTAGTCCCGATCGCTGGACGCCACTTTGTTTCCACGATTTCCCGATCGGTGTTTTTGCAACACTTCGACCATTGATCGGCTCTTTCAGCGTTTCATCGCACGACCATCGCGTTTCAAGCCTTCTAGTACCTCACCCCGTGTGGGGCTGTGATTGGTGGAGTGAAGCGGACCTTTTAGACACGGCTCTTTTGATAGGCCGAAAAGGAGTCTTCTGCAAACGCTTTCTTTTAATTATAGTATAGGTCCGTCGCCTATTTCTTGTCTCTTTCCTCTTGATTGTTTTTTTTTCCCCATTCATTCGATTTCCATTGTTGCTTTCGCATTCAATCTTTCTGCGGAAGGAGCTGTCCATTCTCTTCTTTTCGTCTTTTGTTGCCATTTTTGTTTACATCGCCGCTGGTTGGCGAATCTTCTCTTCGCAACAAACACAGACTTCAGTACCGGTGACTGAAGTATTCTTTCATTTTAGGATCTTATCCCATTTCAGACATACATCGCTGCTGGTCCAGCTTCTATCGTCATGGCCTCTTTTCAGACCTCGATCGCGATGTTCGTCGCCCATATCATTTTGTTACTTGGTCTTCCGGCCTCTCTCGTCGCAGCTGTCCCAGTGACAGTCCCGGTGACAGCCCCAGTGACCCCCGTCAACCATGTCTTGGATACTACTCAGAGAACCTCCGCTGCTTCAAGCTACTGGGTGGCCAACGTGAAGCGCCAGGGAACCGTTCCCTTCGCCAAGAGCTCCGACTATAAGGTTTTCCGCAATGTTATGGACTATGGTGCCACTGGTACGTGATGAACGCGTAAATTCGAGTATGGCAAATACTTACTATACACAGGTGATGGTTCCACTGATGACACCGCTGCTATCAACAAGGCTATCTCCTCTGGTGGCCGTTGCGGTAAGGGCTGTGATTCGTCTACCACCACTCCCGCTATCGTTTACTTCCCGCCTGGTACCTACGTTGTGTCCAAGCCTATCCAGCAATACTACTATACTCAGATTGTTGGTGATGCTGCTGAGCTTCCCGTCATCAAGGCCTCTGCCAAGTTCGCTGGCATGGCGGTCATCGACTCCGACCCTTACGAGGACGATGGATCTAACTGGTTCACAAACCAAAATAACTTCTTCCGTGCCATTCGCAACTTGGTCATCGATCTGACCGCCGTTCCCCAGGGTGCTGGTGCTGGTATTCACTGGCAGGTCGGCCAGGCCACTTCTCTCCAGAACATCCGTTTCGAGATGGTGAAGGGTGGCGGTGAAGCCAACAAGCAGCAGGGTATCTTCATGGACAACGGTTCCGGTGGTTTCATGTCCGACTTGACTTTCAACGGTGGTAATTACGGAATGTTCCTCGGCAACCAGCAGTTCACCACCCGTAACTTGACTTTCAACGACTGCCAGACCGGTATCTTCATGAACTGGAACTGGGCATGGACCTTCAAGTCTGTCAACATCAACAACTGTGAGGTTGGACTGAACATGTCTACTTCTCCTTCCAACCAGACTGTCGGATCTGTCCTTCTTCTTGACAGCAAGCTCACCAACACTCCCATCGGTGTCGTCACTGCCTGGACCCAGAAGAGCATCCCCGTTGGTGGTGGTGACCTCATCCTGGACAACGTTGATTTCTCTGGCTCCAAGACCGCTGTTGCCGGTGTTGATGGTAACAGCATCTTGGCTGGTGGCAGTGTCATTGACAGCTGGGTGCAGGGTAACACCTACACTCCCTCCAAGACCATCAACAAGCGCGCTACCCAGCCCGAGCCCGAGACCGAGGTTGTCACCGTCGTGGAGACTGTCATGCAGACTGTCAATGTTTGCCCCGCTACCCAGGGTGTCCCCAGCCCAAGCGGTTTGGCCAGTGGTTCGCCCGCCCCTGCCCGTGCTGCCTCCAGCGATAGCGTTGCTGCGCCCTCTCCTATCCCCGCTGCCAGTGGAAGCCGTGCCGTTCCTCTTCCCTCGTCAAGCGGCGAGTCCGACCGCACTGCTGGTCTCCCTGATATCCCTGGCTTGAACGGTGTCCTGTCCATCCTTGGAGGTGGATCTTCCCAGACTGACGATGTCGCTGAGCCCACCCCCTGTGCCCGCGCCCTCTACCGAGGCTCCTGTTACCTCCGAGGCTCCAGTTGTTGTGCCTTCCAGCGCCGCATCTGTCCAGCAGCCTTCTGTTCCTGTCACCTCCACATCCGTTCCTGCCAAGTCCACTGGCTCAAGCACCACCAACGGAGCTGAGTCTGGTAGCGACAGCACTGGTGGTGGCTCATGTGGTCCTCACAAGGCTGTCTCTTCTGCCCGCACACAGTCCAAGATGAGCGCCTCCAGCAAGCCCAAGAGCCTCCTCGCCAATGGTGCTATCTTCGAACGCTCCAAGCCTCTCTACACCGATGTTGATGCCTCCGACTTTGTCAGTGTCAAGTCTGCTGGTGCCAAGGGTGACGGAACTACCGACGACACTGCCGCTATCCAGAAGATCTTCGACAGCTGGAAGGAAGGTCAGGTCATCTACTTCGACCACGGTGCCTATGTTATCACCTCCACCATCAAGATCCCCAAGAACATCCGCATCACTGGTGAGATCTGGCCCATGCTCATGGCCCACGGCCCCAAGTTCGCGGACCAGGAGAACCCTGTCCCTGTCTTCCAGGTCGGTCAGAAGGGCGAGACCGGTAATGTCGAGATGAGTGATCTTATCATCACCACCAAGGGTGCTGCTGCCGGTGCCATCCTCATGGAATGGAACTTGGCCGGTGCCTCCCAGGGTTCCGCCGGTATGTGGGATGTTCACTTCCGCATTGGTGGTGCCGCTGGTACCGAGCTCCAGAGTGACACCTGCCCTAAGACACCCAAGGTCAAGACCACCCCTAAGAAGGAGTGCATGGCTGCCTTCATGCTCCTGCACATCACCTCCAAGGGAAGTGCTTACCTTGAAAACACCTGGTTCTGGACTGCCGACCACGAGCTTGACCTTGATGACCACAACCAGATCAACGTCTACACCGGTCGTGGTGTCCTGATCGAGTCCCAGAACCCTGTCTGGCTGTGGGGTACCTCCTCCGAGCACCACCAGCTCTACAACTACCAGGTCTCCAGCGCCAAGAACGTCTTCATGGGTCTGATCCAGTCCGAGACTCCTTACTACCAGTCCAACCCCTCAGCCCTGGTCCCCTACACACCCCAGGACTCCTGGAACGACCCCGACTTCGCCTACTGCAAGACCGCATCTTGCCGCAAGGCCTGGGGTCTCCGTGTCCTCAAGTCCTCCGACGTCTACGTCTACGGCGCTGGTCTCTACAGTTTCTTCGAGAACTACGCCCAGTCATGCCTCAACGAGGAGGATTGCCAGGAGAACATGGTCGAGGTCGACTGTTCCGACGTCAAGCTCTACGGTCTCAGCACCAAGGCTTCCGTCAACATGGTCACTTCTTCCTCAGGCAAGGGTCTCGTTCTCGAGAAGCCTAACAAGAGTAACTTCTGCTCCACCATCGCTCTCTTCGAGCAGTCTTAGTTATGTTGCTTTTTTTTCGCTATTGGACCTCATTTGGAATGACTTCGTCCACACCTTCGTGTTTTTTTGTTTACCCTTTCTTAAATTGTTCCGGACATACGTCTTGGATGTTTTCTTTTTACTCGATACCACCTTTTGGTTTATGAGGTCATTAATAGATTTTCTTCTCCATTCATGCTATGATCTGCCATGCCCCGAAGTTTAAGTGTTCGTCTTTCTCAGTGCTGTTCGCCGTTGGTTGAATAGGTGCTATTGCTGCAAAAGTTGAACAAAATACATATGTCCTCATTTAATTTTCTCCAGAGCCTAAACCCAAGCGGGAAATTTGAACTTGCAGGTAAAATGAGTACAGCTTCGGCAACATCGGCACTCTCAGCAATTTCGGGTACTTCGAGTACTTCTCGTAAAACCAACCCCGATTCACGTTTCTTTAACAATATCATCATATATTATATTCTCCACCGAGTCCGAACACCTCATGACATCGATATCTTGCATCAATCACAAGATCAGCATAATTCTGCCCAGGAGAAGAGACAACCTACCTCCGTATGGAAGAATTTGTGAGGCAATGATGCCACCAATTCCATTCTCGCGATCCGCAAACCAGAAAAGATTTGCCACTCCCTCCCAAGATCCAGATCCAGCTGCTCGCCCCGTCGGACTTTGACTGTGACTCAGCGAGAACGACAGACCCCAGCCCTCGGTTGCATCATCTGGACTGGGGAATATCGGGGTCGGGTTGGCGAGTTTGGGATTAGCTGATGGGTTGTACTCATTGCAATACCGTGGCATGGTTGGAATTTGATCCGTAAACATTTCTAAATCTCGTCAGCGCGACATTGGGTATGTCTTCAAGGGGAAATCTCTGACTTTGCACGGTTTCTGGTCTGAGGAGCCTTGCGCCTGTGTGAGGACTTAATCCGTCGTTCAAGAGACTTGCAATGATTCCTATATTGTTAGACAAGTTCAATAAACATGAAAATCTGCGCACATACGAGAGTATTCGAGTGGCTTTCCAAAACATCCGCCACCCCCCATGCAAAAGCGTTGCTTGTCTGACTTGCAGGGTAGTAAGGGGTATCGGTAGATATGATCGGTGAGGCTCAATGAGCCATCCTTGGAACGCTGGTGCATATATGCCAGTGACCTTGTCATTTCGACGGTGGGAAAGAATGAGATATTTTTAATATCGAGAGGCTTCAAGATAAATGTTTGGAAATACTGTTCCAAAGAAATTCCAGAGACTCGTTCGACGAGAGCTCCGGCCCAGTCCAGGCCGACACCATACTGGAACTTTGTTCCCGGCTGGTTAACAAGCGGTCGAAGCAGAACGTCTTTTACATTTCCTGAGAAGTCATCTAACCCATTAGGCTGATACCAATCATGTAGCTTGAGGTCTTCAAAAGCATATCCGAAACCCGCTGAAGGAAAATTAATCAACAATTTTGTAAATCGAATACGTGAGCCTTCTCTTACATGTATGATTCAAGAGCATTCTCAATGTGATACTTCTTTGCTTTGGTACCAAGGAGAGCTCGCCTGACGAAGAACGTTCAAGGACTTCAACGGCCTTGAGCTCCGGCGCAAGCTGTTCGATTTGATCGCTGTCGTCTAGCCTCAACACGCCCCCTTCAACCAGCTGCATACAAGCTATGCTGGTAATGAGCTTGGTGCAAGAGGCGATCCAGAAAACAGTGTCGAGAGTCATTGGAGATTGACCAAGCCCTGAATTGCCCGATGCATGGCTGAAGACGGTCTCTCCGGTTTTGTCTACTGCGCAGTAGACGAGACCGGGGATGCGTGGAGACGTGCTGTCGGTATAGCTGTCCATCACGGAACGAGCATTGAGCTCTGCTGAAGATGAGAGCTTTTCACCCATCTTGTGCCAAATCAGAATACAGGAGATGAGGTCTCTGCACACGAGAAAGAAGTCGTTTAGAGGAATCGAGAAGCACGACCCGGGGCTCAAGACCGTAGAAGTAGGATGCTATATTAGGTTACAAATTGGCTCTTGAGAGAAATGCGAATGGAGCGTCCAATCTGAGAGATCTGCCCATGAGAAAAATTGCCCGATTAGGCAAGTGGGACGGGCCGAAGTAGGAAGGGTTGGAGAATCAAACAAACGAGGGAACGGCGAGGTCAAAAAGTCGAAAGCGCAAAGGTCGAAGCATACAAGTGTTTTCATTTTGAAGTTCTCAAACCTGCTAATTGTACCTTCTCACTTTCTACAATCCATCTACGGTCAGTCCACGCCATTCATGGACGATGCAGCTCTAATAAATACCACTAACATTTGAACAGACAAAATGTCTGAGGAGCTAGTGCATGTACCCTCAGAATGGCGAATGCGACACCCCTATGGTCCTCATCTCACCGGTTTACTCGAATACCGTGTTTTGTACGAAGAATCAATTCGCTCCCCAAACACATTCTGGGCAAAGCAAGCCCACGACCTTCTTTCCTTTTCTCAAGACTTTCACACCACTCGCATCGGGTCATTCGAGGATGGAGATAATGCGTGGTTCCTGGGTGGGCAATTAAACGCCTCCTTCTGTTGTGTCGACAGACACGCAATCAAGGACCCCAACCGAGTGGCTCTCATCTACGAGCCAGATGACCCACAAGACGGTTCCCGAAATATCACATATGGCGAAGTTCTCCGACAGATCTCTCGCTTGGCAGGGTGTCTGCGGGCCCAGGGAGTGCGAAAGGGTGATATCGTCACCATTTACATGCCTATGATACCAGAGACTATCTTCGCCATGCTTGCGTGCGCAAGACTTGGCGCTGTTCACTCTGTTGTGTTTGCAGGGTTCTCTGCGGATGCCCTACGAGATCGAATTCTGGACGCAAAGTCCCGAGTGGTTATCACTACCGATGAAGGTCGACGAGGTGGGAAAAGCATTCCCACCAAGACAGTTGTCGATAGCTCCTTGGAGAGCTGTCCGAGTGTGTCTACAGTTTTGACTTTCCGACGCACGGGCGGTGATGTCTCTTGGGTGACTGGAAGAGACTTGTGGTGGGACGAAGAACTGAAGAAATACCCTGCTTATATCTCGCCTGTTCCCGTGGACTCTGAAGACTACCTCTTTCTTTTGTACACGTCGGGATCAACTGGAAAGCCCAAAGGAGTATTACACAGCACTGCTGGTTATCTTCTGGGTGCTGCAGTGACTGGTAAATATGTCTTTGATCTCCATCAACAAGACCGCTTCTTCTGTAGCGCAGATGTTGGATGGATCACCGGACATACATACACGGTATATGCTCCGCTGATGCTCGGATGCACGACGGTAGTTTTTGAGGGCACGCCGGCGTACCCCAGCTTTACCCGGTATTGGGAGATTCTTGCTCAAAGCGCTGCAACTCATTTTTATACGGCACCGACAGCATTACGTCTCTTGAAGACCAATGTCAAAAAGGAGGAAATTGAAACATTTGATCTGAGTCACTTGCGCATCCTCGGCTCAGTTGGTGAGCCAATCGCACCGGAGACATGGAAATGGTTCCATGGCTATTTTGGATCATACCAAACGACTTTGACCGATGTGAGAAACCTGGAGCCTTTTACTTGGACTATTCTTCCACCGCAATGAAAGATATGCCTATACTAACGACGACTGTGCAGACATACTGGCAAACTGAAACTGGATCTCATGTCGTTGCTTCCTTGGCCGGAGTCACTCCAATGAAACCAGGATGTGCATCTCTTCCGTGTTTTGGAATCGAGCTGGCCATTATTGACCCGGTAAGTGGCGAGGAATTGAAAGGGAATATGGTTGTGGGGGTGCTGGCTATCAAACAACCCTGGCCTAGCATGGCTCGAACAATCAAAGACAACCACGATCGGTACATGGAAGCATATTTCGGCATTTACAACGGATATTACGTGAGTGTCACCGATGATAATTGCTGAAAAGAATTTGTTCTGATGCGGAATAAGTTCACCGGAGACGGCGCCTATAGAGATCACGATGGATACATTTGGATCCGGGGACGAGTGGATGATGTGATCAATGTTTCAGGCCATAGAATCTCAACCTCAGAAGTTGAAAGTGCGCTTCTTGAGCATGGTGCGTAGATCCCCACGCTACAAGGGGCAGAGGATTTTGTACCTCGGTCAAGCTAACAACACAAAGCTGCCGTGGCAGAAACAGCGATAATCGGCGTCCCAGATGACCTCACAGGCGAAGCGATCAACGCAGTCGTCTCCCTCAAAGCACCCGATATGTCAATTAATATTGAAGCTGAGTTGGTTCTCCACATACGTCGAACAATCGCTCCTTTCGCGGCACCAAAGAGAATCTTCATAGTGAAAGATCTCCCAAAGACTAGGAGTGGGAAAATCGTGCGTCGAATTCTGCGAAAAATCCTGATTGGAGAGAAAAACTTTGGGGACATTTCAACGGTAATTGTGGTCTTGAACACATCATACCACGCTCATGATACTGATTTGAAGTTAGTTGGCCGATCCTGGTGTGGTGGAAGAGATCGTCAAGGTGTTAGCAATAAATTGATTCAGCAGAGCATTAGGTACTTTGCCAGATTTTCTTTCTTGTGTTGCAAATTATTATCAACATGTGATCAAGCTTGGAATATTTCATTATCATTAGGCTACAAGACACAGAATGCTTAAGTATCTTAAAAGTGAGAGACTTGGAATAAGACATTAAAAAACTATGATTTGAAAGACCTTGGTTGAAGTATCTTTGACCTCAACTTGTATGCCGAATTGAACCATTGATCATGGAATCAGTGGGAGAACAACACCCCTTGCGCTGCGATTTCAGCTCGCATACTAGATACATTGATTTCTTTCACAATAACAGTGGACCAAGTGGGGGTATGACCCGGGAATCGCTGCTGAAATACTCGGAGCATCAAGGACTCGTCTTCGGCGTGAGCCAAATAGCTCACGAACTTATATGCCTGAAGTAAGCCTTCAGCAATGCCAGCGTTCTTGAGAGCGGCATCGAGGCAAGAGAAAATAGCATTAAACTCCGCCTCTGGAGAGCTGTTGATAAGCTCGCCTGTCTCTAGGTCTAGACCGAGGTGACCTGTGGTGACGACAAGACTGGTTGTTGGTGATAACGGAATGGTAGCAGTTGTTGCAAGAGATGAAGGCTTGAGACAGTCTCCGACTGGGCCGGGCAAGTATTGGTACGTGATGGAAGGCATTCTGCGATGTTCGTCGTCAACAAAACAAAACTTAGGGTGGTGTCAGAAGTCCAATGAGGATGAGACAAGAAAATATTTTATATCTTTCACTAACTGTCTAGTTGACTATTCTTGATTTGCAGTCATTCTGCTTGATTGAGAAAAAAACACAACATTCACGTATGATCATGCGACATTGCCAGTGATATTCTCAGTTGCCTGTTTAGGCAAAAAGAACACCTGCGGGGCGATAAGCCCGCGCTTGTTCCCGGGCATGGCCAACGAAAAGCGACCTCAAAAAGCCTCCACTTCATCTTGCAAGTGGACACCACAACTCCATGGCAGTTCGAGCCAATTTGATTCTTTGACAATTCATACCCTCCCCGTAAATATGGTCGCAACCAAAAAAACCCACGACGGTTATTCCTGGACCAGAGCTGCCGGGGTGAAAAAAGGCGATCTCCACTGCCGTGGGGTGGTCGAGCCCCGGGAGAAGTTATCTGCTCCCGCTAGTCACATTTACGATGCAATTGTCATCGGAGCAGGTTATACAGGTCTGATGGCCGCTCGTGAAATGTCCGATCGTGGTATGTGGAAGCTTGGAGCTTCGCGAAATAACCAATTAACCATTTGATAGGGCTATCTGTGCTTATGCTCGAGGCTCGCGATCGGATAGGCGGGCGCACGTATACCGTCGAAGAAGATGGTAAATCTGCACCCAAAGGACTACTAGCTTTTACTAACCGATCTCAGGTATTCTCTACGAAATGGGCGGGACTTGGGTCACGCACCACATGGCGTACCTATTCGCTGAGATGATACGATACAAAATGGACCGTGACCTTTTGATCACCCATCATCGCGAGTATGAGAATGATTACTACACACTAAATGTTCCAGGTTATTTGTTATCTGATCAACAGCATTGGGGTGCTCATGGCTAATTTTAATCTTCAGGTGCAAATCCTCGCAAGATCACCCACGAAGAGGGCGGGCAGATTGCTGCTCGGGCATGGAACATCTTCGTCAATGTGGACGGTGCCGACTGTCGAAGTATATGTCCTCTTCCACACGCAGGGTTGAACAATTTCCTCGTTGAAAGAAAGGAGGTAGAGCACTACGACAAGATGTCCTGCCAGGATCGATTCGAAGAAATCAAGCACCTTCTGACGAATGAGGAGGCCGGTGTTCTTGTCGCTCTGCTTCTACACATTTCAGGCGGCAGTATGGAAAACAGCAGTTTGTGGGATATGATTCGCTCTCATGCGCTCATGTCATATAGCACCGATAACTTCGGTCCTATTTGGACCACATACAAACTCCGCGAAGGGCAGTCCGAGCTAGCACGGCGCATTTTCCAAGACTCGGTGGATCATGGCTTGCACTATGCATTCCAGATGCCTATCCAGTCCATCTGCGACCTTTCTGGATTTTCTGAAGTACGAGCGGTCTCAGGAAGAACTTTCCGAGCGCGGCGTATTGTCTGCACAATCCCTCTTAATGTCCTGCGGACAGTTCAATTCACACCCCCGTTGTCGGAAAAACGACAAGAGGCTCTCGAGATCGGGCACGTGAACTTCATGACTAAAGTCCATGCGAAGGTAGAAGGAACTGGGTTGGCATCCTGGAATGGAATGAGATACCCGAACAATCTGATGTTTGGCTACGGAGATGGAGTCACTGCCGATGGCAGCGCCCACATTGTTGGATTTGGAAAGAACGAGGGAACGGACTTTGTTCCCGAGCTTCACCCACAAGCAACCATTGATGCATTTCAGCGATTGCACCCAATGGAGGTGAAGAAAATGGTAAGTTTCCTTGTCCAACCAAGCAAAAATTCAAATGCTGATAGTATAGATATTCCACAACTGGACTACTGACCCTTGGTCCCGAGGCGGCCCTGCTTGGTGGACCCCAGAGTATATGACTAAGTATCAAGATGAGCTTCAAAGTCGCCATGGCAATGTTTTCTTTGCCTCGGCAGATTGGGCTCATGGTTGGAGAGCCGCCATTGATGGCGCTTTGGAACAAGGAGCACTGGCGGCGAGAGAGATCATTGCCGAAAGGAGAGAGGTCGAGCAAAGCCAGGTGAGGTCCAAGTTCTAGATGGGTGATGAGCATAGCTCAATGCGTTGATCTCTGTGTTGCCATCAAGCCGCCTGTTCGAATTTTTTTTTAAAGTTTTCTGCGCAGCGCAACTTGCAGTTTTCGATATTTTTAGGCACGTCAAAAGAATGGAGTCTTAATCACTATGAGCACCTTCAAGATGGGATCTGTGAAATTGAGTAGTATGTGCCCTACGTATTTCCGTGATGTACTGATTCCCTTGGCCTTTGTCGGCTTCACCTGGACATTGGTCCTTGTAGACATCTCCCGGACTTGAATTACACCGCAGCCCCACTATCCCTTGTGCTAGTCTCATACGGAGCACTCCGTATGCAAAGGGATATTCCAATGATTGAGATTTACCTAATTAAGCCGATAAGCCAATGCATTTGCGAACTTCAACCCCACACCGACCCGAGTTCGGCAAGTCCGACGGCTGAACATCGGCACTTTTGGGTGAATCCCCGGAAACTTGACGGAGAAACCTCGGAGTGCCCATGTTTACCGCATCAGGAAGGCAGGATTGCCATGCAAGGTAGTCTTACTAGATTGTTGATTACACGTAGCGTATAAAGAATGAGGTCAACAATCCCACCACCTAATTGGAGTTCCTATTTGCTTTGTATCTTCTGCGACTTTACTATCTTCATTAGATCTTCACCACTGCAAAATGGCTGCGACTGCTAAACGTCCGGAAATCATTGAGCTTTCCCGCGACCTAAGGGGAATTCCTCAATGCGAAGACTATGAAAGAATGATTTCGGGAATGATGTGCGTGACAGCCAGCCACCGCTAAAGCAAGGGTGATTAACAATGCAGGTACAATCCCAATACTCCAAAGTTGTTGGAAGCGCGGCACAAGTGTCGCGGTCTTGCCACCGACTACAACAACCTAGACACAAAGACGATTTCCTACGACCGAGTCTTTGAGAAGCGGCTTGAACTGTTACGGAAGCTGGTGGGCAAGGCCGGCGACGGTACCTTCATCGAGCCACCATTCCTACCCGACTATGGCTGCAACATCATTATTGGAAGCCAATGTTTTATCAATTGGAAGTAAGTTTTATTCAATATAGAGGACATAAGTCCAATAAAATATACTGACAAAAGATCAGCGTGACTATATTAGATACCAGTCTAGTTGTCATTGGTGACCGAGTTCAGATTGGCACCGGCACAAGTATTTTCACTGCCGGGCATGACACCAGTGTTCTTTCTCGCCAAAAGTTTGTGGAATTCGGCCACCCAGTCTTCATTGAAGACGATTGCTGGATTGGTGGCAATGTGATCATCCTTCCCGGTGTTCGCATTGGCAAGGGCTCAACCATCGGGGCTGGTTCTATCGTCACTAAGGATATTCCAGAGTACTCCGTAGCTGTGGGATCACCATGCCGAGTGAAGAAAACCATTCAGTCTCCGGAGGAAGAGGAGGCAGATCCGAACAATCCTTATCGGAACTTGGTTCGTCAGGATTAGGTTGGCCCGGAATATTTGTGCATATAGGCCTCGAACTTCTCATTTCTTGATGGTGTGAAGGGTCAGAGTTGCCTTACAAAATATGCAAAAATATCACTAGATTTTTCAAAGCAAACTTTGAAACGTAACAAAATGAAACTTGCCCCAGATGAACCGGGTCGACGATCCGGAATACGGGGGTTGACACTCCCAGATAACGGTAGCCAGTAACAAGCCTCACAATTGAGAATTAACATCGAAAACGCCGTATTCGGACTCAGATCCGGTGACTCGCTTCGGAGGGGGAATCCAAACTACTCGATACCAAAAGTAAGGTGAAGAGCGCGGAGAAATCTTTCCCTCGCCTGTTCTTCAACTCCACTACCCTCCTTACCCAACACTCCTACAACTTTTCAAAATGACAGCAATGGAGTTGGAGCCAATTGCGTTCCAAGATAAACGGACAAATTCATTGGCATTTGCCCAATCAGATTGTCACACCTGTGCATCGACAGCTGAGCAATGCGACCGTCGTCGCCCTCGATGCTCGACATGTCTGAGCCACGGGCGCAAGTGTGGCGGCTTTGCGACCCCTCTCTCGTGGGATCCCAGGAGGATGTGGATTGATAATCCAGCGAACATGAAAGACAGCTCGACATGTGTGCTCAACAGGGACGTGTCAAATCGACCGGAGCAGGGACCGGACCGGCCGGCTCCACCTCGGCGCTTTCGGTTTATCAAAGGTGCGTCGAAGCCGAGGAAGCAGCGCAAAGCCAGCCGAAGGAACCATGCCGCACGGATTGAAGCAGTGCAAAATGAAGAGATTGAGGTCGTGCCCAGAATGGGGGAGAACCTCGACCCAAATGATAATCAGATTGAGAATGTCTCTTCTGGCCTAGACGGTAAGATGAGATCATGGATTGAAGCTGTGCTGCATGTGTCTGACTGTGATCTTAGAATCCCATGGCATAGATCTCTTGAACGATCTCTGCTCCTTTGATTCTTTCATGCCTGGCATCTTTGGACCCACCAGTCTTTTCGACCTTAGCCAAGACCCTTCCACGGACATAGCGGGCCTCATATCCATGCCCAAAACACCCCCTCCTATTGGACCAGAAAGGGCGATAGACCCAAGAACAGAAGAAGAATCCCAAGATGAGCTGTTGGTTAATCCTGTCGATCCTTTGACCACAGGTTCTGCACCAAGAGACGGATCACCGTGTATCATTGATCAAAATACGCCCCAACGGTGGGCATCACCTCGGCCTCCGCTGGATCCCACGGGCCTCGATTTCTCACCACGAGATCATGACTGGCTTCTCGAAATGTGTATGGCGTTGATTTAAAAACCCTGATCCCACTGTTACTAGTGACTGATACTCAGACAGACGACTACGAATTCTGCGTACTTCCCTTGACGTCGGACATCTCCATCAATCCTTTTCGATGCCAGCGACAAACCTCCCAAGGGTCCCGTCTACTGTTTCATTCCATACTAGCTCTGTGTTGTCAGCATTTGAAGCGTTTCACTGGGAGTTGGACCACCGAGGCAGATGAGCACCACCGCAAGGCTCTTCAATTGTTAGATGAGGCCGTGAAACACCAACAAGTTCACAGCAAGCTCAACCTCCTAGAACCGATATTGATTCTTTTCACACTTGATGTGAGCCATCCAAATGCCCATCGTGGCTCTTCGCTGACAATATTAGTGTACACTCTCCGCGACTGGTAATTGGACTGCTCATCTCCATCGAGCACACTCAATGCTACAACTATGCGGTGGCTCTGTTTCTCTTACTACACCCCGACTACGATCGCAGGTTGGAATGCTATTATGGTAAGCGATCCCCTAACCATTCATCGATTTTTCTCAACATTACTTAGGTGGGATGCTACACTGGCTTTGATCTCACGACAAGGTCCTATAATGGACCGCTCATATTTGAAGTTCTTGATATATTGGGAAAAAAGCGATGATTGGTCTTTCTTCGACCTGACTGGATGCCCTGGAGAGTTGTTTGACCATCTGTTCCACCTTGCAGAGTTGGCCCGACAAAGTGAGATCGCGCGCTCGATGGAGTGGCTGTCCTTCAACATATCGCCTGTTATCGCAATCGAGGAGGAGATTCTGGCATGGGTCAATGATATTCCACCGGGCGGAGACGATCCGGATGTCACAGATGCAGAAGCCGAGCAACGTTTTCATGAACAGCAAGATCGATACTATTGTGCCGAAGCCTGGCGACATACGTTACTTCTCTACATTGAAAGTGTGTTCAAAAGCGATAGGCAGAAGCGTCCATTGGCTGTTCATAAGCTAGTTCGCAAGACCATTGACTCTATTCGGTGTTGTCGACAAACCTCCCAAACTCAGAAACAGCTTCTTCTTCCGGTGTTCTTGGCTGGCAGTGAAACATCGGACGAAAACATGCGTGACTTTGTCAAGAGTTACTGCTCCTACTGGGGAGAAAAGAGTCGGTATGGCATGTTCAACTCAACACCAGTGCTTTTGGATGAGATATGGGCATCGAATAAATGGTGGGGCGAGATCATTGATAGCAAGACAAAGTCATCGAGCCATGGACAAGGACAGACACAACTTTTGTTCGGTTGACATGATAAAATCATGCCTCACAGCCAGCGTTTCTGGGAATTTGACAAGATATGAATGATATCATCACACATTATTCTCATATGGAAATCAGAGCGAAGATCATCTTCCAAGGTTGCAGGCCAACTTGGCGCGACGTTTGGTTCTTTGTGAGTGCAAGTTAAGCAGCTGCCTGGGTGACATTCAAGGCCTCCCAATCTATGACAGGGCCAGTGAATTTCTTCCGGCGCTCCAACCAGCAAAACGAAACCAGTCCGAATATACCACACAGAACTACCGAGTTGCTGTGCAGGAATCAGTATCTATAACTAAGAATGACTACCAATAAACTCACTAGTTCATGTTGTTGATGGTTGGTGGATTGCTTGTGGGAAAGCAAAAGAATATTCCGCTCAGAATGAGCCACAAGACGGAAAACGTGTTGATAGCATATCCCCAAATACCCAGATTGTAATATCGCGATGGGAGTTTGTGTCTACCACAAGTAACGAGGATTCCTTGAGGAACAGTGTAAGTTATATTTAGCATCAGGACCGCGGTGTTGATGATAGAGTTGAAAGCCTGGGTACTGGCGATGTACAGCAAGCCATAGATGGCGCAGAAGGACGCGGAGAGAAGAAGGGCTCGGATGGGAATGCCTCTTTTCTCATCTACCTTCGCCCAGTAGTGAGAAAATGGGAGTCCGTTCTGTAATGTTTTAGCTTAGGTTCTGAGACAACGACTCAGGGACTCACATCGCGGGAAAAGGCCCAAGCCATTCTACTGCTTGTAATCCACTGACTAGGAACACAGGCTGAGATGATTAGTATCGGCAGTCCAATAGCCAGCGATCAACACATACAGTAGTACAAGATGGTCAGGTAGACCTGTAGAAATACTGATGCGGTTTTGCTACCTGTGGCTTGGTAAAATAATTCCAGACTGGGTAGAAAGGCTTGTCGAACAGCGTCCATGTCTTGCAGCACACAAGTCATCGCAATTATTGAAGGAACAAGAGTAAAGATCCCAATCAATATTGTCAGATTTCTGTCACGAGAGAAAGATTAGCTGGATGGCCAGTGAAACTTGGAACTCGGAGGACAGACATGACCAGTGGAATCTTTCGGCTTGGTTGGGGAATCTCCTCTGCAATGTGAACACAAGCGCCCGCTGCAGCAAATGCATACTCCCCATTTCCAATTCCAAGCAGCCACCCTGGACCGGCTGACCAACCGCTCGTAGAGTGATACTCAACCAGATTTCTGGGTTCGTAATGGCCCTTGCCCATCACCAAGCAGACTATTACCACCAAAACAAAGCCAAGTAGGGAAAGAAACATTGATGCTTTGGTCAGGTTCTCAATATATCGCTGGGGGATAAGAAACAGCGGCAGCACTATAGAGTCAGGCATTCCGTCCTTGTTTCCAGGATGTGGTACTCACAAGTGAGCAATATGAGCAGTAGATAGCAGAGATATACCTGCCATTGGGTACCAACGAAATCATCTCTCAAAAACTGACAAATCCCAAAGGCAGATATTGCTGTGTATATGGTTCCTGAGGCTGTGTTCACCCACCAGGCGATGACGTTGATTGCCCCGACAATAAAGGCAGCGATGTTCCGGAAACGCTCTGGTGCGACAATATACGTGAAGTGATATTGGCCCTGTGTTATCTGTCAGCTCGATGGTGCGTTGATTTCTCTATGTAGGGTTAACTTGGTTAACTTGCCCCTGATGAGGGAAACGCAGACGCGAGTTCAGACACTCCCTGCAGCATGATCCATTGAGTGAGAGCCGAGAAGATAGGGCTGAAGACAGCCACTTGACCTCCACCATAGCTATATGCCACACCAAAGCAGGAAGCATACGTCAACCAGGAGTTGACAATACTTAAGAGGCACACCGATAAGCTTTTGTGGCATTTTTGGGGGGAATCGTCGAACATACCTGAACGCTAGACCGAGGGCACCAAACCACGAGAAGGAACGGCCAAGCTGTGCTTCACGACCTTGAGCACGGAGCACAGCCTCATCCAAGTCATAAATCTCTCCAACCTTCTTTGTGTCAGACGGGGATTCAGATTTCATTTGCTGGTCTGATTGAGGCTTGGAGGAATCCATGATGGCGGACTAGTTCGATCAAGTAAAAGTTCAAGACAACGATAGAAAAACAAACGAAGAATGAAACAAAACTCCAAAGGTTGGATTCTCAAGTGCACTCAAGCAAAACCTTAAAGACCTCTTATGTGGTACAAAGGGGACATATTGACCGGGCTGTTAGCCACAGGTGTTATCGTCATCCCTTGCGCCGAGCCAACCAGACCTTCTGCCGGACAGAGAGAGGGGGTTGTTAGCTTGATTTGAGATAATGCATTGGAGTATTCGTCAAGCAAACACTGATACCAAGTCTTGATAGGTGGATACGGAGAGAGATGGCCCACAAGACTTACCCCGGAATGCGGAGAAGAAGATATGAAAGCCTGGGTCTTCCGACTCACACTCCACTCTGTTGTCATGCTTTGATTTGGCAGATTCCGCGTTGAGAATCCGTCACATCGCTTCCTTTTCCAGTGGTACTGGCCCGCTTTCCTATTAAGGTAACCATTTTACAGTTTGCCCGCACGCCTTGCGGTATCAGATAACCCATGGATCTGTATCTGCCCAATGAGACCAGTCAACGTTGCGGTTGCGGAAAGACTAGCCAAATGCATAGGCTTTTCCTATCTCATAGCACTTCGATGCCTGCAAACTCACGGATTTTCAAGAAGAATGTGGAGAAATAGATGTACTGCTAACGGGGTCCCATTCCTCTTAAGGTGTTGAAACTTTTACGTGTTGAGCTGGTCACCGTCATGTAAACCTTGATTGCCAAAATACAATCTTGGCCAACTGAAATTCGTCTAAGCCTGTATCGTATCTATAGATTTGAGTCTGCCTTCATTGATCCATCCCAAGCACTTGTTATCATACTCAAGCCCTGATGCAACCAATCTGTAGCCAGGGTTGCCTCGAAGTCGACCCCATGGTCACCATCCAGTACGTGAAAATTGATGGATGCATCGGGTAACTTCTCCCTGACCAGATCAACAAAGCGCTGCGAGCCCTCACAGGGCACGGCGGAGTCCTGTCTCCCATGGAAGATGAAAGTTGGGGGCAAACGTAGTCTTCCAGCAGCCGCCAAAGCTTTGACTCGCTTCATTGGGAAGAGATCCACATTATCTGCCCCAAGTAACTCGACAAATCGACCATTTTGGAATACCGAAAATGCCAACTCGAGGCGATCGGGAGGGTCCGCTGCAGTGACCACAGTTGGCGAGTGTGTGGTCCGCATGTTTGAAAGATGTGCCTCCAGAACTTCGACTGGGATGTTGGGTACTCCGATTATTGGTTTGGGATATGCCTCCGTGTAGAATCTCGATTCGACGTCCAGAATTGGGTAGGCTCCAACAATAGCACGAATTTCCGATGGGTAGCTAAGCGCTAGATGCATGGCTAGATAGCCGCCTTTTTCCTAAGTCAGACAAAAGAACGACTGAGTAATTTCCAGTAGAAGACGTGCCTGCACTTTCACCAACAAGAAGAATCCTGTTAATGTCGGGAGATAAACAACCAGAGCTGGCGTTGTTTATTATACCAGTGAACAGTGGGCTTCGTAGCCACCGCCAGAAATCGTCCATGTCCTCCATCATATCCTTGCCGCTTGCTTCAGGCAGCAAACGATAGTTAGGCGCCACAATGATGGCGCTTTTAGAAATGGCGTATTCCAACGTCCAATTGGCGAACCAAGGAGGATAACTGCTGGATCCAGTCACCTGTAAAACGAGTAGATTCTTAACAAAGGGCTTCAAGCTAGCTTAAAGGAAAACAATGGCTCATACCAAGAATCCACCATGGATCCGCACCATGACTGGACATTTTGACTTTCCTTGGCTGGAAAGCAAGGCCCAGGGGATTAGTACATCCGCATCGATCCGGAAGAGATCATCGTTGGAAGACTTGTAGCTAGTCTTGAAAACTTTGAACGACCCAAATTTCCCGGGGTCATCAAATTTTGAGAGAAGATTCAACAGTTTGGTGTAGGGGTCTGCCATTTGGAAAGTTGGGGGAAGGAAAGAAAAGGCAGACGACAGGTGGGGAACATGGCTGGCTTTATACCGGGGGCCCACACCCTCAAGCCCAAAATTTGGAAGTGCACAAATGCTACAGCTAGATTACGAGTATTGGCTGAGCAAATGACTTGATTCTTACCTATTTGTGTGTACACAACTACAGTTTATCTGGTAGGCTTTTACTTGTGATCTGTTAGACTGACCTCGAGAACACCGTTCTTTTCCTTTTTGGCTAAGCTAAAGCTCTGTGTGTGAATCGAAGCCACCTATTTCCCCCTTGGTGAATGAAATTATTATCCCTCAAACTAATCGATTCAATGTTTACAGTCTGGAGCGAGGGCCCAGAGACTCCTCGATCAGATTCACTGTCTCAAGTGCGCAGCCATACGATGACTGATATCCAGCACCTCCAGCGCCGTAGTTATGCACTACATTTATCCCCGCAATAACCTCCTTCTCAATTCTAGTGCCACCCTCACGAACTGGGCGTAGACCGACGCCATGTCTGATCACATCGAGATGCTCAACTCCTCGGCCATTTGTCAGTGCGGGACACATTGCCACAGCGCGCTTCATAATTCGAAGAGCAAGATTGGGATCTGGCTGAGACTCCCAGCTACCCTTCTGGTACGACCCGCCGAGAATTGTGCCTCCGCCCGCGGCCCTGGTCATAACATAGCACGCTTCGTCATCGCCATCGTCGGTTCCCGATACATCCAGCATTTTCCCGGCCTCGTTTCGAACCAAAACAATCTGCCCCCGAGCCGGAACCACAGCCGTATCCTCTACACCTCCGAGCTTTGAGGCCATGAGTCCGGTGCAGTTGACGATCAGATCGACGTTCCCGCCCGGGTGAGTACCGGGGGCGGAGGCATCGCGAATGTGCTCGAAAATCGCTCGCTTGAAAGTCACGCCGTTGGCCAAGCATTGTGAGACGAGCCATGGCAAGTAGATTGCTGTGTTGATACAAACTGAGGTGAAGGCAGTCGCGGAGTCGATACCGGGTCCAAGTGAATCTTTTCCTAGAGTCCGGAACTGAACGTGTCAGCATAAATGTCAATCGCTGGTGGCAAGCTAGGACTTACATTTGGCACGACCTTCGCAAACCAGGGATTTGAGGATAGGAGATCCGCAAACCAGGTGGCAGTTGCGGAACCGGCGTCTTTAGCACGGCTGTGAATCTCACATTCTGTGTTTGAATCCAAATTAGAAGCGCCAATCAACAGATGAAAGTAAGGATGTACCTTGGAAGTGTACACCTGCCTCTGGGTGATTCTTTGCCAGATCTGCAAGCGGGGCCCATGTTTCGGCGTCCCACTTCGCCGCTTGACTTCCACCAACGGATACCCTAAGCACTAGTTAGCTATGAACGATGGAACAGATCCGCCTTTTAAGTAGCTCACGGCATATAGTTTGCTCCAGCCCAAGGCGACGCATATTCAATGTCATAGTCCCCGGGCATGTGCTTTGCTGCGACGTGTATTTTGTAGCCAGGCTTCTTGGACAGCAACAAAGCTGTCGTCAAACCGGCAACACCAGCACTGTTCAATTGTCAGATATTGGTCTAGAGGGCGTGAGAGATAGCGCATACCCAATAATTACGACGTTCTTAGACATCACTGCGCTGGACCACCGTGGTGTGGAGCGCGAATCAAAGTCGGAAAATTGCAAAATGTTGTCTTGTCCTTCCTCACTGTACCGATACTTGTCGCTTGGATTTTAATCTCTCGCCACCATTCTCTGCATTCGAATCAATCGTGAAATTACCAATTCTATCTAGGATCAGTAGGTATCTTGATCTGTCGTCGAATTTCCCAAAATGGACAATGGAGAGTTACCATTTTAGGAAGGCGAGATGAAAACGCCGAGCCTCTCAACAAGTCATTGTATTCGTATGGACTCATCTACTTAAACCTGTCTTTTTAGAACTCTCCGATATCACTCACAATCAAGTCAAAAAATCAATTTTCACCATCACCATGACTACCATGCAAGAAGTTTTCGCCGGCTATCAGTCTAGACAGGCTGTGCTCGCGTCCAGCAAGAACCCTTTCGCCGGAGGAGTAGCTTGGGTGGAAGGAGAGCTCACCCCACTCCACCAAGCACGTATTCCAATCCTGGATCAAGGCTTCATGCACAGCGATCTGACCTACGACGTTCCTTCGGTTTGGGATGGCCGATTCTTCCGACTCGATGATCACATCAATCGTCTCGATGTCAGCTGCGCCAAGATGCGACTCAAACTTCCTTTCCCCAAAGAGGAGGTGAAGCGAATTTTGGTCGACATGGTCGCTAAGAGCGGCATTAAGGATGCCTTCGTCGAAATTATTGTCACACGTGGCTTGAAGGGTGTACGTGGCACCGATCCAAAGGACATCTCCAACAACATCTACATGTTTATCCAGCCGTATGTTTGGGTTATGGAACCTGAGGACCAGCCTGTGGGAGGAACCGCCATTGTCGCACGTACTGTCCGACGCACACCTCCCGGCTCAATGGATCCAACCGTCAAGAATCTGCAGTGGGGCGATCTCACTCGCGGCCTCTTTGAAGCGTCTGACCGCGGAGCAACCTACCCTTTTTTGACCGACGGCGACACCAACCTTACAGAGGGATCGGGTTTCAACATTGTGCTGGTTAAAGATGGTGTGCTGTATACCCCTGCCAGAGGTGTCCTTGAGGGTATCACTCGCAAGAGTGTGATTGATGCGGCCAAGGCAAACGGCCTTGAGATCAAGGTTGAACTCGTTCCGATCCAGATGGCCTACCATGCCGATGAGATCTTCATGTCGACTACCGCTGGTGGTATCATGCCGATCACCAGCCTGGATGGCAAACCTGTCAACAATGGAAAAGTTGGACCTATTACCAAGAAGATCTGGGATACATATTGGGCCATGCATTATGAAGATGCTTACAGCTTTGAGATCTCCTATTAGTATAGTCTGCCCAGGTGGTGCCCGTTTCCAATGTACATACAAATTCATACATACGCACATCGGATGCAAGCCAAGATAGCCTACCCAGCTTACTTTCTGGTAGATGATTGAATAAATTCACACTAAGTCGCCTTCCAGAGGCTAATTGCAGTTAATTGAGCATGAAAGAAGCATGAAATGGAAATCTTTCTCTTAAGATTAATATGCTTTTCTTCCTATTCTAGCAACTATGGAAACTAATCGCACGCCTTAGATAGCCTATGTTGTCTAATTGGCAAATGGGACGCAAGAAATGTGAATCTGCGAGAATTAAAGGGATCGCTGCATCATTTGGGGTTGGGCCTCGGCGCGCCCGGGACCGGGGCCCGGAGAGGCCTGCTAAAGCACTGTGGTCAAGCCACGAGGCGGGGCTGGACCCCTAGAAACTTCTGTCGGAAATTTGACACAGAGCCCAAATTGTTTTGACTTCGGCCTCGTAACTGCAGAATATGTCTTTTCTTTTTCTTTTTCGTTTTTCAAACTGTGTCCATTTGATCTCTTTATAATATCTAACCGTACTTGAAGTTCATCAAAGAAAAAAGTGCTCAAGAGCTTCTCGCTTTCTAATCCGGAATGAGGTGTACTTGTATCCGTGATAATTTCCATACTATTCTTGCATGGTTGCTGCGAAATCTAGCACTCTATATACAGTGAAATACAGGTCTTCAGTTGTAGAGACCACCATTGGCCGACAGAACCGAGCCAGTAGTCCACTTGGCGTCCTCGCTGCAAAGGAAAGCAACCAGAGGAGCGATATCATCAACTTCACCTACCCTAGGAGCCGCGGGTGTCTCGTCAATCAAGGGCTGCATATCCTTAAGGAACTGTTCATCACTTTGGAACCATTGATCTTTGGAACTGTCAGCTGAATTCGCACGGAGGGATGTTCATAAAACTTACCGGTCGCGACAGGGCCTGGGTTAACACAGTTGACAGTGATTCCGTGGGAGTGACCCAGCTCTTTCGCCCAAACCCGGACCAGAGCCTCGTTTGCTGCTTTGGTTGGGCCGTATACAGTGTGTCCGGCAACACCGAGGCGAGCAGCAGCCGAAGAGATGAAGACAATACGACCTCCTCGCGGCAAGTGCGGCAAAGCCAGCTTAGTCAGGAAAATTGGTCCGCGGACATTGCAGTCGAAATGAGTTGTGTACAAGTCGAGTGATGTGTCGACCAAATTTGCCTCCAGGCCGAGAGCAGCACTTCGGTCTCATTAGCTTCCAGCTTGATATCATATGAGGGCAAGTAGACTCACTTGTGAATTATGATTTCAATTTTTCCGGTATCACTGATCTTCAGTGCCGCATCGATAAGTCTTTGATGCTCATCGAGGTTCATAAGACTGGCTTGGCACAAAATGGCCTTGGTTCCAATTTGCTGAACTTGATCAACGATCTCCTGAGCCCTCTTCTTGCTGCCCTCGGAAACATAGTTGATCACAACATTGGCACCTCGCTTGGCAAGCAGAATAGCGATACCGGCACCAATTCCGCTGGATAATCGTTAGAAAGGTGATAGGAATAGATAGGGAAAAGGATTTGAAAATACCGGGAGGAGCCAGTGACAATGGCAGTTTTACCCTTGAGGGAGACACCGGTCAAGTCAGACATTGTTTCGGAATAGTTAAAAATGATATGTGGAAATATTGGAATGTGGCTGGTTGCTTGAATGTTTTGTTTTTGATCACGGAGAAGCGTTTATTTATCGAATTGAGACTCATCTAGGGATTCCTCCACATTCATGGATCGTGCCGCATATCAAGCTCGAGATGTGGTCCGTGCGTTATCATTGACCCGATTAGGAAACTGAGATAGACCCGCTTTCCAAATTGGGTAATCGTGTTTCTTCCGAGTTTGCTCCACTCACTTTGCCTTCAAGTTTCACCGGAATTTGGAAGCGTCTGGGGGATTGCACTTTTTGATGGATCTTTCGTTTTTCTCTCTTTCGCCTTTGAGCTTGGTAATGGAAATTGAAAATTGAGGTGCGGGGGCAATGGTAATCCATAGCTCGTCTTTGGTCTTTTCTGAGATGGATCCGCCTCTACCATGGATCCCCATACAGATGAATCACGAAACAATACATACGAGGGGTCCATGCCTGGGGTGAAGGTGAAGCTCAGCCATATGTTTGAGCGAATCAATCTGTCAGTACAATTCACCCTCTCTAGCTGGTCTATTCGTCGGTCCTTGACTTTTATCACACATATGAGAGCTTGACCTTCTTGAGGCCCAGATACTGACCATAAACCCGTGGTTTTCAGATTTATCTCAACCTCAGCAGGACAAGATGCTGTTCTATCATCTATTGAGTACTTGTCCTACACTTTGTATCACTCAATGGTGTATGCACAAGCTCGACAGAACTCGCGCAAGGGGTTAAACCGGCCATTGAAAATACCTGCACTATCGAACATATCCGCTTTGGCTTCTTTAATTTCAGAAACAAGGCATGCCCTGCGTTTGCTTGGTCTCGTCCGGATTTTCAGCAGGGGGTTGGACCTCAGTCAGAATGCCTCTAATGATCCTGGGGGCTACGTTTTGGCAATTCTCCAGAAGTATCTTCTTGCGTCGTACCAAGTGACAGAAAACATCGCTTTTCTGGTCGTCAGAGGTGTGCTCTCAAAGCGTCGTGTTGAGAGGTATGGACGTCTCGAGAGTTTGTACCTTTGGAGCGCCCGTTTCTTGCTGGGGGGCGTTATTGCTCAGATCATCAGGCTCTTCTGCCAAAGTTTGATTTATAAAATGGAGAATCGTGGATCTGACTCGCAAGAGATAAAAAGGGCAGCAGAGACTAAGAAAGAAGCCCTGCGAGATGAGCATCATGACTGTGAGAAACAGTTGGAGAACCGACAGTGGTGGCAAAGTCTTACTACTAGCCTCTTATGGACTCCGTTATGTCTTCACTGGAGCGTCTCTGGTGGTATAGGAATACCAAATCCGCTCGTTGGACCTTTGTGTCTTTCCGCGACTGCATGGGGAATACATGATGCATGGAGAAATACCGACATATGTTGAAACTTGCCCACAACTTAATGAGATCTTGCTTTTGGTATTGAGAGTCTGTAAAAATATTATCTCTAATTGTTCAACCACATACAAGCTGCTATCCATATCTGTGTACCAAGTCTCGCATGACTTCAATGACTCTATTCGTTTCGTCAGTTAAACTCAACAAAATACCAAAGGGCTTGAACAGACTTACTGTCTTCGAAGCGGCTCGCTTTCAATGAAAAGCGCTGACACCTGAGTATCAAATTTTCTAATAAACTATCAGTCACGCGTGGCAAAACTGCGAGGGCTCCTTGTGTAACTTACAGCCTATAGAGGTCCAGACGACCTTCGAAGTCTTCCTGTGGAGGTGAAATTGGACTCAATTTGTTGTAGGCAGTGACATATTCATTGCCAAACTTATTGCATGCTGGCCGCCACTGACCAAATTCATCTAGAGGAGATCAAAATTTAGTCTAGGCTGTTTCCAGCGGGCAAATAGCGACTTACATTCGTTATGTGCATAAAAACAACACGCATCGAAAACAAGAGGTTGGTTGGACTTGCTATCAACCCCAGAATTTGCGTGCCATAGGTCGCCATGAACAAGTGAAGGCTTCACTTTTCGACCATCACTCTCGAGAGGCCGTAGGAGTCTGGGAATTACTTTCTCAAACAGAAAATGACACAGGTCTTCCAGTTCTTGGCTCTGTCCTTTCCTTTCAATCTCTAGGTCAAGTGCATGTCTCATACTCTTGGCAAAGAATGTCTCCCAGCTATCTTCCCACTCCACATATTGTGGTAAGTTACCTGCATAGGTTGTTGTATGGAAGCCAAATTTCCCATTAGGCGATATGCTTCTCTCGTGCATTGCCGATAGAAGGGCTCCAAATTGATGCGGGTCAGGCATTTCGGTCTTCATATCTCGGAAATCGCAGAGAAAGAAGTGGGTATCCGGCACGGCTGTGAGGGTGCCGCAAGCGATAGGCGTTGGCACAAATTCCGGGGTAAGTTGACATATTGCGCTCATTGACTGGAATTCACTCCTTGTCATATTCTTGCCCTGCTCGTTTGGGTGGATCTTTATGAAGAAGGATCTCGGGGTTCCATCTTGGAGCAGAATATCAATGCGACCTGTTTGCGCCCAGAAGCTTTCGCCATGCCTTCCGATGGATACGACATCGGATCCTTTTGGCAACTCTTGAGAAGTTGTCAATATGATATGAGCAAGTTAGCCAAGTGCGGGTATCTTGCCTTGCAAAATTGCGGGGTCGATTTCCGCTTTTCCGCCCCCGATTTCCAGGTTTTCTTGGCCACAATTACCCATTTGATGAATGATGTTTCGGACGTTGGTCGGGCGTCCCAGGATTTTATGCGGGCTATCAGGAGAGCGGGGCTCAAGGTGGAATCAAGATGTTCTGCCTTAGGAATTAGGCCCAAACAAACATAACTTTCACATTTTTGGCATAAAGCCGTTTCAATTTACATAAAACCATATCTTCTAGGCGGCGTCAGGAATCTTGTGCCAAAACTAGTTCTTTCACTGCTTATACCAGTCATCAAAACCGAGATCCCATCCAAACAGAGGTGTGTTGATACGCTTCGCCTTTCCTTGTGCAGCCAGACCATTCAGAGTATCCATATCCTCCTGAGAAAGAGGAACGATCTGACCGTTGCTCACGATACGACTCTCCTTGATCGACTTCGGTAGTACAACAACGCCCCGGTTGACGTGGTAGCTAATAAGCACGGTAGCGGGCGAAACATCATTCTTCTTTGCGATTTCCTGGATCGCGGAATCGGACATGAGCGGAGCGCCTAAAATCGACCTTGTTAGCCAGCGGTCTCCCCGAAGAGGTCCCAGTGAATCATTGAAGATACAAACCTTCCGATCCAAGTGGTGAGTATGCTTCGAGAAGGATGCCTTGCTTATCGCACCACCCCTTCAGTGCGTGCTGAGGAAGGAAAGGGTGCAACTCGACTTGGTTCACGGCAGGGACAACGGTCCACTTCTTCTTGAGCTCTTCCAGATATGGGATGGACCAGTTGGCAACACCAATTGCCTTGACCTTTCCAGATTTATATACCTCTTCCATCTGACGCCAGGTTTCATTTTGATCCCAGCTTCGGTCGACAGCTCGTGTGCCGTCGGGATTGACTGGAAGCAAGGCGCTCGATTCGTTCTGTGTATGAGATTAGCCTTGAATCACTCGTGGAGAAGGTCAGCAGGAACCCACAGCAACAAGGCGGACTGGCCAGTGGATGAGCTAATATTCTGGTTAGCTGATTACTTTGTAACCGAATAGTTTCTGCTCGGAACGAGGGCCACATACATAAAGATCAAGGTAGTCCGTGCCCAGAGCCTCAAGTGTCTTTTGAAGACCTTCCGCAACATTCGCTTGGTGTGTGTTCCATAGCTTGCTGGTAATGAAAATGTTTTCACGAGGAACACCGCTGTCCTTGATGCCTTGGCCTACTTCGTGCTCGTTTCCTGGACATTCTATTAGACTTCACTGGCTTTATTGCTATCTTTTGCTTGAACGTACCGTAAATCCTGCGATGTATGAGCAATTTGTCTATGTTAGAAAATAGGGTGGGTTTCTTACAATGCCGCGTCAATGTGTGTATATCCGTTCTTGAGAGCAAACGAGACTGCTTCGCGTACTTGGCCGGGTTCAGATCTCCAAGTGCCTGTACAAGTGCTCAGTTAGAATACGTCATGAGGATTTCCTTTCTTTCTTCATACCAAGTCCCACGGCTGGAATCCGAGCGCCCGTGTTCAGTGTGAAATGAGTTGAGGGGGACATGACGAGGAGGTGGTGTGTGGAGAGGAATTTGTAAAAGTCTGGTCGTGAGGAAAGATCGAACGAAATTCACAGGAAGCTAAAAATGGGCGATTGGGATCCTTTCTATACTCGAGGGAATATCCGACATGATGTCAATCGAAGAATATCTCGCAGACCAAATACCGAGAATCAAGTTCAATTTCCGAAAGCCAGGGTACCCGAATAGCGGAAAAGAATCCGACACAGGCACTATTTGTTTCCACCGGCGGAAGCAAAGAGGGGCGAGATGTGGTGAGCCCCACAACCCAACCATAGCTCGGGGCGGCGTCGCCTTCCCTACTAGGCAATACACTGTGGGGGTAACGTGGGGTAAACAGTCCACTCTCAATCAGAGCTACGTGATACTGCTATGAATTTGATGCTGTCTTCTTGGTCGGCAACTTCTGTGGCTTTCGACGAAAAACAGAGTCATTGAGATATGTTCGACTCGGAGATTAATCCCGAGACACCTGCGATGTGGTATTGTTACCGAGAGGGAATTGGGCAATATGAAAATTTGGCCAAGTCAAATTTAAGATGGTATATCTGCACGTGCTGATAACTCGAATTTGTAGATAGCAATTTATTAGATGTAGCCTTTCCAATATCATACCGTTGTCGAGGTCGATTCTCACACCTGGGCCTGTCCTGAATTGATCTGGGGCCAAATGATATGGAGAACGCCAGAATACAGTGTGAAAGCCCGACCTTGGAAGCAGCCTTGGGGCTACTAACCTCAATAGTAACCTGGGCGGTTCTGAAGACCGCATGAACCACCTGGTCCCCATCGAACCTGGAATCAATAACCTCGTGACTGAATACAACCTTCCAAGTTGGAAATATTTGTCACTCTTCCGCTTTAAAATTCCCAGACGTGCTTTCCATGATTCAAATCCTAAGATATATTTAGATACCTCAGGGCTTCATAGTTGTAGCAAAGATAATACAACATTTGATCTCGGGTGCCCGGATATGGATCTCTTTACAGCTTTGTGCTATGCATTTCTTTACGTGTGTAAACAAGTAAATTTTGAACAGGAAATTCTAAAGCATCGTAACACAAATCTCATATATACCGTTTCACAAACCAAGCTCAGACTTTGTAGGAAGGAGGCGAGATTCCCTCCTTGAGGGCTTTCAATCTCAGAGCCAACAATCTGGAGGCATACCGGGTCATTGGAAGGAAACCAACCATGATCCACATGTTCGGTACCCCTGTCTCCTTATAGGCCGTTTTATACTCGCCCTCTTCATCAATACCCCAAATCGGTCCACATTGACTGGCGATCTTCTCGCCAAGCGTAACCCGGATAGAATCAATCGTGTTCGAGAACCCAGTAGCAAAAACCACCAGATCGAACTCTTTCTCACGGTTACCATTCAGAATCACTTTATCTTCAGTGAATCTCTCAATGAAGCCAGGCTCGACCTTGATATTCCCATTGATAATTTCGTCGCACGCGCCAGCGTCGAAGTAGAAGCCACCGTTTCGGGTCAGGCTCAGAGTGGCATTGCCGGTGTCACGCTGGCCGCGCCATGTTCGTAGTCCTCGAGCATTCAGAGCTTCAAGTAGAGGTTTATCGAGATCCTCAAGATCTTTGGCGGTGCGTTTGGCTAGTTCTTCACCTGGTCCGACCGGCGTTGAGAAGTTGAGACGGTCTTGTACTTCAGTGTCGGGGATATTGCCGTTCTTGTCTGGTGCGTAGCCTCCAAGCATACGTGGAACAGAGTGTGTCAAAGACATCACGTATGTCGGGGATCGTTGAAGCATAGTCACATCAATCCCTAGACGGGCGCACTCATATGCTGTGTCAAAGCCTGAGGATGATGTTCCAACGACGCAAACCTTCTTTCCAACAAAGTCCCGCGAGGATTTGTGGGTGCTGGAATGGCGGATCTCACCGCGGAATTCCGTCATACCGGGGATGGCTGGGGTAGAAGGAACACCGCATAGCGATGTGGCCATGATCAGCTGCTTAGGATGAAGCGTGCGAGTCTCGCCTTGCTTGTTGATTATAACTGTCCAGTTTCCCTCGGCGTCTTGCTCGGCCTTCACAACTTCCGACTTGGTCCACACGTTAAGCTCGAGGGCGGACGCATACCACTTCATATACAGTGCCTGCTTCTGAGCGGGAGTGTATGTGGGCCAGTGTTGAGGGTACTTGAAGTATGGCAAAGAGTCGGGCCAGTGGGGGAAGTGAAGAGAGAGGTATTCGTAACGTTTCTTCCAGATATCTCCAATCTCGTCGCTGCGCTCGATGATCAGGTTGTCCATACCAAGGACTTTCAAACGGGCAGCCATCGCAAGGCCACTAGTGAGAATAAGTCAGTTTAAAAACATTGCGATCATTGAGATGGGGGTATCTCACTTTTGGCCACCGCCGATGATGAGCACCTCGGGATCCACGGTAGTGATAGCCTCCGCTCTTTGGCTCTCCCAACTGGTGATTCCAGTCATATGTCCATCTGGTGCACTTTGCTCGGGGAATTGCTTGAGGCTCTCGGCAACGGTATGCATAGTGTAAATCTTCCAGCCTTCATTTTTGGTGAAAACGGCATTGATAACAGCCGAGGCGACAACGATCTCAGTCTCGAAAGATAGAACAAATTGCAACTGCGAGAAATCGGGGTAAGGGCGGGACACCTTGGGGGCAGGCTCGAGAAGGTTGAAATTTCTGGCCTTGGTCTGCGGCAAGAGGTCTGTAGCGGCTTTCAGGATGGCTTCCTTGAAGTTGAATGTGCGGAAATCCCAGGTAAAAGAGAGTTTGTCACGCCACACGCCTGCAAATACATTAGCTAAAGTTGACACTGCGGATTCTTTTGGTGGAAGCGCTTACCATAATCGAGGAAAAGCTCAGCAAACGCCTGTGGGTCTTCCTCGGATGTAGCCTTGGAGAGATTGGCAGCAATACATTCGGCCTCCTTCTGAGCATCGCAATCGGCGGGGATGTCAATGCCCAGGACATCAGTGGTGGGGAGAGGGTGGTTGTATTTGAAATCGTACATAAAGTCGTCCGCGACGGGCTTTTGAACCTGATCATGATTGAGCGTTACGCTCTTTGACTGAATTCGAGGCTGAGGGACGACATCAGCACCAGCAGCGTCCTGGACGTAAGGTGCCATTTTGAGTATGTCACAGAAGAGCGCGGCAGTAGGTAGTGGTAGTCTTGTCTCGTAAAAATGAGGGAAATTGAACTCGAACTACTTCTGCTGTCCGACAACTTGATCATAGATCTATATAGCTTAGAGCTCTATGCGCATACATCGAGGGATCAGCACGAGTCTCTAGAGTAGGGCAAAGTAGGGTTACCTAATTTGGTAGGTGTCGGCGCGCGCTAGCCTCATTCGGTCACATCTTATCCCCGCTCCCCGCATGATTGTCCCAGACTGACCTCGAAAATAATTTCGATATCATCGCCTCGCTGCATACTCCACCTACAAGAATGTCTCGTGATTGACTGCTTTGGGGTGCAACCGGCGAGGTTTTCTCACGGCTAACGCTAAATCATTACATTTCGACCGGAGTTGCAAAATGAGGACCAACGCAGGGCGCGTCATGCGCGAGACGAGTATCAGGCTGGTAAAAGCAAGTTCATTAGAAAGCATACACAAGTTATCCTATGCCACAGAGTGCTCAAATGTCCCGAAGCTATCATTTCACAGGAATTCCTGATACAAAGAGTCTCGAAAAACACAAAAGAATCACTTGTAGACACAGTTAGTCAGAGGTTGAAATCAAATTCGACACTTCTACTCTAGATGACGAAGCCTTTATTCAGAAGCATTGCATAGCTGGTGTGGTAGAAATAGAGAAGTTAAAGCCTTACAGCAGCCCTGGAGAGTGCAAAACTGCCACAACCAGTTGGAAATTCAACAAAGCACGAGACAAGGAAGCGTGTGTAGTTGGTCAATCTCCATTTTATTTCTAGCTGATAATGTATGTAATACTTTTCCTAGCTCATTCCATGATAGGAAGGCCCTCATCATCAAAGTATACAGGCACCCCCTTGCGGAATGAGTACTGCAGAGCAGCGCAAATCTTACCAGCCTCAAATGCGTCTTCCGGCTGGCAAGTCATGGGCTTGTTATCAAGCACTGCATCAGCAAACTCAGCCAGGTCAGTCAGGAACGTAGCGTCGAAGAGAGTGAAAGCATCAGGAACAGATTGCGTGCGGATACCAAGATGGTCGCGAATCTCAACGTTCGAGTTGGCACTGATGATCGAATGTCCCTTGGTGCCACACAGTCGAGTTGTGTCCTCAAATCCGCTGGTCAGTGTGCGACCAAGGTAGGTCTTGAAAATCTTGCCATTGGCATATTCAACAAGGCCCCATGCGTTGTCGGCATCGCCGTACTTGGCCAAGTCCCCGTAGACGGCTTGCTGGCCGAAGGCGATGACTCTGTTGACTTGCTTCTTGGGGTTGGAAAGGCCGGACTTGACATCCAAGAGGTATCTTCCGGCATCGACCTGGTATATGTTAATATATGCAGAGTGTGGAAGGGATTTTCGCGGTACTGACGGTATGGATGCCGAAATCAAGGAAGATACCGCCAGATTGTTCGGAAAAGGCCACGAAGAAGGCTAAAAAAACAGGTTCATCCATCAGCACGTGCGGATTTGAAGTAGCGTAGATTGTTCCATACCATTGGGGTCTGCTTGATCAATGCCGGTTGTTTCAACAGCATGGATTTCGCCCAAGTCGCCGTTGTCAATGAGAGCCCGAGCCTGGCGGTAGGACTTGTCATCTGGGACGAGTCAATCTCTTACCTCTCAGCGAGTGAGACTCAACTTACATCGTCGAGTAAAGGGAACAAGGAACTTGAGATCAGGTCTTGAAGCAGACTTCTCAACCACTGCCTTGGTAGTCGCAATATCCACCGAGACAGGCTTCTCGCACATGACATGCAAGTTGAGATCAAGGGCCTGCAGAATCAGAGGCGCGTGTGTAGCTGTCGCCGTGCAGATGAGTACTGCTTCAGCGCCGCCATTTTTCAAGCATTCCTGGGGATCAGAAAAGTACTTGACAGACGGAGGCAGGTTCTCTGCGGCCCACTTGTCGGTACCTGGCTTTGTATCGCAGACAGTAACGAGTTCAATCCGAGGCTGCTGGAAGGCGAGAATGCGGGCTCGGAGAACACCCAGGCGGCCGAGGCCAAAGAGCGCAAACTTGACGCGGTTATCGCCGTACGACATGGTTCACGGTCTGAAGGGCGCTTTTATTCGATGGTGAGGTGGTGCTGGTTTTGGCGGAGGCAATGGGGTATTGAGAGAAGAACACCAATGTATATGGAGGAGGATAGATCCAAAAATCGAGTAGAACAATGCGACTCTCCAGTGTCTGAGATCAAGGCTATTTATCAATTTGCCTTCTCAGTTGTGCTAGTTGGCGCATCCAATGGTTTCCCCGCACCGTGGCCAATGACCAGCCCAGGAAACTATTCATTATAGACGCTTCGATTGGGAAGCTGCCATTCTTGGGTACATCATGTCGAGACGGTGGGCCAGTCTTCAAGAGTTCATGTTCAGGGGCCTGTAGGATTGCCGAAAGTAGCAACTAGCCGGCGAAGATTCCCTGGTGGGGCAATTTCTCCGCACGCGCGACGCTGATCGAGCGCCTTAAGCATCACGGCACATTCCCACATGTTGTCTTGCGATCACGCCAGTCAGACTCGGAATTTGGGGATGAACTAAGCGCGAAACTGAAACTCCGCCAGCAAAAGTTTCCCGGCAACTCAAAGTATGAAAATCATGTCGCTGCGTGCAACAATTTGATCTTGAGGATGTAGAGAGCAAAGGCAAAGTTCAATTAAGATATACGGAAACTTGTTCTGAGACCTTTGTTCATTGAAAAAGCAATCAAAAGGCCGAAACAATCCGCTCATAAAACATTCGTAAATATGTATGCCACATGGAGCTTCTGGACACCCATTGTGGAAACGCTAATCAAAACCAGACTGATAAATTACAGTTCCTTCTTCAAGGAGTGCTCGGGCTTATGGGTAGTCTCGTAGTCGACGTGGACATAAGCACGCTCGACATCAGGAAGAGACTCTAGCTTTATTTGCAGCTCTTCTGCGACATCGTGGGTAGCACGCAAAGACGCATTAGGGTCCATGACAACATCAACCTCGACCAGCAACCGAGGGCCAGAGGTGTAAGCACGAACGGTGTCAATGGCCGTGATGACCGGTGAGTGGGTCATCGAGATGTATGTGATGAGTTGTTGCATGTTGGTATCAGCCGTGACACCGACCAGCAGCTGGAACTCGCCATAGGCGGAGTGAAGCCAGAGTACACTGACGAGCACGGAGAGAATGATGGCCCCCATGGGGTCGATCCACCAGCGCAACTTACTGCCACCGACAGAGGTAAGAATACCAAATCCGTTGATGAAGAGGTCGTTGCGGTGGTCCTCCCACAGAATGCGGATCTGCGAGACCTGGTTGCGGAGAGCCCAGCAGTAAAGGAACAGGGCGAGCTTGGTGGCGAAGGCGACCGAAACGGCGATGACGGAGGGAAGATGGAAGTTCTGGGTCTCATCCTCGGAGCCGACTGCCAGCTCACGAATCGAGAAAGCAATCAAGATGAAAGAGACGGCAGTCATGAGGAAACAGAAACAAATGTTGCCGGCGGTTTCGATGCGAGCTTTGCCTGCTGGGAACTTGCGGGGGTCGACACGGTTGACGGCTTTGTTGCAGAGCAGGAGAGTAAGGTTGGACATGGGGTCGAAGATGGCGTCAGCCATTGTGGTGAAGAGAGAGAGGGATCCGGATGACACGGCGCCATAGACTTGAATGACGGAGAGAATGATGTTGGCAGCGAACGATCCGTACACGGCGATGCGGTATTTCAGGCGGTTATCGATGTTCAGCTCGCGAGCGGCACGACGGTGCTCCTCGACGGGCTTGAGCATGCGCTCGATATTTTCATTTTGAGACTCGTAGAATCCCTGAAGCTTCTTTGTGATGAAAGCTTGCTTGCCGAGGCGAGTAGTGTCGTGGACGATGGCCGCGACTTTGCGACTTTTGTTGGCGCCGGTGGTGGAATCACGTTTCCGGGAGATGTTCGCTTTCATCTGACGGATCTCATCCTCGGTCTTCAATTTTGAGGCGAGGCGGAATGGGTCGTTCTGGGCTGTGTAACGGGGTGGAGGGGCACCTTCCTCGTCGCTCGAGCTACCACTGCGGTGCTGGTGCATGGTGGTGAGTTCGTGGTCGAGGGCAGTGGTGGTCCCCTCGTTGATGGCGGGTGTCATCCTCTCAGACCGACTCGAGCTGTGGTGCAAGGTCTGAAAGGGGTGGGGGTGGTTGGACAAACTCTGGCGCAAATGTTCCTCCATTTTGTGTATATTGGATGATGTGAACGAGGAATGAACGACCAGCAAGGGGCAGATGAGAAGAAATTATTCCGAAGGTGGCAGTGCTTATCGCTCTTATCGTGTCGATCATATCAATTCGACAATGCATTGCATTGCAGCATTGCTTGTATTTAATGATATACATGTTCTTTGGTGAACTCTTGTTCAAATAAGAGTAAGCTACATTTCAGTAATCCTACGGTGTTCTCACGCATGATTCAGACATGTGTCAACGCAGACTCGTACATGACCAAGTACGCTGCCAAGGCCGATCTCTTGACATCCCCTCCTTCAACCTCCGCTTGGCTCTTACTTGGCTTTGGTACTTCTCGCTATATGCATGCTTTCTACAACTGCCCTTCGAACGTCAGAATTTTATGAAATCAAAATCGGGAGGCTCTTTCAAAAAATTTCGTTGAGAAGCTGGGGTATATTTGAGTTCTCGTCCAGGTGTGAACAATCCTGGAACGTGGATCGTGATTCGTGAATCCTCCGAGCCCGTTTTGCAATTCCTGTTCCAATCCGTCACATCGCAAACATTTTTGTAAGTATTCTGTTAATTCACACAACCAAATGTGCATCAGCGCATTCGACTTGAACGATTTGGTGCTCAATCCCACTCTCGGAAGCCGCAATGACCACGGCGCTCAACTGGTTGCCGTACAAACAACCCGAGTCAATTCCGATTGTATACTTGCCCAGTTGCAAACGACGCTTTGCATCGTGTCCAAAAATCACAGTACTCTTAGACGATAGGCCTTCTTGCCATTTGTCCCATTCTACAATCCAGCTTTCGTCTCCTGGTGCCTCTGCCGGCGTGAGTGAAGTCTCATCGCCTGGTGGATGAACCAGGCTCCGCAGGTGCATAACCGCATGTGGGTCTTGATCTTCAAGGGGAATACCAGGGGCAAGTCCCGCGTGTACAATAATCAAGGAGTCGCCGAGGGTAGATGATGTATACTGAGGTAGTTTGACGCGCAAGATCAAAGGCAATTCGGCAAGCCAGTCGAGTTGGGTCGTCGAAAGTGACGATGCTGTTTCATATTTGGGGGAAGATGCAGGCTTGTCTGCATTGTTGGGGTCTTGCACTGTTTCTCCCGATGAGGTCGCTTCGGAGTTCTCAGGTAATGTGTCACCGCTTGAACCTTGCGAGGGATTCTCCTCTCTGGCTTTTATCTCGGTGGCTGCTTTCAGAACGGCGTTGTCGTGGTTGCCTCTCACCGCGCTGGCGCCTAGCCTCATAGCGAGGTCGATGACACTAGAGCTATCGGGTCCCTTATTAACTAAATCGCCGACTAGAATCAGATGGTCGCCATTCTGTTTGCTAAAGTCGACTTTCTCTAACAGAGCCTGGAGAGACTTGTGCATCCCATGCACATCGCCTACAACGACTAGGCGACCACTGGTGCCATTCTGAGATGCTGCGGATTGAAGGAGAGGGGTCGATAGATCTGAAACAAAATTCTTGATTGGAAATAATTTTTCGAGGGCTTTTTGGGACATTGTATGTTCATGCACTTGAAGGTCGTCAGATGAAACCCGGCGCTGCATTTTGTTGGGGAAGCTCAAAGTAGACTAGCGCGGAACTTGTATAGACCAATTTTGTTGCAAAAATAACCACACCGCGCTGGAATACGCTGTACATGATATCACTAGACTGAATGTATTCTAGAAACCACTTTGGCTACTTACAGTTTCCTCTAAGCTCCACATATTGCAGTACGACTTAATCAATCCGTTCCGTCAACTCTTCTTTGCCAACTTTATGTGACCGAGAACGCAGAAGCCGACAGCCTTGGAAGAACCTGCTGCAAATGATATACAGGAAATTGTGCCTGCAAGAGCCCCGTAGTCAGATGCGATGTAGGGAGTATCTGCCAGGGACACAAAACCTTAGGAAAAGCAATCATATCAGGGTTTGTTAATATAACTAAAAGTATGGCGTCAGGTCTTGGAGGCTTAACAGTCACACGGCAGCTCCGATAAACCAAAGTTTGTACAATAACAGACATTAGGAAGATAGGAAGGAAGGAAATTGACACCGCGATGTCCTTGACATTGATAATCCTGGCTTCTGATTTGTCCAAACTCCGAACCCCAACCCGTTCTCCCACGCAATATCAATCATTCCCAAGATTCTCCAGCCCGCCAATCCGAGCCACTTTGATTGAGAGAGTGATAGATTCCGGGGGTGCCGAGTCCAGTATCACACATTCCCAAGATCCTCCGGCCCGCCAACCCGAGCCGCTTTGATTGAGAGAGTCATGGATTCCAAGTTTACCAACCCCCGTAGGTCTTGCTGGTGGATTTGTCGCGGTTATCATTGCTGTTGTGGTTTCCGGGGTGTCCGGTAGATCCATAACCTGAGCCTGATTGAATCTCGTTACATTCAGATTCAATCTGTTTGCAGAACTTGCGGAAGATGTTCCATGAGGTCTCTTCAGATCTATGCGCCGCAATCTCACGTTCAATGTTGTCGATGACGGCGAGCTCACCCTTGAGCTCTCTGATAATTGTTGCCAACGCGTAGAGGGGTGCGGGCGCGGCATGCTTCGAATGCAAAAGTTCAGTTTGATTCCTGTATGCGATGATGTATTCCTTGGCAGATCGATACTGACCTCGGGTGATTTGTGTGCTTCTGGACTTCATTCATGACATAGTCGTTTTTCGTGCCGGGCTGCATGAGATGTATGATAGCCTTCATGACCTCATCTGCATACTGCATGCCTGAATTGTCATCCAAAAATGACTGTGGCGCTCTTCGCTTATGGCAAAGCTTGTTTTGAATCTCTTCCGAGACATGGCTGAAGAGCCATCCGGCGACAGTAGTGGACCAGTATTGCCATATTTCGTAGTTAGGATCTGAGCGCGTTGGGTGTCGGATGTGGGAGTCTAGCACGCGTTTTATGCCGAGGGGCTTCAACGCGAATGAGACTTCAGCAAGCCAGTTGTTGAGGTTCTCGACTTCCTCTCCGAGAACGGGGATTGTAGGCTGTTTAATGGAGCCTTTGTTTCTGGGCAGACCGCTCCCCTGAGTGTCTGGTGGGCTTTGTTTTGGATGAGCGAGATCCATGGCGGTCTTGACTGTGCCTGTATGGACAAGAAAGGAGAGTGAAGTAAGAAAGCAAAGTGAAGTGAGACATCAAGATGACGCGAGCTGAATGTGTTTGTTTGCAAGAAATACCCTACCGAGCTAAAATGTTTGGCCAGTGGGCAAACAATACTGGTTATATCTCAAACCTCAAATTCCCTCAACTAATCGATAAGATGCCCCATAGATTGCTGTAAAACTGATTATAGGAACACCAAGCCTCTCGGTGAGGCTGAGCATGTTCAAACATGGTCCATGGATGTGGTTTGTCCACGATGCAGCTCCAGCTTCTGTTAGCACTTATCTACTCGCTAGCAGATCTCCCTTGGCTCCCCGAGTGCTCCTCTGGTTTTTTGCTTCATATTTGAACTCGATACTCTTGCAGACGAGGCGTTGGTTGGGGCGTCGGCAAACCTCTTCGTGGTGGCAACGATGGGCTCGTCAGTCATGTCCTTTGATCCGTCCCGAGCTATCAAGCGTTTGGACTCGGATCCATTGTCGAGCCACCACATGGTAGGGTATTGTCCCGTGATAAGCTTCATCTGTTCGCAAAATTCGATCGTCTCGGGTGAGATTTCTGACTTGTTCTTTGCCATGATCGCATGTCCGAAACTGGCAGCGTCGTCAAGAAATAGGCACCCAAAACATGATCTCTCCAGGGCCATCTGGCTGCGAACCTTGGAAGATTATATATCTGTATAAAATGGGGGCAGTTCGAAGCAGCTCATCACACGAGAGCCACAAAGTCGGGTTCAGAACGCTGCCTATACAGCAACATCGGGTCATTGCGAAGGGGAGAAGGACAAGGCATGATGTTGTATGGACCGTTCGTGTGCGATATAACAGAAGAGAGAGAAGAAGATATAGATTAAGACAGTGTGGGAAGAGATTATTCGGATGACTTTGGCTGCCGTAGTGGCTGTCTCTGGGGGAAAATGACCTGAAGCCAAAGAACCTACTGTAGTTAGCTTCTAGTCATTGGATTCAAGTTATCTGAGCTTAAGGCCACAGCGTGTGTCTTTGCTTTAACAATGGCAAAGGCAAATAACACCGACAATTCTCTAGTGGTCACCTGGGACTAGAGAACACTGTCAACGTACCTCTGTTGTGACTGGCTTTCGATGCAAATGCTTGCTGTTGAAAGAGATGATACTATCGTTGCCCAGGCGAGGGATTGTCTCAAGGTTCAGGGACTAATGTTGAAGAGGTCGTCCTATAGCAGATAACTCAGTGTCTATTGGTTCCGCCGTCTTCAATGAATGTCGTTGATCGCTTGTATTGGTGGCCAAGCTTGGTTGAGAACACTGAGGGCTTTGGAGAGGTTGGTTGTCTGATTCTGGCTGCTTGGTGCTATAAAACTATCGCTCGCTGCCGTGATGCGAGGGGCCGTCAGTGGCGCGGCATTCGTAGACTCGGGGTTCCTCTGGTTGGTACGCAACGCGAAATACACACAGGAAGCAGTACTCTGCCATGCCCATGTAGTTGCAGAGGGCCGGGGGCTGGGTTCTTCATGTGGAAAGCTGATGCGGAGGAGTTGGAGTAACGCAACTTTTGGGGGCACGGGGTTGCCAGAGCGACTGAGTTGAAGGATGTCGTCTTTCAGCTTCGTGTCAGGATTGAAGAGGGTAGCCATGGTTGATACTGAAGAGGCGCATCAGTGCACTTTCGGTCGTTGTGATAGTTTCACGGTGGTATAGTGAACATTTGCTGGGTAGATTCCGGTTTATAAAACAAAGTTCATTGGAGCGCATTCAACCGCTGAGGCTAACAATCGCAATGGGGATAGAGGAAGAGGAAGAGCGAGCAGGGAAATAAATACCCACCGGAAACCCCATGTTGAGGTCAACGTTGCGCAATGTCCAGATGATGGGTTCCACCACAGAAGTCGCTGGGTTTGTCCCCAATACTCATTCTACCTAGAGACCATTGTACAATTTTCTGCAAGATTCCGCTAGGCTCGATTGCTATCCCGCCATGCTACTCCGTACTACGTACATCATGACTAAGTATACAAGCAATTGACACATCTCATTGATCTCTGGACCAGACCTTCCGTCCTTCAAACCAGGTTTCGTTAATCTTTGCCTCCATCAAAGAATCAGGCTCCCACTTCATATCAACCACAACAAAGTCCGCTAACTTGCCAACTTCCAAAGCTCCTATGCGCTCATCCGCAAAGACGCTGCGAGCTGCACCCCCGGTTGCAGCAACAATGGATTCACACATCCCCAACCGGAAGTGCTCATTGACAACCCCAGTATATTGATTGTCTCTGGAAGACTTCCGTGTCGTGGCCACATAGAGGTTTTCCATCGGGGCCCATGGTGAGGTGGGACTGTCGCTTCCAATCGCCATGAGAGCGCCGGCATCTGCAAACTCCCGGTATGCAAACGCCCTCCCACACCGATCCTCTCCAAGAAGACGAGGCCATTCAGTAAGAATAGAGGGGTCAGCGTGTACTGGTTGAATCGAAGCCGTGAGTCCCAGTTTTCCGAGTCTCTTTGCATCTCTGGGGGAAGCGAGCTCAAGGTGCTCAATACGATGTCTCCGTCCTGGGGTTGCATGCTTCTCGATTGCATCGATTGCCATTTTGATTGCGCCATCTCCGATAGCATGAAGAGCGATCTGGAGACCTGCCCGATCGGCTTGCAGAACAACAGGATCCAAATCTTCGGCTTCCCAAATAGGTGGAGGGGAACCGATTTGCGCATATGGCTCCGTCAAAAACGCGGTGCAAGCATCAATAATTCCATCGCAGATAATCTTGACGCCCACAATTCGAACGTCCGGGCTTGTGGTGGAGTTGTACTGCCTGCTCAATTCAACTGCACGCTGGACCTGCTTGGAGTTGGCCTCGCGATCCGCTGTCGGTTTGATGAGCCAGTATGCAGATACACGCATGGGAAGGTCCGGGTGCTGTGAGCGGAGAGTCAGAAGACTATCCCATGCCTCTTCATCCATGGCCATTTCGATAACACCAGTATATCCCGCCGCGTTATATTCATAGACTGCTTGGAGGATCGACTCCATGCGTTCTTCCTTGGACGATGAGACTGCCTGGAATGGCCAAATGATCGACATCATGGCACCTTCATCCATTACACCCGAAGGCTTGCCCTCTGCATCACGATGGATAGAGCCGCCTGGTGGGTCTGCCATGGTGTCAGCACCCAGCTGCTGTAGGGCGGCAGAATTCATCCAGCACGAGTGAAGCGAACTGGCATCGATGAAGATTGGTCTAGGGTCAAGATCATCCAGTATGGCAGCGCTCACACCGTTCGGTGTCATGGAATGCATCCAGCCTTTACACAGAATTGTCGGTACATCAGGGTTGGCAATCGCGTACTGCTTGATGGTAGACCGAATCCCCTCTAGAGATTTGCAAGGTCGAAGATCCAATTTTCGAAGCGACTGGCCGAGGAGAAGAAGATGCATGTGGCCGTCAATGAAACTTGGCAGAACAGTTTGCTGTTTGAGGTCATGTTTTTGAGCCTCGGATGAACACCCAGAGAGAAGTTCTTCAAAGCTCCCCGTTGCCATGATGGCTCCATTCTTTACCAACATACTGTCCGTGAAAACCGGCTTTCCTTCCAAACCGGAGCCAGCCTTCGTCAGGACACGTCCATTGAAGAAAATGGTCTCTTGATTCATGTTGCCGAGGTCTATCTTTTGTGTACTGGCTTTGCAAGGGCTTCGAGCAAAAAACACACGAGGCAGATCAGTGGTACATGAGAGAGAGCACACGAAAGAAATAAATTAAATGGAGCAGATCAACCCAACTACATATGGTGGCCTGTCATCAATGTGGTCCTATAGTCCCTCTTCGGGCCGGGGTTCTTGGCATCTCCAATCGGCTCGACCTGCCCTCCTTCCTGTTCAGCGCCCGGCTCGACTTGCCCCGTTGTTTGTATATCAAAATGTCAACAATTCTTGAGAATCGTCGAGATAACGTTAAATGAACCACTGGAGTTCAACGCGTTGTTTCAATTGAGAGAGCCTAGCACAAGCCGTGCTTCCCTGCTTTGGCGCTTTTCACACCGAGGGCCTGCGCGTACCACGGTCGCTTTTGAAAGTATCTGGCTTAATCTATTCGTACTTGCTACCTTGTTTACTTTACTTCGTACCTATTCACATGGGGCTGTTTCGCTTACAATCTTCCCTAGTTGAGGTGTGTGGATAATACAAAAAAATCAAGATGTCCCTGACTCAAGCCAAATTTCCTTTATTGGCCTTTACATAGGGCCCCGTTTGTGAATTATGTTTTCTCTATTCGTCCTCTTGCTCTGGAAAAGATCGCACGGCGAGTAAGGTAGAATCCACGGATAGAATTGCGGCAAGAGACTCGCTGACATCAGGCCCACTTGGGAGGGGCGCAATTCGCCCCCGGACTTTTCACTGATCTCTCACACGAGAGCCGCGAGTGCCTCGCTACAACCCTTCGCTCAAATGAGCGCCATTTCAATTGGTTGTTGGACCTGTCGTGTGCGACACAAAAAGTGCGATATCACGACCCCAGTATGCAGGGAGTGCAGTGACCGCAGTGTTCAATGTCATGGATACGGACCAAAGCCTGCGTGGATGGACGGGGGATCGGAAGAGAAGAAAGAAAAATCGCGAATCAAAGCTACAATCAATCAACATGTCCGACGAATCCGAAAGATGCACCATCGCGCCAAGTCTGTCCATGCAAATATTGAAACACAGTCTTCTGCGACAAGTACAGTGGCTGGTACTCATGAGGACTCAAATCTTGCAGCCATTGAAACATCTAATCAGGATATGATCTTCGATCCACAGGCCGCATGTTTGTTGATGCATTACCTTGATCAAGTATTTGCATGGCAATTCCCCAACTTCCGCTCAAATTCCCGATTGGGTAACCGAGGTTGGCTTCTTTATCTCTTCATCAAGAGAGGCCCGCTATATCATGCTATTTTGAGTCTTTCGTCGCTTCATCAGAGTGCGATTCTGGGTAGTGAGGAGGACTATCAGCAAAAGGAAAAGGCACTTGAACATCATTCAAGGGCACTTCGGGAGTTCTGCAATTTCATGGGCGAGGAGCGTGGACGATTGCTTGACGATAATGCTCGACTGGCTGAGTTTTTGGCGTGTAGCTTAATAATGATCAGTTGCGAGGTGACTATATTCTATCATGCTTGGCTTCAAATCTAATGAGGAAGACAGGTCTTCAAAGGTGCCGAACACGACTGGTTGCTCCATCTTGATGCTGTCATTTGTGTGATACAGCGACTCTCTCCCGAGAGGATTTTCGCTACCCATTCTCCATCTGACATGCAAAATGCTGGCTTGTCCCAAATTCATCCCCAAGAAGGCCTTGAGTTTCTTCTCGCTACAATGGTCTCGCTTGATCTTTTCGCTTGTCTTCCTACAGGTCGGAAACCACAACTTCCGTACAGGGAATGGCTTCAAACTCCTCAAATACAGATAGGAGATCTACTATGCTGCGAGAACTGGGTCATGATCGTAATCGGTGATCTTGCCTGCTTGAGTGAATGGAAAGGAACGCAAGAACAAAACGACACTTTTAATCTTGATGAATTGAGCGAAAAAGGAGAAGAAATCCAACACCGATTAACGAGTGGGATTGATGAACTCGATCGTATCAGAGGGGTAAGCATAACCCCATCTACATGTTGGCAGAAATTGACAGCATACAATCTAGAAAGAAGATTATGAACCACAAACTAGCTGGGTTACCCGCCTATATGCCTTGGCTTGTTTGGTTCTACTCCACACGACCGTTTCCGGGCCACTGCCCACACTACCCGAGATTCGAGACACAGTTTCTAGAAGCATAGTCGAGCTCCAAAATCGTCCAAGGACGTACTCACTCACTGGCTTGGTATGGGCAATATGTGTGTTGGGGTGCATGGCTCAGCCCGACGCTCAGCTTTCTTTCGAGGATTTGATGGTTGATTTAGTGCGTCACTCCGCCAGATTTGGAAACCTTGGGACGGTGTTAAAAATAATGAGGAAGTGCTGGAAGTTGCAAGAAACCGAGAGTGCAGACTGCAGGAGTACGATGTTAAAGACGGGTATATGTGCGATATTAATCTAGCCAATGCTGCTGGATGGTAATATGGAAGAGGCGTTAGTCGAGTTACAATGTGATTCCAAATTTTCTAGGTTCTGGAATTTCTTGTTGACTATTTTAAGACAGGATGTTCAAGGAAGTGAGTAGAAATACATCACAATCCGAGTACCTCCGAGACGCCGATGGCCCCTTTTGCTTGGAGATAAATTGACACAGTATCTTTTCAACTTCTTCCCACAATGACTCAGATCCATCCCTCATTCAAAGCAACACCCTTCATCATGCAACTAAAGAACTTCCTCGTCGCCGCCTGCATGGCCCTTCCCGCCCTGGCCGAGTCCACCAACAGTACCGACATCGCACCCAAGCTCCAAACCCGCCTGGCCCAGATTGACATCGGCTACAAGACCACCTACCTCAGCCTTAACCAGGCTGTCAGTGGCAACGGCAATGCCACCATTGATGTGCGAGCCCTGTTGACCACCGACCTCATTGGATATAGATTCTGACACTTTCTTCTTAGGACGTTGTTTCCGCTTACAACAGCACTGCTGCCACTGAGGACGGCGCACTCGACAAGAACCAGCCTACTGCAGCTCTTCCCGATACCACTCAGCTTGTGCTCTGCCAGGCCTACCACTCCGTGAGTCAAATCCATTTCCCGAGAATTAGAATGACTAGCCTAATATCTGATAGCTTGCTCTGAGCGGTATCGAGCTCAACTCCGCTTTCGTCGAGAACCTTGACTCTTTCAGCAAGTCTCAGCGCCACAGCATCGCGTCCACCTTGTCGAAGGTCAGCTCTGAGACTTCTCGTTTCTCAAGCCAGGTTGCCCGCAAGGCTTTGTCTTACTGCTACGACACTATCCGCTACGACGAGAAGGTCATCAGCAACTCTCTTCAGGAGGCCATGTCAGCTCTGCGTAACTAAGCGCAGCCCTTCTATTTTGGTCAAAACTACAAGCAAGAGGCTGGGGGTACAAAGAATCATCAATCCGCATGAGGCTGTAATATAATTATTAATTTCATGTCTATCGTCAGACGACTTCAAAGATTCATTCAAAGTGTGATGCTTCCACTCTGTTTAGCGGTTCTGCTTTGTGTCCATATCCATGGATGAGGGGCGTGACTGCTACCTTTGGTTCAATTGGCTTTGATTATGATTTTAAAGGGAGTAGTCTGACCCATTGAAGTTATGTCTGTTTACGGCAGCTCTCACCTACGTGTAGACAATCCTCCAGCAATCGATGGACAAATAAAGTGCATTGTTGCCGCAATAGAACCTGTTGAATGGGTAGGTAGCACTGCCGCACACAGATTTGTACAAACGAATTGTGATCATGCAAGACAGCAAACTTGGCTTTACATATGCATGTAACATTTTTATACTCATCCATGGATGGCGCAAACAAACACCGGCGCCTAGGTTGTTGCACAGATGGCTTACAACGTAACTCAGTCTTTCATAGATTATTAAAGGATGTGGATGTCATCACGAGAGGAGACCCAGGTATATAAGTGGGGGTTGCAGCCATGAAACTTCCTTGGTGTATATAATCCTATAATTTTACAAAGTGTTTATCATCATTGGAACTTTGGAATCGGTAGCTGCTTCGTGGGCATGCCATTTATTATAGCTCCAGGGCTCTTTGTTTGCTCGCCCCAGAGACCCTTATGCGAGGAACCTTAGCAGCGCTTTTGTGAACTTCTGCTTCCTCGTACTCTGCTTCGTCTGCTGTCGCTTCTGCAGGCTATGAAGCCCTACGTTCTTCAACAGTCTTCGATCATACATTTTGCCCGCATGCCCCACTTGCTATTTCCACTTGCTTGCTCCTCAGTTCTTGTCTGCTCAAGTGCTTCATGATCACTTCGATGATGGGACCTTCTATCATGAAGCTTTTGCTTATATGGCACTGGGCACTGTGTCCTGCCACAAGGTGGGACGGTACGTGCCTGGCGCGATTTGGTCTTTGGGTATTCTCTTGTACCGCTTGAGGCTTCGGACCTTGAGTCGTCTTGTATTGCTGCGGTGCGATGGCGCGGGGGTGCCATGGTGGATTTCTGGGGGTTGTGGGAGAACCCGAGCCACCTCTCGAGATCCTGATATCTCTCTATCTCTCTTCCTCTCTCCTTTCTCTCTTCGGTTTTCATGCCATCGTTTTCTGGACCATAAAGATTATTTCTTTCTCTTTTGCTTTGCCGCCTGACATAATAACAAAACTCATTTCCGTTTCCATCGATCGCAAGCGCTCTCATATGAATTCCATCACACATATCAACTACGTTCTCATTTCTATCACACTCGACCATCGCCTGACGGCATTGTCCACAATATGGCAAGAGCTTTTGTGAAGTGCGTTTTGCAATTCGAGGATGAAGACCAGCAAAAGGACCCATTCAAATGCCGCACCATCGTTGAAAGTGCTAGGCGCATCTTGGCGCCGATCGAATCGACCAATCACGACAGACCTTGAAGTAGACCACCACGATGTCTACAGGACCAAGTGCCTCGAGCGCCCGATTGAGCAAACAACCGGCACGAGAAGACGATGTGCCCGTTGAGGAAGAACACAAGAACCCCACGCCGGGATCCTATGCTACGCGTTCTACGCGTGCGCCGCGTGCGAGCTCGGGTATCCGAACTCCCCTTGTTGACAAAGCTGCCGAGTCCACAAACCTTGATACGGAGACAAGGACATGGTTGAAGAACGTGCCACGAGTGCTGCGCTACGTACAGTTTGTAAAGATGTATCACGAGCTCCAGGAAGAGAACGGTGAATGGGAAGTCCAGCAGATCCTGGACGCGCGAATACGGAACAGAAAGCTTCAATACAAGATCAAGTGGGAAGGCGGAGACTCAGACAACGCATGGTATTCGGCTGGGGACATATGATATGTGCCTCAGAGGCTGAGGGAATTTCATGCTCAGTATCCCCAGAAGCCGGGACCCCCAAAGCGATCCGATGCCTGGATAAAATCAGCTCTCGATGATGATGACGACGACGAAGAGCTACCTGACCATCCTGATGACGACAAACCTGCATGAAGATGTTGGCTGCAGTATTGGCAGATTGGCCCCAGTTACCTCTTACCTCTTTCGCACATCATGCGACATGTGCTCGAAGCTCAGGGACTGAGCTTTTGTTTTGACGGCTGGGGTGATAGCTAATCTTGGAACTGGTTAGCTATTTGGTTTCACCGATTGTTTTCGTACTCTGTCCTTTTTTAGGGGCTGGCTTGAAAAGGAAGGATTCAACTTCGACAACATTACAGATCTCCGGTGGGTTGAAGCAAATTCTGATTTGGGATATGTCTCTTCAAAGTCTGGCTCCAAGGTCTATGAGCAACGCAAAAGTGTGTGAAATTGGAAGTCACTTTATCAGATCCATATCAAAAAGAGTTTTTCAATGCAGCAGCGGTCAATTTTAGACCTCGATCTATGCCACCCGTGGACAGAGACCAGAATGGCACCGAATCATGAATTTGGCCCAATCAAGTTCTCGGCCAGTTTATAAAAATACATAAGACAAAAGGTACCATGTGACCTCCATTGGATGCTACCATAATCTCAGGGCTTTAGTCCCCACCAGAGTCGACCAGGGTCGACTAATCTGAGGGTGGCACCCACTTCCTAATGCGGAAACCGTCCTGGGACAGCCCTGCACATATAAAGAATTCCACAGATCTACCTCTGAATTTCCCTGAATGTGTTACGAAGGCTCATTTTCTTTCACCATGCGCCTCGCCGTACTCTCCGCCCTCGCAATTGTCGCGGTCGCGGATCCCTCCTGGTGGTATTTCGACGCGTGGGATGGGTTGAGCTGCGGAGCTATGCCACAAAATGGACAAATTTTCTTTTCCACAGAAGGCACTACAGAAGATTTTGAAGACGAAGCTTGCGTCAATCTTGATGAGGATCAGAGAGCCTATTCCTACGCTGCTACCTTCACCGAGAACGATGTGCAGTTAAAGGGCTTCCTCCGCGAAGACTGCGAAGGACCGGGCAAAGCTCTTTGGAACAACACGTGCATGAACCCGAGCATTAAAGTCCCTTACATCCGCTCATGGAGGATTATGAAGTCCGACTAAGCCTAAGTTGGAGGACATTGTCTGGAGTACCTGAGGTCGGTTCTCTAAGTCTATTGCCAACAGAAGAACCTGGCTAACTTTGCAACAGCTTGCCATCGCCGAAAAAAAATCTCATATTCGGCATACCACATTCCTTACGCCTCGGCTAAGGTCATCTCACGAAATAAAGGGGCCATCATACCAGCCAAGAGAAATCGTCCCGATGCGACCGTGGAATGACAATCGCGAAACATTGCACAGCATCACGTCTTTACGAGTTAATTCAGCAGATACTTTGACTGCTTTCTTTGTATTTAAATTCATATTTCTTAATTACATCTCATATGCCTCCTTTAAAATTGAGTCTTCGGTTGACTGATCGTGTAATAATTGGGCAAGGGTCTACCATGTTGCCCGCGCGAAATTACTAGTTGGCCCAACATGGTGTGTAACTAAGGACTATAAATCCGAGGAGATAAGAGAGTTCGACGCTTTGAGCGTTGAAATCTTTGAGATAACATAGATCTGAATGCGAGCACGGTAGTTCTGGCTCGGTAGGTCTGAACCTTGGAAGCTGCGGATGGCGCCGAAGCTGCCAGGGGCGGGGAGCCGAGAGAACGTCCCTTCGGGCCGAAAACGGCGCTGGTCAGTGCCGTTTTGAGACACTCTTCCTCCTAACTTCCAATGCTTTATGCCAACATACAATTGCTCAGTAAAGTAGAGATAACATTCAAAGATTTACATATCTGGATATTGCTCAGAGAAGACATAGTTTATGACAGCAGGCGAAGCATACGCATACCCAAGTGAACGCAGCCCTACTAGGGCTTCGTGCTACTGTAGCTATAAGCCCCACCGGTGAGGGGCGCTGTCGTGATAACAGGTCCTCGAACTGATCTCAGGACTATTCCAAATCTCGGATGAACTTGGAATAAAATATCCGAAGATCGAGCCAACAATCATAGGCCTCTGCGCGGAAGACTTTCCCCAGTTGTGGTCTAGAAACCGCTCGGCACGTTCTATTGTCTGCTTTCGGCAACGAACGCAGCCAGTAACGTTCCAACGGAGATAAGAACGCCAACAATCTTCTATAAACGTTTTCTGCTCTACGATAATTACAAAAGCGTCAAGCTAGGGGTCGGTATATAGTATTAGGCATGTCTTATTATCTAACTTTGCCTATTCAACTCTACCGTCATCAGAGTGATAACTGCGACGGCTAGGTTCGCCCTCGCCATTCATCATGTACCGGGCACAATCGTTTCCTTACTTCACGATGTCGTTTCGCAGATCAGCGAGCGGCTTCAAGAAGTTACTTCCCATATTCGTGGTGCTGGTCACCTTTCTAGCGTTTCGCTCCTACATACCAGGTCGCACAGAGTGGATGTCGAAAACAGACAATCTCCAGTCTGAATATCTGGAAAGTGATAGCTCTGAAATAGAAGGTACCTAAGTCATGAAAATGTTGGCTTTGCCAAAATTGGTTTACTGACACAATCTTGACAGAAGAAAATGACCAGCTTGTAAATGGGGCTGGCACAACTGTCTTCGATCAAATCAGTGATGGCGAATGGCAATCACCTGCACAACTGCATCAAACTGCCGAGGATGTGACCATTGTGGCTGCGACAGCAGGAGAGGAAGATACAAGTTGGATCAATGAATTCTGTGAAGGATAGTATGTCATATTCCCTATGCACCCTTCCCTCTTTTTACGATCTCTGACCGAAATTTCAACAGCAAATGCACTACCTATCTCTATTCTCTAGATGAGAATCCCCGTTCCGACTATCTCATCCCTTACTCCAGGAGAGGCCATGAAGCCAGCGCATACCTCACCTACATTATCGACAATTACTACAACCTCGCCCCATACACCGTTTTCATCCATGGTCGCGCCGAACAATGGCACAACGATGTTTCAGGTCCAAACACAGCCAGTGTACTCGCCAACCTCCGATACGAGGCTGTGAAAATCAACGGCTACGTTAATCTGCGTTGCACGAACAGGCCTGGATGTCCAAGCACAATGCATCAGGCTTTCCCTGTGACGCTTGATATGGACTATCAGTATATGATAGATCAGATTCCTAAAATTCTTTGGGAACTTCTTGGAATTCCCCCGAGTGAGGCCCCTGACGACATTGGGCATCAATGCTGTGCCCAGTTTGCTGTTAGCCGCGAACGCATTATGGAAAAGCCAGTGGAGGACTATATCCGCATTTTGACCTGGATCGCCACAACCGACATTACAGACAACTATGGACTTGGCTGGCTGATTGAGAAGCTTTGGCATATCATCTTCGGCATGCCTGCTGTCTAGTGAGTTATTTGCTTCCATTCTGTATTCTGGTAACATGAGTACTGACTGAATTTCTCTCAAGTTGTGCCACGGAGGCCCAATGTCGCTGTGATATCTACGGATGGTGTGGTCCAAACCCAATGACCAATAACCAAGTGCTAACGCCCATTTCATAATGGCGCGACCTGGTTATCTCTTCGTCGTCTCTATTAGCGAACCAAGTATTTTCTGTCGGCTTGCCAGGTTTTGCTTACCGCACAGTGTAGATAAAAACTGTTTTGTTTCGAAATTTCCAGATCTGGGATCGTTCAGGTTCAGCCCCGCATAGATTGACATCAATACACGACCATCTCTCATATCAAGCAATGTTTATTCTTATTTCACTCTGACACTAAAGCTTCAGGTCCTTATTCTATGTCCGACTGGTAGAAGACTTCAGGTCTAGTAATGAAATGGATGATAGCCAAGGAGGCCTCCAAGGTCGCTTAGTGTGTTGGGATGGCTTGTGGGATGTGGTCAAGTCGGGCAAGGGAAATTGGATTCTTCGCATCTTTTTTATGCTTTTGTTCTGATTCAATATTTATCCTTGGTTGAAATTCAAGTTCTCCTCTGATCGGCATATTAGACAAACTATGGCAAAGATGCAAAAGGCTTCGAAATCATTTCACAGCAACCATAAACAACCGCGGGTACTTCAACAATACCCTTCCATCAACAGAGACAGGGTAAGCCGCTTCGAGCCTCCTCAAATACTCCTTCAGGAATCCCTTCTTCTCCTCTTCATCCAAAGGATCAACAAACGGCCTCAGACCGGTACCTTTTACCCACTCAATAACAGCCTCGTGGCTCTCGAGCGAGTGGTAATAACTTGTTTCGAAGATATCCACCACCGAAGCAAACGGCTTTACAGCATCATACAACTCCTGTGGCGACTGGAACCTGTCTCTCTGGACACCAGCAAGCTTTGTCTTCCACGGACCCGCTGCAGCAGCCTCTCCCATAAGCACGTGCGAAGGCTCACCCAAATTATGAGGGACCTGAAGAGCGAAGACAGTTCCCTTTTCTTGGGATTCTAGGAGTCGCTTGATGACCGCAATGCGGTCGGGGCCCTTCAACCATTGGAAAACGGCGTTTGAGAAGAACAAATCGACTTTCTCTTCTGTATTCCAGGTGTTGAGATCAGCAACATGGAAGTCAACTCCTGGTAAGGTGCCTTTCGCTTTGTTGATCATATCTGGCGATGAATCCAGGCCTGTTACTGAGGCTTCGGGGTAGCGTGTTGTGATGACGCTAGTGGAGTTTGCGGGGCCGCAGCCCAAGTCGATGATGCGCTTTGGTGAAGTGAGAGGTACGCGTGCGAGGAGATCACGCGCTGGCTGTGTGCGTTCATTCTCGAACTTGAGGTACTGCGCTGCGCTCCAGTCTTTGGCTGCCATTGTTCTGGTGGTTGTGAATTGTCTGGATGTTGTGATGATAGGTCGTGAGGCTTTTGTGCAAGAGTTGAGTAGCTTCACTGGGTGGAAGTGAGATCGCATGTCTATTTGAATATCTTGATGATGTATGGTGGAATTTCAAGTGCTCTTAAGTACCTGGAGTCATATCTGATGTGGTTGGGGAATGTGACGATTTTCGGAAGTTCTCCAAAAGCTTCGCCAAGAACTTCCGATATCGCCACTTTCATCACTACGTTTTACGTGGAGATCGAGTTGAGCATGGTAAATCCAACATTTAATTACCGATATGTCTAACTGATACAATATAGATATATCCAAAGCTAGAGATGGGGTTTTGCACTTAGATGGGTCATTCTGACGCCACTTGATCTCAGTGACTTAGTTGCCGGTGCCGACCAAGTTGCCCACAAGAGCCTCGATCCAGGTCAGCACATCCTCGGCGCTGTCGGTGGGGAATGGCAAAGCGGCACTGGCGGCACTAGCAGTGGAAGCAGCAGAGGTAGCAACTTCGGGCTCGGCAGAAGCAGTGGCCGATTGGCGGACACTGGTGGCGAAGGTAGACTGAGCAACGGGGACGGCGGATGGAGTTTGAACGGCAGCAGGAGCGGAAGTAGCAACGACCTCGGCGCTAGAGGTGGAAGAGGGCTCCGATGCCGCGACACTGGAGCTAGTCGCAACGCTGGCGACGGCAGAGCTGGAGCTGGAGCTGCCAGAGCTGCCAGAGCTAGAGCCAGATCCACCGAGAGTGAAGTCGACACAGGACTCGTAGGTCTGGTCGATGGACTCGGCATACCAGTACCACTGGAGCACACAGTCGCCGGCGGTGCCACACTGGCTGCCGAGGTCTTCAGGGATGGTGACGCTGAAGCTGGTCTCGTTGGCAGTGACACCAGTAGCGGTGGAGGCATAGACATCCCAGGAGATCAGGGGGCTGCCAATGACGCTGTTGGAAGAGGTGTCGACGACGGAAACGTTGGCGACACCAGTGTGGGGGAGCGCGAATGTCGACCTTGAAGTCGACGGTCTGGCCGGCAGTGTAGGATTGGACGTTATCCTTGTTGTCGGCGAACTTGTAACCCTTGCAAAGCCAGATATCACACTCATCGGCGTTGTAGTCGCTCTGGCTGGAGGCGACCTGCAGCTCGCCCTGGATGTTACCGTAGTTGTCGGACTGCTGGTTGACCTCGACCTGCTGTCCGCAGGCGGCCTTCATGGCATCACCGGGCATACGGGGCTCGGGGCTAGTGACGAAGCCATGGGCGTTGACGAGGGAGATAATGCTGGCGAAGGCCAGAGCGGGGGGTGAATTGCTTCATTTTGTTGGAAGTTGAGGAGAGAATGGAATTGATCGATAAACCGGTACCGACGAAAGAATGTATACTGAATGAATGAAGCTCTGCACGGTCTCAAACCGGAGAAAAAACGAATGTAGAATGAGAATAAAATTCAAAATAGACTGGCCAGCATGCTGAACTGGTCCTGTGTCGCGGCATGCCGCTTATATAGCCAGCATGGTGCAAAAGGACAGGATCTAGTTGGACTGCAGCATTAATCAACCGTAAACAGTCATTAGACCCTCATCAGAGACATCGAGGGTCCTCTGCATCGCTAGTGAGGTCAAAAGCACAAATCACGGCCCCTGAAACACATCGGATATATCAAAGGGACGGTAGTCCTCCACCGGGAAGCGGCTGGTGAGACTGGCGTTAAGGCTAGATCCCCTCCTACCTGTTCAGATTGAGCTCGGTCGCTGCATATTGATTTAGGCCGAGAATTTTTGCTCCCGAGACAAGCCCGACGTTCCTGGGGCTAAGGCTGCCAAGCATGGCTCCACGCGCCGAACAAGGATGCTCCGAGTTTCAGATTGATGGGCCCAGGGGGATGACAGGTAAAAGGTAATTTTTGATTGATGGATATTGTGTCTTAATGATTAAGAACGCGGAGATCATAAGAGGGCGCACTTGAAATGACATCGGCGGTCGGACATTTGACCCATTTCATTGAGTGATCGCGTTTATCGCCGTTTGCAAACCAGGCTAAATCTTTTGAAACCGGCTAGTACTTCACGAGAATCTAGGGTTTCACATAAAAATCGATGGTAAGTACCTGACAGTTCACTCTTGTGATCTATGCCGCTTGGTCGGATTTTCACAGATGATCACTAACACCAGGCTTAAGTCTATCCTATTACAAGTACAAACACGTATTGCTCAGCCGAGGGCAACACTTCAAATGTACAAATCAGATTATGGAGCATGCCAAGATCTATATAGTACCTTCGCCGTTAAAGATAAAGTGCACCGTAAGCCCCAGGCACTCCTCCGATTCAATTCTCAACTGTGTACCTCTAAGCTCGGCTCTTTTTCTTGTTCCCCTGGATACAACTATGCCAGCATATAGCTATTTAGACTGTTCAGCCACGTGGGTTCGGATGCCTCAAGGTTCGCGGATCGGCGGATCTACCTGTCAGGCACGGTTTGGAAAGGGCTGAAACGACAGCACATAAGACATCGACTCAAGACTCGTTGATAATACGGCGAAAAACAAACCCGAAATCATAAGTTTGTAGAAAGCCAAGCTAGCTTAGCTCCACAGGTGGAGAAAGCAACGGTAGGAAGACTTGAGGATGCAGAGTTGATTTGCAGTGCATAATACTATAATGCAAGATAGACAGGGGCACAAATTCCCCAACCTCCTCCTAATTCAGTCCAAGATCCAAGATGATCTTCCCCTTTGCGTGACCTGTATCCAGCCTCCTGAATGCCTCCTCATACTGCTCAAACGGCCAAACACTGTCAACAATCCCTCGGCATTTCCCCTCCTCGATCAATTTGGTGATCTCCTTCAGCTGATCGCCAACAGGTTGCATAACAAAGAATACATCTTTCACACCTTTACCCTCGAAATTTTCCGGGATGACCATCAAAGGTGGCTGGAAAATACTCAGCACCACGCCTCCATCCTTAACAGTCCACCATGCATCCCGCAAAGATTTTCCCCCAACACAATCAATAACAACATCCACCTTCTCCTCTTTCGCCCATGCCTTCAAGTCAGTGGTCCGATAGTCAAGCACCTCCGCACCCAACTCTTTCACAACCCCCATATTCCCGCCAGCGGTCCCTACCACCTCCGCCCCCAGTAACCCCGCCAACTGCACAACCCACATCCCAACACCCCCAGACGCAGCCGTAACGAGAACCTTCTTGCCGCCCCAGATTTTCTTCGCGGCTTCCCAATCCAACTCCCCAAAAGTCTGCACAAGAAGAATCTGCCACGCCGTCTGCGCTGAAACAGGTACCGCGGCAGCCTGGACAAAGCTCATCCCTTTCGGCATATGCGCCAGCTCATCTGTAGGAGCGACAGTATAGTCACACGCATTGCCGGGTCGAATGTAGTTGGTGCGCGCGTAGACAGAGTCACCGGGCTGGAATGGAGAGCCTGGTGGGGCCGAGACCACTACTCCCGCCACGTCGGGGCATGGGATCAGAGTACGTGGGTTGGCGGGTGGAAAGTTGGCTGGCCAGAGGAGTTCTCCTGCACAGGGACTGCATGCTTTCACCTGGATCAGGTGTTCCTCCTGCGTTGGGGTTGGAAGTGGTGTTTTTGTTAAAGTGAGGGTTTTAGAGGTGGCGGCTTGCTGGATGAGGGCACGCATTTCGGTCATCTTGAAATTATTTGGTTTGTGTGATTTTTGGAATATCTTCTGAGACCTGAGACTAGCTGTCGATGTTATTTTGCGTCATTGTGCCGGGCTTATATACGGGGTACCAAGTAAGGTTTTCGGGATCCGCGTTCCCGCATAGCCTATTTGGTAGCCTATTCCTTCATCTGACTTCTTACTCTCGTATCCGGGTATTCGTCTTCCAGTCGTGCTTCAATGCCCAGCCGGATTTTCGGGGTGTTTACGGAGTAATTTGAGCCAGAAGGGTCTATTCACACGTGCATGAATCATCTTGAAGATGAGATTTAGCCTAAAGTACTTCTTACGGATATCAAGAAGAAACCATGTGTAGATATCCTATAGTATAATTTTTGAACCATTTTGTCCACATACTCCCAAGGTTATGAGCATGTAGCGTTTTATTTCTTTTGGCTCGGCTTTCCCATATAAGAGGTTTCCACCTGCAGCGAACTACATATGGGCACCCGGCCACCTGCATGTAAATGACTTATCACTTTCACCCACTCATTAGGAATGCACAAGACATCGGGCTGCGACACCGAGTCATGTGCCTTGGCAATGACATATCGATCCCACCAACGTACGCGAGTGGAGAACCAACACTGAAGTATGCATCATATACGTCGAGATATCCCAGGATCGTGGTATAAAGGAAATGAAAAGCCCAATCCCAGTCATCTTAAGGAGCGGAGAACGGTTCCGTGTGTTGATCAGCCTATAGATGCCAGCAGACCGTGTACCCAAGCAAGCCAGCGCTACCAACCCTAACCTCTTTGTTCCCAACCGGGGGCCGGGGCCACACCGATTCGTGACTCGTCTCCTCCAATCCGAAGTCGCACATCAACAGATCTGCGGGCGCACCCGCTTGTAATTCTTTGGTCCCCTCCTTTTTTTACTTTGGAGCCGGATGTCCATGTCCGCCATGGCTGATCGGCTTGAGAAGGATGGTAAAATTGCCATTGTGAGTACGGAGCTTCTGGTTCGGGCACATCGTGGTGGCTAACGGGCAAGGATCCCGATATCCATTATTCTAGCAATTATGGCGATGATTGGCCATCGTAAGCAATACCATAAAGCTGATACTGCAGTTTTAAAAAAATTCAGGGAAACAACATCTATCGGTTCCTCGATCTATAGGGGCTTGGAAGAGAATGGTCGTCGGTATGTTTTCCATCCCGGTCGCGGTCTTGACTAATAGCCTCGAGGTATCAAACATTGAGTCACAAAGAATACATGTACGGCTTCTGTATCAAAGAGCTAAGCAAACACTCACATTGACCAGCGTTCCATCAGATGAAAAGCAATTTGAAACATACGAAGCCGGGTATGTGCGATCGAATACCAACCCGCCAGCTGTATTGACGACAACAGGCATCTACTAGCCTTGATCATGGACTCGGACCGAGATAATCCTCTATTCTACTCTCCCATTGGGGATCACCCAAAGAACATCCTCGATCTTGGAACAGGTCAAGGCAACTGGGCCATGTATGCTTCACATCTCAAGGCCATTGATTGACCCATAAGTAACCGACTACCAGTGATGTCGCCGACATGTTCCCATCAGGTGAACCTTCCCATCCATCTAAGTCCAAAAGCAAAATTCGTTTTTGACAGAAACAGCCAGCGTTCGCGGCGTCGACCTTTTCCCGCCACCCGTAACCTGGATGCCACCAAACTGCATTCTAGAAGTCGACAACATCCTCGAACCATGGACATGGAACGAAGAGCAAGATCTCATTCACATTCGCATAATGATCGGCTCCTTCGACCCATCAGAATGGGAAACCGTCTATACACAATGCTACAAGTGAGATCTTCCCAGCCTTATTCTTCAACCATCTAACAACGCCAGCAATCTCCGACCAGGTGGCTGGATGGAACAACTCGAAGCGAAACCTTTCCTAGAATGTGATGACGGAAGTCTGCCGGCAGACAACGCTCTGCGAACATGGGGCCCTAACTTATTAGAATGTGGGGAGCGTGCCAGACGACCACTCGATACGATGGAGAGGATGAAAGAACGGTTTCAGAACGCTGGCTTCGTTGATATTCATGAAAAAGAATATAAGTGGCCTATTGGGCCTTGGGCTCGAGATCAGAAATTCAAGGAGGCTGGGGTTGTCAATCTTCAGCATTGGATGTCTGGTATGGAGGGATGGTCGATGTGGTTGTTGACGAAATTCGGGGCACCGGAGCCGTGGTCTCACGATGAAGTGATTGTCTATATTGCGAAGTTGAGGGCTGAGTTGAAGAATCCTCGGTATCATATTTATGAGCGAGCGTGAGTTTGATTGTCTTTTTATTCGCGATGGGACTGGTTTGCTGACTGTTGCAGGCGACGGGTTTGGGGGAGAAAACCATTTCCCGGAGAGGTTTCGCCAGTAGGGTCAAAGAAGGTCATCATCAAAACTGAGCGAAGGTAGCTGGGAGGAAGAATAAAAAGTTATGTTGCTTTGGTGTGCGATTCCCCTTCGGGGGACGCATGATCTGGATATCCATAATCAGTCTGATGAATGTTCAATAAATTTTCAAATGTATGGGCATCTGTATCATATTTGAGCATAGATATTCAAAACCCGTATGTACATGTTGCTAATCTGCAAGTGCACAATGCTGGTGGTAAGACAAGACGTGCGAAGGTATCATAGAAAAAGAAAGAATAAAAAGCTATGCGCTTGAAAAAGAACGCAATGAAGGGACAATTCCATCCTCAAAAAAGGACATCGGGGCCAAAGATCCCCTATATAGCAGTAAAGCTAACGCTCTTGCTCGGCAGGTTGGAAGCGCACCCGGTCAGTATGCGAACCTTGCGGCCTATCCGACTCAGCGGCATAGTCGTCTGCAAAGGGATTCCGCACCTGGAATTCCTCTGCATTATACTCATACCGGCTGGTCGTGGCGCTAGGCTGCCGGCCACCGGTCATAACAGTGTTTGGCAACTCCGCGACCGCATGGTCTGGTCGTGAATGCTTTGGCGGGGGAGGGGGAGGGGGAGAGGATACGGCAGAGACAACAGAGGGAGCGGTATCCGAAGCAGAAGGGGCCGGCGCCGGCGCCGGCGTAGAAACAGCAGGAACATTGGCGCCAGACCCAGCCGTCGGCGAAGGGCTATTGACATTTGACGAGCTAGGCGACGAAGACCCTCTGAGCTTGCGAGCCTTCAGCATTGCGCGCTGCTGGCGCGAAATCGCAACTGAGATCTCATCATTCGTCTCAATGAGCGTTAAGAGTGTGTCCTCATCCGGAGCGGGATTGTTCGCCTGGATGAAGCCCTGGATGATACGCGCGCACGTTTGGCAGCGATCCAGGAACTCTTTCACGAGGTCATTGTCCTCCAGATCGCTCGGCGAGGTCGACTGTATGAATTGCGTGAGTAGCTTTGCGCTGTTCCGTGCTTCTTCGATGCGCGCGGCCATTTCCTCGGGTTTCGGTAGTGTGTTTCTCGGCGATCCGGAGGGTGGTCCAGGTAGGGTATAAGATCTGGGCGGGACAGGAGGACGAGTGAACTTCGGCTGTTAGTTTAATTCAGCGCAGAGATATTACAAACTCACAAATCCACGTGTTGTCTTTGTTTTCTCCTTCGCCCACATGGCAAGCAGCAGTTTGAGATTCTCGTCCCATGAGCGCTGTTGCTCGAGTGTCTCCAGATACTGGCGCAAGTAGCCCTGGACGTGAAGGTCATGTCCTGAGCGCAGCAGCTCTTTGATAGTTGTCACGAACTTCGCGTCGAAGTTGCGCGTGAAGGTGGGACCTGGGTTGTCGGCCAGGATGCGCATGAGCATGATCGCATTGTACTGGGCGGAGTTGGGGGTGCCTGCGGGATCGGCGAGGTATTTTCGAATGCGCAGGGCCGCTTCTTTAGCGGCTTCCGGGCTGGATTCGGCGGCTTCGACGATCTTGGGGAGGTGGACGATTTCGGCTCCTTGCTGGGGGATTGTGAGTGGGTAGTCTTGGAGGTTTGTTGTGACACACATACCGATTCGCCGCTGTTCGTGTTTGATTCGCAAAATGCCGCCTGTGTTCTTTGTCAGTGGGGAGTCAATTGATATCGAGGGTGGTACAGACTAATTCCTTCCTGACCACTGCTTCGGGGGAGTCTTCGCGGTGTTCGGCGCCGCTGTCGCTGGAGCCTGCTGGGCCATTAGCAAGATTGCGGGGAGCGTGGAGAAGGAATCAGTACTTGAGCGCGCAGTCCAGGTTCTCACGAAGCGCTTCATTTTGACTTGAGGTGATTACAAGTCTCAGGGGGAAATCCCAGGGGAAAACTCGAGGGGGAAATTTGACCAAAGCAAACGCAGGCTATTCTTGCCGGGGGGGCCAAACGGGGGCGAACTACTCTCACAGCACTAGCACACAGCGTCGCTTAGCGGAAATATATCTCCAACTTGAACTATGCATGTCACGAAGCATACTCTTCATATATAAAGTTCTCTCCAGTGGCGAATACCCCCCAGTCCACGTACGCACCTTATCATCGCCAAGCAATTGCAGTGTAGGCTCCAGGGAAATGTCCATGTTGATACTGACTCAGCTACGTGTGGAGGTAGCAGAGACCTGGGAAATGCTTGTTCGAGTCCTATCTTTAGAAGTCACTAGTACTTCTAGGGTTCGACAATCTTCATCTAGTCTAGTAGGGAGATTCTATGTCCATTCAAATAACACCAAGTCTGAGGTAGACGTTCTAATAGTCAGCCACATTGCTGGACTGTCTTCGTGTATGCTATGAGAAGCTCACCGCAATTTGCCGGGTGTAACACCTTGAAGCCCTGCTCTGCTGCCGAACACACCAGTAGTTCCCCACCACTCGAGCTAATCGTTTCATATAGCTGCACCAGGTCAATCTTGGGGACCCGAACTCACAAAGAATCGACGAAGCCACCTGAGCCCCCATCATGTTCCAAGGTTGCCAAGAATGCCCTCCGCGCAACTTGTGGCTGACATGAGCTCGATATATTTGACCATTTAAGGTTGAACGCGTGGACGTTTCCAAGGGCAAGTCTGGTCTTGGGTCTGACTGGCTGACACCAGCAAATATATAGTTCGAAACAGTAGGAAGCTGATCCCCAGACCTGGAAACACTTCGAAATCGAGGGTTGACGGCCCAGGTAATGGCACTTACATACTCCGTAGGTGCATCGGTGTTCCAAAAATGTACTATTCACGGAATACTTCCAAGGTTACAAATGGTACTTTCAACACCCCGCATGCAGATCATCAATGAGTTTATGACTGGCTGGCAAGCCAGATATAGCCTAGGCTCAAATACTTACATCCGCATCAGATAAGGTTACTGCAGAGCCTAGTCGCCCAAGATCAAACTTGCAAGTCATCACTACAAAATCCAGTCGAACGTAGAACATCAAAAGGAGATCATATTAGGACCAAAGCACGCGAGAAGCCGTCAAGATCGAAAGCAGAACAGTCTCCAAGGAGAAAAAAAGGAAGCCCATAAAAGAGTCACGGAGAAAGAACCACGTTTGTATCATGATTGGATCGGGAAGTACAGAATCCTATTTCCATCCTGGGCCAGATCGTTTAAACTTTTTATTTGGTTCTCCTCCGAGTATTGGCGCCATGACCTTAAATCTGTATGATCCGGTATCGATTCCGTTCCACATACACAGCAGATGCACAGAACTCCGATCCTTCCCGTCGCAAAAATCTTTTCACATCGTCCCCTCACACCTTCTTATGGCGATCCGTTTATGCCTCGATGAGAGCACGGCGGATCTGGGTACCACGCTGGCGGGAAGAGAGACGGACCTGGGCGTCGGAGGGGCCCTTCTTGACCTCCTCATCGGCCTCGGTGAGGATGAGCTCGATGTGGCAGGGGTTGGTCATGTAGGGGTTGATCTGAGCAGAAATTAGTATGAGCTTTGTAATACAATAAAAGCCGGTTGTCAAAAACGTACACGACCGTGAGCACGGTAAGTGCGGCGGCGACCCTTGGGGGCCTGGTTGACCTGGATGCGCTTGACGATCAGGGCGTTGGTGTCGAGACCCTTGCCATCGGCGTTGGCCTCGGCGTTCTTGAGCAGATCGATGATGTGCTCAGCGGACTTGACGGGCCAGCGGGCCTTGGAGACACCGAACTGCTTGCCTAGGAACCAAAAAGGTCAGTCCAAAATTCCTGCAAAGTTTCTCCCAAATCGACAACCACAGCATCGCCAATAAGCCAGTGAATCCTCCTCCTCTGAATGATTTTCCTCATCAAATTCCCTTCACATGGCTGTCGTAGAATTGGCGATGCTATCCGTCCCACAAATCCTCCAAGTCGATCGATCGGAATTTTTTTTTCAGGGAAACTCACCCTGGGCGGTGCGACCGGTGGAACCGGCGTAGCGGCGCATGGGAACGGCCATGGTCTTGGTGGTGACGTTCTCAAGGAAGGTGAGGGCCTTGGACAGCTTCATGCCGTTGATGGCCTGGGCGGTCTCACGGGTGTTCTTGAAGGAGACACGCAGGTAAGAGCCGCGCGCGCGGGCGCTCTTGGCCGAAGAGATCTCCTGTGCGGCGTAACGGACCTGTAGAGAGCATCGCTCGTTAGCAATGGTCCAGATGATCGAATTCGTGATTTGAAGATTTGTCGATTTGACGGTGACACTGAGAGCCGACGTAGCGTATGTATCACACGGGGGTTTCGTGGGCAATGGGATCCTGATTGTTCATGGTCGATAATAGGGACGGGCAGCACTCACCATCTTGAAGGAGTTGGCGAGGGGTGTGTGATGGTCCTCGGTGATGAGTTGTTGTCGCTTTTCGTCGTCGTCCGGCGCTCGCTTGAGCCACTGGATTTGGTGCGCTTTTTTTTCCGATTAGCTAATCTGGCCCTAAGCGAGCCCTAACGCTAGCCAGATTTGACTATGTATTATGTCATCACCCGTTGCAGATTTGTGCCTGACATTGAAGGTGTCTACAAATTTGATCTCCCTCGCGCTGTTAATTCGTTGATTTCATCGTTCATTTCATGGTCCATACTCCGTGCATAATGTGGAGCTCTTTACACCAAGGTGTCCTTACTGTACTCAACAAGGGACAAAGATCATTCCAATTCATTCTAAATATCTATCAAACTATTATTACCGTCTATTTCTTCTGCTCAGGAACCTGCGTAATCAACTCTCCCTTCTCAACAGCCGATCGCAGATTATCCAACACCAGAATTTCCATATCCTTCTGAGTCTCATAGGTTGCAGTACCGATATGAGGCAAAAGCATAACATTAGGGTTGCTGACCAAACCGGGCTCGATCTGGGGCTCGCACTCGTACACATCCAGACCAGCGGAGCGAACCTGTGAAAACCGTCAGTCTGGATATTTCTTTTCGGGCAATGAACATACCTTTCCAGATTCCAGGGCAGCAACCAAAGCCTTCTCATCAATGAGCGCACCACGTGCAGTGTTCACAATCACCACACCATCCTTCATCTTGGTGAACTCGGTCGCGCCAATGATGTGGCGCGTTGATGCGTTCAAAGCAAGGTTCAGACTCAGCACGTCTGCGTTTGCGAGCAGCTCGTCGAAGGAGACATATGTTGCGCCGGCCTCGAGATCCGCAGGTAAGCGCGATCGGTTGTGGTATTGAATCTTCATTCCGAAGGCCTTAGCTCGGATAGCCATTTCCTGGTCTTTGTCAATTGATGCAACTCAGACTGGAATACTGATGTGCTTACCCGACCAATACCTCCCATGCCCAGAATTCCAAGGACCTTGTTCTTGGGGTCGTTGCCCAGGGATGTTCTGTATTCTCGTCCACCTGCAGTGATAGGGCCTTGCCACTTGCCTATGCATACATAATCAATTCCTGCAATCCAATTGCGGGGGAAAGAGACTACATACCTTCGCGGAGCGCAGTGATGGGCACGTGAGCCTGGCGCAAAGCACCAATCATGAGGAAAATTCCTACATCGGCTGTCGCATCGTTCACCGCAACGGGTGTGCTGGACACGGCAATGTTCCTCTCGGAGCAAGCTGCGACATCGATGTTATCGTAACCCGCGCCATTGTGACAGATATACTTCAGAGACTTGGGCAGAACTGCAACCATCTCCGCATTGAAGGGACCGGTGTACTGAACTGTTAGCTTAAGAGCCTTGCGTTTCAATTGAAGTCTTACTTTGGTAGAATTGTTTGACCGGTAAAGTGCCACCACATCGTCATACTGGCCGGCCTTGCAGTTCGCAATGAAGTCCTCTCTGGTTCCGCTGGGGAATTCCTGGATTTTCATTAGCGAATATACGCGACTTGATGCGATGCGCTTACCTTCAAGCTGAGAAGCGAAGAAATGCTCTCCCACTCCTTGCGCGCGTGTGTGATTTCTCCGATGAGGAGAGCGGATTGCGACATGATGTAATCTGATCGATTAGCCTTGGAGCTGCGCTTGAGAATATTGAACTGCTCACAGTTTTGAGTATATTGAGGACACGGTAGGAGAAATGCAAGCGATGAGTAGCAATTACAGAAGAGAAACAGGGGAACAATTACTCGAGCGAAAGAAATCTGAAAGTACCACCTGGGCAGCTGGAGAGATCCCCGCTATCGCGAAATGGACCCCCATGCGGGCTCCTCCCACGTCTATACTTCTGGCCTTCTGTCCGTTCCAACGCTCAGCGAGTCTTTGTTCATCTTATGTTGCGCAGTACTGCACTATTTGACTATCTTTTCACCCTCTGCACCCTGGACTCGACTTTCCTACCATCTACACTGTTGCGTTTGAACACCAAAAGACTGCCCCCCACGTCGGGGAATGAAGTTACTACAGTTGGACAAAAGCCGACAGCGGAGCACCTCCGGGCGAATCTTTCCCCCCACGACGCCGCAGTGGGGTTGTTTTGAGGGGAATGACGGAGCCCAAATGCCGTGAGGTCGTGACTTCCGAGCTACTTGAACGGTCTTTTCCAAGTCTCTTCCGTTTCAATCCTTTCTCTTTTGGCCCTGCACAACCTTCACAATGACCGAAACAACCACCACCGCGCTCGTCCTCCACGGCGCAAAGGATCTCCGCCTGGTAAATCCCCATCATACGACCAATACCCTGTACATCCAAGCTAACAGTCCCAGGAACAACGCACAATCTCCTCCCCAGCAGACTCAGAAGTCCAAGTCTCCGTCCGCGCAACCGGCCTCTGCGGCTCAGACCTCCACTACTACAGCCACGGCCGCAATGGCGACTTCGTCGTCCGCAGCCCAATGTGTCTCGGCCACGAATCTGCCGGCATAGTAACAGCCGCCGGTAGCGCCGTCTCAAAGTTCAAGGTCGGCGACCGCGTCGCCCTCGAAGTCGGTCTTCCCTGCCGCTCCTGCGCCCTCTGCAAACAAGGCCGCTACAACATCTGCAAAGCCATGCAGTTCCGCAGCTCCGCAAAGCAATTCCCCCATCTAGACGGTACCCTCATGGAGCGCACAAACCACCCCGCAGACATGTGCCACGCTCTTCCAGACAGTGTCTCCGATGCCGGCGGTGCCCTCGTCGAGCCTCTAGCCGTGACTCTGCACGCCGTGCGTCGCTCACACCCACCCTCTAAGGAGGAAGTCGCGGCGAACCGCGCCGCCGGCGAAGAGACCGCAGCACTGGTTTTCGGAGCCGGAGCAATCGGCCTCCTGCTCGCTGGCGCCCTCGCTACTAGCGAGAACTTCTCCAAGATCGTCGTTGCGGACATTGATGCGCGTCGACTTGCGATCGCAGAGTCAATGGGTCTTGGTCTGAAGACCATTCTCATTCCTAGGGCTGAGACGCCTCCTCCTGCGAAGGATGCGCCTCATGCTGAGCAGACGGCGTATGCGCTTGAGAATGCGCAGCGCGTCGCGGGTGTTCTAACTGAGGCTGCTGCTTCTACGGATGGGCTTGTGAACCCGGGTTTCAGTCGTGTCTATGACTGCACGGGTGTGCCGGCTTGTGTGCAGGCGGGTATTTATGCTAGTGCGCCTGGCGGTGTGCTGGTGCAGATTGGCATGGGTAATCCCATTCAGACGCTACCTGTTGGCGCGGCGGCGCTGAGGGAGGTTGATATCATTGGTGTCTTCCGGTATGATGGGTATGCGTACCCTGCGGCTATTGCGTTGCTGGCTAGTGGGAAGATGAAGAGTGTTGAGGAGAAGGTTGTTACGCATAGACTGAAGCTTGAGGAGGGAGAGCGGGCGTTCACGCTTGCTGGAAAGGGTGTTGATGAGGAAGGAAACCCCGTTGTCAAGGTTATTATTGAGAACAGACGGGGGTCGAATGGTTCTTTGTAGAGTGGGAGTTGGTTTTGATGTTGATGATGATGATTGAAAATACCCGATGTGAAAATAGAGCAAGTGATGAACTTTACGAGGAGAGGTGTTGAAATGAATTTAATTGCATGAATCAGAATATGATGTGTTGTTTCAATTTAATATTATATCATAATGCGTGGTCCAGTTTCATGTACAATGTGCTTATTTCAACCCTCCAGCCAGTAGAAGACTCTGGCCAGTCATATAGCCCGTCTTCACGAGCATGGTAACAACATTAGCCGTCTCCTCGGGCGTCCCAAGGCGTCCAATAGGTATACCAGCCGCCACTTCAGGAATAGCCGCTGCATTAGGAATCATGCCAGTCTCACCGATCATAGCGGGAGCCACATCATTGACACTAATATTGAACTCAGCGAGCCTGGTCGAGAGGTTCTTCATCATACCAGTCAATCCACCCTTGGAAGCGGCGTAGTCTAGTGACGGGTTAATGATCGATCTTTGAAAGGCAAAAAGCAGAAAAGCACAATCACTTACGGCATCCATTAATACCTCCGCCTTGGGCAGCAATCGAGGACATGAACACTATCCGTCCCCAATTCTGGCTCTTCATGCGCTCTACAACACCCTTCACTAGAATGAAGGATGCGCGCAAGTTGACTTGGAGTGTGTAGTCAAACTCTTCAAGAGTGCAATCCCAGATGTTGGAGACCCGTTTCCCGTACCCGGCGTTGGAGATCAAGATGTCTGGTCGATGGCCGTGCTCTTTATCGATTTGTTGGAACATCGTTTCTATATCATCCGAGGACCCGACATCGACCTTGTGAATCGAGATACGAAGCTCCTTGTCGGCGTACTTGCTGCGCAAATCGGCCACCAATGCGTTCATGGCGTCCAGGTTGGTCGCATAAGTCAATGCCAGATTGACTCCATGCTGCGCGAGCTGGTGCGCACAGGCTGCTCCAATTCTAAACAAATATCAGTCATGTTCGCGTTGGAGTCAGTGAACTAGGCAGCATACCCTCCCGAAGCACCGGTGATAAGGGCAAGTCGACCCTGAATCTCGTTGAGTGACATGATGCGACGATGAAAAATGTACCAAGACGAACAATGCGAAGGCAAACACCCTAAACATGTACGGTGTAAGCTGTAGTGATGGGGGGCTGCCCTCGGCTACCCCTCTCGGTGCGATCTCCGAGGACGGCCCCCGCAGCCCCGCATCATTTGCCGTCGACAGGCGTGGGGGGACACGAGCGTATCACAAAACGCGCAAGAATCCCTCATCTCTAGAAAAGAAGATTGCTGCTCATATCCCCCATCCAGGCTGAGGGCTGCCAGCTCTGAGATCGCTCTTGTCCTTGGTACACGTCTGAGGTGTTTTGGAATGCATCCAGCCCTAACAAACCGCCGGAGATTTGATCTCCTGAGACATAGTCGCCCACAGCCTCTAGGTCTAGCCATGAGAAGTCGTTGGCTGGGCTGAATTGCATGTATCCTGGGTCTGTGACTGGGTTTGGAAGGGCTGCTTGCATAGAGAATTCACTGGTCTGGTCTCCAGATGAAGTTGCCGTCTTTGGTTTCCACAGAAGCTCTAAGAGACGTGCGTAGCGAGAACCGACATCGTCGCTGCCGGCGCTTGCTTGTTTGAGAACTTCTGTCGTTCGACCGACTAGGCCTTGGACTTTTGCTTCTTCGGATGGAACCATCATACCGAATGAGCGTGCCTATCTGGTGGTTAGACGGTCCCAAAAATGTGGATACTGAGATGTGCTCTTACCTTGTAGAGGAATACTGCTGAGTATATTCCATACAAATAAAAGCGAAGGGGCATAAAATGTAGATGCTTCTCAGGGTCGACAAGATCCACAAGAATGGTCAGATAAGATTTGGCTGCATCAACAGACTCATAGATGAACCGCGAATCTTGCATCGAAGCAACATTCTTGAATGTCGATCGCAGTTGTTCCCGATGGCCCTGTGCATCGCTTTTCGGCTTTGCGAGCGACTGAGAAATAGCTGCTTGGAATGCAAAGGCAGTCGTGTATAGTCGCAGATACTCGTAAGACAACTGCAGGGTCGCTCTCATGGGCCGTGAGCCTATAAAATTAGCACGAGATAACCCCAAAGAGTTAAAGTCACTCACAATCCAAAGACCCCCAAAGCGATTTCCATCTCAAGATTGCGAGCCGGAAATCATCCACATATTTCACATAGTCCCCCATCAGCATCATCTGATTACTAGTCCGCATCCCCGAATACAAAACCTCATGCACATTTCCATAAAGCTGCGTCAGATCGAGCATAGCCTGGAAGATCTTCGCATAGTCCTCTTCTCCCTCCTTCGCAGGCTGCAGCGAAGGAAAATCCTGACTAACCAGACCAGTCATGGGTCCAGGCCCTCGAGACCAAAAGGCGCGCCCGATGCGCACAGAAATTAACCGATCAGAAACATAGCAGCTGGCCCATGCCAGTCGTCGTCTCGCCTCCCCTTCTTGATCGCCAAACGGATCACCTCGGAAAGAAGTCCTGTCCATTCCAATGAAATACCCGGATCGAAGCGCAAGACCGACATGCATCCACGCAGCGCGGTCTTCCTCTCCCCGGCCCACGCGCTCAATCCGAGGACGCAGGCCTTGCGGCTCCCATTCCGCAAGAAGGAGGAGTGCCTCGACTGCTTCGACGTCGCATTCTGCACCTGCAGCGATTCCGGATATTAACTCATGCATGTATTTCGAGCAGTACTCGTGAATCTCTGGCTGATCGACCAGGTCCTTAGATGCGATAGTCAAGACTGCGGTAAGAAGGTGTTTCTCCGTGGCGAACGCGTCCAGCGCCGTGCGCGCGAAGTACTTCCTCGGTACGAGGGGGAGATATGGGTGAAAATTCTCCGCATAGCGCGAAATAAGCTGCCAAACAGTTTCAGGATCTAGCGAGCGTGATTGGACTAGTCTGTAGGCTCGGATTCCGGCCGGGTTGCTAAACTCGGAAATGACGCTGTTCCGGATATTGTATGTTGGGAAGGTGGATTCTGGGCGCGATTCGCGCGGTTCAGGAGCTTGCGCGATGCCGGTCAAACACTGCCAGGCGTCTGAGGGATTGCGCGGGACGGAGTCTATGGAGGCGACGTCCTCTTCTACGGACGCCGGAGCGGGTGGCGGATTCGGTGGTAAGAAAACCACCGGGCCCGGGTAAGAGACAGATTGACGATTCTCAGAGTTAGTTGGACTTGAAGCATCCGAGTCTTTGCTCGGGGATGGATTTGCCGGTGTGAAGTTTTTGATCTTGTTCTTGCGGATTCGACGTCCGCCGCGGTTGGAGCCGCCGAGCACGCATTCGCGGTTTTCGCGAACGCAGCGCTGGCACGGCGGCTTGCCTGTGCCGTTGCTGTCTCTGTGCACGGTTAGCTTTGTGTAGATCTCGGGGGATGGCTCATATCAACTGCTTACAGGTCACATCGCGACTTGCGTTGTCGGCAATGCAAACAGGCTCGGGAGACTCGTTTGGCGATGTCGCGCCGTCCACTTTCTGTTGGGGATTCGTCCTCCATGGTGCCTTAGAAGAGTATTGAGAGGAGCATCGAGAAAGCCTTGGAGGCGTCCCCACAAAAGCCCAGTCCCTTACTCATCTGGAGGAGCTCAGGCTGTGGGGGAAAGTTACGCTAATGGGAAAACGTTCTCGACAGAACTTCCTCTCCAACACGTCTTTCTCCAATTTTTTTTTTTTTAAAACAATCTGATTAGGCTAGTCTTAAAGTGCGCTATTTTCATGCATGTTCAATTGTTTAATTTAATTTTTCTTCAAACGTTTAGCCAGGCCAAAAGCAAGTCGAAAATGACCCAAAGGCCGACCGGCTATTGAAGCGGCTATTGGAATTGCCCCAGCGGAGCAACCCCGCGTGGGTTCCATCTGCTTCGCTGCGCTTTCTTATTTAGTTGCTTTGAACTCCCTCGGGTCTGTCAAAGATTCTATACTCAATTGCATCTTCAAAATGACCGACGTAATGAGCTTGTTCTCCCTGAGCGGGACCACCGCCCTCGTCACCGGCGGAACAAGAGGCATCGGCCAAGCCATGGCCCTTGCCCTGGCTGAAGCCGGCGCCGATATTATTCTGGTCCAGGTACGAGTCCCCACGCGACAGCCGTAGACAGCAACTAATTTTTTATAGAGAGATACCACCAACACAGCTACCAAAGACGAAATCACCAACCGCCTCGGTCGCAAGGCGTGGATTCACGTCGCCGAGTTGGGGGATCGGCAAGCCGTCAAAGGCATCATCCCCGCATTAACCAGTCAAGGCCTGAAGCCGCAGATTCTCGTCAACTGCGCCGGTATTCAGCGCCGACACCCGAGCGAGCAATTCCCCGATGAAGACTGGGACGAGGTACGTCCAAATATAGATTTCGCAATCCATCTTGCCCCCTTGACCCCGTATCTAATTTGTGGAAAAAAACAAAAATACAGGTGCTCGAAGTGAACCTTTCCTCCGTCTTTGCTCTGTGCCGAGAATTCGGTGCCTATCTACTAGCGCGCGACGCCTCCGAATTCCCCTCCGGACGCCGAGGCTCGATTATTAACGTTGCTTCGCTGCTCACCTTCCAGGGCGGAATCACCGTCCCCGCCTACGCGGCGGCCAAGGGTGGTATTGGACAGTTGACCAAGGCGCTGTCCAATGAATGGATCTCCAAGGGCATCAATGTTAATGCGATTGCGCCTGGATATATCGCTACAGATATGAACACGGCGCTGATTAATGATGCCAATCGCAACACAGCAATCATGGCTCGCATCCCGGCGGGTCGGTGGGGCTCACCGGAAGATTTCAAGGGTGCGGTGGTGTATCTTGCCAGTCGGGCTAGTGGTTATGTCTCTGGTGAGATTTTGACAGTGGATGGCGGATGGATGGGTCGGTAAAGACTCCGTGTTTGAGAATAAATCCCGAGGTCCAGCGTGTACATAAATTAGAACCTGAATATATTCCTGCATTATTCTTATGTGTCGGATCTCCTGACTGCCTAGACATCTCCCGATACCAGCATCAGTGCCAATAGAACGGGGGTCGGAGTCGACGGAGTATATACTCAAATGTAACGTGCATATATGACATGTTTGGTCTGTGCATCGACTTGAAACACTAGACAAAGCCCATGTCTGAGGAAACACATGGGCAACTGGAGCCAGTGGAAAACTCTTGCGAGGAAAATATATTAAACCGGACAGTTCGAAATGATCCAGGGCCTCTCGTCCAAGCATTGGCGTGACGCCGGTCGGACTGGAGCTGCAAGGTGACTGATCAGCAAATCACAGCGCCCGTCGCGAGGGGCTCAGGACAATTCAGAAACACTGGCGGGCTTGGATTCACTCCAGGAGTCCTCCCGATAGGCTGGAGCAATCTAAACGCCTTGAACAGTTGCCAATCAGCCCATATAGGGGCAAACACTGACATGTCAACCTGCAGTCCTTTAAAACTCCAGCCGCCGAACCTGAAGTCAGAGCTTTCTTCGATTTGGATCGACATTCATTCTTTTCTCTTGGCTTGACTGCGTTGATCGCATTTACCTTCTTTGACCTCTTTTTTGATAGTACTTTGGTGCGCATTGTTGAGATTATCCTGAATATCTCCGAATATCTGCGAAAAGTGACCAGGGCTGAACAGACTACATCCCTTGCTGGCATTCCAGTGAGTCTTCCCCAACCCAATTCTTGATGACGCCCTAACCAAGTTCTCAGATTCCTCAAGATCTGCTTGGATCTGTTTTGATCGCCTTTGATCTGTTTTTGTCCCCATTGTTCACATTGTGGACTTTGATCCAATCTGACACGCTTTGTTCATTGTTTGCTACAATGTCCCTATTGTGACACCGTCTTTGTCGCGCAACAAAGGACTTCTTCTCACTATACCCTCGCTATTGCCCTGTCGGCTCTATATTTTCATTTCATCTGTCTTCGACCTCGACTCCTGCACGTTCAAATATTCCACCGCTGTTGACCAGCCGCACCCGATACATTTATCGTGAGACCGTTTCATCTTCTGCCAAGATCCAATGGCAGCCTCTCCGCCTATCGATACACGAGCCTACGGATCAGACGACACGTACATATATGAGTATTCAAGGGGCTTGGGGGAGTAGATGTTCCTCGCGATGTGATCATCACTCGCATCATCTACTCCTCACTCGCCTTCTTGGCTGTCGTATTATTCTGCGGTCGAGTGGCCCAGATTAGCCATGCATATCTTCGCCAAATCACCGCCTCTGGAGCCAACAAGAAGCAGCAAACTTTTTGGGCACAGGAAAGCTCATCATGGTGGCCCAATATGAAGAAGCACTTTCTCTATGCCCCATTGGGAAACAAGAGACACAATCGAGAGCTGCAACTTTCCTCCGTCGTGAGCGTCGGCACCCTGCCCTCCAGACTACAGACCATCCTTGTCTTCCTCTACTTCTCCAGCCAAGTCGCATACTGCGTCTTCCTGGACTACAAGGTCAACCACAAGGCAGCGCTCGTGGCTGAGCTCCGCGGACGATCCGGGACGCTGGCCGTCCTCAACATGGTCCCTCTCTTCGTTCTCGCCGGCCGAAACAATCCCTTAATATCAATTCTTCACATCAGCTTCGACACATACAACCTCCTCCACCGCTGGCTGGGCCGTATGGTAGTAGTTGAATCAGTCGTCCACACAGCCGCATGGGCCGTCAACGCCGTGGACGAGCAAGACTTCGCCGACATGCTGATCCGACTTCGATCAACCCCATTCTTCACCTGGGGCCTCGTTGGAACCGTCGCAATGATCTTCTTGGCCCTGCACTCTCCATCCCCAGTCCGCCACGCTTTCTACGAGACATTCCTTCACCTCCACCAACTAGCAGCGGTACTAGCCTACCTCGGCGTCTTCCTGCACCTCAAACTCGACAACCTCCCCCAACTAAGCTGGGCAATCGCCATAGCAGTCATCTGGTTCCTAGAACGCTCAGCCCGTCTCATTCGCCTCCTCCACCTCAACGTCTCAACAGGAGGAACAACCACAATGACCGTCCAAGCCCTTCCCGGCGAAGCCTGCCGCGTAACCTTCCACCTCCCAAAACGCATCGATATCAAACCAGGCTGCCACGTCTTCGCCTACATCCCCCAAATCTCCTGGTGGATGTCACACCCTTTCTCAATCGCCTGGGCCGAAGACGCCTCAACCCCCCAAATCCAATCCTCCAAATACGCAGACCTCGAAAAACAAATTACCCTCCCCTCAACAACAAAAACCCAAGTCTCCCTAATCATCGGCGCCCAAAAAGGCATGACCCGCCGCCTCTTCAACCTCGCCAACGCCTCCCCTTCAAAATCCCTCTCCCTCTCGGGCTTCATTGAAGGCCCCTACGGCTCCCACCCAAGCAATCCCGCAAGCTACGGGACAGCAGTCCTCTTCTCCGCAGGCGCGGGTATCACACACCACCTCCTCTACACCCGCCAATTAGTCCAAGCAGCAAACGAAGGCACCGCAGCTACCCGCCGCGTCTACCTCGTTTGGTCCGTCCGCTCAACAGATCACTTATCATGGGTTAGCAAGTTCATGGACCAGATTCTGCGCCTGCCGGGCCGGCGCGATATCTTGACTGTCAAGTTGTTCGTGTCGAAACCGCGCAAGGCGTCTGATATCGTCAGCCCGTCCCCTTCGGTCACGATGCAGGCTGGTAGGTGTCGGCCGGATGTTGTGCTTGATGAGATTTTGCCTGGCCGCACCGGTGCTACGCTGGTGAGTGTTTGTGGGCCTGGGGCTTTTGCGGATGAAGTTAGAGCTGCGGCTAGGGGGAGGATTGGGAAGGGTGCTGTGGTTGATTTTGCCGAGGAGGCTTTTACTTGGTGAATGTGTTGCATATTGGGGTTTTGATATATCTTAATTGGTGTTTCTTTTTCGGTTGATTTGTTTTTCTGGTTTGCATTGTTTGGCGGGTTGAGTTTTATAATGGCTTTTGTACACTAGAGCTTAGTCTATGGACATATCTTACTTTGTTCTTTCCAATGTTCCCTTACCAGATTCTGTTCGCTAGAGGTTGGACTACTTGCAACCTACAGGATAGAGAAAAGTTGAGATAACACGTTCATAAGATTCTGACCAGGAGGCCCATATCTAATTTATTATCTAGAGGAACCCCATTTTCCAGACAGTGTATAGTGTGTATATGCAGCCGAAAAAAGCCAACAAATAAGAACAATTTGTGCAAAGCACTCAAGGTCGCAATAAATGCAAGAATCGCCAGAGGAAATGGAATCATCATGAAAGTAAAAGAAAAAAACAGAAAATAGACCACAGGAGTAACACTGAATCCACACCGAGAAAGGACCAAAAAAAAGAGGAGAAGGAGTCATTTTAAAAAGAGATCCGAGACAAGCTCAGACCAAGGGGAAAGAAGGATCGGAAAAGAAACAAGAATTCAAAAACAACATTTAAGCAGTTTTCTTCTTGTTCTGAGATCCCTTGGGAACACGGGCGAGCCAGTAGATGAACACAGCACCGAAGACGTTGAAGATGATGAAGGCCCACATAATTCCAAAGTTGCGCCATGCGTCTTCGAAGTGACTGCTCACACCAGCAAGGAAAGTGTCTGTCTCGGAAATACTGCAGAATGAGCAGTCGGATGTGGCATTCGGGTTGGTCAGGTAGCCACCAGCAGCTGGTGAGGAACTGGTTCCGTAAATGTAATCCTGCATGTACTCGCCGCAGCTCTTGCCGCTGGTAGGCTGGAATCGAAGCAGCTCGATGTCCTCACAGGTAACGCGAGCGCCGGAAGTACCGGTGGACAGCATTGCGGAGACGAGGTAAGTGAAGGGTGAAACTCGGTACATGAAGATCCAGAAGCCGGGCATGTTGTCTGGTGTGGCGAGGACACCACAGAAAATCAGACAAAGGGAGAAGACCAGGTTGGCGATGTTGCCACCTGTTTCGGCGAGTTCGATTCCGGCGATCACCATGTGTGCGAAGGTGGAGGTGAACAGGAGGAAGGTCCAGATCAGGAGGAACATCAGGGCACCGCGCTCGTGGAGATCGTGTGTCAACTCCGTGTTGCGGTACAGACCGATGGGGTAGTACCAGCAAACGAAGATGAGGACGGCCATGAGTGTGTTCCAGGGGAGTTCGACGACGATGTTTGCTGTCATGAAGGCCTTCCAGGAGTAAGACTTGGATGGACGCTCGCGGACCTCGTAGAGGGAGCGTTGAGTCACGAAGTGAGGCATGATTTGTTGCACCAAGTTACCGAAGATAGTCATCAACATGAAAATACTGAACATCTGGTTCTGGAGACCTTGGATACTGTTCTGGGCGTGGAAGAAGGAGAAACCGATGTAGAGAGCCGTGAGAGAGCAGAGAGCAATCTTGGAGTAGATGTAGACGGGAGTGCGCCAGTATTGACTGAAGACACGAACCAGACACTCGCGAAGTTGGACAGAGAAGGGCGCGGCGAACTCGTTGAAAGCGGTAGGGTCGTTGTTTGTCGTTTCGACGGGGCGCGAACAGAGAGTCCCCTTAAGCTCGTCGAGGTGCTTGTGGACAGCTCTGCGCTCGGGACTTTCCCGCCAGACGGCAGGCCAATCAATCTCACTGTGGGATCCAGGGGCTGCTCCAATAACTTCCAGCATCCATTCAGCGGGATTGGCGTCGGATGGAAGCGTGGGTGCACCGTTGCGCTCAAAGTAATCGGAGAGGATGGATGACTTCTCACCAATATCTCCAAAGTAGACAGTCTTACCACCACGGGCGAGGAAGAGCAGGCGATCAAAACGCTGGAACAGCATAGCAGAGGGCTGGTGAATGGTGCAGAGAATAGCTTGACCGTGCTTGGTCAGGGTATCGATGAGATCGAGAATGGACCAAGAAGTCTGAGAGTCAAGACCGGAAGTAGGCTCGTCCAAGAAGAGAAGTAGCTGGGGCTTAGCAGCGAGTTCGACACCAATAGTGAGACGCTTGCGCTGCTCGACGTTGAGACCTTCACCGGGGACACCGACGACAGCATCAGCGTAGTGCTCCATGCCAAGAAGCTTGATACATTCTTCAACGTAGTCGAGCTTCTCTTGGTGAGGTACGTGGGCAGGTTGACGGAGGACAGCACTGAAACGAAGAGCTTCGCGGACAGTGGAGGTGTGCAGGTGAAGATCTTGTTGCTGGACGTAACCGGTCTTACGCTGGAAGGACTGGTCGCGAGGGCGACCATCGACCAACATGTCACCAGAAACAACACCCATAGTTACACGGGTGGCGAGAACATCCAGAAGAGTAGTCTTTCCGGCTCCGGAAACACCCATTAGCGCAGTGCAGGTACCAGGCTTGACCCAACCGTCAACGTGATCGAGGATACGGCGCTCTTCCTTCTTGATCTGAATATCGTAGCAGACATCCTGCCAGTGGAAGATTGCGGTTTGTCTTTGGATTCCAGCGTCGGTAACGGGACCGTCATCCTTGCGACCGGTTGGGGTCATGGAAGTCATTTCGATATCGTCATCGGAGCTGGGGGCTTTCTTGGGGGCCTGACCGCGACGGAAGAGCAGAACCTCACCCTTGGACTTGGACTCGGAAATGTACTCAGTGCCGATCAGGTAAGTTGCCATGAAGAACATCATGAAACCGAACATGATACCCAGGTTTCTCCACTTGTGACTATTGGCGTACTGGAAGCTGTCAATGAAGTAGGTGTCACCGTTGATGAAGGTGTCGCCAGCCTGAGCACCCTTTGCCGAGCAGATTCTGTTGAAGTTGCCGACCTCGAGGTATGAAGGTCCGAGAGGGACGTAACCATCTTTGGCACAGGGGAAATCACGGCCGTGGAACTCGTTCACAATCAGTGACTCGAAGCCATAGGCAATCGGGTCAATGTAGTTCATCCAGCGAGACCAGCCAAGCATGTTGCGAGTAGGAATGGTGAAACCGGTGTAGATGACCAGACCCAGAATCAAAATGGCAGCGGGTACCAGAGCCTGAGAGAGGGTTCGCGAGGTAGCAGCGATGGTTCGGAACACCATTGACATGGTCAAGGTAGTAATAACGGAGAAGAGCAAGAAAGTGAAGAAAGCACCAGGGGTCTGGCGTAGACGAGTCATGAAGTAAAGCGGCACGTTGAAAGTGATCGAGTTGAGCAGCTTATACGGCATGTCACACAGCATAGAGGCGATCGCCTCGGCGAATGGATGATACATGGCGTACCGAGCTTGCTTTTCGACAATAGGGCGTTGGGCGTAAAGAGTCAGGATCTCGAGAGCACTGGAGAAGGCGTTCAGGAGGACGGCGAAGAAGAGAAGAGCACCACGAGAGTAGAAACTGGAGGTGTCTTCTGGCATTTGGTAGAACACAGATCCGATAATCAAGGCCATGATAAAGTTACCAATCAAGGCAGATGTGGATAAACTGGCATCTCCCTTCAAACGCTGGAAACCGCGACGGACGCAGAGATCGACCTGTTCGACAACGGACATGGTGTAAGGGGATTTGGTACGAGTGTTCTTAGACTGCATAGCCTTGCGAGACTCGACGAACTTCGAGAAAGCCTCGCCACCCTTGGGGTACTTGTCGTCGTATTCGGAAATCTCAGCCTGGAGCTGTCTGTATGCCTCACTCTTCTTCCAGGCGAGGGCGAAGTCGTCGGGGGTACGGGGAACGACCTTCTCATAGCCCTCCTTGACAACGCGCTCGGCGGGACTGGTAAGCGAGGTGAGGAAATCGGCTGTGGTTTGACGCTCGGGGCACTCGAAGCCCATATCAGTGAAGAACTGCTTTGCCTCGTCGGTGGGACCGAAATAGATCTGGCGACCTTCGTACAACACAGTAACCTTGTCGAAGACATCATAGGCACTCTGGGAAGCCTGGTAAATAGCCACAGCACAGGTGGTTCCGGCGTACTTGGCCATCAGGTTCAGGGTCTTACAGAACTCCAAAGCGTTGGCACTGTCCAGACCACGAGTACTGTTATCCCAGCACTGGAGAGGACTGCCGCAAAGGGTGGCTTCGGCGATACTGACACGCTTGCGCTCACCACCGGAAACACCACGAATGAAATCGTTACCGACCTGCGTGTTGATGGTGTGGGTAAGACCCAACATAGCCATCACCACATCGCGCATGTGCTCCGCGTATTTCTCACGAGTGACACCGGGCAACCGGTTGCGGGGAGCGCGTGCAAGAGCAGCGAACTTCAAGGTATCTCCGACAGAAAGCTGGGGGAAATGCACATCAGTCTCCGCAGTGTAGATAGCCTCACCACGGAACTGAGTGCGCATCTGTTCGTCCGAGATACCCTGGTAGTTCATATAAGAGAGATCGTCCTTGAAGATGCCGTTCATCTCTCCGGCAATGGTCTTCAAGAAGGTCGAGCAACCGGATCCAGGGCGACCGAGAACAACCAGCATCTCTCCGCTCTTTACCAGACCGTCGAAGTTCTGGAGAATCTGAATCTTCTGCTTGCCGGTTCCAGCCACGGCGCGCATCAAGGCACCGATCTCCAGAATCGAGTTGGCGACATCTTTCTGGTAATCGGTGGGACTTCCAAATCCGTGAACGCTTAGGTTTCTGAATGCAAGGCCAGCCTCGCGCTTGAGGTCCTTGTCGCCGTGACGAGAGTTGATAGCCAAGAAGTTCTTCATCCAATGCTTGGCCTTGAAGTTGCTGCTGTTGGGGTTGAGGGTCGAGTCCTCATCGATCTCGGCGAAGGTGTTTTGTTCGGCAACATCCAACGCGATTGAATGCCGCGTTGATTGACGTGTGAGTTGTTGGGCTAAGCTGCGCACTTCAATATCGGCGTGCGCCTCATCGATGGCTTCGTAGTTATCGGGAATCATGGTACTGGCGTTCGACATACTCATGCAGGCTCCGGGGTCATGGCGACGAGCCTCCATGGCGGCGACATAGCTTTCCTCCGACGCATAAGCGTTCGGGTTGACCGTGCCAAGTAACGACATGGCCTCCGACTGGAGTCAATATATATATCAACTGGGATTAAAGGATTCGTCCCCAGGGAGGAGAGAGGGAGGAATCACCCAGTTGTGAATTAAGGGATAAAGGGGTGGAGTATATGGGTAACGAGAGTGTGTAGGTCAGGAATGGAACATTAAAAAAAGGCACAAAATAAGGAGTGTATACCACAATGAGCGAGAGATGTGGTTAAGTATACTGAAAAAAAGGAAAGGATTCGAATTCGAGATGGTGAGACCAATCGGGAGTTGAGAAGAAGGTGGCTTCCGCCGGTTTGGCAGTCGAAATAGATCTCGGGGGCGGACTAGCGAGGGTCCGGATTATTATTTGGGGTTTTTTTGGTTTTTTAAGATTTGGTTTACCTTTTCTTCATATTTTCCATATTTTCCATATTTTTGTGTATTGGTTTACGCGTTGACTGGTATTTGGTTGATCTTTCCGGTTAGGGTTCGTGTTCATCGGTGTCAATCGTTGCCAAGGACAGCAATTAATGTGGATTATCATACTTGTTTTACAGCCTTAGCTCCGATCGCCTAAATTTTTCGATCTCTCACGCATCACAATGGTAGGGTTTCAGGTTTTAGCTTGGAAAATGGGTTTGTATACTCCGTACTTCGTATGGAATATCGAATATCGAATATCGAAAACTGAGTCGTACCCCAGGAATTGAGCATAAGCCCAAAACGGGTACGAAAAGAATACGGAGTTAATATAAAATAAAGTACTACATGAAAGGGCCGTGGGAAGTCCGTGATCAAGACAAGAGCCATGGGCGTCTTCATCGGAATCAAAGTGATCCGTCCGCAAATCAAAGTAGACAGCAAATCGAAAAAGACAGAAGATCTTGGCTCGGATGCCGGGAATTCAGCATCCGGCTGACTAACCAGGGTCCGCCGAACCTCTCCAAACACTCTTAATTTGGGTGCACAACTCTAATGCCAATCTTATTCGCCTCTCCCCACTTGCGTCTCAGGTTTTGATATACACTTCTAGACTTCATGACTACTGTACAATTGACTTACTTCATGTGTAAGAACTTTCTACTTTGTACAAGTACGGACACGTACGCCTACTCCGTACTGACATCTGTATAAAACCGGGATTTTTAGTCTAATTCCCCCTTACGGCTTCGGATCGATCTAGCCCGCTGATGTGCATAGACGGGCGAGAGGTGGGCCGATTGGTGCTCTCATGGCTATATGTATGGCTGACCTCCGGGTGGCGTACCTGGCTGACCTGACTGCTCTCAGGCCGCATTAGGCTGCCCTCATAATTACGCCATTACACCCGTGGACACTCAACCCCTGTACACATGGATGCAAGTCTGTGGCCAAATTGGAAATCTGACTCAGACGTGGCTCATGAGACTTGCAGATGCCCAGGGGAAACGGTGAAAGGAATTTTTTGTCTTAGAAAAGTACGAAGGACTCCATACAGAAATGTACATTTGTAGAAAAGCGAAGTTTGTTGTATGAAAGAGCCACGTGTTCCACAGTGTTCGATCAGTCATATTCATGACACCACGGTCGCATCGTCCTCCTCGCTGTCCTCCTCGTCTTCGTTCTCAATCGGTTCCACCAACAGATTGCCTCCCCGACCGATCTTCTCGCGAATCGAGCCTCCGTCATCTAAAGAATAAACTACCCGAGGCATCGGTGAAACGAGTCTGAATGGGTATTGGTGCACAAACCCCGCTGGTTCACTCGTTCGAGGTGCATCTGCATCCTGCAAGGCTTCCCAGCACTCGACCACCGCGTAGAGCTCTTCGAGATCGGCGTCAGGCGCGAACTTGCGCATGATGCGCTCGCCAGAAGGGAGCCGAACACTAACCCTTACTGTATCTTTAGCGTCTGGCCCGGGCTCGGCACTAACCGACTGCGCGCGCCAGAGCTTCCACTGCGCAAGGTCTCGGCGCCGCTGCTCCTCCGCCGCTTGGCGTCCTGCGGCTTCTTGTTCCTCGCGCTGGCGCTCCGCCTCTGCTTCTCGGCGTTGGCGGGCGCGTTCTCGGTCAATCGCCAATGAACGTTCGTAGGCTGAGTCTTGCTCTTCACGTAGGCTACGCGAAGCTCGTTGCTCTGCGCGGGAAGATCGAATGCGCTCTAATGGCTCTTGGTTTGATGTAACGGCTGCTTGGAGCTTGGTAACGACCTCTGCCGGTGCGTTGACTCCGGCGATCCTTCCAACGACAGACATGGCAGTCGATGAGACATTTGGTGTGTGAACGACCACTGCTGCGAAGGGGAATTTGGTGACGCGCAATGAGTTTGCGACTTGGTAGGCTTCGGAGTCACGGACGTTGCCTCCCCACACTAGTAGGTTGTTGCGGGGATCGTTGATGAACTCCACCACCTCAGGTGCCAGCAGGGTATCTCGGACCCAGCTACTCGTATCATCGTGCTCAGGCGATAGAAGGACGACTAACAAGAACTTCAGATCGCGATGCGCTTTCTCCAAAGCCATGTTGTATCCGTTCTCCAAGAAGGGGATTGGGTGTGCTTCATACTCCTCCTCGAACTCGCGAATGAAGCGAGCAGCGGTATCCTTGGGCCCGAGGGGACGACGACCTGTGGTGTTCTGGCGGGCGCCTCGCAGGGCAGGGCTTGCCGTTCGGTTGAACAATCGTGGGAGGAAAGGGAAACAAGCGCCCGAACAGGCGGAAAGATGTGCATAGTAGTCGGTACACCAAATTAAATGGCATGAATAGTAGCGCAATGATCAATGGGGGTCGGTAGACAGGTTGGTCCCCGGACTGTGTACTGATTTGCGGCGCCGGATCCGTAACACGAGTGATCTGCGACAGGCGCTCGGTGAAGTCTTCGTTCATCAGATTCTGGGTTCGACGGTTTTGTTGAGGTGGAGGCGCTTGGTCCATAGCAGAGCGGGCCTCTGCGAGGGGATCTGGGCCCTCTCCATCAAAGAACTTGGATATCGCGATCTAGAATGCGGGGATCCGTTAGTGCACTAGATCGAGGGCGCGTCTCGCCCATAATCCGCGGTATGGAGTACCCACCTGCACGTTCCATTCTGAGCGTTGGAGAAGGGGAATAGCCTCTGATGGTTCTTGACTTGTCACAGCCATGTACGTTTCTAGCGCAGTTCTCTCGCTATCGGAGAGCCGATCTAGGTCCAGCTCGGGGCTCGACATTGTGTGGGAGGTTCGGGGGCCATAAACTCAGTATGCAGAAGAGATCAAATTACATGGACGATGGAAAAACGAAGTGACGGCATTGGCACGTGTGCAATTGTAACGGGTAGAACATAGCGAACGTTGAAGCTCAAGCTGGCCTCTGCCTGCTGTAGCTCGTCCTGACCGCCTGGTCCGTGCGCCTATCCCCCTTCGCTCAATCGAGATCATCCGCCCCGCGTCTTCAACCCATCAGTTCTGTCGCAATCGTTCCATGGGATGCGAGCGGGCTTTGGTCTTATCCTTACCCATTCGTGAATTTCCGCTATTGATATCGGCTGACGTACCGCCCAACGTCCGTGGGCTCTCCCGGAATTGATCCGCTGCTGATCGCCAAACACGACAACCGTCGATAACTCAAACAACATCAGACCGAGACAGGGGAATGCGGTTTCCTCTTAACAGCTTCTTCCGTTCTATCCCAAGCCTTGTTTCAATGGGGATTCTCTTGCGCTGATCCGCATCAACGAGTGGATAAAAGCAAGGCATAATGGCGTCAACGGGCAAGCCTCCGCTGGAGGACGCACGTCGGATAACTGGATCACCGAAAATGAAGAGCCGTGGTAAGTCCGTAGAGAAAGAAAGGAGAGCTGGCGATATCGCCTTCGTGTGCCCCGCTATCTCCGTGTTTCCTGGTACCCTGTCACCGTGGTTGCCATCGTGTTCGATCTAATGTCCATAAGACAAACACCTTCTTTGGGACAAATATCGCTAACCAACATGTTCTAATTGCCAGAAAACGCGAAAGACACCTTGTGCCGTAATGTGACTATATATGGCCGTTGTCGCTATGAGGACAAGGGTATGACGGCTCCTCCGTCGGTGTGTTGAAGCTGACTTGGGTATCCAGGATGTGCTTTCAATCATGACCCGTCCAAACTGAATGCGCACCAATCAGATAGGTGAATATCACACTCAACGTCTCGCTGGGGATAGCTCTGGAGAATGATTGCTGACGGTGTCTCTTTCTCCGATAGCAAAAAGAGATTCAATGTAGACTCACCCAGCTTCACTCCATCGTCTCTCTCTGGGAATGGAGCACCAAAGAAATCCACTGCCATTTCTCCCAAGGCCGTTAGCGCTGCTCCATTCCAACCTCGGACCTCAACAAGTAAGTCCTGGTGATGATCGATGATCGTGGTGAGGAACACAGAGCTTTGCTGATGGAAAGAAGGATCCAACACGAGCACTCCTTCGGGACGCTCAGAAGCAGTTCAAGACTGGACAGTGGCTGACGTGCAGGAGTTCATTCCCCAAAACTTCGATGTGGTGAGTCGTTCTTACCCTCATTTGAGCTCGTCGAGCTCGTGACCACCGTGCTCTATTTCCCTCCCTTCTTCCCTCATCCCGTTCCTGTGCATTCTCAAACCATGCAACCCACTTGCAGTGATATCAAGATGCCAGATGACGCTGAGCCACCTATTTCAACCCTTGCCTCTCTCCCTCTTCCTCGCATCAATGCTGTTGGCGTGGTCGAGTATCCTCCAAGGGCCCCTTTGGCTTACGTTCATCAACAGGGACCTCTGCAAGGTAACGGGAATGGAGGCATTGCTTCTCCCACTGCCTTTGATCCATTCGTGACCACTCCTACCCCGATGACACCTGGTGCTGTTGGCCCTGTCTCTGCCAATCCGTATTCCCATGATCCCACAGCTGCGATGGGAGGTGCTTTCTTTGCGAACCAAACTGGGTTCCAGCAACCGGTAAGTTGATCTTTCACGAGGCTCACTTTTGGCAATCCCGCTTACCTCACTTTACTTTAGGTCCAATACCATCTCTATGCGCCAATCGGCCCTCACAGCCAGAACACTCTGGGGTATCAGCGGAATGTGCACGATCTCTTCCTCCCCAATGAAATACGTGAGGATCTGCAAAAGAAATCTGCAGCTACCCTCCAAACCCTACCTAGTATGAGAACTCTTTGATCACGATTGTGCTTGCTTTCACTGACATTGTCTAGACACCCAACTCCCCGCACAAGTCGACTATTTCCACTCTCTTGTTCCCCTAGATCTGAGCCACCAGAAGAACGCTGCAACATTTGGCTACCCAAGCTGGATTTACAAGGCACAGTCCAGCAAAGATGGACATTTCTATGCCCTTCGTCGACTTGAAGGTATGACAATACTTTATAGCTGTTCTTTAAACACATACTAACAACTGCAGGCTTCCGTCTCACAAATGAGAAGGCGATTCGCTCTGTCCAAGCCTGGAAACGCGTTTGCAATGGCAGCGTGGTCACTGTGCACGATGCATTCACTAGCCGCAGCTTCCAAGATAGCTCTCTGATCTTTGTCACTGACTATCACCCTCTCTCCAAGACACTGGCGGAGCAGCACCTGGGTGCCGGAAACATGGGTCTCGGCAATCGATTCCCGCCACGCAACAATGCCCACATCCCTGAGCAGGTTCTCTGGGGCTACATGACCCAGATCGCCAATGCCGTGAAGGCTATTCACGATAATGGTCTTGCTGCTCGGGTTCTCGAGCCTAGCAAGGTTCTTCTCACGGGAAGGAACCGCCTTCGCATCAACGCCTGTGCTGTGCTTGATGTCGTCCAGTTCGATACTCAGCGCACTGTGCCCGATCTCCAGCGACAGGATCTCGTCAACTTCGGCCAACTTATCCTCACTCTGGGTGCCAACTCTCCTACCATTATGCACAACCCTACCAAGGCCATGGAGCATTTCACTCGTGCTTACAGCCCCCAGCTTAAGAACTCTGTCGTCTGGCTTCTGAACTCGCTGCAGCAGGAGCCGCTCAGAGACATTGACACTTTCATTCACGGAATTTCAGCTCAGCTGATGTCGACCTTCGACTCAGCCCTGCATATGGATGATCAGCTCAGTTCCGACCTCTCCCGCGAGCTGGAGAATGCACGCCTCGTGCGTCTCATGACCAAGCTTGGCCTCGTCAATGAACGTCCTGAATACGATCTTGACCCTCGCTGGTCCGAAACCGGAGAGCGCTACTTCCTGAAGCTTTTCCGCGACTACGTCTTCCACATGGTAGACTCCCAAGGCGACCCTGTCGTCGATCTTGGCCATGTGCTCACATGTCTCAACAAACTCGATGCCGGCAGTGATGAGAAGATCACATTGATCGGCCGTGACGAGCAGAGCTGTTTCATTGTCAGCTACAAGGAAGTGAAGAAGGCCCTCGAGTCATCCTTCCAGGCGTTGCTGAAACCCCCCACCAGGCGCATGCACTAGCGAAGAAATACTTTGCTCATGGCTGTTTCCCTGCTACTTTCCTGGTTTGCTTGCACTCTTAACCATTCAGTTGCACATCTCAAGCTGGTAAATTGCCGGCTAGATAGTGTCTACAAGGGGCTAACCCTTTTTCGAGGTTCCATCTGTTTCATTTCGCAAGCAACCATTTCGCCCTCGTGCGCATCTTATTGAGATCCATCCAAACATAAGAATGAAATTTTCCAAATTCCCTTTCCCAAACGTAGAGTCATAACTTATCAGAGCTCATGCTCATGATCACAGTCCAGCTCATCCACCAATCTCAACTTCCACTTCTCTTCCTCATTCCCTCCCTTATGCTTGACCTTGCGGGGCGGTATCAAAACTCTCTCCAGCATCAAAACTGACCCATCCCTCGCCAACAGATTCTCAACAACCCTGCTGAACCCATTAACCCGCATCCTCACCTCGACATCAACCCGAACCTCCCTCCCCTCAACAGTCTCCATCTCAACAACCGCATGTCTCGAATCGGCAAATAGCTCTTTTGCCTTGCCATCCGTATACAACACATCCGGGAACAGAGTCCTATTCACCACAATATGATACTCAATCAAGGACCGCAAGCAATCCGCTCCCTCCTTCGAGAACAAGAACTCATTCGCACCGCGGCCAAGCCTCCTGAACGCCCCATTCGTTGGCACAAACGTCGTACCTCCGCTACGATTAGCTGGATCCATATGGTGGTTGAGCTTGGCTTGTGTCAGCGCCTGCGCGAAGATACTATACTCCGGAATCAGCGCTCGCGTATCAGGTGGCGGGAACAGTGGGCTATCAATGGTATGGATTACACCGTTGTTAGTCACCTATCTGGCTTAGCGGGATACAATGCAGGCGGAGGGGGGCTCTCTTACTATCTCCGCTCTGAGAACCATACTCTTCCGATTGAGGAATACTTCTTCATCACGGTCAATGAGAATGCGTTGAGGCAGATTCCCCAGAGATGTCTCATTGAGCTCTGTCGGCAGAGTCTGGTGGAAAGCCAATTCGTGCAGATGAACTCGTCCCGGCACGATATGGTAGCGGAGGAAGTTAGAGATCGCGTCTTCGGGTATATGCCTCAATTGTCTGAGAGCTTGGTTCGTCGGTGCGAAAATCGTGTAGTTTCCATTCTTGCTCAGAAGCTCAACTAGGTCTTTGTCGTTGCCGATTAGCTCGGCTAGTCGGGACGTCTGCTCGATCTGCTGGATTGCTTCCCAGGTTGTTTTGTCTGTGAGGCATTGTGGTCCTGGACATCGGCCGGGTTTGTGGCCTGGTCCGTGGATTGGGTGTGGTCGATACCTGGGAGGGTGATGTGGTTTGTCGCCGTGGCCTGGCCATTCGCCATGTCCATGATCATCACCGGGCCATCTGTCTCGTCCGGGGTGCTCGTCATGTCCGGGCCATTGCTCGTCTTTGAACCACTTTCCAGGAGAGCTTTCGTTGTCCCAAGGACAATTATTCTTGCTCCAATGCTCAAAGTTGGTGGATTTTGAACTCCAGTCAAAATTCGTGGGGCACTCCTCGTCGTCTAGAGGGTTAATGGCCCACCACGGACTCAAATCAGGTCTTTCGCCTTGGTCCACTAGCCGTGCCTGAGGCTGGAGACCTGCTATCATGTCCCCATCTGGTATGACCAGGGTGGAGGCCAATGAAGTAACAGTCAACACGAGAATAGAGCGCATAGTTCCTGACTCGATAAGGGAGATAATATGAAAACAGTTCCATAGTGATTCCCACGTATGTATATAGCTAGCTACAAGTTAACCACGGGTACACCTGGGCAGCAGAGTGGAATATTTGATCGGGGACGCATTACAGTCTCGATGAAAACTGTGCAATTATTAGGATTCCAGCAATGCCGGGCCCAGACTGGTAGTTCGACTTCATCAATTGTGATCTCAATTGTGCGACGTGTTTCAATTTACACTGGAATCGATGTACAGTCATGACGATTGGTTTCGCAGCTCTAAAAGTACACAACTTGTTGCACATGCAACCTTGGAATGCATTTGGGGGACTGGTGATGTTGGCATTACGTTTGGAAGAGTCTTTATTTCTTCACAAGTTAAAATGGACAAAATATTATCAAAATCGAGTCAATAATTCATTCGTAAATTACTCCAGTCAAGACGGTATAGTTCACCGAGGTGTTTAGTCCAAGTCTGGAATAGGGAGCCCATTGACAATCTTCACTTTCCGTCCAAGCTTATCCAGCGCAACCTTTGAGTTATGAGCACGCAGCTGCTTCGTCTCCTCATCAGACACAAGCACAAAGTCATATGTGAGCACCGCATGGTCCTCGGAAACGTTATACTTCTTGGCAAGCTCTGGGCCAGCCTTGCCAATATCCACAATCAAAGAATCCTTTACACCAAAGACAGCGTCAGAGGTCTCATAGGGATCATTGCGAAGGTAGAGCGCACTGTATAAAGAATTAGCATAATTCAAAGCTCCGAACCGCGAAATAACATACGTAATCAAATGGTCGTAACCCTCCTTCTCGAACATGAAATGCATATGCGAAGGACGGTACGGATGACGATGCAACTTCTTCAACAACCGACCCACAGGCCCATCGTGAGGAATTGGATATGGCACCGGTGTAATAGCCTTGAACCAAAAGACACCACTCCCATCCGACCGCATAATACAGCGATTGTCAGGACCATCTCGTCCCTCATACTGTACATCGTAATGTCCCGTAGAATCAGTCTCCCAAATATCAATCTTGACGCCCTCAACCGGCCGCCCCTCCATATCCTTCAACGTGCAAACGACGAGCAATGGCTCGCCCTTTGGATCGTGGGACATGGAGTCGCCGGCGGGCATTTCCTCAGCGTCGTGCGTGTGGAAGGGACCCAGCACTGTGCCTTCTGTTGAGCCCTTGGGCTTGGGGTGGTCGATTGAGTCGACGAGAATTGATAGGCCGAGGACGTCGGAGAGCAGGATGAATTCCTGGCGGACGTCGGAGGATATTTGGCCTACTTCTTTGAGGAAGGTGAGGCCGGTCATCCATTCTTCGCTGCTGAGACGGGTTTCGCGGGCGAAGTCGTGGAGGTGTGTGACGAGACGCTCGAGGACATATTTCATGCGCTCGTCTTCGCAGAGTGAGTTGATGGTAATTACATTGTCGGTGATGTTGTCCACCGTTTGGTTTTTCATGGGCGGGATTTTGACTTGGGAGGGGTCCATTTTGTCGGTTTTGTGTATTTTTTTGATCAATTGAGGCTTGTGATATCGAAGCTTGAAAAGAGTCTGGGGAGTGGAATTATTATATTCAAGACTTTCGGCACTGATCGGCAGTTCCGGTCTGAGTTCCGGTCTGAGTTTCTCCAATAAGCTGTAGGGGAGGTTGGATCGACCTCGGAGGCTTGGCTGGTCAATCAGAAGCTGTCGAAAAGAAAGCAGTTGGCTCAATCTCCCCCGCAATGGCCCCGCTCGGAAATAGAGTCTCTTTCGTGTAGCGTTTCCAAGGCTGGTCGGATTAACGGCTTTAGACGTGCGTTGAGGTCTGGCTGAGAATATATCCGGTCTTTCCCCACATCCGCATTAGGGCGTTGGTCATCTCTCACTAAGCATGAGATGATCCTCTCAAGGTAAGGACTGGAATTTAGCATTTATCCAAGGTTTTGACTTGGCATTGGCGGGGTATACATGCTGGATCTACGGATGTAAAGTGTCCAGCTCTGGTGTTCGAGTGTCGAGGTGAAGTTGTGAGCACAGGAATATATACTTCACACCTGGGACCTTGCGTAAATCCATGAGATCACAACATTCGGGTTTTCCCTTGGAATTAAAATCAAATGGATACATTTTTACGTGCAGTGAGATCCAGAAAACCATAATCGCTCATTGTAGGGATATATAACAAGATACGCCCATTCCACCCATTCGCCAAACAAATATACAAAATAACAATATAAGACTGTACAAGGATATTCCACTCACGTCTGCACGAGACGACGATCGCGGTCGCGATCCCGATCCCGCTCAGCCTCTCGTTCACGCTCGCGCTCACGTTCTCTTTCACGCTCCCTCTCCCGCTCCCGCTCATAACCACTAGGCCCGTGAGCAATGGGAACCGGCACCACAGCAGGGGGCGGAGCAGTAACACCCGTCTCCCGCTCCGCCCCACGCTCCTTCTCCTGCACAGCAGCAGCGACGCGAGTATGATGATCAACGGTATCCATAATCGCCTGCATCAGGCGCTGATTGGCATCTGGATCGACGTCCTCACGGTGTTGAGGGCGTGGACGACCTTCGGTCTCGCTCATAGCGCGACGGGGCGAATTATCGCTCGAAGGGAGTTCCATAGGGACCTTGGAAGGGGCGGAGTGGGAGGTTGGTTTCGGGGCTGAGGGGGGCAGACTCGCGACGACCGGTGTAGGTTTCTTCGTAGTCTCTGCGTTCGCGTTCAGCTGAGATGGGCGGGAGGGGTCCGGTGAATGTTGGGGGTGTGAGGGCGGAGCGGTCCTGGTCGTAGCTGGTGCTGGTGGAGATTCCTGCGCGCATGGCGGTGATTTCGTCTTCTTTGACGTCTCGCCAGGAACACTTGGCGTGTTTCTTGGTGCAGCCTACGCAGGCGGTGAGGTTCTTGAGGCAGTCCATGTGTAGGCGGCGGCAGCGGTCGCAGGGTGGGATGACGCGCTCGCCGCGCTGTAGTTCTTCCATGCGGGCGATCATTTCGAGTTTGAAGGGGCCGCCGTCGTCTTTTTCCTGTTGCATGGATTTGGGGGGGGGAGGAGGAGAGAGGAGGGTGTGCCGGGGATTGCGACTGGGGTGGCCGTGGCTGGGTTGTACAGGGTGTAGTCTGTTTCTTCAGCGCGAGGCCGAGGGAGGGGTTGGGGGTTGATGGGGGTCGTAACGTCGTCGTAGCCACGGGCGTGGCGGTCTGCGGTTGTGAAGAACCTCTTCATCAGATCCGCGCGGGTGGTTGGCGAGGCACCTTTGATCGACTGCCCGTTGATCATGGTGACATTCTCGGTGTTGGCTTGGGAAAACATGAATTGCGACGCAATCGGGTTTTCCTCAGTGTGCTGCTCACCCTCAGGGCGATGGGCGTTGACGGCAACAAACCCCGACGGAGATGCATTAGATGAGCCATGGCCGTTGACAGGGCCATGGCCATTAGCGTCGCGCCATATATCAGTGGCAGATCGGGATTGCGCATGCAAGGTGGCGTCGTTCTCACGCCGGGTGACAATTGCATTCCGGCGATTCTTCAGACGATGGTTGAGCTGTCGCGCTCGGGCAGAGACTAGAAGATACACGTCAGTTAACGCCGCCCTGGTAGAGGTATTCGATAGTGTGGTTGCCTACCTTGATCTGCCATTTGAATTATATGCTGCAGGTTCTTCTCCAGAATTTCCAGCGCACCCAGTTCCTTCTCCTCATCCTCAATGATAGGCTGGGGCGGAATCATCTTCTGCGGCATTCCCGAGGAGATCAACACGAAGTCCTCTTCGCTGATCTCCACGCGACATTGCTTGGTATAGAACTGACAGACTCGGACCCCATTGCGCGACTTCTCCAGATTGAATTGTTCCGGTTTGTTCTTCGCGAACTCCACCACGTCCAGCCAAGTCACGGTGGGGCCGTCCTTGCCATGCGACTTCAGCACTTGTGGCGGACCGTCAAACAGACGCTCAAAGCGCTTGATCAAAATCGGACCCAGCGGGCATGCGCCGAGGTTTCCCGCGATGCTCTCATGGCGGTGTAGGACGCCATCATATTCCCCCAGCAGGTGGATGATCGCAGGCATGGTATCATCGACGGAGACCAGCGGGAGGTTATCTGGATATTGGCGCGCAAGGTAGTTGATCTGGAGGTGGTTCGACTGCATTTTGGGGACTTTGGACGACATCTGCTGTTCGCCTGGCGATCGAGGCCTCTTGTGGGATTCGCGGGAATCGCGAGCCTCCATATTAGACATGGTGATTTTCGGAGGGAAGGGGCTCCCAGGATCAAATCAGACGGCGGGGAGAGTGTGCGCGGAGATGAACCGGCAGGTAGGAAATTATAAGGGCAGCATGGACAGAGAGGATCAGGGAGGAATCCAGAAAGTTAGACCTGACGAGCGGGAGTGGAGAGGAAAAACGTGATCTGTGTCCGCCCGGAACTGATGGAAGTCCGTTTAGGTACTAGCCTTGAGCTATTTAGTCCTGGTGGAAGTAATTTTATTTTATTTTTAATGAGATAATCGTGCAGACGAGGAAGTAGGACTATCTCTCCCAGGCATTCACGTTACAGAAAATTCCAAACGCAACTCTGGAAGTGGAGGGTATACTTAGCCCAGCGGAGTCCCGCCGGAGCATTCAAGTTCCGCTGGCCAACAATATACCCGTAGGCTGCAGGGTATACGTAGCAGAACCAAGGTACTGAGCACACCAAATAAACCTCATATACAAAAAAGGAGAGATATCTTCACAGTGCCGATCTCAAGAATCAAGCCTTGAGCCTTGTGGAGGTCCCCATTTTATGGTTATGCTGATGCCTGAACAGCCGAACCATTCAGGTTAGCCCCGTTACCTGAAACATTGCGTAACTTCGATAAGCATTCAACCTGCATGGACTTAGACCCAGAGCTCTTGACTTTTAAGGCAAGGGAGCTGGAATGCTGTGAGAGGTAACGGAAGATACGGAAGATACTCGTACTGCAGTGGTAAAATACCTCCGAGCGGGATCCCTCATGCGGTCCCGGGGCAGAATGACCACCGTACGGCGGTAATCCCAATACAAGGCGGACTGACCACCGTCGTCCCTAAAAATCCCTCATAGCCGCCCCCTCGTCCTTGTACGTCTCTTGTATCCCGATCCGTGTTTTCCGTGTTTCCGAACCATTTTCTTTCCATTTCATTTGCTCGTCAAAAATAGTTCACTGCAATGTCTGAACGAGGCTCGTTCCGCGGTGGTCGTGGGGGTGGTCGTGGTGGTCGCGGCGGCCAGAAAAGTGGCGGTGGTGGCGGTGCACAGGAGAAGCCCAAGAAGGAAAACATCTTGGACCTCAACAAGTATATGGACAAGGAGGTTCAGGTCAAGTTCAACGGTGGTCGTGAAGGTATGTCTGACATTTTCAATCACTTTCATTCTTACATATCCTCCCTTTGACCTATGACTGCTTTATACTGTTCTATCGGTCTGAAATGCGATTTTATATGATCTATATACTGACTCATCTTCAGTCACCGGAACCCTGAAGGGCTACGACCAGCTGATGAACCTGGTCCTCGATGATGTCAAGGAGACCATGCGTGGTAGGTCACCGCAACCCTCTTATCTCACCGTTCGGTATTAACACTCGCAGATGACGAGGGCAACAAGACCACCCGCTCAATGGGCCTGATCGTCGCCCGAGGCACTCTGATTGTGCTGATCTCACCTGCAGACGGCAGCGAGGAGATCCCCAACCCCTTCTTGCAAGCAGAGGAATAAACCAGTTTGGCTACGTCATCCCCAGGGACCGCCACAGCCCTGGGCTACACTGCATTAATGTCCCACCGGCTTGTGCGTGCCGGAACATACGCTCATCAGTAGTTACGAAGGGAACGAACATTTACCTTTAGTTTTTTACTTTTTCTTTCTTGACTTGGATTGTGCTACGGAGTACGGTTCTGTCCTTGTGGACAGGATCGCCAAAGATGTCCAATGGATAAATCAAAAAAATATCAATAAAAAGTCAACATGAATGCTACCAACTCCATAGGTATCGTAGATCAAAAACACCACTAACTCTTTACAACATAAACTGAATCGAATCACTGATCGACCTGGCCCACTTCCCCAGATGGCCCCACCGTATCTCCAAACTCAGAGTCCGTCTCGTTGGAGTCTCGCGGCGGTGAATCTTTCAGTCTGCGTACGCCTTCGGCTTGCTCAATCCAAGGCCCTGCCTTTTCCATGCCGTCGATGAATTCAGCGCCAATACGTAGATTCAAGCCCGCGCTGAGCGCACGTTCAATGCGACTCTCGCGGCTCTGTGAAACCAGCGTACGGAAGACGTGCACGAAGAATCCACCGAGGATATCGACACTCCAATCCTCTGGTACGAGGTCGAGGACTTCTCGGACGTCGAACCAGGCTGCGAAACGCGCGAGGAGATCACTCGTGCGCTCGATGCGATCAGACAAGTCTTCGATGTGCAGGAACTCGTCAAGAAGGTGGTGGAAAAGAGTGCACTGAAGATCGTAGTCTGCAAGTTCGGGTGTGCCGGTTGAAGAACTGCGTGGGCCGCCAAAGACACAGTAGCGGATTGCAGAGTCATAGTCCCCAAGACCATGTGTCAAGAGGCGGAGGGCTGGGCCGTGGTGGCCTTGAAGACCGTCTAAGATGATGCATTCGGAGACGAGTTCGTTTTGGAAAGGCTCGATGCGGGTGAGGACATTGGGAATGGAGTAGCTGATTCCAGTTGGGAGAGGCTGGGAGGAGAATTGGGAGCTGGAAACTCCGCCTAATAATTGGAGGAGACGAAGTCGGGACTGCCACCAGGATTCTGCGGGGCGGTTCTCGGTGATGAAGTTGAAATAAGTTGGCTTGGGTGCTCGAAGAGCTCGATAAGTTGAGTAAGAGTCGGCAAGGGAAGCGCGTGCTTCGGGTGACGATTCTAGTACAGAGAGGACTGTGTCCAGATAGTAGGATATCAGGTCATCGGCATATTGGGTATACTGTTCACATATTAGTAGAGTATTTCGTGTGAGCGTAGTCATACTCACATTCTTGGCAAAGACGAGATGCTCCAAGTAGACCTGAACGGCGTTCGGAGCTCGCTCCTTGAGCAAAGTAACGACATCCGCCGGTTCAAGTCTCACTCGGCTTGCATTGTCCGCAAACACCTGGATACCCAGCTCTGGGTTTCGTCCAGCGAGCCAAGAGCCGTATTCCTCAACCAATTGCACATCCTTGATCTTGACCAAGTATCTGCGCATCTGCGTCTCCACACCATTCGCAGAAACCTCCCCTCCAGCATCAGTCTCTCCATCCACGATTCTTCGCCAAGTTTTGAGAACATTTCGCGACATCTTCTGGCTTTGGTACAAGCGGGACAAGACATATAACCGTTTGTATGTTTCCAGGAGCATCACTGCTCGGTCGAAGTTACCCTTCCAGTTATCAACCAATTTGTTGAGTTCAGAGCGAGTTGGTGATGCTGCACGCTGGTCCGGCGTGAGATAGGCATCTTGTTCCAAAGTCAGGTGCAGGAGGGCGGCATCTGTGCTGTCCAGAACGAAGGTCTCATCGGTGATACTACCGTATCCTCGTTTTTGTTGCCAAGAGAGAAGGAAGCGTTTCACCATGTTGAGAATAGGGTTGCGGGATGCATCAAACCCAGAGGTTTCAACACCTATCTTACTGACTTGCTGGAGATACTGCTCTGTGATAGTGCTCAGCCCGGCATGGATCCACACACCCTGCGGTCCTTGCAGGACCTCACATCTCAAAAGGGGAATAAAAAGCAATGCTAAGCGGGGATCGAGGTTGCCTGCCACGAGCGCTTTCTCTGTCTCGTCGATTGCTGCACTGCTGCGCTCCTCTGGTTGCATGGAGAGAATGTCTCCAAATAGCATGAGACTTGCTTTCTGTTTGACATAACTTAGCCCGATAAACTCGGACTCCGTCTTCGGCTCAGTGTCCTGAATTGAGAGAAGCAGATTCGTAACAGCATCCCTTTGTAACACCGTGTGCTCGCTGTCATCGGCGGTTTCCTGGGCCTTCTGCAGGGTGTCTTCAAGTTGAATGATCAGGGGATTGTGGAGTACACGCCAGATTTGAGATCCAGACCACATGACGAGACCACTCTGGATTTGACCCAGTCCATGCGCGAATTTGGCTTCTTCCGCATCACGCTGGGCCTCTTGTGTTTGACCATCGCCCTTGGAACCCTCTGAGTCAGTCACGTCTGGTGATTCAAACAGTTCTTTCTCTTTTTGGAGATGTTCGATGGACGCATGGGTTCTCGAGTCTGCAACTGCAACATGCGGAGGCAGTGAAGGGGACTTGAGGCGGATCATCCGCAGCAGCTGCCCGATGGCATTGAGCTCGAAGCTGCTAGCGCTGAGTGTATGCCGGAGGCCGACTTGAGCAGATTCTGCTTCTCCGGGAGAAGGAATTTCTAACCATTTCCTGTTCCGCTCAATCTCTCCTGGATCATCGTACCAACGCTGTATCTCAAGACGCGTTCGAGTCTTTCCATCTTCTTCGTCTTCGATGATGGCAAGGACAAACTCTTCCTTGTCCTCCTCACTTGATTGGAAGATCTGATCATCTTGGTTTGTATCAATCACCACCGACTTCGGGAATCGGTGAAAGTTGATGGTACCACGAACAACCTCACCATCCATGTCAACAAACATTCCAACACCAGGTTCTGTCTCCTCGGTTCCGGTTACCAACAGGAACTCTGAGGGAGTCGGAGACACCACATGGGGCTGAAGACGTTTCGAGCCTTGCTTTGTCGATGGTGGTAGGGGTGGCAGTGGTTTTATATTATCGTTGGTAGGGGATTGGTTGTCAGGGTCTTTATTCTCGGGAGAATCTGGGGACTCATTCCCATCACGCTCTTCCGAGCTTGATCTTCTGGGCTCTCCGGTGGCAGTGAAGGGATCCGGTGTCCCGGAAGGCGATCTATCCAACTGGGCCGCCTGTGCCTGCGGTGATAGCATGCCCACGAATTGATTCAAGCTTGTGCTTCTCCCATGCCCCGGAGTATCGGTTGGGGGCGAGTGAGGGTAAGATTCAGAGGGTGAGCGTTTGAGCGGAGTTGGCGGGGCTGGGTTCATGTCCTCCACATGCCCCGACTCAAAGACCTCACTCGAAGAAGATATGGGAAACAGAGGGATCTTCTGCTGGTGGGCCACCTCAAGCAGTGAGTATGAATGCGTGTCCGCAGCACATGCGATCGTTCCTCGCCGCGCTGCCGTCAAGCAACCAGGGAACTCAATCTTCTTGATCCGCCGCGCCTCATCTCCGATCTGAACCAACATGATCCTGTTCTGAACAGCGATCATTATGGTTGGGTCACCATCTTCCTCCGCATCTCTGTTAAGATCCAGACCACCGATCCAGCGGCAGTGATTGACTTTCGTGTTCCCAAAGGCCGGGCTGAGCTCTGGTAGCATGTAAAACGTAACAGTGCCATTGCAGAGTACACACGCCTTGTTTACCGAGGATAGAATAACGATATGTCGAACGCCTTGGTCACTGCCTGCGGGAGGCCTCTGGGAGAAGGGGATGGGTAATCGGGACGCTAGTATGAAAGTAGGCTCGGCGGATTCGTCCGGGGAAGCTGGCGGAAGGCATACAAAGTGCAAGATCTCGGCTGCAGATGTTCCAATGTATAAATTCTCATCTATCACGAGACAGTGTTAGTTATCCATGACCAGCAGGCCCCGTGGTGGAGAATAAATAGAGCTTACTCCAGTACTCGACGGAGGTAATGTACACATCGGAGCTGTGTTCGGTCGCTATCGGCACATCTGCGAAAAGGGAATGCAGCACATAAGGCACAGTCCCTGGTGAGCTGGTCTTGCGCTTCTTGCGGGGACCAATTCCATCGTCTGAAGCCATTATGAGGCTGTCATGCTAGGCATCTCCCCGCAAGCTACAAGGTGACCTTGGGGCGGTAAGAGCTGGGGCCAATGCTCAGGGGCCACTTTGGACACTTTGGGCTGGCAGAATGAAAGGTACGAGATATGGTCACTGTGGTCTGGACTGAATTCTGATTGTAGGGAGATTCAAATAATCGAGGGCCTTAGATTGCTTCATTACTCAAACTGCAATAATGGCTTTTGGATCTGGACAAGCATACAAGTTTACAGCATCGGTTACCTTGCTGTAGCACTCATACTATATGGGGCGGCAGCCAAGGCGGTGACGTCGAGGCTGTTATCACTTGCCGTTCTCTGTATACCTCGGGCCAGCCACGATTGGAGATGACCCTTTGCATGAAAAACCAACGAAACGCTCTCGCCTCATACTGATAATCACCACAAGCTTAGCATAAGCTCTGCCCCCTTGGCTCTTCCAAGTAGCTGTACACAGTTCGGAACAATTTCGGCCCGCGCCGCGTGTCCTCTGTCCGCGATAACAGATCTCCATCTTTCCCCTGGTGGACTGCTTTTGAATGCGGGGTGACTGTGCTGAACCCTGGTGTTAGAACCAACGATGGATTCATTCGCCATTACAGAGGGCTTGGTCTCTCAGGAGCCACAGGATGATCAAACACAATCCCCCGTGTCGACCAAATTAACGGAAGAGACCAACAAGTTCCAACGTGCCATTGCGGCATGGAGAGGTAAGAGTCGTCATGCACGTGGCCAAGTGTATGCTAACTTGAACCAGGAATCGACCTAACCAGTACTATCGCGAAACTCGACACCACTGCGACCGACATTGTCGAACAGCAGCGCGATGCACTCGTCCAACGAAAAGACCTCGCGCAAAAGACCAAAGATTACAAGAAGCTGGATGATGAATCTAAGCTGGTGGAGTATAAGGCGCTACTCAAGGCATACCAGTCATTCATTGATCTCTTGACCAATCAGGGGAAAACATCTTCCTCGTCGTTCTTGCAGCTATACTCCTCATTATCGGAGGCGCCGGACCCATATCCACTCCTTGAAGCTTCTGTGGACTCCCTTGTCTTGTCGGAAGACACTGTCCCAAAGCTTACTTCGGAGCGGGACCAATTGCAGAAATCCGTGAATCGCCTTACCAAACAACAAGAGGAAACCGAGAAACGTCTGGATGAGGAGCGTGCTGCGCGCAAGAAATTGGAACAGAACCAGGAAACCAGAGCCAAAGAAATCGAAGCATCATGGGAGGCAGTCTTGGCGGAGAAGACAAACAACTGGACAGCGAAGGAGAAGAGCTTAGAGGAGAAGGTGGAGAATCAGGACCGCCTGATCAAGGAGCTCAAGGCAAGCTACGAGGTCTCCCAGCGACTGGGCGAGGGCGAGGGCGAGAACGACGATGGCGAAGGTGCGCGTAGCGGTGCTACTGCAGCCGAGCTTGAGCTCGTCTCTGCCGACTTGGAGAAGACCAGTCTGAGGCTGGCAGACATGGAAGCGCGGAATGAACAGATGCGACTGGAGCTGGCTCAAGCCGCCTCACACTCGTCAGGGCCGATTTCCGTTGAAGATGACCCCGATTATCTTCGCCTTCAGTCTGAGAACTCATCTTTGCTGCGGAAACTTGATGCTGCTCGGTTCGACAAGGATTCAGAAAGACATACCTGGGAGGCTAAGATTCTCCAATCAGAGAGAGCGGCAACCAAAGCGACTTCGGAGAGAGAAGAGCTGCGCGTGCGGCTAGCAAAGGTGGCTGACTATGATGAGATTCGCCGAGAACTCGAGATGATCAGATCTATTGAGTTCGCAGGCGACGACGATGAGGCTGCCGATGATGCTGCCGAAAAGGTCGCTGTTGAGACCAATGGCGATACGTCCAAAACTAAGGACAAGAACTCTCTCGAGCAACTCCTCATGGCACGAAACAAGAAGTTAACGGAGGACCTAACACTTCTACGGGTGTCGAGCCGTGACATCCAAGGCCAGCTTGAAACATTGCGCAGTGAACTTTCCACGTCAAATGCTGAGCTGGAAAAGTCTCGGACTCTGTCTACTACTCTTGAAAATGATCTTCTGCGTGTACAAGAAGAGGCCTCCAATGCATTCCCATCATCGGCAATGTCCGTCGCAGGAACTTACTCCTCGAGATACCCACACTCCGCCCGACGAGGCGCCTCGTCGCCAACATCATCCATCATCTCCGGCTTTGACCAGAGTGCCGTGTCTGCGAACACCATGGAGTCGATTCGAGCTGGAGAGGCAGTGGGTGGTGGCTCTGGTCTGTTGCCCATGATTCAGGCCCAGCGTGATCGTTTCAAGAAGAAGAATGCAGAACTTGAAACAGAGTTATCAAAGCTATATGCAACTGTCAAGTCGCTGCGACAGGAGGTAGCATCTCTTCAAAAGGACAACCTAAGCCTCTATGAGAAGACTCGCTACGTCTCAACTTACAACCGCGGCCAAGGTGCCTCTACATCTGCATCGTCATATGCAAACACTCCTGCCTCTACTTCAATCTACACCTCCGCGGACACGCCATCTGGTCTATCCCTCGACCGATATCAATCCGCCTACGAGGCTCAAATCTCACCGTTTGCCGCTTTCCGAGGCCGGGAATCCACACGGGCGTATAAACGCATGAGTCTTCCCGAGCGGATCGTCTTCTCCCTCACTCGTGTGATTCTTGCAAACCGGACGAGTCGCAACCTCTTCGCTACGTACTGTTTCGCACTCCACATCCTGTTGTTCGTCGTGCTATACATGATGAGCAGTACCCAGATCGAACAGCATACTGTCATGAGCGGCATGGGTGGCGCCGCCGCTGCAGCATATGGCAACTCCAAAAGCGGGGCTGGGAGTGGAAGTGGCACGGGCAGCGGTCAGCTGAAGGACAGTGACTGGCAGCAGGAAGGTTTTTAGCTAATGATTTTGTCTGATGTTCACACAGCGAAGGGTGGAGTTCTTACTTCCAAGGTTTCTCGTTTCTCATGACTGATCACAAGTCCTGGCGTTTGGGATTGAGTCCTCGTTTTCTACGAGATGTGGGTCAAGCTGCATGTATGTAAATTCGATTTGTAGCAGATATCATGTACGTGTGATCTCATTTTCTCTCGTTGTTGTATTGGCCGAACCTTGGAAGCTTCCATGATTGTAAGGAGTAGGTAGTCTACTCAAAGGGACTTGGATCGTGCTTTTGCGAACTGTCCACCTTGGCAGATTTTGGTCTCCGTCGGTTTCCTGTAAGAAAGAGCCAATGGATTTGCCAATTAATCTAGTGGAGTTGGATGCCAACCGATCCCATAGTTAGTCTGGCTACCAAAGTCACCAACATGGTGGAACCTTGGAATGAGGAATGGGCAAAAATAGCAGCCCCCTCCTTGATTCTATCGCACATTCCATTGATAGCGGAGAAAAGATGATAACATGGCCCGAGCCGTAGATTAAACGTGGGGTCCCATGCAGGAATGTTCCCATGTTGCTCCAAATTTAGCCCGATTTTGGAGTAGGCGGATAGGGAATCGAGTCGCCCAAACCCCGAGTCAATCACTATCATGAAGCATCTTGCTGGTATTCCGATCACTAAGCTTTCAATCTCCGTGCCTTGATATGATGCAAGACACAGTAACATCGGAGATAACTATAGTGTGCAGTAGTATATGCCTCAATGGCTTGCATGGGTCGGGTAAGCGAGCCCGAAATAATATCACCAAATAGACTTTGAGACCTAAAGGAAATCAACCGACGGCTCTAAATTAAATGTAAGCAGACGGTTTTTATGAGTTAGCGCGCTGTAACGTTGACCTCAAAGAAGGAGGTTGAGAAATTGAGGGGACGCCTCCCAGCCCCCCCGCAGTCGTACACTAAACATTGCAGTATACGAAGTCCGGAACAATGCCGAGAGAAATTGGCAAAAGCAAAAACGAAAGGTGAAAAAAGTCTTTGAAGAGAAGTGGACACGCAATGCCTGTATCAATTTGCCGAGTTCTGCAAGTCTCTAGGATTACTCTAGGATTAAGGAAGTAGGGAATCGTCGCAGGGCTGTAGACTAACCTCGACCGGCAATGATGTTGCACATCTAACCGCTCAACTCCAGTCAGATTTATTAATAGACCCGGGGAATTTATAGAAATTGGCTAGGGAGCTCACCGGACCGTCGTGGGAAACCCCGTTGTTTGGCCTAGCGCTTTGCCATCTTGATTTTAGTTGATTTCGTTTGCGGCCGACGACAAATCAGAAGCTCGAGAGGCTGGGGAAGTCAGCTCTGAGCGCTTCCACCTACCAATGATATCCAAGAGACCCCTGCTAGTACCTGCAGAGTGCATCGATCGCGCTGTTAATAGAGAAATTGTTTCGTGTTACTATCTTGGAAGCTTGCTCGGCTTGTACTACCGCATAATTTCAGTATATGTACTATAACTGTTGGACTCCCATGTCAATTAACGCTCAATCTGTTCTTCATCAATTCTTAATTTCAATTATACCCTTGATTCACTGGGCTCTCTACGGTTGTAAGAAAAGTACACCCCCAGTCCGCTCTACCTCGAAAATAGCAATGCGTCTCACTCTTGTCCTCTGCCTATCGGCAGTCTCGCTCGCTGCTCCCGCAAAATTCCTCGACAGCGCATACGACTGGTCAGACGACCTAGCCGAGTTCTACGGCAAGATCAGCCAGTATATCAGTACTGCCAAGCACAACATCAGAGAGTCAACATGCGATGCTTCTAAAATTGCTCTCCCTTCATATGCATCGGGTCTGGCAAGTTCTTCGGGCTTAAAGCCTATATACGTCGCACTTGGACGAGGCACACAGGTGTGTAGTCTTTCAATCAACTATCAAACACCTGGGCAACTCTAACTCAGCTACAGAACTATACTTGCGCAGACTCAACATCCAGCTCTACACCCGTAGCAGCAGGAGCCGTTGCCAGACTCTACGACGCAACATGCATTGCAGCAAACTACCCTAGCTTGTTGGAGAAGCTTCCCAAGCTAGCTTATAAGATCACCCTCCCAACGAGCGATGATGCTTCATTCCCTCTCTCAAACATCGATCTCCTGGGCCATCACTTCTTCTACGACGCTACAACCCCAGAATTCAACCTCAACACCACACCCAAGAAGCAGCATGGTATTGTCATGACCAAGAAAGGAGGGTCAATTGATGCTCCTACAAATGCCTTCGCCGGAGAGTATGGTGCTGTGGCTTGGCTTTACTTGACTTCCACAGATGGCACAGTGGGCAACTACAAGAGCGTGTATCGAGTAGATACTGCTGCTGGTTCCCCACCGAAGACTTGTGAGGGCATGTCGTCTGCTTTCGAGATGCAATATGCTGCGAACTATTACTTCTTCGGACAATAGTCGAATGCTCTCTTCTTATTTTTTGTACATAGAGACTGGAGTTCTGGGAGGAATTCGTGTTTTGAACTTGCAAGGCGGCCCTGGCCGTTCTGATATCCGTCTATATTCATGAGTCTACGAGATTATGCAATAAATCATCGGTTCCTCATCAATTGCTGGATTCAAGTAAGATACTCCGTAATGACCTCGGGAATGTCCTTGATTTAATGAACATGGTCAGCACTATTCATCTTGGTTCTAAGGCGACGCTGAGTAGTGAGCTGGCGTTTTCGTAGCTCTCTACCTGTCTTTGGGTGTGTTCATTTGTGCTATAACCCCTCCTTCCTCCCCTCTTCTTGCCATCCTTCTTTGATTATCGAACTGCCATTCATCTCAACTAACACGTACTTACGACGTCATTCTCTCCAGTTCCTCCACGGATTCACATGAAAGACAGCAAATTTTGGTTTTCCATTCCAACTTGTCAAAAATTTTTAAAATGAAACTGATGAACACTGGACCTATTGAAGGGTTAATTAGGTCACGTGACCATGCGATCGATCACAGTCACGTGCCGTCCTCACGCGGAAGGGAAGCTATTCCTAGAATGGACTAGCGCCGTTCTGATTTTCTGAAAGTTCCCAAAGGCGCAAAAAAATCTCGACCGCATCAACGAGCAGCATCGGCTTTGACCCGCACCGACGACCAGATAGAATCCATTTCTATTTGAACTGCTAGATCCATTCATCTTGGATCTCTCGTCAATTTTTTCTCTTCCCACTCCTCGAATCTCCTGGGAATTTTTCCCCCGATTTTTCACTTACCTCCGGTTTGAGCACTCGCAGCTCAACCTTTCTTTCTCAACCTTCCTACAACCGAGTACTCACTCTTAAAACTTCACAATGGGCTTCGCTCCTCGTGGCCGTGGTGGTCCCCCTCGTGGACGTGGTGGATTCGGTGACCGTGGTGGTCGTGGCGGTGGTCGCGGCGGTGGTCGTGGTTAGTTTTTTCAAGTCTTCTCGTTTGCACGCATGCAGAGTCAAGGTCGTTGATGGTTCTATACCATTTCAATTGCCCCGCTCTCTCTACATGCTGCTCTAATCTCGTCGCATTTACTGATGAGAATCCTCACACAGGTGGCTTCGGTGACCGTGGTGGCCGCGGAGGTGGCCGTGGTGCTCCCCGTGGAGGCCGCGGTGCTCCTCGCGGTGGTCGTGGTGCTCCTCGTGGAGGTGGTGGTGCCCGTGGTGGTGCCAAGGTTGTCATTGTGAGTATTCGAAAGCTCAAGAGTCCAAATCAGCTACTGATTGATTTTTTTTCCTTATCAATAGGAGCCCCACCGTCACGCCGGTATCTTCGTCGCTCGTGGCGGCAAGGAAGACATGCTTGTCACCAAGAACTTGACCCCTGGTGAGGCTGTTTACGGCGAGAAGCGTATCTCTGTTGATGGCCCTGCCAATGAGGATGGTGCTGCCACCAAGGTGGAGTACCGTGTCTGGAACCCTTTCCGCTCCAAGGTAAATACCCATCTATCAAAGTTCCATGGGCTGTGTCAGCTGCGTTCTCTGTTACAACACTTCTCATGCCTCTGTACTGGAATCTTTCTAACGACTTTTTAGCTTGCTGCCGGTGTTCTGGGTGGTCTCGACGATATCCACATCAAGCCAGGTGCTAAGGTCCTCTACCTGGGTTCTGCCTCCGGTACCTCCGTGTCCCACGTCGCCGATATTGTCGGACCTACTGGTAACGTCTACGCTGTCGAATTCTCTCACCGTTCCGGTCGTGATCTGATCAACATGGCCACTCATCGCACCAATGTTGTGCCAATCGTTGAAGACGCGCGCCATGTTCAGAAATATCGCATGTTGGTGCCCACCGTCGATGTCATTTTCGCAGACGTTGCCCAGCCTGATCAGGCCCGAATTGTTGGCTTGAACGCACACATGTTTTTGCGCGACGGCGGTGGTGTTTTGATCTCTATCAAGGCCTCGTGTATCGATTCGACAGCCAAGCCCGAGGTTGTTTTCGCCCGGGAGGTCCAGAAGATGCGTGAGGAGAAGATCAAGCCCAAGGAGCAGCTGACCCTCGAGCCTTTCGAGCGTGACCACTGTATCGTTGCCGGTATCTACACCCGTTCCGGTTAAAGATCTTAATCTCTGGTCATGTCCTTTCTTTTCATGTTCCCGTCGGCGTCTCGTGATGTATCGAATGTTTTTCCCTTTTCGTGACAGGTTTTCCGCCTATGTACTCTTGGCTGCGTCTCAAAATTTAGTTTCTTTGAATGTTACACGCTGGAATGTGTCACCTGTGTTATCTGATACCAGGCAAGTAGGTAGTCTGGGACTAGTCACTGGAGTAGGTGCATCTTTAGTCAGTAAACAAAGGACTGTAACTATAGAAGTTGCTTATACTGTGAACGGGTGTGCGCAGGTGTGCAAAGGGTGTGCAAAGGGTGTGCGCAGGTGTGAAAGAGCGTGCATACGTGTGAAAGAGCGTGCAAATGTTTGCGTATAGAAGTAAATTGCCAGGTGTCTGTTTGTTGTCCTATGAGATACCCGGATGTGTAGTTATATGGTAGAAGACCTGTAGTATGTTGTTCCCGCTAGTCCAGGTAGAGGTGCAGATAGGCCTTTGAGGTTAATGAAGAAAGTTCATTATTCTTCTAGGGCTGCCCGTTGCTCTATGTGGGAGACGTGAATCGCATGGTGGGGTTTACAGTTAGAATTGAATAGAAGATCCGGTCAGGAAGCTTCCAAGGTTCCATCTAATCTGTTTGCATTCCCCGAGACTGAAAGTCGGACATGCGCCGGGTGTTCAAGTATTCGGGGTTCTCGCCGAGGTTGAATTCGCAAAGTGGCTCGGAATTGATGCGCGAAACTTAGCTCAAGTGATCAAACTTGTGGGATTCAAGAAGTCGATTGGCGGAGAGAAATCATTGAGACTGGACGGGCGTGGGGGAAGAATGGGGTTCGCAATAACCCCGCAAGTAAATGGAGTATAAAGTCGGATACATATCCAGTTTTCCGTTGTAGTTGAATTCTATAGATATAACTTCATGCAGCATTAAATAATTGTGTTGGAACGAGTACTTTTCTCATCATTCATTTGGCTGTATAAACATTGATATACTACACCCACCATGTCGATTTTGATCACCGGGGCAGGGGGGTTATGTTGGCCAGGAGTTGGCGGCTTCTCTCCTCGCAAGCACTCCGGCAACTACAACCGTGACAATCACCGATGTCGTCGAGCCCGAAGTTCCTGAATCCGCCACACAGCATGCAAACCGTCTGACATGCATCAAAGCCGACCTCACCTCAACGAAAGAGGTTGACGAATTGATCAGCTCATCTCGCTCCTACGAAACAGTCTATCTCCTTCACGGCATCATGTCTGGTGGCTCAGAGGCAAACTTTGAACTGGGCGTGCGCGTCAACCTCGACTCAGTGCGATATATCCTTGACCGGCTACGAACTACAGCACCGGGAACAAAAGTGGTTTTCACATCATCACTAGCAGTCTACGGCCTTGCACCTCCTGGGTTCGTCATTGATGAAACCAATTTCCCACCCGTGCCTTCGTCATCATATGGATCGCAAAAGCTCATTGTTGAGACGCTGCTGAACGATTACTCACGACGAGGATTCCTGGACGGTCGATGCGTGCGCTTGCCGACAGTGACAGTGAGAGCCGGAAAGCCAACACAAGCTGCTAGCAGCTTTGCAAGTGACATTATCCGCGAACCTTTCCATGGAAAGAAGGCTATTCTGCCCGTGGCCAAGGAGACGGAAATGTGGATCTGTTCGCCGCACACCGTCATCAAGAACTTGATTCATGCTCGCTCAATCCCGAAGGAGGCATTCGGAGAGTCGAGATCTGTCAATCTTCCCGGGCTGAAGGTTAGCATTCAGCAGATGTTGGATGCATTGCTGGAAGTTGGGGGCCCGGAGCGTCGGGCATTGGTTGAGGAGAAATATGATGCTGCTACGGACAAGATCGTGCAGTCCTGGACTCCTCAATTTGATACTGCGCATGCATTTAAGTTGGGCTTTGCAGCGGACATTTCCATGGAGGAGAACATCAAGCAGTTTGCGAGCAAGTTTGTATGAGATAGATATACCATTGAGCCAATCAATAGGCGCTAAATTGGATGACCGAAATCGGAACTTTGCAAATTGAGGCGGATCGGCTGAGTAAAACTTGGTAAAAACCAGATATATGGATTGTATCGACTAATATGTAGGACATCTAGACCAAACCAGATGATATAAAGGCCTTGAGCGCTGATAAATCGCGACTAAGGAAGGATTCGGGATGGGAAGGGCGGTTTGGAAAAGCGGGTTATGTAATTGGCTAAGCTGGGCGAACAATTTCAGACTTCCGAACTTCAACCTCAGGGCGTCTCCATCAGCTCTTTTCTCCATCTCTCCCCTGTTCCCCCTCCCTCCACCTATTAAAGTCGTGCACAATGGCTTCTCGGCGCCTTGCTCTCAACTTGCACCAGGCAACCCGCACTCGTGCGGCCCTGAAGTCCATCCAGCCCGTGAAGCGTGGCTTTGCGTCCCCGGTTTTGCCGTCCACCACCCAGTCCACCACCCTCTCCAACGGATTCACCGTATGATCGCCCAATCGACATCAATTGCATCGCAGCTTCGCTAATCTTTCTTAGATCGCCACTGATCACTCCCCATGGGCCCAAACCTCCACGGTCGGCGTCTGGATCGATGCCGGTAGCCGGGCAGAGACTGACAAGACCAACGGAACCGCGCACTTCCTTGAGCACCTCGCCTTCAAGGTTCGACCCCACAACCCTCAACTCCCAAAGCGCATAATCTGACAAACATGTTTAGGGCACCAACAAGCGCTCCCAGCACCAATTGGAACTCGAGATTGAGAACATGGGTGCTCACCTCAACGCCTACACATCGGTACGACCCGGAAACTTATCCATCAACACCCACCAAACGAATCACTAACTCCGCCACAGAGAGAAAACACCGTCTACTACGCCAAGGCTTTCAACAACGATGTCCCCAAGGCCGTCGACATCCTCGCCGATATCCTCCAGAACTCCAAGCTCGAGGCTAGCGCCATTGAGCGTGAGCGCGATGTGATCCTGCGCGAGCAGGAGGAGGTTGACAAGCAGCTCGAGGAGGTTGTCTTCGACCACCTGCACGCTACCGCCTACCAGGCTCAGCCCCTTGGCCGCACCATCCTCGGCCCCAAGGAGAACATCCAGACCATCACCCGTGACAACCTGACCAACTACATCAAGACCAACTACACTGCTGACCGCATGGTCCTGGTCGGTGCCGGTGGCATTCCCCACGAGCAGCTTGTTCGTCTCGCCGAGGAGCACTTCGGTAGCCTCCCCAGCCAGCCCCCTACTTCCGCCGCCGCCGCCCTCTCCGCCGAGCAGAAGCGTATCCCCGAGTTCATTGGTTCCGAGGTCCGCCTCCGCGATGACACCATCCCCTCCGCCCACATCGCTCTCGCCGTCGAGGGTGTCAGCTGGAAGGACGATGACTACTTCACCGCTCTCGTCACCCAGGCTATTGTCGGTAACTGGGACCGCGCCATGGGCCAGTCTCCTTTCCTCGGCAGCAAGCTCAGCTCCCACGTCAGCCACCACAACCTCGCCAACAGCTTCATGAGCTTCTCCACCAGCTACAGCGACACCGGGTAAGTCGATTGATACCGCGTTTTGTTGGAAGTGCTTGAACAAATGCTAACTCAAGTCCAGTCTCTGGGGTATCTACCTCGTCAGCGAGAACCTCACTCAGCTCGACGACCTGATCCACTTCACTCTCCGTGAGTGGTCTCGCCTCTGCAACAACGTCACCTCCGCCGAGGTTGAGCGTGCCAAGGCCCAGCTCAAGGCTTCCATCCTCCTGTCCCTTGATGGTACCACCGCCGTCGCTGAGGACATCGGCCGCCAGATCATCACCACTGGTCGCCGTCTCAGCGCCGAGGACATCGAGCGCACCGTCAGCCAGATTACCGAGAAGGACGTCATGGACTTCGCTACTCGCAAGCTGTGGGATCAGGACCTCGCCATGTCCGCCGTCGGCAGCATCGAGGGTATCCTCGACTACCAGCGCATCCGTGGAGACATGTCCCGCATGATCTCTTAATTTGTTCCAGAGTATGATCGCGTGTGAAAATCGTCGCTGAAGGTTTGGAGAAATCTGGATTTCTTGGCGGCTTTTGTTTGAATGTACTATCAATCATTGCCTGGGCTGTTAGATCCCAAATCCGTGTGTGAAATAGCAATTAATGGTTTGCCATAGTAGACTATATAGTTTGCGGCTTTTGCAGCAAACCCTCAATTATCTCTTTTGTTTGTTCCATTGAAGTGATCCATCACTGCTCCGAAGTATTGTAACACTTGGGTTTATTCTTTTATCGTCTAAAGCTTTTACCATCCCATTTCCCACAACCATAGCATACAAATATAGGATGATGTGGATGGTTTCAGCTGAAATCGGGGCTGGTATCCTATCACCCTTGCATGGAGTGAGTACACCCCATGTTACTTACGCTCTTTAGCAACCTGGGTGCATAGGCCATGCTATCTAGTCACTCAACTGCTGAGTCTGCAGCGTATAGCAGCCAGGCTCTAGAGATAATTTGCCTGAACCACTAAACTAGATGATGTCCCAATGCTGGAAACACCTACTACATACTACCCAGAAGATGCTTTCTGCCCCAAGGCTGTCCTCTAAACGGCGGTCCAGAACACTGGCATTTTCATCAAGGTCAATGAATGACACCCTGCCCATATTGGACTCAAGAAAATACGGTATCTGCGCAGCTATACGTAAGCTTTGGGTTCGAAGCGCCATTGCTTAGATTCAGACCACCAAGATATGATACTTGGATACTTGAGTTGTGATTAGTACATGAAAAGGAGCACCTAGCTAGTAGATATTAGTAAAACTACGTCTCCAACCATTGGGGGCTTTGAGGCTTGAAAACCCTGAACCTCCTAGGTAAACCACTGTTATGATTCCTTCGTATATGAACCCATGGTGAGTAGAAGAGTATAGCCACGAAGATCTCGCCTGGAGCACCATGCTTCAACATAGTGATCTTCCGAGGAGTGCTAGCCCTGGATATATGGTTGTCTTTTGCAATAAAGTAGTCTTTCCAGCGGTCTTTCCAGCGGTCTTTCCAGCGGTCTTTCCAGCGGTCTTTCCAGCGGTCTTTCCAGCGGTCTTTCCAAAGAGCTTTGTAGTAGTCTTTGCAGCAGTCCTTTCAACGGGCTTTGCAGCAGTCTTTGCAGTGCAGTCTTTGCAGTGAGCACACACGTTTTGCAGTAATCTGGACATATCAATATTTGATCGTAAGGTAATATTTCGCCTGAGGCTCGCAACCCATGGATCTTGATGAGCACGCGTTCCTTCCAAGTTCTAAAATCATCCCGTGATCAGCACCGAATTCTATGAGATGATGAACTCTCTTCGCCTTATTCAAGATCTCTTCACTTCTCTTCTCTTCAACCTACTGCACCCCATCAGATTCTTTGATAACTTCATTCATCGTATCTTTCACTATGAGCGAACCGTTCCGTTTCTTCTCGCTTCCGTTCGAGATACGCGCAATAATATGGAAGCATGCTGTTCCTCAGCGAATCGTCGAGTTTGGCCAACCGAATGATCCCGACATACCCATAGGTGACCTCAAAAGATCCTGGGCCCTGAACCGCGCACCTCCGAATGTCGCGCAGATATGCAAGGAATCTCGCGATGTCGCTTTGAAGATGGTCCACGGGATGAAGTATGATGTTGGGCGCCTGCAATCATCTGATAATGGGAGCCTGCAAGACATCCGGTGCTGGCTCGAATCCACCAAGATTCTCCACTTCAATGCACCTGATGAGAATGTGACCCAAGAAGAGCAACGCAAGCTGGTGGAAAGGTTGATGAGTCTGTCTGAAGCAGCGTATTTCGACAAGAAGGTTTCCGTGAGCGCGGATATTTTCCATCCGTTCATTCGTTTCCACCGGCGCACCGAGATGGACGATGATGTGCGATGGGGGTCAATTTTCAGGCTCTCTGAATTCATCGTGTCATTGCATACAGTCAGCATCAAAGCTACCAAGGAGCAAGCACGCAGCATGGGTTTATTCAGTGATGAACCGGCGCAGCTGGTGAATCCCTTTGACTTGCAAGCAATCAAGCGTTACAGGGACCTCTGGGAGCTGACTCAAGACAGCGATCCAACTGCACAGAAATTCTTCGATACTGTCAACACAAACAGATTCAACTTCCGGGTCCACAGGTGGATGGCGGAGATGGAAACCCATTTCATCGTTTGGCGATATAACCCCAATCCATTCAGCAATTCTGGGGCTGGTCAAGCCATGTTGATGCTCACCCGCGATATATCGCAGAGGTCCAATCCGATCGTGAGACAATATCTGAGCAACTTCCCCAAAATGCACCTACGTATCATGTTTCGAATCTGCCCACCTGAGGGCTAGAGATCGAATATCTGATTACGTAATAATCCGCGATTGCGGGAGATTTCTGAAGTGATTTTGTTGGAGTTATTACACTCTCTTCTCTTTGATCATTTGAATTTACTACCCCGAAACAATGGGAAAACGAGGAGGCAAAAAAGTTTGTCTACTCTGCTCATTTCTGTTTCTGTTTTGCGCTGACCATATCTCAGGGTTCACGAGGTGGTGCCCGTGGAGGCGGCGGCGCTACCCGTACGCGCTCCCATTGGAATGACATCGCCAAAGATAATGAGAAGTTCGAACGCTATTACAATGAGCCTGAGTTCCTGCCCGAGGAAGAGCGAGAGGTCTTCTGGGCTACAATGCGCAAGGACCTGCCCAACAGCTTCCGTTTCACTGGTTCTCGAGGGTACGTATCCATGACTGGAAATTTGCGATTGCGCACGAGGGTCTTCTCAAACAATACTGATCATTGCGCCATTCAATAGACATGCTCTTGCTGTACAGCAGCGCCTGAAAGACCACCACATCCCCGAAATCACATCTATCAAGTACGAGAACGAATTCGTCGAGCCCCCGCGCCCGGTTTCATGGTACCCCGACCAGCTCGCATGGTCCATGACTACCCCCAAGAATGTCATTCGACGATTCGCACCTTTCGCTTCCTTCCAGAAGTTCCTTGTCGCCGAGACCGACGTTGGAAACATCAGTCGCCAAGAGGTTGTCAGCATGATCCCTCCCCTCCTCATTGATGCTAGACCTGGCATGACCGTTCTCGATATGTGTGCCGCCCCTGGTAGCAAGTCTGCGCAATTGATGGAACTGCTTCATGCCGGCGAGGAAGATGCTGTTGCCCAAGTCACCGAGCAGGTGAAGAATGGCAACGCTGGACCCGAGCCTCTTGGCCCCGAAGGATTGAACGACGATGGTCGCAGCACCGGTCTGCTTATCGCGAACGACAGTGATTACAAGCGCGCTCACATGCTTATTCACCAAATGAAGCGATTGAGCTCCCCCAACCTGATTGTTACGAACCACGATGCCACTATGTTCCCCTCCATCAAGCTGCCCGCCCTGCCCACTGAGGATGGCAGCAAGCCTAAGAACAGATACCTGAAGTTTGATCGTATCTTGGCAGACGTTCCTTGCTCTGGTGATGGCACTGCTCGCAAGAATGTCGGCGTCTGGAAGGACTGGACTCCCGGTAATGCTCTCGGTCTCTACAGTATCCAGTCTCGCATCCTGGTTCGCGCTTTGCAGATGCTCAAGGTTGGTGGACGTGTTGTCTACTCGACCTGCAGTCTGAACCCCGTCGAAAACGAGGCCATTGTTGCCACTGCAATTGAGCGTTGTGGTGGTGCCGCCAACGTCAAGATTGTCGATTGCAGCCAAGAGCTCACCGGTCTGAAGAGAGCTGCCGGTCTGCGCAACTGGAAGGTCATGGACCGCGAGGGTCGCTTGTGGAACAACTGGGAGGAAGTTGAGGCGCACCGTAACCAAGAGGGAATCAACGGTCTTGCCAGACTTGCAGAGGGCATGTTCGCACCAACTGGTGAGGCTGCCGACCTGCCATTGGACCGCTGTATGCGTGTCTACCCCCACCAGCAGGATACTGGCGGTTTCTTCATCACAGTGCTCGAAAAGACCTCTGAGATTCGCGCCAAGCCCGAGAGCAGCAACGTTATCCCCAAGGCTTCCGTCGCAGCGCTGGCTGCCGAACTTGACGCCAAGAAGAATGAGACCGATGGAAAGCCCCTGGAGAAGCTTGAGGCATTGGACGAACTCGTCACTCCTGACCAAGAGGCTGAGGCCGAGATTGCCAAGAACGCCTCCGTTGCCGAGGCCTCTAACCAGCCTACATACGCCACTACCCTTGATGAGTCTACTCCTGTCGCTCTCCCCAAGCGTGAGGCAAGCGATTTGGAGGAAGAAATTCCCGCCAAGCGAACCAAGCTTGACGATGGCAATGAGGTCCTCGTCGGTGACCGACCAATCCACACCCCTGCGCCGTCTGTGGGAACTGGCCTCGAAACCCCCGGTGACAGCACACCCGCGACCTCCGCAGCTCCTTCGCAGCTGAAGAAGAAGGGACCTCGCCAAGAGGAGCCCTTCAAATACCTTGACCCCAACCATGAAGAGCTGGGTCCCATCTTCGACTTCTACACGCTGTCGGAGCGCTTCCCCCGTGACCGTTTCATGGTTCGCAACGCCGAGGGTCTCCCTACCCGCACAGTTTACTACACCAGTGCCCTGGCACGCGATATCCTTGTCTCCAACGAAGGTCAGGGTATGAAGTTTGTCCACTGCGGTGTGAAGATGTTTGTCAAGCAAGACGCACAGCGTGAGAACGTCTGCAGGTGGCGTGTCCAGACCGATGGCTTGAAGATCATCGAGCCTTGGTTGGGCGCTGAGCGCTCTGTCACTTTGACCAAGAGGGATACCCTGCGTCGCCTTCTTGTTGAGATGTTCCCCAAGGTCTCAGACGATGGCTGGAAGTCTCTGGGTGAGATTGGCGAGCGCGTCAAGGATATCCCCATGGGCTGCAGTATTCTGCGCGTTGAGCCAAACGGAGGAGCCGATGGCATTCCGTGAGTTTACATTCTTTTCTTTTATGAAACACAATTCACTAATATTTTACAGCGAGCGTATGGTGCTGCCTCTCTGGCGCTCCCTTCACTCCCTCAACCTGATGCTGCCCAAGGAAGAGCGTCGTGCCATGTTGCTGCGCATCTTCAACGACTCCACCCCGCTCATCAACACTACATTCAAGAAGACTGCCGATGCCGAGCCCACCGCCGAGGCTGAGGAAGTTGCATTGGAGGAGGAGAACAAGGAGCTTGGACAGGATGCTCAGGACGCTGTTGATGAACGCGAGACATACACGAAGGATGGCGATGAGGAGGATCGCTTCAACACCACTGTTTAAACGGTGGATGTGACATAAGGGAACTACATGTACGGAGTACTAAAAGCCAATTTTATGATATTTTTCAATGTTCAATGTTCGGAGAATCATCGGTAGGACTAATTGTTTGCGCCGGTTAAATTCAACTTCCCCGCCCTGGTACCTTGATCTCTTTGATTAATTAATCTACAGATGGCGCCATTTGACCATCGAACATGATTGATGCCCAGATTGTCTCGTCTGGGGGATGTCGGTCAGAAAGGACTGAGCTCTATTTACTTCGTGGAGTGCTATCCGACATAGCTATCCCTTACATCATTCAAGCCTGACCCAGGTGCCTCCCAATCCCACGAGAACTAGCAGACCGACGATCTCCAGTCCCAACCAGGAAATATCCCTTCCAGCCATACGATATGCGGAAAAATTGCGGCGGTGCCCCGCAATAGTCGCAGGGCGAAGGAAACTGGGGTAAGGATCATCGGTCCACCTGGGCTTGTATGCATGCAACATCGCCATTTACTACGGCACGGAGCTTCCGGAGCACCCCTCGTCACCCCTCAGCTGTGGAATGACGGTTAGCTCCAATTGCTACGGAATTGCATGTTTGATCCCGGTTATTTTGGCTGTCGGGCGATCAGTCCCCGACTCTCCCTATATGTACAGCTTGTCCCTGCATTGCACTAAACGTTTGCATTTGAGAGCTACCCTGCTTTGCATACAACTTGAGCCATGAAGCTCTCGTCGACGTGGGCTATTGCCTGTCTGGCGGCTCAGGCTGCCGGTGCGGCTATTAGCCATTCGCTCAATGGTTTTAGTATCACTGAGCATCCGGACCCTGTTAAGCGGGCCTTGTTGCAGAAATTTGTGTGTTTGGACTTCGACGATCAATCGTAGAGTGTGCTAATTTGGGTGCTAGGTCAGTTGGGATGACAAGTCTTTGTTCGTCAATGGCGAGAGGATCATGCTGTTTAGTGGTGAAATTCACCCGTATCGGTGAGTTCAAATGCATCAATTGATCGTTTTCAAAAGTCCATTGCTAATTTGAGGCATCTCAGTCTGCCCGTACCATCCCTGTGGATTGATGTCTTCCAGAAAGTGAAGGCCCTTGGTTTCAACTGTGTCTCTTTCTACATTGACTGGGCCCTTCTGGAAGGCAAGCCAGGCTCCTACAGCGCCGAGGGTATCTTCGAGCTCGAGCCATTCTTCGATGCTGCCAAGGAGGCAGGAATCTATCTCCTCGCTCGTCCCGGTCCCTATATCAACGCCGAAGTATCTGGAGGTGGCTTCCCAGGTTGGTTGCAGCGTGTCAACGGAACTCTACGTACCAGTGATGAGGCCTTCCTCAAATCAACAGACAAGTATGTGCACCTCAGCCAAGAGTATTCTTAGCCTTATGTGCTAACAAGCTTTCAAGCTACATGAAAAATGTCTGTGCCACAATTGCCAAGGGCCAAATTACTAACGGCGGACCCATCATCCTCTTCCAGCCCGAGAATGAATACAGCGGTGCCGTTGGTATTGATAATTTCCCCGATGGTGCCTACATGCAATACGTCGAAGACCAGGCTCGCGATGCCGGCGTTGTTGTTCCTCTTATTAGCAACGATGCCTGGGCTGGCGGCCACAATGCCCCCGGGACTGGTGAAGGTGCCGTGGATATCTACGGCCACGATAGCTATCCCCTTGGCTTTGACTGCGCGAACCCTTCTACCTGGCCATCGGGCAATTTGCCCACTGATTTCTATACCACGCATATGAAGCAGAGTCCTTCGACCCCCTACTCTCTGATCGAGGTATGTTATATCCGTAAACGAGAAACGTGTGCCATTCTAACCGAGTTATAGTTCCAAGGTGGAGCATTTGATCCGTGGGGAGGTGTTGGGTTTACAAAGTGTGCTGCTCTCTTGAACCATGAATTTGAGAGGGTCTTCTACAAAAACAACCTCAGTTTCAGAGTTGCATTCCTGAATCTGTACATGGTATGTATCCTTTGCTCTTCCAATATTCGCCAAATTCTAAAATTTCTAGATCTTCGGTGGTACCAACTGGGGTAACCTGGGACACCCAGGCGGCTACACATCCTACGACTACGGCTCCCCAATCTCAGAGTCTCGCAACATCACTCGCGAGAAGTACAGTGAGCTCAAGTTGATTGGAAACTTTGCCAGAGTGTCCCCGGCCTACCTGCTATCTACACCAGGAAGCCTGACCACCTCGAAGTATACCACCTCTTCCGATCTGGCTGTGACTCCCCTGCTCGGAGGCAACAGCACAAAATCCTCTTTCTTCGTTGTCAGACACAATGACTACTCGAGCCAAGCTTCTGTCGACTATAAGCTCAAGGTTCCCACCAGTGCCGGTCAAGTCACCATTCCTCAACTAAGCGGAAGCCTTACCCTGAGTGGTCGTGATTCCAAGGTTCACATCGTCGACTATGATGTTGCGGGTACTAACATCCTATATTCCTCCGCTGAGGTTTTCACTTGGACCAAGTCTGGCAAGTCGAAGATCCTTGTGTTGTATGGTGGACCCGGCGAGCACCACGAGCTGGCCGTCTCTTCCACCTCCAAGCCCTCTGTCATTGAGGGCTCATCTTCCAGCATCACCACCAAGCAGGTGGGCAAGGCTCTTGTCATTGGCTGGGACGTGTCTACCACCCGTCGCATTGTGCAAGTTGGGGACTTGAAGATTCTCCTCCTGGGTTAGTACCTTGATATTTCACTGCTGCATTATCTCAAATCACTAACCACATGGCTAGATCGCAACTCTGCTTATAACTATTGGGTGCCTCAGCTCCCATCTGAGGGTACTGCGCCTGGCTACAGCTCGCAGAAGACCGCTTCTTCGTCCCTTATCGTCAAAGCCGGATATCTTGTGCGAACTGCTTATGTGCAGGGAAGCGACCTCCACATCACTGCCGATTTCAACGCTACAACTCCCATTGAGGTGATTGGGGCTCCATCCAAGGCTAAGAGCCTTGTAATCAACGGCAAGAAGGCGCAAGTCACGGTCGATAAGAACGGAATCTGGTCCAGCAGTGTCAAGTACACCGCACCCAAGGTCCAGCTCCCAACTCTGAAGAACCTCAAGTGGAAGTCCATTGATACTCTTCCCGAGCTTCAAAACTCCTACGATGACTCTACTTGGGTCTCTGCAGACCACACTTCCACCCCCAACACTGCGAATGCCCTTAAGACGCCAACCTCACTGTTCGCCTCGGACTATGGTTTCCACACTGGCTACCTCCTCTTCCGTGGTCACTTCACTGCCACTGGTGAAGAAAAGACTCTGTTCCTCAGGACCCAGGGTGGCACAGCGTTCGGCAGCTCCGTCTGGCTGAACCAAACTTACGTAGGATCCTGGGGTGGAATCTCCATCAACGCCGATAACAACGCCACATACACTCTACCAACCCTGACCAAGGGTAAATCATATGTGTTCACCGTAGTCATCGACAACATGGGCCTTGACGAGGATTGGACCGTCGGCACGGATGATACCAAGGATCCCCGAGGTATCCTGGACTACAAGCTCTCGGGCCGATCCGCCAGTGACATCACCTGGAAGCTGACTGGTAACCTCGGCGGCGAAGACTATCTCGACACTGTTCGCGGCCCGCTCAACGAGGGTGGTCTTTACGCCGAGCGTCAAGGTTTCCACCAGCCACAGCCACCAACGGACTGGAAATCGGGTAGTCCGTTCGACGGTCTGTCCGCCCCTGGTATCAAGTTTTACACTGCAAGCTTTGACTTGAATATCGAAAAGGGCTGGGATGTTCCTTTGTACTTCAACTTTGGAAACTCGACCTCGACCTCGAAGGCGGCTGCGTATCGCGCTCAGCTTTACGTCAATGGGTACCAGTACGCTAAGTATGTGAACAACATTGGTCCCCAGACCAGCTTCCCGGTCCCTGAGGGTATTCTCAATTACCGGGGCACGAACTATCTGGCCTTGAGTCTTTGGGCGCTTCAGAATGACGGGGCTAAGTTGGAGAGTTTCGATTTGGTCAACACTACTCCAGTGTTGACTGCTCTGAGTGAGGTTGAACAGGCTCCTCAACCCAAGTATGAGAAGCGCAAGGGTGCTTATTAGTCGTTAGCATAGTGATATATAGGAATGAGAGTGAGATGAATTTTTAATTGATATTAATTAATGCCAACAAGTGAAGTATACAACACACCAGATCGGGTCCCACTTCTCCGCAGATCCCAGCCACCCCCAACCTCGCCATTTTGCATTGCGATCCGGGCCTTTCCCTTTCATTTCGACCTCGAGGTCTTCAGTCGCATTCCAAACCTCGTTCCCAGGCCCAACGTGTCATATCAAATAAGCCGAGCCCCTGACCGGCCATCGCTACTACACATTCCACCATCTCCAGTACCCGACCAAACCCCCTCAAAAAATCCACATAATCGCGCAACAATGTCAACCTTCGAAATGGACCTGGATCCATCAAAAGCCCACCGGAGCCCCAACCTCCTCGACACCGCGCTCCAAAAGCGCTACACAACAATATCCATCCCCTCAACCTACGGCCGCCTCCACGACAGCCCCGCCGCGGGAACAGTCGTCGGGATTGTCCTCGGCAGCGTAGCAGGCTTCGTCCTGCTAATGTACGTACTGTTCCTAGCAGTGAATCCAGGAGGAGTCGCACGAGGCGCGCCAACAGCATCCAGCGTGAGCATGTCAATGGATGAAGAGGAATCTGTGCGCAGTCGGCGTCGCGCATCTAGAAGACGGAGCGAGGTCGAGGTTATTGAAGAGGCCGAATTCCGTGATAGTTATCGTCGGAGACCTGCTAGTCGACATGATCGCATTGTCGTTGAGGAGTCGCTTGCTACTTCTGCTACTGGGGATGAGGATCTTGTTGAAGTTATTGAGGAGGAGAGCTCTTCTGCTCCTTCGGATATGTCGCCTCGTCCGCCGAGAAGGTCTAGGCGGGGTGGGGTTAGACATGTTGATCCGTTGGCTTATGGGGGTGAGAGTGAATATGGGAGTCGGAGGTAATTACTTTATGCTTATGTGCTATGATTATGGGGTGATGTTTAATGATTGCTTGCGATGTATCTATAATGCCTATAATTTTAAGGTTATAAACGTATCATTTATGCGCCTAAGAAGAATGATTTGGAAGACCTCGAATACTCAGTGAACATCAGGTATACAATGGAATATAAAGGTTGTAGGAACGGCACAGCCAATGCCAGTAGATTATAAGTTTCTCTAGTGATCTGCTTTATTCCCAATGATATAGAGCGAGGCCGCAAATGATGTGAGCATAGATCTAAAAACAGACCTGAAACAACTCAGCGCTTCGAGTCAGATCCAATGGGGAAAGGGGGAAAAAAAAGCAAGTATCACGAGACTCAAGCAGTGGTGTAGAAACATTGTTATTAGGTATAACAGAGTCAATCAGCCAAAATAAAGACCAAACAGAAGTAAAAACAGCGAAAAATACAGAAAAGTCAAAGACAGGACCCAGAACGCCGTCCTGTTTTGCACCAAACAAGGATATATACGAGAGAACAATCTCCAAAGCCCCAGTTTGCAAAAACAATTCGTGAAATCAGAGCATTCGTAAACGGCAGCGAGTGGCTTTCAACTCGGACCCCGAGCGCAGTGTATGTAGAAGTCAGAGTGGGACTCTAGAACAAGATATCCAAGCAGCAACAGCAGGCGCACGCAGCCATGATACCAGCGCAGATACCACCGGCTCCACCGCCCGAGGAGTGGTTTCCGCGATCGTTGTACTGCTGTGGAGGGTATCCCTGCTGCTGAGGCGGGTAGTACATAGGCTGTTGCTGTTGGGGATAGTAGCCTTGCTGCTGCTGTGGGTACCCTTGTCCCTGCTGCGGGTAGTAGCCCTGCTGGGGCTGGCCGCCGCCATAGTAGTCCGTTGCGGCACCTGGGTTTTGATTGTAAGGACCTGCGTCATGGGTGGGCGCAGGGTATGAGGGTGGAGGGCTCATCTGTTGGAGTTAGTTGGGTGTTTGAGGGAGTTGGAATGGGGTTTGACGTACGGGCTTGTTATAGGACATGGTTGAGTGGGGATGTCGGATCTAGCGCCGATCTGAGGATGGATATTGCGTGTGGGGTTGTGTCAGGTTGTGTCAGTTTTGTCGCAACTGGGATTTGAAGCTGGTAGACTGCAATGCAAGAGGTAGGAAGGAAAATTGAAAGAGTCGCAAAGGAGGAAGAGAGATCGTCTTGCAGTGGCGCAGCCCGGGCACGTCGCGGCGCTTAGTCAACCGGTTTCCGGATTTTGCCATTTTCTATACGCGGCCTCGAGTTGCTTTAGGCACCATGATTTTATTACTATTTCTAGATGTTCTCAGGAGATAGATTGGGCTGTTCAATCGATTGGTTATGACTTTTGGATATAACTGTCCATTTAAAAAACCTCATATAATGCATATGCAAAGAGCCGAACGAGAATATAAAAAAAAAATCCAAAAAAGAAAACACAAGGAGAATGCTAGACAAACGCTAGACTTCATGTACGTTGATGCGTGGTCATTTACCTTGAGCCACAGGTCTATGCCTTCTCTTCGATCTCAGCCTTCTTGAGCTCGTCCGAGACATCAGCCACGGCATCCTGCTCCTGAGCGAGCTCGGCCTCCGCTGAGGGAGCCCCGTTCTCTTGGGCGGGCTTCTTGGCGGCGTCAGTAGCCCGGCCGTTGGTCTGGGCAATGTTGGCCTCCTCCTCTTCGAGGCGGGTAATCTCCTCCTTAGCCTTGTTGATGTTCTGCGGGGTAATTATTAGCAGCTGACAGCCAACAAAGAGTTTCAAACTTACCTCCTGGGTCTTGCTGGCCTGGTTCTTCTTCCACTCGGTGATCTTGGCAGCCAAGCTCTCCACCGCGGCAGGGACAGCCGACTGGTTCATAGGGGGGTCGATCTTGACCTTGGCAAAGTCCTCAATGATACCGACGTTCATGTTGAACTTGTTCTCAGTAGCAGCGGGGGCCTTCTTGCCACCCTTCTTGCCCTTCTTGCCACCAGATCCGACAAAGTAGTCCTCCTCGTCGTCCTTGCGAACGACCTTCATGCCCTTAATCTCGGCGGCTTCAACAGTACGGCCAACTCCAGCACGGAAGTTGCTGCCCTGGTCCTTCTTCTCATCGAGTCCGAGAGCGGAGAAGTTATAGGCTGGGTCAAAGTGACGGATCAGACCCTGAGCAGTGAGAATCTCATCGGTATAGGCAAGCTGGGAGGCCTCCTCGAGCTTCTTGTCGGCAACCTTCTTGCGCTTCTCGCGCTCAAAGGCATCGCGCTCAGCCTTCTGGCGCTCGCGGCGCACGCGCCATGCCTCATCCTCGTACTCCTTGTAAGCACGACGGGCCTTATAGTATTCATCCTTGATAGTGCGGATGGCAGTGAACTTCTCCTGCTGGTCGTTGCGCAGCGCAGTACGCTCGTCGCGCAGAGCGTTGAGGTTCTTGAAAACACCGTCCTGCTCCGCCTTGATAGTGTCGAGCTCCTTCTGGATCTCGTTATACTTGTCGCTCAACGCCCGAGCCTCGGGATTGTCGAGGGTCTTGCGCAGCTCAGAGATCTGGGCCTTGATGTCATCAATTCCCTTCTGAGCATCTTCCAGACCGGCGAAGCTCTTACGCTGCTTGCGCAGGGTTGAGACCTCGGACAGGGCCTTGCGCTCATCGACCAGACGGAGGGTTCCGGAGTCAACAGACTTCTCAAGGCGGGCAATCTCCTTGTCAATCTCCTCAACGCTCTTGAATGACAGACGACCGCGGTTGGCGTTCTGCTCGGCAATGCGGGTCTTGAGGTTGGCGTCGAGGGCGTTGATCTTCTCCTGGGTGGAGGTGCGGCCGGACTTGAAACCGGACTGCTTCTGGCGGATGGAGGAGAGTTCGGTGCGCAGTTCCTGTTGGCGCTTGCCGGCAGGCGAGTCCTTGTTGTTGGGCTTAGCATTGTCCAACTTGCTCTTGATTTGGTTCTGTGTTGCGCAAGTCAGTCATTAGTCTCGTGAGGTACAAACAAATAGTAATGGCCACGAAGCCAATCCGAGTGGGTCGGGACCATCCACGCGACCCATCAGAGGAATAGCCCAGTAGCCACAAGACTGCGATTAGCATACCAGTTTCTCCTGAGCAGCGGTATGTTGCTTCTCGGCCTCAGCGAGATTGGCCTTGTAGGCGGCCTCATCGGGCTTGGTGGGCTTAACCCGCTCCGCATCAGTGGCGGCCATTGCGACGTATATAATGCGACGAGAGAGTTGGGAGAGAAGGAGAGGAGTCGCCGAGGGATTGATTTGACTACTGAGACGAGACCTAAGGGAAACTGAAAAGGGGGACTTGGAATAATTAAATTGGTTCGGTCGGTTTCTCCGCTTAACTAAGTGTCGATGGCAGAATTCCCGCCGATTTTTCGAACTTCACTCATCTCTCCACTGGAGCTCCCGTCAACCCGTTTTTTTTTACTCCTCGTCCTTTCTTCTCACTCGGTTTTCCCGCACTTCCTCACTAATCTCTCACCATGGACGGAGACGCGGCCCACTCCCAGGAGGCCGATCGCGAGATGACTCGCCTCTGGCGCACCTTTAGAACCGTCTACGAACTGCTCGCGGACCGAGTAAGCACCTTCAGCTCACTCTGTGACTTCTCAGAGGTGATCGCACGGTCAATGATCAAAGCGCTAACCGCATAATGTTCAGGGCTACGAAGTTTCCGACAACGAGCTGGCACTCCCTCTATCAGAATTCCGCGAAAAATATTCCGACTCTATGGGCTTCGCTGAGTACGCAAAATCCCTGCGCCCACACCCCGCAAAAGCGCAGTGAAAACTGCCACGCACTAGCCATGTGCCATGCAAACGATCAATCGCTAACTTTCACCCCTCACAGCCGCTCTAAAATGAAAATCCAAGCGCGTCCCACCGAACTCATGAAGATGAAATACACACCACTTCCCAGCAAAGCAAACCCCAACCCCCAGCCAGACTGCGGCACCATCTACGTCGACTTCTGCCCCGACAACTCAGCCGTCGGAACCAAGCAAGTCCGCGCCTTCAACCACCTCGTTGATGAGAACAACTTCCACACCGGAATCTTCATTACGCAGACTCCTATCTCTCCTTCCGCCGTCCGCCTGCTTAGCGGTGTCCCCGGCCGCATCTGTGAGCACTTCCAGGAACAGGATCTGCTCGTCAACATTACCCGCCACGAGCTTGTCCCCAAGCACGTCCTCCTCAGTCCCGAGGAGAAGGCCCGTCTGCTTGAGCGCTATCGTCTGAAGGAGTCCCAGCTCCCCCGTATACAGGTCTCCGATCCCGTTGCTCGGTACCTTGGTTTGCGCCGTGGTCAGGTCGTGAAGATTATTCGCAAGTCCGAGACTGCAGGTCGCTACGCCAGTTACCGCTGGGTCATTTGAGGTGGTTGATTATTGTATCTGGCTTTTGTGCCGGGTATCTTGCTTTAGGAGGGGTTCTGCAGTACCCGTCGAGTCTGGTTTTCTGCCTCGCAAATTTGCAATGCATTTTCCACTTCAACATCTTGAAACAAGAGGGGTTTCCTCCTTGTTGCTAAAAGGTTTTCGTCAGCCGCATCGGCTGGATGATTGAATCACCGAACGAGAAGTGGATGGGAGTTTTTTCTTTTTTTCCCTGTTCCATTCTACCTCACAAACACAAAAAAAAGTTTTGGTCTACCCCTTGTATTATGGGCAGCAAGGCGTACAGGTTTGAAGTTTCTCCTTTTTGGGGGTTTGTTGGGGGGGTTTACCTGTGATTTAAATTTGACTTGTGTCTAGATGAATGCAGTCTGTGTATGAATGGCTATTTTCTGTTCTTACTGACAGTTTTCTTGGTATAATTACCCAGGCTTAATGCAGCAAAGCTAGGAAATGGGCGAAACTCCTTGGGAAAGACCTGAGCACCGGAATGGCTTCATTGTGTCCAATGCTTATCTACCATGTCACTTCTGGGGTTGAACGTCTACTACAGGTGGGTTGAGACCTTCAAGGCCCGGATTTTCAGGGCTATAGGGCATCATGTGATCAAAAACATGGCTCTCATATGCTTCTTGTAACTGCTTAGGACAATCTTACAGTGGAGTAGAGGTGGGGAATTGGAACTTTGCTGCAGCATATGTCTATTGGAGTGCCTTTGTATACAATCACTGCTAAATAACACACCCGACGCTCCTAAGAGTTGTGCAGAATTGGCCATTGTCAGGGTATCCAAGCTTTGATTCCTTCAAATTCATCATTGTTACATTATAAATCGCTTTTTCACATCGTTCTTGATTCAATCTGCCAAGCCTCATATAGTGTGCTGTATCGATCCACATAAGAACTAGGCTCTGGTATACAATATCAAACACTCGTGGCAGAAGCATAGACTTGTAAGTGGTTACTGCTATGAGCCAAAGAGATAAGAGAAAACAGGAAGTAAAGTGGTAAAAGAAAACAAGCAAGAAAAAGGGGCCGCCAGGGATTGAACGTGGAAGATCGTATAGTCCCTTCCCGGAAGATAGTAGAGGTACTTCCGTAAACAGGATTCGCACCCTGGCCGCCAGGCTGAGGGGAGGTTAACAGGATTACCTGTCCGGGCTGTTACCCGCTAGATCACCCCTCAGTACTAACTACTCACCACTTCTGACGGGTTTTGACCGACGGAATATGCCCTCCTTCCCAAATAGGAAACCATATCAACAGAGAACCCTCCCATTCCACTCTAGGGCTAATGGATAATCCATAGTTCCACCTGTGTCCCAAGGGTCATGTCTACTCAGACTTTGGGTATATACACAAACAACGTCTGGCTCAAACCTTGGAAGTATGCAGCAATGTAGTGTTGTTGAAACACAGCCTGTTGGACTCTGACCACATCCATGGACCACATCCACCGGAAGTGAATGCAAGATCAACTCCGAGTCTACCGATTTGAGATGATAGACATGGACGCTGTTCCTAGGGTGAATGGAACTCGACTTCGGTCCACCACAGCATAGGGCAGCGATAGAGAAGCCAATGGCCAATTCGCACTCCATTTTAGTCAGATTTCATTAAATTTCCAATATTGTATGATCACACACACAATGTTTAAAAACCATGATTGCAGTATGTAAATCAAGTAGGGTACAGAATTAAGCATAAAATTAACGAAGAGTAACGATAATACCCAGCCCAGGACCTCAAAAACAATTCAGAATGTCAACGCTCTCAACGCAAAGGGGGAATACAACACAGGGAGGCAATAGATACATGTCATGGAGTATGAGTATGTGCATGCCCAAGCATCAAAACCAAACCAAAAGAATACCAACAAGCCCCAAACCCCTAAGATATACAAAAGTGAGATAATATCCAGAGCCATAAATCATTTCACATCTCATGAAAAACAAAAACAAAAACAAAAGCAAAAACAAGGACCAAGATCAAGATCGAGGCTGTTTAGACAGCAGCCCACCTACATCCTGCAACTCAACAGGATCAAGCGTGATCTCCGGGGGATCAGGAGCAGAAAGAACCGGTCTCTGCGCAGAAGCAGTCGCACGAGACGGTACAATCCCCCAATCTTCAAGAAAAGCCCTACTACCAGCACGACGACGCGCCGATTCCGGCACAACGCTATCTGGCTTTACATGACTGGGTTCCGGCATCGACATGGATAACAAACCACCGACATCCGAGAACGAAACTCTACGCGAAGCAGTCCGCGGCGACTCATTGGTCTCCAGGTACTCGCGCGGAGCTTTCACTTCACTATCAGACGAACGATCGTCACCAAAGCTCCAAGCAGGATCGATAGATCCCGTGCGAGCGACAGCCAGTGGTGCCACGAGGGGTCGATCCGATGGGTGAAGATCAGGATCGAGGCGGATACAAAGACCATTTGCGAGGTCGGAGTCCGAACCCCATTGGTTCTGCATGACGGTATTTCTGCGCAGGTGGGATTTATCCATTGATTCAGAGACGGAGGCGGAGCCCTGCGCGCGCTTATATTTCAATTTCTTGATACCGCGGTCTCGGACGAAAGAGCCTATTACCAGGGCGTTTGAGACGGCTGTTGCGGCGAGGATTTCGAGAGATGCGATGAGGGATCGGTATTGTTGGGAGCCTTTGTGGGCTATGACGGATGGGACGCGGTAACTTGTTATACCGACGAGGAGGAGGGAGCCGCAGAAGAGGACGACTAGGGCTAGTTTGCGCTTGAGGGGCATTGTGGCGAGGAGGATTATGGGGACTGGGAAGGCGATTAGGAGGAGGTCGGTTATTACGTCGCAGGTGCCCATTGTTATTAGGTTCACGTAGCCGGTTCGGCAGGTTGGGCCTGGGTCTGGGATGACCTGCCAGTAGTGGTTGAAGGGTTGGCATTCGGCTAGGGTGGCGATTACTACTGCGACGAGGGTTGAGAAGAGGAAGATGTTGATGAAGCGGATGAAGATTGTTGTTGAGCGGCGCCAGGTTAGGCCTGTGACTCTTTTGAGGAACTCGCAGACGGTCACTTTGGCGGTCCAGATGCTGGTTTTGTTAGTCTGCTTCATGGGTTTCTCTGCTTGGACCTCGGAGAGAGGATATCTCACAAGATTGCATAAAATATGCGCGCAGCAAGAACTAGTTTGCTTCCTATTTCCCGATTTCGTATATCTTGTTCTGTCAAGTCGGCAGTGGTGGTATTGTTCGTCCCCAAGGTGAGAACGAAGTGGACCAAGACCATGCGAATGACCAGTGGAATCACACTGATCATAATGACCTTGTCCTCGAGAAAGAAGCGTTCGACTCGTGTATAGCGACCCACCAGACGCACGACGATAATGGCCAGTGAGAAGCCCGTTGCCCACCAGCTCATCAGCAGAGTCGGGTTAATCTGAACCCTGGTCTGCATGGCCGGTGGGCTCTCGGGGTAAATCGATCGCGCAGCCAGCATCGCCCCCCAGAAGCGATCACAGTCGGTTTACATTGCTGCACGTGCCGAAATGTGGGGAACAAATAGGGTAGTGGATGTTTCTCCGTAGATCGTTGGGAGATGGGAGAGGAGAAGGGAAGATCATCCAAATGCCCAGGAATGAGACGGGAGAACAAGTCATCATAAGAGCAGTGCCGAGACTCGGAAAGTGAGGAGGTCGGAAGACCACAGTGTGCCCAGGTCTACTCCGTACTCCGCCCGTTTGTGTTTGGAGATAAGCGCTGCTCGTTATTTTCTTTTTAACAGCCAGTGACATTCGACTTGCTAATCGGCATCTCGTGTATCATATCTGACAAGGTTAAGCGAGAATCCTGTGAAAGATCCAATCAGGGCAGATTCAGGGTCTGGACTATGGGCCATACGACTATTTACTACTTTGGTGTTAGGGCGTCTAGTCATATCTGGACTCCGTACGGAGTAACGAACTGATATGTAGATTTTATAGATGCTCTGTGAAACATGATCTTGAAATGCCGATAAGCAATGAACTGTACAACTGACAACTGACAACTTTTCCGAGTCCGTTTAGCCTGAACTTTATATGATTAATCGCGCAGCTCACCGCAATGAGGCGATACCAGCCCCATCGCGCAACCCACCCAACACCACCCGCAGCTCCTGCAGGAATTTGGTGACTTCCGCCTCCGTACCCACCGTAATACGAAGACAGCCCTCACACCCAAGTTCCTTACCGCGGAACCGAACAACGACCCCACGCTTCTCCGCCATCGCCTCGTACGCCGCCAGCGCGGTCACATTACACGGTCGGCCCTCCGCGTTCAACATCTGCACCAGCAAGAAGTTCGCGTCCGACCCACCCAGGAATTGACCCACACCCGGGATGGTAGGGAGTTCACGAAGCAGACGATCGCGCTGCGCAATGATCTGAGTGCGATAACTGCGCATGACCGCCATATTCGGGGCCGTGAGAGCGGCGGAGGCGAGCGCGCTCGTCGGGCTGGAGATGTTATAAGGGGCCTTGAGGCTGTTGAGCAAAAGGGCGATTTCCGGGCTGGTGTAGGCGACTCCGAGACGGATACCTGCGAGACCGAAGGCTTTGCTGAGGGTCTGCATGACGACGAGGTTCGGCCATTCGGTGACCCATTCTGCGAGACTGGAGCCCTCGGGGGCGAAGTCGATGTAGGCTTCGTCGACGACGACGATACCATTCCAGGTGGGGTGCTCGAGGACCTTTTGGATGTCTTCTTTGCGGATGAGGTTTGCGGTGGGATTGCCTGGGGAGCAGATGTAGGCGAGTTTGATGGATGGGTCGGCGGAGAGCGCGGCGTTGACCTTCTCGGGTTGGAGGTGGAAGCCGTTTGAGGCGTCGAGGGGCACTTTAACGATTTCGACGTCGTTGACCTGTGCACTCACGCTATACATGCCGTAGGTTGGGGGACAGGTGAGGATCTTGTCCTTGCCGGGGACACAGAAACAGCGGAGGAGGGCGTCGATGGCTTCGTCGGAGCCGACGCCGCAGAACATGTGCTCGGGGAGGAGGGTCTTGGGGGTGTGGTGGTGGGTGTTTCGGAGATTGCAGAAGAGCTGCTTGAGTTCGATTTGGTGACTGTTCTGTCAGACAGGGTTCATGATCGCAAGGGAGTTCGTACTCACGGATCGGGGTAGCGGTTCAGGCCCAGGAAGTCGATCTCAGGCTTGGAAGCGCCGGTGGCATCACCGCTTTGCGAAGCCTGCAGTGCACCCTCACTGTTCAGGGCGAGACCGGGTCCGAAGGCATTCTCGTTGGCGTCGAGGAGGACGTTGGTACCGTCATCTTTGTAGTCACTGACTCATTAGCTGGGTTCTGTAGATTGGAGCGGGTTTCTTACTCTCTGGCACATCGGTAAGGCTGCAATGCTAGGATATTAGGACGGGCGCAAGTGGCCAAGTTGAAAGGGGAGGTTCGTGAAGCCATTGTGTGTGTCAATGGAATGTTCAGGCCGGTGGGGGTGGAGGGGGGTTTTATCTCGGGAACTTTATGAGTCAAATGCCGATCTATATCGGTCCCGATAAGCCCACCGTTCTTAGATCTCTAGTTGAATACAGTCATCAATTGCTTCCAAGGTACCTAGCATTGTTTTTCAGAAAGGAAATTATCATATGTGAAGAGCTCCATCATTAAATTTAATGTCAAGGTCTACGCAGATTTATGATGTCTAGTATCGCTGTAAGGATTGCATCTGAACGACTAGTATATCACTTTGAGGCATGGTCTATCTGATTCATATAAGCATTCAGATAATTAAATAAAACGAGTGGAAAATGAGCAGAAAGCAGCGCTCGATCACTAAGGAACTGAATCTATTATAGCACCATGGATCCCCGCGGCCAATTCAAACATCAAGATTCAACACAATAGCAGACTGGCTGCCTCATACCATTTAATCTCGACTCAAAGCGTCTCGAAGACTTTAACAGCAGCCTTCGCAGTCGAAGTAGCACTAGCAGGGTTCTGACCAGTCACAAGGCGGCCGTCCACAACATTGAAGTCATCCCAAATACCAGCAGATCGCTCATCTAAAGCCATATTAGCACCAAGTTCGAACTCTCAAAAGCATCCACAAGACAAACTCACATTTCGCACCGAGTCTCGCAGCAAGCTCCTCAACCATCTCCCCACCCCAGCTCCTCAGATCACTCATAATCCCCATGGTGTTCTCTGCCTCAGTAGTGAACCCAGTAATGCGACGACCCTTGATAATCGGCTCACCAGTCGATTGATCAAGAATATTGGCAAAGATAGCAGGTCCATGACAAACAGATGAGACAACACCGCCATTAGCCCAGACCTGTTCAGCGATCTTCTGCAAGGAAGTGGCAGTCGGGTAATCGATCAGAGCAGCGTGGCCAGCAGAGGCATAGAACAGACCGTACTGGCTTCCGTCTACATCTGCGGCTTTCGGCATGTTGTCAAGCTTCTGGCGGAAGCTGCTGTTGACGTCGTTCCAGGTCTTCAGGTCTTCGCCGTTCAGGAAGTCGGGTTGTTGGGAGAGCCAGTCTGGAGTGTAGCTTCCGGTCTCGGAGGCGAGGTCGACTTCGAAGCCTGCGGCGACGAGAACATTGTAGGGGTGTAGGGCTTCGCTGATAAAGAGACCTGTTGTTTCTTTGCCGTTGAAGAGGCTAGCTGAGGCAGAGGTAATGCTGATTAGGGCTTTGCGGGCAGGAGACATTTTGGCTGGTTTGGTTGGTTGATTGTTTTGGAATGGAAAGTTGGAATTGGACTGTTTGATGTGATGGGGATTTGAGGGCAGCGAAATGCCTCCTATTTATATTCTCCATTGCTTACTCTTGACGTCGTTGATACGGAGTACTTGCGGGCGTAGTAGGGGTCGGTCAGTGCTTTCTCATAGTTAACTCCGCGACTCCGGGAACTCCGGCAACTCCACCAATATCGCGACTCCGCGACTCCGGGTGGCTTGCGGCCGAGACCCTCGATTAACGTTCTTTTTCAATCTAAGTACTTGAAGGATCGCGGGGTGAATAGTCTGCTCAGCATACTCCGTAGGTACTCCGCAACTCCGGCGCACCAGACCCAAACTCGGGCACTGTAAGCTCATGCGCTGGCGGAGAAAACAGATAACTAGTGCATTTTCTATCTATTCCGATCCAAGAGAGTGGATACTATTTAGTCTGACATGGAATCAGAGGAATCTCTAGGTGCATCCTGAAGCTTGTTCTGCTTTGTAACAACTCAACAATCAGCCAGCCCTTGCGGGAATTCGAGACACACAAGGCGATAATAATGCTTGCGGAGAACTCCGAGGTATCAACACTGCTGTTCACATGTATGCTGAAGATGCAGCCAGCTTATCAAATTCAGGCCAAAGCATGCCAGGATCATTCCAGAAATCAACATCAACGGCCATGTCAAAGAATTCCGATCCGAAAGAAATCAAGTCAGACCCAGGCACACCTAAGCCTCCGCCACATGACCCGGTAGCAAAAACATTAGACGTGAGCTCAGCTGGGACATTGGTAGGATTGTAGGCCGAGCCCGTCTCAAGATCCACGGAAGGAGAAGAATGAAGTTGCAGCTCGCTGCGGCTGATCAAGAAATCAACCTTAGTACAAAGATCTCGCATAATCTTAGCCGCATTTTCGGCAACGGCAAACTTGGCTCCGAAGCTATCAAAGACCGAGATTGCTAGATCCATGGCTTTTCTACCTTCGGTGGCCAACGGAGTGCGCGGGTAGACCCCGACAAAACCTACGAGAGTCATTGCAGCATTCCACTGATAATGGAAAGCTTCATGCCAACCATCGAGAATGGATGTTTCCGCGATAACTTGGTTTGTGATTATCGACAGTGTTATTGCATGAGACGCGCATCGCATCGCTGTATCTTCTGCCACAGTCCCCGGGCGTGGGCGTGAGCCGAAAGAAATGAATGGTCGGTAGAGGTTAATGCTGAGATGATGGTAGGTGACTTCGAGGAGCACCCGCTGGCGCTGTAACCAAAGAGGCGCAAATTGCTCGATTAACAGACTTGTCTGATCTGTGGAAAGAGGTGTTCCATGATTCTGGCGATTCATTTTCAAAGGTCCGGGTATATTATTGGCCCATTCCTGAAGTTCCTCTATATGCTGCGGTAAGAGCTCTGCGCTGGTTTCCAAGGCATTAGAATTACTCCAAACAGTTTGGCCGTTTGACAGCGGGAGATCTTGCTCGTAGAAATGGATATAAGCCGCCCGTGTCTTCTTGTAAAGCCTGATTTGGTGCAAGTTGAAACTCAGCCAAGTCACGTTGTCGCCGATGGGAGCAAATGTAGACCCCGATGTTCTCGCAGCATCCATACTATCATTAGGCAGGTCCGGCATGACATGAGAATCACGTAGCATAAAAGGACGGCCGAGCTTCATTCCAGCCTTGCTGTCCATGAGATAGACAGCCCACCACAAGCGTCTCCGAATTTCGCGGTCCCGATCTGACATGCTAGGCGGAGGGTCTAGATGAATACCAAGCATGTAAGCAGTGCGAACGGCTGTACCGACCGCATTGTCCATCATGTTATGGAAGGATCCGCCGCACAAATACACTGCGCAAAGCAAGTGACACTGCAACGTAGATAGGGATGGACTTTCGAGTTCGTATGTGAGGAGCGTCTGTCCACGCCAGTAATGCCATCGACCGGCGACAAGGGCATCTTTGCCTTCCACTAGGAAACCTTGTGTGTCAGAAGGCAGGGCTGAGATTCCGTATTGCATACACATGGCAATCACGATGTCGACAAGAGCGGAGGGTGCTCTTTCTGTGCCGCCGGTCCACAAAGACTGGTAGTGGTCTTTGAATTGGGCCTCATCCAAGATTGGAAAAAGTGCAGTGTGGTAGGTCTGCCAGAAGAGGTTGATAAAGTACTCTTCTTGTATTGGGTTGAGGTAGATGCCCCCTGCAGGAGCCTCCCCGGCTAAAGACATCAGCCGCTTGGCTTGATCCTTGTTAGATCTACATGATGGTCTGTCGAGTAGTTGGTTATCACTCGCTGAGATGGGGAGCAGTTGTTGTGTTGGATGAGCTTGTTGAAGGCTGGAAGTGAGAAAGGCACTGAGGCGTTGAACGAAGAATTGGAGCGACGATGCACCCAGCCATGTCTCATTGGAGGAACGTGCAGGTCGAAGTTGCGTTCCTTCCCAATATCTTTTACACTGGTATCCAAGGTCATTTCTTGGGATGAAAGCTTGGGGCGAAGATGACGAATTTGTCGGTGTTGGTAGATTGTGATTGACTCTGGGCCGCTGTTTTAACTCGTCTTCTAGCTGCTTGACTTTTCGCCTGAGTAACTCAATCTCTTCCGTAGCCTCAGTTAGAGTGGAATGTTTGCGTATCCCGTTATTGCTGCATTCTTGCGCTCTTTTCACACAATTCAAGCATGGGGTTTGGTTGTCACACTTGATGCGGCGAAGGCGACACCCATCACACGCTCTAGCCACCTGAATACGTTTCTGGCGGCGTTGCTGAGGGCTCTGATCGATTTGCCCGGAATTTTGAGGTTCAGAAGCCATTGCAGCAGTTCGAGTGTCTTTCAATCCACTGAGCGGGTATCGCCGTGTCAGGGCGTCAGAGTCGGAGAACTGAAAGTCCCGAGGTCGGGGAAATTACAAATGTCCACGCGCTTGCCAGGCCCGGTATGCGCTTACCTAAATGAGATTTATATTCATCTCGCGATAAACATTGGAAAGCATCAGAACCCTTGGAAGATGGTTTCTCGAGGCTCGCTAGCTTGTTAGATAAGCACACTTCGTCTTCCAGGCTTGGCGAAAATGCGGCGAGTTGATTGAACAACCTTGGCATTCGGCGAATTTCTATATTCTGTACACTATTGGGCTTGATAGCGCTCAAGGCTGCATACTTTCGACTTTCGAGGTCTTTGTGAAGTTGAAAATCCAACGAATCTCAAATCTTCACTGAGGTGGTCAGTGGATGACTATCGCCCACAATGGCATCAAATCAATCCTCAATTCTGCCAGCAGACCTTATGGAGTCACAACTATCCACAATTGACCTCTTAGTGGCAATGTTCCCATCGCCAGAGGAACTAGAAATTCCTGAATCGACAACTCAATACGTTGAGAAACTTCGCAATTGGTGCGAGAATCCAGACTCCAAAATCTCCGGTATCCCGCCAACTATATCGCTTTCTGTGTATCTGCCAATTGCAGACGGTGACCGGAATATACAAGTCAATATCTCAGTACCATTGCATTGCGAAAGTCCTGACACAATCGACCAACCACCTTCATTGGGCTATTCACTTCGACAACCGGACTGGATGTCTAGAGCCGAGGCGGCCAACATCACCGCTTCAATACCACAAAGCGATGACGCTTTAGAAGTATTCGAATACATTCAAGTGGAGGCCAATCAAATTCTTGGAAGCAAGCAAAGTCAGACCGTCCCATCAGAAGATACCAACAAAGGACCCATTGTCCGGGTCTGGTTCTATTTCCCATCTCTATCCACGCGAAAGAAGAGAGACGACATGGTCAATCTTGCACCTGCTTATTCTCTGACGGGCTTTGTCCTCGCAGGCAAACCTGGCGTGTTGTGTCTTGAGGGAGTGTCATCGGATGTCGATTCCTATATGAGTTTTATCAAAACACATTCTTGGGGGGATATCCCCAGCCACCAGAAGAAAGTGAGCGAGCGTTTCCGGGAGGTGGAAAGTGTTCAGAGAGTCTTTCCTGGAATGGAAGAGATCACGGATTCCTTGGGTGAACGTGGCGGACAGCGCGCTAATCGTGGTGATATGCAAGCTCTAGAGGCGTGGTTAGGGAGCAGGGGGCTCCAAGAGGCATTTGAGAAGGTAATATTTTAAATGTCACCCATGGATAGATTATTTAAAGAGTTGCACATTGTCATCTACGCTGTGTAGGTACTTCAACGGGGGAAGTCGAACCAAACTTGGAGGATATGTGTTCTAAAATTCTCTTTGTTTCACAGATAGGAAATATATGTAAAGTGTATATATTTGGCAGAGCACTATAAGCTGCCGATGCATCGATGCCAGGCACATTCCAAGGTTATTGATGGATTCAATGCATAGATCACAACAAACCAAACGCCTCCATATGCCTCATTTCTACAACGTGGGATGACCCGTAGAATGAACCCGCCACCCTACTCTTGTTTGTTTTCCTTTGTCTCCGAGGGCTTGGAATCCTCGGCCGGCTTTTTGGGATCAGAAGAAGTTTCCTTTGATGCCGCAGCCTTTGTCTGCTGTGCTTTCTTGTGCTTGTCACGCTTTTCCTTCATATAGGTCCAGCTCTTGCTAAGACCGGCCGTCAAAGGTGCCTTCAAGGTCTGGACAGTACTAGGCCAGCGGATCGTTTTTTCGATAGACATGGCGACCTGTTCCTGGAGAGAGTCATCACCGGCAATGCGTCTCTCGAAGGGACCACCCTGGGGACGACGAAGGACGTCCTCGGAGTCCTTGCTCTCCTGGATCATCTTATCAAAGTCAACCCGTGGAATTTGATAGCGAGACTGGTATTGGAAGTAAAGCTTTTGTCGGAAAGAGTCGGGCAGGCGACGAACCATGTTGCCACGCTTTACCGGGTCCATATCTTGTGCCATGGCCAAGATAGCGTTTGGATCATCGATCCAATCTTGTTGGCTGCACCGGGGATCCTGGAAATCGACATTGGGAAGGTTCTCAATGAGTGGTGCATACAAGCGACGGAAGTGTGCCATTTGTCCGGAAACAATGTTTCGCACCTTTCCGGGGTCCTCGGCGGGGAGGGCCATGCGGAGGTCGCCCATGTAGCTCATTCCAGCAATTGTGGAGTATAACTCAAACTCGCTAAACCTTTCGGGAAGCAAAAGCAGCGCAACCCTCAAGGCAGACAGCAAATTCACCTGGTTTGCTAACCGCACCTTCGGGTGATCCCGCAGGATCTTCACAGGCTTGTGCAGACGACCAGCAAGATACATGGTGTCCCATTGGGTGAGATCCCGGCACAGTGTGTCAAGGTTGACCACACCGTACTTGATCATAGTTCCGTTGACAGTGATATAAGGGTGGAAGTAAACACCAGCACCAAAGCGGTCTTGCACCTGAGAAACCATGTATGACCCAAGCGAGCCCATGCCCGAATAATGATCACGATGTTGGGTCAGGTTGAGGTCATGCCAATGTTGAGAGTATGAGACTCCAAAAATAAAGTCGATCATTTTACCAGATCCCTGTTGCATATTGTTGATAGCCGTTGGGGCCGAGGGGTGCAACGAGCTGGATGGAGCGGTACTGCCATTCTGTGAGAAAACACCCGAGCCATAGGCAAATGCATATCGAATTGGCGCTTTAAACTGCCAAAGAATCATACGCAATGCCTCCTTGAACTCTTGGTTTATGATCATGTGCTGGTTGACTCCGAAGTCCTTGGACGGTAGTTCGGAGAAATTTGAGATAGACAGATTCGGGTTATGATCCCAGTCTGATTCCGGTAATGAGGAAGACGATGATGTGGAGAAGGACGACCGGTTGCTATAAACTTTGCGCAGCAATTGCTCTGTCGAACCGCGCTGGATTGCCGAAGATCGGCCATTATAGGGAGAGATTTGGCGACAATTTATGGACAATGAGCGAGCTGCGGCGGGAACAAGACGAGGGGATGCAAGGATGTTTCGAGTGCACCGAAGGGAGCCGGGGTTAAGTCCCCGAGATGTAGCCATCTTGCGGAGAAGTGTGAGATTGGAGATCATCGGGTAGAGATGGAAGCTGACATACTGTTACTCCTGGCATAACGGGGAGTCGGGTAAGAGAGATCGGGGCGCGGAGCGCAGAAATTGAGAAGAATCAGAGAGCATTGACGTCCCTCAAAGGAAGCAAAGGAGTGTATGGGAAGAAAATCGATCCGTGAACCATCCCGACACTGACGTACCCCGTCCTGCTTTCCTCTTCGGGTGCTGAGTAACCGATCACGTGAATGCGCGTATTTGCATAACAACGGAAGTAAACAGACGCGGAGATCAACAACAGCGACACTTTCGACCGAATTACGCCCATTTCCCCCACATCGGAGATTCTGCATGTCGCAGCATAGGTGAAATTCTCACGAATCGGTCCGAACACACGCCATGGGCTCCGAAATGGATACCTTTGCGGCCCGCCTGGCCAGTTTTGACATCGTTTTAAAGCCGGAGAAGCGCAGATCTTCCGGCACAAAAACACAGAAGGCAATCACATGGCCGCACCAGCGACCTTCGCCAGCTGAGGTATGTGTACCAAAACCTCGAATTTGCCATGCATCGACTGACTGGGTCTTTAGTTGGCGCACGCCGGATTCTACTACAAACCATACGAAACGAATCCTGATAACACAACCTGTTTCGAGTGCCACCGGGCGCTGGATGGCTGGGAGGAAGATGACAACCCCATCACAGAGCATCTTAAACATGCGCCCGATTGCGGGTGGGCCATCTTGATGGACATCCAGCAAAACAGCTCGAACCCCGCCTCGATTGAAGACCCAACAGGCGATCGTATCACGCAAGCACGGCAATCAACCTTTGGTGAAGCGTGGCCACACGATGGAAAACGGGGTTGGGTGTGTCAGTCAGAGAAGGTATGGTCGCATCTTCAACATGGTCATTCGCGATAAGCTCACAATTTTAATAGATGGTTGAAGGAGGTTGGTATTTCTGCCCAACAGACGAGAGCGATGATCTGGCCAGCTGCGCCTACTGCAAGTTGTCTCTGGATGGGTGGGAGCCAAAGGATGATCCATTGTAAGCGTTGACCGTTCCTTCCAAGTCGAATTGCGCTAATTCCTCCAGTGATGAACACTACCGCCGCTCATCAGATTGTTCCTTCTTTGTCTTCGCGCAACCTCCAGGCAAGAAGGGCAAAGGCTCGAAGGCCAAGAAGCCTCGTGTTTCTAAGGCCTCTTCTCGACTTTCTACGCAATCCGTCACATCAGAAGCCCCCGAAATGGATATGGACGACTCGATGGACCAGAGTATCATGTCTCAATCTACCACGAAATCGAAATCCACCAAGAAAGCAACTAAAGGCAAATCAAAGGCCAGCAAGAGCAAAAAGGAAGAGCCCACGGAGACGGAAAGCCAGGCTGGAGTTGATGAAGAACTTGCACAGCCAGAGTCCTCAAAGCCCAAGCGTGCCGGCAGAGGAAAGAAGCGAGCCAGCGAAGATATAAAGGACGAGCCAGACCTTATCGCTCAAGAAGAGAAAGAAAAATCACAGCCGCCTGTGGAGCCTCCTGCGAAGAGACGGGCCACGAAAACCCGGAGTAGTAGCGTGGCTCGTAAATACGACTATGAGCACGATGATTCGGTCATGGCAGATGCAGAGCCTGTGGGTGATGCTGCTTCCGACGAAGAGCCAAAACGAGGCCGAAAGCCCACGAAAAAGTCCTCGAAGTCACGCAAGGAATCTGATGTGCCTGTCGCATCGAAAGCTCCCTCAAAGGCACGGACACCGCGGGACTCAGAGATTGAGGCACAGATTGAAGCAGGATTGGAAGAGGATTCTCCTGAGCCTGTGGAGCCTGAGCAGACGAAGCCATCGAAGAAGACCAAGTCAACCAAAAAGTCGAAAGCTGTGGAGAAAACCCCTGAGCCGGCTCAAGATGAGCCAGAGGGAGATGACGAAGCACCTTCGAGCTTTGATGATGTCGAATCCATCGGTGAGCCGGTTGATGAGCCGATTGAAGACGAACATCCAGTGCCTGAGCCGCCAGCTCCAAAGGCGAAGGCTACAAAGGGGTCCAAGAAGAAGGGCACGAAGAAGGCAAAATCCCAAGAAACTGTTGAAGCACAATCACCGGAGCCTCGTCCGTCATCCCATGCCGTGACCGATGATGAAGACCACCCCGAACATCAAGAGTCGCTCGTTTCTGTCGAAATTATCAACAAGAAGCCCGAACCTAAGCCCCAAGCCGAAGAAAAATCAAGCAAGGCTGAGAAGAAGAGCTCCAAGAAAAAGGATGCTTCTACCAAAGAGAAGAAGTCCAAGAAATCAGAAAAGAAGGCGGAGCAAGCTCCACCTCCTCAATCGCCAGCGCAGGAGCATCCTGATATCGAATCGCCAGTGGATGAACAGGATGATGAGTTCGACGACGCAGATGACCTGCCCGACCAGCTTGAGCTGGTCAAAGCACCCCAAGAACCCTCCCCGGCTCCCCAGGAGCCCTCGCCTGAACCACAGTCATCGCATCGCAAGACACCGAGCTTGCCAGCTAAAACCACTAAGCGATACAGCGATATCCCGAAGGAAGAACATCTTGCAGAGACTTTGGTCAGCCAAAGCTCCCCCCACGAAGTGCGCGAGTCTCGACGAACCTCAAAACGATCCAACCAGGCAGTCTCCCCGCCTCCCCATCAAAGCACACCTTCGCTCTCTCCTCAATCGTCGGATGCTGAAAATCGGCCTCCGTCTTCAAGACCTTCATCATCACGACCTCCCATTCATTCCACGCCCAAGCATCCTGAATTCCGTGCTGCTCTTACGGCCAGCACCCCATCGCCATCTAAACGCAACCCCAATGCTGGGTTTGGACCTTCAGGTCATCCATGGACCCCGGTGGACATTGATGAGGCGCTCTATGGAGATGCCAGCGATAAGGAGAACGCCGATCTATCTGGCCTGCTCAAGGGCGTGAAAGGCGGATTGACCAGCCCAGAAAAGAAAATGACTGTTCAAGAATGGATCTCATGGAATGCAAAGAACAGCGAAGACCGATTGAAGCGAGAATGTGAACGACTCGTCGGCCAATTTGAGAAGGAGGGTGGTCGCGCACTCCAGCGACTCGAGGCAATTGAATGCATTGACTAAGTCAGCCTCGGTGGAATTTGAGAAAACTTTCGGACGATATGAACTTGCATGAAAGGCGTTATGTTTTGTTAGGTGTTAGGGTCATTGTTTGAGTTTCGATTCACAATTTTAATAGAACATCATTTGCACATGAGAAAAAAAAGAAGCCGAACTCCATGGGTATCATTTGTAGAACATAATCCGAGCCCAACAGCTCAAGATATAATTCCCAACCGACCCTCCCAGCTATCATCCTCAGTCTTAACCTTCCTCCGCTTCTCATTCCTAATTCTCCTCTTCTCCTCCCTCTCCTTCGCATCCTCCTCCTCCCTCTCCTTCAGCCTAACCCCAAGATCAAGCTGCCAAGCCTTCCGCTCCTCCTCCTCCCTAACCCTCTTCCGATGCGAAAGCATCCTCAACCTCAACCTCACTTCCTCAACCCCAGCCCTCTTCACCTCCCCACTCTGCCCAGTCGCAATCAGATGCTGCTTGCTATTCAAATGCTCCACAAGCTGTATATTGTCTTTGAACGTGAGATCACAGTCCTTGCAGTAAAATCCGGCGCCGGCGCCGCGCTTGCCCATTCCCGCTCCTGCGGGGACAAGCATCGTCTTTCCCACCATCGATGAGACATCTAGGCGCTTGTTTCGGGCGGTTGTTTCATCCAGTGCGCTGTAGTCTACTGGGGCGTGGTACTTTTTGCCCAGGAGCTTGGCTTCGTAGCGGGCTTTGCCTTCGGCTTTGCGTTTGGCTTCATCTTCGGCGGCTTTTTTGGTGTATTCTTCGCGATCCCAGGTTTTGCGGAAGGCTGTGTCTGAAACTGGGGCGCCGTAGGCGTTTGGGTTTGACATATTGAGGGGTTTGTTTGGAGGTGGTTGGAGGTTGCGTGAGTGGCGTCAAAAAGTTGAAGCTTTGAGCGTTGATAGCGATTGTTAGTAAGCGGTGTCTGTGGTTCCGGGGCTGGGCTGGGGCTCCGCTCCGTCACGTCGAACTACACCAAGGCAGTTTACTTTTATGTTGTTTCTTACATTTAGTTCGGTGTTTTTTTCTTCTTCTTAGCAACTAAATGTATTTGCATGGCTCTAACAAGTTGTTCCAATTGCATCCATCGTCATCTTCGTCTTCAATCCATCAAGTGTATGTGCGAATATACAACAAACTCAAAAACAGAAACGCCATCAATGCTATGATTAAAGTAGCCCCAAAGGGACCTTGTATAATGCAGTCTCCAACTCCAGGTCTGCATGCAATAGTGTTGAACGTGGATATATCGCTGTCAGCAGTTTAACGCAGAATCTGACTCAAAACAGCAGGGCGGGTATCTATGGCGCAGAGAAATGCCCGAAGGTCGATCTAAGTACGTCAAAATCGTACTCGTAGCAGTCAGATTATGTTCAGGGGCTCTGAGGCGACTTTGACCGTATAGGCAGAGAAGTTGTTGAAAGCTCGGTTGCTTCGAGCGGTTGTTCGACGATCGGGGAAAGTTCTTCTTCGCCGATGGCCTCCTCGGCGATGAGATCGCCTTCGACAGATTCGATTATCGAGCCTGCGGGGTTGGAAAAGGCTGCCGAGTCTTGGGACATGTAGCTGGCGCCGAGATCTTCGTCACCCTCGGCTTCGTCGGGGTAGTCGCTACCTTCGCCGTCACTCATTTCGTCATCGTACTCATCGTCGCCTTCGTCTTCATCGGCGTCGTCGTCTTCACCCTCGTCCTCACTGTCGGTCGTGGAGAAGTCATCGAGCTCTTGTGGTGTGTCTCTCCAGTATGTGAAGTCCGTGTATTCTTCGCCTCCAGACTGCACAAGCAAACTGGTTGGTGGGAAGAAGTGATCAAGTAGCTCTTGCATCGTCACATAGCTGCTCTTGTATTTATTGAGACTGAGCAGATCCAACGAGACCTCGGCGTTTGAGTTGATGGTGAAAATTCGAGTGGATGGAATGTTGACAGAGCGATAGCTCAACGCGTCGGTCAATCGGTTTCCGAATCCAGCATAGAATGGATTCTCTTTGCCACAGAAGAGATTGAGAATGTCACGGAGACATGCCATTTTGAAAACTTCAGGCTTTCGTAGATAGATCTCTCGTCGAAGAGCCGCCATAGTGCGATCTGGACTACAGATGACGGGTCCCCTAGGAAGTCTGTACCCATCTTGGCAAATGCCATTCAGATAGGCACGCGTGGTATCGGTTTGACCCACGGACCGACTGGTAAGATACATAATGTTGTACCCATTGTTCACAATGTCGGTATAAAGCTTAGCGACGCCAGCGTGCGTCCAGTCACGTCCGATCATGTTGAGAACGTGGCCCAGCGCATCGGACTTGGTAATGGTTCCATCAATGTCAGAGATCACGATGGGGGTGTTTCCATTCCACAAATACATGTTCGCTGTGCAAATCGCTCTATTGACACTGAAAGACATGGTGTTGGCGCCAGGCTTCAGCTGCAAGGCCTTGAGCTGATCGCTAGTTAAGCGGAGAGTCTTGGCGTAGTTGCGAGTCTCGACCTCGAAAGAATCATGCAAAGGCGAGTGCGGGGGCGTGGGGAACCCAGGTTGGACATCTGATTTGGTCCGATGGTGACGTGAGGTCAAGGAAGGCTCCGAGACGGGATGATCGCCGTCACTGTGGTATCCTGGGTCAGAGATGGCATCATCGTTCAACACGGTGTTGGGACGCATGGAGTTGAGAGTCGCTCTCCGATCAGCCAGCTCCTTGGACTCTTCGCTGCTGTAGATCCACAGGTTACCATGCTCATCGGCTCCAATCAATGCGCCGATATCATAGCTCCCTTCGAGTTCCTCTGCGAGGATCTTGCGGGCAACGATCTCAGCGCGGAGCGCATCCTCATCGTTGCTTTTATACCCAGTCATATCCAGCATCAGATCACCCGTCTCGTTAACATGAGATGGGATGTTGGAGCCAGACAGCTTCTTTGAGAGTACTTGGGCACGAGAAACCGCCTCCTCTGGGGAAATAGGAGGTGGGCTGCGAGAACGGTCCGCTTCGCCCTCGGCCTCAGGAGTCTCCTCATCTTCACTTGCCTGCTGGCCTCCCAAGGAGTGTCGAGGCGAGGTGAGCGGAATCACGTTATCCGAGAGGGAGTGGTCAAGGGGCGGCTTGCCGCCGAGTGAGCCGTGTCGTGAATGAGATAGGTTCGATTCGTTGGGAGATTGCGATAATGGGGTAATTGTTCCTGGTCTCTCGGTCAGTAACTATGGACTTGGATTGAGGAAGGGAGGAACGAAGGTACATACCTAAATCAGTGTTCGCTCGCATCTTGGTCGCCTGTATTCCCATCGCCGGTGGGGTCTTTGCACCTTCCGACAAGGCATCGTTCCCTTTGTCCAGATCGAAGAAGTCGGGCTCTTGTAGTGAAGGCGGAAGATCCGGTTCGCTCTGAGCCCTTGGGCTTGCTGCCGGAGAGACCAACGGCGAAGTCTGTAAGGATGCGGGGATCTCATCGGTCGTCTCGAATACAAAGAAGGCCTCGCCTCCTTCTCCGAGCTTCATGGCATATTTCTGCTGGACCCCGTTCACCTTGAACTCGACCTTTTTCTCAAACGGACGCAAGAGCGAAAACTTTCCAAATCGGACATGAAAGGGCGAACATGCGAGGGTACCTAGTCGATTAGATTAGTATGTGCTGTCACCAGCAGTTGCCATAGAGTCGTTTACCATCTTCTTGCTCAATGACAATGACATCAATAGCCCCGCTGAGGGTGGCCGGGTTGATAGAATTCCATGTCTTGGAGACCGAACCACCAATACTCCGGACGTACTGCATCCCTCCAAGTGGTGTCTAGCACCTCTGAATATCGATATATGCAAAAAAGAATGCGGGAGGCGAATGAAGTCGGGAACTGAGACAAGTTTTGAGAAAATCGGAGGTTGGAGTGCCGCCTTCCCAAGGGCCCATGTGACACTTCAGCAGACAAGGCGCATAACCACGGGACATCCGAGAATGTGAGGCTTTTTTTTCGCAAATACAAAGACCGAAGAATCGATCGGAAGAGCATCTACAGATCTAAGGTTCTTTTTCTCCAAAAAACTAAACCACATTCAGGCCAACGGTTCAACATCTCAACCTTCGCCCGCACCCCAACATTTTTAGTTACGTCAGCTGCCGAGGCACTGAGAGAAGAGTGGACCTGCGTCGATCGGCGTCTTGTTTCTTCGTTTGGACGCAATTACAAGTGAAGACTAGAAATCACTGGCAAACTCGAAACACAATGTGTTTGGGGTGGATGCACTGGATTTTGAGCCAACTGGGCTCTCTTCCCAACATTCAATGGTGCCAAAAACATCATTGCCTCGAACACCAGCCGTAAGATAAAAAGCCATCAGGCATCATGTTGCATGAGCAAGGGGACTTCCGTACTTACGTCTACGTCTATAAGTATTTATTGGCGTGTACTTTCCAGCCAGCGTGCTTGGCACCTGTCGACAAATATCACCCGATGTACTCCGTACGCTGCCTAGGAAACTTGGTTTTTATTATTTCTCTCTCTTTTCGACAAGTCCCGATGGTTCAAGCCGAACCAATCGTGTCCTAAGGCCAGTACCTTCCATAGCCGGTACGGAGTAGCCTGCACCGAGTACAAGGCCCATAGTCCATAGCCTTTGCATCTTCGAAGACATTTCATAGAAAAGGATAGACATATTAGCGTGTGATTTGACTCATTGGGTCTAAGAGACATGCGCTGGCAATCTCAATCTGTCCAGACAGTTGCTTATCATTATGTCCTCCCACTATACCCAAGTAAGTGCCCGATAACCGCCAACGCCAGTCAGGGATGGTTGGATTTTGGTGAATTTCCCGAGCCGCCATTGATATATGGCTCTCAATGTCGTCCAAATGGCCATGGAAACCTTGGAATTAACTGCATGAACCCCTCCACCGATGAAGATCTTGATGCTACATGGTAGGTCCTCCCTAGAGAGCCTCCGAAAAGCCAATACTGATGTCTGAAACTACATACAGGATCCCGCCAATCGGGAGAGCTCTTTCGTGCTAAGCTCCAGGCTTTAGAGAAATTGTTCCAGCGGGCGTTTGGCCCTTTTCAACCCGGTACAAATGAACTGATCTACCCGACGGCCCCATTCCCGCTAGTTTCGCCTAGTGGCACATCCGAACTACGGGATCGCCACGGCGCCTGGTCTTGGTTTCAATCCGAGTCCATTGACGGGGTTCTGCCCGGTCTCAATGACTCTTTGCTCTCAATTGCCTCTATCTTAAAGGAGTCAGGCCCCTTTGACGGAATCATTGGATTTAGTCAGGGCGGGGCTTTGGCTGCTATGATTGCCTCCCTTCTAGAAGAAAATCGATCTGATGCTTTTACTCAATTGAGCTCAGAGGGTGGCATTGAGTTTCCAGAAGCCTTTGCTCAGCTCACTCATCCACCACTCAATTTTGTCGGGAGCATCTCGGGTTATGCTGTGTCCCACTTGGATTATTGTGCGTTCTATAGCCCTGCTATACGGACGCCCACGCTGCATTTTCTCGGAAGTATGGATACTATCGTAGAAGAAGAGGTCTCCATGAAACTTGTACATTATTGTCATGAAGGCAATAAGACCAGTCCAATCGTGGTACGGCACTCTGGTGGACACATTGTTCCTGGTGGCAAGAAGGAGCTCAGTGTGGTCACGCAATTTATCAAGCTGCATACAAGTTGAAGGGGAAAGTGCTATGGTCAAAGGAAATGTTTGACACAATAGAGGCCTGGGGTGCATCCCATTGTCCCTGTTTGCCTAAACTTAACATCAATCAACAATCCACTCCGCTCTCTTTGCTCTCCCTCTCTAATTCATCATCAAGCTTGTCACGCTCGGCCTGCAGAGAGCTTAATAATGTCATCTGCATAATATAACTGATGCTTTCCCTCTCACCAGGACTTTTCTTACTTATATTTATATTTTTACCTCGTTCGGCCTTCACCTCAGCTGAATTAACACTGGGTGAAGGTGCTCTAGGTGCTCTCACACCTTTAGCAGCCTTGTTGCACACAGAGCTGACACAACTACTCATGGATCATGGGAAAGCATCGCTGACAGACTTGATCCCTCTGGCTCTGTCTGCTTCATTCCAAAAACTGGGGTCAACTGCAATCCTGGGTGTGAGTAAGAGTAAGACCAACTGACTCCTATATTCATGATCTTCGATTCAAGATTCAGAGTCACTAACATCTCTTCAAAGATAACGCTGTATCAACTTCTCTGCCCCTTCTCCCCCATCCTGGCTGCAATGAGTGGCTATGATGAGGCCTTGAAGGCGACATTTCCTTCTACTCTTCGCAAAAATTTGAAAGACCCGCGGAGTTCAAAACAATCGAATGTCATACTTGGATGAACAGCAACCCAACAATAGAGAAAAATATCACATTTTTCTTATTCTGAGCTTTATCCAAAGAATTGTTCCCTTCTCGGGGCCATTGCAATAATCAAACTCGCCTCCGAAAGACATCTCCTGGATTAGGTGCTCCCGTCCTTTGTCTTGCTCATCAATCGTCATTGAGGAACCCAGTGACTTCCAAGAATGACGTTCTGGTGAATGTACTGGCCGCTCATGTCATGCATGTGACTCTTTTCACACAAAACTTTATGTTGCCTAGAGGCAGCTAATTCAATATAAGGGCTCTGGTGCGAGAAGCATCTTTTTACACAGCGGCCGCACTTGAGACCCCCCGCGGAAGAGATATCTCCCACAGCCATGCAGTCCGGCACTGGCGATGCCCTCTTCATGCTGGCCCCGGAAATAATGTTCCGAGCAATCAATCATCCGCTACTCCCAGGACGGTTGTTCGAATCAGTACAGCCTCATGGATGGAAACTTCCTCGTTTTCGACATCTAACACGGAGCATCGACTATCTCTTTCTCTTCCCACCTTGCCTTTTGCATCGAGCACTTCTCGGGAGATAAGACGCACGCTGCAACCTTCGATGCCTTGATTGTTGCAATCTCCAGAAGAAAATTTCGATGCAAGGTGAAACCAACAGCGTCGGCACAATTATTTCCAAGTAAGCAGAAATGTGATCATGGCTTGTAGGATGGGCTAACAAAGGACAAGAACAGGAACCCCCACAACTCACCGATCATTGGCTATGTCCACGGAGATGGCGCGACGTGGACTCCGAATCCACCACTCCGTGGATGGGTACTGGGGGCGCAAGGAGGCCAGCGTGGAGGCAAAGGAGGATGGTGAGGATGAAGAAGAGGTGGTGAAGATGGAGGGGCTTAGGACATCTCAAAATTCTCTTGGGGACTCAAATCCCCGGGGGAGGGTTGGTGCTAATTGGCAAGAATTGATCGAATGATTGAAGATGAAGATGTAGGGAATCCTTGGATACCCTACGGACGTAGCTTTGGCACTACTTTATGATGTTCCCTACAGCTCTATCGACGTAGACGACCGACACACCTAGACAGAGAGTAAGTTTGAAGCGAATATACGAATGACTCGTTCGTTGATGTTCACAAGCACCGAATAGAGAATCAATGCCTGTACAGAGCATTCAAGTACTCAGCCTGATCATGGCGTAGGGAACATGTAGACAGTTTTTCATCTATCTGTCAGAAGATATTAGCAAATGGTTCATTGATTAGGTAGACCACGTCAAAGACTGATGATATGGTGAAATAGGTGTCAAGTATGAATAGGTACTTGTTTTATGGATTGCTCAATAGCATACAGATTGGTAATATCCAAGCTTGTCAGAAGCCTTTATACTGGGGATAACCTCGGTAGTGTGTTCCCAATGCGGACTAGCGGCTGATCCTAATCTACACTAAGCCCAATAAGACTAGTTCTGAATTTGGAGATCACGTGCACGCTATCCCGCCAAATTGAAGGCGTTTGCGATCCTTCCGTCTCTCTCGATCCCGCTGCCCGCGTCCATGGGTAATTGACGCTGGGATGTATGAGCCGCTTTACTTCGCATTTGACGCTTACCCAGCTGTGGTCCCTCGCGTGCGAGTACGAGGTGTCATGGCTCTCTTCCTTGCCGTCTCGATATTATGGGCTCTGATCTGGTAAGTCCTTTGTCCCGTTGACTCTGTGACCCAACTGACGCATTTTTGATCAGGCTTCTGTACCGTGCATGGCAGGTCTGTCAAACGTCAAATGAGGTCTTGGTCGAGAAGCTCGGTCTAGACATTCCTCCGCCGCCAGAGGTCACACTCGAGGAAATCACTGCCCGTGAGATTCGCCTTGCTTGGAAGCAACCGGACTTTCACAACTCAATACACAAGCATATCATTCAGGTCAACAATGTCAAAGGTACGCAGATGCAAAATTTTTGTCGACAACCCCCATGCTAACGGGTGCTGTCCACAGTTGGTGAATCCAAACGAGCAGAGACAGCGGTGGAAATCTCCAACTTACTGCCTGGGAGTATTTACCATATCTGCGTGCTTTCCCTCAGTGCCGCCAACTTCCAAACCCCCAGTGCGATCCTCCATGTCCGAACCAAGTCCCTTCCGCTTTCTCAGGCCCAGCAAAACGGCAGTGCCGGAGGCCCAATCGTCCGCGCCTCGATTCCCAGGTCGACAGTTGGCTTGCCAACCCCTTCCGCTCCGATAATGTCTCGCGAACACAGCACCGGTCAGCTACCCGGCAAAAGGCCTTCCGCCGGGCGAAAAATCTCTCCCGCTGCCGGAACGCTGGAAACTGCACACGGCAACTTTGAAGAGAACTTCAAAAGCAGAGCCCAGACCGCCAAGGATGAGACCTTAGAGCAATTGGCAGATCGCTTGAAGGCATTGCAGCATGAAAACGAGAGCGTGGAGAAGCAAGGAACAGAGGAAGAAGACGAGCACATTGCACTGCTGAAGGACTTGGAAAAGCAACGCAGCGAACTCAGGAAGCGTGTACGGGAGAAGGATGAGGCTAGTGGTGATTTGAAGAAGCACGTCTACAAGCTCGAAAGTGTCAATCGGACAGTGCAGGGTGAAAAGTCAAAACGCATGCGACTCCTTCAGCAGAAAGAGGCGGAGCGCAAGAAACGCAAGACCGACATCCTGAGATGGCAGGAGAAGATTGCGCGCATGGAATCCGATGCCGAGCAGGCAAAGGGGGACAAGTCCAAAATCGAAGTTGAAGGGACTGAGCGCGCAGACGAAGTCCGGGAAAAGATCGCCAAAGAGCAGCAAGAGATGAAGATGATTGACGACGAGATTCAGGACAAGGGAGGCCGAGTCAAGAAGCTCGAGGAGGAGAGAATGGGGTTGCAGGACGGAGACAGTGAGGACGGGAAGGAGCTGGATCGAATTGACAATGAGCGAGCTCGGCAATGGGAGCACAAGTTGGGCAGTTTGCATGCACGATATGCCACCCTGGTCAATCTTCATGCGCAAGCTCAGCAGCAATATCAAGAAGCGCAAGAACGCCTGAAATGGCTGACAGCTCAGCGGCCGGGCAGCTCAGGTGCTTTCGCGCTGCCATCTTTAGACCTTGATATGTCCAACCCCGGTACTACTATTCGACCCCGTCGTCATCGCAGCTCGCTCGTCAGCAATGTCTCCTCTCCACTGAACTTCCCGGGTATCGACACTTCATTCTCAAATGGCCTCAGTTACAACCAGTCCAATCACTCGCCTACTTTCCCTCCAAGCTCTGCCTTCTTCAACATCAACAATGGCATGGCGCTCCCCGGCTTGTCTGACCCGCCGGAGGTCATGCGCTCAGATTCCGAAGTCACCTTCAACAATCCGCAAATGAGTCCGCGTGCGGATGCTTTGTTACCATCCGATCTCCTCGGTGACGAGGAGCTTGCGGACTTCCCAAGACCGATAACTCGTCCACGATTCGCGACCATGGATACATCTACCAATCCTCTTGATAGCTTTGGTCACGGGCCAGTGTCGCCTGTCTCCTCGGACAGCCGAGCTGGTAGCATTTTCGCAAGCCCTCTTGAAACCCAACCCCGACAGGATGAATCTCAAGGGGTTCATTTATCGGCTGCAGGGGAAGCCCCCAAGAGTGCATCCCGCAGACTCTCCGGGCTCTTCAATTTCCATCGACCTCGTGGAAAGACCCTCGCAGACGAATCACCTATGTTGGGTACATTGAAACCTGGACAAAGTCAATCATTCCCGCGGAACCCCGATGAGCTGGACCCGATCGGTGCCCGTCGCCGGCGGTCGAGCTACACTGGAAACTGGGCGAATCCAATGTCCCTGTTCCCTCGGAGCAACACAACTGGTGTTACCATGGACAGCTCTTCAGACCATGCACCTTCCCGGCGAGCCGCTTTCTCGAGTATCTTTTCGTCGGGCAAGTTTGGGTTTGGCGGTACTGGCTCTCGTGGCAACTCTGACCTTAGCTCTGGGTACAACCAGTTTAGCCCTCGGCATGATCCTATCGATCCATCGTCGCTTCTCGGCGGGGTACGACGTGGCTCTTTGTCTCCGCGACCTTCATCTACTTCGTTTGACACCCAAAATCAACTTCCTCACCCCTCGACAGACAACCGTCATTTCGGATGGCCGTCGATGGAGAACGCCGGGCATCGCAACAGCCCTCTTGGGTTTGACTGGGCTTCGCCATCGACTTGGTCTCGAGCTCCCTCTCGACGACCTTCGATCTCCTACGGGTCATCCGGTCACCTTCCTTTAGGTCTGACGGGAGAACCAGATTTCGTGGAAGACAACTTTGAGCGTCATCACCGGCCACTCCAAGCACCAATCGGTACTCGCCCTTCTTCTTCTCATCGGCCACTGACCCCGAAGCTGAATCCCAATGCTCCGGCTTTCACGGCCGTCTTTGCTGGCGAGAACTCGGACAAGGAAGAGACAAAGGACAACGGGCCTGAAAGTCCATTCCAAATGCGCGAGTATGACGGGTCGCCATCCGAGCCTCGTACCTCCCGCTCCCTTTCGCACTTCACCGCTGATTCTTATGAGTCGCTGGAGCGTATGCCATCTGGAACTTCTGTAGACAACGCCTCCAAGGAATCCTTCATCCGCAAGATCACCCGCAAGGGCAGCTCTAGCAAGTTCAGCTCGTGGAAAGACCGCTCAGGACTCTTCTCCAAGAAGGACACCTCTTCGCAAGGCGATATTGACGAGGACACTGCTAGCGAGGCACAGCTTGGAAAGAGTGTTGACAGCACTGTCTCGAGTGTCGCTTCCGCCGACCGTTCTACTCGGAGTAGTCTGGGGTTCTTTTCCCGCAAGTCTCGTCGATCTGACAAGGCCAGTGAGACTAGTGAGCGAGCCAGTGAAACTGGTGACGAGGAGATTCCAGAAGAGGTTGAAACCTCATGATTTGTATTTATGGACTCGACGTCCCTCCTTCCCTTCATTCTTGTTTCCTTAAGGAGTACCATACACCATGCCGGGTTTTCCGCGATTGATATGCATCTAAGCCACATACGAATCTTTCCACTCTCTATTTCTTGAATAAATATTATTATTTCTTCTACGTCCTCATGTGTTGCTCCTTTGTAGTCTAAAAACACACTGCTTTCTTTTTGTCAGGTCAAGTATTCCATCTAGCACCTCCACCAGAGCATGGCTCAAGTAGCAGTATGTCGGGCACAATGTGCGGATGCGATTTCTGCCCGCCCGCACAAAATGACTCTTTCACTCGACGAACCACTATTGTTTCCCAGCCAAATCCAACATGGCGAACTCAAGGTAAATAAGATCCAACTGATCACATTCCAGCTCCTCATAATTTACAGATTTGAATACGTCAAGAACTTTGAGCAGCCAGATGTGCTGCTCCCCAACACCTGGATTGTGGTTCGCATTGATGGACGAGGATTCCACAAGTGAGTGCCTTCTTCTCTCGGTGGTGGGCCTTGTCGCAGCAAGCTCAAGACGCAAGTTTGCCTCTTGGCTCATCTCGATCCGAGCTTTGACCGCTGCATAATGTACTACTGCATATGCTCAATATTCTAACATTTCCAGACTTTCCGACCATTATGGCTTCGTAAAGCCCAATGACCGTCGCGCGCTGGATCTGATGAATGCCGCTGCAGTCGAAGTCATGAAAGACCTTCCAGATCTATGCATTGCCTACGGCGTTAGTGATGAGTTCAGGTATTTCAGCTATGCCAATACCAGCATCCACTTCAATCGCTCACCTCTACCAGTTTTGTATTCCATCCTAATTGCCAGCTCTTTGAGCGGCGTAATGGGTGAGTCCTATACATCCATTCCCACGAACTATCGTTAAACAATCATAGGAAACTGGTAACGACCGTCGTCTCAACTTTCACTGCATACTATATCTACAAGTGGAGCGAATACTTCCCAGATACGCCACTTAAGCCGCCTCTTTTACCTTCATTTGATGGCCGTGCGGTTATCTATCCCAATGCTCAGATCTTGCGTGATTATATGAGTTGGAGACAGGTTGATTGTGAGTAGCTCGATCCATTCATCTTGTTACATCTAGCTAATTCAATAATCTCAGGCCATATCAACAACCTCTACAACACCACTTTTTGGCATATGGTGTTGAAGGGCGGCCAGGGTAATACAGAGGCTGAGCTAGAGTTGAAGGTAGGAAATATCCTTCTCCCTTCAAGCTACCCGGTATTGACATGATTACAGGGTACCGTGGCAGCGGATAAGAATGAGATTCTCTTCAAGCGATTTGGAGTGAACTACAATAATGAATTGGAGATCTACAAGAAGGGCACTGTTCTCTATCGTCAGGTACAAATCGTGTCGCTCCATCCCGCCCTTTCACCGCTAACGTCCGTAGTATGAACTGGAAGAGCCGAAAGCTACACCAGCATTGGAAGAACAACAACAGCCCGAGGCAAAGCAGTCACGATCACAGCAAGACAAGGTCCGTAAATTGCGCCGGAAGGCACAAGTTGCGGTCGATCATGTCGATATCATTAAGGATGAGTTCTGGAACAGACGGCCGTGGATCCTATCAGGAAACCCGGGCAAGTTACCGGTCACCGAGCAATAGAACGCATTCTTCACGTGCCAAACAAAAAGGGTATCTTGGTTTCTATATGGCGTAGGGAAAATTGATATATGCAACATTATATACATGAGACGCCGTGGAAATGGAACTTTTCAGAATCAGGCTTTGGCCTTTTTAGACTTCTTCTTGGAGTCTTCGCCTTCTGTGCTCTTCTTCACTTTCTTTTCCTTCTTCTCTTTCAATCGAGAAGCAGCTTCATCCAAATCGACCTTTGATTCAGGCTCCTGGTCAATTGACATGGGCGTAGGATAATCTTCTCCCTCCTTCTCCTTCTCCTTCTCCGCTTCCAACTTCTTCGCCTTCTTCGCAGCCCTCTCAGCAAGCTTCTTTTCCCTCCTCTCAACCTTCGCAACCCGCTTCACCCTTCTCGCCTCCTTCCGCACAGCCTTCTGTTCTTTCTTCACAGCCTTCTGCGCGCGTCGCGCAGCTCTCCCCCTCCTTCCTCGCAGCCTTCTCTTCCTTCTCCTCCTCACGCTTTAGCCTCGCCAGCTCCTCTGGCGAAACCTCTGGTGTATCTTCTGTTTTATCCGCCTTCTTAGGATCGAGCGTCCCCGCCAGCCCAGACCCCCTCACGAAATGGCGGTAAAGTTCACTGGTGAGGGCATTGCCTTCGCGTGCAGATTTGGCTTCGTGGTTATCTTCGCCAACGCCCTTGAGCGCGTCTTCAAAGCCACGGAGCCACCATTGGTTCGAGGCGTCTTTTGTGGTCTTCTTGCCTACACCGTGGTTGTTGGATTTGCGCGCGACAAGAATTGGTCGTGTGAGACCGAGACCGCCGTGTAGGCCTGGTCTTTGGTTTGGGTTGAGTGGATTGCCGGGGCCGGACCAGCCGTGCTTGATTAGGTAGGCTTGGGCGTCCATGTTGATGTGCCCTTGAGGATTGAGGGAGGAAGATAGGTGGTTGGGTATTCGTCGGGGCGCAACGTGTATGATAGTCCGGGTGGTTTCAGTGATGTGGAGACTTGAACATTCGAGCAGACAGTCCGGTGGTATGGAGCATGTATATTAGTTGGACAAAAAGTCCACTGTGCCTGAGAAGAAAAGTTCGGATAAGACTGAAAAAAGTTGGAGATAAGAGTTTATGCCCGATCTCTCAGGCATGACAAGTAAGTCTAGTTACATGTTCACAATACCTTACGAAATGGATTTCCCTATCACGTAAGTTTTTTTTCTCTTATACCTCTTGTGCTGTATTACACACGCAAATTACAGCTGCTATTATATTGAGATACAGCTATATGTACAGAAAGTACTTTGGGCCCTAGGTAGTTCTCCAGATGTCTGGACAGCTAGTTAGTCAGCAAGTGAGGCCTCCAGAATAAGGCCTCAACACAGTGCCTCTGGTACTACGCCACTACAGTCCGGTTCCCTCATATTGGGTGGTGCAGGTATCCAATAAAAGCCACATTGGGATCCTTCTCACTACTCCAACGTCTTTACGGAGTACATACCACAAACCTTCGTATGTGACGTCATGTGACATTGCTCTGCTTTGATGGGGATCAACTTCAGTTTTCAACATCAGTGTCTACCTCAACCCGGACCTCCTTATCGCACCAGACATTGGCCACAATGCCCCCCACATTGTATCCTAGTAGTGGTTCTAATACCACGAGGAAGCGCATGAGGAAAGGTACCCGAAGCTGCATTGCCTGTAAGTATCTACTGTCATTTTTCTCCAATCAAGGCTCATAAACTCAATAGGCAGGAATCGAAAAGTTCGATGTGTCTTCCAATCCGACAACTCTGACAGCTGTATACATTGCTTGAGGCGCAACTCTGTGTGTGTTCCACAGGACCCATCAATGAGCCATATTCAAAGCAATGCCGGTGGGTGTCATGAACACCAATCCCCTCTGATAGAAGCTTTTCAATCCCTACAAAGGCGATTGAAGCCGGTACTATCACTCACATCTATTCCTTTGTCACCTACGCGACAGTCACGACCTATAGCCATCTCTGGTACAGCCGATAGCCGCAAATACAGGGAGACCGATTGTGCTCCGGTTATAAAACTGATCGGTAACGAAATGGTATATAAATCTCATTTCAATGAACAGCTGGTATGCATTTCTAACCAAGATACAGAGTGACCATTTTCTTATATCAGAAGAATCAATGGATCAGCAAGATTCATCGCACAACCAGCACACCAATACTGATCCGGAGCTCTCTTCCAAACATAAAGAGGCCCTGCAAGGTCTTTGTGCTTCCCTGCCGGCGATATCTGACCTTCAAGATATTTTGATGAATCAAAGCGGATGGTGGGAATCCTGGCGTGATGCCTTCGGTCTTTCTTGGGGGAAGAAACAGACAAAAGCCTTGAAGATTTCGCTATTCGTGCTTTTCGCTCCGGGGATCCCTGCTTACTTGGAAGTCTCCTTGTGTGCTTGGCCCTTGGCACTGGTGTCTTTGAAACATATCTGTCGGCTGTAGAGCGATGGGTTTTACATGACGATGACCTCGCCGGTTGCCAGTATGGACTCGAATGCCTGATGGGACTGGGTCTTTGTTATTTCAGTGCTATGCAACACCACCGTGCGTGGTCTGTTTACCGACGAGCGAATACCCTCCTTCAGCTACAGGGTATTCATCGAGCACACAGAGAATCAGAAAAACTTGACGGAATATTTTGGCAGCTATTCCACGCCGATCGATGGCTCAGCTTGATGATTGGTCTTCCCTACTCTGTGCCAAATGGACTCTGTGATCTTTACATCCCTCCGGCGGGCTCTGGTTCCTTCACCACGTTTCATCACCGCCATCTCGCCATTTTAACCAGTCAAGTTATTGACTGTATACAAGCCACTAGTGCGCCTTCTCTGTCCACTATTTCTGCAATCGATGAGAAGATCGATGCTTTGGCTACCCATCTCCCACTACACTACCTCGATATAACTTATATATCTAATCTGCAGGATAAGAGAGAGAAATACGCCCGCATTTACCGGCTAACGCAAGTACACCAGCTCAAATCGTACTTGCATTTGCCGCTATTTCTCCAGCGCTTCAATTTACCTAAGCGTAGGTATGGCCGGGAAATCTGTGCGAATAACTCCCGATTATTCCTGGAGGCTTTCTTTTTACTCTGTGGCGATGACCCCCAGAGAGCCAGCACAGACAACAGCATCAAACTTACGGGATTCTCGGCATTCACTGCGGCAGTGACACTATTTCTCACTATCCTCGACAACACACGGGGCACGACCAAAGACTCAGTCACTCCATCTGAAAATAACAAATATGATGAAACATTGATCAAAAAAGCAATGGAAACATTGCAAATCTGCTCAGCGGGTAATGTGGACTCGTTGTGCGGCCGTTGTCTTGAGGCATTGAATGGATTGGTTTCAGTCTGCCAAGAGACAGGGTATGATACTGTTCACAAGGTCGATTTGCCATATTTTGGCATTCTATCTATCATCCCCAAGTCAAGTGACCCTTTGAGTGTCCCTGGAGATTTCTCGCCCAGGGAGGACTCGTTTTTTGACTTCTCTGACTCACTGAATGACATATTTTGGAGCTATGAAGGTCCTTTGGCGAGTCACGACCTTTTATCTCCAAACCAGATTTCCTCCCTTTTGGAAGGTGTCTGATATTTTACACACTACAATTTTAATATCGAACATTGGAAATATTTCGTCTTTCATTCATGTGTCATCCACTTAGTCACATCAGCTCTTTGCAAATTAGCATCATGCCCCAACTGGCATCCCCATCGTACATGACCATCATTTGTCCACACAATATCTCCGTCCTCCCTGCTTCATCTGGGTCCCAAAGCTTCCACACACAGGTGCTATAACACCTAATTACGCCTGTAAAAGCACTCTCGCTGCCGGGCTTGCTTTGGACATTTGGTAATGGTGTTTGCTCTACGCTGGAAGAAAAAAAAAATGAGGGATGTGGGTTCGATTCCGTGAAAACGAGATACTTTTAACGCATGCCTCCAGGCTGTAAATTAGGTCAACCTTGAGATTACATCAAGCCCAAATCCCTTGCATCGATTTCGAGCGAATTCTCAAGCTCGTCTTCATAGCTTGGCATGGTTGGTTGCCAGCCCAATAGTTTCCTGCCGCGCAAGGCGATCCCACGCGAGTCCACACCAATCATCACCTTTAACCAAGGTGAAAAGCTCTCGCTCTCTTCTGGGGTTACGGAATCGACAGTGGGCGATGCCACCAGTCCTTTTCTATAGAGGATGCTAGCCGCGAGCGACAACATCTCACGGTTGACATAGTAGCCATTTTCTGCCAGATAATACCCTTGTTCATTCCAAGTAGCGTTTCCACCACCATTGGCGGCTGCCTCTCCTAGAAGAAGATAAAGCTTGCTGAGATCTTGCACGTGAATGTTATGCCAGATATTATCGCCCTTGCCGACAGTGACAACCCTTTTGTGGGTAAGAAAAGTCTCGAACAGTGGTGCCGATTTCGTCTTGTCCGGGCCTCGCCCTTGGCCATAGATCACAGCGGGGGCAACAATGGCAGTTCGAACTTTGGATGGATCCGCAGCCAGTACCACCTTGTCGACGATGCGGTGGGGTGCATGGTCGGGAAGAGAGGTCAATTCATTGATACGATCCCAATCATCATACTGTTTGTCAAACCGCTCGCCATATCTTCCAGTAGAGAGGGTCTCGGAGGCCAGTGCAAAGCCACCTGACGTATGGATATAGTAGGCAGGGCCATCTGCTTGCCGGCGGCTTAGGCCTCGAACGATGGCTTGTGCAGAAGGGACATGTTCATCACTACCGGCGGAATGAAAGACGATATCTGCGGCGAAAGCTTCTTTCTCGATCAAATCCACGTCGTCTGTTGTTCCGTAAACCAGCCTCGCCTGGGGGTAAGCTTCTTGGACTTTGGCACCTTTCTCCTTGGTTCGGACAAGACAAGCCAATTCCCAGCTTGGATGAGCACGGGAGACAGAATATAGGATGTCGCCTCCAACAAGGCCTGTCACGCCAGTGCTATAGTCAATCATGTTAGCTTGGTTCATACACAGCTTCCAATCCTGTGACAGTCTTACATAAAGACTTTGAGTGCCATTTCTCACAGTGGGTTCAGCCCATATGAAGAATTTGAGGGAGTGAAGATGTGAGCAGAATCAGGGTACTTTAAAATCCAGACTCATTGTCCACGGGCCCCGGAGCATTTTATTTCATGCTGTTGACTCTCGTCCGAACAGGCAAGCAGGTCTTGGTCCGAAGTTGGGCCAAGTCAGCTCGGATGAAAGATGAACTTATTGGTTCTGGTCCACACTCCCGTCCACAGCCCCAATAGGATGCTTCTCTTAGCCCGAGGCCTTCACAAAACGACCGAGATCCTCCTGGGGAGCTCGGTCGAATCTATTTCACTGGCCCTAGTTTGTCCGAACTATCAACCTCAAAAAGCCGTTTTTCTCGTCGCATAAACTTCACATCTCAATTCTCCCATTCTTCCATCCCCTCTTCTTCACCCCTTTGACAACATCAAGCTACATTCTCTCGATCTCTCTTACTTCTACTTCTGGCCCGCCGGGATGGCTGAGAATAGTCGCCCTGAGGATGTTCAAATTATCGAACGGCTTCCTATCCACTGCGCAGACCGTACGTTGGAGGCTGGACTCGGCCCAAACTGGCCATTAGGCCCCTTCGACCACCTCGTTTTTCCTTCGGTCCCTATTGAAGTTGTGCTCGTGTACGAAAATCCACATGCAAACTTGGCCTCGCCGTCGTCTCCCCACGAGATTCTTCAACTTCCAAAACTCCAGCAAGCGCTTTCTCGGCTACTCGACTATTATCCGCACCTAACAGGTCGTCTCCAGTTCAATCCTGATAGCCGAGCGGCCGAAGTCTCTCACATCGGGACTGGAGCCGAGTTGCTTGTGGCTCAATGTGCATTACAGCTGAAGGATCTCACCACACCGGATCGTGCGAATGGTCGTATCTTGGTGACGAGCTTGCCGGATTGTGGTAATGCTTTAACGCCACCTTTTGATCCTACTATTGAGGGTATTTGCCGCGACCCTATCTTTGCCGTCCAACGTACGCGATTCTCTTGTGGAGGAGTCGCTCTTGGTATACGGCTACACCATATCGTTTGCGATGCATCCGGGTTTTTCCACCTGGTCAAAGATCTTGCAGAAATCTATCGGAATCTCACTGGCTCCGAGAACCCGGTTCTTCTCTCTGCTCCTGAGATCCGTTCTTATCTCCGACATCCAAATCTTATGCCCGATGATGAGCAGCAGGAAGCTATTGAGTTTGAACCGTCCATTTTCTGCTTGAACGAGAGCAATGATGCAGAACAAAGCAACCCAGGCCCGAAAACCGAAGTCTCTGATACCCCGTCAAAGATCACCGGAAAAGTTACTGGACGTGTGTTACGCTTTACGGGCTCTCAACTGAAGCATCTCAAAGACTTGGCAACCGATCCTGAGGGCGCAAGCTGGGTATCGACATTTGAGGCGCTTTCGGCATATCTTTATCAGCAGGTATATCGTGCACGAGTGCATTTAATGAAGTCCCATGGGGTACCCTCCTCTGAAATTGCTTCATGCTTTTCTCGTGGTTTCTGGGGCTCTATCGACCTACGTGGACCTACTCGCCTCAACCTTCCAGAGAGATACTTTCCAAATGCTGTTGCGCCTCTCATTCTTTCCGAGTCTTCACACGAATTGCTCGCTGACGGTCCGCTGTCGCAAGTAGCGGGCGCCCTCCACACTGTTGTAAGAGCGTTCGACCCAAAAAAGATGGACAAAGAAATGAAGTGGGTTGCTTTGCAGCCCGACAAAAGTCGAATCAAGGTTAAATTCAACTTCAGTGGCGGAAACTTTACCGTCAGTCAATGGAGCAAGCATGATATGTACACTGGTGTTGATTTTGATGCCGATGAAAATAAGAGCCCGGTTCACCCTGCTCTTATCTCTCCGCCACTCACTGAAATATCTCGAGTTGATGGTTTGGCACTTATCTTGTCGACGGAGGAACAGTTGAGCCGACATACCAAGCATGAAGAATCTCCCGAGCTGCCATGTTCGATAGATGTCAATTTGACACTCATGGAGCACCTGTGGCCAATTCTTGATGCAGATGAAGAATTTCGGCAGTATTGTTGCTGATCTCACTTAGCTCTTTCTAAGATGTTGGCTTTGTTTTATCCAAGAATCAAAGGCTTCACATGGGATAGCGTCCAATCCTGTCTCTTCTTCACTTTGCAAAAATAGACACAACTTTTATGAAAAAAATGAAAATTTTCTAGATGAAGGATGTTACAATTCAACATATCGTTTGAGCACTCACATTCCAATTTGATGACTAGAAGAGAGTTCTAGCCCAAGATCATACGTTTGTGAAGGCCAAGGATAAAGCACGGGTCATCTTGGTCCACTGTTTCCATATAAATACATATACACAACCCTATTCCTGGTCGATCAAAGGTGAATTAATCTTGAGTCGCTGCCTTACTCAGCGCAATAGAAGCTCTCGACAAGTGTGTGGTCTCCAGTACCTTTGTACTTGACGGTTTGTGGGTAAGGGCAGAGCATACGGTCATACGTCTTGCCATCCTTGGGGGTATAGCTGACAGGGAGGGTCTCAGGAACAGTACCGTTCTCTACCCAAGCCACCATGCTGTCGAAAATAGTAGAAGGATAACCGCCAGATGCACCATAGCAATGACCCATCATAGGCGCCTCGAAGAATCGATAGTATTCGGCGGCATTGGCGTCTCGAGAGAGCACTTTCTCATAATAGTCAATGCTTCCCTGGGTAGGGATGACTTCATCCATCTGTGAGCTAGACATTAGCGTTCATCCATTGCAAAAAAATGAGGAAGACATACCAAGCCATGATAGGACAGCATTTTACCTCCAGCATCCCGGAACTCAGACAGATCTGGGTTGTTGGTTCCGAGATACGAGCCCCATTTCTGAAGGCTTTTCTCGAACAAAAAGTCAAATTGCTCATGAGAAGTAATGTTTGCAACTGTAAAGTCCAAATCCTGCTCAACAAATACTTGCAACCAGTCGAGAAGCATTGAGAGAGGTGCTCCGATACAGGTTGAGTTCGAGCACTCTGTGTTGACTACCGTAGTACCGCCTGTCAAAGTTGCACCTTTTTCGTATCCATACCATAAGAATTGGCCATCTGAACCGCGTGGTCCTGTCCAGGTTGCATTGACAATCTGGGCTGTCGCGTTCGAGATGGTTCGCGTGGAATTGGTATCGGTGCAATTGATCTGAGTGCCGACTGCAGAGAAAGGATCGAAATCGCATGCAGTAGGGTCAGAGACAATACCATCAACAACTCCATCAGCAGTATCGCAGGCAGAGATGGCGGCCGCGACAACACCATCGATCTCGCACCCGTAAGGGTACTCGTTCATCATGTTCATTACGAATTGTGCCCACACTCCACTCACAAACATCTCTGACCAGTTGATCGCGGGGGAAGCGGCGACAATGCCATCATAAGCGTCGGGGTATTTCTGTGCGAGCTGCATACCCTGACGACCACCTTGAGAGCAACCAGTCCAATACGAGTATTTTGGCGGAGTGCCGTAGACACTCTGAGCCAGTGACTTGGCGTATAGAGAAGCATCGTTCAGAGAGATGGTGGCGAGGTCCTCGATAGATTGATAATCCAAGCTTCCATCGCTGTTGAGGGCCCATTCAGAAGGATCATCATTGAAGCCGCCAGTGCCAGTGTGACCACCGTTAGTGGTCACAGTGATATAGCCTTCAGCCACACCGCCGATCATGCCTACGGAGATCACGGATGTCAAGCCTGCGGTATACCCGTTTCCTCCAATGCCTTGCATGCGCCCATTCCAATCTTCGCTGGGTAGGTAAATTCCAACCATCACCGAGTCGTTTTTGCCGGTATGTTGATAGGATAGCGTGACATTGCAGAAGCTTACCTCATTTGCCTGTACGTTGCCGTGGTTGTAGTAATAGTACTCTGAGATGAACTTGGTGACATTGGACACATAGGAGGCCTCCAAGGCTGTCACTTGAGCGCCAGGAATGGAGGGCCATGAAAAGGCGTCCGAGGCACATAGCGCGGCCATTCCGGTGGACATTATGCTGCCAGTATAACCCAGGCGGAATGGGGGTAAAGATCAAGTATAAGGGAAATGATATGAGATTTTGAAAGGATGATCTTGCTGCAACTGCGTAGGGAATGATTGAACTTCTAGGTAACGAGCGAAATCAAGTTCTTAAGTATTCTGATTCTCTCTCCTTTTATTAGAATTTAAGAGATCGAATTGCCCAACTTGGTTAAGTTTTTGGCTTGGTATACTTGCGATGCCGAATACGCGTATAGAGAGTGAGTAGAGACGGGTAATCCTCGGAACCGGGAATCATGCCCCGGGAAGCCACTCACTCCTGATCTATCTTTATCCTCTTCTCGTCCCTGATTCCACGGATTCATGGTCTAGATAATCTTGGGTCTACTCCACTTCTACCGAAGATATCCATGGCAATATGGTTCGTGCATACGCGTATAGACTGCGCCCTGTCCAATGTTTCGCCAATTTCCGATATTTGTGGTAGACTGCGAGAGCTCGATGTTTCTAATATTCGATCTCAAGCTCTATCTTGTACTGTCAAGGCTAGCCCTGGAGATAACAACCATGGTGGCCAGAGATTAGCTGGCCAGGCGTGCGGCTGAGCATGACCCCGAGGTCTTGCTAACCCTGGAAGTGCCCAGGTGTATCCCCAGAACGGCAGTTGCCGTTACACAGAAGTAGATATATGCCTACCTACGTGCATCTCCATGCAAACATCACCCCATGCCCAGGTGCCAACGCAACTGGCCAGTCCAGATCTAAAATATGCAAGACATAAAGCATACCTCAGTGACATAAAACTCGTGACATTCTGCATATTCTATTTTCGCCCCAGTCGTCCATTGATACACTGCAGAACTGCAAGATGCACTCGTCCGATTAGTACGGTCTGAACCGATCCTTCTTCTTTTCCTTCGGCCGAGCCTTCGATCCAGATCCAGACTGAGCAACCTCACTGTCCCCTTCCTCAGGCTTCCACACCCGCACATATCCATCCTCTCCACACGTGAAGACAGACGAACTCTATTCGGGACATTAGTATTCAAATCGCCTCGGAACCGAGATAATTCTCCATCAACTTACCTGCTCATCCAGATGAACGGACCGCACAACCTCCTCCCCATGAGCGCCAGGCAGACGCCACAGATTCTCACGGTCCAACGACCAAGGTCCCGACACAAGAGGGACGAGATCAAGCCGTTGTTCCCTATATAAATTAGCATGAGTGGTCTGATCGCTGCACAAACAGCCAGAAAGGCAGGAGCTCACATCTTGTTGCCGGCGGCAATATACGGCTGCGCACCGAGACAAAGCTGCGCAACGTACTCGCAACCCAGCGGATCGCGCAGATCTCCAAACTGCACGGGCTCGGGCTCCTGGGCTGCATCGTCTGGGTCCGTGGTCGGGTGCACAGAGAACAGCTCGTCGTGACTCAGGGCGAAGATGGCGCGCTCGGATAGGAATCCGGCATGGTGGATGGAGCCGTGGTTGACTACCTGGACCAGGGCTTCGTCTTCGTCAACTACTGTCGTGTCATAGACGTTGGCGAGCCCGTCCGTGCTGCCGGAGAGTAAGATGTTGCTGCGGGTCGGGTGATATTGGAGCTGTGTGACAGGCACGCTGCCGTTAGTGGGTTTGAGGAGAGGGGGGTTATGGAAGGGCTTACTTCGGTGATATCGTCGTTGTGACTTTCCACGTATTGAAGCTTGAAGGTTTGAGGGGATCGGATATCCCTGATTTGGTTAGTTGGTTTGTTTTTTTTTATGGTTTAGATAGATGATATATGATCTTGTGGAGAGCAGAGATCCAAGCGCTGGCTTTCTGCCTGACAAAGTTACATGTGACGTACCAGAAAGCAACCACGGCCTGGGACGAGACGAGCTCAGTGCCCGCGACGACGGTATTCGTCTCGGAGCAGCAAGCCACCGACAACACAGGGGCTTGCTTCGCTACAGACAATGCATTAGTATACAAACTCAATCCACTCCAGTCAGATCCTTGCGCTAATTCTCCGAGAGCCAGTGACCGGCCGGCGGAAATGCAGCACCAGATGCATCTATCCGATTTGCGAAACCATCCCAACTAGGAAAATTCCCAAAAAAAAGAAAAGAAAAGCTTAGCAACAATAAACTCACCCGTTTGCATCTCCACAACGGGCTTTCCAGCCCGGACGTCCCACATCTTTACCTTCCCATCTCGCCCTCCCGTAGCTAGCAGGGAGTCATCGAAGCGGCGCAGAGATGTCACGCCGGCATGTGCAGCGGTTGACAGCACCGACGAGTTCAAACTCGCGTCAAACACCCGCAGCGAGTCATCGGATGAGATAGCTGCAAACGTACCGGGAGCGGACGGAACAATTGAATAGATATAATTATCCGTAGGCAGAGATAGCGTCGACGAAGCGACAGGCTTGAGGGTATGCATCGCGGTGACGAACGCAAAAAGATGTAAGTGGCGCGTGTGGCTGGGGAAACCTCTCTGTGGCTCGGGAAGGAAATTACGTGAAGCCAAGAAAATGGCCTGGTGGGGGGGATGTTGCAATACGAGTAATGTAAGCTCACCTCCTCCCCACGCTCATGAGTCAATCAAATACAGAAAACATCCATTAAAACTATGTCAGACGTCAAGATGTCAAGTGTCAAATGGTGTGATCACATACAGATCTACCTTGCTCCGTACAGGGGATATTTTTGCCTTTTGTCTCGGAAAGAAGGCAATGAGGCAGACATTTCGGGCGTACTAGCTGGTGCCAAGCTGTTAGGAGACGGTCTCAAAGGCCAATCATTCTATGATCCGGTCCCCGGTCCCAGGCGATCCTGGTGTGACGAGTACAGGACGATCGGCGCGGTCCGATCGCTGTCTTGCGATGGGAACATGCTACAAGTATGCAAGGGATTCGGAGTTCGACCGAAGGAATGGGACGGGCTGTCTATTCCGTAGTATACCCGAGGAATCCGTACGTATGAATACGGAGTACTCTGTACAAAATGATGTGTTGAAGCTCTCTACTCCGTATATGAGGACAATACCCTACCAGTGTAAGTCGGGATTTGCCTTGGTAAAAGCTACTGGAATGTGGAATTGGTACCCAATCATTACCTTTCACAATCTGACTAGTATAACCATCTTCGTCGAGTCAGACCCAACGCACCGGTAGGTTACACGTCGATTACCGGGGTTGCCGACCCAGGGTTTTGGGTTGCGGTGAACGGATTTCCCGGTTCTGCTTGGCTTGGATGGTTTTATATTACTTTATACGGAGTATACGGAGTTTACGGAGTAGCATGAATCAGGGTCAGGTTTAGGGCAAGGGAATTTTGTTCATGACAGGCCCAGACGGACCGCGTCCCGCCCGCTTAAGCGTGGAGTCGTCGATCCTCTTTTTTTTTGGTTAGAATCTCGCCAAAAGGATCTAAGGTTTTTTTTCTCGCTCCCCTGCAAACCCCAAGCTGCAACTAGTTTAGCTTATGGGCCCGGGAATCTGGGATGGGCTGCCGGGATATGTGCTGATAATAAAGACATTGGAAGCAAGGAAGAGATATAAGAAGGCAAACGCGGGTAGCTGGGGAGTAAATTAATAGAAAAATAAAATAATAATAGTAAGAGTATGGAGCATGGAGTACGGAGTAGAGTAGACATTATAGGAAATGAAGGTGAAGTGGTGAGATAACCCAGGTGAAGCACATTAACGTACTTTCCCACTGTACTTCTGGACTTTCTGCACCTGGGCTTTCTGCACTTCCCCCCTTCTTCTCTTATCCTTGTCTTCCTCTTTCTTCCATTTTATTTTTGGTCTCCCCGCTTAAATCCTGTGTGATGCCCGTCATTTGGGTCTAAGCTGTCAAAGCTGTGCGCTTTCCTCTTTCCGTTCTTGCGTCCCGACCGTACGAATCGCCCTTCGCTTTTCAAACCGCTCTGCATCTTGCATAGCAATTAGCATCCCTGCTGTCTCCTGGACCCTCTACTCCGTACAGCATGTCACGCGATTATCCTATTATTGATTTGGACAAGACCATGTCTCGCAGGGACTTCTCTGGTTCCTTCCCCGCGCCCGACCGTATCTCACTGCCGAGGATGTATACCAACGGAGACCGAGATAGTCGAGATAATCACCTGCGACACCTCCCTCCCATGCCTTCCCCACCCCCAGCCAAGCGATATAAATCAGAGTCCAATCCACCAAGCGAGGTCGGCAGTCGGTACTATTCACACTCCGTCGGGGCAAGCGATCGAGGTCGATCACGGCAACCCTCCAACGCCATGGACCTGTGCACCCTGATCGACCGCGATCCAGTCGATACAGATCCCAGGAGGAATGCTCGGTTCATGAGCAATGGCTCGGTGGCGACGCAGGCGTCCATGGTGTCAAACGCTTCTCACCTATCGCGATCGTCCCCGATCATCTCCAATGATAAAAAGTAGGCTCGGCCTCACCGAATTGGCGATCCTCTGAGCTGACCCCGACTTTTAGAATCCCCGAAAAGTATCCTCCTCACAAAGAAAACGGCCGAGAATACCACGGATATCGAAAGGGCAAGTACCCGCTCCCGTGCGACGAAGAAGAGCAGGACCGTCTCGATATCTTCCACAAATTATTTACGGTAGCTCGAGCGGGGGATGGATTGCTATACGCACCCATGCCCAAGAATGCCAGGATTCTAGACTTGGGCTGCGGGACAGGCATCTGGGGCATCGAAATGGCCAAAAAGTTCCCCGACGCCTTTGTGGTTGGCTGCGACCTCGCTCCAATCCAACCGAGTAACTCTCCCAAAAACTGCGACTTCTACGCCCCCTTCGACTTTGAATCCCCCTGGACGCTGGGCGATGACTCCTGGGATATCGTCCACATGCAGATGGCCGCCGGCAGCGTCGCCAGCTGGCCTAGCCTCTACCGTCGCATTCATCAGCACCTTCGACCCGGTGGCTGGGTCGAGCAGCTCGAGATCGACTTTGAGCCCCGCTGCCAGGGTAGCAGCCCCGGGCCCGCTTTGACAAGCTGGTACTCAACACTGCGACACGCGACTGAGTCCTCTCAGCGACCCATTGCGCACAGTCCGAGTGAAACCATACGAGCTTTGCGCGACGCTGGCTTCACCGAGATTGATCACCAGACTGTCGGGCTGCCGCTGAACCCCTGGCATACGGATGAGCACGAGCAGAAGGTGGCCCGCTGGTACAATCTGGCTATCTCGGAGAGTGTCTTCCCTCTCAGCTTGGCTCCTTTCAGTCGCGTGCTAGGCTGGACCAAAGCGCAGATTGAACAGATCTCCGCAGATGTCAAGCACGAGGCCTTCGATAAACAAAAACACACTTGGAATATGGCTCATATCTATCAGGCGCGCAAACCACTCGTGCCTGTTGTCTTGGATTGAGGTCCCTCCGCGCTCTAGCATCCCGGATATGCCCTCTAGCACCCTTTTTTTTTGGAAAAGCCAAGCGCTTTCTTCCAGCACACTTGCATACCTCGGGTCCACGCAGACACTGGCTGGTCCAGAATGTGCAATGCATCTACTGCAAATCAAAACAATAGTTAGCACGCCTGGGGCTGTGCTTATGATGACTATCTAGTTGCAGCAACGCAGCTGACAGGACTACCTTTTCGATTGGAGGTTTGGAGATTATGGTTGACGATGTGTATGTTTGTTTTTCTTGAGATCGACAGCTTGCGGATCATGACACTTGTTTTCTAAATATTTCTCTCTTTGCATGCTGAGCTTTGCATCTCTTGGCGTTTTGGGCCGAGTGCTTTTTCCTTTTTTTTTTCACCCCAAAGGGTTTTTCGCTGATAGATACCCTTGTTACTCTCGGTTCTATTGCTGTGGCGAGTCCGAAGTCGTCTTGACTTTGCTTTTTCTTATATAAATCTTTGTTTCTCTGTGCAGCGACTTGCTAGGTGGTGTTAGCATATTAAGTATATAAATTTTTGGCAATCTTCGAATTTCGTGATCTGAAACTAGTTGAATCTCACTGGTATCGAAGAGGCATGGAGTAATCTTTTTGCTACCACGCTGCCCAAAGCTTACATGCTTCAATGCTTCAAACCTTGCTCTTACCTTGAAACTGCGACATTATCTTGCCTTGGTTGACACCTGCACCCGTGGACAGCTCAACAGCTTCCAACTGTGGAAGGTTTCAGTGTGATACATGAAAGGAGACGAAATTATCCACAAGCCCTTTGTATCCATGGGTTTTGAAATGCCCTGTAAATGCCATGTCAGCTTGCTGCGATTGCTCATTGTTTGCTCCCGAGGTTGTTGTTTGCGCGCTCCATTAGGGCATAAATAGCACCAGGGACCCTTCTTTTAGAAACCATCATCTTCTCGACCTCTCCTTCTTCCAACTTGCAGTTTCTCTCTCCTTCAAGCATTACCACGATGTCAACCAACAAGATGCCAGCGAGCTTTATGAGCCTTCCTTCAGAAATCCGTATCATGATATACAAGTATGTCCTTGTCGACAGAAGCCCTCTCAGTCCATGGAAACCTTTGAGTCCATGGCACTTCCACGACAGGCTAGGACCCAACCTTCTCCGCACAAACACAACAATCTTCCACGAAGCCAGATCGTTACTCTACAGCCATAACTGCTTCAACTTCAGCGATCCTGATTATGACGAAGTATGCCAATTTATGCTTAAGATCGGCCGAACCAACGCCTCTCGCATTCAGTACATCAGAGTCGACTTTCCTGGCCTTGACCTTGTTAGCGGGAGAATTCGCTACTTATCAAGAGACAGTGCTCTCATGAAGATTCTGATTGAGTCATGGTGTCCGAACATCAAATGTCTTATTATCGCCTGGCAGGGCACGGAATCTTTGGAACGCGCATTCGATCCGGATCGGTTTGATGATCCAGAGGCCTGTGAAGTGGCATTGAAATGGGTCGACGGTCATTTCAAGGTGCTTCCGTCGCTCCGGGAGATAGTCATTGAGGTTCGCGAACATCGGCCGAGCTCATACATTCAGAAGTTGATGAAGAGTCTGGGGTGGATAGTTGTTCTTCCGCATACATATCGTGGTGCCCTGTACTGACGAACGAGATGATGCCGTAGAGAGGAATTGGTCTTTCAAGATTTTTGATAGACCTCGGGAGACGATCTTGCTGATAGGTACTGAAGTTGATGACTATATGAGCCCATAGCTTGACCTTCAAATACACATTCTCTTATTTTGCCAGCACACTCAAGTAGATTGCCATTGATCTATTATGAAGTCTGGGGGCTCAAAAGATGCCTGAAGCCAGAACAATCCGGCATCGAGAAAAGGATCAACATCGGCACTAGCTTTCATGCTACTATTTCCCTGCTCGCAAGCATGTCCCAAGTAGGTTTCGGTTTTTCGAGATCTGCAACAGTCCGATAGCGACCACCAGCAGTCTTGTCGCCCACATACTGTCTTCCAAACGCTTCAATTTTCAGCTAATCCAACTCAGCGGTGCCGACACATTTCCCATCCTTTGCAATTTCGTCAACGGCACTTGCCATCCACGTTCGACACCTCCAGCTCGGATCTCCTTGCACAACAGGAAGGCGGTTAAAGATTGAAATGAGACGCTGCTCATCTTGGATCTTCGCAATGACAATGCGCGCCAGGAGGTTGCTGGCGTTTCGGACATCATCCAATAGATCCTCCTCGAATTCCCAGCCGAAGGGGGAGTTCTTGACGTGGTAACGCTTGCCTGGTATGGCTTGTATGTCTTCTTTCTTTGGTCCGATCAGGAAGGCCCAGTGGTATCTTCAAAGGTTAGAAAGTCAATACCAGAAGTAAAGAGAAGAGGTGACTTACTTGCGTTCCTCGTTATTTGAGACGCCGCTGGGGTATAACGCGACGTATAACCGATTTCGTTAGAAGGCATCTTGTGGTAACGCGGGCCTTTAGGTGGACGTAGAGGATGAACCTTGGAAGTAGGTAGGAGGTATGTGCGACAACAGGACGCAGATGGTTAGAATGATCGGATCCAAAGTCTCCAAGGTTGTGTTACAAACATCAAAAATGTCTTGGCCTCGAGCAACTTTCAGATCCGGATTAAATAGATGTGTGCTGTACCTGGGCGCTTCAATTGTTCTGGCGATTAACATTGGCACCAGGTATTCATTGAACTATTTATAATCCCGCATGACCACGTCCAACAACTCATAGAGCTAAATTTCGGAAAGCTGAAAGCCGAAGTCTTGGAAGCCCAATTGCATAGAACGCGAATGAATGTACTCCGTATCATTCAAAAAGCTGGACTTCATCTGATGCACTGGGGGTGGCGTTGCAAGGCCAATCCGTGGAAGCAGTTCCAATGGTTTCGGCCAGCCTGGCCATACGTTTGAACGGATGTGATGGATAAGAAAGACGTCTACCCCCGCCAAAGATCGAGAACGTTATTGATGGTCAAAAGATGCCCCAATACTATGAGGAACCCGCAGCCAAAGTGACCTAGGTACAAGAAACGGAACCAGAGCTTTGAATAACTATGGCATTCCACTGATTGCTGATTGCAAAAAAAAAAAAAAAAAACTTCCACACCAAGAAATACCCTTTGACGCCAGACCCCTAAAGCCATATCCCAAGAAACACCATGGATGCAATGTCGAATAGTACAAAAGGCCCACTTGGGCAAAGCCTACCTGCGCCTCTTCCTTCCGTTAGCCGCCTTCTCTTCATTTTCCTTAGGGCCAGGCGTCCGCTTGCGCATGGTACCAGGCCCAACGGCAACAACATCCTCCCCACTATCGCTGTCTTCCACATCAAGGAGAACAGGGAAATTGAATGGCTCCACACCGTCGACTTCCTCTCCCTTGACCGAGTCCATGGTCACAACATCAGGCTCCTCATCTTCGAGATCGAGTCGTCGCTGATGAACCTGCTCGGCCGGGTGAACGTCGAACTCGTCTTCCGCTTCCATGTATTCGACGTTCTCCTCGACCTCGCCGAAATCAGGTGCGAGCGCAGACCATTTTTGCGGACTCACGATCGACCACGTGTAGATGCATCCCGTCTCCAGTCCGCAAGCTACAACCATTGGTCGCGAGGGGTGCCATTCAACCACGCCAAGCTCCTCCTTTGGTCCTTCCAGGATTTTGACTAGTGAGCCGTGACTGCGTTCCCAGACGTAGATATCTGGGTTCATAAATGTAGTCGCTGTGACAAATTCACCGGTCGAAGAGAATGTGACGTGGTTCCAAGAGAGACGATTGACGACGTCTTGGAACTTGTGCTCGACATGCAGTTTGATTGAAGATGCCTCGAGGTCGATGCCTAGCTGGGACAGGTCCGGCATGAGCACTGTGCGGATCACACGATCAGAGCTATTGACTAGAAGGTCGCGACCGTTTGAGGCGAGGCGGAGAAGAATGACGACGCCGTTGCAGAGGCGCATTGAGTGGATGGTCGTGCAAGTTTGCGTTTCGATGATGTTGATCCAGCCTTTCGAGGTTCCGGCAATGATGTGGTTGCCAAATGCTGTGAAGATAGTCACGCAAGTAGAGTGCTTCGCATCTTGGGCTGCTTGTTTGGCTGCTGCGGCTGGGTCGACATCTTCGGTTGCGCGGAGGGGTGCGGAGGGGAGAATTCGTTTTATGGGTTTTGGGCTGGAGACATCCACGAGGACGGGTTGGTCCTCGAAGAGAGAGGCGACGAAGAGAAGACTGTGCTGCTTGTTAGCTCGGATCTGGGCGACGTTGAGTTTGGGAACCATACTGGTTGAATGGGTGTAGTTCGGCAATGTAGACCGGAGCTTCGAATCGGACGGTGCGCACTCGTGAGCCGTCTTGAAGATCCCATAAGATGCATTTCCAGTCTTGGGAAGACGTGAGAAGATATCGGCCATCGCGGGACCAGCTAAGATTGGATCAGCGGTTGCGCATGTGTGTAAGTCTGAGGGAGTGTAGTGTACCTGAGAGATTGGATCTGTCGCGTGTGACCTTGGAGTTTGCGCGCGACGCCGTTCGTTTCAATATCGAAGATCACCACTGTGCCGTCCACCTGTCAAGTCATTCAGCATTCAGGCCTTGGTATTTGGGTATTGTTGACTGGTTGTTCACGTACTCGTCCGGAGGCAAGGTAATCGCCTTTGTGGTTGAAACTCAAGCATGTCGCATGACCGCTGCCTGTAAAGTATATGTTAGTTGAAGGTTGAAATTCTCAACTGAAGGCGAACATACTAAGCTTTTCAGTCAGAGTATCGGGGTACTCTTGGGCCAAGACGAATGGATCCACGAGCGACAAGTTCATTGCGGCGGGTGCATAGAGCGGAGAAGTGATTTGGACGTGAGGGCGCCTAGCCTGCGTATGAAGCCAGTGTAGGCCGGAAGAAAGACCGTTGGTAAAGCATCCAGTGGAAACTAGAGTATCGCAAACTCCCAGTAATTCGCTGTCCCAGGACTATCAACCATTCACGGACAGTCACTTCTGCCAATCGATATTGTTAGAATCATCAAGAAGGCAGGGCGGTGGACACACCCATTTAAACCGCGGGCCGATGGCTGCCTTCCATCTCGGGCTGCAGCGCTCACCGCCCCCGAAGTAGCGGAAGAGAGGTACTTCGAAAGCGCAGAGGATAGCACTTTGGGGAAGGTACCCGCAATTCTGCCAGAGCGGTCAGATCCGGTTTAGAGAGCACTCTCCGTGCAGGGAAAACTCAAGCCCCATCACAGTGAGGCAACCTCAGAACATCTCCCTTTCATCTTCCCGACATCCCATCTCCCATCCCCTCCACAACCCAGGAGTTCGCGCCTAGCATCGCGAAACTTCTTCAGGCCCTTCCGGACGTGCTCATCTTTGCTGCGCGCACCTTTTCTCTCTCTTTTCTGCTCCGTGACGTCCGGGACCACCAGGTCGCCGGCGCCCTCGTGGCAAGGGCTGCCAAAGGCCTCAGCCGGCCAGCTGCTTCCACACCACCTTCTTTTCATCGTCGCTACGTGTAAACTCGACATTTAGCTTCTTTTCACGTCTGTCACTCCAGTTTTCGCGACGTTTACGATCCGAGTGCCTTCGTTGGTTCCCGGTTTCCACGACACATACACCTGACCGGTTATCACCGCGTTTTCATTCCATCTTCAATTATCACAACTTCGCCAATATGTCGAACGTTTTCTTCCCATATTCCAAGGCGCCTTTGCGCACCATCAAGGAAATCCAGTTCGGTCTGTTTGCTCCCGAAGAAATCAAGCGCATGAGTGTGGTACACATCGAGTATCCGGAAACATTGGTGAGTGCTCGGTGATTTCTTCTGTCGCATACTCAATTCAAGCCTCGAGTTCCGTCAGTTTCGCGACACTTGTCGGATTGCTAACGACGCGACAGGATGACCAACGCCAACGCCCCCGGACGAAGGGTATCAACGACCCCCGACTTGGTACAATCGACAGGTAAGCACGATACCCCCAGCGATCTCTCAGGCTTCAATAACTCAAATATTAATCAACGATTTATTAAAGACAATACAACTGCGAGACCTGTGAAGAGGGACCGAAAGAATGCCCTGGGCACTTTGGTCACATCGAACTTGCCTGCCCAGTTTACCACATTGGTGTGTCGTTTTGCTACAGATTTTCTTGATGGAACCCATGTTGACGTTTCATCTCATTTCAGGTTTCTTGACAAAAATTAAGAAGCTTTTGGAAACCGTCTGCCACAACTGTGGAAAGATCAAGGCCAACACGGTTAGTCATCTCTATCGGGATGGCAAATCTTGACTGGTAATTTTGCTGACTTAAATCAACTTCAGAGCGACAGCAAGTTCACCGAGGCTCTTCGATTCCGTGACCCCAAGCGACGATTCGACGCAATCTGGCGTCTCTCCAAGGATGTCTTGATCTGTGAGGCTGACGCGCCTGCCGACGACGAGGATCCCAAGGAGGCATCCAAGGGACGCAACCACGGCGGTTGCGGTAACGCGCAACCCACAGTTCGGAAAGAAGGAATTTGCTTGGTAGGAACATGGAAGCCCAGCAAGGCTATGATGGAGGAGGAGATGGCACAACCTGAAAAGAAGGTCATCACTCCCGCTATGGCACTGAACATCTTCCGCAACATCTCTATTGAGGATGTGCGGATTATGGGCCTGAGCAATGACTATGCCCGTCCAGAGTGGATGGTTCTTACCGTTCTTCCTGTGCCCCCTCCCACTGTCCGCCCCAGCGTCGTCATGGGAGCTACCAGTGGTGCTCGTGGAGAGGATGATCTTACCTACAAGCTCGCTGAAATTGTGCGTGCAAACCAGAACGTTCAACGATGTGAACAGGAGGGTGCACCCGAGCACGTCATTCGCGAATTCGAGTCTTTACTCCAATATCACATCGCCACATACATGGATAACGACATCGCTGGACAGCCAACTGCAATGCAAAAAGGAAACCGTCCTGTCAAGGCTCTCCGCAGCCGTTTGAAGGGTAAGGAGGGTCGTCTTCGTCAGAACTTGATGGGCAAGCGTGTGGATTTCTCCGCCCGTACTGTCATTACTGGTGATCCCAACTTGTCCCTCGATGAAGTCGGTGTGCCCTACTCGACCGCCCGTATTCTCACATACCCCGAAGTTGTGACGCCATACAACATCGAGAAGCTTCAGAAGTTGGTTTCGAACGGACCCAACATTCACCCCGGTGCTCGTTACATCGTCCGTGACAATGGTGAGCGTATCGATCTGCGTCACGCCAAGCGTGCCGGCACCCAGCAGCTCCTTTATGGCTGGAAGGTTGAGCGCCACCTTGACAACGGCGACTACATTCTTTTCAACCGTCAGCCCTCTCTGCACAAGGAATCCATGATGGGTCACAGAGTTCGCGTGATGCCTTTCTCCACCTTCCGCATGAACTTGTCGGTAACGAGTCCTTACAACGCCGATTTCGATGGTGATGAGATGAACTTGCACGTTCCCCAGGGCGAAGAGGCTCGCGCCGAGCTTGCTGAACTGACCCTGGTCCCCAAGAACATTGTCTCTCCCCAGCGTAACGGTCCACTTATGGGTATTGTCCAAGATACCCTTTGTGGTATCTACAAAATCTGCCGTCGTGACAGTTTCCTCACCAAGGATCAAGTAATGAATCTCATGCTCTGGGTTCCCGACTGGGATGGTGCTATTCCTCCACCTGCTATTCTGAAGCCTCGCCCCCGTTGGACCGGAAAGCAGATCATCAGTATGGCTTTCCCGTCTGGCCTCAACCTACTGCGTGTCGATAAGGATGGTTCGCCGTTGGCCGAGAAGTTCAGTCCTCTCAACGATGGCGGTCTCTTGATCCACGGTGGCCAGCTGATGTATGGCATGCTCTCCAAGAAGACTGTTGGTGCCAGTGGTGGCGGTGTCATCCACACCATCTTCAACGAGTATGGCCCTGACACCTGTGTCAAGTTCTTCAACGGTGCCCAGTCTATTGTCGGTTACTGGCTTCTCCACCACGGTTTCAGTATTGGTATTGGTGACACAATTCCCGATCAAATGACCATCAACAAGATTGAGGAAGCCGTTCGCAACCGAAAGCAGGAAGTCGAGCAGATCACTGCCAGCGCTACTGAGAACACCCTTGAGGCCCTCCCCGGTATGAACGTCCGTGAAACATTCGAGAGCAAGGTTTCTCGTGCCCTGAACAATGCTCGTGATGAGGCTGGTGATGCCACCGAGAAGAGTTTGAAGGATTTGAACAACGCCATTCAGATGGCTCGTTCCGGTTCCAAGGGTTCCGCTATCAACATCTCCCAGATGACTGCGCTGGTCGGACAGCAGTCCGTCGAAGGAAAGCGTATTCCTTTCGGTTTCAAGTACCGCACATTGCCGCACTTCACAAAGGATGATTACTCTCCTGAGTCCCGTGGCTTCGTTGAGAACTCATACCTCCGTGGTCTGACCCCAACAGAGTTCTTCTTCCACGCCATGGCTGGTCGTGAGGGTCTGATTGATACTGCTGTCAAGACTGCCGAAACTGGTTACATCCAGCGTAAGCTTGTCAAGGCTCTTGAAGAAGTGATGGTCAAGTATGATGGAACTGTTCGCAATTCCATGAACGATATCATTCAGTTCATTTACGGAGAGGATGGTCTCGATGGTGCTCACATTGAGAACCAGCGCGTCGATCACATCAAGTGTGACGATGAAACCCTCAGGAAGCGCTTCCGCGTTGATGTCATGGACCCTGAAAGCACTCTGGGCCCTGAGGTTCTGGAGCAAGCCAATGAGATTGCTGGTGATATGGAGGTTCAGAGGTTCTTTGACGAAGAATGGGAGGCGATTGTTAAGGATCGTGAATTCCTCCGAACTGTGGTGAAGGAGGACGAAGAAATGATGCAGCTTCCCATCAACATTCAGCGCATCCTTGAGATGGCTCGCACAACCTTCCATATTCGCGAAGGCACTATCAGTGACTTGCACCCCGCCGAGGTCATTCCTCAAGTTCAGCAGCTACTGGATCGTTTGGTGATTGTCCGCGGTGAGGATGTTATTTCGCGTGAGGCGCAGGTGAACGCAACCTTGTTGTTTAAGGCGCAGTTGCGTAGTCGTCTTGCTTTCCGTCGCCTCGTCACGGACTATTCTCTTAACAAGCTGGCATTCCAGCACGTGCTCGGTGCCATTGAGAGTCGTTTCGCTCGCGCCGCCGCAAACCCCGGTGAAATGGTTGGCGTTCTTGCTGCCCAATCCATTGGAGAACCCGCTACGCAGATGACACTGAACACATTCCACTTTGCTGGTGTGTCCTCCAAGAACGTTACCCTTGGTGTGCCTCGTCTCAAGGAAATTTTGAACGTTGCTACCAACATCAAGACACCGTCCATGACTGTCTACCAAGAAGGCATGGACACCCACAACAAGGATGGTGCCAAGACTCTTCGCAGTCTTGTCGAGCACACTAGTCTGCGGTCCGTGACCGAGTCCACTGAGATCTACTATGACCCCGAAATCCAGTCTACTGTCATTGAGAACGATAGGGATATGGTGGAATCCTACTTTATCATTCCCGAGGATACTGAGGATGACTCGAGCTCACAGTCCAAGTGGTTGCTTCGTATCGTTCTTAGCCGTCCTTCACTTCTCGATAAGGGTCTCACGGTTCAAGACGTCGCGACCAGAATCAAGCAAGCCTACCCGCGGGATATCGCCGTCATCTTCAGTGATAACAACGCCGATGAGCAAGTCATTCGTATTCGCCAAGTCCAAGACTACAAGGATGACGATGACGAAGATGTTGAGTACGACGTCACTCTCAAGAAGCTCGAGCAGCATCTGCTGGACACTTTGACTCTTCGTGGTGTCACTGGCGTCGACCGTGCTTTCATCAACGAGAAGCCCAAGGTCCGCGTCCACGATGATGGTCGTCTCTTCTCGGACAAGAATGATCCCCTCTGCAAGGAGTGGGTTCTTGAAACCAGTGGTTCCTCCCTGGCTGCCGTTCTTTCGATTCCCGGCGTTGACGCCTCTCGTACATACTCTAACCAGTTTATCGAGATTTTCGAGGTCTTCGGTATCGAAGCTGCGCGTACAGCCGTGCTCCGCGAGTTGACGCTTGTGCTCGCTTTCGACGGTTCCTATGTCAACCACCGTCACTTGGCGCTTTTGGTTGATGTCATGACAGTCCGTGGTTACTTGACCCCTGTTACTCGTCACGGTATCAACCGTGCCGACAACGGTGCTCTTATGCGTTGTTCTTTCGAAGAGACAGTCGAGATTTTGCTTGAGGCTGCTGCCTTCGGAGAACTTGATGACTGCCGTGGTGTATCCGAAAACTTGATCCTTGGACAGATGGCGCCCGCTGGAACGGGTGAGTTCGACGTCTACCTGGACCAGAGCTTGCTCAACACAGTCGTGTCGAACAATGCACGTTACGGACTCATGGGTGCAGTCGGGGCCAAGGATGCCATCATCCCCGACGGTGCCGCCACTCAGTATGACACTGGCTCGCCTATGGCCAGCTCACCCTACATGACTGACAGTGACCCCGATGCTTCATTCTCGCCGCCCCACAACATTGTTCAGGATACCGGTGGCTTGACTAGCTACGGTGGCAACTCTGGATTTGACAGCACTGGCGGCTTTAGCCCTGCGGGTCGCAGCCCCGGTTACTCTCCCACGAGTCCATTCAACACCAGCCCAACATCTCCTGGATATTCGCCGTCTTCAAGCTACTCACCAACTTCGCCTGGTATGAGCATGACCAGTCCTCGGTTCAATCCAACATCCCCTGGCTTCTCCCCTGCCAGCCCATCGTTTGCCCCGACGTCTCCGGCTTACTCGCCAACCTCGCCTGCGTATGGTCAAGCGTCTCCCACCTCGCCATCGTACTCTCCAACGTCGCCTGGGTTCTCCCCCACTTCACCCAACTACAGCCCAACATCGCCTAGCTTCAGTCCAGCCTCGCCTGCCTTTAGCCCGACGTCACCCAGCTACAGCCCCACCAGTCCTGCGATTGGCGGTGGCCGGCACCTGTCCCCAACCTCACCCACATCTCCTAAGTACACACCTACTTCCCCTGGGTGGTCTCCCACGAGTCCCCAGTCCTACTCGCCAACTTCGCCGAACTTCTCTGGCTCTCCGACGTCTCCGGCCTACAGCCCCACTTCACCGGCTTACAGCCCTACGTCGCCACGTCAGTGAACTACGGATGAACTTGGCGCGCCTGTTCACAGGCTCGTGCTGTACACCTGTACCATCATCGAACGGAAGTTCACATAAACAACAAAAAAGATCTTTTCGCGCCACACGCATGGGAATTGATTGATAATTTTTCACGATATCAGGGACTGTTCTTCCCTTTCAATTGTATCTGTTTTTCACCTTTTTTTAACACCAAATCATACAGTATTCGGTATCAGCCCTCATCTTTTTGCTCCAAGATTGTTTGCCCGTTTCGCAGGTGACTTTGACTCCACACCACTGTGAACCCGAAGCCCCCGTTGTTCGGTGCAGAGCTGTGATTCAATTCTCAGCTATTGTGATCAGCGGCGGAAACTCGATCGCCAGTGGGTGGGTCATGACTGCCCCGTTTTCATTGCATGAACAGCGCTTTGGGGACGTACTTTGCCTGCTATTTCCCGTTCTGTACACAGCCCTAGGGGATGAGTAGATCCGAAGAATTTTATTGACATTTTCTGTCAAGCGATCATAGGAGAACGTGCAGTGGTAGATAACAGACTACCGGTATAGTACCTATAGATTCTTGGGTTCCCAAACAAGACGTATCATGCTTTAGTAGGTATTTCAAAAGGAGTTTGTAAAGGTAGGTAGACATTTCAGTTAATCAATTCGAACAAATCGAATACAACAACGAACAGTTGAGGCCAAAGTGGCGGGATTTGATTTGGTGCAGTCATTGCCATACCGTACGCCCTCGGCAAAATGAAGCTCCGTCATGCCAAGTGGCCCGTACCAGGGAACTACATCATATCGCGAATCCCCCAGCTTTCTTTACATTTAGCCACTCTCCAGCTTGGGGTGCCGCAATGTGCCTCTTACCTCGGAACTATTCTCAGATATTGCAGGCATCATGAGGTCGTTATTCAAGCTTCTACCGGCCCTGCGTAAGCTCCGCCCGCACCTCCGCAACTACAACGGACGCTGACACCCCTATCTAGTGCTTCTACAGACTTGTGCAGCCGGGCCTAGTCAACAGCCACTTACGGACCAAAAACTATCATCGGAAGTTGGAAGTGATGATCACCATGAATATCCATTTCCCACGGAGGAAGCAGTTCCCCGGCCCATGACCCGTGAGTAGAGCTTCGGCGCAATGCTATCTCGCATCCTACACCAGAAGGTCACTAACTTTGCTACTTGCTGTCAGAACGAGTCGAACATGCATGGGATCTACTCCGCTCAATAAAACCTACAACTCAACAAACCGACAAGTCGCTGGGCTTGCTTGGGACAGGTACACATTACGGCCGCCAAGCGTTCCGACTATTATTCATGAATGGCCCCAAGATTGAGAATCCCGAACCCAAGCTGAATCCCCGTGTTGCAACTGCAGTACGGGAGCTGAAGGCTGCGGTGGAAGAAGACCGAGACCCAGACGCGTTGTTCTTGTTGGCGGAGATGAACTTCTACGGCAACTTCTCTCACCCCCGAGACTTGAAAGCGGCTTTTCAATGGTACCACGAGTTGGCTTGGTTGGATGGAAACAACACGGCACAGAACATGGTTGGCTTCATGTATGCGACGGGTATTGGTGGTGCTGTGGAGCGCGATCAGGCCAAGGCTCTCATGTACCATGAATTCGCGGCGGAGACGGGAAACACACGGTCTGAGATGACCCTGGCATATCGCTACCATTCTGGAATTGGGACACCGAAGAACTGCGATCGCGCAATCCATTACTACAAAAAAGTTGCGGATAAGGCTGTCCAGTACTACCGGTCTGGTCCACCAGGTGGTAGCGCTTTGGTCAGAGAATCATACCGCTGGGCTGATGAAGAAGGTGGTGTCTACGGCCCTGGAGCTAGTATGTCAAGCTCCGGGCCAAATGCCCGAGACGCTGCTAATGCGGGACCCGAGGCCAGCGTAGAGGATATTCTTGAATACCTGGACCTCATGTCTCGCAAGGGCGAGATGAAGGCCACCTATACTCTCGGAAAGATGAATTTCGAGGGTGCCCGTGGATTGCCTCGTAATTTCCGACGTGCTATGAGGTATTTCAAGGTTGTGACCAAGAGGTACTGGAATAAAGACGGTTCCACCAACTCAAACGCGCAAGCAGGTCTTGATAAGCTGGCCGCCAAAGCTGCCGGACACATTGGTCTGATGTATCTTCGCGGCGAAGGAGTCGAGCAACACTATCCGACGGCTCTTACATGGTTCCGACGCGGTGTTGAGAACGGTGACTCTCTGTGCCAGCATTGGATGGGCCTGGTGTACCTCAACGGGTATGGGGTCCCTCAAGATGGCTTCAGAGCGTCAGAATACTTCAAAGCTGCGGCTGATCAGGATCTCCCGGCGTCAGAGTCGCGACTGGGTGCTCTGTTTTTGGACCAAGGCGATATCGAAACCGCAACTCGCTACTTCGAGCTCGCTGCCCGCTATGGATGGATGGAGGCATACTACTACCTAGCAGAAATGGCGAACTTTGGCATCGGAAGACAGCGACACTGTGGCGTTGCCACTGCTTACTATAAGATGGTCGCCGAGAAAGCCGAGATTGTCCATTCGGCCTTTGCGGAGGCGAATCATGCGTACGAAACCGATGACAAAGAAGGGGCTCTCATTGCAGCCATGATGGCAGCCGAACAAGGCTATGAAAATGCTCAAGCAAATGTGGCCTATCTACTCGATGAGCATCGCTCTGTGTTATCGCTCAGTTCGGTTCTTCCATGGGCTGAAAAACCACGGCCTTCCATGCTGCGCAATGCAGCACTGGCACTGATCTACTGGACACGGTCTTCCAAACAGGCTAACATCGACTCCCTGCTGAAAATGGGTGACTATTATCTGTCTGGCGTTGGCTCGACTCTCGACCCCGAAAAGGCATCAACTTGCTACCATAACGCTGCTGAGGCCCATCATAGCGCGCAGGGTTATTGGAATTTGGGCTGGATGCATGAAAATGGCGTGGCGGTGGACCAAGACTTCCACATGGCCAAGCGGTATTATGACCTAGCGCTCGATCTCAGCCCCGAAGCCTATCTACCAGTAAAAATGAGCTTGCTCAAGCTCCGAATTCGTGGATACTGGAATCGTATCACCAATGGAAACATCAACAACATCCGTGATGAAGAAGGTAAGCCGCTCTAGCAGTTTCACATTATATTGAGTTCAGACTGACATGTTACAAGCAGAGTCGCGACCCCGTCGAACATTCCGAGAATGGATCACCGCTTTCATCGACAACGACGAAGAGAGTTATTACGAAGACCTTTATGAACGCCCGGGAGACGACGACGAATACCGCGGGTTGGATTCTGAGAGCCACGAGGATGGCTACTACGATGATTTGGATCTCGATATCGACGAAAGTATGCTCGAAGGTCTGCTTATTGTCGGGCTTGCTGCTACCCTGTTGGTGCTGGTCTACTTCCGACAGCAACAGCAACAGCGCAATCGTCAAAACGACAATGCAAATGGCCAGAATGGAAACGCCAATGCCAACGGCAACGCAAATGCGAACGCCAACGACAGAGGCTTTTTCCCGCCGCCTGGAGATCCTGAATTTGCGCAATGGGTAGCAGGAGGAGTCGGACATTGAATGTAGATAAACCATATTTCCTTATCGATAAGCCGATTCTCCGCATTTTATTTCGATGTTGTCATTCTTCCCTTTCCCTTGTTTCTTTCAACCTAGCCCACTTCTTGAAACCCGTAAATCATGGCTCAACCTACCAAACGTCGTCGCATCGACCCAGCGGCCACCCTGTCTAAGCCGTTCAAGTCTCCTTTGCGCCGATCCGCCCCTACCACTGATGCGCAACCCTCCACACCAACCCCAAAAACCGAAGAACCAATTCCCTCTGTACCCCAAGAGCTCTCAAAAGAAACAAATTCATCCATACCAGACACTCCGATGCCGACCAAGCGCAAATCAATCCTCAATCCTCTGCCCCATACCCCAAAGTCGTTCCAAGCAGCAGACCCCGACATCATCGCGCTCCAAAAACAGCAACGTGCCATACAGTCACGGCTAGCCGCGCTGCGCTCAGAACTCGACCAGGCAAAACAAGCTCTCGGACTTGAGACGTCAGATAAAGATACCGAACTTGAAGCTTTGATTGTCAAATGGCGCCTTATCAGCCAGAACGCTGCCGATGAAGCCTTTACAAGCGCCGAAGAGCGAGTCAAACGTATGGGTGGGATGACTGTGTGGAAGGAGCAGTCGAAGCGGGATTCGACTCGGTGGGAATGTGACGAGGAGAAGCGTGAGGTGGAGCACGTTGATGACGAGATTGATCCACGAGAGATTGAAGAACCAGATGACCAAGGCACTGCAGTTAATGAGGACACCGATGAAGTGAGTTGAACCCTTTTAAAACGACTTCAACAACTGACTGATTTGGCTAGGAGTTTACTATGGAGTTCATGTTGAAGACGTTGCACATTGATCCCAAATTGATCGGCTACGATACGAAGGCTCAACGATGGATCAAGACCGTTGCCAGTTGAATGGAAGGGTATGTTGAATATTATAATTTTAGATGTATTTGATACCTCGGAATTTGGTTATAAGAACAGCGTTAAGAGATACTCTTATCGTCGCATCGACCTTCCTATTTGAGCCACTTATTAAGTTATCAATTCAGTCCCCGCATTTGTCTTCTTCTACTGCTGCATGTCGCGCCCACTGAAGCATAGAGATATAGCCTGCGCTCGCTGCTTCCGACTAAAGCGCAAATGTGACCATGCAAAACCATCTTGCAGCGAGTGTCGCCGCAAAGGTGCTGAATGCCTGCCCGCGAGGTCTCGAAAAGCGGGCGATAACATTACCATTCCGCTCAGTTATCTGAAACAGTTGGAGGCACGAGTCGCAGAGCTAGGTCGTCCCAGTCAAACTGCGCCTTTGCAGAACACCTGCGATGTTGGAGTTCAGACCGATATCGACTTGGGTTTCGATGCGCAGCAATCGCTAACTGGCCCCGATATCAGTGAACTTAATAATGCTCTTACATTCCCCGGGGTACAATTGGCTAGTCCAAAGCTATGGCGAACGCCTGGCTACCTCTCACCGGATTCATTCTCCGCCTTTTTCGATATCCCGTGGATGGACATGGCCCCGTTGACTCCATTCGCTTCCGACGATACCCCATGGCTGAAAGAGCTCTACGCAAACATGTATTTCTCGGTCACTCATCGTGAGTGGCCCTTTTTGGATGAGGCCATCTGGAAATCTTGGCATACCAACGGGGTTTCCGATGGACAGGATGAATGGAGAGCATTCTTCTTGCAAATGGTTTATGCAATTGGTGCATCTCTATTCAGCACTCTGCAGCGAGATACTTCGCATTCATTCCGCTCCAAAGAGTTCTATACTTCGGCAATGAGGTACTATCCCCATGTTGTCGGACATTCATCCATGCTGTTACAAATACAAGCTTCGTTGTTGATGATTCTATATGCGTTGCATTCTCCTTCATCAGAGGAGATAACGACCAGCGTGGGCTCCGTTCTACCCTTCTGTGTGGCCACAATGGCCGAAATTCGAAAACATGCAGCTTTGTCAAGTGAAATTGGATCGGGGACTGGGGTCGATGACGTTCTCCTGGAGAAGATGTTCATCACATGTTATATGCTTAACGAGGTCATTGTTTCTGGCTGGGACAGGCCGGTGTCTGCTGCGTATCGAGTCGTGGATGATGATGTGAGTTTAACCCACCATTTTTCACCCTGCCAATACTGAACATTTCCCCAGATGTGTTCTCTCGGAGATACACTCCAGCCTGCACTGGGTATTAATCCTGCTCTGAGTCACCTGTTTAGGCTTCGCAAGATTCAAGCAAATATAAGAAGATCTAGGGAAGCATTGCCTTGCCAAGATCTCGTCGGAGACTTCAAAAGCCGTCTGTCATTGTTCAAACCAGCATTGGACAGCTGGAGACAGGATATACCACAGAATGCTTTGAAAAACGTTCAAAGCGGATATCTCCATCCGATATGGATGCAGAAGCTGTACGATTACAGTTTATTGATTTTAGGCGAAGGGACAAGGGAATTCACCGAGATGGACGGGATGAAAGACATGGTTGCTGCAATCGTGGATGTCTGCCTCAACTTCAGGATGCTACAGGAAGAGGGACATGTGATGTGCTATACATGGTCTGCAGTAAGTGTGAATGATAACCACCCCGATTACTCCAAGTATTGTCGCTCACATTTCTGCAGCTCGTTTTCCAGTTCCGTGCAGGAATTATGCTTCTCTATATTGCTTGGACGACAAGATCCATGTCTGATTGTAGAGATCAACAGATCCAACAGTCGATTCAACAAGCTATCTCTACGTGCACGACGAACCTGACTGTTTTTGGTGACCGTTGGACGGATGCGATGCCCTATCTACGCGTGTTTGAGTTCCTACACCAGAAGATTTTGCAGCCTGGAGATGCATTTGAAGTTGAAAATGAGACTGTGGTCTCACTTGAAGAAGCTGAGTTGAATTTGGGGCAATTGAAAAAGAGGTACCTACATCGCGCGGTGCTCGGCATGATAGAGGATATGATGTATGGTGGAATTGTACAAGAAGAGCTCCTGGAGGATGATTTGATGGAGTTTGTCCAAGGTGAAAGAGACGAGCATGATCTCAGCATTGTACATTGAAGAAAGAAGTCGTGTCTCAGCTAAACTACTGTACTATTTACAAAACGATCAACTTTCCAGTTGTGAAACCCGACTTCGTACGGGCATTTACAATCACGATGGTTTGGGTCAATGCAGGACTCGACCACCTTTCCCAGTTCTGATCACGGCCAGAGAGGGAATATGATGCAACAAGGAACCATCTATCACCATCGGAGATGGCGTTAAAAGGCTCGCCGTTGACGAAACATGACAGTGAATCCAATTCAATATCATCAGGCACCACAGTCCCCTCAATCCGAACCACAACATTTGAGTCTTCGATCTGCTTTGACTGTGTTTGTACCACTAACTCAGCAGTGGGCAGAGAAGTCCACGAATGAGGACCCTGTGTACTACTGATCACGTCGGAGCTCAATGCAGGCACAGAGGAAGGTTGCACGCGACCCTTCATCGCCGCTTCAAACGCGAATCCGTACTTAAGCAGGCTGTTGTCATCATAAGCCTTGCCAGCGAAAGTCAGATTTGCAGGCATTCCGATATCCTCCATCACCCCCATGGGTACCGATATGGTCGGTACACCTAGGTGGCGAATGGGTCGATTGCCGTTGGAGTATTTGACTCCGTTGCTCCAAGCATAAACTGAAGCAGCTTCATCACAATCTGCGTTCGCGGCACCGACATCACCATTTGCCGGGAAAACCACAGCATCGAGTCCAAGCCCATCCATCCAATTCTCAAGTGTCTCTTTGCGCGCATTCTCTAAAGCCTGGATTGCTTTTTCGATCCCAGGAACATCGAAAATAGAATCTGGTCTTCGAAGTGGATACTTCACCATCTCATCCCATCGCAACGCATTCGCTGCGTCGGGGGCGCCTTTCAAGGAGCCAGGTGCGAGTGGAAATATAGTGGATGGATCGACCTTTGAAAGAGAATCGAGGCCTTCCTGTCCGTTTGCAATGAGGAAATCATCCCAAATATGCGCAACGAGTTCACTCCGCTCCATTGATGACCAGCCTTCTGGGAGGCCTGCGACTGTGACCAATTGGCCCTTGTCGGCATTCGCCTCGTAGCTTGTGACAAGTGGAAAGTCGGTTTCGACAACCTCTGCACCCAGTGATTCCAAGACTGTGCGAGCTTGTTGCCAGAGCTTGATAATGGAGGCTCGAGTGTTGACTCTGCTAGCTGGGTTGAGCGACGATTGATCACCGCCTATGTACATGGAGGGAACAGCGATACGTTTGCCACGGAGTGAAGCATTTTCGCGTAGTGCTGAAAATGATTGAGGTCGGAGTGTGTCAATTGAAGGTATGGAAATGAGTTTCTGTTCCTGGTAGAAATCGCCTTTCGGTGTGGGATCGGAAAGGGCCAGGACGTCCAGGACATGGAACAAGTCTTCCACGGTCCTAGTATGAGGTACCAAGACATCACAAGTGGCATAGAGAGGCCAGACACCTCGTAAAGGGAGAAGACCCTTGGAAGGTGTGTAGGCTACAACTGAGTTGTTGGAGGCGGGGGACCGACCCGATGAAACAGTCTCACTGCCCAGAGAAAAAGCGCAGAAGTTGGCAGCTGTAGCTACTGCGGAGCCATTTGAAGAGCCAGATGCATACGCCGCAGCCAAATATTCATTGTTATATGGGCTTTCGGAACGACCGTAGCAGCCGCGCTGCATTCCACCGTATGCCATTGCAGGCATGTTGGTGCGGCCGAGCAAAATCGCACCGGCATCCCGGAGGATCTGAATGCATGCTGCATCCTCGTTGGCAATCAGGGTCTCGAAAGCCGGTGAGCCACTTGCGACACTCATGCCCTTGACTTTGATACTGTCTTTGGCGAGGTATGGGATGCCCTCGAGTGGTCTTGGTGGTAGGCCAGCCGCCCGTCTGGAATCAGAAGCCGCGGCATCATCGATTGCAGATGGGTTAATGATTGGGATTGCGCTGAGCTTCAGACCATTTGCATCGTAGTATGAAATTCTCCGTAAGTATTTTGATACGAGTTCCACGCTAGATAGCGATCCTGCAGATAGAGCTGATTGAAGCTCCGCGATGCTAGCATCGAGCAGTGAGAAACTCTGATTCTCTTGAGTCATATTGCCGAGCCTTGAGATATGTGAAGAGAGCAACGCTCTTGGCAAGGCTCGGTATATAAGAAGTTGGCGGACAACAGTCCGCAGCATGTCTTGGCATCTCCACACGGACTTTTGTCCGCTCTCTCCGCAGTTCCTAATACTTCCTATCAACCATCTCCAATTGCCGAAAGATAACCCTCGAGATAATGCACCTTATCTCCTTGGCAGAGATAGTGCTCTACTCGACCAGGCTCTTATAAGCCCGGGAGGGGATGTGATTTCGAGAGCAGAATCTCTGCAACTTCCATCTGCCCTGCATTATGAACAAAGACGTCAAGGTGGATCCTGACTCCACTGTGGAGAAGGGTGTTGCACTCGGCGAAACCCACGATATAGGTGCCGACTTGTACCTCGAAGCGGAGCAGCTGTCTTCCGAGGAGTTGGAGAGTGAGGGGGCAAAGGTCCTGCGGATTATCGACTGGAGAATCATGCCCATGGTGGGTATTCTTTGACACCTGCACATTGTTGATCGCCCATTGACATTTCCGGTCGTAGCTTTATGTGACCTACGTTATTCAGTTCCTCGGTATGCATCAATTGCGGTATTTTTCTTGTTAGACATGGTGCTAATGACCTACAGATAAATTGTCGCTCAATTATGCCTCTGCATATTCCCTCATTCCCGACCTCGGCCTCGAGGGGCAGCGGTACTCATGGGTCGCTGCTATCTTCAACTTCGGGTACCTTTTCTGGGCTCTTCCAGCCAACCTCTTGATCCAGCGCTTGCCAATTGCTAAATATATGGGCGGAATGCTCCTGATCTGGAGTGTACTGGTCATCGCTCACATCGGCGCAACAAACTATGGGGGGATCTTGGTGCTAAGATTCCTGCTGGGTATGGCAGAAGCTGGAGTCAGTCCTTGTAGTAAGTAATACAGAAAACCTCGGACTTTGACAGCAACTAATATGAGTCTAGTGATGAATCTCACAGCCATGTTTTACAAACGCTCCGAGCAACCTATACGCATGGCGATCTGGCTGAGCGCCAACGGGATGGCCACTATGGTCGGCGCCCTTCTCGGCTTCGGTCTGGGCCATACCCACAATACCTCTCTCCGCAGCTGGCAGCTTATATTTCTAACGATTGGACTGCTTAATTTTGTCTGCGCGTGTTTCTTCCTATGGCTCATGCCCGACTCTCCCAGCTCTGCACGCTTCTTGACCCATCGACAGCGCGTTATAGCCGTCCAACGCGTTGCTGAGAATATGATTGGTGTCAAGACTCGAGAAATCAAGCCTCGCCAAGCAGTGGAGAACCTTTGGGATGTCAAAGTCCTCTGCTGTGCTGGAATCGGTATTGCCTGCGGTGTGATCAACGGTGGTGTTTCGAATTTCGCATCAGCGCTCATCAAGGGCTTCGGGTTCGATGGAATCTACGCTACACTGCTTCAGCTTCCTACTGGCGCCATTGAAGCCCTAGTAGTTCCGATATGTGGCATAGTTGCTACATACATCAAAGACTCGCGATGTATCGTGCTTGCAGTCGTTTGCCTCATACCCTTTGCCGGTCTGCTAGGAATCCGCTTTACAGACCTAGACCACCGCTGGACTTTGGTCGGATGTACTTGGCTGCAATACATTATTGGAGCACCAGTGATTGTTTCGTGGAATATCTTGGCGACTAACGTTGGCGGACACACGAAGCGTGCTGTTGCGAACGGCCTATGGTTCTCGCTGTACGCGGCTGGGAACGTCGCCGGAGCCAATATATTCTTTACTCGAGAAGCTCCACGCTACTACTCTGCCCTTGCAGGACTTTTGATCTGCTATGCCGGAATTATTGTCCTATCTGCTGTGGCGTATGTGTCTATGAGATGGGAGAATGCAAGAAGAGATGCGGCAGTTAGAGAGGATGGTGAACTTGTACCGGATGATGTCGCTGCTCAAGCTATTGTGGATGGCTTCAAGGATATGACAGACATGGAGTCTAAGCATTTTAGATATGCACTCTGAGATATCATCATTAGAAATTGAATCGATTTTTCTTGATAAATGGGCTGCGCAAGGCCTGGTTTTGTGATTTGATGATTTTTAAGGGGCTCTTGTACAAAGAAAGTCGGGACTTAGTTCGGAGTTCCAACGTTTGCTTCGGTACTTGAACCTAGATAGAAAATTAAAGAGACATTATTTGATCAAAATTCAATGGGTTGTGGGATTGGCAGAGGGAAAGAAAGTCATCAAGTATTCAGATTCAGCTCCCAAGTGCGATTAAAGATCCACATTCCAAAGATGATTCACAATCAGAAATCCAGAGGGACGCAATCATGAACTATCACCCATGTACCAGACCCTCTTCCACATGATAGTCGTCGAAAGGATATGAAGAGTTGATCTGGTCCACGGTTCCACTTTGAAATATTCACTTCCGAAACATCGGGTGGAATACCATTTTTGGGTTGAAAGACTCCAGCATCACATATACGAGCCTCCTCGGGAATGAGTGCCAGAAGTTCCAGGTCATGGCCGCCGTCATCTTCAAAATTCGCAGAGTGTAATACTTCGGGGCTGCCATTCTGGCTCGCAGCTCGAGATATCTGAGCACTGTAATCTTCCTCAATGGCCATGAGGTGTTCTGCCAAAGCAATCCCCGGCAGACATTTATAAAACCCCTGCACTGGAGGCGCCTTCTTAGAAAGTTGCAGCGCTTTTCGCCGCAAAGCTGGATGGCGGCATTTCAGCGCGGTCAAATGAAGTGGAAGTCCGACTCCCATTTCGAAGGTGAAGGGAGGTGATACACCATCTGGTTTAGCCAGTGCGTCCAGTGTAAAACTAGATTGTTCAACAATTGTCTTAAATTTGTCCATATGAGAATCATACACCGATTGGTGTCGTGTCAGACAAGTGGAAACGAGAATAAAAGCCGCTGCATGGTATGTGAGGAGAATTGGCTCTGTCTTGGCAGCCTGGCTACTGCCAAGGAGAGAGCTCTTGCGCTGTATTGTCTGACAATATACACCGTATTCATGAAGCCAGCGTTCAAGTTCAGAGATGAGATGTTGTTGTTTGGCGTAGAGATGGTGGCTCACGTCTGATTCGTTATCCACTGCTTGCAGATGCAGCTCTGCATCGCGGTGGAAGATCATGCACTCGGCTGCTAGCATAGTTATTGTATGCCGGGCAGAAGCAAGGGACGTAAGCGGATAATCCGTGGGATTCGAGAAAGATAATAGCTCGCTTGCTGGTGTGCCAGATATGTTGAGGGCAATCGTATTCAGCCGCAAGAACAAAGGAATAATAGTATTCTCCAATAGTGCGACTTTGGTAAAAGAGATGAAAGTTTGGCAAGCCCTTAGACGAAGGTCTTGGATCAGACTGAAGCCTTGCTGGAGGAGTTTCAGGGCCTCTTCCATGCGGCCTTGAATTGTTTCCACGCAGATAAACAACACACAGCTGACAAGAGCGATATAAGGATCTGCAATTCCACGATCAATCTGGGAATGAACGCCAGATATCGAACGAGAATACCACGTCAATGCCTCTTTTTGAGCTTGATTGAGAGCATCATCATTTCTTCCCGTCCCCAAGAACGTGAAATGCGATGATTGTTCTGGATACTCAAACAAGCTGCTGATGGCAATTACGGCGTCCCATACTGGGGGCTCACTGCGGCAAACTTGCGGGACAACGCTAGTCCAGAAATCAATATCCATTCCACCAGAGAGATATTTGGCAGCATGTTGAAAGTAATATTCAAATGCACGACGCTCTCGTCTACCAGAATTAGGGGATGATGAGAGTGTATAGCTCGGTACCAGCGGGCCTGTTGTCAATGGCGCTGGGCGAGAGACTTCATCTCCCTCGAAGTCACATTTGCGTCCAGTGCTTGTACAGCGCAAACACTTGGGTCTTTCCTCTCCACATTTGACTCTCCGAATCCTATCTTTGTTAACGCACTATCCTGGCAGTCCTGACTCCTGAGCCACAAACTTACTTGCAGGTTTTACAGCCAGATCGGGACTTGGATGCACCAATGCGGCTGTTTGGGGGTGAATGACGAGGCCTTGCCATTAGCATGGACCATGGTTGACAGCTCTGATCACAGCGACATAGAAGGCTAAGTTTGGAAGGGTTCGGGGAAAGTGGGCTCTGCCGTTGGCGCCAGACAAATCAGGCACACTTTCTATTTTTGGAACGTCCTGCAGCTTGCGATGACCATTGCTCGTACGCCCAAGTATGAGTAGCTGGTGGTATCCTCGGCTCTTGTCCTCAGAATACCGAAAAACCTGATTCTTCCACTAGTGGACTTCATTCGCTCTTCAAGAGTGCATATATGTACATCTGCGGAATTCACCCCACCTTGTGTATATACAGACCGACAAAGTTCCAAGATTGGTATATATTAACATGGCTTCCTCGCAACAGCCATGAGCTCATATGGCGTCAAGCCAATATCATCAGGGAAAGCTAAACTTGAGAATGAGGATTGAGCGAACTGGGCCTCATAATCTGGCCAATCCACCCGAGGGCCAAGCCACACAATCAAGTCAATTGATTGATTCCCATATGTATCAATATACTTTTTAACGAGTTTTGGATCGCGTGGGTAGACAAATATCCACGCTGAGGCCTGTTGAGCAGCAGGGCAGAGGCCCCAGCCTCCCGTAACGACATGCATATCTTCCTCGGAAATGTATCGATTGACACTTGATCCAATCTCAACGCCATGTACTGATACATTTTCATCGCGATCAGTGATCAACGCTTCCAGAAGACCAGAGCCACTGCCCACGGAAACGGTGAATGATGGCTTCCTTGGGAGGAGGGAAATGATGTGGTCGAGAAATGTGCTGGATATGCCGAGGCAGCAATCTGGGAATCTGGTTGGTGATGGTGAAAGCTTGCTTGATATATGCGAGATTTCCATATTGGATGGTGAAGTATGAGGCCCTGGAGACAGTCCTCGCATTTCTACTCCGTACGGAGTACTGGAATTTCATTTATCTGGCCCGGGCTCGGAATTACTAAGTTCCCTGCTTTTAAGGGACATTCACCTGGATAGCTTCATTCGCGGAAGACTCTGTGGAAAATTTAAAGACTGTGAAGAATCAAAATGCTCAAAGTGGCCATTCTATTCCAATTTGTCCTGGGTAAGGAATCCAATCATCCAGTGCATGGGTAAGCAAGCCCAAACATCCACATAACATTCTAATCCATGAGCATTGCCAAATGTCATCAAAATCCAATCAAGCTTTCTCAATTAACCGATCGAAGATCTGGCTAATCTCCTTGGCGCTCTTTTTGGGAATCCTCTTCTGGCCATTTTCGTAGTCAACAAAGGTGACACCGAACCGAGTCTCATACCCTTCAGCCCATTCAAAGTTGCTAATAAAGACATTAGTTCCAGTCACAAAGTGAAGAAGGAGGTATAAGCGTACTCCATAAGGCTCCAAGCCATATAAGCCCGCACATTGACACCGTCCAATGTAAAAGCATCAGCCATGGCGCTGATATAATCCCGGAAATACTGTACGCGGAATTCATCATTGAGCAGCTCGTCCAGCTGCATGTCATTCTCGCCCAGCACGCTAGTCCCGTTCTCCGTGACATAGATTTTGGGATATCCGTACCGCTCACTGAGCCATTTGAGCAGCTTCCGGAATCCAATCGCAGAGGGTCGTAGCCAAGGTGACTGTGTGATAGGCCCAACGCTGACGCCGTTCTTGTCTTCGAGTAGCAGCTCCAAATTGCCCGCAATGTCATCAAGTTCCGGCTCTCCGGTCTTAGCACGGATGAAATTGGCACAGTAGTGGTTCATACCGTAGAAATCGTTACTACCGTGTACCAGGGCAATATCCTCTGCATTCCAGGACGGCAGGCGAGAGCCCAGTTGCTTGATCATGCTGTCTGGGTACTTTCCATGGTAAATTGGGTCTGCAAACCACGAGATTGCGAATTCAATCTTTCGATCACAGGCTTCGACATCGGCTGGGTTCTCCGGATCCCATGGCTCAGCCCAGTCACCTGTTATGTTTAGTAGAAGCTTTGTTGTGACAATGGGTGTATTTCATACCATTCAGCGTGATCCCAATTTCACCTCCATCTCGTGCTTTGAATTCATCGCGGTAAATCTTTACTGCGGCTCCATGAGCCACGAGCAGACTATGTCCCACAATCCACGGCTCTGTTGAGCCATCACCTACCGAACTCTTGGTGCGATCACTTGTGTGGCCAGGAGCGAAAGATCCAGTGTTGTATCCAAGAACACTGCTGCACCAGGGCTCATTGAAAGTAATCCAGTGTTTGATCTTGGAACCGAATGCATCAAAGACTATCCGCGCATAGTTCGCAAAATCGGCAACGAATTCTTCTTTGTTCAACATTCCGCCGTACCGCTTATCGAGTTCATCGGGAAGATCCCAGTGGAACAACGTGATCATGGGCGTAATTCCCGCTGCGATCAAATCGTCGACGAATTTTGTGTAGAATTGCAAGCCTTTCTTGTTGACGGGGTCATTGCGGCCGCCGAGGGGAATGATGCGGGACCTTTATGTTTTTGAATGTTAACGAGTAACTTCATGAATGGGCAATATTTGCTTCTTACCAGGATAGAGAGAATCGATAAGCACCAGCACCGCATTCCTTCAACAGGGCAATGTCTTCATGTGTTCGATGGTACGAGTCGCAAGCCACATCCCCAGAGCCGCCACCGGCGATTTTGCCGGGGATCTTGCAAAATGTATCCCAAATCGACGGACCACGACCATCTTCGTTTACAGCTCCTTCAATTTGATATGCGGCGGTTGCGAACCCCCAAACGAAATCTGGGGGCAAAGTGGACTGCTCGACGGAACCCATAGCGAATATGTCACTGTTTCAAGAAATCGTTGTGTACCGTGTGTTTTGGAATGTGGGAGTCGACCATACGACATTTATGTACACCCAGATATTTTCTGAAACACGCAAACACACAAATACGATATAACCAAGGCTTCCTTATCGTGAGAGGAATGATCTCCGCGACCCGGAGGAGACGCCGCGCCGAGAGCGTCGGGATCCACCCTGCGTGGCTCTTAGCGGCAGCCGCGGTAGACCGGCCCGCCCACCCTGGCTACTAAAAGACAAAAGTTACAAATTTAAGACAGCTCTCTATTCAAAACTTATGCTAGATTCAAAATGCAAGGCCAAGAACTCCGGACGGTGATGCGTGCCCCATTCGTTAACTCATGACAGTTCCATGCCTTCGTCGTCGGCATCCAACTCAGACAACTCGTCCGCAGTCGAGCCTAGACGTAGTCGAGATCCTTTCTCTCGGTCCCCGAGGCCATCAGACCCCATAGTGACCATTTCTAACTCAGGCCCTGCAATGATGCGACCTTCCGTGTCCACCACTTCGCAGAGCTGAATCAGACTTTGGTGGCTCAGTGACTTGAAACCGTCTGAACGAACCACGCGACCCCAGTACGTCAGGCAGTACTGTGCGGCTCGACGCATGAGCCAGTGCTCATTGGTTCGGCCCGCACGCTCCCATATGATGGCTGCGTTGTCTACGTCGAGCTCTCGGCTCAGTCGGTTGACACATAGCAGCCGCAACTTGGGCATGTCATAAAGGTTAGCCATCACGAGCATACCTGCAACATCGACGGCGTTCGTTGGGAACTCTGGGTGGCCGGATATACTATCTGTGTACAGATAGTAGAGAAATGCGCGTACGACAGAATGGGGTTCAGGAATGTGCATCCGCTTGGTGTGGTACTCGGCCATTTGGGCAGAGTACAAGCGTTTAAAGTGTGGCCACCGTAGTTGCAGAATAATTCGGTGGACATGGATGGGTTCCGAGGTCCAGACATTTGGCTCCACAAAGGTTGGTTGGGTCTCAGATGGAGAGACATCCGGCATGTCGCCCGCATCTTCCAGAACCGAGCCTTCGTGGTCGTCGCGGATGGCGGTAATTACAAAGTCTGTACCGCTGCCTGATTGAGGATGTTGGTCGAAAGCCGCCGCCAGATCAGAGCCAAGTCCAGTTGTCTGGGAAGGACCTGTTTGATCGAAGGGCCAAGAGGAGTCCTGTTCGGGGGATTCAGCCGACAGGCCGTTACCCAGTAAGCCATACTTTTCGAGATCGATGGTAAGGATTTCGCTCATGTGATTGTCGTCACTGCCACCGGGTACGTTGGCGACATCGAGACTACATCCCAATAGCCACGCTTTGGTCCCCGTGTCGTTGACTGTGCAGTAATGCCATCGATAACCGGGCCGGAAGATCTCTTGGCCATCGGCGAGCCTTTGCCATCGCAGTGAGTTGAGTTCAAGAGCTGATAAATTACAGTCATGCGACCTTACGGTCTCGGAGGGTGTGATGAGGTCCAAGAGGACACCGGATGCAAATGAGTGGAAATGTGTACCGGAGAAAAGGGATGGGACATGGGGACCAGAGCTGAAGCGGAGGCATGAGATGGCACCAGGCGCAAGCTGCTTGCGTCGGTTGAGGTTGCGCACCTGCACACTTCCCGAGTTTGCAGCATAAATCCCGGATCGGGGGGACATTGGATGGGGGCTACTAGATACAGAGTCTGGGAGATGAGTGGAGGATAGATTGACATCCAGGGAGTCGACACTACCTTGTGGAGTGATGTTGCCGGCGAGCGATGGGGATCCTTTGAGGTCGAGCCACCAGATATCAGTTGTTCGTTCCATGTTCGGGCCTAGGCCACCGAAGATCCAAAGGCGGGTGCCCCAGACCCAAGCTGTGTGATCGAATCGTGCGGTGAAACTCCATGTCCGGGACCAGGTCCAGGTTTGTAGATCCAGATATGTCAAGTCGTCCAAGATAAGGTTGTTCTCTCCCGTCACCCCACCTACGATGAAGAGCTTGTCCTCGTGGATCACTGCGGCATGTCGCGCTCGGCCACGGGGGATCGAACCACGGATCTCAGGAAGGGTCCAGGTAAAGGTGTTGAGGTCAAGGATGACGACGTCGGATAAGTAGTCGCGATGCTCATTTTCTCCCCCAAAGACAATCAGTTTATCACCTTGGTAAAGGGTCGCGGTATGTCCTGTCACAGAGAAATGATCGAATTAGAACGTTGCGAACTTAAGTATGTGTGACGGGCGAATGAGAAGAGAGAGTGGTTACCCATGCGCACTCCAGGGATATCGCCGTAGTTATCGACGAGTTCCCACTGCAGCGTCTCCAGGTCTAGCTTGAGCACGTGGTTGTAGACTAAGATTAATTAGTACGGGTTCTAGGAATTGTAAAGGAAAGTGCCGACCTTCGTCGGTGTACTGGTCGAATCCTCCAAAGGCGTAGATGCGGTCATTATTGCAGTACGTCACCGAGGCATTGACCAAGCAGGCGGGGACATGACCCTGAGCTTTCTTGATACTGGGACGATAGTCCGCGCTGGTCCGGCGACCTCGAGCCGGACAGGCTGGCATCAAGTAGGCGTCCTGCATTGTCTCCAAGGACACAAGATTTGTTCAGAGCCTCAAAAGATCACAGGAAGAGACGTCGTGCGAGTGGGTCTGGGTGGAACTAGGAGGAAGAAGCCTGGTGGGGATTTAGAACGGAGAGATGCGCCATCCCAGTTGCAAGCAAAGGCAGCCCCCTCTGAACACTTCAGAGCTACTGCACAATTAAATGACCCTCTTTGAAGGATGAAAGGATGCAAATTAACTTATTTTCTCTTTGTTCGCCCGACTGAATGAGGCGCGAGGGACTTGACGCCAAGCCGATCTTCATCAAAAGAGGCAAGCGCCTGGCATGATGTGTCAGCCCAACACTAGTCCCAATTAGGTAGGATGTTACCCAGGGGACCGTTGCTGGGGGGAACTTCGAGGTTTTAGCAAGAGTATACCTGCTATTTATTCCTTCCCCTGGTCGACCTGGCTTCTCTCTTCTCTATCACCCAAAGCCTCTTGCTATATCATCATCACTGCATACTTTTCCATTGTTTGACATTGTCTCAACCACATCGATTAGTATTCTGCATCTTCTATTAGGGCTGGTCCCGTTGCATCTACTTGGAGCAATTATATCACTATGACTTCTGTCAGTGTGTCCACCCCGGTGAAGAGCCACACTGGGCTCTTCTCGACCAAAACTGCTGGAGGCCGTATCCCTCTGAGCCCCTCGCCAAACCCCCGTGCCAGCGGCCAAGAGTCGCCTTTCACCCCTCCTCGCCAGGCAGACTCCGGCCGCGGACAAGCCAAATCTGTCTACGGTGGAAACCTGTCCGCCCACTTTGCCAAGACGTCAGTGTCTAGCAAGTCCTCCATCTCTACCAAGCCCTCTGCTTCTACCAAGTCCTCGGTACCCGCCAAATCCTCCGTCTCAAAGACAACTCGCTCCACATACCGTGAATCTCCCAAGTCGAACATCGCCCGCACACGCAAGTCACCCAAGCACCTGGAGCTCGGAGTGTCTGACTGGACTTTGACCGGTACAAGCGCCACAAGCGCAAACACACCTTCCAAGGAGCGTGTTCGAAGAGAGACTGCTCCTCGCACTCGTTCAAGCAAGACCACTGTGCGGATTTCCCACAACGCCGGTGATCGTTTCATCCCAAACCGAGCCGCGAGTGAGGGTCTGGCTACAACTGGTGCCGCGAAGCCCGAAGAGAGTCAACGCCCTAAGAGTGGTGGCAACGGTAATGATGGGACCTCAGTTATTGCATCGGCAGCCAGTGCCAGTGCTTTCGACATGGGTGCCCGTGGATTTGACGATGATCTGAGCTCTGCTTTGGAGGGCTTGGGTCTGGATGACAACGAGCCTTCCACATACACACGCCCCGCCCTAGAGGCAACTGCATACAAGTCCTCTCTTGCCGAGGCCTGTGGTGTCAGCATGAACACTCGCATTCTCGCCTTCAAGCCTCCTCCCCCTGAGTCATCCAAGCCCATTGATCTCCGTGCTCAGTACAATCGTCCTCTCCGTCCTGCCAAGTCAACAGCTGCTCAGTTCCGTCGCCGTGTGCAAACAGCACCAGAGCGTGTTCTGGATGCCCCTGGCCTTTTGGATGACTACTATCTCAACTTGCTTGACTGGAGCTCTGGCAACCAGGTCGCTATCGGACTGGAACGCAACGTGTATGTCTGGTCTGCCGAGTCTGGAACCGTCAACTGCCTTTTGGAGACCGACCCCGATACCTACGTCAGCAGTGTGAAGTGGAGTGGAGATGGTGCTTACGTTGGCGTTGGCCTGGGAACTGGTGAGGTCCAGATCTGGGATGTCGAGGAGGGTTCCAAGCTGCGTAGCATGTACGGCCACGACTCCCGTGTCGGTGTCATGGGCTGGAACAAGCACACTCTTTCTACTGGAGCTCGCAGTGGTCTCGTCTACAACCACGATGTTCGCATCGCTGATCACAAGATCGCCGAATTGGTTTCCCACACCTCTGAAGTCTGCGGTCTCGAGTGGCGTGCCGACGGCGCCCAGCTCGCGACTGGTGGAAACGACAACCTCGTCAACATCTGGGATGCTCGTTCTCTCTCTGCTCCCAAGTTCACTAAGACCAACCACCGCGCTGCCGTCAAAGCTCTCAGCTGGTGCCCCTGGCAATCCAACCTCCTCGCCACTGGCGGTGGTTCATACGACCGTCACATTCACTTCTGGAACACCACCACTGGTGCCCGCACCAACAGCATTGACACCGGTTCCCAGGTGACTTCTTTGCGCTGGAGCAACCACTACCGCGAGATCGTTAGCTCTAGCGGATTCCCCGACAACTCTCTTAGCATCTGGAGCTACCCCACTCTGGTTCGCAACGTTGAGATCCCTGCTCACGAGACCCGTGTTCTTCACAGCGCTATCAGCCCAGATGGTCAGATGCTGGCTACCACGGCTGCTGATGAGAGCTTGAAGTTCTGGAAGATCTTCGAGCGCAAGGCTGGGACCAGTGCCTCCGCTGCTCGTGAGGGTGGTGTTGGCAGCAAGGCCCAGATGACCAAGTCTATGACTATCCGCTAAGCCGTGGCAGCGGAACTCTGCACATTTTTCTTTAACTCGCTCGATACCCTGGTTCACTTTTGAAAGCATTGATGGGCTGGGACATAATTTGGTGTTGGGGCTTTTTTTTATCTCTGTTCGGATGATCTTGGTGTCTCGGATGGCGTTTTTGTTCGTTGTATCTATTTTGCCGTATGATGGGTTTTCAGATTGTACAAATACCATCGCTATGGCGTGTTTAATACATTGCAAGTGTCGATTTTTGAAACTTCAGAATTCAGTACCAGATGTGTTCTATTTGACCAAGTGGCTGTATGAGTATAGTTGGAGTCCCAGTCCAAGTTGATGTTGGCGGCACCAAATCAAATCCACTCTTGGCGGGATGACATAAGATGACATAAGCATCCATACAGACGGATTTCCACCGCCTTGCCGTATCCTTCACCTTTAGCAACTCATCGGGAAACTCTCCATCTTGCTTTTGAGACGTTTAGTGGTTTGCGGCTCACTTCTTACGACTTTGATTTTTGTTTGTCAGTGCAAGACCTACGGTTTTCCCAGTCGCTCGCTAGACACTGCGTCATTCCCGGAAGGGCAACTTCTCGGCAACTTGATTGCGACAGCACGCCTTACTTCTTGAGCTTGCCCAAGCTACCCTTGTTGGGAACAACAATTCAGATTCGCCTTCCTCTCCGCCTTCCACTCCGCTCACTTTTCGGTCTCTTTCACCGCTTGCCCTCGTCGCCCACCAGCCATGTCCAACCAGCAAGTCGTAAGTCCAGGCAGACCACCATAGCCTTTCTCAAGCTCGCGGCTATGTCCTCTAGTCTATAGTGGCGGCTCCTGGTCTTCGAGTCTGGCTATGTTGCACTTCCTTTGACACAACATGAGAGCTAACACTGTCGACTCATAGGGCGTGGTCTTTGAGAAGGTCATCCAGGAGGTCTGCGACTCATCCCAGGTCGACTTTGAAGAAAGTGGTGTCGATCAACAGACTCTGCATGATCTGCGAGATGTGAGTTATCCTCTCTTTCTAGTGCCAGGTCATTTTGAGGTGGTTGATCTTGGTCGGCCAAAAGCGGGGGAATCCGAGGTGCGGGAGGCGGTGCTTATGGGGGAACACCGACTTATGAGTCTTCCCTTTATATGTGCCGCTGGTACCCGCTTAGGCATTAGACTGCCAAGCCTTTATCCCAGCCATCATCTCATTCGTCCATGACCCTGTGGTATAATAATACTGACGTTAAACAGACCTGGCAAAAGAAGCTCTCTTCTGTCAACGTTGCCCACTTCCCTTGGGACCCTGCCCCAGTGCAGCCTACTCAAAACCCCATCCATCCTCCTGCGACTGTACCCTCCAACGCTCCTCGACCTCAGCCTCCGCAACAACAATACATTCCTCCGCCCGTCTCAATTCCTCAACATGCACCTGCACAGATTCCTGGCCCCATGTCCATGGGCGGTCCTCGCATCAAGACCGAACCTGGGTCTGGTCAGGTCCCAATGCCTCAGATGACACACCAGATGACATCTCAGATGCCGCCGCATGGTATGAACCCTCAGTCAGCTCGCGACCGTGCTGCGAGTGCTCTCCAGCAGAGATACGGTGCTGCTGCCGCCACATCTGTTAGTCAAATGCAAGCGCAGGCCCAGACTGGACAAGGATACCCCCAGATGCACCCCAATGCCCATGGCCAGATGCCACATATCAAGCAAGAACACGGATACCCTCCTATGGGAGGTCAGACCGATGGTGGTGGTGATTCTCTGGCTGAATGGAAGGCCGAGGTTGCACGCCGCAGGGCAGCTGCTGAGGGCGGAGAAGGTGATCGCATGCTCCGCGAGCACCTCAAGCAACGTATGAGCGGGCTCGAGGGTGGTGGTTTCATGCGCCCTCTGGCTGAGCACGAATCATCTGCCAAGATTGCCCGGCGAGCAGCCATCAGTGCTTGCATCGAGCAAGACAATGAGGTATCTCCCTCGGCTCCCCCTATGTCTGGACAATTTGATGGCGCAGACGGCGAGGTCAAGGAAGAAGACGAAGATGCGATCAACTCCGACCTCGACGACCCTGATGACCTCGTGGCCGACGATCACGATGCCGACGAGTCAGAAGGTCAAGTCATGCTTTGCACATATGATAAGGTCCAGCGTGTCAAGAACAAGTGGAAGTGCACCTTGAAGGACGGCATTCTGACCAGTGGTGGAAAAGAGTAAGACCAACTGCCCGCCAACGATGACATTAACGCTAACCTCACTAGATATGTCTTCCACAAGGGTCAAGGCGAGTTTGAATGGTAGTCAACCGACACCACCACAACTCTGCATTTTCCAACCCATCCTCCAACATCCTTTTTGACGACTTCATTCCCCCGTTCTGTAACAATTTCCCATTGTGTTCACGACACAAACGAAAACAAATATCTACGTCTTTCCATTTACGCTCTCGAAACGGATCCTTCAAGCGAAATATTCCTCTCATGATTTCCACTACCCGGATACTGAAATATGTCACCGGGTCTTTCCCGTGTTTTGCTTGGTTTTGAGCTCACGGCTCACGGCGCTTACTAGTGAGATTGGATGGGGTTGCCTTTTTTTTCATGTTTAACCTTCATTCCCTTTGCGCTTGACCATGCCTTGTTAGGGCTGGCTTTACTCTAGAACGATATGCCAATATGGCTAGGTCTAATAAAATCATTGAATGACTGAAGTCCCAAGTAAAAGGTTCGTGCCTGGCCTCCCCGGCCTTGAGATTCTCGGACAGTGCGGTCATTTCTTTTGAGTTGGGTTTGCGTTGCAGTCTAAAACATCCCGGTGGATTCGTCCGTTCCAGGGTTTTCACTGGTTGATGTTGTACCGACAACGTTGGTCCAACCCACGGAGCAACTGTAGGTGTCTGGAGGAAGCTGATGAGGCGTCAACCTTGAGATACAGGGTAAAATGAAGATGAAGCCAAATGGCAAGACTGCAAAGAGAATAAAAATCATAGACAAAAACCAAAGTGTATCAAAAATCCATATCTACAAAAAAGTCCAACGCCGATAAACCGCACTTTTTATAATTTCCATTCCCATTTTTCCCAGGCCCCCGGACCCCAGTTCCAGTTCCATTCGTCTCACAGGGAAGAAATCGAACACCATGCAAAGGGAGAGCGACATGCTGGCCTCAACATAGTACACAGTCCCATGTCACGCAGACCTCAAATCATCCCCTTCGTATGCACTTTTCAGTGCTTTGAAAGTGCGCAAGGAACATGCTCGAGCTTGCGAGCGACCGTTATCTTCCCACGAAGAGGCACGGCGAGAATGTCGAACGCAGACACAAGCATAAGAGCAAACATATAAAACCAAAAACAAATAGCCAACCCATACATAAAACGTGAAGCAAAAGGAAATCAAATCAGACGGGGGATCTGTACCGAAAGTCCCCTCGTGCTTCCATAGAAGCGAAAACGTATGAGACGCAAGAAGAAGCGGAGAGAGTCAAGACAAAACAAAACAATCAAGCAAGGAATTGTTCTATACAGTCCTTGGATGCCGGCATTGTTTTTTCCGGGTCTTCGATCAAGGTAAGCTCTATTACCAAGCCAATACAGAAATTTGTAGGCGAAGGAGGTCAAGCAAGAAAACAGTCATGATAGTTGGAACATACCGCCGAAGCAAGAACAAGGCCTGTCCTCCAAAGCCAAAGCCAAAGCCAAACAGCAATTTTGCGAAGAGAAAAGGTTAAAAAAATGTGACTCAAGACAAAACTCCAAGACCGGAACCAAAGCAAAATCATGACATCGTGTGGAGTGCTCTCGCTCTCGAAGGCCGTTGAGATCGTTCGCATTAGCTGAGAATTATGTATGGACATACGACACAGTTTGTTCACAGGTTCACATGAGACCTTCTTCGCCAATTCCGGGGAGACCAGCTCCAGCAACGTTGATGTTCTGTCCTTGCATGACACCACCGCCCATGGCAAGGTTGCGGCCTCCGAGTTGGAAGTCTGGGTTGCAGGGTGGGGAATGCGACTTGTGGTATTTAAGTCCGTTCAAGTTCTTATAACGTTTGCCGCACACCTCGCAGCGGTAAGGCTTCTCTTTCTCCATGCCAAGAGTGCCTGGGTAGGGCGCTGAGGTTTCCGGATTGACAATGGAGAAAGTACCGTCAGCATTGTCGTGAAGTTGTTGGTTGTTATGGCCATGCTATGAAGTGAAGAGAAAAAAAAGGTTAGCCGGGGTTCCTTTAGTAGTTTGATAACTAAAGTTAGCACTTACAGCTTTGTGATATTTGAGCCCATTCTGGTTCTTGTATGCCTTTTCACAACCGATGACGGGGCACCGGAATGGTTTCGGCTCCTCATTGGGAAGGATAACGGTTGTATCGGGGACACCGGCCAACAGCTGCTGTTCGCGGATGCGACGGGCGATATCGCTATTTGGACCGTATTGGGCTCCACTGAGCTTGAAGTGGGCATTGGGAGAGCCCATGCCACCGCTCGGGCTGAATAGGCGCTTGGCTGGTTCGTCGATGCAGAGATCGACCATGTCATTATTGTTACCGTTGAAGCGGCCAAACTGGTTCTGGTTCTGGCCCATGGTGTTATTTTGCATACTGAGGTCACCAAAGCCACCCATCATGTTTTCGTCTATTTCTGCAGGGGTCCCTGGTCCGGACGAATCGGGTGTGTTTCGGAATTGTGAGTTTTGAAGAGGGTTTGCCATCAAAGTTGGGGTGTTGACGGAAGAGACAGTCGGATTGTTCTGCAGAGAAAGAGGCCGCCCAGATCCGATCGGTGTACCAGGTTGCGATGGGGTGCTGAATCCTTGGTGGCTTGGAAGCATGCCGAGATTTAATTGCCCGGGGGTGAGGTTGGAATTTCCAAATCCTCCTTGTCCATCATGCATCTGGGGGGAGAACAACTGCGATGTTGAGCTGTCACCATCGCCAAGCGCGTCGTCCAACTCCATGTCGTCAATTGTGTCCAGGTCTGCGTGCTGTAACGGGGATGGGTTCTGTCCGAGTTTACGCTGCATGTCCAGGGTCCGGTCGGGCTGCAGGCCACGTCCTTGGTTGCCATGCTGTTGACTCTGTTGTTGTGCGATTGCAGCGGCAGCCAAGGCAGCTCGATTTTCACCCTGGCTTGGCCGGTGCCCTTGGTTGGGCGACTTGGTCGCATGGGCTTCTTCGTAGTGTTGTAATAGGTCGTGGAGTGTTGGTAACGTCACACCGCAGCACGAAAAATCTCGCATGAAATTTGCTTCTAGCTTCGGGAGATACGATGAAGAGTGGAAAGACGGCGACTGGAAGGTAAATGGCGAGGTGCCAGTCATTATGATACTGCGGAAATTTTCCTTGGTCAGTCTTTGATGCGGTGCAACAGCAGCAGCAGCAAAGGCGTTTTTTTGCTGGCACACTGCCTGATACCGGGAAATCAACTCACTCATCACGAATCCAGCTACCAACAGAGACACCACCCCAACTCATACCACCAACCAAGCTCCCCGCGAGGGACTCGCGACGGCCTTTGTCGCGGGCAGAGCCGGACATGGAGATAGGTTTCGTCCCATTGCCCCATTGTGCTGTGGCTGCGCCGATCGAGTCCTTACGAGGCGGGGGTGCCTTAAAAACTCCGAGTGCTCCTCCGGGGAGATGTGAAAAGCTCCCTGTGCGCTCGCCCGTCCCGGCTCTTTGCAAGGCCGAGGTTAGGTTGGACGCCTGCTGGCCCGGCGGCGACACTGAGGTTGTCCGGGTAGAAATATCAATGGGAGCAGCGCCCGTCATCGTGAATTGCCGGTATAGTTAATTCTGGCAGAAAATTCCGTGGTGGTTCCGATGGGAGGTCGGACGAGGAAATATCCTGGTTCCCTGTCTCTGGTCTGCGCGATGTCACGCCAAACCCGAGGGGCTTATTACAACGACCTTACTTCGAGTCCCGCGTTGAGGCGCGAAGCTCACACAGAGGGATGCGAAAGCTGAAATAAATGGGGGAGTGCAACTCGAGACAGCCGGTGCCCCTCGATGAGTGGACTTTTGAGTGGACGGCGGATTTTGGGCGGGTTCACAAGAGCCCACTCGGATGCGATCCCGCTTTTGGCAGAAAGTCGAGTGTGAGATCGTGAGGCAACTCCGGGAGGATTATGAATTGGTGCTTTTGAAGTTAAGTCTGGGATAAGAACCAATATAAGCAGTAGGAGTGATAAGATGAGGAATAGTAAGGGACAGCCACTGTATGAGATGGTTACCAACCCGCTCTTCCGGAATAGGACAGGCGCCGTGACCCACGTGATCTCATTTCTAGTGGTCTTGAGTACGCTAAAAGGCCAGTGATGACCGAATTACGATGTTAAATGAGTAGATCGCAAATGCTAGGTAAATCTTAGCAGATCCTAGACTATCCCGGTGCAACCAACAAAGTATAAGGTCCAACTGGAAGCGTTGTGGCATGCTCAAGTGGCATTCTGAAAACGTCACTATCGATAATGGTGTATCCGAATTACCTGAAACGGAACTAGTGTATTATGACTAACGAGAAATATAGTCCCTGGAAGTCGATGATGTCGATATAATTCATGGCTATTATATCCTGCTCTTATGAACCAGTCGTATACTTCCATTCTTACAACCTCCAAATGATGTTCATTGGGGTTGTATTAATTTCCCCCGAATTGTGCTAGTAATATCATTACACTACTTTTACTATTACCGAAAGGTTCTCCCGAGTCGCCTCTCAGTGGGGCTACCACCCTCTGCTAGTCTCGCTCATCTCGCTGAAGAATCGCCTTCGATGCCAAGCTCCTAGATATCTGGTCAAATAGCCTCACATCGCACGGAGGAAAGGGTACTATCGATCTGAAAATCCTTGCAAAACCCTGGAAAATCCGGGGTCATCTGCAAGGGGGATCTGAGATAAGAGCGATCTGGGTGGCGGGATTTGCCTTTGCCCATACTGCGTGCGGAATACCGACACGTTGTGATCCATAATTGCGCGGTGGCATCTGTACTAGAGACGATCCCCCTTTTTTCCATGCGCTCTCACGTTGAATAACGTTGACGTCTGATCGGCAAATGTACTCTGTACCTTGAACGGAGTACTCTGTACTCCGTACTTGGAATAACCACAATGCCAGCTCGTTGTTATTTTGTTTTACCAAAACTCATTATTTGGCCGATACACGCTAGAACGTGCGGGAGAAAATGGGGGCTTCTAGCGGTCAGCAGAATGGGTCCTCGGGATTTTAGGGGGGATTTTAGCAGATTTAGGGCGTAATTTACTGGTACCAACGTCGACTGACCTGAAACCCGCCTCGTACTCCGCTGGAAAGGGGAACTCCCGAGGTTCGGAGCCTATCCGCTATACCCGTAGTGGTGATAAACACAGCGCTATAGACTGCGGATGCTATGCACTATTATAGTCAGTATGAAACCCGATTTATAGTACGGAGTCCGAAGTAACTGAAACATTTTCAAGTGTCTTGCTACTTCGGAAGTACTTCGGCTCAAGCGCTCAACGGCCGACCTGCACCTGCAAGCATGGAAAACAACGTCGCCACCCGCGTAATCTGCCTCGTCTAGACCGTTCGGCTTATGGATACTTGTATGCACTGCACATTGCATGGAGTACTCTGTACTCCGTACGAGTCATCCTCATAAGCCCCATCATTTTACTTTCCGTTCCGGCGTACGGGAGAAACCTAGTTGTAACTACCGAAGTTATTCCAGCCCAATATTCAATGACGGCAGCCCAAAACTAAAAGCTAGTGTAACGTATTATGTAGCTAACTGGAACGAAACGCGCGCCCGAAAGCTCTTGTCCACTGAACTTACTCTTTTGGGTGTCGCCCTGGGCCAATTTTTGGGCGGATGCCGCGCAGTTGCCTTCGGGTCCCAAATATGATGCGTCCATTTGGTTGAATTGCTTATGGTGCATATACAAGCACAGTCTAATTAAACAGCTGCGTAAGACTTACTCCGTGCATTGCGTGATTGATCTAGACATGCGATTATCACTTCTCCATTAAGGGACATCCCGCCTGTATGCAAGCTTTAGTTGACTTTTAGTCTATACAGTAGTTTTAATGCGAAATCCTCATAGGTGGAGATGTATACCGAGTCAGGGATCGTGAACACCCTGCATCATAGCCAAGTCATTGATTACAGCGCTTAGTTCATTGATCTGCAATCGGAACCATCCTGATAAGGGGCATATCACCGACCCCTTACCGGCCTTTCCACTATCAACAGCGACCCCGCGTGGCTTGTTTTGCGGGGAATGCAAGGTTTTGTACCAAATATGCAACTTGAGACCATCACAGTTCGACGTGTCGCATGACTCGTATCTACTCCGTAGATAACTTATTCACTTTTTTGAACTATGCAGACACGGCTGAGGCAGATGATTCTTCTCGATCAATCAATCTATTTTGCTAGTCTATCATGTTACTGAGCGACCATTTTCATCTTTTTCTACTTAAGGTTTCCCAGAATACGGAGTAAATTGGTGCCGATTGAGGCGAAGTAGCCGTCGTTGTATTCACTATGGCATCGAGCCGGCATTTGATCTGACGCCGACGATCTATCTCTATGTACTTTGAATATCTCCATTGCGGTGGCCGCCCCTTGGTTTTCCCCCAGGTCGTCTACCAACTGCTTACCAACCGGGATCTTATCTCCTTTCTTATGCCTGTACACACGATTTTGAACGAATTATGGCCGTCTTGGTGAGCGATGTAATACATCCTACAATCCTTCTTCGTCAAATTCGGTCAGCAAACTTGGGGAATTCTGAAGAAGACGTTTCGCATTGTACGGAGTTTAATTCAGGTACTTCTAAGACCCTCAATAGCCGGCTTTAGCTTCTACATTCAATCTTTACTTGGTTGTCCATGGTTGCAACCACAGTCAAAAAGCTGCTTTGGTCTTCAAAATCACAGCTGCAAAGGTAGAGTTTTAGCTATGCCATCAGGCATCATCGGTTATGCCAGTGCATATGCACATACCTCAGTACAAGGAGGCATTCTGTTATGCCTTGACATTATCACTTATCACAGCCCCAACTCTCATACCTCCAGTATCACTCGAAGTAGAGCTCCTATAAGCTGGTAAATCTATTAGAATCGCAGCATCAACTCCATACTCCCAGTATATAAGTCAAGACACCTGCCAGAACATCGGGGGAAATGATTTCTGGTATTCAACCTTGGAAGATGGACTCCAGGTGTCAGGCGGCAAAGTACAAAAGAAAAACCTTGAAGATCTCTATTATGGTCCAGGAAACAACAATAATAGAACTAAGGAAGGAAAGGAGAGCAAAAGAGCTAGTAGGATCTATATAATAAGGCTTCTATCCTTCCTATACACGTGACGGATCACTTGACCTTGTCGAAGTCTGCCTTACCAGAGTACCTACCCAAATACTAAAGTCTAGCAATCCTGATATTAACGCCCAGCAAAACCCAAGCTCAGTCTCTTAAACTTGTAGAGTATGTAGTCATATAACTTCCCAGATAGAAATAAAGTTAGTTTTACTAAGAATATGTTAATTATTGTCTTTTTATGTAGATAGGTTATGGCAGTGCACTGTAAATAGCTAGTCATGTTACATTTGGTCTACTGCATGGCTTAACACGTCAAGGAGCCTTGGAAGATGGACCTCAGCCTCCAAATACTACTCCGTATTACATACATACTTTCACCCGGGCGAACAGTATGGTGCATGGGCTGTGACTAGTCAGAAAGACCTGCATATACGAACGGCGATCACCAAACTTTCGGCGGCTATCAATTAATTCCGGATATCTGATTCTTATTCTTCGAGCCATCCTTCAAGCTCTGTCGAATCTTCATTTCGCGCAATATCAGCTGTTGATTTCTATATTTTTGACTGTTTTGATTCGCCTGGAATCCAAATTGAGCCGGATTTGGGATGTTTTCATATGGGTGATATATTCCCTTCAAATTCTTTCGCGGTCTGCTTGGAGAGAAATGTGAGATATGAAGGCACTCGCACAATATGACTTAAAGTAGGTCTGGCTTGACAGTCACACAGCCCCCCAACCTCCAGGGCTTATGCACAAAGCCAGGTTTGTTTAGGCGTTGAATCACCTTCCAGGCAGTGGGATGGACCCTTCCCACTAAAGGCTTGGCTGCGGCTGAGTGCCCGAAAGGCGCGCACTTGGACCTAGATCCTGGATGAGAGAAAATATTGAAGTATTCTCTTATGGTTTCTCCCTCACTTGCCATTCCTCACAATCATCTACACTGAGCACTTCACCTTATATCTCGGGCTACGTACTGGCTCATGCCTTCGAAAATCCTCTGATTATGCATGATCCTCCAGAATATGAAAATGTGGCCCTTCAAAGTCGATGGTCTGTCGGACTTAAAACACCACTCCTCATGGTGGGATCTTTTATAATTGGTCCGCAATCACGATTTTCTTCATTTAACCATACTATCAGCTCAGCGTTTGGGACTAATGTTTGAATAAACAGCATTTCTAGTCGCTGCTCTGCATGCCATCTTCTACCAGGTGCTTACGGGGACGCCTACTGAAGGTCCCGAATCACGAGTCCCTCAGACATACGAGACGACTATCTCCGTCATTTTGTCGAGCACATTCACCTTGCTAATTCATTTCTGCTTGGGCCTTTCTTTCACGCAATATCTATGGTATATACTCCGACGCCAGCCCCTCGCGATCTTAACCATCGAACACATCTTTACCCTACGCTCGAACCCTTTATCATTATTCGATAAAACAATATTTCGAAGGGCGCGTCCTCTTGTGATGGTCGCTATTTTCTATTGGTTCGCTTCTATCGCGATGAGTTTCCCGCCAGGTGCAATTACTGTGGTTTCCAGTCTCCAGGAAGTTCGCGTTCTGAACGCCGATGTTCCCACGTTCAATGCCTCGGATGTGAGTTAGCTTCAAACTACCAGCTCTCTCTTCTGACTTTGAATAGTTTGGGGACATGACCATCGACTCGATCAGAAAGAAATCGTTGTTTCATTTGACTGGATTTATTGGCTCTCCCGCTACGGGCTGGCATAAAAGCGACCCGCTTTCCCTGTCTCTCGATTATAACCTCAAGCCTGCACTTCATGGCATGATTCACAGGACTATTCTGGCGAAGCGTGTTGAGGATGCTTCATCAACATGCTCAGCCAATTGCTCCTACAGTCTGCATTTCACTGGTCCATATGTTCAATGTACCTTGATTACCAATACCAGCACGTTACCGTATGAGAACGATATGATTCCCATCTTCAATTCATCTACTGGGCAATCTTCAATCCGGTATGACTTTTACGATGATCCCAAAATCAAGGACCCCCGTCTCACAGTTACATTACAATATCTACATCTTCGCCTCAGAATCTTAGAGAAGGCCCGCTCGACGGCGATGATCGGACAATTCCCGAATGGAGGATAGACATGGTCAATCATCACTGGACCTGTATTCCATCACGGGCAGACTACACTGTCCTCACGACCTACAAGGATAATGTCAGATCTCTCGAGGTCAATATCGATGAAGGTTCCATTGAACCTCTAATGCCTGCTCCGCCATCTATCATTGATGTTGATCGTGAGAATCCCAATTTCACGTTGCCCTTGAATTCCGCCGTGGCACCAATCTTGAGAGATGCCAATCTCTACAGCATCATAACTCCTGTGATGAAAACTATTTCAGGCTCATTCAACGCCACATTTGTTACTCGCGCAGATAATACTCCTTCATTTCACAACGACTCGGATAGCTTCGACTATTACAATTTCACAACCACATTCCCACCATATGACCGCAGCATCAACCCCAACGACTTTTTCCACAATAGCACCAATGACTACATGACTATTTTGCCAATCGCTCAGTATTTCTCTGGTGTCCATATTTCGCCCTCGTTTTCCAATATATCAGTCAACAATGGCGGCCTCTTCACAATAAACGAAACCAGTATCAATACCATGCTGCAAGACGTGGTTCTATCTATCATCAGCTACCAACCCAATAACTGGACAACGAAGGTTAATCAAACACGCAATGAGATCCGCAATATATACACCTTTTCGCGCCCACTCAACCTATTTCTCCCATACGGCTTAATGCTCCTGGGCACTCTGTACGCCATGGCTTTTGGCTTTTACGCTTTAAGGTCGAACGGTGTCCCCGCGACGGATGGTGGATTTCTTCAACTTTTCACCACTGCTCAGAGAAGTGAAATTGTTGATAGAATTGCGCGGGGTGGATGTTTGGGCGGGGAGGAGAATGTTTCCACGGCGCTGAAGGATCTGAAGATACAATTCGGCGAGCTAGTTGAGACAGTAGACAATTCAGAGATAGCACTGCTCTCGACGGCAGGATTTGGGACTGAGCATGAAGTTCGCCCTTTGAATAGGGAGCGAATTTATGGCAGCCTATGACAATAACATCTGACCTATGCTGTTTGTGCTTATATTTCTGGTGATAGTCATATATATGAAAATGCGGCCTTGCAAAGCCGATGGTCCATCGAAAAAAACAGCATTTGCATCAGAATTAACCGCTGATGTTTTGTAGTCCATGAAAAGTACAGAATTATCTGTCCCTTCCAGCTTCGCTTCCTGCGGACCCACATGACCTGGTATCCATGAACTCAACAGTCATTAAGTACTACTTCCAACTAGCATATGTCAACATTAAGTACTGCTTAATCTCCATTCTTGTTGTACTCATCAGGATTTCAATGTATCATAGACTATTTTCAGCAGAAGACCTCGAGAACCAAGATAGGGGTTGAACCTTATCTTGCATACGGAGTACAGCACGCGCGTTATCCGTAGGATGTACTCCGTACATACTGTACATACCTCTTTTCGGGCCAAGCAAGTACCTTGGGAGGGACCTTTTGTTTTCATTTGGATGTGGGGTTAACAGGCAGCTGGGCTAGCCTCTTACACGCCGAGTTTACACCAATTAAGCATATAATCATGCACCGCCCCTAGGTTAGGAAAATGCGTCTGCAAATTCTTCCTTCCAGCCGAGGACATTTGTGAGACATGGCTCCCTCGGAGCCGAAAGTCTGACTACGCCTTGAAGCCTCACTGGTGTGAAAGAGACATGGATGGGGAAGGTCACAATCGTAGGGTTTGATCAGCAAGAAAAGAGACCAAATTATGCTCTGGCTATGGTTTGAGACGGGTAAGCCCGATCAACCTGACGTTTTCAATGTTACTTCCAGGATTACGATCAAGAAATAGCGGTCAAGACAGATGATAGATAAATTGTGGTGATCTGACAGCCGAGCGTGGGACAGCACGGCCAATAATCTTAGGCTCGTGTCGTACCAACGAGGCTCATCAAGTCCGGCTGGTGAAGGTTTCCAAGGAGAAAGACACATGGTAGGACAGATCTATTGCGCATACAGCCGGTGATATCTCCAATTCATCGGTGAGAACCTTAGTCCTAGTCCAAGCCCTAATTAAGATGTACTTGGGTTCTGGGCGCATCGGAATCCGAAAACCGAATTGGTTCTCCTTTTTACCGAGTCACGCCTTATATTATCCGTCATGTGGTTGACCAAGACCCTTGTCATTGGATGCTGACAATTTAGGGTACACCGAGACTATCGATGAAGTAAAGTAGATAGTGCACATCCTAGCCCCAGAATTTCACCGGGAAACGTGCGGAGAAAGAAATGGGGTTGGGGGGGCCCATATGAGGGGCAGGGGGAAATGAGGGGTCTCACCGAAACAAAAATCCCAGCATAGCCACCTGGGCACTGGAACATTGTGGATCGAAGATCTGATGAAGTCTCACGTATCCAATCAACAATAAACGTGCAAGGAGAGATTTAAAATAGTCAAAGAAAAACAAATAACAAAGGCAAAATAAAACAAAACTGCCTGATAAGGAGTTGCGTATAGTTGCAGGAAGATTAACAACAAGGGGCCTTGGCAAGATTGGCGACCTAAAAACGAGTTGCACAACTGCACGGAGTACGCACTGTTGCCTAGGCCATATGATTCGCAATGCGAATCCCTGTCCTCCGGCCAAGGCGGGAGTATCAGATTACACTAGGCTTGGCGGAAAATCATCACCTTGGCGGCCCTTGGCAAGCATTCAGGGACCTCCCTCGCGTCCGGCGGGACGGAGATTCCTCTTCGCTGAGGTCAGGTGGTCTACAAGTATGTCACGGGATAGATAAGGTGGATACGTGGAGAAGAAGAATTATGCAGATAGTAGATCATTTTGTTCAATTTCCGCTAGCTGGCCGCTTGAGGGCTGTGTATGTATGCTTCCCAGAAGCAAATGGGGTAGTGATAAGATGATGAAGAAAGACAAAAATGAAAAATGAAGACCAATTTGTAATGGTAGCGCCAAAGAAAACACCCCTATAGCTTTTCCTGCTATGTTCCTGCTGTGAGGCCGTTCCAAAAATCCCAAATCAAAGCCATTGGTCGGCTTGATATTCCCAAAAAGCCAGTTGATGCATCGGTCGCTGTGATGGTATCGTAGAAAATATTGATGAGAAAAAGATGAAAGAAGTAGGCTAGTCGAAGACTGGACATCTAGTTCTTCTTGCTCTTGCCATGGCCCAGGAAGAGGAAACCATTGGGAAGGCTGGCACTGAGGTCGCTGAAAGAACCGGAGGAGTTGGTTGAAACAGAGCTGTTGGTGCGAGCACGGCTGAGGGGAGCCAGTTCAGGGCTCTCATCGGAGCTGGTCTCACTCTGGGAGTCCTCAAAGGCGCGAGGGTCAGGGCCAGACTCAGTAGGAGACAGCACAAGGAAGTTGTTGCTGGCGGTGGAAGGGTTGTGAGGGCGAGACTCCGCAGCGGAGAGGACCAAGAAGCGAGTAGGAGGAGGAATGGAGTACATCTTGAAGAGTTGGGTAGAAAGTTAAGTGTGTGTGAAGAAAGAAGCTTGGTTGAGATTGGAAACTGTAGAGTATTTGGAGCAGCGGTTGTGTGAAGTGGGATGGTTGTATGAGAGAGGAAAGGTAGGGAATTGACCTGACTTATATAGTCCAGATCCCAGGCTTTCACCGAAATAATAAGCCAAGAGGAACCTTGAGGGATGAGGGGCATCTCGATGATGTGCCCGAATCACGCCGATCCCAGGACATCATATCTGTGCCGGGGGGTGAAGTGTACGGGTCAGTCATGCAAGCCACCCCCCGCGATTATCCTCTAAGGGCAAATCTCAAACATGCTGGAGAACTTCACATGTCTTGGCCCAAAAAAGGGGGGGCAGAAAGTCATGGCCAAGACTTCACTATTGGCCGGCTATCACCCTTTCTTTTTTCTGAATGCTTGGACTTCGCCTCTCTTGGCTTTGAACATTGTTGCACCAATGTCTGGGCGGACGATACTCATTCCCCATGGCAAATATGCTGCCTTGGCGAGATAAGCAGTGTGAAATTGCGCAATATTAATACTTTTTGCCCAGAAAGGCCCGTTGCCAGCCGAAAGTCAACCTCGGAAGATCAGCAGATGGAAGAAGCCAAGCCCTGGCGTGCGAAATCTCACTAATTTCACAGGCTCTCGGATAATCCACACTTATGCAGTACGTGTGTTCATCTTGTGAATAATGGTTTCGGGTGGAAGCTTTCCCAGACGAGATTCCGGTTGTCGTTTCTCGCGAATCATCCCGACCGCATGGCCGCTAGGACCATCGGTTATTGTTTAGTGTCAGATCTCCCCGGCTTTTTTCTCGCACACCCGATAGGGCGCAACTGACTGCTGTTTGGAGCAAAAAGGAGCAGGCGTGACATCATTGTTTGGTTTTTTTTTCCCCAGAATCCACAATTGAGATTCTCGAGATTCGGGTGATTGTCACTCCGGGGTGTGCCAAGCATGTGGGATGCATTGATTTCAAATTGATCTATCCATTTCAATCTGAATGCCATGGCAGAATTTAACGAAGTCGACATTCTAGGTAACACCTTGAAAACTGATCAATCACGTGGTGCAGCCTTCATGCAGTCACAGGTACTCCGTAGTTCACCTACGGAGTACGGAGTACACCTAGGCAGTTTAACATCGGGCCGGAATATGTTCAAATCCAACGGCGGCAATGCAGCGACAAGTCTAGGCCTGTAGAATTTAGCTGGGCTCGACACCGCGGACTGCCCCTAGATTCGCACATCTTCAGTCGCCCGGAATTATTATCCCGGTGGACCGGGGGCTGAGCAAGGGAGCCTCAGGACATGAGCATGACTTTCTACCAAGGTTGTTGCGGTTGTTGCTGAGAAAGTTGTTGGTGTTTCTTACCGGGAATCGTGCCCCTAGAACTGATCGATAGGCTGGGAACGCTTTGTTTGTGCCCCGCAGCCCCGCAGCCTGCTTGCGCAGGCCCCAAGAACATTCGAACATTCCCTGATAAGCACCCTATGAACATGGTTCTAGAAATTACTTTGCAGCTTGCTTGATTGAAATGTTAGTCTGATGCCTAATGCTCATAGTTGTAAGCTTTGCAAGTCACTTTGCTGCAGTGTAGAATAGCCCATCAAAGTCGGGTAGAGCTTGCGGCGACTATCGCCAAATGCACCACAGCTAGAAGGCAGTATGTACCTACGCCCATGAGTCGAATTTTTGGGAAATTACCAGCTGCTCGAAAGACCGTTGATGTTGGATCCCGCGTAGAACATCCATGTTTCTCCGGCTTGAGTTGGTTCAATAACTCACACATCTAGTTCTGCACACCTGACGACATCAGTGAAGAATGATGAACGCGAAAAAAGTGTCCAGTCATGCATTGTACCTGCCGCTCTCCAATTATCCTTACAATAATTTGCAGTGAGTCAAATAACACATGAACAACAGTTCGCTTCGAGTTCCTGAGCCGCATCACGTTACCATCAGCTCCTGCGCCGCTTGCGCTAAGCGCCGGGCTTCCTACATGATGTCGCAGATGTTTGCTGCGCAATTGGCTATCTATCAGCTATGAGGATCAACAGAGTCTGTCACTGGAAATTAACCATGTTCCTGACCCACGCCATAGCCGCACTGTCCGTCCTATGAGATTCGCCTAGAGAGGGGTTCTGTTGATGCTCAGGAAATGAGCCCTACAGCTGACTACGCTGTTTCTCAAAGTGAGTCAATTCTTCCCTGGGACCTGCGCCGCTAGACAATTACATCAAGAATGATGATCAGTAGTCAGGGACCTTGGGCAAACCTTTGCTGCCCGGCGACCCCGACCCTCAATGACTAGGGGATGCTGCCTCCAGGTGGCCCACCTATAACCAACTTCGCTCAATGTTGGCAGAAAGCAACGCCCCGGGGAGGGCGTATGTGCACCACTTTAAACCCACTGTCGCCTTCATTTGACTGCGCAACATGTGACGGCCTGCGTAAGGCATACTAGAAGCATGAACTGCAGACTTTTGGTGCTCGTAGATGGAGTCATTCTCTTGTCGTGACTACTCAGTTGCGCAGTGAATCCCCTTTCACTATGTTGGCATGTATGCTATAAAGCTGGACATTCATCCGCTTCCTGCTTCTTGTCACAGCAATCAAGCCTCTGAGTTCAGTATCCTCTCTGACCTCTCAAACCGTCCTCGATTAGCCATACAATCGAGTGAAACTACCTCATCAATCGATCCTATCTACTACATCCAGAATGTGTTCTGTCTACATCTTCACCTACGAGTGCGGCTGCACCAAGCAATCCGACGGTGTCGTTGCTTGTGCAAAGCTGGGCACTGGCCTCTGCTCGGGGGTAAAGGAACAAATTCGACAGAGAATGGGTGTTCAGTGCCCTCGTCACGGTGGTCCAGCATGAATTGTTGTGAGTAGCCGTTCCAAGTTTACCTAGATCGTGATTCATTTGGCAACCTGCTGACTGCAATATTCAAGTATATCACACAAGCCTCAAAGTCAAAGTCGCAAGACAACCTGAGTCAAACATATCAGAGCGTTCAACGGCCAATGTGGAGATTCTTTGCCTCTCTCGATCTGATTCTGCTTGTTCCACGTTGGAATAGCGCAGACTTCGGCAAGATAAATCCATCATCACACTCTATATGCGAATTGGAGGAGACTTGGTTTTTGTAGTGGCATGGATGTCTTTGCAAGCTAGAAGGAGGTTCTTTTTCATTGGCATTGATCTAGCATTTGCATCTCTTTTCTTTCCTTTGCATTTCTTTGCATTGCACTTGTGTGTATATCTCTTGTGTTTTTGGGCATGTCCTTGTTGTTGCTCTCGGTTGCTACTCACTGCACATATTCCAGGGTACTGCCAGGACTTCATGTTTCGAGAATCATATGTAAATATTGAATACTTTGGACTTGGCTCGGGCTACTGTGGATTCTTCTATCAACTGGACATAATACAATTCCTTTTTTGGAAAAATTTGCTCTTTCAAAATATCTGATCTTTCCAAACCCGGCGAAATTAACTAAAGATTCCCTGTTCGAAATTTATAAGAATTGGCACTAGATGGAGTGTCGAAGTTCAAAAGTCGATTGAAATAAAAGATGGCCCGTGTTTGATCCATCCATGGATCGCGCCAACTGGTTGATATGATGTGCATCACGTGGAGATAAGCTAGAACCCGCGGGTTCCTCAGGTGAAACCTCCACCCTCTCTCTTATCCTAACATTGGAAGCAATTCAATTGCATATGTGATGTCAATCGAAGTCGACTGGGCAGCCGCAACCTCCGGCCCGGACGGAGAGGCCCTGGCCGAGCGAATCCGGTCCTTTGTCCACGACAAGTTCCAGGAGATCACCCTACCACGATTCATCCGCTCAGTTCAGGTCCACTCCTTCGATTTCGGAACCATAGCTCCAGACCTCGAGATCAAAGACCTCTGCGAGCCTTTCGCCGACTTCTACGAGGAAGATGAAGATGATTCAGGGACATCAGTCACCTCGTCCGAACTCATGTCCGATCTTCAAGAGTCTCCATACGAAGACGACATGGCCTTCAATCCAACCGCCCACAGTCCCCGCAACTTCAGCCACCATCCATACCCTGGTGAAGGGTTTCAACCTTCCGCGCTTAGATCACCGCTAGGCGATCATCTCAATCCGCATTTCTTGCCCCGCGCTGGCACGCCTGGAATCCCCGGTGGAACTTCGACTCTCGGATACCATATGAGATCTTTGGGGGGTCTATCAGGTACTCAAACTCCTCTTGCTGCTGTCGCTGGGGGCACGCCATTTGCAAGTGGATGGTCGGATTCTGGGATGGGCGGTTCAAGGTCCCATGTAGCCCACTCAACAGGGCAGCACTTCGCAGAACCAGACCTGGATGGTAATAACTCCACCTCGAGACCATCAACCGCCAACACCCTTCCTTCACATCCTTCCCTAGCCCATGCTGGCAGTGGCGGGTCGAACAACAACAACGACCCTGCCGATGCGGTGCAGCCCTCTATCGAATCCCCTGGTCCCGGGGACGCAGATCAGTCATTTCCCACTCCGCCACGAATGCGCGAGCGACGTCCAGAAGATTTCCAAATTCTTTGTCATGCCAAGTATGCCGGAGACGTGCGAATGTCTCTGACAGCGGAGATTCTACTGGACTACCCCATGCCAAGCTTCGTGGGCTTGCCGTTGAAGCTCAACGTCACGGGAATCACCTTTGACGGAGTTGCTGTCGTGGCGCATATTCGGAAGCGCGTGCATTTCTGCTTCTTGTCTGCTGAAGATGCAGATGCATTGCTTGGCTCGGAGCAGTCGCAGGGCAGTCAGAATCCTAGTGAGGATGGCAGGCCGAAGTCTGGAGGTGACCACAAGGAGAAAGATCCAAAGCGACAAGGTGGTTTGTTACAGGAGATCCGAGTTGATAGCGAGATCGGTCGCAAGGAGGACGGCAAACAGGTCCTGAAAAATGTTGGAAAAGTGGAGCGTTTTGTGCTCGCCCAAGTTCGCCGCATCTTCGAGGAGGAGCTGGTTTATCCTAGTTTCTGGACTTTCCTTGTCTGATAGTTTGACTCAGGCTATCTTCATGTGTATACTATTTACGAATAACGATGAGCCCATGACTTTTGAGATAACTGGCTATTCTAGTAAACCGCAATGCAAGACACAGCACCGTTTCGATGAGTAGGGGCAAAAAGGCATCAAGAATCCATGCTCACACTAATCGGATAAGATATGAAGGGCTTCAATCGGGAAATAGCTGAATCAATAAGACCAAGTGTTGTACTAGTCGAGGGAACGGATGAATGTAGAGATGTAAATTGTAATTGAATATGACAGGCACCTTAAGTATGATAGCCCCGGGAATCCAGTCAAAAATAATCCTAAATTATCCGCTTAGGAGCGGGAAGTGACACAGAAGTCCCCGCTGCATGTCTGAGACAGTCATGGACTTGGTAGAAAAGGACCACAGAAAAGTAGCTATGAACAGTATCATGTCGAGCAGATGACAAGGTTGTCACTCGGATAAACAACTTCAACGCGGGCGGAACCACCGAAACCAAGGTTGCACATGCTGGCTTCGGCGATCCTGAACAATAGGCCTCTAGAGGTCCTTCTTGTCGCCCTTCTCGTTGTTGTTACCCTTCTCAGCAGAGACCTTGTCGCCCAGGCTGTGGTACTCGCGAGTCAAGCCCTCGCATTGCTTCTTGAGAGTCTCGATATCGCGATCCTTGGCCTCAATGACTTCCTTGAGACGGCCGATTTCGCCGACGGAGCCAGCCTCGGCGATGCGGGCAGAGTCCTTGCCACCAGCCTTCTTGTCACCATCGAGGAGACGAACGCGGTCCTCAAGACGGAGGGTCTCAAGAATCATGGTGTAGGTGCGGTTGAGAATGAGGGAGAGGAAAAGAGTGAATCCACACAGGTACATGTTGCGCTGAGAGTAGAACTTGCGGGCCTGGACCTCCATGCGGTCGGTACCGAGGTGGGCGGCGCTAGATATCAATGTTAGCTTCTTTCTCGCGGATCTCGCCGATTGAGGAGCTTACCCCATGCCGGGGCCTTCCTTGGTGAAGGAGGCAAGTTCCTGCTGGACACGGTACACGCGGTTGACGGAGTCAATGAACAGGATAAGAATGAAGATGAAAGTGATCTTTAGGTATCATTAGTAAATTGACCGGTAATTCCAGTGTCGATAATGTTCGCGGCATACCTTCAGCCCATACTGTAATTTGGCAATGATCGGACTCTCCGAAATGAACGCAAAGAGTTTGCGCTTAATGGTGTGGGGGAGAGGGATGACGAGGGCCAGGAAAACGGCCATCTCGAACACCAACAGAAGGAACACCTATACATGCGTTAGTCTACTCAGAATGGCGGGATTCCAACATGTTGGGTGGCAGCCTAAGCTGCGCGGGGAGCTTCAGGCAGTAGGCTGCAGCAATTCTCGGACGAGGAGCCCAACGGCAAAGCTGCGGGCAACTTCAAAAAAGCCAATGAACCTACAAGAGAGAAGTAAAGAGTCATTGTGCCGAGTATTGAGAATGCAGCGACACTTGGAGTCGGGTTTTTGGCCTAATCAAAAGGGGCGGGGGAGGTAGCTTGAATGGTAAACAAAGGCGACCAAAAGTGGCAATTCTGGTAGTGACCAAGCACAAACGCAGAATGACTAAAGCAAGAGGGGGTTACTTGAAGCCGAGGGTTGAGACAATTGAGGTGAGACGTGCAGAGAAAGAGGTGGTCTTATGGAAGTTTTCCAGGTTCGGAGGAAGACGTCATAGCTGATCGGCACGTGATGCTGTCATCACCTCGCCGTTTGACTCCTCGTTCCTGGGACCTCCAGGGCTGCATATTATTTTAAATTCATCTGTGGGCAGATTTGCAGTAATAAATGGTCGTCGGAATACAAGATTGAAATGATCAGGAGCCATCTATAAAAATTGACATTCAAAGTATGTCGTCATACAACGATCTACGCTGAATTGATCTCGGCTGATAAGAATCGAGGGATGCATCTAGATCTATAAGCCCTACGGAGTACAGAGTCCAATGCCAGGACCTCGGGAGTTTCCTCGCATTGCCGTGCCTCTTGTTAGAGTGGTTTCAAATACTCCATCCGGACTAGTCGGCAAGAGTTACCTTGTGGAGCTTACGCCTATCACATCAAATGTAGAGCTGTGTTGCAAGTGAGGGGTATTTTTAGCCATATATTAACTGGAAGTAAGCATACAGATGGATTTCGAGAGTAAATTGACGTTCTCACCAATTACCTTCAACTTATTACCGACTTCTCACCGTTGACCATGGCACACCCCAACCCCAGTGCCGAAGAGATTGAACGGGCATCCCAGCTTCTCAATGCCCAAGACAAAGCCATTGCCCTCTTCGAAGAAATCGAAAGCACCCTCATCCGACCCGGAATCACAGAAAAGACCCTCAATGAAGAAATCTACCAACTGGGTCTAGATCGCTATGGAATCAAAACACACTGGCACAAACGGGTCATCCGCAGTGGGCCAAACACATTAAGCCCGTTCGCCGAGAACCCTCCAGACCGAGTAATCCAAGACGACGACATTCTCGTCGTGGATCTGGGTCCAGTTTTCGAGGCCTGGGAAGCTGACTTTGGTCGTACATTTGTTCTTGGAAATGACCCCCATAAGCTCAAGCTACGGGATGCCCTGGAGCCTATCTGGGACATTGTGAAGGCGCGCTTCCGCGAAAACCCTGATATGTCGGGCGAAGAACTGTATGATATCGCCTGTGAGATTGCGAAGCAGGAGGGTTTCGATTTCGGGGCTGATATCGCGGGACACATTGTTGGGTCGTTTCCTCATGAGCGCATCCCGCGGGATAGGATCGCTCTGTACATTACCAAGGGCAATGGTGATTCAATGGGGTTAGCGGGTCGTGATGGATTCAGGCGTCACTGGATTTTAGAGATTCATCTTCATGATCGGGAACGAGGCTTTGGTGGGTTCTTTGAGAAGCTTCTGACTATTGATTGAAGCTGCTATAAGAATATTAACAGGTCAGATATCCGAATGCCCGGGTGTATTCAGTGCCGCAAGGCGTGTGGAAGACAAGTCTTGAAAGATTCGCGTAATGCATTTCGTAATTTTTATGTACAATTATGGACCGAGGCTTGTAGCATGACTTAACCCTCAGCCTCATCGTAGGAGTTCGACTTGTGCTTGGGCTCGAAGTTGAAGTTTTCGTGAGCAGGGCCGAGGAACATCTCACTATAGCATCGCAATGTTAGATAATTTCTTGATCAGACTGGGGGTGAGTAGAACTTACGTGATCTTAATCCAGTCCTTGTAGTTACCGCTGCCCATCAGAGTCTCCAGCTCGTTACGACCGCGCCAGGCAGGAGGCCTGTGCTGGATGTTGGGGGGAAGGTATTCCAGAAGTCCGATCGGAACGTAGCGATAAGTGAAGCTAAGCCATTCCAGCAAGAAGCGGCGGGTAGTTCCAACACCGTGTTCATCAGAACCCCAAGCCTCAAGACCGTACTTGGCGAACTTCTCAATGTAGGACAGACGCTCGGTCGCAGACTTGTCCAAGTACTGACCACTCTGGATTTCCTCGAAGAGCCAGGGCTTGATCAAGGCTCCACGGGCCACCATGACGGAGTCCACACCACCGTTGGTGACGTGGTTGTCGTAGTCGACGTGCGAGTAGCAATCACCGTTTCCAAGGAAGTAAGTCTTGCCGCCGTTGGGCATTTGGCGTTCATCCGGTTCACGGATGGTGTCAGTGAGCGAATCCTTCTTTTGGTTGAGTCTCTTGATAAGAGCTGCAGTCTCTGAGATGTATCCCCAGTCAGCCTGGCGAGTGTAGCGCTGCTGTCTGCTACGGCCGTGGAGAGTAATAGCTGCGGCACCAGGAGGTCCAAGGTTGAGAACGTTAGACTCGTATCCACCGAGGACCATACGCTCAACCAACTTCTGGGCGGTGGGCTGGTTGTCCTTGGTTCCCATGCGGATCTTGACTGTGATTGGGATCTCCTGCGACACGGCGTTCATACCGCGGATCATCTTCTCCAACTTGGAGTGGTGGTCAAGTAGAGCTGAACCAGCACCCTCGCGGAACACAAGCTCAATGGGGCAACCGCAGTTCAGATCAATCACGCGCAGGTTCGGTGTGAACTTTGAAAGCACCTCGGTCGCCTTGAGAGCTTGCCAGGGCTTGTTGGCAGCGATCTGGGCTCCGAATCTTGAATCCTTGGAGTTGTCATATCCTTGAACAATGTTCTCTCCCGGGATGACGGAAGGCGGGGCCATTTCAGATTCGTGTGCCTTCAGCAAGGTCCACTCAGATTTGGTACCTTGAATCAATGGCATACTCATAGCCATCTCGGAGTAGCTGAACTGGGCGCCGAGATCTCCGCAGAGTCGTCGGAACGGCATGTTACCTTGGGTAGTAAGAGGTGCCAGAACGGGAGTCTCTGGTCCAAAGTAGATACGTCTCTTCTCGGAAGGCATGAATGGGGGCTCGAGGAATTGAGCGCGGTTCTCCTCCATCTCGATCTTTGCGGCCTCGGTTGGTTCGACAACATCTCCATTCTGGTCGCGGACGGTTGATCGCTGATGAATCGCCTTCTCTAGCTCCGCGGATACTTGGTTGGCCCAAGTGGTGTAAGCGTCGGCTCGAGGTGTCTTTTCCTTCTTCCTTGTGAGGGCGATTCTGTCTGTAACGGGAATGATATTGACAATTCCGTCAGCTGTCGCATTCGGATGACGGGGTCGGGCTTTCTCTACGCGCTCAGCGTCTTCCAGCAAGATCAATTCCTTTCTGCCATCCTCGGTTTCTCTTTCAGTCGAGTGAGAACCGACCATGCGGCATTTCCAGCCGGCAGAGCACTTGCCCATGGCCTCGTAGACGGGGCAGAGGTCATTGAAAGTGTGGAGATCTTCACGCTTGTGATCCTTCAGGTAAACACGCAGGTCGTGCTCAAATCGGCAGTCGGCGCCAAATTGACATTCGCCGGCAGAGAACTCGTTGGCGAACATTCTCGTGCTGCACAGGCCCTTGGCATCTTCGGACTTGCCGTAGCTGCGGTTGGTGTTTTGTCCCTTCTTCTTTTTCTTCTTATCTTGCTTGTCCTTTTTGCCACCGTCGCGCGCATCACGGGCATCGCGAGGAGCGGCCTCGGCCGCATCGTCGGGGCTTATCTCTTCTGTAGGACGGGGCTTGGGTGCGGTCTCGATACGGTACCTTTAAAGACTGAATTAGTTGAAATGCGTATGATTGAGGTAATTGCAACATACTCAGCCTTCACTGGCGCAATACCTCTATCGCGCATATCCTTCGCGATAGGCTCAGTAGATTCAGTGGGTTCCTCCACTCGTGCCTTCTTGGCTGGAGGCTCGCTCACTGCCGCGACATCGCCAGCGGCCTCGCGCTTGGGGAGGTCCACTTGAGGCACAGCGGGACTGGCCTCTGACACCTGGACGTTTGGAGCGTCTTCCATTTTGAAAGGTCAATTGAAAGGCTGAACTTCTCAAAAGTCGGCAGAAATGTTGCAGCTTTCTGCCAAAAATTTGCCCGCAATAAGTTTGTACTGTTTGCACTCGATGTGATTGGGTGTGTTATAAAATCTCCGTGTGGGTCTCTCCCGAGGGCGATATACTCCGCTTGCGTTTCAACTTTGGGAATATACTACTGTAGTTGCACAAAATAGTTACGACGTTACTGATGACCAGAATCATTTGTGACATGAGGTGACAGCCAGGAAACCATTCGAAAAACTAGATAGACATCGCATTCTATACAACTTGAGAATGTCTCACGGCAACCCGCATCATTTGCCAGTTAGTGGAACACTATACAAAGTATTAGAGCATCGTGCATTGATATCGAGAGTTTCCCCTTAAGAGGGGCTTGGTGTATAGTGATCTTACACTAGATCAGCAAATATTCAAAAAAGCTTCTACCAATTCAGAGGTGCAGTCTATCGTATCTTCGAGGTTCGAGGTTATACCCGGCCCATGGCAGGATGCAGGTAGCGAGGGAGTTCAAGCCTCGGAATCTTATGCGACATGCGAAAATAACTTCCAAGGCTCTCCCTGGGCTACTTAAGCAATGACCAACAATACACAGTATTTTGAAGTCGTCAATATTCCACCTGGGCAAAGCCCACGGATGACTCCGCATAAGAAGTATACCCCACAAACGGGAGCCTTCCGCCTCTCGGAGCCCATCCGCCCCCTCTATAAAAGCCGGAACCTCAACAAATGACCCGTCCTCAACCACACCAGACAACAATAAGAACCCAAAAACATTGCTACAATCTACACAAAATGGCAGACCAATCCAACCAACCCCAACAAATGCACAACATCCAACACACCAACCTCGAACAATTCGTGCAACAGATTCTCATCGCAAATGGCACATCACCAGCCCACGCAGCCATAGTCTCCAAGTGCCTAGTCGCCGCCGACCTGCGCGGCGTCGACACACACGGCAGCAACCGCATCCCATCATACATGGAGCGAATTCGACAAAAAGCCCTAGACCCATCTGCAACACCAACACTCAACCAAGTAACGCCAGCAGTGGCGCAAATCGACGCACACAACGGATTCGGCTTCGTAGCCGCGCACGAAGGTATGAAGCGCGCTATTGAGATGGCTCAGATTTTCGGTATCGGCATGGTTTCCATTAAGCACTCGAATCACTTTGGTATGTCTGCTTGGCTTGTGCAGCAGGCTTTGGACGCCGATATGATGTCTCTTGTTTTCACGAATAGTTCGCCTGCGCTGCCTGTTTGGGGTGGGAAGGAGAAGTTGATGGGTGTTTCGCCTATTGCGTGTGGTGCGCCGGCTGGGGAGGGCAGACCTTTTATTCTTGATATGGCGCCTTCTATCGCGGCGCGGGGGAAGATTTATAAGGCGTTGAGGAGGGGTGAGAAGATTCCTACGGATTGGGCGCTTGATCGGGATGGGGGGAGGACGGATGATCCTGCGGAGGCTTTGCAGGGTGTTATGTTGCCTATGGGTGGACCGAAGGGATCTGCGTTGTCTGTTATGATGGATGTTTTCTCTGGTGTGCTTTCTGGGTCTGCGTTTGCGGGACATGTTACCAATCCCTATGATCCGTCGAAACCGGCGGATGTGGGACACTTCCTGGTTGCTATCAAGCCGGATTTGTTCATGACTATTGAAGAGTTCAAGGGGAGGATGGACTATCTTTACCAGCGCGTTGTCGAATCTGAGAGAATGGCTGGTGTGGATCAGATCTACTTCCCTGGGGAGATTGAGATCATCACCGAGGAGAAGCGGAGGAAGGAAGGCATTCCTTTCGCTGCGTCAGAGATTGAAGCTCTGAGGAAAGAGGCCGACTTGGTCAACGTTGAGCATTTAAAGTTGTAAATTAATGATGATGGGTATCAGAAAGATGGATAGACTGCAAACATAAGAGGTGTGTATGAAACAGACTACGATGATTATATTTGCCATGGGGGCAAGTCTCAAATTTAGCAATGAAAAGATCGTCAAGCCATGTAGAACCAATGTATTGACCAAACTACTGGCCCCAGAGTACCGAGAACCAGCAACGGGGAACGAAAGCCCGAGAAACAGCCGCCAGCACAAAGCCACCCTCAGTAAGAAGTGACGGGGTATTAATGGACATGGGTGAATTGAAAAAAATTGACATAAGATGAAATAGTGTCACAATTGAATTATCGTCGCAATGGCCTCCTGTAGAGGAACAACGAAGAGCTATGAAAGGTGGGCAGAATAACAAGGCAAAGGGGGGTGAATAGAATGCTCTGAAGAAGATGGGTCTCACTTTACAACCAGAGATAATAGTAACAGGAGAAGAGAATGCAAATGACATGTGGGTGTAGAACGGGGGAAACAGGGAAGCAAAAAAGAAAAACAAAGACATTAGGAGCAAGGAAATGTATTCAAACAAAGGAAAATAATGAACATGCTAGATAATTAATCAAACACCCAATGGATGAAGAGTTATCGCTCCATGCAAGGGGACAAAAGCAGGGTATCACATGGTATCCAAACAACCTCGCTGCTCTTTCAAGCAACTAAAAAGAAGCATAGAATGATTGGGGTTGAATCTGCTTAGATCAAAGCCAAGCTTGATTGATCCATCCAGTCTCAGTCAGTCCCCGTGGATAATTGGGAAGGTATTCAATCAGAATACAAAATCAACGGTCATCGCCAGCGCGAGACTTGGCCCGTCTGCGGAAGAAATCCATGACTTTTCGGGCCGCTCCGGAGCTGCCAGAGTGGTGGGACCCGTCGCGCTCGTACTCGTAGGCATCTGCAAACTTGCGGTGGTTCTTTTGCAAGACTCCCGGTCCACGGTTTGATCGACCGACCTGCATAGACTGCCTAGGCACACTGTCATAGTTGTAGTCGTCGTAGTAGCTGGGTTTTGATCCCTGGCTTTGGTTGTGGTTGGAGTATTGGTCTGCAGAGTTCTGATAAACTTGCTCGGCCGAGGGCAAACCATATGAGGAATCATTAGTGTGGTCGAAATGGGTCCCTAGGTCGGCAAATTGTTGATCGATTTGAGCTTCGTAGCTAAGAGGCTCGGGTTCATGGCGACCATTCTCTGCGGGTCGCTCGCTGACCATACCCATGGCATCCTGCGTGCTGTAGCTTGTCGCGCGAGGGCGGCTTTGGCTCTCAACCTGCGCGGGGCCCGCAGGGCCTGTTGCTGGGCGCTGTGGAGCTCGGGGGTCGACTGGGTGAGGGGCCGGCTGTGCTTCCTCCGGAGTCTGAGCGCGAGCGGTGCCGAATCCTCGGAAAGAGAAGGATTGCGGCAAAAGCGAGAATCGACGAGGGCGATTCTCCGCGCCGGCTTCGCTGGCCTTGCGGTTATGAGTTTGCATAGAACGACGAGAATCAACAGACATTCTTGAGTTCTCCCTTCCAAGCGGCTCCTTCATGCTAACCGGAGGATAACGTTTATCTTTATTGTTTCGAGGCGCATTGGGCTGTGACCCGCGGCCACCGAGAATGGAAGTAGAACGCCCGAAAAGTTTGTCGCTCAGGCTAGACACAGTGTTGGACCTCTTGTGACCCTTTGGTGGCTCCTGTCGCGGCGTTGTGTTGAACACAGGCGGCAATTGCTGGTTTTGAGTGCTGGGGCGGCTGACAGACGAGGTGTTTGCGTGTATTGGCTCCTGTGCAAGGGCAAACTGTCTGCTCTTTGGCTGAGCCAAGCTCCCCTGGGTGTTGGTTGCGGTAACAGTAGGAGCCACAGGCTGGCCATATGAACCACGAGATGGCAGCCGACCAGTGTTGCCGAAGGAGTTCATGGAGCCACCAGTGGCCGGCCGGGTGCCCTGAGGGATTGCGGCCGTGTGAGACCCAGTAAGAGCTGCATTGTCTGAGGTAGAGCGCGGGAAGTGACCAGGCAGCGGCTTGTTGAGGTTGAGGGCTGGCGCTTCTGTGGGTCTGTGCGAGGGCTCTGCATATGCCTGCGCGGAGGCAGCGTTGTGGGCCTCTGAAGGAACGGGGATCCTGCTGCGCGATGGGGGTTTCTCCGCCGGGGGTTCGCCGCGAGTTGTTTGTGACTGAGGCGCAACGTACTCGACTTGTACCGTCCTGCGCTTGGCGTCACGGGGAGTGCGGGACTTTTCGGTTGGCGGTTCTTGAGAAACATCTCCTGCATGATGACTGAGGCCACCGACAGGCGGAACGTTACTTTGTGCTGTCTTTGGTGGTTCACGTACGGAGGCACTTCGGATGAGAGGAGGTGCTTCCTTTTGTGCTTCAGCTGGGATCGTTGTGTTGGCAATATCCACGACGTTGGTTGTGCTGCTTGTGATATGAGACACAATGTGTGAGAATTCGCTTAACCAGCTGTGTCGGGCAACTTCGAACAGGTCTGCACGTTTCCGAGGATCAGGCACGAGTATTCGCCTTAATAGATCACGCGCGTGGGGTGTGACATATTCGGGGAATGTGAGAGGAGTGGTGACAATATATTTGTAGAGAAGGTTGATGTTATCGCCATCTGGGTTTGCTGGGTCATCGTCGAAGGGAAGATATCCAGCCAGCATAGCATACTGTGATTGTAGGTCAGTCAATGTTGAGCTATTCCGGCCAAAGTAGAACATACCAAAATCACACCACAACTCCAAACATCAACTTTCCGTCCTGTGTACAATGAATCGCTCACCACAAGCTCCGGAGCCGCATAACAGGGACTACCACAGCTTGTCTGCATCAGATCACCCCGTCGTAAACCATTGGGACCAGTCTTGTCGAGTCGCTTTCGCTTCACATATTCTTTATTGGTCAGGTTGTATTCAATTTCCTCGTCGAGCGGGTCAACCGGGTCGAAGGTATTGGCGAATCCAAAATCTGTGATGATGATGTTGCGATTGCGATCAAGCAGTAGGTTCTCGAGCTTGAGATCGCGGTGTACGATTCCCTTCTTGTGCAGATATCCAACTCCGGAAACCAGCTGAGCAAAGAGCCGGCGTGCGGAGTTGTCCTTGAGATATCGGTTGTTCAGAATATAGTCGAATAGTTCACCTCCCGAGGCGTATTCCATAATGATACCGATATGGCGATCCGTTTCCACCATTTCGTGAAGGCGCACAATGTTGGGATGAGCCAGCTCGCGCAGAATGGCAATCTCGCGGTAGATCTTCGGTAATCTGCTGGGGTTGTGTCCCAAAGTGTCTCTTCGGATGAGCTTGATGGCCACTTGGATACTGCCGTCGCGCTTCCAACCCAATTTGACCTTTCCGAACTCTCCCTCTCCGAGGGTTTGGCCGAGGATGTAGGAGCCAAACGTGGTTTCTTTACGTTTAACCACGTTTCCATTGTTGGCGTAATCGTGACGACTCCGAGGTCCGCGAGCCTCTTCGGTGCCGTCACTGCCAGCGAAACCAGACGCGGCATTTTCCACTTCGGCTTGTCGCACCTGCTCCCGTTCTTGATCGACGATCGGATCACTGGCAAACATTGAATTGATGACTGCGCTTGGCTCTCTAACCAAGTTTCCTTGATCAGAAACACCTTCGACTTCCGAGTCCGACGGGGCTGCGACGGGTACTGTCTTGGGTTGCTGCACTTCGCGGGATGTCTCCTCCGGATGGCGCCTTGAACGGCCATTTCGGTCTTCCCGTGTGCGGGAGCGGTTTTCTTTTCGATCGGATCTGCTCTTGCCGTGTCGTGAGCTGCTTTTCTCTCCGTTCGGGCTGCGCCGGCTGTGGTGTGTTGACGAGGTCCTCGGCGGAGGGACCGGGGGCGAACCTAACATGTCGGGATAGGCTGCACGGGCATGCTTCTGGGAGGGAGCTGATGTGGTGGTCGATACGGATGCGGCATGGGCGGGAAGTGGCACAACCTGTTGATGGGAAGTGCTCATAGCCGGAGAAGCTGTTCGGGGCCTGCCTCAGAAATGGCTGAAGAGAGGTCAGTAACTCAATTACCCAAGAGTGTGCTGCGATGAGAAGTGAGCACGCGCTGGGGAGCGCTTCGAGCGACGGCTGACAGCGTACCTTCGTCTAGTAAATGCACAAAGCCTGGCGAGACTTGTGTGACCGAGACAGCTTCTGCGGTCAATTGTTGACAGATGAATGGTATCAACTGCGATTGGTACAATTGGCGCGAGGGAGCACAAACACCTTTCGGGGGTGACTCGTAAATGTTGGGGGCTTGGGGCGACCGGTCGCACTCGCCAAATCAGGGTTCGAGGCGCAACCTATAAACATTGAAAGATATGTCAGTATGTCATCTCCACCAAGATCTTTATCATTAATCGCGAAAAATGTGCCGTTTTGGCGTGGAATGGGGGATCTGACAAGATCAGATCGCAGGAATGGGGGGGGAAGCTTCCTTACCACCAATCGCGCAACAACCGTTGGATTCGGCTAGAAAATCACCCAAGACACCAGGTCGCGACCTTGGGCAGAGGTAAAGACGCGTCGAGAAACCGAAAGTTCCTCGAGAAACGAAACGAAAGCTAAAGATACCTGCTCTGCTGTACTCCAGAGTCCCCAGACCCACGGCTTTGCTTCAGGGTCGCACGTTCGAGAAAACGGACAAACGCGGCAGATGTCTCAGACGCGATTGTAGTTCCAATCGAACTCAGATTCAATTGCGACGGCAGTTGAACATGATCGAAGACAGGGTGAGGGGCGGACAAGGGGCGCGAGGGGGAGGAAAAAGACGGGAAGCACCGGTCGGGGATCCCGAGTTGTAAAAAGGGGGGAAAGAATAAGATCTCCCCCAAACAAAATCAAAGAACGAAAGAAAAGAAAAGAAAACAGAGCAAGCCGGGGAAGCTCAGAAGAAGGTGAAGAGGGAAAAGAGGAGGTGAGATACGAGCAGGTTTGGTATTAGTCGCTGTTAGTCTGGGGGAGGCGGGTCTGTGAGGTTTACATTGCGCAAATTAGGATTATTAGCTAATTGGGTATATATCTCAATGCTCTATTCTTTTCTGTTCTCTGTCTCTGTCTTTATTCGGGAGTTGATTTGAATTCTAGTTATTACTCCTAATTATATGCTGAATCAATTCATTAAGGGACTGGGTACGGAGTAATGGGTACACTTGTATAATACCCCCAAGAATGATACATGTAGTACAAGTAGTACAAGTAGTACAAGTAGTATACACAATATAAAATCCCTTGCCTACGGAGTACTAAGGGCTCGAGATCCTCACATGTGCCAAGGGAGGGCATAGCTAAAGAGGCCGGTTTCATAAAAAGCTAGTGCGAAAAAATAGGGGGTTGCACCGGCTGTTTCGAGTGTTCATCGAGTGGACACCTGAGGACGATCGTCATCTTTACTCTCCCAGAACAGAAGCTCCAGAGCTCTGAGATCTTGCTTTTCGGCTTGGATTGAATTCTATTTTAAAAAAAAATTCAAATTAACATCAGATCAATAGATCACAGATTAACCATGGAAATGCTGTGCAGTAGTGAGAACTCCCTAGCTTCCTCGAAATGTCAATTAGCGCTCCGCTTTGCAACGTTGCAGCCCTACTATAGGTCCCCGTACATTGTACAGATTGAATCACGGCGGAATAATTGGACCCTTTGAGAGTCCGGAGTACCCCATCTATCCCATACCCGTGGACTCTGTGCAATACGGAGTACTTCATAGAGAGCCTTTACTCCAGCGGCTCGTACTAACCGCGGTAGGGGCAGAGTGACCCACGGTAACATTCCGATCTAAACAGATCTTGTCCCAATTGCAACCTCAATGACTCCAGTGTACGAGTAATGTACCTGAAGATCTAACCTTACTTCAGTAATCACACCATGTACCCAATGGGTACTCCGTACTCCGCCATTATATCGAATATCAAATCTGCTTGCAATAACACGTTGTATTGTTTTCACCCTAGATCGCCAATACAGCTTACGGAGTACATCCAGCCAATTCTCACTAGTAAACCCTCAGTCCCATTGGGCAAGGGATAGTGGGCCGCAGACAGCTGTCAGCGATGCGCTGGCATGTTCGCCATCTACCCTCTTATCCAATCGATATCGGATAGATCGACCGGCCGTAACGCATATGAGCAGTCTGGTCCAATGCCTGTCCTAGCCGTTGCCTACATGAGACTCTCACCCTCACCTCCTCAAAAACCGGTCTTTGGTCTGCACTCTATACAAATCAGGTGGCTAGGAAAAGACGGTCTGAGTCGGATTTGAGCTCTGAGCCCTGCGAATTCGCCGTGCCACCTAGTCAGAACCCAAATCCCATCCAATCGTACCTGAACAAACAAATTAAACAAACCTCGCATACGATGCAGTCGGAACTTTATTGTGTTGACGCGAGCTATCCATCAAAATTAAATTATGCATGAAGCTTAACACTTCAAGTCTGGAGATTGTACGGAGTAGATTGGGAATTTCTATTCCGTCGCTGCTGTGTATATCCATGGATGGACGTGAACCAAGAGAGAAAGAGAGAAAGATAAGACGACAGAATGACAGAATGATACGAATATCCCGTTCCACTAGTCGCCCAGCCCCCAGAATTTTAACGCTTACCCCCTGGCAGACGACACGCCGTATGCAGGAGGCGGTGTGGGGCTCGACTGACAACGTTTTGCCTGCATGTACCGCCCTCGCGGTAGTCCGAGCTTCAGGTTGCCAAATCCCGCCTTTACAACAACTCTTCTTACCAGGGAATCAATTTCAAGTAAAAAACAATTTCCTTATTTGTGACATCTCTCCGTTTCATTTCTGCCCTTTAAAATTGGTAGAAGCCAAATCAGAGAACAAGTTTATTGGCTCCTGCCGATCAAAGCTATGACCTCGGGAGCTTGTGAAGACTGACCAAGGAAGCGCTCATCTCCAACCAATCTGTGATAGGTGGTTGGATTTTCCTGGTATCGATTGCTTTCATTTGGCTAAGCCCAGGAAGATATGCAACTTCGCTAAGCTCAATGGCCACAATCATTGGACTTCTGTAACGCTTTGTTTTCTTCATGGACGCCACCTCTCAGTCTCAGTTTCAATCATGCTAAAATGAGAGCCGAGTTCAAGTGTATGAAGATGTGGAAAAAAACAAGTCTTTATCAAAGATTCAGAGGTGCAAGTGGCTCGTTCCCTGTGAGCCCTCTTTCTCGAAGAAGAACATCCCGATCTTCAAGAAATGCTTTGTATGCTGGTTTCGGGACAGTCCTATCTTCATCCTCCCATACTTGGAGTTGACGCGTAAGATTCTTGCTTGGTTTGACTTTCTGCTTTGATTGAACAAAGGGCAACACATCTGCTTGCGACATGTTTAATTTTCGCATGAGATAGGCAATGATAACAGTCGGCGAGCGTGATATCCCAAGATCACAATGAATCAATATCGCTTCTAAAGCTGCCCCATGCCTCTCATCAATGATTCCATCGTCGCACTTGACGGGCAAGGGACGCAAGGAGGGTAGAGCTGGCGATGCCATTTCGTCGATCATGTCACAGATATCCTTCATATGGACGAGGAGGTCTTGTGTCGACGAATCTACACACTGAGTCCATTTGTGACGATGTTCTGGAACACCGGCCTCTCTTGTGGTAGATTTCCACCATACCCATCGAGCATCGGTGAGAGAGATAATGGCGTTGATGTGGTTCTCTTGCAACATTTCTCGTTTGTGGGATGCCTCGACATTTCCCAGGTAGAGACCAGGGACAATCTGCCGCATCCGAGCCGTCCATGCCATCTGCCACCTCCTTTCCCTCTCCTCTTGAGTAATTTGTCCTGTGGCATTTTCACCCATGGCAATAGTTTGTGATTCTGCTTCAAGGCTAGGGAGAGATTGCTTGTGAGGGGAAATGCATGTTTGGGAATCTTGATCAGGAAACCGATCTTTGTCAGCATTCCATGGATGGATAGATCCATGGATCTCAAGATTCAAGCCAAATCCTTATTTCTACCATGTCTTCACAATTTTTGCTGCCCAGAACCAGCAGAAACCAAGACAGAGCAAATCTTCAAAATCCATCATCTACAAGTGACTCCGGGGGCATTACATCAGTGGCTCGGAAAGGGGCCACTTTGCTGATGTCGACTTGTCTCTGAAAAAGCAGACCTCAGAGGGGACAGGTCCCATCGACAGTGAAGACTGTTTCCGCTCTACTGGCGTGGGCCCACTGTCGGCGGAGCCTACACGTACGGAGTACTGACCATGACCTGCTTGCCATCGCGTTTTATGCCCACCACCATACCTACGGAGTACCTTGGTAACGGATCCGAAAAGTCGCCGTGCCATCCAGTCAAATCTCCGATCCCATCCAATCATACTGAACGAATTGAACGAAGTAAATGGACCTTGCATACGATGCAGCCGGAACTTTCTTACGTTGATGCAAGCGATCTATCCAAAAATAAATTGATTATGAAGCTTTACACTTCAAGTTTCGAGATAACAAAATGGGGAATTCCAGCCGCCACACATAAATGAAAAAGAAGAGATAGATCGGTACTTCGCACAGGGTACGGAGTACCCAGAATTCCGAATGGAGTAGAGAGAGACGTTCAAATCCCCATTGCACCGGCCGAGTCGCCATGCCCAGCCCCTAGAGTTTTTAACGCTTACCCCCTGGCAGAGACATTGTCCCCGACGCGCCGTACGCAGGAGGCGGTGTGGGGCTCGACGACTGAGGGCCCCGCGCGCCCGACCCCGAAGGGCCCGCAGCGCTGGCGGCGGCTTCTGGAACTTGGCCTCCATCTCCACCACCAACCACAACCTGCTTGCCATCACGCATTTTGCCCACCACCATACCCTTGGCTACGGATTTCAGAAGCGCGCGGCGACTGACGCCCGTGGCATCAATATACACCAATCCGACATTCTTGATACCGCCCGTCAAGTTGGACGCGACGGTACCGGCTTCGTTACCATAGCGGTGGTCAATCATAGAGCTGGCCGCATTGGCACCGGAGAACAGCATGTTCCGAGCGCTTTGTTCAATGCCGTCGGCTAATGTTGAGAACGCGATCATCGATTTGTTCATCACGCCTGGCTTGTAGTCTTGGGGCGGGTTTCGCTTGTCGATCCCTTTGCGTTTTCCGGACTCTTGCTTGCGCGCAAGAGAAGCTCCTAGGTTCTGCGCGACCTTTCCGACTTGCCCGACTGTGCGCGCCGATAGATCTGCTGCGCCGTTGGAGAAGTTGCCAACCTTGCGAATGCGCGCGTGCGTGGCATCCGAGAAGGTCAAGGGTTTGGGGACGGGCTTCGTTCTCTTTTGGAAGCTCTCTGCGCCGCTGGCAATCATTCCTGCCAGATAGCTGGATCCGGTAACCACCAGACGCGATGCCGTAGCTGAACTTTGAACGAGTGTGGAGTTCTTATAGGCCGGGTGTCGGGCCATCGCTAGGTATTCTTCAGAGACATTGCTGACACTGACGCGGTTTCCTTCGCCTTCTGCGGGGAGTTCAATCCCAACGGGTCCTGTGGAAATTATTATGAGCTGCTGGTCCGGTATCACGAAGTGCTTCACTTACTCTTAGATCCAGGTTTCACGTCGGAATCCTCCACCACGTTATAGCCATCACCAAGCTCTCCGACGACACTACCGTCTTCCTCGTCAACCAACACAATCCGCCCATGCGCATCTGCGTTTTTCTTGTCTGAAGACCCAACATAACCCTCGCCAGGTGCGTAATCGGCGGGGTTATAAGCGGCAAAGTCTTGAGCCTTCGGGGGAGGGGCTCGCTCGAGGAAGGCTGTACACTGCGCAAGGATCGATTCGAACGTATCAACGTCGTCTTGTGTTACGTTGTTCGGGCCAGAACCGATGCTTGGGAATTGGACGCGAATGAAGGCGCCGGCATCGGGACCCATGTCCCAGCGGGGGATGAGGTAGCTGTTGGGAGGCTGGTGGAAGATCTGGGTTGTGGCCGGGATTGCGATATCCAGCTCGGGTGGAAGGTACAGGTGAAGGTAGAAGTCGTCTTCAATTGAGTCCTCGGGGGACTCGGTGCCGGGCCCGGCGATGGCGGTGTTGGTGGGGACCATCAACAGAGAGAGGGTTTGAGGGCCGGATGGCGTGAGGTCCTGCTCTTCACCATCTTGGATATGGAATGCGCGAATGTTGCTGACGCTGTAGAGCAGACGGGGATCCTGCGCTGCGCTCGACATCTTGTTGATTGCCACGATCGGCCTGCTGTTGCTCCCAGCTTTAGTTGCTGCTAATGTAGGTATGACGTCGTTCGAGTCTCACTTAGTGGTATGAGAAAGCGAAGAATCTCTATCGAAATCGTGAGAAATTTGAATAATTTGAATTCACCTAGGGAAGGAAAAGAGGGACAATCTATTTCAGGCCGCAACGAAGGAGGGGTCCTCTTATGAGATCATGTCTCGGCGCTTAGATAAATGGAGGGCTGTGTTGCGCCACAGCACCGCCACATCGCCATAGTGAGCGGGTCTCAATATTGCGATCGACTAATTTGATTGGATATCGTTACCCCGGAGTGAATGTCAGTCCCATGGTCCCCTCGTCGATTTATCGAAGGTTGCTGCAAGAGGATTCCAGAATGTGTGACAAGTGGATAGAGAGCCAGCTGGAAGGTATACATGTCAGCAGCTGGAAAGCTTCTGCCTTGTAACACATTCCAAATGAGAAGTTGCTGCCATCACCTCGGTGAGGTACACCAAATTACAGGGAGAGTGATTTCATAGTTCGTAGAATACATCATCGATGATTAGTTTCCCCTATTCCGAGCTCTCAGACTTTATTCTGAAGCCGATTTCAATTCATTCGGGTCTGCTATGTTGTTTACACATTTGAATGTTCAGCCACGTATCTGAAGGAGTCATGGTAGAGATCCTATTTGCGAATCTCAGTCCGAATGTCACGGGGACAGTGTTGTAGGGAATGGTGGCTATGTTCTTTTTCTGGTGTGACCTCTTTGCTTCATGTTTCCTTGAAATGGCGTCTTCGGGTCTTGTTCAACAAGAGTAGCTTATTGGGGATGATTGATATGAATAACACAAAATTTGACTGTAGTCCACATTTCAATAGCTCTACAACGCCGTGGCAGGCGGCGGAATTGCTACCGGCTGGCTTGGTTGGGCCATCTCCCCCGGCCATCTGCTCTTTCCGCCTCTCGTATTGCACATGTATCAGAGAATATCAGATAATTCCTGGCGCTTGAGACTTTTCCCTTTCCATTTTAGTGCTCACCTCTTGCCGCTTTTTGCTCTCAGAATAAAATTGAACACGCCTCCGAGCGCATTGATCTGCTCATTGAGCACCTGACTGCATGTTTTCTTCAGATGAACCAGGGAACTGTCGCCGACGGGCATTGATAAACCAATTGGAGACCTGCGATGGATGAGGTTAACATACGACCACAACTACTGAGTAGTGGAAATTTGTACCTGAGTAGACGAGAGACCAGTCCCCGTCGCAAGCACCCGCTTGTCCTCTTCACTTGGAAAAGGGTGGTCAATGTGCTCGTGAAGCCAGACACGTAGAGGATCCGTGACAGCTTTGGGCAAATTGCCTCTTGTGCGGCTCGCCTCGTGATCAAAAGGATCTTTCGTCATTCCAAAATCGGTCTGTTGACCGCGAGGAAGCATCTGAGGCGAGAAATAGTCGCCTGTCCTCGGAGAATCCGAAAAAACAGGTATAGGTGGTTTTTGGCCTTCCGAGGAGCTTTGTAAACCCTTGGATAAAGTCTGGGCATCTTTGGAGGCAGTCTCTTCTTGAATTAGGACACTCGAGTCTCTTATTTTATTCATGTCCTGGTTAACCGAGCCCTCTATGCGCTCAGAATACGATGGTGATAGAGGGTTCAGCAGCAAAGAGATATCCACTTTGGCCGGTGGTAGAAGTGGGCGCTTATGAAGAGGCAAAGTGTTAGGGACGATCTCGTTGTATTGAGCTCTAGATCGGTTTCCCAGTAGCTCTTCCGCATAAGTTGATGTACCGTGGGCTATCTCTTTATTCAAAAAGGGAGCTATACAGAAATCGCTGTTAGATCATCTACGAAATTTGGTGGTGCATGGTCAAAATACCTAGGGAACGTGATTCTTCGCTTCCAGAAGAGTTTTGTGAATCCATCGATGAAGGCTGGGTACCCTGGAACACTGCCCCTTGGCTTTGGACACTCGGATCTTTTATCAGATCCATGTTCTTGTTGACCAAGTCCTCTGTGAGCCCAGAATGCGGTGGCCATGAAGGCCTCAGCCGCACAAAATCGTCCGAATCAGGTCTTGATTCTTTTGGTAACCATGGGTCTTCCCCAACCTCATAGGCGTAACCCTCCCTTGAACCAGCAAGTATAGGTGTGATAGCTGGTGGATCCTCTCTACAAACTGTTGGGCGAACTTCGACGCCCGGTAAGCTTCGCTTGGTCGCGTCGTTTGATATGTCAGATTCTGAATCGGCGTCACTACTGTCCTTTTCATCCCTCGGAAGGCTTGCCAGTGAGATTTCCTCCAGGTGTTGTCCAACGTGAGTTGCATAGGCTTTTCTTGTTTGCCAACCACGTTGGGAACATAACACACATTTGTACTCTCTAAACTCTGGTCCCAAGACTGCCTCTTGTGCCTCGGAGATTGCTGCTGCTAATCGACTTCCTGGCATTTGGATATTATGAGACACAGAATAATGCTCGACAAACGAGTTTTCGGTGGTGGTGAGGGTATTGCATACAAAGCAGCGCCACTGTTTCTGAGTGAAGTGTTCGTTGAACTCATGGTCGGCCCACAATTTACGGGTGGGGAATGTCACCAGCGCATCTTCACAATCTGCATGTGTACAGAGGTATGACTGCAAGTCTGCAAAAACATGCATCCTATTCGGTCAGCTATTATGCAAGCCTATCGCATGATAGCATCTTAGATACGTACTTCCAATCAATCCGAGTTTGCAAAGATATCACCTTTCGGCAATAGTCGCACTGAAAAGGGCGTCCGTCGCTCTGTGGCAGGGAAGGTACTCGAGGACGACCGTGAGCCTCTATCCCAGGCGTTGAGAGATACGAGGTATGGGAGGCAGCAGAAGCGGCATACTGTGACATTGTAGGTGCAGATGTTCCAATACCAGAATCATTGAAAATCGAACAAGGTTTGAATAAAGTCACAGTGTCACGATCCACAACATATGATTGTTCTTCACGTTGCGCTCTGATCCGAATGGACCTCTCCCAATTTGCCTGGGCGAGTCGCTCAACCAGGGGTGTGAGTCCAATGCAAAACCTATGTTTTTAACGAAGAGCCCGGGCAAGGAGATACCAGAAACAGTAACCCACCTATCTTGAATGCGCATGGCAAAAGGCTGCGCACTCTGTGAGAATCTCATCACATTCTCGGAGGACGTCTGTTGTGATTCCACTCTACCCTGGGAAAAGGCAATTCGCTTGTTTATCAATGGTGCTGTATCCATGAGGCAGCTCACATAGCAATGAATTCGTCCAAATTGGTTTGTTTCACGCTCAGAAGAAGAGGATGAATCATCGGAAAACTCGTCGTCTGAAGACGACTCGGAATTCTCGTCAGAGGATAGCATTATCATTGTTTTCTCCAACTGAGCATCAAGATCCATTGCAAGACTTGATTCAACGTCTCTTTGGTCTCCGCTAATGGCGGCACTGTTGCAATCCGTCAAGAAAAGCCTCAGAATACTGCCGATTCCCTTCAAATTCTCAATCACGTTTGTTTTCAGATGACGTGATTGCTCCAAGATGGCGTCGAGGTGGCCGGGAGGGAAGTTCTCTTCCCACAGCCGGATGTCGGCAACATCCTTCTTCAAGGTGTTCTTGCGCGGAATTTGTGATGTGAACCGGAATCGTGATCTCCAGAGGTAGACCAGTGCAGTCGAGCAGGTATGATACAGAGTTTCGACAAAGCCGATATTTGGATCTTGAGTACTGTGATCACTTCTTGAAAGCACCCACTCACTGAGTGTTTGAGTAAACTCACTTGCTGGCTCCATCGTGCTGCTGTCTCACCTTTGGGTCAGTCTCAGAAAGCGCGGGGTTGACGTTTGGGGGCCGAAATATCAAATGCTTGAAAATGTCAACCTTCGGGATGAGTTATTCCTCGGAAAACCAACCGAGTGTTAGCCAACCGTAAACGCCAGTAACTTCGAAGCTTCAAGACGTGATACAATGTGGGATGAAAATGAGGGGAGGATGAATACGCCAAGGGTATTGTATTGTATTCCGTCATATTTGTTTGTACAACCCCCTAACAACACATAGCGCTAATGCACGTGGTGAATCATTCTTCCGGCTGATCCCCTCGGTGAACATGCGCTCCTCCATCTGAAAATTATACCTAAGCGCCGAGGGTGACGTTGTGAGGCTGACCCCTATAGCCCGGGGTAACACCTCAGCAGGACTTACGATGAGCGGCCCAGTGCGTCCCAAGCACCGAAGAGATTTCGACGTCGCTGTCATCTGCGCGCTACAGCTGGAAGCCGATGCTGTAGAAGAAATCTTCGACTGTTTCTGGGACGAAGATCGCGATCGATACGGAAAAGCATTGGGAGACCAGAATGCATACCGGACTGGGGTCATCGGAGATCACAATGTTGTCTTGGCATACATGCCTGATATCGGAAAAGGGCACGCAGCAAGCGTGGCAGCGAGCTTCCGATCGAGCTTTCAGGGTATCCGACTTGCGTTGATTGTTGGTGTCTGCGGAGGGGTGCCAGGCAGAACAGAGAACGACATTTTTCTTGGCGATGTAATCATCAGCGATGACATCGTCCCATACGACTTGGGTAGGAGATTCCCGGCAGGGTTTCGACGCAAAGGTTTTGCAATCAAATCTGCAAATGCCGAAATCCAAGCCTTCTTGCACAAACTAAGAAGTCGCAAAGGCCGTGAAAATCTACTCGGCAGGACCAACCATCATCTTGATACTCTGCAAAAGCAAAATAGTGACTATCGCAGCCCTGAGAGGGACCTAGATCGGCTTTTCAAGCCGAGCTACCATCATCAACACCATGGTCCTTCAAAATGTAGAAGGTGCCACAAAAACGAGCTTTGCGTAAAAGCCCAGGAAGCAACATGTGAATCTTTGAAATGTGACCCGAAGAGATTGGTCAATCGTCCTTACCCATCGCCAAGCGGGACCAACATCCACTTCGGGCGGATGGCTTCCGGTGATACAGTCATGAAGTCTAGCGAGGACCGAGACAGAATTGCAGCAGAGGAGAATGTTATTGCATTTGAGATGGAGGGTGCAGGGATTATTCATAATCTGCCTTGCATCGTGGTAAAAGGGGTGTGTGACTACGCTGACAGCCACAAGGACAAAATATGGCAAAAGTACACTGCTGCGACTGCTGCTGCGTGCATGAAATCATTACTAGAGCAATGGGCAATCATTGATCAGTCGAAAGAAGAAAGCAGACAGCGTGAGGATCTCATAGGAAATGGTTCCTCCTGTCACCTTGACACATCCCTATCAGCTCATTCTAACAAAGCACCCTCGCCGCCAATTGAACATGACATCCAAGATGATGACCTGCTGCAAGGTAATATTTCTTGTTCTCGTCTCTTTATCTTCAACTGATCATTGTAGTTCTACCGATAATTATATCGAGATTCAAGAGTACGCTCAGCTGTTTCAAACACCACAAAAAGTTCTTGCCAAAAGATGTTGATCTCAGGAGCACTTTAAGAACCCAGCGTGTTGTGTTGTTGGAAGTTATGGAAACCTTGTCTTCAGATGCTTCCGACGCTCTCAAAAATCAGATTGGCTCGTCGGAAAACCTTTGCCTCAAACTGGGTCTAGCAATCCGAACGAAACTCGTGGAAGTTGAAGAGACCACAATGCGTCTTCCTGTCGCTACTAAGGCGAGAGAGCAGCACGTAAATGCTGCAGACATTCTCAAGGCTAGTCATCTACGGTAGCCCTCGCCACCACAGAAGCTAATCGACATACAGGACGCCGTAGAAGACTTGAAATCCATGGTCCAGGTCTTTGCATCCTCTATTCCCCACCCGAAACAGCCTAGAGCCTCAAATGAGTCGCACATTGTGAAAACACCTCGAGGGCGTCGACAATTCCAGCAATTCCGCGTTGTCAGGCAAGCGGCTTGTAGCCTCTACGATGCCCTTGGGACAGCCTGCAATGTGCATGCAGTCCATGATGTGCACATCTCTCTCCAACCGGACCTGGATGGGAAACGAGTGAACTTCAGTTTGGCCATTATCCAAAATGATAAGTTGCAGGCAAATACAATCTGGATCAATGTGGAATCCACGGTCAGCCCCCTGAACCAATTTCTCAACCGGCCTTTCCAACAACCTCAGATGGCCAGTCTGAAAAACGACCAAGACAAGATGAAGAAGCGCAAAATCCACCAAGGTCTCGTAAGCGCGTTCAGTTCCAACTTCTACAAGAGCCTTCACAATCAACGTACCTCGAGAAATCCATGCTTGGATTTCCCGATCTATACTTGCAACGGAATTTCTGCGCCTTGGTCGAGAGGTCATTACGTCGCCAAGGATGTAATGAATGCATCGGCTTGCTCAGAGACAACAACGCCTGTAAACTTGTGGCATATATGGGAAATCAAACCAACAACGCAACGACCTCAGCATCATTGTCCCAGCTGATATGCCTCTCAGGAACAGACTCCACTAAAAGCATGGGCCAATATGAGCGAGTCCGACTTGCCAAAAATCTCGCCACTGCTTTCCTTTACTACCATTCTACCCCATGGCTCAACGAAACATGGCGTAGTGAAGATGTTCAATTCTTCGGCCCTTGTGACTCCTTGCTCCACCAGGCACACCATGTTCTACCCTACATGACCACATCTATAAGGGCTGTTGGTTCCTCGATAAATGCCCAGCGTCGATCGTCCGATTACACTCACATCCGCAACCCTGTATTGTTTGGACTGGGTGTTATGCTTCTAGAACTTGCATATCAAGCTCCTCTCAGAACCCTACAACAACCAGTCGATCTCGAGAAGGGGGAAACACAGGGATTTGCCGATTGGTTCACAGCACACAGATTGGTAGACCAAAGCTACCGCATGGTGAGTAAAAGCTACAAAACCATCATCAAAAAATGCCTATACTGCGACTTTGGGCATGATAGTGACTTTGCGAGCCCTGCGCTTCAAGAGGCCTTCTACCATGACGTCATCACCGGCCTTGAGAATCTTGAGAGAATTTTCAGGGAATTGCAGCTTGATGACCCAGAAATAGATGTGATGTGATATGAGAGGAGAGTGTCGGAATTTTGGGATCACCATTTGTTCTACGCATGGTGGCCATGTTGCACTACTAAGTGAGCAAAGATTGATTCAAGAATTGAAGAATTGAATGACAACATATTCAAAAGGATCAGGTATAGCTCTTGCGCGACAGGCGTATAGCTACCTAGGTACAATATATAGGAGATGCGGTTAAGCATTGTGTAATGAGTTCTTTGACCTTTAAGCGCCTTCTTTGAACTCTCCAGTGTTGGAGCGAGCTGACGTTGGCTGTATCCTCACTTTGGTAGCTGCATCTTGCCAAAGATGGAAGAAATGCCGTTCGAAAATGTTGAAGCTGCACAGGACACCGGAGATCCTCATCCAATCCAAGTGGAAGTCTAGTTGTGGAAAACAGATAGGAATGAAAAGGTTATTTTTGAGTGATTGTCTAATCTTATATCTCTCTGTAGATCTTATAAGGGCTAGGATAATAAATGTGGAATCCGTTTATTTTTATCTATTTTGATTAATTTGTTATACAGGATTGAAGTCCTATATATAAGTTTTTGTGAAACTTTCAGCACTTACTCTGTACCTATTCCGTTCTGCCCATGACTTTTTCATCAACTGTTCGTCAACTGGTATACATATTGGAACGGGGATTTCTAGAAATTGCGCCCACAGAGGCCGTTAGCACAGCCGATTCTTCTTGTTTTGATTATTATAACAGATAAATATTCATCCTGTACCATAGACCCCGTAAAGTCATATGACCAGTTAGATGCTTACGTACCCAAATAGGAGCCCCGGCCCGGGGCTTTGAGAGGTAGGAGTCATATTCTGGAATTACAAGGTATCCTGGTGTCGATACTTTGGGACGCAGCTTCCAAGGTTGCTAGTGATTCTCCAATTTTCTTCCTTTTTTTTCTCGCTCCTACAAGACTTGCGAGCTGCATTGCCTCGTCGCATTTGTGCATGGTCTTCCGTTCCCACCATCATGGAGATTCAAATAATATCCGATCTCCATCTTGAGACCCCAGCCTCCTATGATATTTTCGAAATAACCCCCAAGGCACCCTACCTCGCTCTTCTGGGTGACATCGGAACTGTCAAGGACACCGGCTTTTTCCCATTCATCGAAACCCAGCTGAGCAAATTCTCCGTCGTGTATTTTCTTCTGGGCAACCATGAGCCATACCACTCTACTTGGGCAGAAACAAAAGAAGAGCTTCATCGATTCTCTACCTCTGTTAATCAGCGACGTGTTACGCCGGGCCAAAACGAAAAAAACAAATCCGGTTCATTCGTCTTCTTAGATCAAACTCGATATGACGCTTCAGCGAATGTGACTGTATTGGGGTGCACGCTTTTCTCGCAGGTAGACGAAACTCACAAAGAGCACGTCAGTTTCGGCCTCAATGATTTCTACCACATCAATGATTGGACTGTCGAAGAACACACAGCCGCTCACCAGTCAGATGTGGCATGGTTGAACGCCCAGGTCTCACAAATAGCTACCGAGGAGCCCCATCGAAAGATAGTAGTGTTTACACACCACAGTCCGGTTACTCAGGACGCCAGGGCAGTTGATCCAAGACACGCGAATAGTCGGATTTCATCGGGCTTTGCCACCGATCTTTCTTCGCAGGAATGTTGGAAAAGCCCGTTGGTACGGCTGTGGGCATTCGGTCATACACACTTCAACGTCAATTATGTCGAGGATGCAGGCAAAATGGTGGTGAGCAACCAACGGGGTTATTACTCTTCCCAGGCAAAGGGGTTCGATGGAGATCTTGTGGTGAAAATTGATGAATGATTTCGGCCTGCCAAACCCAGCTGTCTGCATATTTGTTTTTTGGTTTTCATCAAGCTCTTTCTGTCTCGGCGTCCCCGTTATCTGTCACTCTAAGGCGACTGCTTCGCCTTTGTTTCTTAGTCACAACGCTTGTAGAATCACCACTTTTTGTCGTGATATCAGAGGCTCCCTTGCGCTTGGTTGCCGATTCCACTTGCGCAGCAGGCCATTTCCCTTCAAGTAGCGTTTGTACTAGTGTCTTGATTCGGTTTTCGCGAGCCTTCGGAGAAGCCGTTTGCACGCGCCACAACACAGCATACCGGTCGCTTTTATTCAAAGACTCGAAAAAGGATGCAGCAGCGGGCTCCATATTCAAAGCGATCGCGAAATCATCGGGCACGGTTATGGTAGCGGGGCCGGCGTAGGCGCGTTCCCATCGGCCATCAGCCTTTGCAGCTTCCACAGCCGCGAGCCCTGCCGGACGCATTCGATTGGTTTCTACCAACTTCCCGACCGTTTTGACATTCTTTTGGGACCAGATACTCTTGGCCCGGCGTGGTGTATAACGTACCAGCCACCAATCCTTGTCAAGCGCGTTGGCGCGACCGTCGATCCAACCAAAACATAGAGCTGTTTCGACGGCTTCTGCGGTGGTAACTGACGGTATTCCGGATGCTTTCTTTGCAAATTTTAGGTAGAACCCTTCTAGGGTTGTATGCTCGCGCTCGAGAAATGCTTCTAGTTCATTGGTGCTAGAGAATGAGTGCACGGGAAGATCCGTTGGAGGTGACTTGTCGGACATTGAAAGTATGGTCCTGTGCTCAAGTGGCAACTCCTCGGACGAGTTATAGAAATGGTGTTTTCCTTTGGCTTGGGCGCGTAGAACTCTTGTTTGCTGACAAGGGGCGAGGTTGGTTGTTCCAGGTGATTGTCAGCCGATGGTGCGCCGGGCTGGGCTGCTCCGCACTTACCCCAGGTCTGCACCACGTCCCAAACTTTGCGAGCTTTCTCCTAGCCCTGCTCGGGGTGATGTTGGGTTCATTTAGTTTAGCATGACTTCTCGAATAATCAGATCAGCTGTCAATTTTTCAACCTTGGCAGGTTTTTGCCTATGTGTACATTCGGCGCTCGGATTCATCCGCTTCAAGCCCCGGAGGTCAATCTCTATGGATATATAGTTCTGCGAAAGATGCGGATTCCCATCTACTTTTAAGTTGAGTTCGTAAACTAAAGTAATTGCCACCCAAGCCCTGGGGTTTAAAACAATAACCGAACTTACAGGGCATGCATACCCTCGACTATGCCGTGGTATTGATATGTTGGTGCATATCTGGTGCGCCAAACAGACAAAGTGAGCTAGCAGTACTCCGTACCCATGAGCCCCGTTGTCTAATCATCGCACAATCCGTGGACACAACCATAAGTATCGAGCTTTACAGCATAATCTAAAAATCCTGTTCAAGCTTCGGAGCCTTCGCTTGGAATCGTGGAAGCTCATGTGGCCCACCACCGGGCAATTTCCAGCGGGGGTTTTAGTCCATACTCCACACCCGTGGACCACGGTCGGGAATCCGCCTACTTGTACTCCGTACAAACCACCAACATGAAAGATCGAAGAGTGTATACATGCAAGCTCGATGCTCCCAAGTACCCTCTATTTAAATAAACACCGAATAAACACTCAAAACACAAAGTTTCGGACCACAGGTTGAGTAAGAAAAAAAAGATACTATTTAATCTGCACAAAAATATTGGACGAGCGGTGGATCGAACACCGGACTTTTCGCAAGCTTGTGAAGGCGACTTCTTGCAAAGCGAACACTCTACCACTGAGTCACACGCCCCAATTGATGACTACAACCTCATTCAAAATATCTATAAAGAACACATCTATTCGGACTCCAAATTTGTTTACAGCGGAAACCTGAGTTCAGAGACATCTCGGCAGTGCGCTCAGTAAACCACTTTGCATGAAAAAGGGCCTGAAATCTTACAAAACATTCATTCGGTGCCTAATTTATCTTCACCCCAAGGAATGTTTGGATTGATGGTGTCGGTCGGAGGTTTCAGCCTAGATTTTGGCGAGATAGCAGCAGCAGCAGCCCTGGAGTCAGTGTGTTTTAGATTGTGAAGAACACCTTGAAAGATGGCAAAACTGTTCAAGGTTATAAATATTGTACCAGCTGTGCTAATAATTGACCTAATGGTTGAAAGGGTCGAGATGCACATGGTTTGGGAGCAAACTCGGCACTTTCATTTGAAGTCACTCTCAAAATATCTACTTGACGCTAAATTAAAGCGACAGAAGTTTGCCGTATACGCACAACCTGAAACGCAACATGGATCGCCATAGCCTAACAGTCCCGAGAGAACAATTGAGAGGCTATGTCTTGTAATAATCGGGTGGAATGTGTAGAATTTGAGAATAATTTACATAGGGTACACCCGGAGGACAAGTGATCACGGCAACAACGGCAACCACGGCGAAGTCGGTGAATTCGGCAATCTCGGCCGGCTTACGAAGGGCAACCAGTGGAAGGGTAGTTGCAGGAGCTAGTCTCACCACCACCAGTAATAGAAACATCGGTGAAAGTGAAGCCGGAGCAGCTATCATCACCACAGAGAATATAGTAGTCATAGGCATCATCGGTGCAAGTACCGGTGATATCAGTGAAAGTAACGTCACTGATGCTGACGCCGTTGGTGGGCTCCCCAGTGGGGCCGCCATTGAGATAGTCCTGCTGGATGTCGATACCGTAGTCGGAGATACCAGACATGGTAATGTTCTGATAAATAATGTTGCTGACCTGTAGACGGATGAGCACTGTTGTGATACTAGGAAGGGTTGGCGGCGATCAACTTACACTACCAGTAGTGTCAGAGTTACTCTTGATGCGGCAGCCATTCTGGCTGTCCACGACCTGGGAGTTCTTGAAAGTGACAGTGTCGACAGTGTTGTTGCTCTTGCCACCAATGGAGCCGATGCTCAGACCGTGACCACCGGAACAGTAGACATTGTCAATCACGATCTGAGTTCCACTTGTGACGGCAACACAGTCATCCTGGTTGTAGACAACAATGTTTTCCAGAGTGACATAATCACTGGAAGAGATGTCGAATCCATCGGAGTTGTGCGCGGCAGCATCGTCACCGCTAGCAGAGTTGGGCTCATCACCGTCCGAGTTGTCCAAGGTAAGGCCGGAAATGGTGACGTGCTGAACACCGGTGATATCGAAACAGTGAACGGGCCAGTTCTTGATGTTGAGGTTGGTGATCTGAGAGTTGTAAAGCTTCTTGAGGACGATGAAGTGGTCGGGCCTAAACGATTGTTAGTCATTGAATGTGAGTGATAGGGTAAAGTTGGGATGCTCACTTGTCCTGACCACCGTTTGATCCCTCGCCATCCCAGTAAGCTGCTCCATTACCTTCAATCACATGGCCAGAAGCTCCAGTAATGGTGATATCATGACCAGAGATGACAATAGGATCGAAGTCGTCATCGAAGGTGTCACCGAACGTCTATTGTTGATAAGTATTTTGCAAGTAAGGATGGACCGGAATTACCTACGGTGGTACCTGCGAAGGTGACGGTAGCACCAGTCTGAAGACTCTGCAAGTCAATCGTGCTAGACGGAGGAGCAGAGATGTTGGAAAGCACAATGTTTGTGCAAGACTCCACAGCGGAGGAGATGGAAGCATAAGCAGTCACCACACAGGACGATCCTGTTCCAGCAGCCTGGCTGACCGACTGGGCAGCGACAACGGCAGGCGCAGTGGTAAGAGATGGTTGAGTAGAACGGGTGACTTTGACGAGTGTCGTGGGGGTACTAACGACCGCAGGGGCAGTAGTAGAGATTGGCTCGCTAGGGGCAACAGCAGTGCTAGTAACAGCCTCGCTTGTAGCCACGGGGACCTTGGAGGAAGCCGCACCAGCGGCAACGGTGGCCCAAGCCGTATCAATACAGCTGCATGCACTTGACAAGTGCTTTGTTTTATAACCACAAGCAGAAGCGAAGGCAGGCAAGTCTGTGGTGGCAGTCACTGCACCTGTAGTGAAAGTTGCACAGAATGCCTCAGCCTCAGATCTGGATGCAGTGTACGCAGCGGCACAAGCATCGTTAGCAGGATTATCGCAGCCCAAAGCCAGGGGCAAAGAGTAAGCAAAAGCGCGCTGCGCATTTTGGAGAAAAGAATGTATGAAAAAGAATGAAAATTGAACCTAATGAAACGACGGGAAAAGAGCGACCTGGGACGACATGCTAAGCAATGGGCCAAGACAGGCGTTTTATAGCAAAAAAGCTTCGAATCTAGACTTGGCAGACCTCACCCCGCCTGAGTTTTATCAGATTGGGCATAGTAGAATATTGAGAGTGGATAAGACGTTCATTTTGATTAGTGACGCGTCGCTTACTGGTGGATTATTGGACAGGTCGCCCGCTGTCAAGGGGAAATTGCACGGGGCGTGGGATGCACTTCTGTAAGAGAAACCGCTAGTCCAGGGGCAGTGTTGCCGAGTCGTTTCAGCTAGGTGGGAAGTGAACGGCATCTCGGCATATCTATACCAAAGTGTCCACAATGCCAAGCCGAAAGTAGCATTAGCGTGATTCAGGATTGCTTGATTCTTTACAAACACGGCCGCTCGCTTGAAAAAAGTCCCCGAAGATCTTGAACGTGCTCATAGCATGATTCATGTATGGATGAGCCAATGGGGAAAAAGCGAGGAAAGAAATGGTGACCTAGATGGAGAGAGAGAGGCGAAAGAGTACTCTATCTGAGAAGAGGGTCAAACAGAGGGGGAAAACTTGGAAACTTGGTACACACGTTGTGCTCTTGAACTCTACCTTGCACTTTCTTGAGAACGAAGTACTTCTCTTCCCTAATTTGTCCTACCTGGAAGCTCCATTGGGCGCGAGATGCTCCCACATAGGAAATCTCTGCTTTCAGTACAACTATTTCCTCGTCCAATTTGAAAATAACTCCGGTAACTTCGACGAAATGCTTGTACTGGTGGCCTTCAGGCAACAAAAAAAGTCATCGCTGGAAATCGACACCATCGCTCACAGAACGCACCATAATCACTGTATTGCCGTGGACTTCGTTCGGGTTTGGCCGAAGATAACCGTGCCCATGGAAAAGATGTAGAGCAGGAAACTGCAATGAATCTTTTGGCTATGCAGAATGTTTGTAGCTCCGCCATTTTCGCAGAGCAAGGCGCTCTATCAACTTGCATTTCTGAAAATTGTTGCACTTTGAATGCACTGAAGACAGGTTGGGCATGGTAGTGCTCTCTGTTGTCTCCTTTCCCCCGAGCTGTCTCATTCAACAACATGACTGGAATGTGTCACTTGATTTACTAGAATTCGCTTGTCTCTTTAGTTCAGCGGGTTCAGTCGGGGATTTGGCCAAGCCTGCTTGTGCAATGTTTTCACCCTCGCCCGGCAATGCACAGAGTGTTCGGCTAAACCACACGAGACTCGGTAATCACCCCTGTAGCTTATAAGACCTACATTTGCTTGCCGTGAGAGCAAGAAAAGATTTCATTCAGCATCCAACGCTGATTCAAAGTGATAATCTTGGTTTTCAGTCATGGAGGGGACCATAGTGATCACCGGCGCAACCGGCTCGCTCGCGCTCCAAGCCATACAGCAAATTATCTCAATGTACCCTTCGATAAGCATCATTGCGACCGCCAGAGACCCAAAAGCATCACCAAAGAGCCCTTACTTGCTCCAGCTCGAGGAAACCCGATCGCATCATGGTGCCAGCAAGTTTTTGATCGAGTATCTCGATCTGAGCTCGATCCCAGAAGTCCGCGCATTCACGAGCAAAATTGTTGGCCTGGTCGATTCTCAAGAACTTCCTCCGATAAAAGCTATATTTTGCAACGCATTCACATGGTCTTTGGATGGTCTTCGATTCTCGAGTGATCGCATGGAGTCTACGTTTCAAGTCAATCATCTGGCGCACTTTTTGTTGGTCCTAAGACTTTTGCAGAGCATGGATCACGAGCTAGGTCGTATAGTCATGTTCAGCTCTGAGGTTCACGACCCCGAAAATATCAATCCTTTGTCCAAGCTGGGGGCAAAGCTTCCCACCAACGAGAATCTTGATCAATTGATCAAGCCGGGACCCGACAGGATTGGATCTGAGCATGACATGGGCTGGCGGAGATATGCCAACAGCAAACTCGCCAATGTGATGTTCATGCAGAGCTTAAACAAGCGACTCCAGAAGGTAAGAGCAGCTAGAAGGTACCTTTGAAGGATTAAAATAATTACTAACAACACGCCTAGAGCCCAAAGCTGAGCAAGATCACGGTGACCGCCGTGGACCCAGGTGGTCTTGTCGAATCCCGCGCACATGAGGCTCAGCGCACAATCAACCGAATACTTTTCTGGCTTTTTGCAATGATGTTGCCCATCGTCAATGTTTTCACGAACAAGCTTCGATCCAACGCCAATTCAGCCAGGGATGTCGTCGCGCTGGGTCTGGGTCCCGAGTTTGCGTCCAGGCGAGGTCACTTTAACGGAAGAAGAGCCCAACCACCTGCCCGGATCAGTGAAGACGACGAAAGATGTGAGGCGCTTTGGAAGGCTTGTTGGAAGTGGGTTGATATGAAGCAGAGTGATACTTGTGTTTCCGCATGATTATTAGCAAGGTCATAACAAACGTTTTCAAATTCGGGAATAAAGAGCAGTACACGCATGTCACATAATTTCCACAACAATCAATCGCCGAATTAACTGTAATAAAAGTATCAAATAATCAAATAAGTAACTATAACAGCTCTCAAACAAGACTGCAGAGTGCTCTATGGTCGATAGACTACTCGCTCAGCAAGTAATCGAGGAGTATTGACATCATGACTAGGTAGAACCACCACATCAGTGGCTTTGGCATATTCCTTGATGGTCTTCAATGTCTGAAGCGCACGCATGGGATCATCATTGATACCGTCGGGCTGCTCCTTATCTAGAAGATCCAATCCGTAAGTCGCGTCGCCAGGAAGGAAGTAAGTGACTTTATATTCTCCAGGTCCATCATTTCCGTAGACCACCAGACTAATATGCCCCGGGACATGACCTGACGTATCGACAATTTGTATTCTTCCATCTTTGGTCACAGGATAAGACTGTTTCCAAGGTCCAAGTGGAGTATCATGGAGGTCAACGACGAGCGGAGACCAGTCTTGAGGCCAGTGATTGGGAGTAGCACCTTCCATGCTTGCAAAAACGGGATGTTCTCCAAAGGCTTGCCAGTGTTCGCGGCTGATATAGACAGGTAGATTGGGCGCTTCTGCGACAAGGTCTTCCAGCCCACCCGCGTGATCATTGTGGAGATGGCTTAGGATAACCGCTTTGAGATCGGTTGCTTTGATTCCGTGCTCATGAAGCTGCTCTAGAATTCCATCGTGGTGTTCGATAGTAAATTGACTGAGGAATCCATTGAAGAAGGCAAGTCTTGGGAGATATCCCGGGTTGTTGCAGCAGGGAGATTGACCGGTGTCCATGAGGAATAGACCTTCGGGATGGCGAATCAAAAATACACCCACTGGTAGGGGCTCAGTCCATTCTCTGTCCAGAAGTGATCGGATACGCCGAAATAATCCAAACTTGCTGGCTGGCTGTGAGCGCATTGAGGGTCGGATGCGGACGGTTCCGGTAGTCATGAATTCTAATTGCACATCGCCGCCATCTGGGATAGATGACATTCTGGGGATTGAGCTTCAGTGTTGTTCCCTCGTGAATGAAAGTTGAAATAACGTGAGAGCCCTACCGCAGACGTTCAATAGTCAAAGTAGACTGAAAAATCAAACGCTAAGTTGATGGCTTCTCGGCTGTTACGGGATAGCCGAACCTCATTTTCGTGAGAGCCGAGAGGCTGTAGATCGACTTCACCCGACAGAGAAGAGCGCAAAGATGGCACTCACAATGGACGAATCTGAATGAGATCAGGATAAGGAGACACATGGTAGATATTAGATGTGTCCAAGTTCCTTTTTTTTCTTTCTCACTAATAGACCCTTCCTAAAGATCCGGATATCGATCGGCGCATCAATGATCTTTATACACCCCCATCTATCTCTAGCACATGATACCCCACAATGCTTCTTGATTACTTTGTACATTTGACTAGACCTCCATAAGGGGTTCCAGTAAGAAGAGCGACCAATCGACTGGCCAATCTTGCCCTTCCATGCTATCCATGGACAAAGCAGAGATGTCGTTCAGGTTGTCGGTTCCGACTCTGCTTGAAGATAAAAGATCAAGCATTGGACAAAAACTCAAGGGAAAAGAAAACAAGTTTGCCATTTCCTTTCTTCTTTCGTCGGGTATAGGGCTTGAATCGTCAGCTTGAGGAAACATGCTTGTGCCAAAACTGCCGAGACTGCCGATTTTGCCGCGAACCATAGACGCGGACGTATGTTTCTTGCTCATGGTTTCCAGCACCTGCTCACAGATGTTGAGTTCGTGCGTTCGGTGAGGGTTCAAGAGATCACTGTCACTGAAAGCCCGTGGGATTGCGGCGACAAGATTTGCCCAAGAGTGAATGGGGAGCAAATATTGTACATCCTCGTGGTATAGAATTTCCTCGTACAACCGAGAGATGCAAGATGAGGCAACCATAGAAACATGTTTCAGACACGGTGAGCTATCACGTCGACCGAGTGAGCAGGTTAAGATCACAGTCACCAGATAGAAGATGTAGAGCTCCACCATAGGGCGATTGTAAGCTTTTCTGGTATCCGCCTCGAATAAATTTAGCTCAATGGGTAGGAGTTCTCTCCACATTTTCAGCTCGTCAAGGGCATGATACACTTCGTGTTGTGGAGTGTTCTGATGCCTTCCGAGATCTATGGCTTTTCTCAAATGCACACAAAGAGAAGCGAGCGCACAGAAAGATGCAGCTCCCAGCTCAGTAGGGTTCTCAAAATCAGTTTTCTCAGGCAAGGGGACAGTGGTTTCCTTCAAGGGGAACATCCCAGGGCGCCCACAGCATGCCATCTGAAGTGTATCATTTATGAAAAGATACCACCAAATTCTTCGTAATCTTCCGGGATGTGTGAATGAACTGTATGCGCCAACCTCGTGTAGGTGCAGTTGTATGCCAAGTCGAATAGCCATACCGGTCCATTGCCACGGGTTGTCCAGTGTTATTGCATCGGGGGCATATGGAAGCCAGGTTCCAAGAACGCATAGAGCAGCAAGCATGTGAAAGGGGTTTGGGTCCTGATGAAGGAACAACAATGTTTTCATTCGTCCATATATCGAGAACGAGGACCAATCCGCTGAAGGTTCCATAGGCTGTCGCATAGTACTACCGGCAAAACATAATGCTTGCTGCAACAATACAGAGTTCGGAGTTTCGGACTGCCCGTGGTCAAAGACTGGCACGAGATAGAAGAGCTCACGGAAGTAAAAGTCGGATAAAGCCTGGGCAATGACTGGAGGCGGGAGTCGACATGCCTGACTTGTGTCTAAAATGAGCGCACTTCCTTCTATGAAAGTTGGCTGCCTGGAGATGTCAGCTCCGTTGACTGGAATTGAACAGTTTGGTGGCTGATTTCCTAGAACACTAAACGATGATGATGAATTTTCTTGCGAGATAGTTTCTGGTTCTCCAGCGGCGATCGATCGAGCAGGAGATACAGCGGCAAAATTAGACCCAGCAAGTGAGGTACGAAGCGCCTTCTGCTTGCGTGAACCAATGTGAGGTTGACATTCGTGGCCTTCATGTTGACACCGGCTACAGGCCCCACCTGGTCGATCTTCTAGATTGCATTTCACCTGTGTGATCTGTTAAAACTGCAAAGAATTGATTAGAGGCTTTCAGTACCTTGCGACCGTGGCATCTTACGCACACAGCACGCGCTCGGCGCTTGTCTGACATTGGAGCCCTCGGCATGGAGAGATGTTGGCGGAAGAAAGTGTTTGCCGACCGCCGACCGTCTTTGCCGCTGTTAGCCGTAAATGACGTCATTCAAAATCGGTAAACAAACACAGCCGAGGTCACTTATTGTCGACAAACGTCCGGAGTACATGGCTCCACTGTTGAGGTACATTCTGATCGCTCCTGCTAGTTATGTTTTTGATTAGTTCTCTGAATGTGACAGAGATCTCAGATGTATCCACCGTTTGCCTCACATCCTACCCCACAGGAGCTGCAGGGCTGTGCCAGGTGGCGATGTTGATCTATTGCTGCCTGTAGTTACATAGTGGACCTTGCAAAATTCAACTCCGTGCTCCCTATAAGATCTTCAATATTCATACTTCTCTCTATTTTCTTTTCACAGCTTGAACCTTGTACTCTCAAATCATTAAACACCAACATGGCTCCCCTCAGCATCAACGTGACAGGTACTTCATCCGTCAGTCACGCACCAGAGAGATGCACCCTCAAATTCTGCATAAAAACCAATGGTTCACAGCAAAATCAAGTCGCCCAAGATGTTACTTCCGCGGCTAATGACCTCCAACATTGGTTTAAACAATTCCACTCACCCGAGGAAGCTTCCATAACCGACGAAGCACCCGTGACCAAATTCTCAACCTCGAACATCAAGGCGTGGAAAAAGTCAAGAGATGACCGCGACAGACCTGTCGAAGATCCACATTACGCCAAAATCACATTCACGGCCATTTTCCGTGATTTCTCCACAATGGGCAGAGCTGTCAGTGCACTTCTAGCCTACCCGAAGGTCGAGATCGACTCAATAGACTGGAGTCTCACCGATGAGACCGGGAAGCGGCTTTCTTCCGAGGCGCGCAAGCTAGCATTGCGTGACGCCATTCATCAAGCGGATGACTTGTCCGAGGTTCTCGGCCGGGATGTTGTTGCCGTGGAGGTGACCGACTCGGAGTATCCTGCTGCACCGCGGGCGAGATATTTGATGACTACTCAATGCGCCTCAGGCTATCGAGATGACTCTCCTCAGCTCGATCTTACACCCCAGGAGATTGATGTCAAGTCTTCTTTGCAGGTGAAGTTTGAGGCTGTGAACGGCCGTGACACGAATTGATGGATGCGATCAGATTGATTCTCTGGTAATGTACATAATATAACCTGGCAATTGAGAAAGTTCAACGCGAGTTAGCATTGAAAACTTCCCACATGAGCGTATCGAAATCAGGAGCGCCTCCAAGGTCCATAAAGCCGCCAGGCATAGTATCGTTCAGCCAGCTCATGGAGTCGATGTTGGGATCGTAGTCATCCATGAAGGGATTATATGGAACATTTTCAACACCGGAATCTGGCCTAGGTGGCGGAATTAGGTCCATTGCTTGAACATTTTGTGCCCTCGTTGATCTTCCGGTGCTAGAAACTAATTGGTTCGTCCCCGGTCTGCTCTGGATTGAAGAGGACTCCAGGCTCCGCATCCTGATAAGCCTTTGAACAGTGGCACCAGACAACTCGTGTATGCAGTCTCTTGCCCGTTTTGCTTCAGTCCAGTATTCACCAATACTGCTTAAGATATTCAAGCTGATATTCGTGTCAGCTACCACTTCGTCTATCTGAACCTCCGAGGCAACACGGGGAAGCCTCCACAGACAATGAAGCATAATCAGGGTGCTCAAAAAGATTGAATGAACAACGAGTCGGCTGTAAAGTAGAGCTTCCTGTCGGTAAAGCCCTCCAAACTCACGAAGAAGATGCACAGCATGATGAAAGCATTTACCAAGCATCTCTTCTGAAGGATCAGGAATTCCGGGACTCGGTCGGAGGATCAGAATCATCATTTCGTGGTACTTGCACTCGCAGATCTTCACTATTGTGTCGTTTGGGGGCGCAGATGGTATATCTGCAAGCCATGATTTCAAGCGATCAATCATATCTTTTTGCCATAAGTTTATGTCTGCCACTGGGGGATAGGCATATCGCGGGGTATCTCTGCAAATACTGTGCATGACATATTTGATTTCCGAGTTGATTTGGGCCAGCTTGAACAAATGAATCGAAAAGGTGATGTGGGAGGTCGATGTGCCTTCGGAGCTCGCTGTGGGTGCTGGTTCAAGAAGACCATTGTCGGAGACATTTGACGGTAGCTGATAATCCTATTAGGTGCTATTGGTCGATTGATTCGGGGTCGACACTTACCCGCAGCTCACAAGCTTCATCTCTGACCCCAATTGGTCGTCCCATCATCGTCCCTAATGTGCGATCAAAGCTGTAAACTACCCAAAAGATACGTGTTCTCATTTCCTGCTCCAGGTAGGATATGGGAAACGCGGAAGATGCGCGAATGTCACGTTGCAGACCAAGGTCTATCAACGAGCTTAGGCATTGATAATTCAAACTCCACACATTGATATCGCAGGAAGGATTATGGAGGCCATAGACCATTAGTAGTAGCAAGCTTTGCAGTCCTTGTAGAGACCCCTCTGCACATGCGAGTTCGAAGTGCCCTGTAGCTGCTGTGTAATACCCCTCAGCTGGAAGGGGTATGCGAAACCGCCTGGAAAGATCTGAAGCCGATATGGCGAGGACCATGTAGACGTGGAAGGCATCAACAGGGTCGTGACTTGCAGAGGAATACATGCGTTCCAGCCTGTCCAGATGGGAAGGCTCGTGTAGAAATGGATATACCAAATGGACTGACGTGAAGAATTTTGAGGTTAGTTCCATGGCATCTTCTTTACGGCTGGGGAGTTGTGCCGGGGTGTTGAAAAAGTCTGACGACAGAGACATAGGTCGAGTAGAGCCTCCATCATTGCCTTGGACATTGTCTCTAGGTGGTCCTGCTCGTCGACCAGCATTTGAAAAGACAAGATTTGCGAGAAAATATCCACTCGAAGGGCCGATGTACCTCGGCTCTCCCCCGGAGGATAGGGAGACAAGCCCGATTTCATGAGCTGGTCTAGATTGAGTTCGAGGTAGCAGCGAGTCCGTGGAGTCTGATGGCTGCTCATGATGAGGCGTATTTGATCGCTGGGCCCCGGTATCTTCTGGAATTGCCGACTGAAGCTGGGTGTCCCCCTCGGTGGGCTCGAGGAGGGAGATGTCTGACAAGTCTACTTGCGGACCATCTTCTGGGCGAAACGTCGAGTCGCGCTCTTTGACAAAAGACTCTAGCCATTGTAATCTCTTTTGGAGATTCGCGATGTACCTGAGATGTTTTCAGTGTCTTAAGGCATAAGACGAACCCACAAAAGGTTCAGGAAAGATCTAATTTCTGCAGAGTGCCACTTACGTTCGGCTTACCTCTTGCTTGCCGTCGTTCACACAGGCGACGCTAGCCTTCTTGCAAGATGCACAGCGGGGAAGATCCCCGTCGCAGCGGATCTTCCGTCTTTGGCATCTTCGACAGGCGGCGCGATTCCGAGACCGGCGTGGAGAATCCATCGAGGGAGGGAATGCGATGCGCTAGAGACAAATCCTGCATACAAAGAATGAGATAAGCACTCTGAACAAAACACTAGCAGGAAGAGATGGATGAACTCACGGCATCTGCCTGGAGCGTGAAAGTGTAGAAAGAAGGACGTCTGGGGAAAGTTCGGTTGGGACGGGAAGCTTCCGCTCCCAGCCGAGCTACAGAAATTCTATGTTGACCTCACTGCTTCAAAAGAAGCTCTGTAATATATAATAATCCACACAAAGCCACATCTACCATTGGATTGCTGTAATCTACCAATAGGCCAGACAAAAAAGACAGTCACTTGGACACCGTTGAACGTCTCCGAGGCTCGTAGACCCTTAAGCTTGGCAGACGGAAGACATCCGTCGGGCGCGTCATCTAAAAGGAACCACATTCCGGGGCGAGAGAGTTCCCCAAAATCACCTCAGGTCTCTTCTTCAAAATGACTCTTGTCCATATTGGTATGGTGGCACTCCAATAGACGCTCGGAAAATTGGCTGACATACCTGTAGTTCTCTTCAAGTTCCGCGCCGATGTTGCCGACAAAGTGAAGCAAGAATTCCTGACGCAAATCAAGACTCTCAAGTCTCTTCCCTGTGTCAAAAGCCAAAGACTTGTTGTTGGAGGTCCCTCTATTACAACTCCAATCGAAAAGAGCAAAGGCTTCGAGTACGCTCTCGTGAGTTATCACGAAGATCGCGCTGCATTGGCCGAATATCAAGCAAGCAGCGAGCACGAAAGGTAAACTTCGAGAGACAATTGCATTTGACCGCGAGTACATGAAGGCTGACTGCGACATGTTTGGTAATCAGAGTGACGGGTACATATTTCATCCCTTACAAGGAGGATCTGATTCGGTTTGACTTTGAGACGGAACACGCCGATGAGGCTGTCCTAGGATTCTGACATACCCAAAACGCCAAACCATGCAAAAAACAAATGTTCCCCCCATTCAATTGATATCCAGGTTGTCTGTGAAGACAAATGCGGTATGACCTTGCTGGGGACGAGGATATACAGATACACGCGAGACGGCGGAGAAGCGAAGTCGTGCCAGGTTTCTTTAGATCTCATCTGTATGGATTCAGTCAGTCGAAAAGCAAGATTCAAAGTGGACAATTCAAACAATGCTTACGGGATGAAGTCCTCATTTCCAAGCCGCAAAGAGCGACTGGGAAGAACACACAATGCATAAATCACCGACGTGCGAACGATCTGCCAGTATTTTCAGGCGTGACGGAAAGCCTGTTGCAGCGCCTCGGTGGCCATGTTCACAAAGGATCTGTAAACGAATGAGACCACGACCGTGATCGCAATAGTTTGCACCATAACTCCCAAGAGCATCAACATAGTCTCGATATCGTACAAGGCCGGCATGGTCACTTTGAGTATGGAAATTTGAGTGGGATTAAAAACGATCTGATGCTTCTGTAGTAGTAACTCAGGGGTTATTTGCGTTTCGCCGTCAGTGGGATAGGGGTGGTATATACCTAGTGAGTGTCGCGTGAGAATGAAGTGGAGTGGGTGGTGTACGAGAACGACTCGAGAACTTTGTGAGAATATGGTGAAATTCACGAGTGTGTTGTTTACAATCTTGGGAAAATACGTGTGCCCTTTCCAAGATCAAACACATGATGGATACTGCTTATGTCGTATTCTATGTCGCTATTATCAAACGCCGAGATGTCTTCTCAGCTCTTTCAACATATCATCTCCTGTAGTGCGAGAAGTCATCCTCATCATTACGTGCTGATCAGGGCGAATTAAGATTCCACCACCATTTGACAACTCCACATCCAACACATTACTTTTGGCCAAGTCGAAGTCTTCACCAAGACGCCAGATGTTGAGCTCAAGTCCAATCGACTCACAGTGATCCACAAAGCTTGACAAAGGCACGAGCGGCTGGTCTCGCCCAAGAATCAGAGTCCAGGAAAGCGGACCACAGAGATCCAAAGTACTCCATTGACGGGAATCTATCTCCTCCTCGGAAAGTTCTTTAACATAGGAAACGTCGACTGGCTCTCGCGGAAGAGCAGCATGTCTACCTAGCTTCTCAGCAGAGATAGGCGAGTTGTGAAATTTGATCCACGCATGAGGCAAACGTGCCCCTGACACGAACTTTGGCGAGTAATAAGATGCATGAGGTGGTGGATTGACAAAGCCATACACATACCCGATATGCAGCTCAAGCTATAAAGACGGAGGTTAGAGCCAAATTCTTGTTGTCACAGATGCAAGCAAGGGACGATGTCACGCACGTTGTCAAAATGCTCCCGCTGTCCCTCAATACCTGCTATCACGTCCGCATGTTGTTCTGGATCCGCCAACGCATCCTTCATATTCTTGCGTGCTTGTACAACATCTTCTACACCTGCAGTCCTCAAGCTTTGCAACAGCGCGAATATCTCCTTACCATTTTTGACGCTCTGTTTGGAGTATGAATCTGCAACACCCCGCCTTTCGGATGTGTATGTCGAAAGGATTGCTGGGCTTGCGATCTCCCGGTGAACCAGGGCAATCTTGTACGCCAGATTGTGGACATCTGCGAGACCGCAATTCAGACCGAGCCCGCCAGTTGGCGGGAATGAATGAGCGGCATCACCGGCACTTAAACAACGTTAATTTGGTTTCACAGGCGAAATGATTTCAGGCAACTCACAGGAAGATATTTCCTTCCTGGAAGGTGTGTGCAACTTGCCGTCGGAAGACCCAAGGTCGAAAGCTGAGAATGTCGAATGGCACATCATCCTTACCAATGGCTCCACGAATCTTCTCCTTACACAGCTCTTCCGTCCAAGACTCGACTGGATTCTGCTTCACATCGACCTGGCTGATATGTACCTGAGTACCATCGAGATCATATCCGATGATGAAGCCTGCCGCAATCGGGTCCATGATCCAGTAAAGCATACCGACGCGATCATTGACGACTGGCCGAAGATTGGCGTTGAAGTGAATGGTCATCATCGTTTGGTCCGAATCCTCACTCTCCGAATCGATGCCGAGCAATTCACGAACTTTGCTCTTGCGACCATCACAAGCTATAAAGTGTCGCGATGCTACCTGATGCAACTGTCCACTGGCTCGATCCTCTATTGTCGCACGAACCTCGCGTTCAGTCTATCCATGATCCAGGGTCAGTCATGTCGACTACCTACTCGAATGGGCATATCAGAAGGTCGGTAACTCACTTGGTCTACAGCATGGATGCTGAACCCTTTAACCAGGGTAATGTTGGGATCTTTGCTGATTTGGTTTGTTAACTCTTGCTCCAGGACTGGTTGAGGAATGTTGTGTATCATCTTTTGTCCCAAATCAGTATGGGGTCCGAAACCATTGTTTGACAGATATCCAACAATACCTCTGGTGTATCATCCAAGACCGCAGGATCCATACGTTCATAGGGAATCCTGCCAATCAGATCACCGGAAAGATTGGTGAGAAAATTGACCCAAGAGCTGTCATTCCGTTGAGTGCCCAATTGGCGAATCCGCTTTTCGCCCAGTCCATATTGTCGCAAGATTTCCAGGGTGCGGGGGTTGATTGCGTGGGCCTTGGGGGCTGCCAATCGTTCAGGATAACGCTCAATGATCAATGAGCGAACTGCGCGAGACTGTTAATAACGAATACCAAGAGCAGCTACAGGGAGATCATGTACCCCCGAGTCGAGATAGTAGAAGGGCCTGCAAGAGGCCCGTTGGCCCTCCGCCAACAATAAGTACAGGAATGAAGCTTGGTAGGCCGTGCGTACCCCCAAGCTGATGGGAGGCAAAATCCCGCGAGGGTGCCATGTTTGTCTTCAGGTGGATGTCTATGATTTGGTTTCAATTTGACGAGAAGAAAATGATCGTATGCGCAGTAAGAGTTTCCAATCGCAACCACAAAAACATCCGCGGCTCACTCAAGGTACATATAGGTGACGGGATTTCCGAGCGAAGAGCAGACTCCGAATACGGCCGGGCCGCGAGAGCCTTCAACCATTCCAGAAATTCAAGACCTAATTCAGTAAGCTTGCCTGGCAAGGATTTCAAATAGACTCGTGGGAGTTTCTGATGAAGTGGAATCTTTGAGGACCGCCCTCGCGCTAAAGAGCAAGAGTGTGACTGAGCAACGCATCCACGGCGCAACTAGTCGCGGAAAGTTTCATTAGACGGGGGCCACGTAAACTCCAGAAAGTCGCATAACTATCAACGAATGGCGTTGTTTGCGGGGCCGAAATGGTATGGCCCCAGGGGCTAGAGGGGAACTAATTGCTTTGGACACGCACAAGGTCTGTTATTACGACAGCCCCAACACCCCTGCCCAGGTGGGATAACAAAGTGGTGCTTTAGATTTGGGCCTCTCATTGGCTGCGAATACAGGGATGTCTGCACGACAAGGTCAGAAAAATTAAAAAAGATAATTTGAGAAGTCTACCGGATTTCCCGAAGTTCGAATTATGTTAACACTTGATAGGGGATGGACAAAAGTATGGTGATTGCCCAGGTGGTATAATAACGACAAGATCCACGTTGTGATTCGCGCCGTCCACGGGTGCCCAGAGTCGTTACTAAGTATTGTTCACTGTTTGTCACACTCATTCGACGTTCCTTTTTTTTCTCATTCATTCTGTGGGCTTGTATGAGCACTCTGATAATGTCAGAAAATCCACCTCGCGAGTCCGACAAGCGTGTCGAAGACAGACTCCATGCTGCACCTGGAACTGAGATACTCTTTGACAACAGCGACCATGGAAGTATCTCCGATCGGCTTCACCAGCTGAAGCATCGATCGAGCGGGGATGGACACATGCTTCTAGTCCCCCAGCCGTCACTCAATGATCCGAACGATCCTTTGAGCTGGTCTACTATGAAGAAAAGCCTGACTTTGTTCAACGGCTGTTGGTTTGCATTTATGGGTGCAATCACAGGTCCTATCATGGCAGCTGGTATGTTACTTGAATGTTCCATGTCGGTCAATAGCTCTGACAGATGTTTCAGGAATGAACCAACTCGCTGTGACCTTCGGCAAAAGCCTTCAGGAGCTCACATACGCAAATGGTGCTTGCTTGATCAACCAGGGCGTGTGGAACTGCGTATGGATGCCATTTGCTGTGAAATATGGTCGCAGGCCAGTCTATCTCTTCTCGAATATTCTTATGGCCATTGCCTGTATCTGGCTGGCCATTGCATCGGACAAGACCTACACCGTTTTCATTGTGGGTCGTGCTTTTCTAGGAGCCTTCCAAGCCCCCATCGAGTCAATCGTCCCATCAACAGTGACCGACATGTTTTTCTTGCATAACCGAGGTGAGCTGGTGGCTATCTACGGACTTGCTGTGCTGGGCGGCAACGAGCTAGGACCTATGTTCTCAGGGTTCATCGTGCAGGCTCTTGGGATGGGCTGGGCATTCTGGATCGTGACCATCTTTATTGCCGCTAACATTGTCTGCATGTTCTTTTTCATGCCCGAGACCAAGTACACTGGACCTCGCCCCGATCCGTTCCGCGCAAGTCAAGCAGGCGAAGAATCCGACTCAAAAGAGCAGGTTTGGGTTCAGGAAACTAGGACTTTGCGCAAGAAGACTTTCGTGGAAGAGCTGAAGTTCTGGAATAGTGGAGATCCAAATGTCAATCTCTTCCATGTGTTCCTTCGTCCATTTGTTCTGCTGGCATACCCCACTGTGATCTGGTCATGCCTCATATACGGAATGGCTCTGAGTTGGAACGTCATCCTCGGTGCCTCCGTGGCACAGCTATTTGCACCACCTCCATACGGGTTCAATTCCAATGGCCAGGGTCTCTTCTTTCTATCGCCGTTTATCGGTTCTCTTTTTGGTGTCTTCTTTTCTGGGCCGGGGGGTGATTGGATTGCCACATTCTTCACCAAGCGCAACAATGGTATCCGGGAACCGGAGATGCGACTGCCCACTTGCCTATTGGCGGCGTTTTTTACTTTCTTTGGGGCACTCTGGTTCGGACTCTCGTACGAGCGTCAGATGCATTGGGCGATGCCGATTGTGGGGGCAGGTATACTTTCGGTAGGAAGTCAAATGGGCACTACGCTGGGAATGAACTACGCCCTGGATTGTCACAAAGAGGTACGAATCAAAGCTGACCCGGGTCACCCAATTTGAGGTGCAAGCTCGCTAACATTTAACTTTTGATCTACAGCTTTCTGTCGAGATCATGGTCACTATCGCCGCTTTGAAGAGCTGCATTGCGTGGATCTGGACCTGGGTCATTAATGACTTTATCACTGCCAGCGGCGTGCTTAGTGTTTTTATGACCGTGGCCGCAATCAACGTGGCAGTATACCTAGCATATATCCCGTTCTATCTCAAGGGCAAGGAGATTCGAATTTGGCTGCACCAGAAGGATATGCTTCGGGCTGCGGGTCTCATCTAGGAACCAATTGGCCATGGAAAGCCATTCTGTACCTGGAATCTACAAAGCTTCAGAGTATATCCTGTTTCAAGGGAAATAGCGGAACTGTCATTTTCTAGCGTAGTCTTGATTCCGTGGTCTCATTATAGTTCGAGAGAGTTCTGAATAGAGTTCTCACGAGACCAAATCTTAAAACTGTCGGACCACTACGCGAATTAGCCGAAATATGTTACGAAGAGCCTGGAGGATGATAACTGTACCAAGCAGAGTTACAAATTCGTTGTATGTGACTATAGTAGATGGGTTTAATTTATGTGCCGTCCCGTCTAGTGTAGCGTGAACCAGGGTCATTGAGTTTCGCTCTCGGCCCCCGGATCATCTCGCTAGTGGCGGGGGCTAACTCGGCTCGAGGGCGCTAATCAGTGGGGACCCGTGCCCTTAGATTGCGCGCCGTGGCTACAACGGTATAGTCCCGCCAAAGCACATGCAAAGTGTCCTAGTCAACCTATGGGATTGTGCAATATGGAAATTATTAGATGGCTTATTCCTCTCTCAGCTTTGTGTCACTCGAAATTTGAAGTAGAATCACAGGTACATGTGCGCACGACCATAGGGCGATCATAGTTTGTGCTCAACACATCTCGATGCGCGTAAGATTTGCAAATCGATCGTCGTCTCGTAGGTTTTCGAGATGGAGCCGAACTTTTTTTTTTCTTTCCACTTAATCAAATCCACATTCGTACATCCATGTCAGTCACCTCTTGGCAAATTGATGGAATATTAGTCTACTACCCAATGTTGACCAAAGGCCGACAATGGCATGAGACATTTCATTTCGCGTCGCTGTAAGTATTAGGCCATACTCTACCTACCTTCTAAATAGAAACCCAACTGGGCAACATAACCGACAATCTAGAATTCTTTTCCTTTTCCACAGACGGTCAACATACCATGTTAATGAGAGCCGGGGCCAGCCTCGAAGCAAGGTTTGTCTGTTTGGCTTTCAGCCAATGAGAAGCACCCAAACATCACATCCATGCTGGAGGGCACAAACACAACACTCGCGACAGGGATTGGCTCGAGAAGATTGAGAAATTTCTTTTTAGTTTCGGGTCCTAGCTTCGGAACAATTGCGAGGTAATTAACTTCGATGATTATGGACACGCGACAACCTTCCAAGGTCGAAGCACCTTTATTGGCTTAGATGGCTGAAGTGTGATGTGCGTGTGCGTGTGCGTGTGTGTGCTGGTATGAGAGATGCTGTCTTCCACAAGGCAAACAAGGGATGGCCCCTGTAATTTGTACACCGTGAGGCTTTTTCCAAATTGCGGAGCACTTTCCACTGAATATGCAAAATGAGCTGTTAATATAATGACTTTATCCTGGACCTTTTCACTTAATCATCCATACTTCCTAGTATTGTCGTGCATATCGACCAAGTGCAGGGAGACGCGCCCGCTTTGAAGCCGCAGATGGCTGACAATAATGCTGCCCTCATTCTTGCAATCTCTTGGACGGAGACTTGCATTGGGCTGATCCTTTTCGCGCTGCGGTTTGTGAGCAATTGGAAGTTCGTGGGCCGGTTCCGATGGGATTTTGCTATCGCTGGCTTGACAGTGGTAAGTATGGAGAGTTAGTATAATTATTTCCTTTCTGGTTGCAAGCTGACATGAGAACTGGATAGGCGACTGAGACCACAGCTCAGGTGTTTCTGCAGCTTTCAGTCAATGCTGGAATGGGCCAGCATATAAGTGCTCTCTCCGACGACGGTATAGTTCTAGCGTTGAAATGGTCGTGGGTATTTCAGCTGCTGGCCATCGCTGCTAGTATGCTGGGTAAGCTTGCAATTCTTGCTTTTCTGGTACAGATCCGTGGTCGCCACGAGAAAAAACCATGGCTGTTGATTGTTCTTGGAGTGCTTATTGGAGCGATCAACATTGCCGTGCTTGGAACTATCCTCGGCCAGTGCCAGCCAATGCACAAATTGTGGGATGACTCTGTGGAAGGAACTTGTGATCCAGGGCGCAAGATTAATCAGAACTATTCGTTCTTCCAAGCCAGTGAGTCAAGGTCTCGGCGGCTGTGTAACCGCATGCTGATCTCGAAGGCTTCAATTCATTCACTGATGCGGTATTGGCAACTTACCCGGTCCATCTCTTCTGGAAGCTTCAAATGAAGTTGAGGATCAAGATAGCCTTGTCTATACTGATGGGACTGGGATGGATGTAAGCTATCATCATTCGAGTCTTGGGTCTCACTAGACCGCGCTGACACCCGAATCTAGAGCCGCAGTTTGCTCCGCTGTTAAAACATACGAGCTCAAGGCGCTGACCGAAACAACAGACATAACATGTATGTTCTTGAATTGCAACGCCAGATCATTACTGACCTTTTCATTTTCCAGGGGCTCAATCCTCACTCGTGATATGGGCGTCGACAGAAGCGTGGATCGTCATCGTTGTGGGCTGCGTGCCGCCGATTCGACCTCTCATGGAAAGAGTCCTCCAACGCCTCGGTCTGACCTCTAAGAAAACATCCACGCCGTATCAATATCGCAACTCGAGCGGAAACGCAGCCTATGGCACGAACAAGTCCAACCCTACCAGCCATACTCATTTCCAATCCAATGCTTACCGCGGAAAGACCTTCGGTGGCGAAGATGACGACCCGGGCTGGATGGAGCTCACGGCGACCGAGGGGCCAAATGGAAGCAAGGAACACATTGTTAGCGGATCCAGAGACGTGGTCATCACTACCGACATTGTGACTCGGTTCGAGGATATGGAGAACCATGCCGGGCCGTCATCGGGCGATGACAGTATCTCGGGAGAGGACTTGATTCGACACAACACCAACGACAGGAAAGGTGTTTGATGTAAGATTGTGAGAGATGCAATTGTATAGGAAAAACTCAGCCTTTGGAAATACATAGAGGGCAATGATGGGCGAGTCCCGTGATTTGCAAATATGCGGCGAGGACTCGATGTCCACATAATACAACACATATTTAGCCTGGTGATAATAAGACGCTCGCCAAACATTTCAAAGCTTCCTGCTTACACTAATTACATATAACTAACTAAATTGACTGATTTCCCAAGACACATTAACCCAGACTTCCCTTGCTCGTAGGCTTTCACATGTCTTTTTGCCTCGTGTGCTTTCCCCAGGCTGTAGCTCTCCGTGCTGATATGGCGAGTGAACATCGCCACCTCCAAGGTTGTGGACACATTCAACTCGTATAAAAGTCCAAGCAGATATAGCGATTCGCAGTGTAAGTATCCAATGGGTAACTGGCCGAGCGGTATCGAAGTCATCCTCGGTGCAACTTGACAAGCCCCACTTTTGCGGTCCCCGCGAATCCCCAGCGCCGCCGGTAACCGAGGCTCACCGCGACCCTTGTGATTAAGACCTTCACGTTCCTCCTCTTCTTTCCTCTTCACATCCCACTCTAATTATTCACCATGGCTTCTATTATTCGCGCGTTGCGGCCTTTGTCGCGTACCCCCTCAGTCCGCTTGGCGGGCAAGCGGCTAGCTCCCGGCCGACCCATCCAAAGGTACCGTGTCACCATTCCCACGAGTCTTGCTTGCCAGAAAGCTCAAGAACCGCCTTTGCTAACCAGAATCTTGATTCTTTTAGTGCTTATGCCTTCTCTACTACCCCCCTCCGACGGGACGCCGACGCCGAGCTCACACCCACACCCATCACCCTTTTGTCCGACACGGAATCCATGATGTCCGAGATGGTCTCAAAGTTCGCACAGGAGCAAATCGGCCCCAAGGTACGGGACATGGATGAAGCTGAGACCATGGATACAAAGATTGTGGAGCAGCTCTTCGAGCAGGGTATTATGGGTATCGAGGTCCCTGAGGAGTACGGCGGTGCCGGCATGAACTTCACCGCGGCCATCGTCGCGATTGAGGAGCTTGCACGCGTCGACCCCAGTGTCAGTGTCCTGGCGGATGTGCACAACACCCTCGTGAACACTGCGATCCTCAAGTACGGTGATGCTCAGGCCAAGCGCACATGGCTCCCCAAGCTCACTACCGGCACCGTTGGCTCCTTCTGTCTCTCGGAGCCTGCGTCCGGCTCCGACGCCTTCGCCCTGCAGACGAAGGCCGAGAAGACCGCCGATGGTTATAAGATCAATGGCTCCAAGATGTGGATTACCAACTCCATGGAGGCGGGTATTTTCATCGTCTTTGCCAACATTGACCCCAGCAAGGGCTACAAGGGCATCACTGCTTTCATTGTTGAGAAGGATACACCTGGATTCTCTATTGCGAAGAAGGAAAAGAAGCTCGGTATCCGTGCTAGCAGCACCTGTGTGCTCAACTTCGATGACTGCGTCATCCCCAAGAGCAACTTGCTCGGCGAGGAGGGCCAGGGCTACAAGTATGCTATCAGCGTGCTGAACGAGGGCCGTATCGGTATCGCCGCCCAGATGACTGGCCTGGCTCTTGGCGCATGGGAGAACGCCGCTCGGTAAGTTTTCCTTTCAATCTGGATTCACCGACTCAATTGACTGACCTGAAAACAAAGATACGTGTGGAACGACCGTCGCCAGTTTGGTGAGCTGATCGGTAACTTCCAAGGTATGCAGCACCAGATCGCTCAGGCATACACCGAGATCGCAGCTGCACGCGCTCTTGTCTATAATGCCGCCCGTAAGAAGGAGGCTGGCCAGGACTTTGTTCAGGATGCCGCCATGGCCAAGCTTTATGCCTCCCAGGTCGCTGGCCGTGTCTCCAGCTCCGCCGTTGAGTGGATGGGTGGTATGGGCTTCGTCCGTGAGGGCATCGCCGAGAAGATGTTCCGCGACAGCAAGATCGGTGCTATTTACGAGGGTACCAGCAACATCCAGCTGCAGACCATCGCCAAGCTTCTCCAGAAGCAGTACACGCAATAGACGGTGCGATAATTGATATCTATTGCTATTTATAAATTGTTCCAAGATGTGCATCATTGGGCGCATCACTTTTGGGAGGTGAATCTATTATCCTCTTGAGGATACACAGCACGTTGAAAGCCATTGTTGATCATGGCTTGGACTGGTTCTAATCCCGCGCTGTGTACAGACGCCAGTGTATATATAAGATAGGATCGGCAGCGAATTGCCAGCTCAATCTACAAACACAACCTCAATATGTCCACTCGTACGGATCAGTCGGTGCTTTTTTTGCCAATCTCAAGTGGTTGGAACGGCTGACAGCCTGGAGCACGTAGATCGAGAGTGGGACCGGAACATGTCCGACAGGATATCCTATCCGAGGCGGAGATCATTTCCACTTTGTCTTCACGACAACCAAGCTGACACATGACAAAAGGTATGATGCTGTTTATAACATTGATCAGTCTTTGGTTGAGGATGTCGGGATGGGCAAACTTGCCGTATAAAGGCCTTGTTTTTAAGCTTTACGCTTGCTACAGGCATGCCCACTTTTGTGGACACCACCGCGCCTTGCCTCGGCTTCATGATTGTTCATGATTGAGATGTCCATTGAGGATTGTAGTCATACCCTTCACTCTGTTGTTGTTGCTGCTGTTGCGGCATTTGTTGCGGGTACGCTGAGCCTGAGGGTTGGAAGGATTCGGAGGTTGGTTGGGATACGGAACTGGCGTTCGGCATAGAGAGCGATCGGCTGCCATAAGAGGGTTGAGAGAAGGGAGGAGCAGACTGTTGTTGGTCTGTTGGGCCACCGAAGCTGATATGAGGTGCTGTGCCAGGGATCGAGGGTGGAAAAATGCGCTGTCCTTGATGAAGCTGGCCGTCTATCACGTACGAATCCATGCGGCTGGGATATTCTGGGTTGGAGGATGCACCCAGGGATGGTGATCTCGCGGAGGGGTATTGTTGCCAGTCATGCTGATGAGAAGCCCGACTCGACGCCGAAAGGGCTGATGGCGTTCTGGGGTTCGAGGATGGGGCAAAGTGCGGCGATAGCAAGGTCCCTGCTGTGGAGATCTCGGATGGAGTGTTGCTCTGGGCGCCCTCCATAGTCCAGCCACTTCGAAAAGGACCCATCGACTCACTGTCGGCAACGTATTCCGGTCGCCCAGTGAGAGAAGCTATCTGTTGCTTCAGACGACTCATTTCTTCTTCCAGCAATGCATTTCGTTGCATGACTTCATCGAATCGATCGGTTCGGAGCCTCATCTCCTCGATCTGTGACTGAAAGGAGGCAACTTGAGCCTCAAGTTGCTCTATATGTTCCTTCGTGCGCTGGCGAATAGATCGTTGGGCTTCTCGATCGTTGGCACGTTTCCGCTCGAGCTGTTCCGTGGATAATGTGGATACCTTTCTAGTCCCCGAGCGTGACTCTCGCCTCCTGGGAGGCTCTTGGGAACTCATAGCAGCCCGTTTTCTTGTCTGAGGCTGAGGCTGAATACCAGACGAGTCCCAGCCAAGCTATCCTCCCCCTGTCCAATATTGTTTCACACAGAGGGCTCTCCGTCAACCACCATGAATGCAGCATTCAACACGTGTAACTGACTTCATATGGGGGAAGAGAACGACAGTTCAATTATTCGCAAGGATCGAGAGTGGGTGGCTTCAGACTATTCCGAGCCGAGCAGGGATTAAGGAAAATAGCGGCAGGCCGTGCGAGTGCAAGGCTGCGTTGGCCTCAATAGAAAATGAGGCTATGTAAGAACATCAACTGCCCCGTCTATGTCCATCCGGAAAAACGTTTTAAATAAGGATATGGTGTCACCCCTCATCTCCGGATCGCCCGCCAACGCGCCAGGCCAATCTCCCGATGATGCGGCGAAAAAAGACAGATTGAAAAGGATTTGCAACCGACCAATGAGCGTTGGCAAATAGACGAACCGTGTGGGTATGTACAAGCTATGGCTATAGCGGCTTTCTCCCAGCCACTACGGTGGATGGCCCCCATCTCGAGATCCGCTTTTTTTTGATTTTATGCGAGCATACAGGTGCCGAGCTCTCGATGTCACTGTCACTTAACGGCATGAGATAAAGCCTTTTCCGATTCGATGTCTGGGCAGCACCTCGTGTTGGGCTTCGATTTCCCTTCCATCCATCTTGTGTGTTGGCTCGCGCAGCTTCGCGCAGCTTCGCGACATGCGATGACCCCATCGGGTGGGGTCGAAAAAAGGCACTAATTTGACAGTCTCGCGGCTTTGTTCCAAATTTTCAACTACTATTGAAACACCAATGTCTCGATTTTGTGCGCGTTGCTCCATCGGTCTACGGCCGCCCCCGGGTCTGTGGCTGCACAACAAGTCAAAAGGGCGGATAGAAATTCATTTCGGCCCCCAGATTCTTGAACCCCGTCGAGGTACCCGAGGCTCTTCTTTTCCCAAACTTAAAGCAAAGATCGGACCCTTGGGTTCACAGGTTGATGCCCTCCAAGGACTTGAGATGTAACAGATTCCCTTTTGAGGCATTGCCCACCCATTGTGGACCACATTTATGGCACATCAGATCGAGAAGATCGATCTCTTCGGTGACCATCGGCGGACTTATCACTACCCTGCTGCAATCATGTGGCTTCAGCTTTGCTGGCACCATAAGGAGCCGCGAAACGCCGTATTTCGATCGCGCTAATAAACGTGGTAACGGCGGGAAAAAGAATACAGCCTCCCAGGGCTGTTTAATCTAACCCGCCAGCATGCGAAAATATCCCCACGAGACAACCATTGGTGCTCGCAGTCAGGTTCTCAATATTCAAACCTCGAAGACTATTGCGGTGGCATTCAGGCCCGTAATATAGAGCGAGAAATCCTATACTCCGTACCATCGCCGATTTAGACACGGTCCTCTATCAATTACTAATTGAGTATAAACGGCCCCTTGGCGCTCGCGAATCTCTCCACTTTACGTTCTAGACACAGTTGGTCCGGGCTCCCCGGCCGATCACTTCGGATGTAATACCGGGTTTAGTATAACGGCACCATGTTGACACAAACGTCTGGAAGTTAGGCAGGGGCATTTCTTAGGAATTTGGTTAGCCCAATGTTTCAGGTCCAAGGGGACTTTCGTTGAGAGGATAGCGTTCCTGGAACTGCATATCCTATCCATCCAGCTGCTGCCAATTGGTCAATTATTTTGGTGCACCAACTATGGAAGGGCTAATGCGCCTAGCCTTACTCCGTAGCCGGGAGCATTCGCGGCCTACGTCACTTGCGGTTTATCATATGCAGCGACGTCGATGTCTTGTTGGGAGAATAAATTGTTGTAAGTATTTGATCTGGGGCAATTCAAGGCTGTTCCCGGTTGTGAGTCAATTTCATTGTGCTGCGACCGATTGCCGAGGTCTGAATGTGAGAGTCGACGGTAGGATGGATCAAGTCAAACCAGTGGCCCGTTGAATTTTGGAATCAATGATAGCAGATCATGGTACCATGCCATCCTTGTCGCGCGATGTCCCGGCCGGATCTCTGAAACTCGTCATGGGGTAGGTCAGGTACGTCGCTTGCCTGCATGCCTCTAGTTTGCCGAGCTACCCAGCTCTCCATCTTCCCTCACATCACGCAATTTAGTACACCCTGCTCCCACGGTACAATCTTTCAACTGCAAAACGCATTTGATGGCAATCTTTGCAGACCACGTCACAGCTTTGCGCCAATATTGACGTGAATAGACTTGATACTGGAATATGTCAACAGTCCAGCTTCACCCAATTCCCGCCCAATTCCACTCTGCTTGACACCCCCAAACGGAGTTCGTGAATCACTGTCGTTGCTGCTGTTGATCCATACCGTTCCGCTTTCCATCTTCCGGGCCAATCGATGACTGCGTTCAAGATTTTGGGTGAAAATGGCGCATCCAAGACCATACGGCGAGTCATTGGCCTTTTGAACAGCCTGTTCTTCCGTCTCAAATGCTGATATGACAACCACTGGTCCAAAAATTTCCTCTCGGGAGATGATCATATCGTCTGTGACGTCGGCAAAGATTGTTGGAGGTATGAAAAAGCCCGACGCTTTTTTGTCTGGTGGTGCTCCACCTAAAACAAGACGAGCACCTTGTTGGACACCAGACTCAATATATGATAGCACTCTGTCATATTGGGTCTTCGAGATTTGTGGCCCTTGAAATGTGTCATCATGAAATGGGTCACCGACCTTACTCGTAGTTTCCGTGTATTGCCGAAACGCTGCGATGAACTCCTCATAAACATCTTTTTGCACAATGATCCGACTGGTACCGGAGCAAATCTGACCTTGATTGCTCATGATGCCAGCATGTGTCCATTTCACTGCTTGTTCCAGATCTGCGTCTTGAAAAACAAGTAACGGAGATTTGCCACCAGTCTCAAGTGTGACATTCTTGATATTTGATGCAGCCATTGCCATGAGGTTTTGTCCAGTGACTGTGCTCCCCGTGAACGCAATCTTATCGATCCCTGGGTGGCTCGCAATTGCAGTTCCGGCCTCCTCTCCTCGACCATTGAGAATGTTCACGACGCCCGGAGGAAAACCTGCTTCCTTGATCAAGTTGGCAAAGTACAGAATGCTGAGGGGAGTGAGCTCAGATGGTTTCAGGACAACCGTGTTTCCACACTGCAAATTGGTCAGATTCAATGGCAAAATGACTTATCCAGAGCTGTTGACTTACAGCTAATGCCGGTCCGAGCTTCCAAGCGGCCATCATGAGGGGATAGTTCCACGGAATGATCTGTCCACAAACACCAATTGGCTCCCGTACTGTATACGCAAACTTGGTTGCGCCACCTTCGATGACCTGACCATGGAGTTTATCGGCGAAGCCAGCAAAATACCTCAGACACCCTACCACTTCCGGAAGGTCCTCATTCAGCGAGACAGAATACGGCTTTCCATTGTCCCATGTCTCAAGTGTCGCCAGGTCTTCCATGTGCTCTTGGACGAGATCACTCAATTTTCGGATCAGCTCTCCTCTGGCGGAGGGATGCATGTCCACCCAGTTAGGTTGCAAAAAAAGCAGCTCTAGCTGCTATCACGGCGATGTCGACGTCTTCGGCTGTAGCGGCTTGCACGTATGCAATATTGGTCTCATCTCTGGTGAGCTAGGTCAGTGGTTTTCTTCTTTCTCTCGGAGATAACATTACTTACGCTGGATTGATACTTGTGATACTACCACCCTTCACTGCCTTCACCCATTTGTTGTTGATAAACAATCCAGTTGGTAATTCAATCCTTCGGCCATTTGGCGCAGTCACCTGTACCGTTAAAGACATTGCCAGGGTATCAATGGCTTTTTTTTTCCCGCAGCAATTTGATCCTTGAGGTTGAAAGAAAATATGAAAACCTCGAATCAGCTATGAAAAATCAAGCATGTCTTAAGGCTCATCTCCCCAAGGCTTTTACCTCTCAAAATCCTGCCAGAATCTATGAAATCATCACGTGAGGCTATACTTCTGCTGCTGGGACCCATAAATATCAGGGCAACCTCCAACCAGACTGCACTTCGCCAGACTGCATTATCAAAATCTCTATCAACCATCCTATTTTGGATTAGCGCAGTGGGGTTGGCCGGCAAGATTTCATCAATGCGGTCACAATATAGAAAGGAGTAAGGAATTTTACCACTTCGCCCTCTAATATTAAAAAATTTGTACCTCGCTTTAGAAATGTCGGAGAGCCTCACCTTGCTCATGTCACCTAAAGGTATCTTTGACCGGTTATTTGGTAATGCAATGCTTATAGTAATTTTTAGGTTGCTCAACATGTCGAAGAAGACGTATCCAGTGCGATCTTAGCTTGCCCGGCTGTAAGAAATGTGGAAAACGTAACCTCGAATGTCCCGGGTATGGAACGAGGCTCAAATGGGACCAAGGAGTTGCTAGTCGGGGCAAATTAACTGGAAGATTGATGCCCAGGCATGATGCCCCCTTGGTACCACGGCCATCCCCGGAGGTCCCTTTGATGATACCACCCTCTCTCCTCTCCTTGTCAACACCGCAACCTCCTCATTCATTAAAATTGCTCAACTGGTTTGAGCAAAATGTGGCACATAGACTGGCGTGGATTGATGGACCACAGAACCCATGGCGCCAGCTAATTCTCCCCTCTCGCTGAAAGCTCCGAGACACTTTTCACATCTCTTCTCGCACTAGCGGCGCATGATCTGGCCTCCCAGTACCCCAACGATGACCCCTGGTGTGAAACCTTCAGAAATATCTCCGATGCTCATTTAAATAAAGCTCTGGTCCTGCTGGCACAGGAGCTGGGTGACTTGACCCGCTTGCCTCCAACGCAGACAAGCTCAGTCACAACATTCCATCTGACTTTAGGGTCTGTGATGATGATCTGCAACAGTGATTTATTGAAAGCGCAAACATCAAGATGGCGTGTTCATCTGCTTGCTGCCCGTGAAATCATATTGGCTGGAGCAAATCGTTCGAGCATGCATCATCCACTTTTTCGGGTCGAAAAGTTTCTCCTGCAAGAGTTTTACTCAACATCCGTGTGGACGAATCTCACGAGTTTCAATCAGATCGATGATATCTTACTGGACCCGCCGACAAGCAATGAAGACGCCGTGCTGGTTGACTTTGTCCACGTCATCCACTCCATAACCCAACTAGAGCGCCTCAAGACTCGCTCTCGGTTTTCAAATCTACCACCACCATCCGCATTCCAAATTCAAAACATTCATGCACGAATCGAATCGGCCAAATCACATTGTTTGCACGTCAACCAAACTATCTATTTTTGGTCGGATATTGAGCGCCAGGACTTCGAACTGGTCGTGCGGATGTATTACTACGCTACACTGATATACAGTACTCAAGCACTATCCGAACTACCCACAGCCGACAAAGATAAAAGTTATGCCCGTGATCAAATCCTAGACTGTCTACAACGGCTGTCCCACACTCGAAACAGATTACATTTCACCCAAGATCTCGTTTGGCCTCTTTTTATTGCTGGAACAGAGCTCCGCGGAGATCAACTTGGCCAAAAAATCATCGAGAATGGCTTTAAGACTGTGATAAACTTGAGCCGGGCCTTGGATCGGTCTCGTGTTCTGTCGTTTCTGAAGTCTTGGTGGCATACGTTCGGGGACGATGTGGTGTCCTGGATCGATTTTGCCAGAGCACAGCCCTCGCAATGCAATTTCCTCATAGTTTAGCCTGATTCGAACTATATCATTCCAATACCTCGAGACAAAGGGTCGGCGGCCTGGTTCCAAGGTTGCGTACCCTAGGTACCTAGGTCTATAGCGGCCAGTGCCAATTTCTATATTTCCGACACAATAACATTCGATTGGTATTAATTTTACGGAATTTACTCTTGGGTTGGTTCAATCAGTATCTTTTTGGATATCTTTTTGAACGTCTTTCTGGGTATCTTTCTATGAATTTACCCAAGTATCTTTTTCTACGCCCCCGTAGGGAGCTGTACGCCTAGATCTTCTCTTCCAGGCTACCGTTATAACTATAACCTCTTCTAGGAGATCATTAGACTAGACCAGAACGGTACTTGAAATACCTAGGTACTAAATTAAACCTGGCTGCTACAAATCTACGTACCCGGGACGGTTTCCAAGGCGTATTGTATTGTCTCAATAATTTGTATAAAGTTTCCTGCTTGGTTTTTAGATTTTATTCCTGACAACTACTAAAAGAACATCTACTCCACAGCTTCGCCTGCTCCAGAGAACCACACCAAAGCCGACTACACGCAACCTTTCATACGTTGCACACAAAATCACATCCCATCGACAACTTCACACTTCGTCAGCATTGTGTTCTCCCGAAATGGCATTCTGGTCGTCCCTTAAATCTTCTGCTCTTTTTGCTAATGGCAAAGGGCATTGGGGAGAGTGTCATTCGCCACCTTTGATATCAAAGGAGAACGAGCTGCCCTCCGAAGAAGGCTTTGCAACTCATCTTCGAATTCCACCTTCGGGAGATACGAAACACGCGTACATCAGACATATCAAAGCGGAAGACCCATCGAAAGATTGCATTGAGTATGAAGATTGCAAGGTCTACAAAGACCACGTCCGATACGATGATTGCGTTATTTGGGAGGATCGAGTTGTTTATCAGAGGAGTGCACCAGGGGTGTGGGTTCCTTTACCGCTTCAGGATCTCCCTGGGGACTGCCCTACAAGTCCGGTGACTACGCTACAAGCCCAACTCAAGTATCATCATGAGGTGAGCCTACCTTTCATGCACTTCCATTTCCGCGGGTTTAATGTTTATGTGTGAAGACGCGTTCTGTGTTATCTTACGTGTATTGTCATCTCTTGTTTTTTTGTTTTTTTTTTTTTTCCAGCTGCATGTACTATATCACCAACTGTTGAATTGATTCAAGTTCTGGCAATTTGCATTCCTTCGATTCGCCGTGGTCTGTACGGATAGATTGACGCTGGGGGCTCAACGCTGAGGGTCGGCGGTCTAGTTCCAAGGTTACGCACCGTTCCCAGAGCATATCACTCTTCATAGCCCTTGGAGGTATCAGGTTTAGTCTCATATATGAAAACCCAACCTGGAGGATTGCATATTATCCTGCTTTGATTTGTGATGGATAAGAGACATGATCTGATAGACTGTTGAAGACACTTTTTTAAAGATGACAGTCCACAAGTAAATGTTGGAGAGTATCCCAAGGCTCGAAAGAGAAGATTGCCTTGGAACTCTGGGAGTCAAAGTGATGATCACTACTCCCTCCGTACTCCAAACTCCAAACTATATCCTCCGTGTACTAATTTTGAAAGAATCAGGATTGCCCCTTAGCGTGAAAGCACTTGTTGCACTAGGGCCCAAGCTATTATGCCGAGATCACGTGGTGGCCCACCAAAGTGGGACTGACAGCCAATCAAAAGATGCTTATGTTTAGTGCAAAAGTCAAGTTGATGCTTGGCAACAATCTCTGCGTTGTTCACAGCTAGATTCAATATCGATATTTTGTTTTTGCATCACTTCGCAAAAATAAATAGTAAATTGAGTTGTTTGATTCTTTCCATCGCTCTCTTGGCTCCTTGCCAACCATCAATTCCCGTCGCCACCGCTTGTGAATTGAGCTTTCTTGACCTCCACCTTGCTGAAGATTTCTTTGATATCCGACACCACCTTCACAATGGAAGGACTCCAGGCAACTGAAGTTGTTCAGCCTTACTCCAGCATGGCTGGTAAGCTTGACCCTAGACTTTTGAAGGCTCTCAACGTTATGGGCTTCAATGACATGACGCCCGTCCAGCACCGCGTTTTGACTGAACTCCCTACCTGGCGCAGTGACTGCCTTGTCCAAGCCAAGACCGGCACAGGAAAAACATTGGCATTCCTTCTACCTGCGCTGCACTGCCTGCTGAATGGAAACACCCCACCCAAGGGCAAAGTCGGCATTCTGATTATCACACCTACTCGAGAACTCGCACAGCAAATCGCAAAATCATGTGATCAACTCACATCACAGCTGGAGACTCGCCTTGAGTGCCACATCGCTGTTGGTGGAACTGCGCGCGCATCTGCGCATTCTGCTTTCATGAAGGGGTCGCCTTCCATTCTGGTGGCAACCCCGGGCCGACTGACCGACTACCTCTCCGAAACTCCTACCGCCAAGAAGCTTTCTAGCATCCAGACACTGGTTCTGGACGAAGCTGACACCATGCTTGAGAGTGGATTCATCGCCGATGTCAAGCGGATTCTCCAGCTCATTCCCCAGAAGAGCACTGGATGGCAGGGAATGTGCTTCTCAGCCACTGTCCCTCCCAAGGTCAAGGATGTTGTCAATGTTGTGCTCCGAAGGGACTACACCAGCATTTCTACCATTGACCAAAATGAATCACCAACACACGAGAGAGTGCCCCAGTACTCTGTGCTGATGCCATCCGTGAAAGATACCTTTACCACTCTTGCATCTCTTCTCAAGCACGAAATCAAGAAAGAATCCAAGAAGATCATTGTGTTCGGTGTGACTGCGCACATGGTTGGTCTCCTCGCAGGTGTGTTCTGCAAGGGTATGGTTCACCTGAAGGTGTACGAGATCCACTCCAGACTCAACCAGGGTGCTCGCACAAGAACCACAAACCAGTTCAAGGAGGCCGAGTCTGGAATCCTGTTCGCCTCTGACGTTATTGGCCGTGGAATGGACTTCCCCAACGTCGATCTGGTCATCCAGGTCGGTTTGCCTTCCAACGGCGAGCAGTACGTTCACCGTGTTGGCCGTACAGCTCGCGCCGGCGCCGATGGCCGTGCCATCATTCTCCTCACCGAGGGCGAGTCTTTCTTCATGAAAAACAACCGCCATCTCCCCATCAAGCCCCACCCCGACTCCGAGGCCATCAACGCGGCCGCTCCCGCTCTTAACAAGGCTGTTATGGACGCCATGTACACCATCGAGGAAGAATCCAAGCAGCGTGCATACTCCTCCTTCATCGGTTTCTTCGCTGGTTCCGGTCTTCTGCGCCAACTGCGTCTCGACAAGGCTGGTCTGGTCCAACTTGCAAACGAAATGGCCGTCAAGGGTATGGGATGTCCCGAACCTCCTCCGATGGACAAGAAGGTCATTGGCAAGATGGGCTTGAAGGGTATCCCTGGCTTCACTTACGCTGACCCCAACGACTTCGACCGAAAGGGCGGTGGCAGACCCCGTGACCGCTCACAGGGTGGTCGCGGCGGCCGAAACAAGAGCCGCGATGCGCTCAGCCCGGGAGCTGGTCGCGCTGACAGAGGCGGTGTTGAGAAGAAGCGCGGAGGAGGCCGCGGAGGCCGTGGTGCCCGTCGCGGTGGTGGTGGACGTGGAAAGCCCAGATCCTAAGTCGTTTTTACTGAGATACCCTGGATGGCAAAAAGAGCATATCAAGTCAATGTTTTTATAGAACGATAGATTCACGAACAGTTTACTACACATCATTAATTGCAACGCAAATCACATGCATCTTTCAATTCCGCAGCTTAAAGCCCTCATAAAATTATGCTGCCTCGCACTACTTGATTTGGCCAGCGAGACATATGCATATTCAATTGACAGAGTGTCATCTTTGATCTTGACAGTTGTTCTCGCGATTCGAGGCATGGTCAGGTGATTGCGGGTAAATAGAACATTCGGAGCTTCTCCAGCTTCGTCACCACGTCATTCGTTATTTTTCAACCCTTGGGATTGACTGTCTGTGTAGACACTTGATCAACATGGATCCGAGCTACAAAGCTCGCAAGGAGGCCTTCGTGTCTAATCTTGCCGGAAGCACAATATTCGAAATCAACACAGTCACTCTCGTTGCTTCAGTAAGAAGCGCCCACTTCATACAATCGCAATTGACTCATATCTAACTGAAGCTTCTTCTAGACATCTGTTCTCCTCTGGTCCGCGCTCCAATCGAGGCTTTCATTCTTCACACCATACGGCCCCGCCGGAATCGCCGCCGACTTCATCCTCAACGTACTAGCAATTTTGTTCGCAACGACTGCATACTCGTCGGCGCCCCTCCTGCTCAACATATTCCTCGTTTCCCCCGCCGTCCTCCTATTCCTTACCCGACACGGCCAGCGCACTACCCAAAAGGCCAAACCACCTCGCAAATCCAAGGCCCAAAATGAATCCCCCGAGGAACAGCTGGCCTTGCCCGTCCACCCGTTCTTGACAACCTACCGCGCCGCCATGATGATTGTCACTTGTGTGGCGATCCTGGCGGTGGACTTCCGCGCATTCCCACGTCGCTTCGCCAAGGTTGAGAATTGGGGCACGTCGCTGATGGACCTGGGCGTTGGCTCGTTCGTGTTTTCAGCCGGTGTCGTTTCCGCACGCGCTGTGCTAAAGGGCCGCAACTCGAAGACACCGAAGGCAGCTTTGTACAAGAGATTGATAGGTTCCGCTCGACACTCAATTCCTCTGCTTGTGCTGGGTCTTATCCGGCTGTGGAGTGTGAAGGGATTGGACTACGCTGAGCATGTCACTGAGTACGGTGTGCACTGGAATTTCTTTTTCACACTCGGCTTATTGCCTCCATTCGTGGAGCTGTTTGACTCTCTGACGACGTTGATTCCTTCGTACGAAGTGCTCGCACTTCTGACCGCGGTTCTCTACCAGGTCGCTCTGGAATCCACTGACCTCAAGCGCTACATTCTTGTGGCACCACGGGGACCGGACCTACTATCGAAGAACCGCGAGGGCGTTTTCTCTTTCATTGGATATTTTGCGATCTTCCTTGCCGGACGCGGTGTTGGAATTCGCATCATTCCCCGAGGCACTTCAGCGACAAAGTCGCCCCAGCAAGCGCGGAAATCTGTCTTGCAAAATCTGGTCCTACAGGGAATGTTCTGGTCAACGATCTTCTTCTTCAACTCCACATACGCCTTCGGCCACGGTGCTAATATCCCAGTTTCGCGTCGACTGGCCAACATGCCATACGTGCTGTGGGTATCTGCGTTCAACAGTGTACAACTATTCTTGTTCTGTTTGACCGAGACTGTCTTCTTCCCGGCAGTTCACCGTGCGACGACCAAGGAAGCCGAGGCTGAGCAAGCATCATTCGCGACCAGCCCGATTTTGCATGCCTTCAACCGCGGAGGCCTTGCGCTTTTCTTGATTGCGAACCTCCTGACCGGGGCTGTAAATTTGAGCGTGCCAACATTGGACCTGAACACGCCACAGGCCATGGGCATTCTGATTGTCTATGCGGCAGTCCTCACTGGTGCTGCCTTGGCAATGGACAAGTACAACATCAAGTTGAGCTTGTAATTGTATATTTTGGACCATTAGATCTCAATAAAACGATGTCTATATATTCATATTTAACTTGTCTCAATTATTGATAGACCTGCATGATCAGTTGGAGCGTGCTTGTAGATTGCTGTTGAGCCGCGGCATGATGTCATGGGACAATAATCTCAACAGCTGAACTCGACTCTCTCGGCTGATTTTCCTCTTCAATTCGCACTCCAACAATCATGAGCGAGCGGACTTTTATCAATTACCCGCCTCCCCGCGAGGGTCCATCTGTCCCATATAAACATGAAGACCAAGTCATTCCAGTCTTCCGCGGAACACCGTTAGCGATCGGCGCGACATTGTGAGCAACCACGACCTCCAAGGTCACCATCATGCCATACTGATATTTCCTCTTGAACGCAGGATCCATAACGTCAATTTCGTCCAGAGTTACTTCTGGCGCAATGCCGGATTCGGAGTCATTCGCGAAATCCCTCACCTGAGCCAATACGCCGGCCGGTACGATCCAACCGTGATCCCCGTTGAAAACACCAACAAGGCCGAGTCAGCAGCGAAGACATCATCTGCTACACTTTCGCGCAGGAAAGGCAACCATGGATACTATACTTCTGCAGACTACCATGCGCTCTATAAATCAGGAGAATTGACACCGACGACTGTCATTGAGACATTGCTGCCGTTAATTCGGCGCGACGTGCAGCCTCCCGGAAAGCACTCGACTGCCTTCCTCGAATCTCAAACCGAAGCAATTTACGCAGCAGCGCAAGCGTCTACGGAGCGATACAAGGAGGGCAAGTCGCTAGGACCTTTGGATGGTGTCCCGGTCGCGGTGAAGGATGAGGTACACGTTACGGGTTACAAACGGACACTAGGATCGAAGCTGGACTTCAAGCATGGCTCCGACGGAACTTCCTGGTGCGTGAAGCAATGGCTTGATGCCGGTGCTATCATCATTGGAAAAACCAGCATGCACGAGCTGGGGCTAGACACCAACAATAACAACCCCAATTACGGCACGCCTCGAAACCCCCATAACAAAGAATATTACTGCGGTGGCTCCTCCGGTGGCTCTGGATATGCTGTCGGAGCCGGCCTCGTGCCATTTGCGCTTGGCGCAGATGGCGGAGGCTCGATTCGGATTCCTTCGTCGTTCTGCGGTATTTGGGGGCTGAAGCCTTCGCATGGCCGCGTGTCCGGCGCTCCATCTCAGAGCCTGGCGCCCACTGTTGGTGTCCTTGGACCCATGGCCACGAGCATTGATGACCTTGCTCTGGCATATCGCACCATGGCGACACCGGCACCGGCTTCGGAAGACCCTATCTCTTCCCAATTCCCATATCCTCAGCCCCCTCGCCCAGATACCAAGAGAACTAAGACGATCGGAATTGTCCGCGACTGGATCGATCGAGCTGAGTCTCCGGTTCGTGCTGCGTTCGATAGGGCTATTGATTACTACCGCAAGGAGGGTTACAATGTCATCGACATCGAAATTCCTTATCTTACTGAGGGTCAGCGTGCGCACGTCCTGACTATCATGGCGGAAATTGCATCTGGCGTTGATGCCGATCATATCAAACAGCTCACGGCGCCGAACAAGGTACTTGTTTCCATGGGCATGTGGCAGATCACCGCACAAGACTTGCTTGCTTCTCAGCGTCTGCGGAACCTTCTTATGACCCATCTAGCCCATCTTTTCAAGGCCCACCCTGGGCTATTGATTCTGACACCCACCACCCCTATCCCTGGGTGGCATATTGATGGCGGGGAGGCGGATCTGTCCCGTGGTTTGTCTGATGGAAAGGCTTCCGTTCGGAACATGGAGTATGTGTGGCTGGCCAACTTTACTGGATGTCCCGCCATCACCTGCCCTGCGGGCTATGCTGCTGATAGTGGCGTTCCTATTGGCGTAATGGCTATGGGTGAATGGGGCGCAGAGGAGGAGCTGATCTCTTTTGCTCGGGATGGTGAGGCTATCTTGGATCTACCTGGTGCTCGTCCTCCTGTCGAGGGTGCGGATGCCTCAACAGAGAAGGGTCTTCGTATTCCTTCCAATGATCTCGCTGTTTGGGAAGATGTCATTTCTCAGGCAGCGGAGAAAGCTTCCAAGTAAGCCGAAGTGCTCTGAGTTTATCAATACTACTAGTTAAGCAGGCCTTTTACTATTGATTTGTTTCATATGGAACTGAATTATATTGGAATCAGTTGCAAGTTCATCATGTCTGGTCCTATGAGACTTCCAAATCCAACTCGATATATACAAAAAGACCGATTAACCACTTCCAAACACAACGGAAGGATCGTACATCGTCATATTAAAGGACAGGCAGTTTCCAACATCGAAAATACCACCATGCTTATCTCCACTGTCAGTGTCGCAGTTGTTGGCAATCTGCCCAACATAATGCACGCACTCGTCATGCGATAGCTTCATTTTACCATCACAATCATTCAGATTGAGAGTGATCGTACACTCGTTGTCACTCTCTCCTTCACCAGTATAATCCTCATGGAATCCATCCCAGGTGTTGGCTTCCACATTAGTGCAGAAATTATCAATGACACCACTGTCACTGCTATCTCCGTTCAGAAGATCAACAGGCCAGGTCCACCCATTGCCGCCTTTGCAGCTGAGCTTCGACTCAGACGTGACACTTAGACTGAAGGTGTAGCATTTGTCTGTTGACACTGTTCCGCCGTGCTTGTTGCCACTGTCGGTGTCGCAGTCATTAGCGAGTAGGTTGATGTACTCTTTGCAGTAGTCGGCTGAAATTTGTCCGTCGTATGGAGGGGTGCAACCTTCTTGGGTTGAGATTTCCATCACAGCCTTCGGGTCGCCAGCATATTCACCATCGAAGGTCTGCTTGTAGGGCCAGTCTGTGTGACTGGCGGCGGCGATGCAGAACTTGTCTAGGTTTCCTGATTGAGACCCTTCGGTGTTCAGAAGGGATACTGGGTATGTCTCTCCATTGCCACCAGTGCAGGTCTTTTTGGTTGTTGGGGAGGCGGAGCTGCTGGTGGACGAGGATGTGCTGGTAGAGATAGAAGACGAGCTACCTGAGCTTGAGGAGCTAGTGGTTGCCTGGCTTGAGCTTGATGAAGATCCACTCGTTGAGCTGATGCTTTGGGTGCTTGAGGGTGTGGCGCTTGGTGATGAGCTCGAGGAGCCACTCGCCGACGTAGTAGATACATGGCTACTTGATGCCGAGCTACTGCTTGCTGTTGACGTGCCTCCTGGGGTAGAGGTTGTGTCAGACGTATCAGGAATCGGATCTGTCAGTGTGGCGAATGGAGTAGCCTTCATAGCGATAGTACAAGCCGAAGGCGTTGTAGTTGCTGAGGTCGATGACGACGAAGGTGTAGCACTGCAGCCTGTTTCCACCGATGTACTTGTGGTACAACTGTTGCTGTACAACGGCGTTCCGGAGCTCGTAGTTGTTGGAACCGGTGTGCATGATACCCAGCTGTTGGTCACTGTTTTGGTAGTACACTCAGAGGTCGTGGTCTTTGATGTCTCAGTTGACGAGGGCTGAGAGGCTGTGGATTCAGGCTCAGGAGTGGGGAGCTTGTCGTTACCAATAGTGATCGTTGGCCAGTTCGTAACTGGGGGATTGGGAGGAGGAGGATAAACACCTGGGTCCGGTCCTATATGAGTGTGAGCGGTAGTTTTACATTTCAGTGTGCCAATGCAACTTACCAATTCCCCAAGCAAATAGTCCACCGCCGCCACAGAACCAGCAGTGCCACAAGAAGGCAACTTCGGTATGGTGACCATCTTTATCCGTTGTCTCGATCAGGGTATTTTTATCCACCCCTGTCACTGTGCTCACTGACGATGTAGAGAGAGATGTGATAGTGATGATTGGAAGAGTGCTAGATTCTGATGACACGCTGCTTTCAGGTGGGCTTGTAGAGCTAGCATCTCCAGAAGTGGAAGTGGTGGATGGCGCAGGGGTTGAAGACGCCGGGGTTGATGAGTTGGGCGTGGAAGACTCTGTTGGGGACGTACTTGGCGTGGAGGTTTCCAGTGTAGAAGATGCCGGTGTCGAGGATGCTGGTGTGGATGACGGCGCAGAGGATGACGGCGCAGAGGATGACGGTGCAGAGGATGACGGCGCAGAGGATGACGGCGCAGAGGATGACGGTGCAGAGGATGCCGGCGCAGAGGATGCCGGCGCAGAAGAGTCTGCAGAGGAAGACCCGGTGGAGGCAGAGCTCGGTGTTGATGATCCAGCAATGGAAGAGCTCGTAATAGAGCTACTGGAGCTTGCATCCACAGAAGATGATCCCCCGGTGGAAGAATGAGTGGGCGCTGCAGACGACGAGACACTAGGTGGCGTAGTGCTTGGATTGCCAGTAGGAATCACTGCAGTTGAGGTTGCAGACCCAAAAGAAGAAGAAGAAGACCCAATGGCGGCTGTCGAGCTACCATCTGTGGACCAGACACTGGAGGTGCTTGGATTGGCATCACTGGAGGGCCCAATCGAGCTCGTCGGCTCCACTGAGGACGATGGAATGGAGGAAGTGGATGGATTCGGTGTCTGGGCAGAAGATGAGAAGCCAGAATTAGAGCAGCTAGGGCCGTTGCAGATAGTCGAACTTGAGGCTCTCGACGACGGGATACCCTGAGGAATAGCAGCAGCTTTTAGAAGAAGCAAGCTGAAAAGAACAGCCCTCATGTTCATCATTGCAAGATCAAGGACACGAAGTAGGCCTTGTTAGACTCAAAATGAGAAGGGAATGCCTTCTTTTCTGTCCGCTGTGTTCTCTAGTGTCCGTCATTTCTTCGCCCCCAAAGCATCAGCGTATGAGCCGCTAACGTGCAACGTCGAGGAAGAGATTGCTCCACTGGGCACTGAACAGCCTCCACCGATGTCAGCCTCCTGTATCCAATTGCGAAAGTCCTTGGATTCCAAATCCATTGCGGGATTATCGCTTTGTCACGGGTAAAGGTTCGGGAAATTAGTTCTGCAGGGAGTGAAGATTCCAAAACAGTAGTGATGGACGTCTGACACACTCCATAGTGTCGATCAATGGCCCCCACTACCTGATATGGGCAGTATGTCATCCTCGATACCCCTGTCAGATTGTGCCTTGTGCCGTTAGACCTGGCTAGACGTGCATATTCTGGAGTCCACTGCATTTCAACAGCCCCCACCTGGCGAGTGCTTGGCAGGGGAGATGTTGAAACCAGGCCCCCCACAGTAAGATTCGCACTTAGCCCCCATGTGATATTTGCCAGTGGCGCTCTTAGCTCTCGAGCTTAGAGCTTCGCTGGGATCACTGTCGAGCTCTTCATTGGTCTGCTCGGGTTTTGTTCGGGCTCAGTGGTCAGGAATAGAAGTGATGGCTGCTGCTAACCCAGGGCGTTCAAACGTGCCGCTTTCCACTAACGATAACGTTCAGCCCCATGGCCCCCAAAGAAGACGGGAGATCATTTCGCAGTGGCAAAAATCTCCATTGCCTAGCGCAGTGGACCCTGCAACGGGCTATGCAGCCCTTAATGTATAGAACTAAAAGCATCAGCTCGGTGGATGTATAAGCCGTATACTTTTTCAAGACCCATCCATCCCAGAAGAAGGCAGCGGTTCCTCTTCTTGTGCGATTTTTTTCCATTGATTTGAATATTCCTTACAGCCAAGTCAATATTCCATTGGAAATATGAAGACCTTCTCGGTAGCTCTCCTTGTAGGAGCAGCCTCACAAACCCTCGCATACAACATCCACAGCAGTTGTGACTGCGGTGATCATCGCGATGATATCAAAAATGCAATGGAAGAAGCAAAAGCCGTGCTCAGTTGGTCAAGTCTCACAGGAACAGCCTGCGCAATGTGGGAGCGAACGCACGAGGCGGGCGATGAACCACAATCGATGTATGAGACTTGCAAAGACCAAGGAAGGCGCAGTATCCTAGATGACTTCTTCGGGGACCACAGCGCCACAGCGTATGAGGCTATTGCCAGTAGGTTCCTCTTGGTGTTCTGAAAAATGACATTCCGGCTAACATAATCGCACAGATGCGCTTGGTCCAGCATCCAAGGTCCCAGGTGACTATTCGGAATCCGTGGATGATCTCACCATCGTTTGTGGAGATAGTCATCTGAAGAAGATCACCACGGGCGTGTATCGAGACCAAGATAGAGGGTATGCGGATGTGAGATATAACCCTGCGCCGGGACCTAATCAAAGTCCCTGCGATGTTGTCCAGGCTACTGCGTATACAGCCTTGGGCAAGAATGTCATTATGCTCTGTAACAGAGACTACACTGGAGTCAATCAGCAGCCGACATTCAGCCAGTTGAACACGCGTGATGTTCGGGGGAAGAGTGTGGATTTCCTATCCAAGACGATCAGTTCAGTTTTCACGCACGAGCTGATCCATACCGGTAATTTCGATCAATGTGAGTTTGACGCATCTCTTTGTATGAATGTTTGAATGAGGCTGATTTTTGAGCGCAGTCCCGAGGTCTCTTGGTGATGGAACAAGCGAAAAGTATGAGTATGCTGGATGTAAGGAGCTGGCGGGTGGAGATTTGAAGTGGAAGAACTGCGACACATTTGCCATCATTGCACGAAGTGAGTCAAGACTAACTCCGACTGACTGTGTTTAGTTCTCGAAAGCTGACCTCTTTGGCTAGTGTTCTACCTCAACAACTATTATTCCAAGGACGGCACACTGACAGCGCTACCTACTCGCCTTCGGCCCAAGTATCCAAACCCTGCACAATAGTTGACAGTTGGAAGATCCCCCGGGACTCTTTCGCTCTGACCGGTGTCTGCGAAGGAATCCTGGATATCCCGGAGAGGGAGATAACTTCATCCATAGCGAGGCTCAAGGTTTGCTGTTGTATCCATGGATATAAAGGGGTCGAGCCATCTTGTAATAAAGAACACAACGATATCAGTGTTAATAGGAAGCAAACTTGGCTATGGTACAGAGTTTAATCACACGCTGTGTAAGGACAAAACGACAAAAGCCTCCACATAATAGTCATCACCGATCATATCCATATTCCCTCCACGGGACTCGGAATAAAGAATTCACATCCCAGATGCACCCTTTCGCCATGCTCCTTGAGTTCCTCTAGGATCTGTTCTCCTGGCGGAGGGCCATCGGTAAGATGTTCCTTGATATGAATGATATAAACCTTCAACCCCTCCAAAGGAAGAGGCTTAGTATCAACCCAAGACTCAGGATCCGGCGACTCCAGAACATCAGCATGATCACCACCGTCTCCAAAGTCCGGACCGCCAACTTTGGGTATTTGCGGTATTTCAAAGTAGTCGGCCGGGTGCGACCGAGGCTCAAGTCTGTCGCCAGATGTGCTTTGGGTTCGCTTCGATCGCGGACTCACTTGCTCACTACCAGCCTCGACTGGGAAGATAGAATCGCGCTTGCGCTTTTTCTCGCCAAAGTTGCCATTGCGCACATTCATGACTTTGGTTGCTAGCACGCTGAGCTCGGCGACAAGGTGCCGTGGGCACATATGGCCATACAAGTACTTGTCGTCGATGCTGTCATTGTAGGAACATTCGATGAAGATTGCTCGTAGCTTGCCGTTGGCTATCTTTGGTGCGGCGGCTTCCCATACTAGCTTATTGTGCCCTTCCTGTGCGACCGAGTCTGGCTCGACATCGCCGAAGACAATGATCTCATCGCCAGTGCGGTGGTCGCGCAGGAAGAAAGCTGAACTTTCGACTGTTGCCATCACTGGCTCCTTGTTGGTAGATGGAAAGAGGCGCGGGGAGCGAGCGGGCGAATAGAAACTGGGAGTGGTTAGTTTACAAGTTCCATTGACGGCTAGGAAGTCAAGCGCTCTAGCTTACCTGCCATCGGTGTGATCTACCGAGATTGCTCTGGAAGGAAGCATCAATTGATGCTCGGCAAAAACGGTACTTCCTATGCGGTGATGCGTTCCACTCTCGGGGTGATATCGCTGCTTGCATCGGCCGTGACTGACGCTGAGACATTTGGTCAATAGCCCAGTGCAGGCTCTAACATAGCCTCGGCTGTCGCCCCGGCCAAAGCGAGGATTTCCACCCTCCACTAAACGCTGATACGTGAGTAAACCAGCTCCACCATCTTCGTCCGACAGATTCGGCCAAATTATGTCGTTGAACATATGGTTTTTGATGGCGGACAGCACCGAGGGAAGCGCGGCCACCGATTTAGGGCCATTTCCCGCCTCTAAAATCGGAGTGTTGATTGCAAGACCGGCAATATGATCAAGATGAGGATGTGTGATTAGCACATTACCAATGAGTTCACGAAACACATGGGCTCCGTTTGCCTGTGGTGTTTTGTTGGGCAACTCGAGCCCCTGAAAGGGCCCATTTGTCATGACACCCTCGTCATTCGTGCAATCAGGCATATACCGCTCCAGTAATCGGATAATCCCTGCCAAGAGGGTACCTGCATCAACAGCGACGACGGATTCCGGGGCCCAGTTTGTTGCAGTCGAGCGGACCAGAATGCCGGTGACGCTATCTTCACGGGGTCCACCCGTGGGGCCCTATTGAAATTAACATTCGGCACTTTCAGTATTTTCGCAGGGGTATTGCTGTCAGAACCCGCTATCAGAGACATGATATGACGAAAATCATCCCCGGTACTCCGTACACGAATCATAGTCAACACATGGCCTCCACGTGACGGGCTCTGCGACAGGCAAATGAAATCAGCTAGACACTTACCAAAACAATGACATGGAATGCAGGTTTTTTTGCCGGTTTTGCGTCCGTCTTTGTGTTTAATGGAATTTGAGACATGACTGACAAGCACCGTGTCGGAAGTCGAGATCGTTTCAATGTATGGAGTACCTCAACGGCAAATCTCCAATAGAAGCCAGGCCTCAGCGACAAGTCTCACCGTACAGAATAGACTGATCAGTTCTCAAGCGGAGTTGTGAGGCGGCTAGAGAACAAGAGAGATAACACGTGTGCGACAGGTTTAACGCGCGCGCAGCTTGTGAATTGGGCGGGTGAAAATGTCTCTGGCACAAAAAACCCCCACAGAATGTGCGTCACACGCAAAAACAAAGGCGATTATATCTCAGATTCAGCCGCAGTGGTTTAGTGGTTTTCGTGGCTCGGGGAGACAGAAGCACGCGCGAAGCCGCAACAGGATTCCGGAGACTGGTCGGCAGAGTGCAGATTTGAGAAACCGGGGGAGAACCTGGGGGAACCTGACTTCGTATCACAGATGCGCCCTTGTGCTGCGGTTGGACAGCCACTTATGCAAGCGAGGTGCAGGTGCAGATGTGTGGCGATCGATTGGCGGTGGACAAGTTCGGAGAGGTGAGGTTTCGGAGACACAGTTCGGGTGGACCGGCAAACTGGGGCTAGTGGAGTACGATCGTATCGGAGCCACGGTAATGCAACGAAGATCTGGGGATCAGGAATGGCAATGCTATGTGAAGAATACAAGAGGTTGCGATCAAAGCTTCGAGGTGGAAGTCTTGGCGATCTTGTGGGGGCCAACTGCTGTATAAATAAACTAGCCTACACTACGGAACATGTCCACCCCTGAAGTACTTTATAAGGAACTTCTTGGGATTCTCCACTCTTATCTATTCCTCAAGGTCATTCAGACATTGCTCATCTTCGGGTTTTCTGTAGGAATCGGCTTATTCCATGGTCTGCCACAGATACGAAAGCAGAATCCGACAATATCTTCAACTCAAAGTGTCTCAATCGGCGAGGGAATGTCAGATCAAGTAGATGTCTTGTATTGAGATATATACATAAAGAGGGTGGCTAGCGAGAGCTGGGTATAGCAAAATGAGTGTGCCCTTATACATGTGTTCGTGTTCAATGACTCCCCAAGGGTAAGGGTGGAGGGCAGAGCGAGTGAAAGTCTGAGAGTTCCTTTCATAACTCACAGCAAAAGAAACAGAAAGAAACAAAAAAAGAAAACAAAGCCTCAGGAACTAGACTTCCTGGTTTGCCCAAACACCGTCCGTGAACCCGCTAAATAAAACAACAAAGAAATGATCAGACAGAGCCTCTCATGCAGAGATTATGTTCACATGTAGACAGGGTATAAAAGAATCGAGGCCAATCATTGGCCACTTGGGTGGTGCTCATCTGTATCTCCTTCGACCGCAGTTTCGTAACTCGGGAGATATTGACCAGCAGAGTCCATGGCATCGTCGGTCGGAGAGCCATGTTCTTCGAGTGCACCCCTGGAAGGGAAGTCAAGAGAGGTATCACTGCCCCTGCGACTGCCATCAGGACTAGAATACTCCGGAGGCGGGGCCTCATGGTGCTCGTCATGGACCATGCCAACATTGGCCTCTTCATCTCCCAGAGCATACCGGCTGGATCCCTCACCAGCATCTTCAAGAGGTGGTATGTGATTCAGCTGAGCGAGGGAAATGTCAGTCGGAGATCTAGCAGGACCTGGGCTTGGTACTGGAGGAATCCTGACACTTGAGCCCGAGGCCGCGTAATTCGCATTTTGATAAACACGCTGAGAAATCTGGGCGGCGCTCTCGCGGCCCGACTCCAGCAGAATGCTGCCTTGCTCGCTTCCGTAAGGTGGAGGTGGGGCGAGGCTACCAGTCATCGGGGCCAATCCCCATTTCTTGACGTTTCCTTCGATGAAGACGAAGCCCATCTGACCAAAGTTGACATGGATTGTGCAAGGACCGTTGGCGCCGATCGTAGGAAAGAGGTTTTGCGAGCGATAGTTATGAGCCACGTCCTCCAGTTTCTTGCCGTTGCGAGTGAAGAAGACTGTCCCTGACCGAGGGCGGTAGCCGACACCAATCACATCGCCTTGTAATAGAGGAGGTCCGTATGGGGTGGGATTGAATGGTTGGTTGACCCTGCGGTGTCCGGTTGACTGGTAGGCAACAGAAGATTTGTGGAAGCCTAAAATCGTTAACACAGTCTCAGCAGTAGGAATTGTCATGTAACGCACCAGGCATTCGGAAGAGAGGGTATGGTTTCGTAGTCACTCCAATTCCGATCATTGTTGAGTCGGGCTTATCGTATATCTTGGCCTCCCAGTAGTAGACCTCATTCTGTTTGGGGAGGGGGAGGTTTGTCTGCACACTGCATTCCGAATCATAGAACTCAATCTCCGTGCGGGCTTCCACAAAGCAATTTGCGATCTCCAATTCTGGCTGGAACTCCCATGCGGATACGCCTTTTTCTTGGATTGCGAGGAATTGTGATAGGGATATATCGGTTTGCACTGATTCGGGCGGGTTTCCTTGGACAAAAGCTGGGCAGAGTTAGAGATGTGAGACATACGACCCATCAAAAGATTCTCACGGGCGCTTACCTTTAGCTCGCAAGTATTCCGACCGCGCCAAGTCGTCCATTGACTCTAGCGCCGTCTCCTCCTCGCGCGCAAATGCCTGTTCATCATCGAACTCACCGGGTCGGCCAATGCGATCCAGCATAATTCGCCCCCGGCGAGTATATTTGAAAAAGAAAAAGATCGCTAAGACAACAAAGGCAACTGCGGCGGAGCCGAACGCGGACAGGATCCCAATCAGGATGCCTTTGCCGGTCGAGCCGGTCGAGTTGCCACTGGCGATAAGCCCAGGCTCAGGGCGAATTTGCGAGAAAGAGGATAGCACATTTTGGAGGTTTTCGTGTATTTGTTGCTGTGATAATAAAGGATCTGTTTGGAGAGGTAACGTTGAGCCGATCGGTGACGTCGTCGGGCTGCCTATCACTGTTCTCAGGGTCGAAGGTAGGTCTGCGAGCGCGCTGCTCGGAACCTCAGGGCCCTGCATCGTTCATTGACTGCAGTAAATCGAGTCAGATAATCAGGGAGAGGCCAAAACAAAGCACTTAGAGAGCAGACAGTGATGAAACAAGATGTGTGAGGGAGAAGAGAGAGATAAGTGGGCGGCTGCGGATAGAAAAAGGCGGGTTATCTAAGACGCTTCCGGCCCAGGTGGAGCAGCTCAGTAGGGGCTCTAAGCTGTTCACGCCTTTTCTCTCGCCTTTCTTGTGATGTCTCGCCTTGTTGATTTTTGACTTTCTTGTCACTCGTACTTAGTACCCTACTAAACCCTGTTCAGTTAACTCCTTCGTCTCTTCCCCTCTTCGTGACTCCTTGCTTCGCTTCGACCCCTCTCCTCAAGTCTGTGTCCCCAGATGTGTGCGACAGGTCAAGCTCGGGGTAATACCCCCTTGGATGAGGAGGTCATGATTCACTTTGATGCCTATAACATCCACCTGGATACGCCTACCTCCTGTGATAAGTACCCAGGTCAGTGCTAACGCCGCAAGGCCGAAATGCCTTTGCTGCCCTTCGCCCTTTCGCAGACCATCCTGCTACACGGCATTCAACCGGCTGTCGACTGACCAGACCGCTCTAGCCAAGCAGCATGCGCGTAACGTCGCTAGGAAGCTTGGAGCTTCCAGGGGCTTAATCTTTCTTTCCGGACAGCCCACGATCAACCTGCGTGACTCAGACCAATCACGTCCGTTCCGACAACGGCGCTACTTCTACTATCTGAGCGGAGCCGATGAAGCTGACTGCGCCCTGACATATGATATCGGTCGCGATATACTCACTCTCTTCGTGCCCGACTTTGATCTCCACCGCGCCATTTGGATGGGACCGACTCTGTCACGGGAAGATGCTCAAGACCGATACGATGTGGACTATGTTAGATATCATACCTCGCTCAAATATGAGCTGAAAGAATGGGCAGATGAGCGCGACCAGGATACCGAGTTATACCTCATCCATGAATCAGAAAAGCCCAAATCTCTGCCCAAGGATCTCCCCGTGAACCTTACAAACCTTGAACAGGCCATGAACGCGGCACGAGGCATCAAGGATGAATACGAGATTCGCATGATTCGCGAAGCTAACAAGATCTCCGGACTTGCGCATCGCAAGATCTTAGAGAGCATCAAGTCATTTTCCAATGAGTCGCAGATCGAGGGCTCGTTCCTGAACACATGCGTATCGCACGGGGCCCGCAATCAAGCATACCAAATCATCGCGGCCTCCGGTCCCAACGCGGCCGTTCTCCACTACTCTCGGAATAATGAGCCTCTCCATAAGAAGCCGCTCGTATGTGTCGATGCCGGTGCAGAGTGGAATTGCTACGCGAGTGACGTCACACGGACCTTCCCGTTGACAGGGGAATGGCCCAGCCAGTACGTTCGAGACATCTACAAGCTTGTTGAGCGCATGCAAGAAGAGACGATCCGCCGGATGGGCAAAGGAGTGCGCTATCGTTCACTACATGACCTCGCGCACGACATCGCGATTGAAGGGCTGTTGTCTCTTGGCATGTTGAAGGGCTCCTTCAATGAGGTTCGCGAATCTGGCGCATCCAAAGTTTTCTTTCCTCATGGCCTAGGTCACCACGTTGGCCTTGAAGTGCACGATGTCTCTGAGGGGTCGATCATGGCACTCGGAGAGCGTAATCAGAACTGGACATCTGATCTGCTCTCGCCTTGTACTCTCTCCGCTCCTCTGTTGGAGGAGGGTATGGTCGTCACTGTTGAACCGGGACTATATTTCTCGCCACTGGCTCTTGATAATGCCCGCAAGCAGCCGTACGCCAAGTACATTAACTTTGACGTTGCAAAGGAATATGTGCACATCGGTGGTGTTCGTATTGAAGATGATATTCTTGTGACTGCCACTGGATACGAAAATCTCACTACCGCACCAAAAGGCGAAGAAATGCTCGCTGTCATTCGAGGATCTACTTAGCGATTGATATCTACAAAGCATATAAGCGGGGCGACATTCACATTCTTGCCAATTTGACAGCATAGACACATTGCATAGTCTACTTTCTCTGAGATCAGGTAAAACATTTCTTCCATAAAGTGAACTGATCATATCTGAATACAAGTGAACGCGCGAGTGTCCGGATTCTGCGAAGGACTTTCTCAGATTCGCCTCGATCAGTATTCTAAGCCGTTGGTTCCGTAGACTTACTAGCGGAGGCAGAAGCTGGCTCATGCTCCGCGATGCTAGTTTGATTGTCATCCTCTATGTGCGGCGTAGTCGTTGGGATTTCGAATGGATTGTCAAGTAGCGGTCCGATCACTTGATCAAGCTTCTGTCGCATAAGATTCTTCCCAGTACCGCTAGCTGCAGGTTGTCGATGTTGATCCCGATCTGGGCTGCGTGAGCTCTGGCGGCTCTACGTGCTTCAGCCCAGCTATCGTAGATCTGCAGAACCCTTTTGAACTGCTCCGAATCAAGGATGGGTGAGGTCGTTCACCTTTCGGGCTTGAGGGGCTAGCTCGTTAAGCCCACTAATCACTGCGTTGATGTCCTGCGCTCGGAGAGGGTCCAGGACCTCGTGGAAAATTGGCTGTTTGTTAACTGATTGGGCACTAGCAGTCGACGCAGCTAGCACTGGCTGCCATGGGCCCAGATGAGGGGGCTGGATCCTTTGGCAAGCGGTACTTCATGGTGCGCATGTTCCTATTAGAATCGAAATAATAAGGCCATGCCGCGTACAGCACGTCATTTGTGCAATTTTTGGCTGCGACATAACACATGAGGTCACTGAGATGGAGGCCTTGGCCAGGAGCGGACCAGGTGCCGTCCTTGTTGAAACGGGAGAGGGATGCTTTGCGTTCGGTGAAGTCATTGTAAAGGTGCCTTCGCATCTACTTCTGATGCCCCTTCGTGATTTTCAGGGATATTTGGTTGTTTTTTTAGGGTCTTTTCACACATCTTTCATGTGTTGTTGCAGCCAAGCCAAATAAACATCATGCCTAGTGACAGAACTTGACTCCTGGTGTGGTCTAAGGCCTACCTTTCTACAATATAAAGGCATTGAAAATGTGAAAAACTTGCTCCATTTCTAAACCGAAAGCGAACACATATTATCATAACATTTCATCAATGCAGACAGCTGAAATTGGAGACAAGTAGTAGTAGACGTGAAAAAATCGTAGTGACTGAACTTCACACGGAGCGCCCGAGGACCAGACTTGGCATGACAAGAAAAGTGGAATCTCGTCGCGGAAATTGATCAAGTGGTGCAAGGACGTGAAGGAATGAGAGAGAGGATGTGTCGATTGTGCCGAAGCTGAAGCCTGCCCCGTCGCAGGTGCCGAGTGGTGTGATGTGAGATTTGGCGGAGGAATTGATTCATCGGTGAGCGAGCCGAGGGACGAGCCGAGGGACGATTGTGATTTACCACCAAAGCAAGCGGTCTTGAGGTCTCCTCTGTAATGGCTCCAAGTAGCATCTTCCCGAGCCGTCTCCTTCAGAGACTCTCCTGCGGAGACCCTTTTTGCCAAGACCGCTTCTTTTCTTTCCTCCTCTTGAAGTCCCTGGCATGATGAAATGATAGACTGTTGATTGATTGAATTGAATGTGATCGCCGGAAGATGAACTTGTGGACGATGCCATCGACGGATGGACTTGTGGAGGAGGATGCCATCGACGGATGGACTTGTGGAGGAGGATGCCATCGACGGATGGACTTGTGGAGGATGCCATCGACGGATGGACTTCGAAGATCTCAGCAAAGCAAGAATGATTTCACCACCAAAGCAAACAGTCTTGAGGTCTCCTATGTAATGGCTCCAAGTAGCATCTTCGCGAGCCGTCTCCTTTAGAGACTCTCCTGCGGAGACCCTTTTTTGCCAAGACCGCTTCTTTTCTTCCCTCCTCTTAAAACTTGCAGAGCAATGTGGATTGTATGTGAGGTATGGAATAACTGAGTCGAATGTGGAATAGCTGGGCCTCGGGACACTTGTGACTCCCCCAACAAAGCAAGCGATCTTGAGGTCTCCTTCAATATTGGCTCCAAGTAGCATCTTCGCGAGCCGTCTCCTTCAGAGACTCTCCTGCGGAGACCCTTTTTACCAAGACCGCTTCTTTTCTTCCCTTCTCTTGCTGTCCCAGACATAGATGTTTTGAATTTTGGATAGAACGAAAAGATAGCAAGCTGCGCGATTGTCCTGAAGCCGAAGCCCGCCCCGTCACAGCTGCTTGCGAGATGGTTGCTGAATGTTGAGTGGAATTCGAGTGAAACGAGGAAAGCGAAGCGGAGAGATGGCAAGCAAACTGTGCGATTGTCCTGAAGCCGGAGCCCGCCCGTCACAGCTGCTGCGAGTAGTTGTTTGGAAGGTCGGTATCGAGTGGAACGGAGAGAAACGAAACGAAGCGATGACCGAATGTGGAATGGACCGAGGAAATCGAACGAAGATGAATTGAATAGATAGTAAAGCAAGCTGTGCGATTGTCCTGAAGCCGTAGCCCGCCACGTCACAGCTGCTGCGAAGTGGTTGTTTAAACGTGGTTGTTTGGAATCGAGTGGAACGACGCTCAGTGGAGAAAAGAGAGAGAGCAAGCAGACTGTGCGATTGTCCTGAAGCCGAAGCCCGCCCCGTCACAGCTGCCGCAAGAGAATGATTGAGATTTGACACTCGAGGGTGGAAACGATTGATGATTGAGCCATAGGAAACGTTTAATTGCCTCCCCAAAGCAAGCAGTCTTGAGGTCTCCTCTGTAATGGCTCCAAGTAGCATCTTCCCGAGCCGTCTCCTTCAGAGACTCTCCTGCGGAGACCCTTTTACCAAGACTGCTTCTTTTCTTCCCTCCCCTTGCTGTCCTAGGTGTGATTGTAATGGTCGAACGTTCACTGGAATGAGATTGAGTGGAATAGAAAGAGAGCAAAGCAAGCTGTGCGATTGTCCTGAAGCCGTAGCCCGCCCCGTCACAGCTGCCGCGAAGTGGTTGTTTAGAGATCGAGAGGAACGCCATTGAGTGGAACGACGCTCGGTGGAAAAAAGAGAGAGAGAGCAAGCAGACTGTGCGATTGTCCTGAAGCCGTAGCCCGCCCCGTCACAGCTGCCGCGAAGTGGTTGTTTAAAGATCGAGTGAAACGAGGAGATGGAACGACGAAAACGAAACGAAGAGATGGCAAAGCAAGCTGTGCGATTGTCCTGAAGCCGAAGCCCGCCCCGTCACAGCTGCCGCGAAGTGATTGTTTAAAGATCAAGGGGAACGTCATTGAGTGGAACGACGCTCGGTGGAAAAAAGAGTCATTGAGTGGAAACGCAAGAAACGACTGTTGTGAGCCATAGGACACTTGAAACTCCCCCCAAAGCAAGCAGTCTTGAGGTCTCCTCTGTATTGGCTCCAAGTAGCATCTTCGCGAGCCGTCTCCTTCAGAGACTCTCCTGCGGAGACCTATTCGCCAAGACTGCTTCTTTGCTTCCCTCCTCTTGCTGTCCCAGGCATGGTGGAATGAATGAAGATTGAAGATGGCAAAACAAAGAACAAGACAAAAGACAATTGACCGAGATGAAGTGGATGAAAGACAAGACAAGAGATGAGACGATGATTGAGTGACTGAGTTGATGAAGTGGATGAAAGACGAGAGACGAATCGAGACGATGACTGAGTTGATGAAGTTGATGAAAGACGAGATGATGACTGAGTGGATGAAGTGGATGAAAGACGAGACAAGAGACGAGACGATGAATGATGATGTGGACAAAGTAGACATGAGACAAGAGACAAGACAAGACAAGAGACAATTGACCGAATGACTGTGATGATTGCTTTTTCTTTTTCTTTTTTTCTTTTTTGACAAGGCTTTTTTTGTTTTTGTTGCCTGTCTTTTTTTTTTTTTTTTTTTTTTTGTTGAGTGGACTCTCCAGCGGAGGTTGTGAACAGTGCCCAGGCAAAGCTGAGATGAGAATCCGCGAGAGCCCAAAATGAAAATTGGCTTCCTTTTTTCCTTCCTTCCTTCTTTCTTTTGTTGTTTCCCCTTCCTTGGTCTTTTTTGTTTGTGTGACCTCATACTTTCCTTTTTCTTTTGTTGTGTTGTGTGCATGTGCTGCTGTGCTGCTTGACCTGAGGCCGAAGCCCGCCACAGCACAGCTGCATGAGTTGTGTGAGATTGTCGAGAGCGCGATTCGAGGGAATGGTAGGGACGTAGGCAGAGATGTGTGAAAAGATGTCTAAGAAAAGAAGACTGTGTCAGAGACCAGAAAGACCAAACGCAAAATTCGAGGAAGGTACAGTACCTTCCCATTGATTGATGATTGAAGTTCATAAAGATTGTTGATGAGTGACCCAAAGTGGGATGTAGATGTTGTGATGAGGGTCATCAAGTGGAGGGCCATGTGGGTTGTGGACGAAGGACTCGAAGAATGGAGGATGCAGGACATCTAAGAAAGCCAAGAGGCGTCAGAGACCAAAGAGACCAAACGCAAAATTTGAGGAAGGTACAGTACCTTCCCATTGATATGATGATTGAAGCTCATGAAGATTGTTGATGAGTGACTCGAAGTGGGATGTCATGATGAGAGGTCATCGAGTGTAGGGTCATGTGGAATATGGATGAAGGACCCGAGGGACCGAGGACATCTAAGAAGAGATGTGTCAATGACCAAAGAGACCAAACGCAAAATTCGAGGAAGGTAGAGTACCTTCCCATTGTTAAGATGCATTGTCAAAGACAAGAATGAAGCTCACCAAGATGGAAGACCATCAAGGTGGAAGATGATGAAAGACCCAAAGAGCCTTGAGGACCCAAAGGGGGATGTCCTGTGAGGGGCCTGAGGAGCCATGGCAGATGGGAGACCAGACGAAGGACTCAAAGTGGGATGCCATGAGCAAGGCCAGAGGGTCCAGACCAGATGGGAGTATCCAGGATGAGCAAGCTCCAAGGGAATGGAGGTCCAGAGCCAAAGGGGTTGGCAGCCAGTAGAGGATCCAAGACAAGACAGAGTAGAGAGATGAAGAGAGGAAGAAGGAAGAAAGAGAAGAGGAGAGAGGAAGAATTGGGCTACTATTTATACCCCAAGAAGTGGGGCCCTTGGGGCTCCAGGATCAACTAGATCAACGCGCTCTCATTGGTCCGCTAAATCGAAGCTAGTGAAGGCTTGATCTGAGCCCTGTGATTATTGGTCCGCCAAATCGAAGCTAGTGGGAGCCCTCTCGCCCCACCCCACTTTGATTGGTTCGGAAAATTGAAGCTAGTGGAGTCACATGCTTACCCCCCTTCTGGTTGGTCGGCCGGAAAACAGGGGTCGGAAATCCACAGCGGCCCGCAATCTTAGCCTTGTCATGGATCGCCCACGAGCCAGCCCCACAGAAAAAACGGGCGTAGATCATCATGCACGATGTAGTCATCATCCAGGCAAGGCTCTCTCAAGTCTACAGTAGCAGCGTATACAGCGACACGTCTCCCTACGCGTAAATCGTACCCATTAGCAGGCAGAGGACCTCAATGACGATCCCGTTGTTTACAAGCATGCGAGTACTCTGTAGGCGTAACAGATTGAAGGGTGCTGCTCTCTCTAGTGATGCCCTTCGTAAGTGAGGCTGCTATGTATGTGGATTGACCCCGGTCGCGTGCGGTGCGCCAGCTGTTGCGGGAAGCCGTCGAGTCAGCGCGACGCAGGCCACCGCGGCAGTCGAAGGAGCTCATGGCCTTGTCAGAGATGACGAGAGCACTTAGATCAAGTAGATGAGCTGTAATCTGAGCGGTGTTCCTGGCTCTGACACGAGTTGCGACAGCCTCATTGGCGCATCTCTAAGCTACGAGTCGCGTGTCGAGGCCTCCGAAACCGTGCGAGTTCCACGCGTCATAGCCTCAAGTAGACTGGACCGTACGTTAAGAATAGGCCTCTTGGAGAGAGCTGGCTCACATTGGTCTCTTTGGCTGCTAGCTTCTACTGATGGGGTGATCCTCTTGCTGGCAGACTGGCGTATGGCGCTTCTGGGACTCGCTACGAGCTGCTACTCGGCTTTGCGGAGGGCAATGAGCAGAAGAGCCCCGTAGATGTCACTCGAGGGATCTTGTGGGTACCTGTTGGCCTTGTTGTGATGCCTTCCTGGTCGGTGTTTATCGTCGGGGTGGGCTACTGTACGCTGTCGCTGATGTGTGCGAGGTGATTTGATGCCCCTCGACGCTCTAGTGTCTACGCTTGCGTGTGTCGAGCCTCAAGGTGCTTGCAGTGGTGCTACCGGTGCTTCTGTGGACACGACCGTACAACCGGCAGTCTCGCACGTTCTCAGGGCGTGGAGGAGGTGAGATGGGCTGCTCGAACGGGGCTACATGCTGTGCCATCCGAGGATAGCAGGCTCCGGTCGCGCTGTAACGCTGTAACTACGATCCTACGGCTGACGGTCTCGCGCAGAGTCGACGGAGGTGACAGAAGTGACGCGGACACTGAGTCTCAAAGCGCGTCCGAGCAGTGCCACCGAGGCCTCTGCGGATGAAATCCTACGACTGGCGGTCTCGCGGATACTCAGAGTGCGGGACGTGCGAGATGGGCTGCTCAAACGGGGCTACATGCTATGGCATCCAATGAAGTTGGGCTCCGGTTGCGCGGTAAAGCTTTGAACTACGATCCTACAGCTGACGGTCTCGCGCAGAGTCGACGGAGGTGTTCGAGGTGACGCGGACACCGAGCCTCAAAGCGCGTCCGAACAGCGCCAGCTACTGAAACCGGCGGTCTAACACATGTACAGGGTGTGATGGGGGTGAGAGGGACTGCTTGGCTACATGCTATGGCGCCCTAGGAGAGCGGGCTCAGGTTGCGCAGTGACGCTTTGAACTACGATCGTACAGCTAACAGTGCCACACAGAGTCGACGGAGGTGTCCGCGTCACCTCTGACACCGAGCCTCAAAGCGCGTCCGAACAGTGCCAGTTACTACGACCGGCGGTCTAGCACATACACAGGGTGTGAGGGAGATGAGATAAACTGCTTGGTTACATGCTATGGGATACAATCTCACGGCTCATATTCTCGCACAGAGTCGATAAAGGAGACAGAAGTGACGCAGACACCGAG